GCTGTTTGAGGAGGAGAACCACCGAGGAGATTAGTCGCGCATATGTAGATCTTCAGGCGGTAAGGTACTTGGACTTTTATACATGGTGCCATGTGGGTGGACTTGTGAACATGCATACATGTGTATATGCGTGTATGTGTGGACATATGTATGTGTGACTTATTCAATGCAAGGCCGAATCAGGGTACAGCACGGGGTAGATGGTCAGGCGATAGTGCGTAGTAGGAGAGAAAAAGACAAAAAGGGGGATAGGGGGGGGGGGGGGGGGAGAGCAGTGAGACAACTACCTACGGATAGGGTATGTATCTAGATAGGCTGGGTGTAGGTGATCGGGAAAAGGTGGTTCGGAAGGGACTTACTCGAAGCATATAATACCCCAGATATGCAAATGGACTCACGACGTCCACGTAGAGTGTTATTTTTGGTTTCGATCTCTCGGTATCGGCCATTCTTATTCCTCTTTTTTCCTTTTTTTTGGGAATTTCACGCCCTTTTCACCCTGTTGACTTTCGGGGCCTTTTCTGATTTGATTCGCTTCTCGACTTTAGACGCGGCCTGCAACAAGGGGGTGGTGGAACCGGCCCGGATTTACGAGAAGGGAAGGGGGAAGAAGGATGAGCTTCCCAGTGGACCGATTGGATTCGATTGGACTGATCGATGTGGTGTGATGGTTCGTTGTTGAGTAATACCAATGTAGTCTCGCAGGGGAGAGGGGAGGAATCAACCAACTAATCGCTCGCTCGTTAGGTTCATACCATAGGGAAAAAAACAAACTATGGCCAAAGGAGGTGTGGGTAAGCAACTTCGGTATCTTGAGATAGGTACCATAGACGTCGATGTCGTACGAGGTTGTTTTCGAGACCACCTATACCTGAGAGAAGAGAGACAACCGTAAATACTGAATTCCATAACAAATTCATTCTGTCGTCCCCGGCTCGTCGCTTATATTTATGATGTGCAGCGTGTAGAATAGCCGAGGTCCTTTTTATTACTGTACCGATTCGATCCATTGCGAGTACTAATACGAATACGAAGGGGTTTTTAAATGGGTTCCCGAGTTGAGGCCGTTCCAAAGCCCAAACTCTATATATCCCTGAAACACCATACGGACAAGGAATAACATGTACATAGTTGCTGGTAATCACAAAGGTACAGAAAACAGAGCAATGCTACAGCGTAGATATACAGAAGAAAGACACCATAATGATACTCATTCTGCTCGTCATGAGTACCTGAGACAACTACAGTGCTCCGTACCCTTAACAGATACAAGGACCTTGTCTCCATGTACACCGTCCCGACCAACACTCCTAGAGAGACTCCATGGTGTACGCTAATTCATGCTTGTATTCATTCAAAGAACCTTTAGGATCCTGCAAAGACCACTCCATCTATCCTCTTCGAGCCTTGGTCGAATTCGCTGGTCATCAACCTCAATTCTTGTCCTTGACAGGAAAGTCGTTACCGGTGGCCGATTTGTCTATGGAACATATCGGCATCAGCATCTCCAACGTCAAATCCCTCATGAACATGGTACGAGTACTCACATTGGTTTCGAATGAAGTCGGAAATCTGTTCATCCTTTGCCTGTTCAATGGCACTCTCATTGTCTTGTGGTCCTTGTCCTAGAAACCTCTCTTGAACAAAGTCGATGCCTATGTTACGACAATTAGCCATCTCAACATCTTTTCCTGCAACTCCCCTCGAACAATCTCACCCTTGTCAAGTGCGTCTTCGTTCTTCTCTGATTCTCGACCACCACCGGCCGCAGAGTTGAGTTTGTCACCGAGACCACCTAGGAATCCTCCATCGCCTTGGTTCTGGCCCTGTTGGCCTTGGCCTTGGCCTTGTTGTTGGTTGTCGCCTCCAGTGAAGCTGTTCAAGGCACCTTTGAGTTGATCCATGTTTGGAGATTGAGATTGGGGTTAGGGGCGAAAGGTTCAAAAGACTTGGAAGTGAGGTACGGCGAAGAAAAGAGGAAAAGAGGAAAAGAGGAAAAGAAGACTGGACTTATGTAGGTAGGTATGTCAGAAGAAAACAGACAAACAGGCAAGAGAATAGCGGGGGAGTCTTCAGCCACAGACTGCAGCGATGCAGCCAAGTCTCCGGTGTAACACGTAGCTGGTTACAGGGATCGTGTCCTCTAGGTAGAGCAACGAGTAGTCGAAGGCCTGGATCCAACAGTTTGACATGAAGAAGTTCGGCTGTGATACGGACTGCGCCTGCGACCTCAAGGAAGAAGCAACGGGGTTGACACTGACGTCGGCCAAGAGCAGCTCAGATAGCACAGGCACTTGGCGATTAGGAGTTGGGCTCGCTTGTCTTCAGCTCGGAAGGTGCCCGACGATCGCGGTCGCTAAGACTAACTAGACTTCGCTGCCCGCTTCCAAAGCCTAAACAGTGGTCTGGTGGCCTAGACCCGTGGCTAATACGGGCGCTACAAGCGAGCCGCAGGGACGAACGCAAAGGGGCCATGGGGGCTGCTGTGCCACCCACAGGGACCACCCAATAGGCCTCACATCATACAGCACTTCATGCTTCATCGCAGCTCAAACGAGGCACTCCATAGTGATACCAGCTGAATATCTGCATCTGTACGCACCGTCACCCATGCTGGTGCGGCTACAGCACCTAAGTCATGGTCTCTTCACTCCAGACTCGTACTCGGCTCATTAGTCGTCTCAATATCACCCTCCGCCCTTTTGCCGTCTGCGCTGTTCTCAACCACATTACTTTCTTCTTCCTCAACTTCCTTTTCCCAATCATCCACAACCTGTGCTTCTACTTTCTTCCTCAACTTCGCCTCATTCTCTTCTTTCTTCTTCTTCGCTTCTGCCAGCCGACTCCCAAGCACCGTAAAGACAGGTCTTTGTCCAACTGGCCTGACCTGGGGGACTGATGCTGGTGCAGCCCGTCTTGCCGCAACTTTAGACCACCCATTCGTAAAAGTGTCACTGGCTTTTCCTTGCTGCTGAACAATCTTGACTTCAAGACCAGTCGTGTCGAACTGGCAAAGTACTACCGACCCGGCCAAATTGTGTCTAGACACTTCAGCCGCAATAGTAGGCTGTAAGCTTGTCAGCAGCGTGGTGAGCTGTTCAGGCGTCTCCCAAGACATGGATGGGAGCAGAGCCACTCCTTCATCGTTAGGCAGAAAGACAATATCAAGGTCAATGGTAGGTGCTGCCTTCTTGACCACCGGCCGCAATTCATCTTCTGTCAATGCAAACTTTGGCTTGGTCAACATCAACCCGTTGTACTCATGCTTGACCTCATCAGCCTTGCGTTCGGGAGCGCTGTGAACAGGTGCAGCCACGTTCAGCTGAGCTCGCTTGATTCGTGCGACCTGTGCCAAAGTCTTCATCGGCGCGGCGACAAACTTCGGCGTTTTGAACAAGACAACGTGACGGTGTGGCTCCGGATCAAGACTTTCTCCATCAAACCCAAAATCTTCGGCGAGGCTGTGCATGAAACTTCGTTGCCGACTCTTCATCGGCTGGCAACGATATCTTTTCTGCGTCTCATCGGCCGCAAAAAGTCGAAGGGCCTCCTCCTGTGCATGTGCCCACGCAACATCCTCGAGGTACATTTGTAAAGTGGCTGTCGAGTAGGGAACATGGTCGTCAGTGTGGTCGTCCGAAATATGTAGTGCCAGGGCAAGTTTGCGGTTTCTTTCCAATCGAGCACATTCATCGTCACACTTGAGGGACGTCTGCCGCCCAGAAGGCTCAGGGTTGGTTGATCGTGCATTGCATCGGACTTCTTCTTTCTTGCGTTGGCAGTCGCAGGTAATCATGACCTTGAACGGGCATGGTTTGTCCTCCTTACACGCCGAGGGAGCGTGACAGCGTTGTTCGCAAGGGTGGCCACACGTCTTCTTCGCCTTACCGCACTCCTGCTGGCAGTGTTGTTGAGAATCCTCACACTCGCCTGCCTTATGGCACGTCTTGCGGCATGTGTGCGATCCGCATCTGAGTGTTTTTCCACACACCAGACCACAAAGGACATCGGTTCTCCAGCAAGGCTGATTCTTCAATGTCTTCTTTCCGCACAGGCAATCTTTTTCTGTCAGGAATGGACACTTCGGGCACTCCTCCTCTTGGAGGTGACAATTGTGCGCTACTTGGGGATGTCCACAATCCTTGGTTCGGGTGCAAGGGAAACTGCATGGCGGAGGCTGAGTACCGCACGGGAGAGGTGCTTGCAGGACAGTCCTACCACATGTGCATGAAATGTCATCGAAAATGGCCTCTTTGCAGCTGCTGCATGGACCTCTATGGCACAGATCGGTGCAATCGTGGTTTCCACACTTGAGTCTGCGTCCACAAGGACGAGTGCATATATGCTCGGCCTCAATGTTCTCGTCGAAGACCCGAGCCACCGACCCGAGAGGTTTCAGCTTTCGTTTCGTAGCTTGACGTTCGGCAGCCTTTCGCTCTCCAGTGCAGCATCTTTGGCCGCACTCATGCCTACCACAATTCAAAGTTGACTTGCACAGCCGGGTGCACTGAGGAGGGTCTTCCGAAGCTTCGTGGCAAATAACATCGAACGAGTTTCGACCGCACCGACAAGGGACCGAGATTTGGAGAGCACAAGGCTCACAATCGTCCAAATGACATGTCTGTTTGCACAGATGACCGCAAGACAATGTCTTTCCGCATTCTTTCTGGCAACTCGGGATGGGATCTGTGCATGATTTTCGCGGTTCGATTTCTAGGTCTGCCAAAGCGGTCTTACCGCAAGGGCAGAACTTAACCACATCAACAGCCCGGGGACAATGCGGTTCCGTTTCGTCTTGGGGATGACAAGGCTTTTCACAGTGGTGCTTCCCGCAATCCATGACTCTTTCGCACAGCTGACCGCAGTCGAAACAGCCTAACCAGGCAAAGCTCTCCTTCTCATCGCCCTTCTCGTGACATGGCATCTTCTTTTCCACCTTTCCGCAATAGCATTTTGCTTCGACTTCCGTAGTACAGGCACCGCAAAGACCCTCGTGACAAGGTCTTTGGCAAGTGTGTTCCCCGCAAGGCATGATATCACCGCATATAGAGCCACAACTCCAGCCGGTGTCGTAGTTTGTCTCTATGCATCTTCGTCTTGTCTCTTCCTTTCCACAGAAGCAAGACTGTGTGGGGCCCATGGACGGACAGGGAGGACAAGGTCCAGCATGACACAGCAGTTCACATGGGTGCGGACATGGTTTGGGGAATGTTCTCTCGCGACCACATGTCTGCCCGCACGAATGTGGTGGCAGGCCCGAGATCGTTTTCGGATCCAGCTCTTTCTCACACCAACACGTGTACGATGACGGCGTAGTATCTTTTGGTAAATTGCAGCCTGGACATCTCCATTGCTTCCCTGAATGAGACTCGTCGTCCTCCTGACCAGCCGGGCGATGGACGGCCGAGCCTTCATTCTTGGACCATCTCTTAATACATCCGATGTGAAATACTGTCCAGCAAGTACGACATGACCACACCTTGGAATGCCGGGTCACCTCGTTGGTGCAAATCGCACACTCGTAAACTCCACCTGAGATGTCTTCGTGGATTCGTGTGGTAATGTCGGGTGCCGTAGATCTGGACAGCGACCCTCTCCTAGCCTGCGACTGTGACTGCGGCTGCTTCTGGGCTGCGGGTCTTCGATCACTTCGATTTCGAGGAGGACGAGGGTTCGAGGCCTTTGGTCTGGGATTTGGAGCTGCCGCCGTAGGAGGCAATGACGCTGGTACAAACGATGGTGCTTCTGCATCTAGTTGTGTAAGTTGGCCACCAAAGGCTCTTGTCCCCGCCACTCGAGGAGCATCCTGTGCCGGCCGCGGTGGTCTTGGAGGGCCTCTTCTTCTGGATCTATGTCCTCGTGGGTTTGAGCCCGCTGGTCTCTGGGCATTAGCAGGCTCCATGAGAGTGTTCTGGGGGAGATATTGTTCAGGTGCGGCGGTAGTCTCCAGCTTGGGGAATCAACCGCCTGGTGACTACTAAAGTAGAGGTCACACTCAGTAACGTCGATGAGCTTTTGGAAACTGAACGATCTCAAAAGATAATCTAGTAGACAGAGAATAGTGGGAGTCGCCAGAGAGGCGTGCTGCAGGAACGAAGGTCTAGCTGTATCTTGTTGTTTCTATGCATTGATCGAACAGTCAGTCACCTTGACTTATTATAGTGGCGGTGATTTTCTTTGCAACTGGCCGAACGTTCTCCAAAAAAAATAATCTTCCGGGGGGACGTCATTGACTGACTCACGCCCGGGGACACCAATTTAGGCTGTGCCAATCACAGGCGGGCGAGGCTACTGCGCCGTCGTGCTGCTCAGCCTAGTGAGCCTCGCCTCGCCAACCAGGGGGTCCAGATTCGGCCTTTCGAGTTCGAGCGCGAAGGACGATGAGTCCCAAAGCAACAAAAGGTTGCATCTCATTAGATAAAGCTTTGTATTCGTACAGACACCTTGCGGCCATATGCCGCCATTCGCCAGACGCCGTGCATATACCGAGGAGTGTGTGCATGCGTGGCTTTGCGGTCCCCGTATCTCAAACCAGGCTCATCTATGCCGTCTGCGTACCATAGCCGCGGATTTGATCAGCAAAACCCCAGCTCTGATTCTCTAGCTTTTCATCCTCCTTGAGCTCCACGCCGTCCTTCGTCACCACTGCGATGCTGTACTTGTCCATGCTTCGAGCATCTCGGTAGAACAGCACTTTCATACTGGCCTTGACTGCCTCAACGGCCATCTCTTTCGTAACGTCCTTTACACTTTCCTCGTCATTAGGCATGAGCTTCCGGAGGAGAGGCTGGGCCAAATGCGCGCCGAATCCAGTCGCCAGCGTCGGGCTCGAGAAGGTGGTGCCTAGTAGGTCAACGCTGGCGAGAAATGGTTTGTCGTCGTCGTCCAAACCAGCAACCAACATCATGTTCCACAGAGGGTTGAACTCGCTCCTTCTCTTGTACATGACTTTGGAGAGGTATGTGTGCAGGTTCTTTGCGTTGAGAGTGTGTTCGCTCGAGGAAAGATAGTTCTCGCGAATGTCTAGTGATTGTAGTAATCGGTCAAGGTATTGCATGTCGGAGACGTCGCCGCCGAAGCCGATGACAGTGTTTGGGGGGAATGTCCGTAGACGCTTAACATCTGTGAATCGAGCAAGAGATCCATATGAAGCTGCAACAGGACGTCAGTAAAGCGGACTCATGCCCCACGAAGACTTGAAGTGCCATACCTAGATTGTCTGCGGCAATGACAACACCATCCTTGAACTTGACACCCAACACCGATGTTCCTGTTACGGCAGGAGACTGGGTATGGGTTGTCGGCATCGAGGTTTTGAGATGGGAATGGTCGTAGGGGCCGTAGACATCGTCTCTGGGCTTTGGGAGAGTTAGCATTCATCCATGACCCGTATAGCATTGAAGCCACCTACTCGACCCCAGGCTTGAGGATAGTGGTTCATTGCGGGAATAGGGTCGGGTGCGAAAACGGAGCTATGGGTTGATAAGTAACGGTATACTTCGAGAAGAAAGGGGGTTTGAAGTTGGCGAAGGTCCAAAGGTGAGGTATGCGATTGGGATAGGTACATTCGGTCCGCCGCGTCAAAGAGCGGAAGCCTTCAACTGGATCACAGCCTTCCACGTGACCAAATTTCTTCACGAGGCTGTGCTTCCACAACAGACTTTGGTAGGTACTTTTATTTGTAGTACATGCGATATTCTGGTTGGAAACCTACAAAATTCTTGAAATTTCTCATCGTGCCCTCTTGCCCTTTTTGCCAAGAACCTTTTGGCTATCATCAACATCTTCAGGGGGTTGCCATATTTTGTAGACCTTCGCTTCATGCGGCATGACCTCTGCCGTAAAAAAGGGATGTTGTAGAAGGTATAGTCGGACGCATTTCCTTTCGATTCCCATAAGTCCCTCAGGTAAAAACGGTCCCATTCAATAACAAGGTCCCTGCGCACTCCGAAAGTGATATCCGCCGTTTGTCCACCACGATTCAACAGAGCAACTCCATAACTGCCATCGTCGAGTTCTTTGGCGTACACCTGGACATTGGCAATGTCCCGCACAAGTTGAGCTTGGTTACCGGCTGGGTCCTGGTTCAAAGCTATAATGTCTGCGTTCAACAGGGTTTCCAGGGAAGCATTGTCAAGATTTCTCACGTCAGCGCCGATCAGCAGCGGCGACGACAATATTGACCACATGCTGAAGTGGGTGCGGTACTCAACATTGGAACAGCCTGTACCAACAAGTTCGATGCTCTTCCCATTCAAGCCAATAATAAGCATATCGAAGTCATTAAAGTGTCCTGGTCCGGCATAGGCCGTAAGTTCATTTCCACGATCACTACGGCCATTAGTAAAAGGGGTTGTGCGTTGAAGCAGGTGTGGACTATCTGTTTGATAGCGAAACTCACATCATATCCTAGATACTAGTCAGAAAGCCAGGCCAGTAACAGCAGTGTTTGGGATAGAGCATTTGACTTACCAAAACATCAAAATAGTATTTCTCCCGGTTCCCTGGATAATTGAAGTCGTCTGAGATGTCTTGTCCTATCCGCCAGTGATTGGCACCGAGGTAAGCCGCCCACTGCCATATATCTGCCCATCCGCAATGGCAGGTATGGTACACGATCGGATGGCTGGTATTGAGTAGTGCCTGAGACATGGTACGAAATACGTTTTGAACTTCGGGAATTGAGGCATTCTCAAATGCGCAACAGGCATCGTACTTCAGATGATCAATGCCCCAGCTTGCAAACATTTGGGCGTCTGTAGTCTCATGTCCTTGGCTACCAGTGTAGCCAGCACACGTGGTCCCACCCGGCCCAGAGTAGATGCCCATTTTGAAGCCCTTTGAGTGAGCATAATCGGCTACGGCCTTGATGCCATTGGGAAATTTGACAGGATCGTATGTCAAGGGGTGTTGGCTTCGGTCACCCTTGTGCGCCTGCCAACCATCATCCAGGTTGACGAACTTGAACCCAACATCTCGAAGACCTGTAGATTCTAGTGCATCAATGGTGTCTCTGATCAGCTGTTCATTGATATCTTCTCCGAACTGAATCCAAGATGACCAGCCCATAGGGGGTGTCTTAGCAAGTCCATTGGCGTCAGTAAGGTTCTTTCCCCCATCGGTGGTAATGATTGCTGGGGTGACGACTTGAGCCGTCCCAAGGGTTGTAAGCCTGCTAAGCAGAGGGACCACTGCTAGTAGAACCCGCATACCTACAGGAGGTGTTGCGATGAGTAACGTCGTTCTATAACAAAAACTTTTCAATGCCTCGTAATGTCGCCGCCGAAGAACAAACCAACACCAATGGTTCTCGGCATACGTTCAGAGTTGGAGAGGGTAGTGTGCCCACAAAAGACGATCCTGGGGACGGGAGCAATGAATAAGATAATCAGCAAGGACAAGCCTGTACATTGTAGCAGTCTGCAAGTTCATGGCGTATGCAACAGTCACAGTGCCCTTCAACATGAACGTGTAACGTTGCAAACGATCTCGAACACATCGTAGGTAACGTTACGACCGTTCAAGTTCCAGAAAAGAGACGGAGCATTCAGAAGGGGAATAACTTGATCGATCCTGCGGTGAGTCAAAGACGCGAACTCGGGTCTGAAGAGGAGGCTACGCAGAAAGGCTCTTGACGAGCTGCCTCTTTTGATCTCTTGCTATCTATACGATATCGAATCGTAGTTTCCGGATTGCTAGCAGGGAATATACGCGAATATGATAGGATAATAATGAGCTTGACCGGGCCTTCAAGTACACTAGCCGAAAAGTAAGCAAATAACAAAAGAAGAGCAACCGAGGCCTGCTAGCGTTCGTATATCGAGGCAGATAGGAAACGGTGTATGTAGCTGAGGTTACAACGCTGATGTCGACGGTAGTTGCAATAGCCCATTGTCAGAGGGCGGATAAGTTATTGTTAATTACCTGTCGCGCTCAGGATGAGGGACGAGTCACCTGAGAAGCCCTTGACGATGCGGATGTTGCTGTGGTTGGACGTATGCGCTGTTGAGAGTCCGATCCATCGTATCAGTGCTTCCAGCGAGTGACTCTACTCGCTGAGTCCGGCATGCGAGATTCGGAAAGGATTCGAAGCTCGCGGTTGTGGTTCTGTGGGTCAACAGGACCTTCTGTCAGGCAGCCCATACATTCTGTGATCCGAGTAATGGCTGATTCTGGGTAGCCGAAAACATCCCAGCCCAGTGGTAGACAGCCAGACTGCACGCGAACCGTGTCGGGAGCCGGGCACATAAAGAAGTCGAGAGCCTGGGTGCAACCAGACCAGACGAACGTAATGGCTTGTATATAGACCGATTAATTCTTGGTATGTATTCTGTCCTGTGGCTCCGTTGTAGACAAATGATACTTGTAGACGACATGCACCAGGTGTGGGCTATGCCTCGGGACTCGTCTGTGACGTGGGCTCGTTCTCTTCGTTACTTAAGAACTCTTCCAGAGCCTCGACGACAATCTGGTGATCCTCATACTGCTTGAGGCCACTTACAACCAGTACTGCGACAATACCCTCGACGCCTTTGACCCTGATGGGCAGACCTCCTCCATGAATGGCATACTCGCCGGCAGACTCGCCCAGCATGTACTTCTTTTTGAACGCCTCCTCATCGCCATGCATCTTGTTGTGCATGAACCATGTACTGACGCCCCATCGGAGTACTGTTTTTCTCTTTCTGGCCACCCAGATATCATTGTCAGGTTGTACGCCAGGCCGGCTGACGGCATGGAAGAGAAGATTGTTGCTGTTCGCAAGCGAGATGTTGACAACTGCAGACAGATGGGTGAGGGCTCTCAGCCGGTTGCGGATTGAAAGGCCAATCTCCAGGGCATCGTCGGCGGTGAAATGTGGTAGGATGAGGCCTTCCTCTTGTTTGGCTATTGAGTCTAGCTGCAGGAGAAGAGTGAGTCCCGACGCTCACGAACAGGTTGACATTGCTTGCATACATCTCGTGGCGCTTCTCGAAGCGGCCTAGTAGCCATGTTGAAAAGAGCCTGTTGTGCGGCCTTGAAGGGTTCGAATCAAATGTATCGGTCCAATATGACCAAGTCGATCTAGGTTCGAGGTCGCAAGTAGACACATTTGCTCTTGTCCTCAACACTTTCATAAATGCTTGGCCCCGGGTGGCATCTTCCCCAGTGTACAATTTCGATCCGGTCTGACTTTATAGGTACCGATTTAGACTGACGGAGCAACAAACCAATCCCGATTCCTGCTTGCCTCGCAACGAGTCGCCTCAAACCGGAACATTCTCCGCCTCTCAGATGACAAGAAAGTCGGTAGCGAGGAGCACGATGCAAGCAACTAAATGGCGTCTATACAAGCATTTCCGGCGATAACGGAGCCAGAATTCCGTGCTGCGTGCAAGGCTCTGGAGGACCGATGCTTTGACAGATTGAACGATACAGATTGGCTGAGTGTGCAATTCACAGAGGAAGAATTGGCAATCAAACAGCGAAGGGTCATCTACAATACGAGGACAGGCGGAGAGAATGAACAGGAGTTGCAGGAAGTCGCTGAAGCTGAGACACTCAGTCGGGATACCGTGAGGACTTAACTTCTCAAATCTAAACATTCACTGAAGTCCCAGGTCGGTGACAGCAAGGACAATACAGGTTATGTGGATGTCACCTTCTCCGTCACCCTGTCGCCAACATACAGCGTTCCCATTCTCTGGTTCACATGTCAAAAGGTTCCTGGTAAAGCTGGCTTGAACCTTGACCAGGTATACGAGTTGCTCGTGCCGAACTCTTCGCAAGAGCCACTCCGTACTGTCGGAGTGATGGGAGGAATCAGTATGGCAGTGAGTGGGACTTCCTCGCCAGAGCATCGTAAATGCAAATGCTGATTTTGTAGCATCACCCAATCTCTGACCAACCCGCGTACTTCATACATCCTTGCAACACTCCTGAGGCTCTTTCTGTTCTGAAACCCGAAAGAGCTTTGTCCCCGGAGGATTATCTTTTGCTCTGGCTTGGTCTCATTGGTACATCGGTGGGGTTATATGTGCCGAGTGCGCTGTTTGGAAAGTAATGTCATAGAGACGCTGCCACTCTGGCAACGAGCACATCGATCAAGCCCATCAAACGGCGCTTGACGAGGTCCCATCCCGCGGAATGTAATGTTACCCTTCGAGTCGAGGGCACATCAAGACTGTATCCCGTGCTGAGAACTCGGATGACTGTCTCAGACTTCAAGGCGTGGATACTCATTCCCTGCAGCAGAGATTATTCTCGAAAGAATGTGAATCACATGGTTCAATCTTCATCCTCTTCCATCGGAGCATCGTCCTCGTCCTCTTCCATTGGAGCATCGTCATCTTCTTCTTCCTCTTCTTCCTCTTCTCTGACTCGTTTAATACCATGAGGTTCGCCGTTGATTTCAGACTGCTGTTGACCGTTTTCTGTTGGCTTGTCCGACAGTCCAGAAGGCGGAGCATTGAAGATAGATTTCTGTAGAGCGGTAGTCTCGCTTGCGCCACTGCCTGTGCTTAAAGGTTCGAAAGTGCCTCGGAGTTTGGGTATTATGGAAGACAGTCCTTTGCCGTAGACAATGACCTGGAGCGAAGTTTAACGGAGGGACATTCTTTGTTCATAGACTTGACAGTGAACCTACCATTTCTTTTCCAAAAAAGTCAAACCCTTGTAGCGCTCGCATAGCCTGCGTACTCGTCTGAATATCTCTATAGACAACATGTGCCTGTCCGCGCATACTCTGGCCTTTCGAGCCAAGTCGATTGGTGACAATATCGAGCACTGGTCCGTACGTGGAGAATAACATGTACAGGGCGCGTTTTAGCTCGTTCTTGTTGATTTTTTCGGGGAGATTTCGCAAGTACAGTCTAATCAAGTCAGCGACAAATATCTCACCGGAGGCCGAAGTCATACGTTTGATTTGGAGTGCCGGCATTGGCAGACGGCTTTGAGCCAGACGCAGTTTGTGCCTTCGTGGCCATGTCGAAAGATGCTCAGTACTCAGGAAACGAGCGTTTAATTCGATGAACCCGTTGGCCCCAGAACTCCAACTCAAGTCAGTCCTTGTCTAACTCCCATGGTCATCCCACTGCTGTGCGTCGAAACACTGGATAATGGCATGCTCCCGCAGTCGCGAATACTCCATGTAGAAAAATATCCTTGGCGATTGATGTCACGTGCTCGGGTTGACAGCTCGGCTACGAGGCTGATAGGAGCATAGTACCTGCCTTCGGTAAGTGAAAGTGAACTCTCGAATTGAATGTGCCTGTTTGTGGTTTTTAAGCTTGAAAAACTTGATGTTTTACACACTATACTACAGAAACAGCCACATGCCGACTGTCTTTAGCCTGCCGAGCCACGTCCCTTCCTCTCCCTCCTTGAGTGCATGAACCCATCTCTTCTTCGCAGAGGCTGTCTGGTCTGTCTCTGAAAGCGCTTCATGCTCTGCTTGGTATTCAGGATGTAGATCGTACCGGTCTGTCACCAAGTCCATCTCGTGTAAGCGAACGAACCGTGTTCGCTTAACGAGCTTCCAGAAGACAATCATGACCAACATGATCGGGATCTCGATGTAGAAGGAGACGAAATCCACCCCGCTAAATGACGGACTGAAGCACGACCATCCTTGAACTAGGACCAACACAGTGTTAAGCCCAACCGCAAGAATTGGCCCGACTGGGTACGTCCAGTTCTTGAAAGGAAGCAAGTGCTCAAGACCTTGTGCTTTGATGCCGGCTCGGAAACGCAAGGAGGCTAGACCAATGCAGATCCACGACAGTTGATTCGACACACCAACAATGTTCTGCAGCCACGTCCATAATTGACCAGCGCCGATGTAGCTCGCCCCAAAGCAGAGCCCACTAATAGTCGACGTACTCAAGACTGCAATCGAGGGGACCTGGAATCGGTTGAGGCCTCCCAAAAATTTGGGAGCATATCCGTCGACTGCAAGAGTATACATGAGTCTCGAACCGGCGAACAAGGCGTGATTGGCGGCTGAAATGACGCTCGTCAAGATGACAGCATTGATGAAGCTGCCAGCGACATGACTTCCAACTTCAGTAAACACAATTGTGAATGGACTTGTGGCAGTCGATTTCTCGCTCAGGTTGGGGTAGTTGTACGGTACATTCAGACCGATCAATAGAATGGAAAGAATGTAGAACAGCAGGATACGCCAGAAGACGTTCCGCACTACCTTTGGTAAGTTCTTGGCCGGATTTTTCGTTTCGCCGGCGGTGACAGCAATCGATTCTGTTCCTCCATAGGCGAACGAGGCGGTGACGAAGACAGATGCGAAGCCGCCGATACCATCGACAAAAGGCGCATCACCAATGTACCAGTATTTGCCGCCAATGTACTTGTGCTCGCGATTACCTCCACAATTGACCACGATTCCGATTATAATGAAGATGATGATCGTCACAACTTTGAGCAAGCTGAGCCAGTACTCAACCTAGAACCGTCGTTAGATAGACCGTTGGTACAAACAACTGATATTCAGCACAAAGTACGTACCTCGCCATATACTCTGACAGACATCAGATTGAGGAAGATGACGACGATCAGGAAGATCAAGCTAATCGCCCAGCCAGGGAAGTTGTCGGTCCAGAATTTCAGTAAGAGCTGTAGGGCAATTATGTCTGCCGCAGTGGACACTGCGTCATTAAACCAGTAATTCCACGTCAACGCAAAGCCCAGCGAATCATCAACGAAACGCCCTGCATAGGTGCAGAAAGACCCGGCTACAGGAACAAACGCAGCCATTTCTCCTAGACTCAGCATCGTCACAAAAACGATCGCACCGACAATGGCATATGCGATCAACGTCGAGGCAGGACCGCCGGTAGCTAGAGACTTGCCGGTACCTAGAAAAAGACCGGTACCAATTGTGCCTCCGATAGCGATCATCTGAACTTGACGAGCCGACAATTTGCGAGCGAGCTTGTCGGCTCTGATATGGGCAGTCTCGTCGCCATGGTCGGATCCAGGACCGGGAAATCCGTCGAGGCCCGCCTTTGATGGGTGTCCCTTCTGTTCCTCAATATCAATAGAAGACATAATGACCGCTTGGTCTCAAGTTCAAGCCGAGCGCGTCACGAATTCGGCCCTCCGCCAGATGGCACGCGGGAGCTCATAGATATTTAATCCTTACCTACCTCGTTTATTGTAATATCATGACGATCACACCTTCTGCGTGATATGTGGCAGCATGTAGTATTCGTTGAGTAATATGCTTGATTGAACTTGAAGGATTTTGCCCTGTCTGACGCGTAACTGTGCAATGAGAAATAACGCTGATGGCGTGCGAGTGAGCGATGCTACCAAACGGAAAATCTCGAATCATTGGTGGGTGGGACGTGGTTATATGCGGAGGTAAGAGAGTCCCTTGCAGCCTCGTCAGCCTTGCTTACATAACTCCAGTTGCTTGGCGTTGGAGAAGACCATCTGGCGACGTCGTAACACGTCTGCGTAGAGTACGGAACTTTGTCCATTGAACTCGAGGTGCACAATCCCCCCAAACAACCGGCACGATGAGATTGCAAAGTCTGCTGTCGCAGGCAGCCCTGCTACTCTCTATCCTCCCTTCAGCTTCTGTAGCTGCATCATGGACCTTCACAGAAGGCTCCATCACCGTCGCTCCCAAGGGTGCAGGCGTTGGAGGAGGCCTCAAGGAGCAGTACGTCCGTCCAGCTACACTCCCGCCCACGTCAAGGAGTAAATTCTTTCGAGACGACCACCTGACCATGTTTGAACCCTATAGGCTTGTCCCATCGAAAGCGTTGTCGAAGCCAGTGAAGCTGGGTCCCGCGGACACTCTCAAAGTCATCCTGACGACACAGGACGGCAAGACGACCAAACGCCCTCACCAGGCATTCCTCCTATTGCAAGACTCGTCGAAGAAACTGGACATTTCATATCCTTTCAGCATTAAAGCATCAGGAAAGGCAAAGGTCGAACTGGTAAAGTTTCTCTCCCCAGGACTCTCCGAACTAGGGGAACGATATACATCGATATATACTTAGGTGTGTGAAAGGAGGGAGCGCCTAGGGCTAACTGTTGGTTCCCTTGCAGACGCAGAAAGACTTACCGCCTCAATTTCTGCGCTCCTCTTCCCCGCTTTCAGCAAGCATTGTTATTGCCTCATTCGGATCGTCGGAAGGATACAGCAGCGAAGCATTCCCTCTGGCCCTAGAGCTGGACCCGAACGTGCCCGTCCCCGTGTCCGTCAAAGGCGTCCGGTATGGCAAACTGCCGGAGATCCATCACATTTTCCGCGCCGACCCCAAGAGCCCGAGCATAGGCATTAGTAGCCTTTTTCTGCTTTTTATCATTGCCACCTTTTCGCCATTGATTGGAACCGTAAGTTTCTCTCTCTCTTCTTCCGCCTTGTTCTATTTCTCTGTCCTTCCTCCGCAATCATGATTACCCCAGAAAAAAGGTCTTTATGAATGAAGGCTAATCTTGGGTTGCAGTGGGGGTATCTGGGCGGCAACATCGACCATCTCTCCAAGGCTCTCTCAGATGCCCCTCTCGCACATGCGCTGTTTGTCGGGTCCATCTTTGGCATTGAGGCCGTTTTGTTGCTTTACTACATTACGTGGAACCTGTTTCAGACCTTACCTGTACTTTTGGCTCTGGGGGTGGTTGCGTTCTTGTCGGGAAGCAGAGCCCTTACAGAGGTACAAGAGCGTCGTCTTGCAGGCATCCGTTGAGAAATGGTGTTCTCGTCTTGCAGTGCAGGGCTCTGTTAAAGCTTAAGCTTTAAGCTTGAAAGGCAAATAAAAGAAATGTTCGAGTACTAGAGTCTCGTAAGAGAGGCACTGTCCGTGTAAATTAGACATACCACATGAAAAGTTATGGAGATAAGAGAGACATATAAATGGGCATGATGCCGTTGCCAGCCATCCAACCGTATCTCCCCCTTATCGTCGTGAATTAACACATGTCTTAAGGGGATTGGCTTTTGGCCCTTGCGCACCATCGACCTCGCGTTTTTGTTCGTTGCATAAGGTACACACACATATACTTGTTACGTGTACTCTGTACTGTATGAGGAGGACTTCCGTCTGCGGATCTTCCTACCACCCTAGGTATTTACCTAGTATCCATTTATCCGTTACAGACAGAGAATGCCTGTCTCAATAACCTCCTTTTTTTTCCATCTCAAGCGGTTTTCATTTGTCTCAAGAACCCTTCCCTATTTTTTTTGGGGGATTTCCCCGAGTTCCTTTTTCTCGTTCTCAAGACGTCCTTCGCTGTTTTTCTGTTTTTACCAAAAATTCCCCTCGTGTTTTGTTTTGGTCAAGTCGCCGACATGATCTCTCGAGCGATCTTACTCCTCGCTCGGATCTTCTCGCCGTTGAACAACAACACCCACGGCACGGCGGTCAACAGCGCCGCGATGCCGCCCAGCAGACTGCTCGCGGCGGGGTACCCCAGGCGCGTGAACATCTGGTCGGTGAACAAGGGGAACACGGCGGCGAAGACGTTCCTCGCGAAGCCCTGGGCGGCCAGGGCACTCGAGGCGTACCGGTGGTACACGTCGGCCAGGTAGTTGAAGACGGCGAGGTAGATGGCGAAGATGCCCATCTGGGCGCAGCCGAGGGCGAGGACGGGCGAGATCCAGTGCACGCTCGAGAAGGTGGTCCAGCCGAACCAGAACAGGCCCACGGGCAGCAGCGCGGCCTCGAGACAGGCAAAGTACAGCCGGGACTCGGGCGACGCGGTGAGGAGTTTGGGCCAGTGGCGCCTGGCGATGCGTTCCTGGAACACCGACACGACGGTCGCCACGACGGACCCGGCGGCGATGGCCCCGAACACGGCGCCGCTCTGCTCGGTGTCGAAGCCGTGCCGCGTGCTGAACACCAGCGGGATCACCGAGAAGGTCATGTACAGCAGCGCCCACGCGAACGCCGCCCACAGGCTGAAGAAGAACACGACCGGTTCCGTGAACATGAGCTTGAACGGGATCGTGAGCGAGAGGTAGATCATGTGCGACAGAGACGACCGCGATTCGTCTGCCGCCACCTTGTACCGGACGCGTGTGCTTCGACCTGACCCTTGTCGTCCAGCGGCATCCTTCTCGGTGCCCTCGCACTCATCCTGGACCTTGACGTTGACGTCGTCCCCGGCGACGTCCTTGGAAGCGAATGCGTGCACGTCGTTTTGATTTTGACTCTGCGCGTCCCCCTCCTCCTCCTCCATCTTGTCAAAATAGGCATTGATCGCCCTCGCCTTGCGGCTCAGCAGCACCGATCCCCTCGACTCTTTGAAGAAGAAATACACCACGACCAACAGCGCCCCGACGGCGATGACCTGGTGATAATACACCCACCTGTAGTTCACGCCCTGGCCGACGACGAACCCGCTGCACAGCGGACCCACGGCGGTCCCCGCGAGCGCGCACCCGGAGTAGATGCTCATCGGCGTGTTTCTGTCCTCGTTGGTGTAAACGTCACTCAAGACGCCGCCGATCATGGTGGAGAAGGTGCTCGCCCCGGCGCCGACGAAGAAGCGCGCCACCAGCATGCCCGCGAACGAGGGGGTGGTCGCGCACGCGATCAGAGCCGCCAGGAAAACCACGGCGCTGCCCAGAAACACGGGTCGTCGGCCGTTGATTTCGGAAAAGGGCGCGAGGAACATGGGCGACATCGCGAACCCGAGCGCCCACGCCGTCACGCCCGTGTTGAAGGCCGTCTGGGACAGGTGCCACTTTGACCGCTGCGGCGAGCTGGCTATCGAGTAGCTTCCGGCCGAGTAGGCGGCGAAGAAGGTGCAGAAACAGCAAAGCACTAGAATGGTCCTCTTGTGCGCCGGGGACCATGTCAGTGCAGATTCGTACTTGCGCAGGTCGAGGTCGGGGTAGGATGGGATCTCGGTGTCGAATGTGAGGTATTCGTACGTGATGTCGTTGGAGGAGGAGGAGTGGTGGTGGTGGTGGAGGTGGTGAGGCGGTGGTTCCAACACTGGTAAAGGTTCTTCATTGGAAACGATACTTTCAATATCGATTTTTTCATGGAGGTGGTGACGTGGTTGTGATGATGAAGAGAAAGATGAGCGAGGTCGAGCGACATCCCCTCGCTCTATGGTGTCGTGGGAGGCCATTCTTATAGCCGGAATGATGTGAATCTTTAAAATCCTCGAGGTCCTCTCGGTCTTGATCCGTCAACACTGTGCCCTTGAAGGGTAGAGAGAGGCGCCTCTCATGGCTTTCCTCCAAGGATGGCGAGACGTCTCTCGGGTCTCGTGTAGTGTGTCTCTGTCCGTTTCTTCGGTTTCTTCCCCGGGGTGGAGTTGTCGTCGTCAGAATCGATCGTACTCTGGCGTATACTATAACGAAAGCAATGATGCCCTTCTCACGCTGCTCCTGCTCATATAAGCATACCAATCCGGTATAGTATTGTGTCGTCCTCCTCTGATATTGTTTCTGTTTGTAATGGTACTGTGTATGTGTACCTACATACCTACATGGTGCTCTTCCTGCCGAGGTGTAGTAGAAAAATGAGGGCCCGAAGGTTTTTTAATGAGTACGAGTAATAGCAAAGGGACCCTGGTGTTGTACGAAGGATTTTATCCTTCTCGGTTTATTGTGGACATGATCTTCCTCTCACTGACGCGCTCGGACGGAAATTGCCCAGATGAGGGAAAGTCACATCGAAAGGCGCCGCAATCTGGCTTTTTGTTGATCTGGTTCAACTACTGTATTACTTTTGTTATTGCGGAGTTCCTTTTTACCATATGTGTTTTGTCATATACAGCAGGCATTTTTTTGATCTCCGCTTTTCGGGCGACGGTGAATGCAAAGCCCATGGTACCACGGTATGTTCCTCTGACACCCACCACGCCTCATTGATGTACAAGAGAGTACGCACCTAGAGGAGATCCCATTGCACTGTACAGAACCTAGCAAAAGGGCCCGTACATGGGGGAAGGGTGGCCACCTACCTACCTGCCCTTTGGTAGTGACGGGTATCGGCACGAGTGATCGGCTACAGACAGGCTCTTGGAATGATGACATGGACAAACAACCAATACTCTGACTAGTAGATTCATGATGGGAGTCAGCACTGCCATTTGACCTCGACTTCGCCCGAGCAAAGGCCGTTCGACTGTCACAATAGGATTACCAATACGAGTACGACTTACCCCAAAAGAGTCCACTTATACGCGACTCCATCCCAATGCTCGGTCTTCAGTATTCGCACTACTCTTGTCCGAAAGTCTGGTCCGAGTCAAGAGCATCAAAGTTCAGGTCAAATATCAATCCATGGTTTGTATATACTATCCAAAGGATCTCATCACAACTGGAGCCAACCTAAGAATCCGTACATGTCTCAATCGGACCTGAGGTCAAATCTAAATTCAAAGTCGTGCTCCCCCTGGCACCCCTGAATCACTTCACTATGCTCCATGCTTTTATTTTTCCCAGTCGCCTTCCCAAATGCACCAATCAAAATCGACAAATCCTTCCATCAAAGATCTCTTGTGTACATAACATTGAGTGGCTGTGATAATCTAAAGATCCGAAGTAACATCATTCCGGTCATCATGTCCCCAAAGATGGTGACATATTCTGGAGTTTGTTCCAAGAAGGCGATCATCATAGTGATGGAGCAATAGCCATTACAATAGCGACTCCCGCGGTCCAGCGATTGAATAACTTTGATGAAATCCCTTTGCTTGAAAGATCCACCTGGGCGAGTATGGGTGTCGGCTCATACGGTGCCGGCTCCGAAGAGTCAATCGTACCATTCCAGCAAAAGTGGTTGAAGCACTGCTGGCAGACTTCCGGGACCTCGGTGCCTGTGCGGTCCAGACTTCGGCTCAAAATGGCACAGCCAACGCATGTAGGCCATGTCTCGTCCACCGTACCATTGCCCATTGTGGCTACGTCTTGACCGTTGAGAATAATGGCGTCGCGGTATGTGTTGTTGGTGGAGAAGGTGAAGGTAGGTTGATTGCTGTATGTGATATATGGTGAATTGGGAATGTAGACAATCAACGGTGGAATGTGTGCGCCTTCGGTAAAATTGGACACATCGCAGCCGAAAAAGGTCGGATGCGTGTTGAGACCCAAATTGACAATGGTGTTCTGGTCAGGAATACTGGGAAAGACGGTGTTGTTCGCAAGATCAGTCAGAGATCGTTCGTAGGTGGCGACCAAAGCTGTGGCGTTGGGCCAGTTATCATTCGTGTCTGCCGATGAGTCGACAGCAAAGATGACATCGACATTTCGGTTGGGCTGGATCAATGGATGCAAGGGGATATTTTGCAGATCTTCGCCTCCATCGACGAGAGTAAGGCGGGTCGAGTTGGCCGAAGGATTGGTCTCGGGGTTGTAATGGAAGAACGGGTTTGGCGTGTAGTCAGCGATATCGTCGTTGTCCTGGTCGAGGCCTCCTAGGATATCGGCGAACAGACTTCTCAAGCTGTCTGGTATATCGGTCGAGTTCAGCTGGAGAAGGAATTGGTTGAAGAGGCTAGACGATGTCCCCATGATATAACCACCATTGTCGAATCCAACTACACACCGATCATCGTCGGGCACGCGGCCAGCTGTAAAATTGGTGCCCAAGTACTGGGTGGGCACAAAGCCATACGAGGTGGGATCCCAGGAGCCCATCTCAAACGGGTTGAACTCGTATACGGTCGCATTTCCGCCAATCAAAGTTTCTCCAGGAGCTCGAGCATCGGCGACCAGGATAGGGAACGGGGAATCTGCGTCGATGAACGGTTGCGAAATGGCGATCGACGAGAAGGTGTATGCTGGCCCACCGTCCGTGGCGTTAATGAGCTGGAATGACAAGGCTCGACCCCAAATATCCGTGAGAGAGAGGTCGAATCCCGCATCCTCTTTGCCCCCGACGTCGCTGACCAGGTGACCATAGTATTCAGCCGTACTGAAGAGCTGGATGCTCCCAGATTCGGGTCCCTCAAAGACAGAGTTCCCAAACTCCCAAACCGAACCACTGTCATCTGCTTGCAACGCACCGACCGTAGAGTAATTGTTCATGAACAGTGATCCAACAAGCCAGCCTCCGCCGCTAAGTCCCGACAGATATGTGGCAGATTGTAGCAGTCCACCAAGTTTTCCGTCGCCCGTGTTATTTGGCGTCCGAGAATCAAACGCTTTCAGAGCGCCCGCCCCATTCATCAACGCTCGCCAGCCACCTCCTGACACGGCGATACCAATATTCGGGAGAGCAGAAGCATTCTGAGCATGGTTGTCAATGTATTGCCCTGCATCAAAGTCTGTGATGTTTAATCGGCTCAACAATGTCCGCATGGGTGTGATTGTGTTGTTCCTTCGCTTCTCCAGCCATGCCGTCTCGTTCGGAGAGAGTGACGAAGCGGATCGTACGGACGGCGCATCTCGAGGGCAATCTACTTTAGAGGGCGTGTACCCTCGGGGAGAATTGGGAAGTGCTCGACGGGCATTCTGGAATATTTCAATAGCAGCCTCGTCGACATCCAGTGCGTATCCTACGAGCCCAAGATGTCAGCCAAACTGCCCAAGGCCAAATGAATCTCGGAAACCACTCACCATTCGAAAGAGCAAGAAAACTACTTAGGGCTGCTGCGAGAAGGGTGGACTTCATCGTGGCCGAGGTTCCAGGTGGAGATTGAGCGAAGGGATGATGGGCACCCGCAGCGGACTGCAAGGAGAAGAATAGGAAATGACAGTGAAGGTGAAAGTGAAAGTGAAAGAGATATAGATCTTATTGATACCTGAGGGATATTAAGGTACCTTACCTTGCGGCAGTGAGGCTGTACAACACAATGAACATCAAGAGAGAGATCGACATACAGAGCAGTGTAGTCCAATTATGACAAACGCAGACGTCCGCAAGGCCCTGGGAAGTGCAGATCAGCAGGACTCCATCGATTTGTGAACCAGTACAAGTAACCTCGGATCGTAGTGCATTGGGAGAAAACTGAGTATTATTGTCTGTGTGTCTCGTGTTGCGAGGGTTAAAATGATGTCAATCTCGCGATGAAGCCGACGAAGTGGAGAGTTTGTCCTCGTATTCGTTTGAGCATCCGGTCGATCCGCCAACGAAGCCAACGAAATCACGATAATGCAGTACTGAATCGATGCTAGGCTGACAGGCCGTAACTCGTATTGTCCCTGATGGCCTGAAGAACCGACCTGTCGCAACAAAGAACCTTGCTCAGCCTAGTGACCGGTGCACACCGCTCAGCCTCGCCCTTTACGTACCACAGCCAACACCAGCCTCGGATCTGAGCCGCCCAGGTGTAACCGGGTTGTCTTGGGTTGCATCCATCAACACCGTTTACGGTTCAGAATCACTTAAGTCTTCTGCGCCCACGGCAATGAATGCGTCCTCAGCCATCTTCACCAAGTTTAGTCGCCGCTGGTGAAACGCCGACCGTGAAAACCAATGGCCGATGAAGCACCCTACCCGCAGGGGAATGTACAGTAATTCAGGACTTGTTCATGTTCATTACACCTATTCCATACGACATAAATCTCAATCGCGATAGCTAACAATCTTACCAAAGGTATCGGCCATGCCCCAAATGCCGCTCCGAAGGCAAGTCAACTGCACGATCTGAGAATGATCCACGAACAGGTTGACGTCGATGCCAAACTCGCGAACATACCAATTGAAGACGGGCGGGTCGGCCGCCTCAAACATGACCTTCTCCCGCGGCAGATCTCGGAGGGTGGCTTGGATGACATCTGTTCGCCAGCTCTTGACGTTCTCCGTGATCCCCTCGCTCTCGATCATCATGCGTTCGACGCCGGCTTCGACGAACTTCTTCCCCAGGTTGATCACCTTGCTGGGATCCGAGGTGCCTGTGGCCTCCAGGTCCTCTGCTGCCGTGTCGCCACCCGCTCCGAACTGGATGCCCAACTCCGGCTTGGCCTTCAGGCCCATACTGTGGACCTTGTCGACGAGCCGCAGCCAGTCGTCCGGTGGGAACGACAGAAACCCCGAAGACAGCTCAACCACGTCGAACCCGATGTTCTTGCACTTCTTCAGGTACTTGTCGACGGCGGTGGGGGCATCAGGCTGTGTGAGGACATGTTCCATCCATCCACCGGTGCTCACGTAGACTTGATGCTCGTGTGCAAGGTCAACCAGCTCCCGCACGGCGTGTTCGGGCATCATTGAGAAACTTCCCCCTGCGAATTTGAGCCCGTCAATGTGGTAACCCATTGTCTCGAGCACATCTTGTAAGTGACGCTTGCCGTAGGCAGAGTAGTACGGACCTCGAATCTCGGTGACGCCTTGGGTCCGAGGCTTCGGGGTGCGAGGGTTGTGACGGATGAAGCCGAACCCGTTCTCTTTGTCTTGTAGAAGAGTTTGTGCTTGGGCTTGTACAGGATTCGACGATAGAAGACGATGACTCTGTGGGGGTTGAATGCGCGACGCCGGTCGACCGGCCTTAGAGATCAGACTACCAGCCGCCTTTGAAGCCATGTTTTGGTGTCAGACTGTATCACCGTTTGTACTGGTCAACGGAGGTCCGAAGGTGAACCATAAGTTGTGAAAATTAGACAGTAATGATGTATCGAAGAGCATATTCGAGCGATGAGGCTTTTCATTAGCACGTATTTCAATCCATCTGATACAGGAGGTCGTACGATCAGCTTGGGTGACATCAAAATTACAACAGTCCCGTACGTTTCCCAGACCTACAGATGAGTTCATAGCTTGATGATCACCTTGATCTAATCTACACCAGAAGCCGCTCGCTGCTCAAATAACTCGCGCAGGAGGGACGAGGGTCAATGGGGCTTGCGGGATTTCATATCCGACACGCATGACATCAAACATCCTGGGGAACGTTTCAAATATCTGGCGATTTGCTACGAAGTGCGAGTCATGTAGAGGCCGTGATAATGAACATTCCTATAGACAAATACCATCCTTGATAATATCTGATACATCAACCAACACATAAGTCGCCTTCGGCATTGATGGCTCACACAACGCCGCCCATTCGATGACCAGACCAGGTGGTGCTGTTCAGGCCATCTATGGTATCTCCAAACCTAGCTCCTTAACCCCCATTTGGGGAAGTGGAGGTTGTCCCAAAAGGAAGTGCCAGGCTACCTCAGGATATTCTACTTTTCAAGAAACGCGTAGACATGGCAAAATCCGTCCACATTCAAGTGTAGCGCCTCTATAGAAGAAACTTCCATGGTAAGTTTGTGCTCTGTATTTGCTCGTTTGAAACAGCCAGAATGCCACCGGTGGCGCCCACAGAACCGCAAACCATGGACAACATAGACCACACATCCAAGCTGGCCGACTTCCTGGCACAACTAAGTCATGATCAACTGCCACAAGAAGTCATTGAGCAGGCGAAGCGCTCCATTCTGAACGCCATCGGATGTGGTTTGGGCTCATGCCGCGCTTCGCCTGCAACCAAAGCGATCAAGGCACTGCTGTCCCGTAGTAGCCGAACAAACGACGGATGCACAATCATAGGCCATCGTGAACCAGCAGGTTTCGACACCGCGGTCCTAGTCAACGGCATCTCCATCACGACTGCGGACTACGATGACACGCATCTGCGCACCGTGATCCATCCTTCAGGAACACCGCTTGCCGCCCTGCTGTCGTGGGCGGAAATGCACCCGATGTCCGGCAAAGATTTTATCCTGGCATTCGTCGCCGGGGTGGAAACGCAGTGCGCCGTGGGCAATGCCCTAGGGCCCAGCCACTACAAAGACGGATGGTGCGTAGCAGCGGATGCGAACAGAACTGATGTACCGTGTGCATGGCTGATTGAAAACACTCTCAAGGCACATCACAGGCACGACTGGACATTTTGCTGCGGCGGCTGCCATTGCAAAAGCAATGAGGCTTGACTCGGCTCAATTCACTGCCGCTCTAGGCCACGCATCGACTATGGCAGGAGGTCTTCGCGCAATGTTCGGCGTGGACACCAAGACGCTGCACATGGGTCGAGGGGCGCAGGACGGAATCCTCGCGGCGCGATTAGCCGCGCAAGGCTTCGGGAGCTGCACGAGGCCGATCGAGGCGTGGCTCAAGCTTGTTTCGACGACGGTGGACGAGACCCAACTGTCGGCTCTCGCCGAGAGTAGATCGTGGCAGATTCTCGAGAACACGTTCAAGCCGTACCCATGTGGCATTGTGATCCATCCGCTCATCGACGGTTGTCTCGAAGCACATCGGTACTTCGCTGAAGGCGCCGAGGGCGAAGCCCCTTTCCACTCCAGACTGGTGTCGATAGACGTGGTGGTCAACCCGCAGTGTGTGCGGTTGTGTTCAGTCAGACATCCCCAGACCCAGCTCCAGACCATCTTCTCCTTGTACCACGGCTGTGCCGTAGGCTTGGTTCACGGAGCGGCTGGGCCAGCCGAGTTCTCCGACGAAGTTGCCGCGCAAGACGCAACGGTCAGAGCAGTGAGGGATAAAATCAACGTGACGACGGATGACAAAGTGCGGGACGACGAAGCTTACTTGACGTTCAAGTACGAACAGGCCAGGAATGGAGGTGGTGAACGTGCAGACCTTGCAGAAAAGTCGTTCCACGTCGAGCACGCGACCGGGTCCGTCGCGCGGCCCATGACTATCGAACAACTCGAGAGGAAGTTTTCTGATCAGGCTATTCCCGTGATAGGCGCGCAAAAGACCAAAGCGGCCATCGAAGCGTGCTGGAGCCTCGAGGATACAGAGGACGTAGCGCAACTGGTGAAACTGCTCGTACCTTGAACTCGGGATCACGTTCGACACAGTATTTGTATTTTATCCTTGACACGGCACTTGTGATCACGATCGAGTCGACTCTCCGACTGTATAGCCGCGCGCAATCCCCGTACGACCTTCTTCAACTAGACCGCCTTCGACTTGTTCTCCCTCCTCTTCGTACTTGACCTCGAAATCGCTGCCTAGACCTGTCCAGCCTCGCTTTTCTCTCAGGTATTCGGCAGCGGGCGAGACGATGCCATTCACGGAAATTACGTCACCCTTTGATCGCTTCGTCAACGCCATGGAAGACGATGCATCATTCCCGGCAGACGATGAAGCCACCGAACGTCGAGCCTTACTCGCCCTTTGCACAGGTCTCGAGCGAGATACGTATCGGCCTGTTCGGAAGTCGAATTCCGGGGGCTCCGATTCCGACTCTGAATCGTCAGATGCGCTTTCGACATCGGACTCTGTTCCTTCTTGATCTTCGCCGTCGACCGCCGACGGTGCAGATTGACCTGAGTCTTCGCGCTTCGCGGCATCTTCGAGAACGGATTCAAAGTCGGCTCTCCACTCGCCTGTCCACACGCGTTTGTCGTCAGGCTGCAGAGCCAAGTCCAATTCGAACGGTGTGATGATGGGTCTGTAAAAGTCTTTACTGTCAACGAGCGAACTCTCCCAGCACCCTATCACCACCCATCCGCCGATTTCGGAAAAGTTGGCAATCTTGGCCGGGTTGAGTTTGCCCACGACGAACAGGTAGGATCTCTTTCCGGCGGCGGCTATTTGGCGTTGGATATGGGTTAGCATACTCAAGTAGTTCTTAACGCTTAGGGTGTTGATCAGGATGCCCCAAATCGGGACCGTTGTCAGGGACGTGATCAGGGCGTATCGCCGGCGGAGGAGGAGCCGGGTAGAGTTCTCCAACGCTGTTGATGCCGTAGTACTGCTCGAGCTAGCATTAGATCCTTCCGTGCTATAGATCCTCACTTGAGACAGACGAGATGTCAGCGTGAGGAGAAGGGAGGTCGGCGGATCGGATATGTGGAAGAGACTCCATTCGGATAAGTGTGCTTGGTCGTCCGACACCGCCGGGGGAAGGGTTCGATTTGGTATTGCCGATGATGGATCGTGAACGATGGATGCTGCGAATATGGCGACGTAGCCTAGCGCTTGCAGCTTTTGGGCCAATGGAGAAACATGAGCCGAGTAAGGCACGTCTGCTGTCAAGATGACCTTGGTGTTTGGGTCTGGATAGGATTGCCGGAAATTGGCCACGACGTCGTCGTGGTCCAAGGGCATGGTGGTGTAGATGTGTAGGACTGGTAGCCTTGCCGTTGGCGAGAGGCATGCGCGGCCGTAGTGGACGACAGAGTCGGCGTCGACATGCTCGGCGGCGATTTCGTCCACACAACAGGATCCGTATGATGTGTCACCGAGGATTGTCAGTTTCACAGGTTCGTCGCCGTGAACACTCAATCTACCCATATCAGTCTCGAGTGGTTCAGGGGACTTTGTGGCGACGTCCTCCTCGGTCGGTGCTGGTCTTTGTAAGCCTCGAGACAAGAGTTGGTAGACTCGAGCAGAGTGCGGAAGCATGTGGTCAGGGAACTGTAAAGCCACTCGTCTCCATTTCCTCCTGCGAATCTCTTGGATCGTTCTGTTGATTTCATATCTGACGTTGAGATCTTGATCAGACAGGTTTTCTGAGGCCTTGTGTCGAACAGCGTCTGGGATACCTTCATTCAGGATGTGTGTCTCTGGCGTTGAAAGCACCGGAGGCGCACTGAGTTCTTCTGCCATGACCGAAAGATACACTGGATCAGAATCCAGCGGTTCATACAGTATCCACGCACTTGTCGCTCACCCTGTTCCAGCACAACATCTCCCGACGCAAAATTTTGGTTGCATGCATAATGTACATTATGTACATGCGACTGGCCACCGCTTGGCGTCGAGTTTTAGTCAGCAGCCTGAGACGGCGTTTCATTGGCCCGATACCGAAGAGGGAGAAGCCCAGCTGGCCATGAGGTGATCAGGCTCGGGATGGTGATGATGCGCTTCCATATCTCTCTCCAGCCTGTATCAGGCTGACCTCGACGAAGAACCATCCTCCAGAGCGTCCATTCACAGCATCCCGAATCGACATGGCGGTTACAGCGATTATATTTTCATTGTACCACGCAGCTCAAACCTGTGTCGGCGTCTACACTGGCTTGTTCTCTGCGATAGCCATCTACAATCTCAAGCAACGAGAAGAGCAAGCAGAACGAGCGGCACAGTATTCAACGACCGCAGCTAATCAACTGCACAAGACTAGAACAACGCAAACCAGCGCAGCTATTGCAGTAAGCTAGATCCTCTCGATGTTTCTCTTTCCTGGAGTCCATGGTATTGACTAGACCACAAGACAATCTCCTCCGTGGTCACATCCGTCATTCTTGCGATCGGCACAGGAGGCCGCAAGCTTCCGTTGTTCCTGAGTACTGCACATGCAGTCGGGATCGCGCTGGTGTATCAAAACATGGCGGAATTCTGGAAGCACAAGGCCAAAGTTCCTTTCTTCCACAATTACAATGAGGGCATCAACGCTTCGAACAAGATGCTAGGCGCCTTCCAGATCCTATCCACTACCTGGTTCTTCGCGATAGTCTTGTATCTATGGCCAGGCTTCGCCTTCTAACAAAGTATGACCGGGAACGAATCGTACAGTTTTGAAGGGCGGAAACGAAACGAGGGCCAGACCCAGCTTTGTCAGCGGCTTCGAAGACTGCTCGGAAAGCGCTCCAGGCTTCGGAAAAATGCTGGGGTCTGTGGTGTGATGCTGAAGGCACAGGCGACGGTGATGGGCCCCATGGGTGTCTTTGCCGGTGATTTCAGCCCCACGACGCAGCGCAGGCCAGAAACCAGAAACCCTTATCCGATCAGGTACTGACACTTGTGCGGGGTCCCAAATATCCTCCTCGCGCCATCACCACCACCACTTTCTAGGTAGAGCAGAAACCATCTCATGTTTACTCTCCATACCTTACGTTCTCACGCCCGCCGCAGCTTCTGTCTATCTTCCTCCCCGTCCCTTTCTCTACGTGCGATACCTTATAATTCAAAGAGATTCATCAAGACAGGCATGGATCCGTTCGAGTACAACGCCAACCCAGGCCGAGTGGTCTTCGGACCCGGCAGCATCAACAAACTCCCGGACGAAGTCAAGCGACTGGGCCTCAAGTCACCTCTTCTCCTCTCCACACCCCAACAAGTCAGCCAAGCAGACGACCTCGCAAAGATCCTCAAGTCCGGTTCCATCGAGCCAGCAGGCACCTACACCAATGCCACCATGCACACACCCTCCCACATCACCGAAGAAGCCATGTCCTTCCTCAAGTCCAAGTCTGCAGACTGCGTCGTGTCGATAGGAGGGGGATCTACAATTGGCCTGGGCAAGGCAATCTCAATCAGGACCGGCCTGCCTCATATTTGCATTCCCACAACCTACGCCGGCAGCGAGATGACCCCGATCCTGGGCGAGACTCAAGACGGTCGCAAAACCACACGGACAGACCCCAAGATCCTGCCTGGAACGGTTATCTACGACGTCAACCTGACGATGACTCTGCCAGTTGCTCTCAGCGCCACCTCGGGCGTCAACGCCATTGCCCATGCCGTGGAAGCATTGTACGCGAAGAACAAGAACCCCATCATTTCGTTGTTGGCGCTCGAAGGCACAAAGGCCCTCGCAGAGTCTCTCCCCGAAATCATCCAGAACCCCCAATCACAGCCGGCGCGTGAGAAGGCACAGTACGGGGCCTGGCTCTGCGGTGTCTGTCTCGGGTCTTCGTCGATGGCTCTGCACCATAAACTCTGCCACACCCTCGGCGGTTCATTCAACCTCCCACACGCAGAGACTCACACGATCGTTCTGCCGCATGCACTGTCGTACAATGCGCCCGCCATCCCGGACGCAATGGAGAGATTAGCTTCTGTCCTACCCGGCAGCGAGGGCGACGCTATCAAGGGCCTCAACATTCTCCTCGAGAAACTTCAAGTCAAGCGCGCCCTGAAGGATTTTGGTATGAAGGAGGATGGTATTGACAAGGCGGCCGAGATTGCCGTCAGCAACCAATATCCCAACCCGAGAAGCATTGAGAAGGGACCGATTCGCGAACTCATCAGGAGAGCGTGGGCCGGGGAACCAGCACGTGCGAATTTATAATAATCAAGTCAGTCGGTCAGTCAGACTGGTTAGGCCAGGTCAGGTCCGATTAAGTTGTGGGGGAGAGATGGACATGGCTAGGTAGGTAGATAGGTAGGTAGGGACGTACTACATGGATGAGAAAACAGATTGCTTGTTCACTTGACACCGAGAAAGGTTCTTTGCACCTTGGCGAAGCCTCCCGAACGGCTACCTCCCTTAACTACATACCTAAGGTGCGTAGCACCTGATGTACCCTTCACGGCCGCCTCAAAAATGACCGTTGATATGTTTTGACCTGCAAAAAATTTGGTCATCATCGGGAACCACACAGCCCCAAGACTGCCCGTGCCTCACAGACCGATTTCAAAATTTGTGGCGTAGATGTTTTGGCGATGAAGGTACAGGGTTAGAAAAAAATGTGAACTATTCTCTAGTTGAGTAGGCCTGCGACGTTGGCACATATTTGTCGAAGCGGAGGGAAAAAAAGGGGGGGAGCAAGATCCATGGCAAAAACATCCTGAGGTTCGATTCTCGTCGAGACTGTCTTGTGCCGATTTGGTTTTGTTTTTCTTTTTTTTTGGTTTGGTCGGTTCGCTGGATGGAAGGCATCCATACTTTCGCGTGATCTCGAGGGACGAGTGAAGTGAAGAAGGCGGCGTGTCAAGGTAGGTATTAGGCGGCACATAAGGTACATATGGTACCTGCGCACAGGGCGGGCGGTCAAGGGTGTAAGTAAAAGCGCCTTCGCGTGCTTTGCGAACGGGGTTCGACAGGTGCCTCGTTGGGGGAACCTACCTCTCTACCCATCCAAAGTACCTACCTAATATCAGGTGGAGATGTCCCTCCTTTATTCCGTACCTAAACCCTGAGTTCGGGTGACGAGGCAGAGGCTGGGTCGAGGCTGAGGCAGAGGACCAGGATGAGGAAGACAAACCGGTATCGAGGCAACCAGGCGAGGTTAGGTTGGGTAGGTCCCGAGGTGAATTTTATTTACCCTCATAGGTACCCAGCGAAGAAGAATCGCATCTCAGATATGACCGTTTTGATTGTCTGTTCCTGTTTACTAGATATCTACCCAGACCCAGATGTCTATCCTATGCGCGCGGACTTGCAAGCTGCGGTGGATATCTCGCTAGCAGTATGTTCCAAGTGTCGTCGCCTTTACATGCACCTTGTCCCTGACTCTCGATCTCACTCTCCCTCCTTTTTATGATGGATTGATTTCCGTCTCCGGTCTTCATGTTCTTACAAAAATACTCTCCCTCGTCAGGGCTGTCGGATGACAGTACCCAGACACCTATCCAGACACACGGGTATCTGGACCAATGTACACAGACTGTCCAACGCAACTTCTTTCTTTTTGAGAAGGTTTTCTTTTACTCTGCCTCTTCCTCTGCACCATCCTTCACCTCTTTTCCCGGCTCCGGTGTCCAATGACTCACTACCGCAAACCCGGCGGCCAAAACAACCATGAGAATCCAAATGAGATGCCCCCCGAGGATCCCGCTGCCGACACTGGCGGCGAACAGACTCGAAAACAGCGCCGGACTGAATGCCCTTATCCCGCTAACCAGCGTGAGCGAGACGGCATTCAACGTGCCGAGGACCGCGGGACTCGGGCTCACGTCGTTCAGGACGAGTTGGATGGCCGTGAAGCTCATGGCGACGCCGCTGCCCAGCATCAAGGCCACAGGCGCAACGGCCCAGAACACTGCGGTCATGCCCCTACGCAAGAAGACGTTGCAGACAGGCAGAAAGGCGAAGAAGCACGGGTAGGCGTGGGCGCAAAGTCGCATGACACCCGCGGTGCCGATGCGCGCCTGGAGCCAGGGGAATACGATCAGAAGGTAGAGTGACTGCGAAAGTCCCCCGAGCGTCATGAAGATACTGATTTGGAGAGGCGAGAACCCGAACCCGCCGAGGTGGACGGGCGTGAAGAAGAAGACGGGGACGATGGCAGTGTAGGAAAATGCGAGAACCATGACGTGTGCGTAAATGTAGAGCGTCATGGGGACGTTGCGAGCCCGGAGGAGTTCAAGGGTCGACATTTTGGTGCTGATATCGGATGAGGATTTCGGCTTGCGGACGAGGGTCTAGATCGTAGGATCGAATTTGGTCAGTATCTGATACTGGATTTTAGAGAGAATGGAAAGGTGGACTGGACAAAGGAGATAAAACTGGGACAGATCACTGAGAAAGAAAGGCGGAATGGATTAGGTGTCTGGGCAAGTGGTGGCATGTGTGGACGTGGTGCCAGGACCAAGTAAACGGCAACCATGTATACTGTACATGTGCAAATGAGCTTCAATGTGAAGGCTTGACGAGGCAGACATACCTCTTTGAGGAAAATACCGCTTGTAACTGTCGCAATCACCCCAATGACACCAGTAACAATGGTAGGCAGAGCGTATGGGAAATCATGGAAGAATTGGATATGACCGAAGATGGACGGGAACAGAGCTGCTGGTTTGGCCAGAGCACCACCTTGCAATACCCATATGTATTAACCTTGGTTTCAGGCGAGTTCGGTACTAGAACAGCAGACGTACCTATGCTAGGGCCTAGGAATATCCCCAAATTGCCCGAGAATGCAAAGAAGGAGAATGCACGAGCCTGAGTTTTGGCAGTGCTGTTTTCGCTGATCATGGTTCGGATCGTCCTACATTTGAAGTAAGTCTCATGTCAGTCTCTCTCTCTCTCTCTGTCTCCGGCAAGAACCTTCACAGTAATTCCTGACAAGGTGCATGGCTACCACTTACACGACCGTTCCTGCGAAAAGACCTCCAAAGCACCGGATCAGGATCATGGCCCAGATGGTCTCGGCAAATCCAAACAAGGCCGTCGCAATCGAGACACCCGCCAATGATAAGACCAGCATGGGTTTTCGTCCAAAGTAGTCGGATGCCCAACCCCAAGGAATCATGCAGAACATCTGCGTCAAAGAGAACAGTGATTCCTGAGACAAGTGACATGTGTTAGTTAGTTTTGTCGCAACGGGAAGAGAGAGGAGGTTCATCGTACAATCAAGCCACTGTAAAATCCCACATCTTGCTCGGCAACTCCAGTATCGCGAATCATTTGGTTGATGAAGGGAAAGATACTGAAGAAGGCAATGGGTTCGACGACTCTCGCGAGGCAGAGAAAGAAGATCTGGTCTTTGGGTAACGGTTTGTCTTCGTCGACATTCTTGTTGTTGGCTGTGCCGTTCTCCGTTTGGTCTGTTGTAGGTGAGGCTGTGGAGGGAGCAGCGAGCAAGGCTGTTGTCTCGTCGACGCGAGGGTCAATCGCTCCATCTTCCACCATGTCTGTCGTAGTCATGGTTGGTAAACCGTACGAAGAGCGCGGTGTTAAAAGAGGTGTTCGAAATCAAGGCGAAGGTTGATATTCTATCAAAGCATCCTCCTTCCTGATACGAGTACTTTGTCCTTGTTAAACTGTACGGATAGTTTGGGAGATTGTCTTCTTTTGGCGGAGAATGCCTCAGGCGTCCAGCTCGTCGTAAGCCTGGCAGTGCACGAATACTCGTACTCGTGGGTGTCCCTGTCGCCTGAGTAACTCGCTAGTGGGCCAGAAAAGAGACACGAGCATCCGCCGGAAGCAACGTATCGCGCAGTGTTAGTTGTGTTTGTATCCTCCAGCGAATAGACCACCCGATAACGGAGAACGTACTGGGGAATGAGGACGTATGATGTTGTGCCTGAGTTGTGTGATGATTGAACTGCCTACCTGGGATCAAGTCGCCGGTGCGGGAAGAAGACGTGCAGTGGTACACGTAGGTACCTTAACCGCCTGCTCCCGTTTAGGTAAGTACCTGGGCACTCAGGTAGACCTAATGTTCACTTAGGCAGTCGTCACAGCCACTAAACAAACCTAAAGAGCCATTCCACCGCTGTCAATGGAGGCTCCTTTAGTTAAGCTTATAGTTAAAAGCTGTGGCCTGCGGCACCCATTCTTGGCATTTTCAGCCCCGTCTGCACCCCTAATAGTACCTTATCTCCAATTTTTTCTCGCCCACGCGACGTCTCCAACATGCGGTTCAAGGTTTGGCCTGCGTAAATATCCAAGCTTCAACACTTGGTTCGAAAACTAGGTACACTCTATCATGCGGTGACCCTCAATTTCATTCGCCATGTTCGACACGATCTGTACCTTGCCCCTCCAGTCGGACCTCTTCGCACAGGTCATCCATCCTTCAGAACCCTTTTTCGCCGTTGGCTTGTCTTCTGGACATGTGCAAGCATACAAACTGCCCTCTGAGTCTCATGTGATTGAGAGTGCCTCTCAAGACAGCTCCGAATCTGCCTCCAACAACACTGACCTCATTAATGGCCATGGCTCGACTTCGACACCCTCATTGCTGCGCAGATCGTCATCCACGAGTGCTTCAGAGAGTGGACTTGGCTCAATAGACACCGTCTGGAGCACAAAAAGACACAAAGGTTCGTGCCGATGTCTGTCATTCAGTTATGACGGCGAAATATGCTACTCAGCCGGAACCGACGGCTTGGTCAAGTCCTTTGTCGCAGAGACCGGAAAAGTCGTTGGGAAAATAGCAATACCAGAGATTAGTGGCATGCCAGAACTGGATGAGCCATCGGTGCTCCATGCGTTGTCACCACAGGCTCTCCTTCTCGGGACGGACTCGGGAAAGCTGTACCTACAAGACCTACGACAGGGTGGAAGAGAAATCGTGTCAAGGGCGAGTCAAACATGGGAACCGCATGGCGGGGAACATATCAATACTCTGGTACCTCTCCCCGCCAGTGAAACGAGCACGAGCGGGTTCCCTAAACAGTGGGTGACTGTGGGAGGATCAACCCTTGCAGTGACGGATCTTCGAAAGGGCACAATCGCTACGAGCGAAGACCAAGAGATAGAGCTCACCAGTGCCACGCTCATTCAAGGCTTGAAGAAAGGTGGAACAAGTGTTGGTGAGAAGCTCCTTGTCGGTCAAGGTGATGGCGTGGTCAGTCTGTGGGAGAAGGGCGTCTGGGACGATCTCGACGAGCGAATCGTCATTGACCGGAGTGGGCTCAGTGTTGAGAGCCTGGCCGAAGTGCCCTTTGGCTATGGAAAGGGCAAGCTTAAGATGAACGAGAAGCTCGTGGCTGCAGGGCTGGAGGACGGGCGAGTCCGCTTCCTAAGAATCGGCCGTAATGGTGTGATGAATGAGATGGATGTCAAGCATGATGAGATCGATGGTGTTGTCGCTCTCGGCTTTGACATCGAAGGAAGGATGCTGAGTGGCGGAGGACAGACAGTGAAAGTATGGACCGAAGCGAAGGGGCTTCCAGGCGGAGGCAGGGCCTCAGGCACGAAACACGATCTGTCGTCGGATGACAACGAAGACGGTGCAGATGAGGATGATTCCGACATGGGAGACAGCACCGATGAAGAATCCCATCCCAAGGGTAAACGAAAAAAGCGCAAGCGAGGGAAGGGCAAGGACAAGTCTGGTGGAAAAGCCCTTGATTTCTCGCTGTAACGGAGTCGGCCGGGAAAAAGTAATTTACCTTCTGTCCTGAATAATGAATGATACCCAAGTTTTGTACATGTCCAAAACCATTCTCTCTGTTCGAGAGTTCTCTACCTGTAGATGACAAGTTGTTAACGGCAGTTTACTCCTGTATCCCTTCGTATTCGTTCAGATTCCGCATGACTCGCGCGTCTTCTCACGGCATGAGAGCGCGAGTCATTTAGCCGAGGTCTGTGATATCCGTTGGGATCTCCGTGATTATTCCATTCCCAAGGACCGGTCAGGGCCGATAAGGTAACGTTGGGCAGCTTTCATACAGATTTACTCTTCTTCCTTTTGCGTTCGATGATGATGCATAAGAATGATGGGCCTTAGCAAGTCTGCAAGTCTCCCGGACTGGAGGCTCTTTTTGGCAGGGTCATGTCTCTTCGCCGCGGGCGCTCTGACGGCAGGGCTATTCGGCCCCTCGAACAAAAGCGACATATACCGCTCACCGCGCGCGACACTGCTTCCCCGGTTGTCCGACGCTGAGAAAGGACAACTGCCCTACCCTCCCGATGCCTTGCCAGGAGCCAGAGATGTCGACACTCCGTACGGCTCGATCCGAGTCTACGAGTTTGGCCCCGAAGACGGACGCAAGGTACTTCTCGTGCACGGCATTAGCACGCCGGCGCTGGCCCTGGGGGCGGTGGCCAACGCACTCGTGGACAATGGGTGTCGGGTCATGCTGTTTGATCTTTTTGGGAGAGGCTATTCCGACACTGCGAACGACGTCCGGCACGACATCAGACTGTTTACGACACAGATCCTGCTGGTCCTGGCGTCTTCGCCGCTCTCCTGGACCGGCAAGGCGTCTGGCAAATTTTGCCTCGTCGGATACTCCCTCGGTGGCGGCATAGCTACGACGTTCACTTCGTACTTTGCAGATCTCGTCGACAGTCTCGTCCTGTTTGCTCCCGCCGGACTGCTGCGACCGTACCACATTAGCCGCCAGAGCCGCATCATATACTCGGAGGGCATCATCCCCGAGCCCATACTGCGGCGGATCGTGAAGGCACGACTGCGCACGCCTCTGGCCGCCCCTCCTCCTCCACCAAAGGGCGGCGTAGAGGAAACCCGAAAGGTCGACGCGACTCAAGCCGTCCAGGCCGAGGTCCCCATTGAGTCCAACTCTCGGGCAATCTTATCCCAGACCCGGCCGCATGTGACTGTGGAGAAAGCGGTCATCCACCAGCTCGACAACCACCCCGGCTTCGTCCCTGCTTTCATCTCGAGCATTCGCTATGGGCCCGTAAGGACCGAGCACGACCGCTGGCGTATCGTCGGCGAGCGGCTGCGGCAGCAGAACGCGGCAGAGGGCACCCGGAAAAAAGTTCTCATTGTCCTTGGAGCGAAAGACCCCATCATCGTCAGGCAAGAGATCGAGGAAGACGCCACCGCCCTGCTAGGTGGTGAGAATGTCGAGTTCGCCGTATTTGACGCCGCGCATGATGTGCCGGTCGTCATGGGGAGTCAGGTGGTGGATTCCATTCTTGACTTTTGGAAAAGAACCGATTGAAATTTTTTTCCCTCTCATTGTTTGCTGTCAGGCACCCCGCGAACCGGCACCCTGAACTACTGCCGTGTAACGTACGTGGGCCATGACATGACAGACACTAGATAGACATGTACGGAGGACTTTGTGCAGTACTGCTACTACTACTACTCCTGTTACGAATCCAACCCAGGTAGATTAGAATAGATTGACATGCGTGTTAGCTTGCTAGCTAGCTAAGTTAGTTAGTTGGTCAGTTATTTAGTAGAAGCTGAGTATCGTATCCCTTTCCTATTCTTTTTCTATACTCATTTTCCGTGTTTTCCGTATCCAACGCTTGTGCATTCGGTAGATAATATCTGGTCGCATCCCTTGTCGTGTAATGACTGGGTTAATAGGAGGTAGGTGGCAAGGTAGCAACGCACCTGAGGTAAGGTAAGGGTCAGGTAGGCATGGTATCTTTCTTCCTTGCTCATGCATGTGGTTCCACATTCATCTACGTGCCCTTCACTCACACTCCGGACGTACTGGTCATTGGCAAGGTAAACTGGATAATGGGGAAGGGTGTCCTCTCCACGGTCGCCGGGCATCCCCCCTTGTCCTTTGGCCCCGTACGTCAGGTAGCCTATTAACGGAGTGTTTACCTTTACCCAATAGGCGAGTCCGTTATCACCAACTAGTTGGGCTCTCCTGCAAGGACCCAAACACACACCTGCATTACTCCGTACTCTAACAAGTTGTTGACCAGGGTAGGTTCGAGGTCACGTACTGTAGCTTCCCTAGCGGGCCTTTCTGGCATGATGATGGTGGAAGGCGCCCGCAGCGGAGAAAAGTCGACGGGGAGGTTGGCCACCCACCACCACTACCGTCCATACCGCCAGTAAAGTACCTCCGCCAACACTCATGAGGTATAACTCCTCACTCTCAGGCTCGTGGTTGAGGCCTGGCAGGCGGCGCCGGCTGACTGCCTACCTACTTGTTTGCTAGCTAGCTAGCCTGGACAGCGGCACGAGACCGTAGCCGGTAAGCGTCTATGCCTGGTTCTTTTCCTCCCCGCGCTCCCCTCGGGGCCCCCGTGGCCAGCCCAACCCCGGAAACACGTACGGTTAAGTCACCTTATCGAGTGATACGTTCGTGTCCAACCACACTGACAACTAAAAGCCGCAGCATAGCCTATAGGTACCGTAGACTTTCTCGTATAAAGTACATGCTAACTACTGCGTACAACAGGTAAGGGACTTAAAGACACCTCCTCTCGTCAAATAGAAACTTGAAATCTCAGTAGTCACTTGGTCCCTGTCGACCAGCCAGCGAGGGACGAAATAAAATTGCCTCTCGTACGATTCTCGGGTCGGTGATTCGGTCCATGAACGTCATGAGTTCCGCCACGAGGCCGCTGGTGGTGCATGGTCCGATCTGCCCATGACCTTCTCCTTGACCACTCCAGTCGTCGTCGCCGTGGACGAGACTGGGGGCAGAAAGTCCCTGTGGGAATAGTCGTGCTTGTGGGCATGGTTGCATCACCATCGCATCGAGTAGGTGTGCGTGTGCCGCTGTAAGTCTGTACGCGTGTGCTGTGCGCCCGAGGAGGATCAGGTCGAGAACGTTGGCGCTGCTGGTGCTGTAGAGGAATGCGTTCAACATGCCCTCCTCGGCATCTCTACCATCGTCGGTGTCGGTATCGGTGTCGACGTCGGTATCGGTGCTGTAGTGGAGGTGTGCATTTGGATGGCGATGGCGATGTTCACCGTCAAATGCTTCAGTACTGTCGAACCTGAAGAGCCGGGGAGTATGTATCAGACCAAAGAGGGCTATGAGACCAAAAACCAGATGGATGGACCTAAAGAAACCAAAGAGGGATAATGAGTGACTGGTATGAGTGCTTATATGTACCTGGTGCTTTGAGGCATCACTTTCTTTCGTTTTCTCTTCCTATATCTGGACTGGAGTTTCCACGTTGGTCGGGGACCGACTCCTAGCTAGCGTGCGGTTCGAAGGGTAGCCGAGGTAGTTATGGTGTGGTATACGGTAGAATAAGTGAGTGATTTGGTGATTTGGAATGGTCCGCCATCGGGTAGGTAGGATAGATAGATGATACTTACCCACATACGTACTAATATCATCTGTACTCTTCTTTAGGGACGTCTGTAGACGTACAATGTAGATCAGTGAATGGGATCAGGTCAGATGTGAATCAGAATAGTTGTAGTGTCAATATGAGCGCAACCAACCGTGGCACAGGCACAAGAACCCCTTCTCTATTTATATGAACGACTCCAAGGAAAGCCATCAGCCGCATTCTGAGTAGTTCTTTCGTTCGGGACAATCACCCCGAAGAACGGCAAATGGAGAAAGAATCGCCTCTCGGCGTACACAAAACTTGAATGAATTCCGGACAGTCGCCTCCCTCAAGGCCACACGGCCACGGGTCGTCGGGAGAATTCTGATTAAGTTATAGCAACCCCCACGTCCATGCGGGTTGGGCGTCGAAGGGCGTTACACACCCAAAGAGAATCAAGACCGATATTCGAAGTTGCTTGTACGGGAAGGCTGAAATTGGACAATATCATGCATGCGGCCCGGGACGAACCCCCAATGCCTTTATGATCATTGGCCAGCGCCACATTGCTAAGTGATTGACGAGGCGTGGACGGGGAGCACGCGCCAATCTCTCCTCTGTAAACGGGACCAGGGACCAGGGTGAATAGGTACGAGCAGTCCAGTAATGTTTCTCCGGCGTTGTCGCAGTCTGAACCGCATCGTCTGCCAGCCTAGCCCGGATGTGGAAGCGGAGGGTGTCTCTTTGTTCGCCAGTACCATGACTTGGGTAAGGCAATGCACTTTCCATCTCGCTTCGATGCGTTGCACTGCGTCACTTGCGCTCTAGGATAGAGTGCTGGTCCATGAAATGTGAATGTCTCGCTACTGTCACGAATCAATTCAGGCTGCTAGGACTTTAGACTAGTCCCGAGGCGACCTCCGTTTACTTTATCGACCACATGTGTCTGGTTCTGTGATCAACATCCATGCCCTCCTCCAGAAGTCTGGAGGTGTCAAGGCGCCCGGGGGTGGGAAGGAAGTTGCGACGAGTTGAACGCTAGACATGTTGAAATATGAGTAGTGTCAAGCTAAGAAGGGTCAGACCGCCTCACTTTCATCTGGAGGACAGCGCGGTACCCAATCATGTAGCATACATGATCTCCTTGAACCAGCATACCAAAGTGCCTTGTCTGGGGTTGATGCATGTGTCCCTTACAGAATACGATCAGACAGATAGGTATGAATTGAATAAGGCGTTCAATGGTCCGAAGCTGCCCGGCAGGGACAGGGGGTAGTGAATTTAGTTACCCACTTCCCTACGTTCAATCCTGTGAGGAGCCAGCGTCACTGTGGCCCTGGGCGCAAAACCATAGCACAGTTTCATAACCTGTGGGCTGGATCAGTGCAAGCTTCGACAAATGTTGGTGTCATGGTTCTGGCACGAAGCGGAAGCATAATGGAATAGGAGCATTTCGATTACCCGTCAGTCATCGTGGATCCCAGAATGGAAGTGACACCATGAAACAACAAGACCGGTGCAAGCATGGTGACCAGCACGATCTAGCCATGCTGGACGAGTCGCGGTATTCCTGTCGTGGTTCCCGCTTGGACGATCGGACCTATTTCCGTTCTCAGATCTTTCAGTTGCTTCCCCATGCTCTGTACTCGGTATCGTGCAACATATCGTCGATTGATGACAGAGATTAGATGACGTTTTCAGGCGCAAGAGCGGGCGAACTTTCCCTCGCGGTGTGATTGTAAGCTGCCTGGGTGAACCGGCTAAAAAGGTTTTTGAAGAAAGCTGCAGAAACCCGCTTGGCTCTTTCCAACTGCTTCTCTGCTAGGGTGTACTCTCGAGCGTCTAGTACTCCCAGTCGCGTCTAGCATTTCTTTGTCTCGGGTAGATTGTCTTGACCAAAGATCCTAGGAGCGCCACGCACAAAAGACTGAGGAGAAGGCAGAACCCCGGGACACAACGAGGCGAGTCGTGTCTGCGGAAATGAATGAGGATATGGCGCTGCAATGTTACCACTGAACCTTAGGGTGTCAGCTGGAAGTTTTTGTTCGTGTTTGGGTATGCGTGGAACAGGCTTGCCATCCGACATGCAAGGCGATCGCCACACTTCTCTTCCCCGGAGCGCCTACGTCGGCACTGCTGCAAGCAGCACGCTGCGAAACTGTTTAGGACCAACCTGCTGAGAGCAATGCGCAGCCGCATGCATGACGTGGTAGTTCGTTGATGTGACGATCATGATGCTAAGATTTTCATGAACCTCCTCAAATCCTTCAGGTTGTACGGAGTATTGAGCGGTGGGATCGGGGAGTATAAACTTAGGTGTACGCCCAGTAGCGATCCTCTCACGTACATCCTGTGTGGGACAACTTGTAAAGGCTAGCCGCTAGAGACCGTCTGCCACTCACGACGAGGCGGCTTTCGAGCTTTGATCGAATATTATAGGCCGGACGTATTGCATCAGGACTCGACACCAATGCAAAGTCTGCGATATACCGTGCCTGGGGCTTTGACTTGGAGTCGCCGGCTTCATGATTGACAATTGATCGGTGGAATAGTTAGCCAGTGTTGGCCCGTGTACGATGCCCATTCTGTGTATCCACGTTCTTGTAGTAAAATGGTTGGCTTGACCTCGTTAGCATAGTTTTCCACCCCGATGGAAGCTGTGAGTTCCCCAATTGCTTCCCTGTAGGCACATAGACGTGTCGAGAGATAGGTACATACTCGTACCATACCACTTTCAGTGGATTGATTGGAGAGTATGTATCCCGAGGTACTTGTCCTATACCCAAGCCGTACTGCTTTGGCGGAGGAGTAAGTATGAGCCCTACTGGTGGTGGCACGGGTTAGTGAAGACTAGAGATTGAGGAAATGAAAAACAGTGGATTGTCCGCTCGGGTCCAAGCTTCTAGAACGCTTGGTCCTGATGTCTCGCTGAGCTTCACTTTTGGAACTGAATAGTGGTCGCTTTATCGAAAGATTGTTGGAGGGCGAAATCTCGTATCGAAAGACTGTTGGAGGGCGAAATCTCAATGTTGTCTCAATGGCGCTTGCAGTTGTGAGTTGTGAAAGCTTTCTGAGGCGGTCACGTGAGAACTCGCGTTGGGCATCATTCAAAACGCGTCGCGTCCTCGACTTCTTTCTCTCCCTCCCGAACAATGAACAATGGACAGTGTGTCTTTACAAGCACAAGCCGATCACTCCTATTATTGCTTCCAGGACGCCACAATACAATTGCATGGTTTGGTTTGTTCCAATGGCAGATTCTGCCGTCTTGAAGGCACCCGGCAAGCTCATTTTGGGTTGCATTACATGGCCACCGACACACTGTGGCCCCCAGCTGAGGCCTTTCCTTCTATTACGAAAATCAAGGTTGTGTGATACACCTACTCAATCCGCTGGCAGCCCGCAAAGCGAGATTGCCCTGGGGCTCTGGGGCCCTGGGCCGCGACATCAACTCTCGCCCACCTTCCCAGCGACCTAATCTCTACAAAGCAAGATATCACTGCATGAATGCAGTAGGCACTTTTTGCTCCGTCTCTTGAACTAACTGTAGGATCGAGACCCTTCCATGAGGCCTACAAGCATCAGAAGAGGACACTTCTTTGCGGACGACGAACGACATACCTTGCTGATCTTCTCGGGCCCGTTGCAGCAACGCTGGGTCTGTCATTGCAGTCATATCTGTCTCCGCCCTATCAAGAATGGCAGCGTCATTCTCTGATGATGCTGCGAAGCGTAAGGCACGACCCTGCTGAGCTAGGCGGTCGGTGAAGGATCTCGTATGATAAAGGTAGGCATCGAGCATGCCGCTCGATGCTTGAGTTTTACCAGGCATGGTGATGCGAGGACGCCACGAGTGTCGGAAGGCCCTGAAGCCGGCGGGACTTGCCAGTTGTTCTTGCAACCTGTCAGTCAGTATCTAACGGAACATTTGCACTTGGTTGCGTGGAGCTTCATCCTCTTATCAACTCAACGCACGAGACACTGCTGATATTGGTACCAGTGGCAGCCGTGGAACGAAGACCAAGATGCTGGGGAATAGAATCGATGGACGTACATAGGAGGAGATAAACAATGGAATAGGTGAAGTGGATTCCCTTGGTGGATTATCGTGGAGTATGGGCGGTATGGACGAGTGTAAGAGCCCAAACCATAGACCTGTGACTGTCGGCGCAACAGGCTTGGAGGTGGAAATGATGCAGCGGCGGCGGTGGTGGTGGAGCTCCACTCACCCCAGTAGAGGAGCAGCAGTGGTGGTGGTAGAGGTCCAGTCAGCCCAGGAGGGGAAGGGAGACGGCTCCGAGTTAAAAGAGGTAGCAGATTTCTGTGTAAAGCGACCAGCTAACAGCGAATTGTAGGAAGCTCGCATACGATTACACAGTTCTCCGCAGGATACAATCACGATCAAAAGTTGTTTATGATTATGACGAGAAAGTAAGAAGTCCAACTCGTCGACTCACACCGCAAAATGGTCTTATTTATACCTTCTCCTCCGGATGTCAGAACAATTCTTGACCGACACCGTCAGTCGCACATGGACCTGGGCAGCGACTTTTGACCTTGTTGCAAAAGTGGTCAATCCAGCACATCATGCTAGAGTCGCGCTTCTCCCGATCTGGCAGGCAGTGGCAAATATAGACAAAAGTTGCTGTCTGTCTGTATCACGATGCACATCGAGTTTCATGCACGGCCTTTTGGTCAAATGAGCAAGGCCTTTTGCCACCGAGCTCTAATCGCATGCCCATCAGTTTGATGATTCCTAGTCGTACGGTAAGCTAAACTCCTGCAGTGGGCGGGCTGCAGGTCAAACTAATGCAGACAAACCTCCATCAACGAGATCTTACGCCCTCGGCACCAGACAACAAAGCCGATGCCGACGGAGTCCACGAAAATTATACGACAAGCGTCTGGGTCTGCTACGAGACACCTAGACCATGCACCTTATCACCATTTCCCCGGAAACCTCGACTACGCCCGGAGAGTGGTGGGTATGATACGAGGGTTGCACGTATGAGCAATTTTCCATGTTGTCGGATTTGCCATGGCCGGCTGGGTATAAGCAGAAGTTTCAGGGTGAGGGATCGATTGCCGGGCAGTCTGTGATAGGATCCATAACACTGATGTCTCGCGGAAACTTAGACTTGTGAGACTGACACTTCAACTCTCCCCTTAAGCAGGGCGTCTTAGCTCGGTCACAAGCCCAATGGACATGCGGCTTGCTTCGTATAGGTACGTACGTGGATGAGATGAGCTCACGGGTCCGACTCGCCCACGGCCAACTTGCCCACGGCCAACCCGCCCACGGCCAACTCGCATATCTAGCGAGGAAATCCTCATTCCAGCAATGCAAAGACCATCCTGGTTAGTATCGGCTCGCGCGCATAGCCACTACCAGCACTGTTGACTTACGTGACCCAGGAAAAGTCGAGGCTTTGGAGGTCAAGCTTTTCCTATGCGATTGCGGGCCCGGATGGCTGGGATGAGATGCAAAGATACAGTACTACGCTTGCTGGGATGTACTCGTAAAGCGAGCATTCCATTAGCTGGGTTCCTCAGTCTGTAAGTCGAGTAACCGGTGAAGACGGAAAAGGCTCGCGTGTTAGCAGGAGAGCTTACGACAGGCTTGTCCGAGAGTTCTTCAATGCTGTCGGGGGCTTGACACAGACTCGGAGGGTTCTCCAGATCAACACTGCAGGAGACAGGCCGGCCCAAGGCATGGAATACGAGAAACGTTCGATAATGAATAGAGACTGTACGGGATACAGATTACACCGGGCAAGCCCTGCTCTGATCCCAACGGTTTCAGCCACACTTAGGTGAATCGCAACCTGGGATTCTTTGCTCCGATTTCGACGCCTTTCACTTTTCCATTTACAGATGATCTCTGGGACCACCAGGTTGCGAAAATTCTCGAACAACGCTGGTTGCCTTTCCTCTTTGTTCTGGCTCGCGAACCGGTGAGCATTGGGCACTCCCATTTCACGGTGGCTACGGAATCCGTGCTTGCCACCACCGTCCACAACACGCTATGTTTCAGATCTTGCATCTGATCATCACCAAGTGTTGCTGACCCTTAGTCAGAGGCGCTAGCGAAGGTCAACCTTTGTTCTTGCATGAGGCCAGCACGACGACCATACAGCCTACTGCTTCCAAGCCTCCACTGCTCGTCACTCGGCGGCTTTTTGTGGCGTGTGATCTCTCCAAGTCAATGTAGGGGCCGCTCACATGAAACACGAACAAGCGCATCCAGGAAGGACTATGCCAGGCAACCGTACTCTCATTGGCCACCATGGAACTCGAGTCATTCGGTTGCTGGGAACTGGGAGCTGGGACCTATTGTGAGTCTTCCGCCCGTGGATGGCCTCCTCTTGCATCAAAGTAGTCGTGGCCAAGCGCCACGGCCACCTTTCGTATTGGAAAAAGCTAGTTGGTTCGTTGCACAATAGAGACAACCTTTGCAATCCTATCATTCGACGATTCGCAGGTCTAAAAGTCGATTGAGCCCCTCTCTTCTTCATGACGTCGGGGCGAACTTGCTTTCCTCCGTTGTGGATCGGATCACTCATCCAGGCTCACAGCTGGAATCAAGCGTTGAGCATCTCTTCGACTGTTCGTCGTTTAGAGAGCTACACAAGTTCGTTCCAGTACGTTGTGAGACGGCAAGTGTGAATATGAGGTACAAATGCACCCTACCGCCCCGGGGAGCACATCTCATGGAGGCATGTTCGTTCGAGCCATCACCGAAGTTCAAAGGTGTCCCCCTTCTAGAAAAAAAGAGGCCCCTTCAGACACAAGGTAAACTGACCAAAGTGCCTCCCTCCCGCCCTCTCTCCCTCACGGTGGGTTTTCAGTGTTGGATCGTGCGTGGGCGGCTTTTGGTAGAGATGTCTCGGTTGGTCATCTATCATGGCACAAAGTCCACTTCGAGGGGCTGAGAGAGAGAGGGTATCACATCCGCTCTTTCTTTACGACAATCCGTCCGGTGGAGAGGGAGGTTGTTGTTTTGTGACCTTTGAACATGCAAGCACTGCTCGTTTCGAAATCGAAGTTGCTCTGAAGGATCTATACCATACTATACCATACTATACTATGCTCCGCCCTTCCTCTGCTCTGCTCCACCTCATACTCTTGTTTGACCCTAGATGGGGACTCGCGACGCAGTCATCAACTCAATAAAGACAAACTCTTACATCGTCTTCCTCGGTGCATGCATATCATTATACTGCATTTCCAACGACATTGTGGCCCGTCGGACCAGCCCTAGACTTGCCCTCCCTTGCCCTGCTCCACCTCGTCTCGCCTCGATTCGTCTCGTCTTGCTTCGTCGGCCCTTCTCACCCACTATGGAGTAGTGGTACTCTCACTGTCCACGAACCTGTACCTCATCTCATACACTTTGAAACCGTAGCTGATGTCGGATCATTGTTCAAACAGGAGCTTTCATCATTCATACACACCTCGCCAAGATCGTTTCAACCATGATCATTCTTCTCTTGTGCTCGTTTCTTCTATCCTTGATCGGAGAACTCTCTTCATCACTCTACGAAAGTGACTGACTTCGCTCGCCCTCTCCCTCCTGTCCTATTCCTAATATGCCAGAATCCATGTAATCCACATAACAACAACAGCAACAGCAACAACAACAACAGAAAAGAGATTCGTGCAAAACCTTGGAGGATCTCAGCCTCCATTCATCCTGGGTATCAAGACTCTCAGTTCCCTGAAGGGTAGGGGTAGGGTGTAGGTGTTGTAAAGGGAAAAAAATATCCAGATATCTCTCGCTCTCTCTCTCCCTCTCCCTGTCTGCTTCTCTGACTCTCTCGCGCTCTCTGTGTGTATGTGCATCTTATCCTTACCCTGTCGACTACGGATGTCGACAGGCATCCCACACAACTTACACACAAACATCCGTCGCCCTGTCATCGTCGTTGTCGGAACCACCGGCTAGCCCTGAGCCCGCCATCGCAGCCACCGCCGGGACCACCTGAGTCCCCGATATCGGCAAGGCTATACACGTCACCTTCTTTGAAACGCCAGTTTCCAAGGGAGAGAACCAGAAAAAACCCCCCATGCTTCTCTTGGTGACAAAGCACCAGCCAACTAAAGTAAGGTACTCCCAGAGTACCTACCAACAGTGGTGCTTGCTTTCGACTCGACCATTTGCTTTTGTGTAACCAGACCAAAACAGGACCAAACCAGACCAGGATGCAAATGGGATGGTGGGTGTAACGATAGTGTAAAACTGCAGTAGCGATAAAATAATACCCCGTGGGAAGTCGGGTAGTGTAAGTACTGTGTGTCGCAAGTATTATAGAAACCCTTTTTCCAGAAAAAGATTAGACAATACTCGTGTGTATCCGTATTATGCCGGGATTCGAGGCCATCGTCGTCAAAAAGGAGTGGTGACGAAACGACTGATTATTCGAAGTAAAAAGGGAAAAAGAAAACCGGGTCGTGGCCTCGGGGTATACACACACCCAAGAACAAAAAAACGCTTGATAAAGGTCAATTGTCCGAGAGGGCGAGCACGAGGTTGTATACCGATGGGCGTGATTCGAGATTACTGGATATCGACGCCGAAAAAAGTGAAAGTTGTCGATGACCTGGTAGGATAGGTTCCGTTTTTGGGGGGGTGGTTGGGAGCGTGATACAGCACTCGTACACTAACTCACTTTCGTCGCCGTCAGAGCCTTATCGATGTGAATCGATCGCCGGAGCAAATCGTCTCGGTATCACCCACCTACCAACCTGCTATGTGCGAGGAACGAAGACAGGCCATCAAGGCCTACCTATTGGCGGGTGATACTCTTCAAGAGACGGGCCCGGTGAAGGCGTGGCGACATTTAGGCTATGTGAGAGAGGTGCTGTGACGATTGATTGCTGTACGAGTGGTATAGCGGAACCCAAAGCTCCCGCTCCCAAAAAGAGGTAACGGTACGATACGGTATACCTATTCATATCAAGAGAAATTCCCATCCGATTTGGCGCATCACGTCCCGCCAGTGGACGTTCTGGTTCCTTGGTACTGTGGTTGCTGTGGTTGTCGTTGTCGTGGTCATAGAAGAAGACGAAAGCGGTGCTGCAGGGTTAGTAGCCGTCGTTGTCGACATCGATAGCCCGGGTGCCGGCGCGGGGGCGATGTTGATGCCGCTAGTCGTGGCCGACGCAGCGATTGGTGTCGATATCGATCCTCCCGGACTTCCCGCGGTGACGGGGGTCGCTTCACATACGCCAGCAGAGAGGATCATGTCGTCGTTGCAGCGCCAGACTTCGTGCAGAAGATGGACCATCCTTCCAAATGATCCGTGGTCGGCCGCTTCACCGAGCATCTCGCATCGGTCCGCGAGCATTCGGCGGAAGGGCGACGCTGGGATCGAGTTGACCCCGCAGATCAGCAGGGGCCACACGAGGCTGCGGTCGAAGCCGTTCGGGCCCGAGGGGATGAACTGCATCAGATCCGACATCTGGGAGATCAGGTTGACAGTCGCTGGTTGGTGGCGATTGTACTCTGGCACCAGAGAGCAGAGGTACACGCGGGTGGCTTTGCGGAAGATGGCGGTGATGTTCTTGGTCAGCTGCTTGGGTTTGAGCACCCCGGACTTGGAATAAGGAATCTGCGGGCCCTCGGCGGGTTCGATCTGGTCCAACGTCTGCGCGAGAGAGGTGATGTGGCTACAAATGGCGATATCGTCGAGTCTTCCATCCGTCTTCAGGGAGTCGAGGCAAGCAACTTCGGACAGCAGGTACATGACCAGGTCGTTGCAGCCCATCAGGTCCTCTAGCCCCGAAGTGGCCTGGGCGAAGAACATGTTGCGGTAGGTGTTGGAAAAGCGTGGGGCCTTACCTAGCATCGTGGCGCCGAGGATGTCAATCCACGCGGTCAACGTCATGTTGAATGCTGGGTGGCCTCCAGTAACGTGCAGCCCTTCAAGTATAGCCGGGAGTTCGAGCTTCTGCACAATGTCGGCAGCTGTCTGGAAGTGTTGGTGCCACGGAATGAGCTCTTTCTCCGGGTTGCTGCTGGACCCGACGCAGCCCTGTAGAGAGATCATGCCGAGTAGGGCATCGAGGATCTCGCTGTGATGTGTGTCGCTGTTCAGAGCATCGACCACAATGGTGACGAATGCGAGCCTGTGCCGCATGGTTTCGTCATCGACCATTGAACCGAGACTCGTCCGGGTGTCCTTCATGTGGGTGGCAGCAGCGAGCAGGCAAGAGTGGAGATACGCCTTGTTGTTCTCCAGCGCAGGAAGGACTGCGTCTGCTCTCACCGAGCCGGGCTGGTTGGCCTCGAGGACTGGGAAGAGCAGTGGGAGCACATTGTCAAGCAGGTGGTTGAAGAGCGGACGGTCACAATCGTCAAGCTGTATCATGGAGCATTGAGGGCCAGACTGGCGACCTAGGTGGTTGAAGTCGAAGACGTTGAAAGAAACCGGATCCTCGGCACTCCATGAGTCTTGTCTTTGCTCATAGAGCTCTGGCTGGGTGAAGTCATCACCAGTGTACGACGGCAACATGGCGTGAGGTGGAGGGGGCACCCAGGTACTGAAGGTCGATATAGACGAGTCCCGTCGAGTGAGTTCATCGTTGACGTACGTATGCATCTCGGTCTTGACATCAACCTCCCAGGGGAACCCTTGGCTGTATGGGTCGTGGGTCATGTAGACTTCTGGTCCAAACGGAGTGAATATACCGGGCGTTGTCGCAAAGGAAGGATCAAAGTTTGGATCGTAATCTTCTGGGGAGTCGTCGGAAGACCCTCGAGTACCATCTGCGGTGGAGTCAGCTTCAAGTTGAATGCATACCAGGAGAGGCAGCGACATACAAGCGCTCTGAGCAGCAACATTTTTTTCGTTCGTTTTTGTCCTCTTGATGACCGTCTTGATGTGCTCTTTCTGTTGCCTCCGGTTTTCATTGTTAATCCACCAGTGAGGTCGCTTGTACTCACAATCCAGTCCCAAGTTTCGACATGCCTTGCACTTGGGCTTTGCTTCGTCACACTTCTTCCGTCTAAGGCGACATGTAAAGCAACCTAGAAAGGACCTTAGCAAGATAGCATGAGGTATCTGGACGGAGATATGCACTTACCAGACCTCGACCTCCGGTGCATTTTGGAGGACTTTGTACTTGCAGATGGCGAGGCTTTGGCTATGGGTGCAGCCTTTCTCTCCTTCGCCGGGGCCATAGCTGTGTCTCGGGGTCCCCAGGGAGTTCGGCACTGAGTGTACAAGTGTCGTTCCGCGCGCACAACGTCAAACGACCGGACGTTGATATCGAGGATGGCAATGACCAGGACAAACAACCGTGAACTGCGCTGTTGAGGATTATTACTAGGGAGTGGTCGCGAATACTGTCCAGCAGTGTTCGCACGAGCGTCTCGGAGGTACCGTCGACGGGGTGAGGGAGCAACAGCGAGGGCAACGGTCTGCCTTGGAGGAACTCACGGTGACATTGGCCGAGGATGTTGTTTATGAGAGGTCTGGAAAATTCCCAACACGATCAGTGATCTATATTTGGATCCTGGAGGGTAAGGCTATGCAGGTCAGGATGAGCATCCGAGTCGCTTCAGGCAAGATCCAGAGGGGAGGGAACAATTCTCTGTTGGAGAGCGAATGAGAGAAACACGCGGTACATGCTGGAGGTGATGTATCTATGAATATCGCATTCTGCGTCTGAAGGCGCACCTCTTTGCGGATTGGTGGGATATTGTGTGGGGGAAGGCCATTTGCATTGATTGAACAATGAGCAGGCTGGTCGAATGGGCCATGGTAGTGGTAAGTCGACAATTCTCAGTCAATTCGGTCGACCGATAGTCTGCATCGCATGCAAGAATGAATGGGCATGAAGTGTGGCAGGCTGAATAGCTGATTGGACACATCCATGTGGGCTGGCGCTTCGAGGCTAAGATTAGGACTCGACATCTTCGACGAGTGCTAAAGGCAGGACAGTTAGCGCCGACCTCGAACAGCCTGCATGATACCCCTGTGCACAATGTCCACACCCCTGGTCAAGCCACTCGGTGCAGTGTGGTCTCATGAATGGGTGATCGCCGTGGACACAATACCAACCCCCGACGGGTTCCGACCTCTGAATGGCCTCTTGACATGAATCTGCTAATCAAGGAAGTAAATGGTCGCCGCCGAGTGAGCCAGGCCCATCAGGCATCAGGGCATCACTTTGCCCGTGTGGCCTGGACCCATTTCTTGACAGGTCACGAGGTAGATGGCCCGGGGAGACACTTCTCGGCCGTGAAAACGACTTGACGGTTTAGTTCTCAACAAGCCCATGACGGTTGTACCCGGCCGGTACCATTCTCTAGGAAAAGCTTTCCATCACGAGGGTTACCAGAACCAAGGTCATGTTCCACGTACAGACAACATGCAGCCCACCGCATAATGGTCCGTGTGCAGTCGTCTGGGGCACCCGTATCCGTACCGTGTTGGGAATGCCGAACGCCATCGTATAATAACTCACCGTACGAAGCGGGGGGATTGTCCCAGCAAGGACTCGCTTACCCAGCTTATCGCCAGTTCAAAGCTCCACCGGGTAGATGCAGTAGTACGGCATTAGGCTCGTGGGATCTCCAGTGCATCCATTCGACTTTCGTTGACTGGCGCAATAGCAAGCCATCGTTGAACGTATAGTGCCTCATTGGTCAAGTCGGCACAATTCCTTATGTCGCTACCATGTGTTTTCCGTGCTTGAAAAACTTCCGGGACAACGGTGTTTCTCCTCAGGTGTCAAATCTGTCATTTTTCTTGAACGGCAGTGGGCTGTTCTCGACTGCCGCCTTACCACGGCAGGACGCTGGACGGTTGGTGAAGGGACGGAACTCAAGGCCGCTCCGGCCAGCAAGCTTTCAGTGGAGGGGCAGTTGGGAGCGAAAGGCCAGGAGAGGCAGCCGATGGTGTGTTGGAAAGTCATGGACTGGAGGCAATGATTGGATGGTGACCGTCCGAGGTGAATGGCTAGTGCTGAAGCTACCCTTGCGTGCCTGGTGATTCTTCCGGGATCAGTGAGGTTCAATCTGGGTGTGAGAAGGACGCGGGAGCGACGGCGACCAACCGTGATGCCAAGGGTGCTCTCGTGCATTAGCCCGGTGGGTCCCAAGTACCTCTCTGGAGGACAGTGGTCGAAGGCTTCCTGCTCCCTGCATGGCCCTTGTCTCGATCCAACAAAGCTCCGTCGACCAGTCTGCAAGCACTGTACTAGTTAGGCTGCAAGGTGACTACAGGAGCTGCCATTTCCCCTCACCATTTCTCTCGCTTCTGGCGTTGTGCATACTGTATCGACGGATGCTTTTATTTTTAGCCATGCGAGTATCTCAAGATTCGAGCTGCGTGAAGCTGGAGAGGTTCGGCGACGGCATCGTCGCCTAAATGACATCCACAACTGCTTTGCTACAGATAATGCTCGTGTTCATACCTAGGTACAGTACTTGTGTACCTGATCTGCTCCGTACGAGGCGATCAAATGGGCACTGTGGAGCACCAGAACCGCAACAATACGCCCCCGATCGCTGATCATCCAGCGATTGTTCCTGCAGTTCTGACCTCAATGAAAGTCAAGGCCATTCTCACCGTCGACTGTTGTGCTCGCCTACTAACCTGTTTGCGCGCCATGAGGCTTCTGTTAAATGCTAGCAATGTGACACTGTGCTGGGGACCTGGACGATACCCTCCAACGCCTCCAGGTTAACGAGCCGGGGTGTCGGTGATGGCTGCCAGCCTCCTCTGCCCTTTGACTGGCTTCCCTCCCCAGCATTCCATGCATGGAAATTTGAACACTATCACAGTCACATTCCACCAACTCCAGCTTCATGTCACCTTCGGAGGACACCTGTGGTGCTAGTCTAGAGGATGCTACAACAAATTGCACGCTGAACTTAAACGACGGCTGAGAAGCCTGAACCCTCCCCCAGACTGGAAGCATGCTGCCGCCACAGCAGACAAAGTCGACTCTCCGCATGTGCAAAACTGCATCTTCCCGCGTTGCGAGTCTAAAAAGTTGCAGCCGGCAATATGCAGGGAGGAGGATAAGGGAAGGAATGCTTCCCGTTCGAACAAATGCACCGTTGGACCTTAGTAGTCCTGGTAAACCCAATAAGGAGTCGGGGAGTCGTTGAAGTTCGACCCGCACCTTGACAAGCAAACTCAGTCGAAGGTGGTGCGAATGCAAGCCGAAGACGTACCAGAACGTCAACGGCCAGGACACAAAGCATAGAACCTCAGACCGTTTATGACCATGGTAATCAAAAGATACCTATTCGGGTACAGGTCTCGCATGATATTTAGGTCTTTGTTGGTGAGTAGCGGTGAGTCCACCGCTATCACCACGCCTTGGTGGCTGCCATGTGCTGTCACGATACCTCTGTCATGTTCTCAATCTGGACCCTATGGTAGGGCATGCTTGTCAACACATGCACAACAGCTTGCGCCGTCGCTCACTTCTCTCAACTGACATGCTAGTGTCGAACGACGTTCTTCCCGCACACGGCAAGGCAGCAAGCTCGTGCACGTCAGTAGTCTCGTAAAGTTCTTGCGTGCATATGCGTTTCCACAGGCAGAGTCGTTCCGACTGGTTCAATAGTCTCCAAGAGTCTCGAACAAGCGAGACGACAAGCTCGGTTACAACAGTTGCGAGCCTGCGGGACGAAAAAGGGTCTGGGAAGGGAAGTGGGTTCGAGTTGAGCTCGCCTGGAAGGCCCACGCTAGCCTCGATAAGACCCTCCAAGTGCAGCCAATCTAGACGCTGTTTCATTGCTAAAAAACTGGCCTTCCGGTAAGGGCCGATGGCACTGACTGAACTCAAACACCTCCGGCTTCAACTTTCCTGACCCTGAGATTGTACTCTACGAGTGGGAGCATTTGAATTTGTGGACAATTCACGAGATGAGAAATGTGTGGGTCAAGGACGGGTAGAAAGTGTCAACTCCATGTTACTCAGGGTCCGTGAGCAGGTGGACGACATTCTTTTGCGGGAGGAGCAGGTGCTGACCTGCTGAGCAGTCTCCCAGGAGCTGTGGTAGTCTGAGGGTCCAGTGTATCCTTGGTCAACCACAGCTGAAGGTGATCTCTTCCAACTGTTGCAGTGGAAATTGGTGACGCAACGCAGGTGTAGAGCCATGTCGTGATCATGTGTCGTTTGACTACAGTACATCTTGTGATCTGGTGTGGGGGAACATCTTGTGCTCTACACACGAGCCTACGAGTATGTATTGTACGTACCGTACTGTCCAGGGTCCACCTTTCACCAGGGCGGGTCCAGGGTACGACTGGATTCTCTAGGAGGTGCAAGTCGGAACGAGGCAAAAAGGTGGGATGGGAAAAGGAAGATCTTCTTAATTCCCAAGTCAGAAGCCAATCAAACACACAGGTAGCGAAGAAAAAAGCCTGGAAAGGGAGGATGGGAACGAGGTGGCTGGGAAATGAGGAGGAGGATCCATGGACGGGGAGGACTCCCTACTGTACAGTCTGCAGACCACAGTAGACCCTCGGGCCTCACCACGGCAGAACAGTCTCCAGAGGGCAACCCGGACCGGAGCGATTTGGAGACACTACGGGTAAAGGAAGAAAGGGAAGAGCCAGACCGGGAGAGGGAAACGGCGCGTGCCCGCAGAGTCGCAAGAGGGGAGCGAGTGAGAAGCGCTGGATGCTATTCCAGGACACAGCAGGATCAACGCCAGACCAGACACGGCATGGCCCAGTCGCCGCTCAATGGCTGGGTATTTTTGGAAATAGAAGACTGTCGACACCATTGGCGAATGCCAGTAATGCTTAGAGAGGGATGTGTCTGGCTCCATCCGACATCACCATCCATCTCTCCACCATTCGCTGCATTGCTTGCAGGGAGTAAAGCACCATGGTGGAGGCGACCTTGTCCTGGCCTCGATGGCTTCGGCGCGTACTTTTCATAGCAGCCTCATTCATTGGCCTCTTCCACGTCGTCGACATGTTGCCGCCGGCCTATACCAACCAACGTCGGGATTCGTTTCGTTGAATGGCTACTAACCATGCGTTTCACATCTATCGCACGCATACCACTGCAGGAGGTTCTTCAGTATCATGCATGTCGTCCCCTGTACGAACCCTGGTCTATACTCCGCTCGTCACACTCGTTAATCCCCAGTAACCGCCCGCCTTGTGCTTTTCATCAAGACTTCTATACATACCTCGAGTCCGTCTCGAATCCCCGTCTTTGCTTGATGGTTTGCAAACTTCGCCAGACTGGCCCTCTCCCTGCTGAACAACACACTGTTATTCAGTATGGAATGGACAACGCCGCTTTCTAGACCCCCGTTGCAGACGGTTGCGATGCTGCAGAAGCATTCCGACCTTTCGTTCCTATATCGTCGGAGCCCAGCTCCACGGCCACTCTCCGAAGCCACCGAGATATTCGACACGGACAACGAAGAAGACTCTGACTCTGCGCCGCACCCATGGGGAGACGGAGACAGTGAAAGTCAATCTACCCTGTCAAGTCCTGACGACCTACCTACGCCTCCCAATACCGGTGGACTCGGCGGCTTCGAATTCCATTTCGATGACAAGTCAGTAGTAGGGCCCCAAGGCCCACACCTCTTCAGAGGCACACCTGAGATAGTCAGCAACCTGGAAGACGATGTCTTCATGGCCTTGTCACCAGTCGGGCAACCGAAACCCGCTCCGAAACCCATCGGGGCACTCAACACCGCCGTTGCGGAACTTGACGAGTCTCAGGTCCGCGACTGGACGCCCAAGCAGGTGGCTGAGTGGATGGCTGAAGCTGGCTTCGAGACCAGTGTGGTTGAGAAGTTCCTCATTCACGACATCTCCGGCAGCCTCCTGATTGACCTCCAATTTGAGGATCTCAAGGAGCTCGACATCAGCTCGTTCGGCAAACGACATCGCGTGATGAGCTCCATACAGCAACTTCGCAACAGCAGCATGATCTCACTGGAGACTCCTCTCTCAAGGACACCCTCCAAGACGAACCAAAGTCCACGGGCTCTGCAACGATCTGCACTTCCAGAGGAACGTCAAGTCGTCGTCACCGATCGTTCACGGTCACGGAGGCGGGGGAGACAGCCCGACATTGTCACCCCAGCCGAGTCGATATCGATCGTCGGGATCGAGCAAGTGCTACCAAAGGAGCACAAGTGCTCCAAAGGTGAAGACTGCCCCAAATGGCAGAAACAGCAACGCAAGATTCTCCGCCTACAGCGGGCCTTTGAAGAGGACACCCTCCACCGGCCCATATCCGAGGCCCGGTCCGAAGCCTTGCCGTCTGTGGTGGGCTCCTCAGACGTGCTGGGCCCATCTTCCGTCAAGATCACGGCCGAGACTTTGAGTTCGGTGCAGCCTCGCGACCCACAGGAGAGCGTCCGACAGTTTCTCAACTTCCAGCATTTACACTCGCCGTCAACCTCAACGAACCCATCGCCGCCGCCTGCTGCTTCGGCGTCCTTTGCTAACAAGTCAGCTCACTTAGACGAGCATCTTCGTGGTCTGCCAAAACTCACCATCCCTACCACCCACAAAGAAGCCGAGAGGAGTCCGTCGCGGACGCCCATCTCGGCCCTCCACCAGCCCACACAAATTCAAGCCCAGCTCAAAGCCCAGTTACAAAGGGACCCCTACCACTATGGCGGCGTCGCGTCGCCGGCGGACATCTACCGCATCGACACTCCCATGTCAGCGACCGACATCCCCATCACGGCCATGGCCATCGACCCGTGTCAACGAGACGTGTCGCAATCCGTCCCTCCGGAGATGCGATACGGAGCCACCGCCACTGCCCTCGTCAGCCCCGAGCCAATCCAGCGATGCGTATCAACCCAGCCGGCACCACCAGCACATGCACCTTCTCCTCATCCTCACCCACGTCGGCACATCCGCCAAATGTCCTTTACGCCGTCGATACCACCCGTCAAGGAGAACGAGGTAGCTGCTGCTGCTGCTGCTGCTGCCGCCGCCGACGCCGGCGCCGCGGAACCATTCAAGACCAAGAGTCGGCAATCGGCACGCATCACCGAGCTCGATCTGGCCAACCACCACGGCTGGATGCGCAAGCGCAAGACGACCCGCATGCTCCGGCACGAGTGGCAGGACCACTACTGCACGCTGATCGGGCACGAGCTCACCATGCACGATTCGCACTACGCCACGGCCAAGGCTCTCGAGCGCATCGACGTGGACGAGTACACCCTGCACGCTTACTCGCAGGCCTCGAGCTCGAAACTCAGCGCCGCCTTCAAGAAGAGCCTGCTGGGCCAGGGCAAATTACCTGCCGGCGAGCACTTGTTTGCCTTTTCCCTCATCCCGGACAACAATGACAAGGCCACGGTGCGGAAACTGTTCGATAGGACTGCCGGGAGTGGGAGTTCCAGTGGTAGTGGTGGTTCTTCCAAATCTCACCATTTCGCCGTCGACAGTTCCAAGGAACGGATCGAGTGGATGAGGAAGTTGATGTTGGCGAAAGCCATGAGGAAGAATGCCGCCTGTGAGATTTGAGTATGTAAACGGCGGGTGATGTCCTCACCCACACGCCTTTGATTTTCTAACACTCGGCTCAGTCGATCTCGATGATTCCGTCACGAATTCACTTTTATCCAGACGGTGCCTCGCGGCCAATATCTCTCCTACCTCGGCTATAATACCACCCCCGAGCCACGGGGGACAGGAAAAAGGGGTAAGGCATTATTCATATTATCGTGGTCGGGGGAGAAGACGAACGTCTGCCTTTTTTGCACTCGATAAGGTCCCGCCCCGTTACCAACCACACACAACACGCCACGCCACGCCACGCCACGACATTGTCACAGTACGAAGAATTGGGAAGAATTGACCATGATGACTGACAAATGGTCCATTCACCCTGGGCTCACTTTAACGCCTACTCACCTACCTCACTATCTACATGATCTTTGCACCCTTTTTTTTCCCCTTTCATCATCATCATCATCATCATCACTTAGCAAGCCAGCGACAATGGAGCCATCGGGGATTTTTCTCTCACCCACTACCATCTCGGGACCATCGGCGTTCTTCTTTCGGTCAAGGCTTGGAGTTTGGAGGAGACGACTCATTCTCAAAGCTAGTCTCTAGCCTTTACAGGCGTACTGGAACCAGGGGGTGTGCTTTGCTTACTTCCTTACTTGTGGGTGGTGCAAAACTATACCACACGGGCCCAAGCCCACCACCACCACCACCACCACCATTAACGACACCTGAGATACCACTATTTTGAGCCGCTTTTGTTTATTTCTTTTTTTTTTTCCGGGAGCCTGTGTTTGATTGTTGACGGTTGACGTTTGTGGCGCATGCAGCAAGAAGGTTGAGCACGAGGATCCTTGAACAACGACGACGACAAGAGAAGAAGGGGGAGCAGAGGAAGGGAAGAGGGGAGATTCCACAACGGCGGCAAATTTCATATCCTGGAATGTACCTACCTGCCTACCTGCCTACTCATGTAGCATGTTTTTCATCCAGTTCACTCGGTTACCGGATGAACGGAGGGGAACACACGGCAGGTCGGGCATCATGGCCATGCGTCAGATCATGTCACACGCCCCATAGCTGCTAGATAGGTACCTACCAGATGCCTGTTCGACGAAGGGATGCCTACCCCGGCTACAGGTGCCTACGTAGTCATGTCAAGTAGCGACCACTTGAACCATATGACAATGATGAAATCCGGTCTGTGTGGGAAAGCCTAAGATTTACCGGTCCGTCCGATAGTATCCTACTCGTGACGTGAACTGATGAAAAAGAAAAGAAATTACCCGTCTCGAACCAATGTATTGAGTATCCAATTGCGTACATGTACACCGTGTACATTATGAAGTACCTTATTTTCACAACGTATGCCATTTTTGATCGGTATCTCGTACCTTTATAGGCGGAACGACGGGGTTTCTGTATAGGAAAACCAAACCATACTAATACACGTTTGTCCTTTGACTTTTTTCTGGTCCTGAATGCAAAGGATGAGGTAAGGCTGAGGGGGTGTCCCTTCAGCTAGGTGATATCTCTTCGACTAGGCGATGCCCCTCCACATCTCCATTTCGAGAAAGTGTCGAGAGGGGAAAAACCATGGCCATGTTCAGCTTGCGACGTTGTCGATCTGCTTGGCAAGTGTCTGCACAGTCCAATAGTCCAAGGCTGTGACCAAAATAGTCAATTCGAACATATTCCCTCACGGCAAAATCAGTCCATTTCGAGAAAAATGCAGCGGTTGCTCCATGGAAATTCAGCGACGGAATAATCATAGGGCCCAGGCCAATCTCGAGGGTCGTCTTCACGACCGAAAGTGCCAGGGGGCAGCTGTGGAGGAGAGATGGTCGTAGTGAACATGAACCAAGGCGCGCTCCACTGAGGAATGGAGCATAGGGTAGGAATATTGTTGCTTGGATGTCGTCTACTGGTCCTTGACCGTTTCGAGGTATCCAGGTAGTATAGTCTCAACCAGAGAAATGGCTGGGAAGAGCCTCTCCGTCGATGCCAACGACTTGGGCCTAACCATTTTATTGTAGTCAGGTATCCAGGTATCCAGGTACCGGTGTTGTTGTCTTATAATCGATCTTTAGGAGTTGCATCCCAAAGGAGAATCCGCTCTCGGTCGACACGATGTGAGCGCCGGCTCCGTTCACTTCGATAGGCAGATCTACTCTCACCAAGGGAAGGCTCCTAGGAGACTGCAATCATGGTTTATGTTGCTGTTGGTGGTCGATTCGTCCTCTCTTAGCGGACTGAAGTTTCCGTTCTTCATTCCATTGCTGAACCATCTTATCAACTCCGCGTTGCCAGGTAATCTTCCATTCAGCTTCGAATCGTCCGAACCACCAAAACTTGCGACATATCTTCGTCATGCCCTTCCACGTCCCCGTGGCAGGGAACGACTTGAGAGCGTACTCGAGTAGCTCATCAGACTTCTGCAACATTCCACCAGATTGTGTCCTCCATTTAATCACCAGCACAACCCAGATAATCACCTCTGACTCGGCGACGCTAGGGGTGTCAATTGCCTTCACGTTGGCGAAGAGTGCAGTCAACAAGAGATGGTCGAAGAAATCGGTTCGCTGGTTTCCACTGAGATGTCGAATAATGGCCGCAAGACCAAGCATTGTGACATGTTCCAGACCTGGCGGGATCTTGGCCCGCTTGAGATCGAGGCATAATGTCATGGCATCACGAGCAAACTCGCGTGGCTTGCAGTATAACCGGCTGTATTTGGCGGTTGCCTCTTCCCCGGGAAGGACAACATCGGTGCGATCGACCAGTGGCGCCCATTGAGCGAGCTCAGACAGGATCTTCATGCACCGGACGCTCAGCTGGCCGGTGAGAGCAGCCTCGGCGATCCCAGGAGGCATTTTGGCGACGTAGTCGCAAACGTCCGGGGGAAATGGATGGCCGACGTAGTTAATGGGTTGCATGGGCACCGCACTCAGATCTTCGGGGGTGATATGTAAGTATTGACCCAATGCCATGTAAAATTCGGTCCTGAGACATGTTAGAAATACTATGCGTCTACCTGAGCTCTAGGGGCACTCACGTGGCCATCTGGCCTCTGAGAGCTAGATGCACCGTCGAATCGGTCAGGCCACCTCGGAGGGCGATTATCTGTTTTACACCCTTGAGGTGCATCTTCAGCGCTTGTACGTCTCTGGCTGAGGACTTTTGCGAGATGTCAGCCAGTGCGACCAGCGTACTTGGTAATAGAAACCACCTACATCCGCGGTCATGAGATGCACGACGGATACGATAAGCCCATCGTCGTATTGTGCACCCGGCTTTGCCAGACGCTTTCGGAGTGCCTTTAGGGCGTCGTTTTGGGCGAGGATTAGCGCTCTGGATCTTTGGGGTTGGTTAGGATTCGGGCTTCGGCGCCATTCGAACAGGCTCTGTGCTGCGGTGACGAGGCACTTGAACAAAGCTGGATCTTGCATAGCCATAGGCACCATCACTGACAGGGTGGGATGTTCCATGCCTGGAGTGATGTGAAGGCAAAGCTCTTCTTTGGTAAAAGTATAAACATCTGCGCACAAGTCAACTATGAGAGCCTATTCAGATGGGGCCGGAGCAGCAGAGGCAGAGGTGGCGCTCACATTCATCGATGCTCTCCATCGAAGGCCTGCCAGCTACCGGGGGGTAGGCGGAAAATAGATCGCGGCGCATCGAGTCAACAGGCGTACGCGCAAGCGCATTGTTGCTTTCCTGTTGACGGAGGGCGCGTAGCCACGGTGCTTCACCATCGTTCCCATCTGCCACAGCGTGGTGAGTTTCATCGTCCAGGTCTTCGGAGGAAGTATCAACGACGCCCATTTGGTCCACAGTATTGGTCAATCGTTCAGGGCCTCGGTCGGCGGTACATGGACATTTGTCGCAACGCAACGACGTCTTTGAATTATCGAAAGCGACAAAGAGTGCATTAGAAAAGATGCCAATGTGCCCTTCTACACTGGCATAAGAGAGTCAGACCATCAGTGCAAGCGCTGTAATTGAGACATACATATCATGAATGCATAGAATGAGGGCGGACGATAGGGCTGAAAAACAACATCTGCGAAGGCCGGGGGCTTCTGACGTAGAATAAGCAATGGGGGCGGAGTTGATAGAATTAGGGCGCGATAGGAAGGGCCGGCCGTCGGTGATATAGCCTATTTCCTCCCTCCCCGTCAAAGGCTCTAACTAAAGGAGACTCCGTCGACTCGGTGGAGCTGGATAATCAAATTCTTGTGGTATGCATGCGTCAGTAACGACAATAAAATGGCCCGCTTGACTGCATCACCATAAAACCTCGACTTTGACAAAGAGAAGAGGCGGCTCGACAATTTGTCAAGAAGAGAGGTTTAAGAGAATCATGGCCTGCAACTGGAATGGTTTTGGGCCCTGTTTCCACCTGGGCCTTTTGAAGCGGGCAAAAACCCAATCATCGAGCCCCTGAGGGTTCGTCGTTTTTGGCCTAGCGATGCGTATATCTCCGGTAGTTACTGATAAAGTCGGGTACATGGATAAGAACCGGGGGTAAGCTAGGGAAGATGGAATAGTGCCAAAATCAATATTGTATTGTATCGAAGCTTCGCGAGCGCAATAATTAATAGGGACGACGGCACACGGAGTATAAGTATATACACTAGACGTTCAATTGCAGCGCTTGTCATCGATAACGCCCAAGGGGCGAAAAGTAAAGAGTGATCGGGTCCAGAATCCCTGGGATCCAGAGACTAGATTGTTAACAACGATGGGACCCCGGGGCCAAGTATGTACGGGTACCGGTGAATGAGTGAATGAGTGATGGATCGCCTTGATCACCCTAAATGTTGGGGGGTCTTCGCGCCGATCTAGGCTTGACTCTTGAGTGACATTTTCCGTTAGAACCTCTCAGAGAGACTCGGGTATACCGTATAATCCGCTCGAAACAAAGTGATCTTTCCACGCTTGCGGTCGAGGCAAGCGTCGTCGTCGAGGGACTTGTCGGTACAAGTCGGCCTGATGTCGCCATTAAGCCCCTTGAGCGGAGATAAGAGAATGGAAGATGCAGCGTGCAAGGAGATCATGAAGAGATGCAGCGAAAGAATCGGTTGCAGGGTCAACCCTTTGCCCGAAGGTAGGAGTTGAAGCCTTCACGAGCCATTTGGATCGGTTGACGCACGTTTGGCAGAAAGAGGTACAGGAACGAGTGAGTAATAATAGTAACAAAAGTTACAAAAAGTTAGTGATCCGCAGTAGCAAAAGCTGCCATAAGCATGGCATGATCCGAAGTACTGCTGATCATCACCAAGGGTTGAATGATCCACCGTTGAGGCGTAAATTGCTTGCGTGGCCGCAATGACGTTGATGGCCGGTCAATGAGGCTGAGTCGCAAAGGCGCCGGAGTGACAGGGGTGACAGGGTCTCTACCTTTGTACTCGAAACACCAGCCAGCACGCACAGCAGGTAAGAGTACGTAACCCTCTGCAGCACTGGCCCACGCTGAGGCCGAGGAAGGATTTCATCAGGCCCGCTCGACAAGTCACTCCCAACAGAACTTATAAGAATACTCTCACCAGTCCCGCTGGACATTTTCGATACAATCAAACAACTCATTTCCCGTCAGTTCTTGATCCATTCTACCTTCGGTTCGACATACACTAGACAGCCAGTCATTCCCTTGACATCAATATCTGTCATCCGCTAATCTCCTTCGACAACAACCATGCATTTCTCAAAGCCAGTATTTGTGGCCTTTGCCGCGGTCGCCTCCGCTCAAGATATTGGTTCAATAGTCAGCTCAGCACTATCAGTTGCCACTTCAGCAATCGGAGACGGAACATCTGTTGCAGGAAGTGTCATCTCTGATGCAGCTTCGGTGATATCTTCAGTCGCCAGCAGTGTCCCAACCCAAGTGGAGTCAGCAGTCTCATCCGCCCTGTCGGACGCCGCTTCTATCGAATCTTCCGCCGAATCTCTAGCTTCAAGCCTCGCCTCAAGTGCTGCCAGCGAAGCTCCCTCCGTGAGGAGCAGTGTCGACAGCCAGATCAGCAGCATTCTTTCTAGTGCACGCTCGGCCGAGTCAAGCGCCGTGAGCGTTGCAAACTCGGCTGCGTCTTCATTCATCTCGTCACGGACAGCCGCTGCCGGTAGTGCAAGTTCTGCCGCGGCGACTGCAACCAGCACCAGCACATCTTCAACCGGCAACGGAGCTGCAGGCACCTATGTGGTTCCAGCTGCGGGTATGATGGGAGGTCTTCTCTTGGCTCTTGTTGCATTCTTGTAAAGCATACATGCACGGGTCGTGTTGTCTCTTAAGTTGCAATTATTTGATACGGACATCGAATAGATGGGTTTCGGCATCATGAGATATGGTCCAGATCGGATCCTAGTGACCGATATACATGTAAAATAATGTCATGATGATAAGGCTTCTACTGCTCCTTTGAGCTTCCCACCTGTGTACTCTTAGCGTCCCAAAGTTGCTGACCTTCGAGTAGACTTACAGATAGTGCTTGTGCGACAACAACCCGGCGTGATGTTGAGGAAAGGTAGGAGCACCTATCGTGGGTCGCAGTTAGAGGCAGAGCCTGCGTACCGAACTGAAGTGACTGCCCACCATAAGTCAGCTCGGGAAAGGGACATCGCTCTTCCGTTCGATTTTGTCATAGTCGGTTGACGTGAGGTGTCCGTCCCGAAAAGTACGGGAACTTCTTCTTTCTAGTAACAATCAGTGACATTGGACAGGAGTCGCTGCTTGCATGACGTGATTAGTTCACAGGCGCAGCTCTCGATGCTCTTTCACACGGCACCGACGGCGGGTGCTCGAAACCATCATGTCAAATCACGAGGCATTGCACTCAATCGGACGGCGAGACGGTGTGTCGATGGAAGCTAGACCCAAACAGAGCAACAAAGCGTGGCTTTCAGAACCGCTGCTTCTGTCCGACTACGGAAACAGCCTGCAACCGGTGAGGTCAACAATGCAGCTACTCAGAGCTCCGGCCAGGCGACCCCGAGACTGGCGACAGGCGCTGGTTGACTGTTGTCTGACGACGCCTTCTCCACCTCTGCCTCACCCAGGCGAAGAGACAGCCTCGAAGCATGCAGGGCAGCGTCATTACAGCTCATGAGAGCGCGAGGCCCAAACCTCTCATCAATGTCATACCTTCCTGGAGACGTCATAGTGTCGAGAAAAGGCGCACATTGTCCCCAGTTTCGAAGGAAGTGTAATGGATCTTATCGGATACTTGGTATCATGTTAGTAGGTCGACATCCTGCCTCGGTGAAAATCGCCTAACATGGCTGCGGTTGGGCACCGAGGGGATTGCTCTGTTGCTCGTGGTGGTATCATGAGAGACCATTCACGTCCTAGACGATGAAAAGCCGCTAGGGAATTGGGGCTTCGGCATCCTGACTAGGTCACTGGAGGATTTCGGCAAGGTCTTCTTCAGGAAGACATGCCACATACCCAGCATATCCGAAGGTTCTGTCTGATTTCAAAGCCAATGCAGCGGTCTCGAGGTGATGCGACACATAGATGGTCATCTTCGAGTTCCCAACGTCTCCAGCCGGCACAAGAATTCATGAGGCGAGCAGGTGGCAGAATCATGTGTTTCCGTGCTTGCGCTAGGCGAACTCGCCTGGTACTTTGTCCCTAGCATCGCTATTTCAGACTAGGTTTTGAGACCAGCAGGACAGGGCAACACACGTAACGCAGGAGTGTAGCCCTTGAACTGAGTATCGGGACATGATCGAAGGCGCGGCGCGTGTGACCAACTACGCCGCCCATGCATTCATGGTCGTTGTTGCTTGTGTGCTCGCGAGCGACCAGACAACTCTCGCAATCTTCCGAGAACACGAGTTGCGCTAGAAGCAGTCAGGGTTGCACATGAGCGGGAGTCTGATCCAGAGTCCTGCAGATCTGCTCCATCGTTGGGCAGAAATCGACACTTTCGCCGCGTTTGCTTCACATACTGTAATCCGGGGACAGATGGGCAGACATTAAGATTGCCAAAATCCCTAGTTTGCATAGGTGTCTCGCTGATTGCCCCCTTTGATCACACGGCTACCACCGGCATCCAAGAGGTATTCTTTTCTGCCCTGGGGCGGACGAGCAATTCCACGTGATGGAACTAACCCAGGCGTAGTTCGCTTCGGTTCTCGCCTCACCTTGAGGTCAACCGGACGTGATCGACGTGGGACAATCTTATCTTGGGAAGCGGCTTCCTGGCTGTTGTGCTCCGTAGAGGCTGATGCTTTGACGTTGACGTCGCCAGCTTGAAGTTCATGGGTGGCGTTGATGCTGGGGCTCTGGGACCAGTTGAACTACCGGGCGCATCCACAGTTGGGCGTCGAGGACAACACCCACCAACCTCAGAAAGTACAGAGATCGACTACGTCGAAGAGTGTTCGGTTCGTCCGCTGCTCTGGTAGGCAATGGCTCGGCCGTACAGCAACGCAACAGCTGGACAACATGGGCAGCTCTGGGGGAACAACAACCAACGTCTCCCAAAGTGAGTGGGAAAAACAACACCCACGAGATGTGGCGCAGGCTGGAGCAGAACAGCGAGCGCACTGGGGCCGTGGCTCAGCAGTGACCAGCGACTACAGTATGTACCGTACTGTGGCCCGCAAGGTGAGTGAGTCCCTTACTCTGCGAGGCCTGTGAAACCGCGTGTCGCATTGCTCTTGGCCCGGCCTCTTACAGTGAGTGAGATGGCCCGGTCGCTTCGGGCGTTTCAAAGCAGATGGCCCAGCGGCCGGCCACGGGCTGCAGGTGTTTGGGCAATTCCCCTGGCGACGCTTCGGCGGTAATACTCGTACTGTACTTTCTTCAGATCGAGTGGCGAGAACCGTGCCATGTCAGTGGGAACTTTGGTCAGGAACACTGGCTCTACGATAGGGCGAGTCTGGCGGTGCTTTTGGTGCTGTGGGCATCAGGGTCTCTCCGTCGAGCTTCTGACAGGCCTCACTAGCCGTCATTAGTCCGGATTCACCTGGTAGCGTTGCTTGCTCCCTGGGACAGCGCCTCATACTGACCAGTGACCAAAGGTGAGTTCTGGGGGACGTGGTTGGCCCGCCTTGCATACACGGCACACCCTTTTTCTGCTTCTACATCCCAAAAAACCCTTGACCCCGGATCCCCTGGTCCTTGATGTGCTTGTCGCACGTCATCCTGCCTCGCCCCTTTCTCTGTTTACTCTCCCGGCAACGAGGAATCTGTCAGGTCTCAGTTGGGTGTTCCATGCTGTTCTATTTCCAACCCGCGGCGCAACGGGCAACGAGGCACGTCTGACTTAATCCTGTCCCAGGGATTCAAGATTGTCAACAAAGTGGCTGCCCAATGACTTGAGGCTTCATTCCACAATACACTAAGCCGTCCCGGCTGGAATTTCATCTGGAGCAGGGGAGGACGGAGGATCCATTCCAGTGTGCTGCCTGATCCCGGTCCCCTCAGCCTTCTTGCTTGCATCCACCCACCATTACGGTTCCAGCTACCACCAGTCCACCACCAGTGCACCACTTCCTCACTTCAAACCTACTCCTCCCGTTCTCCGTCTTCACGGTAGTGTTGTTCTTCTCGCCTTGCTGCGGGTACTACCGCTACGCTGCCCTCGTCATCTGGACCACGAACAGGGCTTAGTTCAGTTGCCTGATGCTAGCCTCCTTCTCTGCCTAACACTCGCAATCCTCCATCATCATCCCAGGGCAGGCTGAGCCTGAGTCCTACGCTGTGACTCTTCAGCATTGGATCCTATAAATCAATCCGACATCCTTCTCATTTCACATCCCTCTCTACCCAGCAACCAGTGCAACAAAAATCAGAATTAAAACACCGCACAAACGGCCACGCGAAATCCCAGCGACCCCTTTGCTACATTCTTGAGAAGACCGCCCCCACTTTGGCCATCCTCCATCACCACTTTTAGAAACTCGTCGCCACGAAGGTCGAGGCCTGAGCTTTTTCTGAGTCACCTCGAAATACTTACTGGCACCGAACATCCTGCACTTGTGCTGCCAGTCTGCGACCACATCCCATAACACTCGAACACTTTGCGACGCCGACAACGTCCTCAAATCTGCTTTCACATTGACCGGCGAAGCCTCGTCACCATCCCACCAAGGACAGCCTTCGTCCACGAAACCAAAGATCATCATCATCACCACCACCACCCACGCAGACAAGATGCCTCACTACCACAGCACGTCCGGCTCGAGCAGCGGGGGTGAAAGAGTCTACTACAACCCGCGACGAGATGCACGTGGGCCCAAAGAGCCTCGTCCTGTGCCCAAGCGCGAAGTCGTTGTCATCCACCACAATGCCGCGACTCAAGACGATCCAGTACGGACAGCAGGCATGAGCCACAACAAGTGGAGATAGAATGGGACGGCCTGGTGCCGTCCCTTCTCTCCTTGACTACTTGTACTGTGTACTGTGTTCTGCTTTGTTTCCTCAGTGATTGGTCTTTGAGATACCTTCGCACCAGTATGATACCAAGCGAGGGAGTTTTGTTTTTCGCAGAAACGGGTATTGATTGCCCTCTGGATTGGGTAGTATGGAGTTCTTATGGCATGGAACATCAGCGCGGGCATGGGAATTTGTGGGAAAGCATCACCACTCCTGAAGAGCATGGGAACTACGACGAAGCATATAGACATACCTCCCCTTTCGACTAGGTTTTCTTTTTTTTTCCATTTTCTTTTGGTTTGCGCGCGCGATGGAAGGGGCACATGCAGAAGAAACCGTGGGCATCTCTCTACGGTCCATCCCGTCACAGATTGATCCGTGGCCGTTGTCATGTTTGCCCCGAGGTATTGGCTACTTTCCCAACCTCTTTTCATCATCATCATTATCATCATTATCATGTCACAACATCTCTGGGGGGGAAAATAGACTGGAAAGAAGAAATGGAAGGACGCAAGTCTTGTCTTGTATGAGTGAAACTGTTACTCTGTTGCTTTGTCAGATTTACTATATGAGTTATCATTTGGGCCGCTTGGCTGATCTACCTGGTACGGAATACAAATTTGTACTGTACTTTACTTTATCGATATCGGCAACTAGCTACAATAGTATAGATACAATCCTTGTACAATCCTCTAAGCAAAAGCGCCATCTCCCTATCGATACGGAGCAAGTGTGCTACTCTCGGAAGACTATTGTCCCCGTGCGAACTTTTGAATACCCTGCGTTCTGCAGCAAACTGTGATGTTCTTACAGTGCCTACCGGCACAGAAGTAATCGGGCACAAATCCTTTTAACTAGTACTCTGTACTCCGTGCCGTGAAGATCATCCCCTTGGTGCACGTAGTGTACCTTGTTCACACAACACGAGCGAGGTGCTCGTAGTTTGAGACCCCGGCCCGTACAAGAAATTGTATTGTGGTTTGGGTAGTACGTATTGTGCAGAAGTATTGTGATCAACCACAGTGGTTAGCTTAGTGCTTCGTCCGAGAGCCTCAGATCGGCATGGCAAAGCGCCCAATGGTGGAGTTGCTTTTCGTTTCCGTCTTCCAGCTTTTGCCTGTGTGATCGCCGTCGCCATCGCCCTAGGTACTTACTTGTACTGTATTAGGGCCTCTGTCTACGGGGGTACTCGGAGTTTCTCGTCCCCGTAGCTTCGTCTTTGAGTGAGGCGGCGGTGGGTACTCGTACATACAATAGCTACATAGTTATACATCCTTAGCTTTGCTTTGCTTTTCAGGGAGATCGTTCAGGCTGTGCAGACCAACAAGAACTATTAGTTAGCAGTCCCCAGTACGGAGTATTGCCGTACAATGTGATGCTTCCGTACGGAGTATGGTAGATACTTGTACCTGCAGTACAGTACCACACCTCATAACCTCGCCTGTACCTTTCTAGCTAAGCTCAGCCCACACATCGAGTACAAACAATACGAGAACCTACCGACCTAGTGAACACGGTTTCAACTCGTACGGGCTAAGTGCGTTGTTTTTTTCGGAACTGCCGCGTCCCTTCGAGGCTCTCCCGTAGAGGCTGATGCCCAAAGCCCCTGCAATCTTCCCTTTGATCCCCCCCTTCGCTTTCGCTCTCGCTCTCGCTGCGCCACAATTTCGAACCTTGGCGGAACTTTTGCTTCTGTATGGAGTGGTAACGCAGATTGCTAGTTTCAAACAAACACATACACACTCACACCCACACACCAAGAGAGAGAGAGAGAGATACACACACACACACATACCCCGTCACTCGCTGTACGAAGTAGCCTGTCGCATCGCACTTCTTCCTCGGTCCTGGGGAAAATATCTGCCCAAGGGTTAGGTTTATCATGAATCGCAGTCTGTGTCCACCGGGCCGTTGACAAGCACTGACGCAAAACTGAATCACTCCCTTAGCGAGCAGACTTCACGAGTCTAACTACCTGAGACCTTTGCATATTCGTGTACTCGTAAAATCCGGCCAAGTACAAGACGGAAAGCATCAGATTCCATGGGAGACGATACGATGGAAACCTATCTACCTACTCGTAGGTGCACTATCTCTACCGGTCGGGCCCCTCGTGCTACAGTACTTTGCTGCAATCGCTGGCTGTTTGTCAGTTCTTCAAGGTACGGAGGATGCGTACTTACATCTCCCTTGTACTTTTAACCTTTGTCCCCTTTCCTTTCCATCTAGGAACGAATAGCCCACTACCGAGTACCTACGTAGGTCATACCTGCATACGTATCCAAGGGCTAATGCTAAGCCCACTGATTCATCAGCGAATGCCCGTACGAGTAGGTAGATCCTCGTACAGTGCAGATCCGAGGTTCTGCACGCCCATTACGAGTTCAGCCCACCCCATCTACCAGCCAGACTCTTGGAGGATCCACGGACCACGGACGACGACCCAGCGATTCGCTCCGTTTAGCTCGGAGGGTGCATGTCGCTCCCGCTGTCACGCGCAGTCTCATTCAACCCAATTAGTACCGTGCATAAAGACACTGCTGACTGGGTGAACAGTCGACAGTGACTCAATGTACCTTGCATCAGACGCCCGAGTCCTACGTCCTAGCTAGTCCATCAGCTCGTGCCTCAAGGACGGGCTGAGCGAATGCCCTGGCCCGCGTTGTGCCCTAGTGCTTCTTTAGGCAGACACGAGCACCTCTTCCCTTGGAGGTGTGAGAGGCTGGTGCGGTATCAGAACCTTTGAAACTCATGGGACATCGATAATTCAGCACTGTGATTCCTCGCTAGATCAGAAAGACTTCGACGGGGCCACCTGCGATGATATTAACCGGCGTTGACAGCAGGAAGTGAAGAACAGAAAGGCAGCTCCCCGTGAACAAGATGGCCACTTCAGCATACGATCTGGGCTTCGTTCCTTCTGCCCTCCAATCATGTCGTATTTGACCCCGGGACAAGATACCCGCGACGTGGTCGATGGATACGGATGTCATGATATCACAAGATTATCCACAGAATTTTTATCATCTTCTTTCATCGTTACGTAGAGCGGAACAGCGGCAGCTCGTTATGATGTTATGGCTCCAGCCTTGCCGCGCCGCAGAACAGCACAGGAACGTGCGAATTAACGTGTTGATATGCTGCCGGGCCACATCACGGCAATCAACCATTATTGACTGTACTCTTGGTTCTCCTTCGTTTCTTCCTCTCGTTATTCTCTTTGGAGAACCAAGAACCGGAACCATGGACCCCAACAATCCTAACAAGGAATTCAGATCTACACCCGAGTACGCCGAGTACCAGCGAGATAACTTCTGGGCGGACAACGAGGGCAGAGTGCCGCCGCTCAACACACGTAGGCACTGATGCCTTTGTTGTTTTGTTTTGTTTTGTGTCGTCTCGTTTCGTTTCGTTTCGTTTTGGTTTCGTTCTGGGGAAGGGCTTTGTTTTTACCCAAAGGTTTAACACCACGAGTCACAAATTCAAGACTGACGGCGAGTCCTACAAGATCCCGATAAACTCGAAGAGCGCGCAAAGGAAAAGCTCACGGAAGGCGGCTGGTACTACGCCTCTTCCAACGCCGGGTTGTCGACCACGCACCTGGCGAACCGTCAGGCCTTCTACCGCCACCGCATCATCCCTCGCATGCTGGTCGACACCAACAAGCGCGACACGGCCTGGGAGATCTGGGGACACAAGACGAGCGCCCCGGTTGGCTTCGCGCCCATCGGCATCAACAAGATCTACCACCATCTGGGAGAGCTTCCGGTCGCCACGGTCGCAAAGGAGCTCAACTTGCCTTACTGCCTGAGCACGGCCGGCTCGACACCGATCGAGAAGGTTGGTGCTGCCAACGGAGAAGGGCCGCGCTTCTACCAGCTCTACATGCCCCACGACGACGAGTTGACGGTTTCGCTGTTGCGCCGAGCCCTGGACTCTGGGTTCACGGCTTGCATTCTGACTGTCGAGTACGTTGTTTTGTCCCTTTGTTTTCTTTTTTGATGACCCTTTTCTGCCCACTTTGATCCTACCTGACACTCCCGTCTCCCATGGACCCTTGAGCGAGTACGAGTACTACGACCAGTGACTGACAAAAGTCCCGATCCGTTCGCGTCCGTAGCACGTGGCAGCTCGGCTGGAGACATGACGATGTCGCAAACAGCAACTACGCCTTCTACCACGGCATAGGCCACGACCTAGGTCTATCCGACCCGGTGTTTCAAAAGAGGCTCGCAGAGGACGGGATCGACCCCGACAAGGACCCCAACCGCGCTGGAGCCAAGTGGATCGACAATGTCTGGCACGGGAGGGCTCACTCGTGGGAGAAGATGCCCTGGCTCATCAAGACGTGGAAGGAGATGAGCGGCGGCAAGCCGTTCGCCGTCAAGGGCATCCAGAGCGTGGCCGACGCGAGAAAGTGCGTCGAGATTGGCTGCGATGGTATTGTCGTCAGTAACCACGCCGGACGCCAGGTCGACGGGGCTGTCGCCAGTCTCGATGCCTTGGAGCAGATCGTAGATGGTACGTACCTACCTACCCCCTCCTTTTTTTTTTTTTTTGCGTCAAAGGCAACTCGCCTCCCTTTCCCAAACCCCCACCCCCCACAAATCTTACCTTGCTGATCACTCACTCGCTCGCTCACTTCCACACAGCGGTCGGCGACAAAATCTACATCATGTTCGACTCGGGCGTGCGCGGCGCGTCGGACGTCTTCAAAGCCCTCGCGCTGGGTGCCAAATTCGTCTTCGTCGGCAGGCTCTGGGTGTGGGGGCTCAGCATCATGGGCGAGCTCGGCGTGAGGCACGTCATGAAGGGTCTGCTGGCCGACTTGGACATTCTTCTGAACGTCGCCGGGTACCAGAACATCGGGCAGATCCAGGGTAACCGCGAGGCGCTCGAGTCGCTGCCCAAGGCGTATAGTTTGATCCAGGAGAGAGCCAAGATTTGAAGCATGTCGACGGCAAAAAGAGGGGGGGGAGTGGGGACGGATTAGTGTGGTGAAAGAATAGAAGATAGATCCAGGTATTCATATGAATCCTCCTTTGCCGTAAAGGATACCCTGTACATTGACTGTGTATGCTTCCAGCGTACTGGAAGTAATCAACACTTGTACGCGACAACGATTTCGCCTTGCCGAGAGCTCTCTCTTCAGCATCAGGAGACGTCGATACCCCAGTTCCATCAGATTGCAAACGGCTCACCCGCACCTCATAAGCATCTCTATAAGTGCATTTACGGGCACACCAAAAGGTATTGGTCTTCCTTGGTATTAGGTAGAGTATCTAAGGTAAAGCTCCTATCTAGACTTCACTTACTGAGGTTATGCACCCTTATGGGCGTCAAACCTCGTCGGGAAGTGAGGGTGCCCGAGCGGGTAGTAAAACTCGCTTGTGCTCCTGATCAATCTCGTCCCGTACTCATACATATATACATGTGCTGTAGCGCGTGGCAGTCAAAGCTTCATTTGCTCCAGAGCGGAATCCATACCAAATCAACCCGTGATCCGGAGTCCTGTACAGGCAGATTGCAATTGCGCGGCCAAAGACAGAATTGGTGGCTTGTGGCGTGTCGACTTCAGGGTCTTCGATAATGAAATCGGTCCATACTCCATACAGCCAGGTGCCTCGGCGTGGTTCAAGCAATCAATTGTAATCTCAAGTTTCATTCACCGTCATGTCTGTGACGGTGACTGTGATGCCGGGTGAGCACAAGGGAAGCACGCGTTCTGGTGATCTTAAGAGGACGCCCCTAACGTCCTTCCCATCTCCTCGCCTCGACTCGTTGCTGCTTTGACGGCCTTGTCTACGATCTCCGCGAATCCAGACGCGTCGAAGCTCTTCAAAGCTGCATCGGTGGTCCCGTTCGGGCTCGTCACGTTCTTTCGCAGTTGGGCTGGGTCATCGGAAGACTCGACCAACATCTTGCCGGCACCGAAACAAGTCTGCTTGGCCAGCCGCGTCGCTTGTTCCGTCGAAAGTCCCAGTCCAGTGGCGCTGGTGATTAGGTGTTCTACCAGGGCGAAGAAGTACGCTGGTCCGGAACCTGAGAGCACACGGCGGATGTGAGTATAAGAAAGGAACGAGCAAAAAAGACCCCACGCGTGCGAGAACAACACATTGCAACACACAAAACGTACCAGAAAGTCCGGTGACGACATCGAGAAGCTCCTCTTTGTCCACCCATTCAACCGCCTTGCTCACGCTGCCCAGTAGCGCAGTGGTGAGGTCCCTTTCGGCCTCGGACACATCGGGACTCGCAAACAGGCCCGAGGCACCCTCGCCCACCAAAGCCGGGGTGTTCGGCATGACGCGCACAGTATGTGGCGTGCGGCCGTCGCCCAGCTTCAACCACTGCTGCAGACTGTCCAGCGTGATACCCGCGGCGATGGAAATGAGCAGCGGAGTCTGGCTCTTCTGCGTCCATGCACTGCCGAGCTCTCGACAGACTTCCTTGGCGACCTGCGGCTTGACGGCCAGAATGACGATGTCGGCATCCTGCGTGGCTTCGACGTTGGAAGCGGTCGTGTGTACTCCGAGCTTCTTCATCTTGTCCCGATTGACGTCCCATGGCTCGGACACGAAGATGGATTCCTTGGGGATGTCCCTGGCGAGCAGCCCTCCTATTATGGCGGCCGCCATGTTTCCACCGCCGATAAAGGCTACTTTTGAGCCTTGCAGTGGAGAAGCCATGATGGGCGGTAGATGTAGTTTGGTTTTGGCAACGGGCCTACGAAGAACTAGGAGCCGGGATAGTCGCAGTGACCAGAACAACCACAGAAGGTTGATGAACTGTCGGTTGTTGTGGAAGAGATAAAAAAAGTATCTCCCTACGTTACCTGTACATAGAGGTACGTCAGGCTAAGCAATGTGCCTTCCGTCCTTGGCAACTCTCCCGAGGCCACCACGTGACCACTTTTGTTCTTCTTTTGCTCGAGAACACAAAAAGTGGCATTCAGCCACGATGCGGCCAATTTAACCAAGTGAGAACTTTACTGATGATTATCCGTATATTTAACCCCTATTCCTTATTGCTTACTTCCATTGCTTACTACTGTATATGTATTCGTCTCTGTCCCAGCGTGTCGTCATCGATGCAAAAATGCTCTGGCTCTATTGGTATCATCGGTGCCCGTCAGTATCGGTTCGATTTCACAGGACGTGGTTTTCGAGCCACATCGCTGTTCTTGTCTGGGTATCGCAAACAAAAGTTCTCGAGAAACACGTGGTTTTTACCGTTCCCTTGATTCAGTGATTTCAAAACGTTAATCCTTGCCCGCCCCGGAACAAGCTCATCCATATTTAGAGCTTCATGCAGGGGGAAAGAAAGGATATGCAGCCACCCGTCGCTGGTGTCTCGCAGCCAGATCTTTTACCTGGCCATGTACAACGTACGGAGTCCGGAGGATGATGTTGTACTTCCAATTACGGAGAACCAGCCCGTAGGGAGGTTATAAGTATGTGAGGCTGCTGTTTCTGCGTTCTTGAGGTTCATCCAACAATCTACGAGAACTCAACCCTTCATCACTGCCGGGCTTACTTAAAATTCAACCGACAAACGGACTGTGTGTTGAACATTATCAAGGCGAGCGTAGTCGAAAGTCATCTAACATATTCGATACACGGTACACCACAAACAACCACCACCAGATACAAAACAACTATCAACGCAACCTACCTGCGACAATGGCACCGGCAGCTATTCTATGCGGAAGAGATCTGTCTCATACTCAACACTTGGTTGAGCACCTTGCTCCTAAAGTCGAAGGTGAGATTTATTCATGACTAAACACACTGGACACGATGTCAAATGAGCCACGATGAATGAACAAGGCCACTCTTTCTCTCTCTCTCTCAAACTCACTTACACACACACACACACACACACACACACACACACACACAGATATACACTTATACAAACACTCACTCCTCTCACCGATGATCCATCTCAACATCTCCCGATGATCCATCTCAACATCTCACGAATATTCGCCACCCTCTCTTGAGCTCTCGTCTCTTCCCCAATCACAAGGCACACACCACCACCACCGCCACCGCCACCCCGTGCATCATCGTCTCTTATTCTGATTTCGCAATGTCTAATCCTCAAACAGTCGTCCACGTCTGCTCAACCACCGAGTCCGCCCTCTCAGAGATCCCTGGTCTCCTCAGAGGCGAAAAAGTCATGGCGTCAAGCGGCCAGGGGACCAACGCCACGGCACAGACACCTTTCCGCGCCGACATCTCTCTCGTCATCGTCGGGGCCTTCTCACCACCCGACGCGCAGGCGATAACAAACGCCGTCACGGCGACGACGACACCCGCCTCGGTCGCCGTCTTCGTCGCCGACACCACCAAAAAGTCACCCGGCCAACAGGGTCCGCCGACCATTGAAATGATCCAGGCCAGGATTCTCGAGAGCATCAACGCGGCCGAGAAGAGCGACGGGACATTTGGACCTGGAGTGTATAGATTCTAGCCATCTACCTACCCTGACAATGTTCCAGCTCGTTTACGCATCTCCTACCCAGAGGGTCATCGTGTCAGAGCATGGCAGTCATCATCATTGATGGAAAAAAATCACCATGCAGGGCATTCAATGCATGCCTTTCAGCGTCGCTACTCCCTACTCATACCTGTGATCTCTGTGACCCGCTCTGCACTCAGACATCTGTAGGGACTCAATAACATTATATTTCTACACCGAAAAAGTTGATATATTTCCGTCAAAAAGCCCAGGTCGCTGATATATATATTTTTTTCACGGTCTCTCGACCTTGGGTGACATGTATAACAAATTCGGCCCAACTCACGCTTCTCCTACACCACGCAGAATCTTCATGGTCTCATTCCAATGCACGGGCCTGGGGATCGGACTATCATTGACACTGCCAATTCATGGCCCTCGACTAAGTCGCTCCTGCATCATACCCAACAGTATGCCGGGTACCGTTTCTTGCGTGGCGCGAATCGTTAGGCGGAACATCTGTCATTCTAGTTAGCACACCATGTCCTCCTCGATCATAACCTCAGCAAACATACCTTCTGCTGTTGGTTCGGTTCCAATCGTAACAAACATCCCGTCTTACCCTTCTCAAGCTGCAGAACTGCACAGCCCACGATGTTCTTCGGATTTGGATCGACATTGTCCAGAATTCTCCATCGGAACCCCAACACAGTCTCGCGAGTGAATTTATCACTCATCTCAGTTGCTGGGGTCCGAAGACCAAATGTACTCTGCGCTTCCAATGCTCCTCCACCAATCTGTCGCCATCGCTTGAAAAAGTCCTCGGCAGAAAGCTCCGAGGGATCCATAAATCGGTGAGCCAGAATGGGCAATTTGAGTGTGTATCCTTGCAGTGCTCCCGCAAGATAAGATATCCGGATCGTGGGTGATTCCGAAAACGGCGCAATGGATGTACATACTATAGTCTGTTGCACTTGGGAGTCCGCGCCCACATTGGAGTCAGGTAAGCTCTTTGTGTCGATCTTCAATGCTGGTGCAGATTTGTTGTCCAGCGTCGTTGTAAAAGACCCTATGGCGAAGGATGCTTTGTTGGTGTAGTACAGCTTGATCACTCCCAGGTGGCCACGGTATTCAGCTCGCATACCAACCTGAATTTGCGGATCTTCATATAGAACGCCTTCATTAGCGAAATACATCTGTTCGTAGCCAATCTCCCAATCAGGGGAGAGATGAGCAGCATCGGCTAGATTCGTGACTGGAGCGTCACCTGCATGTCCGTTCATGTCGAGGCCTTCGAGGTCTTTCGAAGCGGTGCCTGTTCCGTTCGTAACATTTTTCGGCGCCGTGCCGTTGGTGTTGGATTTTGCTCCTCCATTCACGATAGTAGTAAATGTTCGCTTGAGCCCAGTCTGTTGGGCTAGTAACACCTCCTGCTTATCAGCATTGGCATCCTTTCCACCCACAAGCCACGTCCTCCGCTCACTTATTCCGACACTCTTTTTGTGCAGCCGTTGAAGCAATATTGATGCTCTTTCAGAAAACGGCGGCATTTCATCACAGATTGTCCTCAACAGATCGTCAGTGGGCATCGTTGCAATCGCCAGATATTCGCACGCCCTTTGCTGTAATTCCGAGTCTGGAGAATGGCTGTAAAACTGGAACATCTGAAGCAGCTGTGGCTTGATCTCGGGAAAGAGGTTGACAAATTTGACAAATGTCGAGAGTAGTAGCGCCCTCGTCGCATCAGGAGCTGAAATCATCTTGGTCTGAAGAACCATCAGTTGCTCAATCGGGCTGCATCCTTTGTTATCTGCAATCAAGTGTCCGAACTCCCCAAGGATGTATCCGCCAATCTTGACCAGAGTGTCGTGTGCGTTGTCTGTTCGCAGATACTCGAAAATGTGTTGTGCTGCGTAAGGCTGTAGCTCCTCGTTGTTGGTGACTATTTGCACCACTCTCTGCCACACCTCGTCGCTGACGTGATCACCCGCCATTGCCAATAGCCGTAGCGATATATCAATGTACCATTGAGCATCGGTGGCATATTTTTCCGTCAGAATAGCAATCTTCAACGTCATTTCCTCCCGGAGAGAATAGTCTGCAGACTGCAGGTACTTTAGAAGTTCGTTCACGATAGGTTGTGCATTTGTAGTGTCGCACATGCTGTAGAGTAAATCCAGTCCCTTCCTCCGCACGCTGATATCACGATCTCGCAGCGATCCGATAATGATGCTTTGGTGCCTCTTGATGGGATCCAAAGTGTCAGATCTCGCAGCGAAATGGGTCATGGCATCCAAACCCAGATAGCGCACATTTGTCTCTCGTGACTGGATAAAGCGGCCCAGCTTGGAGGAAATCTGCATCATCAATTGATGTTCCGTATCTAGGTGAATGAGGAGGTTGATAGCTTCGAAGAGAACCGCATTTTGCGCGTTGTTCTGCTGGACATTCTTCGGGGTCTCTGTGGCTGCTGCCAACACAGCTTGCAGTGATTCTCGAATAATGTCTCGAACGTGGGAGTCTTCTGAAGGAGAATAGTACTGCAGCAGCTTCAAAAACTTCACTTGAATCCACGGGCACGGCACCTTGTAATAAAGATAATCTGGCGATATGTCGCCGTCAACGACAATCTTCCGCAACCTTTGAGCAGCCTTGATATAACTTCCCTTGTATGCTTCTGGGTGATCCTGAATCAGCGCCATGACCAGGGAAGTTACAGACAGCACTACCCCCATGTCCGGGTCGTCCATCAAAGATATTATTCTCTCTGCCCATTCCGCTTGAAGAATGCCTGGATATTTCCGGTAGAGCCGAAGCAGGGTCAATGCAGCCTTCTTCTTCACGAAGGACTTGGAGGTTGGCGAAATCAAGAGGCGGTGGACATCCGCAGACAGGGCTTCTCCCATTTCTCTTCCTCCGACATTAGCAACGGCGTGCAATGCCAGACAATTATTGAGTTCATTGTGATCGAGCAAATCTTTCCGTATGCTATTGACCACCAGATGCAACAATTCGTGCTGCTCGTGTAGGAAGAGAGTGACTGCTAGGTAGCCGATCTGCTTCTCCGAGTACTTGGTAGCGGAGATGAGGTTGACGGCTTCGAGGTGTCCGAAGTCGACATTGTACCCTTGGATGTAGATGTAAAGCAGCTTACAGACATATTTCTTCTTCTGGTATCCATCCAATTTCTCACTCTTGAATTTCTGTCTTATATTGGCCAACTCCTTGTTGATGCGCTTTTCCTCGAGTTCTCGGGCTCTAGCATTTCGGAGGTCGGCTATGAACTGGACAAGGCCACGCATGGACGACATCTTGAGCGAGGATGCGAACGGTTCATCTGCACGCGAGGCACGACGTATCCGAAAAGGTCGGTGGGAGGCTGAGGAGGTCCGTTAGGACGGTGGTCACTGACGCATTCTCCGGAAGGGTTTGGAGCCCATCACCGTCGGATCTAAAGGAAGGGAAGGCCACGCTGAGAGGACATGGAGCTGATGACGGCTGGAGGATCTCGTATCGATTGGGGCCACGGACAGGATGGATTGTTGGTGGGCAGTTGCAAGTTGCAGTTGGCCTTCTCCCTAAACACGCTCACGGCCAAACTGCATCCCTGTCACTACCGGCCACCTCGGATATAAGTTTTCCAGCTCCGAGGCCAGCACAGCACGTGTCCTATACCTAACGTGGTACATATAGGTAGGGTACAGATACTCCGTCCCTAGGTAGCTGATAGAGATCACAACGTGAGCAATCTGTTCCTTGCCTTAATCAGATGGTCTCGCTTCCACTACGACACCTTCACCTGCATTGCTATAATTTCATCCAGCAACGACACCGTCTCCGCAGGATTCGCAATCCAGGCACAGCAGCAAGCACTACGTGCTTTGAAATCATTTCCCCCTCCGCTCAAGAATTGATCGCCTACGTGCAGTGTCCGAGAGGGCAAGATGCCTCCGAACCATTTCTGGCATGCCTGGACCCCCAATGATTTGTCCCCAATGTCACAAAAGACATCAGCTCCACCATTGAACACCGTGAATGGAATGCTAGCATGCGCAGCTGGCTCGCCAGTACCCGATGCAGTCATTGTAGACTCGACTACTTGCTGCACTACCAGGACAGTTTCCTCCAGTTGTTCTCGAGTGAGCTTTTGAGACTGGTCTGCGGCGTAGATCCCGACCGCCTTCTCCTTCCGGAGAACTTTGGCTTGCAAATGTAGCGTTCGAATACACGAATGGAAAGCGGCTTCTGCTACGTCCAACAGGGACTGTATGGCTGACTCAGACCAATTTTTCATGGCGTCAATCACCCATTCTCGTCGATGTACGTATCGTAGACAATGCTCTGCCTGCTCGTCGAAGACCAAGAGAAAATTTGATTCTCCACCCATGATGATGAGGTTAGACTTCTGCCTAGGTGTAAGTGTGGTAGACTCTTTGACAGCCATCAGCAGCCCCGATAGACGGTCGAAGTAGCGTTCTGGTTGTGTGTATCCTGCTGCCGTAACGATGCCGATTCGGACATCGTGAGCGAGAAAATGGAGCAGCCGATAAATGACGGGGTTAGCTTCTGGTGAGTGAAGAGATGCACCATCCTCATACAGCGTGACATCACCATCGAACGTCAGCAACTCCAAGCCAGTTGATATCTTCACATAGAGTGAGCGGTATAGCTTTGGCCGCATCATAGTCATGATTTGCGCCGTGTTGAGGATGAGCCTGATATCATTGAATGAGGGAGCAACGAATCGCCGCGAAGATATCGCTCGTATCGAGTCCTGGTGATAGAATGCGTCTTCGAGTGCGAGTGGTGTGAAGAAAGGTGAAATGGTTGGTACCAACATACTGAGCTTCGACTTGGTACTCGGCGAAGCCTGATGGTTGACTAGACCTGGTCAGCACCATGTAGTAACCGGCATGCAGTACAAGCCTTACTTTCGTCAACAATCAGATCCTCGACATCTCGAAAGATCTCCGCGTATCTCTGACGTGCTGACCTCGCCATGGTGTCGAGGCTTTGGGTTTTGGCGTCATCATAGTCGACGGCAGGCTGTGTACTGAGCACAAATGGGACAGCTAGGAGACCCTTGTAAAGATGTTAGCCATGGGCAAACAACACGAGTTCCTCCTCTGAGGCTCGCGTTGGCCGAGAAGGTCGAGCCTCACCTTGATCCATTCGATCTATTCAATGTTAGTCTCGGTCAACGCAGATTCCGGAAGTGGTCGCTTACGAACTGATCTCGACGGTGAGTCTGATACGGGCAATGTGTCAGCAGTGCAAGATTAAAGTGCACATCCTGTTATGTGACTCGCCTTCAAAGCATCTGCCGTTCAATTAGCAAGGGATGGACGATGAGGGCGGTCAATCACATGCACTCAACACGATACCTGGTGGTCATTTTGCAAGTTACGACGTCGCAGCCAACTCTTAAAAAGGTCAGTGACAGAATAACAAATGGAAGATTGTCTACAAAGCTCGACGATGGAGATAGCTGCCACGTAGCGCTCACCAGAGTGTAGCACAACGCGAGGAGCATCTCAAAGGCGGTTGTTACGTATGCGGAATTTCCCATCGCCGCTTTTGAAGCCACGCAGCCTCGACGCCAAGAACAGTTTACACTCTCTTCCCTCCTCGTACACTCGGAGAGAGACAGTTGCTCAGAAAGCCTGCTCTTATAGGAAAATTGTGTGCGGAATGTCCAGTAGAGAACACCCCTGGTGAACTACTTCGTGAGAGACGCCAACAACTTGCCAGAACCAAAAGCCGGCCTAACCAACGGCACGAATACCAATGCTTGAAGCGCCGCCACGAATTCCACTCGGAAGGGAACTCTGCGACAGAAGAATGGGTTCCGCCGCACTGTCTTGCTGCTGGGGCCGGTCCCCTATCTGACGATGGGCTAAGTATACTGTGCTTTGTCCTTTGAAAGACCACACTCTTCATATCTCCTTGGAGCCCACGATATCAACAGGCTTCCCTGTAGCTGGAATCTGACTGACGGACTCTTCGTCCTTCGCTTCTATGACGACATCAGAGCCATCATTGACGACGATACTGAATGGGAACGCCAGACACAGCAAGTAGTACGTGATTCTAATATCATGGACAAGTCAGCGTTTCGCTGGTCTGGGAAATGGTCAAAGATGGTTCAACTTACGCTGCGATGATCAATCCCTCAAGCCAACCCATGGTGAAAAACTCCACAATGCCTCTGCCCATCTTGATGTTCGGGTTAATATTGTGGATCAGGCCTGGCAGCAGAGGAATCACTCCAGTCAGCCACGCCGAGAGCGCTCGAAGGTTACACCCCTTCCAGTACCAGTACAGTCCCTCTGCTCGATACAGATGTAGCATATTGTACGGCTTCGACTTTCTTATGAAAAAGTAATCACAGAGGATAACTGGATAGGTGGTAAGCGAACAGTCAGGTCTCAGACTTGCACCAATGAGGTACTCACTCCCAACCAATGGCCCAAGAAATATCGAATATCCACCCACAAAGTTGAAGAAACGAGACGCGCGGGCTTGTATGACCCAAGGATTCATGGCGAATCCTAGAATGGCGCAAAGGACTTGTCCTCGTCTATATCCTTGATTAGCACCCATCGTATCAATGTGGGTCATGACATATACCGAACGTTCATGTACCGGGGAAAGATGCCCATGATGTCGTGTGCGAATGGAATGCTGTTTCCGGTCACATCTGGATCAGTGTCAGCACCAAAAGAATCCGGGAATGCAAACATGGTTCTGACTTGTTGCGATAGTCGCAAAGGCAAACAGGAAGCCCGCAAAGAACTTTGCTGTTCTATTGTTCCAGAGCAGGATGATTGTCAGAGGATTCCAGAGGACCTCGCCGTATACCACTTGTGCGGTTGCTGCCATTATTGCTTAAGGTCGACGTTAGCAATAGTTAGCTATCGCATGCGAGGATCAAGCATCTCACCTCCCAGTAACTCGACTGTCCAATGATTAGCTCTGGCATGTCCATCGAGCATTCATGACTTACTCATCGTGATACAAATCGGCAACGCGAACGCTTGTGCGATCGCTGCGCTCCGTGGATTCTTTGCATATCGAGTGATGTCTGCCATATTGACTGCAAAGGCTGTGGTTCTATTGTTAATCGATGATCACGAATCCGTGATGGACGCCACTCACTCGCATTACCCCCTATGGTAGCCAAGATGGTTGAACAAAAGACGTAACCGACGGACCAACCACTCGTGATCTTGGTTGGAATGGAAAACAGTGGTCCCACACCGTGACCTGCCGTCAAGGCCCATGTGAAGAGGGCGACATAGAAGAATGGCATGATGGCGATCTTGACGGCGAACACCCAACGTAGCGAAGACATGGGCACGAAGAGCATCGGGAACGAGGCCAGCCAGAACAAAGCAAAGCATAGCAGGTCAGGAGCTGAGATATCCGCGCTCGCTGGGAGACTGTTGAGATGCCAGTGGGCAAAAGACGGCCAGATGGCTTCGAGCATGCACCGAACAGCATTGCCACCGAGCGTTGCTTGCACGCCGTATAGGATAACACAGAAGATGCCGCGGATAATCTGTCAAAATTCAGAACACAGTTCGAGAGGCAGAGTGCGTTAAGACCTACCATTGCCCAATATGCACCGATCATGCCATAGGATCTGTATCATGTTCAGCGACCATCGATATCAAAACACTCTTCCACCCACGCTCGAGCAATGACCGGAAATGGAACCGAGTACTGTTTGGGGGATCAGTTGTGCCGTCAATATAGCGAGTTGACGAGCATACCTTGCTTCCTAGCCAGCCGACAATGCACACAGGTCCAGTGACAAGGAGATTTCCTATCAAGCAGGCCACCATGGCCAATCCTGGATTCAAGCCCATCACCACTGCACTGGAAGGGACCTGCATCTGGGCAGGGTTGAATCCTTCCGCGATCCAGAAACCTCCAACACTGAATAAATCTCGTCAGCTGTGTCTTAGGGGGAGTGGGAGAGTCAGGGCAGGCGTACTGCCACCATTCCCATGTCTTCTTCTCTTGGGGCACGGGATCCAAGTCCTTGTTGCTCCACCTGGCTGATTCTCCTTCTGCCGTGAAGGATCCAGGTTGCGGGTGTAGCACGAGGTGCTTGGTATGGAACTCTCGAAGTCTTTCCATATCTCCGGGGCTCCGGTGAGGCTGTCAAGAGAAGTGTTACGTCAAACGGTGCGCGACGGTTGAGATCGTAGCAGACCAAGGGTTGCAGGATTTGAATGAACTTTGACACTGGCCTTCTCTGAGCCCATTGAGTTACTCATGCACAACTCTCGCCACGAGGAGGCAGGATGATGCCCCATTCATATATGCATGTTGCAAGCATTATACAACTCATGTCGAGATCGATATGCATCACGAGAGATTCTACCAGGCACATATGGCTGAAAGTGCAGCAAAGACTGATATGCCCGGGTAGAGTCGAGACCGGCCTTATCATCAGGGCCCGCGGGCCAGCCGATAGAGACCAAACTTATTAATGGTAATCGAATCTGAGCACCCGCACGGTTCGGCTGTTGATTCGCTGTGAGGCTACGACGAACGTACCCGTTCTGCGTGAAAGGTGACACGGCCGCTTAGTTATTGTAGATTAGCCATCTTCAGGTCCTCGTCCGATCCTGGTCAGATTGTCCGTCATTATTCCAGAGCGGACAGCATGTCAATCAAGAGACTGTTGGTCATCAACCCGAATGCATCGCCCGCAATAACTGAACTTGTGAAGTCAGGCACTGACAGTCACTTGGGCCCGAACGTATGTCATTGTTTGACCAAGTGGCAACCGGTACTGAACCCATGTAGATTATTCCAACCTACTGGACTTGCCCTGAGGGCCCGGCAGTCCTGACGAGCCAAGCTGATATCGATAAAAGTACCAAACTATGTCTCCGAGAATTGAAGCCGATGATTGAAGATTATGATGCTTTCTTACTGGCCTGCTATGCCGATCATCCATTCAGCGCTGCTTTGAAAGTCGAGGTGGGTTCCAAACCTGTTGTAGGGGTTTTTGAAGCAAGTGTCAACGCGGCATTGGAGATTCTGCAGCCTCCCAAGCGGTTTGTGATCATGACAACGGGAAAGGCATATGAAAAGCAATTGAGTGACGGCGTGAAACGGCTCCTGGGAGAATCAAAAGTCCAGTCATATTTCGCCGGAGCTGTCTCAACAGGCATTTCACCACCCGATACCATGCCTGAAATCTCAGAAACAGCAAGACAGAAGGTACGAGAAGGAGTGAAAAGGTTGATGAGCAACGATGAGATTGAGGCAATCTGCATGGGAGGAGTGATTCTATATGGGATGGAAGATTTTGTCATGCAATCGTGTCAAGCAGAACTGGGAGCCGACACCGCCCGAAAGATAGTGATCATTGATCAATTGGAAGCTGGTGTCGCTATGCTCAAACACGAATTGAAAATTGACATATGATAGATGAAGGTTCGCGAATTCTTCAGATTATCTAGATTCTTGCGGAAATGGTGCCATCGCCATTCTGGTGCTCCCCGTCAGAAACAGCACTGTCCTGCTCGATAACTTTCGTATAAGGGAAGTTTGTATGCCAGTGTGAAGCAATCTCTTTACGAGTGGTGATCCAAACATGAGTATGTTGTTCAACGTATTTCACAAAAGACTCAACCGCCGCAAATCGGCCTGGCTTGCCACTGATTCTGCAATGAAGACCGACGGTCATCATCTTTGGTCGACCTTCGAGACCCTCGGCATAGAGAACATCAAAAGAATTCTTGAGGTATTCCAGAAAAGCGCCCGAAGAGCCCCAAGTTCCAGGGGCGATTTGATACTTGAGGTCATTGTTGTCATAGCTATACGGAAGCATAAGCATGCCTTTTGGCTGAGCGACATGTTCCTCGGCGGGTACGTCGACCCAGTAAGGCAGATCATCTGCAAAGCAGTCGGCTTCGTAGAGTAGGGGTGCTCCGAATTCCTCGTGCACTTCGTGTATCAAAGCTTTCGTGTGTGACGAACAGCGCCCAATGAACCAGCCAACAGGGTATGCTCCGGTGGTTGATTTTAAAGATTGCATTTGACGGTACATGTACGTCTTCTCTTCCTCTGGATCCATGTTGTGGTAAGGGATCCAGCGATAACCGTGACTCGCAATCTCATGGCCACCTTCCACAAAGGCGCGGGCAAGGGGAAGATTCTTTTCAAGTGCTTGGCCGACAGCATAGATCGTAGTTTGAATATTATGTTTTTCAAACATGTTTAATAGGCGCCATACACCAACACGTGAGCCATAGTCGTAGTCGCTTTCGATTTTGGGGTCTCGGGAACCAATACGTGCTGCAACGTGGGTCTGTTCCCAGAGAACGCTCTCGGTTTGGCCGTCACCATTCAGTAGAGACCTTTCAGCACCTTCCTCATAGTTGATGACGAACGAAACGGCAATTTTCGCCCCGTTTGGCCACTGAGGATCGATCGACGACCTTCCATATCCCACAAGATCCCTCTTGAAATCGTACTTGGTCCCCTGTAAAGGGTCCGTGTTTGGAGCATCAAGGCTAACAGCCACATGGTCGACACGTTGTAAAGCCATTCTTCAGAATTTCAGTTATGATCAATGAGAACACTCAATGGCCCAAAATTATGAAGCGTTGTTGTGTCAATTGTAAGATGATGGGAGAGATGCAACTGACTAGTTCACACGTGACCATCCTTGATATGGCGGGCCGGGCACATCAAAGTGCCCGCGGGCATTCTCCATACTCTGTGATAACAACAGGTCCTGCTTTGATTCGTGCGTAACATTTCCGCAGTAAATGAGTATTCTCATATGCTGTAGTACAATGATTCTTTGCGTTTCAAGCATCACGCCATGCCTGATTGATCGTGACCATCACTTCCCGGGGCAGACCTGGGATAAGACATCGGGCTTGAAGAGTCCATCTAAACGAGTTGAGCGTTCAGAGCCAGTCAAGAATGCAATTCGAAGTCCTCGAAGTTGTAAAACCAGTTTTGATCTGCACTCATATCAATCCCTGGTGACAAAAAGTCATTGACGTCAGTCTGGCTCGCTCTCCCTTCACTGGGACTCTGTGTCGCTCCCGACCCTCTTTTTGGTTGTTCCTGTTCATGAGATCGACTTATAGTATCTCTAAAACCAAATTGTTTTGCTCCGGTGCTCTGTCGAGGACGAAATCGGGCCAGTAGACCTGCGTTTGTTCGCAAAAGGTCAATTGCCGTCTTCGTAAAGTCAGCACTGGAGCTGTTGATGTTGAGAAGCCAGCGAAACTCGGCAATCAGAGAAAAAATGTCTTTGGACTCAATAGTGTCTGTACTGGTGGCCAGTAATACAAGTGAAAACGTGCCTATGATAGCCAAAGAGGGCCCTGACGCAAAATGCCAGAAGCCTTGCATGTGTTCGGGTTTAAGGCGTTTCAGAAAGTCGATGACAGACCGCAATCTCATAACTGCTGCACCACGAGTGATTTGGCGAAGGTCGGGCTCAAGAGGCCGCCTGACGTCTGATTCGATAATAGCCCGGTGCAAGGTCACCTCTGCAGCAAGGTATGCCAAATACAACTGTCCCGTAGCAGACAGCTTGCGTGGTTGAGTAGTACCTAAATCTAGAACCGAAGGCAATCCTGTATACCAAGATTTCAGTTGTAGTTGGAGCGGCTTGACTGCTTGCAACAAGTCTACCGTGGTTGGATAGTTCATCGCAGCCTGCACTGTAAACAATGCGTCGATGATATTGGAGAGGATCTGCGTTAGCGACGACATGTGCATAAAGATCAGGATGCCTCGTTCAACTTCCGAGCTGCCTTGCTCTGCATGATCTTCGTCGACGTTCTCCGGAAAGTCGTCGAGCACAAGTGGAGGGACTTCCCAATTGTCCGCTTTGATGTGCGATGGGCGGCCATGAACGAGTGCTCCCCATTTGTCTTGGATGAACAAAGCCCACGCAACACGTTTACGGACTCCTTTCTCCCACTCTGGAATTTGCCAATCGGAACAGTCACGGTGTAGCCCAACCTCTTCAGCAGTAGCAACAAGCTGAGCGGTTAAGCGCCAAGAGTCATGACCAGGTCGTTGGAGGAACAAGAGACCGGCCTGAATGTCGGAAACTTTGGCAGCCCTGTCGAACGCCATCAGAGATGAAACAAGCTTCTCAAGCTCAGTAATATCTGGCTTGGCCAAATCAGCCAGGTCGATGCTGTAAGACCACCAGTTCAAGGCAAGCATGTAGACAGCAGCTAAGCATGCAGGTGTTAGTTCTCGGTATGAGCGACTATGCTTTTCAAGGAATACATCTTTATGAAGGATCGGGAAGCTAGGGTGGACAATCCGAAAGTACAAATCCACTAGAGCAGGGCCATGGGGCGAAATTACTGCTTCGATCTTGTCCAGAAGGTCGAGCTGCTCTGCTATGATATCGTCCTTGTCAGGAAGGATGACAAAATAGCCGTTCTCACCAACGCGGCGTATATCCAAGCTAGACTGAGACGCCCGGTAGCTGTCATGCTGCTGAACTCTTGTAAGATCAAGTAGGACTCGGCTAGGGAAAGAGGTTGACCCTATGTAGCAGTTCGTGCGGAAATGTTGATGGCCAAGGGTGTGCTTCAGCAGGGATGCACCTGGCAGTCTCGAATAATCCTGGGGCGATTCTCTCAGAGCATCTGGAGACACCGAAACCGCTTCGGCCTCATCAGTGACCTGATTGGATTGCTTCCTCTTTTTCTTAGGAGGTGCTTCAATGAAAGTACAGCGCCGTCCCTGGCATAGGGCGCAAGAATCTCCCGGTGCCGGAATACATTTTTGCTTCACCCTGCGGCAATAATCGCAAGGCCTTTCTGGCCGAGTCAGAGAAGTCATATGTCCGCATCGTCGTATGGAAGGCTGCCTATGCCAGTCTCGAGTCTGGTCGCGTTGGAGCAAAGATAAGAACCTTGCCGTCTTGATATTCGCGATGCTGATGCAGTCAACATTACTTGGCATCACGTGCGCCCCCTCGACCTAGTCTCCAGCACGCCACGGTGAGCCTATCTCATGAACAAAGAGGCCCGCAGGGAGTAGAACTCCTGCGATTATAGAGTAGTTCGACTATGACTCTACTTTAGGCTATCTCGACAGCGTGGGAAACTCTAGCCCTTGGAACAGAACCAGGAGGATGGTAACATTCAGTTAGGTCCATGAGATAAGAACCAAGTTCTCAAATGGAATCAGAGGCCAGAAGGTCCATCAGGAGTTGATATGTAGAATTGTGGCGATCGCTTCATCAAACGTGGTCGCTGGGTCAACTGCACCATTGGCACCTCCGACCTTGGAGCAGCCCTCGGATGTCCATGACCAAATCTCATGATTGGAAATTTCCCTACGCAAACTCCTTGTCTGGACAACGATCACTCCAGGTCGTACTGACGCCACGATCTTTCTTATGGGATCTCCCGCATCGTAGAGTGTCAACTCCCCATTGTGAGGTAGAGACACTTCCCATTTCTTCGCGTTTTCTTGGATTTCATTGTTCGGCAAACCGTCCGCAACTCGCTTCGTCAAATTCTCAGCGTGTGAAACAAGACCCAGAGTCAACATGTGGCACACGGCCTGGACCGCAGCTTCTCTTGTCTCCTGATGCGCCAGTGGCATAGTGACGAAGCCAAGATCGAGTGCGGAAGTCTCATACCGAGACCCAAAGAGAGGTGGACCAAGGAACGTGGCGAGACAAATTTCGAAAGCTTTATTTTGTGTCATTGCAATCTTGAAGCGGCTCTTGGCTGGGATCATCATCTCGGAGAGAAACGTGGACGGTGCTTCGATACTCACTCCCTCGAAAGTCTTGGTAGTGGACTTTTCAACCTCGAGCATGACTGGCAGTCCGGCCTTTTCGAAGGGATGTACTAGCACCTTACAATCGGTCCAGAATGCAACAGCTTCGGCACGGTGGCGTAGGTGCGCGAGTACTGGTCGGACGAGTGCGTATTCTGGTGCGTGGCGGGGTTTGAGGGTTAAAGGCGCGGCTTTACGCGATCTCCTTGCGAGGTTTTGTTCATGCGCGGCGTTCAACAGTAACCTGAGAGACACGGCTACAAACTCGGCGATGAGATCATCTTCGACGTTTGAGGGTATGTCGGTGTCCAAGTCTTGTCCGAATACCAAGGAGAGTTGGAAGTCGGAGCCGACTGCGACGTCTACCGAGTGGGAGCGGATGTGAATCCCTTGGTTCGCTACAGTGCGGGCTTCGCGGCAGATTTCGTAGAAAAGCTCTTCCTCGAACAGTGAGTCGCGCATCTGGATGATTTGTTGCGTGATATCGCCTTCATCGTGACCTGATTGATTGCTGGTCCGCCGGGATTTGAACAAGGAGAAGCCCGTTTTGACGTTATCTCGAACAATGTATACGCCCAATGTCTTTTGACTGCGCATGGCAGACTGCTGATCTAATATCACACTGCCATCGTCCAGTTGGCGAAGTAAAGCAAATCCACGATCACGAAACTGTGGCGCAGACTGTGGAAAGCCAAAATGGACACCTATAGCTTTGCGGTCGCGTGGAAGTCGTGATACTGTCCATCCTTGATTCGTGAGTCTGGTGACTTGCGCCCAATACTCGGTTTCGCGCTCAGCATCTTTTTGAAGGCGAGTCGATGCGTCGGCGAGCTTTTCTGAAGCAGATCGGAAACTCTCGGATCTCCAGCCTTGAGATACCGACGTAAGTTGTCGCTGTGCCGTGCTGGACAAATGCTTTCTTGGTAGGACCCGGGCAGCCAAGGTGCCAACGGGAACTGATTCCTTCAGCGCCGGTGACATAGAACCTTGTGCTGGCGTCCATTGTTTTGAGATGAGGAGAGACACGAAATCCAATGCGCACAGGATTTCATTCTGAGCATAACTAAGTGCCAATATCAATCTCAGGTAACATGAGCTGGGACCTGGAATACGGAGCTTACCTTAAACGCTCTATCATTTCTTCCCTCCGCTTCCATAGTCGTTCTTGTCTCTTTTGCTGAGACTCATCGTCTTCAATTTGCACGTCGTTCTCACTGTCGGTGCTCTGGTCTAAAGATGCCTTTCCCTGGTCTTGAGCTAGTAAAGATCGTTCGGTGATATGACGAAAATGGCCCTTCTGGGCAACAACACGTTGAATCTGGGATTGTAAATCTTCTGAGCTTCCGTGTTGTTGCGAAGGGATGAGCAGGCTGATGGCATCTGATCGAGCCATGTTGTGAACACGAACCGCTTGGTGTTATTCTTTGACTATGCACATGATATGAAATGCCTCAAGCAAATCAATGGCCCGTCCAGGATTGTGATGCAACGTTGAGGACTATCGCAGTCGAGGGTTTGCTTTTTCGTGGCAACGGTCAGGGTATCGTTCTTATTGGTGATTTGAGACGTTCAAGGCAGAAGCAACAAGCAAATACTGACCGCTGTGCTGTTCGGCTCACTTGCCTATTTAACGTCATAAGTACTCGGTACGTCCGGTAAACTTGGGAAGCCATAAGCAGCAAGAATGCCGAGATCATCGCCTCCAATAACAGTGGCCGCCCTAGCTATAAAGTGAAGGTTCACTAAATAGCTTGTAGCCCACCCGCTGAGGTAATAGGCGACGTGCTAGCCTAGAGGTTTCATTCTTTTAACTGGACAAGCCCGTGTGTTCACCCCTCACTTGGCCCCTTAGGTGCGTAGTCCGAGTCTCTGACAGGCATTGTTGAGGCCCGGACACCGAAGCTCTTTGGCCTCTCAGAGCCTCTCACAGCTCCATGACGTGGGTGTCTTTTTGCTCGGCTCAGCTGTACAGGGCAGCACAACCTCAACAACCACCACCACCAACACCAAGATTTCATTCTCTCGGCCCAAAACCCAAGATCGAGCCCAGATCAGCCTATCGCAAAGCTTACTGGTTTTATCTTTATTTCCCTCCTCATTTTTCTTCTTCTCTTAGTCCTCGCATCGAGCGAACTTTCCTTTTGGCGGGGGATTTTCTCCTCTTGATTTCTTCTTCTCCTCCACCTCCAGATAATAAATTTCCCTCCGAGACCTGGTAGTCGGGCCTTATCGTCTCCCCTCCGTCGCTTCCACTTCCTACGTTTCTACGACCAGTCACCTCGCTCCCCCGAAATGGCCGAAGCAGATAAAGCTCCTGCGAGGAAGCGCCGCATTGGCGTCATGACCAGCGGAGGTGACTCTCCCGGCATGAACGGTGCTGTTCGTGCTGTGGTTCGAATGTCGATCCACATGGGCTGCGAGGCATACGCAGTCTACGAGGGCTACGAAGGTCTAGTACAAGGTGGAGATCTGATCAAAGAAATGAAATGGGACGATGTCAGAGGCTGGCTGTCACGAGGTGGTACGCTCATTGGCACCGCAAGATGTATGCCCTTCAAGGAACGATGGGGAAGACTGAAAGCCGCCAAAAACATGATCCTACGCGGAATCGATGCTCTGGTCATCTGCGGCGGCGACGGGAGCTTGACGGGTGCAGATCTATTCAGATCCGAATGGCCGGGCCTGATCAAAGAGCTGGTCGACACCAACGAACTGACTCAAGAACAGATTGAACCCTACAAGCATCTGAACATTGTCGGACTGGTGGGCTCCATTGACAATGACATGTCTGGCACCGATGCCACCATTGGATGCTACTCGTCCCTCGAACGGATCTGTTCCGCCGTCGACGACGTCTTTGACACTGCGGCCTCTCACCAACGGGGTTTCGTGATTGAGGTCATGGGTCGACACTGCGGCTGGTTGGCTCTGATGGCTTCAATAGCTACAGGAGCTGATTTTGTCTTTATTCCGGAGAAGCCGCCACGAGTTGGCTGGGAAGAACAGATGTGCGACATCATCAAGAAGCACAGGTCAAGGGGCAAGAGGCGGTCAATTGTCATCATTGCCGAGGGCGCACATGACGAGAACTTGAAGAAGATCACAGCCAACCACGTCAAAGACCTCTTGTCGCACAGGCTCAACCTAGATACCCGCGTTACCGTCTTGGGTCATACGCAGCGAGGAGGACAGGCCTGCTTCTACGACCGATGGTTGTCGACTCTACAAGGTGTGGAGGCTGTGAATGCTGTCTTGGAAGCAACTCCAGAAACCCCCACCCCGGTCATCACCATACGCGAAAACAAGATCGAAAGATCAAACCTGATGGAAGCCGTGGCCTTGACGAAATCGGTCACTGCCGCCATTGAAGCCAAAGATTTCGACAAGGCCATGCAACTGCGGGATGTGGAGTTCAAAGAGTACTACAACAGTTACATGATCACCACCTCTACAGATCACCCCAAATTGCGTCTGCCCGAGGACAAGAGACTGCGAGTCGCTATCATTCACGTCGGTGCTCCTGCCGGCGGTATGAACCCAGCCACCCGAGCAGCTGTGGCTTACTGTCTGACCCGAGGCCATACACCAATCGCTATTCACAACGGTTTCAGTGGGTTGCAACGTCACCATGCCGATAAGCCTTTGGGATCCGTGCGAGAATGCAAATGGATTGATGTTGATCCGTGGGTGAACGAGGGTGGTTCAGAGATTGGCACGAACCGCGGTTTACCCAGCGCTGACATGAAAACCACGGCCGAGTGCTTCCAAAAATACCAGTTTGATGCCATGCTTCTGATTGGTGGCTTCGAGGCATTCACTGCAGCAAGCGAGCTGAGGAAGGCTCGGAATGAATACCCAGCATTTAAGATCCCGTTGGTCGTCCTGCCTGCCACCGTGTCGAACAATGTCCCGGGGACGGAATACTCTCTGGGCAGCGATACCTGTTTGAACACGCTCATCAACTTCTGCGACGCCATCCGTCAGTCGGCCTCATCGTCGCGACGAAGGGTGTTTGTTATCGAAACCCAAGGCGGCCGATCAGGCTATCTGGCAACCATGGCCGGTCTTTCCGTGGGCGCACTGGCAGTCTACATTCCAGAAGAAGGTATCAACATCCACATGATTGCGCGGGACATTGAGTTTCTCCGAGAGAATTTCGCCAACGACCAAGGAGCTTCGCGCGCCGGCAAGATCATCCTCCGCAACGAAAAGGCCAGCCAGACGTACACGACACAGATGATTGCGGACATGATCAAGGAAGAAGCCAAGGGACGGTTCGAGTCTCGCGCAGCTGTGCCTGGACACTATCAACAGGGTGGCAAACCCTCGCCTATGGATCGGATAAGAGCCCTCCGCATGGCGATCAAGTGCATGCAACACATTGAAGATCGGTTTACCGGAAAATCCAAGGCTGCCATTTCAGATGACCCATTGTCCGTGACCGTGATTGGCATCCAGGGGTCCGAAGTCGTCTTTACGCCTCTGGGCGGAGAGACGGGACTCGAGGCCAACGGCACAGACTGGGCCGATCGCCGGCCCAAGAACGAATTCTGGATGCCAATGAGGGATACCGTGGATATTCTCAGTGGTCGACCCAAATTGGGCGATTGCTGCGACGAATGTGGCAAGCCGTTGTCTGGAAATGTTTTGAAAAACCTCTCCCTCGCCAAGGACTGACCGGGCTTAACTCGACTGAATCCCTCGCACAGAAGCAAGGTCGGGTTGTCCGGTCATGTGCCGGTACTGGTAGGATAAAGGCGTTTCAAACGGGGAGCCGAGACGACGCGGGCGAAATTTTTGGTCTTTTTTCCAATACAAGGGGTAATAGCGGGTGTTGTGATAGGGACGGGTAACCTCCCTGAGGTACCTGAGGCAGGGGGCGTCGCATGCGCATAGAGAGGAAGAATGGCATTCAAGGTCAGGCAACTATAATAAGATCGGGACGCACCGTATCAACGTAACAAAACCACCTGTGAACCACACACGAGCTCAAGACTGAATGAGGCGTATGAGATAGATTATCAATTGTCACACAAATCATCGCACAATCAACACACAGTCCAGTCATCACACTTGAAACCCAATTGGCTCGACTGCCTTGACTGCCTTGACTGCCTTGACTTACTACTGTCAGTTAGAAAGCGGTGCACCGCATCCGTCGGCTTCAACCGGAAAGCAAGCAAGATGGTGAAGAAGCAAGAACCAAGCACCGCGTCAACCTACGTACCTACGTACCTACCTACCTACCTACCTACACACCATCCTATGATGTCAAACTTGAAAGGATGGATGGCCCTGATGCAAGCCGAGTAACAATAAGTCTCCATAAGCTACAAGCTACAACTTGGGAAATGGCGTGGGGACCTGCTGAGTATGCATTACGCCGTGGGGGTTTGTTTAGTTTGTTAGGTAGGTTGGTTTGGACGGTGCTTTCTGATATGAAGGTGCTTTTTGCTGCTTGTTTGAAGTACAGTGGTCGTGTGCGCTCATACACATGTGGAGTGACGAAGGTTGTTGCGGCCAGTGTCCAGAGAACGGTCGCAACCCATCTCCCTATTGTCCCTCCCCCCTCCCTCCCTCGGGACAATGCCGTGAAAACCCCCCAGGGGCATGCCTAGTTAGTTTGTGAAAATGAGCGTATATTGCCCCATCAACAAACACAGCTCACGAAGATGGAAAAACAGAATTCATTTCATTCATTCATTCATTCATTCGTATTCTGCTCCAGCAATTGACACGCACGTAGGTGCGTGGATTATAGCCAATCTGCACACAACTCACCTGCAGGCGATGCTGTTTCCGTATCATTATCATCTGACGATGCATGCTTGGAAGGAGTGTCTCGCCCAAAAGCACACAGACAAAGGGGCTAGCCAGATTCCTAGATTTCGCCGTGTGAGCAAGGGCTCGAGAGAATGAGAATGATCCGGTACATCCGTCGTTGGTATCACTGGTCCATTTGCCGTCAGCGATAACATTGTTCGCCTTGTTACCTCCTTTTGCTTACAAGGCTGCTTTGTAGTGTGGATGTGGTGTGCACATGCCTTGCACAGATACAACTGCCTTTTCCAAGCCTGTGACGGATGGGCACACACAAGAAGGGTGCGGTATCTATCCATCTGTCTCGGTTGACCGGGGAGGGTGATGGTTTGGTAATCGCAGCAATCTTTCGGGGACTGGAGCTGGATCCTGCTTTCTTAAGATGACTGCGTCTCCCCTGTCATGGTTCCGTCGTTGCTTGTCTATCGAATTTTGCAGCAAAGTCTCTGCATCGTTGAACCGTGAAGATCCTTTCTCAAAAACTTAGCAGGTCCTCACACCGTCTTACCTCCCTGGTGCTGTGCTGTTTTTTTGTCTTGTTTTCCACTGACAGTAACCAACAATGGACGTTGACCTGGAGAAGAAAGAAAGCCCGTCATCGGATGGCGGCGAGAGACCGAGTCAGGACTATGGGCAAGTCGTCACCAGAACCCAGGGGCCATTCTGGGTCAGATTCATTGATGGATTTCGTCAAAACCCAAACGCTCGCGTTTCGGAGCAACTGGTCGATGCCGACGGCAAGCTGCTTCCAGACCAGCCCACGGCTCAACCGGCGCTGGCCACGAAGTTGAAGCAGCGACATTTGCAGATGATTGCTATCGGAGGCTCTATTGGTAAGTAAGTTCCGGCCCGGAAGTGACAGCTTCTGAGGGACATTGGGCGAATGAGCCCGAACACCATGGCTGCTGAGCTTCTGATGATAATTCACCAGGCACGGGTCTGTTTATTGGCTCCGGCTCTGCCCTGTCGACCGGCGGGCCGGCAGGCATCGTCATCTCGTACTGTACGCTTGGGATCATGTTGTTTTGCACCGTGCATGCCCTCGGAGAGATGGCAGTCATGTTTCCCGTCGCCGGCTCATTCTCTGCTTATTCCAGCCGATTCCTCGATCCCGCGTGGGGATTCGCCATGGGCTGGAACTATGCGATGCAATGGCTTGTGACTTTGCCGATCGAAATCATGGCCGCTTCGATGACTCTGAATTATTGGAGCGGAGCTCGCGATGTCAACCCGTCCGCATGGGTGTCGATCTTCTTTGTGGTGATTATCGCCATCAATTTCTTCGGAGTACGAGGCTATGGCGAAGCGGAATTCGTCTTTTCTATTGTCAAAGTCATCGCCATCCTTGGTTTCATGTATGCTGTTCTCCGAGAGTATGCTTGTCGACTGAGCTGATGATATCCTAGAATCTTCGCCCTTGTCGTCGACGTGGGCGGAGGTCCGACGGGACATTACTTTGGTGCCAAAACCTGGGATAACCCGGGGGCCTTTGCCAATGGCTTCAAAGGTGTAGGCTCTGTCTTTGTAACGTCTGCATTCTCGTTTGGCGGTACCGAGCTGGTCGGTCTGGCAGCAGCCGAGTCGGCGAATCCGCGCCTGGCACTTCCAACAGCCATCAAGCAGGTGTTTTGGCGTGTCGTCCTGGTAAGAGGCCTCCGGCATTGAAAATATCATTGAACCACCTGACAAAACCACTCCCCAGTTCTATATCATTTCACTCACCTTTGTGGGCCTCTTGGTGCCTTGGGACGACCCGAGGCTCCTCAACAGCGGTAGCACTTCCAACACGTGGACCTCACCTTTCGTCCTCGCCATCAAGAATGCTGGCGTAGGGGGGCTCCCATCCGTGTTCAACGCCGTGATTTTGATCGCCGTTCTCAGTGTTGGCAATGCGTCCGTGTACGGGGCGAGTCGTACGCTGGCAGCACTTGCCGATCACGGTCAAGCACCCCAGATTCTCGGATACATTGACCGAGAGGGGCGTCCCCTGGTGGCCATCATCGTGTCCTCGTCATTGGGGGCGCTTTGCTATATTGTCAATTTGAAGCCATCACAGCGGCAAGAGGCGTGGAACTGGATGTTTGCAGTATCAGGACTGGCATCGATCTTCACCTGGGGATCCATCTGTCTGTGCCACATTCGATTCCGACAGGCGTGGAAACATCACGGTCATAGCGTGGACGAGCTCCCGTTCAAATCTCAAGCTGGCGTCCTGGGTTCCTGGCTTGGCTTGGTCATCAATTGTCTGGTCCTTGTGACGCAGTTCTGGACCGGCTTCGCACCAGTGGGATTCCGCGAGATGAGTGGTTCCGACAGGACCAAGAACTTTTTCGAAGTGTATCTTGCAGCCCCGGTGGTGATTGTCTTCTACCTTGGCTTCAAGATATGGCGGAAGACGTCAATCAGGCGGGTCGCTAACATTGACGTTGTCAGTGGCCGGCGTGAGATTGACCTGGAGCAGATCTTGGCCGACGAACGTGCTACGCAAGCGACATGGCCATGGTGGAAGAAGACTTGGCGTTTCTTCTGCTAGTGCACTTTGACCACTGTACTGTACAATATCGATGCTGCTAGCGAGAGAGCAACGGGGGTGTCTAGACCTACTAACCCTATTCTGGAGATAGATTCCAGTGCTCGGTACATCTGAGGATCTAGACCGGAAGACCCGATAGCCGGAGGTGGAGGATTTTGGTTTGAGTTACTACAGTACCTCGTAGAGTGGTAGCCTGGTAGGGGGAAGGGTACTCGTACACGACGTGGGCTCACGAGTCACGAGCCGTAGCCCAAAGAGTATCTCTCGACCAGGGTGAAACAGCCTAGGGAGAGTTCTTGGACGAAGGGGGAGAAGCTGATGGCGAGTGTGTACAGACTACAGTGGACTACAGTAAACCACTAGTCCACCTCACTATTATTGTATTGTACAATACGATTCCGGATCGGCGATAAGATTCCGCGAATTCCACGTGATCGCCAAGCAAGCGAGGAGACTCTGACCGGTGAGAATAATTTGTACCTACGAGTACAGTTAGGTCCCTGCTTGTAATGGTGGGTGAGAATTGTTGGAGGGAGGCGAACAGGGATGCGCAAGCATGTACGGAGTATTGTATGTACAAGATCTTCGACGCATGACAACGGATACGCAGGGACTTCAGGGGCCCAACTGAGCTGGGGGACACCAAACGCGCGTTCCAGAAATGGCTCGCCATCGATCAGATTCTCATACAGTACACGATGCCTCCGTACACCTGCGAGTAAATTGGTAAATTGACAGCGATGCGAAAAACCACTCAGGCTGATGCGGCTCTCGCCTTGGCTCAGGGCGGCGCTTGGCTTTGCGTTTTGCGTCCAGGCACTCGGTACTCCTGGTCCATGCTTTGGCTCGAGGGAGATCTCAGCAGACGACGCGAGACATTGGCATTGACTCGCAGCCATTTTTCGTTTCTGCTTTGGTTCGTTATATTCATTTTGTGATTTTGTGACTGCACCACCGACACGGGCTTACGTCTCTCGAGTCACGAACTCTCTCTCCCTCGCGTAGCTGCCGCCTCTTTCCAGGCGTGGGTTGTGCTAGTTACGTGAGCGGAAAATAAAAAGAAACTCGGCTTCGGCTACCGGGCGATCTGGGCCTGGTGATTGGGCGGCAAAAGGGCCAAGTCCAGAGTTGCGTAGCCCAAATCCCCAGGACGCGCGGCAATGCAGCTGGCCCGTCGTCGTCAGCATCGCCGCCCAGGTAATTGGGCTCGTACCGTGTCTATCTGTAGACTGTAGGCGTGGTGGCTTATGATTAACCTGCCTGGGGAGGCTCCTGGCCAGGCACCCCCAAGGCCCCTAGGGTCACCTAAGGCGCCTACGCTGGGCCCCCGAGCGACCTCTGGGAGGCGCACGAGTCCCCCCAACAGCTGTCCTCGTGGCGCACCTTAGGGATCTTACCTGCCCTAATAGGCTCCCAGTCCCCCCCAAATCTCAACTAGTGTGTCCCCCGTACTTTCGCATTCTCTTGTTCTCTGTTCTCGACTCTCTGGCGCCCACGCAATCTGCCCAGTCCACGTACGCCCTCGCCAACCTGCGCCAATCCCTGCGAGGGCGACGGAGTACGAGGCCACGACCCTCTCAGGCTCTCGCAAATCACAGTTCGCGTGCGCATTGCGCATTCGCCCTCGATCGTCCATCGTCCATCGTCCATCTTCCATCCTGCGTCCACGTCCTTGTCCTTGTCCGGTGTCGTTGTCGTCGCCTTCTACCACCATCCACCACCGCCTCGCAACTCTCGTTCTTACGTCCCCTCGACCACACAATTCGAGCGACAACCCCCTAATATATCATCTTTGGGCGAGTCCTCTCTCGGACAGAATCCCTCCCTGCCCTTTGTTTCAAGGCCCGATTGTGGCGAGGCACACTCCAAAGTCGGCTGTGCTCCGCTACTCCGCCAATCGCACTCTCCCACTCGAACGAGACTCAGTCGGCCAACTTCTACCTCGACGACTTCTGAGGAGGACGTTTCTCCCTCTTTCTCGTCTTTCGATCGCATTCGCAGAACACCCCTCTCTTCATACGCTTTCAAATTCAACCCTGAGTCGAGGAACGCCGGGCAGTCATGGCGGACGACAATCGGCCGCGCATTCTGGATGACGAGTTCGACTTCAGTGCCGCCGACCTGACCAAACAGTTCGAGCAATTACTACGGACGAGAAGATTGAACGAGCTTGAAGAACAAGCACGAACACCTCGATCCGCTTCACCATCATTAGGCCATCGAACATCACAACAACACTTGAACCGATCGCAAATCCCACAATCCCCCAACTCGATCCCGTCCTCCAGGTCGCAACAACCACCACAACATCCTCCCACATACACCTCCTTTCGCAGCCATCCGATAGTCCCATGCCCTCCTCAAGATGCCGCCTCTCTGAAATTCCGCAATCTCTTGATCACCCTGTCCATGACTCCGACCAAATACGAGAACCCGGGTCTTCTTGACGATGCATTGACCCACGTACCCATTGACAGAGTCTACGCCGAGGCTGAAGAGGAACACAACATCATGCGAGTCATGGCAGAATCTAAGAATGATGGCAGTAAACCAGAATGGGGATACCAAGACTGTGTCATCAAATCTCTGCTGAGGTATGTTTATTTTGCCCGTCATGTCATCCGTGGACATGTACTGATTTTGGATCAGGTGGTTCAAGAGATCCTTCTTCACCTGGGTCAACAACCCTCCCTGCTCCAGGTGTCATGGTGCGACCCTTACCCGAGGACAGACCCCGCCTACGCCAGACGAGGTCGCTCGTGGAGCCACCAGAGTCGAACTGTACCAGTGCGCCAACCAAGGCTGCATGGCCTTTGAAAGATTTCCACGATATACAGATGTGTGGACGTTGCTGGAGACGCGCCGCGGACGTGCGGGAGAGTTTGCCAACTGCTTCAGCATGCTGTGCCGGGCTGCCGGTGCAAGAGTCAGATGGGTCTGGAACAGCGAAGACCATGTATGGACCGAGGTATACAGCGAACATCAACGACGATGGGTTCATGTAGATCCCTGCGAAGAGCTCTGGGACACCCCCAGAGTATACACCGAGGGTGAGTTCTTCGGCCTGCGGTTCTTTACTTTGACGGATCATGCTGACCAAATTTCCAGGCTGGAATCGAAAGTTTGCCTACTGCATTGCCTTCTCCAAGGACGGCGCAACCGATGTCACTCGGCGCTATGTTCGCAATTCCCGATATAATCTACCCCGGACCCGGTGTACCGAAGAGGTCTTGTTGTGGATCATGCACGAGATCCGCAAGATTCGAAGAGCCAACTTGGACAAGCCCGTCCGCACGCAGTTGATGCGAGAAGACGAGAGAGAAGAGCGTGAACTCCGAAGCTATGTCGTAAGTTCCTTGGCCAACGACATGATCCATTCCATGCCTGGAGCAGTCAACCCTCAACGAGGCGATGAGGTAAAGACGCCCGCCGGCGCACCACAAGAAGCTGCCGCTCAATGGTCGAGCCATTCACAAGTCGACCACTCGGGAAATGGTCGATAGTGTCCTGAAATCTTCTCTGTCCCTCTACGACAAAGCTTTTCATGTTTTGTACGATCATGTCGTCACGTCTCCTTGGATGATACCATTTCTACCTCCTGTCAACGACTTATTTTCCTTGGATCAACCACTCTCCTAGTTCTATTACACATGCATATATTACAGGCGCACCAGCGTGATGATTCGGAATTTCTTGATCTTATGCGAATCCCAAAACCCAACTCCCCACCACCAACGACATCAATTCCCCCCCGGGCGAGCAGGGACCACATTTTTGCATGTCATCTCTGGAGTTTCATACTGGGGAATTGTTGGTAATTCGGCCGACAAACAGAAGGAGGCCCGTCTCACACAGTTGGCTCTACAGTCTATCCGGCGTTTCTGGGATGGCATTTTGATGAACTTGATGTCATTTTTGCGTTGTATGTCCTTTTTTACCCAATGGGACAGCATTGGCGTTTTGTTAACTCTCGATCTTGGGATGAGATATATTTACTATTTTTACATGCAAAAACGGCTGGAGCCAAGGGGCTGGACATTGGCATGGATGTCATAGAGATGCAGAAAAATGACACGACGAAGGAAGGCTTAGCTACGTCGGTACTATACCTGGGAAGAAAAAGTCATGTACGTACCTAGTACTAGGTGTTATGCTTTTGGGTAGATTGGTCTCCATCAATCACCAACTAGGGACTTTTGCCATGACTGAAGAAGAGTATACATAACCTAAAGCTGTCTGCCTCGTACAGGAGTTGAGATGTCCAAGCTATCTAAAGTACCTAAGTTTCACTCGCGATCCGCGGTCCTCTTCCTCTCGGTTTTATCGTTTCCTTTTTCCGTTACGTGTACAGATAAGAGCACCTGGGTCAAGGTCCGGCAATGAACATCTCTCTATCTTGCGTCTGTAGGTAGGGTATCTACCGTGTGTTGACCTGTACGCGCGTACGCGATGCATAAAGTAATAAACCCCCCCAATGTACCTACGAGTCCCTAAAGGTATGCCGATGGAGGTACGTAAGCAAGCAAGCAAGCACCTCTCAGGCATCTCTATGCCTACCTACGTACATATATGTCTACCTACCTTTACCTACCTGACTAGAGGAAAGTCTGATTCCGAGAGGAGGCTACGCGGCGTGTCAAGACGACGACGACGACAACGACGACCAACAACGTCAGGCCCCTTGTTTTTACGCACAAGTCGTCAGTACAAGCAATGAATGCACTCGACCACTTATGTATGGGTCTGGACTTGTCTGTCGGAAGGAACATGGAACACCAACACTGGAAAACTTCTTGGATGACCTGTTGTTTGTGATGGTAATGCAACAACATTTGGGAAATCTGTTGTTCCTTCTCCCCTTGTGGCCCATGAGATCGAGGGCCCAAAGTTCTTAAAAAGAAAAAGGGTACCATGTTGGAGGTAAGTAAGTAAGTACAGGTGGTTGGAAAGTAAAGTCGGTAGTTTGTCGGGGTCTCGTAATCTGCCTTCGATCCTGGCGAGAGCAGATCATCCATTAACATCATGCCTGGGATCATGGTATGGTCGTTCCCCCTACTCCGCAAAAACGACCCCCCCTCTGAAGCCTTACATGGTAACCGCAACCTCTCATCAAACCACGTCGAAGTTCCAATGCCTCTCGACTCTCTTTGGCGAAAACATCCCCTAAAGTGTTCTGGGCCGAAAGAATGGACATGGGACATGGGGCATAAGGCTGAGGACATACTCTCCGTACAGGAGGGTCCCTGTTTGAGCCTACATTCCAGCCACGTCGCCGTCGATAGCAGCTGCTTTTGCCAGACGGTCGGCGAGTTGATTGTATTCCCTAGGAATATGCCAGAATCCAATCTAGAACATTCTTAGTCTCATTCAAATCCAGTCAAAGATACTGTAGTGTGTGTGTGAGAGAGAGACACAACAACCAACCTTCACCTTCTTCGCTTCGTGGGACGCCAGGGCGTCATCGAGAGCGAGAAATAGATCCAGATTTGCCGGTTTGGTACCCTTGGATGTACGCCAGTCGTTCCTCTACAAGTTCGGTCAGAAAGGGACTTACTCTAAAAAAAAAGGCCCTTGTCGGAGTCCTCGTGGGTGGGGTATACATACCCTCCATGTTGGTAGCCATTCGGTGATCCCCTTGACAACATACTCGGAATCGGTCGCGATGATCCAAGCCTTGGGTTCGCCCTTTGCCTTCTTGGTAGTACTCCTGATCCTGTCGGCCTCAGCGAGGAACTCCAGACCTAACCTTGCCGCATAGAGCTCCGCTCGCTGGTTAGACCGCAGTGGAAAGTCATCCTCCGTGTCCGTTATAGGCACGGATAATTGGCTGCCATCGTTTTCGCCGTATGCTACACCGACTCCTGCTGTCGCTTCTGGCCGCCCGTTGTTTGTGCACGCACCATCGGTGAAGACGATGCGATAGTGGTGGCAGGGCCGGCTCTTGCGGGGTCGACTACTGTTACATGCGCAGCAGTATAACACAAAGTCACCGCACTCGGGACATGTCTGAATGAGTTCTGGTACGGACAGAACCGCGGTTGTAGGACAACAGAGGTCAACTTTTCGATCGCAGATAACCCCTTCTTCGTCATCCATGGGAGGGACCTCTGGAGGAAAGGTAGATTGATCGATGTAAGGAAGCAAAGCTATCCAGAACGAGGAGATTGGCAGATCTCATAAAAAGCTTTCGACAGAGGAGGCAGTGGCAATTTTTGTCTGCACGTGTCAGTCACGCGATAGAGGGTTTGAACTTCAATCCGCTGCTGTTCTGTAAGAAGAAAGGAGCGTAGGGAACGACCCATACCCACAATTTCGTCGTCTCGCAGCACTGCAAGGCTACGAGAATGTCTGGAGAGTAGCCGATTTACCAACTTGCCTGACCCGAGGCACAGTGCCTGTACGTCGTAGGAGGTACACATGTATGCAAATCACTTGCTCATCATAATCGAGCCGAGTCACGGAAAGGAGGAAAAGGGACAAGAGTTTCTGTTTAACGTCGTATTTTGAGAGGCCTCGTGCATTCAACAAACTGATACTTCTGTCGTTTGGACAATCAAAACGAGACCACCTTGGTTGCCTCATGTGTCCCAATCCTGACCCGTATCAATCCTCCCGTAGGGACTTTCTCGAATCATATCATAAACGTCCCTTTCAACAATGACAACTTCAAGATTCTCTTCCGTCCTCTCCGTTTTCTTCTCGACAGGTCCATGTCCGCTTCCATTTTCGGTTTCATGCCCGTGAACTGCATTCACAGCCCCCGAGTCGGCCCCAGATGCGGACGAGACAGGTCCCAAAACCCCGATGCCTAGAATATCGCTATATTCGTACGTCTTCCAATGTGGTCGTCGAGTTTTGTGCACCGTCGTCTCAATCGCGTTGTTGGTGTCTCCGCTTTCCAACCGCTCGTCTCCATATTCACCCCGACGCATCAAAGCGAGAGCATCGGCATCGTCACCGTCATCGTCAACGTCCATGTCACCATCCGCGTTCAGGTCGGCGTCCAGATCAATCACATCAACATCGTCACCTTCTATACTTGGGCCTGTGTATTTGAGCATTGCTCTACCAATTCCGCTGGTCCTTTGCTGCGCGGACAATGGCCGTCCCACACCACCTGTGGTGCGCTTCTGCTTCTTGTGAGCGTTGCCACCGTTTCCGAGCATCTCTGACATGACCCCATGTTGGCGTTTGCCATCCTGACGGTGCTGCAGATGCGACAAGACTGGGTCCAGCACGTTATACTTCCCCAGCGTACAGATCTTCTCTGCCTTGACCCCTTTGTCCTGAGGCAGGTCCTGAGACACGTCGAGCATGAACAACCAATTGGACCCGTAGAGCCATAGCCGCTCGCCCTTGTTGGCCCGGTCGGTGCAGTCCCAGAAGCATCCGACGATGGGTGGGCTGAGGGACTTGAACGCTTGTGGAAGGAAGCGCGAGGGGTTTCGTCGGGACCAGTCGCTGAGTCGGCAGCTCACCACGTCAAATTCTACCAGCTGGTGCTTCGCGGTGACTGCGACGAGCATCTCGTTCGACGTCGGCAGTTCGTGGGCCACAGGATGAGCCGTGCTGCGTGTCGCGTGGAGGCCGCGATTACCGTCGGCCGCCGCAGAGAGAGACGGATGAGGTGATGGCCGGAACGTGAGTGCTAGGATGGATGAGTCGAGTTGTGGTAGTTGTGAGCCAGAGGGGTTCCGAATCCACTTTTGCGCATGGATGACGGGAGAGTCGTCTTCGTCGTCATCATCATCATCGGATGAATCTGAAGAGGAGTCTGACGAGGAGCCTGGCTTGTTGTCCTCAATGTAGTCCAAGTCTTCGTGGCCTTCGAGAACCCATGCGTCGATCGCACCTGAGACGTCCGATACTGCGAGGACGCGGCTGTCGCCAGACATGGCGACATGATTGATCGTTTGTAAATAGCCACCCAATGCGGAATGAACTGATCTCCGCGACGCCCGATATAGTTTGACCGTCTTCGGGTTGATGGTGGGTCTCCCTGTAGAGCCGTCCGGGGGCACAAGTTTGTTTAATGCGACGGTGTTGTCTTTGCGGATGGTATAGATCCATTTTCCATCAGGGCTAAACCCGGCCCTCTTGGCTCCCAACCGGACGACAGCTGGGGGGAAGTCGATCGTCCTCGTGCGCACGCATGGTTTGCCTCCTGCATGAGTCTGTCGCAATTGGAACAGCTTGACGCTGTTCAACGTCGCTGCAATGATGAATTGACCGTCTGGAGATAATTGTGCATCTTGAATTTTTTCGTCGCCCTGTACAATCAACTTTGCCAGGATCTCGTATGACGAGCCCGTGGTGTCATCAAAGTCGATATTCTCCGAGAGATTCCCTTGCGCGCGTACTCGGTAGACCACAATCTCACAGTTCCACCACGATACGAACATCCTTGCACTTGTCGAGGCCGAGATCAGACATCTCTGGGGCAGTGGGGAGAGCTTGCGATGTGATTCCGTCTGAAGCTTGCGGATGGGCACCACAACGGGTTTACAGTCCATCCCGCCAGAAATTAGGACACTCAGACCCTTGCTCTCGAACGTGGCGGCACACTTCACGTCGTGACGGTGGTATCTTTGATGAGATATCTCAGCCCATCTCGTTTTCTTGCCACCTGTGGGAGTGAGGGCTGGCCTGTAGCTGACAGTCCTCCGATCTACACCAAAGGAGAAGATCACGTTCCCGTCCACATTCGTAGCCAGATCGACAATGTCATGAGTGTGAGATTTCAGTCTCTGAACCAGAGAAAAATTCTTAGCATCCCAGATTTTCAATTCGCCGGTGGAATCTCCAGAAATGATTGTGCCGTCAGGTAGACACTTGACAGCCCAAACCACTGTATGCTCGCCATCGACTGGCTTGCCCAAACTCATATGCCGGATGGTCGTCCGGGTGCGTAAGTCGATGACACGAATGGTACTGTCCTCATATCCAGCGACCACGGTAGTGCGGTCTCGCCAGGTGATGCTCACAACTCTAGGCTTCTTGACTGGTGGAGTCAGCAGCGGCCGCAGATACCGAAGGTCATCGTCCTCTGTAGAGAAAAGAACAATGGTGCCATTTGCGCAGCCCGCCGCTATCAATTGTGAATGTGCACCGCCTTCCAGGCCTTTGATCTTTTCTGGGTTTTCAATTTGAGGTTGAACGGCAAAGCACCAGATGTCTCCGAAGTTTGCCTCTGTTTGCCTTCTAGGTGACCCTGTAGCTATGTCCCATTCTGTGATTGTGTTCGCTCCGGAAGTACTGAAAAGACGCAGCGGCCCTCTTGAGTATTTTGGAGATTCCGCCTCGTCCTCCAAGACAAGATCTTGTGTCCATGCAAGCTGCTCGATTATGCTGTCCTTGGACCCTTTGAAAATTGCTTCCTGCACCCAACGGCCATCCCGAGGGTCGAAAATCTCAATGTCTCCATTCCCGCGACCAAGGGCCAAGCGTAAGTCGGAGGGAGTCTTTTCCTTTGTATTGGAAGGATGGGAGAAGGCGAGTGCATGGATGGGGTCTGCAGGATACTGGACAAATCTGCATCGGTGGATGTCCATTGTGTTCAGAAGGGACAGAGAATCTGGGACTCGCTCATAGTATTACAAACAATCACAGACAATTGTAACGCCCATCGTGTGGATTTGGCAGCGCATGCAATCTGTGAAGCGGGCGAGGCGCTTTGAGACTTGCAGACTTTCGTCTGCGCAGGAAAAAAAAGTTTGGTGACTAACCGGCGAGAAGAATCGCCGAAGCCCGTTATCGATAAGACCAAAGGGCCTGCGTGACTAACCCAAACTCTGAATCAGCGAGGCTTGTGCGTCTTGCGCAACCCTTCGCTTGAGGTAGGCCGCTGACCATTGTTTTTGGATCAACTCGGACTTCAGGTCAAGTCACCGGAGTTGCTGATCAAGAGCTCCTCGTTGTCAGCGAGCCCGTGGGATTGTCTTGAACGTTGCCCACGCTGCACCGGACGGACTTCGACATCTTGTCACTAGGCCCTGGCTCGTCGACATGGCCTAACGTAACGGTTCTCAGGATCCGACTCTGTGCTAGGAAGTCAAGTTATGGCGACCCTAATCAACTACGACTTGACAACATTCAAGCAGGCAAAGCCCAACAAACGCCGGCTCCAAGACTTGCAACATTCCGAGGCTAGATCCCACGCTGCTCGGGTTTCATATTGGCGTAAAAGAAACCTTCCGTTGACAAAGACGCCACAGCAAGGCTTCAGCGACTTGGACAAAGGTGTCTCACCTGGTACATCCTCCACATCAGACCAGGATGTCCAGAGTCTGCCTGGAAGTACCGGTGACATTTTCCTGGAGAACAGGCACAGTGCCTCTTCGGGAGAGCTAACATTTGTCCATGAACATGGCAGCGCTTCAGAATCACCTTCTTGCGCAGTTGGAAGGCGAAAGCATACTTCATCGGTCTCACATCGAGGTGAATTGTCAGTCAGCAGTCATCATCGCACTCGCTCAGATGGCAATACTAAGGCGAATGGGAGGCGAATCGCGAAAAAAGTGGAGGAGAGTAGGGTAGAACACCTAGCGTTCACAAGGAATCCAGACTACCTCTTCTTCGAACCCATTGATTCTTTGCGAGATCACCAGAGAGGCGATGTGATTACAGCCCTGGATCAGTGTAAGTACCTTGTCCTTGATTGAGATTATTGTTTACTGACATCTCGAAGACCTTAATAAGTGGGCACCAGGGCAGAAACCAGGCTTAAGGCACCAGACCAAGGACAACCCACTCATCAGAGAGGTGTTCTACTCAGCACTACAGAACATCGAGCTCTTCGAATCCATCATTGCTCTGATGACGAGTTTCCAGGCTGCAGGGCAGAACTTCGAGAACCGACTGTGCAATGTGTCTCTCTACCATAAAGGCCGGGCATTGGCAGGCATTCGGTCCAAGTTGGGGTCTGGACTGGTCGACGAAGCCGTTATGCTATCGACCGTATTTCTTATGATCATCGACGTAGGTACCAATGTACGACGAGTTTCAAAATCAGCTGATTATCTCAGAACGTCTTCGCGGAGTATGAATCTTACCGAGCTCATCTAGATGGCCTTCGAAGGATGGCAATGGCCATGCCAAGGATTGACGAGACTCGCTATGCCGGAGTTCTATGGACTTTTCTTTCTTGGTATATCTCCAGTAGTGATGATCCTATACCCTTTGCTAAACAGACTTTTAGGGCCGAGTCAAACGCATTACTTTTATTTGGGGACAGCATTGGATCTGGCGCTTCAGTGGACATTATGACCGCAACGAATGGACAACCGCAGCGCATGCCAAAGATGACGCCTAAAACGATCGCTGCACTCACGCCTGGATTCAGAGATATTGCCGCGAGAAAACAAATATCCGCGCAACTCACTTCAACACTGGAAAGTACCATCAGATGGACAAAGTGTATTGACGACCAGTCCGCATGTCGCACCAAGAATGACGAGGACTTCCTGGCGCGCTTCGACCCTCGTATGAATAACGCCAGAGCCATGCGGCTCTCTTCGTGTCATGAGATACTGGAAAGGGCAATTTGCAAAGCACTTTATCTCTACCATGCTAACGTGCTGGGATGGTCCTGTCGATGTGCCGTCTATCAAAGTACAGTGCTCGATCTTGCTGCCATACTTCAAACGAATACGCTGGAGGACGCTGGGCATCAAGAGCTTTGGATGTGGTTGGCGCTTCTCACTGCAAATGCAGCCAGGAGAGGCAAGCTTGAGCAGGTGCAGAACGAGATACTGGCTAAATTAGCGACTGGCGCGGAGCGATATTGGTCGATCGGCACTGTAATTGAGAAGTTCCTTGTCCACAGCATGTTGGAACGCGAGTGGAAACAGTGCTGGGAATTGGCCATGATGGTGCAAAGTACGTAAGATCATGCGGCGTCTCATAGCGATTGAATGAAATCCAGTGTACTCGGTATCGCATGAAGCCCCGGGGGGCCGGAACTACGTATTTCCGAGGCCGGTGTGGACAAGGAAGAAGCCCGGAAGTCGCTGCTTGGACTCCGTCACCACCTTCCAGCGTTGCCGAGGCCACATCAACTGGTCTTCACGCCGGAACCTCTTCGTACCGCCAGTCTTTGTGTCGGATTGTGTAACTCAAAGTTATCCTCGTGTTCCAAGCCACTTTTTTGTCGCCTTGTCGCAGAATGTTTGCTCAGGAGGCAGCCCGCGTCCATAAGTAGACCTCAAGAGCGCGCCACTGATCTCATCCTCATTCAACTGAAAAGAACGCGAACATGAGCACGACCACAACCCCTCAGTTGGTGTTCCTGTCAACGCGTTGTGCGAGAACGGTAGCTGATCCAAGTGGTAGGGGAGAGGTCAAACAGGCCAAGCGAGCATGTACCGAATGTCGTCAACAGAAGGTGAGTCGCGTCTTCCAGGAATCCTACCGGTCTTCGTGTGTCGGTGTTTCTTTGTTCCCCCAAAAGAGACGGTTCGCAGCAGAGGGTCATATAACCCTCTCATGCTGCGCAGCCACTTGCTTTTTGTGACTTTGGTCTTTCTCATCAGCTGTGGAAGCTCCCTTCCCTATATCTGCAAGCTTCGAATTGACCATTCCTTGTCCAGGCCAAATGCGATGCTTGGCTCGACCCAGACAATCCGTGCTCGCGATGTCGCAAGATGGACAGGCGGTGCATCGTTTCCGAACCTTTCAAACGAGAACATAAACGCAAGCGAATATCTGAACTTGAAATGCGCACCGGAGAATTGCAGGAGAGACTCAATTCATCTGGCCGACGCGATTCCTCGGCACTGTCAGAACCGACGTGGAATGCGGGCAACACCACTGGACCGCGAAATGCTGAGAATGAGAGTCGACTTGCCTCAGTGGCCCCATTTTTCAGAGACGCAACTATCGCTCCAGTTTCTTACCGCTCCTTCTCGCAGGCCGCTGAAACTCTCCAGACACCGGAAAGTCTTCCACATGATCAGTCAGGCTCGGCCACGCTGTCGAGGGTCCTGGAGGGCCAAACAGTTGATGCCAAAGACATTGATGCGACATTCCAGATGTGAGTCCTAATGCAAATCATGGAGCAAGCTCCGCTACGAGGAGCCGCTGAACAACACTCTGCGGACAGTCCCACGTTGTCCAATGCTGATTTCTCTTTCTTACAGATTCTTCCGAGACTGTGCAAATCTCATGCCCATCCTCGATCCTTCAATGACTCCTAATGCATGCTACGCGCTTTCACCTGTACTCTTCTGGGTTATCGTCGGAGTCGGCTGCCGGACGTATCCTAACAACCCTACCTTACTGGGCGTCCTACCGTCGAAGATCAAAGCTATGGCTCTTCTCTCTGTCAATGGAAACATCACCCTGTACACACTTCAAGCCTGGCTGATTCTCTTGTACTGGCCATTTCCCAAATCCAGCACGGGTCAGGATATGATCTTCCCAATGAGCGCTGCATTGTTGCACATGGCCATGCAGCTCGGCTTACACCTGCCGTCATCTGGTCAGGACTTCAGCAAAGTCCGCCTGAGATTAAGTGAGGAGGAGACAAAGAAGCGAGCAGCAACTTGGGGCTATTGTATGCTCATATATCAGCGGTAAGCCATTCTCTTGTGGAACATCATTGCGAAGATCCCTCAAGTGGGAAAAGAGGTCTAATAAAATGGCACACAGTTCTTGCTTGGCTAAAGGCATGCCGGCGACGCCCATCATCGATATCCCCCATGACCAAGAACAAAAGCGAACACTCTTTCAAAGCATGAATCCAAAACTCCAATTCGAGCTCAAACTCCAAGATGTCGTGACGAGATGCTCAATCGCGGTGTCTCAAAATGGTGTGCGAACCATGTCTGCCGACCAGGAACGCTCGTTGGACACTTTACTGGGCATGTTTAATGCACAGATTGCCAGTGTCGGTCTCGAGTATGCAACAGGTACGTACTTCATCATGCTCCCGGGATGGAGATCGCTAATGGTTTTGTCTTTGGCCAGATCTGGATAGGCTTTACGTCCATCTCGCAACACAGAGTATCCAGTCATTCAACCTCTACAAATCTCCCTCCGCGCAGGATCCCACCTCCCTCTACGACCTCTGTGTTACGTGCTGCCAAGTGATTGAAACTTTTGACAACCTTGACAAGACAGGACAGATCTCGCTCCCTGCTGCTCCTATCTTCTTCTATCACGGTCTTATGATGCCCTGCCATATTCTCCTTCGCCTTCTCAAGACTTCCTTTATGCGCTACGTCAATGCCGACAGAGCTCGGTCCGCTCTCTTTCTCGGGATTAGTCTACATAAGCGACTGTCGTTACAGAACGATGACGTCCCCGCTCGGAACGGAGCCGCATTAACGCAGCTGTGGAACAGTAACAAGGTCTTTCGCAGACCAGATGGTACAGAGATGGCGTCACTGCGCGTCCGGGGTCGTCTCGCTGGTAGTAACGTTCTAGACGGCATTGTGTGGTGGCGAGAGGAATTCGGCACATTTATGGGTATTTATCCACCGCCAATCGGGGATAATAGAAGTGGTACGCACTACCTTGAGGATTTTGATGCGTGGGCTGTCATGTTATGACACGTCTTTTTTGAGGCTGCAATAGTGCTAACGAAGGTTGGTGTGTTACAGATCTTCCTCCCACTGCGACCGAGAATGACACGACGCCAAATGGAGGCCTGATGCACGTCACCCCGCTGGGTGGTGCAGCATCAAAGCCTGACTACTCTAGCTTTCTGGATGATCCAATGTTGGCAGAATTCGGTTGGCCTTCTGGTGAGGATATCTTTTCGTCAGCGTGGGCCGAGGACGCGCTTGGAGGCATTTGATTGCCTTGGAAGGCAAAGAAATTTCGACCCTCACTATCAGATGCTGTGGATTGTACTATTAGTTTGTTGTCAGTGTTCTGCAAGTGTTCTGGCTTCGCGATGTGCGGTTTGTGATCTGAGGAGAGTGTCACGCATTGAATGTTGGGAAACTCAAAGCCATGAAACATGAACGGGAATGGAGGCTCGGAAGCAGATCAGTCAGTGTTCTTCTATTAACGATGTTTCAGGGTATTTCAAAATGAAGTCAACAAAACAATGAGAAAACCCTGTCTCCTTCATCCTGCTCTCACCTGCCACAAGTGCCCTCCTCTTGGCAAGATGCATTTGTGAAAGCCCGACCTTGAAAGAGACACATTATGAGAGTATGTCCAGTTCAATCACCAATACCTCACTCCCACTTCCTTTCGAAAACGCCGACCCAGACACCATAGCCCACTATCTTGCTCTTGATCGCATTCTCCAGCTCGGTCTTTGTGGCAACGGGACTCAGCTTGTCAACGTTGAGTTTGTCATTGAGCGCAACAACCTGGTAAAAATACCTGTGCGGTCCATGGCCTAGCGGTGGTCGCGGTGCACCGTATATCGTCCCCCGTATGTTCTTGCCCAACCTGAAGCCTCCACGCAAGTACTTTTCCCCTGGCCTGGATGCTGCTTTTGTGTCCGTGTCGAGCGCGAGGTCGTCGGCCGTGATTGTCGTCTTGGTGTCCGGTATGGCGTAGAACAAGCCGTGGATCGGCACGAGTGGTAGGGGGGCGTCCGGGTCCTCGATGAGAACAATGTATTGTTTGATTTCGTCCGCCGTTGCAGCAGGCGCAGTCGGTGAGACCTTCCACTCGATTGCGGGAAATCGTGATTTTCCGAAGGCGCCATATTCGACCGGCATGACCGAGTTGGATGGTCCTATCTCGGGACATGTCACGGTGAGGACCTCGGGCGCGTCGGCGAACGCGGCGGTGTTGGTCCACAGTTTTGAGTCGCGGCCTCGGTTGGACGAGAGGAGGCGGCCGAGGGAGTATTCGAGGTAGTCAAGTGGACTCATCTTTGAGTCGTGGGGTTCGTTTAGTTTGTTTGTTGGGTTTGGTTGTGTCTTGGGTCGCTCAGTTCCAGGTATATTGAATACCCAGTGACTCTCGAGCTACTCTGAATGAGTAAGTTCCCGAGACCGGCGGCGTCTGTGTCCCGGCATGCGTGCGTTTTCCCCGTCGGCACTCCGTCAGGGGCTGTCCGGTGAACTGTGGACAGCGAGCGACCACTGGTTCTCGGTCCTCGCTTGCGAATGAAAAACGTCAATTGCGGTGCGGATGGGATTCCTCGAGGCACCTAAACTAAAGGATCCTCGTCTGGACCTTTACGATGCGGAGGAGAGGAACCCATCCACACGCACGGTCGAGCCAGGCCAGGTCACTCAGTCAGGTCAGGTCCGGTCTGCCGCTTTTCTCAACGCTTCCGTCGACTTCGCAAGAGATACCCGGTACCTACGAGTACCTTATGCAAGGAAGGAGATTAAGTGACCTTTAAACCCCGCGCCGGCGTCGACAAACATCTTATGTCCGGAGTTGCCCTGGTACTGGGAGACACAATGAACCAATCATCATCCGAGTTGGGTGGCCGGTTGACCCTGGACCGGGCCTGAACCGGAGTGGTGGGGAGGGGGAACAAAAAAGAGGTTTCAAACACTTTCCCGTTTTTTCTTTTGCAGTGTGCGATGGTGTCCGGCCCGTTGGCGATTTGACTTTGTCTGGATTCGGCATGGTCGAAAAGGGGTGAATGATATGGTAGATTTAAAGCGGATCAATCTCTTGAGAACGTCTGATGAGTACTTGACCTACTCGTGCTTGGAAAAGGAGTCGGTCAGTCTAAACAGTTACCTGAGAGCGACAGTAAACTCCTGGCATCGACGCGCTCTGGAGGCTACAATATCCCACACTCACGGACACACCTGCTTGCGACGAGAGGAGACCCCGGAATTGACGCCGGCGTTACTCGTAGGGTTCTCGACACATAAAGCGTTCGACGTTCATATATGTATGGCCCGCCTTGAATATCTAAGGGATCAAAGGCCAACATCGGTATTGTTTCGTTTGTTCAATAAAAAGGGGAGTCACACGAAACAAAGATGAGCGACTATCAGCACGAAGACACGGACGATGTAAGGCCGCGGGAAATCTCGAATGACGTCGAAGTCGGACCTGCTCATGCCGACCAGCAAACACCGACAGAGGGTACCGAGAAGCACATAGATGCAGAGCGAAACGGACACAATAACGGCCAAGTCCAACTTGAATCGGGACGAGGGACATCGGCCGCCCGAGAGAAACCGTACTCTGTCTTCAGCACGAACGAGAAGAGGGTCATTGTCCTCGCGGGATCTCTGGCTGGGTTCTTCTCGCCACTGTCAAGTTCGATATACTTCCCTGCCTTGGACACGATCGCAAAGGCTCTGAACGTGTCGGACTCGAACATCAACCTCACCGTCACGACGTATTTGATCCTGCAGGGGTTGGCGCCCATGATGATCGCCGGCTTCTCGGACAACATGGGCAGACGACCTGCGTACATGTTGTGCTTCACCATCTACATCTTCGCCAACCTCGGCCTGGGCTTGCAGAACAGCTATGCCTCCCTTCTCGGCCTGCGGTGTCTGCAGAGCGCCGGGAGCAGCGGTACCATTGCTCTGGCCAACGGACTGGTCGGGGACACGGTCACGTCGGAACAGCGCGGCGCGTACATCGCCTTTGCGTCGCTCGGAGGTCTCCTCGGTCCGACGCTGAGTCCCATCATCGGCGGGTTGATCAGTCAGAATCTGGACTGGCACTGGCTGTTTTGGTTCCTGCTCATCTTCTCGGGCGTGTTCGCGGTCCCGTTGTTCCTGTTCCTTCCAGAGACGTGTCGCAAGATCGTCGGGGACGGGTCCATTCCTCCGCCGCCGCTCAACATGTCGTTGACGGACGTGATCAGACACAGGCGCAGAGCAAAAAAGGGACGTGGGTTTGACGAGGCAGAACGGGGCGAATTGAGGAAAAATTACCGATTTCGATTTCCAAACCCCATCGCGACCTTATGGATCTTGTTTGATCCCGCGTCGCTGGTCATTCTGGTAACAACGGGGCTGAACATTGCTTGCTTCTATGCGATATCGACGGGAGCGTCGTCCGCATTCAGGAACGAATACGGGCTCAACGACATCGAGATTGGACTGGTGTTTATCCCCATCGGTGTCGGCGGGCTCCTGTCCGCGCTCACGACGGGCAAGTTGATCGACTGGAATTACCAACGGCATGCTCGTCGGCTGGGCATCACCGTGGTCAAAGGGGTCCGACAAGACCTGACGGATTTCCCCATTGAAAAGGCACGGATCCAGGTGGCTCTGCCCCTTCTCCTTCTCAACGGAGTGTTTGTGATCGCGTACGGGTGGACAGTGGACCACAAGGTCAGTTTGGCAGGCCCGATTATCTTTTTGTTCATATTGGGTTATTGTTCGATTGCTTCATACCAGGCCATGAACGTCCTGATGACGGATATCTGGCCCGGGCAAGCAGCGGCCGCCACAGCGGCGAACAACTTTATTCGATGCGAGCTTGGAGCGGCGGCATCGGCAGCGATCAGTCCGATGAGCAAGGCCTTTGGGCAAGGGTGGGCGTACACGTTTTGGGCGCTGGTTTACATGGCCTTTGCCCCGGCGTTGCTCATTATCAGTCGACGCGGGATCCAAATGCGGAAGGCGAAGAAGGCCAGAGGAGATAAGAAACTGGCTCAGAGAAAGGAGATAAAGGACCGGAACGGGTAGGAGAGAAGAGGATAGATATTTTCGGTGGCTGAGAGTGGTCGGACCAAAGGCTCATGACAGCCTCGAGAGATATCTAGATGGGTGTCCGTAGTCCCATTAGGAGTACTCCGTAGGTCCATGTGGAATCAGGAGTACCAGTAGATAGGCCGACAAGGAGTATCCCGTCCTGTAGCACCAGTACAGCTTCTCGGCAGAAGTCCTCAGAAACTCGTCGTCGCTTGCCCTTCAAGCAGCCAAACCTGATGATTCTTGGGGTGAGCTGTAGCTGTGCGTCATTTAGAGCCATATTGGGTAACATGTTTCGGTCATGGAAGAGTCCGGTCGAGATCGCAGTATTGGAAACCGATAGAGGACCCCCTGTGATCAAGGAGTCATGACCAGGCTTACCGTAATGACGGAGCGAGGGTCGCTTGTTCGTTCAAGAGTGAGAAAGGATGGTGCGCCTAGCTAGAGCTGAGGACGAGGATGAGGCCATGAGGCCGACGGGAGAATTTGTCTTCGCATAGAAGGCCTCTTTACGGAGAGTAGGAGTCGAGACAGAGGATGAAGATGGCTGATCCGCCGGGCGGTACATCCCAGGGGCCTTATCTGACGCAAGGCTATAAGAGTCCAGAGTGGGCACCTAACAAGACAGACCCTTAGGCTGTCGAGGCGCCCCTAAGCTTCGTAGAGTTAGGTAGATGCCCAGGCCTTTGTACCTAAAGCTCTAGCTAAGACGACCACCCAACTACCTAATTCCTTAGCCAAGGCGACCCCCCAACCACCGCGGCAGGCTCGTCACGTGCAGTGCGCTATTTTCGGCCACGCACTCCGTCCAAGATACAACAAACAGACTCCCTCCACCATCCGCTCGCAAGCCAACGCCAAATCCTGTTCTCTTCAATTCATGAGCCTGTTATAGGTCCAAAGTACAAGACCACACTTCATCCCTGTCCCTCACACATCCTATTTGTACCTCCGTCTCAACCCTTCTCAACTCAATCTCCCAACCGGATCTCAGTCGCATCCTCCACTCTCAAGGCGGAACCATTACTCATCAACGCCTCAACTCGATCACCCACGCCCAAGTAACCGAGTTGCTTGGACCCAGACATCTCGCACCTTCGATTGCTCACTGTGCGCTCCTTACCAAACCCGTGGCCCGGGACAGACGCAACCACGAAACTAATCAGCGTATCCGCCACACCCTGGATCAACGCGTTATTTTACATCAGCAGCACTCGTACCATTCCATCATCGATGGGGCCCAGCGGTGGTGAGCCTGTCCTGTGATCGACGCAGTTCGTCCGGTGTCCGTACGAAACAGACAGGTACAAATATCCATCAAGCAGTCCGTCCATCCCACCTTGGGTGACACAAAAAGACAAGCAAGACAAGCAGAGGCCCAAGAACCCTGCCCACCGGGCCCGGACAATTTCCCAACTTATCGCCCGTGCTCGCGTCTAGCTGTTTTCCTCGCGCCACGAGACGCCGATCTGACGTCGCTCGCGCAAGCCGACTCTTCCGTGCCACCCACACGCTAGAAGTTTCAGCTTTTTCCTTTGCAGCATTCCAGCCTCACTCAAAACGGACGACAGTGTCGCGACGTCTAGCACCCGGCTCTGACGAGAGCATGGCACAGCGCCTAGATTTTCAATAGCACCGTTCTTGACCGTTTTTCTCGTTATCCTTAGTCCTCCGCCCTCTTCGCAACAACCACCCGCGCACCATGCCGATGCAACGGCCCAGTATGCTCAAACGGGTACGTAGTCATACAAACCGACAGTCTCTTAGCGACTTGGTGCATGGAAGAGGCAACTCGCCACATCCTCAAGCAGACACCATCTCGGCTTTGAAGCAGATCGAAGAAGAGACCCTGCCCAAGTATACTGCAGACACTTTCTATCCCGCTCGAGTAGGCGAAGTTTTACATGACCGATATAAACTATGTGCGAAGCTGGGCTTCGGCATGACGGCGACGGTATGGCTGGCAAAAGATTTGAAAGCGTAAGTTTACTCTTCCCTCGTCGAATGACAGAGTCTTCAGCCTCAGGATATCCGACTGATGTTCTTCACGTAGCGACCAGTGTGCGGGCAACCACAAATACGTCACCATCAAGATCAATGTCAACACCTTGACCGAAGACTTCCTGAAAGGACGACGAGAAATCGCTCAGAAGTTGTTCTCGGCCAATCCCAACCATCCGGGATACAACCACATCCGATTCATGCGAGATACATTCAAGCTCAGGTCCCGCCACGGCGAACACCTGTGCATCGTATACGACGTCCTCCGAGAGCCCATCGATACATGTATGGAGAAATTCCCTGGTCGACGCTTCAATTCCGAAAAGCTCCGCAAACTGCTACCGGCGCTGTTGAAAGGCCTCGACTACCTCCACACAGAATGTGGGGTTGTGCACACCGACCTGAAAGCCGACAACATCATGATGGGACTCGGTGATCCGACCATTCTCGACCGCTTCGTCCAGCACGAAATCGACCATCCGTCGCCGCGAAAAATGCCGGACTCTCACGGGCGGATCATCTACAGCTCGTGCAGCGACTTTGGTGAAGCCCCGACCGACGAGGTCATCGGCACGGCCAAAATCACAGACATTGGTCTGGCGGCGTGGGGAGACGGGAATAACACCAAGCCGATCCAATCCAACGCTTTCATGGCGCCCGAAGTCATTCTCCAGGCCGGTTGGTCGTACCCTGCCGACATTTGGAATCTGGGAGTGATGCTATGGGACCTCTTTGAGAGTTTTGGGTTGTTCGACGCCATCGACACACAACCGGGACACTACCGCCCCGAGAAACACCTGGGTCTTATGATTGGCCTCTTAGGACCGCCGCCTGTAGACTTTGTCAAGCGAGGAGCCAAGTCGTCTTACTACTTCGATAACGACGGCAACTTCAAGTATCCAGACTACGTTGACCACGAGATGTCTTTCGAAAGCTCCATCACGAGACTTCGAGGCGAGGAAAAGGACCTCTTTATCGACATGGCCAAGCACATGATCTGCTGGGTCCCCGAAGAGCGGTGGACGGCCAAGCAGCTCCTCGAGCACCCATACTTGACGAAAGAGCGCGATTACATCCCGACGCCCGGCGGCCTGAGCCGTGCCTCGACTACCGCTTCGTTCCAGTCAATGATTCCGTCCCGGACCGGTACTCCCAACACTCCCCCGTCGATCCCCGTGTCGAGACGAACGTCGAACCTGGAACGCATCCCTTCACATGGCTCCTCGCCGATGGCCAATGGGACAGCCTCGTCGGTAGCGGACAAAGTATCGTCGTCGGCTTCGAGACCCACCACGCCAGCAAGTTCAACGGTGCCGTTCGCGCTCCCGTACCACCCGAGGAGGAGCGAGGACAAGAACAGCTCTTCGTCGGTCACAATGAGTCCCGGTGGCCACCTCGCGCCTGCCCCCAGTGCAAATGTCGCGAATAAGTGCTCGCAGGATCTTATAGATGCGATCTTGAATAAGCGCAAGAACGGTCACAAGCAGCAGCAGCAACAACAACAAACAATTAGTGAGAACGGCTCAAATCGTGCATCTATGGATAGCAGCAGCAGCAGTACACCGACGAAATGAGTTTGAGTGTTTTTGCAGTTTCTTTCCTCGATTGACGACCATGGCGATCTTGTGCGCTGTTGTGTGCGTATGTGTTTTGGGGCGTTTCTTCCGTCTTCGTATGTGTGCGTGTTTTTGTGTCGGGATGTGGCGGGGGTGGAGTTACCCTTGTTTTCTGTGTTTTTGGGCTCAAATGGCACACACAGTCAGCCAGTCAGTCACATTACGATGGTGTTTTCTTCTTCTTTTCACACCGCTACCCGCTATAATGATGAGACGGAGACATGGACCGTCCTCAACTCGTTTTCCTTGATGATTTTGCCATTTGTTGTCACCACCGACTGGATGGCAATCACGAATATACTGGAGTCAAATCAAGTACCTGAAAAACGCATGTCAAGAGGATACCTACCTACCTATCTACGTAGATAGATAGGTATTGAGACATGATCAGTATGACAGCTGGCAACTGGGGGAGATTCTGGAGGACACTCTAAAGAAAGAAAAGACAAGAGGAAAGAAATATAGTCGTAGGACTTGAATTGATTGCCTCTCGATTGATCTCAGCATGCATTACCGACCCCCTCCTTTTCTTACCTGCCTATGGTGGGTTCATCCTACCTTGGGTGCCGGTAGGTTGTAGGTAGAGAACCGGTTTTTTGGTCACCCGGCGCCTCTCCTGTGCTTCCACCTACGGTTCTGCCTGGATACCTTTGCATGCGTAGTCAGTCAATAACCTAACCTCAGCCCCTTCGTCTTCGCCTTCGTGCTGGACGAACTGCCACCTTCCGAACTGATATGGAGTCTTGCTGCTGAGTGGGATTGCCACCACGTACGTAGTCTTCCTGGTGAAATACCACCACTACCGGTGGACAACATGCGAACTACCACACACTCGAGCCATAACGCCGGGAGGAGATTGCACCGCCGTCCTCGTCGTCCTTTTCGTCCTTTTCATCATTTCTTGTACGGGTCATCTCCGTCATCCGTCCGTCGTCCATCGTCTCCCTTCGCATGCTGCTAGAGGTGAGTGTTGTTCCCGACTTCACGCCGTCAAGTGTGACACAGGAGGATGGAAATTCTCTCGACAGACCCCTCTCTGCTCGAGTGCCTGCAACTGAAACAAAAGCTACTGAAAACACAGTGAGTAAGTGGTTTCCTCACTCACTTCTCTTGGTGCTTCGTATCAGCTTGGTGAAGCCGGACCGTCGCCACTCTCCACCGAGTGACCTGTAGCCTCATCATCCCAGAGATATCTTTTGGTCTTTCGTTCGTGAAACGGTACTGGCGTGGCTTCAGCTCGTGAATATATCGTGTGCTACTAAGTGACCCATGGAACGTTCTGTTGTTGTTGTTGTCGTCGTCGTCGTCGTCGTCGTCGTCGTTCAAAAAAAATCCCAATTGTATAGTATCACTTTTTGTCTCCCGACTCTCCGTCATCTTCCAAGACCTTCGCGTCCTTCTTCGGAGGCCGTTCGCCGAAAATCGTACTCCCGACCCTGACCTCGCTACTCCCCTGGCGTATGGCGCCCTCGAAGTCCTCGCTCATGCCCATGCTCAGTTCCAGGTCTTCCGGAGCCACACCCAGCTCGGCCGCGAGCGCGTCCCTGCTCTCGCGGAGACAGATGAAGTCCTCGTTCTCCGTCTCGGGCGTCGTGGCCTTGGACCTCGCTATGGCACCGATCGTCATGAGCCCTTGCAGCCGCAGGTGCGGACAACTGTGCGTGATGTGCTTGGCCAGCGCGCTCAGTTCCTCCGACCGAGGCGGCACGCCGGACTTGGAATCCTCGCCCGACGTGTTGACCTGGATGAACACACGGAGTGGCTCTATGGTGGTGGTAGCGTCGGTGGTAGTGGTACTGGCGGTGGTGGTGGAGGTGTGTGACCGCCGGCCTTTGTCAAGCAACGTCGCCTTCTTCTCCGAGTCCACGCTCTCCACGGCCCAGAGGTTCGGGATGTCCCTGGCCAGCTGCATCGCCTTGTTGGACTGCAGCCCGCCGATAAAGTGCCATTTTATACTCCGCGGGAGGACGCGGGACTTCTCGACGAGTTCTTGCACGTAGTTCTCGCCAAAGTGCTCGTGCGACGTGGGAGGGTTGTGCAGCGCGAGAACGTCCGACGCCGGCTTGAGTTTCGACACGGCCACGAGCCTCGGTGGATGGGGTCGTGCGCCGGCGGCAGAGGAGATGCGGGAAGCGACGCGCTCGAGGTTCGAGACGAGAGTGCTGGCGCGTTGCGGGTTGACGGTAATCTTCATCGTGGCGTCGGCGTGGGTGTCTTCAGGTTGAGGGTCGGTGGTTGTCATCGTGGACGCATCAGTCAGTTGCGGTGCATCTACTACGAGCCAGTGCGAGCTTGTGTGCGAGGATTCTTGGGACTCGGGGAAAGGGTTTTGAGAGGTGAATCAACGAGTATATGGATGAACGAAGGTGTCGTTGCGCTGGAGATGTTAAAAAACACCAAAAAATAAAATTAAAAAGGTTTAGGCGATGGCCCGTACAATGGATACGAAGCGGGATCAACATCACGTCAAAAAGATCTATAGAGAGATTTCGTTTCATATATTGACTCACTGACCACTCCGTAGTCCCTTTTTAATGACACGAATAGCAATGCAAACAAACACATTCAGAACCATGGAGTCCTTCATTTATCCTGGAATCTCCTCGTAGCCACACAGACGTCAACCAACTCATGCAAAGTCTACAGTGATGCACCGATACGAAATCGTACCTCTATCAACCAACCCGTCTATCTTTTGAACTCGTCCTTCGAAAACGCAGACCACTCACTCCAGTGCGACGCCAAACGCTATGATTTATGCAAATGCCGAAAAAGACTTCACCACATTTGTTCATCAACTACTCTGCCTCATCATCCGTGTCTGGTGGGTGAGGCGTGCCCTTGGGGCTATTTAACCATTCAATACTAAAAACATGTCATGTCAGTATATTGCATTTCTTCCAAGCTCAAGAGGAAAGTCAACACTTACTGTCGTAACCTTCGTCGCACTTCTCGCTCCTTCATCTGCGCACGCGTCAACTTCTTCTTCTTCTTCGCCTTGAACTTCATTTCGCTGTTGTCTTCGACACCCGAGTTGGTGGCGGATACATTGGCGCTCGACACCACCGAGCTGACATTGCTTGAGCCTGGTCGCGAATCCTCGAATCGGTTGAGATCAATGGCGAGGTGACCCTTGTGCATGACTTTACCGTCAGCGACATGCCATTGCTCGGGGCACAAAGCCCCCACAAATTCCTCGTTGTGACTGATCATGACAACACCTCCTTTGTAGTCACGGATCGCGACGGCCAGACCACCCAGAGAGTCTCTGTCCAAAAAGTTGGTCGGTTCATCCAGGACGAGCAAGTGAGGATTGTTCCACATGGCACCAGCCAGCACGACCTTGACCTTTTGCCCGCCACTCAAACCAGAGATCTCGTTGTGATTGGCAATCTCAGGGTCCAAACCCACATCCTCGAAATGCTTTGAAATCACCTTGGGCTCCAAGACCCGATAGCCGAGACCTTCGCGTGAGGCTTCGTGGTCGTCAAACTCTTGAATCAACTTCTGGAATCCCCATTCCAAAAGACTTTCACGAGACACTTGACTGTTGAACTTGGGAAGCATATTGCGCCATTTGACCTCGTACTGGAAAGTCTTCTTGTACTTTTGTCGACCCATCAAGTTCTCGATTTGTCGAGGGCCTTTGCCGTCCCCCAGGTCAACCCATTTCTCCATCTGTTCCTTGTCTTCGTCAGTGAGCACACGGGTGGCTTTCATGAGAACTTCTCGGTCGTCGCCGTTGGCGTATCTCCATTGCAGATACTGGTTCGGTGTTTTCTCCAGATGCATTTCAACGTGTTCAAGCGCGTGTTGCTTGATGTATCCAATACGTAGATTGGGATGTTTCTCGACCTTACCGGTTTGAGGGATCGCTTCACCGGTCAACATCTTGATCAAGGTCGATTTTCCTGCACCATTGGCACCAATGATGGCGACCCGGGAAGACAGACTCAATTGGCAAGAAACGTCTTGCAAACTTGGTTTCGATGCTCCCGGATAAGTGTAACTGACGTTGGTCATGCGGATGATGGATCTAGTGTTCGACTTTACACCAGAGAGAATACCGGGAGGGGGAAATTTAAATTGCACCTGTGTGGCAGATAGAGTATAGTAGCTCTTGCCTTCAGGCTTGACCTTGACGAATGCTGCCAAATTTCCAGGGTAGTGAACCAGTTTTTTCTGCTCGTAGTGAAGAATGTCGGTACAGACAGCATCCAGGAAGCCGGAATCGTGAGAGACGATCAATGAGGTGATTTCAGAATGCTTTTGGAGATACTCTTCAAGCCACTTGACGTTGGCAACGTCGAGATGATTGGTAGGTTCGTCAAGAAGCAGAACGTCGGCTCTCATCAGCATAGCTCTGGCCAAAGCCAACTTCATTTTCCAGCCACCAGACAGTGAGCCAACCTTGTGAGACTGCCTGCCCTCTGGACCGGCGGTGAAGCCAACCTCGCTGAGGACTTCGGAGATTCTCTCTCGACCTTCTTTGGCAATTTCGGGGTCTTTCGCGACATACTCTAGAATGCTGATATCGGCATCTTCACCTTGGTTGTGCTCCACAAAGCATGTCCTCAAGACATCCTTCGAAGGGAAACCCTCCAGTTTCCCGTCAGCAATACTTCGCATCAGGGTGGATTTGCCGGCACCGTTACGACCACAGAGACCGTAACGATGTCCTTTCAACAAGCGGAGGTTGGTGTGGGAAAGTAGCAACATGCCACCATATGCGAGCGAGAAGTCCGCGTTGACAATCTCAACTTCGTTGGGATCTTCAACCACCGGTGCACCAAATTTCTTATGGTCTTCCTCGATGAAGTATTTCTGAACGCCATCGGCGACGGCGGAGCAGCTCTCATCGGGAAGCATGTACTTGAGGTAAGGGCCGACACGGCTGGGGATGCGTGCGAATGCGCGACTGTTGACATCTTCTCGGACCATTTCAGATACATAAATCTGACCGTCCTTCCAGATGGCCGCATCCTCTTTCTGAAGACCACCTTGAGCTCGAAGCTGACTGTCCAGGATTTTGAGCACGTCGTCCGTCGTTGCCTTTGCAATTTGACCATTGTTCGCGGCGTCTTTGTCCTCACCCATGGCCTTCTTCATGACATCGTTGGCTCTTGTGGCAAGTTCTCGAACTTCTGGAAGAGAAGCGCCGTTTTTGACTCTTTGGACTCCCGGTTGTAGTTTGGGCAAGAAAGTCCGGGCTTCTTCCGGGTCGTGCACCAACTTGGTCAAATTTTCTACCACTACCACGGTCTGTCTCAACACTTCCTGCGAAGTAGTAGGTGTGTTCAAAGATCTCTCGAGAAGAGGAGTAAGGAGGGCAAGGACGGGCGAGGTGACAATGGCAACAAAAGTCGTTTGCGACAAAGCGTGTATGGCTTTCTGCAGCGTCTGGGCTGAAGGATTCTTCATAGTGTCGATAAGAAGAGGAACTCGGGGGCCAACATCGTCGTTCTGCAACAGCGTCGTGAGAGATGTCATTGTTTTGGTGGCTGCTTTAGCAACTTCAGCTTTCAAATCGTGCATTCCGCCTTCAACGACCGGGATCAGCTCCTTGAGTGTTCGACCCATGGCGTTTCGAAGAACGTCTTTCGCTTGTTCTTCTTCTTTGGTGCCTGTTCCCATCTGGGCTTTATCTGCCATCTTTCCCAGTAAAGCGAAAGCGGCGACTGTTCCCTGCCATTTACCCGTCGGCTTTGACAAGTAGCGGTGCAAAGCTGGAAGGAGGCCCGCGACCATGGCTTCGGGTTCAAGGTTCTTGAATAGCTCGTCGACTGCGTATTGCGCGGACTCTCGGACAGAGGGTCCTTTGTCTGCTAGACCGTCGAGTACAAGATAAAGCAGTCCGCCATCCCGGACGAGAAACACGACTTCGCTTATAGGTTGTTCTCGAGGAAACTTTTCAAACATCGCACCAAGAATAAACATGGCACTTTCTCTCTTTGAGCCACTTTTCTTATCCGCAGCCGCTTTCTTGATTGCAGGTATCAAGTCATAGCCCAATAGGCCCCGGATGCCTATTGACTGAATGAGGAGATTGGTGAGAGCGTAAGAAGCATCGAGAGCGGTCTGTGCAGCATCTGCTTCGAGGATTGTCTTAAGGATACCGCTGACCTCTTCAGGAGTAGGAGGATGACCAGAGAAGGAAGATTTCGTAGGTACCACAGTCGAGGCCATCGCGGGAGCCAGAGGAGGGCTTTCAATATGTGGCATAGTCTTCGGACTCGAGCCTGGGATGCTGACTCTGGAAACCCGACAGATCGGACCGGCGCAGTGGTCGTTCTCTGCGAAAGAAAAGAATCACAGAAGCGCGCTCACCCTTTGTGCCGCACCCGGAGTGGAGAGGAGAAAAGATGGAAAAACAAATTGCTGAAAAGAAAACGCTGTATGGAGGAAGAAAATGTAAATTAGCCTGCGGCTTTGAGGACGAGCGCCCTCCAGCGTCTGCCACTTTTTTTGGGGCGTAACGGAAATTTTCTGGACGGGCGGCGAGGCGACCATCGTGCCCGATAAGAGATAACAATTGGCTAGTGACGTTGACGCCGGCTGAGTCAGCATCAGGCGCACACCAGCCCAGGTCGATACAGTAGTACGCTTTGAACAGGGACTTTTTGTATTGAGGCGGAGGTCCATGGCCAGGTATCCACGTCCCACCGGACAGCCAGGAGCAGCGACTATCGCTTGGTACTCTTGAGTGTGTTGGTGGCAAGGGTAAAAGGGAAGATCCTGGATGCTTTTCATATACTTTTGGGTTGATGTTTATACACTTTACACTAGATATCATGGACTCATTCTTGCCTCGCCCCCAAGGCTTGTTGTATAAAGGACCATCTAAGGTCAAGCAGGAAGGGCCTTCCCATACAAAAGTTCGCAACTCAAAGGTTTGCCAGCCAGGTCCAGTAGCAGCAGACGACACCGTCAGTTTAGAAGCCGCTTTCCGTGTTGCCGTCACCCATACTCTTGCTTCCACTGCTCCCAGATTGGATGGCTCCGATGATACCATCGATGTATGGAGCACCGCTCCATTTCTGATGGGTAAGGACGTCGACGCCCAATTGCTTTTCTCGGCTTTGGACCAAGTTGACATAAGCGAGCATGCCGTCTTCCTTGAACCCTTTCGAGAGCTCATTTGTGATCGTAGCCGTCGAATGGAGGCCTGCGAGTGAAATGAGCTGAAGCACAAATCCTTCCTTGGCCAGGTCCCAAACAAATGACTTTAATGAGGCGTCGTCGAACCCTTGACCCATCCAGTTGAACGATGGACTGAGATTATACACCATTTTCTTGCCTGGAAATACATTGCGAATCTCCCTAGCAAAGCCAGCGGCCTTTGAAACCGATGGAGTAGCGGTTTCCAGCCACAGGAGGTCGGCGTACGGAGCAAACTCAATTGCCCGTTTCGTTGCTGCTGGAATTCCAGCGCGGTAGTGGTAGTATCCTTCTCGGGTCCTGGGGATATCGCAAGACCATACCACGGGAGATTTGGTATATTGGGACGAGAGCTTGCGTCGCTTGGAGAGCGACATGTTGCGGTCCTCGTCCGTTTTCTTGAGATATTCAGAAGGATCACCGCCTTCTGACTTGATATGAGCTTCGACAGCTTCGTCAAAGGTCACCAGCTTATGTTCCTTGACCCAGGCAGATTCGAAGACGTCGATCTCGGGCCCAGTGGCTCCTTTCTGCTCCATTTCCTGCAGAAGCTCGGACAGAGGTTCCGTGTCTGAAGTGACACCGAGAATGTATTCGTGATCCCGGACGTCAATAGCGCTGGAAAGTAATTTTCCACTCTCAGAGTCGGTACGTGCAATGACCAAATTCTCGCAACCCATCATGTCCCACTGGAATCTGGCAGCGACCAAACGATTGATGTGATCCCCTACTGGTACCAAGACCTTGCCTGCCAGGTGGCCACACTTTTTCCCTCCATGGAGTTGATCCTCGAAATGGACGGCGGCGGCACCGTTTTCGGCAAAGAGTTTTGCAAGCTTAATGACTGCTGACAAACCTCCGTGGCCAGTGTCCCCATCGGCCACAATAGGTCGCAAATAGTCGACATACGGAGTGCTTTTTCGCTCCTGTGCACTCATCTTTTGCCTGGTGTCATAATTCCTGCGATCGTGAAGCTGTTGTGCCTTGAACAATCTCTGGACTTGGTTGGGTACGGTATTGTAAGGATAGTCACCAAAATCCGCCGACACCTCGTTTGTGGTAGTCAAGACAGAAGAGCAGGCCCAACCGGAGACATAGAGAATCTCTTGGTTTGGTGCTTGTTGTGTCATCTGTACAGGATCGATAGCACCCATCGTGTGCACCGGCTTTCCTTCGGCCGCTCTTTTCTCCAACAAGTTGAACAGCTTTCGTGCCATAATCGAGCTCGGATACGTTTGCTGTAAGGTGCCTCTCTTGCTCACGACATCTTCTGGCGTGTACGGTCTTTTGATGCCCTTGTAGCGAGGTGATGCCCACCACTTTTTGACATCCTCTACCTGCTGCTGGAAAAGAAGGTCCTCTGCATCCCCCGCCTTGTCCTCTGTCGCCAGCAGTTGAAACGAATCGGAGGGCAGTGGTGCGGAGACTGGAGGCTCAACTGCGGGTAGGGTGGACAAACGGCGCGCCATCGTTGTGATGAAAGGATTCGCAGCAGCACTCCGTACGGCCGTTCGGTCAGATAGCCTTGGGAGGCTCTTGGGTAGTCGTCGTAGCATGTTTAACCTGTGTGCTATACTTGCTCTCGACCGTCTTGGAGGGACCCACGACAAGAACCCGGGAACAGGTGTGTAGAGATATTTAAACCCTCGCAGAGGTGGCGTAGGATGGTGGGCGGACAGCAGCCCGAAGCTGCTTTGTAAGGAGGCTCAACAACACGTCCCGAGGACACTTGAGACTGGCCAGAGACTCACCATCGTCCTGACGAGAATCGACTGAGTATGCGTGACTTTATTATGGCTTGCTTGATAGAGTAGATTTCCTCCGATCGCGCAGGTGAGGAGAAATCCGAGGTCGGATCGGGGATTGATTGTTTGTTCCAGGCAAAGTGGCTTTGATTATTGTCCAGACCTCGGCCTGCAAACGCGCGGTTATTTCGGAGACTGAAGACGATGGTGGTGCTGTCTGACAGCCGCAATCACCCCGCTTAATGCAGCTAATCAAGCCCAAGCTGTGCCCGTCAGACAAGCCGGTTGTAACAAAGCCGAGGAATGTCCTGTCGTTGACTCGGTGCGATGGAAGTGGCTCGCGGACTGTACAGACAACTTTTAGGATACAAAGCTCGAGCGCTCATCTTTTTCGTTTCTTCCTGCTCGAGTCCCTGCTCCTGTGCAAGATCCAGTCTCCAGGTCCTCGACCTTCCACTACAACCTACTCGTTGCTTCTAACCACAACAACCGTTTCCATACCCCGCAACATCGAACCCGGGGAATCACTACCCCGTTGAGCAAAAAAAGACTTCGTCCACAATGGCATCCAGCTCGAGAAGTGCCCAGCGTGCTCTGAGAGCTCTTCGGGTTTCGTCCACCCGGACTTATACCCCCTTGACGCGCCGCACCTATGCCTCGGCCGCCGAGCCGGATCTCAAGTCGACACTGGAATCAGTCATTCCCGAGAAGCGAGAGCTGCTCAAGCAGGTCAAGAGCCATGCGGATAAAAAGATTGGAGACATCAGTGTTGGGATGGTTATTGGCGGTATGAGGACAATGAAGTCCATGGTGTGGGAAGGCAGTGTCTTGGACGCCAACGAAGGAATTCGATTCCATGGCAAGACGATTGCGGACTGCCAAAAGGAACTTCCGAAAGGCACGTCTGGCACTGAGATGTTACCAGAAGCCATGTTCTGGCTCCTTCTGACTGGCCAGGTCCCTTCGGTCTCCCAGGTTCGTGCGTTGTCTCGAGAACTGGCAGAGAAGGCAGATCTCCCGGCCCATGTCACCAACATGCTCCGAACCTTCGACAAGAATGTTCATCCTATGACACAGCTCTCATGTGCAGTTGCAGCGTTGAACTCCGAGTCCATCTTTGCAAAGAAGTACGCCGAAGGCTTGAACAAAGCCGCTTATTGGGAGCCCACTTTCGATGACAGCATCAATCTTCTGGCGAAGCTACCTCGCGTGGCCGCTGCCATTTTCGACAAGGCTGCACTCGACATGCCCATCGACAAAGACCAGGACTGGGCTTACAACTTTGCCAAACTGCTCGGCAAACCTGGAAAAGAAAACGAAGGCTTCCAAGACCTGCTACGTCTGTACCTTGCTCTGCACGGCGACCATGAGGGAGGAAATGTTTCAGCCCATGCCACCCACCTGGTTGGGTCTGCACTCTCTGACCCGTATCTATCCTATGCTGCTGGCTTGCTCGGCCTAGCAGGACCTCTGCACGGTCTTGCTGCGCAGGAAGTTCTCCGTTGGATCTTGAAGATGAAGGATACAATTGGGGAGAATTTCTCTGACAAGGATGTCACTGATTATCTGTGGGCCACACTGAAGTCTGGCCAGGTCGTTCCCGGGTACGGTCACGGTGTCCTTCGGAAGCCTGACCCTCGTTTCAAGGCGCTTATCGACTTTGGTGATGCCCGTCCAGATATTTCCAACAACCCAGTCTATCGTCTGGTAAAGAAGAACAGCGAGATTGCCCCAGGCGTCTTGACTGAGCATGGCAAGACCAAGAACCCCCATCCTAATGTGGACAGTGCTTCAGGCGTCCTCTTCCATCACTACGGCTTCCAAGACCCTCTCTACTACACTGTAACTTTTGGCGTGAGCAGAGGGTTGGGACCTCTAGCGCAGTTAATCTGGGATCGTGCTCTCGGTATGCCCATTGAGCGCCCAAAGAGCATCGATCTCCAAGGACTCCTCAAACTAGTGTAGTTCAGAAGCTGCTGGAAGGCGTACTGTACATATCGGAGGGGATTCATCACTGGCTTAAAAGCAATATAGAAGGTTATATCCCGTTGTCGCGTCATGTAGCGAAAATCAACAAATTGATTCAATACTGGTTATTTCGTGCCTTCCGAAGCATCAAGACCTCAATATCTCGTAGCAGCTATCTTAAGTGCAGTAGCCGAGGTGCGGGTACGGAACAACTTTGTTCCGTCCAGGCAGTTTCGCTGATGCTAGAAGCTTGTGTAGCACACAAACGTACCTGTAGTTCGTCGTGCCCATTTGCTCTGGGTTTATTGCACCAAGTAATCTACTCTCCTCGTCCACCGGCTCAATACGCATATATGAGTTGATTAAGGCAAGCATTCTCGAAGAAGACATATCAGCTAATTGATAGCAAGTGGCATCACATCCCCAAGGTCGAGCCATGTAGGTGAGACTATCAACACCAACATTTCCTCTGCTGCATCGACTTTGCTGCATCAACTGCATCCGTTGTATCCCTGTTGTTGCCACATCTTTACACTCTTCACTACCATCTCGCCGCTTTCTTTCCACGTTGGATACCATGCATCTTTGGCATTCCAAAAGTCGCGCCTCGCATTTTTGCCCCCATCCACCCAAGGTTTCCCATTTTTGCTATCCTCAAACCAGCCATTGGTGCTCCCGACTGCGACATTCAAGATGAGGTAGAAGTCTTGATCGAATGGGGTTGACTTCCTAGCAGTCTGGCCCCAAGGATTGACAATTTTAGTGCCATTGCTGTCAGAGTCGGGGAAATGGCCGCGACTCCAAAGATCTTTGTCGAAATTCGTGTACAGCACTTGAAGCAGTCGAGTATCGATGTACGTGAAGATGTATTTCTCCGACCATTCAAGACCAAAAGTATGGAACTTTTTTGCGTATGTGGTATGCAAAGCCTTCCTCTTCACGTTAGTCTTCCACCAAGCATCGTTTGCAGAATCCGGGCCCCAGTGCAGCGAGCTCGATACGATATTGTTGCCACCTTGTGGAAATGTCCAATTGTTTCCTCTGGATTCGACAATGTCAATTTCACCAGACCGTGGCCATTCACCGTATTGGCTGTCGACAGGGAGAAGCCATATCGCAGGCCATAGCCAGTCACCTGCAGGTAGCTTGGCTTCCACCTCAATACGACCGTATTTGATCGACCTGCTCTTCTTGGTGTTTATTCTACCAGACTTGACAGGGTTGGCCGTTGTTAAGTTGGTGGTGCTGGTATTTGTGCCTGTCACGCAGTTCGTCCACACTATCGATGTACAAATTCCTTGAGCAAGGAGATCAATTCGGCTGTTTTCCTCCACGATTACTGCGTCTTGCAGGGTTGGCTTGATGTGAAGCATCCCATCCTGAATGAAGACATTCTCTTCAGTGACGGTGGTCTCCTCGAACTGGCCGTTGCCGAAACCACCGACCTCAGCTTCCTTCGTCCAGATATCCAACTCGAGCCCTTTGTTAGGGAAGTCGCTCAAGTACACGGGGCAATACTTGTGGTTGACAACAGTCCTAAGACCATCCCAGACTAAGAAACCTGCAATTACCACTCCCACGAATAGGCCAATCAATGGTATGATGGTCACCCACTTTTCCTTGGGGTCTTTGATGTCCGTCCATGGTCGTTCAACCTCTCCTTTCTTGACTCTTCGAGAATGGAAGTATCTATGACTGGTTGTACTCTGGGCGAGGGCGACCGAAGACGTCGTCCGAGATGGGTCATGAGAGGCATATGGCGTCAAGAAGGGATTCGGTGTGGCTTCCTGGACAGCCGTCACAGCTTCAGGTGACGCCACACGAGGTGTTGCACTGGTGCTTGTGGCCGTCTCGGGCTGAACTGAATACCTAGGACGAGAAAAATGTGTCATTATCGAAGATTCCAAAAGCCTCTTTGGGTTCAATCAAGGGGCTCAGGGCAAGGTGGAATAGCAGACGACATCAGCTCTCCGTGGAGTTCTAGGAAGTTGGATGCATTTAATGGTCGCATTTAGATTTCTCTTGCTTATACTGAAGTGAATTCTGGATCAACCGCAGAGCCTGTCTCGGATGGCTAGTGTCCGCCATCCATATTCGAGGCAAGCAAACCGCAGGCTGATCCCATCTTCAGAAACATCATGTCTCGGGCATTTCCGCGAATTAGGATCAAGTCACACTGAGGGGAGCCGCATATCTGGTTCATGTATTTCGCTAACATATCTAGTTGGCTATACCGGCCTCGTGGGAAAGGCTACGTCCGCGCATCCAACACTCCGACGTCTACATGTTGTGAGCTTACTCTGCGCCACCTATATCCGGCAGGACTTACCACAGCCTGTATTCAGAAGCTCGAAGAAACATCCAGCAAAACTGAACTTCGATCCCTCACAGATGTGCATATTTGGCTTCAGTGGAAATCAAATTCTACTCGATCAGGCTGGTATCCGAAAAAGCGCGTCATTGCATGTAAGTCACGTTCGTGCGTGAACTGGAAGCTGCTTGATATTGGTCTGATACTGAATCGATAAATCCTGTGTTACCTCTCATCTAGTGCCGCACCTCCTGGTCCTCTTTGAAAAGAGACCACTCTGCTTTGACCCTGCTGGGTGTTTTCAGTGTCTGTTGGATTGATTATATCTTCGCAATGTCTCAGCATGTTGTTCGGTGTGTTCGCAGCCATTTCGCACTCCCCGACGCGCCGACGACGCCACGTCTGCGCTCTGCAATCTTTCCAGGCGATAATCCGCCCGTTTCTCGATGTTCGTATCTGACTAGCGATGGCATCTCACCCAATGCTTAGTCGACACTGATCTCGCGTTCGCTGCCGAGTGACGCCACGCTCGAGCTCTTTGAGGACTAGCCCCGCGCGACAAGTGCCTGGTCTACGACTTTCGCTACTTTGTCAAAGGTTAACGAAGATGGAGCCTCTGTCTCTCCCAGTAGGGATGCCAGGGGACACGACACCGGTCTTGCATCTCTACCCGGGAGAGCCCCTCGACTTACATATGATAGGTCAATTGTCTCAGCCTTTCGCCTTGCGGACTTGATCTCTCTTCCCTCTCTTTGGAGATGCCCTACGACTTTCTGGTCAATGCAATGCAACCAGCTTGGCTACCCTTGAGCACACCCATTCAGACGTAGTTAGGCTGGTATTGTACAATCTACTTCAAAACAGACGCGAACAATCATGCCACAGCCACCCTTTGCTCCGGCTGTGGGCTCTCCATCAAGTAATGGCTTCACCTTCGACGACTCTCCTGTGCAAAGCAGCACTGCATCTACGAGTGGAAAATCGTCGCACAGTACGAAGAGCGCCTTCCTCGAGGAAATCAAACACGAGATCATGGTCAGCCATCTTTACCAACAACAATGCTCGCACCTTTGGGTCAGCGATGGATGCGGAGACAGTGAAGGAGTCTTGCTCAGGAGATCAAGAGGTCAATACCTGGCGTGTCCACAGGCACTGCTCGATTCCCACTTTGCAGAAGCTTGTAGATTGCTCAATGTACAGGTGAATGGTCTCTTCCTGGTCTTGAGCCTTACTAAATGAGGCCTAGGTCGCCATGACTGTCAACTCAAGAGTCATAAAAACATTTTTCGCCTGGACACCGGATGCTACTGACGTACCTTTGATGAATGGGCTCCGAATACAGATTCTGCAGACTATTCATGATCTGCCCCGTGCCCGAAAGTATCAGTTTGCGGCATACGTGGCCTCGGAGTCACTCCTCGTGGTGTGGGACGATGACCCGTCCAATCTCTTAAAACGGGCGACCACTATTGAATCTCAGCTTATGGAACTTGTCTGGGGTATTGGCGAGGCCAACGAAGACGAGGCTGTAATTCATGAAAAGCACGGTAGTGCCCAGGTCTCCCTTGACTCAGAATCCAGGGAGCCCATTCCAGAATGCCGGGCCACCAATCTCATGAACACCATCCTCGTCGCCTTCACACTGATCATTGTTGTCGTTTTACTTGGACTCGCATGTCGGTCTTTGGCGATCGAGATTGCTGTCGACCATTCGTACCTCCGTCTTGCCTTTCTGTCTCTGGTCCCAGTCCAAGTCTTTTTTACGTTGGTATGTCGCTTCTTGGGCCCCCAATTTCAATCCCTATAGTTACTAACGGCACAGTTCTTCGCGCAAGTCATAGTTGGTTGCGTGGCTCAATGCATCGGTCCCGTCCGTCAAATGCAGCTCAACTCGAAATACTTCTCTGCCAGGCGTTCACCTCGGCTTCGCACCGAGTCACTCCCACACATTACAGTCCAGTGTCCTGTGTACAAAGAAGGCCTTTTATCCGTAATTGTACCGACTGTTAAGTCCATCAAGCAAGCCATATCGACCTACGAACTCCAAGGTGGCACTGCGAACATGCTCATCAACGACGACGGGCTCCAACTCATATCCGAGGATGAACGAAAAGCCCGAATGGAGTTCTACCAGGATCACAACATAGGTTGGACTGCCCGACCCAAGCACGGGAGCGAGGGTTTCGTGCGCAAGGGCAAGTTTAAAAAGGCAAGCAACATGAATTACGGGCTAATGCTTTCATGCAAAGTTGAAGAAAAGCTCCTGGAGTATCACCGTCCAAGCACTTGGACCTCGAATGATGAGAACCACGCATATGACGAGAGCCTGGCACAGGTCATCGCCGAGACTCCCCGTGCATGGGCGGATGGCAACATTCGCGTTGGCGACTACATTCTCCTGATTGACAGCGACACGCGTGTCCCTGCGGACTGCCTCCTCGACGCAGTAAGTGAGATGGAACAATCTCCCAATGTCGGCATCATGCAATTCGCCTCAGGCGTCATGCAAGTGGTGCACACGTTTTTCGAGAATGGAATCACGTTTTTCACCAACCTGATTTATACGGCAATCGAATATACCGTTGCGAATGGGGACGTGGCGCCTTTTGTCGGTCACAACGCGATCCTCCGCTGGAGCGCCATTCAGCAAGTTAGTTATACCGATGAGGACGGATACGAGAAGTTCTGGTCAGAGTCGCACGTCTCCGAGGACTTCGATATGTCCCTACGCCTCCAGTGTGACGGTTACATTATCCGCCTCGCATCCTGGGCACACGGCGGGTTCAAGGAAGGCGTGAGCCTGACTGTGTACGACGAGCTCGCCCGCTGGGAAAAGTACGCGTATGGATGCAACGAGTTGCTCTTCCACCCCATCCGGCAATGGATATATCGTGGTCCGTTTACGGGACTGTTTCGTCGCTTCTTGTTAAGCAATATTCGCTTCACCAGCAAAATCACCATCATCAGTTACATCGGGACATATTATGCCATCGGTGCCGCGTGGATCATGACGTTGGCGAATTATTTCGCCATAGGCTGGTTCAACGGCTACCTTGACAAGTACTACATTGACAGCTGGAAGGTGTGGTTCAGCATTGTGATTGTCTTCAACGGACTGGGGAATATCGCGTTGGCAATCATGCGGTATCGGATTGGCCAGGCCAGTTTCCTCGGAGCGCTCGCAGAGAACTTCAAGTGGATCCTGATGCTGAGCGTGTTCTTGGGCGGATTGAGTCTCCACGTGAGCCAGGCCCTGTTGGCGCACATGTTTGAGGTGGATATGACATGGGGTGCCACGAGCAAAGAGGCCGAGTTCAGCAACTTTTTCATCGAGGTGCCCAAGGTGGTGAGCAAGTTCAAGTTCAGCATCGCCTTTGCGATCGTGGCCATCATTGGCATGGTCTGGCTTGCTTGCAATCCAGGTGGACTGTTACCCTACGATTGGGTCATTGGGGACTTGATCGCAATCCTGCCGATGAGCACTGTTGCTGCGAGTCATTTGTTGCTGCCAATTGTCTTGAATCCGGCTCTGATGACGTTCTCGTGGTGAGAGCCATGGTAGAGCAACAGGAGGGAAGGTCAGGGGGAGGTTACTGGTTCGCTGATACGTAATGGATAGATAGCATAACTGCTCGGTGCTGTTGACAGATATATTAGCACTATTGATTGCTGTAGGAATAAGGGTAATGGCCGTTTCAGTTCACGGGTAGATCTTGAACGAGAGGGGACGTAGTGCCATGGTATTACTGTCTGTGGCCAGTTGTTCCGTTACATGCTGGTTGTGAATATCTTGTAACTGTTAACAAAACTACGGCATTCTAACACCCAATGATTCTCCCTCTCAACGAAAGCGTTGATAACAACTACGTGGTGGAGCTCCACGCTGATACCCAATCAACACATAGTCTCGCCTGACGGTCTATCAGTCTCGTAACGGAGCAAAGTGTAACAAGTCTCATAAGTTGGGTAGCAGCTCCGCCTCCTCTCCAACGGATTGACTCATTGTTGAAACATTCTATCCTCCGAGGGCAGGGCTCATTCCGATCATGACCCATGGCAATTACTAGACTTTCAACACAGCTCGTCCTGCGAGCTTGCCGGCAATCATCAGATCCATGTACTTATCCAACTCTTCCAAAGTGCCTTTCGTCAGGATAGGCTGAGACAATCAGTCAGTAGGGTATCTTTCAGAGGATGATCAGAGTTACAACTCACATGCACAAGTCCCCGTGCAGTAAAGTCCAGGGCCTCTTCGACGTCCTTGAGCGTTCCAACGACGCTTCCGACAACGTTGAGCTTTCTCAGACACAGCATGAGAGGCGGGGCTCCAGCTACAACGGTTGGGTCCTTCGGCAGGCCCACAGCAACAACGGTGCCTCCTGGACGAAGGAACCCGGGGGCGGATTCATACGCTTGTTTGGTGGCTGCCGTTACGATGACGCCGTGAGCGCCGTACTTTGTGATCCTCGTGATTTCGGCCGCGATATCTTTGACCTGGGTGAAGTCAATGAATTCTTCGGCGCCGAGCTTCTTGCAAAGGTCGCGCTTCTCGTCGCCGCCGTCGATGGCGATGACTCGCATACCCTGGACAAGGCAATGTTAGAGATTGAAGCGAGCTGGGTGACAAGAGGGGAAAAAAAGGGCAGCATACCATGGCCTTGGCATACTGCACTGCAAAATGCCCGAGACCTCCGCCAGCACCAGGGAGAACCTAGGAACCATAGTTAACCACGATTTCAACACCGAGGGAAGATGACGAGAACCGTACAATCCACTGTCCTGGCTTAACGCCGCTTCGTTTACAAGCAACATATGCCGTCACGCCACCACACATGATCGGGCCAGCCTCCTCGTCCTTGACTCCCTCGGGGATACGTGTCGTATAGCGCCCGTCGCTGAGGGCGTACTGCTGGAAAGTCCCCGCGGCAGTGAAGCCGGCGTTCTTCTGGTTGGGGCAATGAAGCTCATCGCTGCCGTTGGTGCAGAATTCGCATTCGCCACAGACACTCCAGACCCATTTGATGCCTGCTCGGTCGCCCACTTTCCACTTATGATGCATGTTGTCGCCCACAGCCACGACGACACCGGCCCCCTCGTGGCCTGCGATGCCCTTGGTTGACGGCTGCATGGCTACTCCGAACGCGGCCCATTCATCGTGGATAAGTGACTTGTCAGAGGCACAGAGACCAGTCCTGGGCAACATAGATGAGTCTGATGACGCCAATAATAGTGATAGGATAAGAGATAACGACCATACCAGTTGATTTTGACCAGGACTTCTCCTGGTCCCGGTGAAGGAACGTCGACTTGTTGGACCGGAGCCTTTGCATCCTCTCCACTGCCCACCTTGACGGCAGCCTTCTGCTGTCTTGGAATATCAACGGTCGCCATGATCTGAATAATGATGTTTGGGTTCGTAGTTGGGTCGCACAGTAAAGATTGGAGGGGAGAGGAGAGCACGGAAGTTCCAGTTTAGTTCTGATAGGGGCAGATGTTCACAAGCATATATATACATCGTGCATATTGGGCCGGAGCAGGGGAGGGAGTCCGATGCTCCGAGAGACGGGCGATGTGATGCTGTCGAGTCAATGCTCTCCACAGGACTGCCCACAGTACTACTCATAGGAATGCCCACAGCACAGGAATGAGGCAGTAGACGAGTCGGTTCCGACTCGGTCGGCAGGAGGACGAAAGGCGGGGTAGGGGGTATCTGGAGATGAGAAACGCGGTGGAGCGTCTCTCCATGGTACCAAACTGCTTCCGGGACTTCCCAGCCTGGGGTTCTTTTCTTTTGATTGTGGGATAGATTGGACGTTAGTCGTTGTACACTGCCGCCGGCTCAGTTGATCTTGCTTAAGGGCGTGTTGGCACGATGTCGTAGTGTGGTCTGTTTGGATGTTGGTGTCCTTTTCACTCACAGACCGGTCGTACCGCAACAACTTCCGGGTACCAAGGAGGCCATGGCGTTTTAGCAAAGCATCGTATGACATCGCTTCAGCTATGCAATTCCGCGAGCCTCGGTCTTCGAGTCAGTCTTCTGTCCCGACAGGATGTCTTCCTTGCGTGCCGGAGAACATATATAGAATACGAGGTACGACGAGGGTGTGGTTGTCTAATGTATATCACCCCAATTATTAGGTAGGGAGCGAGTATCGTACTCGTACTCATGTGGGAGGCATTCAATCAAAAGTCCCCTCGACTTCGTACTCGTATTCGGATTCCCTACCTAATCTGCTAATACTAGGTTCAATATGTGCTTAAATAGACATCAGACAGATATAGAAGGTCTGCCGCAGTCTCGCTAGAGTCAGTGACAGTCAACGATCAAAAAGCCGTCTGCATCATATTACACCGGCGACATTTATTAGACAAGCGAGTTGAGAGTATTCCCGTCTTCTTCGACTCCTGTACATCTCTACAGGTCGACGAGTGGTCCCGACACACCAACACTTCAGCCAAGATGGTCCTTGCAGTAGGCCTTCCGGGAACCCTGCACTACCCAGGAAGATGACTGGCTGACCGCGTCATCTCTAGGCTGTCGGGCAGATCTGCTCGACTGCGTCGATGAGCCATAACCTTGCACAATGCCATAGGCTGGTTCATAGGGCTGTAGAAGCTGGAGCAAGGGTAAGTCGTATGTCGTGGTGCTGTTCAGCGTCGAGCCACGTCGACTGCGCAATTCGACGATAAGCCAATGAACTGCCCTCACCTCTCTTCGTCCTCGCTAGGCCCTATTCCTCCCTGAAGCCTCCGACTATATAGCCTCGTCGCCGAGCGAGTCGCTGGCGCTGTGTCAACATGTCACCAAAAGCCTCTTTGTGCGTGGCTTGCAGCAGGCTGCGCGAGAAAACAGACTCCCCATCAACGTGGGAATCCACGAGCCGACGGAACCACCGTCAGAAAGGATTAAAAATACTCTGATATGGATCGATAAGGACGGTGATATCGTCCATAGGTACCAGAAACTACACCTCTTCGACATTGATCTACGACCCGATGGCCCAAGAATGAAGGAGAGTGATTCAATAGAACCTGGGACTGAGGTGATCCAGCCATATACTTCGGTACTCGGAAATATTGGCAGTTTGATCTGCTTCGACCTGCGTTTCCCGGAGCCTGCGTTGCGATTGCGGCGGCTGGGGGCGGACGTCGTGGTTTACCCTTCAGCCTTCACCGTGCCAACAGGAAAGTTGCATTGGGAAATCCTGCTGCGAGCAAGAGCCATAGAATCACAAAGTTGGGTCATAGCTGCCGCGCAATGTGGCCGCCACAATGAAAAGCGGGTGAGTTTCGGGGATACTATCGTCGTCAAGCCGAACGGTGAGGTTGCTGGCCGCCTGGATAGGGTCGAAGATCTGAACAGTGAAGAAGAAAATGCACGCAAGCCAGATCTACTGATTGTGGATATTGAGTTGGATGTCGTCAAGGAAACGAGACGGACAATACCTTTATTGAGGAGGACTGACGTGTACCCTGAAATTTGAATGATATCCAGCTCGCAAGCTGCCCCAGAACATACCTGACGAGGAGTAACGTACCTCCCTTCATTGGGACTCGCTTTTTCCACTCATCTTCCCATTACCAAACACCAAATGACCGACAGAAAATATCACTGTGTGATGACGAGCCCGTTGTGTCGAATGCACTTACCAGAATGCCAAAACACCCTCCCGTCAACTAGGGCTCGTCGGCCTAAAGTCTGTATATACAAGACAATTTACTCTGGGACCTTGAACGGCGAGAGCGTGGTGTCATTGACTTGGTACCCGCATACACATTGTCAAGGGTTATAGAATACATACGACATACAAAGTCAAGGCAAGAGTGGCATTGATGCTGGCGGCTTCTCCGGTGGGACTCCTTGTTGAGTGCCTCTCTTATTGCAAGAGTACAATATCAAATCGACGGCAATCGGAGTTAGGGATTTCCAATCATGGCGGAAGCTGCGGATCTAACGGTCCAGTGCCGTATAGCCGGTCGGCAGTGGGTCGGGATCGTCACCACTTCAACACGCCTTTAGAAGGTGAACTTTGCCAACAATCATAAACCGATCTGAACTCTTTTTTCAACTATAGACCCCAGCCAGGACGATGAGGGAGGTGACTGAGCTTGGTATTTCAGATGATGCCGAGAAAGACGTCAAGGTCGAACCACAAGCACCTGGCCCTGTCGTTGACGATGAGGAACCCACTCACTATCTCGTCGAATTCGGCGGCCCCGATGACCCAGACAACCCCAAAAACTGGTCCAGAGCGAGGAGATGGAGGATCACTCTTGCCATGGGCGGAATGGCATTTGTTGTTACCTTCTCAAGCTCCATATTTGTGCGCTCCCCTCTCCCAGGTCAATACAACGACTGACTCGTGCTCGTAGGCTGTTGTTATCTCTCCAGTTGCAGCGCAATATAGTATCGGAACTGTGACCTCGACCCTAGGGGTATCGCTTTTTCTGCTTGTAAGAACAGCCACTAGGCTCCGAAAACGCGGAGAAGCTAAAGAGTTGATATAGGGGTTCGTATTTGGACCAATATTTTTCGGACCAGCCTCTGAAGTATTCGGACGCCGAGTTCCTTTGTTTTCGGGCTACCTGTGCTTCGCAATTTTCCAGATACCTGTCGCTCTTGCGCACAATGTGGAAACCATTATGCTCGGGAGGTTCTTTGGCGGCTTTGCTGCATCCTCGCCACTTGCCGTCATCGGAGGAGCGCTCGCTGATATTTGGAATCCAATTGACAGAGCGTATGGAGTCTGTGTCTTCGCTGCAGCTGCCTTCTCCGGACCCGTTGCAGGTACGCACAGTTGCATTTTCTACTCCCACGCCTGACTCCGTCTAACCAGCAATGTTCCAGGACCGATCATTGGGGGATTCGTGACCGAATCTTACCTTGGTTGGCGATGGACTGCTTGGATCACTATGATCATGGCGGGCTTGTTTGGCTGCATTGGGTTTCTCGTGATACCCGAGACATCAGCCGCCAGGATCCTCCAGAACAGAGCGAAAAGACTTCGTCGTGAGACGAACAATCCCGCGTTCCACGCTCAAGCAGACAAATCTCCTATCAGTGCAAAGACGTTGATATTCGTATACCTTGTACGTCCGTTCACAATGGTAGTTCAGGAACCTATCTTAGCTCTTGTCACTGCGTACATGAGCTTCATATATGGGTAAGCCAAACACCTCTGCTGACTACCTATCATTACGGACGCTGACTGTTTCGTAGAATACTTTACCTCTTCTTTGAGAGTGTAAGTAATACACCAGAATTCTTACATCTGGGCATAGCACTAACAAGTGAAGTTCCCGATAAGCTTCGAGGAAGAGCGCGGATGGAACATTGGTGTTGGGTCGTTGCCCTTTGCATCTTTCATCGTCGGTATCGCCTTGGGAACCGGGCTCATAGCATATTCCACACGGACCAATTTCACTAGAGCCTACAAGCAACACGGCAAGCCCATACCGGAAGAACGCTTGCCGCCCATGATCGTCGGCGCAGCAGTCCTTCCCATTGGGCTTTTCTGGTTCGCATGGTACGTCAACCTGTTCCTGTTCGTACGGAGAGAGGCTCACTCTACCAGGACTTCTAACCCAAACATCATTTGGGTGCCGCAGGTTCTTTCTGTCACCCTGCTCGGTATGGGATGTTTGGTCACCTTCTGGCAAGGCATGAACTATATCATCGACTGCTACGGCTTTTACTCCAACAGTGCCATTGCCATCAACACGTTCATTAGGTCAATCGCAGCCGCCGGCTTTCCCCTCTTCGCACCCGCAATGTTTCACAAGATGGGTGTTGCTTGGGCTTCGTCGCTTCTTGGGTTTCTATGCTTGGCCTTTATGCCAGTTCCCATACTCTTCTACAAATATGGGGCAAGGATCAGACAACAGTCCAGGTTCAAGCCGAGCAGTTGAAGGAATACATCGGGCTTCTGCAAGGAAAGCTTGACCCAATTCCGTTCAAGGACGAAAGCGAAACGTCGAGCTACGTGAAGTTCATCAACCACACGTGGTCTATTCTTGTTGGATTGACTGATGCCGAATCGACGACCCTGCATATCCAGCAGAGTAGAGGGCTATACAATGCTTTCAGTGGCAGCCGAATACGCAACAATCAAGGACATGCTTGAGAGGGCCGAGACAGGAACATCTCCCTATATATTCTTTTGGGTCTCCGCCGTTGCCGCAAAGTATGGAGACTACGACCAACATGTGTACGAGGGGGGAAGTTCTGAGTGTGGTCAGCTGAAATGCTGCAATGGACTATCAGATGTTGTACGGCGAGGGGTTCAAATCGACGCAAGGACGGCAGCGAGGATTTTCGTTGAAAAGTCGAAACCGTTTGCGCATGCGGCCTCGCGGGCACAGCTGGATCTTGTAGGTGATGATCATCGCTGTATCTATACGTATTTCTACTGGGGGGACGATGGGCTGTGGAGATAAAGGGAATTGATTGTTGTGGACTCGGCATGGTGGTTTCTGAGACATCACAGATGGAAGGCCAGAAAGAGGCCGTATTAAAGTGGTTCGAGACTGGCTGGTCCCAACGATCTGAAGTTTGGGTGTGTGTGACGACGTTGGGCCCTATACGGCACCAACAAGGGATGGCCCTTATGTATTCGCAACTAACGCCCTATTGAGGAAGACGTCCTCTGGGGAACACAACCTTGGATGGATGCATATGGGACCGAGTGAAGGTGGGAGACCAAGCGGTTTCCATGTCGACCGAGAGCACTCGCCACTTTTCACGTTGCGTTGCCAGTCTCACGAGATATCCCGGTCTTCGCCATGGAAGAATCGCAGAACCGCGCCGGCGACGAGGATGCCGTCGTGTTTCAACTCGGCCGTTTCTTTTCGTTGCTCTGCGAATGTCGAGTTCTTGATTCCGCCGTTGTCGACCCGCATGTCGACCTCCCTTCGTACCGTGTCCTCGTCGAAACCCAAATGACCCTGGGACGTGAAGAGTCGATCTCGGAGGTACAACCCTTGGATCCGCGTGTGGTCCGTCGTCGCCCAGACGTGGACCTTGTCCTCTGGTCCGAGCAGGTCCGTTGATTCCGCCGATGGCACTGTGGCCACTTGGTCCTGGTGCATCTGATGCAACTGTATCGTCGGCTGGTCTGTTCTGAAAAGCTGCTTGCCGAGCTCCGTGAGTTCGAGCTCCGTGTGCGCAAGCTCCCAATCTCCGTTCGGGTGAGGCTGGACTTGGGCGCCGAGCATGCGGCAGAGGATCTGGTGGCCAAAGCAGACACCGCTGAACCGGAGAGACGGTCGCTCGTGCCACAGTTGTCGGAGCAGGTCGAGAAGCTTGAGAATCCATGGGTCATCGCCGTGGGCGTCGTACATGCTTCCGGTGATTAAGATGGCCCGTGTTTCTGGGGGGATCTCGTCCGCCGTCGGGACGTGGCCACGATGTTTGGGCGGGTCTTCGACCACATAGTGCATGTCTGTTTCAACGCGGAGTGGTGGCGTGTGTTGTGAGCCGGCGTCGTTGAAGAGGTCGTCCAATATGTTTCCGAAACTGCCTCGGTCGGCTTTGGTATCTGGATGAGGCTGATCGGTCTCGAGGACGAACATGCGCACGGTTTGATCCGTCATTTTGAGGTGTATTGTGATTGTGTCTGTGTTGGTCTGGGAGGGGAGGGGAGGGGGGAGGGCTTTGGTTATGCTGGGGTGAATGGAGAGACAAGCCACAGATGGGAACTATGAGAACAGATGTTTCTTCCTTACGTGGACAATATCACTTACTCGTACATGAGCACATCATCATTGCCGTCGCCAAGTTGCTTCCATGTCATTACGAGAAAATTTCTCCATTTTGTGGGCGGCGGAGGAGAGACCCGAATACCAGAAATATATGACTCTCAAGGTTTTCGTTTTCACGGTCGGCCTTGTGAGTTGACCCTCAAGTTGGCTGATTTCACGCGCTTGACCTCTGTACGATTGTGACTGCTTGTGATGGCTCTCGCACCAGCTTTGTCTGGAGCTGACTTTCGACGTTCTCTGTATCCACGTTGAGCTGCTCTGTTTTCCCCAGGCCTTCTCTGCAAGAAACTCGCTAAGGAGGCGGAAAACGAACCTAGGCCTTATAGGTCTCCCTTCATTTGGTCAACACGAGGCTTGCGCAGGCAGAGCCAAGTGAATGGTTTGGCGATTGTATGCTTATGATCAAGAGCTCTGAGACGAGGGATCGCGTAAGACACAACAGCATTCACAGCACCGCCAACTCCACTGCGCACTCTTCAATGAAGATCGACCCACTGTGGGCAGGTGAGGCTAAGCCGAAGTCAAATACAATACCTCGAGTGTCTTTACTCGACTTCCCCAGAACGTCCTTAGCCGAACCTTGGTCTCGCCGGTGTCGGCCAGACCGCGTCAGCAGCTGTGCAGATCATCAACCATGGGGGCCTGTTATCAGATAAAGATATGTCTTCATCGTTGATGCCTAGCATCAGGTAGGATATTAATGAGCCAGGTGATCACATCACTTTCATGTAAAGGTAAATACATATTTAAACCCCATTTCATCCCTGCTGGACAATGGGGCCGTGGAAGACAATTATCTTCGCCGCGTACGCCTTGTCAGGGCACTCGTGGGCTGCCGTAGTGCCCTTCATCCCGCCCGCTGACCAGGAGAACAACCTTGTCGCCGAGCGAGACCTGCACAATGCAAACCACATATTCAATGCGATACACTCGTCCATGCGCCAATGGGGCTCTTCTTTGAATCACAATGGGATGTCGTTCTTCATGGCTCAGGTTCCGGCCGGCACGCAGTTCTACCACGGGACAGGCTTTCAGCAACCCGTCGAGGGTATGGAATGGCTAGCGTTCGAACCGGAACATGCTAGCTACTTCGCCAGGAGGCTGAAGCGGCCGAATGACACCGAGGGCTCAGAAGTCAAGACCGGCGACCGTATCCAACTGGCTCCGACTCACGATGGTGGAATGGTGCGCCAGGTTCCTGTCCAGGAAGCCAACGCCAAACGTCCCAGGTATGAATTTGAGCCTGGGTGGCTGCATACATACAGGACGAAAGACGCTCTCCCTCTGCTTTACATCGATGGCATGTCAGCAGCCAAGGCCGAGGTGGGCACGCTCGACTCTCAAGATGTCTTGCTCTTGAATGTGACCAGGGACGAGCGACACGGATTCTGGGACTACGAACGTGCAAGGCGCCTGTGCAAGCTAGCCGACGAGAATTGGCATGGCAAGGTCAAGGGCTTTATACGGATGGAGGCTGGCTTTGAGATCATTCTCTGCTCATTTGTCGAGAATGTCGATATTGTCTCCGCAGTCAGAACAGGGCCCTCCACCCCAGACGGCGATGAACCGGACCCGAACGATCCCATCCGTGAGAACATCATGGTATTGATCAAGGCCATAAGTGCTCGATACGATGGCATTGGCGGTGGCAGGGTGTTGCTTGATTACAACAACTTCGTGACTAGCTATGCGTATGATCTCGAGCTGTTCAACAACGGTGGAGACCTTCCCAGGCTCGAAAACCTATCTGTCGCTTCCCTTGACAAGGTTCGCAATGATGTGGACGCCATGGTCACAAATTGGGAACCTTCCGACTCCAATACCGTTAATTGGCAGAGCATCGCTGACATGGTTGTGGAACGATACGCAAATGAGCTGCAGTACCTGGTGTCAGACATGCTAATCACTCCACAAGCGTTCTTCTATGAATTGTCGACCGTCCTTCGCGTCTTCATCGACTCGGATAATCGTAATTCTACAACAGAAGTGGAACGGTGTGTGAATCAGTTCGTTCCTACCAGGATCAATTCCTCGGCATCTATTGCAGGTCGTGCTATTGATGCCGTCACACGGAGAATCTGTTCGAGCCTTTTCGCTGCTTTCGATGGCAATGTGTCTGTTTCGGAATCAAAGGCAAACTTGCGCTCACTTATGACATACCTAGACTGGACCACTTGGAAAAAGTGCGGTGATTGCGCGCTGGACGAAGTCTGCTTCATACCGGTCTGGCCTTATGGAGCGGAAGAGGATCGACGACATCCACGATGTCGAAACGCGACAGAAATCGGCTGGAGACAAGGTGGTTGGCAGTGGAGTTACTGGATATGATTGGAATGATACCAACGGCAGCATTGTGATTGACAGTTTCAGGTAGAGTCCTGTTGTTTGTAAATTGAATCGCTTTACTGGATGATATTTTGCAGACGTGTCGAGCGAATACTTGGCCGTATGAAATTACTACTGCGGAGCATACGATATCGCTTCATACTGGGATGGTGCAGTACTATACCGAAAAATTGGCCGTACAATACTCCTACTGCGGATCATTACACGATATCGCGCCATATCGCCCTTGTATCCGAGAGCTTGTAACTTTAACATCTGACCACTTGCGCCCTGAACCTTCCTGAGTCCCGCCAGATAAGATGGACATACGTTTGAATCCTTTCGAGCTACATATAAATACGAGCATCTCATCCCTCTATTCTAGGACCTCAAATGTATAAGTGACCCATACGCTACTCCGTACCACCTCCCAGAAACCCCCTCACCATGAGCACCACCACCTCTGATGACTACTACGATCTAGGCACGTACCACCGACCCATAACGACAAACAGTCCTGAGGCGCAAAAATGGTTTGACCGCGGCTTGATCTGGAGCTACGGCTTCCACCACGAAGAATCGGCAGATTGTTTCCAGAAAGCCATCTCCCTCGACCCAGACTGTGCAATGGCATACTGGGGTCTTGCATATGCCCTGGGGCCCAACTACAACAAACCATGGTCATTCTTTGACGGCGTTGAGCTCGAATCGACCGTGTCCCGTACCCATGCGGCCATCGAATCCGCCCTGTCGAAATCCAAACATACCACCGCCGTCGAACAAGCACTCATCAACGCCCTCGAGTTTCGATATCCTCAAGGCAAGCCCGCCTCTGACTGCTCTATCTGGAACGCACCGTACGCGGACGCCATGAGCGCTGTACATGCCCAGTTCCCTGATGACTTGGAAGTCGCCACGCTCTGTGCCGACGCTCTTATGAACCTCACACCCTGGGCACTCTGGGACCTCCGGACCGGGCAGCCCTCGCCGGACGCAAAGACGCTCGAGGTCAAACGGATTCTTGACCACGCCCTTGCCTTACCCGGCGGCTCGACCCACCCCGGTCTTCTCCATCTGTACATCCACCTCATGGAAATGTCGCCCACGCCCGAACGCGCCATGTCGTACGCCGACAATCTGCGCAACCTTGTCCCAGACTCAGGCCACCTCCGCCACATGCCCAGCCATCTCGACATATTGTGCGGCGACTACCGCGCGGCGATCGCGAGCAACAGTGCCGCCATGGTCGCCGACAAGAAATACACCGCCCGCGCCGGCCCGCTGCACTTTTACACGCTCTACGTGACTCACGACGCACACTTCCGACTATATGCGGCGCTGTTTTCCGCGCAGAAACAGACCGCGCTCCTGACGGCGCAGGCCATCGAGGACAATCTCCCCGAGAGTTTGCTCCGCGTGCCCTCGCCCCCGATGGCCGACTGGCTCGAATCGTTCGTCGGCATGCGCGTCCACGTCCTGGTGCGGTTCGGGCTGTGGGACGACCTCCTCGCGCTGCCGCTCCCCGCCGACCAGGACCTCTACTGCGTGACCACGGCACTCGTCCACTACGGCAAGGGCATAGCGTACGCTTCGCTCTCGCGCACCTCGGAGGCCACGGCGCAGCAAGAGCTGTTCCTCTCGGCCGCCGCCCGCGTCAAGCCCACGCGCACCCTCTTCAACAATACGGCCACCGACATCCTGGCCGTCGCTCGCGCCATGCTCGCCGGCGAGATCGCGTACCGCGAGGCGCGCTTCGACGAGGCCTACGCACACCTCCGCCGCGCGGTCGAGCTGGACGACTCGCTGCCCTACGACGAGCCGTGGGGGTGGATGCAGCCGCCGCGCCACGCGTACGGGGCCCTGCTGCTCGAACAGGGCCGCGTCGCCGACGCCGCCCAAGTGTACGCCGCCGACCTGGGCTTCGACGACTCCCTGCCCCGGCCGCAACGGCACCCGAACAACGTCTGGGCCCTGCACGGCTACCACGAGTGTCTTGTCAAGCTGGGACGGCGCCCCGAGGCGAACATCCTCAGGCAGCAGCTGATGTATCACGTCGCATTGGCCGATGTGGAGATCAAGTCATCCTGCTTCTGCAGGTTGAACACTGACGACGCTATCGCGTAAATCATGACATGACATGACCCCTTTCCGCGCCACGAAACTTTCACCGACAAAGTCGAAGAAGGGTGGAATTACTGTTGTCTAGTAATCTAATCCAGTCTCACACACACACACACACACACACACACACACACACACACACACACACACACACACACACACACACACACACACACACACACACATACACACACACTCAAGACTTTAGTTGTGAGATATATAGATGTGTGTATGATTGATTGATCTTGAGAAAAGGGCAAGCCGCCAGCCGCGAGATCTTCTGCTTTGTGGTATTCATCAAACGAACGGCGGAATTCGTAATGGCAACAAAGAGGTAGAAACTCCGCAGTACTATCCCCCCCCCCCCCCCCCCCAAAAGGATCAGGAGACACTGTGGACATAAATAGTTTTTCAAGTTTCAATCACACTTAGTAACGCTCTTGCCCCTTTGAAAAGTATCCGCCATCGAGATCGTGGTTGATTACTATGTTAGATGTGTCAAAACTTTTTCATATGTACATGGATATCGCCGCTATCGTTACGCATATAAACCCCAATTCCAATGTAGCAAGTAAGTACACCGTACAAATCTGTGTCCCACAAGCTTTTTTAAGCAACCAGTAGCCAACTTACCCCCACCAGTTAGTGTAGCCTCACCCAGCGTCCCAGGTAGGGAGGTCGGTGGGTAGGTAAAGTTGACTTGGGGTTGACCTTTTGTTTTTTTTGAAACTCTTAACTTTCAATCATCGTGACTCATGACTCATCGTCATCGCCGACAAGAATGTCCAAAGCTCCCTTGACAGCCTTGACGCTCATGTAGTTTCTATCCCAGTCACCTTTCCTTCCAACGGCTCCGCCGACGACCTCTTCCACGTCGAGATCGTCACCTGTCAACTTGATATCGCCGGCGAAACCGCGGGCGTCGATGGTTCCCTCGAAGCTCGAAGGGTAAGTAATCAGCTGGTCACCCGCGACCGTGAGGTGCTCGGACCGGAACAGGCGATCGGGGGGGAGGGAATCGACGAAGACCCGGGAGGGGCCGGAGACGATCTTCGTCGAGAGGTGAGCACGATGTTCGGTGTCCTTGAAGTCGACGTCGATCCAGATGGAGCCAAACCCCACGTCGACCGAGGTCGAGTTGTAGACGGCCAGGGTGCCGTTCAAGTGGCCATTGCCGATATGGATGTGCGTCGACCCCTCGTTACCAGCGCTTATGCGCGGGATGTCGACCGTGGCATTGCCCTTGGCGACGTCGATCTCGGTGTGTTGGCGACCGTGAGTCAGCGAGCCTCGAACAGCACCGTCGGCGATCGAGATGGCGGTCCTGTTGGTGTGGACGGGGCCGGGCTTGACGAAGCCTTTGGCAACTCGGATTGCGAAATCGCCAATTTCCAAAGACTTGGGTAGCGCGCTGTAGTCGACCATGTGGGCGGGCACGTCGATGTCGAAGTGTCGCATGCCAAAGGTGCCGAGGATGTTGGAGGGAATCTGGATCTTTGCCGATGCGTACGTCTCGAGTTTGCCGGCATCGGGGGTGCGGATGGTAAGATGGCCATTCTTTTCTTCGACAATGACGTCGCCGTGCTTGTCGAGCTTGTTGGTCTTGATGTCGAGATCAATAACAACCTTGTCGGACAGCTTGGACGTTTCGAAGACGACCTTACCGAATGCCTTGTCGCCGTGGACCGCGAGACCCGAGGCAGCTCTGGGCTCGATCTCAAAGTGGGTGGTTCCCTCAAAGGGCGTCCAGTCGTCCATGGGTGGAACGGGGTGTTTTGGTTGACCTCCTTCGCCGCCGCCGCTCACCAGGGCATCGACGTAGAGATCGGCGAATGAATCCGGGAGCGAATCGACGAAGCCATGGTAGTTATTTCTGAGTCTGCGGTAGACCGGGCCATGGCTGAGCAGGTCAAGGACGAACAGAGCGCCAAAGAGGGCAATGACAACCTTGAAGAGACGATGGCAGCAGCTAGGTCGTTTCTTCTGGCGCGTAGCAATGACCGGAACAGGGAGAACCTCAATCAGAGGTGTCTTTTCGTGCGGACAGTGGCACGCAGTGGGCGACATGGTGGTATCCGGGGTGGAATCTGAGGGTCGAGAAAGAGAGAGTCGAGGATGCGGAGAAAAGAATTCCTGAACTGGCCTTGGATATCGAGCAAAAGTGAACCTCAGATGAGGAGAAAGGAATTCTCGAAGCTGCCCTTTAATGTCGAGTGAAATGTTGTTGCCTGGACCAGGGACCCAGCGAAGGTACCTGTATGCATGTATATAGGCGAGGCGAATATCACGCGCCAGAGGCTGCCAGGTCACGTGCAAGCCCACATCGCACACGGCGGAAACTCTCGGTTGTACGAGTACGAGCTCAAGAGTGCGCAGAATGCAGCGTCAAGCTCAGTCTCACCCAATCCCATGTTTCTCCCACGCCGAGTACGAGTACGAGCACAGAGTGTGCAGTAGCTCATCGAGACCAATCGAAGGTTTTCTCACCCTGGGTACGAGTACGAGCACCAGGACCCAAGAATCCCTCGCCCAAGGTCAATCTTAATTTTTCTCACGCCTCGTACAACCACTCAATAATCCAGGGCTTTGACCAGTTGAGTCCCCCAGATTGTACGGTGTCCGGAGGCCTCCGATCGAGGCTGGCGACGGTGCTGGTGCAGCATATCTCAATCCGATAAACATGCGCTGAAAATCCATACATGATGAATGACACCTTCATCTTGCGTTGGTTCAACGACCTTCTCACCCTCATGCAGTGGTGGATTGGGGGTGGGAAGCCATGCTGTCACTTGTGGTTCATTTGCAACATTAGCCGCATCCGTACATTTTGCTGTACCCATGTCGCAGGACGTCCAAGCATCAGCCTTGACCAATGCAAGAGCAGAAGAACACCTGTCGAGGTTTATTATTCTTCTGTCCTCAATAATCATTTGCAAGGACCGGAACCCGACCCAAAGTTGCGGGCTGCAAGAGGGGGGGCATTTCCGACACCACCAGACCCGCATCGCCCACCACCGCAGGGGCAATAGTTTGTCTTTGGCACCTGTCGGCTCGTCACCCAGATGTTCATGATCTGCTTTCGCAGTCCCCCAGGTCGAGGGGCAAAACACTGGGGTAAAAATGGTAACCCACATGTTCTGAATTCGCCTCGCAGCACCTCATCAATCATTCTCGTTCTGGAACAAAACTTTGAGCTTTCCCAGGGCATCATCGCAGTTGACCTCCATACGTGTGATCACCTCGACGGCCTCCTCTTTGCTCAAAATCAACTGGCAGATCATCCAAAAGTGGAATGAATTTCTGTACATGCCAGCAGACTTGAGAGACTCCTCCGTAGCATGCGATCGCACAGCCTGCCACAGCTGTCGCCATCTTTCCAGTGCCGTCTTGAGATTCTCAAACATCGGCCCCCATTTCGAGGCACTGATTGATCGATTCGTGGTCTTGAAAGGCAGGTCATGTGATAGGGTGACAATACAAGAATGTATGTGCGTGTAGAGTACTGTGCAACATGTTAGTCTGTCACGACGGTCTTGCGCAGACGGACGAAAGAACATACAATGAATCAATATGAACAGATCAAACGGCGTAAAATCTCCATTGCTGTCAGTGTCCATATTCTGGCTGGGAGTCTCGGCAAAATTGGAGTTGACAAGAGCCATAGACGACGATAGACCAGCAGATGAAGTCTTCGCCTTCCCTTCGAAGAGTGACGAAAAGGCTTCAGCTATAGTCTGTCGAGGAGCGAATATGGAATCACTTTGCATGAACGGATGGCGCGAGCTGAAGATGGCTTCCTTGCAAGGTAGATCCGTATCAAATTCGACCGGAGACAGACGACAGGGAAAATTAGTGTAGATCCGACCCGCACAGTCAAGCAAACCAATACTGGCGACCGTGCTGGAAAATGGTTCAGTCAGCGGACCCTGCATACTTGGGTGTGGGTATGGAAAGAATGGGAGGGGGTTAGGCCGTACCGAATTCGAGACTCCTTCTGCAGCCACGCATTCTCCGATATCCGATCTGATGGCTGGTGACGCGCATGGAGGTAGTTGTACTTCCGTAGAACCTATCAGCCACAGTCAGCGATTCAGGCCGGCATCCAACCAGGAGAGTAGAGGAACTACCTTGATAACCTCTCCCAATCGGGTCTCCAAGGCCCGACGTTTCGGTACTCGCGCGCCGGACCAGTACTGGGCAATAACCATGAGGAATCCTGCCTGGACTTCTTGAAAGCGGTACCATTCGGGATCTGAGATAGTCTCGACCGCTTCAAGCGGTGCCGGTGTTGAAGCAGAATCCTGTATGAATTTGATGATCTCGGATTCGAACGAGAAAATCTCCGACTCAAAAACCACCAGCTCTGCAATGTCGACCAGTTTCTTCGCCGCCAATCTCTCCGATTGATCCTTGGAATACATGGCTCCCACGAAAATGACACTGATCACCAGCGACGTGGGAACCTTGGTAGGGTCAAAGGATGGTTTGTGCAGCATTGGGCAATTGAGGTGCCAGTTGCGAAAGTACAGGGATATGAGCTTCGGGATCCTCTCCGGGGTCAAGAGGAAGTTGAGACACGCGGTCAGTTCCTGTCGGATCTTGTCGTCAAGCGCCAGACACCAGAGCTTGTTGTAGATGGCCATGTTGACCGCAGAGATGTATTGAGCGTGATCCGGGGGGTTCGATGCAGAATCCGACGGAGTTGGCCCAATGCGCATGTCACCCGGGGCAATGGACGGATCGTAAAAGTCCAATTGCATGTCGGCATAATTTGGCGAGGACACGAGGCCAAATGGGCCATTCCAGAAATCCAAATATTGCTCGTTCGTATCCATGAAAGACTCAAAGATGCCCGAGTAGTCGATCGAGTTCGGACTTGGATCGCCGATCTTCACGTCGTTGGCCTCGCTTGCCTCTCCTGATTCGCTTTGTTCCTGGTGGAATTGCATACTCTGCATTCGGTCGTCGCATGGTGGAAGATTGTACGTCCTTGTGAAGGTATCAGTCCCACCGTTCAATAACGCTTTAATCGACACCCTGTCATCGGCGGCGACGGTGACAGTGACGGAGTCCGGGGTAGAAGCATCCCCTTTCTTGGTGCCTGTGTGGAAGAACCTTTCAGTTTAAAGACGCTCCGTAGATCGCGGTGCGCATTTGTTGCGCACATGTTCATCAATCAACAAGCAAACATACCTGTCGACGGAGAATTCTCCTTCGGCGAGGCCTTTTGGCGACACGTAACTTGCTTTTTCTGACACTGAGCGCAAGGATTGCCGCCGTCGCACCGTATTTTCGAATTTACGCACTGGGACTTGATGTCAGTTACACGGCTTGACCACAGCGGGTTTCGTCCTAACCGTCACACAGGCGTGTGGCCGCCGACCCTTGGGGACCGAACTGGGAGGTTCGCGATCTCCCCGCCATTGGCAAATGTGGTAATGAGTCTGGAGGCGATCTCTGTGCGATGAGTCAGCGCACCGTTTCTTCGTTAAGGTGATCAAGAGAGTAATTTCGTACTTGCGGGAAAAATCTCGGCCGCAAAATGTGCACGAGAAGGGCCTCGCGCCAGTATCTACAGCGAGCGACGCGGTCAGTGATGAGTTCAGAGTGCAATGGCAAGAGGTCCGGCAGGCTCACGTCGTGTTTGATGGCGTCTCAGGTGTTCGGCACGATAAAACCCCTGGCCGCAGATGGTGCAAAGATGTTTCTTCTCGGCAGTGACGGCGGGTAACGGAGGACTGGAGGACCGCTTGACGCAGGCGGCCGAAAGAAGTTCCTGAGTACGGATCAGATCGTCGAACTGATCCATGGCGCCGGGGGGGCAGCGTGGTCTGTTGTTGTCGCGCTCGTTATCGGCGTCGTGAGATTGAGATCGAAAGATTGAGGAGAAAAGCGCGAGAAGCTTAGTTTGGTCTTCAGGTGGTACAGTAATTCGAGGTTGGGCTGAATGGGTGCAATTGCCCAATCGCCCAATCGCCCCCGCAGAGATTTGGGGATGGCTAGGCCTAGACGGGAATAGCAGGCGCCTAGAAACGGCCTAGTGCTGGCCACCTGTCGTCGTCTTTCATGCCTCGTGGACGCCCGTTGGAGCCGGGAGGCGGCAGTTTGCTGGGTGCGGGGAAAAGAGGTTAGGCCTCAGGATGCCTCCCTTAGTGAGCCCTACTATTGGGAAGCCTCACTAGCCAGAGCCCCTCAGCCGACCCTGGCAGGGGCTTGGGGGCGCCCCCGGAACAGTACCATGGTGGCACCTAACTAGTTAGAGATCCTAACTATAACTTAGAGGTCCAGCACGAGGCGCCCCGATGATTGCACGCACCAGTCACGACACACCAGTCGGTAAGCAAGGAGTCATGACCCCCTTATAAGACTGTAGGCGAGCATGACTCTATCGTCGGCCCTGTTTCATACAATGGAGTGCATCTTCTACTCGTATTCATCGAGTCGTCGCACCAATGTTACCACCAGAGCTCACTTTATATGGCAGCATCTCCCCAAAAACGCCCTGCAGTCATGTGAATCCTTAATCCTTTATCAAGCAACAAACCACGGTCACACCTCACGACGGAACTGGCGGAAAGTCAATCGCATCACGGTTCAAGTAATTCACGTTGACCTTCTTATCCCTCTCGTTGACCGTCCAACCATTTCCCATCCAAGTCGCCGGGTTGTCGCTTTCGTACTCGTACACAAAGTCCTCCCACCGGGGATGTGCCAGCGCCCTCATGGAGTGCAGTGAAGACCCGGGCCAGAGCGCACTGACTCTGCCGTCTGAGGTGCCGCCCTTGTACCAACTCCGGCAGTCCAGGGAGAAGACTGTGGTCGAGAAATATGCGTCACAGTACTTGACGAACGTCTCGACAGCATCTGGTCGGGGCGCCATGCTTCGAATGTTGTCCCTTTGCAGCTTGGCCAAACAAAACGTCACATAGTCGATGACTTTCTCGATCAGGAGTAAAAGGTTGCCCGTACCCAATGCCGAGTTCGGTCCCAATGAGATAAAGTAGTTGGGGAATCCGTCCGTGGCCAAAGAGAGGTACGTCGAGGGAACGTCCTTCCACTTCTCGGCCATAGTGATACCTCCCTGACCGATGATGGGGAAGCGAGGGCTGAATGTCGTGTCAAAACCAGTTGCGCAGATGATGGCGTCCACAGGATGATGCTGGCCATCAGTGGTGATGATACCAGTCGCGTCGACCTTCTCAATCCCCGTCGTGATCACGTCGACCTTGGGGTCAGTCAAAGCCTCAAGGTAGCCAGGGCCCGGAGTCAAGCGTCGACAAACCGGTGGGAACGAGGGCATCAGGGTGTCCACCAGGGTTGGCTTGCCTTCCAGACGCCGCTTCATGTTCTCGGTAAATACCTCGACAGCACCAAGCTGCTCGGGGGTACCTTTGATCGTCACGGCATGCACGGTCTGGAGTTCGAGTTCGATGTCCTTCCGGAACTTTTCGTAAAAGTCGGGATCGGTCTGGAAACGTTTGATGTCTTCTTCGGAGAATGAGACTGTACCGCCAACCCGTCAGCCTGTGGAAGTGCTATGTGGCATGGAACCCGGTTAGACTTACAATTGTCTAGTCCTTTGCCCATCAAGTCGACCTTTTCTCTTGCAAACGTCGGCGATAACCACGTCCGGCCTCGAATGTAGTGATCAATGTGAGCGGATTTAGCCAGCACCGCGGGCACGATCTGAATGCCACTGGAGCCATTACCAATGACTGCCAGCCTTTTGTTCTGGATCCCAATCATCAACATCCTGAAACAAAGACACTTTGCACCGCATGACTCACCGTCCAATCAAAAGATTCATCCCAGCTGGCACTGTGTAGCAGATCCCCCTTGAAGTCCTGGAGGCCTGGGATCTGAGGCCACTTCCAGTCGTTCAAAGCACCGGTCGCCGACAACAGCACATCGCAAGAGTCATCGATGATGCTACCGTCTTGAGTGTTCTTGACCTATAAAGTTGCCTTGTCAGCCACCAGAGGTTTCATTCAGGACAGAAGGCAACGAAGTCGAGGGCTTACCTGTACTTGCCACTTTCCTTGCCGTTCGTCCCACTCAGCCTTTACAATCTGATGGTTGAGCTTGATATATCGCATACAGTCATACTTGGCGACGACTTTCTTCCAATATCGATGGATTTCCTGAGACGTGGCATAAAATTGAGACCATTCGTGGTTTGGTTCAAATGTTGCCTGGTAAGTGTGCGCAGGAATGTCACCTTTCGAATAAAAAAACATGTCAGCAGGAGGATTTGGAGAGTTATACGGGATTTCGCCGACGCGGGCGGTTCGTTTCGGTTCGGTTTTTACTTACAAGCACATCCCGGGTACCGGTTCTCGAACCAAGTGCCACCAACATCAGCGTTCTTTTCGTACACCTGCAGCGAGAGGTTCGCTATTCTCTGAGGCAGTCTGATCGATGCCAATATACCGGAGATGCCAGCCCCGACCACAATCACACGAAGGGGTCGGAAATCGTCAATGCAGCGCGGGTCTAACCATTGTTGTGGTGCTGCTTCACCCATGCTGAGACAGCTTGTCGCGCGGACGAAGTTTAGGAGTCAGAAAACACGAATTCAAATTCGAGTTATCGTGGACCGAATAGTATACTCTCAGGTCTTTCCCTTCGTCTGGTTTCTTTGCAAGGAAATTCTCTGGTGAAAAAGCTTCAAGCTTGGGCGGCGCAAGGCATGGGACCGTCGCAATCTTATAGTCCGTGTGCGTACCATCCCGCACCCACCATCCGATGGACCTGGACTCCATCACCTGAGAAAGAGTCCCCACAAGTTCAAAGACAACTGAGAAAGCATCAGGCACGTTGAATCCGCACGATCCAATGGGGAATGACGGTCACAGATAGCCTGGGGTCTGGGGGATGTGGGATAAACCCGGTGGCCCGAGGTCAGTCCACGAGCCGGAAAATCCCATTTGATTCCTGGGGAGGCTGACACCGTGACACGATGGCCCGCCCAAGGTTCGCGAGCATGGTGTGTGCTCGCCATCCCCATCGGCTTCTGTGGAGGGTGTGGGCGCTGGCGACAGTCCATCGGGGTAACCCCCGGTTAGTAACACCCGAATTGCCGGGATTATTCTCGTCTCTCTCCCTGGCGACACTACGAGTAGTGAAAAGATCCAACCCCACGGAGGAGCGGAAATCGATCCTGACACAGCACTCACTGTATATCGGCAGCCAATCATTTGTTCTTTCTACTTTGGTGCTATGGAGGTCGTTTTCACCCTGACATCTGGGTGGTTTTCCAGAAGGCGTCGCGATGGCCCTAGATTGACCAGGCAGGGAGCAGAAAACAGAGCATGAGATCATGAGCTGAGCTGAGGCACCTCAGTACCTAATGAAAACGACTCAGGGGTCAGCTACTCAGGACATTCCATTGTATCATGTACGAGATCTCCTCTGCAGAGCCTTTCAAGCCCATCCGAATCCCAAGGCCAAGCAATCACTAGCTAATGGTATGAATCGCTTTTTTACAATTCCCAACATCTCTCCAAAATTTCGGTGGGATCGTTGCTGCATACCCTCCCGAGGGATCCCTGAGCAGCTTGTCCAGTATGTATTTCAGCTTCAACCCCCCCCTCCGGCATCATGAAACCCTCTTAACTGCCATTCACATCCGCCCTGTCGCCTTTGAAGTACGGTCTCGGCACGTTATCGTAGTAGGGTACGACGATCCAATCCTTGTCTTTCGTTTTCCCGACCATGGCCTTGGTCGCGCCGGTGATCGGGTCCTTGGAAATGATGGCGTTCAGCAACCCTGGGCCTTTCGTCGACGTGAGCTCCTTGACCGCGGCTCGAGCGTCGTCGACACTCTTCTGTACGATGGTGCCTTTGCAACCGAACCCTTGCGCGACCAGGTCGAACCGGCAGTTCGGGGACAAGGTACTCGCGACGCGCGCCGGGTCCTCGTCTTCATAAATCAAGTCCTGGCCGGCGACGCTCATACCCCAGAAATAGTTGTTGGCCACAATGGTCAAGACGTTCAGTCCATGCCGCGCAAACGTGTCGAGTTCCTGGAGGTGGAATCCCGCCGAGCCGTCACCCTGGATGTTCACGATCAAACGGTCTGGAACCGCCAGTGCCGCGCCGATACTGTATCCCCAGCCATTCCCTAGAAATCCGAGATAGCCCGTCGCCGCCAAAGCACCTGCCGGCCGGACATGTTCCAGGAGCTCCATGGCCCAGACGCCTATTTCGCCGCCGTCGACGATCACAATGGACCCTTCCGGTAAGGACTCGTAGACGCCCTTCACGGTGAAGAATGGATGTAGGCGCCCGTCAGGACGAAGCTCGGTGTCGCCCTCGTGCGGGGATTTCATTCTTTTGAGGGACTGCAAATCCTGAATCCATGCATCCTGGGGTCGGATCAGATGGTTCGTCGTGCCTATTCTTTGGACGAACGCCTTGATGAAGTTGGTTGCGTCCGAGACAATGCCCAGGTCGATTGCGGTCGACTTGCCAATCTCGCAAGCATCGAGATCCACCTGCACCACTTTTGCGTCCGAGTTGGGGATGACGGCACCGGATCTTCCTCCCAGCAGAAACCCGGTCCTCGCACCCAAGAGCAGCACAAAGTCCGGTTGCTTCTTCTGGAGCAAAGGCAGCAGCGCCAGTCGAGGTGCGTAGCCCCCTCGATAGGGGGATTCGAAAGGTAGCGCCGGAACGTACTTTTGCGAATAGTACACCGGGGTTCCAGTCGCTTTGGCCAGATCCAGGAGCGGGCTGGAGCTTGACTCTCTGGAGGTGGTTCGAGCAGCCCCGGTGCCGACGATGATGACGGGACGCTGCGCGGATTTCCAGATATCGATGAGTTCGTCGAGCGCCGCTGGGTCAGGATACGGCGCCACCGGAAGACGGCAGGTGAGAGAGCCGTACGAGATATCATTCATTCGGGGCGGGTGGAAGAGGACGTCGATGGGGAAGTCGACAACAACAGGTCCCGGAACGCCTCCGACGGCAGTCCTGTATGCATGGCTGACAATACGAGGAATTTCTTCGACGTCTATAGAGAGAGCGAAGAAGTTTAGATATCTACGTAGACATGGACAAACAATGTGAACAGGGCGTTGTACGTACTGGTTACTCGATGGGCGAACTTGCTGACCGGCTTCGCCAAAACAACTTGGTCATGGAACCCCTGGAGAGAGTTCGTCTCTGCGTCGCGAAGAGGAGGCGAAGATGTGATGACAAAGATGGGTGAACGGTCTGCGAATGCTGTTGCCAGCCCTGGAAGAGCATTGCCGAACCTAGAGAGAGAGCTCGTCTCAGTACGAGGGAACTCTACTGACTGATACAGACAGTCACTGGCCAAACAAAACGAACACGTACGTACCCACTGTTGGCCGTCACAAAGCAGAAACCAGCCTTCCCGGAGAGCTTCGCATAGCTTTCAGCTGCTTGAACAGCCGTGGTCTCGTGTCTCGTGTCGATGATTTTGATGTCGACAAGAGCACAACCGATGAGAAAGGCATCGAGATGGCCTCCGTGTAGTCCGAAGCACACTTCAACGCCGAGGTGCTTCAACGATTGAGCAAGTAGATCACCTCCAAGTAGCTCCCGCTTCGAAGGTTGCTGCCAGTTCATTTTACTGCTGCCGGTGGACATGGGCGATGAGGTTGATGTTCTTTCTTCCTCGGAAGGGTTCAGCTGAGTGTCTTGAGATCTGGCATTTAAACGAGCTGCCTTGATGATTTGGTCGAGTCAGGCGATAGCTGTACACACTGACTGACTCGTATTACATGACTTGGGGACGTGTGCCTCGGATGTTGATCAAAATACTGTATACATAATTACCACAATAAAGAAGCCCCATTGACGTGGCGTGGCTCACGAGACGGTATTAGTAACCAGGTCTTGCACATCATTTCAATCCCCATCGAAACCCAAAGAAATCGAACAACGGAACAGCAGATCTGAGGTACCGTACCCAGCCTGGTCCAAGTCCGGGGGTAGAATAAAGCATTACCCCACAGTGCGACCCGAGGCTATTAGATAAATATCAAATACCTGTCAATCATGGCCGGGGGCGAATTGGCAGCGTGTCGGACATTACTAAGTACCAAGAGGCAGCGCAGCCCGGTCTTAATTGGTATCATTGATACCTAGTCTAGACCTCAGTCTGCATCGGTTTGATTGATTTATTTAATTAAAATCATCTACTCGGTAGTGATTAACAACTTAACTTCACTTACAGTCGTTCGAATTTTCGAACCAAACTAAATTAAGATATTTTAGTGTAGCGGTTCTATCTAGACTTAGTTTCTGAATGATATACAGCACGAGATTTCAACCAAGTCTAAGTTCAAAATGTCATCCAAGAGCCAGTACTGACGGGAATTCAACGATTCAAAATACCAGGCCCGTTTCGCAACTCGTCTAGCGTAGTACTAGGCTTGAATCGATTCCCAGCGAACCTTGGATCGATTATACACAGTGGCAGTAATTTCCCTCCAAAATTAGGCTCAATCTGGCCAGATCCAGATCAATCTGAGACAGGCCTCCTTGTACCTGGTGGAGGACTGAACAAGTCGACTAGACGTCCCAACAAACCCTTACCTCAGCATCCTATGCAGTACTAGGCGCACGGGACTCTGGACTGTCTTCGTCGCTTTGAAGGTTGTGACCACCCGCTAGTTAGTAAAGAACATTAATTACTGCTAGAACCTGGTTTTGACTCGGAGCCATGGTGCACAAGTCCATTTAGCTTGGGCTAGCGCTAAATCAGCTGTGAATCAGGGTTGAATCGGGGGTTGGACCCGGGGTTTGGATACTAATACTACCAGGAATTGAAGGAAGGCCTGTACTACTTACTGTGCGAAATAACATTGTCGTGGGACGAGCTCGCCCTCTCTCTAGAGAGATAGTCCTACCAGGTGAAAAAAGTACTATGCCAAATCAGGAAATTGCGATACCTCGCTTTTTAAGTATCCAAGTCCAGCAAATGCAGACAAAGCTAAAAAAAAAGATCATCCCCAGACCACCACACTTCTCTAGTACTAATAATGCTATGTACCGTTAACGGATCAGGATGAAACCTGACGTAGAAAGGCCCAACTTCAATGTAGATCCAGGTCGACTCCCTCGAGACGAGTAAGCAGCTCAGTACGAATACAGTGAGTGAGATTTTGTAGAAACGTTCAAAGCCTTCTCTTAGACAGCATCTCCTACGACCCACAGACCTCGCTCCTCTTCGCCAGCTTCAAATTTATTTATGTGGGAACGGATTTCGAGGCCGATATGGCTGCCACACGCGCCCACGAATCAACGAAGAAATGGTGGGCTATGACGGATGGAGATACCAGCAATCTTTGAACCAGGGAGCTGTGAGTTCTGAGCTGGGTAGAACCGTCATTACAGATGGGAGTGATAAGAAGGGTGGGTGCCGGCGTGGTGGACGAACGTTGAAGAGGTCTTTTATATGCCGTAATAGGTGGGCTTGCAAGGGAGAAGGGAAAGGCTTCAGATGCGGTTTCTTCTTCTTGCTGAAAGCAAGAAGTGTGCGGGAGACCAGCATGGGATACTGAACAGCACCTCCGCATTGCTGCTGGTCGAGATAGCATTTTCATAAGATCGCACTCGATTTTGGATCGTTCTTTGAATCGTCCAGCTGACTTCGTGGAGTACTGACTTTCTAGCTCCAATGCCTGTTGGAAGGGAATTGCGACAGTGCTAACAGAAGTGAAACCTGCATTGCGCACAGCAGTGCTTGCCATCAGCTCCAGCGTATGTCCTCAACGTCATATAATAACACCAGCACCAATTCAACTTTAGTAAATTAGGGAGAAGAATCACATTGATTGTTCCACCGGATATCCTCGATCTAGGCCCTACGTTAAGAGGACATAGGCACTATCGAGGTCCAGGTGAAGTTCCAACTCTTCGTCAGACTCGAAATAGTTGGTACGGTTCTGTGTGCCCTTCCAGAAGAGCTTTGTCGGAGCCATGGCGGTGCCAATAATTTCCAACCAGCCGTCATTAATTCGCACAGCCACTGCCTTCTTTACCCTTGGTATCCAACAGATCAGGTCTCCGACCTGGGCTTCTCCTGCCACGATGCCCATTTTCCAAGGGGAGCTCTGAGGAATTATTCTCTTCATCTGGTAAAGGCGCGGTGTGGAAGCTGGCACCAAGGCTTCGGTGATCTTAGGGCCTTGAGGTTCGATGTCTGATGCCATGGGAGACGCTCTCGGCCCCTCGTCTTTGAAATTTCCGCTTCTCACCTCAAGCTTGCTCCTCATCCGACAATTCTGAATTTTCTCGCAGAGTACTTTGGGCGCACTCCAGCAGACGTGCAGTCGCGATAATGAGAGCAAGTCCGGATCATCATTCTCTGCGTTCAGGAGCACTTCCACAAGGAGGTCGTTGTCGTGGTCAGCATCGACAGATTCATCCGGAAAGTTTTGTTGTATTTGTGCCCGCCACTCATCCACGGCATCAAGATCACCCATCATATGCGCGGTCGAAGGTCCTATACATATGATCATGCCGGCGACATAAGCGGTGAGGTCAAAGGTAGGGTAGCGCGGGTCCTTGTTGTCGATCCGGAGAGGCGGTTCAGTCCGGGAAGCATATTCTCGAGCGACCTGTTCTTTGGATGCAACATGGCGGCCGCCGAGAAGGTTCTTCACAAGGCTCGCACAAAGAACCATATCATGGCCGAAAGGTGCATGGCCGTACATGACCGTCATCGTGTCCTTCCAAACCTCCAAAAGGGGCTTTCGGTAGTCCATGGGAAACATGCGCGCGTCTGCTGCCAGTCCGACGAAACCATATATCTTGTCTCGTGGATCCTTGCACACTGCTTGTTGGTGGTTTTCGAGTAGTTCTCGAAGAGTGTGTCCGCGGTGATGTTTGTTCCGGAGCATTCTCTCCAGTATGAATGGACCATTGCCATTTCCTCCACAAGATAGAGTGAGCCGATGAATGAAGGTGTTCCACGTCATCCGACACTCTTTAAAGCAAACCTGTATCGTCCGAGCCATCCCGATCTCCTGGACTATCCATACCCTGTTCCAGTAATCATCTGAACAAAGCTCAAGAGACATCGTGCTAATTAGCTGCTTCTGCTCCATACGCGCAACTAGCTCACTGGCGGAAAAGGACATGTCGGATTTCCCGTCGACTCTCCAGTCCATCCACACCTGCCAATCCTCCGCCCGATACTTCGCGTACTTCCTGCCCAACCATACTAGAACTGTCTGTGCTCTCATGTAGATATGTGGCATAATACGCAACTGTCGATTCCGTTCGAAGATATTAGCCTGGTTAATACAAATCGCATCAATCCAGTAATGTCGCGAGCTGCCACAGTTCCTCAAATACCGGAGAGCGTCCCAAAGGTTCTGCCCAACTAGCAACTCTTTCCCTTCGACAGAAATCTTCTTTTTGATCGTGACGTCTCCCCACATGTACGATAGCGCTTGGTATCTGGGCTTTTGGCCAAATGTGACGTGGATAAGCTTGCAGCGAGGAACGTCGTCGGCATCTCCGCCTGGGTCGAGTTCTATCAGTCGCATACAGTCCACTGAGGGGTCTAATTCTTCATACTGAAATTCCGTTGTAGATCCTCCTTGTGGAGGGATACTGATATCTGAGATCCGAGTAGAGCCTGAACGGTGGACCGATTGATTCGCCGCCATCCGTACAGTGGCCAAGCCCGACATGGGGTTTCGAGAGTCACGACAGATGGCTTGAGAGTACAGGAGATGGTCATAGACGGCCGTAAAATGCCAAAGTCCATATGGACAATTGAGCGTAATTACTTTGTTGTTCCCTTGCGGTTTCCTCGGCAGACTCGCCTGGGCCGTTGAACGATGCAGATCTCCGGTCCAGTCTTCTTTGGCAATCCAATCGACCTAAGTTCTCTCTCTCTCGCTTCTTGAGAAAGCCAGGCAGGCAGAGATGCCTGGTGCTGCAAACGCTTCGAGGACGATATCTTGATCGTAGATCGTAGAACAGACAAACACGATAGGAAGCAGAAAAGCTCCTCAGTGTTGCTTGCTATTTCTACGAGCGCAGGCACCGATGCGTGCTGTCAACAGGCAATCAAGGTGCTATCTATATATAGCGCCACGCTAACTAGTGTACAAGGCATCGGGCGCAAAGGTTTGCGTAGTACAGTACGAGAACAAAGCCCGCAAGGAACAACAAAATAGAAATAGGCGCTCCTCTTGCATGAGATTTGTAGGTCTGCACTTTGGCCTGCGTACGGAGCGCGTCAACACAACGGACACCTCTTGATAAAGGACATCTCTGCTCTCCAGGAGTTCTCGAATCCTACCCTACTGTAAAACATTCAGCATGCTGCGCTCCTTCTACGGTGAATCATGAAGCTTGTAATGTTACCGTCGAGCTCACTACTAGAACAATGTGTACTAGTTACTGTAATGCTATATAATCGCTTGAGCTTGCGCTTGAATCAACGAATAGACTGAATGGTGCCCAACTTTCTGGGTCCCACCTTCGTGTGCCTACCAGATTTCACACCGTACCATTGCACCGAAAACCATCTCACCCTACTTTATTAGATCCCTTGGTCCTGGGAGCATGCGGTGCCGGTGCCGGGGGAGCCCCGGGTGCGGGAGGTGCCGACGGAGCATCTCCACCAACCGAAGAAAGTAAGTTAAGGGTGCTGCTCACGAATGAGGAGCTATCCAGTCCATCGCCGCTTATCTCGGCCTGATAAGACGGCTGTTGAGAAGAATGACACCTTCCCGGCTGTAAGGAATCACTTCTACTGTACTACATTTCTGCCTCAGCCATTAAGGAATAGTTACCAATGTCATCTGGGACTGACACTCTGACCAGACTGCCTGACCGATCACAGGGCCAGCGTGTGAAACTTGCCGCAGAAGAAGCCGTAAGTGTGACTGAGGACGTCCGGAATGCATCAGATGCTTGACCAAAGGCTTGGTCTGTGAGGGATACCCGACCCGGTTCGAGATCCTCGGCCTAGACACAGGGCCCAATGCGAGGAGCACCATTTCCACCCAGAGAGTCTCAGGGAGCCCACAGCGTCCCATGTTTCAGACGACACCGCCCGTCACGAGCTCCTCGCCGGCGTCCAGCAGCCCTTTGACCATGTCGTTTGTCCCGTCGACTCAACTCGACAGCATTCTCGCACAAGACGAAGAAGCATGGGCTCGCCTCAAACATTTCGAGGATTCCTTGTGTGAGATTCTCAGTGTTCGTACCACGATGACTGGCAAATATCCTTTCCGGGACCACATCCTCCCACTGGCCAACCGGCACTCTGGTCTTCTGCACGCTGTGCTTGGACTCTCGGCCTGCCATATGATCAATTCGGGTATCGACAACACCTCAAAGGCCCACACGGCGGCTCTGGAACTTCGGCTGTCGGCGATCCAGGAACTAGGAGTTCTCCTTCTCAAAGAAAGAGTGTTTCGGACTGGACGATACGGAGGAGGTACTTGCGTTGCAATCGTGTTGATCTTAGTGCTGCATGACATTTGCGAATCCGGAAAATCATTTCACGGGGCTCAACTAAACGGAATCGCATTTCTCTGCGCCAGGATTGTCGCGGGACCAACGACACCGTCTCCGACCAAATCCTTTTTGTTGGCCGCCCTGTCATGGTTAGATATCCTGCGGGGATTCACCGGCGCCGAGAAGCTGGCCTTTCCCCCGAGTGGAAACTGCTCGCCAATGCCTACCGCCACGTCTGCATTTTGCGTATTCTAAGGTTTCTGAATGCCTTCCAGACCCCTTGTACGGATCCCAGGATTGTGGAATCGGTGGAAAGCATCCTCGATGACTGCGCGAAGATGCCTTGGTCTTCGTCAATGTACAGGCGGCTTCTATTTCCTCTGTTCATGGCCGGTGCCGATTCGGTTTCGATGCATCGCCAGCACTATGTCAAGCTTTGCATTGCGGAAATTTTGGACAAGACCAAGTTCCCTCAGCCCGCGGTGATGGAGATCCTGAACGCCGTGTGGAACGCGCGGTCTACAGGGCCAAATCCTCTTGCCTGGCAAGAGAATGTTCCGTGGATGGAATGTGTAAGTCCAGTCGCCATTTCGAACCTCCTTGGTTTGTGTGTATGAGCGGGGAGCCGAATCCGTTGACACATTTTACAGACTTTTTCGACGTCGCTCAAGCGACAACATGATTCCTTGTTCTTTTAGGACCTTGCTTCTGTATATTTGACCGGCCTCGTGTTGATTAAACACTGCACTTCCGTTGGAGCTGCCTGGCTTTTTATTCCAGTGGAGGCTTTTATCATTGATGAGATGAACATGTTTGCATACCAAGGAATGTTTCAATCCGTTTTGGGATCAAGCGAGCTACCTGGCCTAAGCTTAGGTTGCAATTCACAAAGTGCTCTTGCCACCAAGTAATTCTACCGCCGCATTGCTGATACAGCTCTTCCCAGTCTCCTTCACCTTGGCCCGATAAATGACTTTACCTCCCTCCTTCCACATCTCGGTCACAATCGTCTCGCCTGGCAGGACGGTCCCGCTGAACCTCACCTTGATATTCTTGAAAGGGCCGTAGGCTTCAAAGATATGCTTCCCTGTGATGCCGAACGTGGCGAGGCCATGGAGGATGGGGACCTTGAATCCTCCGACCGACGAGAACTTGGGATCGACGTGCAGCGGATTTCGATCACCCATAAGTCGATAAAGAGCCGCAGCATCTTCCGATGTCTTCTCTTCAACGACCTTGTCAGGCACCCGAGACGGCGGAGTGTTGATTGCCGTTGACGCGCCCCGATCCGCGGGCGTTTTCTGTCCTCCGAATCCGCCGGCACCGCGGATGAATGCTACGCTCTCGTTGTAGAAGACCGGTTTCCCGGAACTGTCGACCGTAGTCATCCCTCGCCTTACAAGCGCTGCGTTCCCTTTGTCCACCACTTCCAGCAACCGAGTTTCGGTTTTGAAGGTGCCCGATGTCGGGAGGGGGAATTGTTTGAGCTCCAGGTATTGCTCGCCGTGGAGCAACATCCGTTGGTCGTAGTTCGGGACAATGTCCTTCGTCTCGAACGGTGCCGAGGAGTGATACGTCGGTACGATTCCGAAAGTTGGAAGGACTTGAAAGTTGGGAGAGTTCTCGTAGACGAGGTCCAGCTGATTGCGGTGAGCACCGAGAGACAGGTTGTACAAGATGACATCCCTGTCCGTGTAGGAATAGGTAGACGGCGCTCCCTTCATCTCCATGGCGCTCTGGATCTTGGAGATGTATTTCCTGTTGGCACGATTCTCCTGTGACAGACTGGCGGCCTGCTCGACATTTAGTATACACTTTGATGAACATCGATCCACCCCTGAGTGACCACACTTACAACTTTGGGGTTCTTCAAGACATTGCCCATGGTGTAGCGACTTCCTTCTTGCGGTGATTCTGGATTGTCTGCTTTTCCATTGTCGAAATTGCAGATCTCTCCAAAGGCCTGGACGGAACAGTAAGTATTCTATGTTTCATCCCCTTGCGGACTGCGGATTGCGAGATCAACCCACCTTGGCCACTTCATCTACACCGGGGATGCCTTTGTCGTGCTCAAAATCAACGCCCCTGGCTCTTTGCCATCTAGTTGCGGCGAACCAACCACTACCTGCCTCATACAACTGACCAGTACCAGGTGGTCGTTCAGAGCACAGCGCAACGACGAGGGGCGCAACGTAATCTGGTTTGACAATGTCCACGGCGTCCTCGGCCCATACTGTGCGGGTCATGTTAGTGCCAGCGGAGGGCGCGACTGCATTCACGACGATGTTATACTTGGCTCCCTCCCGGGCGGTGGTCTTTGTGAAGCCGATCATGCCACATTTCTAGAACCGCATGGGTCAGTATTCAATCTCGAGGAGTTGCTGTCGTGGGTGATTTGGGACCTCACTTACTGCCGCTGCGTAATTGGCTTGTCCAAAGTTACCGTATATACCGGTCGTGCTGGTAATGTTGACTATCCTGCCGAACTTCTGCTTCGTCATATACGGCCAGGCAGCACGAGTTATGAGATAGGTCGACCGTAGGTGGACATTCATGACCGAGAACCATTGCTCGTCCGTCATGTTGACAAAAGCCTTGTCGCGCAAGATGCCGGCATTGTTCACCAGGATGTCGAGTCTGCCGTGGGTGTTGATGATTTTTTGCACGATAGCCTCACCTTGCTCCACCGACATGGTCAGCGCTGACGCCTCCCCGCCCACGGACTTGATCTCGCCGGCGACCTTCTCGGCGTTCTTCAGATCGTTGACCACGACGTGGGCCCCGAGCTTAGCAAAGGCATGGGCGTACGCTCTTCCCAACCCATCACCACCGCCAGTGACGAGTGCAACCTTGCCGTGCAGATTCACTCGACTTGGATTTGGAACGTTTGCCTTTGGCAGTGCCTTTGCCTTCTCAAAGAGAGCCACTGCCCCGGCTGGATTGTTTGGGTGTTCTGCACCAGTCCAGTCTGCGATCTTCGAATAGTTGTCAAGGATGAGATCAGGACTGAGAGTATTCGGGTTCGCAAGGAAACCTTTGCTCCGCTCCCAGCGAATCTTATTATAGTGGCCAGCGGCCGCCTCGAAGATGCTCCCTGTTTCCTGACAGGTCCGGCTCACCAGCACACCAACCAACGGCACGACCCAGTCCGGTTTCATGGCGTCCATCATATCCGCCGTCCAGACCGTCTGGGTGAGGCGGCTAGCGGCACCAGGTGCCAGGACGTTGCAACGGATATTGTACTTGGCTCCCTCTTTGGCCAGGGTCTCACTGAACCCGACCAGGGCCATCTTCGCGGCGGCATAGTTGGCCTGTCCAAAGTTTCCATAGAGACCAGAAGTGGACGAGGTATTGATGATTCTGCCATACTTTTGCTTCCGCATGAACGGCCAAGCGGCCCTCGCGGTTTTCATGGCGCCGTGAACGTGGACGTCTATGATGATGTCCCAGTCCTCGGTCGTCATATTTCGCAGCGTGATGTCTCGAAGGATCCCGGCATTGTTGATGAGGATGTCGACCCTTCCGAAAGCGTCGATGGCAGTCTTGATGATCCTCTCGCCAGCCTGGACCGGATCATAGTTCGCCACGGCTATGCCACCCGCGTCAGTAATCTCCTTGACCACGACGTCTGCAACTCTGGAATCGCCTTTGCCAGCGGCGTCTTTGCCATTGAAGGTACCACCCAGGTCGTTGACGACAACTTTGGCGCCACGCGAGGCCAGGAATTTGGCGTATTGTCGTCCTAAGCCGTTGCCAGCACCGGTGACAACGGCGACCTGGTCCACGTAGCTGATCGGAGAAGCCATGGCTGTGTAATCTACATCCGAAGAACGAGGTCACCGGTCTCACTCGAAGGTTAGGAATCCAAGGCGATGAAATGACCGGGAACGACCTTTTCCAGATTCCTCATTGTTCAGACGAACCGAGGAGGTGCGCCTTTTACATGAAAATGTCAGACTCCTCTGGCCATTGCGCCGACACTGCCTCGGATGTACACTGGTACACAGGTCCCATCGCTAGACTTCTTTCAGGGAGGATGGTGAGCGTGGACCCCGCACAGCGCTATTAAGTTAGTACGGTGAGGGTTGAGTCTCGAGTCACAGTAATATGGGGAAGCTCAAAGCCTATCGGGGGACGAGGTTGCAGTGGTATCTTTCAACACCTCGGCATGCGGATAGTACAGTAAATATCCCACGAGGCTCGCAAATGTCCCTGTGGGAGTCGACCGACGACCGGGCTGTTGTTGAACTTTTCATGCAATTTTCGTTTCTCCTACTACCCCTATTATCTGGAAATAGTAAAACCCCCATCGATCCTCACATCGGCACCGTTTATCATAGCACTCTCATCCCGACAGAGAAACTCGATGGCATGGGCAATCTCCGAGGGCTCACTGAACCTCCCCGTCGGTATCTGGGCAAGGTGTTTCTCCTTCTTCGCCTCATCGGCCCACGCCTTTGCGGCCAAAGGAGTCCACGTCACGGTCGGACTCACGGTGTTCGCCGTTATGCCCCTGGGCCCCCACTCGCTCGCCATGCACCGAGTGTGTCCCAGCAGACCGGCCTTGGAAGCGCAGTAGGCGCCGTGGCCGTCCAAAGCCACGTGCGCAGCCTGTGAGGCGATGCTGACTATCCTCCCTGGCGGCGACGGTGTCCCTTTCTCCATCCCGGCGGCCACTCTGGCCTGGTAGAGGTTGAAGAATGCGTTGCTGGTGATGAACGGACCGAGCAGGTTGGGCAGGAAGTTCTTCATGGCCTCCTCGGCCGAGGTCTGCTCGAGGGGCTGCACAGACACATATCCGGCAGCGTTGATCAAGATGGATGGAAATCCGTCCAGGTGAGATATCCGCCCGTCAAAGACGTCCTTGATGGATGCTTCCGAAGTGATGTCGGCCTCGAACGTGTGCACCTTGTCTGGGTCGTCCGTGCCGAATACTCGTTTGACCGTCTCCTTGACCCTCGAGGCTTCAAATGGTGCATACAACAGTGCGACGGTGGCTCCTAGTTCCCAAAGACGAAAAGCTGTCGTCGATCCCAACCCGCCTGCAAGCTTCCTCATTAGTATCAACGTCCGGCGGGTGGCTTCCGATGCAAAGCAGGAGTAAGTAGTACAGTACCTATTCCTCCAGCAATGATTGCAATGCGTCCTTGATAAGCCATGCGAAATACAGCAACCTAGACAGATCTCTCTTTGATGCTTCAGAGGTTTTAATTATAGTCTGGCACAAAAGAACAGGTGATGGATTTCAGCTGTAGCTGAGAGACGCCGGCCAAAGCGCCGACTGAAGCCGGTTCATGCTTCAGACCAAACATTCCACGCCCCCGCACTTCATTTTGCTGTCTTGGACTCTTTGACGTCTCAGGGTCTGAAGAGACACAACTCCATGTGAAATGGTTGCACCTCTACCACCGATCCAACTAGACCTTACATAGATGAAACTACGTCTGGAGCACCATCATGCTATCCTGACAAGAGCCCTACCCTGCTCTGAGCGTCCATCGATGTATGATGGACCCGTTCTCAGTCATCTGTGTGGCTCGGTGCAGAAGCGGCCCGCCGGTGCATAGCCTCGACGCCCAGTGCTGGGACAACAGCACTACATGACGAAGGACTGCAGACATGTATCTCGGTCATGACATGTATGTCTATGCCGTTCGATAAAATGTAAGAGACATGTTCGGTCCGCAATGCCACCGAGCCATTCCTCGCCGAAGCTATAAACGCCCGTCCCTCGCAAATGAAACCATCCGTCCTGTGAGAACCTCGACCTCCAAACGACACCAACCGTACATAAGAGCCTTCACTTCTACTTGAAACCGCGCCATAAACCAACGCAAAGTCATGGCGGGCCGACCAGCACCAGCACCCAGGACCAAGCTCGGCTATCATCGTGTGCTTGGTCCAAATGCCTCCGTACTTGTGTCTCCCATCTGCCTGGGGACCATGAACTTCGGTGACATTTGGTACAGTCCAACAATAGAATACATCACGCCATTTAGCTAATTGCAATCAGGGACGCTAGCGCTGGTGGATGCAGCAAAGAGACGGCATACTCGGTTCTCGACCAGTTTTACGCGTCTGGCGGCAACTTCATTGACACCGCGAACATGTACATGGCCGGCCAGTCGGAGGAATGGCTAGGTGACTGGATGGCGGATCGTGGTGTTCGCGACCAGATGGTCATTGCCACAAAGTTTACCTATGCATACCAAATTCCAGACATGCTTCCCGACGGTACAATCACGTCCAATTTCGGCGGCTCGAACAGGAAAAGCCTCCGGCACTCGCTCGAGGAGAGTCTCAAGAGATTGAAGACAGACTACATCGACATTTTCTATGTCCACTCATGGGATGGCCTGACCAGCATTCCAGACCTGATGCGTGCGCTTGACGATGTTGTTCGTCAGGGACGGGTTCTGTACCTTGGTTGTTCAAACTGGCCCGCATGGATGGTTGTCAAGGCAAACAGCTACGCAAGAGAGCATGGAATGACTCCCTTCGTCGTATACGAAGGCTTATGGAATGTCGTGGCCCGAGACATCGAACGAGAAATCGTGCCCATGTGCAAGGCCGAGGGTATGGCGATCACGGTCTGGGAAGCACTGGGGGGAGGCAAGTTCAAAAGCAAAGCCGATAAAGCGCAGGCAGGGGCGCGTCGGCTGTATGATCTCTCCGGGAAGGGGATGGAGAAGTTCGAGGTTGCGGCTATGGCCTTGGAACGTGTGGCAGCGAGGAAAGGAACCACCGTTTCCGCCGTCGCCATGAGATATGTCATGCTCAAGGTGAGGCACTCGATGCTCTCACAAACATGTCTTGCGAGGCTGACACACATAGGCTCCTTATGTCTTCCCGGTCATTGGTGCGCGCAAGGTCGAGCATCTTCAGTCCAATGTGGAAGCTTTGGCCATCAATCTTGACGATGCGGACATCCAAGAGCTCCAGGAGGCCGTTCCGTTGGACCTAGGCTATCCACACATCATCTTGTCCGGAAGCCCGACTGAACACGTTGGGCCAACGAGACCAACATACCTACCGATGTGGTGGGGTGGATTTGAAGGCGTAGAAGAGCCGAAGGTAGGCAGAACCTCAGAGGAGACTCGATCGAGTGATGATGCTGACTCATTGAACCCTTTTCAGGCGATCCACAAAGCTTCCTAACCGGAGCTGCAGTCTTGGACATCTAGATTGTGCACAGTAGTAGTTGATATCCACGCTGACAAAGGGATGGCTGGAAGTTGTGGTGGATTGCTGAGTTGAAGCTAAAGTCGCCAACTTCTCTTGGCCGCTGACAGATGCATGACCATTGACTATAGTCTATTGACAATTGTGCTCGAGTCGTTGGCAGGTCCTCCGTAGAATTTTTAGAATTGCATTCATTTGAACCTGCTGCTGTGTTCATCTCGAGTACCATTCTGCGAAGCTGACATACTGGAAAATGCGAAAGGCGCCTCGAACGTGTTCTGAATGTAAGTGGAGCCTTTGCCTCGCTCCTCAGATGAAAACACCCCCACGCGCGGTCGTCGCGATGATAGATATCAGGAGCCTGGCGCGAGGTTTTGGTCTCTAATAGGATCCAGGTAGACGTCGCAAGATCCGCTGTATCTATCGATCTGATTCATCGCTCGAGTGCAACCGGTGCCTCTCGAGAGGAACCAAATGCGTCCTGCCAGCTACCAGCGTGTCGAACCAACTGGGTGACGAAAAGAGAACACTGAGGGAGAGAGTCCTCCGCCTCGAGAGTCTGCTGCAGCAGGCACCCAACACGATTCTGACGAGCTCCGTATCTCCATCGACGAAGGACAATGCTTCCATTTCATTACAGATCAATGGTCAAGCGCTGGACGATGCTGGCGATCCCGCCCTGGATGTCGACCATTCGGCACCGTTCATGGCTGCACTGCAGACCTCAGATGTGAGATATGAATATGCCCTGGGAAACCTCAGACCTGTGGCTCCTTGCTAATGCGGCGTAGCTATTCGAGCCTTACGAAGCCCCTCGGAATGGTGGACCCGATGATCGAGCACAAGTCGAGCCCCAGCATCACATCACGCATGGACCCTTGCGTACGTGTACCACAGGTGAAGGTTACAGCATCACTCTCTGCGAGAATTTGAGAGCAGTTCTGCCTAGTCTTTCTGACATCAAAGCCCCCATGGCAGACAACACGCTCTGGTGGCAGTTCTGGAACCAAAAGACGTTTGGTACAGAACAAGCCAGAGAGACACTTCTCCAATACACCGAGCGAGTATACAGTGAGAATGATCCGATCGAGTTAGGTCTGATGGTATCAGCATACGCACGCCACAAGGACGACGATGCATTGCGTCTGCTTTCTGTGGTGGACCAGATGGTTATCAGCAATGACAGATTCGCTGGAACACTTCGAGGATTGACTTTGATCGCGTTTCAAGCGAAATGCTACCTGGATATAGGACAGCCTCGACGAGCATTTCTGTGCAACCGGCGAGGCGTCAACCTTGCCCAAGTTATGGTACTTTTCTTCTTGTGAATGAGCGTGGCCACAACTTATCAATGCTAACTCGACACAGAACATCCACCGCACCTATTCATCGACAAATGAAAGAAGCTCGATCTGGTGGACGCTGTACCAAGGAGACCGGTTCTTCTCCATTCTCTTAGGTCTTCCTTACGGCATACGAGACGATCAATTTCCTTTCCCGACCGCACGGGATGACACACCAGCGGGTGCTGTTGCGCAGGCATTCTCATTGCGACTGGGTGTCTTGATGGGAAAGGTGATTGACCACAAGCAGTATCAGACGCCACAGGGGTTCTCGAACATAATTGACATCGAGGACGAGCTGGAACGTCTCGCTTGTGCCCAGTCTCAACAATGGTGGTCATATTCGATACCCGACAACGCGGACACAACAGCGATCAACGACTTCCGCGAGCGCCTTCTTCAACACTCTCTCTTCTTCTTCGTGCGTATGTACGTCCATATGCCGTACATGGTGAGGCAGACGTCGTCACGCATCTACGAAACCAGCAGGCAGTCTGGATTAGATGCATCACGCGACTTCTTGCGCCGATACCATGTTCTGAGTTCCCATTTTGAGGGAGCTCCCCTGTTTGAATGCAAAACTCACGATTTTCTCGGATTCATGTCGGCCCTGCTTCTTCTCGTTGGCAGTAACAATGTATCACGGGATATGCCCTTGATCGACAAGACGATTCAGATTCTGGAAAGACTCGCGATAGTCAAAACCTGCAAAATCTGTATGCAAGCGCACAGAGCGCTTGTTGATGTCCTTGCCGTGTGTACTGGCAAAGGAGAAACTCGGGATTGGATGCATTCAAAGATCGCTATTCCGTACTTCGGTACTCTTCGAGTTGCACCTCTGAATGCAGTACAGATACGACACGACACATATGAAGTAGATGATTCAACTCCGGTGCTGACGGAGGGCATATCGGCTGGTGATTCTCGGGACTTGAACGAGGAACAATCCCTCAACCCAATCGGTCAGAGTCAGGGTGATGTTGATTTTGATTTCGACTTTGATTTCGACTTCAACATTCCAGGTCTTTGGGACAATGTCGACGCGAACATATCGTTCTGCGACTCTTTGCTCGACCTAGACCAGGACTGGGGTTGTTTTTTCGACTAGAATACAGGTGTGAATGAGACTGAATGTTGGGTATCCTTTTTTTGCACATCCTCGAGGGCGATAGACAAAGTATGAGATAGGCCGTGGCTCGAGTAGCTATCTGCCCCGGTAGTAACTGGTGATAGCTACCGAGTACCTGGATTTATCAAGGTACATCGTATCCGTAGATGACGAGGCTCACTAGGTCTCCAAATAAACAACGAAGAAGTCGGGCTCAAGATCTGAAGCAGCCGAAGTTGCACGCACTAACTAAGAGGCTCCCCAAGTTCTAGTTGAGGCAAGCCCCGAGAGTTCCGTCACGCCCCTAATCGGGTCTACCCTTAGGTACCTACTTAGGTACTCCAGGGGCAGACAAGGTGCCTGGTAGGTCCCCAGTACTGCCTGTGCGATACTTAGTGTAGGTGGTGTACCTGATGATAAGGCATTATTATGGAGCGCACCGGACGACGTCACTTTCTCCCTCTTCCGCCCTCCTCCTCGTCCTCCATAATAATCCAGCATCACCACCATCTCCAGAACTCTTGCACAGACCCTGCTTTTCCACTACCGACCCGTCCTCGAGATCAGTTCTGACATCAGTTCCAACCACGCTTATTTCCAAAACCACAACTCTCCACATTGTCTGATCGTTATTATATCCGTACTCTACTCTCACAATGCGGCGCGCAATCCTCCTGGCCAGTCTCTTCTCAACGCTCACCCTCTCCGCCGCCATCTCCCCCTTCGACCACTTATTCCGCGATACGATTGCCCTACACACCCAAGCCGAGGAGGGGCAAGGACAAGGACAAGACCAAGGCTCGTCACGACACCTTCAAGTGCCGATGAATCCAGGTCCACTCCAACCGGACGGCCCTCCGTCCACAGGCGACAGCGGCAGCGGTGGTGGTGGTGGTAGTGGTAGTAACCCGAGCGACTCGACGCTCTCCATTTCCGACATACTTCCTCAGACGCGCAAAATCAACATCTTCGCCTCTCTCACCCGCGACATCTCCTCGGTGACGGGACGCCTGGAGTCGACGAAACCCACGGACAACACGACCCTCCTCGCGCCGCTCAACAGCGCAATGCAGGCCCTCCCGCGGAAGCCGTGGGAAGACAGACCGGGCGACGACTCCGTGGTCAGCGCCGCCAGGAACGAGGACAAGGCCGCGCGGAATCTGGCGCGCTTCGTCGAGGAGCATGTCGTGCCGACGAGTCCGTGGGAGGAGGGCGAGGGGCACAAGATCAAGACCCTCGGCGGGCAAGAACTGTGGTGGGAGCACCAAGACGGGAAAAAGGTCATCATGCCGGGACGTCTCGAGGTGGATGGTGTCGTCGGACGCGTGGGCAATGGCGAGATATGGGCCGTCAAGGGCGTTGTCAATTATGCCTAGACCCAGAAACCGACAGACGGCACAAAAATGATTAAGACAGGAAAAGTGTAACGGAGGTACCCCTTGACAAGGACACGGAGAAGAACAAGAACGTGATAAGACGAGACGAGACGAGTTGTGACGATTTGAAAAGAAATCAGAATCAGAATCAGATTCAGAATCAGATGGCCTGGCCACACACCAGGCGGAAATCAAACAGAAGGCTTATGATGGATGACCACGAGGTTAATGAATGAGAAACCATGTTTTGTATGCTTCAAGATATTTGTATGTACATGTTAGAAAATCTACTTTTGTTACTACTTTTCGACAGGTGGAACAGTATCTAATATCCCCTCTCTTCACCTGTTCTTCTTTTGCGGCGTCGCTGATCGCCGCTCTCGGGACGGGGATGGTGGCGACGGCGACGACGATGCACGGGTCTCCGCGGATTCTTGTGTCTCGGCGAAGTAAGCGTCGATCAGACCACTCTCACATATCAACTTCCAAAAACACCAGAGATAACATATTCCAAACGCTACTGCACCAATGCAAGAGTTGACCACCACCCATAAATCGGGCTTGTCCTCTGGCGGAGAAGCAAAAGCCGCGAGGAGATGCCAGAACGCCATGACAATGTACGTTTGGAAATGCAGGATTTTGGTCGGCGCGCGCAGTTCATCCGGCGCAAGAGGCCGACCGGGCACGTTTGGTCGGTCTGGGTCGTGATATGCGTTGACGCTGGTCGGCGGGAGTCCCAGCAAGTAGGCCCAAAGAAGGGTGACGACGACGTACGGCGTGCGCAGGCCGTCTCTCTTGAGCAACGGGTACATGGTCCACATGCCCAGCATGTTGGCCCAGCCGATCCATGCTCGGTATTCCTTGCTCAGCCCCTGCTTCCCACCGAGTAAGAGCGTCATCGGGAGTAGAGGAAGCAGGACCGACTTCTCGTGCACCTGGAACGAGAACAAGAAGAACCCCCACGCTGAAGCTGCAAGCGCGTACGGGAGCAGTGACTTTTTCGGAATGGCGCCGATGACGAGCATGGGACCGAGGATCGATGCGAGTGTCGCGACGGCCGAGAGTCGAGACAGTTCGACGACACCCTCGAGCTTGCGGAGTTTATAGAAGGTGTTGGCGAAGCACCAGAAATTGGCAACTTTGTCTTCAAAGAGACCCCGGGCAAATGGAAACATTCGATGTACAACTTGGCCAAGTTGAAGAAGGATCATCTCTAAGGGGGTGTTGGGGTCTGTTGGGACTTTGTGGTCGGCTAGCAGCGGTGGTGCGGGTAATGATCCAGACGGAATGGTGGTGTAGTAGCTGTCGTAAAGTGATCCCAGTAACAGAGGTGCGAAGAGGACCGCAAAAGCGAGAATTGTAATCAGCGCGATCAAGACAAGCCGACCTGGTCGAATCGAGGGCGTGAAACACGATCCGAGGAGGTAAGCAAAAATGACCGGAGAATAGTATAGTGCCATCTGCTTGAATCCTAAAGCCGCGACGAAGAAGATGCAGGCCCACAAAGGCCTGCTGGCGTAGATGCTGGACAGAGATGCCACTACGAAGCCGAGCATGACTGTATTATACTGGAAGTGGCCGTGGTCGATCAGGATCGTGGCTGGCTGCATGAGGATGGCAACAAGGGCGATTGACGATGCCGTTGTTCCGACTCCTTGAGCCCGACTGAAGCGACGAATAAATATGATCAATGCCGGAACATAGATGAGATATTCGGACGCGATGACGGTTGCGCGCATGAAGACCTTTAGATCCTGAGATTCAATTCCACGAGACGCATCGAGGGCAAACCACTCGCGATTGAACAGCGAGCCGCTGTTTTCGTTAGCCCGTCATCGCGCAGCACAAGCTCCTTCGTAGACACTTACATCTTGCCGCATAACCAGCTATGATATGCTGTCAAGGGCGGATAGTCCAGCCCCCAGTATTGCAGGTCGTAAAAGTACCACTGTGAAACTGGTAGATGAGTCGTGATTTCCATCCAGTGTCGCTGAGCTTCAAAATCTCCATGCATGGGAGGCTGTTGGTAGCCCGAGTGACCCCATAGGCCGACACTCCATCTGAATAGCCCAACAATCATGAGAATCAATGGTAGGAGGATCCATTGAGACGTCGTGCCCCGAGCTGGCCATAGAAAAGCCACGAGAGGAAACTCAGGAGCAACGACATTGTCTTCGGCAGTGAACCTGACAATGTCTGTGATTGTTGCACTCCGAGTCAAAGGGGGTTGCTTCCTCTTCTTGCGAGGTCTGTGGGCGTTGGCAGGACTCGACATTGTGTTCTGTGATGCCTGGAACTGTCAGAGTAGAGCTCCAAGATGCTGTACTGTAAGGGTTGGTTTAGGCCAGGGTGTGAATGGCAGGCTCATACAATCCTCCGTAGTGGCGCATGGCTGGTGTTATAGTCCGCCCTAAAACGAATCAGGGTCTCACTAGGGGCGGATTTTCCCAGCCACGAAACTTGACTTAACGCAGCCGATAAGAGGCTCCAGTGACGCTAAGATAACGTGAAATTTTCGCAAAATTCTGGCTGCCCATAAAAACAGACTCTTCTCCGCCATTTCTCACCAGAAATTTTTTGCGTCCTCTTCACTACCTTTGTTCCATCTCAGTATTCCATAGTAAACATCTGTTCGAGGGCATCATCTTGAGGTCTATCGAGGGCTCTGTGGGATTTGATACCGAGGGCATTTACATATTTGGTGCAGGTCTTGCTTGTCTATTCCTGCTGACCGCGTTCCGTCCGACTGTTCATCTCGAGGGCTTGCGTGCTTAGTTCTGCCAGTCATTTGCCAACGCATTTGACTCTTGAGGTCGAGGGCTCTGATTCACTTTGTGGGTTGAGGGTTTTATCACACAAGTACAATTTTCGCCGCACTGCAAAGAGGTTCTGAGGGACGAACTCACTACCGAGGGTTTCAGGTTTGCCAAAATGTCTTTTTTACATCAAGTACTGTGCTGACCTAAAGAAGTTTCATCATCATCATCATGTCCAAGTCAACCAAGTCCAAGTCAGCTCCCGCTGCAAAGGAATCCAAGTCCGATGTCTTGAGCAAGGTCAAGGGTGCCGCCGTCACCAAGCCTGCTCAAACCGGCAAGAGCAAGAGCAAGGAGATCGCTAAAAAGGTCGCAGCCAAGGAGGAGAAGCGAAGCAAGAAGGTTCCAGTCAAGGAGCCAACACCCGAGTCCAGCTCCGAAGAGGAGGAGGAGGACAGCAGCGAGTCGGAGGAATCCGATTCCGAAGAAAGCGAGTCCGAAGTCGAGACCAAGCCGACCAAGAAGGCCAACGGTGTCAAGGTCGCCCCTAAGGACGCTTCCAGCGACGAAGAGTCCAGCGAAGAGTCTGATTCCGAGGAGTCTGCTTCTGACGAGTCCGAGTCCGAAGCCGAGGCTCCCAAAACCAATGGCGCTGCCAAAGCCGCCGTGAAGGCTGCTGAGTCCTCTGATGATAGTGACGAGTCTTCCGAGGAAGAAGCTGCTCCTAAGACAAACGGTACCAAGCCTGCTGAGGCCGAATCCGAGGACAGCGATGAGGATAGTGAGGAGGACAGTGACGAGTCTTCCGAAGATGAGAGCGATGAAGAAGAGGAAGTTGAGAAGAAGCCTGCGAAGCGCAAGGCCGAGGACACCGACTCGCCTGTCGCCAAAAAGACCAAGGTTGAGACCACTGACGCCGACACCTCCAAGGGTTCCAATCTGTTCGTCGGTAACCTTTCCTGGAACGTCGACGAGGAATGGCTCCGCTCCGAGTTTGAGTCCTTCGGCGAGCTCAGCGGTGTTCGTATAATGACCGACCGCCAAACCGGCCGATCCAAAGGGTGAGACACACTTGTACTTTATCTCTTATGTGCGCAGGCTAACATTCTATACGTAGATTTGGCTATGTTGAATTCGTCAATGCCGCCGATGCCGCCAAGGCTCAGGGTGAGAAGCATGGTGCTGATCTTGATGGCCGTGCCTTGAACGTGGACTTTGCCAACGCTCGTCCCGACAATGGCCAGAAGCAAGACAACCGACGCAAGTCCTATGGGGACCAAGTCAGTGAGCCTTCGGACACTCTCTTCCTCGGCAACCTCTCGTTCGACTGTACTCAGGAGGATGTCACCGACGCTTTCGCTCCCCACGGCACCGTCCTAGGCATCCGTCTCCCCACTGATCGTGAGACCGGTGCTCCCAAGGGTTTTGGCTACGTCACCTTTGCTTCGGTCGAAGAAGCTCAAGCTGCTCTCGAGGCCATGCAGGGTGGCTACATCAAGAGCCGACCTGTCCGTCTCGACTACAGCCAACCTCGTCAACAGAATGACTCTCCTGCTCGTGGCGGATTCGGTGGCCGTGGTGGTGGCCGTGGCGGTTTCGGAGGACGTGGAGGCCGCGGTGGTGGTCGTGGTGACTTTGGCGGTCGTGGCGGTCGTGGCGGACGAGGTGGTGCTCGCGGTGGCCGTGGAGGCAGCTACAACCGTGGCGGCTTCGGAGACTTCTCTGGCACCAAGGTCACCTTCTAAGTTGATCGCATTAGATCAAGTGATGTTGTATCGACTATCGACGATGATGGTGTGCAGGATACCCATTGGCACTACTCGCATGATTGACCGGATTCCGCATCGAATCTGATCGTCTGCTATTTTTTCGGCTGGGATTGGGGAGTTCCAAGGTAATGTGCATTTGAAAAATAAAAAGTTAGTCTGTTTTTGTGTTTCCATATGCAATACACTTGATGTCGCTCTTTACTGTTGTTCCATGGCCTCCGTACGTGATCAGCCGTAGAGCTTTGTTTTCAGGGTGCCAGGTCAGGTTCTCATGGTACGTTTCACAGACACAACATATGATAGAGTATCAGTGTATCATGACGCTGTCTGGCCGGAAGAACAACCACCAACTAGTTGGACCCATCAGCAGCGATTTCGGGCTTATTGCTAGGCACTCAGGGTACTGTATCCGGACCACGAGTACTTGACGACTGAAAGTATGAGCGAGGGCGGAGAAGTCGTACTCGTACCCACGACTACTCCTCACCGTCACCGCCTCAGGCAGACGAACGGATGACTGATGACATGATACGGTGTACGAGTCTCCTTAGCTAAGGGCCTGACGATTAGTACCTGTTCTCTTAGCCGTAGCGAGTAACGGACTGGTCAGTGGTGAGTACATCTGACTGCGTCCAACCACAACATGCCGCGTGATGCACCATCTGATCATCGAGGCCGTGGCATCTGATGCAATTGGCAGCGTCGCCCAGAGTCTGTGCTCAATCAGCTGCCGAATGGCGACATTGGGAGGCAGAGAGAGGGGGAGGAGACAGTATGGGCATGATCAGCATTCCTCCGTCGTCGTCCTCCTCCTCCATCCCCTGTTCTGCATGCGTCGCCCGCTACGGATAGCGTGGGCTGTGGCTTTTATTAGTCTAGACGCTCGTACTCGTACTATTCTGTGTGCTTCAGGCATCACGATCAAAGTTGGCTTTCCGCACGGGCTCATCCCTTGCTTGCGGTGACCTTGACCAGGACTGCAACATTGTTGTACAACTTGTCCCCTTCTCATCTCTAGATCTGCCTACGAAACCCAACCATCGACGTGGCCAGCGAGAGAGAAACCATCATCTACTCTGCCTGATTGTCTACCTGAGTTGGTACTGGTACCCGTGGCACATGCGCAGCCAAACTACACTACCAGGCCCGCCATCAACCCCCACCACTTGACAGCGTCAGTCGGTGAGACCAAGCCACTTCCATCCTCGCGATCCTCGCTATCTTCTCAACAAAGTCCTGGGCACGTCCGACCTCGGTGGTCTCCTTAATCCCATATTCTCGCAGTCTGAGCACGATTGCGATCCAGGGTTAGGTTACTACTCGCACTCTCGAGTTCAGCCTATCTTCCCCTCGGCGCCGCACTCGAACACACTGCCCAGCACGTCTGAACATACAACAAGAGGCTCATCAGCAAACACGACACGATGCGGCCAGTCGAGAACGAACTCTTCGGGCTGCCGAAAGAAGAGCGCGAGAATCGCCCTCCTACAGGCACCGACAACAATCCTTCCATGCCATCGTCACGTATCCGCGGCATGCACTCAGAAGGTCACCGGCGTCTACCTTCGGGACTAGCATCAAGCGCTGACATCTCACCAGATTCCTGGATCGAAATCCCATCTCGTCCGTCCTCCTCGTCCTTGTCGTCCGCAAGTAACGATATAATCACCACCGGTCTCCAGATCCGACCGTTGGATGAACGGCTGTCTCGCCAACGTCATACTTCCTCTCACCTCGCAGTCCTCCAGCCACGAGCGACCAGCACTGCCGGAAGCAGCCAGGATGAATACGAAGAGAGTGAGAGTGATAGTGATCGGGTTCTGAGTAGTTCCAACGAGGATATCTCTCAAGACGAGGCTGCCGATGACGACGATACCTCGACGGCACTGGGCGTAGGAACCATGGACAAGGTATTCACGCCGCAGCCAAACGCTTTCAGCCACCCGCCTTCATCCCAGCAGCGAACAATCCCGGACTCGTACTTCCCTCCAGCGCCGGCGTCCGCAGAAGACCGCCCGTCGAATCAACGGACCATTACTCAGCGGAGTTACCAACGACAAACCCAGTCGCGTCAGCGGACTTACACCTCTTCGTACCAACCAGACCACGACGCCGCCCTGAGAGCATCCTTGACCACCCTGCTATCCTGCGCTGCTGCAGTGCGACCCAAAGGCCTCGAACCCCGACCAGGAGCCGCAAGTGCTGCAGCACCTGTCTCGCGGCCCTCTGCCCAACCCACGTCCTTGCGACTGGTTGCCGAATGCGAGATCGATAGCCCCTCGAGACCTCGACCAAAGAGGACTTCGTCACCCAAACAAACGAAGCGAAAGTCCCGAGAGTCCAGCAAGGAGCGTCACTCCAAAAAGGTGCGACCTGCCAAAGCTGGCGTTTCCGGCGAGGAAATCATCAGCCCGACTCTGGCTTCGTGGATGATATCGGCTGGTGTCGTCCTCGTCTTTTCGGCAATCAGCTTCAGCGCCGGCTACGCGTGGGGTCGCGAAGTCGGTCGAATCGAAGGCGAAATGGCCTTGACAGGCGGAAACTGCAGCCGGGAAGCCATGCGCGGCACCGGGTCTGGTTTGAGACGACTCAGGTGGACGTCGGCTGCGGCTAGCAGTATCAGCGCTTGAGGAACGTTGACTTTTACAAGCGCAGTACCATGATGCTATCCGCCCTTCTGTCGCTCTCTCTCGCTCTCTCTTTTCCTTTTTTTGGGATTACTCTTCTTAACCAGGCGTTACACTGAGAGTGAGTATTCTGAGACCCGTGTGATATGGTACCGGGAAAGAAAGATAGAGACGAGCATTATCTTCATGAATGAATGGATGCATGAATGGCACTTGGGGAGAAGGAGGGAGCGGAGGGAGGGAAGGGTCAGCAACGATTGATTTAACGGAGGACGATAACGAATACGAAACATGGATATGATTGATACCCCCTTGGCCCAGGCAGGTATGCTGTGGCATTGCGGCGCTGCAGAGGAGAGTGCCACTTTTTTCTTTTTGCTCTTTTTGTCCGTCCTTTTTCTTTTCTACAGCAACCAGCAAACAGCTACCGGCTACCAGTTTTGATGCGATATGGTATACGGTATATGGCAAGGTAATCGGAAACAAATCCATACACGAAACACAATGAAACACATGAACCTGGACACAAGATCATTTTTTTCGGGGTGTGGGCATGGTCATGGGCATGAGGCATGAGGCACAGGGGCAGGAGAACTGGTCACGACATGCTTGTTAGGAGTTTGTTATTGTTGGGTTTTGGCCTTTTCTATTGTCGCGGCAAACGGACAACAGAGGTCCGAAGTATACTGATTATAGTTAGATAAGGTAGATGCCCTAGCCAGCCAGCCATCTAGGTAGGTAGGTAGGTAGCTAGATAGATGGCAATACACCTGCCTGCCTGCCTGCCTGCCTGCCTGCCTACACTAGCCAAAGTGGTACCTGATTACAGGTCTTTAGACGACGCTGTGTCGAGTAGAGACCGACCAGAACCACCCAAGAATCAGTGACATGTCTGTTCCTACCCGCCTTTAGGTACTTGAGTTCATTGACATACGAGAGTGTGAGAGTGAAAGTGAAAGTGCAAGTGCGAGTTCGAGGTGAGTGGGATTGTGAAACAGCACTTGTATGCCTGGTCTCCGTTATGTATCGGCCAAAAGTTTAGGGAGTTGGTCTTTATTTGTACATGGTCCTTCCTCTCCTCTCTTCTTCTTTCCTCTGCTGTCTCCCTCTTTCTCGGTATTAGGAGGGTGTGCTTCATTTTCGCTCACTCTTCTTGATTTGGTCATTTGCGTCCTACGCACATTGCACCCTTCATACGCCCTTTCTCTAATGATTCCCGTGTTATGATGTCAGCACATGTGTGCACTTGTCGCAGAGACGACATCGACCATATGAGACCCGTTCCGGTGGTAGGGTGTTGTCTCGACCCGAAAGAACGATATGATGACTGATGCAGAGTATGGTAGTAGAAAGAATATACTCTGTCGTCGCAAAAGTGGCAATTACATTGATTTCAAAAAGTTGCTCTCGCGGATACCACGTCTGCGGGCGGCGCGGGCGGATTTCGTGATTTCGTGCCGTCGCTCAAGACTCGTCACTGCATCGTCTCCAGGTCCAGTGATGTCTTTGCTCTGTTCGTGCACAGGGACCGTCTTGGGGATCGACTCGAGAAGACGGGCTTGTTTCTTTTCATAGCGTGCTCGTTGTTTCTTTGTCATTACTATTTCGTGGAAAGAAAAACAACAGTAAGTATTTTGGTTCCCTCTTGTCATGACCATTTGATTCTCATACAACTCGGGACACCATCGAGAAAAAGAAGCGAAGTAAAAGGCGCGGGGGGGAAATGCATGGGTCTTGTTCAACTTACCTGATAAATCGACTGTTTCACCTGGAGCCATCTTCTTGTCGTCCAGCAACGTCCATAACCAGTCTGGGTACTCGTCGTCTTCTAGTGCTATGATCTTGGGCTGCGCCTTGGTGTACCCGAGACCCTTGAGCTCCGCGCCACCCGGTACAGAACTCTTGGGTCTCGAGGGTTGCTGTTTCTTGGATGTAGCGCTTTTCGTCGAGGATGGTCCTGTGCCCGACTTTGCGCTCGATGTAGAAGGTGTGTGTGGTTCGGACAGCGGTTGGGATTTACCAGCTGTGTTGGACGATTGGGTTGGGTTGCCGACACCGTCTATTGAGATTGACGCCGGCGCTTGAGGAGGTGCTGCATTCCGTGTGGAAGGGACCGTTGCCACGGATCGTATCGAGAGTGGTGTATTGTACAGTGGTTGTTGTGGTTGTATGTGGACGGAGCGCAGGCGGTTGAGAAAGCTGCGCCGGCAAGACGAGCAGATCATGCTGGGCGATCTGGAGGCGTAGAACGGGTAAAGAGAGTTGATTTGGCTGTAGAAGAGGTGACAATGGCAGCAAAAACCGTGAAATAGCTGCTGTTCAGGCGACGACGAGCATTTGCACTCGAAGCTTGCGACTTGGGAAAAGTCCCAATGGAGAAACGTTTGTCGCGGCCTTGGCAAGTTTGATGCGTAAGCGCAACTCACCGCGATGGGGCCGCTTCTATAACGACTCACCCTCCCTTCTCACCTTGAGAAGAACACAGTTACGGTTGATGGGCTAGGTGTTCAGACAGAACGCAACCACAGTAACAACAGCGATAGCGAGGTCTACCCAAGGCGCACACGCAGTCGCATGGTCAGTTTACCCCTTTTAAGTGCTATACTATATCAGGCAAAACAACTCATTGGGCATTGGGAGAACTGAACCTAACGTGGCTGAGTTCGCCAAATAGATAACCACCAGAACCCTGCTGCCTCCAATGCCTTTGCGATCCTCAATGCCAGCACACCACGCTTTGCGGCTCATCACACATCGAACGCCTCTTCCAACGTAGCACAATATGCAGCCGGGTTTCCATTACTGCTAGGTAGGTAGTTGTAGCCTTCCTAAAAGCCAGCTCGCCTTGTTCTGATCACCCATCTTAACATTCTCTCTTGCTGATTTTCATCAAATGGCGTCAACACAGCATGACTGTAAATACGAAGTTGTGTCGCCACAGGGCAAAACTACAGGATCATCTAAGGATTCCGAAGGCCATAAAGCACCCCCCAAAAAACGCTTCTGGGTCCGCTCCATCAGTTGTGTCCTTTGCCCTCCTATCTTCACAGCATACTTCATCTGGACATATATCGAGTTTCTTCGCCCCGAGAGTCTTCGCCGCAGCTCAACTTCGCCAACCTACAACGGGACATATGTCTGGTGGTCGTGGTTTGTCATCGGCGCCCTTGGGCTAAATGTCTCCACCTACATTCTCGCCGGGGTCGAAGCAGGTATGCTGATAACGCGAAGGCCGGGAGTTTTAACTACCCACCAGGTGGCTATGCACAAGGATAAATCCTGGAGCAAGATCAGCGATTGGATCAAGGTTCTACGAGCGATTTTAACCAAGACTAATGGAAACGATAAGGCTTTCTCGTGGATATGGCTTCCGTTATTTATCCTGAGCTTCTTGTCCTGGGCTTTCGTCCTCACCGGTCTTACAATGGGGACCCAGGACTCGTTCAAGCCAGGGAAAACACCAGGAGTACAAGTTCTAGGGCCTAATGTAACCAATTTCAATCGTCGCGCTGGTTTCGACGTCCTCGATGCGGCAAATCAAAACTGGGGTCAAACACAAGAAGCAAAGATCCCCTGGGTCGGCGCTTTATATTTCACCCCTGACTTCGCAAAAAACATCAACATGACCACCGGAAACACATTGCCGTCTGGCACTGAGCACCCAATATTCCTCGCGCCACAGGCTGAACACCCTGTCACTGGCGAGGCGTGGGGTATCCTGCTCAAGTACCAATGTACACCGATCACTGAGTTGTCTGACTTCAGACTGCTCAATCACCGCATCAACTCCTCCAACCCAGGGTATATCTATGGTGTCGAACGTAAGGAGGATGCAAAGTTCAGTCTTTGTCTTGAGTCCGACGTGCCGCCTCATATTTACTATGTTAATCCTACCGCTAACGGCACAATATCTCTCTTATCCCCCCAGGCGGATACAGAAAGCAGTAACATTTTCATGTTCGCAGAAGTCGCCCTTCCTGAATCCGTCTATGGCCTTACCGATAGCACGCGCGACTATAGTACCAACGGCATATACAGTATTGACGATGAGATCGTCTTAGAGATGGCACTCTGGCAATACGTACCTGTCAATGGTCTACCAGATGGAGAACCCGCGTGGCAACAAGGCACGATCCGCGATTTGAAGGGCGAACACGTTTTTAGATGGCCTTCAATGAACCAAACTACTCCGGTCACTGACTTCCCATTGCACGCAATCGGGGTCCAGTGCACGTCATCCTCAGAGACTGGCAGAGCGCGTCTCGATGGGATCTCCGGCACCTTCCACGATTTTCGTCGCGAGAACGCCTACCTTGACGAAAACAACGTTGCCTTTATCGGCCTGCCTCGCTTTAGTCTAGCCGTCCCCGCCATGTTCCTACCGGGGATCCGCGGCGATTCCGCATTCGGCTCTACGAGCGGGTCAGGCGGCATATACCCAAAGCTGAATGAAACATGGCTCCCAGATCCAAATCCATATTATAACGTTGAGCTCACGGATACGGTATATTGGATGCAAAACCGCACATCACCAGACTGGATGAGGCCACTCATACAATCAGCCGGTCTGCCGAGTAATATGACGGGCAAAGATGAGTCAGATTACATCCAGTATGACCGGCCCATCACACCTTCTGAACTCCAGCATGCGATGGAAGAAGCCCATAAGCTCGTTGCTGTTTCCCTCATGTACGATCAGCACCTGGCGCCGGGGAAAGCGTGGGCCCATCCTGACTTGGTGGCTACCGAACCTTGGACACAACTGGTAGCCGCAGAAAACAGTGTGCCGCCATTGCTAGTTTTGGTGATGTTGGTGATGTGGGCAGTAGGCTGCGTGGTGCTGGGGCTCATGTATGGCTTTAAAAAGAGGTGGGATGCGTATTTCAGTGTGAGGAGTCTGTATTGGTATTGTATCATGATAGCCAACCTGGATCCGGCCGAAGTGATGCGGAGTTGAATATTCTATGCTGGCTGGGTACGTCTTAGGTTTGTCGGGAGAGGTATATATAGTCGCATCAGGATCCGGTGCCTCAAATCGGCTCCAGGAATCTGAGAGCACCACTATGCACAGGGGCCGTTCATCTCGGCAAGTTTGATGCGTAGTAGAGGCTGCGGTCCCTTTTACCTTTACCCCTGCTCTCTACAAATCTGACTGAAAATGTAAATCCACGGCCAGACACGCCGCAAAGAACATGTGCTACTGAATCGAGATGCTCCTCTGATGCCATGTCTTCGTACTCTTGATGTATCAAGAAGGATCTACTACTGTAACTCTAACAACCATCAAAAACCATACGCTGTCATTTGTCCCCCAGTGGCTCCTGTCGTCTTCTTCGTCTTGGGGGTTCTTTCTACCCTGTACGCTGTCTATCGAGAGTGTACGACGCTGTCCCTGGTTCTACGCCAGATACATGACGTCCTTTTGTATCGACGATGATAATACGGCTGACCTCGGCCCTTGGTTTACTCCCGATTGCCAGACTGGCCGGCCGCCGTGGCCACGTATCACTGGGCCAGGAGCTTCAGCGCCGAACAAGCTTCGAGCACCTCGTTAGACCCTTCTGGCAGCCAGCCGGCCGGCCAGCCAGTCAGTCCTTAGGATGGCGTCACTTCTGACAAATCGTTGACGTAGTGTCTCGCAAAAAGGTCGTTTTGAAGCCACCAGTATTTGTTCAGGGCTTTCAAGATGTCGACCTTGGTCTTGACGTCGAGGGCCTCGACGCCCATGACAATGTCGGTGACGGCATTCTCGACCCACCCCAGCAGTAGGTTTATGTCGCGATACTCGACGAACAGAGGGGGTTTGTTCTTCCTGTGCTTCAGCCCGGAATCCATCGAGCCCGTGTGCGCCTTGCCGACTTTGTCGATGTAGTCCCAGAACTTGCTCCCGGGCGTCCAGTCGTGGTTGGACACCAATCTGACCAGGTATCCCTTGAGGAAATCCTTTCTGAATTTGATGTTTGCGTGGTCGATGTTGAGCTCGCGTACGTCGACCGATGCGCCGTCGGCGGACTGTGCGGGCGCGAACGTGGCGGCGGTGATGTCGTACTTGAGCAGATGTTCGTAGACGGCATCGACGATGCCGTTCAGCAACGGCGCCAGAACCGGTTTGCACGCTTCGATGAGAGGTCCGTCCTTCTCCGGATCCCACTGGAGGAACGACTGCAGGTATGCCATGCGGGCCGGGAGGTCGTGGGTGATGAGTGCCCCGTCGATGTGCTGCATGGTTGCCGTGCTGTCGAGCCTTGTCTTGTTGTAGAGGACCAAGATAGCGAATCCTTTCTTTTTGGGAAGAGCGGGGAAGTCGTACTTCTTTTGTATATAGTCTGCTTCGAAGAAAACAGACCGGACGGTGAGTTGGGGAGGATGAACACTTTTATATATGACTTGCTCCGATTCACTCACGCTCTGTCTCTGCGGCAGCCGGCGGACAAAGACTGCCCACGAGGGCTTCCGGTGGATCAACTTCACTCGAAGGGCTGCCAAATCTCTCTTGCAGCACATAATCGAGGCGAATGCCCAAATACGATATGGGTAATACGGCGAAGGTGATAGGCCGGTCGTCTGGCTGGAAAAGTCGCCGACAACAGTGTTTCTCCGCGGGACACACGTTCACCGTACTGTGAACGCAGAGAAGTTCGACACCATCGTTGCCGTTGTTCAACACAGCCTGCGCCGCTGAAGCTCGTGGCCTGACTGTGTCGAGCAGGGTGGAAATTGCGTGAGACCGTGGAAAAACTGGTTGACAAACGTCCCAGGGTCTGTGGTGAGGAGTTCCACCAGCCAAAGCCCACCCGAAGGGCGGCGGCAGTTGTCAAGCCGTCAGCAGCACGATGACATCGACGCCCCGTGTCTGTCCGGTCGTCAGTGGACGTCGCTATGTCTTTGTTTCACGCGTGTCTTGCCGCATGAGGTTTCTATACTTTATCCCGTCAGACTAGGATTCCAAGGAACCCTGCAGAGAACTTGGAAAGACTCCCTTGAGTACAGTGTAGCATCTTGTAGCTGATTCATGATAGCTACATCCGTCCATGTTCATGTTAATCATATGTATATGGGTATCTTATCTCATACGATGCTCGTTCTCCCGACTCCAAAAGACGTTTCAAACGATCTTTGAGTGCTCCTGATTCCCAATTCCCCATCCCCGACTCCTCGTTCTTGATTTCCCGGTTCCTGATTCCATGTCCCATGTCTCAAACACGGGGATAGAAGCCGACAAGTGAAAATAAGTCATAAAGCCCGTAGGAAGGAAAAGGTATCATGATTCCCCAGAGAAGCCAACGTCATCATGAGCCAGCTAGAAGAGATAATAAGCAAAACTGAGACTGTTATCCAGGTCTGCTTGCGTATAGTGTGTTGGCCTTTGATAGTTTGGTTTTGGTCTTGGTTTCGGTTTCGACTTCGACTTCGACTTCACTTTGTTCTTTGGATTGGACCTGTTCGGTGTTCACATCGTCAGCCATGACACTAACTAGACTCTCTTCCCTGCAATCTGGAATGCGGAATATACAGCAAAACCAAAAGAAAACGGAAGAAGACTAACCCTGGCTCTCTATCCTTTTGAATCTGGCGATACCAAGCCTTGGCCCTCCTGAGGTTACACCGCGGACACAATATCCCGTCAAGCTTTGTCGACTGATATGGTTGTTGTTGGTGCACCACTGATGTCGTAGACGATGTGGCCTCGCTCTGTCTCCTCGAGTATGCGGGCTTGTTTGCGCCGTTGTCCAGCAGAACGTAGGGGGGGAGTTCCTCGTCGTCAGAGTTGTGTCTCGTCTCACCTTCGAGCGATTCTTCTGTATATGACCACGAAAATTGGTTGTCGAGAAATTCTTCTCTCTGCTCGCTTGACGGTGTCGAGCGTAGGGAGTCATATGGGGGGCATTCCTCTTGGATGGAAGGCAAGCGAGACGTCCTCGACGTGCTCGCTCGCAACGGCGCTGGTCGCTTGAAGGGCGATGAGGCAATGACGGGGTGGTTCGTGCCTTGTGCATTGTTTGAGCAGAACGGCTTCACCGTTGTCATCATGGCTGCTGATGTGCAGGTCGAAGAGCCGCAGCGTGAGAGGAGAAGCACCAGTGGAATGCCACGTAGGATGCTGCGGAGTCGGACAGCTTGTTGCGGTTCTTGTCGTCAACTTTCGGCGACGAGTGACAGAATGAAAGCCTTGAACTGCGTTATATCATCTGTGGCGGGTCCGGGGAATATATCGACGCCCTCAAGAGACACTGGTGCCTCTGCCAGGTCAAGGTGCGTGCTCGTCCTGTGTTCAAAACGCCACAAAGGGGTGTGTGTTGTAAACTGAGGTGGCCGCCTTAAATGCTTCGTAGATGCATGTAGATGACCAGCTACGCTCAGTCGACCAACTGGTGAGCAGCTCAGCTCCCCACAGGCTGGGACATGTGTGAACCATATCTAGAAAGAGTTCTCCTCGTCCCAAAACTGAATAAGATAGACGGCACACACATACGCGAACACGAGATGAAGCTGACCGGAAATTTAACACGTCAACCTATCACCGGGGCCACGGTGGCATAGGTCGAGGCCGTCTGACCTTTGCCTACCTGAACTCTCAGGCGGCGCGTCCATGTGCTGAGTGAGAGGGAAGATCGAATACGGGTCAGCTTACCCGAGTAGTCGGACCCTGCACCTGTCTAGACTGTTTTCAACATCTGGTGGGTATTCCGGCATCTGGCCAGCCATCTCACCTTGTCGACGTCTTGGATGGTGCAAGATTGTCCAAAGAGCGAACAAATATTCTCCGACTTCACTTCGGGAGTCCCTGTGATCCTGTGGTGTGGTAAGGCCCCATGGGAGACCTCAATTGCCAACACACATCGAACAGTTTCCGCGTTTGTTGTGCTTCAGCCGGACTCAACTCTTTGCCCAATTGTAATTTGACTTGGTCGATGGTGACGATGGAACGTGCCCGCCGAAAGCTAAGTCAATGTAATGGCCGATGACATGAAAAGGCGTGTCCAGAGTCGTACCCCATTTCAGCCCCGTCATGACCGGGGGATGTCGTGGCGTCTGTTCAGCCCTGTGTTACAGCCGGGGGCGCAGTCTAACTACGGGAGTAATCAGTAGCGGTCAGCCGCGGAGTCCTCAATTGTGTACAAGATGCGAGGCGACAGCAAGCCACACGGCGGAACCGAGATTCCTGATGGCATAGGGTGCAGTGATTCGCATTTTGTCCACCGTCAACCGTCTTCATGCAAGTCGAGGTGGGAGCATGGTACATTGCTTCGAGATCCTCACTTGAATGCTTCCAAAGCTATCTCTCAATGACATCATAACGCTGTATATTTAACTACTATTCGCTTCTACATCTTCATATCTCGACAAGGTACTCTTTCCACATTGCAAAGTGTCGACACACAAAGGGCTATGTAGACTCCCGACAAATATACGCCATTGACAGCTGTCTCAATGCCGCTTACAAAGAAGCAAATGTGAAACTGCCTTGCTCAACCTAGAAAGGACAAGACATCTGCATTCGAGCCCTGAACTCCCTGCTAACATCGGTAACAACGCTTCTTAAAATCTATCCCATGGTCGCTCGAAAGGTCAAGATTCTCAGGAATCATCCTTAGGCTCCGTGGGAGACGTAGCTTCCTCCCTTAACATTTGGCATAGTCAACACCATTGGATCCTGAAACAATCGTATTCAGCCATGACCACAGCACCTGAGGACTAAGCTAGGACGTAGAGACGTCGCGTAACCACCAGAAAAGCGTATAAAAGCATCATGTTGCCCTCGGAAGTCATGCTTAGAAACCGAACGGATTATCAGCCGCTATATCTGTGTCAGTATTTTATGCTCCCATAACATGTGAGAGGGTTGAACTTACTAGCATTGGCAAGATTCGCACGCCGTCCAGTAGGCTGGGGAGTCAACTTCTTTGTTGGGGACATTCCAAATTTGATATCAGGAGCTGGCCCTGTTTTCTGTGGTTGTAGAGGCGCCGCTGCAGGGAACTGAGGCATCGGGGGCACAGGCGGAGGTGAGAATCTCTGAAACCCATTCTGCTGAGGTAGTTGCCCAGAGCCAGTTGCTTGAGGTGCAATTCCCTGTTGAAACCCTGTAGGCTGGGTTTGTATAGGTTGAGGCTGCTGTGGATATCCCGTTGGTTGCGGTGCAATTCCCTGTTGGAACGCTGGAGGCTGGGCTTGTAGAGGTTGCTGCGGATATCCCGTTGGTTGCGGCGGTATAGCTTGGCCAAACCCGTTCGGCTGCTGTTGTTGGATTGGAGACGCATAACCCGTCCTTTGAGGTTGCAGGGCTGGAGGGAGCACTGTGTTGATACCACCTGACGCGGCATTCGGTTGGAAAGGCATCCCGGTCGGCTGTGGTTGGAATGACGTGCGAGGGTCTGCAAATGGACTACCAGCAGCATTGCCATTAAGATAGGGTTGCTGGAACTGTCCGAACTGGGAAGGCTGTTGGAAACCAGTAGGCTGTGGACCAAGACCGAATTGACCGAACCCAGTAGGTTGTGATTGCAATTGCATCTGCTGATATTGTTGCTGCAATCTTTGTTGTGTTAGATCGTTCAGACTCTGGCCTGGAGGCGCTTGGAGTGCCGAAGTATTAGGGATGCCGGTGAGTTGAGGTTGTAGAGGCTGAAGACCAAATTGATTGTGCTGAGGGTTTTGGGGTGCAGATGTTGGTCGCGGTGGCGGTGGTAATAGACCTGCTCCTGAAAAGCTTTGCTGTGGTGCTGTCGGCCTCTGCCTAGGTGGGTTGAACTGCTGTGGTTGTATCCCTGTTTGTTGCGGCTGGAGGCCAGAGAAAAACTGTGGAGTTGCTCCTGTCTGCTGAGGCTGCTGGACAGGAGGAGCCTGGATAACTGGAGGTTGCGGTGGTGCAGGCGGAGGTGCTGGTGCTGGCTGACTGACCGCAGGTGCAGGTGGTTGGGCGGGAGTCGGTACAAGGGGTGCGTCTAGCAAAGACAAATCCTGCAAGGCGCCCGTAGGCGGTTTGGGAGCTGTTGGCGCCGCAGAAGCTGGCTTCGCTGCAGGCGTCTGCGCGGGTTGCTTGACAGTCCATGCGTCATCATCGAATCCACCTTCTGGTTTCCTCGGAGGCGCTTCGGTCAGAGGTGTCGCTTTTGCATCGCTCAGGTTTTCTGCCTCCTTCTTGGCGAAAGCGTCGGCGTCGACCACGTCGCTCGTCTGTCGGTTAGCTTCAGGCCTGCCTCTACGGGTGTTGTTATGCAAGGCTCCGCCAGGACCTGAGAATATTCCTCCTGCTCCAGCTTCGCCATTGGTACCATTCACGCTGGCAGACCGCGCTCGTCCAAATCGCTGGTCCAGGTATTTCATGACCTTGAGCGTGTCCCCTTCTTTGAGACCTAGCGTCCGTAGAGTGTCGGCCGTGATATCTGGTAACACGGTTTCATCCATTGAATCACGAATCATGGCCTGCGAGTATCGTTCACACTGATGTGGCCCAACACCTGCTTTCAGGAAAAAATCAAACCAATCGTACTCGGGTACCTTTGGTTGCTCTACCGAGGCACCACTGCGCGCTTTGGACTGCTCAGATGACTGTTGACTTCTGCGTTTCATCTTGATCAAATCAGCGACTGGAATGTGCTCCTCGATCGATTCGTTCGTTACCTGTTCAACATACTCAAGGTCTTCTGGCGACATCTTGGTTACAGGGACTGCAATCTTGACGCCGTTGACCTTGTGCAGATGGATTTTGCCCTCTGCCACACCTAAGAATTGAGCTTCAACCTTGAACGAGCCGGAGTGGTCCGTCCAGGTCCTGACTTTAGTCGGGTCGGGCTTGGACCGTTTCTTCCGATCATCCTTTTCTCTTCGGTCTCGTCTGGAGGTCTGATCGTCTGCGAGACTACTTCCGCGCTGAGGGAGTGACATTCCCGGCCCCACCTCGCTGCGTGAGCTCAAAAGCTCAGCTTGCTGCCGTGCCCGATCAGCTCTTGCGGCTTCCTTGGCGAGTCTTTCTTCTTCAAGGCGGTTCTGCTCAACTGAACTTAGGCCAGCATTTAACCCACTCCGTGATGGCGGCTCAAGAGAGACAAAACCGGTCACTTCGATATAGCTGCTGGGAACCACGCCCTCCTTACCATTCTTCAATCGCCTAACGTTCCACCACTCCTCAGATTTGGTATCGTCTAAAATGATGACCTCATCTCCGACACCAACCGTAACTTCATCGTCCCCCTGGGCCATGAAGTCGTAAAGCACCTGTCCCTTCTTGTGGCTTCCACCACTAGAAGCTGCCTCAATTACCTCTCGAATGCCCTCTGCTCGATGAGCACCCGCGATTTCTCCCAGCGCTCGAACGATTTCTTCTGCGGTATCCTTGGCTCCGGCGTGGAGATCCAGGCTCTTACTAGGCCTGACGAGCTCTATGAAGACGTGCTTGCCCTCGATCGAATAGTGTGTCATTCTATCAGCCGTCCATTCCTGTGACGGGCCATCTCTTGACTTTTCGGGAGACAACATGATGGTTCCTGTGGCGATGTTAATGCCCAAAGTCGTGGGCATCTTCCGCCTTCGTCCCATGGCCGACACCATCTCGTTAATGTTATATAGGTGATACCCACCCGGGGATCGAATGGGTGCGTCGTCGTCAGGTCGTCCGATGGCTCTGTTATAGGGCGGGGATGGTAGTGGGCCTCCCCCTTCTTCATCTTGCTGCGAGTATGAAATAGGAAGTGTCGCAGGTTGCGACACCGGTCTCTGAGGAAGTGCAGGTGCCGCTTCTTCTTCCTCTTCGTCAGAGGGGTCTGGCGTGAGCTGCACTCGAGGAGGCGTCGCTGCTGGGCGGGCAGAGGTAGGCGATGTAGGGGCTTGACCTCCTAACACCCGCGCTAGGTTGGCTGCAGGATCATGCGTTGATCTCGCAGGGGATGACGGGCTAGCCAGCGCCTCCGGCTCGGGCGCAGGAGGGATGGATCGTCTCTGAGAGGCCGAGGAAGGGGTGGGAGGTGCATCTCGAGAGATCTCAATGTAGTTTGCTGGTGCAAAGCCATAATCGTCGCCGACGCCGACAAGAGTCCAATCTGGGTCTGAGGTGTCGTAGACCTGTAGAGTAGCGTCTTCTGTGAAGGAGACTTCCTCGTCAGTCTGCCGGGTATAGTCGTAAAGAGCTTTGGCGGTATGGACTGGTTTGGCTTCTTCGACATAGTTGTTTGGAATCAGACCCTCAGGTTCATCCTCATCCTCCCCAGCTGCCTTCTTCTTGGCCTTCCACCAGTCATCCTCGGTGCTTTTTTCGAGTATGCATAAGAGTTCCCCCTCTTTGATCTCAAGCTCGCCGGCACCTTGCGGTTGGTAATCATAAAGAGCAGTGCATACTGCCACGAAGCCCATAGTGTGGATAAAGGCAAAGGTGGTCGAAGCAAGCTGGCCGTTTACGATGAAGCTACAAGGCACAAGCCATCGGCTTCGACACCGTGATCAACTGTGCTGGGGAAATCAAGGAAGCAAGCTGGTGTTTCGCTTAAGCGAGCAATTCGTAAGATGTCACAGGCTAACGTTGGGTCGGGCGAGGAATGGTTGACGGCGTTGGGCGTGGTGTTGAGCGGCTGATGCGTCCAGTGCTGCCAGGACAGGTGCTGCAACGTGTATGTGCACAGTTGCACGTATGGCTTTATTATGCAATCGTCGTGGAAATCGGTCAAGGTCTGACTGTAGATGCAGGCGTAGCCGATTCCAGGAACATACGACGCCTGCGCCTCCGAGAGCTGCGACTTGACGATGCATGGCACGCCAAGGCTCGCGGAGAAATGTTGATGCGATCGGATCCTGACACCAACAAACCACAGGAAGCTTAAGTGTCTTGCTGTGTCAGTACAGGTCACTCTCTCTTCGTTCTCTGCCTGCTCGCTCGCTCTCGCTCTCTTCTACAATATCATCGTCGTCCACAGCTACGCAGGCAGCCATCCAAGGTCATCTTTAATTGCTTGCATTTTCGCCTCTCTAGTTATTCCAATCTGCTGAGTCACACATCCATCTGGGCAACCAGATTCAGTACATCACTCATCCAACTAAACCACGGTCGTGTAGAGCCATTATTAATATCTCGTTCTATCTCATATGACCAAGGATATCGGCGACCGGTGTGTTTGAGCCCATCATCGTGACCCAGGTCGTCTCGCACGCTGAACGGTTGCCATCAGAACCCAATAAGAAAGCTGGTAGTATATTCGTCCCTTTGGGTAGAGAAACTGACGAAGTCTTCCACCTCTGAAGCCACCATGTCAAACTTCGCATACCAGTCGATCCGGACTCGATCTTCTTGACGGCGTCCACAAGTGTCTTATCTGGAACTCGCGCCTCCTTGTACAGTGGTTTTCGCAATCGTGGATAGTCTCATTACTCGAGATCGAGCCACAATACTCTCCTCCAGTTCGTTTCTTACCGCGACAAGCTCCATGAAAATGGATTGAGGAGTTATGTAGCGAAGGCGTCCAGAGACTCGAGGATGGAGAGTCCCTTGGGCAACAGGAGAACGCCGCAGTCAGTGGGAAGACCTGGTACCGTTCTATCACATTCGTTGAACAGTGTTAGATCCTGGGACGAAGCGAATGATCCTTTGATAAGGGAAAGCTCTAGGCTCCAGACAGTCATAGAGGTACCGATAATGGTCACAGAGCAGGTATGAGTGTTCGGGTTCTTCGGAGGGCTGAGCTTGTGGGCGGATAACAAACCCGAATGTCCTTAGCCACTGATGCAGTTGAGATGATCCTTGGGCGATTGGTCTTGATAATCTGTCGCATATGAACAGAACTCCTGGGCATTGAAGCTTGTTTATCGTGTCAGTTGGGATGGCTCCAGACAGCTACCTCACCTGATATGACCAGCTTTGATCTGTGGTCGCCTGGCGATAGATCCTGGTCAGCAATAGTCGAAGACTGGGATTTTAATTCAGAAAAGAATGCGTGGCGAGTCTATCAGTGTACATGAAAATGATGAGGCCAACAGACAACAGTGAAGTCGACGTCTGTGTACTAAGGGTGAGGTATGATATAGCACAAAGCTTTCGTTCAGCCTCCGCCATGTGTCACTGCTGTGTGTCTCCATCAAGGGCCCGATCGCTAGCAGAGCGCTAGCAGAGCGACACCATCAGTGCGTCGTATGAGGCCGCACTCACACCTGCTCCAAGTTAGTACTTTGTGCTTCGTACATACTCTGCACGTATTACCCAGGTACAGTACCTGAGGCACGAATTTTTAGGATATTCTAGGGCTCGCCGAGCCACTAGGCTAGGCCCGGTTCGTGTTTCAGCCACAAATTACTTGCCTCCTTCGGGGCGGAATTCAGCATATCAGAAGTACTGAAGAGCCTCAGACTCGGTACGACCGCCTATCAACCAACTGTACCCTCTTCAGGCCGCCCAATTTCAATTTTCACCATGGGCGCTGGTGCATACTTGGCGTCGCTTCGAGCCCTACGGATACCTACCTCTAGAAGTACTGTAACAATTGACGGAGGCTGAGCCATGTAAGACGGCTTTGGGTACAAGTAGGATGCCCGGCTCCCTTCCCTTGGTGTTGCCTATCTGATATCTGCTATACGGGAAAAGATACTTCAGGATTGCGGATAGGCAATAAAACCCACGTTTCGTCCCTCATGACGCCTTGGGCGAGAACAGAGAAGACCCGGGCGAGTGCCATCACAAACTCAGACGAGACTTACGCTGCGACCGGAAGACAGGCTCGGATTCTGTCCAAAGATGCCGTGGTATACTATTCAACGGCAGCTGCACTGTTCATCACTCCATTGATCGCGACCATAGTCTGGTTAAGCACCAACCGCAACAATTGGGGCAACCAACATTGGTCTTTCATCCACAGTGCCACCATCGGAGGACGCTTGACACAATCCGGAGCCAAAGCCATTGATTTACTATGCAGCGCCTTTATCGCACCATTGGTCCTCGCTGGATTCAACTTCATCTGGTTCTCCTGTGCCCGGGTCGCTACAATCAACGAAAAGGACCCATCTGCTCAGGGAGTACCTCTGGCGTGTCTGGTCGAGCTGAGTACCACGACCGGCGGATCCTACGACATCTTAAAGCTGTCCACACTCCTAGCTCCACGCACACGGCGACTATTGTATCTCGCCCTGCTTGTTATCTTCAGCGCGTTGGCTAAGTCTGCCTTCGGCAATGTGATAGCCTACGAAGCTTTCAATGAAGATGCGGCAGGCCAGGGCACGAGACTTCGAATGCTCAGCGATGCGCAGCTTGCAGTACCCAACTCCTTTGTGTCGACCACTTTCGCTGGCGTTTGGGGGTTCAGTACTCAACAGAGATCTAGCTTTGCCAATCAATTCAGTGGCATGATGACTGGACTGAGCATCTCTAATTCGTCTTCGCTGTTGACCGACAAGGCGTACATACTCAACAATGTGACCACTGCTTCAATATCACTTCCATCCACGGTCCGAGCCTTACATTCTGTTCCGGCTTCTCGATGGACAGTATCCTGCAAGCCTTTTGCTCCGGACACGTTCATGGTACAACAGATGGGTGTCAAGTCTGTTCTCTTCACCATGACCCGTGGTCAGACCGATCTCCTCTCTGGCTATTACCCAGGCGATATCGCTTTGATGCAGAATGCGTACAACGACGACTACCCGTTCATGGCATTTCCATACAACGGCTCTTCGGCCTTTCTCGGCTACGCAGGCAGTTTCAACTTGAGCAACGAAACGTACCCATCGCCATATGGCGACATTATACCGAAGGCGTTCAACATGACCGCGTCAGGTTTCAATGGCACGAAGCAGATAATGTCTGTCTGGGGAATTGAATGCCAAGTTCAGCGACAAAATGGGACTGTTGACTTGGTTCGCTCGGCGGAGGGATGGGATCGCAATGCGGCGAGCGTCAAAATGTCCGACGGGAAAACAGTATACCAACCCTTGCGTATGCAGCAACTGCAACTCAGCCTGAATTACCAAGCCCCCGATGTGACGATTCCTGGACTGGCCCCGGCCCTTGCAAGGTCTGCAGATCCATGCTATGATGCCACCATTACGGGCACCGAATGTGCTGTCTCGACAAGCAGTGACGGCACGTCGGAGACAACCTCAAGGACAATCGACTTTGAGACATTGGCTCTCAACTTCCTCTACGCGTCCGCAGAGACGGAGCGCATGGCATATGAGGTAGCGAGCACAAACACTTCGCGGGATCAGCCTGACTTTTTTGTCAATGTCACAGACACTTCTCAGATACTGCGGTACCGCATCACGTATGTGCCGGTGATACTGTTTATTGGCATAGGGTGCATGTTTGTTGCCGCAGGCATCACCCTCGCCCTTGTGGCAATGAGCTGGAAGAGCATCAGCGCCAGATCCTTCCGACAGGTTGACAGCCTAAGATTGTTGGTTGATGTGCTAGCGGGGCTGAGGCAAGATGAGTTCGTGAGTCGACCCCAGTTCAACACGACGCTTGAGGGGACTAGCCTCCAGAACGACAGGGACGAAAGCAAGATTTCCAAGTTTGAGGATCTGAAGGCTTCGTCTGGTGCGGAGTTGGAGACCTGGGCATCGGCCTGTCGAGTCAGGTATATCGAGGACAATGGGGCTGTTGGTCTAGAGCGTCTACCCGCTGAATCCTGAAGACTGGGAGTGCTTTACCCGACTAGCGACTGAAACTCCCGAAAAAGTATATCGGAATATACCCGTCCCGACCACGATAAGTTATCACGGTGTTGATGCCCCCCTCGTGACTATATGAATGTGCGACGAGACACGAGGTTTTCGTAATACCAGGCCCGTGCTGTTTGCTTCTCTCTTTAATAACAGCCCTCCCCTCCTTTGAAAATCATCACTACTAGTCTAAGGCCCATAGTTGTCACAATGGCACCGTCCGACACAACCATCATCTTCGTCCCGGGAGCCTGGCACACCCCAGATTGTTTCTCCCCAACCACCACTCTCCTCGAAGAGGCCGGCTACACCATCGATCTGGTCTACCTCAAATCTGTTGGCCCAGCTGAACATGTCAAGGACTCGCAACCGGACATTGACACCACCGCCGCCGCCATCAGGCGCGCTGTCGACCGGGGTCACAAAGTAGTCCTCGTGTGCCATTCGTACGGCGGCATCCCCGGCGCCCAAGCCATCAAAGGTTACGAGTCTCACATCATCAATTTCTTCCTGTGCTGTTCGTTCATCATCCCGCAAGGCAAAACCCTGATCGGCGCCTTTGGCAGTGACTTACCCTGGTTCAACATATCCGAGGACAGAACGGAAGTCAACCCAGCCACTCCCGCCGAAACCTTCTACAACGACATGTCTGAGGAGCAAGTCAAGGAAGCGGTGTCGAAGTTGAAACCGCACTCGTATCAGACTTTCCATTCCGTGGTCACGTACGAAGGGTGGCGGTTTGTGCCGACGACCTACTTATACTGTCTGCAGGATCAGGCGATTCCAATGTTTGTGCAGAAGTTGATGGTCGAGGAGTTTGCAAAGGGGGTCGATGTCAAGACGCCCACAGTGGATGCCAGTCACACCCCGTTTGTGAGCAAGCCATTGGAGACGGCGAATGCGATCAGGAGGGCGGCCGGCGAGAACATTTGAAGGAGTACAGTGAGGGAGTATTCTCTGATTGCCACAACGTCCTCATAGTGTAAGGAAGAAGCTCCTAGGTAGTAGTAAGGAGTGATTCGGAGCCACTCATAGTAGGAAGGGTACAGGTAGTTGTAGGTGAGAAATTATGCCCGAATCACATCGTATGTGCTGGAGTACAATACAATACTGCAAAGTGACTGTGGAGATGCTGCTGACCGTGTCCGTCTCTCCAACTTGGAAACTCCGTAGTGACATATCATCCCCGTCCATAAGGCACCCAGCTGTTCCTGCGTCTTCTACTCGAACCAGTCTTCGGATCATGAGGTGACAAGTATGATGGGCGTTCGTCGGTTTGTTTTGGCTGCTTTATTCGCACATTGCCTCGCCAGCGAAACCACCTTCAGCGTCAACGATGACCTCTTCGCTTTCCCACAGGTACAGGCTGCTGTCAACTGCCCGTGTACCTGACCATATCTCGTGCTAACAGTCTCCAGTATTCGGTCGAATTCGCGGACGCGTACATCCTAGAAGCCGATGCAGCAGCCTACTTGGCGAACGATGGAACGAAGCTTGCTGGCCATGCCGAAGTACCCTCGAAACTGGATCATAACACCTATGGGTCAGATGCAGGACAAGACTCCCGCCCAAGTGGCACGTACGAACGTCTCCTCCTCGAAGGCTACCCGCACCTCTGCTTCATTCCAGAAGCCAAGTCGGGCGCCGACAATGCCACCAAGCAAGAACCATCCGCCACAGACCGTGAGAAAGAGTTGGACCGTGCAGTCATTCGAGGATCAGAGCTGCTGCAGGGCATGGCATCGAACCAATGCCTCTATTACTCTACCGGCTGGTGGACATATTCATTCTGTTACAACGCGCAAGTGACGCAGTTCCACGCACTGCCACCGGGAACGAACGGGCGCGTGTGGCCTCCGCAAGAGGATCCTACTGTACCCAGCTTCGTCCTGGGCAGGTTTGAGGGACAGAAGAATAAAAAGACCGCCGAACACACCTCTTCGGAGCAAGCGGTCTCTACAGAGGTCCAGACACAAGCAGAGACCAATTACCTTGTTCAGCGCCTCGAAGGGGGGACGCCATGTGATCTGACGGGCAACAACCGCAAGATCGAGATTCAATTTCACTGTAACCCCCAACTTACTGACCGTATCGGCTGGATCAAAGAGACGGCGACGTGCGCGTACTTGATGATCGTCTACACCCCGCGACTATGCAACGATGTCGCCTTTCAACCTCCCAAAGAGAGTCGTGCACATTCCATTACTTGCACCGAGATCATCTCGGAAGGAGAAGTTGAGTCGTGGGAGGCCCGTGGTGAAGAACTAAGTCCAAGCCAGACACTTGAACCAGGTGAATCTCAACGGATCGTCCTCGGCAATGTCGAAATCGGAGCGAAGAAATACATTGGCCACGAGGGCAAGAAGCTTGAGCGAGGGCGTATTGTGCTCACGCAAGACGAGAAGGCAGATATCCTCATCATGCAGAAGAACGGACAAGTTTCGAGTTTGTCCGCGGCAGACATGAAGAAGCTTGATATTAGTCCAGAGGAAGTCGAATCATTCCGTATAGAACTCCAGAAGATGGCGGGTACCAAAGACTGGAAGATTGAACGACTCGACGACGTCAACGGCCACATCCAACTACGAGGTGTAGTTGCGTCGGACGATGAGGAAGAGGGCGAGGGCGAGGCCAAGACCCCAGAGGACGCCAAATCAGCTGAAACCAACGAGGACGAAGGAGCAGAAGTCGCTGGGAGTCAAGAAGAATACAAAGGAGAATTGTGAACAACATGTGTCTCGTGGCATACCGCTATCACTCTCTGCTCAAGCGATCTGACAAGCTGGTCTGGATTTGATAAGCCCTCGGACAGGATTTTTTCTTGATCCAGATGCGACAAGGAGCACGGCACGAAGATCAAGTCGCACCAACTAGTCAAGGGGTGTCCCAATAACCATCTGGTCACACTGAATAACTAGCGCTGTACCGTTTGCCGGTCAGTACGCGGACCCATCAAAACCTACAAAGACGCAGTCTGCACGAGTCTCTTCAGAGTGCAACCGGCAACGACGCAAACAGCGGCATACCGCGTGGCTGGCCATAGTGATGAGCGATGACAAAGGTTCATGGTGGATCGCGAACTAAGTTGGACAATTGTACTGCTTACAGTAGCACTTCCGCCGATTCGGGATCTGCGCAAGTAACGCACACAAACTCTACAGCACCGAGCCCAGCCGCCCAGCAGAAACGCATGCCATCGCAATTTACACCAGCTGGAATGATGTCCATTATATGTCGTGGACTTGGCATTCAACACGGCAAGGCATGCCATAAGAACTTTACTTACCTCAACTCATCCAAGGTATAACGACATCTGTTGGTGACAGGGTACAATAGAGAGAGACATGAGCAGAGATACTCCGTACTAGGTAGCGAAAGGAAACTCGCGGTCCGAGATCACTTTGTGTACCCAAGGTATCGAGGTCAGGTGGGATATCTAGGTTCCTTAGGTACCTTACATACCTAGATTGAAAGGTACATATACCTTGAACATGATGAATCCAAGCCAAGTCCAATCCAAGGCAATTCAATCGAACTCACAGAGCGCTACAAACCACACGACAAGTCACCGACGTACGTGCGCAGTATAGCTACCTTGGTTACAGGCTCGGCTAGGCTGTCCCTGATTTTTCTTATATACTTTCATTTCAATCGTCTCGTAAAGGTAACCCTCCCTATCAATCTGCCTGCCTGCCTATCTACCTACCTACCTACCTACCTACGCAATGGGGTCTGTGGGTATGTAAGCAGGTAAGCAAAGAAGGAAGTAAATAGGTATGTCGATGATGTGACCTGGTAGGTATCCAAAGTGCCCCAACGTTCACATCACAAGTACCAAACCACGGGCCCCGTCCTATACCAGAGTTCGGAAGCGTCATGAGTCAGGAGGTCTGAATATGGTTAAGCCATTGGCAGAGGACAACACAAACAAGAGTGCAGTGCTCGATATCAGGGAGGTGGTCTAGGTCCAATGATCTGCCTCCTCGCACCGCCAACGCCCAATCCTGTCCCGCCGCGGTTCTGGTTGTCTCCTCCCATATAGCCGTACTGATGCACGTCCCAGCTCTGGCCCGGAGCACTGCCTTGACTTATATCTCGTGCCCGCGCGGCCGTGTCCTTTTGGCCCTCTTCCCATTCTCTCTGCCGTTCGCGCTCGCGCTCCATCTCTCGCTCGAGCAGGGACTTGGACGCCCACCCGCCGGCTTTGGTGCGTGCTTGGGACTGCGCGCGTCGCTGGTTCTCAAGGTCCACCTCTGTAGTGGTCGAGTAATCCTGTGGACGGTGGGATGAGGGCACGGGTTGCGCTGGCGCCGCGTGGGACGCGAGGTACCGATCAGTGCGATTCGTGCCGGGCGTATAAGTCATAGGGTCGGGAAGGGGCCGTGCGGAGGCGGGTACTGGCTCAGGGCGAGGCGGCTTAGCAGGCGGTGTGTCCTCAACGTCTTGGGTTTTCTGCCACTCGCGCCTCAGGTAGTCTCGCTCCGACGCATCCCAGTCGTCTTCATGGCTTGTTTGGCCGACGTTGGATCGGCTTGGAAGAGGAGGCTGCCTGGGCTCCACTTGGGATCTGGCCGGCGGAGAGGGTTGCGTATGTTGGTGTTGTTGTGCTTTGAGTTCTTCTAACTGACGTTCGAGTTCGGCGATGCGTCGGCTCTCAGTCGACTCCTGCTCGATGATATGCTGCTTGTGCGAAGTAGCAGCGTCGACACGAGCTTGATCGGCCTGGTACTGGCTGAGGAATTGTCCATTCAAGCGAGCGTCACTTGTTGCTCGTTGGCGACTCCGCTCGGCTGCCGATCGTGCCTCCCGCTCAGCTTGATCTGCGGCTTCACGTTCTCGCTCAAGTTCGTAAGCGCGCTCTCTACGACGCTGTTCTTCTCGTCGCACACGTTCCTCTTCTTGTAGACGTTCGCGTTCTTGCGCCCTCTGTTCTTCGATTTCCTGTTCTCGAGCCCGTCGCGTCTCCTCGGCCCACCTGCGCTCTTCTTCGAGTCTGGCTTGCTCTTCTTCGGCGGCCCTTTGTGCTTGCTGTTGCCTTTCGTATTCTTCAGCATCGCGGCGTTTGCGCTCGGCCTCCTCTTTTAGGCGTTTCTCCTTTTCGGCAGCGCTCGGTACATTGGGAGCGGGAGACGTGATTTGTCTTCGTGCGCCAAATGCGACACCTTGATTGCCCTGGCTAGCTCCACCCATATACCCGTACTGATGAATGTTCCATGCCGGCGCCGTCTTTCCTTCATCAGCTTTGCTGCTCCAAGTACTGACCGCGCCGCCCGTAGCAAGCCCACCTCTCCCCAGAGTGTTTTTGGTTGGACTGATTCGGCCCGAATAAGCAGCTTTGTTCAGCGGGTTAAAAGTATATGAAGGACTATCGGCCGTAGCATTGCTTGTGCCTCGAGGACGAGCCGCAGTTGTGGTGGTGTACGCCGGTGACCTCGGTCCACTCGATCCTGTTCCTTGCGGGCTCATGGCTGCCCCTTTACTCTTCGCACCAAGTGTGGACGGGAATGCGCCCGGATTGATTGCATTTGCGGCGCGACTGAAGGCCGAGATACACTGTAAAACTTGTGCCGGATCCTTACCGTCGTAGAGATCGACAGTCAAGAAGCGGTCGTGTGAGGGGAGGTTCAACGGCGGTAATTCACAGGCGCGTAGAAAATGAGATATATTTTCCATCTGAACGAAAGGCATGTTGGACTGTTTATACTTGACGCCAGGAGAGACGACTAGGTTGACGAGCCTGGTAGAGCATGACCGTCAGCACGGCACGGTTTGATACACGGGTTTCATCGTACTTGCAGAGCGCGACGCCATCTTTCAAGGCATCCATCAAGTCTCCTGGGGGCAATCTCTCTCCTAGAGTATCTTCAATCCATGCTCTTACTTCTTTCGCGGCTCCAGGCGTGTACCGGTCAAGGCGCAATTTGCGCATGTCCTGGTCGAGACTTGTGACCGAAGCCATGACTACGGTTGATCGGAGAGTGTGGGTTCTTCAGGTCAGAGAAAGAGGTGTCTAGGTAGACCATGCAAAGATATTGTGTAGGAAGTAGATGGCGACAGGCGGGTAAAAGAGTGGCAGTGGCAGTGTAAGAGTGATCGAGGTGCTGAGGCGCCAGGCGTCGGTGTTGGAATATCGACCCCTGCAGGTTGACGTCGATCAGAACAAGCCATTGCATAATCCCGTCGTCTTAGTTGGAGCTTCGTCGATACATTATTCTTCTGCACGGCTTATGCAACAATCTGTTTGTCCAGCACTTTACTTGTTTGGCAACCAGTGACTACAAGTCTGCCACAATGGGGGCCATGAGAGATCTTTGGATCCGCTGGAAAATGCTGCGCCTTCCATGGCGCAAGCGATTCCTCGTCGGTTCGTGTATCCAGCGCTTTCCACGGTCGTTGACGTCTATGCTAACAACTCCGCAGGTCAAGATCTTGTAGGAAACACATACTGGGAGTTTCGAGACGCTCTCAACCACAACAGAATGCGACGAATGGTCAAGGCCGACCGTAAGACCCTCTATGCCGACGTCCAGATCTCGCCTCAATGGCATCAATGGCTGCGACAGACTCGATCGGATCCACCAAGTCTGCAGGAACAAGCTGCGGATCTGCAAAGACAGGCAACCTTAAAACACAATGCAAGGCTGGCGGATGAACGATGGGCAGCCAAAGCAAAGTATATTGAGAAGCCAAAGTCGACTGTCACACCACAGCTTTCAGGTGATCCTCAGAAGGATAGAGCAGCGGCTGAAAGCATGCCTGGACCACCTCCTCGACCCGAAAAGATCAAGAGTGGTGTTGAGACTCCTGCTCCGCCGCCCAAGGATCCATGGAAGCAGGTCGACGAGAAAGCCTCAAACCCTGGAGCAACATGGGCCCCTGAGTCGTGGGTTCCTGGGTCTTCCAAACGCTGAAGCCGTCGAATGGCTCTGTGACGGTCTACATGTCCGTCTCTCAGCTCGATATGTGATATATTCGGGGGGACTATGCCTGGTATCTGAATTTGATATACGGCAAACCCTACCACGATCCAGACAAACCACCACCTTCTCAACGGACACCGTGAACTGCGACTGAAGTTAGGATTTCAACAGGGGGATTTAGAAATGGTCATGATCTGTCAGTCTTTGGAACCTAACCCGACAAGATTGTCATTCTTCCCATCTCTCGTGTAAACAAGGCCGGATTGTCTCAAGGGGGTTCTGGCTTTGGATTTCCCGGATGGACAAACACATCATGTCCACGTCTCTTCCCTGTGCCCTTCACTTCAACACCGCTTGGCGAAGACTATTCGCCAATAGCCCTCAACACCGCCTTTGATGGCGCTAAACCAGGACGAGATACAACAATAGACAATCCCACCGTACTTCTATTGTCCAGGAGCACGACAATTTCAATTGTACAGTCATGCCTTTCGCATTTTATCTCGTCACTAGAACACTCCTCTCTCGCGTCATCTCACCTTCCCCGTCTCGACAGAACCAACAAGAAAGGCGTTGCACTCATCTACGAAGAGACGCTTGAACCATCAAAGAGTCCATCACAACGACAATGTCGACCAACAACGTCTCTTCACCGTTGTCTTCCTCTCGCCAAGCCTTGCCGATGACCGACCCAATCATCACCAACCCCGACATCTTCTTCTCACTCACCAAGACCGATGAACCAAAATTCCCCGAAACCCTCCCTCCGCCCAACAATTATCAAGAAAACGACGCCACCAGATCACTACAGGGGAGACAACGAGACTGGTGTGGCCTTCTACTATTGCTCGAACTGCACCAAGACCTGGGCGGTGGTATGGAGGGAGAAACCACAGATCTCTACCTTGTCGGTGTCCCTGGCCGACTACGAAAAATTGGCGATGGTGAGTAACTGCGAGGCCTGCGAGGAGAAGGTCCTAGAGGAGTTGCAGATGGCCCACGAGGGCTATGTGAGAGTGGAGGAGGAGAGCGAGGCGTGGGAATTGCTTTAGACGAGGCTCAAAATGGACCAATGAGAAACACACGTCATGCACAAGGCTGAAAAGGAGATAGCTGGGTCCTTCAATAATATATGTCTTCCAAAGGCACCTATAGTCATGGCGTGCCTCCCACTCTCAAGACATCCTACAAGAAATGAGGCGTTCGAGCCTGTCTCCAGCCATGTCTCCGCTCGTTGCTGTGGTGGACGTTGTCAATGTGGTAACCGCCCCATTCACAGGAGGTATAACCGTTGATATTGGCGGCTCCCTGAACCCCATCCTGTATCGAGACATTGACACTACGCTTGCTATCTGCCCATCCCCTTTGATCTGCCCCGTCTACTCTGTCTGTCCCCGTCTTTGGAGTGAAGGGCACATCCTCGTCAATTTACAAACTCCAGTTTATTAGATATGAACCCGAGGTCTTCGATCATGAGATGTGCCATCATGTACGCGCATGGGAAGTGGACATTGTCCGTCCGTGGTGCATGAATATACGCAGAAACATGACGGTAGACATCATAGAACCCGAGGTCGCATCTGGATCCTATTTCTTCGTGGACAGAGTCATCCCTGTCGGCACTTGCTTCGACCGTGAACCCATTCCATTCACGATGGGCCGAGCAAGATTTGACGAACCCTATCCGGCCGCTTGTTAGAGCAGAGAAGGCGATAACCGGATTTCCAGGCCCAAATCGGATGCCCATGCCAGATCAGCCGCAGAAGTTGATGCACTCTGAATTTCCACGAGAGTGGTGGTCTGCGTGAATCTCGTGTGCTCCAGTGGGCAGAAGTCTCTTCCGATATGTCGAGTCGTGGAAGAGAATGGTATAGTTGAAACTGATACATGAAGCCCCAACCCAGGAATGTAGACATAAGGATGAATATCGAAGTAAATCCAATGGCCGCACGGAAAGTTACGCCGCTGCGCCCGGTCGCCAGGTAGGGGGACGACTCTGGGTCTTATTTGTTGAGTGGACTTTGTGATACATACTTAAGAGCTGTGCAGAGGTGTACAAGGCGTCTGGGGATATGGCGTGGAACCACAGCCTCACTTTTGTGCGGTAGGCAATGGTGTTGACTAAGGTGTGAGTCGGCTATGGACATCTTAGCCCAGTGGTCCAAAAAAGAAGGTCTTCCGAACTCCCCATGCTGCTGCTACTCACCAGACAACTACGAGTGCTCTCGGATGTGAGACAGCGACAGCGACAGCGACATCGAACCTCACAACCCTTCCCATACCTTCGCCCCTCATGGCTCTTCCAGGTGTCGAGCAAACGATCCATCGTGATCCCGCGCTCTTGTGAGTACTCATGATGATGACAGCCTAGGTCATAGCCGTCTAACTTTGATTATAGCTACTGGATTCTCCTGCCCATCACGATCGTTATGATCCTGACTGGCGTTCTACGACACTACGCAACCGTATTATTACACACGCCTCCTAAGCCTCCGTCTTCTCTGCTCGAATCCCGCGAACGACAGGCAATCTTGAGGGGCATCAACCTGCGGAACAACGCCAACGCTGCACTGACAGCATCCTCCTTCACAAGCCGGAAGGAATATCTCATCGACTCTTTCAAGAAGGGGTCGTTCCTCCGTGGTGGCCCTGAGTCTCGCGGCAAGGCAGCGCCGAATCCGATGTCCGACCCCGCAGCCATGGAAGGCATGATGGGCATGATGAAGGGTAACATGGCCATGATGATCCCACAAACACTCATAATGTCCTGGATCAATGCGTTCTTTGCCGGCTTCGTCATTCTGAAACTGCCTTTCCCCCTTACCATACGGTTCAAGAGCATGCTCCAGTCCGGCGTCATGACCAGGGATCTCGATGTTCGATGGGTGAGCAGTTTGTCCTGGTACTTTTTGTGTCTGTTCGGCCTTCAGAGTGTCTTCATTTTCATTTTGGGCAATGAGAATGCGGCAAGCCAAATGGCCCAGCAGGTGGCTCAAATGAACCCCGGCGCCAATGCGAATCCTTTCGGACCAGGCCAGGATCCCGATAAGATGTTCTTGGCCGAGGCTGAGAATCTAGAGGTCCTCGAGCATTGGAGTATTCTTGATGACGCCGACGACAGGCTCCTGAAGATCTATGGCAGTTGAACATACCATCTTGGAACATCAATATCCATACGAAAACATCAAGCTCCTCCGAAGAAGGGGTTCTAAGCTATGAGATTCGCACGCATTTTACGAGCCCTTCTCTAAGCTTGACTACCAACACCGTCATTCTTGGTCTCGGATGACCTACATTTCGGCCTTTGTCTCGACAAATACCTGCAACCATATTAACGGACAACTTGAGAACGAGACCCAGGAGTTTCTCCTTTTGCCCCAAGTGGTCCTTGGTCCCAGTGGAAGCTCTGCTTATCAAGTGATGGTCATGGGGGTTCATCGGACTCCTATACCATAATGAAAGCGTACAAAAGCCAGAGCGGGCTTCTTTCTCATCGCAGAGTGGTCCACTATTTGAATGAAAATGGCGCCCGGCACAATAGCTTACTACTACTACTGTTCTAAATAGAAAAAGCCTCAATAATCAATTAAGATGAATTGTGACGATTATGGATAACCAGTTGTCTACATCTCGGCTTGTCATCCATCTGAATCTTGGGTCTCTCTAAAGGGGTATCGAGGGTGCCAAAAAAACCCAACCACTGTGCCATGCTATGCTGAGCCACGCTTTGCTATACTCGAATCAATTTGCACCAATAAGTAAGATGCACAACTCCTAGTTCCAATTCCAAAATTGATCTCCCCTCATTCTCTTCCTTCTTCTTTGGTATCATCACAAGGCCTTCTCAAGTTTGCTGGCCAGCTCGTCGACTTCAGCATCCTTCCTCTGCGCCACGGGGGCCTCCTCCTCGGCCTGGTCGTCGACCTCGACAAGCTTGGCACGTGCCTCGTCTTCCTCCTCCTCTTCCTCTTCTTCCTCGTCGCTGTCCTCGCCTTCGAGCTCGTCCAGCTCGTCCAGGCCCCAGTGCTCTTCCGGGTCGTCGTCCTTGCCGTGCTCGTCCTTGCGCTCGCTCAGGAGCTCGGACAGCGCCTCTACCGACGGGTCTTCCTCCTCGAACTTGTTCCCGTTGAGCTCGACCCGTCTTAGCTTCGGCAGTCCGTCCCTCGCGGCCTGCACGAGCGCCTTGACCCCCGCGGGGGTGATGTCGTTGTACTGCAGCCTCAGGATCTCGACGCCCGCGTTCCCCCCGGCGGCCAACGACTCGAAAACCCGCACGGAGCCCCTGCCGCCCAGGAGGCTGTCGCCCACGCCCAGCTCCTTGAGGCCGGACCAGCCGTCCAGCGTCTTTGCGAGGGCGAGGGCGCCCTTGAGCGTGAACGTGTTGTCCTGCATGTCTAGAACCTCGAGGTTTCCGCAGTGGCGCAGGCCGGCGGTGATCAGGTGCGAGATGCCCTCGGGCCTGATGCCGTTCTGTGTCATCTTGACGCTCTTGATGCCGTCCTTGTGCGCCTCGTACGCCTTGGCCCACGCCGCCATGCTGCCGTTCTCGAGCCGGTTGCGGCCGCAGACTATGCTCTCGAGGTGTGGGACGTCTCTGCCTTCTTTCCGCGCCGCCTCTTTGCGCTCGGCGAGAGCCACGAGCGCTTCGGCTATGGACGTCCCCGCGATCGGGCCCATGCCGTTGTTGTTCAGGATGAGGTGCTTGAGCGGGACGTGCTTGGACAGGAAGTCGACGAGCGGGTCTTTCGTGTTCAGCCCGAACGCGTTGTCGCTGAGATCTATCGTGTGCAGGTTGGGGCATTCCAGCAGCGCCGTCAGGAGGGATGAGAGTGCCGGGGGGATCTCTTCGAGGAGCCGGGAAGTGAAGATGTCGTGGAGGTCGGCGCTCTGGAGGGTGCTTTTGGACGAGAGTATCGGCGCGAGCGCTTCGCATGCGGACACCCCGAGCGTGTTGCCTGAGAGGTCGATGTGTGTAATGTTCGAAGACGCCTGGAGGGGGGCAATGTGCTTCTCCAGATCTTCCTTGGTGTCAAGTTTGAGGCCTTGGCCCGCAAGAGAAAAGGTTTCTCCAGCCATGACTGTGGGTTTCTAGGGGGAGGGAGAAATCAATACGTTCGATGGGAATCTGGGTATGGGCTAGGTGATGATCTAGCAAAGAAGATTACGTTTGTTCGAGGACGGGAGGCCACAGGTCTGTGTAGAAAGAAAGGCCTTCAAAACAAATAAGAAGTCCCAAATCGCTGTCGAGTCTGGAGCCTCGGAGGGGCGGGAGCCTCGCCTTGGCACACGTAGCACCAGCCTCACTCGGGTAGTGAAGCCTCAAAGTAACTCCCCACGGCGACCATACTGGCGATAACTTCAGGCACAGTATCTGGGCACGACGATGAAGGTAAATAGTCCGTACAGATTGTCCAGTGGATGTCGGTACATAGCATGAAGCAGGCAGGCAGCCACATCACCCGCCTTGAAGGCCGTCGACAATTCTTCTCATCCTCTCGCCACTCTCCACCAGCAGGGACCATGCCTCGTCACTCCTTTTCTCTCCTTTCTTTTGTTTCTTTCCCTCGACAGCGTCAACGACCTTACTCATCCTCTTCTCGATGCCCCTGTACACCGCAGCCGTCAACCCTTCTTCACGCTTTAGTTCCCCCAGCTGGGCAAGGCTTCTAGTCAATGCCTCTAACAAGACAGATACCCGTGCATTTGCGTCAATGCTGTTCTTTCCTGCTGCGAAAGGGAGATACTCCTCGGTCAACTTCTTCTGTGACAAAAGCACGTCACTTCGGATCGAGGGTGCAGAGTTCTCCAGGGTCCGCTGTAGCAGAGATTCACATAGCAGTGCTGCTGTCTGCGGCTCGAAAACCTGACTTTGTATTCGGCGTACCTCGTGGAAATTCGGCGGCATGGGTCCCTCCGGTGATGGGGCACTAAGAATGATTTCAGAAAATGCTGACAGGGGCAAAGGCTTGATAAACTCGACGAATAACGTCAGAAGCTCCTCCATATCTGGAAATGTCGTTGGACTCGTCTCTGTCATGGTGGGATGCTCCGATACACATATCAATAACCGTAACAATCTCTTGCGTAGATTGACTGCCTCTGTATCGCCCAGGAATGCGAAACATTTGTCATCGGGACCGTCATGATAGTCACTTCTCAGGCTACCCGCACTAGTTTTCGGCGTGACCTTTGCACTCGGCGTCCTAGTACGACTTCCCGCCCTTCGCAGACGTTTGGCGGGCCGCCCACTCGCCGTCGTTCCCGTAGCGGTGCTCGCATTATCATCGTCGGAAAGATCGCTCTCGTCGCGCATGAGATAGTCTCCGTAAATATCTGCATCGATATCCAGGTCTTCACGCTTAGCTATCGGTTTAGTTTCTTGCTTGGGAGGCTCTTTGAGCTCATGAGAAAAGATAGGACGGAACTCAGATGTCGACCGAGTGCCTCCGTCGGCGAAAATAGCACGCAGGATGCGGCGGGCTCTGGTGTAACCGCCCGAGGCGAGCTCTATGTAGTTCAACACCATGCTCTCTTCGGCGGTCGGCGAAGGGCCCTTGGTTCGAAGACTCCAGTCTCTTTCGAGTAAATCGACAAGGAATGTCAGTAGAGAGCTGTAATAGGTCCACCGGGAAGCATGAACTGCCGATGAGGCCGCCAGGCTGGCGCAATTGAAGGCCCAGCCGACAAGATGCCAGAAATCTTCACAGCAAGTAAAGAGAGACTGTGAGGAAGCGTAACGTATGTTGAGACCCGTGGACGTGACAGAATGATTGTCCGAGTGATAGTCATCCTCGTCGTCATCGTGGCCTGTAGTGCTGGTGTGTCGAGAAAGGCGACTATCATATCTGTGGAAACCGAATGCCGCTGCCGAGTCTGCATTGATAGGCCCAACAAGTGGTATTACAAGGCGGAGGAGACGGAGTGCAGAAATGGCCTGGTCCCATTTCTCGCGCGAGTACGTACGTGTAGTGAATACCGGATGGACAGCGATGGTCGCGGCGAGTGCGAGGTGTGGCGGAGACGGGATCGTGATGGGTTTTAAAGGGTCAACATGAGATACGCTATTGCTGACGATAGAGATGAGAAAGTTGTATGCTTGGGTGAAGAGCTGCTCCTCATAGTATGTTTGAACATGCTGAGAAAGTTCAAATGGTAATTCTACTGCTGTTCGATACGTTGGTCCAGTGGCTGTAGTAGAGATTGTTTTGCTGAAAGACTGGGTTGGCGGGGGCGAAGAGAGGGGTGACGACGGTAAGGGTGCCGTAGCACTCAAAGCCATACTCAAGGAAGAGTGTCTATGATTGGAAAGGTGTCATGGTCTCGCGGTACTATACTGTCGAGATTGACAGTATGATTATGGAGGTTCGGAAGTAGTTGGTTGATATACGGAGTATCGCTCCTTGTCGGTGAAAGAACCGCCGAAAACGGGCTGTTTACGCGTCCACGCGGTCTGCGTATCGCCGTTGTTTTGTTCGTCGTAATGTCAGCCTCATCTGAGGTACCTAAGTACCCAGTCACCAGGGCGATACTTTTCACGGATAACAAGGCACACCGAGGCATATTACATGTATTCGACATAGCGATGGAGTGTCGTCTGCGGTTCTCACGGAGTGTTATCCTCGGGTTGGTACTGAGAGCTAAGTTCTTTGGAGCCTCGACACATGTAAGCCTCGTTTGGGTCGGCACGTATTACGCAATACATGTCCATTTAGGTGACGCAGCAGCTAGCTATTCTTCTACAAGTAACATGCGAGACATGCAAAGCATGACTCCGGAGATTCTTCACAATATCAGGGCACGGTATGCTCTTCGTAACAGACAGTCTGTGGGCGCGCTGTATACATACAACATGGATCTATGCTTTCGAGTGAGTCTACGATGAGAATCATCCTCATACTCACCTTGTGAAGCAAAACTCGTTCATGGTCTTAGGACTCAGAAGTTGGTCGAAACCACATGATGCCACCGGCTCCCAGGCCACTGGTGGCCGGGTGTCGGGTCTGGCTTTCTTTTGCTTGAGCATAATCTCATCACAGTCCGAACAAGAACAGAGCAACCTATCCTACACCGAGAGCATGAGAGACATACGGCGGTAGGGGATGAAGCCGTAGTATATGTACAGGCAGGTCACTAACTAGTTAGGCTGCTACAGTATGCCTAACTACCATAGTAACGTAGTGGCCCAAGTTAAGGCAAACTACAGTACCTAGCTAGTTACAGGTGGTGTGGCTAATGAGGCTCACTAGGCTTAATTAGTGGAGCATTAGAGGAGATGAGCCCCTAAGCCTGGCCTGGACTGCCTATTAAGCTACGATATTAGCTTGTACTAACTTAGTGAACTACCTAGGTAGTTAGTACAAGCTAGGCCATCTGTGTTTGGACTTGTCTTCCCCGGATCTTGCACCTCATGCTCCTCCGGGACATTGTACATCATCCCTCTGGTGCGACCATCGCGAGACTGCCGCCTGCTCCATGTCTCGGCAGGAGGTGGTAGACAGTCCTATACTGAGCAACAGCCCTCCTGCTGCTGCTCCAGAAGCACCGTCACCAACCCCCCGACGTAAACGGTCCAAGATCTCGTTGGCTTGCAACAACTGCCGCTATCGGAAGACTCGCTGTGATGGCCGCCTGCCAGTCTGCCTTGCTTGTGAGCGACGACGCGTTGGGTCCACGTGTATTTTTGAGCGCCCTCCACTGGATCTTCACAAACAGGACGCAGAATCAAGGGCTCGACTTCAAAGTAGTCATCGACGTTCTATCATCGAGCCGGACCGATCTCCCTTGGCACTAGCCGATAATCACCATGGGCACTCGCAACCCGAAACAGACGGAGAGCCCCATGTCGATGGAGTCGCGACGGTCACTGCTGAGAACGACACGGCGTTATACGGGGGCTCTTCCACCATCAATCTCATTCGGCATATGGCGAACAGAGCCCAAACATTTGATGCATCATCAGAAGCCAGGATCTCAAAGAAGAGAAATCGCTGCCCGGTCGACACATCGAGAGCTCAACGATCGACGGGTTATGAAGAGATTTTCCACGAAAGGGACGACAGTGCTGTTGTGTATCCAGCACGTCGGAACGCAGACGATTACCTTGCGTGTTACTGGGAATTCATCCATCCGGTTTTCCCTATTATCCACAAGCCTTCGCTGGAGAGGCAGTACAGAACCATGTGGCTTCCAGAAAATGAGAAAATTGCCTGTCAGCAGAAGTCTGATGACAGCCAAAGTATTTTTCCATCGATGCTCAACCTTGTCTTTGCTCTAGGTTGCCAATTTAGCACCCTGGTCCCATCCAGAAAGAGATCCTCAATTGCCGATGATTTCTACCAACGATCCCGCCGACTGTTTGTTTTCGATATCCTGGACTCGTCATCGTTACCTGCCGTACAGTTGTTGTTACTCCAGGGTGTTTATCTTCAATCTTCGAGATACGCAACCCGCTGCTGGAACGTCGTCGGACTTGCGGTCAGGGCAGCACACAGCTTGGGCATGCATATCGGTGGCAAGCGTGAAGGTGAGACACAGCTGGATCGTGAAATGAACCGCAGGATTTGGCATACTTGTGTCATACTGGACAGGTAGGCAAGTTATGAGAGTTTTACAACCCAACGCTAATGCGAAGAGGCTTCTCGCCATGACCTTCGGACGGCCGACCATGCTCCAGGATGCTGGTAAAGTTCCGATCCCTATGCTCATAGATGATGAATTCTTGCGTGACGATGGAGAGGAAGGACATCAGCCTACCGATGTGCCGTCCAGATTAGGCTTGTTTGTGTCCTCCTGCACGCTTTTTGAACACCTTGCAGAGATCTTGCGGACATTTTATACGGCGAGTTCGGAGCCTGACGACCTGGTCGAAATTGTTCTGAGGCTCAATCGCCGCCTCGACAGCTTTGCGAAATCGGTACCAGACTACTTACAGACATCCGAAGTATCACCACTGGTTGTGTCAGAGAAGAACAATTGTGTCAGCCTACAACAACAAGTGTTGTACTGCAGGTATTTCGCCCCTTGAAAAGCCTGCCCGATGCTCACTTTCCATTAGATTGTTGTATGTGCGGCTACTCTTGTTACGACCGCTTTTGCTCTCCACCACCCGTCACACCCGTCCACAGTCAACAAATACTGGCAAAATGGTCACGGACTCCTCGCTGGATCAGCATTTGGTCATCCAATGCTGCAACCTGTGTGTTCAGATGGCTCACAGACTGATTGAAATTATTCATCAGCATCTTGATACCGCGTACAAGAGTAGCGCATGGCATTCGGTATACTGTAAGTTGAAATTGGCTATCTACTCAAGACAGCATTGACGATGAAACAGTCACATTTGCGGCGATGATCACTTTGCTTGCGGCTGTGCAGGGTCCTGAAAATATCCAAATTCGAGATGCCCAGCAGTCGTTCGAAGCAAGTTGGGTTCGTTGCCTGCGAATCCTGGAACACTACGAAGAGCAAGTCATCTCTGCACCTCAAGCAATCTCCGTCCTACAGAAGCTCAGAATTCGAGCTTCTCGCTCTCAATTATCACACCGAGATCAAATAAACGCTGAAGATGTCTTGTCTCATGCTGGCGTATCTCGAGAAGCCACCGCAGGAGAAAACGGCGATCATGACGCCGGTGTACAGCCCACCAACTCGTCATACGTTACCAACTACGTCGATGCAGATGCCAATCCCATGGTGAACCTCAGTCCATTTCTAAGTTACGGGGTTGACGAACTATCCGATGCTTGGTTTGGCCAACATCTTCTTGACCTTGACTATTTTGGACTCAACTGGGATATTAATGCCACCACTCCGTCATTGTCCTCCATGTCTTAAGACTAATACCGGCCTTATCAGCCTTTCAGTCTTCTATGAAGCTCCAATCTTGCCTTTTCACACGCTTTGGTCACGTCGAACTCTCCAATGATGGCGTTCTGTTTGTTGATTTCGGACTCGATTTTGTCAAAGTCCCTTCCGACCCCCTCCGCTCGCCACTCATAGCAGTCGCCGATATGTCGACTGGCTTGTACCAGCCACTGACCTCTGTCTTTCCTTTCGGCATTGAAGGTCGCGAACACCGCCTTCAGATCTTGAGGCGTTTGGACAGATTGGTCTGCTAGAAGCTCAGCGAGGACAGCGCTGTCCTCAATGCAGATCCCCGCGCCTGCACCGTGATGTGGTGACGTTGCATGCGCAGCATCTCCGGTGATGCAGATACGTCCCTTGCACATGGTAGGAACGGGATGGTCTCCGAGATCAAATATGGCCCACTGTAGTGCAAATGGTCAGTCAACAATGGGGTGCAAAGGCCAGTGTCTCAGCGTCACTTATCACTTACCACATCAAGGACGGGTTTCGTCAATTTCAACAAGTTGATGACATTGGACCCATATTCCGCAAAGTCATGGAGGGCCTCTTCCCGTTTCGCAGGTCTCGTGAGCTTGTTGAAATCTGGCCAGTCTTCTGGAGTCGTTCGGAACGCAACAATATTCATCGTTTCGCCGTGGTTGACAGCGAATGTCAAGACATGGCCATCAGGGCCCATCTATTGCAAATCAGCGTGCGTCCACAAGAGTACTGACTTGGTAAAAGCTCACATGCAGGCATGAATTTTGCGCTAGCTCTTCACCAACTGCTTCAATCGCCTTGTCCATCGGGGCTAGACCCCGGTATGCATACTTGTGTGTATACACTGGATGCGCAGAAGGATGATCTCGGCCGACGATGATCTTCCTTACGGTCGATTTGATACCATCGCAACCGATAACGGCATCGGCTTCTGCAGTCGTCCCATCTTCGAACTCCATCACCAATCTGCCATTGCTGCTTTCCTCGATCTCCTTCAGCCTCTTGCCGAACCGAGCGATTTCCTTTGGAACCAAGTGCACCATCTCTTCGAGGTACCTTGCGCGGTGTACACCGTTCTGGCCATTTTTGGTCTTGACGCTGAAGGCTATGTCTTGTCCTTTGCGGCCCTCGGGAGGATCTGCTAGACCGTTGAAAAAGTCGAACCAGACCTTCTCTTTCGACGGCCAGATATTGCGAGTGCAGACTTTCTCGAACGCATCGTATACCCCTTGGTGACAGACTTTCATTGCCTGAACCGCGTTGGGGCTGAAGGACACACCGGCACCAATTTCGCCAAACTGAGGTGCCTGCTCATAGATCGTGGTGGGGATACCACGGTGGTGTAACGCAATTGCCAGGGTTAGACCTGCAATCCCACCTCCAATGATGGCTACCTCGAAGTTCTTGGTCTTTGCCATGGATGTTGACGTCGGGATATGGTCTTGAGTACTCAGATGTTTCGATATGTTCGATAGTCGTTCGAAGCTGGACATGATCTTTGATGCTCTCACTTGGGCTCACTTCTAGTCCATATTATATACCTCCTCCCTAGGTATTGATTAAGCCGTATGCTCAAGCCGTGCCCGTGATCCGTACGACCCGAGCTTTCAAGCGACAGTCGTCCAATTGTTCGAATGAATCCTTACACAGAGTGCATGTCGAAACTCCGAGAAACCCTTGTTGACGAGCACTTTTACAAGGCGCTGTTGCATCACCCGGAATGCCCATGGAACGGAATCGAGCTACCGACAGCCGAATCCCGACAACAGTCCCGACGCGCTACGACTTGGGCGTGGAGTCGGGATTATTCCGACACCAGATTATCTAACACTTTCCCAATGCGCGTCATTGACATTAGATGGTCCTACAGACTGACCACGATGAGGGAACCGCGAATTCCGGGGGCTGTTGGGGCTGTGCGCGGTCTTGAGCACATTTTACACACACTGCCGTTAGTTCGGCTGCACGACGGAAACAATATATGCTTCCTCCACATATATAACAATCGTCCTTGAAAATTGGCCCGCAAAACGACTCCCCAAAAACAAAAATCTTTATTAAAGTGTTCCGTCGCAACAGGGAGGTCGCAAAAAAAAAAAGAAGGCGAATAACCACCACGATTTTGTGGCGGCACCCGGAATCGAACCGGGATCGGATCGGAGCTGGGAAACACCATAAAACATACGGCTCAAGAGAAGCTGTACAAGGCGAATAACCACAACGATACATGCTGACCATTACACCATGCCACCCGCCTGAATGTGTCGATTTTTTGAGCCCATTAATATCTAAGGTAGATAAAATTTTTGTGTGTGGGGCTGGTGTGTCCACACGAAATCCCCTCCCTGGGCAGGCTTAGCATCTGCCTGCGGGATGACGATATGGGCCCCAAGAACCCTAAGCACATGCCCGTACCTGGGTAGGCAGGGAGCTAGCCTCACTAGCCTCAGCTCGGTGACTCAACGGACACCGCCGAGGACACAGCCTCCATGTGCTCCCTACCTACAATACATAGCTAGGTACGGAGTACGAGCTGGAACTTGGGACCCTTCTATCCTGAACATCCATGTTAGACTGTCCAGACTCACAAGGTTCCGCCATTCGAGTGCTACGCAGTGCACGAGCGGGAGAAAATGTCACTCGTAGAAGAGAAAGGAAGTACTGAAATTATCGTACCTGGGGTTCCAGCTGGAAGATGCGTGTTCAGCGATCACCGTTGACCAGAATTTTGGCCTGGCCGACTCTCCCCCTCCCTGATTCAGTACCCGGTGACTTGATTGATTTTTCTCGCCGGTGGTATATCCGCCGGCACAGACGAGCCTTCAGATGGGGACTGTCCGCCTTAGGCGAATACGTCCTCAGACAGGTTAGGCCTCCTAGCTGATCGCATAGCAGAAAAGGCCGAACCGTTGCGCAACGGTTCAAGCTCAGCTCCTCCACTTGAATAGTCAAGGGTGGAATTCTCAGTTGATGATATCTAAGTATCTAGGAGCGCGGAGACGCGCAGGCGTTCTTCACCTCCTCGAGCACTTCGCATGAGCCTCTTGAAACACCATGGCGAGCAACACAGCAGACTCCAGAAAAACGGTCCTGATAACAGGATGCTCCCAAGATTCGATCGGCGAACAGCTGGCAAGGGAGTTCCACCGACGAGGTTTCCATGTCATAGCGACGGCGCGCTCCCTGTCCCGACTTACGAGACTGACCTCGCTAGGCATTGACACGCGCGAGCTGGACCTGCTGTCGACAGAGTCGATCCACGCCTTCAGTTTGGGCGTCACGAAGCTGGACATCCTGATCAACAACGCTGGCGACAAGCACCTCATGCCCTTTGCAGACACGGCGCCCAAGGACTTTCGATACATGTTCGAGATCAACGTGTTTCCACACTTTGAAATCACGCAGCTTCTCCTCCCGCACCTCATCCACTCCAAGGGCATCATAGTGAATCACACCTCGCAGTCGGCGCACGGGTTCAAGTCGCCCGCGTCCGCGTACGCGAGTGCAAAGGCCGCGCTTGCCACATTGACAGACTGCATGCGCCTAGAGCTGGAGCCGTTCGGCGTGCGTGTCGTGGAGCTCGTTACGGGCATGGCACAGGGCAACATGACCAAGTTCGAGACGACGTACACGCTGCCGCGCGGGTCCATCTACGAACCCATCCGGGAGCCGCTCGAGACGAACATGAAGGCGGAGGCGGCGCGGCCGATGGTCATGGACGGCGAAAGGTACGCAAGGCGCGTCGTGTCGGATTTGCTGGATGGCTGGTTCGGGACGCCCAAGTGGATCTGGAGAGGTGCGTTCGCGACCACAATGTACTGGGTCCTCGTTGCGAACACCCTCTGGAAGGGCTGCACGGATGGCTTGTTCAGGGCCGCCCTCGGATTTGGTGGACTGAAGCGGAATTTGAACGAGGCCAAACAGCATTCTTCCTGAGTCGACTGGACTGGTGTCTCTGAGGAACAAGGCCGGCCCCATGTCGTCGAGTAGATATTTGCCTTGATGAGAGCGGGGATCGTCCTGCCCATGTCCCGTGAAGTTGTGCTTGTGGTGGGAGCGGTGTCGAGATGTGGAGACAGTATGATTGATGATACCTAGTAGGTCGGCGAGGAAGACCCTGCACGAGGACATAGGAAAGAAGCGAGGAAAGACCGCCGAGGAATGATGGAGTTGTCAAGTAAACGGCAAAAGGTTCTTCATACGCTGTGAACGGTGACATGTAGGAAACAAGAAAGTGCATTTGCTTTCTGGGTCTTGTCATATTGCAGACTTGATAAATTGCACAAGATGTCTCATTGTAATTTATTTGCAATGTTTCAAGCAAGAGCGACAATCACCTTCCATGGCTTCATATACAACGCCCCTTCACCTGGGCCAATTAGCTATGCCCCTCCCAAAACAAAGCAGTGCCTTTCGCATTGTTCATGGAATGCTTCGCTTGCTCGCTAACAATAAATAATTGTATGGTTTCTTGTATCTTTTCCTTCTGCCCCCTGGTGAGCCGACTCAGACTGTACAAGGAGTCTCTCCGGAGGTACCTCCTCTGAATGCGGAAAGGGGGAAATAAATGCCGTTCTTGATCTTCCTGGGGTTGTAAATTCCCGCACGTCAACGAAGAACAGAGGCCGATCGGACGAATGGGTGTAGAAAAGATGTGTATCCGGGGTCTATTGTGAATTTATTTCACCCACTGTGCCCTCCGTTGAGCTCGTTTCCGGGCTTCGGCAACACTCGCTGGGTCTCTCAAGGCTCCCAAGAACAGACCACATGGTATCAGGAACGACGTAAAGAAGCCGGCGTATTGGAGAGTGTGTACTGATGCGGAGACCCGCGAGGCTTTCCAGACGAGAGGAGTCGTCATTTTTGGTGTTTGTCAGGGGGTGGTTTCGTGTGGTATTTTGGTTGATGGAATTGAGGTGCTTTTGAGCTCCGTCGAGGTATTTTTTTTTAAGGTAGACTGTCGAAATGGATGTACCAGAAGTGTTTCGATATACCCAATCTGGTTGTTGAGTGAATGGCAGATTGTCCCGGGAGAAGTGCAGGGGACTCGAGCTCACCTATTTATTTGTACTTGGACCTACCGTTGAATCGAAACAAGCCCGAAGCCAGGACGCGCTGAGAGGGTCGACGTGTGGTCTGATGTGCGTGTATAGCGATGGTACAGCGTTACCATGCTGCACACATAATCAATCATACCACCGCCTTGATGCAGTGCTAGACGACCACAAGCGTCGCACATAATCATCAACTATAGGAGCTGTTAGCGATCATGTGTCAGGAGACGCTGGCACTGAGCCGGGCACACCTGAGGCTTTAAGAGGGTGGTGGTGTGACGGCCGGCGGCGGCATTTGCCCTCTAGTTAGAACCCCAAAAATTGCTCCACGACAGCCTCGTCGGCAACGTCCGGTCTCCCTTCTTGACTCTTGAGCGAGGGATTTGAATTCCTGACTGTGCGGAGCGGAACCCGGCGTGCTAGTTGAGCTAGAGCTTCACCTGCCCCATACCGTAGGCGAGACGTATGCTTCCCCAGAGAGAACTGATATGGCTTCTCAAGATGCTACGGTCAGGCCGCAGCCGGGGGGGAGGCTGAAAGCCTCACAAACAAACGAGAGAACGAAAAGTCCCCTGTCGATGCCACCTGTTCTACCAGTCCCTGCGAAGGACAAAAAGTCAGCTCCATAATGAGTTACCCTCTGTCCACACTGGAGATGTCAGAAAGGAGAGGGACGCCAACAGAGGAGTGGTAGGTCGATGACGGGCAGACAAGGCTGAAGTGAAAGAACGGTGCCAGACGCCGGGATATCTTCGGTTCTTGTTGCAACGCACATCTGTCCTCGATGCCGGCAACGCATTGAGGGAGAGTGAGTGACACATACAACTGACTGACCGTTGACGACTTCAGGACAGACTCTCTTGTAACACACCAAAAGCAATGCTCGTTCAAGGACCATTCCAGACTAATTAGCCTTCTCTTCATTCCCATCCCGCAGTCAAACCTCTTGACTGGGCCGCGAACTCGTCAGCAATGTCCTCACCACCTCAAAAAGTCTCCCTCTACTCCGTCAATGGTAAATATGCTGCTCTCCTCCACCGCGACCATCTGACATCTTCTGCAGACCTCAAAAATGCCACGGACGACGCGCTTGCACCGTACCTCACGAGCCTCCCCAAACCCTACACGTTCAAACAGCTACACTCCAGTACCAACGTCCGACTGATCCTAGGCTACACGGCAGTCATAATCGCCGGTGTGCTCTTCTACGCGGACTACAAACTGGGCTGGGACGCGACAAAGGCGTACACCGGTCCAGCTTGCGTGGCGTACTTTGTGCTCAACAGTCTCTTGACGTATTGGATATGGGCCGTTGAAGCGGGCACCGTATTTGTCGGTACAAGAGAAGGTGGACAAAAGGTTAGCTTTGGACATGGCCCATTCGCACTCCCACCCTCTCAACCCTCCATTCCTCTCCCCGTGCCCCTTGCCATACCATGCTCTTTCACGGGATTCCAAGTCACATGATACTAACAAGTGCACACTTCAGTTGACGCTGAAATCGTCGTCGCAAAAGTACAGCCCGAGTTACAAACTCAAAGTGTCGTACGAGGCGCCGTCGGGCAAGAAGTGGGAAAACAAAGAGATCGAGGGCTCGTTTACACAATGGTTCAACACGCACGGATACCTGCAGAAGAAGGAATTTCAGTCCTGGCTCGCCGAGAACATTGAAGTGTTGGGCGTGGCGAAGAAAGAAGGGAAAGCCGCCATCTCTGAGCCAGCCACCGACAATATTGAGCCAATTGACGACGCCACGCTCGCGGCCATCTCGTCCGCAGGCGGTATGAATTTCTCCTCGGGCGTCGACGCAGTGGGACCAGCGCCTCCGGTGCCAGCTACACCGTCGACGACGAAGAAAGGTCGATCGAAGAAGAAGGCGTAGAAGACGTCTGAGCCATGGTGCCAGATTCGTTGAAACACCACAAAACATACCTACACACACAGAGAAAGACGGTTCACGTGTTCTAGGGTATGACCACTTTGACCTCAACCGTACCTAGCACTTCAGACTTCACACGCAAGGGGTCAGCCATTACATCCACCCTCACTCCCACGGCTGTGTCACGGTTCTTTGAGGACTACTAGTCAGGCGCGGTGTGGTGACCAGGTCGCTTGCCCATGTGAGGCCCCGTCTCGTTGTTCTGGTACGACCAGTACGGGTACCATGGGATGGGCGAGAGTCAACCGCACCGAACCAGCGAAGTCAAGCAAAGCAAGCATGGAAACCGCCGCCCACGTATGACGTATCCGGGCATCTGAGATGTCCGTGAGTGTACGGGTATGGTGCTCTTTCTTTTTATTCCGGTCTGTATGGAAGGGACATAGACCAACGTTCAAGCTCTACCTAGGCCAGGAGAGCCGAGCACTTTCGACCCTCTGGAGCAGTCAGATCCGGGGATGCCCTTAGTTATATAGGTCAGGTAGCCGTGGCATAATGAACCTGCTAATTCATGAGGCTCTTAAACCATGTTCATTCTTCTTATGCTGCTACAGACTGGATCGTACGGGGTTGGAGAAAATCATTCCTCTCGAGTTTCACGAGTCTCACATCTCATCCTGTATGTCTCTAAGATTTTGTCATCATTTACCAACCAAGGCAAGCGAGCGAGCGAGCAAGCAAGCAAGCCAGCAAATACCAACGCTACTATTTCCTTGTTCCACAACAGAAAGCCCCAGTACCACAAAGTCTCATCTCCTATGTTCCTTAGAAAGCATCCCTAGGTATTGTGTCCTCCATGGTCCGAATTCGTCCGAACAACACTTTTTACTCTCGTCCCATGCATATATACTACTCATGACAACACAGAGATGATTGCACCCGACAAACCTGCTTCGTCTGTCCGCACAGATACCTTGACCGTGACGCCCGACTTTGCAGAAAACACCATCTTGACTAGCGCAGCAACCCGTCCGCCGGTCACGGACTTGCCGTACAATTTCAGAGTATGCGTGGCGTTGGACAAGACGACGTCTGTGCCTTCGAGAGGTTGTAGGGAAAGGGTTTGGGTGAGTTGTTCTGTCGCATCTGATCAAGGATAGTCAGCATGAGAATACAGAGCCAGGGAGTGGCAGAAACTTACCGGCCAGGCTCTTAACGCTCGCCAGTTGTAATGTGTCGTTGGATTCTTCGCCATTGGCACCTGTCCCTTCCCAAATATGATCGAAGCTACCAGCGAAGGCAGGAGAGACAAAGTCTGCTCCTGTGAGCTCGAGGTTTTCGACCTCATATTCGTCTTCATATCCGCCTTCTTCGGCCTCGCCGGTGGTTGGGTCGATTTCTTTGCTGGTGAATTTGAGGACATTGCCGAATGTGCTGACGGGGAAAGATGCCTCTCCTTCGACCTTTTTGAAAGCGACATAAACGACACCAGGCTCGTTGGTCTTCAAAGCATTGGCAGGAATGATGAACTCTTCTTCAAGGGTCGCTTCTTCGTCTTCCGATGGCGTAGCCAGGACTGAAACATTTTCAATCACCGTCTGGTCCAATGTGTTCTTGATGTCGTATTGGATAACCACATGCTCCTTGAAGATATGCTTGATTGCGGAGACGACGTACTCGGTCTCGCTCTCCGTAAGCGCAACCACAGAGCTGGACTTGAGCACCGGCCCATAAGCGGCAAGCTCGGGTATTCTCGAGAACTCTTGGGTATACTTCTGGGCGGCTGCTGCAGCAGAAGGGCCGTCCGAGAGACCATTTGCCTTTGGCTTGGCTGGGCCGGTGCTTGGAGCCTTGAGTGTTGGAGTGGCAGTAGTAAGCTTCTTCGTGCGTTCCTCGGCCAAAGCCTGCTCCTGTGACACCACTGGAACCTGGCTAATGTCGAAGGCTTTGCTGAAGACCGATTTGTCATCTGATGTCACATACATGACGAGCTTGTGTTCGAAAGTTGGCAATGAGAATGTTGAGTCGTTCTTGACAAAGCGCTCGGCAATTTCGTCTTCTTCCTCCATCAACCGCAAGTTCAACGCGGCCCTATCACGGACTTCGTCATCTGTATCGTCCAAGCATCTCGTCAACAGCACCTTGACGCTCTTCTTGACCTCAGGGTCCTTTTGTCCGACACCAAATTTGGCCAAAGCGGTGACTGCGGCAGCTCTGACCAAAGCATTCTCCAAAACCACTCTGTTGTAGATGTATCGAATGTATTTTGTGGGCTGCGGTGTCTTTGGTCCTTCAACACCAATCAAGTGCAAGATGCGAACGGCAAGCTTTGTGAACTCGCAATCCTCGATGAATTCGCAAAGATGTGACAAGGTTTCTTCTTTGCTGCCAGGTACAAACTTGATCAGGTCAAACATGCTCTCAACAACAGCACGCTTGAATTCATAGCCACCCTCATCACGAAGAATCGTGCTCAGGAATGTAAGCATACCAGCTTGCTTGCTCGGGAATTTCATGCAGAGTGTGCGGATAGCTTCAACAATGGTAATCTTGAACTCGTCCGTGATCTCGGACATGAATCCCTGAATCTGTTTCATCAGTCGGTCAACGCTGGCTTCGTTACCCGTTTTGAGCAGAGTAGTGATAGCAAATGTCGCGATGCTTCGATTGCTGTTGGAGATCAGGGCTTCGATGTCAGGGTTGGCAGAATGGACGGCTTGCGGCTTGAAGGAAGCGAAAGAATGGAGGATCCGAATAGCAGCAAACTTCGTAACTGCTCTAGGGGAAGTCAAGAAGGACTGCAGGACGTGGATCGCCTGAGCTGCCTCGGCATCGGTCACGCCTGGCAAATTGCAGATTGCCTTGGCTGCTTCGAAGTTGACCATCTCGCTCTTGTGTCGCAACCACGTGTCCAGCATCTGCATCATGGGCTTTCTCAGGCTGGGATCCTCTTCAGCAAGTCGAGCTGCCAGTCGGACAAGCATCATGACGCCAGCAGGGCTCTTCACAGCTCCTGCGGCGCCATATTGCTGCACCATCTTTACCAAGGCCATGCGATCGTGAGAGCGCATCTGATACAACAGACCAATCGCATGGTACTGGTTCATATAGTTTGTGTTTGCGGCTGCCAGGGAATGTTGAGAGCTGCCCCCAAAGCTCAAGAAACCGCCGCCAGATTTCGACGACGACGCGGCCTCCTGTGTCTCACTCTGCCACCTTCTGACCACATCTCTCGCGATTGGCAGGAGGTGATACGAGGACACTAGCGCCGCCGAAGAGACTGCTGGAGACTTGTCCACTATGGCAGTCTTTATCAGTCGCTCAATACCTTGGACTGTCGTGGCGTCGATGATTCTACACAGAGCTCGGATAGAATTCGCTTTGTATATGATCTCGCTTCCCACAGTCATATCCTTCATGATAATACTGGTAGACATTATCACATCCTCGGCCGTGTGGGCCAACTCTTTCAAGATCAAATAGACCATTTGGCGTAAGGAGGGGTCCTTGTTCTGGAATAGTTTAGAAATACCGAAAAACAACGTGGTGGCTTCATTAGTAGGAAACTTCTCCCCCGTGAAGAGGAGGACGCCGATCTTCGTGAGCAGTGTGCGGCATTTTCGAGGTGAGATGGGAGAGGAATTGAACAATCGAGCTGAAGTACAATTAGTTGGCGGAAGGTCAGAGTGTTAAAAAAGGCGCAGCAGTATACCATCTTGGAAGACAGAGGTACGGTCCAACCTGAAGCCGACGGAGTGGTCGGCATCCTCGTCCTTCTTTGCGTAACTCATCGTGGATATGGTCCTTCGTGTATTCTTGGTGTCTGTGGGAGTGGATAACGAGGATGCCCAGGAGAGCAGAGAGAGAACAACCGGGGTTTGTTGTGGACTACCGCACGATCATGTCGCGGAGAGAATGGATCAATGAAGAGGAGGTAGCGAGGGAGAGACGGACGTGGAGTGCACGCTGAAAGAGTGTCAACAACGGAAGTGTGTCGACGTGAGGCCGTCGAAAGTCGCAGGGGATGTCTACAGTGTCCTCGCCCAAAGCCAAATTCTTGTGGAGTGCGCGTTGCGCCACACTTGAAAGCCACTGTGGCTGTAGCGAGTCTGCATTGACGACGCTTCAGATCCTTCACTTCATGCCCATCATCGGTGCCTGGTCAAAATACACACCTTACTCGAGCTCAGGATATAAGAACTAAAGGTGTTGCAAAATCTCCCTGTTCGTATTCAGTATGGATATGCCAGTGAATGTGCCAGTGGACGACCCGAATGCGGATACAGAATGGTATGCGACACGAACTGGCCTGTGACTGCCAGTCTCTATGCAAGTAAACATTCATGTTCACACTTTGATTGCAGGAACGATATTCTCCGTAAACATGGCATCATCCCGGAGAAGCCAAAAGACCCAGAGCCGATCATTCAGGAGGCTCTTCTTGAGGCTACACGCAAAGCCCACGAGAACCGGCTCGAGGATAAAGACTTGGACGAACTCGCCGACCTGGAGGATGAAGAGGACGAGGCATTTCTGGAGCAGTACAGGCAACGTCGCCTTGCCGAACTCTCAACGCTTCAAAGGAAGAGTGTATATGGTCAAGTCTATCCGCTTCAGAAGCCTGACTATGCACGAGACGTTACAGACGAGAGCTCGAAAGCATTTGTACTTGTCAACTTGACATCTTCGCTTGGAACAAACGTCGAGTCCCGAGTTTTGACTGAGGTCTGGCGTCAAGCCGCTGCCAAGTATGGCGATATCAAGTTTTGCCAAATAAGAGCGGACCTATGTATCGAAGGGTACCCTGAACGCAACACACCAACGATTCTGATCTACAAGGATGGCGACATCAAGCGGCAGCTTGTAACCCTGGCACAGTTGAACGGACCACGGACGAATCTTCGCAACATCGAGCAGCTTCTCGTGGACGTTGGTGCAATCACCGCGAATGACATGCGGCTTAGGCGGAAAGATAGTGATGAGGAGCTCAGCAACAGCAAGAAGGCCACAGACGACGATAATGATAATGATGATGATTGGGACTAGCGATCAAGCTTCGGGCCGGTCGGGTTATACAGACAAAACAATTCTTGTCGAATGCTGAGACGCTCACAATTTCTCCCCGGCTCTCCCTGAGTTTCAGGATCCGACATCCAGGCACTCTCGAAACGTTCACAGCTCGGTTTCAGTGGCTGATTTTGACGTGAGCAACCAGCCTATAAGGTGCCACTCCTCGGTTACATTTCTTCTGTCGATTCTCAGAAGTCTTGACGAGCGCCGACCAGTGCTGGCAGTGGCCAGGAAACAGACCAGGCTTCCTAGTCTCCTAGCTTGATAGACTGCCCCTGCCTGTTGCTTGTTCGTGGCCGCAAATGACACTTGAACAGCGAATGCAGCAGTAGTGCAGCTGCGTGTTGCTGTAGAGGCGTGTAGGCTGAAGAGAATTCATCTGTTGTCGAGCATGTCTGAGCATTGGAGAACGGTTTAGCTCGTGCACGCTCGGCTCTGGTGCGTTAACGATACTCGACAAAATCTCAAGTGTTGAAGGGCTTCTCAGGGTATACTTTCAGGTTGTCGGACCTGTCACGGCATACAAAGCCGCACTCCCAAGATAAACATATGACCCTGCTCCCAAAGAAGCTCATAAAAATCCTCCAAACACAAAATCTTGTTGACAGATGCACCATGACGCCTCGCTGAAAACAAAAAACCAGGACCACATTTGAACATGGCCATGCATACCAGTGGACCACTTTGGTAAACCCCCTGCATGGGGAGCTGACTTAGTTCAGATCAACTCATCCCGCCCGCCTGCGACCGCGCTCTCGCTAATCGCCTGCCGAACATCGCTCTCCAAAAAGATTGGCCCTTGACCATCACATCTGGCCATCTTCTTTAATCGTTCACATACATCGCCTACATCAACCAGCCCCTTCCTGAACAATTCATGCGCTTGGATATAATCCCAAGTTGCACCAGCGCCGAGTAGCTGTTCGCCAGTCTCGTTATCAATGGTGATAGTCCTCATCGTACCGAAGTGTGCGTATTTGGAGAAGGGTTCTCCTCCAGATGCCATGCTACTGGTGGCGGACCGTGTCTTTGCAGGTATGTCTGTCGGTATGAAGCGCATTGGCCCCACTAATTCATCTGGCTCTTCCATGAATGGCGTAGGCCCGTTAGACGAAGAACCTGACGTAGCCCGTAGAATTTCGTTTTCGGTCGCAATTTTGGCAAGTTCGCGACGTAGCCTTTCATTCTCGCCGTTCAAAGTCATCGACTGATGTTGCAAGGTGGAAAGTTTGGCCTCGAGGTCTTTCACGTGTCTTTCTTTTCTTTCCCTAAAGGCGCGTTGCCTGTTTATGATATCAGCAATCCCATTACTATACTTTGTACGGATGTTAGTGCCCTACGCTGCTCGATTCTGCGCTTTTCGTTTATTTTGTTGCGGTGTCAAAAGGTCCTTCTCTTCACTACTACTTCGGCCAACAACGGTCTCTTCTGCGGGTATTTCTGCTACGGTTGTAGCCACGCCTTTGGAGTCGCCATCAGGTATAGATAACATCGAATCCCGATGCAGATCGAGGGGAGGGGATACGTTATTAGGCTGATGTGGCTGTGCCAGGAATGTTGAGGGATCATAGTGGAAATTTTGCTGGAATGCGGCGAAGGCAGAATCGAAATGATCCTGCGACGCTGTTAGAAGAGCTGGATAGGCATCCAAAAGAGACACTCACGTTGGAAGCGTTAGGATCGAAGTCGTCCAGTGTCGGGGTATGATTGTTGCTGGGCGTTTGAGAGAGTCCAAAGAACTGGTACGGTTGGGGGGCCGAAGTAAAATATGAGAAATCCATTGCTCGGGTGCCTGCTTTGGTAGAAACCGACTTTGAGAATACCGTAGCGACAGAGGCTCAGGCTCGTCACCGTTGCCGCTCAGAGTTGTACCGCAGTTGCACGATCTCGACACTGTTCCCGATTGAAAGAGGGTAGCTGTGCACTATACGCCCGTAGCACAATCCGGGCTTAATACGTAGATACACTTTGGCGTCCTGGAGGCGAGAGTCAAGGGATATCGATTGCAAATTGAGGCCGAGGTTGTCGAGGCCTTGTCTTTCGATGAGGGTAATCAGGAAGAGAGGCGTCAGGGGATCGTCAGCTCGCTCGTGGAGGACATTTCTTCGGCATGAAACCGCTTTTCTCCCAGATGTACGGATAAAGAGAAAGAGAACCGTCAGTGGCTAGATGCCCGAATACAGTCGACGAAGACGGTTGTGATTGAGGAGTATGGCCGTTTTGGAACGCGGCAGCGAGCGACTAGAAGCCTGAAGGATCGCAGGCGATCGGCGTGGATTTCCCCAAACAAAGCCTGAGTCCAGGGATTGGGGGGATCGTGGAGGGGTCGCATCCCAGGGTCCAAAGGGCGAGTACATACTCGTATCATTCGTATTAATGCTATTGTAGCCAGTTCGCAGCACTCAGGGTCTTCCGGCAACGACAACGCCAACAGCACATGTTGATCACCTAACGCCACGTGAACCTCGTATTATGTTATCGCTATCGGGAATGCAGCAGATACAACATGAGGCTTGCAAATGCCCCCAACCTCACAGACTGAGGCTGGGATCAACGCGCTCCAGATGGCTATCGACACTCAAGAATTACCTGCCTTGAGCGTGAGTAAGGGTCCGCTGTTCCTTCAGGAACACACTATGCACTACGACGCTCGAGCAATCCATTCTGGTGGCGTATTAACTAGCCGTTGGCATTGGGCTCCGGACCCAATTTGCGAATGCGGTGTATCCAGATTCCCAGGCCGACATTAGCCTAGTGAACCGTCCATGGTTCTGCAGGACGAGTTACCAGGGCTCGCGCAGTGATGCATGCAAAACAACCAGTCACAGGCGAAAACGATGCCCGAAGCAGGGGGCTTCATGCTTGAGTCAGCAATCTACATTGTCGTCGGTGCCGCTTAGGCATATTGATTGAGCCTCCGCCGTCAGTGTCTCGACAAAATGACGGACAGGCGCCCCCCTGACTATAGAAGCAATCGTTGAGTCGTTGTGCCGGGGAGCAGATTTGGCTTCCCGCCAAAGTTTCCAACGTGGGTCAGGTTCGAGATGGTCAACGCAGGTAAGATCATCCTCAAGTTACATTATCCACGGCTGCAAAGAAGCGCCGTAACATCCAGGCCATAGTTGCGCCCAGACATAAGCGTCAATGTATCATCAAGATTTTCATTCTTCAATAGGATCTGCCGTGGCCCAAGAGTAAGGGGGTTTACCCGTGTCCAGTCAGCGGTGGCAGCAATAGGTCGAACGATGGCTGACTAGGACCCTAGGTTGACCCTGGTGCATATTGGCTTGGGGGCCAGCAACGTGGAAGGGCGACCGCCAGTCGCTGAAGTAAGCGGGAAGAGAACTCGACTCTCTCACTCTTCCCTGGTGGCAGCGGAGATTCTGCGCATTCAGTCACAATACTAATGTACTATGTGCTTGCTCCCTTTCGGCCTGCCTCCGAAGCACGAATGCCTGTACGAGTACTTGGCTTCTCTGTGTGTACAGTATGCTATCCTCTCTAGCTGTCTACCTGGAATGTAGAGGATCACCGCCAAATTAGGCCGCTTCAATCGTGCCACATGAGCTCGGACCAAAGTCTCAAGCAACTACATCAACTGTCGTATTACACGATCTTTTGTACAGCAATAACAGATTCGATTCTTTTATTCCTGGCTTTAGTTGACCCTTATTTGGGTCTACCTATGAGGCGGCACCAGGTCTTCTGCTCGCACAATGCTCGTTGGCGCTCTGAAATCGATGTTTCGCTTAGGAGGTATGAAATGCCGGTACCTCATCACTAAGAAGACACGTGGAGATGACGAAGAAGCCTGAAGATTAGTAAGACATCGCTGGCAACATCGGTAGCCAACAGGACCTACTGAGTAAGAAGGCTGGGTATTTGGCCAGCTGCCTGTCGGTTGCGACAAAGAGATCAGTCGAAGTAAACAGATGACGAATGTTAATATTGCATTGCGAGCGATGGATCAATTGCGTACTCCATATGGTATCGCTGGACATCGAAAACGAAATGATACATGTGGTAGTTGGCAGAGGCTGGTGCTGGGAACCTGTGAAGGGGCCTAAAGTACCTGGATTGCTGCCAATGGGGCGTTTGTGGGACACGTCTACCACACCCAACGTACAATAGTCCGCTGTCTGCTGCTGCCAGTACGAGCACGGAGTCACTGTGGCGGCATGGGATTGAGATTGAGTGGCTTGCATTTTATCCTCACCCACACATTGTTTTCTCTACACCGGCTGGCGGTTCCGCGCGATGGATAGCGCCTCTCTATTCTTTCGTTAAGCAGGCAAATCAGACTACATCCTCAATTTGACCCCCAGCTTCTCGGCTCAGGAGCTTCGTTACCTCCATTCGCCTTGCCAACGGTGTATCATCCATAACATTCTCCACGGCACTTGGGCGGAAGATTTGAGTTCGTGGTCGGCTTGAAAACAGACCTGTCAATTTCATTCCGCCTGACGGTGTCTTTCTCGATACAAAAGAACCCAACTGCCACGACTCGGAGTTTCGATTTTTAGGCACAGGACTCAAGAAGTAACAAATATCTATTCACACAATTGGGGGAGGACTTTTCTAGCAATGTTCCATTCCTCATAATGCGAGCATCTCAACACCACAGTCGTGGTTTTATGGCTGATTCTGGTGCGACGGCATATCGATGCATTTTGCTAACCTTGATTGCGGATCCATCGACTCATAATCTCAAACGGCACGCGCACAGCGTCTAAAATGGAATTTTCATCATCATCTTCAGAGGCAAGCTCCTCAAGGTCCAACCGAGATGCCAGATTTACCGGGCTCAACAGTCCCTCTGAGGCATCAAACACTGGCAAAGCCCCGGAAGGTCCTCCCCAATTCGACATCATTGCATGGTATCCAAAGCACCAGAGCTGTCAGAAATATTTCATCGACCATGCTCAGCATGAACCCCTTGTTCAAGCTTTTGCAGCCTTCATCAACATCTTGCTGCCCTTTCAGCGACAGCCGCATCCGATTTACAGCACAACAAGCTCGCGGAGTGGTAAGGCGAGGGTAGAAAGGGAGAGGACATCCAGCAGCACTTCCGAACCAGCAGCAGCTGCATCGTCAGTCTCTCTGATCCCGTACATCCGTCGTTTGGTCGTTACCGGTATGGATGTGCCGCAGGTGCTGCACGGATTCTTTGGCGATAACTGGCGGCCTGGCATTGGCCCCCAGCGGGAACAGGAAAGGCGCAACTATCTTTTTGCAGCAAAGAGTGGAGGCTGGGCGTCTGTCAAGCGTGACTACGATATGCTGCCCCTCGAGACAGTGCCCTTTATACGGCCACTGTTTGACCCGACCGACGGGGAACTTGAAGCTGCCGAACGGACGTGGAGTGAATGGCTTGCGCTGGAAGACTGGATGGTTGGATCTCGGGCACCAGAGTAAAACAGGTGAAATATGCTGTATGTTACATCTTCAGAGCCGGCGACTCACTTTCCACGCAAGAAACACCCGTCATAGCACCTGCTTCTGTGTTTATCCTCCGCCAAAGTGAGGCTTTTGTTTGGGAGGGGCAGCACGGTTTTGTGACATCTGCAGAGATAACCAGTCCTGGAGGCATAACCTGTACATCCTTATCCTTTATAGTGAAGATGACACTGTTGGGCAGTATTAACACCGCCATATCACTGGGGTCTCAGAGGATGGGAGCATCCAGCAGCGAGCTTTAGCAGCTTTTACTAGCGGTTCATGTCAGCCTCGTTGAACTAGCGCGAGGCTGACGGCGGGAATTTCTAACGCCACTTTCGTATTATTTGATCCGAGATATCAACGTTCTACCTCCGGAGGGACTTGTGATAATGACTTTACATTCACAAAGCACTTAACTTTCTTGTTCTCTACCTTCACTTCTCATTTTTGGATTCGACACCCTTCAAACCGTTGCTAAGCGTCCCAATGACGACGACTGCGCACCCCACTTCTGATTGACTTTCATATGAAGTTACCGTCCAAGAGGTCTTGTCGACGGGAATGATTCGCCACCTCTTCATTACAGAAGAGTGCCCATGAATATCCCCCACGGCCTTCGTGGCGCTGACTATATCGCCCTCTCAACGATACATCATGGCTGCCAATGCGCGCATGCTGCTAGACCCCAAGTCGATGAAGACGAAATCAAGGCCCGAAGGTAATACCCAGTCGTCTTATATTCTTGCCTTTCAGTCTCACCTTACCCAGAGGGTCGCTTGACTCTAATTATGCGCTGCGCTTTTCCATCACCCAACTTTCTTTGAATTCACATCTGATATCTGGCAGCCAACGATTCATCTACGGGCAACATGTCTCCGAAGCACAAGAGCATTCCATCATTCAATCAGGCTGACCCATCACGCTCAAACGCGCAGCTGCCATATAGCCCCGCACGACATTCTGAGCATCGGGCACTGCTAGATCCACGGTCAATTGTACAGCCTAAGCGGTCTCAGATTTCAAGCTTCAGTCCAGTCCAACCAACATTTCACAGTGGTGCAGACGATAATGTTACGCATCCACATTCCTCCCCTCCTACTGGCCTAAATCGCCAGCACAGCGGCCCTCGATCTCTCTTAGAGGCTGTGCATGGTGTAGAATCGAGAGTCGATCATCCACGGAAGAAGATCAAGCCAAGTCCTAATCCTGGGAGCGCCGAGCCAAAAAAGGCCTCGAGCTATTCGCATCATCCCAGCAGCGGCATTATTGGCGGCTACATGCGCCCCAATCCTGAAAAGTCTGCCGAGGATACCCTGAGATCTCTGGTCGACCTCACGAATGACGACGAAGGAGATGCAGACGATGACATTGAGATTGTGTCTTCCAGGAGCTTGGATGACGAAGAAGTCTGCTACGGCCATTTCTCGACCATCGTACACGCCCACCGTATTCCCAAACCTAAAAACATTTCGACTTTTCACGGCGAGAAGGAATGGCCTGTCATGAAATGTACTCTCCTACGAACGCGATCCAAGGACACCGTCATTGAAGTCTCTGATCCCTGGGGTGTTGTGTTCGGTAAGGTGAACGCCGACTTTGCCGCAGCTCTCGCACCGGTTCTGGATGGCCTGACAGGAGTGCGAACGCAAGCGAGACTAATAAACCGTCGCAAAAAGCCAAATGAATGGCCTCACGTTGAATGCTCCGAAACATTGAAAATGGTCGTGAATGTCTATGGGCGAAGAAAGGATGTCGCAAGAGTCGGTCGCCACTTTGGACAACATAATTTCTGGTTTCGCCCACCAATGGCTCCTGAGCCTGGTATCCCAATTGTTAATCCACACGTAAAGAGGGATCCACTTCCCCCGACTCCCAGGAAGACGGGACAGAGCAACATTCTTTCTGATACCCGTACTCTGGAAGAAGCAACGGAAGCTGTATCGAAGCTCTTCGACTCATTTGCGGAGGCTAGAAGTGCCTTGGAAGAGAGCTCGCCACCATCATCTGTCATCACAACACCTCTGTTAAGCCATCAAAAACAGGCGCTCACGTTCATGCTACGCCATGAGAGAGCGAGAACATTCGGGACTGAAGAATCGGATAATTCTTCTCTATGGAGACGGATGACCACTAAGACAGGCGCCACGATCTACCGCGAGGTTGTCAGTGGCATATCGGTAAAAGATGAGCCAGAACAAGTCTTTGGAGGACTACTTGCCGATGTCATGGGCCTGGGAAAGACTTTGGAAGCTCTGTCGTTGATCGCGAGCACATTGGACGAGGCAATGGAATTCAGCAAGGAGAAGACAATCCGGGACGACCAGAACGTGCTTCTAGCGAACACCCAGGCAACATTGATTGTCTGCCCTACCAGTACGGTCAAAAACTGGGAAGATCAAATTATAGCACATATGGATCCGGCTGCCGTGTCTTATTATGTTTATCATGGCACAAACCGAGAACGCAACCCGTACAAGTTGTCAAAGTACGACATCATCATTGCAACCTACGGTGTTGTAGCCTCAGAGTTCTCGGGCAGGGGAGCTCCTAGTGTCACTCCATTAAAGCAGTTGAAGTGGTTCAGAATTATACTGGACGAGGCTCACACAATTCGAGAACACAAAGCGCAGCAATCGCAAGCCATCTACAGCTTAGAAGCGCAGCGTCGATGGTGCTTAACCGGAACTCCGATTCAAAATCGGCTAGACGATCTAGGGTCACTGACTAGGTTTCTGCGACTCTATCCATACGACACCCCAGCCCGATTCAATCAGTACATCAGAGGCCCGGCTCAAGCCGGAGACCCGAGTTTCCTGAAAGCGCTGCGGGTATTCGTCGACTCTTTTACCCTCCGACGACTGCGAGATCAGATCGATCTGCCGGAGAGGAAAGACTTTGTGGACTTGCTTGACTTCTCTCCCGAAGAACGGCAACTACATGATTTCTTCAAGGAAATTGCACACGTGCAGATTCAGGAGTTGGCACATATGAAACAGAAGAACAGTGGAGTGCAGCATCATGTTCTTCGTGGTATCATGACGCTACGGCTGATTTGTGCCCACGGTCGTGATCTCCTGAAGGAGAAGGATCTTGAGAAGCTGAAGGGCATCAGTAAGAGCGAGGCTATTGACCTTGATCACTATATGCCGACGACGATCTCCAGGCAAACAGCCTATGAATCACTGAACCTGATGACTGAGGCCGATCTTGATCTCTGCAGACGATGTGAGCGCCGCATTACGGAAATCGAGTTCGAAGACGAGCACGGCATCCGCTGCTATGTCTTGCCATGCTTCGATTTGATCTGCGCAGAATGCTTCGCGTCAGACAAAGGCACCTTCGACACGAGGCCCGATAAAGAACCAGTGACTTGCCCATACTGCTTCAAGGAAATCGCCGCGCAATACGTTGGATTTAGCGGATCCACTGCGCAAGAGATATTAGCAGCTCCAGATGACAATATCGCAGAGGACGAGGACGAAACGGCCATGCACACATATCATGGGCCACACACCAAAACAAAAGCGCTCTTGCAGGATATTGCCGCGATGCACATGGACAGTCAGGCTTTCGAGGCTGCGGGAGAACCACCGCTCAAGTGTGTCGTATTCTCGGAATTCACTTCACACCTCGACTTGATCGAGATTGCGCTGCGCGACAATGGATACTCGTTCGTGAGGGTCGATGGCAAAATGTCACTCAACAACCGAAAGAAAGCCATGGATGCATTGGCGTCGGACAACAACGTTACAATTCTCCTTGCATCGATCAAGGCGGCCGGGCAAGGACTGAATCTCACAGCGGCGTCCCGAGCTTTCATCATGGAGCCCATGTGGAATCCAGCGGCAGAGGCACAAGCTGTCGATCGAATTTATCGAATCGGGCAGACGCGACCAGTCTTGGTAAAAAGGTATCAGATGAAAGACAGCATCGAGAGAAAGATCGTCGAGCTGCAGAAGCGCAAGCAGCAGTTGGCAGACGTGTCTTTAAACCAGAATCACAGGCAGCTCAGCAAAAAGGAGGTGCGAGAACAACATATGAAGGAGATTTTGGCTCTTTTCAAGTAGATCATGACAGCTGGCGGATTGGGTGCTGCGCTTGAGATACTGGACTTGGAGCTACAGTTGCTAGCGCTGGCGTGGTGAATCAATTCGGCGCTTTTTGAGATGTATCACCATTATTTGCTTTCCCCGAGCACTAAAAGACAAATAGAAAATCAAGATAAACCTACCTGCCGAGGAGGATATGCCGTGATCGAGGACGGAGAACCCAGTAGCCATTTACTCCGTATCAGACGCCCTTAGCAGTATCCATACATACAACGTTGTGAGCGCGTTTTCTGACCGATGTCGATCGGTTGAGCGACGATCGATGGTCCGCCGCTTGCTATGGAGGACATCCACATTGACTCCTTCGCATCTCCATACAGTATGGAGTTCAATAGTACCTCTAGGCACATGGAGTCTGCGACTTAGTTAGTGGCAAGCTTACCTAAACCTGGTCCTAGGTTAACCGGGCCACCTGAAGCACGCGTCACGAAGCCGGGAGTTTTCTAGGTTTGGGTGGCTGAAATGCCATAAAACTGTTGAATTTGCCATGTGCAGTTTTTGGCTAGCGAGCCGGGTTAACTAAGTTAGTGGGCGTTAGTGAAGCAAAGGAACGAGCCTCCAGGCGGCGATAGGCTATCAATGCCCGCATTATCAGCCACTGACGCCTGGAACGACAGGCCCCTCCAGGCTAAGTGTCGGCCAATGCTGTCGCCATTATTGCCTTCCCAATCCAGAGCCCGCGCCGCCCATGTTCCTGGCTCATGTTCTGGTGAACCTTGCAGCTGTCATCTCCGTCCAGTGAAGAAAGCTTGATGAATTTATTGACTTTTGCTTTCGACCAAGGAGACATGGACTTGAGTGCGAAAATTACTTCATTCGCGATCACTGCTCATCTTTGAGGCTCATCCATAGCTGCGTTCCTTCCTCGTTCGTCCAGCGTGCTGCGGGACCGAGATTGAGTTCCAGTGATCTTTTTGAACAGCGACCGCTTCCCAAGCCCGCATTTGTTCTTTTTCGGTGGTACGGGTGGACCGTTAGACCTACATTGACTGCCTTCTCTTGTCCCTTCACCGTCCTCATCGCCGGCCTTGTACAGAATGGTTGTCGTCGATCACCACGAGTACCTTTGCGAGGAAGAGAAGCGTCTGAAAGAAGACCGTGAGCGAACAAAATATTGGAAAAAATGGGGGCCATATGTCTCCGAACGGCAGTGGGCGACGGTTCGTGAGGACTACTCTGATAACGGAGATGCTTGGAGTCACTTCTCTCACGATCAATCCCGATCCAGAGCGTACCGATGGGGCGAAGACGGCATTGCTGGTGTCTCTGACAGCCATGGCTTGCAGAACATTGCCTTTGCCTTTTGGAACGAGAAGGATGAATTCTTGAAGGAAAGGCTCTTTGGTCTGAGCAATCCCCAGGGCAATCATGGCGAGAGTATCAAGGAGGCACACTTCCATGTGGATAACACACCTACCCACTGTGAGTCTTGCCCAAGGATCATGTCTCGACAGTGCTAATTTCGAGTGCAGCATACATGAAATACCTCTACAAATATCCCCAGAGAAAATTTCCCTACGAGCAGTTGATCGAGGAGAATGCAAAGCGAGGAAAACACGAGCGCGAGTACAACATCATCGACTCGGACGCTTTCAAGGACAATCGGTACTTCGATATCTTCATTGAGACATGTAAGGAGACGGATGACCCCGAAGAACTTCTGTTCCGAGTGACGGCATACAACCGGGGGCCAGAGGCCGCACCTCTTCACATCATCCCGCACATGTGGTTCAGAAATACCTGGACTTGGGGGCATGAATCTGAGAAGCTGAAGCCGAATGTTCGCATGGTTGGCCCCATGACTGCCCAGTCCAAGCACCACAAGCTGGGCACTCGGTTTTTCCAAATGTCAGCGTCTCCCGGATGCGGCCCGGATGCCGATGATGTCCATCCGCAACTCATGTTTACGGAGAATGACACCAACAATGAACGGCTGTATCAAGTTAAGAACAAGCAGCCGTATGTCAAGGACGCTTTCCATCGCTGGATTGTTGACGAGGAGAAGGGCGCTATCAATCCCCGATGTTCGGGAACGAAATGTGCCGCGTGGTATGACTTTGGACAAGGCGAGGGTGTTCCTCCTGGGGAATGTGCCGTGGTCAGGTTTCGATTGTCACGCAAGTATGATGGCTATCTCAATGAGGAGCTTCTCGACGACATCATGGAGCAAAGGCGCCAGGAAGCCGATGAATTCTACTACCGCATTAGCCCTCTGCCAATGGCCGATGACCTAAGGAACATCCAGAGACAAGCACTGTCGGGTATGCTATGGTGCAAACAGCACTACTACTTTATTTGGGATCAATGGGCCAACGGTGACCCCAATATGCCTCCACCACCGCCTAACCGGAAGAACGTCCGAAACTCACATTGGAAGCATATGTATCTCGATGACATACTGTCCATGCCCGACTCCTGGGAGTATCCATTCTTTGCTGCATGGGACTCTGCCTTCCACTGCATCCCCCTTGCCATGGTTGACCCCGAGTTTGCAAAGAAACAGCTCGATCTGTTCACTCGAGAATGGTACATGCATCCTAATGGGCAGTTGCCCGCGTATGAGTGGAACTTTGGAGACGTCAACCCGCCTGTGCATGCTTGGGCTGTTTTCAGAACCTTCAAGATTGAACGAAAAATGTACGGTCGACAGGATCTCGACTTTCTCGAACGTGTTTTCCAAAAGCTGCTCCTCAACTTTACGTGGTGGGTCAACCGCAAAGATTTCGACGGCAAGAATGTGTTCGAAGGCGGTTTTCTAGGTCTGGACAACATCGGCTTGTTCAACCGCTCCGAACCTTTGCCCACAGGAGGTGTGCTTGAGCAGGCAGACAGTACAGGGTGGATGGCTTTCTACTGCCTTTGCATGCTCAACATCTCTCTGGAGCTGGCCAAGCATCGACGTACTTACGAAGACATTGCTTCCAAATTCTTTGAACACTTCATCCTAATATCCGATGCCATGACATTCAGGTCGGGTGGACAGGAGACAAGTTTGTGGAACGATGAAGACGGCTTCTACTATGATGCGATCTCTTGGGGCGGGCCTTGGACGCAGCAGATGCCTGTACGATCCCTGGTTGGCCTGATTCCACTGTATGCTGTCCTGACTCTCGAACCGGAGCTTATCAACAAATTTCCCAATTTCAAACGCAGAATGGACTGGTTTATTGAGAATCGCCACGACGTGGCAGAACGCAATATCGCCTCTATGCGCAAGAGAGGTAAAGACCAGCGCCTCTTGTTGTCGTTAGTCAGCAAGGACAGGCTGGAAAAGATCCTCAAACGAATGCTCGATGAGACTGAATTCCTGTCTGATCACGGCATCCGAAGCTTGTCCAAATACCATGAAAACCATCCGTACAGCATGGACGTGAACGGTCAGAAATTTGGCGTCAGCTATGTTTCTGGAGACTCGGATTCCGGCCTCTTTGGCGGCAATTCCAATTGGCGTGGGCCTATCTGGATCGCTGTGAACTTTTTGCTTGTCGAGTCTCTCCTCCGATTCTACATGTTCTACGGCACCAGCTTCCAAGTCGAGTGCCCCACAGGCTCCGGTGAATACATGCATCTGGGCCATGTGGCAGAAGAGATCCAGCATCGTCTGCAACATCTTATGGTCCGGGACCACGAAGGCCGCCGGGCGATCAACGCAGGCAACGACACGCTCGACTATGATCCACACTGGAGAGACTACTTGTGGTTCTTTGAGTTCTTTGACGGTGATACGGGCCGTGGACTCGGAGCCTCGCACCAGTGCGGCTGGACTGGTCTGATGGCCAAGATGATCCACGACACCGGTATCAATTGCCGCCTGCCTCAGACTCCAAGGACTCCTTCCACAGCTGCGTCTCACTACTTTGACGACATCTACGGCCGCGGCCTTACCAGGAAGAACACGTATGTTGGAACCCCAGGTCCAGGGCCGCGCATGCGACGATCGTCGACGTCTCGGTCCCTTGGGAACCGGTCCAGCTTCGTGTCCAGCGTCAACGGCGACGATGCAGAGTCCCAGAACGGCGATAACCACGGCTATTTCCCCAAAGTGCCGTCTCAGACTGCAATGTCCGAGTCAGACGCGTGGGGCGAGGAGGACAAGCTGGAGAAGGAGCGTCGCAAGAGCGTCGCTGACACCCACTTCGAAAAATACGTCGGAGAGCAGCTTGATCGACTCAAGACCGAGGAGAGTGTTGCCGTTTACGAGGATGAGTTTGAAGCTCAATTGGATTAAGCTTGGGGTCCAGCGTGTCCAGCGTGTCCAGCGAGTCCCGAGTAGGTTGGGCAAGTGGAGGAAGTACGATCACGATACGGCTGTAGATGACAGGTATACGACGGGTACTCTATGCAAAGTAGGAGGATGAGTCACTATCAGTCAACCGGGTTTTCGGGAAGGGCAGAAGTCAAGAAACAAAAAGCATCAGGAAGGATGAGGAGGAAAAGCAAACAAAAACAAAAAAAGTGAACTTACTTTGGCAAGCATTCCCCAAAAAGATGAGAGCGCGCATCACAGAGGTGGAAGGAAGCCTGCTAGGTAGGTCTCTTCTATCGTCTCGTCTCGTCTCGTCGAGAGTACCATCTGCCGATTGTAGGGAGCAGAGATCACACATTAATCAACCCTGTACATACCTATATACAGATCTTTTGAGTGACAATGGAAACTTGGGAGGGAGATTTATTTATCCTCGTAGTCGAACGTCACCGCGTAGTGATATATGTATGTATCTCTGATGCCCACGAATGGACGGAGTGCTGGATGACTGACTGACTGCTGCTGTTCAAACCCCCCCCCCCCCCCCTCCCCTGGGCTCGACTTGGATTGCGGTCATTGAGCAACGCAAGGACATGTCGAAACGAGAGATCATATGAAACTCGAAAGTGAATCAGTGATTGGGCGGATTTCATAGCAAGAAAAGAGACAGATCCAGTTGTAGGTTTGAATGATGGATGAATTGATGAGTTTTATATACACATCTCTCGTTCTTCCTCTCCTCCCCCATACTCAACCTGATACCCAGACAAAGGCCCTGCTGGTACGAGGCTGGAACACAGCAACAACACTACCAATTCTCTCCATGTGCGATCTATTTTGTTTTCGTTGGCATGTGGCGACCGCTCCGTCCTTTTGTCGAGAAGCAACCCCTTCGCGAGCAGCTCCTGCGACTCTTTCTCTCCAGAAAAAAATTTCTTCATTATCTCTTTTTTACACGGTATCAGTAAGCATCTTGTTCATCTTGGAGATCTTGCTAGCCACGCTCAGGTCGATGGTGCGCTCGCCGATTTCCACAACGAGACCGCCGAGGATATCTGGGTTGACTTTTGTCACGGTCTTGAGCTTCTTGCCCTGGCTGTATTCCGACTTGGCGATGGCCGCTTCGAGACGTTTGAGTAATTTATCGTCGAGTTTCTGTTCGGTGAGAAATTAGTACACTACTGATCTTGTCATCGCCTCCAGGGGGGTCCGCCAAATTGGTACCACCCCTGACAAGGAAAGGCGATTGATGTAATGGAAAAGACGTACGCTTGCACTTGTGACGGTCAATTCCACCTCTCCCTTGGCGGCGCTTATGAGGGTGCCGAACTTTTCGCACACGCTCTCGAGCAGGCCCAGACGGTTGTTCTCGGCGAGCGCGGAGAGGAAGTTCTTGACGGTGCCGGTCTTGTCGACACCACCGGTGTGCTTCTCGAGTTCCGCGACAATTTGGGACTTGTCGGAATCCGAGAGCGTGGGTGCCGCGATGATGGTTTGCAGTTTAGGGTCGGACTTGAGAATCTGAGAAAGGCTGGAGATTGCTTTGGAGGTCGGGTCCAACACGTTTTGTTTGGCGGCGGCCGTATACTGTTTTATAGCAAGCAGAACTTGGTTAGCCAATTTGTCCATCGTTCCCAGAGTGAATCCTTTTTCCATGTCTTCTTCTCAACAAGCAAGGATAAGATAGTGTCGACGGTCGTGAATCAGCTAGGCTTCGTGTGCACCATGTCCACCTCCACCACCACGAGAGCGTCCAACCCCAAACTCCTGCTCCACCATTCCAAGGACAGTAATGAGACGTACCAAAGCGTTTGCATATGTTCCGTCGACACCGAACAGAGCGACGGGGGGCTTGGTGTCTGCGCTTGCAGGAGCAGCGTAGGTGCGGATAGCTGTTCGGGGAGCTGTACGACGAGCGGCAGCGAAAGCTGGCCGCATGAGCCTTGAGGACATCATCTTGCGAGGGATCGAGAGGCTGTCAAGCTCAAAAAAAGGTGACGAAACGAGCTTGAGGAGGGGAGATTCAAGAAGGACGAAATCAATTCCTGCGGAACGAGTAGCTTCCAAGATCGTTGACGGTCAAATTGAAGCTGCACCCGAAAACGAGCTAGTCCGAATTGGGAACCGCCTTTTCACGACTTTGGGCGCTTTTACCTGGCACAAGCATCACGGTCGTGTCTACGATGGATGAAACGCTGCACACTGTCCTTCACTTTTTTCTAGATGATTTTGATGTTCCCAAGTCTGCCAGAGCGCTGGCAATGCTATGCTATGCTAGTCAGTTCTGAGATCGCCAACTCCATGAAATGACCACTTTCGCCCATCTTGTCCCCAATGTGATACTCCATACGATATCCAAAACTCCCTTCGAACCTTTTCAATCATGGTCACCGGTTCTCCCAACGGGACCTTCAGTACGGCGCGAAACTCCAACTTTCAACATTGTCCTCAATGACAAGGCGTACGCCTCGAACATCAATATGTTCGTACATCCGGGGGATGATCGCACGAGCTTGCTTGTGCCATGGCCCAGTGCCTCCCTTGATCGCGTCGTTCTTGTTTCGCCAAACACCTGGAAAAACGTCAGTCAAGAATGTGGGAGTAAAGTGGTTGACTCACATGTGGCCAGATTCCTCCTGTCGGCGTCTGGAGTGCCATACCAATATTTCAACAAGCCACCACTTTCGGTAGCTTCAACGTGTGAAAATTTGTCCAGCTTGAACAGAAGTTCCGAGTCGATATCCTCCATGAGCTTTGATCGAAAGTCAACAACATAGAATTCCTGCCTTGCCCACGTGTATCCTTGTTCTTCCGCCAACGATTTGAGCCGAGACATTACATCGCCCCAGTTGATAGCATCCTGGTACGTGGTGGTGGCATATTCGTTTGTAGCAGGTGCCAGAGCTGTGAGTGCCAGAGCGAGAAGCCGGTTCGGTGTATCAACACTTTCTAAATCCAGCAGATGTTCCGGCTCGAGGTAGGGGGCCACGCCCAACCAGCGAGCACCTCGGTGGTCACTATCGCCGGTTTCATGACCAAATCTATCCTGTCCAATTCCGATGTCATGAGTCGTATTCCGTAATGGGGCTCCCAAATCTCTCTCTTGATCCACCAAAGGAACGTGTATCGCCGTGGCTGCCATTGATATCTCGTCGACCCTGTTCTTTAGCAATCCGAACTCGAGCTCAAATATCCAAAGAAGAATGTTGCTTGTACAGTGAACAATGAAAATATATTGTTTGTGGTTGGAATCAAGGAGTTGAGACGAAAGCCAACCAATTGGCTGTTGGGTAACTTTGTGGTCCTGTGCGAAATTGTGTAAAAGAGGCGTGCGATGGCGCAATGTAATGGCGAGCTTCTGACGTTGCGAATTGTGTCAAATGTAGGACAACTTGCGAACAGAGGGATTTAGATTCAACAAAAAAGAGCGGTCAGTAGACAGAAGCTCGAGGGACATGACTATGTACGGTGCTTCGTTGGACTTCCCTTCCGGACCTGTTCACCGGCGCTGAGTGTCTCAGAGGCCGGGAAGCGAGCACAACCGGCCATTCCCAACGTGCAGCACGTACCTTGGGAAAGGGAGAATCAGATCGCAGGCCCATCGGAGGCACAACGAGGACGAGTGAGGCTGCGTCAGGCTTCTCATTTCCTTATCGGGGCAAAATATCATCGAGCGTTGATAAAGACGCAGGGAAGGCCAACAGCAGGCGACACATGTCCTTCTGCGTGACTGTCCAGCACTCACGCCTCCACAGTGGTCCCCGAGTCGGGCACCACCGACTGTGTGGAGGAACTGGCGACAGACCGCAGCGGCAGTAGGAATGCCTTGTACTTGTATGCATTACGAGGCCTTGACAGATGATATACCGCGTCTCGTTTTGGAGGTTTCGTCTTCCGACAAACACAGGAATACGACGATACGACGACAACAGAGTCCTCAGTCCGCCATCTCGGCAGTTGCGAAACAACCCGCAGGGGCGCACACCGTGTGGGTGAAGAACAGCAGGCTGATTGGTGGGATCGTGGCCTTTGTCGGATCAACAGTTTTTCCGTCCCAATTTTTCGCAGATGGTTGATCTCCATCTACTCCGTACGGTGAAGGCGAGAAAAAAGTCACCCATTTCCCACCCCCTCAAATCGACCTTCTCTTTCCACTGAACGTCCTCAATCTCATCTAGACATCCTCATCCCTTAAACACCCTCCACTACCACAATCATGAGTGCTCCAGCCCAGAAGTTCAAGGTGGCCGACATCTCGTTGGCTGCCTTTGGCCGACGAGAGATCGAGCTCGCAGAGATCGAAATGCCTGGTCTGATGGCCATCCGCACGAAGTACGCTCCCGATCAGCCACTGGCCGGTGCCAGGATTGCTGGTTGTCTTCACATGACCATCCAGACCGCCGTCCTCATCGAGACCCTCAAGGCCCTCGGTGCTGAAGTGACCTGGACCAGCTGCAACATTTTCTCTACACAAGACCATGCCGCCGCCGCCATTGCTGCTGGTGGTACCCCAGTTTTCGCCTGGAAGGGCGAGACAGAAGAAGAGTACGAGTGGTGTCTGGAACAACAATTGAAGGCTTTTCCTTCAGGAAAGACCCTGAACCTGATCCTTGACGATGGTGGTGACTTGACCGCCCTCGTCCACAACAAGTACCCAGAGATGCTGAAGGGCTGCTACGGTATCTCAGAGGAGACTACTACTGGTGTCCACCACCTCTACCGCATGCTCAAGGGAAAGAAGCTGTTATGCCCAGCCATCAACGTCAACGACAGTGTCACCAAGTCCAAGTTCGACAACTTGTACGGATGCAGAGAATCCCTAGTTGATGGTATCAAGCGTGCTACCGATGTCATGATTGCTGGCAAGATTGCTGTTGTCGCCGGCTACGGTGATGTCGGCAAGGGTTGCGCTCAGGCTCTCCACAGCATGGGTGCTCGCGTCCTTGTTACCGAAGTCGATCCCATCAATGCCCTGCAGGCTGCCGTCTCCGGCTACCAAGTGGTCACAATGGACGATGCTGCTTCCCAAGGCCAAATTTTCGTCACCACTACCGGTTGCCGAGACATCATTGTTGGAAGACATTTCGAAGCCATGCGTAATGATGCTATTGTCTGCAACATCGGCCACTTCGACATTGAGATCGATGTCGCTTGGCTCAAGAAGAACGCCAAGGAGGTCACTAGCATCAAGCCACAAGTCGACCGATACACCATGGCCAGTGGCCGTCACATCATCCTTCTGGCTGAAGGGCGTCTGGTCAACCTGGGCTGTGCTACTGGTCACTCTTCTTTCGTCATGTCGTGCTCGTTCTCCAACCAAGTCCTTGCACAAATCCTCCTGTACAAGGCTGAGGATGAGGCTTTTGGCCAGAAGTACGTTGAGTTCGGCAAGACCGGCAAGAAGGAAGTTGGCGTGTATGTGTTGCCCAAGATTCTTGACGAGCAAGTGGCTCTTCTTCACTTGGAGCACGTCAATGCCAAACTCAGCAAGCTCACCCCTGTCCAAGCCGAGTACTTGGGCCTGGAAATTGAGGGTCCTTTCAAATCTGACCTCTACCGATATTAGATGTTGCTCTGTATGATTTTATTTGGAATGCATTTTACATTGGCGTCGGCACTTTAGGGGTTTGTTTCTAATGCTCAACGCATAGAATACAGTGGACACGGGTTCTTGTTCTTGGACGGCAAAAGAATTGCAGGCTCTCAACGACTTGATTGGGAGAAGGTCGGAATGATGCTATGACAGACACGACCAAAAGTTTGTGCCCTACTTGCTTTGACAGCGAAGTAGGTGAGGAGATTATGTCCTTCAACGGACACCAATGAAGAGCTTCATCAGCTCTTTGAAAGATACCCCGAATAGATAGCACGAAAGAGGAATTGCTAAGGTGTTGAAAGCCACGGATGATCTAGTCAATTGACCCTTTCGTTTCCCTTCTTGCTTGTCCTCGTAGTTGAGATGGTGCTGAGAGCAGAGTGGACTTACACATGCCTTAGAGTGGAAGCGACGATGACCCGTAATGGTCAGTCGTCGTGGCAGTCTACAATAGTAGGAGGTACTCGTATCGAAGCTCGTGCTCGCGGCAGTAGTTGCCAGTTAGCGTCTGAAGATCTCAGCTTTTGACGTAGGGAAGTTCCACTCGTTCGTTGACTGAGAACTTGGGGCGGAAGCTATGACCGGGGACGAGTCAGCTGTCCTGATGGTGGCATGTGAGTGTCGTGCTGGATTTAAATCAAAGGTAGCAGACCCGGTCGATGAGAATGTGCTCGTGAAACCACCTACAGCCGGTGCTGCTTTCATCAAATCCCCTACGTGCAATTACTAGGCTCGGTGGATCGCCGGTCTGGCTCGCTGCCACCACGCCTACTGCGAGTGACAATCCCCACGGCACCGCAAAGATGCGTCGGGTCCATCCGCCAAAGAACGAATATCTAGTTGGCCTCGTGGACATCGGAAGGTGAGCTCCCTATCATATACAATGTCTGCCTTGTTTGGACCATCCTGACCAAAGCGCCTCGTGCAGCAACGGGATCCGGTTCTCGATTTCGGACCTGTCCCCTCCGACAACTAGAATATTGCCAACGATACACAAGGACCGCTCGGGCATTTCGCTGTACGACGCACAGTTCGACCCAGATACTGGAGAGAGAATCCCCATCCCGCTTCGCGTCATTAAAAATGTCACCGCGGAACTGGAACGATTCAGTCTCGTGTGCCACGAGTTTGGCGTCCCAAAGAGCAACATCTCTGTTGTCGCAACAGAAGCAACTCGGACAGCCCTCAATTCTCAACAACTGAGAGATCATATCAAGGTGAAATCAGGGCTGGTAGTTCAATTGCTAAGTAAGGAAGAAGAAGGCAATGTTGGTGCCATGGGTATTGTGAGTAGCCTGCCGAGTGTCAAGGGACTTGTGATGGACTTGGGAGGCGGCAGTGCCCAACTGACCTGGATCATCTCGGAAGACGGCATGGTCAGGACGAGTCCCAAGGTCGCGGTGTCATTCCCTTATGGTGCCGCGGCTGTCTCAAAGAGGCTGGAAGAGTGTAAGGAGGCCCACGACCCAGAGAAGGCTCGAGACGAATTCAGACAGGAGATCAGTGGAAAATTCCGGGAAGCATTGGACACCTTGGAAATTCCGCCAGAGCTTACAGATCGAGCTCGCAGAGAAGGGGGTTGGCATCTATATTTATCAGGTGGCGGATTTAGAGGATGGGGTTATCTACTTCTACACGAGTCACAGAAGCACGGCCAACACTATCCAATCTCCATCATCAATGGCTTCAAGGTCTTCAACGAGGAGCTGACGAATACCGAAAGACTCAAGGAAGTCGCTAAGAATGCGGAGAAGATCTTCCGAGTCTCAGACCGCCGCAGATATCAGGTTCCTGCGGTCGCCTTTCTGATCAATGTCTTGTCTAACACCTTGCCACTTGGTGGTCCGTTGGTCGCTCGTTTCTGTCAAGGAGGAGTGCGGGAAGGGATGCTCTTCCGGGACTTACCAAGATCGATACGAGCTCAGGATCCTATCGCCGTCGCTTCAGCTCCCTTTGCCCGGCCATCTGCTGGCGAGTTTAAGACATTGCTGCTTGGTGCTTTGCCACCACCAGCTTTTGGCATGGTCCGCCCCGAGACGATTACAACCCACATTATCGAAGGTCTGGCGAATCTTTGTTTCCAACATTGCACGTTGAGCAAGGAACTGGCCTCGTTCTCAGCTCTTTACTGTACGATCAGTGGTGTTCTAGCCCCTGCGCATGGCTTATCTCACTCAGCACGAGCAAAGATTGCCTTGATGCTAGAAAGTCGGTACGATGGCGAACTTCCTCCACGAGAGGAGCAGTACAAACACCTCCTTGAGGATATTCTAACCCCGGAGGAAGTTTGGTGGTGTAGATATGCTGGCAATGTTGCCTGGTTGATTGGACAAATCTACCCAACAGGAGTCATCGGCTCAAAGACAAATCTGTGGCTTTCTGCGCGTTTTGTGCACAACCTTGGCAAGTCAGGAAAGAAGAAGGGAGTCGAACTCACGGTCTCGATACCTAGATCGATCAGTCAGATGGCGCTGTCTGGTGATCCGGATGATGATGAAGACGAGGACGAGAATCCGATAGTTGGCAAGATGCGCATCGAGGGATACGCAAAAAGGGTCGCCAAGGTCGGCAAGAGGAAGCGTTGGGTCGGAGGAAGAGAAGGCTGGGGCATGAAGGTAAAAGTGATTGTTGCTGAGCAGCTGTCAATGGAATGATCGTGGATATTGAAGTGCGAAACACGTAATAGCTGACTGTGTGGTTCGGCGTTTGTGCTAATCATCTTCCAGGTGAAGGAGTACGAGTACTGTTCCTGGCGGATTTCATGACATGGTAGAGAGTTCAGACAAAGAGTAGTCTGTATGTTTTTAATAAGTAGTACTTCGTCCATGACATAAAAAATACAAAACGCAATGAAGGTGTTTGTACGGGTCAGGGAAGCCTCCTGACCATTGTGATGTTTTGATGATGCTTTTGATATGAGACCTGGTGAGCTTAATTAAGTAACAGACCCTGATAAATGCCTTATATAGATGGTGCCAGGACACACCCCCGGGCGCTCAGCCTCGTGTGCTATTAGTTCGTTACAGCCTGATGACTTGCCGTATCGAGCTCGTTCCTGGAGATTGCATCCTGCGGCAATGACTCATTTCTCGCTCTGAATATCTGTTTCGCGTAGGCTTGAATTGAAGATGAGTCGACAGTGACTCCAGTACGCGTACGTTGCAGCCTTTGAAGAACGACGACGACGACACAGGCAAAAACTCTACTTGGCGCGAGGCCCGATTTCGTGGCCGCGGGGGCTTAAAGTACAGCCATCTGCCAGAGCCTTCAACATTCACTCGACGGCATGTATCTATGATATTCGAGTGCAGCATTGGTACGGACCAAATAATCTATTTTGGAGTGTTGAACCTCAATGTACATTGGACGAGGTGCGACGTTGCGCGACAAACGGTACAAGACCATCATCGGAAACCTTGCACGGGGCGTACGACCATCGGGCTCTACGTCCGTTGCAACGACAGAACCCTTCACCGGCAGAAGAAAACTCCGGCTCGTTCAATCAGTCATGGCCAATGCCATGGCCTCCGAGCACGACTCTCGGTCTCAGACGCTCTCGCACCCAGGCCAAAGGCAACAAGCCACGCAGGGAAAGGGAAGGCACACGACGACGCCGACAAGATCCAAGAGACCGACACACTTTGTCTGCCTGCCTCTCGTCACGGAGAGTTCAGTACCGCAGCTTTCTGAATCTCTGGCATATTTCCGGTCCGTGACTGGTACACCGGCACCTGTAGACCGAGGTGGTGCACAGAAACCAGCAGGCACGGGGGATCCCAAATCACCGTCACTGCCAGAGAGTCAAAGCGGGAGGGGCGACGATAGACTCCGCCTAATCCCTCCCGCTGCACATCGGCCCCCTGGAACATTGCATCTCACACTTGGAGCGATGGATCTGAGCGCGCCGGAGGACTTGCAGAGAGCGGTGCAGGTGCTGGAGAGCATTGATTATCTTGACTTGTTGGCCGAAGCGGGAATGTCATTCGAGCACAGTCACGATGCGGGTACAAGTACTACTCAGGTTTCTACCGACATCAAACGTGCAGATGGATCAAAGGGTTCAATCGGAGCTGGTGACAATGGATCAGGTCAAGATGAGAATGTAGACGAGGGCAGTGGACAAGGACGGATCCACGCAGGGTCAGAAACCATCTCTAAGCCCTTGAAGTCTCTGGCGCGAGAGATATCACCACCACCAATCACGTCAAGAACACTGGCCAACGACGGCATTGCGGCGGCTCAGACGTCGACGGCTCCGACTACCGCGACGGTGGGAGCAGAGACTCAACGGCAACGGCAGCAACAGCAACAGCAACCTTTGCTCCCAACAAGTCCAAGTCCAACTCGATCTCTGACCGTCACACTCCACGGCCTCGGCACTTTCCCGCGCCCAAGCAGTAGCCGCGTCTTCTTCGCCCATGCACACGATCACACGGGACGACTGCTACCGTTTGGAAACGCCGTGCGTCGGCGGTTCCAGGACGCTCGACTCGTGACTGAAACGAGACCTCTGGTTCTGCATGCCACCGTTGCCAACTTGATCTACGTCAAGGCGAGGCCAAAGGAGAGAGGAGGAAGAGGGAGGGGAAGGGGAGAAGCGATGACGGTCGACGCGAGGGATATACTGAGATTCTTCAATGATGGGAAAGCAGTCGAGGATAGGTCGGCTGCCTCTGCCTTCTTTGCCGAAGGATCGCCAGACGGAGACCAAGACAATCTTCTCCCCGCCTCAAGTCCACCGGAACTAGCCTCAAGCTACATATGGGCACGAGACATCTTGGTCGATAGGATCCGGATATGTAAAATGGGCGCCGAAGTGTCCGAGGTCGAGGGCTGGGGAATGGAGTATAAGGCTGTCGCGGAGAAGGTGTTTGGATCATGATGATTGTGTGAGTGAATAGGTGCAGAACTACCTGTAAATACTAGTACTTGTCCTAGCATACGTGTGTGGTTCTTATACGAGTATGAAAAGGTTAGATAAGACGACGACGAAGAACAAGCAAAAGAAGAAGGAGACCTCGTGAAGTTGGTTACCTATAATATATACAGAAGTAGATGCAAGGTACCTAGATGTTATATTCTCGAAAACTGAACAGAGGTCCAGAGACGAGACGGACGCACTATAGAAGGCCCTTTCACCTTTCGCTTTTGGCGTTTAGCCTTGAGAACAAAAGCTCGAGTGCATCTATAGTAGGCCAACTCGGGATGTATGAGACACTTGATACACTCGACAATTTATGAGTAGAGAGTTGATAATGTATGGTGATGAGGGCTGGCCGGTAACTTGGTATATTTCAGTCGGCTGTTTGAGTGAGTACCTTTCATGCTCCATGGTCACCCGCCATATCGGAAGTAGTATTTGGCAGGGTGTTCGGAAGGAGGTACAGTCCTCCCATGACTAGTTAGCTCCAGGACTCGGGTCCAAGGAGGCTTCAGATCCGGTATCTGCGTTTCAAAAGCGGTAGTTGAGTGCTCTGGCAATGGGTAGATTTTGACCCTTCATCTTTCTCAACAACCTCTGCCTTTTCCTCCGCTACTGCCTTTTTGTTCGAGATATCTTTTCTGTCGTAATAGTATCCCAGTTTCCACTTCTTGATGGTATGGGGTACAGATTGGTATGACACGTCCAGGGAAGTGTACTCGCGGTTATTCGTCCTCCTCGAGCTCTGAGGTCTCTTGGCTTGTTCGTTGAGTGTATGGCGTTGTTGGGAGTTGGGCGTCAATCAGTGCATGGCCATGGCTCAACTGCCGCTTTTGGAGGGGAAAGAAGAGCGCTTGTTCTGCCGCAGACATGGCCTCGCAGACGGTTCGTCAATCCCTGACTCGGCCTTGTAGTACGGTCGACCGACCCTCAATGCCGACGGTAGACTTCCTGTGTCACGGCGTAGAGCATCCCAAGCCTGTGTATCTCGGTAGCAGGGTCGTGATTTTTTTCTCATGACAAGCCCGGAACAAGAATGGACGACTAGCCCCCTCGGCCTGGCATGTGATACTTCGCAGGTAGACAGAATGTGTTTCTTCCTCGATAGACTCTCCCCCTCTCTCTCAACTCTTCTCATTTGCTTCAGGCAAGTCGGCCTCGTCGAATATAACCCGGATCATCAGACTGCAACTGGGGCAGATGGCAATGTCCTGGCCGTCTCGCAATTCGGCGACGGCAACCTCGAACCGGTCTCCACAAGGGCATGGGTAGTGGTAGATTTCGAGATTCGAGTCGTACGTCATGTCCTCGATCTCGATCTCATCGTAGATGTCTTGGTCTTCATCCACGGTCGAAGACGCCGCGGCCAGATTGAGCGTGGTGGAGGCTGCGGCTGCGGTGGTCGTCGCAGACGGCATGGCTGGACTAAAAGTCTCGTGGTCGATGTCGTCGTATCTTTTGGAGTTCCTCTTCCAGGCGAGTGTTTCTTGTGTGTAACGAGAAGTCACACTGTCCAGATCCTGAGGTGCTCCGTAGTTATTATGTGTTCATGGTGTGTCTGTCCTGGCCAGTATGTGAAAACGAAAAAGGAGCAGGTGACACTCTCTGCTAATTACTACTCGTAATACCGAAAGAAATCAGAAATCAGAAATCGCTCAGATGCGGGGACCAGGGTCTTAAAAAAAAACAATGGATGCAAATGACAAATGCGGGGGATTCGTTCTAAATACTCAGCCTCGTCCCTCCTCGTAGACAGCCTCATTCACCTTCTTCCCCTTTTACACTTCACTCAAACCACACACCTTTAACCACAGGAAAACCCACTCATCCAAACCTACCAGCTACATTCACCGCACCGCCAACTCTCCGACCACTGAGAGAATTCAGACCAGCCCCACTCAGAAAAAACAAGGGGATATCATTTTGATTCCCAGAAATCCTGTTAACAATCACACTACCCGGGTTTCGACCTGCCACCGGGCAGCTAGTCGAGGCGTGAGGGGTGTCACCAGTGTGGTTCCCAGTATTACCTTGGGCTCTCGTCGTGAATCCTTGAGACGACCCCTGGCTCTAGGGTCCCCCGACCCTAGCAGTCCCCAGCTAATATGGGCTCACTCGGAGAGTACCTAATGCTGGGAGGTGACCTGCCGATACCTCGGAAAAAAATCCCTTCTTCGACTGGGGATTTTCCCTCGACCTGGACGTCAGCTACAAGAGCGTGTAGTTGGCCTCCAGGTTAGAGTTTTTGCTGTTTTGAAGAAATGATCAAATGAAAATGAAACGCTAAGGTGGTTGGCTCTTCATCTTCACTTTTTTCCTGACCGAAAAGACGAAAAAAAAGAAAAAAGATCACGTCGAGACGGGATTCCAACAGCTCATCAGTGCGCGTAATTCCACTTCCACGCGTGTGATCACGAGCATTGTTGGCGTTTGGTACGTTCACAGTCGCGTCGCGTTCGCTCAGCGTTGGCAGGACGACTTCTTTTGTATGGGGCTATGTGTACTCTTTGTACGTTGCTCTCTATACCTATATGATTATTGACGCCCAAGCTCAGGATCAAGGTGAAGTCGAAGGCGAACTCGAGCCAGCTTTCTTCTTCAAAGCTTGAGAATACTGACGGCCACAAACCAGCACCACACTTTCCACTTTCGGGATCTGATTCAACTCTGTGTCCGTAAAGTCCATGGCGTAGTCATGCCTCAGCCGTCGTATATCCTCCTTCAGGACCGCATCGTCAGTCCCCATTTCAGCGGCAATGAGACAAAGACCCAAGGCGTTGCTTCCGTGAGGCCTGTATGGGCGGCCTTCCCTCGCCAACTCCAATATCTCCAACGCGAACGCATGAGACTCCTGCACAATCTCTGCGGGATCCGGCCACACGGCAATACGCAGCTCGTTGATGAAAATGGTAATTGCGAGCCCAAGGCCGTACGACCGTACCCAATGGCAATGCACGAAATCAGTCATCTCATCGGGGACAAACTCGCTAGAGGCCATTCTCAGTTTCAACTTCTGATACCGTTCCCGCAGAATGGTGACGGCAGGTTGGACCTCGTTATAAATGCCCTGGGCCTCATGCTGGATGACGACTTTGTCGAATTGGGATGCACTGTCGTCCTGCAGGACCGTTCTTGCTCTTCTCATCATGTTACCCAGGCGTGTCATGCATTCTACCGCTTGGCTTTCTGGCGAGAGAGTATAGACCTTACTGTCGAACATGTCGATCCACTCTTTGTCCGTGAAGACGACTCGGTCGGTGAAAATGGACTCGAAGAGCTGTGATCAGAAATGAGCTTGGCGACGCGCAATCACGAGCGAGCACAGTCAGCTGCTCCACCGACAAGGGGAAGAGAGGAACTTGAGGTGTGGAAGAAAAACAGGAGCCAAAAAAACACTTACAACGACGGCTCGCATTGAGAGGAGGATTTTCCTCTCGAAAGGATCGTCCATGCTCGGGCGACCCCGCATCCTCAAGATCTGAGCTGCACCTTCGGAGTGACCATGCCCAAGCTGATTCCCATTCGGACACCAAAGGTATTGCTGTGGCTGGAGATTAGCATACATTCTCCAGAGGGAGGGAGCTAGGTAGGCGGGTGTGCAGGAAGCACGGGGCCGGGGGCAACTGATCTCTCAGCTGGGGCATTTTTCTTTACCTGACAGTTCATCAACATCAGAATCGCGCCGAGGGTTTCCGGCTCCCTCGCCTTGACCGGATCATCCAGACATGTCCGTAGCGCCGTCAAGGCGAGACCGTACCTCTCCAGCACAGACTGAGCAGGCACTTCGGCCCGGTTGAGGGAGCGCTGTACGGCGAACAAGAAGGCCTCGGTCGCAGAGTCCAACGCCATGTTCGTCCCGAGCCGGCGTGGAAGATCATTGAGGTAATCTCCATACGTCCACGCGAGGTTGTGGCTGATTCGGACGGTGGGTTTGATCTTGTCAATGACGGACATGGCGAGGCGAGACTGCTCGCAACTCGGCATCGGATGTATAGGAAGCGTTACGCGGTGTGGAGACACTTGCAGCCGACGTTGATCTTGATGGTGGCCGCCTCTCGTTGCCGTTGGGACATCGCCACCGTCGCTCGACGAAGGCGGGGACGCCGACGTCGATTTGTCTCCGTTATTGTTCTCATTGGGCATGAACTTGAACCGTCGCTGACCCTGGCCTGTGCAAGGGACGTTCAATCGCTTGCATCGAGGACATGGGTGCTGGGAAAGATCACACTACCCAATGAACAAGGTTAGGAATTTATGCATTTTTACACGACAAACGACCCCGCCGACATACACATGCGCGCGCCCCGGCGCCTACACTCCCGCAGATGAGAGTTGCTATGCGTGTGTTTTTGACTCAAACCGTGGAGAGTGAGACAGAGAGAAAGAGAGGGAGAGAGAGGGCGTGGGCGTGTGTGTGTGTGTGTGTGTATGCTCATACCTTTTTCTTTTGCTTGCGACATGCATCGCACCCTCGTCCTGACGGAACTCCAGGCATCTTTGACCCATTGCCCGTTCCTGTTTCGTTTCTACCTCTCGGCCAGTATCAGACATCAGTACACACAGTGAAGTACCCATAGCGCGGTATTTAACCAAACGCAGAATATAAATGTATTCCGTCGGGAAACTCTTTCGCCAAGTTGATCTTGCGGCAGTTCGCCTTGAGCCACGTCGTGCACGGACCATCAGGCTGAGTGTGCAGCGCTGCATTGAACCATTTGAGGGTTGGGGCTCTTAAGGCGTCCGATGTGCCAAGGTATCTATAAAGTACCCGAAACGGACAGCATCTTTAACAGAGTTATAGAACAGGTGTTTGGGAGCATATGTAGGGATTGTTTTGCACCGCAGGTCTAGGCAGAAATGAAAAACAACTTGGATCTCGAAGAAAATGGACAATAGACCCTCGTTGAGAACCCTGGCATTTAGGCAATGAGGAACGCTTCCATTTATTTTTTGTGGTCCACGGTATGTATGAACCTTTCACAGTGACGATGATGACGACGAGGAGGACGATGGCGGCCCATCGCAAACTACAGTGTAACTCGAAGAGGTTTCGCCCTCCTCTTTTTCAACCCTCGACACGACACGACGCCACTGAACTCTTCTTCATGTCCATAAGCTAGATAACCACCTGGTATGGCGCCGCACAGCCAAAAACCGGCATTCGTCTGAAAATGTTTTTGGTGCGGTCTTGTTCTCGAAGGTCACCCATGTTTTTCCTTTCGTCAACGACATTAAAACACAACCACAACCGCGCACCGAGGCATGACGAGAGCAAAAAGTAAAAGCAAAAGCAACAGGGATCCATCGATATCGCCAGTGCTCCTGCGAGCCTCAACACCAATGCTGATGCTTGTGCTTGTGCTCCTGCTCGCCACGGCGATGCGTTTATCGGTATCTCCACAGCGACAAGGTGTTGAGTCTCTTCCAGGTCTTTCTCCTTCCGGCGGTGGTCTTGTTGTATCCGTGACCCTTGCCCAAGCCACGAGACTTCTTGCCGGTTGCGGTGAGGCCACGGCTTTCGCGGTGCTAAAAGAGAGGGAAAAAAGACCATGTCAGTTTATCGTACACAAACAAACGCGCGGGGGCTTGATGTCTCAGGCAAGTCAGTATGACTAACCTTGTGAACTGGGTTGACGATCCAGTTGATCCGGGGATCTTTGCGGATGGCCTTGTGTTGAGGGTCGACAAGGATGACTTCGTAGTATTTGTAGGTCGAGTCTTGGTTGACCCAGTACGAGTTGAGGACTCGGAGGTTGGCACAGCGACGTCCGACACGCTCTTCAGCAGTGGACTTGAGCGATCGCTGGTACTTGAGTTGGTTCACACCCTGGTTGGTAGGCTTGCCTATAGAGTGATTATCACACCAGTCAGTTTCGTGTCGCCTTTCAAGGAAAAAGGAACGGGAAAGAATTGTCCTCCGCGAAGGAAAACAAACCCCCCCAAAACGAGAAAGAAACTCACCATAAGTAGCACCCTTTGGCACTGGTCGCTTGCGACCTCCACGTCGGACACGGACGCGGTAGATGACATAGCCCTGCTTGGCCTTGTAACCCAGGCGGCGAGCCTTGTCGGGTCGAGAAGGTCGGGAAGCGCGGTGGATGACTTTCAATTGTCGGAGCTATATTGATGCACTCTCAGCATATGTTCAACGAGTGTATAGCAAGACACAAAAGAGAGGGTCCAATTGTGCCACACGATAGACCAGAAGAGACCAAGAAAGTCTTTTGCGTGATATTCATGTGCGTATTGTTTTTTTCTCTGTTGTTCCCTCTCTCTCTTCTTATCTTGCTCCTAAGGGACAAAATCTCACCTCCCAGCAGCGCACTCGGAGAAGGAATCGAAGGACATCGGATTGCTTCTTCTTGTGAAGCTCTTCCACGTACTTGAGGGCACCCATCTGTTCGCAGAAGTGTTAGTTCCAGGTCGCCGCACTGGTAGCTTCGAACCACGCACCTTGACTGTGTGTGCCTGGCGAAGAGACTGGTGTTGGCGGAGTAGAGAAAGTGGTATGAAGTGAGCGATAGTTCAGACCACCGAGTGCCTTACAAAATCAAAATCGCAAAGTGCATGCGCAGGCTTGGCAAAAACTTGGCGGCGATGTGGGTGTTGGATTAGTTGGTGCCCCCAATCAGAATTAACCAGCCTTGGCCAGCCGCGCCCATCCACCACCACCACTCGTACTCCGTACTGCTACAGTGTATCGTGAAAGTCCATACTCGTACTGGACTTCCACGCAGTTAAATCGTCTTCAAGACTTATCAGGACTCTGTCCAGCTAAAGCTGACCCAGATGCGTGCTTCAAGTATCAATGGTCTTTTGCATGTATGTCGCCCGCGAAGCAGAGCTTCCTCAATGCCCGTTCAGCGTCCCGAGAGACATTCCCCCAACCCATTGGTTCAAGTATTGGTGTGTCGCTTGTGACTCCTTTCGACAATAATATCTTTCCCCTGTTCTCCTCCTCTGCAGTAAGACCAGTGGAGCTGCGCACTTCTTGCAATCTGTCGGCCAGAAGGTCCTCGACTGCTGTTTCTGCGACACGCCTTCCCGCTTCGATGGTAGCTACGGCCGCTGCTTTGTCTTGCTCGAACGACATATTGATGTCGGAGAGGCGTGACGGTGGAGGGGTGCGAGCGGATAGCTGGTCGAGAGCGAATATCAGGGCATCGGCCTGTTTCATCAGAGTGATCATGGCTTCACAGTATGGCTGTCCTTCGGCACCGAGATACGCAACATGAATGGGCTGGGTTGCTAGGTTGGACGCCTCGTTGCTGGCCCCGGCTCCTCCAAGAGCTTCCTGAATGAGCGGCAAGAATCCTCTATCAAACTCCTCCTGCAGTGCTAGACTGAGAGCTGGTCAGTAGACGCGAGAGCTCTAGGGAATGGGTACAAACTCCTGCGCCGTCATCTCCTTAATCTTCTTGGTAATGTTGTTCTGCTGTTCTTTGATGATCTGAGCGAATCGTTTGGGCCACAGGTCCGGTTCTTTGAGCTTCTTGCAGATTTTTCCCATACGCTCCGTGTCAATCCTGAACATGATCAGTGCACGATTTCATGCACAGATGGATCTGATTACGCTAGATCACCAGAGGCATTGTGGACACTCTCACCGGCCTCGTATATTTCATCTCCTGGTGGAAAGGCTGGACTGGCAAAGCCGACCTTTTTGTCGTCTGCGTTGGGCGTGTTCTTCCGCGCATTTAACATCTTCTGGGACACTGGGGGGAGCGGTCGAGATTGAGGCAAAGCAGTACTTGTTGCTGGCAAATAATCTGTGTCAATGTAAGTCAGATTAGCAATGGAAGAGACGTGCGGAGGATGACCGTGTCCTTTGGATGCAGATCGTGGTTCCTATGATGCCAGAACGTCGGCTTAATCACACCAACTCTCGAGAGCAGTCGTGGGTGAAAAACGACTTCTGCAGCGAGAGAGCACAGAAGAGAGGATCCCCGTTTTATCTCACATAGGGCTGCCTTTACAGTCACAAACACCCCTGGTACTATTAGAATTACAGCTCAGAAATTTGTTAAAACTATTGCCAGTCTCAAGGACATCCTGTACTTCTTCTTGCCTCTTTTTTTGGTTATGTCATAAGCAACTCAGTCTCGCATCATATAGTACTCTTGGAAATTCGCCAACCACAGGATTAGATTTTGTCGTCAATTTGTCTTTCCAGGCCCATGAACACCTTCAGCTTCAAGCTTTTGTCACCACAGAACTAAATAGCCTTGCACCTGGTCGCCGAGTCGCGGAATGTAAATCTTGTAGTCTTTGTTTGCCCCAAATGAATGTTTCTATGCTGGATCGTTCCTTCATGATCCTTCAATGTATTTCGTAACCATGGATGTAGTTCTACATGCTGCCATTCTCCCGTAGATATGCACCGTGTGAGGATGCAAAAGTGGCGTTACAATGGGGTAGAGCATGTCTTTGTGAGCGTTGTCTGTTACCTCTTGGACCTCTCTAAGACCCGAGGGACAGACCTTGAAATCTGCCCATCCAGTCCTGCTGAGCTGGGCCTCTCGCCCTGAAATCACTTCGCCCAGTGGCGAAAGAGGTTGCGTTTGGATTGAGACCTGGATATCCAGGACCATAAAAAGACATGAAAGGATCCATTTGGCCACCCATGTTAGCAGGGTAGGATCCCATACCTGGTGGAACCTGTTGATGGGCCGCACCAGAATCTTGGTACCCGGGGTAGTACGCGTTGCGTATTGCTTGACTCTGATTGTTGAAGTTGCGGTCGGCATCGAAGGTGTCTCCGAACGGCGTCGTCACTGGCTGTGGGCCAAGTTCATGTGTGGATGCCGGTTGCTGACGCCTCCGATGACGTTCGTCACCAGGTGCCGGGTTGTACGCTGGCGTAAGACCAAGGGAAGCAGTAGGGGTTTGAAAAGAAGCAGGGTTGATTGCTGACATCCAGATTCGAGTCTTGTAGATCTTGAACAGGTCCGTGACAAGTGCATTAAAGTTGATGTAGCTGTCGGCAAAATAGTAGAAAGTGAGCTTCTTGCTGTCCCTGAGGTAAACATTAGTGGTATTCTTTGGATGGGGCACTGTGACACTGACATCTGAAATTCGGCGTCCAAGATCTCCATGTTCAGTCGATGCTCGATGACCTTCTGTTGACAGACACGCTTGGCCTTGGCCTCATTGCCCTCTTTGTCTCTCAACGCCTGAATCTCATGGTTTTGAGCCAAACGCTTGATTAGTTTAGGCTTGAGCTCTTGGTGTGTACCATCGTGACCGTGGTGATTCTGTAGGCCCATACCACCCACGGCACTTCCAGGTCGTCCTGCGAGACCGTTAGGATTCACTACATTTGGGCCTCCATTCCGACTTTGTAATGAGAACATCATCAGCCATTTGTAGTGTTCCTCTGCGTAGTATTCTTTGTACCGTCGGGCATCTTCCCACGAGACATTGGTATGTTGGACCGTGCCCAAGTCGGTCCCTCGATCGGCCTCCACAATGACCAGATCGCCCACGCTGACGTGCAGTCCTGTTCCTTCTTGTATGTAGAAGACGTCCGAGCGACAGCATTTGAAGTTGACGATGTAAAGGGGTTGCACAGGGGGTTCGAGATACTGTCCCACGTTAAGATGGCCGTAGTTTTGATGGGATTGTTGAACACGAGCATCCGCAGCGCGCCGGGTGGCTTCATCAGTATTGAAATAAGCAGCTGCAGTAATCGGACATCGTCAGTAGGAGAGCTTCGTGGCGTCACAAACATGTGTTAATCAGTAGGCACGGAAATGAGCCGACTTACGATCTTCTCCTTGAGACAAAGCCTGTGTGCTGGCCTCATACATGCTCGCGTCGCGTCCTCGTTCTGTGCAATTGTGAGATTTCTCGGCAAAATTCTTCCTCGGAGAATTACTTACCACTTGAGCTGAAGGACCCGTGCCTTGTTGGGACATCAGCGAAGGAATGTCGGCGGCTTTGAGGAGCTTCTGGGATAGGACCAAATCCCAGCGACGTCTGCCAGTGGGCCTTTTTCACGCCATCTAGGTTGCGGGTCTCAGCAGCAGCAAAGGCTTGCCGATCGGCAAAGCTCAATGCCTGCTCACTCATGCGCCTAGTAGCGTTTGGTCGGGGTGGATAGATGGGTTCATCACGATCATCAATTGCAGTTTCCTCTTCTTCTGGGACTGCGCCCCGTAAACGTGTCCTGAATCCAGGAGGGGGCTGGGTTGCGGTGGATGCCGCAGAGAACGTCCTTTCTCGGTGTGCTGCCTGGCGAAGCTGAGCATTTTCTTTTTCCAACCTCTCAATAACCCGTGCCTGTTCAGTAGCGAGCTGATCGGGGATGCCGCCATTGACATGGCCTTCTTCCTCGTCATCATCGACTTCTCTCAGTCGGCCAAGTCCCACAGAGTCAAGCCCGCCAACACCGTTCGTCCTGGTAATGTGACGTTGGGGGTAGGCACTTCCCAATCTGTTTCGAGTCGCCTCAATCGATGTCGATACGGGAGCTGTTGCTGGAAGAGCCGATGTAGTGTCAAGCTGACCTACGGAATATGACTGCGATCGATAGGCCTTGTGCGTCGGCTGCAAGGGAATAGAGAAGGGAAACCCGTCGCCGTTTGTCGTAGGCAAGACTTCCTGTAGTCTAGAAGGTGGGTCTTTGCGAGCATCTTGACCCCAAATATTCCAGCCATATGGATTGTTTCCTGGGTTGTGCCAGGCAGTACCGGGGGTGGTCATATTCGCACTTGACCAGGGCGATTGCTCAGAACCAGGGGTCCCAGGATGGGATGTCGAGGGACTGTAAAGGCCAGTTGTCGAGGGTTTTCGATTTGGATTGGATATAGTGACGTCGTTCAGCCAGGAGGTGCGGCGCACGTTCCGGTTTGTCTTCACATTTGCGTTGGCTGAGGGTTTCACATGATCAACTTCATCGTCAGACGATGCAAGAGCTTCAGAATCCGGAGTCGAACGTCGCAATCCAGGATTAGACTTCTCAAGAAGAAGAGATGCAGAGCCTTGGTGTGGATTGAAAGCACCAAACGCGGGTAAAGGGCCTCGAGCTGAAGGGTTCGCTTTGGCAGGAGTGTTACTCATGATGATGGAGTAGAGTTAGTGTCCACGTCGTGGCGAACCTGATCGAGCCTGAACGATGAAGCTGCAAGTTAGCAAATGTGATACGGTACTGGCACAACCAGTTGAACAGTCACTATCTGGTTAGGGCCATGGAGGGGTATTGTTGGAGGAGTAACCCAAGGGTCAGAGTAAAATGGTGTGACCTGCGTCATTTCTCGCTCGATTTGGAGTTGCCCAAAACCATCAGAGCACACGAACAGATACAGACAGGTAAAGGAGATAGAAGGTGTAAGGGAATGTCACTCACCTCAGTATAATCAGGTTGACGTGAAGAGGCGACAAGGTCTATTCACATAGCTCGTCGCCGGTCAAGATGCGAAAGGCGCGCGGCGCCCTTGTGACGTGCGATTCCTGTCGACAACTTTGATACGTTGGACCTCAGTAAAACCGCGTGGTGGTAGAAATGATGAGATGATCCAGGAATTTATGGTGATGAAGGCAGTGAGTCGAGGTCGAAAGAAGAATTGAACTCGGGGCGCGCTCAGACGACCAATGAAGACCGATGGAAAACAACGAGTGGCCCTCAAGCCCTACGTGGTCAGCCAGGTAGAGAACAACACAGACGCTCACTGCATGAAGCTCGAAACAATCGCCCGATTCGACGGAGTATAGTCGGCGATTGATTGACTGCGTTGTGTAGAGATGGACGGTCTTATGAGAAGTGTGCTGGAGATGTCGACGAGCGGAGGCATCCGAGATCAGGCCAAGTAAGAGATGTTATGTAGCTTGTAAGCGTGCTGGTTTCCCCAGGATTTGTTCTCACCAGGTTTCCGTCAGATGCTCACGCAAACACCCGCAGTTTTCGAGGGGGCCCCAAGCTTAAGCACAGTGGTCACTGGCCAGGGCAGGGCCTTCAGAGGGTGGTCTGGGCGCGGTTTGCTGTGGCGGTCCGCGTCCTCAGAAACCGAGGTCTGGTGGAAAAGGAAACGTAATGTCACTTTGCGGTAGCTGGACCCGGCGATGGTTATGACGCTGCTTATACTGTAGGGTCTGGATTTGCGACACAGGGACACAGTACTCCGTGCAGAATAGAAAAAATCGATGAGGCGCGCAGGGTGGATGATGCAGGGCGACAGAAGGCAGAGAAAGGTGTTTGTGCTCGGGTGACCCTGCAAATCTACACTGGTATGGTGGTAAATGGGATCAACCACGCGACTATTGGAGGGTGGCGAGCAGCGCCTACGAGTAGTTAGTCCGAGGTGGTAGAGACGGAGACTGGGAGAGGCAAAGACCCCAACAGAACAAACGGGTCGAGCGGAGATGCAGGGGGCAGATGGACAATGGACAATGGACAATGGACAATGGACCGTAACGACTCAATCGAGTTTCAGTGAACAACGCAAGAACAGGGGCAGGGCAAGCCTGGCTGCTGCTGTTCACGGTGCCCAGTGCCCTCCCTCCCTTGTGCCCTGGGTGCCTTGGTTGCCTCGTGAAGGCTCTAACCACGGTAAGTTCAATACTCCGTACGGATTACTCCGGACAGCTTTGCTGCTGACCCCTCTTCCTTCAGGTCACGCCAGGCCGCAAACATCGCTAACCGGTGCCAACAGACTTGGACCCCTCTGGACTGGCGCTATTGGACTCGGTTTGACAGGACAAGTTTCTTCGTCTCGTGTTTAGGTGGCAGTCCAGGACCAGTGGCCCAGTGAGAAAGGACAAAGGAAAAGGGACGAGGAGGGGATGAGGGGGGCGAGGCACAGGGAGGAGGGGTGGAGCAACCCAGATTGATTGGGTGTCCCGCCCATCTCAGAACTGGCGCCGCCGGCCATTGAATTGATTTTCTGGGGAAACGGCTCATCATTAGCCAGCAACCCACCAAGCCACCTCGTGCACATGGGCCAGAGCATGGATCGGGTGTAAAGGGCCAGCGACCGCCACAACAAAGTCTGGTCGGTCATCCTGCTGAGTCCAGGACTCGAGTCCAGGACGATGGCCAGGCCAGGCCAGGGCCAGGGTTCTGGGTCGAAGCTAGAGCCAGATCCAGGGCCACACTCCTGGAAAACATCTTGGTAGCCACGGTCTGTGCGAAGTGAAAGCCAGATACTACCTAATACAGAGTCAGATTCAACTCCATGGCCGTATATCCCGGCTCGTAAAACTCAACATTTCAGCCTCCTCGAAGTGCGTCTTTCCGCATCCGTTATCAGCGCGTTCTATATCCGGACCGATGACACAAGGGTTGCTACACTGGGCCGTCGATTGGAATAATATGGTGATGCGGCAATCGACCGATGCTAGCTGAACTGCGGGGAAGCAGGACGAGAGAACAACAGGGACCAGGTTTACAGTCCACTGCGAAAGGGAGGTCAACATTTCCCTGATCAGGCCATTGAAACTTAAAATGAAAATCTGCAGACCGTGCCCTCCACAAAACTGTCGAGCTGGGGCTCAGTTGAAGGCTGACCAGCTCCCACAATGCGCTCCGAAAACAGAAGCACCTATAACGACTTGTGTGGCATGAGAGGTTGGTGTTGGAACACAGGATCTTGAGGATGTCACTTTTGCTACCGCCGTTGAACATCTAAGGTATCGTCAGGCAACTTTGTCTTGCAACTTCACCATCACCGCGGCCGAACGTCGAGGTGAATTTCCCAATGGGCGACATCTCTCAAGTGCCTTGCTAGGCACATGGTTCGGACGAGTACTCCGTATATCCATGAATGTGGCACTTTTATGCTTTACACCATTCCTGTTGGTAATTAAGATCCGCAACTGATAGTCGTCCATCAAGCTTCGTAACTTCCCACAGCACCGAGGCCATCGCTCACCTCATCCAAGGGCTATACACAAACCAATAGCACGCTACTCTTCTGTTCGTGTTTCTGGTAAGCGATCGGTGATCTCAATGCACGCCCATTTGTCGTTCAGTACCGCACCTGTAGCAACCCAAACACTGCCTCTCCGCGGAAAGGAGAGCTCTGTCCCATGCCCATGGGTCTGGAGCAACGCCACCTGTCCATCGCTCACTGTTTTCGTATGCAAGTGTCAAAAGATGCATCATGCCAAATGCAGAAGAAACTCCACGAGGTCTTGCAATAGTTCTTTCCGCCATGGCCACCCACGTACACGCGGCGATCAGGATATTCCATTCGCGTGACTGACGCCAACCAAGAGTGTGAAGCCTCAGGTGATGGCCCGCATGGCCTGTCGTGAACAGAGGTAGGTTACTGCCACATGCTCTTCTAGCCAACGGACCAGGGCAACGGTGGATCTCTTCACTCAGCATAGTCCAGACTGCCTTTGCCCACGGTTGAAGGGGCGGCATCTGGACCCTTTTGCTGCCGCAGCTTCTCCTCGAATTTGGCGAACTCCTTCATTGCAATTTCCTCCTCTTCGTCCAATACCTGATTGACGCCCTTGACTTCTTCGATGTAATGCATCAACATCGACTCGATGCCATTTTTTAGTGTCACCGTGCTGGAATCGCAAGTCCGGCAAGCTCCGCGGAGTTTGAGCATAACCATCCCATCTTCGAATCCGCGGAACTCAATATCCCCCCCGTCCTCTTGAATGGCTGGTCTGATTCGGGTCTCCAGTAGCTCCTTGATCATTGCCACCACCTCATCGTCATCATCGTTGGCTGCCAGGGAGTCTTCACCGGCGCCTTCCTGGCCGTCTGTTGTAGAAGTCTTATCGAACGTGTTGACAATGTCCTCTCCTGAGGTGATTGCCTCCGTAATGAGACTGAAAACCTCAGGCTTGATATGGGCCCAATTGACATCTTCCTCCTTGGTCACCGTGATGAAATCTGGTCCATAAAATACAGAAGAGACGCCGTCCACATCTAGGAGCCTGGCAGCAAGCGGAGAGGGATGGGGTGCAGCCAGTGTCGAGCGAGGAGATGTATATTCCAGAAAAGTAGAGGGGAAGGTTTCTGGGAGAACAGGATGGTTCGGGAGGAACTTGAGTGCTGAGGGATTAGGAGTAGACTGCGTCTGTATATAGATCGTACGGGCTGCGGGAGAGGAAGGGGCCCTTTGATGACCAGGCCGGATTGTCGGGCGGCGACGAGCTTGCGAAGTCGTGATGGCCGGAATTCGAATAGACTGGTGAATGTTGCGGGAAGCAGCAGTCTTGCAAATAGTGTTGAGAGACTTTGCTCGATACGAACTCCGCAGAGCGTGTAGCGAGCTTGCTGATACTATGCCGCGCATCCTGATCCCGTCAAAGCACCGTGGGAGTATACCTTGATTCTTCGGTAAAAGTCAAGTTCGATCTAATACAATCGTTACAAAAGAATCTTAACAGTGTAGATTAATTGAATCCTGCCACAACTTTCCTCGACCTGCTCGACACCGAGAAGAGCGAAATGACGCAGAGGCGAGTCACGTGCTTCGCGAGACCTTCCGTCATTTGTCAGCCATCCTCGCCCGAGGATTCGCCTGCAAATATCGATTGCACCAATGACAGTCTTTGGATTTCTTTACTCGTACATACATAGGATCTAGCTCCAATCAACATCCAAGCATAGGACGGTGACGCTGACATGCATCTCGGTTTCCTTTTGTGTCGTCTATCAGATCTTGAAGATAACAGCTCTCATGTCTCTTGGACCTTGCGGCATCTGTGGGAGCGGAGAATCTAAATATCGCTGTCCTTCGTGCGGGATCACCAGGTTTGAATCTCGATGGTCCGGCTTCGAATCCTTCCATTGACCAGTCCTTTGCAGTTGCTGTCTATCTTGTTTCAAAACACACAAGAACCAATGTAACCAGATTGCATCGGCGAGCGACCCAGAGCACGGCACGACAACGGTGTCTGCCAATGTTTCCACAGACAACGGGAACATCTCTCCGGGGGACATGCTCCTGCAGGACCCCAGGTTGCCAGAGCTTTTCGAGCGCTACCCGCTTCTACGTCAAAAGCTGAAGTCCATTTTTGAAACCACTGCCGAGGAAAACAGCGAGATCTCGTCCAACGCTCGTCACCACGGGCAGCCAAAAGCTGCAAAGCCTCCAGCCCAGCGTATTGTCCGTTCGCTGCAGAACCTTGAAAAAGAGTTGAGTTCAGACAACGCCGAACGCATCGGTCTGAAAGCTTTCGCAGACTTGGTGGTGGCCGTCAATTCAAACCAAGCCAGAAAGACGTGACTAAGGGTGGTAACTCATCCTGAAGGCTGCTCATGGTTTGCTTGTAGCAGGGGAGGGACCGGGGGGGTATTTGTTGCTTTGAGTTGACCAGGTGACCATCTCCAGGGTCTCATGGATCGTGCCCTTCTGGGAGTTTTGTCCTCTTCTGGGTCGTCGTCCTCCTCCAGGTACATATCGATAAACTTCTCCAACGGCGACCTTTTCCGAAATATACCCAAGATGGTTTCGCTCCGCTTCAACTGAAGTCGGCCATTGTCTTTTGGCAGCGCCCACGTAGACATGGTTGTCTTCTCGGGGGTTTGGCCACCTACCTCTCCTTGATCGTTGCCGTCATCATCATAATCATCTACAACGTTCAGCGTGAGAGGGCCTCCCAGCTTGTACTTCGATTCAAGAGCTTCAGGCCCTTCATGAAGTACCTGGATCTCCAGCTCTCTACGCAGCTGATCTTCGTAAGGGGAACACATCAGTATGGGCGTGGGCGGAGGGCTCAATGTTGCCACGGTCGCGAGGGAACCGCTGTGCGAGAGAGGTGGCACGGGCGAGGACCTTTCCTGATTCTTGGGCAAAGGTGCGGTGCAATTTACTGCTAAACTTTCTTTGCGTTTTGGTGGCCCTTCCGCATGGTTCCAAGAGTGAACCTTGACGGCCCTTGGCGACAAGTTGGGGTTTGGTACTGGTTGTGCAGCTCCAAAGCCAGTGGAATTCTCTGGTGGAAATGGCCAGGAGGGCATCATCTCTCGGTGCGCTGGGTCCCTGGCCTGAAGCTTCGGTTCGTCAGCTTCACTGTCAGTGAAATATTCTTCCACCTCAGGACCATGCGCATTATAGCCAATTTCTCCTCGTAGCTCCCCAGCTCTTGACGACCTTCGACTACTATGGAGGCGTGGTGTAGGTGGCTGCTGTGGAAGAACAAGATACTGCGGGAAAGATGCCTCCTGCGATGTAGGCGATTGTGGTTCTTTCCAGTGTGGCAGGCCGTTTGCTTGTTCCAGAGAGGCTTCGAAAGGTTTTGGTGCCCTGCGTTTCCCACATGTCTGGCATCTTGATGGTTTGAGATAAACACTGTTGTGAATCTGCGAGATGTGCTTCAACTCAACAGGATGGCCCTTGTGCTCGCCCAGCTCCGTTCCAATTACATGATCTGCCATGCTTTCGTCCGATGGACATGGTATGCTTTCGTAACTTGAGGAAGATGCTCTGCTTGATCCATGATCTTTTTTAACAGGTGACGTCCCAGCAGACATGTCACCCTCTTTTGCTTTGAACCAAGGGCGCCTGTTCGATTTCTCCTCGACAGACTCCAACGAGAACGGTCGCATCTGCTTCATACCTGCCTCGACGGCTTCGACTTGGGCAGCATATTTGTCCACTCGCTGAATTAACGCATCAAGATCCAAGTCGCCATGTCTGTAACGAGACAAGATCAAAGGCCTTTCAGAGCCGGGTTCATCTCTCAAAGCCATTCTGCTACCAGCTTCTGGTTTCCTCGTCTCCTCCGTAGACTGCCCACCTTCGATGGATGTTCGGGTGGAGTTGGTCGAAGATCGTAGACTCGAGTTATTGTAACTGTGGCAGGAACAACTCTACTAATGGTGCGCCTATGATATAGTTAAGTGAGATGATCGTGGTGAGGAAACTTTGACAGCTCGATTGACAGCACGGAGATGGTTCGTTGGCAGCATTCCTATCCACACGGCACGGGCGTGCGACAGAAAAGATCGCGAATACTTGCGCTGTCAAGGTCAGTGCTGCTGCAGATTCTGCAATTCGGGCGACGTGTGCGGGACGAGTTCCATGAGAGAGTCAGGAGTCAAGAAAACATGGAATGAATGGTCGTGTTTGCTGCTCTGCCGCTACCTACAGGGACTACAGTATTCTGTACATGGTGCAGGAAACTTTTCAGCGGCTTCACATCGTCCGGTCCCAGGGAGAATGGCCCGACGTGGCGTAGCTGAACGCCCTCATCAGTCTCCATCCCTTCCTTTGAACTTTGGCAGAGACAAGGCGGGTGGCTTGAGACCTCAGTTATTGCACTCTTGGTACTGTGGCGTGTGCCACAACACCGGACTTCCAGGGGTCGAAGTCTCACTGCGAGCTGTGGTCTCAGACAGTGTCGAGGTTCCTGGAGGGTTTCCCTTCAGAGGCCAGCTGCGAGAGACTGTCGACTTCACAACACCCGCCGGGCCTGCTGGTGCTCGAGGAGCATCGCTTGACCATCTTATTTCCCTGGTCTGGTTGAAGATTCTCACCTAGGGACGTTGCTTGACAAGACCTACTAAACGTGGCTCAATCGATCTGGACCATGGCCATGGTATGTAGCCACTACGGGGCGGCTCGGAGAATTCTGGGCCGCGTCCAGAGAAGCGGGAAGTCTACAGGGTTCCAGGTAGAGTGTGGGTGCTAATAAAGGGTGAAAGACGGCACGCCGCAACAGGCAGGAAATTGCAAAACAAGTGGGATGTTAGTTTTGGGTTTGGTGGATTCGGCCCCTGACATGGATTTTGGGTATTGTGCAAGTTAGCTCTCGTACTGTAGCCACCGGGCGAGGCCGGGCGAGGGATGTAGGATCTACAGGATCTTACCTCAGGTAGGTAGGATACCGCTACTAGGGCATGGATATTGTATGGAGCACAGCACGAGTAGGCACAGGACCTGACATTTTCAATGATGGCTCGCATGGGAAGTTGAATGCCCTCCTTGCGCCACTGAGTAGGGCTTATAGACTGTATGCTGATGGAGATGGGCCAAAGCAACTTGGTCCAGGTACCTAAAATGCCTTGGAAGTGAGTTGGTGAGCTTTGGGGGGGGGGGGGGGGGGGAAGGGGGGAAGTTGGAGGCATCTCAACAGGTCTGTACTGTTCAGGCGACTAACTTAGGTACCTGGTAGTGAGGCCCATACGGGGCCTCCGGCACTGGGGGTCGCCTAAAGGCAAAGCCTACCTGTAGTGAGCCTAGGTAGTTTGTAGCCTGGATCCCGTAACCACCTTCCTTGCTTGTTCGGCGCAAGTCATCAGCCCAGGTACCTAACTTACAATAGTATCTTTAGCTAGAGTCTCTGTTGCCCCATGTATCCTGTTCCGTAAAAAGGGTTTGGCGGAGATTCTTCACCAACAGTAGTTCGGAGTAGTGACGAAGGCTACTCGCCTCACTGTGACCGGAGCTATGTCTTGCCGACCGTGCTCGAAGTATCCCTGCTCGTGGGAGGAATCACAATATTGTCGGCTGATGTCGAGTAGTCGTGATGTACAGAATACATTAGTGGCTGTGACGACATGGCATCGGGTGCATAGAACCGCTGTTGGTGTCCTGCAGGCAGCTTGGTTGATGGCTTCTCATAAATTCTCTCGAGTCTCTGCATGGCCCAGAGTACGGTACAGAGGACAGGGATTTCAGCACCGGCATCCACTTGGTGGTGTTGGTGGTGGCGGGCGGGAGCAGGATCGCCTGAATGGCGAGCCGGTAGTCACCAATGGGCGAGGCAGATGGTTTGTGGCCCCTGTAGGCGGTGCTCCTCGGCCTTTGGCGTACAGGGGACGGAATTTACGCTTCGGAAGTTCCTCGTCGACTGCATCCAACCACCACCAAGATGGTACCTGAAGCACTAAGTTCAGACGTGCAGTAGGCTGTATGTAGGCCCTTTCACATGGCCCTGCGGCCAGTGACCACAAAGCAACCGTCGCATCCAACTCGACGAACCCCAGAGTCTTTCTCTTCCTCGTATCCCGATCCGAACGAGTCCAAAAGCTCGTCCTCCGACCTCACCTCTTTCTTTCCATCGTTACTCTCCCTCTCAGTCTCAGAGAGGTCTCGCAGGCCACCCTGCGCACTCCTGTTTGCTATCTCGTGGCCGTGCAATCACTGCTCTGGACAAATATCTCATGCCCCTCCTCATTCCGCGAGCCTGTGTGTCTCTGAAGTGCGACCCTCTTCTCGCTCTCGCTGCTCAGCCCCTCCGCCCCTCGGCTCCACCAATCCTGGCCGTCGTGAGATTTTCCTCCTCCTACGCTACTTGTCTCGATTGACCATTGTACTTCCGGTTTCATATCTGTCCACTCCTTCCGGCTTCAACCACGTTTTGGAGCGAGGAACAGTGTTGCTATCACGACCGGCAGTTGGAATCGTCCCTCTCTGGTCGCATTTCGTTCACAGACCTAGTCCTCGCTCGTCGATCTTGGCCAGAAGGAGTCAGTCGGGTACAAAGACCCATTAAGTTGGCGTCTTGATATCCCAGACACCCATGACCAACCTCCACCATCACCACCCAGCTGTTCGGTTGTCCACCACTTTTCGATGGCCTTGCCCTAACTGGGTCCAGCGAGACGTTGTGAATTCTGCGCCATGAGGGATGGCTCGATAGCTTGATTACGAGTACCCTGTCCAACACCATGGATAACAGATCCACCAGGTATCGCTCACCAGAGGCAAAATCAGCGGTACCTCCCACAAGGAACCGCGACCGCCACAACTCTGCTCCTACTTCTGATCGACGCAAAGATCAGCACTCCCGTCATGTTCCTTCAGCAAAGTCTATTTCAGATGGCACCCAACGGACTCACAAACCATCTCCTCGCCAGGATTCTTTGATGTCTCCCGACAAAAGAGCTACCGCGCGACACGCAGATCAGCGGCCAGCTAACGATCATTCCTCACAATCTAATCTTGCTTCCCAGGTATGTGTATAGTCCGCGGGCGACCCTGTCAACTGTCGTTGTCGACTCACTCCCTGTACTGGCATCTCGTATGTTCTATATTAACCATCAATCTGTTCTTAGTTGGGTCACTCGTCAACCTTGTCATTCAACTTTCTGGTCCTAGGTGCTGAAAAGTGCGGTAAAAGCGCCTTCATCAAGACCGCTATTGACCAAGAAGGCTCCCGGACTTCAACTCAAGTGACCATTAAGGACCAGTCATACCATATTCGGTTCATCGAGCTCTCTCTTGACGATGTCGACTTCAGTAGTGAGAGGAGAATCGAATGGCCCACCTCCGTGAATGGTGCTCCTTTTCCAGAAGTCCACGGCGTCTTCTGTCTCTACAGTGTGTCCGACAAGGAGAGCGTTGCCGATGTGCCTACAGCTCTGAGTTCGTGCCCCTTGTCCATGACTGCGACCTAGTTGATATACTGACAAGACGACAAGCTTCCATGACAAAGACAGGTCTGCCATGTATGCTGGTGGCTTCTAAAAGTGATACAAAGCAGGAATCGCGCCAGATCAACCCTCTTTTCCTTGAGCAAGTTAAGCGCAATCTCGCCAGCGTTGCTATTGCCGAAGTGTCTCTAAAGACACCCCAAAGCATCAAACTCTGTTTTCTGAACATGCTGAACCGGGTCATTGGTTCTCCCCGTGGTAAGTATGCTCATGCCGCATCCTCATGCCCATATTCTTGCGCAATCTCAGAGGCTCTTTCCTCGCGATCGCCCCTGCGAAGAGACAGACCCCTCGGGCGCAGATGAGCCTCTATTTGTTGCACTTTCCCATACTCAACGTCTCGTCTCGTCTCGCTCGCAATATGCTAACTTCTGAGCCAGCCCCTGCACGGACAAGCAAGCCACAAACTGTTTCGAGCCAGTCTACCACTCAACGTACCGGATTAAGAGATTCTTCCCCCAAGAAGCCTCGTAGCCGAAGTCGTTCCAAAACTCGATTGCAAACCTCCAAGTCGAAGGAGTTCCTTTTAAATATGTCTGTCCGAGCAGCTGTGATCGAATCAGCCAATGAAGATATTGAATCGTCATCGGCAGAAGAAGTGACGTCTCCCACCCGCAAGACCAAACTCCAACTCGATACTGCAGCAGCATCCAAGCCTCAACGTCGGCGCCAAGAACCTCACACACCAGTGTCTTCTGGAGAGTGGACGAACAAACTCATGTCCCCAGAGCAAACAACCACAGCCACCGTTCCTGAAACTCCAGAATCATACTATGTCAAGTCGATGCTGCGTCCTGCCTCTCCAGATCATGTCGAGAGCAAAGCTTACCGAACCTTCCTAAATATGGATGAAGAGTCCAACGAGATGCCATCGCGGGGCGATGTTGACCAGTTGGGCCCTCCGTTGAACGCCAACAAACCTGACGACAGCAGCAAACAGGAGCTTGGGGTCCCTTTCAAGGAGCTGGTGGAAAAGCTACTAATCTTGCCCGCCAACAAGACTGATTCGAAGTTTGTTCCCTCTTTCCTATGTCTATACCGTGCATTTGCAACGCCAAAGCAGCTCCTCGTCGCTATTATCGACCAATTCGTGGCCATTGAGAAAAGCAACATGGTTCACTTTTCGAAGGTCGCCGAGATGCTCCGGTATTTGCAGGTACTCGCTCAATGGACTGCCACGTATCCCGGCGATTTTGCACAAGGTCCTGCTCGCGACAAGGCTATTCCTTTTGTGCAGACCATTGAGAAAAGTAAAGTGTTTGCACCTGCCGCCAGAGAAATCAGCAATAATCTGGACACTCTGGTTCCTGACGATGATGCCGATTGGGCATACACCGATCCGCCAAAGAAGACTCCCTCCTCATCAGCAACCTCCTTGCCGTTACTTAACGTAGATGGAACCAAAGCAGACCGAAAGTCCCCGCACGATTCCGATAGCGACGATGATAACAATGATTCCCCTGCCCCTTCAAACACTCCATCAACATCATCCAGTATGACTAGACCATACAATACTTCCAGTCAATCAGCATCCAACGTGGTCCAATTGGAAAATGCCAAGTTGCAGGCTGATCATCTCAAGAAGTCTATCCCGCATATCCGCCTGGGCAAGCTCCAATGGCATCAATTTATGGAGATACCGGTCGAGGAACTGGCTAGGGAGATTACTCGAATCGACTGGACCATGTACTCCGCAATCAGACCTCGCGACTTTGTGCGACATGTTTCACTTTCAGCGGAGCAAAAGAGACGGTATCGAGGGACCGACAACATTAGCGCCATGGTGAAGCACTTTAATCATCTGGCGTTGTTTGTCTCCGGCATGATATTGCTTCGAGACAAACCCAAACACCGAGCAAAGGCACTTGAAAAATTCATGGAGCTAGCCTGGAAAGTTAGACAACTGAACAATTACAATTCACTGGGTGCGATTGTCGCAGGTATCACTGGTCACGAAATTGCCCGATTGAATTCGACTCGGGAATTGGTATCTCCCGAAAGTCTGAAATCATTCATGAGGTTGACTATTCTTATGGGCTTATCACGCTCTCACGCTGCATACCGAATGGCTTGGGAAAATTCCTTTGCGGAGCGCATTCCATTTTTGCCTCTTATACGACAAGACCTTACCATGGCTGCCTCGGCCAATCCGACATTCATTGGTGACAACGTAAACTGGAAAAAATTTGAGATCATGGGAGAGGTCATTGTTGGCATCCAAAAAAGTCTCGAGACCCCGTATTCTTTCCCGCCTAAAACTGTTAGAACAGAAGAGACGGTCAAGCTACTTTTGGAAACCAGGATAGTAGATGAACCAGAGGTAAGAAGACATCAATCGTTTCCAAAGACTGCTGTGCATGCTGCTGACGATGGGGATAGGATTCAGCAGACCCACGAAGCGAACTATATGATCGAAGTATACAAGTTGAACCTCAACACACTGGAGCGGATCCTAGAAAAAAGTTTGACTGGTTACGGCGTTGATGATTTAAAATGGTCAACATGCTGCAAGGGTCGGTCCTCTCAGCCGCATCGATGCTCTTTCTTCAAGAATGGGCTATCACGGGGGCTTTATATATCGCCCGTGCAACAAACACGGTCAATAACAAGAACACACAACTTCAATGGCAGCGATAGAGAAAAGATTTTCAATATGTTCCGGGAAGTCGAGCGATCGCACCGTCAACCCTCGATATATTATGCAATTATGAGTTTATGACAGACCACCCAACTTTGACGACTACGAGTTGAAACATTTCCAAAAGGGACACTTTGCGCGGATCTGGTTTGGATGTTTGCTTTTTGTTCACAGGCGTAGTTGGCAGGACTTTTGCATCGCATTGAAGACATATATAAGGGCGTCAATTTTTTGGGGTTGTTTTTTATTTTCATTTGAAGAATTTCCCGGGCTACACAAGGCAGATCAGGAGAGACTTTTCGTCAACATTTCATTTGTGAGGTCGAGAAAAAAACAAGGTCGTTCGTCTGCGGTATCTATCTATCTCTGCTTGTCCCAAAGTCCGCAGAGTCCGAGAACAGTGCATGGGAGGTTAGTCTAAGTACGTCGTACACCGTACGCTGTACATACTTGGTCCTAAGGAGGAAGGAGGCCATCTGACTTTTGAAAAGCTCATTGAGTGGTCGGGGAGGGGGGTTCACCACAAAAAGGGAAAACTGGCCCGGCGTCGGTGAATTGATAGGGAGGCGAGTAGATCAAGAGCGTATAGTTTTAAAAAATATCAGGTGCGGAAAACTTGTGACTCTGCACCACCGGCAGATACCTAGGTACACATTATATCTATCCATACAAAGAGCACTGCAAGAAAGTCTCCGCCGCCGCTGTAGTTGACATATTCTCTTTCTTAGGAAATGGACATATGTTGAACATGTAGAAAGAGAGCGTTCATGGCGTTGATCCTACATGACAATTTTCTCGAGTCCCAATTTGACGTCAACAAGCCATCATCCGTCAATCAGCCCTCGTCTTCCTCGAGACCAGATGCGACCTCCAAAGCAATGCAAGTAGTGGGGTATCTAAAACTGAAGAAGGGAAAAAGGAAAAAAAAAGGATCAACAAGAGACACGATGCCGCGCTGCCGCGCTGCCACTACCGCCGCTTCGGTGATGGAAGTATTGGACAGGACGACATGATGAATGTATATATACATCGCTCCAATCTTGTACATGTGCATTACCTTTCCCGCATATTTCAAAAAGTCGGGGACACGGGAGGCCTCTGTCTGATACGCACATACGCGCACACGCACACGCACACACATCCAAAGGAAAAAAAGGTTGAGTGGGTGAAGCATTCATTGTATCTCGCAAGAGACATGATTTGCACTCAGACACACCCAAAAAGAGGTTCCATCCTGATATGGGCGACACTGGCACCAGCGCTTTTTTGTTATTTTTCTTTTTTCTGCGTTCAAGATCGCTCGTCTTCTTCCGTGCCAAAATAGCTCTGGTCAATCTTGAGGATCCAATCGTCCTTCTGACTTTCATTGCGCGCGGCAAACAGAAATGTATTTTGTTCGCCGTACACAGCAAAGACGTGAGCAAGACCGTGGAGTTCGGAACTACCTGCTCTTCGGTGTCCTCGCTCGGCATAGTCCGCGTCGCCGGATGATATCGAGCCGCTGCCCAGTAAGCGCTTGAAGTCCGGGTCGTGGTCGATTCGAGCGTGAACGAGGTTGATTGCATTGATCCCCTCGCCATCCGGGACCGAGTGTATGTGAAGATAGGGAGGGCGGAGGTCGACGAAGCGGCGCTTCCACTGCATGGATTGGGCGTGGCTTGGGTCGAGATTCTCGGAAGGCATGAGCAGGTAGCCTGATTTCAGCGAAACAGGGTTCTTTGGGTTGTTTGTGACTGTCGCGAGGTAACGTGTCTTGCGACTCGAGCTTGCAGTGTTCCCGGCTTCACTCAGGGGGGTCGAGTTACCTGCTGGCGTCGAAATAGAATGCTCAGTGTCGAAAATTGGATTTGACATTTCGACACTTGGTTTCATCCAAATGGCTAGATACTTACGAAGCAAGGCTTCTTCTCTTGGGTCCGTATTTGACGGCGACGCAGCACGGGACCGGATCTTGTTGATGCTTAGCCTCTTCAAGCCAAGTGCTGCCCTTGCTGTTTCGATATCTTGCAATTGTCGTCGCTTACGCCGAGCGACAATGTAATCTTTGACCAGCGAGATACCGCGCGGACTCCAATGACCCAGCAGCTCTTCACCCTTGACATAGTTCTTAGAAGTGTCCAAGCGCCATAGATCGGCCGCTCGTCGCGCACTGATGGGACGAACAACGATTGAGAAAAGCCCGTCAGTTGAATGTGTGATTCTAGTTTGATTCCAGAACGTTTTGAACATTGACTGAGGCCGCACGTATGATCTTGGTAGTATTTGCAGCTGTTGATCGATTGAGAATGTCATAGGTTGCTCCAATCGGCTCGATGCAACATTCCAACGAAGCGCAACCTGTACTCTGCAGTGTTCGTTCGTCACTCTATCCAAAAGGAGAGATTTGTGGAGAGAACTGTCCCATTGTCCTACGACTGTAATGTTGGAAGTGCCATCGGCATTGTCTTTGATCATCGGTTCTTGGATTTGTTTCAGAGCGATGTCTGGTGTGACAGATGTGATATCAGCGATGCGGCCGGAGGAATCGATCAAATGGACTTCGCCAATCCGCAGACCGTTCAAATCATCCCAGGGCAGACTTTCGGTGAAACTGTGTGTCAAGGTGATCGAGATCCTTCTTTGCAAGCCTTGGTGCAGCTGGAACGCTCCATTATCATCAGCACTGGTTTGAAGCACCTCAACAGGCATGTATTGGCCATTCTCGGCGAGCTCAAGCATTTGAACTTTGGCAAAGACATCATGCCGCTCCTCAACACTGTATTCTGACTCCGGCAGACGAGGAGCAGGTTGATGATCCGGTGGCGATTCGTTCATTTCACGAAGCTCATCCCAACTAATCAATTTGTCAAGATGAGTTGAAGTAACTTGAGCAAAAATGGCAATCTTTAGAGTCGCAGACTTCTCGCTGGATCGACGAACGCTCAGATTGTGAATGCTTTCGAATCGAACAGGACCGTCGCCAAACCCTTGAATTGACTGGGTAGTCGCGACGCTCTCATCAGCAGTCCCTAAGACAGTCATTTGTGCATGGACTTGTGTACCTTCGTGCTCCGAAAAGCCAACAAGATCACGCATGATGATATTGAACTTGATGGTGGAAGGTGGCGACTCAGCTAAGGACGGTTCTAATGACATTCTGACCTTCCCTACAATTTGTCGGGTCGAAGGTGACAAGACATCGACGATGAAATCCTGGACTCTCGTCTCGAAAACGGCTGTGAGAGGAATACTGCCGTCTCCCACGAGAGAAAATAGGGCTTGGTCGGAATCACGGAAAGGGTTGTCCATTCTGAAGTGTTGTAGGTATTCGGGCTGGTCCTTGTATTGGTGCATTTGGCGCATCTTGCTTAACCGCAGGCGTAGCTTTTCGAGAGACCAGAGCTGAACGCAACTTAGCTGGGTGTCGACCACACGCACTGCCAAGCAGGGTTTACGAGCATTAGCAAGTGCATCGTCGTCGTCGCCTGATATATCGTGCAGAATGAGATCATAGGAGGAACCCCGATCTTCCCCGAGATCCAGGATAATGAATTGGAAGTTGCAGTCTTGCTCCAGCAGCTTGGCCATGACTTGGGCTTCCTTGAGCAGACCCGCATTCTGAAGGACAGCTTCTGCGATGAGAATATAGTTTCTCTGTTGCCATTTCTCGACAACATTTCGAGCCACTGCGATTTCCGTCGCATCTAGTGGGACGAATCCAGATGTTCTCCTTGCAGCCTCTCTTGTCCGAACCTCGAGGTCCATCTTCTTGATCTGAGCCTCGAAAGCCTCTTTCTGCTTGCGAAGTTCTTCCTGAAATTCTTGCTTGGCACGTTCGAGTTCTTTTTGCATTTGACGGGACTGGGTCTCTTGTTCGGGCTCCTTTGATGCTTGGGGAACGTCTGCGTCAGATTTTGTTTCTGCACTGGGCACAGTGGTTGCTTCATTTGATGACTCGAATTGGCTCGGAGTCAATGTTACATCGCCATCCTCCTGCGAGCCGCCGTGCAGCGAAGGCGTTCCAGGGAGTGTCAAGGCTGTGTCCAGGGAAAAATTGTCCATTGTCCCGTTGGACATGTACTTGTCTCTAACAAGAAACGAGCTCAAATCATCAGAATCTTCGTCGTGCTCGTATAGTTTGCTCTCGTGCCGACCGCGTCGTTCCTCACGCGCTCGCTGGATGTTTTCGAAAAGATTATCCAATTCTTCATTTGTTAATTGCATGATCTTCGGATCAGACCCAAGCAGAGCACCGGCGGCCTCTCTTCGAGCTAACAACCAATCCGAAGCTCCGTTATTAAATCCTGGCGATTGAGCTCTACTCGAATCGCCCTCAAAGTCCGAGTTGGTGGCACTGTAAGACCTTTCATGTGAAGGTCGAAACGGTGTAGGGGAGTTGAGCTGGCTTGCAGTAACAGAGTGTCGTAGAAGACTCCGCTCCGCCCGTTCGGCTTTTGCTTCCAGTGGGTTGTTGAATCGGAAAATATGAAAATCTCCCAGGATGATACGATTGCCACTCTTAAGCCGTCTCGGCTTGTCGACTCGCACACCGTTAACCATGACAGCAGCACCTTCATTTGGGATGATTGTGACGACATTATCGACATTTTCCAGCTTGCAATGGTGCTCAAGTATCTTAGAGCCATTGAGTCGTATCTCTGACGCTTCCGATGAATCCACATTACCAACTGTTGTAATGCCTGGTTTGAGGTTGTAAACAAGGCACTCTGCCAGTAGTGGATCATCGCTCAAATTGACCAGGTGAGGCATCTTTTTCGGAGTACTCATTCCAACATTGCCTTTTTCTATACTGATACCCAACTCTTCCAAAGCTGCCTCTCTTTCCTTGTGGATCTCTTCTGTCTTTTGCAATTTCTCCTCCCAAGTTTGATTGAGGTCTTCGTACAGCTTTTCACTTTGGCTCAATTGATCCATGATTTCAGCTTTGCTGACACGTTTCACAGATCCATCGCTTTGAACAATGGAAACCATCTGCTTGTCCAGGGGCGTATCGGGAGGGTATACTTCTTCGGTTGCCCCTGGAATCCCACCTCCTCCAAGTTGACTTCTAAGTTTCGCAAGTTCCTCTTTGAGTTCACGGATCATGCGTGCATTCGGATCCTCGTTAATAACAGCATGATTCTTGATCCTCTTGGCCGAGTCTGCGTACCGCAAAGTGCTTAACGTCTCTTCAAAGTTGATATCTGCCGGAGAGATAGCGGCGATCATGGCAGTCATACTGTTACCACCTAGTGAGTCCTTCAAAAGCCATGTAAGGACTGAATCTCGATAGGGGACCTTTAAACCCTTTTTGCCAGAAGACAAATCTGCCAATGCGGCAATAACTCGACCGAGAGTCGACAGTGAACGATTGATTTCGGCACCCTCCTTCAGTCGAGCTCCAGTGGCGCCTGTTGAGGTTGCCCTTTCAGAGCCTGCCAAATCTACCAGGCTGATTTTGGCAACTTTCTCGGTGTCCATCGAGGTTTCCACGTCGTGTCTTTTTTGAGTCAAGGTCAGCGTGAAGACCGCATGCGAACGACTTGAGGTTTCGTTCATGTTTGTAGCAGCGACCGTTCGTGCTTTGTTGCCTTCGTCCATCAGATTCTCGATTTCCTGGAAGGAGCGGACGGCCAATTTGGCCAGGTCCTCGACGTAGGGACCAGTCGATGGATGTTCTCGGACTCTGAGGTTCCCTTTCGTCGCAGGATTCAACAAGTCGCGGACTCGCTCATTGTAGATTTCCAGGTATGAGACTTCAACTGTGCAAGTCAAATTGGGATCAGACTGTACACCATTGATGCGCTCAAACATCTCCCGACAGATACGTGGAATGACACCAGCATCCTCTCCATAACCCATCATGCTGTACGATTTACCAGAACCGGTCTGGCCATAGGCAAAGATACAGTTGTTATAGCCCTGGAACGCATTGTCAAGCAATGGCACGCCCAGATCATTGAACAAATTGTCCTGACCAGCGTAATGAGGATCTGCCTTGCTGAAAGACCAATATGACTTGTCGAACTTGAACGTTCTCTGGTGTTCTGATCCTCCCTTCCCTCCCTTTCGTAACCTGTCTTCGGCCTCGGGGGGAGGCTGCAAGACAGTCTGCGCATCCTGCATTTGTACGATACATTTTGCATTGCGATCGATTTCTCTTGTGTTGAATGGTCGTACTCGCACAACGACTTTGATGTTGCCTCCTCCTCCGCCTCCCCCTGCTGCACCACCGGTTGGCGCCATGTTATTATTTTCCTTATACAAACGCGGGATCTCTAATTGACCCAACCATCGTCCGGTCCGGTCCAGAACTCAACGGCCTGTACCGAGACCCGGACAACGAGGAAGTCGATGCGGTCGAAGTAGAGTGAGGTTCTAGGAGAAGCAGGTGGTGTTGTTAGCCCGATGGCTTCGTATGAGTGACCTGTAAAGACCACTAAGGCGAAGAAATGCGAAGAGCGTGTCGCGTTGAGGCTGCCGCGAAACGGTGTACAATGCCCAGCAGGGATCCTATGACGGGCAATGGGAGCGAGGAACCGCCAGGTGCACGAGGCTCTGCACTAGTTAATTAGGCCCGTAGTTATAACTAGCGGGCTTCCCCTTCCAGGCTTACTAGGCTTCAGTTAGGCTGCTGCCCTGCATGTCCCTCTGCCAACCCCACCGTCAATCCACCTGCGTCACTCACGTCAACAAACCAAATGTTCAATGCCATCTGTGACCATGTGAGGAGTGCTGTCGTCGCATGACCCTGTCATCCATCATGGCCAGCTCATACACTACGAGAAATGGGCGCACGAGCAAACGCGGCCTTTTTCTAGGAGGCGTCTGGCAATGCGACTGCGAACCACGCCTCCCAGCCGACAAGTTCCAGGTGAAGAATGGCGGAAAGAACCATGGAAGATGGTGTGAGTTGTATCAACGACATGCAAAAAGCCATCTCTCTGATTGAATCTGCAGTCTACACTTGTCAAAAACCACAACATAAGCGATGCAAGTTCTTTCTCTGGACCGACGATGCCAAAGTTCGCGAGGAAGCGGCAGTTTTGAGCAATTCTCGTTCAGAACCACCTGCACAACCCCAGACTCCTCGAAAACCGAGAGCGGCCGAGATCCCGCCTACTCCAGACACGAAAACAAGCAAGTTTGGCTCGGACAGGGCGGGCCGGGTTCAAGAGAAGTACCAAGGAAAGTCCGAAGCCGATTCAAGCTTCGACTGGTCCTCGAGCAATGATGAAGCGTTGTTAGAGGCTGAACTGCAGACATCAAAGGAGCAAGTACCATTTGAAACCCCCAAGAAAGCTGCCAGAACTTTATCTACCACTTCTCCGGGCAAAAGGGTATTTCGCCAATCGGCGGAACAGGATAACGATGCGGATGACACATGGCCACTGAGTGACGATGTCTTCGCAACACCGTCCACCTCAACTAAATCTGGAGTAGCCGGCTTACTCTCTCCTGGCGATACGCCTGCGAGAGATCGATCCCAATTTGTGGTTCCGGACTCTGCACCCTCTGCTTTGGCCGTCGAAGTTCTTGCTGTATTGTCCAAAGTGCCCTTGAGCTCCGAGGTGAAGAAAGAATTGATCGACCTCCTCAACAGACATGATCTGCGTACCCAAGGAATCATCAAAGGCCGTGACATTACTCGATTAGCCGTTCAAAGCAAGGAGAAAAAGATTGCAGAACTACAGGCTCGAATAGGAGCTTTGGAAGCTGAGCGAGAAACCAATCGTGCAGTGATCAGTCATATGAAACATGATATTGCGACCTCACCGAAAGTCAGTAGGAGCGCAAGGAAAATTCCGGGGCGGCGGTCAGAGGTGTGATCAGGATCTGAAGAAATGGAAACAACACCTACTATCTCTCTACCTGAAGATTTCAACTCGTGGGCCTCCATCAACAGGCAGCCCTAAGACAGAAAATTAATCCCCCTCGAATCCCGCAGACTATACCAAGAATCATCCGGGGGCGATTTTGATTTCAGGTGTTCAAGGGGGAGGTTAAACGATATTGTTAACTATCCGTCTCACTGAACAAGCAGCACTTCACCGAGAGAAGCATATCATCTACGACAGCACGCCACAGTTTTCGCGCTGATCAATGCGAATATGACATCAAACAATTTATCGACTCTTTTTCTAGCTTGGATCAGCGGCGTCTCACGACATCCTACCATACGAAATCCACCGACGTGTACAGTCGAGGTGGCGCGTTACTCAACTCAAACTTCGTTTCTGCGAATTGCTTGTTAATAAGCTACTGCATTACGACGCATTCTGGCCCTACCAACAACGCCATTCCGTCAGCATAACGACTCTGCGGGTTTCCCCCGTGGTTTTCAACTTCACGCTGTGACTCTCTTAGTCGGTTCTGCACGCTTTTGTCGGATGACATGTTCCAAATTATGAGGCTGAAATTCAAGGACATCCATTCTCGAAAGTAGAAAAGGGGCGGAGGTTACCACCTTCCAGATATGGTACTCGATCAGCGACATGGGATCAAAGTCAATCAATTGTCATACCTTCGGTTCGATTAAGGAAGGTCCTATCTTTGTCCGCATATTGTTCCATAATCTGTAGGCTGTCTTTGCCGTTGACATGCTCTTTGCGTCAGGAACAAGTTCACCGCTCCCGTTTCGTTCTGATCAGCGCGATGCGGGCGAAGCCACACAAAACATTTTCCAGGGGCGGCTCGGTCCTTCCCTAGTCAGCGGCTGTGAAACTTGGGCAAGGCTGCGGTTTCTGTTCTCAAGAAGTATTCAAGCAAATGAACAACTTAACCTACCGCGAAATCTAGGCCGATTGTGGCAGCCTGCGCCGCTTCAATGCCCAAATGCCCATATCGAGCGCGGAGCGATCAACATGAATGAAGGTTTGGTTAAACGAGGTGTGAGATGTATGCATATGTATCTAAGAGAAGCACTTGATTTCTTGATCGACAAGGTGATCGCTCGGGTATGGCAAGTCTATGTCAATATCAAATATGCAGCGCTTGTCTTTTTCTTTTCAATGCGCATCTCCTTCCAGATATGGACGCGGAGAGTTCTCGCCGTCTTCTGCATCTGTTAGTCGAGGTCTACCTATCTTGCACCCTGGCCCGTGGCGGTCAGTATTCTAGTAGCTGAAGCTAATACTGCAGTTCTTTGGCTTTTTCACTGGACTCTAATCATATGTTACCCAATGATAAGATATAACACACCACAAACAAAACTACCTGTTAGCTTGATGGGCGATTTTGTTCAAAGGCCAGGATCGGCTATCCAGGTTTCCTCGACACGGCTCGCTTCTAAACAGCAGTGCAGTCAGTCAGCCTCCCCTCTACTCTGTAGAAATGCCGGCAAAGGGTTGAACGGGGGGATGGTCTTTCTCAGGCAGGCGGTCACTCCGTCCCTCATCCATCTCGGATTCCGAGCCACGGCCGACGGTCGTTCAGAGGGGGGGTTTCCATATGTTCACAGGCTGGGCACGCTTACTGGTTAGTTAGGTCGGCACGAGTCGTCCACGCATTAAAAAGTACAAGTGTTGTGCGGTAGTACCGTGCGTAGGTAGTCACCATGTAGGTCCAGCATGTACGCACACTTCTTGCGCTCGAAATTAACCGAGACTGTATGTACGCCGCCACCAGGGAGATAGTACCTCTGGTATTTTAATACTTTTGTTTGTATCGTACGATGAGGAAGGCCGCGGGGAGGGGAGGGGACCTAACTAAAGAAGCACGAACTTACCGTATGTACTCTGTAGGTACTTCAGGTATTTATAGGTAGGTAGGCAGTTAGGTACCTATGTTGGGTAGGTTATTTACCTCTACTTATGTGTGTGTCGGTATGTACTCCGTACCCAAGGTATTTATTTACTAGCCTGGATGCTTGTCTCCAGCTGGCCTCGTGCATGATGACACCCTTGTTAATCAGAGTCTTTGATGTCGGACCGAACCTCCCTCTAGGTAAAGTCGGGCAGGTCGAGGACACTACAATATCAAGGCTAGTAGATGGTCCGTTCCGAGTGATGTTATGAGCAGCCAGACTGCGTACGTAAAGTGCCATTTGCTTCTCTGGAAGAGGCTTTCTGATTCAACAGCCAATGGTGTACCCAGTCATGGCACCTGGGGCCACACGTACCAGGTATCAGGTACCTTGCATACCTTAGATACCAAATAGCCAGGTCTACAGCGTCTGTACAAAGCACCTTGCTTTAGCTACATGGAATTGCCAAGTGTCTGTCGGTACTAGCTAAGTGTGATTGTTGATCGGTGAAAGGATTCAAACCCATTATCCGGAATTTTGACCACTGTCCATCGCTCTGTAAGCGTTGTTGGGCCACCGCTGTTGATTCTTCAGAAAGCTAAGCTTGCTAGTGTTCCTCAGTCGGAGGAATACATGTTTTCTGCCTCAGTAGAACATTCACCCTGAACGTCCCCCGCCTCCCACAACCGACCAGAAGCCTGAAGATGAGCCACCTCCACCTAGAGCGCATCTCAAAACACGAGATAAGTTGAGCTTCACAGGCTCAGACTCAGCTGGTATTCAACGGGTTCCTCTTCTTCAAGCCCATTGGTATCTCAATGGGCAAATTGCTTGATCCCTGTTTGCCGATGTAGAGCTTATGGTCGGGGAATGCTCGAAGCTCCAGCCGCGACTTACAACCCACCAATCCTCCCTAAAACATTTCGCCTACACCGCATGGTGCGCTTCTTGCCAATGCCCTCACAGTTAACTTATAAGCTCGTCTGCTCAATTGCCCAATATGATGCCATGCTTAGCGTTGCCGAAACGGCCCGCTTCGACACCATTGCGCATGGAGAATTCACCATGCCATCTAGCACCCCATTTTTGGCTCTCACTGAACAAGCCGGTCCTGGAGACTGGTACACCAGAATACAAAGCAGATAGCTGTGATGCCCCTCAGCCTTCAAGCCAAGAATGGTCCTGACGACATAGAATGTTCGTTCAGTCGCGTCACAAGAATACTCGACACCTCCGAAACTTCAGGCAGATGCGTGTTAGATCCCAGGTGAGAATGCGAGCCGTGTTGGATGTCGCATCTATTTGTGCAAGTCGACAAGCACTGGACATAATCATTCATTGCTAGTGTTGATTGAAGTTCAAAAAAAGGTTGGTGCCGAACAGCAATTTAGAAGATAAAATATGCCGCTATCGCTGTCATCACCTGGTCATAAATCATCATAAAACCAGTGTTTTATAGGGTCAGACTGGTCGGGTCGTAATCATAATATCACACATTTGTTTGCTCCGCGCCTTCTCCCATGTTCGCGATAAATCCGTGGATGTTCTGCGTCGAAGTTGTTTCGCATCGCAGGAGCAGGCCCATAATTGGTGCCTTTTCGATCAATCTGTTTCATAGGCGACTGCCGTTGACGTCTCAGCTGTCGTACAACATCGTAAAATGCCTTTTCGACATTGATGCAATTTTTGGCAGAGGCCTCCACAAAGTCGCAACCCAATTCTTTCGCAAGAGCTTGACCTTCCTGCGATGAAACCTCCCGTTCGTGGTGCTTATCACTTTTGTTGCCGATCAACATGATAGGAACGGGACCAGTATAGGTGGGTGTTCCATTCATTTGGGTCGGGAGATAACTCGCTCCCGTAGGCGAATTTGGATGGCCCGACTCTTTGACCCTTTGTACTTGCGAATGGAATTTTTGTATTCGGTTGAACGAGTTCCTCGACGTGATGCTGTAAACCAATATGAATCCCTCTCCGTCCCGGATCCATTGGTCACGCAGGGCAGTGTATTCTTCTTGTCCGGCTGTATCCAGGACTTCAAGCATGCACGCTTGCTGGTCTATCACGACCTGCTTTCTGTATGAATCTTCGATGGTAGGATCGTAGGTCTCGACGAAATGGTTGAGGCATAACTAGCTTCGTATTAGCGAACAAGACATGATACACGAGACCGGCAAGGGGGACGAACCTGGATGGTGAGAGCAGTCTTTCCCACGCCGCCGTCCCCAAGAACCACCAGCTTATACAAAGTCATCTTCCCCGCCATTTTGCTAGGGCTTTCCGAGGTTGACCTCGGAACGTCAACGATTTCAGAGGTTCTGTGTACTTGGAGAAGTCTCGCAAGTGTGTCTGTTAGATTCGATGCAACTTGCGTACATTCGACTTGTCGATTAGGCGCAGGTGCGATCAGGCGATCAAGGTCGAGGATACTTGTAAGATCTACCGGCGAAGAGTGGGTGCCCGGAGGCCTAGACCTCCTAAGTACGCGGATTCTGGAGGGGACTGTACGAAACTCTGGGCCTTTTACTTTGCTCGAGCAGAGACTAGAATTAACAACGTCCTTTCTGCCAAATTCCCTCTCTTCAAATGCCGGTAAAGAATATGGCACAAGAGTTTCAGTAGCCGGATGTCGATTGCGTCCTTCTTTGTCAAGAGTGACGGATTGTGAGGATCAGTGCTTCGGGCAGCGATCGGCAGGGAAAGAGTTCGGCGTTGGAGAAGACCGCTGTGTCCACTGGGGCAAGGCGGCCAGAGTACAGGTGGTCGATCAACGCACCGGGGGTTCGTGCTGAGATACTGTTGTACTTTTTAACTGACACACAACGGCAGCCAAGGATGCCAAAGCGACTTCAGGGAGGCAATCAGAGTCGACTTGTTGGTTTGGTGAAATAGGTGGACTTGCGGGTTGTGAAGTATAAATTGGCCTGCGGCTCGGAACCAAGGGCCAGGGAGGAATAGGAGCGTATGAATTTTCGACGGTTGATTTTCTGGGCAAGGTTGCAAGGTCAAGACGACGGGAGAGCCCTGTGTTTTGTTGGTCGAAGATCGTCGAGGCCAGGAAATATTTTTGAAGGCAAGGGCAATAAGGGCAAAGTCGAGCGGCTGCTGTGGGGCGCCAAACAAAGACGGTCGGTTTGTGGTAGGTACAAGTTTGGAAGGCGATAGATTATAGGAGGAGGGGCCTGGGGGATGGCACTGATGTTATTCTGCGTCTATCTCGCTCGCAGGCCTTTCGCTGACTCTATGACGGTGGTTTCGGGGGAGGAAAAATACAACGAGAGGCCTGACCTGAGTGAGTCGAAAGAGTGTAGAAGACGAGGACACATGGGAAATTCTGGGCGACCTTCAATCAGTGATCACTCGTACACCTGGTGGTTTCTATCGCCCGGGCAGCCATAGTCCGCGGCGGATATATCTTTTTCTGCGTGCTTGCAGCGGCCATGCGTCGTGGACCGAAAACTAGGACCGAGTGAGCATGGTGTCGAGGTGATGCCTGCCGGGACAATGGGGTCAACCTCCTGAGGTGCAAGAGGTGGGTTCCCTTCTAACATGGACGGGCCCAGGTACCATTTCATCGCACCAGTCCTGTCCCGGTTAACGCACCTTCGTCTAGTTATCTAGTCTCTCATTTACGGAGAAAAGCTGCATGATTCTAGCACACAGCAATGAATAATGCTGCAGCGGAACCTCCTTCCTGTCCTGATCGTCTCTGCAAGATGATGAGGTAGTGATGATAGTTGCCGTTCGTGTCGATGCCATTGGTCTCTCATTCCCATCCACAAACTTGGATGCCTGAGGTCTCTGAAACGGGGAGGACTCTGAGCGAGACGACGAATCATTCTCACTGGTGCAGCCGCCGACCTAGGGCGAGGCCGGTGACTTCCTTACTTAAGTCGCATCGCGCTATTCTCGCCATCTACAATAGCTACTTTCCCTCAACTCCGTCCCCAACTCCGTCCCCCGCGGCCTTCAGTATGAGGAATGCGCTGCAGACGGAGTGGTTGGATCTTTTCCGGATGTTACTGTACACTGTGCTGCTCAGCATGATCTTCTAGAAGAGGACTAAAGGGGACTTCGCATTATGGAGTTTCGACGAACGTTCTCTTCCCTGGTTCTATGGCTACCCTGTCAAACGTTGCAGTGGTCGACCCAACCCGGGCTCAATTTTGAATTTTCAGATCCAACACTTTCTCCTGTGACTATTTATGCAGCCATGACATGTGAGAGCACCTGCATCTTTTATGCCACTATGGTTGTGAAGACGAATAGTGGTAGGAGAAGCACATTGACCAAGGCGAACTGACTATTTTACCGAAGGACTGCGGATAGTTTTCGCCTTTGATCGTACCTCGTTCACGAATCACCAATCTCTGCCTTCAGGTTTCATCCTCGGTTGCTCGATCGACCGGTTTCAACCACGAGGGTGGTATCGCGCAGCCAGAGCTCCACAGCCTTGTTAACCGATATTGATATGGCCCCCTGCATCAGACTGACGCCACATGATTTTGCCCACCGAAAAGACAGACCACTAAACGAAATCCTAGCAAAAAAGATGTCCTCTATGGATGAAAAGCAGTAGGTAGAAGGTAGAACATCCGCACAGTAGAAGGCAAGAGTTTACCCGCATGATATTTCCTTGAATGCCGACCGCCTTTTACCATTACGTTGCCTTACGATGATTGAAACGCCATTTCGCCAATCTACCTCGTGCTAAAGACTCCATACTCTGCTTCTCACCATGGCGTAATCGACGGCGTCCAGCCACACCAAGCCGTTGCAAGTTGCAAGGCTCCGACTTATGCCAATGAAAACAGTCGTAGGTATCATGGGCTGAAGCACGGATAGGTGATAAGATAGGCATATCGGACGGAGTTTGCAGCTCGATAACGAAAGTTTCCATTATTAACACATCCCACCATAGAGGCACCAAATGAAACATTCTTTTCACAATCTACACCAGAAGATCTGCCACGGCCTGGCGTACATCTAAGCTTTAATCTCTTGTGCCTACGCAGAAGCACGGATTCAACCCGACCACGTACAGAGCCAAAGCAGCCCCTTTTCGCATAGCGTTTCGTGGACAAAATGAAGGAATATATGGCCGAGAGACCTGCAAGATCTACGGATCCTACATCCACAACTCCATTCAGTCAATATATGCGACTGACCCATCACTGGATAAGGCTAGAGTAGTGCCCGCTTCAAGTTAAACAGGAAACATTTATCTCGGAATGTGTTGATGCAGGTGTCGACTAGCCAGATGGGGTATTTGCCTTGCTCGACTCTCTCCTTTGACTTTTGGTGAGAATTCGCTGATCGACATCCTTTGGAAAAGGTTTCCAGCTTCCCGTGCAAAGAATTCAGGTGCCATATTGCGCGAAAAGTCAATCCGGCTTCGGCGATCGGATATTGCCGGTTGCTGCTTGCAAAACGCAATTCAACTCTTCCTCGTGAATGGTAAATGAAGTGAAGTCAGCGACGAAGCTCCCGTGAGGCAAAACCTTGGACGTTGTTCTCCGTACAGCGAGAAGGGGCCGAGCACGTGTCCGCTGACACCCGGGGAGACCCCAGAGATCGAGGAGCAGAGCGGCTGACGAGTTAGACATGAGATGATCGAAAGGATTAGACGCCCGGGGCACAGAACAAAAAACTGTTGGCCAAGTTCGAATGCACCAAGGTACTCGTAGGGCCACCCCATCGGAAAAACAGCACATGTACTCAAGTACCTCGAGTTGTGCGACGAACGAGCCTTGGACCTGGACCAACCGCTCCCCTCGACCATCTCAATTCCGACCCGAGTGCTTTTTGTACCCAGTACCAATCTCTCGGGACTCCAAACTCAAACACAGTGAAGGCCATTTACTCTACAGAATACTCGTGATGCATGAGTCTGCTTTTTGGATGTCAACTGAATGACGTCGACGTTAGGCCCCTCAATGGAGGGGGAGCTTCCCGAGCTTCGCAAAGGTCAGCAACCAACCAAACATGCAACTTGATGCGCCCGCCCCCAAAAAAAGTCTCGGACCACAGCCTCTATGATCTATCCTCAGCTTCGTGAATGGTTGGGATTCCAGATTGAGCTCAATACGGACTCCGAATCTGCCGCTGCCGGTCACTCATGTGTAACCAGCTACTTTCGCACCTTGCGGGGGCGGAATTGAAACCCAGGATCAAGTAAGCACCGTATTTGCAGCTGAGACACGGCCGATGGACCAGCGTCGACCCAGCCCGAGCTGGGTTTCAGATCGCCTTGCTTTCATTCCGTCCTTCTCTTGCCCTCCATTAGTGATCTGTGTTACGTGCGCATCACACAGGAGTGTTCTACGAGTGATATCAACGGCGCTGCGTGCCTTGGTCAAGCTACTTTGTCTCTCCCACTGCCGGACGACCGGTCTACGCCGCAAACCACAAGCCGATACAGATTGCTGCTCGACAAGGTGATCACGGATCCAGACTGACAATGGGAGATTCAGTAAATGAACTACAACTTGAAAACTAAAGCTGCAACTGATCCGGAAACAGCGTCCTACACATGCCCACGCCGACGCCGACGGCCACTTTCGCCGAAAAGACAGCCAATTCCGCAACTTTATCTCTACAGAACCTGGTGCAAAGTTTCCTCCAGAGAAAGATCGCTACGCGCTCTATGCGAACTATGGGTGCCCTTGGGCATGTCCACTGCCATCGTCGACAAGCGCAGTCGCTAACAGACCTTGCAGGCCCACCGGACCATCCTTGTCCGTGCCCTGAAATCACTCGAACCCTTGATCCAGCTGATCATAACCGACTTCAACCTGACTGAGAATGGATGGCTCTTCACAGGCCGCAACGGGTCCGATCCCGTCGACCCTTTGTACGGCTTCACCTCCCTGAAGCAACTCTACCTGAAAGCAGACCCACAATACGATGGCCGCTACACAGTCCCTGTTCTCTGGGACAAGAAAACACAAACAATCGTGAACAACGAGTCTAGCGAGATCATTCGCATGTTCTATGACAGCTTCGACGAGTTCCTCGAGCCCGACCAGCGTGAAGCTAATAAGCCTGGCGGAGGATTTTATCCGCCACACCTGCGCAAACAGATTGATGAGATGAATGAATGGGTCTACAACACAGTCAACAACGGTGTGTACAAGTGCGGCTTCGCAACGACCCAAGAGGCGTACGATGCAAATGTCTACCCACTTTTCAAGTCACTGGACCGGCTCGAAGCACATCTCGCAGACCCCAGCCACCAGCCGTATCTTTTCGGCGAGCATCTCACTGAAGCTGACGTGAGGCTATACACTACCATGGCGCGCTTTGACGTTGCATACTACAATATATTCAATTGCAACCTCAAGATGATCAGACATGACTACCCGCGTCTCTCGAAGTGGCTGCGTAATCTGTACTGGGACACATCTGATCGAACCAACGGCGGTGTGTTCAAGAAGACCACTTTTTTTGAGGTGTACAAGTATGGCTATCTTCGGGCGAAGGGGCGCCAAACACACGGTGGCAGCGATGTGGGCTGGTCAGTGGTCATCCCACGTGGCCCAGTCCCAGACATCGAACCTTTGACTGATGAAGAAGAGAGAGAACTCATCGACGGCACTGCTAAGAAGCTCAACGGGCTCAAGCTCGATAGTAACGGTGTGGGTGCCAGTCCGACCAGCCATAATCCGTTCTCGGCTCAAGGGGAAGGCAGAGGGATGGGCGCTATTTTTGGTGCCGATATTGACTCGCCTACCGACGGAGTTGCAAGCCCCACGACGAGTACGACGGTCGGATCGCCGTCGGCGTCCCGGGCGGGTGAAGACGACAATGAGACAGGGTTCGATGAGAACGGCGAGTTCCATCCGCGCAGAATGATTAAGCGGCGCACTACGTACGGCGAGGAGAATGCCAAATGGTACAAGGCGGCAAAGAAGGCAGAGAAGAAGTTGGGAGCTCCGACTATGCATTTGGCCTTGTAAAGTGGGCGTTGTAAGTCGGGGATTCCGACATGTAGCAAGGTTGCAAGTGATATCTAGTATAGCACTGCTCATGAACGGTAGAAGTGTCATCAGTCAATGTGGTTTATGTTTTTCGTGATTTACTTGTTGAAAGTGATCGGCCCTGACAACAGACCTGGGAACTGACTAGAAAGTCGCAGATGCCTTACGGGAGCTCTAAGCTGCCTTCCCTCAATTTCTGAGGCCGAATCTTTTGGCAACTTCCAGAAACCCTCCATTGCCTTCGTCCAGGCCAATCCACATGTCGACCCAACCTTCCTGTTTGGCTTTTGCCGTCTCGTCGGAGGACCACGACTCCTCCTGTGGCCTCTCGATGTACACAGTCTGATAGCCGCAGCCACGCGCGGCCTTGAGATCTCCCAGGTGGGCGGCGATCAAGGCGCATTCTTGCGGTTCAACTCCTAGCTTCTTCGCGGCGCCCAGATAGACGCTCGGGTGCGGTTTATAGGCGCCGAAATCCTCGGCAGAGACAATGTGAGTATACGACAGAGATCCGTGCCGGGCGAGGTCTGAAAGCAGGCTGGTGTTGCCGTTGCTGAGGGTCGCGGTGACGAAGGACCCGTTCAGCTGCGCCAGCCCGGGCGATGAGTCCGGCCACGGGTCGAGAAAGTGCCATATCATACTTATCTTTTGGACCTCCTCGTCGGTCCAGAGGCCGTCGAGGCCGTGGTCCACGAGGATCGTGTGCAGAGCCTCGACGTGGTGCTGGTCCACCGTCTTGAAGCTGCTCTTGTCCCTTGCGCCCGGGTCGTAGGTGCGCGTGAACTCATAGTAGGAGTTGCGCCATAACTGCGCAACGGCGGGCCAGGAAATTTCCGAGGCCGCTGCACGAACGGCACTGGGGATCGACTTGGTGGAGGAATTCAGCGATTCGGACGCAGAGAGTGTAAGGTGCTTCTCGACCGTGCTGCGCCAGTCAACCACGGTACCGAACACGTCGGTCAAGAGGGCTTTGGGGCGTTGAGAAAGCGACATGGAGGATTTTTGGTTCGCTTGACGGACCAGGAGACGAAGCTACCTACTGTACAGATACTGAGATGGTTTGATGAATGATTCTTTTGTCAATAAAACCGGTTCGCTGATGAGTCACGGCCGCATCGCTCCGAGACCGGGAACAATCATGTCGAGAGGTCCAATCATGATGCCATTGAATCTCGGTCCAAGCTATATGTCAGGAAAGTCAGATGGAAATTCGGGGTTGCGAAAAGTTGGAGAAAAGGTCCGCACGCCCGCAAGCCCGCCCGCAACCCAAAGAGCATACCCGGTCTCCTCGTACTCGTACCGGCCCCCTTCCCCCAAAAATGATTTTCAAGAAAGCCTAGCTAGGGATTCTGCGGATGCGCGTTGCCGCGCCCCCATTATTGCGGCCACTGCCTGAACCCGGCCGCAGGTGTCAACAACGTGAGCTTGGGCTCCTCAGCATGGGCCATGACCCATGGCACGCCAGGAACCCATGATCCCCCAATATGCGATACCGGGTCCGGGATTTGATCGACATTCAGGAACACGAGGTCTGATCGTTATCATTCAATCGCACCGTGGAGAGAATCTTCCGTTGATCGCCACCAATGGCAACGACACTATAGGGAACGCAGAGCATCGCTCGTGAACGCAGATGGCGCGTAGAGGGGAGCAGCACCTCTGTCCAACATGAGAGCGAGATGTTAGGCAATCTGTACTCGTACAGACCCCTAGTTCGAAGGGAAGATCCCGAGCGGCATCTCTCCGCAGCCTCTAGATTCAATAGTTGCAATGCGGGAAGAGATTGAAGGACCATCAAAAAGTCGCGCATATTGTCAAGCGAACAGACCTGGTCACTTCACAGAAGGATGGTATTGCCAGAGTAAACGCATGGATTCATTCGTCTGTAACGCATGATAGTGAGTGTGATGGAAAAGACGAAGCGTGACGGCTGGATGTGTGGCTTTTGTGTACCAATCCCAGCTTGATATATGTGTGATGAGACAGAACTAAAGGGCAAAAGAAATTATTGGCGTGAATCTGCCTTTCTATGCTAGCCCGGGATATACTGCAAACAAGTTCAGCTACACACGGGGCCACTACGGAGTACGTACACATACTGTCCCTTAGACGGATAATGGGCCAATAGCTGGAAAGAGGATGAACTGAGACAGGCTGAACTGCAACGCGCGGATATTGTACATTGCATGACCAGTTTGTGTCTTCGGCGCCCGAGGCCAGGCCGCGCAACAGAAACGCGTGAGAGCAGCCTGTGGGAGAAACAATTACTCCGTAGACCAGTTGAGGATGTAGATACGGCTGTCGAGAGCGAGGATATTCGGCACAGGTGCGAGACTCCGGAGCAGGAGAGAGTGCAATCCAAGCCACGACAGATCGATGATCCCGAGTCAGGACGCTCGTCTTGGGACCTGCAACACAGGCCTTCTGTCTTCCAAGCGAAAGTGAGGCCCAGAGGCGAGAGTTGCACCAGTACAGGGATTATCAGCAAAGAGTGGGAACGGTTCATGCTTCAAGCCGCCGAAAAAGGCATAAAGGATGGTGCTTGTCAACGGCAGCCATAATTCAAATTGTCACTTCGGGACGATTGATGTCCAGCCGAGTCAGTCAGAAAATGTGTCACAGCGCTGTAAAAAAGGCGAGAATTCCTTGTAGTGATGCGTAACCTGAAGCGAGCCGTGCATACATGGAGTGAAGAACTGGCATCCTGGGTCTTTTGTACGTACAGGATGTGCAGTCAGGCCACCATCGCTCGTATCAACGTCTTAGACATGCATTCTGTCACAGGTCTCTCTGTGCGTTCAGTCCTTTGGCAGCTCTTCATTCGGCCTATCCGATCCAGTGCAAGCCGAGGGCCGTAGGGAGGGGCGTACGGAGTAGAAAGTACTGCAAAGACACGCTGGAAATTTGACACCAAGACGAACCTTTTGATCGACCCCTCCAATCGCCGCAAAGAGAATAGGCAGCTTTGTGCCATACAAATCCTCCGATGGTGGAGTCGATGAAACACGCTTGTGCCTGAGGGCGGGGACGTTAGGGAGCGCTAATGCCTAAAAGTATTAGCCCTCACTAGGCTCTGGGAACTGCCCCGCCTGCCTACGGCCCGTAGCCAAGATTGTCCTGGCCCTCTTGAAAAAATTCCCCTCCTCGTACTCCGTGCCAATCACTCACGGTGAGAATTGAGATTTCTCTCCGACTACTATCAGCCTTCTCTGGCACGCAAGCCTATGGTCCTGTCAAACATCGACCCTCCCATCACTCTACCACTACGAGTATTCCGCACGTCGTATGATTGTAGATCATTATCATTATCGAGGACTTGGTACACGACTCGCTACGTACAGCGCTGTACCAGCAACTCTGGCCTCGCAGATCAAAGCCACACCGTTGGCCTCAAGTCCACCGAACTTGGCTAAAATCCCGGATCTATGGGAAGCCCTGGTCGGCACCGGCCCTCGCTTCCTGTAGCCAGGTCGCCCCGAATTGCCAGTCGCTGGACCGTTTCGCTCCCTCCCTTCAAGTTCCATCCACTCACTCCACTTCGTACATCCTGGTCGATGATTCCTTGCTTGTAAGTTGTCTGCTTTCAACGCTGCCCCTGAGCAATCATGAATCTTCCCACTATGCAAGCCCTATTGTCCAATCACTCCGCTGCCCTCTGGCTCTTGTCCAGCCCCAGAGTTCCGCCTGAGACGCGCACCAGACAGGCCATTTCGAAATGGTTGACGTTCGAGTCTGCTCGTCTAGAGGACGAGGGTCCCTTCCAATTGTCGCTGACCGTGTGCTCGGGCGGTGCTATCTGGACGGGACGGAGTACTTTTACACACTAGATGTGGACCAGGATCCGACATTGACCAGCTTCTCCTGTCCATCTTGTCATCCTCCTCATTAACGCCTGTCTGACGCGACTATGTACGCATGACATGAAGCTTAATGATCTCTGTCTTGTGTCTCGCAATCTGGAATAAACAGCAGTAGCAACAGACCGCTGGTTCGTCGAGGTCTTGGAATATACGAACAGCGGCAAGCATTCGAACAGAAGCTGCATGCCCGTCGGTCCTGCCTCAGCAGGATGTCTTCGCGCTCCATCTGAATACAGAGCCAGTTGCCTCCGTCCATCCAGGTGTCGGCCTTCCTGATTTTCGACGTGAGTATGCCAGGCACGGCTGCCATCTGACCTGGGCCTGTCGTGGCATCTTCGAAGGCATGGAGCCGGAATTCAGTTACTCGCTACCATCGCCTACGGGTACACCATACCGCACACCGTCAAGTTCACAATCGACCCGATCACGGCGATACGACGACATGTCACCCTCTTCTACCCCTCCGCCTATGCCCGATGAGCGAGCCAGCAAGAGACAAAGTAGTGGCTCGATCAATCCTGCCCTCGACGGGAACATCTCTCCTCTCGATCCCAGAAGATTCACTCCTACCCTCCACGCCTCCTTGGTGTCCGAGATCTTGTCGTTACGCAGGGACCTGGAGAGCCGAACCAATGACATTGAAAGGTTGGAGATCAGCCTCCATACCTCTCAGTCACAAAATGAAGTCCTCAATAACAATCTGCTACAAGCGAACAAGGAGACGAGGTCGATCAAACGGCAGATGCAACTTTTGGAAGGAGGCACCCTCTCAGCCCTCAACGAACTAGCCAAAGAACGAGACGACGCATTGAACGACGTGTCGGAACTGCGCAAAAGACTCGAGCAAAGCCAGAAAAAGGCAAAGACCCAGGAAGAAACCGCAGAAAAGACGCAGGCTCTCTGGGACAAGGACAAGGAATTGTGGCTTGGTGAAAAGCGCGGGCTAGAAACCAAGGTCCATATCGCAGAGGGACGTCTTAAAGTTGTACTGAGTGAGCTTGCTAACGCTCAACACCATCAACTGCCCCCTGTGTCTCCGACGGAGCGAACATGTCAGAGTAGGAACAGTGTTATGGAGAGCCCGAGCAAGGGTTCTATCCTCGCACGACGAGGACGAAGGCCAAGTGCCACTTCGATCAATAGCGACACCCACGGTGGGCGCATGTCCGTGTTGAGCTTTCACAATGGCGTTACAGTGAATCTGGCGGATGAGCTTGCGTTTGATGAACTGGAAGAGGATATGGCCAACATCCTCGAGAATGACGAAGACGGGCGTATTTCTCCCGACGCGCTGCCTGAAGAGCAAATTCGTCCCACCTCAAGCCTGTCCCTCAAAGCTCGCAAAGTATTGGGCATGCCTTTAGACTTCGAGGAAATCGAACGCAACGACAGCCCAGAAGAAAAGCGACGGGTTAGTGCCGTATCTCCAGACGGTGTGCCACGGCAGCCTAGCATCAAATATGTTGACACCGCCATACAATTCTCCCCTCCCCCTTCTCCCTGGCCGGCTCTGGCGAACAACCGTCAATCCAGGATATTCCGACCAGCGGATATCGAAGTTGGAACTATCAGGCACGCCAATGTTTCTCCCACCCCTGACAGCCCTGCCGATAGTGCAGAGTTTTCGTGGGAAAGGCAGCTACCGATTATGGTTTCGTCCGCGTGCCAAACGGTTGAGGCTCTTCCAAGTCCGCCACTCACTCCAGAGAAACACGACAATGGCCTCGCTACTATACCTGAGAGCTTTTTTGAGAGAGTCCCGACAGCGACGATTGCTACCCAGACTGATGACATCGTGCCTGCGATCAACATTAGCCATAAACATACTGAAAGCGAGGAGACTCTTGATCTCAAAGTGCCTTTGATTGCCATCATACCTCCGGGATCCAGACCTGCCACCCCTGAGAACAGTGTCATGTTGCCGCCCCGAACTAAGAACGCCGGTACCCAAGTAAGCTCAGATGCTCTTGGTGGATATCAATCAGCATCGATGCAGACCGAAGAAATCCGGGTTGACAAACGAGCCATCGTACCTCCATCTGAGATGCCTCCTGCTCCTCTATCAAATAATTACAGACCACCCGTATCTGCCATGGCAGTGCCACCACCCATTTCTCGAACAAGAGTCTCCCCCGCTGCTTCCATGTTCTCTTCTCGACGCGGCATGGCTGCAGGACCCTCCAGAGCGCCAGTGCCTCCCCCGAACGATAACGGACCGCTTTCCAGGGATCCCGCCTCCAACATGCCCAGACCTATTCGATCGAGCAGCCTTTTCGCCGGATTCGATGATGACGTGGAAGACGAGAACGACCTATTTGATGAAGACAATTTCCTTGACGATGACATTTTCAGTCGTCCGACCGCCAAGTTCGTCCTCAAATCTGGCAAGTTGGTGTCTCAAGATCCCCTTCTTGAAGACATTGGCGAAAGTGTGGCAGTCAGCGCTGGTGAAGCTGCCGCCCTGGAAAAGCTTCGCCTTTCAGAGGACGGTCTTCCTCTGGAACTGAGGATGGCTTTCTCCAAAGGCAGGACTAGCCCTCCAAGACGGTCTCAGAAGCAGAATATCGGCTCAAAGCTCAAGCGTGTACCATCGGCTCGATCCAGCAACATGAGAAGGACTGCATTGATATCAAGTGGAGCTGCTGCTCATCGCACATCACATTCCCAATCTACCACGGCTTCCGTCGACAGTAATCCTCCTTTCCCTGTCCCTTTGAGGTACAGCTCTGCAAGAATCGGTAAATCGATCAGCGAAGGTGGTCGAAGCTCGCCCGCGAGTAGCAATGCATCTCCAACAAAGAGGCCGAAACACAAATATACTAGACCTATGTTGAGAAAAGCTCGGTCTGGTCCTGCCATTTCGCCTCATTCTCAAGCACGACGAGCCCGGAGTCGTTCACCACCTCTGGATCCACGGGTCTCCATTGTGCCTGAAATGCCCAGCTTTCAAATGCCAACAACGGAACCGGCATCGTTCCTGGCTGAGCCTTACGGCAACCCCAGGGAGGCGAGTGCACCTCGTCCATCCATCGCCACCGGGCCTAGCCGACAGAACACCCATCACGTAAAGACCAATTCAGATGCGGTGTCCATGCAGCAGACATCCGTTGTTGATTCGATCGCGCAGACTATGGTGGGTGAATGGATGTATAAGTATGTTAGAAGGCGCAAGTCGTTTGGGGTGACCGACAAAGCCGACTGGGATAGTAACAAGAGTGTGGAAGAGATCTCTCAAAGTGTTACGAACAATGGTGTCCGCCACAAAAGATGGGTATGGCTTGCGCCATATGAGCGTTCTGTTATGTGGAGCAGTAAGCAGCCAACTTCTGGTACAGCTTTGATGGGCAAGAGTGGCCGAAAATGTGAGTTTCCTTTCGCACTCGGACTCAGTGCTATAGACTAACGCTGTGCAGTGATCATCAAGTCGGTTCTTGATGTCAAAGATGACAACCCTATGCCCAAAGGTGCAATCGCTGGTCAGCATTTCAACAGATCCATCCTCATTTTGACTCCTCAGAGGGCTCTCAAATTTACAGCAACCTCACAAGAGCGCCACTATGTGTGGCTGACCGCGTTGTCATTCTTGTCACATTCGCCCCTGAGCGTCAATGAATTGACCGCCATACCGCCGCCGCCACCACCTCCAGAAAATGACACATTGAATCAACCTACACCATCCCTCGCAGGTTCTCTTCGACGGCGACCTATTCGTGACTCGATCCGCATTGCGAAGAACCCGCTTCGGGCTGGTCCTGGTCCTAGATCCTTCACGACTGACGGATCGATTCCTGTCCAGGATTCTCGACCTCCAACTCGCGATTTCTATGACCCAACACAAGACCCTGCTCTACCGCCTGTCATCCCACGACATTCACGAAAACGGAGCAACACGGCTCCGCGAGTACCACCCAGTTCCTTTAGAAGTTTCTCTGCAAAAGAGGCAACTCCTAGCCTGCCTGGTGCAGGCTCCACCTATTCGCAAAGCATCCGATCAACAGCAGTCTACTCATCTGATCGGGGCTTGTACACACCCAGTCTCGGCATGCAGAGCATTGTGAGCAGCCGCCGAGGCAGTGAGGCAAGTGCATCTGGCCGACCTCCTGTCCCACCAATATTCCTAGATTCCATCCAACAAACAACAACCATGCGGATGGATGCTTTCATTGAGGGTAAAACATCTACCTCGTCAACCCGTCCTTCCTTCAGCGTCCTCCGTGGGCAGTCGAAGAAGAAGGATATGAGTTATTGGGGATTTGATCAAGGTCGAGACAGTATCAGCCCGGTGGATTCGTTGCTTCATAGCGAGATGATGGCAGCAAGCTCATCCACCAGAGGCAGTTCTGACTCGAGAGACTTATGGCGAGGTTTTTGAAGAGAAAGACCGAGTCCTCCCATTGCGCGCTACCCCAGAGTTTACTGACTGCGCATTCGCGCCCCATCAATTTAGTGATAATGTTTACATGTGAAAAGGAAGCGGTAAAAAGTTGGATCTTGCCTGGTTGCTCTTATGCGCGTCTACCACGGAAACACAGGACACGGGGGGAGCGTTCTGCTCCTTTGAGGGGGGCGAGCCTGGTATGTGTGTTTGCAGAGGACGCTTTTTCAGAAATTGGTCTTTTGCGTTTTGTTCTGCAAGGAAGATCGATTCGATTCACCACAAGCCTGCAAGAAGTTGAAGGAGAGAGAAGAAGGGTTCTGGCGCAAGCCTATGTGTGTATTGAAGAAATCAGGCAGGAAAGGCGTTTTGTTTTCTTTCTTTGAAGGCGGTGGTCTTTTCATCTGTTGTATATTATCCTTCTTCATACCCCATTCAGTTCGTTTTACTGGTTTGTAGGATTTGACGAGAAAGCAAAGTTGTTTGGATGCGTTCAAGCGTCTGTCATTCCTTGCAAGCATTATCTGCCTGGAATCGGAGTGAGAATTGAAAGTTTTGGCAGATTGAAAATCCGAGAACATAAATGTCCTATTGAGTCTGTGTGCTATGCACTTGTTATTTGTAGACGGGGGTCCATTGATCAGTATAATTGTTATCCGTACGAGGCTGAAGTTATGGCCGTAGGAGTGTATGTACATACTATACGGAGCTATTGTATGGTGTACCGACGGCGCAAAGGGAGTGAGTGAGTGGGCGATGAACCTGAGACTTGCCCCGCGTCGGAATCTGACACCATCGTTCACCAGGCTGCGGCGGGTTTACAAATGAATTTCATGTCTGGAAGTTTGTTATTTGTTACATTGTATTCACTTCATTCCCCCCGCTCAAGTCTCTTTGAGATTGATTGACCTTCTCTGTCGTCTGGCGCCTATCCTCTGCGCTCCGTACTTTTGAGGTGCTTGATACCTCACTTCCCACCTGACTTGCAACACTCTCCTGATTGTGAGATCAACCTTCCTTGCAGCTCGCAAAGAAGAGTTCCCTACGCCGTCAACTCTTCCACGTCCTCGTTCTCTTGCCTCCCACGAGCGTACGATCGCCAGACTTTGACGATTGGCGGCGAATACTGCCCACCTACTTTCCGTTCCCTCCATCGAGAATCTCTACTACTACCTTCTACTACTACTACTACTACTACTACTACTACTACTACTTCTTCTTCGTCGGCGTCGACACCTATTTCAACATGTTGATCAAGTATGTATACGGTCGAAATGAGCGTGCCTTCTTTCCCTGTCTCGCCCGGTCCCCCTTTCGCTCTCTCCTTTCTCTTTCTCTGTTACTGCTAGGGTGAATTGTAGTGACATGGGCTGACGCAGACTCGGTTTGTTCTGATTTTCTAGGGTGCGAACGCTCACGGGCAAGGAAATCGAACTCGACATCGAACCTGATTACAAGGTGTGTTCCCTTCCAGCTCGTCTTTACTCCGGATTTCGCACCCCTCAAGGACCATTTGAGCGTCTTGTCGTATCATACTTTCGGAAATCACTCTCGTCTCAAAAAGCGGAAAAGAGGTTGCTGCTCCTTGACTTTGCCGGGGATCGCTCCGGCGGTGGATGTAAGAGAAGCGACAAGACGAGAGATGAGATGTTGAAATGATGAGACACAAGAGACGAGAGCCGAGAGTGCCGAGAACATATATACCTGCGAGACACAGCACATCTAGGAGACGCAAGACACAAAGAGGAAACAGAAAGGAAAAACTGACGCCGATCCTGAATAATATTCTAGGTCTCACGAATCAAGGAACGAGTCGAAGAGAAAGAAGGTATCCCACCTGTTCAACAGAGATTGATCTACGGTGGTAAACAGATGTATGTTACCGGCACTCCTTGCTTCTTCGTACTTGCCTCTCGTCTTTTTTCTTTTGCCTGCTTCTTATTACCTTCTGGACTTACAGCCAAGTTCCTGAATCTTGGAATTGAATTTGGACAAAAAGTTAACATTGACATCATCCAGGGCCGACGACAAGACTGCTGAAGATTATGGTCTCGAAGGTGGAAATACGTTACACTTGGTCCTTGCACTGAGAGGAGGCCGATAACCCTCTTTCTGGACCGAATCAATCCGACACGACCCAGACAATGGGCCCGGGGGAAAGAGGTCGCCCTGTCAAGAGGGGAGTTGGGAGTGCGTGGGTTCAAGTGCGGCGCGGTGCGGTGCGGGGGGTTTGCAGGTTGCACGTTGAGGTGACAGGGCATATGGCATATGGGGCACGGTGTTGCAAGACAAGACAGGACAAGACCAGATGAGGCTCTCGGATCAGGTCAGATCTCTCATACTGGACTTCTTGATCAAGTGGATGAAGCCTGAGCAGATCCAGAGCCCGTGCCAGAAAGTCAGGTCTGCAACTCACCGAAGAGAGATTAGAGAGATAGAGAGTGGTTGAGAGAGGAGACTTCACGATACGCAAGGAGGGTTTTTTTTTTGCCCCTTTTTCTTCGCAGACCGTGGGGGTGGGAGACGGGTACCGAGTGAACAAAGAGTTGCTAGTTTGAAGAAGTCCCCCGGACCAAAGAACCACACTTTCCCCCTGTACAGGAACACAGACACACAATCAAAGGTACCTCGCCTTACTTTGCCTGGCCTGGCCCAACTCTTCCACATGCCCCCATCTCCAGTCGTAAGCAGCAGCTGCATCACAGTACCTACCATACTTGAGGAATACCACCGCCAGCAACCCCCAAGCAGACGGGACGTAGATTACCCTTTTTTCCATCCTCAAGAAAAGAGTATCAATCACCGTTACCATTACCATGGCTTAGGACATGGACAGGAGAAAAGGATGAATTAGCAATGAACAAAAGTACGTCCCCTACACACGAGCATAGGGCATGCGAACGTCAAGGTGTAAAGTATGTTTTTGCAACTAGTTCATATTCCAATGCTCACCAGTGCATCATATTCTCAAACCAGTCTCTAAAATATCTCTTGTTGTTCCATCGAGTCTCCATCTCACCGTGATTCGTTCACAGTACTTAGAATAGTACTTGTCCGTAAAGTATCGCTTGCTGTCCCATCAAGTTTCCATCTCCATGTGAATCGCTCAAAGTACTCAAGATGGTACTCAATACCTTATGCACCACCAACGCCTTGCATGTCTCAATCATTGCCTTGCTGGTTGCCCGCAACCAAGAAAAAAACCACTGCAAAAACTATCCTATTGGTCTCGCAACTCTCTTTGAAGTCGACATGAACATTGACGGGGGTTGTTTCCTCTTAAGTGTTTGGCCTTGGGGTGGTCTGTCAGCCACTGCGTTGGTAGAGGGCGGACGTCGATCGTCGTGGTTGGCTTTCAGGCCCCTCCGTGGTTGCTGGACTCGTCGGTCATCCTCATCGTCAGAGTCTTCCAAAAAGTTCGCCGTCAATCCACCTCCTCCTGGCGCCCTCTGCTGTACTGTTGGAGCCGACGCTGGCGTCGGCGGAGTAGGGCGAGGGCCACCGAGTTTCAGTGCACGCAGCCTTGCCTCCCTATCTGCTGTGAGATCGTAGGATTGGTGAAGCGGTTGCACTTTGGGTTTTGGGGCATGCATTGGCGGTCTCGAAGTTCGCGGCGCTGTCGGCCTTGCGGACATCCTCGTTGGAGTAGTGGTAGCAGCAGCCCCTCTAGTGGGAGGAGATTGAGGTGGTGGAAGTGGTCTTGCTGCCTCAGCCTTGCGCTTCACATCCTCTACAAATGCCAGCGGCGCTGTCTTGACCGTGGTGGCTCTCTTCTGCAACTCATGCGTAGGTCTCTTCATCTTCGATATTCTCGCATTCCGAGTCTCTTTTCGGATCTTCTCCATTAGCGTCATCTTGTGTGCACCTTTGCTGCCTGTCTTGCCGCTGATGTAGTTCCAGTGGATCACGGCCTTTCTCGATGGTGTCTGGAGGGGGAGATGTTGTCTCTTAGCGATGATCGTGGTGTTGCGCTCTTTCTCACTCTGAATGTTGGCGAATGCGGCTTTGAGGTCCTCTTCCGTCTGGGCACGCGAGCGTTGGTTGTCTGCTTGCAGTTTACGGTACACCTTGTACCAATTCTTCGGGTTTGCAGGTTGGTGGGGTTTGAGATGCCAATCTGGGATGTCTCGTTTGATAAAGTTGAGCCATAATTCAGCGTCTTCACCAACAATTTGGGGTGAGGCTTGTTCAATTTGATGCTGAAGGACTAGATTAGTATGGTACATAGGCCGAATGCGGGGGATACGAAGGACACATACCAAGTGCTCCGGAGACTCGATTTTAGCGAGAATCGGACGTACCAACTCATATGGCAAGTCACCGACAGAGGGGAGGAATGCCCGTCGCTTCGCGCAGGCACGAATGCAGATGTCTAGTAGACTGTCTGCAGGCATGGTGAAGGGGAGGCTGTGGACGTAGAGGCTGTGGACGTAGAGGCTGTCGACGTAGAGGCTGTCGAAGTAGAGGAGGAGGAAGCGAAGGATGGGTAGATTGGTCGGTATGGGTTGTTACGGACAGGGTGTAAGCTGAGAAGAGAAGGTGTGTGATGATTCAAGTTTTCTCAGGACAATAGGATGTCACTTCTCTTATTGACTTGAATAAAGCCCATTCAAGAAAACTTTGACCAGGCCAAAACATGGTTGCACCTGTAGGCACTGGGTTGTGAGTCGAATGTGAAGTGAAAACTGTGGGGGAGCGGTGGGAGAGTGTCTGGAGGTTCTCGTGGAATGAATAGGTACCTGAGGAGCCTAACTTGTTAGTGAGCCTGGACTCCAGCCTCGTCACACGCACACACACTCTCGCTCTCTCACCGCCGCAGCCTTGTCCCTTGTCATTGTCCAACCACCACCATACCAGTCGCTTTTTTGAGTCCGGCATTCCTTGTCTCGTAGCGAAGGACTGGCCCTGCAACCCGACAAAGATGGCGACGTTCACTCTTCTTGACCAGGCTGAAGAAGGTACCTATGACGAGTAGTTTTTGGTGACCTGATCAAATTCTCACAACGTGACACAGACAAACTTCACGCATCCAGACTCCTTGGTATCGAAGAACGGCCCTTCAAACGCCTGACGAAACGGCTCCTCGCGCCCACGACGCCTATCCATGCCTTCCTTGCTAGAAAGAGCGATGGGTCGGAAGAGCCGCAGGAAAACGTAGCGGGTGAAACCGCAGCTCAGCATGAACAATTCCTCAAGGACATCCAAAGATTTCGCGAAGATGTCATTCTAGACTTTGCCGCGTTCGAAAGCAGCATTGCGCGAATCCAATTCCTTCGAGCTGCCAACGAGCGAGAACGCGAACGCTATGTCGCAGAAAAGGCCAAAATCGAGAGAACGGCAGAGGAGGTGCGGGACAATACGTCTACGCTCCGAGTGCAGCTGGACGAAGCCCAGAAAACCCTGGCCATACGAAAGACCTACGACGTGCTGGCGGATAAGATCACGAAGAACGCCGCGTTGAAGCCACGCGACGAGCAGCACGTCAATGTTGAGAAGCTCAAGGCCGAGATCGAGGAATTGGAGCGCGAGGGTCAAGAGCATCTACAGGCGTGGGTGGAAAGAAGGGAGCAGTTGGAGAAAGTCGTCAGTGAAGGGATGAAGTTGCGCAGGATTATCCGAGATGAGAAAGAGCCTGAAAAGGACGAAGACGGTGCAGACCAGGAGCACGAAGGCGACCGGGACGACGACGAGAACATGCTGGGCGTAGGTCGAAGAGAGGGCATGTCCAATGCTGGAACGCCGCGACCGGGTGATCCATTGACGCCACTCATAGATCCGCGCGGAAGTAATGTGATGACACCGACGACCTTGCCCGAAGGATCGGGGCGAACACCTAGACCCGTGGATGAGGATGTCGATATGGAAGCAGGTCCAGTTGCAGGCGAAGCACGTATTGGTGATGATATGGACACCACGTAGTTGCAGCTGGGAGGAGTAGTGTCTGGATCTCTCACTAGGTATACACATGGCCTGATTCTCACATCGGGATAGTTTAGCCTTGCGAGAGTTTCACTACTTCGAATCGAAAGACCTGGACGATGGCTCTTCAAAGAATCATTCTGATATTACACCTTTGGGTGAGGATTTTCTGGAGCTAGCCATACTTCTCAAGAGAAGCATTCGTTGTCCATATCGTTCTTGCAACGTGTACGCTTGACCGCACCAGGGGACGACTTGCCAAGGTATCTTTGTGGACTGAAGCTCCATCCATGAAATAGTTGCTGTCCCCGGATGGCAGGCAATCGACGCTCAAAAATGGTCTTGTCGTTTTCAGAGCGTTTCGTATTGCGCTTTTATTTCGGATTTTTCTTTTGCGTCGCTCTTGATCAGTAATGTACAAGCGACCGGATGTTCCATACAAGAATCGCCAGGGATCCCTTTTTTTCGGTTGGGCGAACGAAATCAGATTATGTCGATACACCGGCAATAGGATCGTTCTTTTGCTGTTCTTTCGCCGCCTTGAGTACCTGAACCGCAGCGTCACGTTCCTCGTCACTCCCCGCTGTATCCTGAATGGGGCATCGCATTACAATGTTAGCATGGGGAGTGCGTACACGTCCGGCCTACCTCGGGAGCGAGGCTAGGAATGGATATAGGAACGCAGACGAATGATCAAAGAACAGAACGGGGACGGGATAAATACTTACGAGCATGTTCTCGAGTTTCTCCCTCGTGTTAGTGATGCGCTCACGCAGAGTCGGAATGACCTTTTTGGTCTCTTCTAGGGCCTGACGCTACCGAGTTTATCAAATCTTGAGGTTAGATACCGGTCGTGTCAAGTTCGAGCTGGTGTGTACGAATGAAGGAGAAGATGGTTTTTTGGGGGGGGGGGGGGGGTTGGAAGGAAATGGGAGGTGGTTGTTGGGTAGTCAGTAGTTCTCACCTCCTGCTTCAATGTAAATTCACGATTTCCATCTTCATCGGTCTTGTCCTTTTCCAACTTCGCTATGCGGGCTTCCTGTTGCTCTTGCTCCTTGTAGTAGGAGTTTTCTTCCTTGAGGAGTCGTTGGAGCGAAGAGATGACGACCTGGATTTGGGATGGTGCCATGTTTGAGGAGGCTGCAATTTTGAATCTGGGGTAAATTCAAATTCGATTCCCGCTCTCGAGGATTGCACTGTACGTGAGGGAGATGTATCAGTGCAGACGTGGTGATTGTGTACGGTAAGTCACCTATTTTCTCTCTGTCTCTCGGTCGAGAGAGGCAGAACCGATGTTCAATACGGAGTACATTCTCCCTACAAATACACCACGATCGACGTCACTTGTTCCTCTTTAGTCATCCGTACAGGCTCCGTCTTATGTTGGTCCTCCCCATTACTCTGAGAACCTCTAGTATCTAACTAACTCAGGTAGGTAGGTAATCAACTCGTAACTGCTCTTTCGAGGTAACTTGGCTTGCTCTTGACTATGACACTTCGATCACACTGACGACTCGTTCGAGTGCTCGCACCGTTCCATACACTGGTCGCACGTGAAAAGAAATGGAAGCTCTCCGTCGGCGGCAAGGAACAAACGTCCCGCTCTCGATCTACAGTGTGTTCTACGAGGACTTGCTAGACTGATGGTTTGAGGGACAACAGTACGGCTCTCACTCAGAGACCAATAGTATTTCCAACAAACCCCCTTCGTCTCCAGTGCAGGAACGCAGACATGGACCCTCAGTGGCCGGAGAATTTGTCTAATGCTGACAAAGGCTCCCGCTGTAATCAAGGCGTAGCCAAAGCTTCGTTATCCGTTTCAAGCCAGGGCATTATTGCAACGTCGATCCCGGGCTGCTGAAGTACAGATATAATAGGGTTCCAGGTAAGCATGAACATCGAACATCGTCCCCTCCTGTTTCCGTCACCCGAAAACTTGACTCTGCTCTTAATCTGAAATATTGAACGCAAGTATTCTTATCTCCTGCAGGTCTCCTCTCCTCGCCTCTCACCCTACCACACATTCTATACCCTCCATACACACGCCATCTGGATCATGCGCGCGATTGTTGTAGAATCGTGGGACTCCCCTCCTGCCTTCTCAGCAGATCACCCTGACCCATCCACCACCGACTCAGACAAAGTCACCATCAAGGTCCTAGCAGCTGGCTTGCATCAGCTCGTCCGCTCGCAAGCCGCTGGCCAGCACTACACCAGCAAGAACGCCGGGCTTCCCTACGTACCCGGATCTGATGGCGTCGGTACCACCCCAGACGGAAAGGTCGTGTACTTTAACAGCATTCTCAAGGGCGGCAGCTTTGCAGAGTACGTGACGGTGCCCAAAGCCGCCATAACACCCGTTCCAGAGGGCGCCGACCCCGTCCAGATTGCAGGCCTGTTGAACCCAGGCATGAGCTCGTGGATGGCCCTGGCCGCACGAGTCGAGAACCTTCCGCCGAACTTCACCGTCGTCATTGTTGGGGTGACCGCGATCTCAGGCAAGGTCGCCGTCGAATTCGTTCGCGAAAGGGGTGCCGGGAAGGTGATTGGTGTGGCGCGCAACGCCAAAGAAATGGACGCGCTGAAGCTCGATCAGAGTATCGTGTTGGCAAGTAATCCTGCTGAAACGGACTTCTCAGGCCTGGGCGATGTCGATGTCATACTCGACTACCTTTACGGTCCTGTCATCACAGCTCTCTTCACCGCCCTCAAGTCCACGGTGCCGACACAGTACGTCCAGATTGGATCTGTAGCCGGTCTGGATACTCCTCTACCAGCGGCCATCTTGCGGTCCAAGAACCTCACAATGAGAGGCGCAGGGCCCGGGGCATGGTCAATGCAGCACTTTGGCAAGGAGCTGCCTGGCCTGCTCACTGCGGTGGCGAAATTGCCGAAGATGGATCTCAAGGTGAGGAAGCTGGAAGATGCCGCGGACGCCTGGGCAGCGAAGAAGGACAGGACGGTTTTTGTTCCATGACTCTCTATAGAGCAGGGGAAATACTTGATAGCAAGGATTTGACGATACCACAGGGGTCGCAGCGGCTCAATGTGTTGTATCGCAATATATACTTTTTATACCCCGAGCTCAATCTCGATCCAGAGACATTTCACAGTATTAGTCTCAAGCAAACCCATCTCACTCTCTGTTCGAAAGCTTACGTCTTCCAACCGAGTGTGTACAGCCAACTCGTCCCTTAGTACATTTTTTCGTCGTTCTTTAGCCCTCCAACCACTGTCCTGATGACTCGTTGAGTCTGGACTTCGCCAGCCAAGATTCCACTTGCCGGTCTCGCCCGTCGGATCGTGATCAGGCCCCGGAAGTACGAAGGTTCGCTTCAACCACGACTTGGGCTTAGGTCGTTGGGGCAACGGAGCTGTGGGCCGACCTCGGATTTCAACTTGCAGGTGATTGTCGAAAAGCGAAGTCGAGCTCATCGGCTCCTCAGATAGCTCTTGACGTAAGAAAAACTCCAACTCTTGAACCACAGGATTCTGTGTCCAGAACGACGAGCAGTTATCTTCCCCTTGGAGGGTGAGAACGGCTCGTGACTCCCGGGGCTGCGGACCTGGTGTCACAATGTTTCGTTCTGTCACATCCTCGTTTGCGCATGGAGAGTCTGCTGGCAAGATGATTATGCTCAAATACGAGCAGCCGCTGGATAGCTTGAGTGAGAAAATTGGAATGATCGAATTGACGATGAGCTGTTCAATTCGGCGAGTCCGTTCCTGCCGGACCATGGAGGGCATTGATCTCGATTGCTTCCCTAAGCTTCCCATCGATGTCGGATTGGCATGGGTAGCCACGGACTCTTCATAGGTCGGGATCCGCTCGGTTGGCATTTCGTCTGCACTATGCTCGTATGTGTTCTTCTCCACCATTTCTGCCTCGAAAGATCTGTCTTTGAAGGTCCAGAATTCGACGATCAATTTCCCTGGACTATGAAGGCAGACGTTACGCAAGTGCTATGTGCGGGCGGTGGAAGAGGTAGAGAATGAGAGGGGGGGTTCTGAACAAGTCGGGCGCACCAAACTTGTGATTTCAAGTGAGCCTCTTCAATGGGTGGCAGATGTAACTTACGCAATGAGGAAGGGCTCGCACAGACCAAAGTTGTCGTTTGCTTGCCGAGACGTCTTTGAAGTCAACAATAGACTCGGGTTGTTTCAGCCGCACCGTATCTGTGCCCGGAGCCTCAAACCGGTGTCGCCAGTTCGCAAAGGCACTGGGCTTCTCTACGATCTCACCTCGGGCTGACGGTGATAATGCCGTGCCGCTTGGTTGATAGTCTCGGATCGTGCAAGGTAGATTTCGTACATGAACCAAATCACATGAGGCTGTTGATCAAAGTCATTAAACCGGGGTCGTTTGTAGTATTGCACTAGCTGCTAGGGGATGGGGGCCCAATGTCACAACCAGGTGGGTAGCACTGTGATGCATGCTCGTTGTGTTCCCGCCCTCATGCGCTGCGACTGTCCCGGACCATCATCAGATGAGCCGATCACGGAATTTTAGGGCTGGAGAGGAGGGTCAAGTATGGTGAGAGATGGACAGCAAACCGTCGTCTGGGTCGCGTGGCAGTGCTAAGGCTGACTTGGTTATGAGTGCCGCTTTGCCGCTTTTGATGGGACCGACAGCTGATTGTACGCGGTACAGAGGACAGCCTGGTGGCCTGAACATCATGATGTTAATATTGATCCTGCGCGAACACATTCCTCCTCGCATCTGCATCCTGATAACTACACTGGTATAGGTAGGTAGGTGAGATACTGTAGGGCGAGGATTGTGGCCGGCGTACCCAAGGTGCAACGCTGCTTTAAGCCTGCCGCAGCCCCCTCTGTCCATCATTCAGAACGATAACCTCGAAGGATTTCTTCTCGAGGCATCAGCACATCTCGCATAGCGTTCATCTTCACTCTCTTGAAGCGTTCCACATGTCTCCACTGGATTCGAGTCATCTGAACTCTGTACCGTGAATACTCGACTGACTATGTGCGGTGTCTACGCTGTGACGGACTTCTCATGCTCCAAGACTTTAGTGTGCTCGCGAAGAGAATCCCTAGTGATCATCGCGTGCCGGCTACCGGTCATTGCTTCTGCACCGCCCGAGAGAAGCGGCTTCTCGCGCAACAAAGCAGTATGCGAACCTCAGAGGCTGCCTTGCATTCTCTAGGATGCTCAGCCTCCAATCAGCTGTAAACGTGGAGACATGCTGTCGGCTCCCACACAAAGTCATCGGCACCAGAATACCGAAGACAACGACGTATCCGGATCTTCCTCACAAAAAGCAAAGCCAAGGGCAGACTCTGGATCATCTGACCACCTGACGTTCTTGGTAGGTTTCCAGAACAACGCTCTGCACGTTCTGCCTTGCTTAGACAGGGCAGAGATCCGCTTTAGCTGCTCTTAGTTTGGCCCGCTCCTCCGAGAACCCGGTGTGGAATGCTGGGGGCTATGAAATGTGAGTGCCGATGTCAGGGCCTGTACAGATAGGTCGATAGTGTTGGACACCTGCGTTTAGTAAGGGCGCCATCAAGACACTCCTCTGGATCCAACAAGGCAGCTCATGTGGCCGTGCACCAGGCTGTTGTTTGGACTCCGTTTGTGTTACAGGGGTGAGTATTGAAAGTCATTCTCCTCGGCAAGCAGTGTCATTCATTTACTCAGAGTGCCTTGAAGACATATATACCCCTTACCTTTTCTTCCCTGCTATGTCTATTTGTGCTTCACCTTCAAGAGCACCAACCCTGCAAAGTCACTACAGGTTGGGAAGTCACTGAACCAAGCCGCTTCCGAGTCTTCATTCTTTCAATTGCCTTGAACAAATCATTTGAACCCATCCATCGCCTCGCGCACTTATATCCCTCCTTCCTACACATTCATTCAGATCCGTATGCCAGCCATGTGGTATCACATCTCCAACGCCAACGAGTACCTCGTGGTTACCGGCGCCAACATTGAAGATGTTCGCATCGTCAAAAAGGCTTTCGTTTTTCCATGGCAACGCGTAGCCAGAATCTCGGTCTCGCCATTCGACTTCTCTCTCAACCTACAGGCCATGACAATCGAGAAACTTCAATTCGCCCTACCTGCCGTCTTCACCATTGGTCCAGACAACAAGCCTGACGCACTCAAGAAATATGCGCTTCTCCTGAGCGGCAACCCCGACGGAACATCCACGAATTCTTCGAAACCAGGTACAGCTATCGTACCAACTCAGCGCAGCCATGTCCAGGATATTGTCAAGGGCATTATCGAGGGTGAAACACGTGTCATCGTGTCCTCCATGACCATGGAGGAGATTTTCAAGGAACGTCAAGTATTCAAGCAAAAGGTATGCATTTCCAAACGGTGCCTATTTCTCAGAATACGTTGATGATTGACAATGTTCCATTAGGTCATTGAGAACGTACAAAAAGAACTTGACCAATTCGGTCTATGCATCTACAATGCCAACGTCAAAGAACTCCAAGATACTCCGGGCTCCGAATATTTTGCCTTCCTTTCTCGCAAAGCCCACGAGGGGGCTTCGAACCAAGCGCGTATCGATGTCGCTGAAGCGCGCATGCGTGGAGAAATCGGCGAGGCCTCGAAGCGAGGCCACACCAAGCAAGAAATCTCCAAGATCGAAGCCGAAACAGCAGTCCTCGAGACCAAGCGCAAGGCCGACAAGGCGCAAGCCGACGCAGAACTTACGAACCGTCAGACAGAACTCGACATGGGCATCCAAATGGCGCAAATCAAAGCACGTCGCGCGGCCGAGGCTCGTGATGCCGAGCTTCAGAAGGAGGTCGAAACCAAGAAAGCCGCCACCGAGCTTGAGCGACTCCGAGCAAAGGATCTCGTGCGTGCGCAGATCGCCAAGGAGACGGCGGAGCGCGAAGCCGATGCCAACTACTACCGAGACAGCAAGAAGGCCGACGCGCAAGCGTACGCCGAGAAACAAAACGCCGACGCGCAGCTGTTCAAGCAGCAGCGACAGATCCAAGCCACCGTGGAGCGACAGATGAAAGAGGCCGACGCAACGTACCACGCCCGCATGCGCGAGGCCGAAGCCACCAAGGCCCAAGCGGAAGCGTACAAGTCCCTCGCCGACGCGTTCGGCGGACCGCAAGGCCTCCTCACGTACATGATGATCAAGGAGAGCACGTTCGAGAAGCTCGCCAACGCAAACGCCAAGGCCATCCAAGGCCTTCAGCCCAAGATCACGGTGTGGAATACCGATGGCGCAGGCGCCGGCAACGCCGCCGACGCAGCAGGCATCGCGCCGATCAAGAATATCATGCAATCTCTCCCGCCATTGTTGAGCACGATCCACGAACAGACGGGTATCGCTCCGCCAAACTGGATGATCAAGATGCCATCTCAAGAAGGCGGCGGCGGCGCTGCTGCTGCTGCTGCTGGTGTTAACGGCTCTGCTACATCGCACGAGAAGAAGAAGTTGCAGACCTGGAATTAATCACGGCGGCCCGAACCGACGCGGCAGGATGGCTGTCACACTTGGAGGCCCTCCCTACTACCTATGCCGCCCCAAAGCCATGATGACCGACCGTCGAATGTTTCAATGTTGACACACCTGGTGGTTGTATGATGGGGGGAGACGCGTGCTTTACTTTCCTTCGTGTTGTTTTGTTTTGTTTGTTATTTGGGTTTGCTTTTTTCAGTCTACGTGTTGCTAGGTGCCTTTTCCTCGAGTTTACCGGTCAAATATTTCCTTTGTTCATCGTTTTGACATGCTTTGCGTCCTTAGTTGATACCACGGACGATTCCCAAGAGTGGTGTAGTTTGTATGTACCATTAATGATGTATTTACAATGATAGGGAGAAGAATGAGCATGAGACCAAGTCAAAGCATGATATCCAGCCAAACGAAATCAGATCAAATTCAAATCAGTGCTCTCTCCCACGTATCGGCGCCGCATCTTTGGAAATGGTACCTAGGTATTACGAGAGAGCCACAGGTATCTTCGGTGGTCGCCCCAGCTATTGCTGTTTTCCTTAAGTACTGGTCGTTTTCCTCTCCTTTTTTGTTGGATACGTGTAGTTTTTCCCCTCTTGAGAGGTCAGAGATGTCTGATTCTCTCTCTCATCCTCACTCTCAATTCGCCCCACGAACAAAGTGAAAGAAGATTACGACTGAGTTGTTTCTTCTTCTTTCTCTTTCTCCCTCTCATCGATGGCATCCTGGCCTGGATTCGCGTCTTCGTAGTGCAACCACTTGACGAACCTGTAGTATCCACCCGCTACCAGAGCGCCCATGATGGGGCCGAACCAGTCTATCGCATGGCAATGTCAGTATACCCCGTTTCTTGTTCAGTACACGAGATGCAATAAGCCAGTGAGTACGCACACATACGCACACGCACCCACGGATGACACACGGATGACACACGGATATGAGAAAAGGCCAACTTACAAATGTAATGATATCCTGGGAAATGCGGCGTGGCCACGGCTGGGCCGAGACTTCGTGCAGGGTTGAGGGATGCACCGGTCCAACGGATACCTATTTAGTTTGAGAGAATGCATTAGCGCCCCGTGCCTTCTGAAAGGGCCAAACACAAAAAAAAAAAAAAAAAGGTGAAGAACGAGGAATGACGGATGAAAAAGTTTACCTGGGTAAGAAGTGGTTGGGCAAACTCAATCGGTGTTGAGGAACGTTGGAACTCAGGAGGTTGCGTAACATACCAGCCATCATCGCCACGAACAATGCCAGACCAATCCCCACCGGAGCCACGAACGTGGACCGTTGCTTCTCAGCAGCCAGCATTAGAACGGTGAAGACCAACAATGCAGTCAGGAACATTTCGATAAAGACCCCCTGTGCCGGTGTAGTGCCGTTCATCAAGAGGGTGTTGAAGGCGAGGTCTTTCGGAGGAAACATGCATTTGACCAGGGCGGCGGCGACCATGCCGCCCAGTAACTGGGCTGGTAGAAGCAGGAGACCACGGAGCCATGGTAGGTTTCCAGTTATGACCATGCCAAGGGTGACCTATGGTATAGAAAGATAAAGGTGCTGTTTAGTCTCTCTTCATGTATGCGTAGGGGATTGGGTCAGGGGACATAAGAACCCCGCAGCTAGGGTCCGGAGCAAGGGGAGACGTACAGCTGGATTGAACAATCCACCTGATATTCTGTAAAAGACCCAAACGTTGACGAGCAATGAGAATCCAAACCCCAAGCTCGTCAGAACGATTTGGGAAGATGTCCCTGCGACATCGCCAGTCGAAGCGGCGGTTTGTCCGATGGCAAACGAGAACCAAAGGAACAGCACGGTCCCAACGAATTCACCGAGTGCCGCAACAAAGTGCTGTCTCGCGCGTCGCCGTTTCGACTCTTCTCTCCGGGCCTGCTCCTCGCCTGCAAAAGGGTAGTCCCGAGCTCCATCCCTCGACCGGAGCGCGCTGTGTCCCTGGAGGGATGTGGGAGTCCAGCTTCGTGGCATGCTTAGTATGTATGAAGTAGTAGTTTTGGCCACAAGACCGGCGAGGTGGACCGTCGCGAATACCTATATAATTGAGTAGAAAAAACCAGTCAAGTGGTGAGCAATATTGCACAATGACACATGTATTCGGGGAAAGAAGAGATAGGGAGAGGGAGATGGAGAACAAGACAATATATCATTCGAGACGAGACGAAATGATACTGGGAGGATAGGACCGCCCGCCAGAGATTGACATCAGTGGATTATCGCTCCGAAAGCAAAAGAAACGTTCCCTTGCCAGCGTGAGACAAGACACTGATCATGAATGAAGTGATATAATGACTTCGGCGGAACGACGTTGTGTAAATCACAAGACCACGGACTCGGAGTCCTGCTTGTACCTCTCTAGTACCGAACTTTCTGAGATTGTACCACATCCATCCCGTCTGGGATAGTTGATCAACTGTCATTGACATCTCGGAGCTGTTGACAGACTCTGATCTAATAAATGTGGTGAGTGATGTCAGGTCATCGGTATTAAATCAAGCCTGGTTTGTTGCTGGTTGGCGGAAATATTCTGAAGGCTCCGTCAAACGCCGAGGAAGGGATCTCGTCTCCGACCAACATGTCACCTGTGACTGAGAATGGTAAACATGACTTCACCGGACCATGGACGAGCACGATTGTGGAGGTTCCCAAGGTCCGTGGTACTCGTAGAAGAGACACAAAGCACGCTGCGAATGTCACTGAAGTCCAAGCTAGACTGATTATGGTTAAGTGCAGAGCCTCCGGAACACTCAGTCCGACGACTAATGATAAATCAGGTGTCGGAGAGCAGCCTTGTCGTATGCTGCAGAGCATGGACTTGTACTCTTCGCAAAGCACTTCATCTCGACAGAAAGTGTCAATATCAACTTTCTTAACGATCAACCCCGCCTTTATATTTGGCAGCAAGCAATGGCCATAAGAAGCTCTTGAGGCTCCTGTTGGCCCTCGTCACAGGTCTTCATGCATCCCGGACGAATACACCAGGTAAAGATTAGTGACAGTATCGAAACATTCTGCGGTATAATGACCCCCGCCCCGGGGAGCAATAAGGGCGCCTCAAGAATCGGTGTTGCGCCTCGAAGAGACTCTTTGCGTACAACGACTGGTGGTTTGTGGCGCTCCGCAAAACCACTGGTGGTCTAGTGTTCGGTATGAAGTTCACGCTCGGGGATTTGACCATCATACATGCGCGCACCCGTTCGATACAAGAACTTGGATTTCGTTGATCAAGCAATACGCGCCCGGCTCTTGGTTCTCTGGTGTTTCTCGTTCCCAGGCGTGAAGGTGGTGGAGAACAATCCTCTTCTTGAACCAGGTTGTCGTAGTATATCGCAGTATGCGATTCCCCCAGATTCCACAGATGAACTCACTCATTTTCAGCCAAGAAAAGCGTCCATGGACGGCTGCATATGCAGACTCGCTATAGCTAACTCGCACGTTAGGATTGAGCCATACACCTTCGGAGGTGGTAAGAGGATTATCCGCGTGAACAAGGCAACACTCGGAGCCCTCGACGTGTCTCTGCGCAAGGCTGTCCGAGATGCCCCTGAATCCGAGGGATGAGTCCACATGATAGAAAGGGGTTGCGTCCATCAGGACCATGCCATTCCAGCACAGGTACAGGGCGGTTCTCGATGACCGCCTGTCGCGACGCGCGAGATCTGAACCAGGGCCATGTTTGCGTCAGGCACTCCTCGCCATCAGAATCGCGAAGCGCAAACGTATCATAGTAGCGAGGAGGCTTTGCAAAGTCTAGGGCGCAAGCAGTTGCATAGCTACCGCCATTCGTGTTCAGGAGTTTTCGATAGTCATCAATCTAAACCGTGTCAATGTCCGTAAGATAGTAAGGAGAATCTGTTTTACTGAGCTTGAAGACGACATCATTGAGGAAGAAAACACAATCATACTTTGTGCCAGACTTTTTCATATGGTGAAGTGGTTTGAGCGACAAATTCCGCAACCTCGACAGGTATGGGATTCTCCTCAATTCTTTCTTGTCACGGGATGTGTCAATCCAACCAGATGCTGCTGCGGGTTTCCCTATCTCATCGTTGTCTCATCCAAGATGATTGTTTTAGATACCCCAGGCCGTTCCAACTCGGCGCCGAGCTCTCTCAACGCACCTTTGGAGTCGTGCCAGCTCCCGCTCTCATATGTGGATATATAGATGTTTTCAACGCCGATTTCTCGCACAATTTCTAGAACAGCTGCGTTCCAATGATCCCTTGTGATAGCCTCATTGTTCCAGTGCGTACTGGCAAGGAATATTCGTGGCCGTCCGGATTGAGGTGAGATGCTCGAATCAAGAGAGGAAAGAAATGTCCGGGAGAGGTAGAATATTTCCAAGAAGCTCGCCAAAGCGCAGAAAGTGAGGAACAACTTCAGGCGCGGCTTAAAGATGCGGCGGAATCGTAGCAGCTTACTGTTCTCTTTTTGAGCACCTCCCGGTAAAAGTCTATCCCAAGTGGTAGCGAAGCCTACAGGCCTTTGGCTGCAAGGGACTCACACGAACCGAATACGGCGGGAGATAGCAACCAGTTTGAACATCCCCTGCCAAGGTTGTAACATTTCTGAGTGCAGGACTCGCCGCCGACGTGAACGCGAGCGCTTGGTAAGTTCACTGAACCCATTAAGTTTTGACTTCAGTTGGGCGCGCCCTTTCGTCAACATCCGGTCGACGTGTATTAAGCAGGCCGATGTACAAGAAGGCAACCATCATGACGAGATTCTTCGAACAACAAATAGATTGTACGAATTCCTGGCGGGGTCCAGGCGAGGATGATGCCTTCTATGGCGATTTGCAGCATGCCAGCATCCGATATCGACGATTCTGTTCCCCAGATTTGCTTTAATAGCGTGTTACGCTGTGCGTCTGGGCTCTCGCTAAGACGTCGATCCCGATTGGAAAGTCTGCGGCGCGGGGCGATGCGCCGGCACTGGCAGAGCCTTTATGCACATAATGTAAGTTCTTTAGAACTCCTCATTTTCTTCGAGTTGGTGCGTGTCATCAAAAGAGGTCAGAACAGGATGGTTCTGAGTATATCCAGACACCAACCCCGCGTTTCGTTCATTTTCTTTAAATCCATACATATCATCATTCAAGCTACTCACATCTCCTGTCTGTAGCTGTAGAAGAATATCGAGCACCACTACAGCATCTATCAAGGTAGCCTACATATGCCGGCCTCGTCTTGCTCTATCCTCTTGTTTATCGACCCCGGTGTGAGTATTAAATCCTTTGCCATCCGAAAGTCCTCGCTTTATCTGTTGATTCCACGCAATGCCTCACCACAAATGGCCGAACAACCCCTATCAGCATGCCTTCCGAATCAAACATATGTTTTCCACACTTTCTTCCTGTTGCTCCTTCTTGTTGTAATAACAAAACGATCGTCGTGGCATCGTGATCAAACATGACTCTGGAATTGTATTCCGAGTCCAGCCAACTCCATGCCAGATGGTAGGAAAATTATACCATGGCCGCACAGGGGTTGCAAAGCTCAAACCAAATCCCGCTCAACTGCTCAAGAACTCAATTCGTCTCAAGGAACCCTGATCAACTCCCGGATGCCATTTCGCTCGAATCCTGAAAAGCTCTTTTCTGATTGGAAAGACTATTACATTGGTGCTGTGAATCCGTACTGATATCCAAAAACTCGCCGTATCGATCCAAGCGTTAGGATGGTTCGCTTAGATGATTTAAACATCGATCATTTCAGCATCTTCAGCCAGAATCTCGTCTGCTGGACCCCAGTTTCCTTCGAAGATGGTCGCTCCTGCACGTCGTCGAGCCTCTACAAACCGAACGCCTTCAGTATTGAGCACGTCGGCCGCTAGTGGGCGATCGTTCGGATCAGGAGATATCATCCATCGGACAATGCGCTCAAGAGCTTGTTCATGTGACGGGTCAACCATGAACTGAGGTGGGTCGACAAGCTCGCCACTGCGTGGATGGTGAAATGCCTTGCCATGATACTGCCCTTCCACACCGCTTCGTCCATCGGCATCAACCACGTGGACGTCACAATCATTGACGTGTGCCGCATCGTCTGGGGAATCATCTTGGATGATCGGATTGCCAGATGCGTCGCGCAAGATTCCACTGGTTCCCGAGCTCCATGTCAAACTGGGCACGTCGCTCATGTCCCCATTTCGAAGCTTCTGCCACGACACGCCATTGTCAGGAAGCTCGACGTTGCCGGCAATCTCGAGCATGATAAGGCCCAGCGCGAAGACGTCGGCGGGCTTGTCATAACGACCCATCAGAACTTCTGGTCCGATGTATTCACGATCCCCTTCGCCTTCAATACCTGCTTTGGCAGGCCACTTGGATGCCATGCCGAAATCTCCCAATTTGAGAACGCCTTCGAAAGTGATGAGAATATTCGCCGGCTTGACATCGAGATGGATGAATCCGCTATCGTGGACATGCTTCAATCCAAGAGCCAACTCCAGGACAATTTTCCAGATGCGGAAGTCATCAAGTCGAGCTTTGAGACCAACTTGGGCAAGAAACACATCGAGCGTTCCCTCTTCACAGAACTCAGTCTGAATGTAAAGATGACCTTGTTCTTCCCAACTGTCGACAAAAGCAACCACATGGTCGGAATGCCCTAGGGCTTTGAGAACATCCACCTCCTGAATTTTTCGCTGACGGTCCTTTGCACCAGAGTACGGATGCCGAGACTTCTTGACGGCCCATACTCTTTCTGGCAAAGAACTTCTCGAGGATGGTCGCGTGGTTGAGACAGAATATATCTTGTGGTACTGCGATGATTCTGGAGGATGGGACACTCGGTACACCTGAGAAAACTCTCCAGAACCAATCAGGTCAACCTTCTCAAACCTTGACGCCAGGCTGCTGTCAGTGTTCGAAGTGTCCGGAGCTGCTAGATTGAGGCTCGGTCGATTGGAAAAGTTTGGGAAATGTTCGCGCGGTCCGGTAGGGGTTGCAGGAATAAAGGCACTGTTGTTAGTATCTCGCTGTCCCAAGCCACGTTCGGCACGGCCAGAAATGGTGAGGCGGCTAGGGTCGGGAGGGAAAAAACCGTCGAGTGGAGTATGGGGGGACACTCTATCGCTCTTATCGATCCTTGGACTAACTGGAGAGACGGATGTCATTTTAGTACGTTCCAACGCAGGTGAATGGAAAGATTGAATAGAAAGAGCCTTTCTTGAGAGCGGTCTAGGAAATCCGAGATTTCTCGATAGACGGCCTGCAGTAAAGGACGGAGTTGGTATTGAATTGGGTTTTGTCGTCGACTTTGGCCTCAGGCTGGCGGAAGGAGAGTCCTCCATCACGCTATCACTGTCCCCGTCGACGTGGCGAGGTGATGCCGAAATAGGAGATAACTTACTGCTTGAGACGCGGGATGCCACAGCTGACTTTGGTAAAGCCAAATGGATGGGATGGCGGGGTGATGGCGACACCGAGTCGCGGTCTTCTACTTCCATGAAGTGCTTTGTAGGTGTGGGAGGGTAGTCTGATTCAGTTGACTGACTGGTAGCCCGGGTAAAAGACGATTGAGTATTCGTTTTCTCCTCAGGGTTAATAGACGCAAAACTTCCTTCCCTGATTAATGCTGGTTTGTTAGGCCGGGGCCCAAAAATACCAGTGCTTTTGGAAAAGGGGAAGCTCGAAACCTTCGAGGTTCCATGCATCTCGAGAGGCGTAGAGGGTGCGCCAAATGAGTGGCGAGTTGCTCTGTCACCGATAGGGTTCGGTGCAACAAACTTATCGTCAGATGGGAAAATGACGGATTGTTTTTTGCACGGAGTATCTGGCATGTGTGCCTTCGGAAGGCCGGCATCTGGATCGTCCACATTGCGGTTCTTCTTCGATATGAGACCTGTTGACATGAAAGCCGCAGGGAGAGGCTTTGCAGCCTTATAGTTACCAGGGGTTGCGAATGACCCCTGTGAGGAGAATTCGTTGCCCTCTGGTGAAGGCCTCAATGCGCCAACGGGTAGAGATTTGGAAAAGTCATGGGATCGAGGTCTTGTCGATCTATGGATTGGTTCATGTGTTGGTGAATCGTCTTGATCGTCTGTTTGCGAAGAAGATTGGGTCATTGTACGTGACAGCGGGTGCCGCGATTGTGGTGGGAAGTTGCTTTGAGAGGCATGAACAGGATGAATGGACGCACTCAAGAGGCTTCCTTGACTCGAGAAGGGACTCTCTCGTGGCAACGGTTGATTGTCAAGAGACACACGCAAGCCTCTTTTCACATTGGAAGCTGGTGTGGTCTCAAAGAAAGATCTATCCACCTCCATGATATTGTTGTACCGGAGATTGCTCGATCGATCAGTCTGGCGTTGTTGAAGGGTCGATTTCCGAAGAGACGAAGATCTTTTAGGAATGGTAGAGAACCGCGAAGCTGATATGGGGGTGCTGGCAGCAAACCAGTCATTATCATCTTGTGCACGTTTGTCATTGAACATGCTGCCGTCCAGGCTGTCCGATTCAAAGATGCTGAAATCTAACCCTGGGCCGTGCAGGCTTCGTCTCTTCGCTGAGGGGCTTTCGAAATCGTTCGCAGCGTCAGCCTTCAGGCCATCTGAGCGTTTCATGGGACTCAAAGGGGCGACAGTCGAAATCAAGGCACCACCGCTGCGTCTCTTCTCTTGGCGAGTCATGGGGGCTTTCCATTGAGGAGGCTCGTCCTGGGAATGCTCATTCTCCTTCCCCTCTTCTGCCGTCAAAGCCTTGAGGGCCAGATCGCGGTCTGTTTCAACAGAGCTGCGTTTTCGAAGCGGCACAGATGCGGAGTTCCCGCTATCGCTAGAATCATTTAGAGCACGCTTAGTAGGACTCTTTGGAGAGGTTCGAACACGGGTAACGCCATGAGTTTGTGTGGTTCGCCGTAGTATTGGTCGCTGAAGCCGTGAGCCTTGTGTGGTTCGGGTATACGGAGTTGAGGTGAATGAGGATATCAATGTGTTCTCGGATGTGGTTTTCCGCGACGGCGACAGTGGCGAGGAAGAGAATGGGATGTTACCATGGCCCGGTGATCGGAACGGAAACTGACGGAGATCGGAGCTCTTGGAAGGAGAGCGAGATAGCGACCGGCGTATCTCTCGTATTGCGGAGTGAGGATCGAAGTGCGCGAGTGTCTTTGGTGAGTGAATGTGGGCTGTTTCTCGCTCCTCACGATGGGGAGAGTATGTTGCCATCATGGCGGAAGTTGTGACCACCCTGGATTCACACCTGCAATGAGCTTCATATACTCAACCCCAGCTATTGGCCATGAATATGAGGACCCCGACTGACACAGAATGTCTCCGTTGTAAGATGGTCTTATTCAAGCCTGGGGCATAGTCGGCTTTCGAAACAGGTGGCAGGTGCGAAGTATCGGGAAGGCAATTCAGGAAGGCACGACGCTTGAGTGTGATGTAGTCAGCAAGGCCGTAGTTTTCTCGCATACGCGACTATTTCGTGACGGAAGTGTTCAGATGGTGATAATCGAGGTTAAGTCAACCTTGAGAGAAAGGCTGGCGATACTAAAAGATGATCAAACAGCAGTCGTCGATACGATAATGAAGAAGGGAGAAGGCAGCCCAGCGTGGAAGGATTGGTCGCAGGAGAAACCTGTGTTGACGCTGCTCCCAGATCGGCAGGTTGGGCAGCAGGTCGAGTCGTTTGTGTGCCTCTATCGCGTCTGCAGGGTGGTGTAAGGGGCGGGGATGTCTAGAATATGGTGGTGTTGCCCTTCACTAGGTGGCGATTCGGAGGTCTTGGGGGGCGGTTGCGAAGGGTTTCGATGGAGGGATGCGGGAGAAAGAAGGGCTCAGGATGGCGTGAGTGGGTGAGAGAAGATCAATTCGTCGAGGCTCACCGTTTCGTGCCTTTGGCAGCTCGAGAAATCCGGTGGCCACGACACGGTCGCATGGATGTTGGCAAAAACTGGACGCGTCCTGGGTGAATGCCAAGCCATGCATGTAAACAAGATGACTTTAGTGTCAGTACTAGGCTGTATTAGTCTAGACTAACTCGCTAATTCTCGCCACTCACGGACACATGTACGCTAGCAGGCTGCTAACTAGCTGCTAGCAGGCAACTATCCGTCAGGCTGCAAGTACATCACCCGCGATTATGCGGGAAATGCCTCGAGCCAGTGGCACCAGTCGATCCCCAAAGTGGCAAACATCCCAACAGCGACCCCGAGGATCCCCTGTCCTAGGACCAAGCCTCGTACACAATTTCAGGCCTGATATTCCGGCGCGGGAGATCCAGATGGTTTCCGAACAGCCGCGCTGTTTTCTATATTTGTTCATTTCTTATGCGAGATTGTACGGGTATGAAAGGTAGCATTTGCGAGCGCAATTTCTCGGTTGTGTGACCTCATTTCATTATCAGTTCTCCAGGGGCTTCGTCATAAATCCGGATCAATTTCGATATGTCCTGATACGCATTGACCTTCAGTTCATCCTTCTTTAGAACTATTTTATTAGTTAGCTCGCAATGTAGCACAGAGAACAATGTGGCTAAAGCTGGTCCGGACCAGGCTGCGTGACCGCCAGCTGCCACGATAGAGTATACACAAGGTGCAAGCTTTGGTGCTTGGTGGGTAACGAAAATGCGTTAAGCATTGCCAAAGCCCCGATGCTCAGTCAATACATTAATCAACCTGAATCATAGTGAAGCGGCCCTCAATATGGAGCCCTGCTGAAGAGCCTTTCCACATCTGTTGACCAATCATGACACGCTTTTGATTGAAATGCACTTCGACGAGAGACCGCCACCTTTCATTCTGTCGACTTTGTGGTATCCATATCGAAGACGAGTCACTGCCGCCGGTTGGGCTTAGGTGTTTCTTCAAGCGGATATTTGTCAAAACGAAGACTTTGATCCTATTTTGTGGTGACACCAGTTGCTGCAGCCGAGGACGCCTCTGAGGTGGCAGGCCGATGTTGAGCAAGAGCCGACATGTCGACTGGTAATTGATCTTCATCCACTGGTTTTGGCAATGCGGCGCTCATACGCCTCCCAGCCAGCTTTCTGATATTGTTTCACTGCCGTCACCGGGTCTCCAGCTGCGTAAATTCCTCTTCCTGCAATGAGGAAGTCGGATCCTCCTTCCATGGCGGTGGTTGGAGTTTGATACTGCTGTCCGAGAGCGTCGCCTTTGCTGGAGAGGTTTACACCAGTCGTGAACACAACAAAATCCTCATCGGCTGCCGAATTAGGCGAGTGGCTTGACAGTTCCTTGGTTGACACGAAGCCCATGACACTCTTAGGGTACTTTCTTGCGATCTCGACTGACGCTCGAGTGTACTCCCCGACTGCCAAAGACCCTTTAGAAGTCATCTCGGCCAAGATCAATATGCCTCGTTCTGCAGCTCCACCCTCATTGATCACCTGGTCCAGAGCCTGGATGATACCCTCGCCTGCAAGGATGCTGGCATTGACGATATCAGCCCAGTCATGAATACGTAAAGCGCCTCCCTTGTACTGCTTCTGCACCGTATTTCCAATATCCACAAATTTACGATCTTCAAATAGAAGGAAGTTGTGGCGCGTGGCCAGCTCAAGCAGCCCGTCAATGGTATGCTGACTGAAGTCCGATAGAATGTCGATGTGTGTCTTCAGCACAGCGATGTAAGGGCCCAAATCTAGAATCTTCATCAGATATCGACCCTGAAGGGGGTATAAGGTGCTTGGTAAGCTTTTAGGGCTGGCACGAGGGTTTCAAGGCAAACGTTCCGTCTGGCCTCTCATATCGCAACACGACGCGGTGACTTACTGTCAGCAATTGCCAGCAACTCCTTGGTGGTAGTTAAGTCTGCGGACAACACCACATTTGTTTTCTTTTCTTCCGCAATCTGGAAGAGTTTCCGGACCAACGGATTTGCGTGGCCCTGTGCTCGCTGGCCGTAGGATAATGTGCTTTTAGATGCCATGGCAAGAGGTCAAAAAATTACTGCTCTGTGCGCAGCGTTAGAGCGGTGACGAAGCTGGGAAGAGATGGTGGTAAATTCGATCACGCGGATGGTCGCAACCTTGCAGTAGTTCGTGAAATTTTGCGCCAGACAATCCGAAGGTCAGGGACAGGCACCGGCAGCAGCAGCCGTCTGGCTAGAGGCGGACACCAACGAAGTAGAGGCAGATGTGGTTGGTCCAGGAAGAAAGGAATATGTTCCGAGAATGGATCGTGTGCGGAAGGCAGCATAGCTGGAGTGTCGGGGCAGAACGCAGCCTCCAAGTCTCGAGATGCCACGTTGGCGACGCCCCCGGCAATGTCATTACGAGCACTAGGCCAAGCCCAAAAGGACTCACTAGCCCCAAGCAAGCCACAGTGTCTAGGCCTGGGCAAGTACAATATGAGCCATGACGCTGTTTGCCATCTTGTTTCCTCCATATCCGTACTGCATCGGCTTCCTCCCTTCCTGCAATTCCGCTTTTCGCTCTCTCAACGAAACAGAGAAATCCCAACTCCTCCATCTCTCATCCAGCCCTCAACCCTGTCCATGTTCCCACCGAGCCACCGTCTACCTCCGCTCGTTCTTTGTGGATCATTCTCAGGGATGCGGCGGCCGGAAATCTGATTGTTATTTCGACCTTATGCTTTCATTGATTTTGAAGCCTAGTTACTCCGACTCCACCGCTAACCGACCATCGCATCCTCTATGCCTCAACAGTTGAAGCGAATCATTCCCTTGGAGTCCCGTCTGTTTTGATCTCGGGTGTCGAATCACGGCTCCCACTTCCAACGCGTCTCTCGACATTCCTCCGTCTAATTTTGGTTCTCCCTTGCCGGCAAATGTAGCCGCGATGCTCCTGCCACGTCCATCGGTCGACTAACGACGCTCGAAAGCAGAAAGCAGGGGAGGAATAGGAAGCAATATTACTAGGAGGAGGACCTCGTAAACACCAACCATGTCGGATCGACCTGCAGAGAATGCACCGCCCTTAGGGAATGGAATTGTGGAATCATCCAAGACCTCTCGTGAAGGGTCTCCAGTTCGCCCTTCGCGCAGCATTTCAGCAATCCCTCAATTGTCTCCGTCTCGAAAGAGCAGTCAGGAATTCAGTCCCACTCGAGGTACTGCCACGAGTACCGTCCCATCCGCCGCCGCCGTCCAACGCGCACTTTCTGCTCAAAGACCAATCCTGCAGCCTGGCCGAGAAGGGGTTGCCGAGGGTAGTCGTTTATCGGAAAGAACACAGAGACAAAGCACTCCGTCATGGTCAGCGTCGCCGCGAGTGAAATCTCCTCCTCCCAACCCAAACAAGTCTACAACGAGAGCGAGTATAAAAAGGAGCGAGTCAGAACCAACGCCGTCAAACACTTCTCTGAAGCGCCTCGCCGCCGTCGCTCATCCTGATCAGGGCGTCGTAATGCAAGTCCCTGAGAATACTGAAACGTTGTTTCAACCTTCTGTGCCACTCCGAGCTCCTGGTCGAGGTCCTAGTGCTGGAGGAAGCGCCTTGGAGACGGTAGCTGAAAGCAGCGTTCCGTCTACTCCATCCATTGGGCCCGTTCAGGACATCATCGACAACAAGATCGATGTTCCAGCCCTTGACAAACAAGTCGAGCCACACCCGGACAGTACGGCCACCAAAGATGGCGAAGGAAGTGGTGGCGATGCACCCTCCAAGACTGGCACGGCTAAAGCCGACAACGGACAAGGATCTCGCGCAGCCAGTAACTCTCGCCCTGCTTCTGATCTCGCAAAGCGTTCCTTCACTAGCCTTACAGGCCCTAAGCCCAAAACCACAACAGAGCCTCCTCGGACCATGACTGTGGAAACTGAGACGGTGACTTCCATCCCTCAGTTACTAGGCCCGGATCGAGGTGTTTCTGGTCGAGATGGCAATGGTAGTGTTCGGACCAAACCTAGTACTGAGACAATTCGTCCAAAGAAGGAGAAAAAGAGAAGTTCTCGCAAACCAGCCTCTCTTCATGCTGGCACAGTGACCTCTAAAGCTGATCTCTTCGAGGCCAGGGTCGCTAGTGCTGTAGACGAAGCCGATACCTCCGACTCCGATGAGACTTTTGTGTATGAATCCAATCCGCCTGACAGTCGACCTTCTCGGCACCACTCCAGAACCCCTAGTGCGACTTCTCTAGCTAGCCAAGAACAGTATGGAGGTCGCAGTAAACATGGATTACGGAACGGAAGCCATGCGATTGCAGGAAAAAAGAGTATGAAGTTCTCAAACAGCACATATAACAATCACCTCGATGGCGAGGCTGGCCTGGAAGGCCGGGGGAGCCAGCGAAATACCAGCACCACACCACGGCACCATCACATAAGCCGACATGGCCGACCACACCATACCTCTATCCTCGATACAGATTCACCATTTACCCAAGCTAGCAAGGCTAGCTCTCCCCGGGCATCGGTTACCAACCTTTCCCGGAACTCCCGTCCTAATAGCCCTCGACTCGCAAATGGGCGTTTCGTTGGACCTCCTCGCAAGAGCGACCCGTATGACATATCCGACGACGCTGCCGATGATGAGCGAGCTCCTTTGATCGGATCGGTTCGTATCAACCGTACCAGATATAGTCGCCGACCCCACAGTGCGTCGTTCCGACATTTGGACTACAGTGACACCTATGACCGGGGCTATTGTAGCCGACATGGTGGTTGCATATTCCTGGTTTTTGTGGTTGCTTTGATATGCGTCGGTATCACCACTTTTGTGACGGCCCTCAACCGTCCTTTATCAGATGTTTCGATCAAGCATATCCAAAATGTCCTTGCGTCAGAACAGGAGCTCATGTTGGATCTCAATGTGGAAGCCACGAACCCCAATCTGTTTGCAATAACAGTGAGCGAACTCGACATCAATCTCTTCGCCGAGAGCGCCTATGTCAATTCAGGTCCTGAATGGAGAAAGGAACAAGGCCACCTGAGATTCGTCAATCGCCGATCTCCATCTTCGTCTGAATTGATGTGGCCACCATGGCATACAGACGACGGTGTAGATGAGGGCACTGATCCCATAGATGATCCCGAACCAGGAACGCAAAAGATGCTTCTTGGAAGAATTTTGGAATTCGACTCACCCCTCGTTTTTGATTCTTCGCCGATCCGGCATAGCCGCACGTCGTCTGTGGGCGAAATCCGACTGGCAAAGCCGGGCAACAAAACCGAAGAAGGAGGGTCCGCCCGATGGGAGAAGGTATTGCATCACCAGTTCGACTTGATCGTGCGAGGCGTTATCAAATATCAACTTCCTCTTAGCTCAAAGACCAGGTCGGCGAAGGTTGGCAGCCGAATCAAAGTCTTGCCCAACGATGATAGCGGTGATGAGCCTGATGACAGCCCTCAGCCTACGGGAGCATAGGGCAGGTTGGCATCTGTCTAGCCAACCACTTGGTTATGACTTGATACGAGTTTCGTTTGTGAAATCATCAGTTCCTCCCGGAAAACGGAGGTTCTCACGACCCCAAATACCCAAGGAAGACAAAAAGCAGCCGGGCACACTTATACTTGATTATACCATACACGAAGAGCGGGCAATGGCACAGGCATAGGAGGCTCCGGAAAGGCAAAATGTAAAGCAGGAACGAACCAGCTGCTTGGCTTGGTCTTCGTAGTTGTCTTCATATAGCGGCTAATTTGCCATTAACTCAACCAGAAGGGAAAAACAGAAAAAGCGCAGATGTTCCAGTCCAAATCCAAGGTGCATGATGGCTTCACAGGTTGACCCCAGTGGCTGTAGGGTAGTCATCTGGTTCTACCATCCGAACATACAATCAGCAGCCCGCAGCAAAGGAACGACTCTGATAGGGGGGGGGTGAAGATGGACAGGGATGGCAGTGTGTCATCGATCCTGGGAACATCCGTACATACATATCCAAAATCTGACGACTCCAGACCATCAATTGCAGCTTGCACAAGGCCTTATCAGCCGTAGTAGGCAGGTGTCTGGCAAGACGAAGCGGGCGCAGTCTAACCAGCGTCCAGTTGGCAGTGGGCAGGGAGTGAAAAGTTGTGCATGGGACCAGATACGTCACGTCAATAGGGACAATTGTGCTGGGATTTGCGTCTGGCCTGGAATCAGGTTCTCACGCAGTTGGTGAAAGGCTTCAACAGTCGCTAGGTAGAGTTTGACAGTGGCCTCACCATGTCTTCTGTATAGCCTACGCGTACCCTGACGAAACGCCCACCTGCATGTTCTCTCTTTCTCTGCCTTGCTCCCTCCCAGTTCTCATCTCTCTTATTTGCGCTGAGCTGGTCCCCACGCCACCGGATACTTGTACTGACTGAAAGGCCCAACTTCACAGCCCCTCCATCCCCGCCACCACCATTTCCTCTCCCGATTCCATCTTGCCATTCGCTGCCCAACAACCAGCCCGTTCCCACCTGAGTTTTCGACACCGAAAGTCCTGCAAGTCTGTCCGGTTAAAGCCGCTGATCTCAGAGACAGTGAGGCTAGTCTGCGCAACTTCTCTGCCCAAGGCGTTGAATCAGGCCAAGGCAGTCAGAGAGCCCAGCCTTTGGGCACGCGCCGGCGCCCTAGTTAGGTACGACTCGCCCCGGTCCAGTTCCCTGCAGCATCTGATCCTTCTGCCAACCATCCATACATACTTACTCACTTGCCAGCTGGACAGACCTGTCTTACATCTTCTGCCATCCCTCGCTTGTTCCAGTCACCAGATCATATCATTCGCCTTACTTTGTTATCTCCCATCAACCTCACCGCATCGCATTCTTCGTAAGACTACCTGCAATCCTTCGTATCAAGCACTGCGCACCCTCTGCCCTTGCGGCAAGCCACTCTCAATCGCTCCCTCAGCCTGTCCATTGATCTATACCTGTGGTCAGTATGGGCTCGGTCTATCGTGATCGCTACGACGACTCTCGAACCTCTGTATCTTCCACTCGCCGAGACGGGGGATATACAACAGTCAAACGCTACGTGGTCAAAGAGGACGACAGTCGTTCTTCCGTCGGCCGGGATCGTCGATCTTTTGTTCCGGAACGGGCGGGTGAACGAGTAGAAGAGACACGGATTGTCCGCCGTGAACGTGATGTCGAAGAGCCCGTGCGCGATGTGCATCGGGACGATGCGCGGCTGTCCGAGCGTGAGCTAGTCATCCGCCGAGAGCGAGATGATGAACCCCGAAGAGATCGGGACTACTACGAAAGAGACTACTACAATGTCCGGCGCGAAGAGCCTGCGGAACGAGAAATTGTCATCCGGCGAACCACTGAGCGAGAAGAACCGCGTCGAGATGACCTGACAGTGGCAAGGTTTGATGATCGAACCCGGGATGTCCGAGTTTCTGAGACAACTCGTTATCGAGACGATTTCGAAGTTCTACCTCCGACTCGCGGTGGCTTTGACGATAGAGACCTTCAGAAGTATACTCGCACTGCAGAATACTTCAGCCCACCACCTCCACCACCCCAGACGATCATCATCCGCCAGGAACCTATCATCATCCGGGAGCGTGTTCGAGATGATGACTATCAGATTGTTCGCAAATCTGACGTGGAGGAGGAGCGCAGTGTGGTCCGTCGAGAACCGCCTCGCGGAGAAGAAGACTTCTTCTACGAGAAAAAGGTACGGGAGCGTATCGATGAGCCAGACGATTACTACGAGCGTCGCACCCGCCGAGGTCGTTCTGTGAGTCCGCACGATTCTGTTTCTCAACGGGGCCGTGACTATAGCAGTGATGACAGTATAGTCTATGTGCGGAAGGAGACTCGCGAGGACAGCTCTAGCCCTCACCGTAAAAGAAACCTCGCCGCCGGCGTTGTTGCTGGAATTGGCGCTGCCGAGATCCTTCGCCACCACAAGAAGAAAGAAGGTCAGGACACTTCGCATGGCATCGGTCGTATAGGGCGTGATGTTGGTGCTGGCGCTCTAGGCGCTCTAGCAGCGGAAGGCATTGAGCGCTACAGAAGCAAGAGTCGCCATCGGTCAAGGAGTCGCTCATCTAGCCGCCATCGCTCGCGCTCTCGAAGACGGCGGAGTCGCTCTCGGTCAGAGTCTCCTTCAAAGCTGAAGACTCTTGGTGCTGTTGGCCTTGGTGCCGCCGCATTGGCTGCTGCGGCAACCTTTGCAGGAAAGCGTCTTGCCAAAGGTAATGATGATGATGGTGGCCGTCGCAGTCGCTCTCGGAGGCGATCCAGCTCTCGGCGACGCTCTAGATCTCGCTCAGCCTCCATCGAAAGTCTGGAAAATGATCCGTCCGCTCCGTCCACCGACGCCCGCAATCCCAAGCATCGTAACAAGAGAATTGCGGAGGCCGGTGCTGCAGGCGCCATTGTAGCAGGACTCATCGAGCGAGCAAGAAGCAAGTCAAGAGCAAGAGACGGAAGAGAACGCTCCAAGAGCCGTGTCAGACAGGCACTCCCTGTGGTTGCTGCAGGCCTCGGCAGTGCTGCTCTTGCTGGTCTATACGAAAAGAACAAGGCCAAGAAAGAAGCAGAACAGATTGTCAAAGACGAGCGTCGGGCGCGTTCAAGGTCCAGAAGTAGAGCTAGGTCTGATGCCTACTATGATGGGCCCAGAGAAGGCGCTATCAGCGATCCCGGCTTGATCGAGTATGGTGCAGGCCCAATGTATGGTAACAATTACGGACCAGATTACTATGGCAGGCCGCCACCGCCGGAGGGCTATTATGGCGCTTCCAATGCTGTTGTCCCCGCCGCGACAGGCGCTGCCGCCGGTGCATACGGCGCGCAAAGAGCGAGAAGCAGATCTCGAAGCTTGAGCCGCGAACGTGGGGGACGGAGATCATCTCGCAGCTCTAGCTCTTCTGGTGGTGGGCACTACAGCCGACGTCGATCATCCAGAGACGCAGCCAAAATGGCTGCCGCCGCAGGAGCTGGAGCAGTTGCTGCTTCCGAGTATGACAGACGAAAGCAAGAGAAACGTGAGCGTAAAGCTCGTAGACGTGAGTTACGCAGAGATAATAGAGGGTTGGACACTGACATTCTGTAGGTCGTGAAGAGAATTATGGTCATGATCCATACGAGGACAACTACAATCCAGCTCAGCAATATCCCCCTACGCCTCCTCCCCCGGTGAACGATCCATATGCCTCTCAACAGGGGTTCTATCCGCAGACAAGCCAATTCCCCCCGCCGCCAGGTGCTGTTCCCCAACAGCAGTATCCTCCTCAAACCTCGACTCCAGGACCAACGGCTGGGAATCCATATGGGCAAGCATATCCACCCCCACCGCCAGGGCCTCCACCTAATACCACCGTACCTACTTACGAGACATACGCTACTGGTGCAAATCCATACGCACCACGTGGTCCTGAAAATGTGAGTGCTGTGCCAAACTCTACCTCTGGCCATCCTTTTGTACCTGCCACTTCCAATGACCAGAGCCATGTCCATGGTACGTCATAGTCATGTACCTACACGCCCGTTTGTTGCAGGGACAAGGGAGGAGTTCGCTGACGCTTTTCCAGGTGTAAATGGGACGGTTCGAGCTGCACCCTCACCGCCCATAGAGGTCCACTCACTTTCAAACACCATTCCAGCGAGCTATGAGCCGCCCCGTGGGAACCTGACGCCAACGAACGCATACACCTCTTCAATGGATCGATCGCCATCACCACCTCGCTCTCGATCGCAACCGCCTTCAACTAGCAGAAAAAGTGTGCAATTTGCGGAAGCGCCCCAAGTCGCCACCGTTCCAAATGAGGCAGCGAAAGAGACCGAGGAGGTAGCTCCGGACCGACGACGACATCGCCACAAGCACTCTCACTCTGGTGGATACGAAGCTGAGGATGATACGGACTCGACGCCAGATGATCTACGCCGAGGCACGCGAGAGCCCTCCTCTCGATCCCAAGACCCTGAGTCATCAGAACGTCGACATCACCGCCGCCGTTCCCACGAGCCTACATCATCTCGCAACGACTCGAGTAAGAGTTCCAAAGACCGTGAGCTCGAAAGAGTCATAAGCCCAGCCGATTCGGATGCAACGATTGAACTACCTCCTCGATTTGACGAGAGAGGTCGCAAGAAACCCGAGACTGGCGATGATCCTTTAGCAGACAAGATTGACGAGATCCTGACGGGGAAAGGGGCTGCGGGGAAAGTGTTTGGAAACTTCTTGGATGGACTCTTTGGGCCCGATGGTCGACGAAAGAGAGGCAGATGATGACCACGGTACATGAGAAAGCAGCGAAGCAAGACACGATATATCAGCGAAACGCTAAGACATTATGCAACGAATTTTATTTGGCCTCTATGAGGACGTTAGTGGAGTCTTTGGTGATGTTTTCTTTACTCTACGAAATGATGAACCTCAACGAACAACAATTGGATAGTGAACAATCATGACAAACGATGACGAGATGAGATGTATGACGGCTCTCCAGCAGCAGCAGCAGCAGGAAATGAAGTCATGAGGATAGGGTCAAGTTTATTAATATTCCAAATAGAAGTACCATGATGAAATGAATGACCTTACGATTTTTGATGGAGCCGTGTTCTCTCGCTTTGTTGTATTGTGGGTGTTGGTTCATGACTAGATTTCGAGGCAAACGTGTCGTGGCCGGGGCGCGGGTGCTATTCACATAGGCTGCTACAGAGGGCACACGGATAGGCCGAGAAGAGTTTCACGAATTGCTCAACGACATGACAAGGTCGTCAAGGCGACCAGTTCACAAGAAGAGCGGAGCTGAAGGCTCGGAAAGTCTGATGTCGATAGATAGTCTCTGCCTCGACGCTGCCGTCTTTGGGCGTCCCAGTGCGACTGGCGACAAGTCAATCGAGATCAGATATGTCGCCCTCCTCGAATGGGAACTCAACACGGCAAGTCGTTGACTGGCAACGTGGTCATTTCCTGTGGATGAAAGTGACAAACACCTCGGCCGCGCGCGGTGATGTCGTATCTGCTTGTCGCAATGGGCCTAGACACAAAACCTCACGCCGTGCTCGGAAGAAGCGCAATCGAGATTCGCACGGGGTGACTGAGAAACAAAAAAAAAATACAAGGAGACCTCGTCGGCTTCTTCGCAAAGGACACTTTTTGAACGTCGTGCATTTGACGTCAATCGTTTGATTCTGAGCAAGACCCGATCAGATCAGATGGACCTAATCAAAGCATTTTGGGAAAATAAGGCGCAGCAGCAAAGACGGTAACAACAAGGGCGTTGTGGATAACTTCGTCAGGCTGCTCCCATCGTTCCCGTGCATGTATGTAGTATCCGTAACCCCCAGGGAGGGTTTCAAGATAGCTAACTTTGCGATTGACCAACTCGGCGATGGAAATTCGGTGCCACGCCCTATGCCCTTGTCACCACACCACCACAACGAAGTACTTGTTGCATCATGACCACGTCTAGAACACCAAAGCAGCACCCTTTGTCTTCTTGTCACCACTGGAAGTTAAAAGTCAGTACTTCTGCAAAACCTTTCGTTTTCTGGGAATCTTGGATCGTTTCCGTACCCCAGTTCGAAGTGCTTGCATCGCTTCAGCGCTAACTGTGCCTTCGTCTTGCAAACTGTGCATTCCAATCTCAACACAACCTTCTTGGTGGTCTTGGCCTTCTTGTGGAAGACGGGCTTGGTCTGACCACCGTAACCGGACTGCTTGCGGTCGTATCGACGCTTTCCCTGAGCGAACAGCGAGGCCTATTTTTGATTTGCAAAAACATGTTAGAGACGAACGTCTTTCTTCCTTTCTTCCCATCCCGAGTCTTGACAAAATTGGGTGTGATTGTTGGGGTTCCTTACTTTTCCGGCCTTGTATTGTGTGACCTTGTGCTGGGTGTGCTTCTTGCAGGTCTTGCCCTTGCAGTAGGTGCGGCGAGTCTTGGGAACGTTGACCTGTAGGACACAAACGCATCATCAGCAAATGGGCTCAAAATAAAATGGCCTGCCGCTCTGCCCAGTCCAAGTCAAGCATCGATCTCGAGAGTCCAGGACGAGTCCTTTCGCCAGATCTCTTGAAAAGAAAATAAAGGCCATATCTTCCAATTTTGTGCGCGTGCCCGTCTGGTGCAATGCCTGGCACAGAGATATTCTCAGTGCCGCACCACCTAGCGTCCCTCCTCTTTCTCTCCCGGTCCTGGAATGCTTGGAATCGTGCGACGGTCGTCGAGGCGGAGCGGAAGCCAGTATACATAACATGCGCATCAGAGGTACTCACCATTTTGGCTGGTTGTTTGAGAACGTTCCTTGAGGGATGGATAGTGAGTGTCGTCGTGAAAGCGTCAATCGATCAAACTGCGATGTTCGAAAGCGCAGCCACGCCAAGACCACACCGCACATAAAAATTGAGGTGGGCAGGAGGAGGTTTGCCGAGTACGATTATCTAATGGGATCGTGTCACGTGACTAGTAGATCTAAGTTGCCGACGTGGGCTTCTACCTAATCATCAATAGAGTACGTAAACCGAAATGCAAACATGACTGTGCAATTTATGTTATTGAACCGTCACACGCGGGCGTGCTGCGTTCCCTTGGATCCCATAGACGAGACCTGGTGAGGTGTCCTGTATCTTCAAGAACCATAGAATAATGGCCAAAGTCGACTTTCAAGACTTGTCTGGAGCGTCCACGCCTACAACTTCCAACCCATTCGATGGTCTGATCATTGCTTGTCATGATGACCCAGTGCGCATTGCTCCTGCACGGATTCCTGAGAACCCTTTCTGACTTGTTTATCAGAAATCGATCCAAGAAAGATACTCGGCGCATCGCGTGCTCAGAAATGATCAACAACGCCAGAAAATCCTTGGGTCCGACTTCAAAGGATGGACTCTCGATGAGTATCTTGTTAAGTTAGATGGCCCACAAAAGGACGATTCCTTTGCCGATCCTCGTCACTGTCTGGTTTTCTGGGGAAGGCCGCCTCAAAAGGTGAAGAACTTGATCCACATCGTCCAGTCGAAGCTGCAGGATGCCGCACCTGGTACGTCTTTCACAGCCAATATTGTCCTCCTGCTTACAAGGTAGATCTGTGGCTCATGCCGCTCGAGAGACTACATATGACCGTCATGGAGGTGGCGCATTCCAAAACCAAAGATGAGATAGCTGCTTTGGTAGAAACGCTGAAGGCTCACTGCAAAGATATTGCTGATCATACCTTGACTCACCGAGCCAGGCTCATCAAGCCTCTGTTAAGTTACGACTCCGCCGCGCTTGCACTGAGCTTCGTCCCTGCTGCTGGAGAGTCGTTGTCCCACGGTCGAACAGTAGAAGACGACAAGTATACGTACCACCACCTGCGGCGCGATGCTCATGCCGCTCTTTCAGATGCCGGGGTACAAGTTGGTTCGAGATACGTGGTCCCGTCGGCACATCTGACCATTGCAAGGTTCAATTCGCCGAATGTCTTCGGTGGTGACCCGATGGACGAAAGTGCTACCTTGGACCTGAAGAAGCGCAAACACTGGATCAACGAGATTGAGATGATCAACAAATGGCTCGAAGCGGAATTTTGGCCAGAAGAGCACGGCGGTCTGATCAAGGCTGGTGGAGAGTGGATTGTAGGTGAAGAGAAAGGGCTCGACTTTCGTGGTGGGCAGTTGTGGTATGGCGAGGGTGAAACTATCTATTTGGGTGAAGGTTTCAGACCTCCAGAAGCCGAGTGATCGTATACTGTGTTCGGGTTCTCAGACCGCACCATAATTTATAAACAAGTACAACGGGGTGTGTATACTCTACAGGAATGAAATAGCCTATATACTTACAGTTGGCAACCAGCACCGCCGCTTTTGGAGGTGCACTTTCCTTCGCCCACACCGTTTCGGGAATCCAAAACAAACACCTTCATTCACCCTCACCACAAACCAGTCACCACAATCACAATTACCCTCACCACCACAATGGCTGACGAAATCCCTCTTGGTCCGCAGGCTAATTTCAACATCATTGCTACCGAGATACTGAAGATACCAAATACACCTGCACTCGCCGGCGGCCAGCAACTTCTCGCCGAGCTCCGTGCAATGAGGGAGCAGTCAAGGAGAGACACGATAACAATCCGACAAGACCTTGCAAATGTCTGTCAGGAAATTACAAATGTCCGTCAAGAGCTTGTGACTATAATTACTGCGTCGTATGTATAATTCGACTTATTTTAATATTACTATACTAATTCTATAGAAATCATAATAACGCAGCCCGGGTCCAGAATACATACCTTCAAAGTCAAAACGAAAATCTTGTATCGTTTATTAACGCTACTACCGGTGCCGCTATCCTTGATTTCCCTCGCACCTCATTGGAACTCGAACGAATGGCAAGAAGACAATTAGATTCGGTACTACAACAACTGGGTATTCCTTCGCAGGGTGCAAATTTGGCGGATAAGAAGCGGTTGCTCAGAGCTCACATCGGGTTACCAGAGGTCGCAGGCTCACCACCTCCATAAGAGACATAATTCTGGTGCCATGGACACGCTGTATGATGTGCACGAGTCAGAACTGTATTGATAATTTACGATTAATGAGAATCAATATCATGACCTGAAGCAGCGGCTAAATTCCCTGAGGACGTCGCCTCGGTGGTCTGGGGAGAATGCCCCTTGCCAGGGTCGTCGCTGTATGAGAGCGAAAAGCATTCTCGGGCGCTATGGCATTTTGACTTCCAAAGCCACCATCTAGACATGGCGGTTGCGCTGGTCCAGGGAAAGGAGAGAATATACCTGAAGCACTTTTACGACCGAATCGCGCAAAACCAAGCAGCATTTACGCCGGACGTGGTCGATTTTTATGTGATGCAGTTCAGCCAACCTGATGCACTTCGCTGTGCATTTCTGACGTACCGGGCCTTCGAGATCGGCGCAGAGCATAACCGCCGAGGGAGAGAAGAGAGCAGAAAGGTCAAGATCAAAAACATGGTGTTGTCTGGCAAGGACTCTTTCCTGGCTCCTCATGCCGCGAGCATGGCCAAAGAGTTTTACGAGGACGTGAAGGTCGGATTGGTCTCTGACTCGGGCCACTATCTTGCTGAAGAAAATCCATAGTCCTTTGTCAGTGAAGTGTTGAGATTCATCGAGTCGTAAATAGAGAAAAGTGTAGTTTGTGCTACGTACAGTCGGCGAATTGATCATACTTTTATTGTGTAAGTGAAAGACCGACGACACTGACTACTCGCTTTTCGCTCTCCTGCTGTAGGGCTACGATGACTACGACTCCCTGTGAGCTGCTCAAACAAGATGGCAGTGGCATTTTCAACCAATCGGATACCACTCAATTCGCTGACGGTGAGCTTGGATCTTGCTACACCGAAGTGACAACCTTTCGGTAGTTGGACCTCGGCATAGTCGCCCGCTAACTTGGTTGTCGACTTGCGTCCCGCGCAGTTGTGCCTAGGTACGAACTCCGCATATACGGAGTAGAATAATAATCATCGGTGAATCCTCCACCTCTTCGATTCGACTTCTCTGCTGGATTACGACTAATTGATTCATATACAATTCTCCTTGTTTACATATACCTCAGCTTGACCTTTTCCGAGCGACAGAAAAACCGCGACCGACATACATGCTTTGCACCAAGTGACTCGCAAAGAGATAAGAACGACCTTCTAAACTACGCCAAATCCATCCGGTACAAGCGACTCTTTGCACCTCTCTTCCTCCTGTCGATTTACAGGTACCCATCCGAACGCCGCTCATCTTGTCGACATTTTCAAACGGGTATCCGCTGTCGCAGAATCTATTCCGGTTTGACCTTTGGCGAAATTCAGCCCATAGACACAAGAAATATTAGAAACATATACATATACATACCCGAAAAGATGTCCAAGACATTCACCGTCGCAGACGTGGCCAAGCACGACCAAAAGGCCAGTGATGGAATGTACATCATTGTCGACGGCACCGTGTACGACGTGACCAACTTTGTGGACGAGCATCCAGGCGGCGCAAAGATCCTGAAGCGCGTGGCGGGCAAAGACGCCAGCAAGCAATTCTGGAAGGTAGGTGCATTCTTTATCTATGGGTTACCGATTGACATACACGCTATGTGTGTATGTGTCTGTGGCTATGGGAGTAGGTGTGTGGGTGTTGCAACGACCGCTAACATGGTCCTCCGCTACAGTATCACAACGAGTCCGTATTGAAAAAGTACGCCCCGAAGCTGAAGATTGGCGAAGTCGGCGAAAAGGCCAAGCTGTAAAAACGATTTGCCCGATTTTCGTTCCCAAGCGGCCGACTCTTTGAGTACGAATCTTCCTTTCCTGGGTTCCTATGAGGTGATACACGATTTATGTTGGTCTGTGGTGCGTCTCTCGATGAGGCACCGGTCGACATGCGGTGAACACCTGTTGCGGTTGCGTGAGGGTAGTGTAAGGGAAGCGTGGCGAGATCCCCAGGTCCTCAGGAACCTCGCATACTGGTTTCGGCAAAGCAGACGAGTAGACATGTTACATGCGTAAGGTATCTAGTATACTATCGCGGCACTTGGACGGTTTGGAAGAGTCACATCTCTACAAGCAAAATGGATGCTCATGCTCACTCAACCGTGCGTGATCTTCTAGGCCGTGCAAGTATTTGTACATACATACCTGTTCATATCTTGCGTTTTTATGTCAAGTCCAGACCACACTGCAATTCTCTTCGGCTCAGGTTTTCAAGTCCGTGACAGTGCCAGTGAAGGAACGGACAATCAAAATCCACTAGTGTCCCTCACAATTTTGAGATTGCCCCCATAGACTCCGTAGCGGGCTCTACTTGATTTCACAGGTCTCTTCGTTGAAACAAGGGCGGCGTGGCCGAAAGCATGCTCGCGTGAGTAAGGTATCTAGTAATATAAACTCGGAATGTGAGTGGAAATAGAAATCTATCTATCTTGGATGGCCAGGGAGTTGAGGCCCTCGGAATAAAGTCTATTCCATAGTAGGAGAATATCAAGTCTGAAAGATCTGCCTTATAAGTTGTGTCTCTGGCCATCTATACCGTCCTGCTGTCTGTCTATCCCTTGAAAAGGTGATGACGAGGAAGACCACACCCGTGGTGCTCATACTCCCCCGAGCACTCCTGCATTTCTAACCATGAGATGGACTTGTAGTACCTGGAATCCCTGCAGTTGACTCCTGGGGTATGTCATCATCGAAAGTTGACAGGTGATCTCCGAAGTTCGCTACCGGCTCAAATGGAAGTCAATAAACAGTCCCGCCCCATTCGTTGCTGCGATTCGACGATTGCGTAGAGAGAGGAAGAAGAAGCAAAAACGGGTCGTGGCAATGCGAAAATGTCTGCCGCATGGTGTCTAGTTGGGAAGTGTTCCGGTTTCTTCAGCGTCAAGTTGTGGCTTTGTCGACGCCTCCTTCAGTCTGCGTGCCATCCACCGTCGTAGTGTGACTCTGGGCCAATCGAGCCTGCTTGTTCTGTACGATCCGCAGCAGGTTTCTGAGCAGTACGACGATCGTCACCTTTCCAATGGCCGGCACGTAGATCGATGCTTTTTGTTTGACTTCGACGGGAAAATTCTAGTACCACCCCGGGGGTCAGGGTTACATTGTTAGTCATGTTTCTGTTCTGAAACGCCGCATTTCTTGCGGCTGCGATTTGGATCTGGCTGCTTATTCTGGCTTCGGTACAGGGTCATGGTACGACAAGATAGGGAGGGGGAGGGAGGGGAGAAAAGCTCACCTTCTCACTTGAGAAATTGATACACACGGCACCCTCCTTGAGCAGGTGGCACGGGAACTTGAATTTGTCACCGGGCACCCCGGTGATGACGACGTCGCAAAGTGGCGCACACGTCTCGAGTGTCCAGCCTTCCTTTTCGTGAACCTCGTGCTTGCGCTTCCGGATCCCCTCGCCCCTGGTGAACAGCTGCACGCCCGTGACGTCGACGCTGTACACGCTCGCGCCGTCGTTGGCCAGCAGGGCCGCCAGCGGCCGCCCGACCACCTCGGACCGGTTGACGACGCAGATGGTCCGGCCGAACAGTCTGTTGCCGTAGGGCAGGATGGTGTTGTAGATGTGCAGGAACTCCAGAATCTTGATCACGGCGAGCGGAGTGCACGGCAGCACCGACTTGATGGCCTGGGACTCGTCCAGGAACCGGATGTTCTGGTACATGTTGAAAATGTACTGGTGGCTCAGGCCCTCGACGTCCTTGGACACGTCGACAATCTGTTGCAGGTACTGGTCCTGCCGGTTGTTGAAGATCGGGTAGTACACTATTATTCCGTCGACCGCGTCGTCGTTGTTGGCTGCCATGATGGTCTCCTCGACGTCGTCTTTCGCGACCGACTTGAGAGTGTATGCGAAGCCACTGTCCCGAGAAAGACATTTGTCAGTTCCAAAACGACCCCTGGATAGACTGTAGTGTCCGACACTTGTGCTTCTTCTTTTTCCTCCCCACCCATTCCTGTGATGGACATGGATCATGCAGCCTCAGTCGGCTTCCGATCAGTTAAAGACATGCCACTCAGAGTCTTCCCGGAATCACACAGATACACAATTGCCCTTGAGAGCAACCTGGGGGACACTCACTTGTCGTTGCACGTCTTCTCAGTCCAGTCTGCATACACTTTGGCAGCAGGGTCGGCATTGGCAAGTATTCCGAGTAGGTGAGGTTTGCGACCAAGTTTGCTGAGCCCTGCCTGGACCTCAGAGAGGAGCCCTTTGGCGATGGTGCCCGCAAGGATGGTCTTGCAACTCGTCGTTTCGTCTTTCGACATGATCTTGCCGGGGCTCTAGAATGGCTTTCACCTGTCTATCATGGTGGCCGAAGAAATTCTACTTTCTCAAAAGAGATGGAAATAAAAGATTTTAATAGGTTCGAACTCTCCACACGTGACCCACCCTGGCGAGGCTGAACGTCGCGGATATACACAAGTCACCAAGGACTCACTGAACGGATCCTATTGTAATGTACTAGCCACAGTATGGCAGGGGCTTATGGTCTTTGATACTGTTCACTCATCACATTGCTTATATCTTGCTCTGGGATTTTCCTTCGCCTCTGGGGACCTTTCGCTCCACGCCCAAGGTCTCCAGGTCTTTCTTCTTATAGTAGTGAGGCGCCACCTCGATCAACCACTCGGGCTTCAGAGGCATGCAGCTTCTCATATATTCCTTACTGGTCAGTACCAGTTCATGATAGATCAACCATTTCGGTTGGCTCTCAATGAGAACTCCCGATGGGTGAATATAGACAACCTGTCCGTTCTTCACCGTACGATAGCTTTGCCCATCTCGTTGCAGTCGAGCAGAATGAGGGAAGAAGCCAGCAGTAATAGCCTTCTGAATAGGCTCAATGTTGGATTGTCCGCCGCAGCTTTTGCCGGCGTCAACCTCCACTCGGTCGCACAGTCGGGCTAACTGATCCCGTACATCACGCGCCCTGGTCAAACTTCTCTGCTGCAAGAAATTCTCCTTGGCCCAGACATAGCTGTAGTCCGAATCAGCCCACTCGTTGAAGACGTTGAGCAGTGACAGGTGGTCACCGCCATCCTTGTTCGTAAACCGCGCCCTTGCACTATCAGCGTGGATCTTCTTGTCCTTTGGCCGAAAGAAGAGCGCGGATGCTTCACCAAGCATGGCAATTATCGACAGCACCTCCTCCACACATCCATACTTGTCAGCAGCAAGGATAGACCGAGCAAGCATAGGGTCTGTGGGAAATTCAGCCATTTGTCGACCGATCTTGGTCAACTCGCCGGCGTTGTTGAGCGCCCCTAGCGCGTACAGTTGCTCGACTGCTCGGACAAGGGTGTCTGTTGAGGGGGGATCCATGAAATCGAAGTCGAGTAAATCGTTGATGCCTAGACTTTTCAAGAGGAGAACAACCCCAGTCAAGTTCGTTCTTTGGATTTCCGGGGTGGTATTCTCGTCAAGTTCGTTTTTGTAGGCCTGGGCGGTGTATAACCGGAAACACTTGCCAGGACCAACACGACCTGCCCGACCTGCCCGCTGACCTGCTGACGCACGACTGCAGGGAACAACAACCAGTGATTCCATACCTGTGCGAGGGTTGTATTGATTTTCTTTGACGAACCCGGGATCGATGACATAGACGATACCATCGATGGTCAACGAAGTCTCGGCAATATTGGTGGCGAGAACCACCTTCCTCGCCCCTGCGGGTGTTGGCTCGAAGATCTTTGCCTGTAGGTCGGTCGGCAGGTTGGCATAGATCGGGCAGATAATCATCTCTTTGATTTTGTTTCCCAATTTACGGGCCGTTTCTTGTAGACTTGCTTCCATAGCCTCGATTTCTTCCTGACCAGTTAGAAACACCAAGATATCCCCGGTCCCTTGCGTAATGTGTATCTGAAAGACGGTGGTGATGGCAGCGGCGAGGTAATTGGCTTCTGGCTGAGCCGTGTAGTGAATATCAACGGCGTACCTTCGGCCAGGAATGTTGAAGATCGGTGCATCGTCAAAATACTTTTGAAATTTTCGCGCATCCATCGTAGCAGAAGAAATCAACAGTTTCAGATCGGGACGTGCTCTTGCAATATCCTTCAACAGCCCACAAGCAATATCTGTGCTGACAGTCCGCTCGTGTGCCTCGTCAATCATGAGGGCTGAATATTGAGACAACTCCGGATCTGTCAGCAGCTCTCGCAGAAGCATACCATCCGTCATGTACTTGAGCACCGTCTTTTCACTAGTGTTATCTTCGAATCGAATAGCATACCCGACTTCATTGCCCAATCGCTTGCCCATTTCTTCTGCAACTCGTGCAGCAACAGACATGGCGGCAACTCTTCGAGGCTGCGTACATCCAATCTTCATGCCACCTTGCGTGAATCCGGCCTCATGCAGATACTGAGGTAACTGAGTCGTCTTCCCACTGCCCGTTTCGCCCACGATAATCAGGACTTGGTGATCTCTCACAGCCTGGATGATTTCGTCTCGGAACTGATAAACAGGTAGGCTCTTCCTCGTCTCCTCGATGCTCTTAGCTTTGGCTTCGGCCGCGCTCAGTCTTTGAGCCATCTCCCTCTGCTCTCGTGTCATTCCCTTACCCAGATCCCCACCTAATGTCTCTGCGACAATAAACTTCATTTGCTGGCTTTCGTCAAAGACGTAGCCGTAGTCGCCTTCATCGACAAACTCGGCTCGCTTGATCTGCGCTTCTGCGCGCTTCGTCTGCTCATTCTCCCACTCCTCATGCTCCGTAACGTAGCGTTCCCTACCAGTTTCGTCTCGGTCGACATATCTTTGGTAAAGAGCCTGTTCCTTCTTTCGCCGATCGATCTTGCCCTTCTCTGTTATATAGTCTTCGGGTAGAGCATAGCCATCCAGATGATCGTCGATATTCAGTCTCTCTTCTGCCAGCCGCAAGACCTCCTTGTTTCTTGCAAACTCTTCTTTCTCTCGTCTTGTCAGGTCTGGGTTGTCCCTTAACTCCGCTTGCTCTTCTGCGACTTGTTTCCGTAGCAGGGCCAAGCGCTCAGCTTCTCGCTTCTTGAGATAATCTTGCCGAGATCGCACCCGCAAATCTGGCATCGCCGCTGCTCGGGCGGCTATATCATCTGCGAGCGCCCTTCTCTGAGCTGCTACGCTGTCTTTAGGCGCCGACCTATCTTCCACAATCTTCTTCGAACGCTCCTCGTCTCTTTTCGCCAATCGTTTTGCGAATTCGTCTCGTTCCTTCAAGTCTTGATCTCTTTCCCTCTCGGCCTTCTCTTCAGCCGATTCTGGTGGAGGAGTGCGTGCCCTCGCTTGTTGAGATCCGGAACCGTCCGAAAGTTTGACCCTCTTTGAGGACGACTCGGCAAAATCGGATTGAGCTTCCTCCTCGTCTTCGGCGATCTCCTCGTCGCCCCATCGATCCTCGAAGTCGATATCATCGCGGCGCCTCCGGTGTGCATTGCTACGCTTATTGGATTTAATGCGAGGCTCGTTATATTGTTGTTCAGACATATTCGCAATTGGATCCGAGGATCTTGGCTGCAGTTCACCTCGTAACTCCAGCACTGCGCGATGGATGCCGCGCAAAGGGCTAGGTCTGACCTAGGGAGGAATTTTCTCGTCACCTTTGGGGTATCGCCGGCATTGAGATGTTGCAGGGTGCAGAATTACAGCAGAATTGTTGTAGAGACTACTATGAATGGATAGAGGGTGCGAAAGTAAAGTCCTCCCATTACCTTCAAAGCGGCAACGATCTTTGCGGCGTGTTCTGTGGTAGAAAAGTTTCTCCGCAGTTGAACAAGGCTGAAGGAAGAGAGTCGCCGAACCAATTAGAACTTTCCTGAGCCTTGTCTACCACTCCGCGTATGCTACCGCCCATCATAAAATAATTATGGCTGATTAGAAGATATAAGGGAAAAAAAAGAAGACATTCCTCAAGTTACTCGGCAGAAACGTGCTTGTCGATAATTCTCTACCTGCTGCTTCACTAGCGTCCGGCCAGAACAGCTTCTGGTCATCACAAGATAATACTCCGTACACTTCATGCCATTTGAATATCAAGATAGCCGAATGTCGACTATTACATCCTCGTCATCATGCTGAGGCATGCGCGATATCTAGTCCTCATCCTCGTTAATGTCATCCACGTTTCTCAGCCAAGCAGCTCTTGCATCCACCGCTTCTTTCCGTACATCGCGTTTCGTATCGTCTAGAACTCTGCTCAACCCATACAAGACTTCTCGCTTAAGGCCAATTAGTGGATTTGCCCCAGAGACACCGCCAGTGATGTACTTGGGCATCAAAGTGAGACACCGCGTTGCAAGCCGCCGCGTATTTGGCAGATTCATTTGCGTCCCGGGCGTAGCGCCTGCCTTTGCTGGCTTTGTGCCGGAATCTGATTTTTGTGAAGCTGCAACACCGATCAACCTCTTCACGAGCGCTGGAATATGTCCACTTTCTTCGAGCGCGGAAGGGTTATTGGAGATCACAACGGCACATGTTTCCAGAGTTGCCACCTTGACCATCTGATCGGTTAGATCCAAAGACTGCAGGAGCAGCGGTAACAAAGTGGGGAGTTCAGGCATCACAATCTCTGACGGTACGTTGGATAGAACACCACTGAGCGCAACAAGGTAGTTCTCTTTCTCCGTTGGAGATTGTGAGTTTCGAAACTTGTCCGAAATGAGTGGCACGAGAATCTGAAATACACGTTGTGGTGCAAGAAGTCGAATTTGTGCCCCGTTCTGCTTAGACAAAACATCATCAGGAGACAGGATGGTGACAAATCCCATTGCGGCTTTCCTCGAGACCTCTCCAGGATACTGATGTTGTTCGAGCAACTCCACAAGATTTGTGAGATAGAAATTCGTTCTGGGCGCAAGTCTGAGAACCAAGGCCTTCGTCAAGAAGAAGGATAGGCGAATATTGAAGTCGGAAGCGTTGCTCTCATCCATAGGGTGGTCCTTCAGCGCTAACAGGGTCCTTGCAAGTAGCTCATCAACGGATTCTAAGGAAGCAGAATCGAAGTGTTTATTGACAAACAAGGCCACCTGCAGCAGACAGCTCTGAGTGACCGCACGGTTTGAGGTAGTCATTGCGAATTGTATGATATTCTCAAGGACATGTGGCAGTCGGCCTTTGTCCAGCAACGGAGACTGTATGCTCTTTGGTAAAGCTGCTAGTATCCACGTAGACAGAAGAGCCACGGATGGCGGTTGCAAGAGACTGGAGGGCGATTCGCTGGGAAGGGATCCCCTATAAAGCAGATAGACGTTTGCCGCAGCCCTGCTGATCTGCTCGGCAGTGCTGTTTCGAATTATCAAGTTGATAATCCGCCCAAGCAAATCTAGTACGATTTCACTTGCGAGGGGCCCTGTTGTCGTCTGAGAAGCCGTTCTAGACAAGTTGACGACCACTCTTTCGTAGTAGTCGCTCAGATCTGTCTTTGCTGCCGAAACCGCTCGATCAAGAACGTACAAGATGGTCGCCAAAATAGCGCAAGTGTAGGGGTAGGAGGCACGGCCGCCAGAGTTGAACAGACTGTCCAATTTGGTAAGAAGACGTCGCATCAAAGTCCGCAACAGCTCTCTTTCGATACTGATTTCAGCCAACCCTTCAAGGACAGAGTTGTAGTCGCTTGTCATAACGTCCTCTTCCGAGTCGGGCAAGCGGGCCAGAAAAGCAGGATAAGTGATATCTGAGATCAATCCGGGTTTGAATTGTGATATCTCGGCTAGGGCATTAACGGCCTTCTTTTTCAGTTCATCTCGCCCATAAGACTCTTCGTTGAGGACGATATCATCAAAATATTGAACAAACAGTCCAATCTCATCGTCTGCGAGCATTGAGTTCATTTTGGACACAAGCAGCAAGCCATTTGCGGCCGTCAAACGAAACGAAACCTCTTCCTTCACAGTTCCCATCAATGCTTGACTGTAAACGGCAACGAACTTGTCCTTAAGTTCTCCTATCGGATTCTCTCGCCCTTCGGGGTTCTTTTGGCTCGGTTTCGTCCATGACCCATAAACTTCGATCGAGGCCTCAAATATTTGATTAGCGACCTCCAAAACAGCTCGCTGTTGCACCAAACCCTGTGCTGACTGATAGAGGGTAAATAAGAAAGGCCCAATTGCCTTTATGACGATTTCAAAGGACTGAACTGAAGCTGACGCTACAGCCTTCACAATGTCTCCCGAAGCCTTTGCTTGTCGTGACGCGGGCTCCTGCAGATGTTCTAAACACTCCTTATTCACGGGTTTCAAGTACTGTAAAAGTGGCGAGCTCGAAGTGTTGTGCGTCGGAGCTGTGGATAGGCATGATGCAATCCCTCCCAGAACCTTCAAGGCTTCTGCAGCAAGCTCGGGTTCTTGAGCCTGCAAAACTTCAAACTTGACAGCATCCCACAGAGTAATAGAATACTGGCTCATAGTAGAGGCATCGTAATGTTTTGAGCAGGCAACGAGTGTCTGCAACACGTCCTTCTTGACGGTGTTAGATGTCGAGTCTAATCGATCCAGCATATTAGGAAAGGTATGAGGAGCAAGCGCGCCAGTAGAAGCCAGGCAGTCTCGCAGCCTGTCTTTCAGATCCTGAGCCGTGATCCCGTATGGATCATTGGGAGGCGGTCTAAATGTTATAGGGAAGTAGGCGTAGACAGAGTCAAACATGACCTCGACGTGTTTGGATATATCCCATTCCATCATCAGGACTCTCAGCATCGAAAAAATTAACATGAGATTGCGAGGGTCCTTTTCACCTGCCACCAAGTCGACAATGCCGGTAAGAGATTCTTCGCCCATGTCTCTGATAGCTACAGCGGTCAGCTGAATTGAACACGGGATGGGGCGCAAGTGGGTACCTTTTCGGTGATGCTCGAGAAGCTCATTGACCAGCTGGAGGACTTTGTATCGGCCAGCCTGGTTGAGACTCTGCAAATCCGAGAAGTGCTCGAATATCCTACTCGTATGTCAGTCAAAGCCACAGCATGACCTGCTACCAGACAACCTTGATTTCAAGTCCCTGGACAGCTGTCGCGTGGTGTATCGCACTCACGCTCTCATAACCGTTTGTGCCATATCATTTGTAAATCTGTCAAGACTTTGCAGCTCTGATAACCCGTTGATGGCCCCTCCATCTTCAATTCGATCACATAAGAATTGGCATAGGACCTGGATCTGTTGGCGGGAGAGATATTTCGGAGGCAAGGACGAGATCACGGCGACCAAGAAGGACACGGCTCGACCGCGGATTTTCTCGTCGTCATCGTTGATGTATTCGCCCAAGGACTGGACTACTTCGATCAGGGTAGTCTCGCGGCTTTCAAGTTCTGTAGCGGTTAGCACGATCATAGACAAGAGGGATCTACCACCAACTTCGAGCTGCCGACTTTGCGATTTCAGCGGCTTCCTGCTTGTTGTTTTCCACGACCAACACATAGTCCCGTGCATCTGATAGAGCCATGATACATGGCGACTTCTCCAGTTGCGGCGAATCGATTATCTTGAGTTGAGGTTGAGATTGCACATTTATCAATCGCTCAAAAAGAAATTCCCCTCAATGCGGAACAAAATGACGGAGCCTCACTAGCCTGTATTCGCTTAACCTTCTTAATTGAACCTTATTTCAAAGCTTAATTTCAATATCATCTTTTGTAAGATCAAATATCTGTAGTTATTAAGCTTTGATCTCTTCACCGTTTCAAAAGGGATTAAATCTGAGAGAGGATTTCTGCAAAAATGCAAAAACTTAAACTAGGATTTATCTCCCATAGGAGCCTAGTTAAGAAAACCCCAGCTGTGTAAGGATTTTTTTCCCCCGAAGGCCTCCCATCCCGGGTCCACTGAAGGTCGCAACGGTATGATGGTACTCGCCCTGGAATCTCCCCTGTCGCAGCGCTTACAACTTTTTCTATCCCCATGATTTCTTCCTCCTATGTTGTCCTTGCCCTTTATTGTTGGAACCTTGATGTCGACCTGTTTATTTCCCAGTTATGTCGAGAGTGTCGATTTCCCCATTGAAATTCTTCCTCCGCGGGGAGTCAAGTTGCCATACAGGATAGCCATCCAGTTTTGTCCTGACTTGAGTCCCCCTGCGGAAAGGGCGACCTTGACCATTACACCAGAGAGGTTGAAGATTCGTGTTGAATCGAGTTCCTGTGAAGGTTAGTTGACAAAAATTCGACCAGTTGGATACATATGTGCTATGATTTTAGAGGGCTGTGGACCAATGAGCAGAGGCCATTATAGGGCACAGAGAAGTCAATGGTAGTGTAAGTGAATTGTAATGGCTGATCACAGGTGCTACCGCCACGACAGCAGATATCACTAAATGGACAGGAGACCATGGCTATGCTGATTAGCCTGTGCTTGAACAGGGTCACCGGCAGAAATAATGGTCGCACAATACTTTTGTGGAATGCTCTACTGAGGGTTGAGAAGCTTCGTCAATGGCTTTTTGGCTTTCCATCTTAGCGATATCGCTTTCTGGTCGTTTGTCTGACAAGGTGTGACAAATTCAGCCGTGGATTTGCGTAAGGACCCGGCAATGACTACATCTCACAACTGGATGGCTACATTACTCGCTTCGAAAGGCTTCTCGACGAGCTTTTTAGGCGAAGCAGAGCAGGTGGTCTCGTGGTCCAACAACGGACGCTGACTTCCTCGACGTCATTGTTGTAAATCCATGTTGTATCAGTCCCATTCTGCAGTACCATGGCACGACAAACAAATTCTCTGCAAGAGGCATCCAAGATCTCCATCTGAGGGCGGCCCGCCCTTAGTTGGATGGTCCTTAACAGTGTTCCACTGCTGCTCCGATCATGAGAGCGGGTAACCAGTCTTCGTGGCCACGCTTCTGCTTCGATGCAGCAATCAGCGTGCTTTCTCTCTCATGGCCACATCAATACCATCTTCGGATGATGTTGGTCTATCATTCGACTGCCGAGTTCGAGATATGCCAAACTAGCAGGATGACGATGACTTGGCCAGTTTTGCCGACGTGTGCGTGCATATGGAGGTTCCTGAGGATCGGCATCAGCACCGTGGTTGGATTACACAGATATTAAGCTTCTCTTTGAAGACTATATCACGTGGACTCAGCGGCAATTTCTTGAAGACTACGTGGGTGAGTTGAGCTGGGTATCGTAGGTTGTTGTGGTCCGGTCGGTCCCACAACTTCCGACTTGTATTGTTTCTGTCTAGACAGGCCTCAGCGGTTTGCGTTGAAGTGCAAGATCTTTGTCAAGATCTCCGACTGGTATTCCGGGAATGTAATGCGTTGATGTTGGATGAAATTTGACTCAGCAGGGCATCCTCGAAGGTTTCAGTGTCTTTGCTATTGGCTGCAGCTGGGCCCCTTTCTGCCCCAGCCTTGTGATCAACATCAAGGAGCTTTCTTTTCCATTTTTGACACTGGTATTCTTTGACCGCACGAAACTATCATCTGATATGATCTGACACTGGAAAGGCTCACTCGCGGTTTACCTTCACTGATACAAATGGTTGCTGACGCGTCGCGACTATATACTTGTCACGCTCCGGTTATCCTGCCTTCATAGGCATTGACGATGCCTTGTATTCACTAGATATCACGATGGCCGTTCAGAAATTTCTGTATGAAATTGTGAATAGACCAAGGCAGCAATTGCCCAATGAATCCAGCAAGTATCTCCAGGACTGTCACACATCGGGTACCTGTTTGTCACATCATGCTATAAGTAGCAGGACACTTGTGGTCTACAGATCCGACATGTCCAACACACTTCGGCATTCTGAATACTAGCAACTATCGTAAGGACGACTTCTGGAATGTTTCCAACAAACAAGACCGACATCTGTTTAAAGAGCACCACAGCCAACTTCCAAGATGTCTGACCGGTACATGGATCGACATTACGACTACCAGGACGACAAACACATGGATCGTCATGAATTGGATGATGAAAGACATCAGGGTAGCAGTCGGTACATTCAAGAGGAAGAAGACCCACGCTCCTCTGAGCGTTCCCGCAAAGGCAAAGAGAAGGAACGTGAGAAGCATGACGAGCCTGCGCGGAAACGTAGAGACAAATCGCATCTCTACGACGATATGCACAAGGCCTACAACACCAAAGCCCTCATACAAAAGTACGAAGGAAGTGACTGGTACCCTGACAGGGACGCGGACATCATGGACCACGCCATAGCTCAGACCGAACGAAAATCACAATGGACCGACAATCCTAGCCAGGCGACTCGGGACAGGAGGGAGAGAGCGAGGAAGAAAGTGTCACGGGAGAACCATGAAAACTTCAATCAAGTTCTTCCTGGTGAGCGCATTGAGCCACGAGATTGGGAATATCGACAAGCCTCGTCCAAGCACTACAGTTCTCAGGATCCTGATATGCCACCTCAGGTTACTACAAACAGCATTGAGAGGATAAAGAAAAAGTATCCTAGGAAGTGAACGGCACTGAGAAATTTGGTCTTCTTTCAGGTCAGAGGCGATGTCTTCCGGAAGAGAGTGTGTCGTTTCATAGTGACACTCACGTTGGATTGACACGATGGTGTAAAGTAATGAGATACCCAGAACTTAAGAGTTCATTCCAAGTGGCATTATTTTGCATCAGCCTAATTCTTTCATGGACGGTTACTTTTTTCATTCCCTGTGTAACCATTTTCACCCTCACCAGAACACATACCCATACCGGCTTCTTGGTAGATACGGTGCACAGGTGGAATTCCGTGTTCCTGACTTATGAAGTCTATGATTGAAAGATAGATGGAATCAGAAGACTCTTCTTTATGTCCAAAAGATCTAGAGCACTGTCATCCATGTATCATGACCATGGCACTCAATGTCCATGTTGTTTCCCTTTGGATTCTGATAGGACAACAACCGCAGCTAACCACTTTTCGCATCAATCCAACTTGCAAACAGCTTCATGAAGTCAGGTAGGATTCAAACAGAGATGTAAACCATGCCGTTCCCTGTGTCACCCTTCTCTATCCGCGAGGATGATGAAGCCATCGATAGACATTCCGAAACCAGTCTCAGAAACACATAACTCCCTCACTGCGATGATGCTCAAACAAGAGTACCAAACAGCATGCGAGGATATAAATTCGAGGATCCGACGGTTTCCTAGGGATTCTTGCATGTAGCAAAATTCTTCATCAAGGAACACTAAGTCCTTTTAAACTCCTGACAATCAGGATAACCACACTGAAACCACGCCGGACAAGAAAGTAAACCGACTCGCATTCCGCACATCATGTCTCAAAGAGGCGACGAGACTCCTAGGGCCCGTGATTACGAGCTATTCGGCGCCGATGAAGACTTTAGCAGTCTCGGTAGCATCCGTGATGAGCCCACCTACAAAGCCCATCGGACCTTCGACGGAAACAAGAAGCACCCTGAGAAGCACACCACGGAGAGCCTCAGACGCAGACCAAGCCTCAAGCACCTCTACGCGCCCCGGGATGCAACGACACCAATGTGGATGGACGAGAAACTGGGATACACTCACCGTCGCAGTCAGTTTTCTGATCCATCCCGGAGAGACTCCGGAGAATGGCACCAGGAAAATGTATCAGAGGACAATTGGCAAGCAGTCGCTGAAGCTCGGAGCAGCGGCGTGGTTGCACGAGACTTTGCTTATCAAAAAAACGAGTTCGAACATAACGATGGAAGATCGTATCCGGGTCGTATGACCACCCGAGAGCGATTCGAGATGAATCCGAAATGGCCCACGGCAGAGGACATGAAGAAGTTCTTCAAATGAGTGGTATATATGGTATCCGTGGCTGTAAGCGTGCTTGTCAAGCATCGAGCGGGAACTCAAAGGTTGTTTAGCTGATCCCGGGGGTTTGAAAATGCTGTCTGCTTCTCTTGGTTGTGAGGCCATCCGATTTCCAGGCGCGGCAGCATTAGCCATGGCGGGAACGAAAGGTTTCAGGGTTATCTGAACGTCAATATATGTACAAAGGTACTTTGGACATTTCCATTGCTCAATACAGAATACACATGTCTAACGGGCTATTCCCCAAGCACCTTTTGTTGGGCTCGAAAGGTGTCCGTAAATATTTTGTATAGTGCCGCTCGTATCCCTTAATCCACAGCCTCGTCTCTTTGGGGGGCCAACTCCACTCACTCCCCTACGTGAGTAGTTTAACTAGCTAGTACGATTCCCCACACTTAAATTAACACTGCCTGAATCTCTGGGTGCAGACTTCGACGCAGAGCTTGCAATAGCGGTCACCCGTACGAGTGTGGAGGGTTCACCAGTTACCAATATTTTCCGCAACAAAAGATCCTCATTGCCAGGTGAAACGATACAAGATATACGGTATGCAGTATCCCTGTCGGCGAAGTTCCACACGCTGCACGTTCGGCCCCAGTGGCAGTACCTATCATCAAAATACGCGCACTATGAAGACTCGAATCCCCTCACCAGAAATCCGTAACTGATAACAACTTTCCATCCTCGGCGTACCGACCGTGGCTGAAGCCGCGAAGCTTTGCCTCCCCAGAGTCAACATCAACCATGTCCCAATGGAGCGCGCTGTGACCGTGGTGCTCCCACCAATTGAGGTGCTTGACTGTCATGTTCTTCCCCGGACCTTGTAGCATTTGCCCGATGAGCTGGACGACTTCCTCCAGATTCCCATTCGGTATATGGGAGGTAGGGTTTGTGTACGTGAACCCGGGAGCCGTAGCGTTCTTGAGAATCTCCAGACGTTTCTCAGCGGGGAGGCCCAGATCCCACGCGTTGTCCCACTGCGCCCAAAATTCTTTGCACGTCGAGGTTGCCATGGTCGAACCAAAAGACGATAAGTTAGGGAACCGAGGATATCCAGAACAGAACAAAAGTCAGAAGAGTTCACCCTCTCTTGCCGTCCTAGAGAAGAAACCTAAGGTTGAAAAGTAAAGACGCCTCTTCCTGGGAGTATCTACATTATATAGGGGCGGGGAGATGCTTAGGCCCCCCAAGCCGGGTCAAGAACCACTTGCTGTTCGATCAGGCCCAAGAACATGGGCACGAGCACCGTTCCGAGCCATCCTACGTGTCATATGCTGCCTCTTCTCGACGGGCAGTCCTCCGCGTCCGTGAAATATCACCAAACCCGGACTAGCTCATCAACATGAACACCAGGTACATGCGGCCTTGACATTCCGAATTCCCTTCCGCTTGTATCGTATCACCGTGCGCTTCGTCGGTTGGTTGACGGAGACGAATTTATGAAGACCCCATTCCGAGCCTGTTGCTATCGAGAACTGCGAACCCGTCGTTGGGCGAAAAGCGGGGCGAAGTGCTTAAGGGTCCGTAACTCTGGAGACTGAAATTGATAAGCATTTCACAAGACACTGATAGTACATGTCTGAGTAAAGTACAGATGTACAGATGAACGCCGCATACAATGACTCTAATGCATTCCCATGTACCAAATCTCTTGTATGCCCCATGGTCTATAATTCGTCCTTTCCTCGTACAATGTAGGTTGGTCTGCCACTGTCCTGTAGCAGATCCACGCCCTTCTTCTTGCGCCACTTGTCCCAGACTGCCGAGAACTCCTTGTGCATGCCGCTATCCATTTGATCCGGAATGATGACCTTGTACTCAACGTATAAATTGCCAAACTCTTCTCCGTCATGGTCATGGCCATGCATGTGATCTTCATGAAAAATGGGCATGCCCTCGCCCCTGATAGTGTCAATTTGACCGGGTTGGACCACTTCACCCTGGTTGCGCGACAGTTGGACGACATGCCCATCGAGGTGGGTGAGGTTGCGAGTCCAGCCTCCCATCCAGGCCTCCCGAAGGCTAAGTACTTCTTTCCAGTATAAGTCGTCATCTTTGCGACGGAAGAACGTCCCGTCGGTCCTTTGGCTCTCATCCTCTGGCATTGCAGGTTCTTGCTCCATGAGATAGGCGTACAGATTGCCCGCAACGTGATCTGGATGCTCATCTGCCTCGCTTTCGAAAACAAGTCTATGACCTTTCGGCATGCCTCTCTCGAGAGTAGCAGTCAATGTAGTAGGGCCTCGCACGACCCGGTTACCTCCACAGACCTTGCATTTATGCTTGATAGACTTGCCGCGTCCACCACACTGGTCGCATGCTGCCTGGACCTGCTGGAAGATTCCCGGCGCAAGCATGTGTTTCTGGATAATTATCCCACGCCCTCCACACTGATGGCATGTTTCAACCTGTCCATCAGCAGATCCTGAACCTTCGCATTCTTCACATATTTGTTGTTTCTCGATTGTGAATTCTGTGTCTCTACCCGTGTAGAAGTCGCGTAAGGGAATATGGAGTCTGACTTCGAGGTCTGGTCCTCGCCTTATCCCATTTCCAGATCCACCTGAAAAGTGTCCTCCGCCGCCAAAGAACCTCGAGAACAAATCGAATGGGTCATGGTGGTGTCCGCCTGCGCCGCCCCCTCGTTTATGGTTTTCTAGACCTTCGTGGCCATATTGATCGTAGATTTTGCGCGTGGTAGGATCAGACAGTGTCTCGTAGGCATCTGCGACCTCGAGAAACTTCTTCTCATCTCCGCTCGCCTTGTCTGGATGGTACTTCTTGGACAGAGTGCGATAGGCCTTCTTTAGGTCTCTTTCCGAACAAGACTTGTCGAGTCCAAGTATTTTATAGAGATCCTCCACTGCTAGGGCACATGTGAAGAGGAGGAGGAGTGGGAGTAGATGTCGTAGGACTTGAAGGAGGAGCATGGCGAGGGCGCCACTGCCCGACAAGGGCAGCTGGAGACCTTTTACTCTGTGGCTCGTTTCGGTCTGTTCACGAGGAGCTGAACATGGCATAAAAGTCCGAAGTCCGTGGCGACTGCTTTGGATCCCGTCCAAGATACTGCGATCCAAGTTTTGGAGGTGAGTCGAGAGTTGAACTTGAATTGTTCTAGGAGTCGTTTTGGAGACATTCTGGCAACATCTCCGGTATTTGGCAGCTTTGGCCGCTCCGTCCACCGTAGGAAAATGGATCCGGTGGATCATTTGGCCTATCCTGTCAACTTCCATACCTACATTATCTCAGGTTGGTGATTGTTGATCCTTGGTACATAGACCTTACCAACCTGCCATGAGGTTCAGTCCCATTGGTGTTTGTGGGCTAAAGGTGTTGACTGGTAGTCAGTTTCTAAGGCACGCAAAGACTCCTACACGACTCTGAAGTGTCAGAATTGGCGGGAGCTTTCAGGAGGCTAGCGCTTGGTTACTCTCACTTTTCTAGATGATCAACAGAGTGCTCACTTCCTGAATATTGAAACTCTGGCTTGCCAAAATGGGCATGCCGGAGTATATTGGAAAGGCTGTCTCTACTCACCTTCAGGGTGACGGTGCTTTTCGGTCATTGAACGCCAGAATGATTAGAGACCTATGCCACTGTCCATTCCTTATCCATCGCCACATATCTCAATATCTTCTTCAAGATATCTCCGGATCTTAAGTGACCCAGACTTCCTCGCTAATGTACAGTAGATTCGAAACAAGATCATCTCGGCAAGTGAGCTCACTGTGCAGCTACCTCGGGATCAACCTCCCGCGTCACACAGCCAAAAAGCTCGCTAGATCTGGCATGACCTCCGGGAGTCTCACGATTGAGGTGACAGTATGTCGGAAGCGAGCTTTGTGGTTGCTGTGTACTACCACGCCCCCTTCCTGATTATTATCTTCCGAAAAAGTTGGCCACGAAAGTCTCATGGTGTGCTCCTGCATCGATATTTGAGTATCGCAAGCTTCACCGTCCCCTTTCAGGAAAATCGACGAGTCACTGTGTGAAAGCAATTGATTCTCATGTTGCCATTCCTCCAAAGAGGGGGAGTACAGATTCGTCCGAGCAGACCAGGTGAGATGCTTGAAATCGAGATCTTCTTGCGCAACTTCTCCAGAATGGCTATATTTGAGCGGATCCATCTTCTCCAATCTATCCTGCTTCCCAGACCAAGGACAAATCCTGCCTGGCAGAAAGCAAAGATGCGCTTCTCATTTACAGCAACTGCCTTACTCTTCGGCCGTCTGACGCTTGTTTCGGCACTTCCACGTGTCCATGTGTGGATGGAAAGCCAGGAACAGTACGACGACAGCAGTGACATCTGCGATGCAGCAGACGATACCTGTTCCTGGCGACCACCCCACCTGTCACATCTGCAAGGAGCAGCCATGGATGAACTTGATTTGCGTGAAGGCTATTTCTTAGACGATCAGGAGGCGAACGAGAGCAACGAAGCTGTTGTCATTGTTATTCATACTCCAACACGGACCTCGAAGAACACCGTCGCTACCGCGGCTTCACCTTGCCACCTAAGAATGGTGACTTCAGCCCAACTGCAGCTGCAGCCTCGGAATGCAGTGCCGGAACCATTGGAGCAGGTCGCAGACATCCCCAAAAGCATTCAACAGGAAGAATCGGAGGCCCCCGTCACAGTTACCACTGCCCCTGCCCCCTTGGTAGCTTGCGGAAGATGGGGTAGCTGCCCGGATGGCTATGACTGGTTTCCATTCTTCCAGGGCTGCTTCTGCGAGCTCAAGCTCACCAAGACAATTTCGGTTCCGAATGGCGCTTGAGAGATAACTCCAAGTCCTTACCGCGGCATTTTGTTACTCTAGATGCCCAGGTTCGAAACAACAGCTCAGGGGGGATACCGCCCGAAAATACATGAGCAAGCATTGCCCAAGATTGTTTCATCGGTCGGCTTCTCTGGCTGTCTGACATGTTGACCGGGACAGTGGCTTTCGAGAAATGCACATTCGTTTTGTATCAAGAAATGGTGGTCGCAAATCTGTCTTGGGTGATTGAAGGGGTCCGGCAATGTACAACATTCATTGCATGCGGAAGGAGTCTGATTGTGTTGACTCAAGTCTCGGTCAAAATGGGTCCGTAGCAATAACAACCGGGCAGTATTGATTTGAACTCCATTCGTTGTCTTAATCACTCCCCGGTGCGTCATATAACTGAGAAGAATTGTTTTGGAGAAACATTTTTTTATGAGAATAGTATCGTACATACATAGTATACAGAGGCATCAGCAACGAGAGCAAGATAGAAAGTCTCAATCAGCCAAAGGTTCCTTCAGGAGTCCACTCTGGTGGCCTACGAGCTCTTGCAGTGGCCGCTGACTTTGAGCCCAAATGCCCTCAGGCCCATCGACACCCCTGACTATGGTCTTTATATCCAGATTCCCTGTTTTGGCAATTGCTCTTCGGATGAAGGCTACCACGAGGGCAACCTTCTCCCAATCCACATCTTCCTGCCCACGGAAGAGGTTTCGCCAGACAGCGCCAGCAAGTACAGCATCACCCTTGATCAAACCCTCATCGTGCGCGGCCAGAATACCACGCCACTGCAGAAACAGATCCTTGAGGTATTTATTTCGCACGCCCCGAGCGGACATGTTGTGCAGTAGGACCATCTTATCCTCGGCGGTATGGGAGAAGTGCTCGATCAGATAGCGCTGATAGTCTTGGAACTCGGACCTCGTATCGACTGCACGCATCCGCACCGTGATGATGTACATGTGGAGGAATGCGACCTGGGACCAGGTGGAAAAGGTGGGCGGCAGACCTATCGTGTCGAACCACCAGGTGTCTCCCACCCGGTGGCCAAGGTCCACCCCATCGGCCGTCTTGGGAGGCCCCTTCCCTGTAAGTATGCCCATGCGCTGATCCTCGGGTATAGTGTAATCCGCCTGTGCTGCACAGGATTTGAAAAGAGTCTCCGTCTCGCCATATGTGATGTACGTCTGCGTCGTCCCCTGTGCGGTCTTGCGCAGGCTCTGAGCTACTCGAGTGGCAAGAGGGTTGGTCACCGCCGGGCGTTGTAGGGACTGCTGTATCTGTGCCTGCATGTGTGCGACGCTGGGTCCTGGTGGGAGTTCTGATCTCTTGGGTGATTTGGATTTGGTGTGCTCTTGTGGTGCTGCCCCCTTCGGGGCATCCCCAGGAACTTCAGCCTTCAAATTGGTCGTGTTGGTGGGAGTTGCGGTGGGAACGTTGATTTGTATGCTCGCCTTCGCGTTTTGAGTCTGGAGTCTCGGTTCTGTTTGTTGGAACGACAAATATCGACGGCTGGAAGCTGGTGATTTTGCCAACACCAAATTCTGTTCCAAATTTGTTAGCTTTGGTAGGAGATGCTCAGCAACTACCTACGTCGTGTCGGACGCTTTGGCGAATAGCTCTCATGCAACGCGAGCAGATGCCGAAGGAGCCCATACTGGCGGGATTCGGTCCTTTCATGGCGACGGTGATACAATGGGAGCTTTCGAAGCAATTGACCTCCTGCGTCGACAATTATCATACAGGTACAGTTGGACTTGAGCGCGTCATTGAAAATAAAATGCAAAGGCATGACAGGACCGTGACGCTTCGAATGCGGCAGTTCACTTGTATTCCGACTGTCAGGCCAAAAAAATTCCCCATGCGGTAATGGCTGCCCTTGGCACGTACGGCCTCTACCTGAACTAGCGGTTGCTCTTCCTGCGGACTGGGGCCAATTCATGTTCGCGTCGACACCAGCACATCTAAAATTGGACTTTTGCTGACAGAATTGCCAGATGGGCCGAAGAAGCTGAAGCTTTTTAGTTCCCAGTGCTTATCGAAGCTTGTATCCATCAGGCCTCCTCCCTCAAATGCTCAAAGCCACCTCGCTTCGTGTTTTCGGTGGCCGCGGGCCCGCTGGGCTCGAATTGTCCCCGTCAAGCTAGCCCCCTTACCATTCAGCTTTTGGATATCGGATCAGGATGGACGACGACTCAAGAGTCAAGACACGTACCAGAGTGGAATCACTTCGGCAGTGTTGACAGTGCCCCGGGACTGCTTTCATCTCCAGAACTTCGTATGCTGTGACATGTCGTTGCGGCCCTTGCTAACCCCGGTCGGTCAAGGCATGGTGAGCCTCATTTGCATGTTTCGCGACATGGATAGTGCTTACGGCGCCAAAACTGGCCAGGCACAATTGGCCCCGAATCTCACTTGTAAGTCTACATTACAGTATAATTCTAGTGACGCCTCTGCATTTTGCTCGCTCCTCTGTTTTGCTCTACCCTTCTTGTCCTTCCCAGTTCTCTTCGTACTGCCTCAGTCGCGATGTATCCTTTAATTGTGTCGATTGCTCTATCCTTCTTCGCCAAGTCAGCTTTCGCTGTACCTGCATTTGTTACAGGAACTGCGTTGCCCCCTCAGATCACACAGCAAGCTGGTGGTGGTCTGCCGAATCAACCTGGGACTCCGAAGCTCTCTCAGAATGCTATCAACAACTTCCAGGTCGCAAACTTCCTGGAAAATCTAGAGTCTGCATTTTTCCAAGAAGGGCTCATGAACTTCACACGATGGGGCAGTGGTGGTACGACGAATGGTGTTAGCAACTTCAACGTTGTTTCCCATATTGCTGCACAGGAAGAGGTCCACGTTGCATCAATAGTAGGACTTCTGACTGGCACTGGGGCTCAAGATATTCTGCCATGCGAGTACAACTTTCCGGTTACAGATGAGACCAGCTTCTTTGCTTTGGGAAACATCATCACTAGTGTGGGCATCGGAGCCTTGATTGGGCTGCAAAGCGCACTCTCGACAACCGATCCGGGTCTTGAAGCGACTGTTGGTTCTATTCTACCAGTCGAGTCACGCCATGATGCCTTCTTCCGCATAACGGCTGGTGAAATCCCCAATCCAACAACATTCGAAACACCTATCAGCGGGATCTGGGCTTACAACCTCGCCCTCGACTTTGTGGTCGGCGGATCGTGCAAGAATTTACCTCAATCGATCACTTCCCTGCCCGTATTTCCTGACCTTGGTATTGTCGGCTACGGTGGTCCCTCTTTTGCTACTCCAAATGCTCCGGGAGAGCTGGTTTTCCGGGTAGGGCAGCCTACGATGATGCCGCAGGGCTGGAACAAAGACATACCTTTGTATATGGCATGGGTCAACCAGGACAATGTCCCCGCCTACACACCAGTGACCACCGACGCCAATGGTGATTTACATGCCGATGTCCAGCCAAACATGTTTGGGATGGCATTTGCAGCACTCACAAATCAGAATACGGCAACGAATATTGACGATCTGACAAAAGCGACGCTTGCGGGCCCGATTCCTATCCCTTTGACATGATCTTGGTCGATAGAAGCCTGGATCTCCGCTCTGAGAGCTGTAGAGGAAAGGAAGTAAGAGATGATGCATAAATAGGCGCAGTGCGGTCTGTAAACGAATGGGATGTTTTAACGGATAACATGTTCAGGTTACTACTGCAGTGAGGTCTTAATGGCGCCCTTCAAAGTTTCAATTTCAGGATATTTCAAAAACTATTGATTACGAAAAGTAGCCTGGCATAGTGATCTTCCTCTCGTCCTCAGCTGTCCTGCGCCGTGAGGATTAACTTGCAGCTTTCGGTATTGTTCATCCAGGATCCCATTGGTTGGTAAGAACCACACACCAGGATAATCTGGAGCTGCTTTCGTATCCAGCTGCCCAACACGAAAATACCCCCTCTTTGCCATGTGCACCGGAAAGCCCGAATACGAGAGCCAAGATGCTTCGACCTTCACAGAATCAGTAATCAGACGCCTGCAACTCTTTTGTCCCTTGGTGTTCCCTCGTGCCTCCGAAACTGCAACGAACCGCTGGATCGAATAACATTTACCAGCATTCTTTCCAGCATTGCCTATCAGCGAAGATGGTCGCAGCCTCCTACGCTTTATAATAGGCAGGGAGTTCACCGAATGCGAGTACGCTCTAACCCTCAACGTCAAGCCAATATGACCAGCATCATATTCATCAATGTGCAGGATGTGTCGGACCATAGTAAAGCTCGAGCCCGGCAACATGCTGCAACCGTTTATCACCGAAGGAAACGTCTGACAGGCTGTCGACACTATCAAAAGGCTTCGCGATCGAGAACGGACGGCGATGCTGACTTGGTTAAAGACGAACCTGTCTCTCAAGGCCGAATGATGGTAACACGCCGAAGACCTGACCTCACCAGCACAATGTCGACGGCCCCGGAGAGACCGAGAATAGATAATGCTGGAGTTTCCGCGCCCCCCTGGAGATGTACCGCGCCAACAACGATAAAGTCTGTAGCTGACGACCTGAAGATTGAAGCTGTCCTTAGGATCTCTTTGGATTGGATGGTGGGACAATACAATTGCCGTTGGTCATCCCTTATGGAACACGATTCCGGCCTTCTCGACATGGACAACAAACTGGAACTCTTTCGAGAAACATTTTACATCGTCTCCGATCTTCTTGATCTCAACAAGGTGAACGCAGCCTTTGCAGTTTTGAAGGTGACATTGGACACCTTCCCACGTCTCCTTCAAGAAATCCACCCAGAATTACTTTTCTCGCTCGCCGAGCTCGCTTATGGCTTGAGCATGCCAAATTCCTCTGCACTACATTCAAAGATCAAGACACATGTTGCTGAAATGACGTCCCTCATTCTCGGTTCCGACCACCCTTTCACGATCCTACTGAATATGGAGTTTGTTGGAGAATTACGAAGTCATGTTACGGAGGTTGTCTTCAAATGCATTACGGATTCTCTTGGCCGAACCTTTGGCAAGACAGCCTACCAAACGCTCGTGCACCAGTTTGGTCGATCTCAATTTTATGCACGTACAGGCCAAGTTGAGGAGGGGAAAAAAATAATGGGCCAAGTGCTTGACACATGGAAATGTCTCTATGGTCCGGACTCTATCCTCGCGAGGCTTGCAGAGTTGGAGTACAACTTACTAGGTCTCCAGCGACAACGATTGCATGATCTATCCCTGGATGCCCAGATCAGTAACATCATGTGCAGGATCGAGTCAATATCGGGTATCTGTAACAACAAATTCACAGATCAATCGCCTTCAAATTTTCAAGGCATCGAGCGGGCGTCCGGAAAACTGCGCTTGGCACGATGGTTTTTGCAGAATAAGCGATATACTTTTGCACTGCACTGTTACGACCGCTCTACGCTTCGTAGTGGAGCGGACTCTTCTCAGGCAATATCATCTCTGGCCGACACCATCTCGAACATTGTTGAAACCTCGTTTAAGGACGGCTCAACCCAGATCGAAGGTGGGTATATTGTTCCATCACAGGCTCCCATAGACACAAGTGTGGCAACCATGACACAGACACAATTTTAGTGATACTTGAGATGCAGGTACACAGCTACACCCTGGACTCAAGGTTTCTGAAGCATCAAATCACAAGGCTGTCTCGGGAGACATCTTCAAGTGATATCAACTCTAGCCATTTATGCACCTATGTATAGCGGGCTGCATCTCAGGGCATGAAATCTGTCAGATCTGCATACCATCGGGCATCTGCACCTACCACAACTTTGTACCACCAGGCTCGGCCGAAGTTACTCTGCGCTATTTCAAGTCTGAGTCGTACGGATAACATCCTCACAGCCAACACACGGAAGATCTTCACTTTATCGAACTCTTCCCATAGCATCCGTTCATTTGCACGGATCATTGACTGAATACAGGGGAATTCCATCATTGACAGTAAGAAGTAAATTGCCACTTTCGCAACCAAGTGACCTCTGACGGCTGCTTGAAATGTTTTATCTCTGATTGTACGACACTAACTTAGTTACAATCGCAACGGGTCTAAACCGATGCCACGGCCCGATGGGAAGCATTCGCACTGGGATGCTACTTGCCGACTTCAAGACATCTTTTCGAGGGGTTTTTGGACGGCTGCCTACGGTCGAGTCGACAAAGAACGAGATTCACGGTTTTGCTCACGCCACGAGTGAAGATTTCAGCCCCACGCGCAATATACACGGCCTTTATTTAAACAGACGGCCATGGAGCCATCGGCCAGATGCATTTATTTCCATCCAAGCTTGAGATTTCGGCAAGTGTAATTGCACCTTGCACGACTAGGAGTCAAGTATGCAGCCATGGTGAATATGACAGGAATCAGAGAACGGTCTTTGGAATGCACAGGACCCACCAAGGGCCAAAAGCCCAGGAGAAGTTGCGCCTGACTGAGATGAGTGTGGCAGGCCTAGTTCAACACCGGCTTCGTCGTAGCCGTGGTGCAGACAGTCTGCTACAAAATGCGGAGATGACTGGTTTTGAGCTGAGATCGAAAGGCAAGGCTGGTATAAAGCATCCACAGATGTAGGTCTGGTACTGTTCGACTTGATGAATCTCATCATCTTGTGCTGTCTGGGATTGACTTCCAAAATGAGCCGCTCGTTACTCTTTCTTCTTACAGCATTCGCTCGCCTGGTGCTGAGCTATGGAATACCCCAGGGAGGTTGGTGCTGAAATTGACTTGTGAGGAGCCATGGGCGTACTGATCGAGAACTAGTGGCTCACGGTCCGCTTTTGCGTCGTTGTGTTAATGAAACCTCTGGCCCAATATACCAAGGAAACGAGACCCAGCAGTTTGGAAGAGAAACTGTTCCTCCTGGAACGACCGTTGGACCTATCATCACCCCGCCTCCCGTTCCGTACTGCGACGAAAATCACGGCTTCCCCTGCGCAACTTCCCCAGGATATCCGAACTCCTCAAGGCCGTACTGGCCTCCATCGAATCAATCTCTCACAGCCAATGCCACATCCAATGAAACCGCGCAGGTTACCTTTGGTCCGGAGCAGACTTCAACGCCTTCATCGGCGCCCTCCAATAACTCGGACTATACAGCAAGCACTTCAACTTCTTCTAGCGAAGATAGTGCGGCTACCATGGCTGTGAATGTTACGGAGACGGCAGGAGTTGGCTCTACTCGGCTACTATCTTTCTCTTCGACAGCTTTTGACTCGTCGTGCCACTTCCTTTCAGGCTCAAGCTGCTTGGGGCCCAACGCACCCTTGACAAGCGGTGAGGCTCCTCCCTGGGGCAACACTTCTCTCGTGACTTCAAGTTCATCGGCCAGTCACAGCGGCCGAGTCTTCACGGTCCTAACTATCGACTTCACACCTCCGCCTGAGTCGGTCGTAGCGACAGTATTTGTACCAGAGTCCTCAGAAGCCGCAAGCGAGACGTCGTCATCCCTCAATAATGCAACAGTCTCCTCGTCACTTTCGATAATGACGATCGTAACTATTGCGGTTGGCTCAAACACCGGTGCTGTACAGACGGCCTCATTGACCAGGGTTAGCTTCAGTCCCACGTCTTCGAGGGAGGTGGGCCCCCTCAACGGTAGCACTATATTGACTGTGTCACCACCCACGTCGTCCTCTACGAGTGCCGATTTCAATTCCTCTAGCACCTCATCTTCGTGGAACTCGACGTTGAGCTCGGAAGTCTCTGGCGCGTTGACGACTGGTCCAAGTGCTACGGGTGCAGGACCATCCTCGAACTCGTCGTCAAATGAGGCCATGACTAGCTCTTCCGCATTCTGGAGCAACAGTACAACGGCTTCTGTATCCAGCTTGACGACTGCTTCAGGTTGGCTGGATTGGAACATGACGGCAGGAATCCTTACTGCTTTATCACAATATAACATTTCGTTCCAAGCCACGGCCACGAGTGAGAATGGCTCAGTTTCTCTTGCTAGTCCTACCATAACGAGCTCTTCTTGGAACATCTCAGTTACAACGACCTTCCCTTCGACCACCAACAGTACAGGATTGAGTCCGGAGTCTAATTTCACGACATCGCCAACGTCGACTTTAAGAACCACGAAGTCCACTTTGGCCACAGAATCTCCAGCCATCACTGCTAGCTCAAATAACAGTACGACCTCCTGGTCGAGCGCAGCTGGTTCAACATCCCTGAGTCCGAACGCCTCGACCATTTGTGACACCAACGCCACAGTGGCATTCTGCGCTAGCAGTAACGCTCCGTGGCTCGCCTCAGAGACTGCGGCGCCGACCATCACCACGAATTCCACCAACGGCACGGGCTGGAGCATGACATCAATGGAAGCAACCACGTTTACGACCTCATTCGTGTCAGCCAGCGGTAGCGGTAGCGGAGATAGTGGGGTAAACAGTACCTCGGCGACCTGGCACCCCTTGGTTCAGCCTCATCGAGCCGAGGGAAGGCCCCGTCGGCGATGGGTTAAGAGGGAAGAACAGAGAAGACGCGAGAACAACGGCCCGCAAGGTGACGACGCAGATGGTCACCATGATGGTGATCCTGGGCAGAGGAAACGAGAGGGCACGTCTTGGGTAAGTCTACCGCTTGAAGTTCTGAACAGTTTGTGTGATTGTGTGTTTGCTAAATTTCTTTATGCTAGGTGAGGGCTCAGATGGAGAGGATGTTCCTTGTCCTCTGATTCGGTGGCGAGTACTTTCCCGACGTGAAGATTGCATGGGAATGGAGATGATGGCTGTGATGATAATGGAGTGGGTTGGGTATTTTTCCAGATTGAGATGTTTGCAGTATGGCTCCCAATGACGCTCCCAATGACGCTCCCAATGACACGGCTTTGTTGTCAGAGGGCTGCTTGAGTCACTCCTAGTTGATCCTTCTTCTTTTTCTTCCTTTCCCTCCAGCAGCGGAGGACTTAATATGATACACCAATTCCACGTGATTTGTCTTGATTCAAACGCACTGAACATGCCTATGCGGTCGCTAGTGATTGTTTCTGCGATGTCGCATTCTAAATTGATTATGAAGAGTGATTCCCTGGATACCGGTTGTTCCCGTCTTTCTCCTCGTTTCCATGCATGGCATCCATGATACACGTAGGGTTTGTCAAAGCGGCTGCTAGAAAGACTAAACCATTTTTGAAGTATTCTTTCATCTCAGATTACAGATTGAGATGCTGATCTTTGAAATGTCCATTGTCGACCTGAGTCTGGAGATGTTTCTGTCTCGGTAGGTAGGCCGTACGTCTCTGATTCTGCAAGCGTTGTGGTGGAACGAGACACGTAGCTGTAGCTGGCGCGCCAGATAAAATATTTGCTGAGAATCTGCTCGCAAAGACGGTATTTTGGGTGTCGCACTGTCCCGAGAATACTGTCTATCCATCCAAGCGCACTGGGCTCGGCGGAAGGGCTCGGACATCAGACCAGCAGCTAACTAGACAAAGGACATGGACAAGTCGTCGTCGATAGGTGTCAGAGGGGCACTACTAATGCCTGAAGTTGCAGGGCTGGCGGCCTCTTTAGGATCGAAAGCTTCTCGTCGCGAGAAGGACTTTTGCGCCCATTCAGAGAGCGACGCCGCTGGGCCTCCGACTATTGCCACAGACTGTAGCTCATTGTCTTTGCCCAGGACGGTGCCTTGATAGCGCGATTCCTCACCAGTCTTGCTGTGCTTCTTTTTCAGCGCTGCATCACAGGTTAGTTCACTTGCGCGTCACACACTCTCGGCGGGATGTTGACACAACTGCAAACTGACCTGTGAGATAGTCTTCCTTGTCATCAAGACCAGCCGCGATTTCCTCGACGTTGGCATCGTCTCCGAATCCCGCAATCCTCCTGATCTCCTTGTTGACGGGTCCTTGGGCCCAATTTACGAATCCCTGGACGCCGCGAAGGTCTTCGAACGGGATCCTCACACCATCGACCTCCACGTCCTCCTTCAGTCCTTCCTCGACCGTGCTCATCTGCGGAGTTAGAGCGCCCGCTTGACTTAGCGCGAGCCTCACGTCCTGGACCGTGGCGACAAACGTATTGTGCGTATTGAAGGCGTTTTGAGCGGTTGACGTGCTCAGAAGTAACAGGTACCTCGCTGCAAGGTCGGTGAGCGTGTCTATCACGGCCGGTTTGGCGTATCCAAAGCCCGCTGCCCTCAGGATTTGAATCACCGCTGGCCGCAACAGCGCCGTGTGCAAATCCGCCGAAGTCATCCTGCTTGTCTTCGCTGAAAGATCGGTTCAGGAGGAGTAAAAGAGACACATTGTAAAAGTACCCGGATACCCAAATTGCAAAAAACCAGAGCTTACGCGTACATTTCCTTCACCTGGTCGTCGGTCGTCGCGATGGCCGGTCGCAAAAAACAACAACGTAAACCCGTGGCTGCGCAGTTCCCCCGGCTTCGACCCGTCGAGATCTTGAAGAATGGAAAGATAGAACCACTGGAAGAAACGCCAGCAACTTCTTTCTTGACTTTGAAACTCGACCCTACGAAGTTGGCGCGATTTCCAGCTGCTTCCAAGGTGTTTAATCCATGCGCCGTCAAGGTTGAGAAGAATGACAACAATCCATCGGGCCACGATGAAGATCAGAATGTGACACCCGCCGCCGAGGAATCCGCCTGGACCAGCGACCCCACCATTAACGCCGCCGATGAGTCTGCCGGGGATGGAGAGGGCAAATCTAGGCGCACTAACGTTAGGCGCGCCAGGCTACGACACCCGCCGCCTTATGAGCAGCATCTGGAGCCAGCAAAGTCCACGCTCGTGCCTCCCGGAGAGCGCAAGCGTCTGCGCGAACGTGTATCGTCCACACCAGCCAAAAAGGTGAAAATCAATCCAGTTGTCGAAGTCGTGTCCTTCGATCCGACCGCAGAGCTGAATGGGTCTCGGCTTGCACCTGGCGCCATCGATCATGACCCTGACTGCCTGATTTCGCACTCGCCATCCAGCTTTCTTCGACTCTACGACGCCGACCAGGCCACCGAAGCCAGCGACGTTGCCAGCGACATCACCAACGACACCGACATGTCTGAGGCCCCCGAGAAGAGCGGCCAACGTCCGCAGCTCAAACTGAAGCTGAGCAAGCCCCAACTTCCGCACGCAGGATCTCAACCGCCAGTGCAAACACCGGCACCGACGAGTGCCATTCGTACACCCTCCATCAAACTCAAACTCGGCGGACCATCAGCTGGTTCTGCAAATGCTCCCAAGCCTTCACCTTCAGACACAGTCATCGTCTCTACCCCAGCCTCTTCATCACAAAAGAAACGGAAGCGAGTGAGCAAAGCCGCTGATTCGGAAGATGAATCAACTGCACAGCCGACCAAGCCCAGACCAGCGCCCATACCGAAACTCACTCTCAAAACACCCTCCGTTCCTGCTGGCCCAGCAAAGCCCGCGACGGCAACGACAGTCAAGTTAAAAGCGAAAGGAAAAATCCCGAAACGACCTATCGGCGTTGGATATGATTCAGAACTCGACGAGAAAGAGAATGACCCTATGATACACGAGGGATTCATTCTTCGTATGCAGCCGGGACCTGACTGCGACTATCTTCGCAAGGCTATTGAGGAGGGAACAGTACATCTACCCAGGTCCAAAGGCGGTGCCGATGTCAAGATGAGAATGCTGGATACGCTTGGTAGGAGAGGTATTATGATTATTAGAGGCAATCAGTATGCTATTACCATGGTGGACTTGCCGTGTATCATCGAGGGCATGAAGTCATGGGACAAGAAGGGGTGGATCAAGAGCATTGATGTCTGCCAAATGTTGTTGGTGTTGGGACGTTGCAATACCGATGAAGAGGCGAGGAATTATCCCCTCCCCGAAGATGTCGATCCCAAGAATTATCAATATGCCCACGGTATTACCGCCCCGATGAAATGGGTGAGAAAGAGACGATTCGCAAGAACGAAGAGGACCAGAGTCGACGATATCGAGTCGGTGGAGCGGCGTGTCAAGGCACTGCTCGAGGCCGACAAGGCTGCGAAATCGGTGCGATATCAGCTTCTTGACCATGATCCTCGCCTCGACGAAGAGCGATACAGCTCCGGGCTGGGAGAAGATGAGGACGCCGAAGCTGAAGAGGACGAGGAACCCGACGACTACTTCGCACCACAAAATGGCCACCACACCGCTGTTTTCGACACGCCAATGCTTACCGAGACACCGGTTGAAGATATCGGACAAGATGAGGTCGACGAGTTCGAGCGTATGTTCGCGGACGACGACGCTCCAGAACCAGAAACGTCTGCACAGGCCCAAAGCACCCTACACCCTCCTGAAGCCGGTGACTCGTCGTTCCCGGTTACAAGCACCTCGGCATCTCCTTCAGCTACGGTGGCACACACGCCAGCGTCTGCCGTCGACCAATCATCTGATAGCGATGATGACGAAGGTGGTGATGAAGACGGAGATCTTGACGATGCCGACAAGGAGGGCGATGACAACCTACAGCAGGTCAAGGATCGGATTGAAGACATGCAGCAGAAGATCGCCGAACAGACTGAGCTACTTAAGAAGACTCAGAACGCAATCTTGAAGAAGAAGCTGGCACGTAAGATTCAAGATCTCAAGGACGACGTGGCCATGATGAAGAAGAACGCCGGTCTCGGCGGAGACGAGGATGATGACTGAATTTTGCATCGCGAGGCATGGGAACAAAAGTTGGCGCCATAACGGTGTGACTTGGAGTTGGTTTCACTTACGCATTGGGGTTTCAGGGAGTTCGCACGACGTGACTCGGACGGCGAGAACCACAATTGATATTCTTACGGGAGAGCTTGCAGTTATCAGTTTATGTCCACTGTAAAACACATTATTGCACGAAAAGATGACACCATCAAGCACCGGCGTTGTTATTGGATTGTACCAGAGACCGATTACGGATGGTAGGTTCTTGAATCGACGGCCCTCGATGAATCAGAGGTCTCAATTCAATGTATTGTAGTATTGAAGCTCTTATTGTTTCCTTACGGCGTGATATGAAGCTCACACCACACGTGAGCCTGATAACAGTTGCAATTCTACGACGTGTCCCTGATATTGTGCCAGCAGGCGGAGGCGGCGGCGGCAAGAGCGCCACGAGAAGCGTGCCGACCGACTTCGATGTAGTGCGACGATTGGGAGTGACTATGACACATTGTACTGTGAAGGAACGGCCTCGGTGAGAGAGAGCTATTGGTCACTTCTAGAGCGACAACCCCATCTGCAGACGAGGACGACCGGATTCCAAGACAACTTTGAGGGTTAACGACATCGGCAACTCGTCTGGTGTGATCCGAGGATTCGACCTTGGACAGTCCACGCATATCTGAGACTGTGGAGTGGGAAAGCCTTGCCACAAACCAAAGCCAAAAACATCCCATCCTCTTCATTCCTCCTATTATTCGCAGGGGGAGAGAGTCCCGCAGTTCTTCAATTAGCCTTTCAAAACACCAGGCCTATTTGTTCAGAGAAATATGATTTACGCCTTGTGACAATTTGCGAGGAACGACGCCGCCGGCCGGCATGAATACGAAGGCGATACGAACCTTCGCGTCCAGCCGCTTGTAGTATGCCTGGAACGTACAGTACATTTCCCCTTTGTGATTGGGGAAAGACTACTCACTCCTCCTCCTCCTCCTCCTCCTCCTCCTCCTCCTCCCAGGACCCCCTCCACCAGTATACATGACTACATGGGACCCGGGATTTCTATTTGATTTGTCCTTGAGCATGAAAGAAACCCCCGTCTTTTGAGTTACAAGAGGGCAGATAGCACGTACCGAGATCAAACCGACCCCCGGTCGAACAGCGTCCAGAGTTTCAACCCGCCTGGTTGGCGTCCAGGAAACGACGACACCCGCTTCAAGGAAACCCCCCACCGAGCTCGGCCTCAAAAGACAACCACACACAGAGTTATTGCCATCCGTTTTGAGAGAGAGAGCTCGCATTCATCCGTCCGGAGAGACATGGCATCAGAAAAACTCAACGACGTAGCCACCGTTTTCCAGAATCTCCATCGTCCTGGTAAACCGGTCGTCCTGGCCAACGTGTACGATGGCGCTTCGGCCTCGGTCGTCGCACCGCTCGCATCGTGCGCGGCCTTGGCTACGGCTTCATACGCCGTCGCGAAGGCCGCTGGGACCGAGGACGACGAGCTGACTCTCGAGCAGAACCTGAGGGCCGTCCGGGTCGTGGCCAAGGTCGCGGCGCGGCACGACAAACCGCTCTCGGCGGACCTGCAAGACGGCTACGGAGACAGACTGGCCGAAGCCGTCACGTCGATCGTGCAGGCGGGGGTCGTTGGCATCAACCTCGAGGACTGTGACAAGGACGCACAGCAGATGTACCCCGTCGACGTCGCCGTGGAACGCATCACGCTCGCCTTGAAGACCGCCAGAGATCTCGGCGTCCCCAATTTCGTGGTCAACGCCCGCTGCGACACGCTGGTCCGCGGCGGGGGCGTGGACGAGGTCATCGCACGGGGAAAGAGGTACTTGGACGCCGGAGCCACCACCGTCTTTGTGTGGGGAGGCGGCCGGCGCGGTGTGAGTCGAGCCGAGGTGGAGAGAATGGTCCAAGAGTTCGACGGCCGACTGAGTGTGTCGTACCTGTTCTTCCACGGGCTGAGTGTCAAGGAGTTGGCGGAGATTGGCGTCGCCAGAATCAGTGTTGGCCCGAAAATTCAGGCGTTTGCCATGAAGGAGTTTGCAAAGAGAGCAGAGGAGTTGCTTGACCAAGGCAGATGATGAGGCTTAACTTGGTTTTTTTTATGGTTACCCGGTATGTGTATATAGACGTGTATACATACGTGCATACATACATATGTAGGTTAGGGAGCGGTGTCAAACTCGGAGTTTTCCAACTTGGTACTTCACCTCCATAGCCTGGATGGCCCTTCAAGCACGGCAAGAATCATCAAGCTTTCTTCAACTCTGGTGTCTCGCCTAGCAACAGCAACGTCGCTCCTTCAGGATACCTCGAGCCAGTAATGACACAGTCGTCACAGGCCTTTCGCACGGCCCTGATCTCGTCGTCGGTCAGCTTCACCGACAGGGCGGCTAGGTTCTCCTCTGCGCGGTCGACACTCTTTGTGCCGAACAACGGATGCACGCCGTCCCACTGCGCCAGGAGGAACGCCAGGACAAGCTGGCTCGGCGTGACGCCTTTGCTGCGCGCGATCTCCTCGATCTTCCGGACCAGCTCGAAGTTCTTGTCAAAGTTCTCGGGCTGGAAGCGCGGGAGCATCTTGCGCCAGTCGCCTGCGACGTCGGCTGGGGACTTGATGGCGCCGGTCAGGAAGCCGCGGCCGAGAGGCGAGTAGGCGACGACGGCGATGCCTAGTTCCTTGCAAGTGTCGAGGATCGAGGGTGGTCCCGCTCCGGGCCCGGAGATGGTTTCAATGTCGAGCGCCCACGGCGAGTACTCGATCTGTAGGGCCGTGATGGGGTGGACGGCATGTGCTCGGCGTATGGTCGACGCCGTCACCTCGGACAGGCCGATGTATTTGATTTTGCCTTGACTGTTTCGGCACAAAGAAGGAATTAGCTTCATTGTTGACGGACATAAACAAATATCTTTTTTTTTCCAAGTTCGAGCTCTTTTGCTCTTTGGATTATCACGACCCCACGGGACATCCCTTTCTTCTTATCGTGACTTACTTCTTGAGCTCGACCATGGCCTTGACCGTCTCTTCAATCGGCGTCTTGCCGTCGACGCGGTGACAGTAGTACAGATCGATGTAGTCGGTCTTCAACCGCTCGAGGGACCGCGCACACGCCTCTTTGACGTACGCCGGGTCGCTGTTGAGGGCCCGCGTGGTGATGGTCCCCGTGAAGCCAAACTTTGTCGTGAGGAAGACGTCCTTTCGCTTCTCCGGGTTCGCCGTGATCCATTTGCCGACCAGATCCTCCGAGTCGCCGTAGATGTCGGCGTTGTCCCAGTGTCGGGCCCCAATGGCGTACAGGGCGTCGAGGAACGCGAGGCGCGATGGGTCGTCGCCGCCGGGCCCGTACGCGCCTCCGAGGGACATCATGCCGACGGCCATGGCTGGGACGATCGGTCCATCGGTGCCGAGTGGCTTGGTGGGCAACGGCGTTGGGAGAGAGGCGGTGGACATCTTTTTGGCGGTTGTCTCGTCGTCCGTACGGAGTAGTGAGGATGGCTTATAGTAGAGAGAGGGGATCTGATGAATAGAGAGACCATCGGGGGCCAGGTCCTTTTTATATCTACCTGTACCCGTGCTGTACGTACTTGGAGGTTTGTTCTTGGTGCCATCGTATCACTCCGGTCGGAGGTCGTAGACGGTCCGCTCCCAGAGGTCGCGATTCCAAGCGGAGGAGCATGGTCCGCGGGCGGCGTTCTGGAGATAAAGTAAAATCCGGCGAGCTCGTGCAGGAAAGAAGATCTGAAGAGGCGTAGAAAGTAGTTAGACAGCGAGCACCAGCAGGAGGTGAACGGGAGAAATGAGGTCGGTGGTCCAGCACGCTGCGGAACAGACCAATGGTAGGATGTATGTAGTCCTGAGAACCGGGATCGGGAATAGAGGGTGCCACTCCCCTATCCGGACGACGACGGTCGAAATGATTCAACGGAGCGAACGGAGCGATAATTATCCCGCGGGACTATTGTTGAGTACGGGGGATCAGAGGGACTCAATGGCTATCCTTTTGATACTACTTGTAGCTTGTACTGGACCTACATTTTTCCCCACGGGGACGAAGACAGTGCACGGTTTCTAATTCAAGGGCACTCACTGTACGAGTACCTGGAAACAGAACACGGTGTGGCATTCGGTTCCGTCCTTGGCTTTGCCCTCTGTGCCATGGCCCATGCATGGCCCATCTGGACTTATGTAGGAGTCAGTTGACCTCCTCTCCCTCCCACGCGTTCCCTCCACGGCCCATACGGGAGGAAGAGGAGGGCGCGGGGGAGGGAATCTGCCTCGCCTTTGTTCGTATCCGGCATCAATCATTTTTCCTCTTCCTTTATCGATGACCTATTTTGAGAACACCCCTGATAGTCGACACCCCTCACTGCCTCACTGCCTCACTGCCTCGCGATCAGAGTCACCATGATGGGGGACTAAAGTGGTCAAAAGCAGGAATCGATAATTAGACCTACCTACCCACCTTATATTTCCTGGGCCAACACAAATGTATATGTACAGGTAGATAACATCAATACTGTACTATCACGCCCCATCGATACGGTCCATCCTCATACCATCTGATTTCATTACCACTTACTGTCCCTCGTCCACCTATCTACGCAACCTTATCTTCGAGAACATCTTTTCTTCGTAGACAGTCAATCAACGCTGACAACGACAACATCACCACCACCAAAACCACCCAAAGACAAAAAAAAACAATCAACACTCAACAATCGACAAAGTGTCCGGTACACTTACACGCTTATAAATACGCAAAAACACCTCCCTGTATCCATCGGCCACTCCCACAATGTGTTTCCGCGACCACATCCCCGACCCGACCCAACAACCCATCCGCATCACTCAGTCCCCCGAGGCGTCCCACGACAGCGAACTCAAAAGCCACGGCGACAGCGCGCGCCACGTCCCCCCTCATAGACACCACAGCACCGCGAGCACCAACACCAAAACCGCCGCCGCCGCCAAAAACGACCATCACCGATCCCAATCCCAATCCCAATCCCAATCCCAGTCCGGGCGATCCCTCTCAACGACGTCCGATCACCACAACTACAACGACAATACTACCTCGCACACCAAAAGTGCAAAGGAACTACGCAGACTCAAGGCCAAAGATCCCAACGTCATCGACAAGATGAACATGTACCCGCCTCGAGCGATGATCGTAGGAGGTTTCTGAACGGCTATTTCTTTTTCTTTTTTTCTCTCTCTCTCTCTCTCTCTCCACTTCATTGCGATTTTCCTCGCTTTTTCCATACGACGAGTATTACACTATTGATTGGTCTTCGACGTTTTTACCGACCTATCCACCTACCTTGGGTATTTTACGACTTGTTTACGAATGCTTCCTGGCGTTGGGATCTCGACGGGGTATGTATTTCCCACTCCTAGGTCTCCAGTACCTACCTTGGTATAGATAGGGTTATATCGAAAAAACTCAATTACCATGTCTGTGCCTTCCTTAGTCATATACATATTCAATTCGGCTCTTTGATTCTCTTCCCAAAGCAAGTCGCAATTCGTAGAAATTCGAGGAATTGCAATTTCGTATTCAGTTTCTACTAACCAGACCCGCCTTTAGAGCAGACAAATCTACCACCCCACCGATCTGTCTCTGCTGGTTGAGACCAGCTCGTCTTCTTGACAATTGTAGCACCACTTATATCTTTGTCCCAATACCAGCTTACATGCCGTCGTCGTATACCTTAGTCGGCCATAAGTCGTAATTGCGTCATTCGTGTATGTACCAAAAACTCCAGTACGAGGAGGCCGAGAGTCTTGACCCAAACGTAAATCCACCCAGGATGCCCAAGTAATGAGACTTAACATCTATGCCCCCGGCATATAGCTCATGGCCAGCGCCAAACGCCAAACACTGAAAGAACCTCACCACCATACCATGTGTAGAGTACAGCCCACCGAATCCATGGAAATTTTCTATTCGACCCCGCACAACACAAAGTAGATACTCACCCGCCTTTCGAATCTGGCTTCGCCGTGCTACTACTCCAATCGCTTAGATGCCTTCGATCGGCCGTCAAGCCTCCAAAGTCGACTCGATTTCTCCTCGGTGAGTCCTCTCCAGAGCTTGCCACCGTCAACGGTAGCACCTCTACAACAGGTGATATGTCAGCCGTCTCAAGCAGAGACTGAACTGCTGCAGCTGTGGTGGTGTCCGGATGTGCAAGATCAATAGTTGCCGCCAGCCCTGGAGGAGGCCCTGGAATCTCAGGCATGGTATAAGTTTCGTCGTCCACTGCAATCTCCGAACAGTCGTTTTCAACTTGAGAGGGATCTAAATCCTGCGTGTGATTTAATAAAGAGACATTCTCCTCGGTCAAAGCCATGCGAGAGAAACTGTCCCCAATAGCCGGAGAATGTGGTGTTCCGTTTGGCAGCTCCTTGTTGTTCAGCACAACTCGAGGGGTGATATTGGCTGGGCTGCGACCAAGCTCAGTCGCAAAAAGTAGCTTAGCATCGCGGAGAGATCGAGCTTTGTCCTCTGCGTCGGCTCGCCGTCGCGTACGGTCACCTTCACTCTCGCCACCTGGGATTTCGCTTTCTAGAATGACCCTCGAGATACTAGACCTGCGTGCCCGGGCAACATCCGCTGTGTTAGCCGATGCAGCTTCCACTGCCTCAGGTTGCGGGATACATTGCGCAAAGAGCTCCATGGCAATAATATCGTGTTCAGAGCATGTCGACGAATGGTCTGTAGATGCTCCTGTGAATACCGGTTTCGTAGAGCCCACACGATTTTCAGACGGGCGAGTTTGATTGTCGCCATTAGCACGACCTGATAATATCCATTTAATTATAGTCTTCTCCAATGCTGATCGTTTGACAGGTTTTGCCATGTAATCATCCATACCAGCCCGTTCACATTTTTCCCTATCACCTTGAATGGCTGAGGCTGTCATTGCCACAATGGGAATGCGACCGATGGCTGGTATGGTAGTGAAAGGAGCATGGCGTCTAAGCAGGTGTGTGGCATGATACCCGTCCAGAACAGGCATTTGAACGTCCATGAAGATCAGCGACGGAATTGGGTAATCCTCCGCCTGCTCAGGAGTCAGGTTGGGAGACGTGGCTTTCAAAAGGTACTCGAGAGCCTCCTTTCCATTCCAGACTGCACTCGCAGAAAAATTGAGAGCTCTGATAAATCTGAGAGCAATCTGTTGATTCACCGGGTTATCTGCGCCGGGTTAGTACAAGTTGAACGGAGGGGTGAGATGCAAAGGAAGAAAAACGTACCCTCCACTATCAAGATATGAAACTTCCTCCTGTCGATATCCTCAGTGGATTCTTCCGCTATTCCAGGATCAGTCCCAGAGCGTGCATGAGCCGAAAGGCTCAAAGGTAACTTCATCTTTGTCGCTGATGAGGCATGGCTCAAAGCACGACTTTCATCTCTCGAAGATCCTGTTAAGGATAGCGATAATTCTGACTGCAACCTTTCTGGGATGAGAGCGACGTCAAGCAGATCCGTGGACGAGTTGGCGCTGTATTCCACCTTTTTAAAGGGAATAGTGAACGTGGCCTTTGTGCCTGCGTCCAGATTCGAGTCCAATGTGATCTTTCCGTGCATAAGCTCGACTAGGTTCTTGCATATAGTCAAACCGAGGCCGGTTCCCCCAAAACGTCTCGCTGTGCTCGAATCTGCTTGGCTGAAGGGTTTGAACAGTCTTTTCTTAACTTCTTCTTCAATGCCAATACCACTGTCTTCGACGCAGAACTCGACAGTGGCAGTGTCTGCAGTTTCGTCGATGATGTGCGTGCTCATTTTGACGTACCCGTCGGATGTGAACTTGATGCTATTGGTCAACAGGTTCATGAGGATCTGCCGTATTCGACCTGGATCTCCAAGCAAAACGAGGCGTTCTTCTGGCCCAAGATCGATGTCGCTACTAAAATCTAAACCCTTTCGCCTGGCAGCATAAGATAGCATCTTGGTAACGTCTTGAAGAACAACGCTCAAGCTGAATCGCACTTCTTCAACATCCAGCCTGCCGGATTCGATCTTGGAGAAATCGAGGATGTCATTGATTACAGTCAGCAGCGAGTTGGCAGATCGCTGGATGTTTTGAGCAAACTCGCTCTGTTCTTCGTCCAACGTGGTATCAAGTAGCAACTCCGACATTCCGAGAACGCCGGCAATCGGAGTGCGGATTTCATGAGACATATTGGCCAGGAAGCTACTTTTCATTTTACTCGCTTCCTTTGCGGCGGCCTCGTTGGCGAGTAGATTGATGTTTTCTAACTCTTTCCGTCTCAGTTGCGTAACCTCTGACCCAATGCCAATGACTCCCGAGATAGTGTTCTCCCCCCGGCCTTCACCAGATCCCTTGAGTGGGATTAGTTTCGAGCGGAACCATCGTGATCTGAGCTCGGTTTCACAAATCTCGAGGTCGGATCTGCCTCTCAGAATTCGTCGTATCGCCTCTCGAAACTCAGTGATCGAATTCTGGTTGACATAGCGACGGAATGCCTGGTCAATGGGCTTTCCCACAATCTCGGATGCTCCGTCGTGACCGGTCATGAAATCTCCTTCCCAAAATGTGACAGTCTCACGATGATCGACAATCCATACACTCATCTGTGAGTGTCTAAGGACATCTACCAAGTTTTGTCGAGCTTCTTGTTGAGCCACCTTGGCGTCGATGATGTCCTGAATGTCTGTCAAGCTACCGAACCATTTGACAATTAGACCAGTGGTGTGATCGCGTAGAGGTAGAGCGTTCCCGAGCATCCATCTCCATTCACCATCCTTTTTTCTGCAACGATACTGGACCTCGAATTTCTGACCCGTCTCAAGAGAATTCTTCCAGAGTCGGAAAGCCTCCACCTTGTCGTCTGGGTGGAAAGGAGCATGCCAATCAAAGCCTTCGGTGTCGGCCTTCTGGAGGCCAGTATAATCGTACCATCTTTTTGAGAAGTAGTCATTGTACCCGTCTGGCCTGGTTGTCCAGCAAATAACCGGCAACATATCACATATGAGGCGAAACCAGTCTTCCTGCTCTGCAGCCTGAGAAGCAAGTTTGTCGGTGTAAGAGGTGACGTCTTTGAAAGCTATTAATCCAGCTAGGAATTCCCCGGTGCTTTCGTCAAACACTGGATGACCACTTACGTCAAAAATAGACTTCTTCTCAGTACGTTTGTTGATCATCCCGATTTGCCAATTGGTGAAGGGTAACTGTGAGCGGCAGAGAGCGATGATTGGGTTGTTGTTCTCCGAGAGCTCATGCGAGAAATCGGGCGACCAAGGTCTAAATCTGGAAAGAAAATCGTAGGAATCATCAGAAGTCGGGTCGGCGTCAATGCTTAACAATCGGCGCGCAGCCAAATTGGGGATAACAACGCTTTCATCCTTCCACATGGCGACCAAGGGCATCTCCACGGCATTTAGCATAGCATTCTTCATTTTGAGAACCTTCTGGAAGTCAGTTAGAGCCGAGGATGGATCACACTGAGCCAGGGTAGTATTTGGTGGAAAGGTCATGCCAGTGCTTGAGTTCTCGGATGGAGTGTTCGCATTCGAAGAGGGGCCAGATGCAGATGAAGTCGGGGTCTGGGACTGAGAGGATTGCGATGATTCTGCTGAGTTGGAAGAAGGCTTGCGATGTACAGATTGTGCCTGAGCATGGAGTTTGTTGTGATGATGATGACGGTGAGAGGAGGGTAGGCTAGTGAAAGTCATGGTAAAGAACTGTTGTCCTTCCAGACTCCAGATACTGATTATCATCCGACAACTTGCACGGACGGCCTGTCTTCGACCTTGAGCGGTCTTGTCTGGATGACGACGGTGATGCTGCGCGCTCTTAGGAGAAGACATGGTAACATCAACCACAGTGTCTGGCCTCTTCTTGGTTCTGCTGCGGAGAGGGGGTTGTGCCCTTCGAGCATCTGGGGAACCGGTAGGAGCATCGGCTCTACTTGGAAGGCCGGGGAGGAGCTCTCCGGGAGAGCTGTTTTGTCTACTTGTCGCTTCGAAACCGTCCGCCAAATTGTCGAGGAATTTTTCCCAACTGACCCAAATCGGAATGCCTTCTGAGACCATGTCTATTCCAATTTGCGACAGAGTCTGACCACGAAGGATATCAGTCACGTTGGTATCCCCGCCATCCTGTTCTACTCCCAGCAATCGGCCTGCGGCCGAGTTTGCAAGAATAACCGTCTTCAAAGAGGAGAGAACGAGTAGAGGAGTGGGGAGGGTAGAGAGCGCAGCAAGAGCTACCTCAGTTGACTGCGGCAGTTGAGATACCTCGATGTGAGACTCATCTGTGTCAACCCCGCGGCCTTTCTGTGTGGCGGTTCCGTCAAAAACTCTTGTCGTGGTTGTGTCACCATCTAATGTCTGTAACGGGCCTTCTTTGCCGTGTGAATCCCACGGGACTTGTGTAGCGCCCCCATGATCTCGACCGACCATGACCGAGGGACGAGGATGTCGAGAGGTATCGGTCGACCGCTGGATGCGTAGTGAAAGGACACGGAACTCGGTGTCAATCAGGAGTGCGACGCGTCGGAAGGGCCATCAAGAGAGTCCCTGCTAACTATGATACTGCGCAAGGCAAACGGCACAGCCATAGAGATGCGGTCGAGGACAGGGTTCTTTGGCGGTGATATTGAGTCGCTTCTCTAGGACATAAATCAAAATTATACAGTCGCGACTAATAATGCTGAGATAGGGAATGACGTCGAAGGGGAACAGTAGAAGAAGCTGAAAATGCCGACAACTCTGTAAGCCGGTACGAGTTGATGTGCAGGACGAGATGGAGTTGGGGAGACAGCAGAAGGAGCTGCACAGTACTCGTAACTGCGACGACAACTGCGACGGGTACTTTGACCACAGCCATTATTGTCGGACAAACCTAAACCTGCCTGGGGCAGGAAATCAGGAATCGCATCGAGAGATCGAGGAAGATCGTGTCTATGTACTCGAATTGAGTTCTGCCCACGTCAAAAGTCTATTTGACGAGTACGAAACTCGACGGTCATCGACTACAAAATTGACGTCTGCAAGACTTAGAATGTAATCAACAACTTGTGCTACTTTGCATGCCGATGCATCACCATCTGCTTCTCGGACTGATTCTCGCACTGATTCTGCGGCAACAGAGGGGAGGTTGAATCCGGTCTTTGAGCGTGGAGTAAAAGTTGGCTGCAACCCCATTTCACCATTGCGAAGAGGGACGATCGTCGATGGGAAATGCCATGCGCGAGACCAAAATGCCCATTGTGCGCGTATGCGATCTCCCGACAGCTGCCGGCGTGTCCAGACTCTAATTGGAGACTGTCCTGTCTTTGTCTGTAGCGGCGCCTTCAGCGTGGGTTGACACTTGTTGACAGAGTTCCAGACTCCTCGCTAGGCTCTCTAGGCGCCAGACGGCCACCAGGCCAAGCCTAATAAACCCCGACCAGCCCCAAACGTCGCCCACCAAGCCCACTAGGCTGGTGACCCTCCAGCCCTTGAATGGTCGGCCGGTTGGAGGGAGGGTACTTGTAATTTGCGCCTGCGATAATTTTGAACGGGAAAGCTACAGTAACTTACGTACTTTTTCCCTGGAGGAGGAGCTGACGACGATAATTCAATAGAATGGGCACATCTCTCTCGTGTCATGAATGACTTGAATTTGTATGAGTACAGAAAAGCTTCAAGGGGTCTGTCTAGCTGATGCCCAACAAGAATCGAGAGTCGTTCAGTCTATTAATATTGTACAGTCTATCGAGTCTAACAAGGCAGAGTCTATGCAAAATTATTCCAAGGAGTGGAATATACTCCGAACCTCCAGCAAAGCCAAACCAAGTGGGCTATCCATCAGTTGATCAATTCATTCATCAGTCGTTTCTTTGCACTGCAAAAAGTGCGCCTTTCTTTAGTCTCAGTTGTTTCCTTGTCCATCCTCAAGCTTGACTTCCTTCTCCCTCGACCCTTCCACCAACCCTTGATCTGTCTCGAGTCCAACGTTCAAATCGTAGGCCTTGACGAAAAGACTGGCGACCAGGCAGACGCCCGAGATGGCCGCGATCACGATGTACACCGTCCTCAGGCTGTCGGTGTACGCCGTCATGAGTTGCAACTTGCCCACTCCTTGCGGTGTTTTCTTGATGATCTCCACTAATGCAGCAGCATCCTTTGCTAGCTCCGAGGCTTGCGCAGCGTAAGCAGGGTATGCTTGCAACTTTTTCACCATCTGGTTCTGGAAAATCACACCTCCAATTGCAATTCCAAAGGTCTGCCCAAGGCTCCGAGCAAAGACGAACACGGCCACCGCGAACGCCATGTCCTGATTGGAGCTGGCAGCTTGAAGTTCAAATTGCAGGGCTGGAAACAAGATTCCGAGACCGAAGCCCGAAACAAGGTCAATGAAGATCCACTGTGGGATACTCGTATGGACCTTGAGTAAAGTAAGGAGACCCAGACCAAGTGTCGAGACGGTCCAGCCCAGCCAGATGGCCCAGCGATAGGATGCAAATCGGGTGATCAAGATACCAGTCACCACAGCCATCGGGGCAACGGTGAAGGTCGAAGGGAACAAAGCAACTCCCGAGATGACTGGCGAATAGTCTTTGACGGCTTCAAAGTACAATGGCATGTAATACAACAGACACCACAGGATCATGCCGTGAAGAGTGGTCGTGACGTATGCGATGTTTGTGGTGCGGTTGCGGAAGACTGAAAGCCTCAAAAGCGGCTCCGGGGCCAGGTAGGCCTCGTAGAAGCAGAAGCCAACCAAACCTGCAAGGCCAACAAGGAGAGGAACCAGAGTCCTCCATGACGACCAGGCATACATGACACCGCCCCAGGTAAGAGGTATGAGGAAGCTAGTCATGCTGCCAACGAAGATGACCGTTCCGATCCAGTCGACTCTGCGCAATTTGGCGGCGATACTCTGAGGGATGATGTTCAGTCTGAGAAACAAGGGAACCATAACAACACCAACGCCGATAAAAGGTAGGTTGATCCAAAAGATCCAGCGCCATTGTACCTGAACAAAGGCTCCGCCAATGATCGGACCCCCGACTGAACCGATGGACCACATGCCGGCCAGGATACCAGCCCACTGGCCCCGGTAACGCAGAGGGACGAGGTCAGTCACGACAATCTCGGACATTGTGATGATGCCACCGCCGCCGATGCCCTGGATCGATCTTCCAGTAAGCAGGAGTGCAAAGTCATTAGAGAGAGCAGCCATCATGACCCCGACGAAGAAGAAGGTGATGGAAACCATGATGACTGGCATTCTACCAAAAATGTGGCTGAAGGAGGCGAAAGTCGGCTGGAGCACGGTCGATGCTAGCAGAAAAGAGGTACCTGCCCAAAAGGCTTCGATGGCAGATCCATGCAGTTTTCTTGCAATGATGGGCAAGGCTACACTTATCGACGTGCCGTCCAGGGCGACCATGAGCGTCAAAACCGAAAGAGCTGCAAATGCGAGGACAAGTCGTATCGTCGGCTTGAATGCAGGTGCTTCTGCTGGCGGGCTTCCATCGTTTGGCTTTTCAGAAGATATAGATGCCGACGACGATGTGTTTTGGGATGTTGACATTTCTGGATCCGGAACCGCAGCCATCGTCGTAGGCTGCTCGGGTTGCACCCACGCACCGCTCGAAGGTGCCGAAGACATGACTTTCCAGAAAAGAAGAAAGCAGTCTCTCAGAGACGCGAACACAGTCGAGAGATTGTAGTGGTGGACGTAGTAGCAGCAGTAACAACGACCGAAGTAGTGGTTGTTGTTTGTTGTATTCGTGATATGGTTGAGGACTCTTTCACAATAGCTTGAGAAGTCACTGATAACTGGCGGTGGAAGCTCGAGTTGATCTGATTAGGAACTACCTACTGCGCTACTTTGCAAAGAACGGGGCCTTTCAGCTACATATACTCGATACCAGGCGTCAACTGACGCACGTTAGTTAGTCAATAACGTTTTGTGTTTCTATCGCTCCCGCTCCGTGCGAGAGGGATGGGACAAAATTCTTCCTGTGCTGTCGCCCTGGCCCAGCGGCGTAGCTGTGCTGTGCAGAGGTGGCTTCTGAGGCTGGATCTAACGGTCAAAAAGGGCGTCCCTTTGCGAACGATGATTGGGCCACTGCTCCCGTGGTGGATCGTCGGATCATGCCATTGTGCTCCAAACCCCCGGCGGGATGATAATCTTGCCGACTATGTCCAGCTCGCTCCCGGTTTCTCGTATTGGGCCAAGATTGTAAACACCGCGGGACAACATCTAGGTAGCCGGGCAGTGAAGATTTGTAACATGCTCGCCTTGTTGACGCAGCTTGTCTGTGCGAGGGCCGTTGCGTCTCTGCGAAAACGCTGGCGCCTGAACGTGACGGGTCGTGGGCAGAGGAAGAGTTAAGTCACGCGGCACGTCTGTTTCGCGTCTGCAAGGTTTTTGTTTCTCTTTACACCCTTCAACTCGTTGCAAGTGCTGTACGGGCAATGGTGGTTTCCGTGTAAACGTTGTACTTAAAATACCTGCGAGGTGTACAGTACTCAGGTGCCCTCAATTCTACGACTACGACGATGCAGACGAAATTCAAACTGCTGGACTGAAGTTTGGGCCTCGAAATATGGATCACGAATCTCAGTAGCTCAATCAGGCAGGTAGATGCCTCGTACGGAGTACCATACTTCGTATTCACGATTTGCTCTTCTCTATGCGACGGCTGAGATCTCAATTCTTCGTGTTCACATTGTCCAATAACGTACGTCTAGCAACCTTCCTCGTTTGCATGGCCTCATCTCTTAGCTACACTCCCTTTGTAGGTACTTGTTCTTAGGATGTATTTGACCTGAGAGAACAATCAAGCCAGACTTGAGGAAAAAGTACGACAAGCACCTCGCCTAGTCACAGCTACGTGCCATGGTACATATTTCGTGACCAACGAAGTTCAAATACGTCATTACCTGTCATCGAGCAGTGGCATCAAGGGATTAGAACAAGGGGCGCCTTTCCTACGTGAAATGCATGCTCATCCTTCAGCCTCCAAACCTGGTGGTAATTCGTTGGCAGCATAAGGCCGAAAGAAATATTGCCGACCGATTTGGAACAGTCAATACGACAAGCCGGAGGAACAGTTAGGCCGAATCTTGAATCACGTGATGGGTATATTCCTTTGCCAGGAGTTCCTACGAGCCAGCCTTATCCTTCGTGGGAAGTGTCAGTGTTAAAACCTCGGGGTCTGCAAATCAAGCTAGAGGGGGCCAGAGCCTCTCACTGCATCGATCCGACATGTCCTGAGCATACACGGCATCTGAGAATTCTGATCTCAAACTGACCGTTTCTGCAGAGGTTCATCGACTGTCGATGTGATACTCCAACACCTAGTCGGTCTTCGTTGATACAATGTCAACTGACGCATCCTGCTTTTCAAGATCACTCGACGGTCCTGAAGATGCGATATGGTCGTCTTGTGGGAAGGCGGGTGAACCGCTCAAGCCCGCTTTTGTTGCGAGCTGCGCCGCCGATCCACTGGTCTCTTGAATTGGCAGAGGAGACACATCTATGTTCGATTGGCCAGTTGTGCTCGATGATGCACCAGTGGCGCCTGCGGTGATCGGTGGGGGTACTATCTCCGGCTTCGTCACAGCATCTACAGCGTCCGCGGCGGTCTCTTTTGATCCGGGAAGCATTTTCTTCATATCTTGAACTGCAACCCACAAATCAGGATAATTCGCCGCAGCTTCAGCAAGGGCTTCGTCACTGGAACAAAGAATGTCAGAAAAGTTCAAATGACGGAAGAGCAAACTCACTATAAATTTAGGATGTTCTTGGCCTTTTCGAGTGCTTCCTCGGGACTTGTTGACTCTGAGATTTCGCGCGCCGTTTCGTCTGAAGTGGTGATTGTTAGTTGATGTGGACTATTCTGCCAACTTCCTCATTCAAACCCTTTTGTGAGCCCGCGTCGATCCAGAATGCATGATCGGCGAGTTGATCACAGATCCCACCGTTCGCTGCATGGATACCTCAGCACTTACCCATTTTGTTGCGCACCTTTCGCAGTGCTTGGCGGTATTGCCGGGCACGATTTGGCTGATTTCGGGATTTGAAGTACGTTAGGAACCCAGCAATCACCGTGCTTGCGGCTCCCAGATAGATCGTGGCAGTCTGTGATCCCCTGGTATGGGTAGCTCCCAAGGCTGTGATCGCCGCTCCAATGATGATTTGAGCCCACAACATTCCATTTGCAACCGATGCCACGAACCAGTACTGTACAGTGCTATTGAAGCCATGTGAGCGAGTCAAAGTGGTGTTTGAAGATGCGCAGGCGAACGCACTGCCATCGATAGTCTCGGCGAAGCCTTTGCTCGAACGAGGTCGTTCCGGTTTCTTCATCTGCGGCTCTGTGAGCTTCAGGTGTGGATGATCCTGCATCGTACATACCAATGCCCAGCGCGGCACAGTATTTCTTGTAAGACCGCAAATAATTCTCCGCTTCAGGATTCGATGACTGTTGTGGTTGCCCGCCACTGTCAATGTTCGTAGCAAGTTTACGAAGTGTCTCAGCCAACATCTTTGGGGGTTGTCGGCTAAGAAGAAATTTGTCCATTGTTGGGAAACCTATACCGGGGCCAGCGGACTGACTTCGAGTGTCTGTTGACCACCTATGTGAAGTTTGAGGTTTGCTGCATCATGCGAAGGAGGCTTCTTATGTCTCAAAGCCATCTCACCATGGGGCGCATAGCTATTTTATGTATGTAAGCAGCTGAAATGCACTTGCCTGATCAACACAACCCTTGTCCGAGTCCTGTCAGCTTCAATTGAGTGGCAGTCTCGCGTGACTATGCAATTTAGCGAGTGATCCTTGCAGGATCGAGTTCAGCTAGCGATGTTCAGCCTCACTTCTGTAACGAGATCGTAAATTCGTGTGACAAACAAAACATGTAACGTGTATTGCTGACATTAACGCGAGGACGACTGTATGTATCCTGAGTAGTAGAGTGCCCATAGTGGAGCAAGAGTACGTAGCAGGACTGTCGGCACCGTGGGCGAGAAGGAGGAGCTTGCTCGATGTTGAAGCAGCGTGATAAGACGAGGTGTTTATCTACGGGGCGCGACATTAGCTGTACAGTGGCTCCCTACGGTGATGAGAGAACCTTTAGGGGTCACTATGGGTGCTTTAAGCACTTGGACAGTCATGTCTAAGGCCAAATAGGCAAGATTTCTCTGTGGAGGCTACTAGGCTCACTAGGCTTATTTCAGGGCCCCGTAGTGATCCTGCTCCCCCGTAATCGACGTTTAGGTCCCCTAGTTAGTTGGTTTAATGTGCGTCATTGTGTCAACAAAGTAAGTTAACCGGTGAAAGTGATGGCAGTGTACGATTGCAATAAGAGGAACCACGTTCAGTCTCATGGCTGGACTTCTGCCTATCCAGTAAATCCGTCATCGAGCATTCAGCCTCGTGATAGATCTCTAACTCCAGTCGTCTACTGGTGGGCGCGAGACTGTACCATTTACAAGCCTCTTGTTCTCGTCCTCTGACACTTGCGCCGTGTTCCCACCAGGCAGGCACCCTTTGGGAACCTCTGCTCTCATGTTGTGAAACGCAGCCTAACTCGCGATCTGGATTTTCAAAGTTCCTCTAACATTCTAACCCTATCTCTATTGTTTCTTTCGCTCATGAACGCTCATTCTATGATATCTCAATTGCCAACCATTTTACGAACTTGTTCTCGCAGCCGCTGACACGATCGCTACAGCAAGCAGACATCAAGATGTCTAACCAAACCATCCTCAGAATCTCAAGAGTGAGGACATGACGAAAGCGAGGGATAACAACTGACAGTGATCAGGAAATCACCCAAATTCAACAGGGTAGTGATCTGTGTAAGTACCAAGTCCTTGGCTCGTCTCACTGTCCTTCAGAGGCTGACTATTTGCTCAGCGATAGCTGTTGCTTGCCAGGAGAGAGATGTTCGAACAGTCCATGCCCTCATAGTCGGTCCTCCAGGTACACCTTACCAGTATGGTTTCTTTGAATTCACAGTCGATTTCACACCCGAGTATCCAAGCAAGCCTCCCAAAGTCAATGCGAAGACCACAAATGGTGGCAGAACACGATTCAATCCCAATATTTATGCCGGTGGAAAAGTCTGTTTGTCTCTGCTGGGCACCTGGCACGGCGAGAAGCCGGGAGAAGAGTGGTCATCTGCACACGGATTGGAGTCGATCCTTTGGTCCATACAAAGCCTCTTATCCAACAACCCGTACGAAAATGAGCCAGGCTACGAGCATGCCAAAGGTAAGGAGGACCAGAGAATGAATGATCTGTATTGTGCAAAGGTAGGGCCAGGTGTTGAGTATAGCGAGCCTGAAATTTGACCTGTGGCTAGATCCGGCACGAAACCCTTCGCATCGCGGTGATTGCCAAATTGGAGGACGCTTTGAATATTCAACCAGACGGCAGCGTGCTCGACAAATACAACACCAACACCGAAGACCGACCCACCGCCGACGATGCGACCGACGAAGCGACCGACGATGACGAGTCGGTGCGGGCAATAGTGACTCCACGATTCGAGCCGTACAAAGATTTGTACAAGCGGCGCTTCATGTGGTATTTCGAACACTACATGGCCACGGTCGTCAAGCATGGTCCTGAACACAAAGATGGTTCGGACTTCTCCAAGATGCCTTTCGAGGGAGGCGGCAACACAATGGATGGAAAGTTCAACTATCCGGCTCTAGGCAAGAGATTGCTACGCATACAAGAAGTGATTACAGACGAAACCAAGCAGTGGGCTATTGACGGCATGGCACTCAAACGTCGAGAGTCTCACAAAGCTGGTACTATCCAACGTCAATTCGAACAGGTGTCGGATTATCTGACGAGAAAGGACTGCCACAACGTCAGCGTTGAAATGGAGAATAACAATCCCTATGTCTGGGTCCTCACGTACTTCGGCAAACCGGGCACAGATCTTGATGGTGGAATCTTCAAAATCCGAATGGCTATTAGTCCGCGGTTTCCTGAAGAACAACCACGTGCCAGATGCGAGACACCCATCTATCACCACAGAGTGTCCAAACATGGCACAGTGTGCTATTTCCCGAAGATAATTGATGATTTGAGGAACCACGTCTACGCAATCATAGAGTCCCTGGAAGAAGAGAGTCCTCCCTATGATCCTCGAACCATTGTTCATCCGGAGGCTGCAGCACTGCTGTTCGGTACCGAAGACGAGAAGAAAACCTACTTCCGACAGCTTAGAAGATCGGCTCAGCGCACAACCGAAGAGGGTGGCTAAGAGGTCTTTGACAAGGGTATGGCCCCGAGCCACATCATACCAGCGACACCGAAGGTGATTGTTTCGAAGGGCGGATCTCATGTTTGTCTTTGAGCAAGGCGTTATGGCAGCGACAAAGCCACCACTCTATCGAGCCGCGAAAGCGGCATTTATGGGCATGGTGCCGATCCAACAGTGTACGGTAGCAAGCATCGATGGGGTTTATTATTCTCTAGGCATTCAGCAACAATAGCGCACCAAGTCAGTGTAGATAGTGGCTGACAACGAATATTAAGATTTTCAGTTCAGATATGAGGTCTTCTTATCCGAGCTGACACTTGTGCTCCTGACCTAGGCTTGATGTGCGGCAACGACCGCCCGTCATTCTCTGTAAAGACAAGGCACCGAGTATAGTCCTCGCTATGCTCCTCGTTCTGGGCCCGAGACTGATGGGGCGCTTCTCCTACGGAGAGGACAAGAGTTGATTGCTCAATCCGCCCTTCGCTACAGCAATGACCTTTCTGTCTGGCTAGTGAGGCTGGTGGTGGGCACGCCACAAGAACGTGGACAGTTCCGGGACCGACGGGGCGTGGCAGTGGCCAACAAGTTTCAGGGGATGGCGGTACAATAGCCTCGTAGATGGTCCACTTTAACTTTCTCCAGATCGACCTACTGTGCCGCGCCGAAGAAACAACATCGAACTGCGACTTGGGCATTTAGACGAACTTCTCTGCACTCAGACGCGGATTTTTTAAAGATGACAGAAGTAAGGGACGCCCGGTCTTATGGCACCATCCTAGTCGTTGGAGGCTGCGGCTTTCTTGGGTCTAGAGTGGTCGACCAGTTGCTCAACTTCCCCTCAGAGCAGCAGCAACCCAACGCTGTGGCCTCAAGCGAGCCAGCGTCATCCGCCAATGGCGCAGTTTCGAGCAAAGCTGCGAACGGCGCAGCCTTAGATCCTACAAGCCCTGTGTTCCCCTTTCCCAGCCTAGGGTCGCGATATCCTCGAACGTCCTCCTCGACGAAAGTCCATGCGCTCGACCTCCGATGCACCCAACACATTTTCCCCGGCTGCACGTATCATGAAGGGGACATCACGTCGGCCGAGAAGCTGCTGGAGGTCTTTCGTAAAGTAAAGCCGGACGTCGTGATCAACACTGCCAGTCCGTCATGGGAGGCGCCGGCGGATATCCTGCGCAAGGTGAACATTGACGGCACGCGCACGCTCCTCGAGGTTGCCGGGGGCAAGCACGGCGACTGGTCCGGTGGGAAAGGGGGGTGCAAGGTGTTCGTGCACACGTCCAGCGCCAGCGTCGTGCACGATGGTGATTCGGACCTGATCAATGCCGACGAGCGGTATCCCCTCGTCTGCCCGAACCCGCGCGAATACTACTCTGAGACCAAAGTGCACGCGGAGCGACTGGCGCTCGCGGCCAACGACACGGAAGAGTACGGCCACATGCTCACCTGCGCCGTTAGGCCCGCGGGGATAGTGGGCGAGGGCGACCGCGCCGGCTTCAGCGGAGGCATTCTGAACACGGCCAAGGGCGCTCCGAGCTGGCAGCTGCACATCCAGCTGGGCGAGGGGTTCAATCTGTTCGACAACACCTACGTGCACAATGTCGTCCACGGGCTCTTGTGTGCCGCCACGGCGCTGTTGCAGACGCATCAGAGACGGCAAAAAGGGGGCGCCATGGCGCTGGACTACGAGCGGGTCGATGGAGAGGCGTTCAACCTCACGAACGACAGCCCGGCTTACTTCTGGGACGCCACGAGGTTTCTGTACACCGGGTACGGCAGGGACATCCGTATGGAAAAGGTCTGGACCATCCCGACCGGGTTGGCGAGCTTCGTAGGCGGCGCCGCCGAGCTGTTCAACTACCTCTCGGGTCGCAAGGGCAAGTTGAACAGGCAGACTGTCAAGTATACTGTGATCCATCGATACTACAGCTGCGAGAAGCTAAAGGCACGAACGGGATACATACCTCTCGTGCCCATTGATGAAGGGCTTGCAAGAGCGGTTTGGGAGTTCAAGGAAGGGGAGAGGATGGAGCGAGAGAAGAAGGGACAGTGAGCACCTTCTTTTTCCTCTCTCATTCACTCCATCAGCTTCCGCCGGAAGTGAACACCACTTGTCCCGTGGGTTCTGGTGTGGTCAGACTCAGGCGAATGATTTCAGAGAGAGCTTGGGCCATTTGCAATTGCACAGCTTTACGAGAATTTGAGTCGAGAGTGCGCGAGCTTCGTTGTATTGAGTCTCATCTCTTCTCAGCAATTACATTGTCGAAATATGCTGGCGTCGCGAAGGCTGTTTGGGTGCTGCCCCATGAGAGATATCGAGGTCAAGGTCGAGAGAGAAATTGCGTGGACTTCGCAGTCAGACCGCACCGAAGCTTTACAAAGAATCACAGCAGGGCATTCCGGGATCAGGCGGTGACCTACTGGGGGGAATAGGTATCGAATGCTCAGACGGCTTCTCGGAAAACCCACTGTTTCTTATCACAGCATAGACTGGCAGGCCGCATGTTCGGAAATGCACACTCCAGAATCTCGCTCGCCATCTGATAGATGGTTAATAGATTGTTAGGGGGGGAGAGTCTGAATTAGTCTCGTAATACTCCGTACCATGTATGGGATTGAAAACAAAGAGGTAACATCAGCACTAGCCATCGTGTCAGTTCTGGCGCTGGATATGCAGGTCATGCAGCGTGAATTGGGGGGAAAAAGATTCCATCCCTCAGGCGCCCTGTCCATACTCGCTTAATACCCGACCACCCTTAGGCATGGGTACGGAGCAACAGCGTTACTGTATGAAATGGTAAATCTCGCGACTGGCAGGGGTCACATACAACAATAGGTATCTGGTAGTCGTGATTTTGAACATGGCTTTACCCAGGGAGACGGGACCCCCCTGCCAACAGAAAGTAATATTATTCGTAACGGTATAACTTACGGAGTAGTCAACAAAAGTCTTTTCTTTTTTCCTTTAGCGTTCTCTCGCTCGAAATTGCTGCTTCGATTTTCTTCCGACTCTCGTACAATAGAAAGCTGTGGTGAGTCCGAGTCCGAGTCACGCATGGGTCGGTTAAACTTGTCCCTGGGAGTCTACTGGATAAACACCAACGATGGTCACGTCCCTCTGACTGACCTGTTTCACGTAAGATTTTTTGATGTTTTTTGAGCCTGCAGCGGGCAGCGAGCAGTGTCCATTCAGCACCCGTTACATTTTGAGAGCTTCCACTGACCGACAGGGGAGACGACAAAGTTTCTCGTAATTGCGGAGGCGGACAGCCGACGGAGCGATCGAGGCCGTCAGTAAATGTGATGGCGGGCGTCTTGCCTTTGCAACATACGGTGTATAAGTACTTCAAAACAGGCTGGGAACCAGCCCATGCCGCCGAGACTGAAAGACCCGAGTGACTCGAGTTGCAGGACCGACGCAGGATGAGGCGGCGCTTGGCCTTGTTCGAAACAGACAAGGAGAGAGATCAGGTAGGTTAACGCTCATGAACACCTCGCTGAAAGAGCTGGCTCCAGTCTTGCGAAGCCTCTCGCAGCGCGCCAGTCAAACTCGCCCCTCTTCTCCTTATCCCCTGTCTGGTGTGGAAGGCATGTCACTTCTCATGAGGAAGCGCTTCCGCAAAGAGTTTCCAGCACAGATGATTGGGACTGCTATACTTCGCCTCCGCGATGTATCTTATCTTGTAGTTCAATGCGATCAAGTGCCAACATTGACCGTAACCGCACAATGTCTGGCACGGCTGTCGCCAACCGATGTGTACCGATCTTCTGAAGGATTCATGTGAGAAGAAAGAATGGGTAGGACAACATGATCAAGACACATTCAATCTGCACCTGTCAGGGACACCTCCCAGCGTCAGAGGGCCGGAAAGACAGGCTCGGGGCCACCACCGATGTCAACTCCCAGCTCTCGCATCTACGTCGAGCAATTATTCCCCGCATAGGGATGGAGCGATTGTAAATCCCTCTTCCCTGCTACAAAGACACGAGGGAGGACGCCATGGACGTAGGGTCAGCAACTGTCATCCTCGGGTGCACCAAGCGAAGGAAGAGTTATCTTTTCGTGCTCTGTGAAACACAGGATGCTAGCCCAGAATGAGTAGCGTGTGTTCGATAGTTCTTTATTTAGTCTTTGCTTTTCTCTTAACTGGGTAGTCCCAATGCCCTTATTGTGTATATAAAGTTAGGGATTTCTTTTCCAGGTTGGCGTGGAGCTGGGACGACCGGCTGTCACGAATGGCGCAGCTAACAACAAAGTGCCGGTACGACGAGGACGGAGTCTTGGAGGACGAGCCCATCGAAAAAAGGGCCGGAGGACTAAGGATGCAGCCCACGAGCTTCTCTTGCATAACGGGAAGTGGTGCTTGACGCAGTAGTGCGCCGGGAGAAGGTGAGATGATTGGCGCCCTCCTTTTCTTTCGAGCCAAACAAACGGGTCAGCTGAGTGATGAGCGCTGCCAGTGTTCTTCGATTGTGTTCGGCGGGTTCTCTCACCCTTTGCCGGGCCATAAGAGTTGGGAAACGGGCTGCGCAGCTGTGTCGGGCTATAGAAACAGAGGTGTCACCGATTACCTACTAGGGAACGCAGTTGAGTAAAAATGACTTAGCGCTTTCTCCTCGTGGGTTTGCCGGTCACCTGGAGATCTGAAGCAGGCGATTGAGGCACAAATTCGCTTGCGAACTGACGAACAAATTGTCATTCGCAGCAGAACAAAGAGGCAGCAGGGATTCAGGGAGGACAAAGATAGTGCACACACCTGTCACGCAACCCCCGAAATATGGCTGCCAGAGGGGGCTGCGTATGCTGTGGGCTCTGGGACGGGTAGTTCTGGGATCTTTCTATCCTAAACGTGGATGCAGCTCTATTGGACAGAAGATGGCTTGACCAGTGGTTTCATCCAACGTCTGGCGCTCTGTGCACAGCATGAAAATCTTCATGCACGGAGTCGTCGAGGGCCACAGCGCTTGATCAGAGTTCAAGCACCCGCATGTGGCCGCTAGGGGTTCTTTCGGCCACCAACTGTGGACATCATCGTCCTTGCGACATTATGAGGTATAAGGACGTAATGTGATACACAAGAAACCCTACAGAGAACTCCTCTTCCTGCTCGCAGGGTCGTCTGGAGCCGGACCACCTTCCACGAATCCAGGTGGAGAAGGGGGTCATGTTTACGGAGCGTCAGCACAACCACCATAGGACCAGGATTGTACTTCGGCAAGGAGGAGGGGGACGACGAGGGATGCTCGGCATTGAGGATGTAGCCATGGGCTGTAGCCCTGGGAGGGATGGAAGCCGCCCGTAGAATAATGCACGCACCAGCAACGGTGTATGCAAGCAAGAGCTGGGAGATCGAATGGCGTTGGAGGGCCAGGAACAAGCGTCAGAGGAAGCTGTGCGTCGACTGTCTTCAGGACCTTCTCGTGGTGCCGAGGGTGGTCGTTGGAGGCCATTGGTTCGATACAAGGAAACAAACGCATCTTCTCCAAAGGATTAGGATCAGACGGCACCAGGGTGTGTGTCGGAGAGGGCTTCGGGCTTCTTTGCTTTCAAAGCAGAAGCCCACTAGCCACGGAGGACTTAAGCAGAGTGGCCTATAAGGGCTACGTGGTGCCCCACTAACTGACGCTACAATGCCTAACGCGTCCAAAGCACAAGCGAGTCCAGTGCTCTTCTCTCCCTCCCTCGTACAGTCAGTACACACACGTCGAGAGCACAGGCGCAGTTTTCCCTGGATAGACACCACACTCTCTATCCACAATACCAGTCACTGCTGTCTGGAGAGCCAACGGCTCAGGCCACAGCCCCCCGTTATTGGACCCCTAGAGGTGCTCGCCTGCTGTACCTAATACCTAGGAAGTCTTACGTTTTGCCGACAAAGAAAATAGTTCACCACTGCCAACTACACCCGGCTCGCATCTTCTGCTGCGTTGCACCGTCAACAAGAAATCCTCCCCTTCCTTTCCCTGGCGACACGCCGGCCAACAACCCTTCTACCTCGTAGTCTCTCGCTCTAGTCTCGATGGCCCGGATGTAGGCCGTTGCCAGCCTTGGTCCACGATCACGATTCCTCCTCCCGCCGTCTCAGATCTCGTGTCGATCATCAATCCACCTTGCCCTCTCCTTCTCCTTCACTCGCTTTCCCGATTCGAATCACGACCACAAGTCCCGCCGCAGGGCCTAGACATATCTACTACTTCCTGGCAAGAGGCTTAGGTCGCCCTTTGTGCGGAAAATGTCATCGTGCTGAGGGATTCTTGGACTCCCGTCGAGGGTCGACAAGTCTGTGAAACCGCAGCCGGCGTCTCTCAAGACCGTCTGTGCGCTCTTCTGAACTTTGCCTCTCTTGTGCACACACGCGAGAGTGATGGCGGAAGATGGCTCCCCTCCACAGTTCCTAGAGCCACCAACGATCACCGCCCTCAAGAGTGATGCCGGCTTCGGCGGCGAGGTTAACCGCCATGCCATGGAAAGGTCATTCAGTCAAGACATTCAAGAAGGCACACAAGATCTGAAAGAGGCGGCCGAGCAGACACGGAATATTATCCTCGACCTCGGTCTCGATGGTCACATACGATGGGTCAGCCCGTCCTGGACCGACGTGGTTGGTACACACCTTGACGCGGTCCAAGGACACAAAATTTCAGAGTTCATCAGCGATAACCCGGACATCTTTGATGCCGCAATAGAGGCTCTGAAATCCAATGACTCCAAAAGCCAGTATGTCAAGTTTGCCGTCAAAATTGGCGAGTCCTCGGCCATGGCCCCGATGCTCGAAACAAGACACGGTCACGGGCTGGACGAGGACGATGTTGAGGTGGACAAGACACAATCATCAACTTTGGAGCTAGAAGGGCAGGGAATCATGGTGTACGATCGCAGTTCTGGAGGGGAATCACATTCCATGTGGATGTTGCAACCTGCACAAGACCCCGTGCGAATTGAGATCGCCCTTCCCCAAGCTCTGGTCGATACGCTCGGGGTTGGTGCTGAGATTCTGGCCAAATACCTCACTGAGTTAGCGGAGGCCGGCGCTAATGATCCTGAGAACCACCCCCCTCCTCTGCCTATTCTATGCCGGGTGTGTGAACGCTCAATCGTGCCCTGGTGGTTTGAGAAGCACTCCGACCTCTGCGTGCAGGAACACCGAGCTGAGCTCGATGTCCAAATGATCCAGGAAAATTTAGCAGAGCACCGCAACGCCATAGTCAAGGTCCTGGACGCCTTCGAGGCTCGCCAGGGACGAACCTCTACAGACAGTTCCTCCGGCCAAGCGCCGACGCCTGAGTACAAGGGTTTGCCAATTGGTCCATCCCCAGTCCAGTCCTCTGCTGCTTCATCGGCTGCTGCTTCACATACAGCTAGCCCAGTAAGATCGAGGAGCCCATCTACCGCAGGTCTTGGCCACGCTCGCGCTCGTTCGTTCGTCGTGCGAAGACCATTGGTTCGAGTTGTCGAATTAATCCTTGATCTGTGTGACACTGCCATTGAGATCAATGTACCTTCAATCAAGGATAGCAAGAGCAGCGATGACGACGACGAATTCAGGTCACAATCACCCCAGTCAGAGTCCAGGATATCCCAGATTATGCAATGGCAGGCCCCCATCAGCTTAGAGAACGAGCCTGGCTTGGCCGCCCTGAGTGCTGATACTGAAAAGCTCGCTCGGTCAAAGGTTGACGCTGTTCGTCGCCACCAGTATGTTCTTGAGTACTCGGAACGCATTCGGCAAGAATACATGGCTGAGGTCGATGCCTGTATCAATGAAGCCCTCATCAAAGCCGAACGGGTAGCTGCGGGAGAGACCTTATCAAGCGACAGTGAATCTGAAATGGATCCTGCACTTCAGGGCATTATTGAGAGCGCTGGAGAGGACGAACAACCTACGCCATTGGCGGGAGAGCCCGAAAATAGTCCAGCAGGATCATATGTTGGATTAAGATCAATGGCGTCGGCCCTACGGAATCCCAGAGACATCCCCTACATTTCCATGAAAGACCAGCGACGCTCTTCCTCACAAGCTGTGTCGACGGGTTCGAGCAGTCCAATCGAATGTCCCACTCCAAAATCTCACAAAAGTAATCTCATATCGCAACCACAGCCAGTCTCACATAGGCGCTCCATTCATCTTGACGATGCCAATGACAGCGACGGCAGTCTACCCTCATCATCGATCATATCGAACACCTGGAGGCCAGAGTCGCCAGCTTCCGTTACTGAACATGGCCGGTCTGCCCATTCACGAGACCGTAAGAGACGAAGCCTTCACCTCCATGGGCTTAACTCGGCTTCTCCTCATCGTCAACAATCCCCCGGAAGATACCCGCCACCTCCACCTTCACCCCTTCGCATGACGAAGTCAAGAATTCCAAGCGGGGAGATTGCCCAGTCGCCTGTTGTGTCCCCCTTACTCACAGCTGGCGAGTACATGCCCCCAGCCCCGGGCCCCCGGCTGCACAGAAGACAATCATCGATACATTCGGCTGACAAGACACCCTCTTCACCCCATCTGAACTCGATAAGCCATCCTCAGCAACGTGCGCAACCTCCCTCAATAAAAGATTTCGAGGTTATCAAACCGATCAGCAGAGGTGCTTTTGGCAGCGTGTATCTGGCAAAGAAGAAAATTACCGGAGAGTACTTTGCTATCAAGGTGCTCCGCAAATCAGATATGGTCGCTAAGAATCAAGTGACCAATGTCAAAGCGGAGCGTGCCATTATGATGTGGCAGGGCGAGAGCGACTTTGTGGCAAAGCTGTACTGGACCTTTTCGAGCAAGGACTTCCTTTATCTGGTGATGGAATATCTCAATGGCGGTGATTGTGCTTCGCTGGTGAAGATTCTAGGAGGCTTAAGCGAAGACTGGGCCAAGAAATATATTGCTGAGGTCGTTCTTGGAGTAGAGCACTTGCACAGTCGGGGAATTGTCCACCGTGACCTGAAGCCTGACAACCTTCTCATCGATTCCAGGGGGCATTTGAAGCTGACTGATTTTGGTTTGTCTCGGATGGGACTCATTGGCCGGCAAAAACGTGCTCTCAAGCAACCCGATGAACCTGCCCCAGACTTGTTGAAGCAAGGCCCCTTTACACAATCTGGCACTGGGTCGGGCTCGAACCCTACTTCGAGATCTGCTTCCTTCGATTATGAGGGCCCACATTCGCCTGCGTCTACACCATTGATGACACCAGCTCTGGCGGGGGGCCTCGACCAACCTTCGTATTTCAATCTAAATCGAGAAAGCTCCCTTACCAGAGAGCTGTCCTGGAGCAGAGGTGGTCAAAGAAGCGACAGTGGCAGCAGTTCAACCTTCGATCTTCATCATCTCTTCAAGAAATTAGGCGTACACGAGAACAACGACGTTGCATCTCAGCCGGTGCTCCGCTCTCATGCTGTGGACGAAGAGTCCTACAGTGTGGGGAGCCAATCGCCGGACATCTTTCCACTATCTCAATCACTGAGTAACATCTCCCAACCACCGCCACCACCCGCCTCCTCGCAAGTCCTACCTCCTTTGTTTGATGGCGAAGAGAGCGGCAGAAAATTTGTGGGAACACCAGATTATCTGGCGCCAGAAACGATCAATGGCACTGTTCAAGATGAGATGTGTGACTGGTGGGCACTGGGATGCATCATGTTTGAATTCCTCTACGGCTTTCCCCCCTTCAATGCGGATAGCACTGAAGAAGTGTTTGACAACATTTTAAACAGAAGGATTGCTTGGCCAGAGGATGATGAGATTGAGGTCAGCTCTGAGGCAAAGGACCTTATCAACAAACTGATTCAGCTGGATCCAGCTGACCGCCTTGGGGCTAACAAAGAAGAAATCTATCCAAGCGGTGGTGCCGAAATCCAAGCCCATCCTTGGTTTTCCGATATCAACTGGGAGACGTTACTTGAAGATGAGGCTCAATTCATTCCAAATCCCGAACATCCAGAAGACACCGAGTACTTCGATGCTCGTGGGGCGACTCTCTCCTCGTTCCCGGAAGAGCTCGAAGATCAGGTCTCTCCCTCCGGAACAACACCAAATGGACCAGATTACCCAAATCGTCCCCATGATGCGCTTCTTCGAGTGAGGACGCAGGCAGCTTCCTCTAAACGAGGTCTCATGCCTCTCCATATTCCTCCTCACGTAGCACGGGATTCTCGGAGTCGACGATTGAGTGAGCCTGTGATCGCGGATGATTTTGGAAATTTCACTTTCAAAAACCTGCCAGTCTTAGAAAAGGCGAACAAAGATATTGTGGAGAAAATGCGGAAGGAGGCAATGCAAGCCCAAGCTCGTGGATATTCACATTCGCAAGCTATCTCTGTGGCTAACAGCCCTGCTGTGGGTTCTCCTGCCCCTTCGTTGGAGGGGAGCCCCATGATGCCAATGCCCGTGAAACGTGCTTTATCCATCAGCAAAGGCCATCGACCAGGCTCGCCTTCTAGCTTGGGCGGCACTTCGAACTCATCACCCAGCAGACCTTCTCAGCCTTCGTCGCCGCTCCTGGTCCAGTTCTCCGCTGCACAGCATCACGAGAGGAGGAAGACTTCTGGTTCATCCCAAGGAAGCAGCTCTTTAAACCCTGGAAGCTTCTTTGACATACCTCATGACGCTGTCCGCCACAATGGTCAGATTTCAGCTTCGCCAGTAAAGACAGCCCGCGCGCCGACAGTTTCCCCAGCAAAAGTCATGAATCCGCCTCAGCGACAATCCAGTGCCAGTACCACTGGGCGCACCCGATCACAGACAGTTGGTTCTCAGGAGAGCGACGGTCAGTCAACGAGAGATGGCTTCATCCCCGGGCATTACAAACGAAAGAGCCAATTGCTCGCGCGAGACGTGTCGCCCTCGTCTTCAGACAACGAGTCGGCTCAAGCTAAAGCACTGCTCAAGGTGCAACGCCGGAGACAGAGTTCGAGACGAATGTCACAAATCAATTTTGTTGATGGCCCTGTTTATCGTCCGCTGGATGTCTTGATCTGTGAAGACCACCCTGTCTCTCGGATGGTCATGGAAAGGCTCTTGGAGAAGCTTCGATGTCGGACTGTGACAGCTACTAATGGACCTGATGCTCTGCGACTAGCAGTGAGTCAGATTCAATTCGATATCATCTTTATGGAGTTCAAGCTCCCCCTTATCAACGGTGTCGATGTTGCTCGAATGATTCGAGACACGAAAAGCGCCAACACACATACCCCTGTTGTGTGCATCACAGGCTACCTCAAAGATTTGCCCGAAGCCCACCATTTCGACACTCTCATGCAGAAGCCGCCGACGTCCCAAAAACTGTCAGAGATGCTCTGCAAATACTGCTCATGGAAACCTCCGCCGAAAGACTTCAAACTTGCTGCTCCGCTCCACATTCCGCCCATCAATCCCCGGGTTGAACATGCACATACTCAAGACAGCCCAAGCTCTGTAGCATCTAGCCTTGCACCGACGATGCCTGACTCATCATACAAAGGATCGGCTCGAGAAGATTCGATTGGCAGCGGCGGATTCTTCAGTGATATTGAATCCTTCAAGAGTGACGACATTCCTGTCATCGTGTCTCGAGCTGCTACAGACGAGTGGGCGAAGGGCGGGCTGGGTATCTCTGATGACATTGTCATCGGACGGAAGCCATACATACAGAGCGGGTTCCCTCACCTTGTTCATACCGAGTCCGCTCCCGCAAGTGCACACGTCGAAGAGCCTCCAGGATTTGGACTTCGTACTCCACGGCGCCAGAAGTCCTCCGAGATAGTCAAGCAGAAGAGAGACAGGCTGGAAAAAAACATGCAGAATCCGAGTGGCGCTGCTGAAGAGGGGGACGATGAGGATGAAGAATTGGGGGACGTCCAGGCCCGTTCTCGTTCACCTTTGAGCAAAGCCGGCCGACCAACCTCCAAGCTCGGGATTGAAATGATGCGTACAAACAGCCGTGGAAGCGTCATCTCGATGACCGACGACAAGTCGGGCGAGGCTGATAACCTCCGGCAATCCTTGGAGATTCTGGAAGAGCGCATGGAAAGTTTGACTATACCCGAGGAACCATCTCAAGCTGCCATTGTTGCCAGCCAACCTCGGAAAAGTCTAGAAAGAGCGGCTTCTTATCACTCTCACCCTGAACAAGAGTGCGAACGTCGTCCTAGCCATGGACAGATCACCCCACCGGTTATTTTTCCTCGCAAGCCGGGAGCACAAGTCGCACCCATCGATGCCGGCGCTGAGGTAACACCTACCGCAAACAGAACGCTCGATAAGGAGGAAGAAGAAGCTACGCCGAAGCCACTGGGTAGTCCTTCTGGAGCTTCCCTTTCACGGACCATTATCGATGATTGATTCCATTCTTTTTTTTTCTGATGTATGCACAACCACTGCTTTATTTCACAATATTTGCTTGCACGACAGAGTCCGAATTTCTTATGTTGAGAACGATTTGCAAGGCGCTGGCGGCGAGAATTCTACGGGAGTTGTTGCTGATTATGCAAAAGTGCATCAATGTATTTTTTTTGTTTGTTGTTCAAGGTGTATTTGTGTATGCTTGGGCCCATGCCGGTAATGGGAATGAAAACAGGTTACGAGCTGGAAATCCGTCTGCTGGCGCAGCCTCTCTTTCAATAGAAAGAAGATTACGTATCATTGCTTCTATTACGGCCGAGGGCCTGTGGGCTATCTACTTCTATGCATATTGTTCCCTGTTTTCTTGGTGGACACTGAGGTCTTTTCTCGGCGGTCTGGAGTCTCAAACCATACAATGGATGCATGGTCCAGAGCACAGGATCGGCTGTGACCGAACGTGATGGATCCTTAGATTGTCGAGGAACAGACGTGGAACCTTTTTGGGGGGTGCGGCTGGGACTTCCGAGTTTTCTTTTCTTTTCAATGTGAACGACATGATTAATACGAGCCAAGCCCCGGTGGAGGGCGAATATCATAACACACTTCCGATTGATCACAAGCCCGAAATGTGACCTTCCCTTTGTAGCAAATATTGCTTTGACTCGCTTGTCTCTCTGAAGTCAATGACGAGGGCTCGGCGTAGTATGTATGCGCGGTTATTGCAGGCATTCTCCTGAGCCTCGGACAATGCGGCGAGGAAGATAAGGGAATCTGGGACTGTAGGGGGCCATTTCCAAAGGTCCTCCGAGATGTTGGATGCGACGTGGTCGTGTGCCATGGCCCATGTACCTCCCTGTATGTGTGGTGTGGTATATGTACCTGTGTATGCGTGAAATCAGCGGCGTGCCGATTCCGTCTTGGCTGTTCTTGGCATTTCCGCCCCCGATAACCCGGCCAGGGGGGGAGGTGGCCAATGTCAATCTCGCATTTGTGCAGTAGCAACGTCAAGCATGGACTTGGCATCTCTTGTGTCGCTGCAAGCAGTGTGAAGCTTTTAGGCGCTACTGGGCTTAGCGACCGCCGTGGTGATCCTGTTCTGTGAAGTCTGTATGGCATTGAGACCCAGAAGGGATCGCTGCTCCGCGTAAAGTCGCACACATTGTAAACTCCACATGAAACCTCGCTTCACGAGGATTGACGATCTCTGGGCCACACTCATCCCACCCAGGATCTCTCCAGCTTGATATCTCATGGGATTGGCCACCTCTCGCTACGAGACAGTTGGAAGACCTGGATCGCCCTGCCCGGTGATAACGTGGTTACACCCAGTTGACAGCAGATGCCCCCCCTCCATGCAACCAAAGGATTGACAAAGGTAGGTGCCAGGGGCCTTGGGGATTTATGTCCTCGTGTGCCCACAGAAAACTTCTCGAACCCTTCCATTCCTATGCAAATTCTGCATTGTTTGCTCGTAGTCCTTTGAAAATCGTCATACCTTGCAGAGACTGCGACCATGGCCGACCACGAAGTCAATGTAGCTCAGTATGCACCCTCCCACCTGGCAGAGATTATGACCTCTCTGCTAACCCGCACAGGCTGCATGGTGAAAGCAGACAGGACATCGAGCCTTCGGAAAAGATCACCCGCGACGTCCTCGGCGGCCCGTTGAACGCCGACCCGAAGTCGTTGCCCAAGGCTGGCGAACATGGCTTCACGAGCTTAGCACCAGCCGAAGCTATGAGCGACGACACTGAAACGGAAGCAACTCCAGACGGAGAGGAGCCAACTGCACACGAGAGGAAGACACTGAGACACGTGGGAGAGAGTCTGCCATTTGCGACCTTCTTGGTTGCCTTCGTCGAATTGTGCGAACGATTCACCTACTATGGTTGCCAGGGTATCTTCCAGGTGCGGAATACCCAACTCCGGTGGTATCTTTAGGGGGGACGACTGACAATCGGTGTAGAACTACGTCCAAAGACCTCTTGATGGTTCTGAAGGACGAGGAGCTCTTGGTATGGGCCACCAGGGCGCGACCGGCTTGACGACTTTCTTTAGGTAAGATTTCCATCTAGTCTGCGAGAAGCACAGCCGACTGACTGGTGGCAGCTTCTTCTGCTACGTTACCCCCATCTTTGGGGCCATCGTTGCCGATCAGTATGTTGGAAAATACAAGGCCATCCTCTATTTCTCAGTCGTATACATCATCGGCCTCCTCATTCTGTGGACGACCGCACTGCCATCATCGTTGAACCATGGCGCCGGACTGGGTGGCTTCATCACCGCCATCATTGTCATCGGAATCGGCACCGGTGGTATCAAGTCAAATGTCGCCCCGCTGATTGCTGATCAGTACAAGAGACGCAAGATGGCCATCATGACTACTCCCAAGGGCGAACGTATCATCATCGACCCTTCGGTGACCATCCAGAGAATTTACATGATCTTCTACACTTGCATCAACATCGGAGCCCTGTCTCTTTTGGCCACCCCTTATATGGAACGCGACATAGGCTTCTGGTCGGCGTACCTGCTGTGTTTCTGCATGTTCTGCGCCGGTACGACTGTACTTGTCTTGGGCCGAAAGGTGTACGTCGTGCGTCCACCGCAAGGCTCCATCATTACAGATGCTTTCAAGTGCATCTGGCTTATGATCAGATATCGTCACGAAGATGCTCCCAAACCATCCTGGCTTGCTGCGCACGGAATTACAAAGACAGTGCCTTGGAACGATCACTTCATTGATGAGTTGAAGAGAGCACTCATTGCCTGCAGAGTCTTTGCCATCTACCCAATTTACTGGTTGGTCTACGGTCAGTTCAGGTATGTTTGTCATGCTCCGACACATGGTATCTCGTAACAGAAGCTGACGTTGTGCAGCGGAAATTTCGTCACCCAGGCTGGTCAGATGAAAGGCCATGGAATCCCCAACGACTTAATGCAGAACTTCGATCCTGTAAGACATCCAGAGGTGCATGTCGCGATACCTGTGACTGACCATGTCAGATTGCCATCATCGTCTTCGTTCCGGTGCTCGACCGCTGGGTTTACCCGCTTCTTCGCAAGATGCGAATTCCGTTCCCTCCAATCAACCGAATCGTCCTTGGGTTCTGGGTGGCCTCTCTCGCCATGGCGTATGCTGCCATTGTGCAGCACTTGATCTACGTGTAGGATGCTCGTTTTCCCAAGGTGTACATTTCGCTGATGAAAAGCAGTTCCGGTCCGTGCTACGACCAGCCATTGTGCGATGCATCTATCGTCGATGGAGTTGCGCAGGGAAATAACATTCACATTGCCATTCAGACGCCAGCGGTAAGATACCATGAGGACGTTTATTCGATATAACAGAAGTGCTGACTCGATACCACAGTATATGCTCATTGGTATCTCAGAAATCTTCGCCTCGGTGACTGGTCTGGAGTATGCATACACGAAGGCACCACCAAGCATGAAGAGTTTCGTTCAGTCCATGTACCTGTTGACCAATGCGTTCGGTTCTGCTTTGGGTGAAGCGTTGACGCCGGTCGCATATGATCCTGCGATTCTGTGGATGGTAAGCTGGATTTTGATTGCGAGATGAGCCTGACTGACGAGGAAATAGTTCGTTGGCCTTGCTGGTGCATCTTTCGGGGCTGGCTGTGTAAGTGCTATCGTGCCATCGGTAACTGAAACCAAATCTAACATGCATACAGCTCATCTGGATTCTATTCCATCACCTCAACGCCCAAGAAGAGGAATTGAATGATTTGGATTCGGACGTGGATGATGTGAGTCGATTCTCCGGGTCAATTTGCTCATGGGACTTGAGGAGAACTAACGTGCCACGCAGGAGGGAGGATACCGCAAGGGCTCAAAGGTCACATATTAAGCCTCAGATTATCCGGAACAAGACGGTGAATGTGGTGAGAAGGTCGCACTAGTAGACTAGAACTCTGGGTACGGATGAAGGCGTCGGCGGCACCTTCTGGTGGCTCGCAACAAAAGTGTACAGCTTCTAGAACAAATCCGGAAAGCGAGAGAAAATAAAGCTGCGAAGCGTGACCATGCATCACTCGAACAGCAAGTTTCCTTGACTCCCTTGTACATTCACTTGAAGGTCGGTTTGCCTCAAGCCAGGTCGATGAAAGGATCACAAAAAGAAAGAAAGAAACCAAAACGACTGTTACATTCGTCTGTATTGTTTGCCTCGCGACTAGACTACAGCCCAGGTGGCCCCAGGGGAATCTTGTGCGAAAGGCAAATTTGTGTTTGGGTATTTAATATGAGTTTGGGGAGGATTGATAAGCTTGGAGCGGTCTGTTTCTGGCGTTCTCTGCTCGAGGTCTTTGAAAGACAGGGGGGAGGAGGGGGTTGTTGTGTGTGTGTGGTGTCAACCGGTGATGGAGAGTTCCTTCGTACGGCATCCATCGCCTATCGGTGAAGGCGTCGTATTTGTGGCCTTGCTTACTTATTAGTTTCTACTGTACGGGGTGAGAGGACCCAGGCACTTCTAAATTCCTGTTTCCCACACTTGTTGTGTTGGTCTGACTGATTCTCCACCTCACCCCCATGTGGTTGTGGCGGCCTCTTAACTAGATGGTAGGGGGTATAGAGTTCTCAGCCTCAATTTCAGCTCCTTGCTTACAGCAGTCTTTTGTAAGAAAAAAAAAGTACCAGGTGGAGAATCCGCGCACTCTCGACACTACGAGGAGGCGGTAAAGGTAGATCAGATGGATTTGAATGCTTTGCGATCGGTGGTGTCGCGGACAGTACAATTTACGACGGAGGAGGCGGTGTGGATTTGGAATGCTTTATGGTGGTAGGTGATGTTGCACGAGAAATGCCTTTGTTTGGAGACAGACGTCTGCCGTCCATATCGCCATGTTGACGACACGGAGGACGACTTTCATGAACTGCTTACCGTCTGCAGATCAGCATCCCTTGCCGTCGTGCCTGGGACACCTTACTTGACTGCGCACGCTCCGTACGCCTGAGCCCGAAGGAGAAGCACCTTCGCCACCTAACGAGAAAGGTGTGGATTGGCTGGGTGCAATGTTTCCGTTCGGGTGGCGGATTTCTTCGTTCCGACACTCAACAGATAGGTAGGTGCCTTTTGTTCAATGTCCGGGTCAGCTTAACGAGGACCAATAATAATGGCGACGAAGTGTACCTGGGGGCGGCGCAGGGGAAGACGATAGCAGGGAAGACTCGACTCACACTCAGACTTGGGACCTTCTCCCTCACTTTACTTGGCTTTGTCATGCTCAGCCTATACATACACAATTCCTTGACGACCAGACGAGACGCCTTTGAAATTCCACGCTGTGGCGATACGTCTCTGATTTGAAAAGCTAGGGACTTTGATTCTTCAAGCATATGATGTTGCCTGCGATATCCTCCAAGAAATAAGGGAAGTGATCGTCACGGCCGGGGCAGATTGCCAGAAGAAGCGTTGAGAAGCGCAACGACCATAGCGAACCTCTCCTCCAAGCAACAAGAAACATGGCTGGCACTGACGCTTCCCTGACACTGACGCACAGTGCGACCTCGACGAGTACAACACAAGCGGCTGTTTCGACATCCCGGACGGGCTCAAAGTTACTCACATCGCGAAACATGGAGATAGCAGGCGTTTCTGCTGCTACTGGAGTTCTGTGCACGCTTGCCATCGGTCTCTGCATATTCTGCTGTCTGCGGCGGCGACGACGCCGACGGCAGACGAACGTGGGTCGCCAATCACGACCAAGATACAAGGCCGGGGTTCGTGAGATAGTCCGGTACCAAGGACAAAATGACAGGAGTCGATCACGAACTGGTAAAACGGCCCATCACAAGCCCCTCTCTGAGAGCGAGCAAGTACTGACGATGTATCAGACTCGGTAGCATCACGGGATCCCTATCGCCGCGAAGTTACGCCGGACGTGATGATACCAGCGGCATATGCCCCTTCGTCCACATTCAGTTCCATGGCGAGCAAAGAACACGATCTTGAGCCGCAGGAGATGATGGGTCTTGGACTGAGCGTGGATGACTTCAACAGACGGAGCAGATCTCGGTCGCCCGTACACAGTCTCGAAGAACCTGTTGAACTTGCCTCGCAGCGTTTTTCGGCTGTCAATCCACACGTCGATGACGATGGCACTGTTCGGGAGGCTAGACATGGTCGCAGGAAGGACAGATCCTCAGGGCTGCTCCGGAGTACTCCCGGGATACAGAACCTCAGGGTGGAAATGAGCAGAAGCAGGAGTCCTTCAGCCAGTCCAGGAAGAAGGCTGCTACCGCATGGGTAGCGACTAGAGACCAATACAGATGGACAATTGGGATCTCCCTTATCTTCATTGGACTTGGCTGTTGTATCCGTACAATAGCAAGCAAACACGGACGAAATGTGATGTGCAAAACGCGTGTCTTGATTCGCGAGGAGATTAAAAGGCTGGAGGTGACCATTCCACATACAGCTAGCCCTGCCTTAGCCTTTTCACGTGACCGAGATTTTTTTCCGAGTCTCATCAGTAGAAAGTTGGTTTTATTGGCGACGCTGTACATTTACCTGTATGGACTTGGAGAATAAACAATTGGCTCTATGTTGATAGGGCGACAAATACCTAGGGCAGGTCTTCGTTTCTTTAGAGTGACTGCTGGTCGGTCGAGAAGGTCTATTCACTGGAACCCTTTTGTACAGACTTACAAGGAGTATCTACGCGACGCTCAGCCTGTGCCGTTGGAGAGAAAATCAAATCGCGGAAGTCAGGGTATCTCTCCACCGGGCGAGTACGATGCGGAGAGCATAGCAACGTCGATTGAAGGAAAACTCAAGATGATAAAACCCCAACCGCCAAAGCGGAAGAAGTTCAGTCGAGCACAGATTGAAGGCACGCCAGACGAAGTCCTCACTTTCGAAACGCAGAAGCTCTTGCGCAAAGCAGCCTCGGATGATCCAAGCGAAGCGAATGGTGATTCGAAGCCCTTCACTCCTCTAGAGTCTGGGACGCAGCTCGAACTCGAGATCGTGGAGCTTTCATCAACGGGTGACGGACTGGCGTTTTCTCCAGACCGGAAACACGTCTACGTCGTCCCATTTTGCGTCCCTGGAGATCTCGTCCTCGCAGAAACGTTCAGACAGAAGCCGCATCCGACACACACCTTTGCGTCATTCGTCGAAGTTGTGCGGCCGTCCCCGAAGCGCGAGGGTGTTACGCCCGGGTGCAAGTACTTTTCAAAGTGCTCGGGATGTCAGCTCCAGATGATCCCGTACGAGGAGCAACTCAAGCACAAGAAGACGATCGTGGAGAAGGCGTTTCAGAACTTCTCTAACCTCGACCCATCGCTCATCCCGCCCGTCGGCGAAACCATAGGATCACCGCTGCAATACGGGTACAGAACGAAGCTTACGCCTCACTATGACGGACCTCCCAGAAGAAACCCAAAGTTCTGGACGGACAATCCACCCCCGATAGGTTTCTCCATGAAGAACCACAAGGTTCTCGACATCGAACAATGCCCTATAGGCACGCCTATCCTCAATGAAGGCATGGCCCTCGAGCGCAAGAAGGCCCATGAGACGTACAAGACACGCAAGAACGGCGTGACTATTCTTCTTCGTGAATCTACCAAGCGCGTCATGAAGAGATCATCACCGTCTCCTCCTCCTCCTCCTGCCGCTGCCCCTGCTTCTCCTCCTAAGCGTGCGACGTCCCTGGTACCGCCTTCTGCCAGCGAAATCCGAACGGACGACCGTGACTACACCATCATCCCTGTGCCTGAACCGACCGAGGAAACTCGTCACGTCCGCCTTCCAGACGCGCCGGAGATAACGTACACTTATCCTACGCACAAGGACATCAAAACCTACACGTCGCTCACCCACGACTTCACGACCGAATACGTCGGCGACTTCACGTTCGTGTCGAGAGCGAACAGCTTTTTCCAAAACAACAATTCCATCCTACCGACTTTTATGAATTACGTTCGAGAACACTGTATTCCGGCATCAGCGTCGTCGCCGTCAGTGTCCAGTGGTCCAACTTCAGCAGCAGCACCAACAGCTGCCGCTACGACACCACCACCGGGAAGTACAGATGATGCCACCACCACTAGCACAACAATGAAGACATCGACGGTTTCGGCCACTGCTCTCGCCAGCACCAGCTCCAGCAACGAACCACCGATCAAATACCTCCTTGACGCGTACTGCGGCAGCGGCCTCTTCGCAGTCTGCCTCTCGCCGCTCTTCAGCTCGGTGCTAGGCATCGACATTGACGCCATGGGCATCGAGGCGGCGCGCGAGAACGCCAAGCTCAACCACATCCCCAACGCAGGCTTCATCGCCGCCGACGCCGACGTGCTCTTCGCCGACGTGCCGTTCCCGCCGGACCAGAGCCTCGTCGTCATCGACCCGCCGCGCAAGGGCGCCAGCGTCGACTTTCTCCGGCAGCTGTGCAACTTTGGACCCAAGCGCGTCGTCTACGTGAGTTGCAACGTGCACACGCAGGCCCGGGACGTGGGCATGCTCGTCACCGGCCTGGGCAAGAAGTGGAGGTACGAGATCGAGAGTCTGCGGGGCTTCGACTTTTTCCCCCAGACGGGACACGTCGAGGGACTGTGCTTCCTGAACCGAGTGCCACAGGCGGACTGAGTCGGTTCACTCACAACTAGGTGGCCCTACTCAGGACCCAGGGTGAACCTCCAAAGGCAGACAAACAATCTACAGAGGTTACAAAGACACATGCCAACGTTCTCCATTCTCTTCAAAGCTTTGATTTTCTCTGGAGAGCATTTCGACAAAGCGTGTATAGATAGCGTTTATACCAGGAAGACGTTTCCTCATACAGCGACAAATGGTGCTGTCGCTCTGACGTGTGAAGAATCGACTCGATTTCATTTTCTGCCCAAGGCGTCTTTCTTTTTTGGTTTCGCATAGTCCACATCAAACGTAGACATCGTTCTACCCACGTAACTATGAACTTCCCGGCCCACCAAGCAAGGCAAATCTCCGGACGATGCTAGGTCCAACCTCATCATACTCTGCTTTTGTGTGGCAGTAGCTCCGGAACTCGGGAGTTGAGGCCAGAAGACTTCCACCAAACCACGGCCCGTGCCTTTGTCGTTTGTGGGTGACGACCTGTACATCTAGACCACCGCTTTTGGCGCCTCCACTTCGTACTTCAGATGCTCGAATCCGTGCATCAACCAAATGTCTAATGTCTCGCTGTAGCCTACGACCAAAGTCCTTGTACAATGTCGAACCACCGGACAAAACAATATTCTTGTATAAGCCTCGGCGAACATCAATCGGAGAGGATTGAATAACCCCGTCAACAACAGTAGGTAGTGGCGTGAGGAAGTCGGAAGAATAGATCTCGGGGTTGAAAAAGATCTCCGGGGCAAGGAAGCGTTCGTAGCCAACGTCGATGGTGACAGATCTACCGTTAGGAGAAGTGACTGTATGCTTGAGGAAACGATCGGGCTCCTTGTCGTATCGCGCGAACTCCTTGACGATATCCGGACAGACATAGCAGTATTCTTCCTTGACCTTTTCCGCCGTCTTGAGACTGCTATCAGGTTCTCCTCGGTCACGCAACAAGCTTTGTACGAAATATGTGATGTCTCGGCCTGCAATTGGTATGCTCTTTATCGATGAACCAATAACGTAACCTTCCGCTACTGGGATAACGTGCGTAACACCATCACCAGAATCAATGACAGTCCCGGTCAGAGATCTGTCGACCACTTTGGAAGATGTCCAGGATGCAGCCAACGCTAGCACGGCTTGTACCGCAATGTAGAGACCGGCGCAGTTGAAGGACTCGAACATAATTTCGGCAGTGTTCTCGCGATTCTCAGGAGGGTTCAAGGGCTAGCCAGCCGTTAGTAAACGAACCCATGGAAGCATTCCACTCTACCCACCGGTTCCGTGAGCAAGAAGTAGTGGTCCTCTGGCTCGACTCGTAAGTATTTGAATATGGAATTCGACCAGAATCGTTCCATATAATCCCAATTTTCTATCTGACCGTGCCTGATCGGATAGTTTATACTGTAGCCAGGGCCGGAGGAGGCTGCGAGAGCCTCGTCCCCAATGAAGAAGTCGAGGTCTTCTGTTCCGCGCTTTGCTGCCAGATTCGAACTTGGTCCAGCACCGCCGGTGAGATACGAGGGTTTGTTGGCTGGAGCCGGTCTCCCCGAGCCTGACCCTGCCGCTCCACCTCCAGGGCCTTTCATCGCAATCGCCGTAGGGAACACCCATGAAGGAGCATCGTTCCCGGCAAATCCTAACAGCGCACATGTCAGACGAGTAGGGTGGAAGAGAAAATAGGCGCACCAAGTTTTGAGAAACCAGTTCCGCTGAGGCTTTGTTAGCACTTGGTCTGAGAGAGGAGCGGCTTTACTCACTTGTCCATGACAACGGCTGGCGTCTGGGACGCCATGTTGCGGACCGGGGTGCGAGGGACCTGAGACTACAGACGCAGGAGTGACAGATGAGGTGAGAGAACGGAGCCGTGGATATCAGAGACAGCAGACACTTCTCATGGCATCAGCAGGGGTAGCAAAGAGGGTGTGCGCGCTTTCAAGAAGCCAGATGGTGGTGCACTGGAGGTCGCAGGCAGCTTCAATATGGCTGATTGAGCGACCGTGAGATGCTACGAGTGCAGCAACGCTAATAGTGGGCTGGGGTGGTGGAATCCAGCCACGTGACTATCGTGGCTCTGGTTAGTCAGCAACTGAGGCTCCGGCGGCTCATAAATGGCTGTGACTGTGGCTGCTGCCAACGTCGCGATTGCATTCGCACAGTCTTCTAGATACCGCTTCGTCGTCCTTGCCGTCTTCTATTCCTCCTGCCCAGTTGCTGCCACCATTGCAAGGGGCGTTGACGAGAAATGTATGAACAGCGTCGTCGTTGAAAAGGGTAAGAGCCTGGTCGCTGCTGGGGTCTGTGTCTGCCAGCAAACGAGGATCCAGGTCTCCCCGAAATGTTTGTTGCTTGGTTCGTTGTGTGTTCTGGTAACCAGCACCTCACTTGACGGCGTGGGCTGCCCTCTTCTTTGTATCCTTCTTCTGCCCAAACTGCGTGCCAGCATTCTACAACTGCATTCATTCATGAGGCGTGCAGACGCTGAGTACTTTTACATTGAATAAGACCAGTCATTCACTTGAGTGTTCTTCAAAACTCACCGCATTCATTTGACTGCACTCTCATCCTTCTTTCACTATCCATCCACCAACGTTTCTCTCATCTGCAACCTGCTACTCTGGTGGCCAAGTAACGTCTTCAATCAGAACTATTCAATTCAGATTCCACGCGAAGGGGTCCCTCATTTTCAACCGACTTCTTTATGTCATCAAACCCTAGCGCTTCTCGATGCCTCGACGACGAGAAGGTGGCGATCTCTGTGCCATCTTCATCCATGCCGGAGCCGGTTTCCACAGTCGCCTGAATGAGAAAATTCATCTGGCTGCCGTCAACGATGCTGCACTGGTCGCCATGGCGGTCTTGAAGAATGGAGGGAGTGCCACCGACGCTGTTGAAATGGCCATTAGGCTTCTCGAAGATAAAGAGATTACAAATGCTGGGTACGGGAGTAATTTGACCATGGACGGCTCAGTCGAATGCGATGCTACACTGGTCGATTACAAGGGTCGCAGCGGCGCTGTGGGGGCGATGGCTCAGGTGAAGAACCCCATCGCAGCAGCCCGCATCGTCCTTGACGAATCGATCAAACCGTTGACACTTTCACGTGTTCCACCGAATCTACTTGTCGGAGCAGGAGCCACTGACTTCGCCCATGCAAAGGGGCTACCCATACTGCCACCTGACTTCCTGGTGTCAGCGGGCGCTCGAGATCGCTGGATGCGGTGGAAACAGGACTTGCGGAATGTAGAAGACAGGGCTAGCAGGACCCAGACTCTCGAGCAGAGACCTGCTAGCGGGCAGCTCACTGTGTCTCCCAAGTCTAGCAGGACCCGCACTGCCAACCAAACCGCTCCCCCTGAACGACAATCGGATCTACCGTCCATATCCTCTGTCATTGAGTCCGTTCAAGATGTGCCTGCCGGTAGCACACTCACTCGCAGTCGAGAAGACAGGTCGAGCTTGCCGAATGCAGGAGGCACGGTATCAAGCAGAGCATCAATATCAACCCCAGACAACGAAGCCGACAATGACTCTGGAGTCGATGATAATCTCCAATGGCTAGCGTCGCCTCCTAAACGGCAGAAAATGAGCGGCCCGTCAGATGGATCAATGGATTTCGAAAATCCACTCACCCAATCAGAAGCATGCCTGACAACAAAGCAGGACTCCGACGAGAATGAAGGACGAGAGGATGATATTACAGATACTGTCGGAGCCATTGCTGTCGACTGCTTCGGTCGAATAGCTGCGGGCTCGTCTTCAGGAGGCATCGGCATGAAGCGCAAAGGTCGGTGTGGTCCAGCAGCACTTGTCGGGGTCGGGACTGCAGTCATCCCCGTCGACCCAGACGACCTCTCCGAAACGTCTGTAGCCACACTAACGAGCGGCACGGGTGAGCACATGGCAATTACAAGCGCTGCAGCCATAGCGGCGGAGCGCATCTACACTTCGACGAGAAAAAGAGAGACGCGGCTCGAGCGGTGTAACGAGGATGAAGCCTTGCATGCAGTGATTACTCGAGATTTCTTGCAACATCCAGGAGTTGCCAGCAGTCCCTGTCAAGGTGCAATTGGGATTTTGGCGGTGAAGAAGACTCGCGACGGGATTTACTTTTATTTCGGACACAGTACAGAGTCCTTCGTGATTGCGTCAATGCATTCCGAGGAACGCAGGCCGGTTTGCACCATGTCGCGAAACAATGGGCCGGGGTCTATCGCACAAGGCGGGCGGGTTTCACGGTCGCGGACGTGATGATCTCTGCAAAAGTGAGGGCTCGAAATGCCTTGGCTTCTGGAAAGAGTTGATGTCGAACCGAGCCGCCTCAATGACAAAGTTTGTAACAGTATGGAGATGGAGCAAACGCTGCAGATGGACGGAATGTCTGCTGAAGCGGCAAAGATCAGCGTTACTCTGAAGATGCACGAGATGACAGGGACGGTGAACAAGCGGTCATGGGTGGACCTATCATCAGACAAACCTAGCACTCACTCTTGAAACACGAGACACCTAAGCATCTCCAAGCACCGAATACCCATGTACAGATAATCAAAATCCTATTTCTATTGCTACAGCCAACACAAGGTGGTTAGTAGGTGTTATGCGTTCTCTGGATATTGTGTCTGTCTTAGAATTTGGTTATGTTGTGGGATCTCTTAGTTTCTCGATCCCGTTTTCTCAGACCCGGGCTTGAATGGTAGCGGTGGGTATTTGCATACTGATTGCTATTTGCTACCCACCTATGTGTTTCTAGGAACTCTAGCACCTGTCGTGTGATTGGGAGGGAGGGTGGTACTGTGCTACAGGACCCCTGAAGAAGAGAAATTAAGTCGGGTTGGGATGTGTGTGGCTTCACTTCAACGGGCCGCCGCAGCCGCCGGTGCCGCCTGTTTCTTCCTCGTCTTCTTGGGCACGACGACGACGGGCCTGGCGCCGTACTGTCCGACGGTCAAGTGTGTGCCGCAGGTGAGACAGTCTCCGTTTTCCGGCACGGCGCAAAAGATGCTCAGACAGATGCTGCAGACGAAGCCGATGCTGACGACGTTGCGGTGGCAGAAGCACGCGGCCCGGAAGTCGACGTCGATGCGCGTCGGGAGAATCAAGTGCCGGGCCCGTGTCGTGGGGCTGGGAAGGAGCGCGAGGAGAAGGTAGGTGAGGAAAGCCTGTGAGGCCGATGAGCCTGAGCCTGAGTCTGGAGTTGACAAGGATGAGGATGGAGATGACGACGGATGTGGACCTGGTTTCTTGTTCTTGTTGGTGGTTGATGTTGATCTTGACGACGACGACGACGACGACGACGTGGGTAGTTCGACGGGGATGAAAATCCCGTGCGTGGCGTCGGCGGCTTGTTGTAAGAAGACAGTCGAATCCGATGACGTGGTCGTCGTCGTCGTGGTTGTAGTGGTGGTGGTGGATTGGTCTTGATCTGATTGTTTATGGTTGTGGTTTTGGTATTGGTCGCCGGAGGATGGAGTTGTAGTTCTAGTTCTTGTACTAGTGTTGTCGCTGCTGCTCCCAGGGAGAGGAAGTTGAAGAATGTCAATCGGGATTGAGAGACGTTGGCATGCGAAAATGGCATTCATGATGGGAATGTACTGGTGGGCCAGGTCAGTCGAGGGCGAAGCTGAAATCAACAGGATACGCGATTGCAGGGCAGAGTTTGTCGCTGACGATCCGGCAGCGGTAGGGTCTGTAGCTGCTGCCGCTGACACTTCAAGCCCGCCGGCGGCACCGGTACCAGATGCCGCCGCTACGTTGCCACTGCTCCCGATTAGAGATTCGGCGTGGGAAATGGATTCGCGATTGATGTACGATAGGGCCAGCGTCAAGGCTCCGGCAATCATGGTAGACGTGCTGCTTGAGACCGAGGCCGGGGTGGAGCTGGTGAGAAGGGTGGCGAGGTTTTGGATAAGTTCTTGCTCCACGAGACGGAACGGTCGGTATTTGTTCCCCTCTGATGATGAGGACGGTGATGACGGGTTTGTTGTAGGAGGAGGAGGAGGGGGCTTGAGGTCAAGTTTGATCCGTTTGGATTGTGATGCATATGGATCCAACGACGACGACGATAACGGCTTCTGTGACAAGGACGAGTAGTCACGCTGTTGAGATCGAGGAAGCTTTTGCTCGGTAGGAGTTGGGTAGAGCCATTGAGCCTTGTCGCAATGAGAGGCGATGACGGCAATCTTGTTGGTGTAGTTTGCGGCGAGGTGGGCGTTGATGAAGACCAGGAGATTGGCGACAGCGCTGGAGAAGCTGAGTGTGGGTGAGAGCAGGGACCATGCGGCTGGGTTCGTGTCGAGAATGATGGTCAAGAGAGACGGGGATTGTTCTGAGATACAGGTTAGAGTGGCGTTGTATGGTTGATTCAGCCTTGTGTTGGAGTTTGTGAGGGCGAGATCACGCCAGTGATGATGAGAGATAGTTATGAGCCGTGTTTGGCACGGTGTGGATGGAAAAGTCGGCTGATTGGGGCGCTGGTGAATTCAATCTTACCTTGAGATGGCTTTTCAAAGTGATCAGAAGCGTCTACGGCATTCATGGTGTTGTGGGGATGGTCAAGGTGTGGTTGAGGTTGATGAGGGAGTGATGAAAAATCGCCGTATATTGACACTACACGATTAATGCGTGTAGGGTAGGTGCCTACATACAGTACAAATACGCGTTTACGGAGAGGTTCGTGTTTGGAGTCACCCAAACACCAGCAACACTACCTGGGTACGAGTGTGTATTCGAGTAGCTAACACCACATGTCATCAGTAATTTATATATCAGAGTAGATTGAATCTTCTTGTGACGAACTGGTTCCAACCAGAGGGCAACGTGGGAATCTACCGGACTCCAACATGCAGAGGTCAGTCAATGCTGTCGAATACAGTTTATCTGGGTAGTTTTGGGTATGAGGAGTCGTCCCAACACAATTCTCGATGGAGCCTCTTTAGCCTCAGCAGGTTCGTTTTAGGCATGCCCTCTAGGACCTAGGGAGCACAAGCCACCGCCGATGAACGCTATCTCGGCGCTGTTAGGCACCTGTCTGGGCACCTACGCGTCCCTGGAACCCCAGGCGATACGGTGATTCCCTGCATTTGTCACCCACGTCCATTTCCTTAACAAACACCCTGGCACTGCCTGATCCTCTACCGAACCTCAACTCACTCAACTCGGCGTCCGATTTTTCTCCCTCGACATTAATCAAGTCTGCACAAAATTTCTTTTTCTTTGCCATCCACGTGGTCCTCATCAACACCATCCAACGCTCTGCAGTCCGCGTACCTTTGCATCTCACTCCCACGGTCTGCAGTGCTGGTGGTGCTTATTCTTCCCACTCTCGCCATCCCACGTTCAAAAGAACAACAAAAAACAAATTTCCCGCCAATCATCAACAAACTACCACGCTGCAATATTTGTTATCCTTGTTCGACCATCATCTGGCCATTCTCTTCTCCCATCTCGAGCACCACCAGAACCGAATTCGCCGATAGGTCCGTCGGCTGACCAATTCCCCTGTCCATCTCTCTGACCCGTCACCTCTGTCAACTTTCGCCTCCCTATCAAACCCTACGTCTTCTGCCGTCTTCCAGACCCAGTTCACGCCACGGCCTTGTCTTTGCCCAAAATCTTATATATCATGTCCGACGCTTCATAGTCTCACCTCGCCCTCGCGGTGTCTTGCTGTCTCTCTTCTCCCCTGATTCCGCCACTTTCTGCCTAGCGACGACTCTTCATGGTCAGAGCATACCCAATCTCGACACCCTCTTCAATGTCGAAGATGGCAGCCCTTCAGCGGATGACCCGGAAATTATCCGAAGAGCGCGCCTCCGGTCTGGCCAAAGAAGCCCTCGAATTATCCTTGTCGGGCGACAAGGCGGTACGTGTGACTGTCCAATTCCATCCCGCCACATTCTCCCACTGACATACTGGTGTAGCAAGCGTCTCGAAAACTACGAGAGGCGGCAGCCCTGGGCCACGACAATCCAGACGTTCAAGCCGCTTTTTTGGCTATTCACAACGATCAGCTTGGTTCGCCGCTCCGTGATCTGTGCCGGAGATACGCCTTGTACCACGACAACACCGCCGGAGACGAGGCGGTGAATTATTTGAAAAGTTCCGATGCCTCCAATGCCGCTCCTGTTGCGCTCGAATGTCTACAGATTGTTCTCGAGAGTCTGCCCACCACCCTCTCATCTGCCCAGGATTTCATCATAGCCGAGCTCGCCAGGCAAAGTCAGCCCGTACGCCAATATTTTGCCTCGGAGCTCCAGGTATCGACAACAGAATTCTTTGAGAACGTCTATGAACGTGGCGATGATGCTGCGAACTGCCTCCGCACCATCGTCCTTGACGGCACGCTGTGGCGGTCGGAAGATGACCGACTCCGCGTCGAAGATGATCTCTTCCAGCTCTTTCTCGCCAAGTTGATGGAGACGGGCCATGACCATGATGGTCGCGCCCTGAAAGGCATCGCACTTTTGTTGATCGCCGATACCCAGCGACTACATACCTTTATTGACGGTGAAGCTTTCGAGGCTCTAATGGGCTCGCTCGACCTCAGATTACCTGCTGAAGTCCGAGGGCAAGCCACGCTCGTCCTCTCCAAGTTCTTTGAAGTTGCAGACAGCACCGGCCAAGACTTTCTGTACACCTACATTCGAAAGCACGTTCAGAGACAAAAGGGTGATGATCTCGTGCTGGCATTTTCCGCTAGTGCACACCTGTTCCCCGTCGTGCCTACCATGATGGCCCAGCTGTTCTTGACTGAAGGTTTCCTGTCATCCATCATGCCACTTCTGGACAGGCAATTTAGCAATCCTATAGTCCACGATGCCTTTCTCATGCTGGTCAACGCTGCCTGTTTGGACGGGGCCTGTCGCACGGCCATTGCACAATACTGTACCTCCTGGCTCGCTCATAAAGTCAGCAATGGGTCTGGAAAGCAACCTTCGCTCGCAGCCACGGTTTTGGCAAAACTGAGAACATCTGGTGCCAGGGCGGGGGACCAGAGAGCCAACCAGGCGGATGAAGATGTCAGTGAACTTGTTGATCTTTTCAAATCTACTCTTGTCGTTGAAGAAGGAAGAAATGTATCTGACTCGATTGAAGGCCTTGCGTACACATCTTTGAAACCCGAGGTTAAGGAATCCCTTGCCAAAGATGCGGCTTTTTTGAAATCTCTACTCGACACGTTGAACTCCTCTCACGATTCACCCGAAGTGGTTGTCGGTGGATTAAGCATCATCTCAAACTTGACCCAATATGCCCCGACTTTGTCCGAGGAACAGAAAAGAATATCACAATTGAAAGCCTACGCTAATGCCACAAAACCTGCCGATCCTAGTCCTCTCGAGAACGAGGACCATGTACGAGCACGTTGCTCTGCGGTGGTTGAAGCAGGGGTGGTCACGACCTTGGTCAAACTCAACAAACGCCGTTCGCCCGCTACATCCCAACTGACGGATCGCATATTACTGTCCTTGTCCAAGAATTCCAAAGACAGAGGGAAAATCGCTCAGGAGGGTGCGCTAAAGCTCTTGATCCTGCACGCCCAAAAGAATTTGGAGTCTCCAGAAAACCACAACGCAAGTACCGACGCCGCTCATGCTCTGGCACGAGTATTGATATCGCTCAATCCATCGCACGTCTTTGTGGCAGGCTCAACGCCACACGTTACAGATGCTGTGATACCGCTTGTGGCACTACTGAAGACACCACGCGGCCAGCCTTTCAGTAGTGATAACCCACGAGATCTTCTGGCTGTGTTTGAAAGCTTACTTGCCCTTACCAATCTCGCATCAGCCCCGGAACCCAGCGCGGCAAACAGCATCATCAAAACTGCCTGGGACGAGATCGAGGAGTTGTTGCTAGGAAACAATAGCATGATTCGACGAGCCGCATGCGAGTTGATCTGCAACTTGACGGTCCATCCCGCCTGTGCCGAGAAGTTTGCCGACGGGTCGAATCGCGCAGGTCAACGGCTCCATTTGCTCATAGCCATGGCCGACGTGGACGATATGCCCACGAGGAGAGCGGCCAGCGGTGCATTGGCCATGTTGACTGAAGAGTATTCGTCCGTGGTTGCGGGACTTCTGGAGTTTGACCGCTCGCCTGAAATCCTGTTGGATCTGTGCCAGGATGACGACGCGGGTGTCATCCACAGGGGTCTCGTGGCCGTGAGGAATATGGTGTTGTGCGAAGATGAGGAGGACAAGACGCTTTCCACCAGGGCGAGAAACGCATTCAAACGACATGATGCTGTCGAGAAGTTGAAAGCGTGCCTGAAAAAGACCGAGGATCCGACCTTGTTACAAATTGGCGTTGAAGCACTCAAATCTCTCGTTGAGTGAAACGCGACAAGAACCCAACAACAAAACCAATATCTTCCCCTACCTACTCCCTACCAGCATCTTACCTGAATTTTCCGCTTACCTACCTGCCACCTACCGCCTTCCGCCTTCCACCTACTACACCCTACTTTACCAGCCTACCGCCTTCTCCCGCCTGAAATACCCTAGAATGGAGGCTCGAGACTTGAGACGCAGCTCTCACCTTCTTAGGTCACCCACGACCGCCGGACCTTTTCACCTTTTATTTTCACGACTTTATGATATCAAAGAAAATTCGAACCTATGGTTTTTTTTATTTGCATTGCCTGCTTCTTTATCCAGACTTGGTTCGCGGGCGAGATAGACCAGAGTGCGTTGCATTGCGTTGCGTTGAGACGGTGAATGTTTCCGATCCGATCCAGTTCAATCCACAACACAACTTACGAAGACGCAAATCGAAATCGAAACCGAAATCGAAAATGCGAATAACGAAATGAACAACTTCCGGTGGTTTTTGCTTTACTTTGGAGCACAGAGGTATTGCCATTTTTTTTCTGGCTTGCACTAAGCATTTCGGCTTACGGCGTGTGTGGGCATGGGTCGTGATGTACCTTATGTGCCAAGGTGGATTTTTTTCTCTTCCACAATCATACAGTTGCAAATTCTATCTGAACGAGCGAGGTTTTTGGCGCCGCAGGTAATGACAGACACGCAGGCCTACGAGTATGGACATGATCAGGGACACGACTACCTCAGGAAGTTTAGAAAGCCTCGTACGCCCATCGCATGGAGTCGGCCTATACGAACATCAGGCACCTAGTTAGGTAGATTAGATTGCCATCGACGTCAAGTACGTATCTGCTACAGTTGCATTTACAAATGATGTACATTTTCGAAAACGTATCCTTTCTCCCGCCACAGATGCTGTATTTTCCCCCCCTTCTTGTGCATACTTTCGATGTAATCGTGATTCATTTGATTTGTCCTCATTTTGAACACGACAGGTGTGCGTGGCCTTTTTGGCTGTCGTCGACGTGCCCTTAGTTACTAACGTCGGCTTGACTGCTTCCGATTCAAGACTCAAGATTGAAAGTCCCAATACAGAAGACACGAGCTCCAAATCTCACGACCTAAGTAAGCAACCCTTGCTAGGCCGCATCTCATCGCCATATCGACCATTTCACGGTACGACGGCTTGCCAAACTACACTGTACTGCGCACGGTACACGGCACACGGGACATTCCGACCAGGGGCTTTTGCCCACCAGGCTTGAACGTCATCTCCCCCTGTCAGGTGTGGTGTAATACCAAGAAGGAGACGGAACAAGTACGTTTGTTGAAGTATTCACTCATCCCCTACCTCCCAAAGAGATAGGCAGAGCAGATGGATATTTGCGTGAATAACCCCAGCAACTCTCTCTAATCATGGCAGCCACCAACAGCCTGGAGGAGCGCATTGACTCTCCGAGAGGTTCCTGCAATGGCAATGGTGAGAAGCAGCGTCACAACCCCGTTTCCCCATCACACTGCGTGCAAGAGTCCCCTTGACATGTCGTACCAATCGCTAGTCCAGAAGACAGTACGACTACTGCACCTCCAAACTACTGTTCTACAGCTCAAACGTGGACATTTGGCGAAACCAGGTTCTTGTCTTCTCCTGAAGGTGGTGGAATCCACTGGCGCCGCTTCACGTGCGTCCTGTGTAATAACTTCAATCGCATATAGGTACTATGTCTGGCCTCTGGTTCAAAACTCGCGTCTGAAGTCGTATAGGCGAAGCGTATGTTAGGACCCGGGCCCGATGCTTGACATGATCGATCATTGACCAGGTTAGGAGTCGTCTCGGATATATTATTCAAGGGTCTAGTGGCTGGGATAGGTTTCGTCTGTTCATCTCTTGCGCTCCGCCGACGGAATGTTTTCGTGTGAGTGTTATCCAGCAGCTGTGTCCTGCTATTCTGCTGCTGCTGCGGCTGCTGCTCTTTGGATCGTTTGGTGATTGCTCTCAACTCTGATAGTTCTTTCCTGAGTTGGGCTTGTTCTTCGATAGAGGATTGATTCAGATGTTGCATATGCTTCAGAAGAGCTCGAGATTCTTGTAATTGTCGCTCGAATCCAGCCACAGTCTCTTCCATTTGAGCTTTCACTTGTGCTCTCTCCCGCTCAGCAACGTTCAGCTTTTCTCGCAACTCGGTCTCTAGTTCTGCACTTCTCTTTGCGCGGTCACGCTCACTATCCTTCACCTTTTGAAGCTGCCCTCTCAACTCACTCGCCGTGAGCGCTAGTTGAGTGATGGTATCTGCTTGCTCGTTGTTTGCTTCCAAAGCAGCTTTATAACGTGCTTCAGCGATGTCCACGCTGGCCTTCAGATGAGATATGGAATTGTTGAGATGCAAGAACCTACTGTTGATCCTCGCATGCTCACCAATCGTCATTTCGCTCGAGTGGGTGCCGTCTTCTAGGGTAGGCTGGTCAGATTTCAGCTGCCGGCGAACGGCGTACCTTAGAGAATTTTGGCGAGTCGAGGGTACAAATACCAAGTCGCCATCATCGTTCTGCTCTGACAAATCCGAAGCCGATTTTTTTGCTTCAGAAATGTGGTTCAAGAAAACACTACACTCTTTCACAAACATTTCGACCTTCTCCACAGGCTTGAGCGAGATAGCCTCCTCAGAGATAGGAAGAGACGCCCACTCGTTTAGAATGCTGCATCCCCGAGCGTACATGACTTTACGCATATTGGGATTGTGGGCGGGTAGTGGCGGACTTATGCCAGACTTGATCGCGGCGTCCAGGATGATTGTGTATTCAGGCAATTTCCGACATGTGACGCAGAGGTCTAGCATACGGTAGATCAAGCGTACGAAGCCCTTGTACGTGTATGCTGCGATGGTTGATGCGTGTTCGATTGAACGGCGGAGCCAGATTTGCCCCTTCTCCCAATTGCTGTGTCGTGTGTAGTACGTTAGAAAGCTTCTGAACAAATGGTTTTTCCTGAAGGCACCATAGTCCATCTCTCGTAACAAAGATAGCCAGCCTTCCGCCCGCTCAGGTTGTTCGCACCGTAGAGCTGCATATATCAACACCTGCAGCAACCTCACATTCAAGGACGCTGGGACAGGGAGGTCTAGGCCATTTGCATGCACTATTTTCCATTTGCTGACAACATTGACTCTTGTATCCGACCTCGTGATCTCCGGTAGAATGTGGTTCAGGGAACGAGAATCACAGACTTGACCGATCTGCAACAGGATGTAGAACACTGCGTCATCGTTCAGTGGCAACATGCTTTTCTTCAAGGCTGCAATAACATAGTAGGCCAAGCTGTAGTTCCCATTGGTTGAAAAACTTCGGATCAGGTTGATGTATGAGGATACAGACAGGACGTCAGTGCTCTCCAAGAGTACTTGTCCAAAGCGATTTGTGAGGTCGACCACGTTTATGTTCCCTGCACGGAATGCAGCTGTCAGATCCCGGATAGAACTGTTCAGATCAGATCTGGACGCTTGAGCTTCGATACGAGGGGCAGCGCGGAGTAGATCTTCTCGGCGTCTGAATGTTTTCATCTCCTTCCTAGTCATCCGCAACATCTCGATCAGTCGGTTGCTGTCCTGAGAGAACTCGACATTCTCTGGGTCAGCAGCATCCTCTCCTGGAACGAGACTGAAGAAGGGGCTCGGTCCGACCTGGAGGTGGAGGAGTAGTCTCAGGGATAGCATGATAGCGTTGAGCCGATGATATCTCTGGAAACCAGCGAGCTCAGCCGGTGAGAACCTTGCATTTTCGTATACTTCGGCAGGCTTCAGGTCTCCCATCTGCTTCGCATAGCTCCGCAACCCAGAGTTGTGGACATTCGGCCCCCGATCTTCCTCGTCCTCTTCCCACAAAGGCACATCCACTTCGTCATCGAATCTCTCTTCCGCGTCTACTCGAGCCCTTGCAGCCGTCGAATACCCGCGTCTCTGATGGGACAGTCCTCCATGGGAACCCCGAAGCTGAAGAACATTTCTAATTCGGCGTTCTCGTTCGTTGATCTCTTTAATCTCTTCTTGAATACCGAAGAGTTTATCATCCCAGTCCTTTCTTTGCTTTGCTTTCCAGCTGGTGTCAACTATGAGCACTGCGGCAAGCACAGGAGCGAGGAAAATAGTGAATACATCGTTGAACGTTGGACGGCGTCTGAGCGGAGCTGTGGTCGTCTTGCGTACCAATAAAGGTGTGGTTGTTTCGATCAAACGGAGACGAGGACAACCGCTGAGTCTAGGCCTGGGTAATTGGGCCCATAGTGCTCGCATCTCCCGAGCATATATCTCCCACCACTCCCTGACCGAGCATAGGGTTGGGAGAGGAGAAAGAGAAGGAATAGTGCTGCGGGAAACAAATGTGCATGCGGTGGAATGACATGCTTCGAATCCCATTCACCGCAAGCTGTATGCCGGTCACGTGCAAAGCTGGAAATGATTCTTGTCAGTCTTATCGTGGCTCTTCCTGGCAGTTGCACAGGCACGCTCGTGTTCTTGTCAGACACCTCATATATTGCTGCTCGCCATTTGGTAGAACTCAAGGTTCAAGCCAAGTACTCCTCAACATACACGATGCGTGCGTTGAGGTTATCTTAACCCCCGGGGCAATACGATCCTTCTCACGTTTATACTAGCGACTCTTCTTCGACACCAGATGTGAGGTACCTCACGGAGTCATATGGCTGCCAGGAGCCGACACCTGCCTGAGATCAAGGCTCACGACAAAAAGGATGGCTTCGTGCCTGCGCGTCCACACTCGTCGAAGCTTGTCTCGTGGAAATCCTTCCGACGTCGACGTGTGATCCTTGCCATAGTCGTGATATGGCTCCTCTATCTGTTTTTCAAGAACATCCCTACAGACTTGCCTCCAGTCTCAGAACGCTACGATTCGCGCTTCGGTCGATTGACTCCCGGGCTACAACAGCAGCAAGCCTGGCAACGTCAAGAACAAACTGGCACTGAACAAGATCACAGTTATGAAGGCCCCATAGCGTTCCTAAACCTCGCAAAGTCCCTGCGAGGGCTCTCCGCTACTCGCACCGCGAAGGGCGATGTTCTGTTTGCCGTTTCACGATTAGAGAGCATACCACGAATACTTCCCATCGCTTGTGCCATGGCACAGATCGACCGAACGCGTGTACACGTCGCATTCATGGGACGATCAATTGCGAAGTGGGCAGACATAAAGGCTTTGAACGGAGTTCCACGCGACGGCTGCGATGTGCTGCTCCATGATGCGCGGCCAGACTTTCCTACGTTGTCTTCTGAGACGAGGTTGGGTGTTAGTGCTAGGGCGAGCCTGGGACACATTCATTCAATTGTACAGCTTAGTGCGGTACTGGTTGGCGGCGAAGACTTTGAGGCCGGCTATTTTGTCAAGGCTTTGAGAGAGAAAGCCAATGCGCTGGGTCTTTCCCTGATCACTCTCCCTGGTGGCGGCCTCGGAAGTCTCTCATGGATTGCTTCGCTGGGAGCTTCATCCCTAAATCATGTCAGCAAGATCCACGTCGACATTGTGATTCAGGCACAGCCCGAGTCTGCGGCAGCGCTCATTCGACTTCTACGGTCAATCAAAGAAGCTGACTACTCTGGGTGGTCGGTACCACGCCTGATTGTTGAGCTGCCATCCGATCCCGACCCATTTCTTTCTGAATACCTTGCACGCTTCCAATGGCCTTCTGATGGCAGTAGTGGCAACACCAAGCTGGTTGTAAGACGTCGAGTCGACAAGAGTCTTCTGTCACCTGCCCAAGCATCCCTGCGGACCATTGAGTCGTTCTACCCTTTGAACCCTTCTGAGTCTCACGTCCTTCTCCTCTCGCCCCGGGCCGAGCTCTCGCACAGCTACTTTCAGCTGTTGATGTATACGCTGCTGGAATACAAGTATGCTGCAAGGAGGACAGATCTGGTAAACCGCCTCGTTGGGTTCTCACTAGATCTTCCAACCCAAGCCCCAGACCTCAAAACGGAGGCACCCTGGTCGGCAAGTCGGCTGAATGAGCCACTCGTCCTTTGGCAAGTGCCCAACGCGAATGCAGCCTTGTATTTTGGTGAGCGATGGATGGAGTTGCATTCCTTCTTGTCCCTTCGACTAGAGACTGATCCCGAGTTATCTCGAAGGGCGACATCTACGCCAGCCATATCTCAGGAGTTCCCCTCTTGGTTGCAGTCTATGCAAGAAATGATGCAAGCACGTGATTACTGGATGATGTACCCAAACTATGCGGCTGCTCTAGGTTCCGCAGCAGTGACGATGCATCATGAATTGCCCAATTCTCCGGAGGAGTTTATGCAAGACCAAGCCGACCAGCAAGCCACAGAGACGAACAGGCTCCAGATATCGGAGGAGCAGGCACTCACAGCAAACGATGAAGTAGAGCGGTTGACCCGAAAAGAGCACAGGAGATATCCTGCTTCTCTCGTGACGCCGCTCTTGGAATCTATGAGCCCGGGAATGCGGCAGAGCACCCTCGTTGATGCCATACCGATGATATCGTACAGTGGCACTAAGATTCCATGGGCAGAGTCTCGAGATTGGGCGTCTCAGTTTGCTCAGGATTTCGCCCAGACGGTTGGAGGCTGCGCTAGCTACGACCCGGAGAGCCAGGGAAGCGGCGCTGTCGAGTCACTCTTCTGTGTGGCGAGAGAATAGAATAGATACGAGTACTGTAATAATGTGATGCTCACCTGAGCCTAATTAGATCATCCTTACACTGACCGAGACACTCCGGAAGCAGTGTTCGCCGAGCCTTCTCACACGTAGAATTCACCACGGAATCCACCAGCGAGGTACTCGTACGTGATGGCATTGTTTCAGGACGGCAAGAGGTGCCCAGGATCGACATGATCGTGCCGCATGTGTAAACTATGGTGCGCCAGGACTAGGCCTGGGCCAGACCCTTGGGTGTCAGAGGCGTCGCCAGCCTCAACTGGCTCGGAACGCGGAGCATGATGACGGTCGCGCTTTTACAGGGACGAGGCATGGAGTGGTGGGCGGCGATCGCAGCGAAAATCGAAGATCTGACAGCCTGTGTGAAAATGCTGAGGGTCATCAGCCATGGAGAGCGATCGAAGGGCACTGAGGGATGAATAGCTGGAGAGATCCACCACTCGTCGTTCTGTCTTTGTCGCAACCTCATTCAGATGTATATCGCACCATCAGAATCCGCAGTAGTCTAGTAGATCCTGGGCTGATGAGAATGAAGTTCGTATATAGATATGTCGCACGTGGGAATTCTCGTGTTTGATTACGAGCATTGGATGTTTTCTGTAGGTGCTGGCAGCTACCTAGTTGCACGCCGTAGTGATGTGATGATGGCGCAGGGAGGCACTAACTCAGAGTCTGCCCCTCTATCAGAAACCCCTCTTCTCTCTCACACACATACTGTACCTCACCTAGTGAAGCTACAGCGACGCTCCATCTCACGTCGGTCGCCAACTTTCTTTGAAATGCTTTCCTTCTTATTATTGCCTCGTTTGTCTATTGTGTTTACAGCTGCTGCGGACCACACTGGCTGGCGTCGACAGGGATCGTGCACTACTGCATCATGTCATGGCGCTAGGGATGCAGCGTTGCCGCGTCCAAGAATTCCTCCTCTCCCCAATCACTCCCCTCGATGAACGCCTCGACCAGCATATCCGCCCCCTCAGATGTCGATGCCTCTCCCTCCTGCTCCTACTCGTACTGTCTCCTCTCTGGCCACCGTTATCAACACTGCCCCTCCTCCTCGTCTTCTCGCCATCGAGACCAGACTCGACCCATCTTTTTCTACGTCGACAGCCCTCCCGCTCGCCGCTAATGCACGCCGTTATTTGTCCTCTGGCGAATTACTGAATGGGGCCCCCCCGGCTTCTGCAGCCTCTCAATCGCCTCTTGTACCGTCGTTCCAACCCTGGTTCCCCGGTAGCAGGAGCCCGATGCTTGGGCCACTTACTGGCTCGCGCTCAACTCTCCAACACTTGCCGGCTAGTGGCCCACCACCATCCTCCAGCATTCGAGGGCTGGCTCCTCCTCCAGACATCCACCCAGATACTGGACATGCACTTCTGACAGACTCGCCTTGCTCTTGTACTGCTATACACACCTGTTACTGTTGCCAACCGCTCGTCCTTAGCAGTTGCTCTCTACAACTGTTTGGCCTCACTCGCATAGTTTGTCGGGCTTGTCTCTCTGTACCGATACGAGCGTTGTCACGAGCCTGTCATTGTTCATTGTCTTTGGATCCACAGGTACCTCGGTCACCCCTCCCTAACACATCCGCCCTCAGACAGCCTGCCAGCATTGAGATATCTTGAACAGCTACATTGGATCAAGACTTAAGCCATACCACCTGCCATTGTGCAGGTCTGGCTAGGACTCCTGCAGAACCAGGATGAGCCTGTAGTTCGAGTCGCTCAGGGTTGATTTCTATACCAACCCTACAGACTGCAACTACTCGTGCAACTATGGCTACAGTCGTGGTCCAGCAACAACCCTCCCTACGACAATCTACTACTCCCCCTCCTACCATTACATTCAACCAGCCTCGCTCCTCAACACCCGTCCCCAACAAACACCTGCCATATTGTCCTCCAGGACCGGTGCCATCGCAATCGCAGATCACCCCACCTAATTCACCACCGCTTAAGAATGTTGCCCCAAAGCCTACTTCGCTCCTTTATCCTCCGCACAATTATACGAGACTATGTAATTCTCCGCCCATCTATGGCATCAGCCCAAAGGACCTCGCCGATGCGCTTCAGCACTATGCCTCTCAGCCACTTCCCAACCCCAGTGCCGTCTTCCCTTGGCTCCACGGACTTCATCCCGAGAATAGCATACAAATGGCATTCTTTGTGGCAAGGAAGAAGTCGCTCAGGCGCATACCAAAGTGTCTTCGCGGCATCACGATCATAAAAGCTGGAGGAGATCTAAGCCGGGCTCGCATCAAGGGTGCTGTTGCTCCTGACGAGATCCTGAATTTGTCCGACAGTAATGGCAAGGGTTTTGTGGATTGCGACCCAAGAGAAGGCTTTTCCGTACGCAACTTTCACATCCAAGCGGCCAAAATGGCTCTCGTTTCGGATATAGTCGTGTATGGAGACGAAGACACCGATGCTCGCATCGTCAAGTCGGTCGCTGAAAGGACGGCTGCCGTTCAGAAGAAATGGCGAAAGGAGCTGGAGAGTGCGGGACATTGTCCCGAGGTCTTCAACACCTTTGTCCTCACCCAGCGTTTTGAGGACTTTGAACATGAGTATCCTGAGCTGGTAGCCGTCGACTCTAGGGGCCAATACCCGGACCACTGTTTGGACTTTCTCCAACAAGAGCGACGCGAAATGTGTGCCATGTCCAAAGCGTCGGAGATCTCTCAGGGCGTATTTCAAGGGCCATCTCCAGGACCATACACACTTCCACCGTCAACTATGGATGATCCTTCTTTTGACCTCTACATTGAGGCTAGTGACCATGCGGCTCTCCCCGATGACCGTTTACTTGCGAGCAAATTGAAGCAGCTCCAGAGTCGACGAGAAGGCGACAGGCCTGTTCACATGGCCTTTCCCAGCTCCGGAAGCATATTGCCCCCATCGTGGTCACAAGGCGAGGTTGATGGCATCTTGCGTATGTGCAGGTGGTTATATGAGCTCACGCATGTTATGAAGCCTGTGAGCAACACCCACGATGATGACGGTGACATCCAGATGACGGAGTTTTCTGCCCAACCCAGACGTATACTCATACACTGCGCTGATGGGTACACGGAGACATCGATGCTTACTGTCGCCTACTTCATGTTTGCTGAAGGTCTACCGGTGCACGATGCTTGGATACGCCTGCATACCGAGAAAAAAAGGAATTTCTTTGCGTATCCTTCCGATGTAGCTCTTTTGGTGGCCATGCAGGATCGGGTTCTCCAGGAGAGTCCCAAGTTTGCGGGCAAGAGAGAGATTCCAGCGATCGAAGCACCTGCGTGGATGAACAAGTTAGACGGCAGTCTCCCTAGTCGGATTCTGCCTTACATGTACCTGGGAAATCTAACACACGCGAACAACCCGGAGATGCTACGTCTGTTAGGCATTCGCCGCATCCTCAGTGTCGGCGAGCCTGTGTCTTGGTCTGACGAGCAGGTCAAGTCTTGGGGTCGTGGGAATTTGCTCATGGTGGATCGCGTTCAGGATAACGGGATTGATGAGCTCTCTCCCGAGATGGATCGATGTCTAAAGTTCATCGGTAAGTTTCGTTTTGTCCATTCAGATACAGTCCTGGAAGCTCACATTTTCGCCTGCAGAGAAAGGCAAATCTGATGGAACTGCTACACTGGTGCATTGTCGTGTGGGAGTCAGTCGGTCAGCAACTATTTGTATTGCTGAAGTCATGGCAAGTCAAGGCTTGAGTTTCCCAAGAGCATAGTAAGTCTAGCATTCATGTCTACCCCGTCGACAGGCCTCAAATGTTCAACCGAATCGCTAACTATGATTTTTGCAGTTGTTTTGTGCGTGCGCGGCGGCTCAACGTTATCATACAACCTCATCTCAGGTTCGTGTATGAATTGATGAAATGGGATGAACAGCAGCAGGCGAAGAGAGGAAAGGTCATCAATAGAGAACTCGACTGGGCCGTCGTTGCAAGAGAGATTGCAGCAATGAATCGGCCTTATTCGCGAAACTGAGACTTTCAGTGTTGCTGGCTTGCCATGACCGAAGTGGGACTACCTTCTCTTCGACACGTGGTTTCAGAGCCGTGCGCGACGAAGGGAAGTTTTGGATATTCTCAGTCTAACCGTGACTAGGAAGTGGTCTGTTGTGTGTTCATGATATGACGAGGTGATGAGTTTTATGCTTGTTGATATGAATACGGACGGATGCGTGTATGAAGTAATGATGTGATGAGCCTTTTTTGGGGGGATTATGGGTTTTGAAACATCTCTATGGGTTGGCATGGTCCCTGTTGAATGAATACTCAGCCAGACGGAAAGACGAAATACTGGAATTGTGGTACTGGCATGGATTCCAAAGACTTGAGTTCGATTGCTTTTGTCCGCAGTTGTACGTGGTGCATACGTACATGTATTTTCTCTGTGTCCATCTTGGATGGTTGTATTTGTTGAGACACGAATATTGTGTTTGTTGAATTGGAAAGAAAAAGGGGTTTCTAGGTCAATTGACGACTTTTTTTAGGACTGCGATTTTGATAATCAAGCTCGTTTGTTTTGTTTCCGGAGAGAAGTGTTTTGGATTGATCTCGACATATGTACATTACTTAGGTTAGTTTCAAGGTCAAGGAGGCCTCACTGGCCTCCGGTCGCTTCCTCGGTCGGACATCTTCCACAATATCACACTCGAACGACCACACCCGAGTCCGCCATGTGAAGTCCATTGACTTCGGCGCTGGGAAGCCTCTCTCTCTCTCTCTCTCTCAGGCACTTCGGGTAACTGAAGCATGAGTTGAAGTTTGGGGGACAAGTGTACGGAGGAGCAGAGAAAGGCGAAGCGCTGTGCCGCATTGATCACGTGGATTGTGACCTACGGTGCTACCAACGGACTGAGACGGCCCAATAATGCCAAGGCTGTACAAAAAGTTGGAGGAGAGAGTCGCCAGCTTCATAGCGCCCATGAGCTTCTTCTTCTCATCGGACATTTGTGACAGATATCTACAGCATCCTTCTATCAGTCCTTGGACTTGACATCACTCGAGCCACTTCAACCGCCCTTGTACACGGTAGCCTTTCAACGATCATCCTCTTTTATTTCCACAATCCTTGACCTCTCTTTCAACCATCGCCCAGCATGGTCCGTCTTGAGGAACTCGAAGATGAACATTTCATTAACAAGCCCGACTCTACCTCTGACGGTGCCCTACTAGTCGACGACGACGAAGATTATACTGATACTGGTGAGTTGATTCCGTTATTGCTCTCTTACGCGGCTGTGCCTGCATTCTACGGCCCTGTCATTGTCTCTGTCTCTCCATGTCTGTACCTGTTTTGTATTCTATTCAGTCTTCTGTGGTGGCGGCGACGACGACGACGACGAGGGAGAAAATGCTTGATTTCTACAATGTGCAATGATCTCAGGCGCTGACGTATTCTTCTTTTACTTAGATTCCGAGATCTCCAGCGACGCAGGCAGTGAACCAGACCTCGACGAGTCCCTCCTTGATCGACTGAGCGCCCTCCGCGACATCGTCCCGCCCAAGACACGCGCAAAGATCTCCAGCGTCACTTCGACACTGTACAATGCCACCTCCACGACGGTGACCTATTCCGGCAAGGGCCTGTGGGTGCTCGCGACGAGTATCCTGTTGCTCGGCATCCCGTACGCTCTCGCGCTCGGCGATGAGCAGCAGTTCATCGAGGAGGAGAAGCAGAGACAGATGATGGCCGAAGGTGCGCAGGGGTTGATTCAGTCCGGCGAGCCTGGACAGGAGCAGGCCAGACCTGCGTTGTAAAAACAAAAAATCACAATCAAAACACCTTGAACGCCGCTAGACATTTTCCACGGGGATATGTTGATTCACCTGAGCTTTGGTGGTGGTGTTCGTGGTTGTCGTGCGTGATGGAGATTTGTTTAGGCGTTGGGACGTCTCTTGTGTTGTGCTCTGCTGGTTGTGGCGGTGGTGGCGGCGGCACTTTCCACCCATCCTCTAGAGACATCGATGCAAACCTGACTTGCTCGACGGCTTCACAGGTTCAACATAACTCGGCTCAACTCAACATCGACATGGACACTTAGTCTATGTGTTCTCTTGATACAAGCGACCGAGGCACAGAGCATTGTGAGGAGCCAGGTGTCTTGATTTTGGGATTCAAGAGAAGGAGAACAAAGCACCTACGAGCGATGGAGACAGGGGAGCTTCAACCCGCAATGCAACAAAGAGATGTACAGAAGGTGAATAGGTGGAGTGGTGGGATGTAGGATTACGGATTACTTTTTGTATCATAACGCAACAGAAACGAGAACCAATCTACCCTTTTTTTTCAACTGGAGACAACCGCCACGGGGACAACCACAAAGTACCAATCCTATGAGTATGGGTTGATCATTGACATCGAGAGTCCAGCGTGGCCTGGGAATCGGGTTCTTACAGTTGCCCAACTTGGATCTTTTTGCTTAGGGGGTTCGTGCCGGGGAGGCGATCCCACGCTCGCGAAGGGATGCAACATGTACCTGAGGTACTACCTTACCTACCTAGGGTACTCGGTAATTTTTTTTTTGGGTCCGCGGGACTCGTGCTCGGGGACAGGTGGTAGGTGTATCGGTGTGGTTGTCTCCGAATATCGGGCGTTCCTGTACTCTGTACCGACGTATCAAAAGCAAACAAAGTCTTCTCGTCTCTTATCTACCAGGGGAACCGCAGGTACGTACACCCTTGGCCGATCCGTTCACTCACGACGTCGGGGACGCGAGCTGTACGGAATTTACTCTTTGAGATTTCCCCCCGTGCCCACATCCCAAGGTTGAGTTTCAACAATTGACCCGAGTCACGGCCAGATCTGCACTCGAACTCCCCCCTCGACGCTGAGTCGTGGTCGTGTACGGATAGACGGTTTGGGCTCGTCGAGTTTGAACTCTAATCACAAGACACTGTACGACACGGCACGTGGATCTGGAGGCAGGTCAGGTATATACGAGAAGGACGAACCATGGCACCCATCTCATCTCATTGTGAAGCACATGGCTTTTTCCTTGTCTCTTGCATTCAAAGACAAAATGAAAGTCAAACTAGGTACATATAGGTACCAAAATGGCCAGAATCCATCCTCCACCTGCCTAGGTAGGCACCCGTCGTCGCGAGCCGAGCAACCTCGATCAAATCCTCTCAATTGCTTTTTGTCATCCTTCAAACGACTAGCTCATTTCATAATCTGCGCAGGTAACATAGATCCTGGCAAACAGATCCAGTTCTCTAATCGCCTTCGGAATCTGACTCGAGAGCTCTCATGACCCGGTACTTGTCTCCAGACCACTCTCTAATCGTCCCGTGTGCTCTGGCTCTGATAGCTCCAACACGACCCTTGGACCGACCGCCCTTTTTGTCAAAGTCCTCCATGCCCAGTCTTGCATCGTTGAGGTCGTTTTCGAAATCCGCCCAGAGATCGGCAATGACGCCGGTTTCCTGCATTGAGTCCACGATACCCTCGGCTTGTTTCTCGCGTTTCTTCTTGTTCATCTTGTCTCTCGCGACAATGGCGTCGGCTGACAAAACGCCCTGCTCCTCGAGATACGCCATGAGCGATTCGTTGAGATGATACTTCCAGTGTGTCAGTTTGTGACCCATCTCTGCATTCGCCGCGCAGAACCTTCCGAGATAGAAACGTCGCTGTTCAGAGGGCAGTAGGTGGCCTTGCTCATCGTACGTGACGCCGTCGTCCCGGTCCTGGCCGTCTTCGTCATCAGACAGTTCGACGGGCTCCAAAGTCTTCTGATAGTATGGCTCGCCCGAGAACTTGAACTCGTAGCGAGCAGGGTGGTTGACTCGATTACACGCATCGCAGGTGCGAATGTTGTCTTCGTCCAAGCCTGGTAGTGCGACAACCTTCATCATAGGTCTTGCTAGGATGGTGTTCTTGAAGTCAGTGCCCCAGGCAGCAGAGATCAGCCGACTTCCGGCTTGGGCTTTGACCTGGTCATCGACGCGAGAGAATGCCAAAGTGTACAATTCATCGTCGCGAGAGAACGCTGGTGCAATCTTGTTCTTGACAAGCCATTCGATGATATGAGGAAATAGTTCTCGTGGTTTTGCGGACGCGAACGATGTAAACTGGAGGGGAATGTCTGGATGGGGTCGGCCCAGGCGTCCAGTTGAATCATCTTCAATGAAGTCGTCTTCGTCCTCGACTTGTTCAACTATCGATTCTTGGTCAGTGTCAACAGAGGAATGTGCAGATCCTTGTTCGGTGTTGTAGGCTGCGGGTTGTCCAATAAGCCGGAGGTCGACCATTTCTTCAGATACCTCCTCCTCATCATTATCATCGTCAGAATCTACAATTCGGGGCACCTTCTCGCCAGCCCGTCGACGTCTCAAAAGTTCAAAATGTTCTCTTGTTTTGTCGCGTTCTGTGCTTACAGGCCCGCCGCGTGTGCGGGAGGTGACGACGATTTCACCATCGTCGGAGTCTTGTAGGTCATGTAGATCTTCCTCTAGCTCTTCCTGTTCCTCCCGAGTTCGTCGTGAGCTGTGTTTGACAGAGGACCTTGAGACGATCGGCTTGTGTTTAGGCTCGTTCGCGTCGCTGTCCGAGGAGATATACTCAATACTATTGTCATCTGCGATGAAATCATCTGCTTTCCTCCTCTGTGTCTTCCGCCCGGTTCGTGTGGGGCCCGGTGACGCCGACTCATATTGGACTTCGTCGTCATTCACGACGAACGGGTCCTTTGCCTCTGGTTGGGGCTTTCGTCGTCTTCTTTGTGTTGGTTTTGAGATCATGACAAGGTCATCGTCGTCGGTGGTCTCAGCTGAGCCAAGATCTGACAGCTTTGTCGACAGCCGACGAACTGGCGTAGAAAGATCACCGGAGTGGCTACTATCGAACCGCAGTGACCTTGACGGCGGAGACGATGATCTGTGGCTGAATCCCCCAGAGCGCCGGTTCCGCAGTGAGCTGACTACACCAACATCTCGTATCGGAGATGAACTTGTAATATTGAACCTTGATGACCGTCTCAGCGGAGGAGAACTATGCAGATCAGTGGCAGGAGTGTCAGCGAGGATTTTCCGTCTCTTCTTCGCAGACACTACAACATCATCGTCCTCGGATTCCTCATCTTGCGGCACTGCTACTGATCGTACGAGTGGAGACGAGGGTATAGAATCTGGTGTATTATGTGGTTCCCGGGCTAGGAGTCGTCAGATGGGACGTTTTTGGGTGATCGGTTTCGTACTCACCATGCCGCATGGTTTCATGCTGCGAAGATGGTTCGGGAGTAGGAAGCGTCGCAACGTCCTCGTCAGCATTTCCGGAGCTTCCTATGGACAATCCTCTTGATCCCCGGTATCTTACACTGGCCAACCGATCTTGAATAGCATGACTGTAGTTCGCCTTTGCCGGTGAGGACGAGGGTAGAGGAGAGAACTGGAGGGTAGTTTGATTCTTCTTTTGACTGCGCACCGATCGCCGTGGAGCTGCAGGCCTACCCCGACCAGCCATAGTAAGGTATCTAGGGAGGGATGCAAGTAGGAGTGGCTGTGGGTTGCGGAAGTACGGGTGCGGACGAAATGTTCTGAGGAAGAACCATCCGTGGGACGAGGTCGACGTCAGCGCTCGAAATACAGTAGAGTTCACTGCAACGCCCGCTGTTTGAGTCGTCGCATGTTGTTTTGGAGAAATCGCAGGGCAGCTTAGCAAGTCAATCAGGCTGAACTGTTCCAGCAATTATTCGCATCGCATAAGAGACGCGTTCCCGACGATGGAACACGATGTCACGTGAAGGAGATGGTACCATGTGCATATACGAGTACGAGGTGTGGCTTCCCTGGGGCACGAGCGCGAGCAATAGTGGCTGGATAACTGCATTAACTAATCATCACCAGCCACAGTTTAGCTCAGCATTGGTTGGGTGGGACGTTCATCCTGACAGACTCAATAGCCAGGATTTTACGTCATTGTGTGGAGGGAGATCGAGTTGGTTTTGCCTGATGTTCCCATTGAGGAAAACTGTGCAGCACAGATTGGGGAGAGCGATCGCGATGAGACCCTGAATGGAGCATCGAGTGCTGTTGATTGCAGAACGATGACGATGCGGATGGAGCCCATCAATGTCCATCCTCAAGAGTTCAGAGATCAGATCTGACAGTGCAGATGCCAGGTGTCAAGAATCGCGAGAACGTACTAGAATCAGCTGTACGAGCAGTCGACAAAAAAGAGACGAGAGCCAGGCACAAGAATATGCTGGACCTCCGTACAAGTGAGACAAGACAAGTACATACGGACAGGCGCCTCGTCAGTGGCTTGTGCTCTCGAAACTGGGATGACCGTTGACATGGGATCCAGGGACAGGAAGAATCGACCACGGCGGAGACGGTTCATTCTTCTCAACCAGGAACAATCAATCGAGAGGTCGCAACTCGTAGATCTGAATCGTTCATGAACGGGTTCCCTCGCTCGCTTAACCAAGGCCATCAAGATGCGATGCTAATCCAAGGGAACGCGTAACGAAGGCCTAGAATTCGACAGGACATTCCGCCTGCTCCCCCGTAGTGCCAAGTCAGGTCTTGACATCATCCCATGTTTGCATCGACATCATGGCTTTTCCGTGTTCAATTTCCAGCTCCACCAAACGTCGATGCTCAACGCAATGATCATGATGATGTATGACCAGCCTCCACGTTGAGGCTTTGCAGTCGATCCTTGCAACTCCAAACTGGGCATTAGACGCGGGTACGTGCTCTCTGATTGCCTTTGTGCCGCCTGGTGACAAGGTGATCCACGCGTAGCACCATGGAGGGACGAGTCTGTGGTAACAGGGAACAAGCAGTGAGGTAATGGCTTTGATGCATCCCCCCCTTCTGCTGCTTCGAAGCGCAAACATCACAGCACATAATACATCGTCATCACCCCAGCCGACTCTGCAAGTCTCTTCTCTCTTCTCATTCTCATACCTCCCTCACACTCCAGACCATCTACACGGTTCCAGCACCCGTTTTCTTTGCATTGTGATACCCGCTGAGCATATTACTGAACCTAATACCTACCCCATTGTGATACCCATTTTGTCCTACAGCCTGTCGACCTCTCGCCCGCCAACATGGCAACTGTCAACAGACCAACCGATACCGCCCAGAAGGACAAGGACGTCAACCAAAAACTCCAGCTGTACGGAATCTTCGAAGCTTTCTCCAACGGCAAAGTCCCCTCCAACCAGCAGATCGATGTTGCCCTCAACAGCGCGCTCGAGTCCAAAGCTCTCTCATCTCCCTCCCCAAGACTGTCCGAAGAGGGTCGCACCTTGGTGGCAGACTTGAAGGAGGTCATCCGTCAGGCAAAATACCTGTTATTGTCCAAGAATGAGGGTGATTTGATCCAAGAATTCGTTTGGGACAGTCAGCACCTCGACGGCGGCAACGCTGCCCTACCCAGCGCTCCCACCGACAAGGCCACGGCCCAGCAGCACGGTAACGAAGCTCTTGAAGGCCTCAAGACGCTCGGCAGACTTGTACTTTCCAACGGTCAATTCCGCAAATTGCTGAGCGACGCAGCTGTCCTCGCCCGCGACATGGCCGGTGATGCTGCCACCAAGGCCGCCAACACAGTCAATCCTTCAGAGGATCGCCTAAACCAGATCGATCAGCCGGCTGAAGACAACACCTGGCACGACGTTCCTGACCTCTCCCGGGGCAATATCAAGAATCAAGCCCGTGCCGCGCTAGACAAGAACAAGCCAATCGACCGTGACGAGGCCAAGGGTGCTGTTCAAGAAGGACTCGACAGCGCTCAACAACACCCTTCGGATGACCCTCGTGATGCCGGACGTGCTGGTCTGTCCAACGCTGCAGCGAACCTCCAGAACACGGCTAGCCAGAACGTGCCCGACGAAGACAAGGAAAGGGCCCAGAAGGCCAAGGATGCGGCTGTCCAGCGCACCAAGAACTACGTGAGCCAGAAGATGCCGCCGGAGCGTCGCGAGCAGACCATTTGGCGTCTGAAGAAGATGATCGCCGAGATTCAAGGCCATTCAGACTGTAAGTGGTCATAAAATGCTTGAGTAAATGCTTCGACTGACATCAAATCTAGACCAACAAGCAATTGGAACCTTGCTGTCTCTGGCTGAGACCTATGCCGGCCATTCTAAGAACGTGGCCCAACAGGGTCAAGGAGCAGTTAAAGGTGCACATGCTGATAATAACCTGCAGCGCGCCGAAGCTAACCTCAAGGTATGTCTAGGACTCTACAATGACAACAAGCCGATGCTGACAAAGCTCAAGACTCTTATTGAGCGTTTCGCCAATTTCACCAGTACTGATGACTTCTTTGATGCTCTCAACGACATCTACCGTGATGCTGACCGAGACCCGGAGCTGAAGGGTTGGTTCAAGCGCCTTGATAAGTTTGTCCGACGCTGCCTTCAAGAACAAGGTTTCATCTTGCAGGACAGTTCGAACGACGAGTGGAACCAGTTGTACGACCAGGGTCGTCATCTGTTCCGTGAGCGCTACCGAGAACACACCGATCGTCTCCTCGATGAGGTCAAGTTCATCGGCAACCAATTCGAGGAAGATCCGCAGAACAAGGCTTTCGGCGATGCAGTTCAGAAATTGTTCTTGGATCTTGGTAACGACGAGAACGGGAAGGCCACTTTCAAGCCACACCTGATCAAGGATTTGACCAACGTTATCATCCCTGCCATCTTCGAGAATACCCGCTATGTGCCCATCCCACGCATTGAAGTCTCCGACCCACAGATCGATGCTGTTGTTGAGAACTTGGTCATCGAGACCGACAACCTCTTCCCCAACACCTTCGAATTTGGCAGTGACAACTACTTTCGCATGGGTCGCAAGGGCTCCAGTGGCCGGAAAGATAACAAGATCATGATTGCAGGCTCTGGAGTCCAAATGGACCTGCGTGATGTTGCCTACTACATCAAGCGAAAGCAAGGCTTCCCTTCTATTACTGATAAGGGCGTCATGGACATCTTCCTTGGTGGAGAGGGGTTCGGCTTCAAGATTGCCGCTAGAAACGCGCAAAAGAGTGACCGTACCCATTTCGTTGCCGTCGACAAGGTTGATGTTGTCATCAAACACTTGAATGTCAAGATCAAACAATCCAACCACAAGCTTCTCTTCAAGATTGCCAAGCCATTGGTTCTCAAGGTTATGCGGCCAGTCATCCAAAAAGTTCTCGAGAAGCAGATCAAGGATGCGTTCGAGAGGGCAGATGCTTTCGCTTATTCAGTCCACCAAGATGCCCTCAAGGCAAAGGAGGCGGCCAAGAACGATCCTGAGAATGCCGGCAACATCTTCCAGACTTACATCAACGCATACCAGAACAAGATTACCCAGAAGAAGGAAAAGGCCAAGGAACGCACTTCGCAGACTAATGTCAACATTGCAATGACGAAGGAAGATTCCATGTTCAAGCACATCTCGCTGCCGGGCGGTATCTCTACCAAGGCTACCGAATACAAACAGCTCGCTGCTAAGGGTGACCGCTGGGAATCTCCCATCTTCGCTATTGGTAAGGCGAAACCATCGTCAGATGTTCCCAAACCTCGACAAGTCACTCGCAAGCCACATGGGACCTCTCGTGCCAGAATCCAAGGTGGTAATCATCCCAACAGCGCTTCCGACCTATCGTCTGGTTCTACCGGCGCTACAGGTGCTGCTCCCAACGCATCCGGATTCAGCAACCAGCTCGATCAAGCTTTTGACCCCAGAAAAGATGTGACGAATGGCTCGGCCAAGGTTACCAACGGCAGCGCCAACATCTACTACGACAATGTCACCAAATAAGGAGGCAGGATATAGGACGATTGAGTCTTGGACTGGAGAGTAAAAAGATTTGATGTTGTTGGCACTTTCTCGATACCCTTTTAGCTGGTTTTTCTTTTGTATTATTGCTGGAGATGTGCCGATAATGGTCGTGATTGGACGGAATGGCGCAGGAATTGCAGTCATTATTAACTGCACTGCTAAATAGGATAGTCAGAGTATGTAGATGAAGACAATATCTCAGAAATCCCACTCACTGCTTCACGTTTGACACTGATCGAAATACCGTCGCAAACCGGTCGCACTGTTGCCGGGTATTTTGTATGACGTTAACATTATGTGCCCGCGCAGGTGTAACGCGCGACGCGGTCAAAAACCGTGTCATTTAAAGTGGCGCCTATTAAGACTGCTTGACGCGATTTTCGATCCGGCCCAGCAACCAGCCTCACATCTTACCTCTGGTGGTTCTCATCTATATAACCCAATGTCCTTCTGTTTCTGTTCACCATAGCGTACGCAGTACACCTTACTCAATGCAGACCTGTGAAAGCATTCCCGACTTTCCTTGCTAGAATGGCTCCCGCCCGGGCCAAAGTGCCCGAGTATCCCAGGCCGGTGTCCCCAGTTCCTGTCGATGACGTTCCTATTTGTGCCGATACCATAGTCTATTATGATGAGCAGTCCGACGAAGAGATTGATGACGAGCAGAGAGCTGCGAAGAAGCGACGTATCCAGAGTTATGCAACGTCTTACCTTCGAGGCGAGCCGATATTCATAGCCACGGCGCATTTGAACGGCCCCTTTGGAAAAGGTTGGCGCAATCCGTGGTTGAAGAAGAGGAAGAATACAACACAGATACGGAAGGCGAAGACATCTCGGCTTGCTGCTGCTGTCAAGCCAGTGCTGCATCCAGACATGTCCTCAGTCTCAGGCCAACGGCCTTTGAACCGACCAGCCATGCAGGACGCTCTCGAATCGCTGAAGAGTAAAACCGAGCTCGACAACCACCCATCTCGAGCGAAGAGAGACGAAATCACGTCTCAATTGTATGGCCATGAGGATTGCAACAAGATTCGGAAGGTGGAAGACTGGCTCAGGACAAGTACTTCTTGCGGGCAAGCAACGGATAGGTTCATTCAGTCCCCGTCTCCAACAGTGCGTCCAGTACACAAAGCGCCTCAACAGAAGACAAAGAAATGGGAGGCTGCAACCATTCCATTCCAACTCTCTGAGGCCACCCATGCGGTGTCTGAGCTTGCGAAGATCAATGGTAGGGAACTACATAGCGTTTGGACACCAACGGATCACATTCACCACGGTCAATCAGCATCATCTCCGACATCAAACAAGAAGTCTCCAAAGATATCTCCACCCTCCGGTATAACTTCCTGGGCTCGTGTTCAACAGGCAGACGCCCCAGTACAGCACACCATCGGTGCTGGTATCCCGATCGGCGATGATACAAGACAAGAGGATCTTATCGAAAAACCAGAACCAACTCGACTCAAGCCAGAAACCTGCATTTCAGAAGATATAATGGACTCTCACGTCCCTTCAACGTCTCTGCACACAGCCTTTGAACAGCCACTATCTTACGGTCCAGGCACTGCACTTCCTGCATTGTCAACAGAAACAAGCAAAGTACGCCATACAGACGAGCTTCCTTCCGCGCAGATACAAATACAAGCTGTTTTAAACTCGGGGCCTTCCAACTTATCGAGCAACATTCAGACGTTCGCCGGCCCATCCGATCGCCCCAACTCCCCTGACCAGGATTTGATCAGCAATACCCACATAAGACTTCAAGACCAGACGGAACGACGTCCTGGTCATGCAGGGGCTTCACAATGGAAAGACGAGAATCCCAGCGGTCGCCAAGGCTCGTCGCCCGTGAAAGCTGGCACCAATGCTCGTCAAGTTTCACTCGGCGCCCCAGGACAGTCTCGAAGTCTTGACAAAGTCATCACGGCCGAGAGCAAGTCTCCCATGACCGAAGCTACCAAGTCTATCTCTACAAAGAAGAAGCGAACAGCCTTTGTCACTGATGAGCGATCCTCAGGGTCATCTCAGGGATCGATAAAGATGGCCATGAAAGTTGCAAAACCATCGGCCCTAAATCAAGACAAAATCGGTAAAATCCAACCTGATGTGAATGCCGACGGTGAAGAGAGTGCTATCGAGAACGTAACGGAGATATCTCCATATCGAGAGAAGCCGATCCGCGGGACGTTGGAACGGAAAGGTATTCTTAAGTCTTCACTCATGACTTCTACGGAAGTGATGGCTTCCTCGACTCATGAGGCCCAAGCCTCTACCAACCAAGATGCGCAACGGCCGGCAAAGCTCAAGTTGATTGAAAGCGGGATGTCGAGGCTGAAGGATGATGATTTTGACCTGGAGGGTGTAATGGACGATTTAGGGAGTTTTCTAGGGACATGGGATCAGCAGCAGGAAGCTGTGGGATTGAAAGCATCTGTTTGATTAGATAGACATTCTGAGATGTTGGAAAGTCTGATTTGGTTTCAGTGATGAGCAATGGGAGTCTTTGGTATGACCTTTGTAAATGATGCGTAGGAAGAGGTATCTCACTCAGGACGAATTGTCAGCCTTGTCTGATTGCGTCACTCAGCCTTGTCCGGGGATGTAAGTACCATGTCCTGTACAAGAACCTTCGGTACGTAATACGAGAATCGTGGTCTTGGGAACCCTGATTCCGATGGGCCGCATCCCGCATCCGCAGCCATAACCGGCAGCCAGCCTTTGCTTTCTCTCATCCTACATCGCCAGACACAGATCCTCAAACCTCTTCACCTTCCTCGTCCTCACCTACTTTGCCTCCTCCTGCGATTTCGAGTTCGTTTGTCCGACGGATGAATTGAAATACAGACCATCACCCGCGCATGCGGGAGACGAGACATGGTCTCCGTCGAATCTACCCTGACTCACACGGCAGTCTCAGGCATTGCCTCAGTGTCCGCAGAGTTGACTTCAGCAGGATTGGAAACCGCCGCAGCTAATGCCACGTCCTTCTTTGGATCGGCATCCTCAAAGGACTTTCTTCGCGCCCCGCTACAGATTGCTTCCCAACTCGAGCAATCCTTCCTCGGTCTTTGGAACACCTTCAAGGTAGAGAGTCTGGGTCGGCATATCTTCTTTGGCCCAGGGACTGTGAGACAGGCAGCCGACACCGGAGCCCAAGTGATGGCCGACGCTGCTGCAAATGCCGGCGCTGCGCAGGCTATGGGTGAAGCAGGCGGTGCGGGTTGGGCGGCCTTCTTCGCGGAAGCGTTTCAAGCCAGCACATTTAAGAGTTATTGGGGCATGCTACACTATATCACTTCAAGATGGGCTTTTACTTGCTTTGCAATGGCTCTCATACTGAATCGCATCGGCGTCTACGGCGCGTCCAGGCAGCGCATCTACCTGGATTGGCCGAAGAGGCTTGCCCTTCGAATCGTACCCATCCTACTCTTCATTTCACAAATCCATCAACTTCTGCAGGCAATCCGATGTCAAACCTCACCCGACTTCTCGCTCTATCGGCATGGGGATAACAACAAGTACAGTCTGTTGGACTGGTCGAAAGATGGCGGTGCGCTGCACACGCTGAGTTCGGCCATCTTGTTTGGATCCACAGATGCAAGTGCTTGTGCTGCTGTCGGGCTGAGCAGGCCGTCGCCGGATGTCCGGGCACCTCGAGGCTCCTTCTCGCTTCTGTGGCCGTCCTTCTTACGTTTGAGCCTGTCTCACATCGTGGAGAGCTTGTCTTGTTCACTGCAACAAATACCTGCCATGACGGAAGTTGGCATGACGGTATTTGAACACTCTCTGGCATTTGCAGAAGCGGAGACAGCATTGGCACATACCCTAGGGTTGGGCCTATTCGGCTCGTCGAAATCCTCCGACGCCAGCTCTTCAAACATAACCATGTCCAGCTCTGAGCCTACAATCCCAGCATCTGGTACCATTCTTGCGTTGGCAGATGCTACGGCGTCCCTGACCGGCCCTCACATTCTAGACCGGGTCAACGTACCGGTAGAAGTTCTTTTGGTGACGCTGCTCTCATGCGGCAACTCCTTGACGTCTCATGTTCTTGCTGTAATGGGCAAGCAACGTCGGTGGCGTCTTGTTAATACCGGCATTTGGGGCATGGCTTTCATGGGTTCCTTTGTTTGGGGCCTTTTCAGTACGAGCACGATGGTCAGAGGAGGTGACGACGGCGATGATCGTCCGGTCAGCAGCTTATTACACTTCCCAACGGTGGCTATCGTCGGATTCCTTCCACATATGGCTATCTTGCTTGGCATTGGAGTCTGTTTTATCATCTATCTTGTTGCACTCACCTTCACGGCAATCTCACTAGGAACAAATCCGCATATTCCACAGCCTAGCAGTCTCAAAGAACGGTTCAGCATTGCACATGACAATCTACAAGCAGCCATCCAGACTAGGGGCATCAATATTCGGTGGTATGAGGACTTTTACACGGCCCTTCTTCGGGTCGGGTTCGCCGCTTTGACCGCTGCCTCGGAATCGGTTTTCCTCAACGAAGGCAGGGCCGTCGAAGTGCGCCAATTCACTTGGATTGAAGAAGACCGATTGGATGAGTTTGAAGGTGCAGGGGATGAGAAGCTGGGAACTACAAGAGGTCAACAGTTTCAGATACTGGAAGAGTATGGCCTTCCGTCATCGACTCCTGGAGGGACCGACAAAGGTGGTGTCTGGGAGTCTGGGTATTCCAAAGAGCGCAAGTTTGACAAAAAGGATGGTGAGCTCGAAGGCAAAGATTCCTTTGTTTATCCAACCCCTCAAAACGGTGGAGTTGGCGCTGTGCAGCGTACTACCCGATTTTATTTATTGATGATCTATCTCCGAGGCATTATCTTCCTGATTGCTGGTTACGTTGGTTTCGGTGCTGGGGTCTTGCTTGATTCTATTGGAATAACAGGCCGTCCTAGTTGGCTAAGGAAACTGGTCGGTCGGTCACTCAAGAAGATGCACGCTGAACGCAATAGTAATGGAAGGGGCCGCATGCTCGACTTTTGGTTGATTGGCGAAGATGGGAAGTTGACAGTACCTCTGACGGACGAGATCGACATCGAGCCAGAGATGCGCAGGCGCTTGATGACTGAATTTCCCAGTGACAAGGTTGATGAATTGCTCGATTCCAAGTTATATGATTGGTGGAGGTCTGGTGGATGGTTTGGCGTGAAAGACGGAAGCGGTGATTACCAACCGCCTCCTCAGCACGATGGTTTTGACGATACGACGAGTGTGATTTCCATGTCAACCGAAGCTACGACTGATCGAAGTGAGAGCGGGGTCGACGAAGACGAGGATGGATGGGAGTCAGAACCGGATGGTACAAAAACACCCACCCAGGCATCTGCTGGCCCGACATGGTCGTTTGCTGGAATCGAGTCGCGAGAATCGAGCCCTTTTACTGACACACCATTGGATGCCACGAGCCTCGCCAGACTGTTAGACCCCCAAGACCGAGAATCACGAGACGAAGCGCGGATTCTAGCGGCTCACCTCAAGAGTGTGTCAGCCGAGTCTCCTGGGATCATGACACGTTCCCGCTATCGACGGGAAATGGAGAGAGAACGAGCGCGCATTCTTTTGGCTGGGAGGACACCACCAAAGCTACCTAGTCACGTTCCGACGATATCTCTCTTCGACACATCACACGTCTCTGGTCCTCGACCATTGACCAATGCCGAAGAGGCAGAGGTCCTGGAATCTCTGATCCTAAGTCGCCGGAAGAGGAAACCGACCGCTTCGCAGTCTCATGGGAGGTTTGACTCTGCCGAGGATGAGTCAAGTCAGGCCGGGCCATGTTGCGTGGTATGCCAGACGTCTCCCCGATCAATCATCGCGTGGCCTTGCCGGTGTCTGATCGTATGTGAGGATTGCCGTATCAGCTTGGCACTGAACAACTTTGGGAACTGCGTCACTTGCCGAAGGCCCGTCCAGGGGTTCGTGAGGTTGTATGTACCTTGAAGAATTTATGTTTTGTTACGTAGTGGTTTGGGAGGATCCTACCTTTTTCTGACAGGAAAAAGGGGGTTGGCCATAAATCCTCAGTCATCGTACTACCTGCTTCTCTCTACCTAGAGAAATGGTACTGGTCTTCACGAGGTAGGTATTAAGTACATCCGCATTAGTGTATGAAAATAGAAGAAAGAGTGTTCTGATTGTTGATTGATTTCTTTTGTCGTAAATGGACAATACCACTTGATCTACCCAGGTACGGACGGGACGATTTTGGGCATTGACTGCGGAGACGTTGTCGGCGAGGCTGACGTCGGGATCGCTAGGGTCGGGGGCGAATGTGGCTGAAGCCGACCGTGACACCAACAAGGGTGGTACGGTATCACTCACGTCCTCATGTGTCGAGTTCTTTTCGTTCTTTTGCTAATATGAGCCGTGGTCGTCAACCTCCAGAGGGATACAACGGGACTTTGATCTCCTTGTTTCTTCGTCTTCAGAGACGCTTCTTTTACGCGGAAAAGAGAATCCTCTATAAATCTACCTCGTAACTCGAGAGCGGACGGAGACCCGAGGGTCGACTGCAACGCAAACTACGAAGACGATATGACACGAGGTCGTCGATAGGGGTGGGGTGGGGGGAAGGAAGTGAGAAGAGCGGAGAGAAAAGCAGGAGCAGGAAGAGGGAAGGGAGAAAGGCACCACAGAGGCAGGAAGAAGTCGCGGATGTAGGATTCGTTTTTTTTAGGGGTTTATTTGATGGATCGATTGATCGATTGATCAATTGAATTCATCATCCTCAACTTTGATCACTCGGGGCTCAGGCCGGCGTCCTGAGCGGTGACTTCCCGTTCATCTCCCCTACGTCCAGGGCCACCAGGAACCGACTCACCATGTTGTACGCGCCGCACGTGATCGTCATCTCGACGATCTCCTGGTCGTTGAACCCGGACGCTTTGAGGGCCTGAAAGGTCGCCGGAGGCACGTCGACGCCGGTGGTCATGGCGTCTGCGTATCGGAGAGCCGCGAGTTGTTTGTCGGTCAGCGGTGGTGAGTCCGGGCCGAGAGGCCCAAGCGATTCTACGGCCTTCATCATCTCCAGGGTGAACCCGGGTGCGGACTGGAGGATCGGCGCGTGGTGGTGCCATTCGAACCAGGCCTTGTTGTGCAGCGCGACGCGGCAGATGATGATTTCGCGGATGTCGGTGGGCAGGATGCCTTGGGTTCGGACCGCGCCGAGGAGGGAGTTCCAGCCTCGATTGAAAGTGAGATGGAGAAGAGAGGGGGGGGGGGGGAAGAGAAGACGGGGAGGAGGAGGAGGAGGAGGAGGAAACGTTACGGCAACGGAAGGACATTGACGGTGATGGCATTGAAAAACGTCCAACTTGGGGACATTGAGATTCCCGAAAAAAGAAAAACTTACCATCTGCCAATTTGGGAGAGTGGAAAAGTGCCTTGTCCAGAGGGAGCAGAGAACCACCACGGCGCTGTTTGATACGGTCGTAGATGGCTGCGTCTTCGGGAGAGAGACCGTCGGCCGAGTCTTGGACGTATGGGAGTTTCATCTTTGATGAACTAGGTCGTGGTGGTGTGGATTGAGTGACTCTTGAATATACCAGTGTTCCTGTGGGTGTGCGTGTATGCGTGTGAGGCAAAGAGTAGAGACCAAGAAAGAGGGGGGCCCGTGAATGTCGATATCACCCGATACGACCACCTCGACACCTCGACTGATCGAATGCGAAATGAGGAGGAAGTAATCGCTATTGTATGTGGAATTGTATCATTTCTACTTGATGTGTGAGGTTCCTCCTCGGTTAAGACCGGACATTTTTGGGGTTATTGCCGTTCATTACCGAGCTCAATTAATATTGACTCCTTGTTTACTATTTACTCGATGCTCTCGTCCTGCCAATTCATCTCGACGTGGGAGTCCAAAACAGTATAGATAGAGAGCTTTCGCGCAACGCGTGTACTGCTCGCTGCTTGCTTTCCATTCGCTGAACGCCGACATGTTTGTGTGGTAGATAGATTCAAGAGTCGTCATGACTGAGGCGTCACAGGATGGTGCAAGAAGATGGGCCCATATATTTGCCTGCGCAGCAATAAGCTCACATTATCCCTAGGAACATGCTCCAGTGCTGTCATTTCTGCATGAACATCCGCATAGCCAAGCACCAAGTCGTTCATGTTTGAAGGCTCATCTCGACCGAGAAAGTGCGCGTAGCGGCTCGAAATATTCTGGCGGGAATGTGAAGCGTCCGAATCGGCCGAATCGCCGACGTCGTTGCTGCCACTGAGGGGGTGTTGTGTGTTTTGCTCCGACTCAAGGACCGACTCGAGTGCATCGACAGAGTGGTTGAAAAGACCTGCATATTCATGTCGGATAGGGACAACGAGAGCTAGCCTCCATAGGAGTTGAAGGAGTTGCTTCTTGCGCCACTGAATAACATTATAGTGGACGAGGGGAATCTCATCCAGGTCCACCAACGAGACGTACACTCGGTAGTACATGATCTGTACCACGAGATTCTCTTCTCGAGGATCTCGAGACATCGCATCATCAAAACTGTCCAGGACAATCGTGACAAGTTGTAGAATGTGCCGGCTATGGTCATCTTTGTACACCAGTGACAGCTCTTTCAACTTCCCACGTGCCAAGCGGAATGGGCTACTGGGAAGGATGCTTGTTCCCTTGGACTGATTCTCCTGTGCCATGACGTCGAAGATAGGACGACCTAACGACGGCACACGAGACGCGAGGTCGCAGTATATAATCATTTGCTGGATGGATAGCGGTAGATCATGAAAAGAATAGCCAAAGTAGAAAAGTAATGATTTGATGCCTTGAAGGTGAGCTTGTGCGGCCTCATGATCGGATTGGAACAGTGAACACATCATCAGGAATGATAAAGCACTCGACATGGGAGAGAACCGTGTTCTGGAAGGAGTTTGGAGTGATTCGCGGACAATGTGTAGCGCACGGCCTATGAGATTGTGCACTGCGGGGTCTTTCTTCGACGTCAGGTTCAGATTCGTCATTAGGGTTGCATTGTACGCGAGTAGAGGCAGAAGGACAAGTTCGTCGTGCAGATCTAGGTCCATTCGACGCACTGGTGTCCAGTCCTGATAAAAACGTAGAAGTGTGAAGGAGTTCGGGTGTCTTGACAGTGTAGATGTGCGGAAAGGGTCAATGACGTCGGCGCCTCGCAGAGGAAACGGCTTAAGCGGCTCGTGGTCATTGTACAGTGCTTGAAAATAGTCTGATGCCATTTCAAAAGCCACCGTAGACCAGTCATTACGCCCCGATACCTCATCATGAAGGGTTGTCTTGTTTTCGTCTCCATCTTCTGAACAAGGCTTTATAAAGTGTTCAGTACCCTGCTGCTGCGCCTCGCCTTTGGGATGTTTGTTCCTTGCGGCGGAGAGTACAACCTGACCCTGTTTTTGCTGCTCGATGGTTGTGCGGTGTTGCTCCTCAGGCGGAGGCTCGGGCCCGATTGTGCGAGGAGCTTTGCCAACTCTCAACAAAGGCCCTACATCCCAGGGCTCCTTTTTATGTGAGGAGCTTTTTGAAGTTTTGAACAATTGCGCTCTTTGCTCCGACGTCGCTCGGTTGCGGTAGTATTTGCCTATGTGTGAGCGGACGATTGACAAGGCGTCGCCTGATGATGCCTGACTAGGGTGACTTATGTTGACCCATACACGTGGCCTGCCCTCTCCTCGGTCCATGATATCCTGGCTGCTGACATCGAGGGCTCACGATTGCAAAGCATACTTGTAGTGCTTGTCTAGCTATTGTATAGGCAGATTCAAGAGGCAAGTGTCGACGATCGTGGCCGATGGAAAACCGTGTTGGTAAGCTTGAAGGCGAGAGTCCCGGTGGTGGCTTTACGGAGCCTCGTTCATAGAGTCCAGCCCAAGGGCATCATTCGCCTAAAGCACAGTAGTAGCATTTTAAAGACGACCACGAGGTTGAGGTGGAGGCAAATAATTGTCAGCATCCAGAAAGGGCATATACCCTTTGGGGAGATGAAACGGCAAATTGAGGGCCGTATGATTCTCCGTGATTCAGTACGGCGGATCTTACTGACCACATGCACGCTTTCCTTCGGTTTCCCACGCGCTCCCTCCTCGCCTGTGTTCTATAAATCCAAGTTCAGGGTGAGCTGAAACCCTGATATGTCGTGGCTTGATTCAAGAACCTGCTGGACAATGTTTCCCCATTCCGGAGTGCCAGCACTATACTGACATCCCATCTCCATACGGGATCCCGCCGGGTAGCAGCTCCGCCCCTGGCTGTGCCCTCGGAGTGATGGCCGAGAACTAGTACAAGTATCCAACCCCCACGCCCCGGACATCGGCAATTGACAGATGTGGGAGGGAAAAATAGCTTCTACTCCAACAAGACAGAAGATGCTTTGAATCATTGCTTCTCGAGAGATAAAAAACAGATTCCGGAACACACGTCCATCGAATTTTCAAGTCAAGATCTGCCTCCTGGGACACTGGAAGATACCGAGATAGCTGACGAAGCGGCATTGAACGTGTGCTTTTCTTGTCCACTGACGCAATCCATTTGTTACACTTTATCTACCTGTATCTCCCCTCGCGCGTCAGTCATTTGCCGACATTCTTGCTTTCTCAATATCCCACGTCTACATTGGCTCTTGATATTTAGTGGCCATCTCCTTGACGCGGCGACGAAAATCTTCCACTGCACATCACAGCTAACAAGACTACCCCGACCATCATGAAACTCCTTTATCCAAACTCAATCGACATCGACGTCAAGAGCCTGGAGGGGTTCAACGTCTCTCTCCACCAGTATGACATAAAAGCCGACATTCCAGAAGAGCACACCGACGCCGAGATCCTGGTGACCTGGACCAACCCAGTTCCACAGCTGAAGGTGGAAGCCAAACGCCTCAAGAATCTCCGCTGGATCCAGTCCCTGGCGGCAGGGCCAAACGACGTGCTCAGCGCAGGGTTCGATACGTCCAAAGTGATCATCTGCACGGGGTCGGGTCTGCACGACCACACGGTCGCCGAGCACACGTTGGGCCTCCTTCTCAACGCGGCCCGTCGCTTCTTCGAAATGCGCGACTACCAGCTCCAGGGCAAGTGGCCGGCCCACCTCGGCGGCGCGCAGCCAGACAGGCCCAAGGGCAAGTTCACCACGCTGCAAGACGCCAACATCCTCGTGTGGGGCTTTGGCAACATCGCGAAGCAGCTGGCGCCCTGGCTCACGGCGCTGGGCGCCAACGTCAAAGGCCTCGCGCGTCGCTCGGGCGTGCGTCAAGGTACCGAAGTGTACAGCGAGGACAAGCTGAGCGAGCTCCTACCGACCACAGACGCCCTGGTCATGATCCTGCCAGGGGACGAGTCGACCAAGAACGCGCTCAACGCAGAGCGCTTGAAGCTCCTGCCGAACCATGCGTGGATCGTGAACGTGGGTCGAGGAACGTCGATTGACGACCAAGCACTGGTGTCGGCCTTGGAGAAGGGCGAGATTGGCGGTGCAGCGCTGGATGTCTTCGTCACGGAGCCTCTGCCGGAAGATTCACCGTACTGGAAGACGCCGAACACCATCGTCAGCCCCCACGCGGCGGGAGGCAGACCGCAGAATCCAGAGACTTTGATTGCGTACAACCTGAGACGCTTCCTGGCAGGGCAAGAACTGAAGAATGTCATTTAGATCTTGTTTCCCAGCCCTTCTATTTCTCGTACTCTCTTGCAGAATTTTAGATGACGAATGAACAAAAGAAAGGAAATTTTCAGTTGCAATGCTATGAATTTCCATAATCCGAAGTAAGCTGAGAAGGATAGAGTTTTCCTTTGAGAACGGCCGGAGGATGGCATGGAAACACGTAGCCTGGTTAGATGGTGGCTGCACTGTAACACGAGACGCGACCTGGAACGGAATTGTAGTGAGTCTTGGGATTTGGAGCTATATAGCGAGGTCCACATATTTGCTCATTGTTCTTCCTGAATCAAGGTAACCCAGATGGTTGCCCGACTTTCAATCAAGAAAGGTATTGGGAATGCTTCAATTCGTCTCCCCATGATGCGTGAAATATAAAAATAGCACTGTCTGCCATAGTCTCATCGGTCCACAAGCCATACTGTGTAATACCACGGGATGCGATTCAACTTAATAAGCAGAGCCTCTTCTCTCAACCTGGTCCACGACGTCCTTCTCCAAGACGCCGTCTCTAGCAACCCGACCTGCGAATGTCTTGCTGGGCTTCCACTTTGCAGAGGTCCGAGGAGTCGTCTCTTCGAACATCTTGTCGACTTGCTCGAGGCTAAGACCCTTGGTCTCGGGGACGAAGAAATAGGTGTACACGAATGCCGCTGTGCAAAGACCTCCCCAGATGAAAAAGACCGAAGACTTGAGGTTGCCATGTTCCTCGCCGACCATGTAGGGGGTGATGACGGCAATAATCTATTTGTGAACATTAGTACTGTTTGAGGCGTTGTTCATTGGTATTTATTGCAATGACTTACAGTATTCCAGAGCCAGTTGGATGCCGTTGACAAGGCGACACCACGAGAGCGAATTGGTAGTGGAAAGATCTCGCCAATGACAATCCACGCGCCAGGACCCCAGGTAGAGGCGAAGAAGAAAATGAAGATTGCAATGAATGCGATTTGGGCATTGACTGCGGAGATGTTGTCGGCGAGGCTGACATCGGGATCGCTAGGGTCGGGGTGAGTGTGGTTGAAGCCGACCGTGACACCAACAATGGCGACAATGAACTGGCAGATCAACATGCCGAGGGCACCCCAGAAGAGGATCGTACGACGGCCGAACCGCTCGACTGTCCAGAACGACAAGGGAGTTGAGCAAACGTTGACAAGGGTGAAGATGAGCGAAATAAGGAAAGTGTTGTCGATGGCCCCGGTCGACTGCAAGAAAGGAGTGGAATAGTAAAAGATAAAGTTAACACCGGTCCTAGAGTTCTGGTTAGCTAAATCTTGCATAAGATGATGCTAATGATCTTACCATTGTTGCATCATTTGTAGAGAAGTGCCCAGAATTGTTCGACGCAAATTAGACTTGGCTTCCCAAAGACTTCCTTTGAAACAGTTGGCCCAGCTCGAGAACCAGCCACTGTCTGGGATAATGTGGCGCTCGTATTCCTCGTTGGCCACAATTTCTGCCAGTTCGACTTGAATGTACTCTGAGTCTCGTGGTTGACCACGGAGCTTCGACAATGAAATCGTAGCATCTTCGAGTCGTCCCTTCTTCACGAAGTATCGAGGCGAGTCCGGCAGAGTCATCAATCCACCGGCCAAGATGATAGCCCATGCGAACTGGATTGCAATTGGGATTCTGTAAGATCCAGTGTCGTTGCGACCCTCAGTGGCATAGACCACAATGGATGCAAGCAGGAGACCAATGGTAATGCAGAATTGATAACCAGCGACGAGGGCGCCGCGAACTTTGCGTGGGCACTGTTCTAGTCGTTAGGATAGTAACTAATCTGAGAAAAGGGGGAACAATGATCTTACAATCTCGCTCATGTAGAGAATAACAATGGCACTTTCGAAGCCGACACCAATACCGGCGATCACTCGACCCGTGACAATAGCTGCCAGAGCGTCGCCGGCACCTGTGATCATCTGGATAACAACACCAATCATGTAGATCAAGCAACCAAGAATAACGGTCCATTTTCTTCCGATCATATCCGCCAGATCACCGGCAATGAGAGCACCAAAGAATGTTCCGGCAGAAAGGATCGAGACAATAAGAGATTGATGTGATGAGCTCAGTGCAGTAGCATCAGGCCCTTCGACCTTGCGAATGAATATGTCGGAGCCGTTCACACCGTTGATGTAACCACTGTCATAGCCAAAGAAGATACCACCGAAGGAGGCAAAAGCACACATGAGGTATGCCTTCCAGGTAACTGGAGCCTCAATGCGGTTAACATCGTCAGTGACGCTGAGCCTGAGTGAGCCTTGCCGAGACATGGCGGAAGATATTGCGGGGAGGGCAAAAGTGATAAGAAGAAAGCTCGTCACAAAACGTGTCGCACTGGGTGCGGCGCCAGATATATAGGTTTCCGGCAGCGTAAATGGAGGCGATCAGGGGCGACATCTGGAGCTCCGGTCACCCATGTTGTTGTTGAGGGTTACATGTCGCGGAGTGCCGGTGCCCATGGTGCTAGCAGCGGGGTCGAATGACCAGGGCCCGCGTCTGCATCCTCCAGCTCGATGTCGGTGTGTATAACTGACACAGGGCCTCTAGGAGAAGTGTTGCAAATGTGGACCGAGTATAACACCCGTGGTAGCCAGAGGGACGTCGGTCCTAGCTGCCATGTACAGCTTTTCTCCCTCCTCATCAACACCATGCAACCTTGCTATTGACGCCTGCAACAGTAATGATTGGCGCGGAGCTTGAATAGTGATACTCTGAATCCATGGCAGTCTTGTCATGGTCTTGGAAATGACGCCCAAGACCAAGTCCAAGACTGTGCTAAGACCATACCCCCACAGGCTGCTCTTGAAACTTCAGTCGCCGAGACAGACAAGCAGGACGTTCTCAGGACTTGGTGAAGCTGTTGCAACGAGAGGCGGGAATGACAGAGCGGATGCTGTTCGTCCATAACCTGCTCGATATCTGATGTATCGACAAGGCTGAAGTTTCTGTGGTGGTATCAAGTTGCGTCTATGCTGACTGGGCATGTGGAAGCTTCACGGTGGAGACCATTGCCGAGACGACCATTTCCTTGGCTGATGGTGTGTTATGCGGAGTTGATGCCTAAGAAAGCAAAGTGACATCTCTCAATGGATCCATTGGTCACGATGCAATAGATGATGAGATCTCAAGACCTTCTCGAAGGTTTCTAGTGTCAGAGGAAGACGCCACAAACGTGAGGAGTGAAGAAGCAGAGGCTGCTGTCGTAACTCAGTCTGTCACGCGACACCTGAGTCTTCCCAAAGACTCGAAGAGAAGAATTGCCATGGTGTGGCCGTGCCGATCTTGCCATCATCATCTGCCAACGGTGACGATGAATTCCACAGAGAAGGGGAAAAAGCAGACAAGAGAACAGCTGAGAACGAACACAATTACAGAGCATGACGGCAGCCCGGCTGCGAGGCGAGTGAGAAATGATAGTTGTCTGGCAGATGTGCTTTGCCTACGAGAAGGGTGGTTTCCCACTACGAAATCTCGTCAGACGTCGAATTAGTTTCTCAAGATACAGAGGCAAGAGCTGCAACTCCGGATACTTGGACGACCGTACCAAGCAACACAATCTTTACGGCGAAGTGAATACACACTCAAATGCAGCAACTCAAGGCTTCACCCAAAGATGGCCCCAGACTACACTTACTATGATGTCGACGTGTTCCTTTACCCTTTGTCTTCCCTTTGGTCTATTACTGGGGCGTGGCGAGGAGTAATTTGCTACACTGTCTCCATGAGCGCCGGCATTTGGAATGTCTCTAACCACCAATCACCACAAACGCTCCGCTTGCGATCGATGCAAAGGCCAAAAGCTTCGTTGTGTGCGAGCAGCGGCAACCTCGGGTAACGATGCATGCGTGAGATGCCTTCGCGCAGGTGCGGCGTGTGTAACTAGTCAGGCTCGGCCAGTTGGTCGTCCTCGTGCTCTAGAACGTGAAGAGAGTTCCTACACATCTTCAGCAACTCGAAGCCGAGACGACGAAGGCTCCGGATTCTTTATGCTCCCCGATGGCTGCTTCGACGACACATGGACAGCATTCCTCGCTGAGAGTGAGATCGATAGTCAATTTGTTTCTGGCAATGATTGTATAACCTCACCCACTACCCTGTCGCTACCACAGTATGATGCGCCCGCCACTTCTCGCCCCGAAACAATCTGTCAGATCTTTCTCCGGCATGATGTCAAAGCAAATACAACAATTCGACTATCCCAGTTGAATGAGAGCCTTGCAAGGCAAATTGCCTTTTTCCCACCACTTTCTCGGGATTTCTCCTCCGACTTGCATGTCTGTATCCAGGAAGTCAACGAAGCCGACAAGAACCCAGTCGTTCCGGCTTTGCAGAGCGCCACAGAATTCACCAGTATTGTGGAGGAGCTGATCTCTAGCATGAGGCGCAAAGACCCGGCCTCAGCAACGAACAATTCCCATTCAACAGACATCCTTCAACCTGGGCCGACAACATCGTCATGGCTGGCGGCTGAAAGCTCTACCAGCAGCGATGGGCCCTACACTGCCGGTACACCAATCACCCTCCTGTTAGTTTCGAGCTACCTCCAAATCGTGGAACTCTTCAACTTTATCTTCGTTTTCTCCACTCAGATTTTGCAAAGCTCCTCTTCTATGGCAGGAATTTTGCAGTTTTCTCCGGATGTTTGCATTTCTGGGTTGCCTCCCATGAAGGCCCTCCTATACATCAAGATTATGATCCAGATGGCTGAGCACTATCTCCACCGGATTCAAGGCCTTTTGTGTCTCCCTGAAGAGATGCTACTTTCTTCTAAAGAAAGCGCAGGGCTACGACTTTTTGACACTGTCAATCTATTCGACCTACTCAAATTGAATATCCCGCAACGAAGCAGCCTTTCAATGAGAGTTAATCTAGAAACGCTAAAAACACTGCTTCCCGCCTGACTATGTACCGAAATGATATAGTCGCATTCCAGAAAAAATTATCAAGTGCAGTGCATCTTGAATGAGATGTGATAGGGAACCTCTTTCTCTTCCAAATAGCAGTCAATTGCTGTCGTTGCCAATGGCATCCTCAGCAAGCTATTTGGCTTTTGGCTTGTCCATCCCATATTTTGTCTCGAGGTTATTGCGGAGTGGGATCTGCTTTTCAAATGCTATTATGAGGAATCCAAGGGCGGCAAAGGCAGTACCCACTTCCCATCCACGACGCAAACTTTCGTTCAAGGTCCACGCAAACTGTTGACGATCGCTCTGGGATAAGGTGTCTACAAATGCCTTTGTAGCATCTTCGTAGGCATGACCATGTGCCACTTGATTTCTCAACTCATTGGAAGTGATATGCGTCTGAGCCAGGGCGTTGAAACGGTTGTTGAATATAGTACCAGCAATGGCAGACCCCCATGTCATGCCGAAAGCTCGCATGAAAGACCATGCTGCGGTTGCTTGTGCGACATCTGCTTCAGATAGAGGAGCCAAAACCGCAGGCAGGAGGCTTGAAATAATGAGGCCCATTCCGGCCGAGCCAATTATCTGATAGCCAACCCAGGCACCGGTGCTAGAGTCCTCATCGATCAGGGTCAATGAGCCCATTCCTGCCAGCATAACGGCGAATGCCACGAAATGTATCGGTTTGTATCGACCAAACTTTGTCAAAAGGCCACCTCCAAGGGCTCCAAAAGGGAGGATGGTCAGGATTGTGGGCAAAATCTGGACGCCTGAGCGAGCAGCAGTCGCGCCCCGTACACCCTGGAAGTACACTGGCAAGAAATAGAGGATCCACGACATGACGACAGAATGTAAGAACGTGAGTACGTATGCGGTGGCAGACGTGCGGTTGAACAATAAGTGTAGCGGAATCGTTGGGTTGGGACAGAGTCGCTGCGAATGTTGGAGAAGCAGGAAGGCTATCAAGCCGAAGAATCCGGTAATCAAAGGTACGAGGATACGGTATGAAGACCAGGGATAGACTGCTCCTGCCCACGAAAGCGCAATGAGGATCGAGGTCACGGCCGCAATGAACACAAAGTTGCCCGTCCAATCAATGCGTGACAATCTGGTCGCGAGGCTGTTCTCCTTGTCCCATTTGACCCGAAGAAACGACATCAGCAAGGCAAAAGCGAAGCCACCGATGGGTAGATTGATCCAGAAAACCCATCGCCATGTTGTGTTGCTGACGATCAGACCACCAAACAAAGGTCCGAGAGCCGTGCCGAGAGAGACCAGGCCAAACAGAGCGGCGAAGTATAGCCCTCGCTGTCTAAGAGGAACCAGATCAGCAATGACAATTTCAACAAGCAGGCCGATGCCTGCACCCCCAATGCCTTGTATGATACGACCAGCGATCAGCATGGCCATGGTGCTGGCACCTCCGCATATTCCGCTTCCGAGGACGAAGGCAGCAACTGACGAAATCAAAGGCCATCGTCGCCCAAAGAGATTCGCAAGCTGCCCATAGAGGGGCTGCAATGAGGTCCTGCGGTTGAGTCTCCGTCAGTTAAAGATATTCCAACGCCGTTGGCGGCCCGGATGACTGACAGTGCCAATAAATACCCATCAATAGCCCAGATATACATGTCACCACCACCCAGATCAGCCACGATGGATGGTAATGCAGTGGAGGTGATGGTAGCGTCGAGTGCGGTGAGGAGACTGGTAAATCCCAGAGCAATGAGGATGGCCCAGAATCGCAGGCTCCTCAAGTCTGCTTGTGTGGTGGATGTTTCCAATACCTTGTCAATGCTCTTTGCCTTTTCTGATTCTTGCTCTTTGCTCGGTTGGATCGTGGGTGCCATTGTGTCGCGATCATTCTCCAACCCTTGGAGGGTCTGTTGCTCTGCGGTGTCTGCCATCTTCGACCTCCTGTTGCTTTTTGTGGCGATGTTTTGCTGGCGTTAGTTCGCCGTGTCGTTTCGAAAGGTAAGCCAGCGTATGCTGGTTTGTTCGTCAACTGTGAGAAGAGCGCGACATTTTTGGCGAGGCATTTGTTGATATAGTCGCCCTTTCGGTGACTTTCGGTAACTTGTTTGAGACGCCTCCTTTGTAACATTCGGTAACTTTTGACAACGGCGACGATCCTCGTCAACGATCACGATTTGCAAAGACGGACATTGCCTCTCTCTCTCTCTCCTTCTCAACAAGGACTGCGATATGCTTATGACTGCGGCAAGCTGATACGTCCGGGGTTCTTGATCTTGCTGGGACCCATATTATTCCCTTCCGAAGGTATCATTACCAATGCCTCCCAGCGATGAAGCCAGCAAGCACCGCGATACATCGCTGTAAAGTGACCCTGGTAGCAGCTAATCATATGGCCCTGGGTGAGATCGGTGTTCTGTACACAGTCGCTAAGAAAACCCAGTCCCTCGGGCTTTCTGCACCCAAGTTATCTCGTCTGTCTCACTCATTTCTTGAGTCTTCGGACTTGTCATAACTGCATTCACAGATTCCGCAGTACAATTCCATAAACAGAACGCCGTCCCTCAAAGGCACTTCTAGCTCTTCGAACATGAAGTGAGTTCCGGGGTTCCGGAGGTGTGAAGCGTGGGCGACAAAGAATTCGGAGATGGCCTGGCGATAGTCGTAAGAGTGAGTAGTCGAAGTGATAGTCGGAGAAGTGCCACGCCATGGATTGATTCCTTTCGTCTCTCTGACTGTCATTGACCTGAAGCCCCCCACTCTTGGTCGAGCAGAGACATATACCATTTACTGTTTCCACAAGTCTCGCAATATGAATAATTAATAGTCGTCCGACACCGCGCCCTCTCTTCATAGCACTAATAAGATACAGCGGACAAGAACGACCCATCAAGAAAGCATATCTAGACACCACGGACAAATCAATCTCGGTTCCAATGTCTGAGATTCCGAATACTTCCATACCTGCAGACTACCTCGAGCGTGTCTATGCCGGAGTCTTGGGCAAGATCATCGGCGTCTATCTCGGCCGTCCGTTTGAAGGATGGAGTCATCAGCGAGTGCTTGAACAACTCGGGCCGATCAACTACTACGTGCACGACAAACTCGACGTGCCGCTCGTGGTCACGGATGATGACGTGTCGGGCACGTTCATGTTCGTCCGGGCGCTGGAAGAGCACCCGGACAATGGCGGCGCCGACATCACAGCCAAAGACATCGGACGGACATGGCTGAACAATGTCATTGAACGACGCACGATCTTCTGGTGGGGAGGCAACGGCATTTCCACAGAGCATACGGCCTATCTCAATCTCAAACGCGGCATACCCGCACCGCGGAGCGGTTCGATCCAGCAGAACGGCAAGACGGTGGCGGAGCAGATTGGCGCTCAGATCTTCATCGACGGATGGGCGCTGGTCGCTCCAGGAAACCCTGCTCTTGCAGCGAAACTCGCCAGGGCAGCTGGCGAGGTCAGCCACGATGGCGAATCCGTGCACGCGGCCACGTTGTGGGCGGCGATGGAGGCCGAAGCATTCAAATCCAGGGACGTCACGCACCTTCTCGAGACCGGGTTGTCCTTCATCCCTCGAGACTGCTTGATTGCGAGGGTCATTGCCGATGTGAGGCATTGGGCCAAGAGCGACGAGCACGACCAACACCAACAAGACTGGCTAAGGACACGACAGCGCATTGAGGACAGGTACGGATACGACCAGTTCTGCGGCATGTGCCACGTCGTGCCGAACCACGCCGTCATGATCATGACGCTCTTGTACGCCCGAGACTTCCACGAGGCGATGCGCATGATCAACACGTGCGGGTGGGACACAGACTGCAATTCCGGCAACGTCGGCTGTCTCTTCGCCCTGATGTACGGCCTCGAGGGATTCGAAGGCGGCCCGGACTGGAGAGGTCCGGTAGCGGATCGCGCCCTGGTGTCGAGTGCCGACGCCGGGTACGCGACGAACAACGCCGCTCGAATCGCCTATGACATTGTGAACATGGGCCGGAAGCTGGCCGGCGTGAAACCGCTGGAGAACCCGCAGGCACAATTCCACTTCAGCCTCCCCGGGAGCGTGCAGGGCTTTGAGAGTGATTCCGGGTCGAATACCAAAGTCGAGCAGGGAGAAAAGGGACTCTGCATCGTGGTCGACGGCGACACAGACGTTACGACGCCCACGTTCAGACCAGCCGACCTGGCGAAGATGAAGACGTATGAATTCGTCGGATCTCCGCTGGTTTTCCCTGGCCAGAAGATCCGCGCCGTGGTGGAAGCAGCTGACAGTGCAGCAGCTGTCCAAGTGCAGTTGAAGACAGATCTCAGCGATGGACCCGTGACGAGACTCGCCGCGGACGGCGGTCAACACGTTCTAGAGTGGGAGGTGCCTCCTACCGCCGACGGGAACCCCATCTCGAGACTGGGACTGCGCGTGTCTGGACAAGGAAGAGTATACCTCCGAAGCCTGGGGTGGTCGGGGGTGCCTCGAATGACGCTGAAACATGACGTCCTGGGCTGGGTGAACGGCGCCAGCACCTTCCACACCGGCTTCGGCACCGGCTTCTACGTCGCCCAAGACCAAGGCGAAGGCATCGTGATCTACGGAAACAGAGACTGGACGGGCTACCGAGTTTGCGTGGACCGGGTGCAGGTCAATCTCGGACAGGCCGGTTTGGCGATCAGAGTACAGGGTCTGCGCAGGTGGTACGCCCTCGTGTTGATCAAGCCTGGCAAGGTGGCGCTGGTCAAGGCCGTGGACGAGAAGAGGATCGAGCTTGCAACGGCAGATTTTGACTGGAGTCTTGACGGCCAGTATGCCGTCAGCCTCGAGGCGGAGGGAGATAGCATCAAGGCGACAATCGGCCATGTCAACCTTGAAGTCAAAGATGGCTCGTACCCGTATTCCGGCGGCGGCGTGGGATTGATCGCTATGGATGGATCGATGGCCGCTTCAAATATGCACGTCAGTCCTATCTCTTGAGGGAGCGTGTTCACATCCTGCTACGGCTGCCTACGAGGAGTGATGATTAAACACTTCAGAGGAGTGCCAGTTAGGGAGACTCACCAATACTCCAGGTCGGTACAAAATACTACTAGATTGTTGAAAACTGCAAAGAACAAGGGGGTGCATCATGATCGTGTGGATATTTATTCGCAGAGGATAATGCAGGGCCTACCTATTGAATCTAAGTGCTGTGGAAAGTCTAATTAGGACTGTCCTTCTACTGTAAAAAAGCGAGGGCAGGTTGTGTCATCCAGTCTACTGCCTCCTCACCCTGAACCCCCTTTCCGCGTACAGCCTTGTTATCTCCACCGCTCCCGTGCCCCACCGCGTCTTGAGATCTGAAGCAGACACACACCACCGTTAATGCACAAGCCTCGATCTAATGTGTTTCTCACAGGGAATGTAGGCGAGCACAGGGAAGAAACTTGAAAAGAGTCGCTCAGGAACGCCCTGCACGGAAGAGCAGAGATCACGTGATGACTCAATTACCTAAAATCACCTGATGATATAATGCCGTTTCAGTCTTTCCTATCTTCCGCCTGCTTTCCGCTCTTGCATACACATATCGAGATCGCTGCATGCCGACCTATGACTGGAAATGCTCTGACTCCCTTGAAATGCTAACTAGATCTTGCTGCCACGATGGTTCGTCTCGAGAAACGCAGCGTCGTCTCCGTTTTACTGTTTTCGTTGACTCCCACCAAACCGTACCGAGTTCTTCTCTTCCGCCGCTCTGAAAAGGTCTCGACCTATAGAAACAAGCTCGCACCAATAGCAGGCTCCTTGGAACCAGAGGACAAAACACCACTTGATGCAGCCTGGCGAGAGTTGAAAGAGGAGACTTGTCTTGGACCACAACATATTGAACTTTGGAGGAGCGGCCCAGGGTTCCAGTTCACAGACGAGAAAGCTGTGATTGGTAAAGATGGAAAAGGTGAGACGGTCGGAAGAATATGGCATGTGTGGCCCTTTGCTTTTCGTTTCAAGAAGGACCTCGTAGATGAGCAAAACAACGTGGACACGTCCACGTTCAAGATGAACTGGGAGCATGTCAGTCTTGAATGGAACCTTGTCGATGACATACTGAGTGGAAGGATCCTTGACCAGTGTGTACCCAGACTCGAAATCACTCTTGGACAGGTATGGGTTGATCCAGACAGCCAACTCTACAAGGGAATGGAAGAATTGCGCCTCGATCATACCCATGGAGCCAGAGAATTGGCTACGATGGCAGTCAAGACCTTGGTGAGGATCGTAGAGGATGCACAGCAAGAGAACAAGATGATATCTCAGGAGGACCTTGCGCAATGGTGGACAGACGTGCGCTTGCAAGCTTTCCACCTGGCGTTCAACGCACGTCCAAGCATGGGCGCTGCGATATCTAGTGCTGTTGTGAAGGCACTGCAAACTGCACAGAGTGTCGTTGATGCCGCTGGTCCGCCGACGGCTACAGTTATGGAAGATGTAAGAGGGAGCCTAGAAGCGTATGTCGCTAAACGAACGGAAATCGCTAAGCGGGTGAGTGCGCAATTTTCGACTCTTCTGAAAGACATGTTTCCCTCAACGGACCGAGATGGGGGCGACAGGCAGCCGATCAAGATCTTGACACTGAGTTTTTCGTCGACCATCAAAGCGGCAATACTGCATGCGTTGGACGAAGATGAAACGCGGAGGGTCGAACTCCGCATTCTGGAGTCACGACCTCTCCTTGAAGGTGTTAATTTCGCGCAAGAGTTGACGAGAGAAGCGCAAGACCGGCTGCAAGGCCAGAAGGCAGGCCCCCGGTTGCATGACCGACTACGGATCCACGTGTCGACGGATGCTTCTGTCGGGGTTCTCAGTAGAGACGCCGATGTCCTGGCCATCGGCGCAGATCGTATCTCCGAGTCTGGGGATGTGAGTAACAAGACTGGTTCTCTACCAGCAGTATTGACCAGCAAGGAGGTCACGCACGGGTCTATCAAAGTGGTCTGCATCAGCAAAACCGATAAAATTGCTCCCCCTGGAGCGGCTGAAGAGCATTCCGACGAAGTCAATGACAAGAAAGAAGTCATGGGGAGCTGGGAAGGAAAACTTCCTTCGTCCTGGGACGAAATGGTCACTGTCCGAAATGTATATTTTGAATGGGTTCCGGTCAAGTACATCGACTTATACGTCTGTGAGGACGGTATTCTTGATCGAGACGATATCAAGACGAGGTCAAAAGTTGTGGCAGACTTGACTACAAAAGCGTTTTCGGATTTGTCCAAAGCTCGCGATTATTGATCGGACGTACGAACTTGAAAGCAGCCGAGGATTGCATCGTGAAGGATATATTGGACACAGTTATCCTTCTTGGACATACTGGGGACCTAATTCCCATCTCGTCAATGGACATGACTTGTCACCCATGGGGTCTTCCGCATTCAACATCTGATCTCGTCAAGGCTAAACTTGGTGTTGCGCCCGCTAAGCTCTCTGATTCCTCGTTTCTATGATGGTTGCCGGAGGCCTCGAGATAATCCTTCATATTGTCAGGGACGGTACAGAATGACACATCTTCTAACGGCGTCCTCCAAGATTGCAAAGCGCTTGGAGGACCATATTTCATGTTGTACTCTCTGGACTCTGAGGTCACTGATACAGTGCGGGTGGACGACCTGAATATTTTCTTCCATATCAGATTCATGAGAGGTCGAATCATAGGCATGCATGCGCATATGATGCCAGTGTTGACTTCGATCGCAGACCAGTAAGCTGCCTCGACATTGGCCTCTGAAGCATCGGATGAGCGGCTGAATTTGTAAATCGCGTGCAGACGCAGGATAGACACAATACACGCACTGCATCCAAAGTTAGTGATGTGTCCACGTTCAGGCCATAGTTTGACTTACAAACCTCCGACTGCGAAGACAGCGATCAGGCCATATTTCTGTCGCGGTGGTAGATGAAGCTTCTTCAAGATCGGCATTGGCAGAATGCAAAGCACACAATCTGTCAGGATAGAAACACTAGCGCTGAAGAACCACCAGGGCACATAGTTGATACATTTGTCCGGGAGGATCATTTCCTCCCAGAAATCCCGAGGGGGCGTACAGGTGAACACTGTCACGACCGCGGCAATGATCCCGAAAACAATGAGAAAGGCCAGTATGCATTGTAGCGCCACTTTGTACTTTGTCTCGGTGAAAAGCCTCAGAAGTTGGCAACAAATTGAGCACTTGACCAACGTGAGGCAGAGGCCGTAGAGAAAGATACTGGCCCAAAAAGCCTGTATCGATTGGTAAGCCGAAGAAGAAAATGTCCAGCAAAGACGTACCTTCAGGCCCGGTACCGTCTGATCGGGTGGCAGCGTGTAAAGGTTCTCCCCAAGGCCATACTGTCGTTCTGAACAGTCAGCGTACTCAGTTCGGGCCTTTGTAAAGACCACATACCAACTTCAATCGCCCCTGCCACGCCGAAAGAACAGACGAGAGCTAGTACGATCAGGACATCTTCTATGAAGAGGCGTTTGGCAAACAAGATGCGGCTGAAGCAGCGTAGAGAAACGAAAATAAACGCGACAGATGAGAAAGTCATCGAGAGGACCACCGCCTGAGTTCCCGCCATGATGGTGAAGACCACAGAGTTTCAAACCTGAGCCCGAGGGTACTTAGGTCTCGTCAATTATACGGGGAACCAAGGACGCTGCAGAACTTGATATACTGGAGGCGTGCGTGTCACAGCTGTGTTGATAGCGTGCAAGAGGATGACGCAGATGCTGCAGATGCTTTGAGGAAGGTATCGTCACGCACAGCTCCGCATACACCATAACCGATCCTCTGTAGGAAGAAAAATGCAGTGGGAAACCATCCATAACCAGATACCTGGCCTGTGCTTTTTGAGTTCATCTTGAGCGCACAGTCGATCGACGGTGTTGTCGTGGACAAGACAAAAGAGTCGAGAGCCCAGAACATCTGGCTTACGCCGTTGCCCGCCAAAGAGAGATCTGAGCTATGCCCAATCTGGCTAGTAACGGCGAGAGAAGCGTTAACGCTATGATTTTCCTGCGACCTCAGTACACACTGACATTCAATAAACCCATCACATCGGACCCGGATTGTCGAACAGATTCTCGTATTCGTCTTGTGTCACCTATTACGACGGTATTATTGCCAGAAATTTTTGCAATTATCTCGTAACAGGCCGATCTCGATATCGGTTCATGCCAGACTTCATCCCCTCCGCGGGCCAGGCTCAATCCATTGCTGCCACGGTCCGAAGATACTGCAACACACTACCAACGACTACAGTGACACTATGAGTGTGCTGCACGGCAAATCCCGAGAAGGGCTTCGCAGAGCTGGACCTAGGTCCCGCGGGGTGCATTTCGATTGTGGCCATTTGACGTGGGCATCTCCACTGGCTCCCACTCCGTTCACCCTCGAGCGGTGTATTTGATCTCATCTGGAAACGCCTCTTCTGCATCCAACTTGAACGTCACAGCACCCGCCGAGACAACCATGGGGCTTCCAATGTTCCGCGAACCCGAACCTGTATATGGAAGCGGGATCGCCGAGACGGGCCCAACCCAAGCGGACACCAATACAGGAGACGTGCGGGGAGAACACACTTCAGGAGGTGACCGGCAACAACACCCTGAGGCCACCAGAGACGACAACGAAGTGAGTGACGCAACGGAAGATGGAGCCGAAGCCAGAAGACTCCACGAAACCATGATGGATCTTGGCTTTCATACGCTGGGATCAATCGAAGACATGATCAGTGAATATCAACGCTCCCTCACCACAGGCCGAGACAGCTGGCCCGAAGTGGATGAATTTGTGACAAGAGCCTCTAAGAGACTCTTGGAGTTGTTACGAATACATCGCGAATTCGCGCCAGAGCATCCGAGCGGTGATTGGGAGGTTACCTGGATGGAGGCAATTCGGATGGTCTTGAGCGCGCAAGATCCGCGTGGTGAAGATGGACAATGATGACTTCGGTGAACTGGTGGGGAGAGACGTTTGGATGTCTCTCTACCCCTTTGATCCGGGTTCTCTGTTCGGCAAGAGTGGGTGGTTTGTAAAACATTGAATACAACGCCTTCATGAGCGTGTACATTGGTACCTATGGTTTACAAGAGCAAGGATTCCGAGTTTGAGATGATATTCTCTCCTCGACCAAAGTTAAACAATCAATACCTACCCACTTAGGTAGGTGGGCTTGCTGGTATGCATTTGAAACTCGCTCAAATAGTATACCATTAGAATGCCCATTAATGCTTTGGGTGAAGATGCTCCGTTTGTTGTCCGTTTGACGGGTCGAAGTTCCTCCTCTTTGCGTCCGCAATCGATGAGCCACCGGGGAGATTCGGTAGCAAGGAAATGGAGGATCATGAGTAGCATCTAGGCTAGTGAGCACTCCTAGGCGCTGTCTATGAGGCGTGACATTCACCGAGCGAGCGAACCCATTGCAGGGCAAGATGTACTCGCTAGGAGCATTCATCGATCCGCTTGTTGCAGCCATAAGTGGCAGCAGCGACAGTGATTTCACCAGTAGCCGGTGACGACTAGAAACGAATATCAAATCCGTGTCGATGCATCTCCCAAAATTCCAAGAGCCCCCGTGTATTTTTTTTGCTCCAAAGTCTGTGCTTGGCAGCAGATTCACATCGATGCTGCCAGCCACGATCCCCTAGGAATTCGTATCGACACCCAGAACAAACCTGACAGTAGGACTTTTCTGATGTTGTCCTCCTTGCGTCTCCCCCTCGTGCGATGTCCTCATGGCTTCGACGGACACATGAGTCCTACCAGTGTCAACGGGATCATCAGTGACTGATACATGTGGTGGTGGTAGAATCAGGAAAGGCGATTGACGGCATCGATAAAGTGCTCTGCTGCATGGATGACGGACAATCAGTATCTCGAGACCCAACCTGCATATGAAATACCTTCGTGAACCTTGATAATGATGAATCATCCCAAAGCGGAGAGAGGTACAAGATATCAATGTTCATAGAGGCTCCGTAATTCAACTGTGAAGGTATATCTTCCAGCTCATGTCTTTGCAGCACTTCATTTGTGCCACGATCGCTCAGTAAGCTTCTCTGTTGACCGGTTGAGAGCCACGAATTCACTGCTTTCTCCATTCTTCCACAATAGCAACACAGCAGGTCGCGTGTTGCGCCTCACCGCCTAGGTCGCGTTGTAGTCTTTGTGCCAGTTTCACTTCTGTCCGCACAATGGCTCTCGATTTCACATCTCTTCAGCATCCCAGCGAACAAAAATGGCGGCATTGATGGCGAACAACCACGGCGCTCGTCGCAGTTTGCTGACGCTGCCCCCAGAGGTGATCAAAGAAATACTGCGCAACCTCCTTCTGGTTGAGCGCAATCGCGTCTATCAGACCACCTGGGGCGGGATGGACTGGCCTTACCCCGACATGGCGAGGGACAGCAATGAGTTCCGTGAGTGGTGGGTACGCGTTAACGACATGGCCAACCCAACAACGGCAAGAGTCGATCGCACAACTGAGCTCCGCTGGGCCAGAGGACTTGCCAAATACGCAGTCAGGCTCGACCTCGCCATACTCCGCGTCTGCAAGACTCTGCATGAAGAAGGCGTCAAGATATTGCTTCAAGAGAACAAATTCGTCGCTGTATTTGGGATGGGACAAGTCGCGCGTGTCGACGGAATGAAATGGCCAAATTTCTGGAGTCCATCGTGGAGATGGGATGCAGAGAACGGTCGATTCCTTTGCTCGTGGTATGGCCAGGAAACCGTTGTCAATGTCAGACCAGTCTTGTCACTCTCCCGTCAAGGAGCAAAACAAGCTGAAAGAAATTCTTTCAACCTCATGCCGGCTGCTGATCTCCCATGTTTGGCCTCAGCTCTGGCAGCCGAATACTGGGACTTGAGGAAGTCACCAGCCGACGATGCCGAGTTCAAACTCGATTTGACAATCAGAGCCAACGCCAGACCCAGTGATTTCGGAGGCAACAACCAAGGAGGGGACGACATCATTGACTATCTCACACCCCGATTGTTTATGTGGGTTGGTGAGAGCGTGAGACACGTCTCAATTTCTGTTTCGGATCCCGATACAGTCGGAGATGATGTCCAGATATGCGTCGACCTAGCAGAGTCAATAATCGGCATTGTTCAGGCCTGGAATCGCGCAACAAGAGAGAAGCAAGTTGAGTTGTTTATCCAATATGTCAGTGAACACTTGGAAACTATCAACAGCGCAGTTAAAGATCGAAATCTGGACAAAGCAGACAGGGCATTCTGCAGACTATGCGAGGACCTTCAGGCCTTGCGCTTCCATCCCGCCATCAAACCTACCTCAGAAAGGACCAACTTTGAGTCGATTTCCTTGACCGACCTGCTCAATGGATACTGGACCATTTTCGCGCTCGCCTGTCACAGCCTGTGCAGTTTGATACCAGTCATGAACGCTTACCCCAGGCGATTTCGCAGTCGGATGTCCTTTGTGCGCTGGGCCATCATGCGCGCAGAGATACCAATCTCTCATCTTAGACGCGACCGAGAATGGCACCTGCGGGCCGCCCTGCAATCCACCCGGCTCCTCATTGACGCAGGCTGTACGCGTTGGGTTGTATACAACTGCATCCACACCGCCGCAAAGATCATCGACGTCTGTTTAATGAACGACCCGACAAGCGGCAGGGTCCAGCGAATCAGGGACCTCAAGAGGCACATTCCGTCATACAACATCCTGTCCCTGGAGCCGGCGTCCTACCATTACCCTCACCCGAGGTCGTTGACCAGCAGAGATCTTGCTGGTATTGAGCAGTTGGCCACGAGGTGGACGCAGGAGGTAGACGCGGTTTGTGGAGATGGCCTTGTGGGCTTGAGCCAGTTCCAAGGAGCATAGATAGGCGTTTTGTTGTGAGATAGACTTCCAATACAATGAACGAGTATGTTACATGACTGCTTCCGACTAACGTATTTTGAATATCGACCCTTGACATCGTAGGAGCCGGAGTTCTTGTGTGAGACGATCGCTCGAATTGTAATGGTGCTCGCAGCTGATCTTAGTTCCTTGACTCTCGTTGAGTATGATGTCGACCAAGATTGCATTCATTGACGTCGCATACCATATCGCGTTGAGTACGCCGCGAATAAAGTCCCTCAGGCCTGTATCGTACGGAGGAGGCTACTGTTGTCAGTCAAAGTCTGAGAATCGCACGGCGACCAGGAGTCCTCGTACCGACGTGGGCGGCCTGATCTGGCCCCAAGGAACGACGAACGCCCAATAAGGCGAGGTAGACGAGGTGCGCCCGACCGCACGAGCATGGAATTGGGGCACTACAGGGCTTCAAACCGCTCTAAGTAGGGGCCCCCCTGGCCGATTCCAGAGCTCACTCTTCGCACTGTCGATCAGGCTGCGGCAATATGCCTGAAATCTCCTCCTCTCCCAGGGATGGGAAGAGGGCCGGGGTTTCATACTGTACACAGCCAACACCATCTTCATCGTGACATCAAGGCTGCCGATATCGACGAGAGCCGACACCGACACCGACACCATCGATGGGCAACAAAGTCCACGTTACCGAGCATACTGGCTCCTACAACGCAATCTCGCACAAATCTCCACACGGACTCCAGTGCCTCAAGATTCTCTTCAGCGAATATGACAGCTCGAACCCGAGTCGGCTGGCGCTGAACGACCTTCTGACGGCAGACTTTCAGGATAATACGAACGGCAGCGACAGGAACACAGGCCGCGAGGAGACGATCGATACCATCATCTCTTCCCGAGCAAAATGTACCAGGCACCAAATCGACCTGAAACATGCCTGGTGTATCGAAAACTCCGGCTCGAGCCACACGGTCTTTTTTGAGGCGGTGCGATTCATGATCCTCGACGGCGACCAGGACTGGACGAGGGTCCCTCTGTCCGGTCGCATTGAGGTCAAAGTCAAAGAAAATAGATTCACGCTCAAGGATGCCGTCGCCCAGATCTCGAGCCGGAGAATGACATCCGACGCCAGCCAGCTGGTCAAGAAAGACCTATCCCGAACTGCAACAACGAAAACAGTGCCCTTGAGCCCAGCTCAGACGCCATCTCTTGATCTACAACCCTCGACAAGCAATCTCGTCTTGGGGAGCGTATCAGAACTACCAGCTGCCCACAATGTTTCGACCGAGATCAAATCCCCGCCATCCTATCGAAAATCACAGTCCAGCAAAGGCGAGCCCACGGTAACGTCTGGGAGTTCGCTAGATGTGGCTGAGTAGCCTCTCCGCCCTTCATGAGGTTATCGGCCACTGCTGGAGGAGCAATGGGATCTTGGGACTATGGAACGCATCGGTGCTATAGAGCCGAAGCTGGATCAGACTCAGCTCGGGCGTACTGGATTCTAGGAAGATCCAACTGCTACCGTAATAGGATAGTCGGTTTCCTGTCGCCGCGCAAGACTCTCAGAGATAGACCAGTGTATATCGAGTCAAATCCATTGCAAGGAATCAAGGCTTGCCGGGAGACGAACTAATGGTCATCGGTAGTGGAGCAACCCGTCCCAGACCGCCTCTTAGGAGTGACTCGATCCGGCTTTCCATCTTACTGAAGAATCCCCTATAGTCCCGGCCAGGCGTTTCAGGATTTCGCCAACCTTCTCTGCACCAGATACTCCAGCTGCCCATCTGATGCGCCACGAGGACATCAGTCGCAAGTCTATCCCCCACGACCACAATTTCTCGTGGATCTTCGGTAACTCCATGGTCCCGAAAAAACTTCAAGATATCTGGGCCGCAAAGTGGCTTTTTTCTGTCTGGATGTTGTCTTAAAACTGGTATCCCGAGCTCAAGTTCCAACTGCTTAGCCTCCGCTTCGTGCTCGGGGGACGAAGAACTGCCAGCAGTATTCGACACTATCAAAACACTATTCCCGTTGCGAGAGAATTCGGCACATTGCTTGATCTTTTCAATCTTGTTGAGATACGCTTGGTGCATATTTGCCGTTTCAGGAGGACACACGGTATTATCTTTATCTAAAACAATGGCTCGAATGGTAGGCTTCGTAGGTAGCGAAGGGCCAACTGGCAGTGGAAGCCATAACAAGGTTGGGATGGTTCGATGTGGCAGAAGAGCGGACGGGTCATGTAGGGCGTAAGCGAGTGTCAAGCGAAGAGCTGGCACATTGGAAAAGAGCGGCATGGCAAGGAAGAGAGGTCTCTGATATTTGAGGCAATGGCTGAGGCTAGAGGCCACGAACATACACGTAGAACATGATATCGAATGTTGGACGAGGAATAACAACGAGAGGGAAGTTCTCAGGTCACTAGGTGTGTGCGGAGTTAAGACTCCATCGCCGGATTTAGCCATGCACCGTCGACTGCACGACATTTTCCCGCGCTCGGGGACGAAAGAATGAAGCAAAGCAAAGCAAAGCAGAACATCACAACGAAGAACAATAGTCTCTCCAGCCCCCTTCAGAACCCTCGCCTCAGACTCACCATCTGTGTCTGTCTGTCTGGACTTGAGAATCCTACCGATAGGCCTTGATAGCGCACTCCTCGAACCCGGCGACAATGGGAAAATTACAGTCTACAATTGGCATCCCCATCAAATTGCTTAATGAGGCACAGGTAAGCTCTGCTTGCGCCAAATCAATCAGCGGGCGATTGGAACTGATCACATGCATACGAGCAGGGACATGTCGTGACTCTAGAGCTGACTTCTGGTCAAGTCTACCGTGGAAAACTCATTGAAGGTACGGTGGAAGTCTCCATGCAACTGTCAATGACGGCGCAGAACCAGATCCGTCGCGCTTTGCTTTATTCAAAAACATTGCTGACATGCGATACCTTTACAGCCGAAGACAACATGAACGTTCAACTCAAAGACATCACAGCCACAGCTCGCGACGGCCGAGTATCGCATCTCGACCAGGTCTACATTCGAGGCAGCCACGTACGATTTTTCATCGTTCCAGACATGTTGCGAAACGCTCCTATGTTCAGATCGCGAGGCACAAGAGGTCGCGGTGTTGGTTTGGCTCGAGGCAGAGCTACCGTCAACAGAGCAAGAGCTGGGAGACGAGGTTGAGAGGAGGCACTGGAAGCCTTCGATGACTTCGATAAACTATGCAAAAACATTTGAAAACTTGGACGATACTCTATTGTGCGAAGGCGGAAACTTCGCATAGTCGCGAATTATGCTGAGGATTAAATCAATTTTGGAGCATCGGCTGTCGCACGAATCAGCGGGTCAGCGGGTCAGCGCGCGATACCCTTCGAGAGATATGATTGATGTGTGCTTGAAGTGACAACGACACAATCTTCACACTGGGACGAGGGCTAGATGATGGGAACAGAACTGCCTCGGCATCACTGGGTTCTGCGTTCCAATGCCTGGATTGCACTTGTTACGCTGGCCAACTGAACACGAGGCTTTGTATCAGCCTTGCCAAGACGCAATATAAATTGATCTGGCAAGCTCAATGCCAGCTTTTAGGCCTCCCAGGGGATGTGACATACACTTCTAGTTTTTTTTGGGTTCTGTCTTGTTCATGCCAGAGATACTTTGTATGTGTGATTGTGATTTATCCGTTTTCGGGGGTTCGGATCTTCTTACTCTGCCCATCACTTGCTCCTGAGCCCAGGCTACTGATAGGCGAGGAAAAGCCGCGCTTACCGCCTGCTAAGTTGTTGTTCTACGCAGTCATTCTTCTTGGACACCGCAGTATTCCCAGATTCATGCATCCCTGAACAAACGGCGTTGACAGGCCGACCGAGATGGACGACATTGCTCCCATCCATAGCGTCGATACCTCGGGCAGGAATGAGCCAAGTGGAGTTTCTACGGGCTTCTCGACTGGTACAACACGGTTTCCCTCTCAGAATGATTCTGTGCTTCGAGACCGTCAGACTGGCGACATCCAAAATGAGATTTTTGGTTCCGCTCTTACCCACCGAAGCTCAGAGCCCATCCACCTCGAGCCACCGCCAGTAGTTGTCCGACCCCCGAAGATCAAGAGCGATGGCTTCAGCAATGCTGCGCTCTCCTGGCTGTCCTGGAGTAATAGCGAACAGAAGGACTTTTCCCATTGTGTAAGAACGACGCGGAAATCTTACTCGTCAACAAGGTCCTTCCAACTCTTCGGGCTCACGTTAACAAGAGACATCACTTTCAAGACTACCGAGAGTGGTGTGGATGCTGCAAAGGTGAACATAGGCTTAGTAAGTGCAAGACCCTCCGGACAGTCCACGACACTCTACTAATACACGGGTACCCAATCAGGGATGGCACGGAAAGGAGGCGCATTTTGTCCGTGATCATCTACCAAAAGCACAAGGGATTCTGCAGCAGCATGTTCGAAAAGACGCCGCAGAAGCATCCGAATGGACTCCAAGTCAAGAGAACAGCACTACTGCCACCGACATCGAACAGCAACAACATCCCAGCCACTCTGGAAAGTCGAAAGAAATCCACAGGTACGCACATCCATGGCTACACGATTATTATTACGTAGTGGTTGGCTTCATGAGCGATGGGAGTATACCCAAAGAGACCATACGTCGCGTTGTTGAAATTCAAGGTCTATTCCAGCAAATCCGCAGAGCGCAGAGACATTTGAGAAAGCCGTTCCGCAGAGTGTTGTCGTTGAAGGAGGTTGCAGGTTTCGGCATCTACGAGTGCGATCCGATCAAAGGCTACCATCGAGAAGTAGAACTCGACAAGGACACGCAGAGAGCACTGGCGGAATTGTGGCGAAGTTACAACGACAACAACCTCGACTACGAGGGCCGTTGGCTGATGTGGATCCACCAGCATTTCAATAACGGATCCAAGAATCCAGAGATGGGCAGATTGGCTCTTGAGCTGAAACTGCAATGGTCCGTCTTCAAAGTCGTCATCTGGGGCATCATTCCAGTGCTGCTCAGTCTGGCCATTGGGTTCTGGTACATGTACTCGGATCATGGCGATGTCGACGATGTCGCCGTCGCAGAGGCAGCTTGGGTGATTGCCAGCTACATTGTCACCACCTCAGCTCGTGAGTATAACCTGACCTTGTTCTTAGAAAGTGTCAACCGCTGATTCGTGTCGGAACAGTACTCCTTGCCCTGCTGGCCGTTATCACCCAGCTGGGTAACCTTTAAGCAGGTACTATTGTGACCCTTTGGCACCCCGATGATGTTTTGGCGTTGTTTGTTGTAGCGATACCACTCCTTGAAGGGTTTTTGAGCGGTGGTGTCAGGTGTCCGTTCTTCAGGGATCTGATTCGAACAGCAATGTTGAGGGATTTAGAGAGGGATATTAAGGCGAATTTCTTTATTTTCTTTGTGTAAGGATCGAGATCGTTAGAGGCTCCTCATGGTATCCTGTGAGATTGATTCGTAGGGTTCAAGACAACATTTCAAGATCAATAATGCAAGCGTTTTCCCCGGGCACTCAGTGGTGAGTACTTGCACAGTTTGGGGGCTCAGCCTCGTCATGTGATGTCGAAGACAAGGCTACGTTTTCCGACCTTTGACGACTTCCCTGCCGACTGGACGATATTTATTCCGTATTATTTCGATCTCAGCGACGCTGTTGATTCAGGACACGTTAAGACCAGCTAGGCCACTTGTTTATCGATAATCGAAGACCTCAGTTTCGGGGGTCAATTTTGTTCACGATCGATACATGCCTGAGAGAGTGTCTCCGGAACCACGGCGGCTTTGGGGCTACGGCGATGGCGGACGGACAAGTCAGCCAGTCTTCTCTCCGGCTGCTGGTGCTGGCACCGGCGTTAGATGCGAAATCGAAACCTCCCTTTCCGAGCCTGTTGCACGCTCTCACGGGCGTGAGGCCCTCGGACGAGGTGGCGTCTTTTTCCGGCTACACCAGTCACCCGCCGCTAAGCTTGAGAACGAAATATTACAGCACGGACATCAGCATATGGTGCGACGAGCTACCGCGAGAAGATGTCTCTGAACCCAAGTCATCGTCAACGTCAAATTCAGATTCCATTGATCCTCCTCAGCCCCCGACTTCAAATGGGGCGAGTGACTCGGGACAAGGACCGTCCGGCGCCGGCAAGGAACCCGCTGACGACGGTGACGGTGACGGTGACGGTGATGCTGATACCGTAACGACACCGACACTCGAAGACTGGACGAAGCAGATGCTCTCCCCAGCCGCATCTGAAGTGCGCGCCGTGATCGGCGGCATCATTCTCATTCTCCCCGTATCTGCTTCTTCTTCTTTGCGGCAGCAGCAGGTAGTCGTCCCGCAGTCCCACGTCCGCCTTGTCGAAGCTATCCATTCGGTCCGCGAGGCGATCGAAGACGAGAGCTACCACGGCGAACTCGCGTCTATAGTCGTCGTGCAACCCTCGAGTCCGAACGTGATGACGCCCGCGAAACTCGCCGAGATATCCGACCACCTCGAGGAGGTGTGCTTGTCCGAAAAGGGCATTCTGGGGTGGGACTTCGTCTCGTGGAGCGGCGAAGTGCCTTCTTCTTCTTCTTCCTCCCCCGCCGGGTCTTCCGAGCGGAACGAGTACGGCGAAAAGACGGGCATCGATCGGGCAATCGAGGTCCTAGAGGGCGTCGACTGGTCTGCGTCGCCGTTTTTCAGCCACGACGACGACGACGACGACGACGACGACGACGAAGGATTCGACATCGACGACGACCTTGACGGCGAAACAGCAGGCGGCGTTTCCATGGCAAGCGTCCTGCGAAACGCGCGGAGATCTGGCCTTGACTACGAGTTACAGCGGGAGATGATGGAGCTCAAGATTTCTCTGGATGATGTTGATGGTGATGATGATGATGACGACGATGACGATGCCGAAGACGCTTCTAAAGGAAATAGTGGTCAGAGAAACGCAAACGGCACAGGAGATGACGTCGACGACGCCGATGAAAACATTCAAGTCGAGCAACTTCAAGGCTTGATGGAGCGTGTCGTTGCCATCCGTGATGCTGGCTCCGAGCTGTCACCCGCGGAGAGGGGACGGTTTGCAAGACGAGAAATCAACAGGATCATGCGCGAAATGGGCTAAAAGGTGCCTGAGGTAGACCACTATTGTTTGTATTGCTGCCTGGGTATCAATTGCCTTTCATATCCATTTCTCGTCACTAGTCTTGCGCCGCTTTGCTCGTCCTTGGTATGTCAACTGTACATTACATACCTTTGGGACCACAGTACTGTAGCACTGTCCGTGACGGCTGCCGCTAATCCACATGGTACACGGGCTCTTCGCGGCTTGCAATACTTTGTATATACAGACGAACACACGACACTGTAACTCTGTCTAATCTAGGGTGCCAAAACACCATCTCGGCAAATAGTCCCTGTTTGGCTGATGATCAGGGGATGCATCAAACCGTTCTAACGGTACACACTGTCACAGTAAAGACAGATGTAGCGCCACAACTCGGAGACTGTATAGCTGTTGTGTTTTTGAGTAGAAGTACTTGCCCATAAACTCATGCAGTCCGTCATAGCTATCGATACCAAGGCGTTGTTGAGCAACATGTGTCGCCCGTTCGAGGAACCACGACTCCTCGGGCTCGCCTTGCGCATTGAAGTGGCCCGTCAACAAAATCCAGAGGAGAAGCTCATTCTCGTCGTATTGTTTCGTCTGGAGATTACGCAGAGCCGGGCCAAACGGTCCGACGAGAGGACTTAGTGTGCTGCATGATGCCGGCGAGACTGAAGGAGAAGGAGACGAGTCACTGCTTCCTTTGCTAGGCGGGGTCGGCTGGCTGCTGAGGCCAAAGTGGTTCTCGGTCGTCCAGTCGGTGTCAATGCCATACAATGCAGACTGGAGGCGACGCATGTTCGGCTTTGTGGCCCGAAAAGATACCCGGTTCGTGCAGCGGATGAGCACAAGGAGAACTGCGAGTCTAAGCGCCTCCGCCTTCCTTGACTTGACAGTGAAATCGGCGAGGTCTGGGTGGGTGGGGAGAAGAAGGATATGATGAACAAATGCCCGTGCTCGTTTGCACATCCAATGTGCATCCTCTCTGCTGGCGTCAGCTGTGCGCCAGACATATTTAGCCACGGTAAGCACATCGAGGAGGTCTTGAATAATTGGTGCCAATACCGGATGAATCACGTCCGCGGCCAGAGCCCGCTCAAACCCTGACCCGAGATCCCAGTCTAGAATCACAGAGGCGTCCAGGAGAATATCGACCTGATGAGAGACGAAAGCACTGGTCGGTAGCATTGCGTCTGGGAAGGAGCCGTTACTAGGAGCCGACATCGACATGGTAGTTCCAACTCCCCTGCTTTGTGACCGAGTCATGATCTCCTCCCTGATAGCTGTCATCCTTGCCTTTTCCAATGGCCCTGGATCGTACAGAACAGGGAAAATAGGCGGCCTCCCGGTCTCAATGCACAACAAGTTGTCAGTATTGACAATCCCTTCTTCGGCGAACGCCACGGATGGGTGACTGGAAGGCTTTGACGGCAGAAGCTTCTTGGCCGCGTGCAGGTGCGTGGTGGCAACGTCGTATCGTTGACATATCCACTCGGCCAGTGCAAGGTGGTGTACAGCGAGCAGAACAGTTGTATCGGCGGATATGCCCTGGTCTTGACACTCCAGCATTCTGCCCCGGACTTCATGCAATGCCAACTGCAAGTAGTACTCTGGCGGAGGGAACCCTATCGTTGGTATCCGCGAGATGTGAACCATTCTCGCAGCCATGATTACCATGATACCGGCGAATCTGATTCGCGAGTGCATAGCACCTTGGACTGCATTGTCCCGGATAACGGTGTATTGATTCACAGGCTGGAGGTGAGGAGGGAGAATTTCGGTTTTGTCATTGTGAGCGCCTGTCAAAGCAAATGCCCAGTAATATTTGATCAGGGCTTCGACGTGGCGCGTTATGGGAAATGGTGTGACAGCAAAAGGATCGACTCCAGACCCTGGAAGCCAGTTGTGCTTCGACACTTGTTCGATTGTAAATCGGTGTCGTCTGATGAAATCGTCGACCTCCTTAGATGTTCGAGGTCGTCCAGGCGAGGTGTCCTGCACTCGCGTCTTGACTCCTTCGTCTGTCACCGGCTGCAGGGAAGATTCATCCTCTATTGAACTGGGGCTAGGATGGCCCGAGGGTCTAGAGTCAAAAGAATCAGTCTCCAAAAGTCCACGCGAGACACCAGGTTGAACGAACTCGAGGCTGTCGCTCTACGAAACATGTGTAGCTCATGGAGAGAATGTGAGAGACATGAATGCTTAAGAGTGGCTTACCTAACGCGCAAAGGTCGGGGATGTCGGATTAATGCAGGATCGTACCGCGATATACGGCTGTCTGTGATCCCTGCTATCTTCCCCTCGGATCTTTGACGTTGAACGAATGAAAATATTCGATGTTTCTCCCGGCGATCGCTAGACGACAGAGAAACTGAGGCTTCGTCCTTGTTCACCCAGAGGAAGGTTTTGCTTTTTCGGGGGGGTTCTTGCATGCTTTGTCCCCCTGAGTTGGAGAGCTGTCCTCACTCGTTCCACATCGACTATCTTTGAAGGAGATGAGTTGCGGCGAAGATCCATAGTAGAGAAGAAGAGATTATTCATCAACGAGTCCGAGTCCGAGGCAACAGACCCAACGTAACCCTCTGATCTCAACAAAGCCAGCTCAGGACCCAAGAAACCTTCTCTTTCGTGGATTGGAAGTAGGGAGAAATTGGCAGGTCTAGACTTCCAGGAACATGCTAGAAATATGGGACACGGCATGGCAAAGCCTCAAGTCTCGATGATCGGAGCGGCACAACGGGGGCGCCGCACGGGAAACGATGGCGAAATACAGTGCTTTAGCTACCTCGGCCTAGAATAGGCAGTCGGTCGTTAGTGCAGTCCCGGATAGCTCCTCCGTACCTACCTTAGGTGCCTTATGTATGCGTGATGACTAACATTAGCGGCTGTTTAGTTGGCCAATAGGAAAAATGACACCAGAATGACTAAGCGCAGCCTCTTCCACCAAAAAAATCATCTGAGATTCGCATCATAATTCTCCATAATTACCACATCCTGAACATCAATCTACCACCAACAGCCAGACAGACTCTTATGACAGTCTACAGAACATGACCGTTCCATGACCACTTTGAGCCTAGCCACAATCCTTGTCCTCGGTAGGTCAGCCAATTCCTCTCGAGAACTGTAACCGCTTTGCGCCGTCCCGCTCTGTCGTCTTGAACAGCTCCGACCTTTGCACCAATCTTGCTCCTTCGACTTCACGCTCCCACAATGGCCACTTTCGTCGTTCCAGGCCAAGTCGTGGGCAGCACAGCCACCCACCTGCCCGGCCCCGGAACCCACGTCTACGAGAGCAACATCCTCGCTTCGATCATCGGGCAAACGCTCACCGTACCCGCGGCGACCAAGACCAGCAAACCGACCATCTCAGTGCCCCGACGAGGCCCGACGCCTTCGAACCTGTCATCCGCCACACCTCTCCCAAAAGTCGGCTCGGTCGTGCTCTGCCGCGTCACGCGTGTCCAGCAACGCCAAGTTTCCGCCTCTGTCCTCCTCATCGACCCGTCGCCGGAGGACGTAACCTCGTACACATCCGCCACAAACGACGAGATCCAGTTCCAAGCGGTGCTGCGTCGCGAGGACATCCGCACGCACGAGAAAGACAAGATCGTCGTGAACGACATGTACAGGGTCGGAGACATCATACGGGCCGCCGTGATCAGCCTCGGTGACGAACGAAACTACTACATCAGCACGGCTGGCAACGATTTCGGCGTGGTCGTGGCGACGAGCGATGCCGGAAACGCCATGGTCCCCACTAGCTGGAAGGAAATGAAGGACGTGGTGACAGGCCAAGGAGAGAGTCGGAAAGTCGCGAAGCCTTCCTGAAACTGTCCAGGGGTCGAATGAGACATACCCGTGCACACCTTGGTACCAATCCTCAGCACGGGACCTGACTTTTCAAGGCTCTTCTTCCACGAGACGCGTTCTTCGGGCAGAGTTCGACCTGATGTGACAGTCCCATGAACACCAGTCCCGACCGAGGCCTCCTGCTTCCGTGACATGGTCCACTGGCCACCAGCAACCACCGGACAGAGGTACAGACGTATCACCTTGTAGGCACATCAGTCAACCAGCCAGCCAGAAAGCAGCTCGCGTCCGAAAAGTTCGCGAATGGCTGTGTCTCTCGCCCTCTTTGAGTCGGTCTCTTCTGCCGTGGCAAGATTTCCAACTCTCTAGACGCGGCCGTCACCTGAATCTCGCACTGTCTGGAGTCTTAACATACTCCACGCACGACCGGGATCACACTCTTAACTTGACTGCGGTGGACGATGGTTCGGCTTCTCTGTTGATTAACAGCACTTCGAAGAAGCCAGAAGCAAAAGTGTGCATTCCAGAAATCGAGTAGATTTCTCTCTCGCACAAGACACACACACATATGCACAAGACACACACACCAGACACAGACAGACACAAAGAAAGCGTTCCGTACATCTCCACACTCTCTTATATCTCTCCATCTCGTCACAACTGTCAAATCTTTCTTCTCTCCAAGAAAGGGTTCGCCGGCGCCTCAATCATCTCCTCCAACCAGCCGCAGCGCCGACAAACTTCCTCCCTCCCCAGGTACCTACCACAACCCCCCACTTGATCGCTCCGATCATACCTACACCAACCCTCTCCAGTATCCATGGTCACGACCTTTCCAATGTCAGGCTGTGTTCGTCACGGGAGGGAGATCAACCCAAAGTCTATGGGTTAGGGAAACCATTCACTTGGTTCGCTTGATTCTATAGGCTTCCTCTTTCCAGGTCTGCCATTGCTCAGCTTCAAAAGTGGCATGTCAGAAAGAATCATTACGAGGAAACAGTCTTCTCAAACAGTCTCTCATCAACAAAAGTAGAGAAGGCGAAGGACATTGTTGACTCCAAAAGTTTATATATTAATGCAATCGTGCTAAAAGAAAAAGATGCATAGTCACAGGTTACTCTCTTTTCACAAACACAAACCCCAAAGTTCCCCTTGATAAAATATTCATCCTCAATCCCTTCTTCCTTGACTCCCATGTAATCGGCATCCGGTGCAATCAAATATTGAAGCTCCAGAACGCCTCGCTATGCTGCCTCACCATCCTACTCAATATTTGACCACCACCTTGAGGGGTATATAATAAACGCAAAAAAGTAAAGCTTCTCGTGCAAGACTGGGACAATGTTTGTCGGCCAGCCCGCCCTAGCCCTCTACCAATGTCTGCTTCGGGCCCTTTCCAAGTAGTTCGAGGGATCTCTGGGCAAGCGCAATGACTTCTCCCTCGCCTTCCTCGCCGTCTTCATCGTCGGATTCCACGTGCTTGTCGGCAATGGTCTTGACCATTTGGATGATGTCCTCGGACTTGGCCACCAGGCTGACTAGCTTCTTGTCTTCGGATTCCAAGAGTTGCAACAATGTCCAAATGGCAATATGTTGGAAGGTGGGATCGCCGCTGGCCAGGAAACGCTTCAAGTAACCGTGAATTCCGCCATTTGGTTCGGTCCAATCCCGGACAAAGATTGAATAATCACCGACTTTGGAAGATAAATTGCCCAGAGCAGCCGCACTATTGCCTTGCACTTCAATGCTCTCAGAATCGGTGAGGGGAATAAGAACGTCGAAAACTCCGAGGTTCAGAAGATGTGGCTTCAGCTCGTCACTGAGAGCTAGCACCGCAATCGCCGCGGTCATCTCAGATTGTACACTTAATGGAACTTGAAGAACCAGTTCCTTGCATTTCTGTACGGCACCGGCTTCTAGAACCAGCTGTTTGTTCCGGTCCGAGCTTGCCGCGAGATTGCGCAGTGTTGAGATGGCGTGGCATTGGATTTCCTCATTATCCGTAGATCCAAGAAGGTCAACCAAAGGTTTCAGGAAACCAGCGTCGATTATGGGTGATTCATTCAACGGGTGGATGGAGATGTTTCGAATGCAAGCCACAGCGGAGAGAATCAGGGGCAAGTAGGAAGACTGAAGGAGTCGAAGGAGGGGCTGCAAGCCTCGAGCTCTGACAATCTCCAGCTGGTATTTTTCGTCCGAAGCCAGATTCCGAAGGGCCAAGGCAGCTTGACATTGGACTTTCGGAGTACCAGAGTCCATTAGCTGTACCAAAGACTGGACAAGACGCGACTCGGTCTGAGCCAATTTCTTTCTGTTTGAGGCGTCGACGGCAATATTGCTAAGAGCTGTAGTGCAGTAGTATTGAACGTCCTGATCACTGGAAGATAGAAGTTGTACAAGAACAGGGATAGCACCAGCGTTAACGAGCTGCTGGCGATTGTCGTCTGTGTGAAGTCAGAACCTATCATCTAGTGACAGAGAGCGACACTTACCAGAATGTGTCATGTTGAGCAACGCGCCGGTAGCGTTTCGTTGAACGCGCATATCTTTCGACTTTGCTAGCCTGGTCAGCGGGCCCAGAGCGCCCGATCTTGCGATCTTGGCCTTGTTGTCTTCATGGGTTGCAAGGTTCGTAATACATCCAACAGCATTGCACTGGACTTCCACGTTCGGGGACATCATCTGCCGAATCAATGGTGGGAGTCCTCCCAGCTGGACGATGGCGACTTTGTTTTCGTCTGCATTCCGTCAGTGAGGAGCCTTGTGGTTCATTTTGCCAACATACTGTTTACTGCGAGGTTACCCAAGGCAGCACTCGCCGCCCTTTGCACCTCGATATCGGGATTTTGCAAGAGGAATAGTATTGGCTCGAGGACATCTCGGTCTACTTCGCGCACATCTGTGTGCCTGTCAGATCATGCTCTTGCTCCCGCCTTCTCATCTGTTCATACCTCGTTCTGTTATTTCTGCAAATGTAAGGCTGGCACTCCGCTGAAGGTCGACGTTCTCAGAATACACCAGCGTGCATAGAGCTCGCAAGGGCTCCCCGGAAAAGAAGTCGGTCTCGCCTCGCTGCATTCATTCGTTAGATTGTCATCGTCATGTTACTGAAGGCTCAACATACATTCTCGAGGTATTGTAGAAGGTCTGCCACTGCTTCCCGCTCGCTGTCCGCTAGGGCAGGCTCATAGAGATTATCTTTTGGCCGACCTACGACAGAGCAATTAGCGAACAGTGTCTAACAAGACGACTCTTAGTACTGACCTCGGCAGGAGGCACAAAGGGAGGATGATGTGTTTCCCATCTCGAGGCGTAGAGCCCCGTAGGGTCAACGTCGGGGGAGAAGATTCGGTAAGCAAGGGTCGGGAATGGAAGGGATCTCAAACGGCGGTCGTGGCCAGGGACAAATGCGTGAATCGTGAGCAGCTCATCTGATGTAGCGTCGACAGATGCAATGTAAGCTATGCTCGACGCTGCGGTGAAGAAGGCGAAGAAAGCTCGACGGTTGTTCGATTGCTTGCGTTGGAATCGTGGGTCTCGCAGTCTGCAGTGCAGGCACGATCAGACCCAAGTGACTTGAGTAAGCAGGCACTGAGCGACTCCAGTCGCGGTATAGGTGGGTGGCAGTCCCTGCACTCGACGGTCCAGATGGGAGTTATCGAGGAAGGATCAAAGTGTAATGAGGCGGTGTTGGATGGTCGACGACGACGACGACGACGTGATGTGGAAGCTGCGAGAGAAGAAGCGGTCCGAGTGACTGACGAGGTACCTCAGTTCCGTATCCACAGAAATCGTAGCGTGAAGCGCCAGACGCGGGCGTCAGTTTAGGCGCACATGTTGTTTGGACTGACCCCAAACAGGCCAAGCAGCGCCTGTCGACCGCCTGTAAACACGTCACCTTGATTGGCACCACGCCTAGTGCACCTCGCTTACCAAAGCCCGGCAGCCGAGCACAGGCGCCTCCCGCGGCTGATAGTGGCAGTCATCACCACCTAAAGCACGTCGCCTTCTATGCAGATGTGACGACCGCCACGCCCTCCTCACCATGCCGGAAGACATCGCCTGCGGCAGATGAGCACAGCGAGCAGGTCATACGGAGTTGCTTAGCTTGTACTACACCGAATTTCCTGAAGGTCTACTGATAACATGCGATCCAAAAATCAGTCACGGACGAAAGGACGACTTTTCAGATATTGTGTATTCCGTGAAATGCTACCTATCGCGCCGGGGTATCGTATGTCTCAAGCACTGTCCCAGAACAACGAAATGGTGGTGATATCCCTCCCTGGTCATGTTTCTGTGTCATGAACTCATGATTCCTCACCTACGCCGAATGCTGGTTGCTGAACGTCCCGAGATAAAATGCAAAAAAATTTCTTGACTGAGGCAAATGATGATCATGCCTTAGTCGACTGTTTCCGGCCACCGAACAGAGAGCCTTGTTTGATGGCAGGTGAATAGATGCCTGCTGGCGTCAAGGGTTCCTGTGTTGGTCGGAGTTGGCTGAGAGCACGCTTGAAGAAGGACTTGCTCTTGTTCGATGAAGCCGAGACGTCGGATCCATTTGAGTCTCGTCGATATGACGGCTTGGCCGACATGTTCTTCTCGGCCTCGACGATGTTGAAGTACCCGAGGTAGGTCGAAGGCATCTTGAAGTGTCTGTGGGATAAGTGACTGCTGTTGAATCGTTGAAGCTGAGTTTGTTCGCTTGGAGAGCAGATTGACTTGAGATGAGGTGTGATGTTCAGAGTAGTATGATATGGAGTGATATGAGTATGTACTTATGGTTGTTTCGGTTCACTGGGGAATGGATATGATCTTCCTCGAGTATCTGGGGCGCGTTTATATACCTATCCCTACCTCAAATTTTTCTCAGGTCATGTCGTCCCCCTTGGAGCCTCGGTGATGTGGACAGGCCTCATACCACGCCTTGTTGCATTGTGTCGCCATGCTATGACATTCTGGAAATGACAACTGTCTGAGAAGCACCCAGGGCGCCACCAATGAGCAGGCATCAGGCGTGTATAACTGTCTTTAGCGGAATCAATGTGTCAAGGCACGTGTGAACCTGCTTTTAGGGATTGTCGTGGATCCCGAGCCACTCACAGTCTCGCAATTGTTGAGAAAATTTTTGCTTAACTAAGACCTCTAACGGCAACGTGCCGTGGAACCACCACCAGGTCCTTGCTCCGTAGGAACACAAAAAACAGGAAAATCTCAGTGGATGAAGTAAAGGAGCGAAAATAGAAACCAGCATGCTGATGTCACAGTTGGACTGGATGCCGTGCTAGATGAGATTCCTGGGGCACCGATGCCAGCGCCAATCAATGGTCGTTCACTGCCTCCGACCATATCTAGGCCACCAGGTGACAGATGTGATGAATGAATATGATTGAAATTAACATACCAAACGCGTGATTTTTTCCCTACCCTTTAGAGACTATGTTACAGCAGTGATTGTACGCTTACCGGTCCAAGTCGAGGTCGCAGCAACCGGTAGTACGTTTCCAGCCATGGTGAGCCAGGAATCTTCAGCTCGTCCAACGAACGGGGTTGCTTTTGCTTCAAGCAAGCTCATTTCCAAGTAGTTTGCGGGCAGACCATTGTGTTGTCTCATCATCTTGAAACGAGCCGGATTAATCCAGTACATGAGCGGTTTACAAGGGCGTTCGCCTGGATAGCGACCAGTGCAGAGTTAAACTGGCCATTCAGTCGACATGCCACGTCTAGCTCTCTGTAAGGCGCGGAATCGAGAAATTCATGGCTTCTTACCATGGTTTGCGAAGCGGATGGGTAGACGCAGAGATATGGTATGAATACAAGCAGCATGGAATACCCACCAACCAACCGGAGTGTGAGTGTAGCAAACACCTTGTAGTTGTGATGGTCATCAATAACGCCGTCTCTGTCTCGGATCGTCGTAACCGTCATTGTCATGGTGTCGCTTTCTCGAGCTGTAGTCGTCGTCTCTTCGACCTCCGCCGTATCGATCACGGTCGCGGTCGCGATCTCGATCTCGGTTGCGATCCCGGTCACGATCTCGGTCATACCCTCGATCCCGGCCACCAAGAGGGTCTTGATTGCTTCCTGTACCACCCCGGTCACCTCCATAGCCATTGCGCCGGTCTTCGTAACCTCCGCCGTAACCACCGCGACCGCCAGGACCACTGGGCGCGTTTGGTGGTGGAGGTCCATTCGAATAACCTCCTTGTCGACCACCGAATCCGCCGCCCCCTTGATAGCCAATTCCACCTCGTCCACCGTAGCCGCCTCGGTCGCCACGGAAGCCTCCTCGGAAACCACCTCGGCCTCCAAAACCGCCGCGGAAGCCTCCTCCGAACCCAGCTTGCGGGGCTCCAAAGGTCGGTTTGGCAGGAGCTTGTTTCGTGTACCCTCTTCCTCCTAGGCCACCACCAAATCTTCGAGGTCTCCATCCAGGTACCATTCGACCGCGTTCCACATCGACAACCACTCTGCGATCTTTGATTCGTAGACCATCTGATTCTTTGTAGGCGGCTAGAGAGCACAGTAACGTGTTCATGTCAGTTCCATACGATCTTACCATGCAATCATCGGCTGTGGCAGAAGGGAGTATTTGGGAATGGGCAATAATTGCACGGAGAGAATTACCTCGCATATCTTTTTCACGTTCGTAGACGATGAAGGCATAACCACGATGCGGTTTTTTGGGTTTGGGAGTTGTCTCATCCTTGACAATTCGAATTCGTTCGATTGGGCCAAACCTTCCAAATTCACGTTCCAAGTCTGATTCTTTGACGTCGTAGCTTAGGCGGCTCACGAACAGAGTCTTTTCGGCATCACCTTTGATCTTTGGGTCTTCCCTTGGCTTGTATCCTTGAAAGTTCTCATCTTTCATTTGCTCCAGCCACTTTTGTTTCTCCAATCGTTTCCGATCGCGCTGTTGCAGCCATGACTCTGTGGGGTGATATTCATCTGTCTCCTTGTACTCTTGAAACTGAGGTAGGAATGCTGCAATCCCAGACAGTTGCGACGTCTTCACAGCTCGTTCTTCGGGGGCAGTGTCTTGCGGGGGGATGTAGCGCAGAGGAGGTCGCGGCTGGAAAAGAGCGAGCAGGTTGGGAGGAAGTTTATCTGTCATCTTGGACTGATTTGTTGGTACACGTCTGGAACGAAGAGACTGGAGTGATCATGAGGATGCCATCAGACGGAGAAGCGAAGATATACTAATACAACAGAACAAAGGAACGGTGATGGTGAAGGTGAGGTGTAGGCACTGTCCCGAGACACGCGTTGTACCTGGATGCAAAGAAATGAATTCCTGCGCAGCTTGGCTGTGGCCCAGAAAGGGTTTAGCGTAGCTCCTGTCTCTGCCCAGCGACGTTCATCATAAACCAACGTACATGAGTTTAAAGCCACCTTGAACAAACATACAAAGACTTGAGCTTTCCATCTCCCCCAAACAGCCCACACAAGCGCTTGATGATAATGAGTGTCTGTTACGCTGTCATCTGAAACTGAATCACCCAGATTTGGACGAACGTTAAGCGGACACTTAGGTCCATCGACGGCTGTCGAGTCCACAGCAGTCCTCAAAACACAGATGATCTCTTTCGGAATCTCCCCGTCCCTCTTCCATGCCTTACTCTCCCAGCTTGTAACGTTGGCATGACCGGTTTCACAGAATCAGCCTATTCGTTGAGGTCGAACCAATGAATCAATTCCGGACTCGAATCGGAGTGAACAACACAACATGATGTCACCCGTGTCAGATGATGTTGTCCTTTATTGCGTGCCGTTAACATCTATTCCTGCCAGGCATCTCGCTCCATTCAAGTCTGCAAAGCGCCAGCATGCGAGACTCCCGGGACACTGTTGCCGTGATGACCACAGCATCCAAATGGCTACGAGTGCACGAGCTGATGTATTTAGTGATCCACAGCAGTAGCTATATCAACCCAATCATGATTCACCACGATTGAAATCGGACAGTACATCCTATTGATAGGGTATAATTTTCCAAATGCTACTGGGCACAAGGCTGCCAATATATGAAGACGTGCACGGGACCATGACTCACGAACGCAATGTCCTTCCAGCACCACAAGAGATCCTGCCTGGATGAGTGACGTGGATCTGCATACTCAAGCCCAACCATGGAGTAACCTGTTCCGTTTGAGACCTCCATGAACAAAATATGATCTCAGATCAGGAGCATCATATCCGCAAACACCACTAGGCTTCTGACGTCTGTATGCAATCGGTTCATTGTCGAGTTATATATATATCGCTGCTCGGGGCCAGTTGTTTTGTTAGGTATTAATCACAAAAGCTACACCAACAGGCTTCCCATACTAACCCTCCAATTCAGATCCGCAACTTAACCACGGTTCATTATGCCTCGTCGAACGGACGCAACGACTTCAGTTGCAAACGACTATGGTACCCGTCCTGGTCAACTGGATCGTGCGCATCGGCTATTCACCCTGCTCAACCACTGGCTGCACTGGAGCTCTGCAATCATTGTCATGTCCATCGCAGCATATTTTATCTCAGCCTACCATGACAACACCCACTTGGTCTATTGGGTGACTATTGTAAGTAGGCAGTTCTGGCAATGTTTAAGTTATACAGCCATGCTGGCCCGCGCAAACGCTAGGGACTTCCCCGGGTATGATCAACACTGACAGATTTACTTGTCCAGGGTGCCGTTGACGCCCTCCTCTATCTACCGGCACTATTCCTCCCTTACACCAGGAGGTACAAAGGCTACCTAGCACCGCTGGCGTGGTTCTTCTCATACTTGTGGCTCACAGCATTCATCTTCTCTTCCCAAGATTACAATTTCAACCACGGCAACCGGGGTAATTGCGACAAGTCTCCAAGCGGCGTCAACAAGTGTGGATTGAAAAAGACCCTCGAATCTTTTGCTTTCATTGCATTGTAGGTTCCGCGCTGACCCACCTTCTCTTCAATCGTTGACCATAGTCAAAAGCTTTACTAGCATCGTTGGTCAATGGCTTGAAGCCTGGCTTTGGGCCAGACAGCCAAGGTACCGCGACAACCACCCAGAAAAGAGCCTGGGAAGCGATAGCACTGCAGGGGTTGCTCCTGCTCACAATGGTGTACATGACCATAACCCAGTCTGAGCAAGACGCATCACAAGACGGGGGTTGGGTACCGCGGCACCTACCCGGAAAAGAGCTTGGGAAGCGATAGCACTGCAGGTGTTGCTTCCTGCTCATAGTAAGGCCTACGACACTGACACACTCATGAGCATGTCAGGACAGGACAAGAGATGGAGAGAGGCGGTATTGACAATGATGGGTACGGGGGTTTACGGGGGTTGAAGCATGTCCCAATGGAGTCGTCCACTGTGGACATTGTCGGTCAAATCTTCTTGAATGAGCTGGTTACTGACTTTGGTGGGGAATATCATGTAATAGTAATAACATAGACCAAATGCTTTTATATACGCGTACAATCACATATTTCAGACTGATTTTGAAGGAATCATCATCTCGTGGAGAGTACAGTATATCAGTCTCTCCCTGTCAAGCCATTCCCGAGGATCGTGGATATCGACCTTGCACTAAAATTAACCGCATACCCTTGTACTCCGTACTGTGGTCGTATTCGGATTCCCACGAACAACGTCCTCACAGCTCCTGGGTCCAATCGTTCCTTGTTGCTGCCTTACTCCCTGCTTCATATTTGCATCTAGATATCTTGATCGATATTCGCCGAATGTTCCTCTTTCGGATTAGGTTCCTTATCCCAGCTTCGCGAGAGACGATATGAAAATCGACAACGATCTATTTCAAGCAACAAAGACGAGGGTCGAACCTGTCGTAGGTCCGACGTCCTAATCCTGTTGCCTCCATTGCTCCCAGCTATATATGGCCTACAGTGATGTCGATACACAGGATACCACCTACCTTTCAAAAGTGTCATGAAGTACACTTGCTCTCGAATGGCCATGACTGTCACTATCCAGCCTTTTGTCACTGGCATCGCCCTGCTCAGCAGCTGGGTGTACGCTGGCCCTGATACCTATTGCAAACCCATTCCAGGCTCGACCGGTTGGCCGGATCCCGCTGAATGGCAGGCATTGAACACTTCAGTATCAGGACGACTCCTCGCTCCAGCTCCTCCAGGATTAGTCTGCCAGCAGAACAGCTCCATGTATAATGTTGATGCCTGTGCGACCGTGTATCAACAATGGGGAAACTCTTCATGGCATGCATCCGACCCCTTGACCGGCGACTACAATGACGAAGGTTGTCTTCCAAGCAAAGTGGCCCCGTGCTCGGCTGCCGCATATCCAGCATTCGTAGTCAATGCAAGTGATGCTACCCATGTGCAAGCCGCGGTGAAGTTTGCAAAGCGGACAGGCGTCAGATTGATCGTCAAAGGGACAGGTCATGACTTTCCCGGACGGTAAGTCTGCTCTTCTCATGCACCGACTGAGTGAGTATTGATACAGCTCCAGATCTTCCGGCCCAGAAGCTCTCTCCATTTGGACTCACAATATCCGTGGTGTCAATGTGACTATAGGGGATGCCCGTGCGAAGAAGTACGATGCTGTAGCCGCCGTCAAAATTGCCGCGGGCATGCGCATGCGAGAGATCTACGCTGAAGCCGCGAGACACAATATCACTATCGTCGGTGGAGGTGGTTTGGACGTAGGTGTTGGAGGCTGGATCACTGGAGCTGGCCACAGCCCGATCAGCAGTAAGTATGGTCTCGGAGCGGATCAAGTTCTCGAGATGGAGGTCGTCACGGCGAACGGCATCCTTTTAACAATCAACGAAAATTCATATCCTGACCTTTTCTGGGCAATGCGAGGCGTAGGTCTTTCTTCTCCCCTGTTACCTCGTCAAGCTTGCTCACATGTGGACCAGGGAGGCGGTTCTACTTTCGCGGTCATGACTTCTGTGACTGTTCGAGCGTATCCTCGTCTCGCTGCTACGCTGTACGTATACAGCTATAACACCACCGTCAACTCCGACACCTTCTGGTCCATGACAACGTACTTTCACAACCAGCTACCCACCTTGTCCGATGAAGGGATCATGGGCTATTATTACGGCATTCCCAACATCGAAGACGCCAACTCTTCAAGAAGTTCGCTGTTGGGCGTCTGGATAGTGCCAGACAAAACAGTGGCCGAGACAAAGGCGATCATATCGTCAATGGAAGAGATAATTAACAACAACACATTTGGATGGAAAGATCCCGTGATTCTCTCCAATTACTCCATTCATGTTCCTGATTTCATGTCTGCCTGGGGACAAACCACACCGGAGGGTGTTGGAGTGAATGTCCGTCTCGGTTCTCGGCTTCTGGATCGCAAAGCTCTCGAGACTGATCCCGAGACACTGAACATGCTCCTCAGGCAGTCCGCAACGAATCTGCAAACGGCGATTATCGGACACCTTGTCGCCGGACAAGGCGTAAAAAATGTCAGGATACCTGGCGGGAGCAATGCAGTCTTGCCTGCCTGGCGCGATGCCTACGTCCACTATGGTAAGTAAGGGTTGATTTCCGTTGCTGGGTCATATATGCACGCACAATGCAAGTGATTAACACCTGTCAGTGCTTCCAGTTAGTTGGCCGTATTTGAATGGGACGGCCAAAGCTGCTACTACCCGTCAATTGCGCACTGTGCAAATCGAGGCCCTACGCCAGCTTGCACCGGACTCGGGAGCATACATGAACGAAGCAGATCCCACCGAGCCGCATTGGCAGCCGGCGTTCTGGGGCGCCAACTATCCACGCCTGCTCGCGTTGAAGAAGCACTGGGATCCAACCGGGGTCTTTTGGTGCATACCGTGTGTCGGACATGAGCTGTGGAACGTCCGCGGCCAATATGGAATTGAAGGCGGCATTGGTCAAACACCTGGACGCATTTGCAAGGCTTGACGAGCATGATTTTCGTTGAGAAGAGTACAATGCCAGCAAGTAATGATTGGAGTGGATCAAGTCACCAACCCATGGACACTTTGGTGGCAACCTCACCGATTTCCAATGACTTGTGTAGAAGGGGATTGCTTTGCCATGGCTCATCTCTTGAGTTGTGTCAACAACGAGCGGAATACATACCCGACTTGGCCCTACTAGGTTGACTACCCGACATTTACCTACCCTTCATTCACTGAGGGTACCACTCCCTGATCAGTACCCCATATACGTTCAATCCAGTGCATTTTCCTCCAACAAAGGCACGCCTGGACGGCCCGTAGTAAGACTCACCGCGTCGAAATGCCGGCCTTTGAGCAGGTGCTTGAAGGGTTGGCTTATCCTTGAGAGCCAACTGCTTAGTGGATTGAACTGGGAGTTCTCGGCATCTTCCATGGCTAATTTTCTGTATCATCAGAACCTTTCAGGTCTGTCTAGCCGATACGAATAGTCATAGTCGGGAAAAGTATTAGAAGTCTAGGATGGGCTTCGACTTTCACTCCTTGTGTTCTTTTTTGATCCGACACATCTCTGGTTTCGGATTCAGATACGAAGTAGGCGATAGATCTTTTGATTCTCACTGTGTTAATCACAAAGAGATACGAGTACGCGATATGGCGAGGATCAAGGCTGCAGTTGCAAGGCTGAAATCAGATGAAGCCATTCAAATGACAGAATCGCCCGGCTAGAAAAGTGCGTAATTAGAATCATTTTCTAGGCCCTTTTACGTACTAGCTCAGCCTCGCATCAGGAGCATACAATATTTCCTCAGTGCATCCATCTCCATCTCGTGAAGCTCCATTCTCTCTTTGTTTCTCTCTCGACTTTGACATATTTTCTCCCACCGCAACCACCGCAGTCGCATAACCGCCCGCCATGGTCGTACAAGGCATCAAATCCGTTTCAACCTCGAGGGTAAGTTGTTTTTTCTCTCCCCCCTTTTGCGTTTTCAATGCTCCGAGTTGCTCAAACTTCGCAAGCTCAAAACCCTCACTCTGCACCTCACTCACTCACTCACTCTTACCTCTCTCGTTTTCTCGTCCTCCTCTTCCTCACCTTCTCCCACCAGTCCAACAAACCTACTACGTCTCTGTCTAATTTGTTTTTCGTCGCTTTTGGAAAATTAGAACGGTCTCGCCTCCTTCATCCTCCAATGTAAACGCCTCGACCTGCACTACTGCGACTGGGCCGGGTCCAGCCGCGGGATGAAATCGTTCCTCACGTCCCCGATGCTGGCCGACTTCACGTCGCGGTTCCCGGGCACGGAGTTCCGCATCTCGCCGCGCCCGAACAAGCACCCGGTCCTCAAGGCGTACTACATCAACGGGCGCGAAAAGGCCGTGTGCGTGCGCAACCTGGAGAAGGAGCAGATCCTGAAGAAGCTCGAGTTCCTCATCACGAACTCGGGCAAGAAGAACGAGCTCATCCGCGGCAAGAGCGTCGTCAGCACCAACGAGAGCGTGAGGGGCATTTGGAGTCCCATGCACGGTGGGATCAAGAACATTTGAGGAAGGATTACCCGCAGCCTGCACGGTGGTCGTGTTTTCCTTCTTCGGGAATTTTGCATACCACTCCGAACCTCACTCATCGCTTCCTTGAAGTATTTAGGGGGGGGGGGGGGGGGGGGGGGGGGGTCCCTCACCACGCTCACACGCACACGCACGAGCACGTACGCACTTGAAAAACCAACATGACGAAACAAGACTCCAAGCCACGGAGTAAAAGTACTCGTAGGAGAAAATGGAGAACGGGATCTAGGATGTTCTGTTCGGCTTCGTGAGCTCAAGGCGAACGGGTGTGAGAAGGGGGACGACACGACACACTTGGGACGACAAATGAAGCCTGACGGCGGCGAAAGGGTCAGGACAGCTGACAAGCGAGGAGGGGCGGGATAGCTGCATGCACCACGAAAGCGTCTCTATTCCCACTCTTCACAAGCAGTGAATCAAAAAGACACCATGTCTTCCTATGGCTCTGCCCGCCCACCGCCATGGTTCTCTAGAGACATCGACATTTTACAACCTGGCAAGAGAATTTGGTAGGAACGGTAGGGAGAAAGACTTGGATGTGCGGTGGAGAACTTGTGTCTGGTGGAATGAATGATCCCTTTGATCTTTCAACCTACCAGTAACACACTGTTCGGAGAGAAGAACAAAGCCACAACAAAAAGATTGAGATTCGACCGGATTAGTCGACGACTGTGCGCCGGGTGCACCAACGCACTTGCGTGAAGAAGGAACAGACACAGATTTTCATCTTACTTGTATTGGCACGGCATAGGAGATATCCAGCCAGGGAACTCCGCTATCAAAACTAGCTATCTAGCAAGTCTGCGTCGGCATATGCAAACCTCCATGCCTGAAACGCCATGCATGCTTGCTAAACTGTACACTACATGTAAAAAATCATCAACCATTTTCAAAGGTCATGAAACGTCTTCCTTTCCAGTCGATAGGTCACTGTGAAGAAACGCTGACTTCCGAGTCCTGTCGCTTGAATGGTGAGAAACAAAGTGTCGTCGGTTTGTCGCCCTGAAACAGGGTACTCTGCTGGTGCTAAATAGAATCACGCTGAATCACAAATAGATTGGAAACATGGCCATCTTGCCAGTCAGCTTGCTGGTACAATCGTCTACCACGCACTTTTCCAACTTCTGGGAAGCTTTGGAATTGGGCTTTTTCCTGGGTGTTGCTTTCGCCGCTCGCTGGGATGCGCAATCTCCACAGTATACCTGGGAAAGAAATATAATGTCAGTATGCGTGTTTGGTATGATACGTAAAAAGAAAACAGTGAAAACATACGTGTCCGCAACTCTTCACAACCCAGACTTGCTGCTTCGTATCGTCTTTGCCTACTGCCAACTCGTCGCCACAGCGAGGACATAGGACGACTTCGTCTTCGCTGAACGTTCGGATGAATCCATCTCGAGGGGGTGGCGGAGCTTTGTAGGGCTCGTCCACCACCTGCGGAGTTTCCGAACTGCGATCAAGCATTGTGAATGCTTGCAGGGCAAAAGCAGGTCGCCGATAGTCCATCTGGATGGTGAGTTCCGCAGGATCGTCATTCCCTCGTGCGGTATCGTCCGCCCTCAAATCTACCAGCCTGTCACCACCGTAATGATCTTGAAATACTTGGTCGTAGGCATTGGGTCCCATCCCAAACATGAATTGTGTCCCTCTTCTGAACAAATCTGGAAGATACCCGAAAGGCCCGCCTCCATCCAAGTGTCGTGGGCTTGGGTTACGCCGAGTTGGCTGTGGGGGATCAGGTCGACGACTACCTGGGGGAGCCGGTTGCTCTCGTAGGAACTGGACTTCTGGACTTGAGGCTAGTGTATGGACAGACCGTACTGATTCGGTGTCGTTCTCGACAGTGAAATCGTCAATCTCAAAATCCGACTCTTCTGATAAATCGATGACATCGTGATGCTGATGTGTCCGTCGTTGCGAGAATGGAGGGGCCCGAGGGGCTCTATTGTCGCTGGATTGGGCTCGGGCTGGTCGGGCTGGTCGGGCTGGTCGGGCTGGCCGTCTTGTGGGAGGTCGTGGGGAGGAATCTGTGACGGTGGTGACATCGCTATCGTCGCCTGTCAAATCGATAGTACCTTCGTCCGGTGCTTGCGATAGTCTGTTGAGGCGTGTAGACATTGCGGGCCTTCGATGGTCATATCCGGCACGTTCTGATCTTGTAGTGGTAGGCCGAGGTGGAGGCGAACCCGAGAAAAGGCTGGAAGGAGAAGAAGACATGGAACTCAAGCGGCGGCGTTTCGCTGGTACCTCTGGGGTTAGGCTTCGGGTTTGCGATCTGGTAGCTTCTGCGTGAGACCTCTGCGAAAGATGGCTAGTTAGAACTTCCCCATATGATCCTAGACCGGCGGTTTGTAACGCACCTTTCGACTTGCGGAAGAGGAGGCCGCCGAGTTGAGGAAGTTGCTCAGAGACAAAGTAGCAGCAGAAGGCATGTTCTTGATGTCAACACCGGCACTGAATAGACTCGGGCGGCAGAGTCTCTCGAGGATTATGTTGCAGAAAAGAAGGACAGTGATGAAAGTGGAAATGTCCAAGTAGAGATCGGAAATATCGATGGTGTTGAGGGACCCAGGAGAGTTGGTGAAGGTTGTCGCTAGCGATTGGATGAGCGCATGGAGACATGGAGACGCGCAAAGACTTGCTGTGGCGTCGGTGGCAGAGATGGTGAAGAGGAGGGAATCGTGATTACTCAGGTGTCCAGAACATCTTTACGGAGACTCGCATATGCACACACCTGCACCTCCTCGTACTCGTACGTAGTTCGGATCACAAGCAATGTTGCCACTCACAGTCCCGGTATTCCTCCTGCAGTACGTTTCCTTGCCCATGGCCCTGGGGCACAATATACTGCTATTATGCAAACACGGGATAAATCAGTGTGCATCAACTAACGCCCATCGCTACCAATCGGTCCATCTGTCAGAGTCCTACTCTCAGTCGTAGGCTTACTCTTGCAATACATCAACACCCGCCCTTCCAACCAGTGCATATGCTGCTTTGGTAAAGGCAAACGCACCGTGCCAATTCACTGAACGTGCAACTGTTGAGCCAGGAAGGTTGTTGGGCTGGAGCATACGCCAGCTTCAAGAAAACGTGCATTGTTGTATGCTTCTACATGCTCGGGGGGAACATCAGCACCATCGTTGATCAAAGTGATCAATGCCATGCCAGTGATCATCCAAGGAAGTCCAGGACAAAATGCAGCACTGCAAACATCTTTGTTCAATTCATGGTCATCATTTTGACGACCACAAGGCACCGCTGTCGCTTTCCATTGCACAGTCGTACGTCGCAAAGATGAATACATCCAAAAGTAACCACCTCTATGCGATACTCAAGTCAAGCTGGTGCCTGGAGTGAGAGCCATGTCCTCTGATGGGTATCAATCAACTTTTTGGTAACCTGTTTGTTGTACAATACACCGAACTTCTCATTCTTGCTTCCCTGTGCCGAAAGCCGTCAGAACACCTTGATCAGAGAGATGCAACAGCTGCTGAGCATTCTTGCCCCACGCGATCTTTTCTCCAGGTGTGGCCGATTTAAAAACTTCAGACCATTCTTTCGAGGCCTTGGAATATTGCTCAACTGTGATACCTCTAGCCCCCACGGAGGCCAGAAATTGGCCAGTGTAATCCCAGCTGATCGACTCGATAGGACCGCCAGTCTCGATGCTCTTGATCTCCGCCCCCTTTCTCAAGTCCCAGATGGAGATGGACGAAGAGCCTTCCGTAACACCTGCTAGCCAGGTGCCGTTCTCCGAGAAGAAGACACATTTTATGGGAGATCTCAGATCAAATGTTGCTGCTGAGCTGCCGGTTTTGACGTCAAAAATTTTGATTTGACCATCGACTGCACCTGCGGCCAAGAGATGACCGTCGGGATGGAATTGCACGCATGTCAAGGCTAAAAGAAAACATCAGTCAAAGCTCTGTCTTAAAGGCGAGATGTCATACCTGAATCACTTTGGATTTGTGTGAGTTTCTGGTTTCCCTCGAGGTCATACAGAGTGTAGGTCTTGTCGTCACCAACTGATGCAAGAATACTGCCGCTGGCATGTAGAGCTATCCCATTGACGGAGCCCCCATGGGTCGAAAATGAAGCCACCTCTTTCTCGGCCTCGAAGACCTTTACAACACCAGTCGAGGTGGCGATGACTGCATTATCCTGTGCCCAAACACCGCTGGTAACCTTTCCTGATCCGCCGTTGAGCAGTTGCAACGGTCTGTTCTGTGACAAGGAAAACACGGTAGCGTTGGTGTCGTGTCCAGCAACAATGGCCAGATCCCCAGACTCGTGAACGGCGAGCACGGTGCCTCCAGTGCACATAGGTTCGGAGGAGGTCACTGGTACATAAGCAGAAATTGAATCGGCAGTCGCCCAGTCTTCAGGCACTGGACGCTTTCGTCGAGTCTTGGACAGGCTATTTTTTTCAAGTCAGTCTCACATATCAGCAAACCTAGGACAATTCTCCCGTACCGTTGTTGCTCGCTGTCAATCTTTCCAAGGATGGTTTCTGGCAATGGCGCGTTATCTACTTCCATAGCATCACCACTTGGAGCTCCACGACCGACGCTGACTTTCGACAATGCAGCTCTCGCTTCATCTCTCTCAGCAGCAATCTTCGCAATCACTCTTCGGGCAGCATCCTGTTGATACATTGCCACACTCAGCTCTCGGCGGGCTTCCTTCAAATCTTGTTGGAGTTTGTAGACTTGTAGAGCCATTGAGTCCCACTCGTTCTGGAACATGGAAAGCATGGCAGGCACGGATGTCATTTGTGGAGGACGAGGAGTAACGTTTGGCTGGGTCTTGATTTCCAAAAGGTCCTCTGTCGTGAGAGCTGCTCCGGTAGTTGGCTCGGTGCCATTCTCGCTAATGAAGGCTTCGATGAGGCGCTTCTCGTACACATTGCCTGAAATCGTCAGTGATACAGCTACCAAGTTCTGCATCGCGTCACTCACCACTCTTGCGCGACACCACCGGCACCTCAGGCGGGACTCCAGAAACTGGCGTAACAATTAGTTTCGTACTCCACGTCGAAGCAGTATTGTCAGGCACTCACTTGCACACAACATCTCGTCGCGGCTAGGGAGAAGCAGCAGTTTCTAGCGACCCTTGTAAAACTGCGCTGTCTGATCGCCGCACTAAGTACTCGTGACTTTCTTCCGTTAACCAAAAGTTGAGCAAACTTCACTTTCACAGCCTGCGCATGTACTTTCTTTCTCCGCCAATAGAAACTGTTCCCGGCAAATGCTTGGCAGGTCGGTCACTCGGCCAACTTTCCTATCTGGCTTGCTTCTCTCCAAGAAAGATCGGTCACATTCATGAGACGTATGATCGATCTCGTCTGCTTCCAGAGGTTGATCATCGTCGGCACTACTAGCGATACGCAAATCGACATGCCCTGAAAATTTGGCCGGTGACCTCGTCACCGCGTGCTGCTTCATAGGCAGGATGGTGGATGCGGCAATTCCATACCCAGAACCGAGCATCGACATCATCCTGGTTCAGTCTTCGTTTCTTTTGCTCTCCAATATTGTTAGCACCATTCTTGACCATGTCTTCTACTGTGGTCTTGTGGGACAGATTGTCTTGGGTATGGCATGGGGAACTCCTGGCTCGAAGCTCCTGTCTCATACGTTCGAACAAGCGGCGACCCAGCTTGGCTATCTAGGCTTGATCTCCATTGTGTTTGAAGGTGGCCTGGCAACTTCGGTCAAGTCTGTGCAGGAGAACTTGTTCCTCTCCATATGCGTTGCTGCCACAGGCATTTCACTCCCAATTGTATTTTCTTTCTCTCTTCTTGCCCTCACCGATGCTAGCAATCTCCAAGCCTTTGCTGCTGGGGCTGCACTGTGTTCTACCAGCCTAGGGACAACCTTCAGTCTGTTGAAGACGACAGGGCTAACTACAAGTCGTTTGGGCATAATACTTACGAGTGCTGCAATGCTTGACGATGTGGTTGGTCTAATCATGGTGCAAGTCATAACCAATCTGGGAAGCCATTCCGGAGACTTTGCAGCCTCAACTCTGTTGCGGCCAATCTTGGTGTCTCTGGGGTTCGCGATTTTATTACCTCTGTTTTGCAAGTTTGTGTCCATCCCTGCATGCAAAATTTGGAGTAAGAGCAAACTCCCGTTCCCAAGGTGGTGGGACAAGGTCAACAAGCAAAATTCTCTTTCGTTACTTTATTCAACTGGAGTGTTGATAGCACTTGTTTCCGCTGCGACATATGCAGGCACTTCAGCACTGTTTGCCGCTTACCTTGCCGGTGTCTTTCTTTCCTGGTTCGATGAGCAGATTGGCGACGTGGAAAGGACTGGGTCGGCTGACGGCGCAAAACAACAGTCGATCTCAGATTCAGAAAAGATCAAGTAAACAAGCTAGGGCTAATGACGGTTTGAGGCCTGATTCGAAGATAGGTGTTCCAGAGAACGACTCTTCACTCACCCAACCGGAAAACAGCCCTAACCATGCGGACCTTCAACCTTGTCCAAGCTCGCGGCTACCCCCGCCACCGCCAGAAGAAGGCCATGCGAAAAGCGAGACCGCACGCTCAGCAGAACATCCAGGGGGATATATCCGACTCAACGGGCCTAGTATGTGCATGTACGACCAATATTACAGCCCAGTGGTGGAGCGAATCCTGAAGCCTCTGTTCTTTGTATGGAATTCGCCAGAACTTCGAGGTCTTTACGTGTCTCTAACCTAACCTGTACAGGGATCTATTGGCTTTTCCATACCTATCACTGAAATGTTCCGGGGAACTATCGTCTGGCGTGGCATTGTATATGCTATGTTGATGGCCTTTGGGAAGGTTTGTTGTGGACTATGGCTCGTCCGTTTCACGTATGACTCTGCCTCCAAGACCAAGACAACTGGCAAAAACAAGGAGAAGAAACAGGGCAAAACAGTTCCTCGACCCAAATCCCTTTATCCCGCCTGGCTACTGGGTTCTGCAATGGTTGTCAGAGGTGAGATTGGGTTCTTGATCTCCGCTCTCGCCGCAAGCAATGGAATTTTCGCCGCCGATGGAGATAATGTCCGAGCACCCTCTGAAATCTACCTCGTCGTGACGTGGGCGATCTTGTTATGCACAATAACAATACCAATTGCTCTCGGACTCGTCGCGAAGAGAGTCAAACGGCTTCAGAAACAAAGACAACAGAATGGAGATGCAGCCGGTCAAGATCCATTAGGTACATGGGGAGTTGGTGGTTGAGAAGGAGACGAGAATCGATGACTTCTATTGAAGCTTTTTTAAACCCCAGGCGCCCCAAACAATTCCCAGATCCTTGCTGATGAAACCGATCTCACAACACCTTGTCCCGTGAGACAGTCCTACACTCAGCAACAAACAGCCCATGATTGCCACACTGCCCTCAGAGACTAATACCAATGACAGCTCTGGCAGAATAACGTGCTTGTTCCTCAGTTGGTCTTTACTTGGCAAACATCCTCTTCAAATCTTTCGTCCTGTCACCATTCAAAAGGTCCGCCAGACCGTTCATCATGGACGAGCCAGTACCTCTACCGCTTCCTTGCCTCGCAGTGGCGTTCCCGTTTCGACTCTGAAGATCCGACTCTGAAACTTCATCTGGCTCAACGAAACCCGTGCGCGGGTAGCGTTGGCTCTGATACCGGGGCCGATACTCGTCGTACTGAGGCGGTAGTGCCGGTCCGTCATCATACCCGCTGCGTACGTTGTCCTCCTGCCCCCTCGACCCCGGTAATGGGGAGAATGGGTCGTTCTGGAGATACACAGGCTGTTGATGGTGACCGCTCTTTTCGTTGTGGCCGCGGTCGTGGGCATAGTCGGATGGGTACGAGCGACGCCCAACAAAGTTCAGTTCACGAGGCTGCTCTTTTTCTTGGTACGTTTGGCCTTGACTCGGAGGAGCGTAGTAGTCAGGATATCGGTTGTCCGTCATGCCTGCATCTTTGTATAGTGGTTGGGAGCCGTCACGATAGTAGTTGTCGGTACGGTTAGGTTGGTCGCCGCGTCTCTTGGACTCGTTGTGCTTTGCCATCTTGTTGACGCCGTATACGGCTACGCCTGAGATGATGGCTAGTTTGATAAGACCCATTCTTGTGAATGTGTGGATTGAAGTTTACTTGGATATCAGAGGGAGTCTCTGAGAGGTCTTGGTACTGGTATGGTGTGATGGTGAGACAGAAGGAGGAGTAGGCGATGGTGGTGGTGGTGGTGATGGTAGTGGGCGTCTCTCCTTTATGTACCTTCTGTTTCACAGTCTCGGATTGTGAGGTCTGATGAGTATCTAGGTGCCTACCGAGCTGAGGTATGAGGTAGTATGTATTGTGGTCTAATGGATGCACGTCGTCATCTCTCCAGCAAAGCCACCGCTTTCGACCACCACCACCGTCACCTTTCCAAACAAAAGTACAGCCTACCTTTTGTCATCAAGGTTTCCCTACCCACCGGGGTACTTGAAAAACAAGCCGCACGGAGACACACAACCTTACCTTACCAACTACTCCCGAGTCGAGTCGAGGCAAACAAGGCTAACCGATAAGGCCTCGGTCGGTCCTCGCTGGTACAGGCAGACGTCAATCCCATTCGTAGTCTGTTCGCCAGGAGGGGGGGGAGCAAGGGGGAGAAGGGGGCTGGAGACAAAAGCGTCAGCAGGTGGGCGCAGTAACAGTGACAGCAAAACCCAAAGGTAAGGCCTCCGAGTTTTTATATTGCAGTGCCCTCCTCCCATTGAGGGAACTTCCTCGATGGTTCAACTGCTGCAGGTAAGTAGGGCAATAAGATAAGTAGGGCTAGACGGGTGACGGGTGCGGATACGAGTATGTACTGTAGGTAGTGTGGGTACTGTAGGTATGTACGTTTAGTAAAGCCCATCCAGCCTTGGTGGCAGCGGCCACAAGCGACATCGCTCCAGAGCACGAATTCACCGGCCGCAATCACTTCGCCCACCACCTGCGGATACTCCTACGCCTACGCCTAGGCTACAGCTCTACAAAAGTAATGAATTCCCAGTGGAACCCTCGGATTCGGGTCCGGGAAAAGTCTCCAAACAACCGACACAAGAAGGCACATCGTTAAAAAAAAAGGGTACCTAGGTATGAGTACAGCGTCCCCCGTACTATACTGTACTATTATATACCCAAAGACAAAAAAAATGATACCCCAGATACGGAGTACACCGGATGATAGATACCTCCTAAGTCCCATGCAAAAATATGATCAACTACAGTCACTTTCGGTAGGCACCTAGTCAAGTCATAATACAACAATCGTCACACTTCTGCCACGAGGTCGGTCCAGATTCATGCTCGGTGTCATCTCCATCTCATTCAAATTTGTATCACGGTTTCGGACCGAGTCACCTATGGTACCTCCTCTGCACACCACATATACTCTGCCGGGTCGGTACTCCCTACCAGAGCATGATAATTTACAAGTCCATCCCAGTCTTGCTGACACCCAAAGCGGCTTCCACCAGAAAGAAGACGGGAAATGTTCCAACTCAACATAGATGTGAAAAAGTACAGAGGCTGAATAACAAAGTATCCAAGAACATAGACCCGGAAGATCCAAGGCAATCCAATTGAACTTTCCAAGAGCGCCATGCCAACAAAGAAAACAGCTTTGAAGTATTGTCATCATCGTCATATCATCGTCCTCGCGTTTGAAACAAAGCTTGTCGAACGAATTTTGTAAGATTCCCACCACAGTACACCCTTCCTCAACCCCAACGAGACAATCAGAGTCATTTCAGACAATAAAGAAAACAGGGTGATGAGACATCATCAATCACAGATCATCACTGGTCCAACTGGTCCATCTGTCCGAGCTGACATAATTGCCTTTGGTCTTGCTGGCTCGTCTTGACTGTCGCTCAGGATCCTTCGGGGTGTCGTCGACCGGTGGTAACCACAATTTTGCATGTCCTGCAGCGTCATCGCTCAACTTTCCGCTCTTGCGCATATTCATTTCACACACAAAGATGCGTAGAAAGTCCCTGTTCTCACGAGGTTCGCGCGGTCGTGGCTGACCTCCACCGGTGCCACCGTCCATGTCGTCGAAAAGAGACTGTGCTGCGCGATGCTTGTTGCTAGGCGTGCCGTCCGGTTCTAGCCAGGTCGGTGGACTTGATGCGTGAGCGGTGCGAACACTCGAAGGGATACACGTGGCCAATGGCACGACTGGAGGTAGCTGAGATATTGCGCTCTTCGCACCCGACACGCCGCTTCTCAAGGTGGCAGCAGCGTGCTGGTTGCGGTATTTCCTCTTTATTTTGAGTTTAGGCTTTGTTTCGGCCTGTGACAATAATGACGGGTCTGGCTTTTCGTCCAACCAAAAATGGAGCTGGGCAGGAGAGTCTGCGGCCACGAAAGCATGAGGATTGAGGTACCGCCGGAGAGCTGCGGATGGAGGTTCATCGGAAGGAGGTGGACGACGATCGTCGGTCAACCAAGGTTGGAAGTCAAAGACGGACTTTGAGAGGAACTCATCAGGCTGGACGAGTGGAGGCGTGGTGGCTATATTGGAGACGGTTTGTGCTGCTGATTTTAGAGCTTTCAATGATGCCGTTAAACTCGATTTGAATGTTTTCGAGCGTCTTACTGGCATTGCCCTTCGCAAGTGTTTTGGTGTCGGAGACATGGACAGATCCGGAGTCGTAGTGCCGCTGTAGTCATCATCGTCTTCGACGCTGAGAAGGGGGTGTTCGTTGCTGGCATCCTCTGAATTGACCACCTGCCGCAGTCTGTGGTCGGGCGGCGATCGAAGGGTGGCCGGTGAGAAGCTAGTCGAATCAGCCGTGCTTGAATCGTCTGGAGATTCTAGTGATGGCATGGACTCAGTAGAAAGTGATCGTGTCGACAGGATGCCGGCATCAAGACCTTCACTTCCCACTATCATTTGCCCATCCACCAGACCGTCAATAGCCCCGAAGAGACCTTCGAATTGTGGATTTGTCCAGCTTCCTGCCAAACTCGTCTCTCCGCTAGAAGGGACATCGTCCCGGAGGAGTTTGCTGAAATCGGCAACATAGTCGCAGTTGGGTATTCTCTGTGCCGTTCTTGGCTTCGGTTTCCGCCGAATGGGTATGGTTGTGGATGACAGAACATCTTGCACCGACTCTTTTCTTCTCCTTGATATATCTGGCGTAGAACGACTACTTTCATCTCTGGATGGCTGAAGGGTAGATGGCGCAGGCCGCCTCGGCGAGGGTGAAAGGTGCCTGTCCACGCGCGCGGGGATCCTCACAGGATCTGAAAACGGAGTATATGAATCTGAATTCTGCTGCGACAGGCTTTGGGAGAGGGCAGATCGTGTCGGCGGACCTGAGTTTCTGGCAAGAGATCTCCTTGATAGAGAGTCTTTCTCGTCAAAGTTGATTGTTTGGCTTTGGCCCATTGAAACTGGGACGAAAGCCCGAGGGACCATCATCATGGCGGTTCGAGATCTAGCCCTATATGATAGAACCTAGTCCAACAGGCACCATGCCTGGAATGCAGTCGACGCTGCAGTGGCCCAATTATAACATCTCTCGCTATGGGGTGGACCAAACTGAGGGAGTGTTCGGATATGGTCGACAACGGATGGTTGGTAGACACCTGGGTTGTCACAGATAGATTGTGTCGACGACGAGATGCTAAGAGATGAGAGGCTTGCTTGTACGGATGCAGTGGAAGAGATATGGCTCTCAATGCGAGTTACTGTTCAGCTGGAGTCGCAACGTAGGGGCAGCAGACTACTCCTACATGGGCAGCTGGCCAACTCCGGGAATTTTGGGGGTCGCAGTCGTGTGAGCCAGAGATAAGGCAATCGAGCGGCCGCGATTGGCCCGCAGAGTTGGCGATGACAGCTGGACGGGCAGTGGGATGACGCTCGGATGACGAAGCTTAGGCGACGCTAAGGGGGCGCCTAAGACCCCAAAGACCCCTTGGAGGTGCCGCGCGAAGCCCAAGCAAAGCCCGAAGGCATCCCGGAAGCCGCCCAAAGCTGCGACTTGCAGGGCCACAACGCCTATCGCCTCTGCGCCTCAACTCTCTTCTCTGGGGACTTTCGCTCTCAGGACCCTCGTCGTCGCTCAAATCTTCCATAATCGAAAAACTGACATACAATGATCAATCGTGCTCGCAATGGCAGGTCACCTACTGGCTGGTGACCACCCAGCACTTTGTAACCACATTACGTTACTTGATTGTATTACTTAAAGACATCCTCTCTACCGTGTACATCACACGACGGTTGCAACGGTGTGGTCCTTAGTGCTCGGTAGCACCCTCCCTACTATGGAAGACTCGCACCGAAAATCCATCAACTCATCTTAACACCAGACCAACAACGACGATTACTTTACTGGGGACCATTGCCTCTCAGGTCCAAGCGATTGGTAACGACAGTTCTGCTGGAGTAATACATTCCACAGCCACGGGTCCTTGCGGAATCCTCCGGCAATCAGGTACCGAGCGATTAGCCAAGTGGGTGCTTTGTACGACCATGGTTTGTGCCTGAGCCTGGCCTGGTGGTGCTTCGACACTCACAGGCAGCAATGTGACATTCGTCAAACGACTGTTTCACACTGACGTCCGAGGAGAGAACAAAAAAGAATAAAACTTGCTCCAGCAGGGAGGCAAAATGCAACACCATCGCCAGAAGCAACGATACGAGAGATTGACACGTGTGTCATCGATGAAAGATGCAAGGTACTTGTCCCATCTCGCGGTTCCTGGTTCGTGGGGGATTCGCAGCCCTGATTGACCTCTGCTTCTGCTGCCTTTGCAAATCGAAAGGGTAATAGAAACTCGCAGCAAATCTGCCAGCCCGTCCACCACGCCCTCCACGCCCTCCAATCGCTAACCCAGAAACAGAGAAAAGAACCGTCGGCTATAACAAGGTTAACACCGCAAAATCCAGCCATGTCCTTATTTCTCCGACATCTGGTTCGGGGGAATCAACGTGGAAATGGGTACGTCGGCAACCTGCTTACCTAGCGCAGCTGCGAAGTAGCTCGGCAAGTCGGGAGCCCACAAGGCCAAATTCTAAAGTGAACATGCTCTCTTCGGAGACGACCGACCTTTAAACTCGGGGCTTTCAACCTGGAATATCCACATGGAAATGTCCAGGCTGGCTCTGAAACTCGGCCGCATATGGGTACAATAATGCCATGGGAAGCAGTCCGAAGCACAGGCGGGAATGGCCGCCGCGAATTGCAGTCCTGGCCGAGCAGATGAACAGCTCTGCTGGCATTTCTCACCGATCCGCCATTAAAGTATATCGCCAACGAACAGACTGCTACTTTTCTTCTGCCAGTGCCTATTTCGCTGTCCAAACTCTCAAATGCCCAATCGGCTCACCTCCAACGATGGTTCTCTGGTAGGGTAGTGAAGCACGGCAAGCTATAGCGAGCATGTAGCCCACATTTCTTCACGCCAACAACTTTGACCTGGGCCTTTTGACTTTTGCAAACTTCGCGGACACCCTCGGCAGAGCCGGAACATCGGACCGCCTTCCCCGGCCACAGTCTGTTGACGTTTCCTTCGCCCGCGCGGCATGGCAAAGGTGGACGAGGCTACACCGGTCCGTCTATGGAATCTCCTGTTTCCACTGCCTCGTGCTCCTTGCGAAGGTCTGGGCCGCTAAGGAATTGTTCAGCCTCAATCAAAGGCGATCAGGGTTCAACTTACTCCGTACTCCGGAATGGAAAGCAACAATAACACGACTACTCGTGGCGTGCGCCGAGTACACAGGCAGAGATGATCTTTTACCCGAGCGCGTCGACAGCTGGCAAGGATTCTGCGTGCATCCCAAGTGTCCCTCGTAACGTACCTGCATCTTGCGACGAGGTATTTTATATTTAGAGTAGTGGGTATACGATGTGTTGCACCGACCAGGGACGTGGCCTCTCAGTCACCTTCACCGTCAACCTACCCATCCTGCCTCCTCGGGATAGGGCCTACTAGTCTCAACGCGTGTGCGTTGCTGTATCTACAGTAGTACTACTGACTGACTAGGGAGCCTAGAGCCCAGAGCCCGGAGACCTCTAGACGAGAACGAAGCAACCGCACTTGCTGAGCGGGCTGAACAGGCGTGTTCATTACTCGATATGTTCCTACGGGGTACCTTCGGGAAGAAGAAAATTTCACCGACATCGGAGTCTGCAGTTTTCCTTCTCAGTGGGCTCAAGGACCACTACTGACTATCCTTTGACACCGAACCCTTCAAGCACTGAACCTCGCTCACGATATGACAGTGAGCCCAAGACAGAAACTACTGCGCTGTGCGGGGGGCTGTAATAGCTGTGACACAGATAGCCAAATTGAGGAACCTCCTTTCTCCTTCCTGCAAGCTACCTAACTTAGTCTATATCTTTTTACTACTCTGCTCGTGCGCTCAGGGGCACAGAGACTCTTTTGTGGATAACAAGGGCACCCTCCCCCATTCTTCACTCTTTTCTCAACCACGAGCACGTCTACTCAGTGGTGGCCTGTTGCTGCTGTCTGGCCGTATAGTTACGCACCCACTCCACCGCGCGGGCCTGGACGTCCTCTACCTTGCGCTGGTCTCCGTGCTTCGCCTCGAACTTTTCCCATCGCTTGAAGAAATGCCTCGCCTGCTCCTGCTTGAGCTTCACGCTCAGGACGCGCTCGTAGGTCTCTCGCACCTTGTCATGGTCGCCCAACTTCTCCTCCTGGTCGAGGATGACGTTGAACAAGTCCAGGCGTTTCGGGTACTCGGCCAGCAGGCCCTCAAACAGCGTGCGTCCGCGCTCGGGCAGGCCGTTCTTTGACTTGAACTCCAGCAGTGCAAACGACTTCGTCAGCTCAAACCGCGCCCTGTTCTCTTCCTTCTTGTCCTTGGTCGTGGACGGCAGTGTCTTGGACGCACGGGGCAGCAGCTCTCGAGCCTCGCCGGGCTTGTTGACCACGTCGAACAAGAAGGTAGCATAGTTGACCCAAACGTCTAGATCGGCCTTGAACTTCTTGAGCATCTCGTTGAACTTCTCGGTCGCTTTGTCGTACTTGCCGGACTGGATGAGGATACTCGCGAGCCTGGAATAGATTTGTTGCTGGTCGTTGTACTCCAACGCGCGCTTGAAGATTGCGTCGAGACTCTCGTCGTCGCCCCGCGCGTCTTCGAGGTTGAGAAGCGCCGTCCAGACCTTCAACTTCTCCTCCTCGGACCCGGGACCCAGCCCGATGGATCGTAGTGCGCGCTCGCCGATTTCGCGCGCCCGATCGACTTCCTCTAGGCCGAGATGGAAAGCCATGTACTGAAGCCAAAGATCGCCTGAGTCGGGCTCGGCAAGGAGGAGTCGCTCAAAGTCATCTGAGGATTGAGGCCCATTGGTGTCAAGATCTGCTGTGCGGTCGACGACTGGCTCTGCTCGCTTCTTCTTCTTTTTCTTGTGCGCCTTGCTGTCTTGCTCGTCGTCGGATTCTGAGTCATCAGCCGCACGCTTTGTGGCTTTGGTGTCGACCAGTCCAGATGTTCCTGTCCAGTCAAATCCGCCGACACTGAGGCCTTGCGGCTTGCGACGCGCAGGTCCTGCTTCGTCGTCGTCGCTGTCCTCAAGCTCGGAATCATCGGCTTCATCTTCTTCTTCCTCCTCCTCGTCGGTGTCGCCGGCCTCCTCGAACTCGACTTGCACGGGGTCTTCGTCGTCTTCGCTTGCTTCAACATCCTCATCGTCAACATCTTCCATGATCTCGTCAAGGTTCACGCCATCCTCGTCGTTGTCGTCGGATGATGCCGCATCAGAATCAGCAGTGTCCGCGAAATAAGAAGCCTTCATGCCGAAATTCACCCTACGATTGGCAGGATCAAGCTTGAGCACCTTGGCCTTGACGGCGTCTCCTTCGCTGAAGAGCTTGGTGGCATCTTCAATCCTCTGCTCAGCAATTTCGCTACGATGGCAAAGGCCCCGAACGTTTTCAGAGTTATCGACAACAATAAAAACGCCAAAAGGTTCAGCCTTGACGACTTTCGCAGTAACAATATCGCCTTCATGCAGGTCGCCAAATGTAAGAGGCGCCTTGTAGTTCGGATCCAAGGCAGACTGCTTCAGAGTCATCTGGACATGACCAGATGCTTTGTCAACAAGCGTGATCTTGCCCTTGACCAGTTGTTCTCGCTGGAAATGATCCTTCCAATCTTTGAGGTATTGGTCTGACAAGTGGCTTACCCTAACAAATGCAGTGAATCCGTGGCCGAGCGTCACAAAAACTCCTTTATCAGTAATGTTGCAGATGAAACCCCGAACCACATCATTGACGGCAAGTTGGTCGATAGAAGTAATTTCAGGGTCAGTTACTGGAGATGAAGAGCTGAGGACTTTCGACCGACGTGTAGACAACGTGACTTTCTTGTTGGGAACGTCTACGTTGAGTACACAGACTCGAAGGACCTCATTCTTCTGGAATTTTGCCGTGTTGGCCTCATCGTAGTTGTCGGCAATATCAATAAGGTCGACAGCACCCACGACATGTTCGCTGAGTTGAACAATGATATTGCGATCAGTGATTTTTGTAACTCGGCCGGGAAGGATGAGACCCTTCGAGATGTCCTTAAGCGTAAGGGAGCCAACAGATGCATCTGATCTTGCAGTGAGATCAAGACGATTCTTTTCCGCATCCACAGATACAACGTGCACACGGAGTGCTGAACCGACAGGGAAATTTGCTTCTACATTCGATGCAAGAGACAGATCATCGGACACGTCTGTTATTCGAATTCTTCCCCGTACACTTGGGGATATGTTGACCCATAGACAATCTTCCGTGATATTGTTGACGAAGGCCAGCCATGAAGAGCCAACAGAGACATCTTGCAGCTTCAAAATCGCTTTACCAGGTTTAGTCACAGAGCTGGGTTTGCACGAAAGCTCGAGAACTGTGTTTTTTCCTTGTCGATGTGTCAGGGGCAAGAACCTATGGTTCCTGGTGTCGTGAGCTCCAAGGATCTTGACAGTGAGTTCTTGCTTAGGACTGAACTGCTTGAGCGGTCTTTTACGATTCTGGATATCTTTCCACTCGTCAAAGACTTCGGAGACGTCGATTCGACCCTGTACATTTTTTGCAAGCTCAACGTTGATTTGAGTCTCTTTCACGGAAATGATTCGTGCTTTTGTAATCTTGCCTACTGACAGATCATTTAGTGTTCTGAGACTCGTATCGATTGGTTCAACGACGTCTGGAAGTGGTAATGCCGAATCTTCGTTTGGTGGTTTTGATGCGCCGTTGACTATTGTGCTGTCCCTCATGGTGAGCCAGAATCGCGGAGTCGCCCCCTTATAGTCGATGGAGAGGATCCTTGCTGTAACAGGCTGAAATTTGGCCATGCCGAAGTCGGGCTGATCTTCTTGGTCAACCGGGACCTGATTTCGCGTAATAAGACCGCTAATATTTGCAGCAAAAGTCACAAAGACACCGTCCTCGGTGATGTTCGACACATACCCAGTGACGAGGGCGTTGGGTAGGAGGTCTTCGTAGCTCTTCAGGAGGGTTCCGTCCTGAGCTGCTTTGACTAGACTCTGCTTGTTTGTGAGCACGACAAGTCTCCTCTTCGCCTGCACCTGTAAAATAACCAAATTCTCCAGCTTTTGACCAACCCGAATCTTATTGAAGGCAGAAGCTCGCTTACTCGGCGATCCATCCGACACATGATCCAGCGTCAAGCGTGCAATAGAATCGGAACCTTCTAACCGTAATAAGATGTCGTTCTGCGATTTTTCAAAGACAGTACCGCTGACGAGTGAGCCGTGTTTCAGCGCAGAAAGAGCGCTCTCGGTCGATGGATTAGCATTGGGATCTCTGCAAGAGACCGTAAGGCGTCTTTCCTCCGCATTGACGCTAATAGCATTGACGGTCAAGACTTGTCCCACTCTGAAGTGCTCGGTTGCGTCTTTGATGTATGCTTCGCTCATTTCATGGACCGGAAGGAAACCACGAACTGGACCGAAAAACCGGACGACTGCACCAAAGCGATCAACCTTGGTCAATGTTCCAACGGTGGAATTCCCAACCTCAATATCGTCGAAATTGAGCCACGGTTTTTGATCACTGTTAACAAGTGATTTCTTCAGCGTCAACTTCAGCCGGCGCCTAGCTGGATCTGTTGATAGCACTCTTGCTGTCACTGTCTGGCCTACTCGGAATTTCTTCTCTGGATGCTTTAGGTCCACATCAGACATATGTATTTGTGGAACTAGACCACTGATACCTTCGGCTAGATTGACCAATAAGCCGGAAACACCATTGGAGCCGATGATAATCTTCTCGACCGTTCCTTTAACCACGGCTCCAAGTGGAACATCGTCGAAGCGAAGGAATGGTTGGCTGAGTACTTTTGGCTCAAGTGAGAGGACATAAAGGTTGTCGATAGGATTGTAATCCAGAATCCGAGCTTTGTGGTCAGTACCAAGCTTGAATGGGCCAGTGATTTCGGACAAAGTATCGATCTTTTCGTCAGAAAGACGCGAGATATGTGCGAAGCCAACATGATCCTCGTTCAACTGCAGGTAAACGCCTAGGCCGGGCTCTACGCGGACAACGGTAGCTTCATCTATAATAGAAGATAAAGCAAGCTTGCCATCTGCCTTGGTTGACAATCCATCGTCCGGTTTCATATCAATCAGATCCTCGAGCACTGAAAATCCTAGTTTTCTTACATCCGACGTTGGGAAGTTACAGACCAGTCGGCCTGGAATCTTCTTGCCAACTTCGAACTTGGCTAGGAATGCTTCCTTGTCCTTGTAAGAGCCTGAGTGCACTAGATCAGCCGTCACATCCAGCATACCCATGATCTTGCCAGCAAGACCGTAGTCAGGGCGGTGCGTGATCAATATCTCAGCCCGTGTCCCTGGGAGGAAGGCGTCAATGGAGGGTGCAGACTTGACAGTCACACTCTTTGAAAGATCTGCAGAGAGTTTCAAGACCTTGCCTTTCGAGCCACTCTCAATAATAGTGCACAAGAGCACAGTACCTTTCCGGATATCTGAGAAAAGTAAGTTATTCGGTAATTCCTTTTTAGGGATGAACCCGCGAAGTGTTTCTTCATTGTCGTTGAGAGCCAGGTCGACTGCGACGCCGGTGTCCTCAACGCTTCGGACAGATGTCTGGACCGTAGCACCTGTGGTGAGATATGTTCGCTTCAGGCCAATGTTGGTCAAGGACGGCTCAATGGATAGCTCTATACGCTTTCGAGCTGTTGGTCTGCCTGCGCCTCTTTCCTGCTCTGTAGATGTCACTGCTGCTCGCAGATATTGCCCAATTTTGAAATAGTTTGCGAGAGCAATGTCATTCACTTCGTCGTCGTTGTCCTCGTCCTCATCGCTGTGATCCGCATCTCCCTTAATCAAGGCCTGGATCTTCTCGCTGAATTGTGGGGAGATCGCGGTGAGAGGGACGTAGCCTACTAGGTTGTTGGGTAGAGCCAGTGTGAGCGTCCTTGTGCTGATCGATGTAATTTGGCCAAGGATCAAGGAGTCGGTAGTCAAGCGTTTGTAGTTCAAGCCACCAATCTGCACGTCAGGAGCATCGGCGGTCGAGCTTTCGGGACGACGTTTGTTCTTTTTGGACTTCTTCGCTGGCTTCTTTTGTTCGACGTCGGATGGGGAAGTTTGCTCTTCATCGCTTGTGTCCATTTGTGTAGATGTACCTCCAAACAAATCTTGACTTTTTCGTTCTCTTGCAACATCTCGAGTAGCTTTCACCTGAATTTGCTTTCGCTCCAACGGAGTGAGAAGGCCCGCACCGCCACGAGGGAACGCAGGTTGCTCTTTGGTAAGGACAGACACATGCTTGGGCTTCTGTGTTGTTTCTTGATCGGCGCCCAGTTTCTGCTTTTTTGTCTTCGCCTCAGATTTGGTCTCAGACTTCGATCGCTTGTTCGCTGTGCTTGCAGGAACTTCGTCCCCCGCCAGCTTCCTCTTCGAGGGGGCCATGGTGAATAACTTAAGGTTCAGGAGAACCTGGACTCTTCAGATGAGTCGGACGGATATCAAAGATTGTCCGCGGTGGTTGAAGGCTGCATCGCAAGCCTTCTCACACTTTTGCCGACACTACCTGGGCCAGTCGTGCGGGCTGGAAATTTTTTGGAGTTTGAGGACGTTTTTCCTTCTCGGAGAAAGACCCGCTTCCACCAATCATAGCATACCTCGGCTAACTTTCCCCAGTCTCGACGCGTCGTTCAACGGTCGCGCGTCGAGGAATCAATTAAAGCATCCATGCATGTCCGCCTCCCACTATTCTAGCCAACCTTTGCCTGCACCTCTACACCTCGACCGATGCTCTCATGACCATTTGGGAGACCAGTGCCACATATCACTCTACTCGGCCACATTTAACAGTCCCCATCCACTGTGCCTCGAGTCGCTGATATCTTAAGCCTGCTCTGAGTGTTTATATCTTGCCGTTACGTCAATGGTCATGGACCAGACACCAGAAAGACCTTCTCATAGTGAAACGGTTACCTTTTCTATTCCCGAAGATGCGGTTCGAAGTCCTCGCCGAAGTAGCCGTATCAAGAAGAACCCTTCCGTAACCCCAAGACGTTTCAACAAGTTCTTCACGCCCAGAGCTCGGAACCTCCAGCGAGCGGTTCGCAGCTCGAGGAAGGCTCTCCATGATCTTTCTGCAGCCACTTTGAACAGTCGAGCCGACAGTGTACATCGCCCGAGCAAAAGGAGGAGAATCTCGTTTTCTTCAGTACCGTCTCTGCCCTCGTCCCCGATTCGCAAAGGCCCTGCCTCCGTAGTCACAAACGCCAATGTTGAATTTCAAGGCCTGGGCCCGGCACCTGAGGCCTTTGCCGAGTGTTTTACTACAGACGACGATTATGAAGACGAGGATATCCCGGGCACGACCAGAGCACTCCCACCTCCTCTAATACCATATCGTGCCATCAGCACCTCAGCAGCGGCATTATCCAGACGACTCGGCGTGAGAAATAGGGTAGTGGAGGCGAATGGCAGCAATCTCTGGCAACATGAAACCGCAAATTTCTACAGTTCAGCAGATGATTTCTACTCCTACAACCGGCAGGTTGCATCCCTACCATTTTGTGCGACCGGCTTCAAGACCGTGTCTTTGGTCGCTGTGGGTGATGAAGACGGCACTGTACGTGTACACGATGCATGCAGTCAAGACCAGTCGTACAACCAAGTATTTCTACAGATGCATCCCCATGATAACGCAGTCATGGATTTGGAACTATCTGAAGACGATGCACTACTGGCTACAGCATCCGGAGATCAAACATGCCGAATTATTGATATGAAGCAGCAAGTCTCGACGCACACACTCGTCGGCCACACCGGTTCGATCAAGCGCGTTCAATTTCAGCCAGGCTCCGGAAACAATTTACTAGCATCATGTTCCAGAGATGGGAGTATTTGTCTTTGGGATCTGCGTTGCGCCAAAGCGAAAGGCTCGACGATGTTCCAAGAACTCCGACGTGAAAGTGCAACCTTTCTGGAAAGTAGCAGAGAAGTGAACACGATCAACGACATCCGTGACGCGCACACGGCTCGCAACAACTTGTCATCGAAAGGCCGTCGCCAGCACATCCCAATCTCCGCTCGTAGCGACTTTGCAGTTACGACCTGTGCCTTCATCAGCGCCAGCCGACCCCACCTCCTAGCCAGCGCGTCTGAAAACGACGCCGTCATCAAGCTCTGGGATATGCGTACGTCTTACAAACAACGCTCCGGCGGACCCAATCCGATCTCTGCCACCCTCGAGCCTCAGTCTCACCAGAACCACCGACAGTTCGGCGTTACCTCAATAGCGATGAGCACCGACGGGTCAAGACTTTACTCCCTCTGCCGCGACCACACCATCTACGCATACTCTACAGCACACCTCGTCCTCGGCAGCGCGCCTGAGATGGCCCTCTCGTCATCTGCATTGCGACCCGCTCGTCAGCCCCGCCAGCCCGTCCACGGACTTGGGCCTTTATATGGCTTCCGGCACCCGTCCCTACGCCTGCAGACGTTCTACGACAAGCTTGCCCTACGTCACATGAGCAATGACCACACCGAAGTCCTTGCCTCGGGAAGCAGCGAGGAATGTGCCGTCCTCTTCCCCACGGACGAACGATACCTCAACAAGGCTGCACGCCGACAACCAGAGAATGCCACACTCGCACCCCGTCTACGCCGTGCTACGTCGTCGTCTTCGAGCAGTGACGCACCGTTGCCCATCTACTACCACGGCACCGCCCTCGTCAACGCCCATCGCAAGGAAGTCACTGCAGTGGCTTGGACGAGGAATGGCAATCTCGTCACCACCGCGGACGATTACACCACGCGCTGCTGGCGCGAAGATGCGGCTCAGGCACGCATGCTGAGACTGAACAGCGAGCGTGACGTGCGTAGGTATCAGAGTGGCTGGGCGGAAGTGCCGGCGCGGTACGATGAGGATGACGACGAGTTTTAGAAACGCAGACTGATTGGGCAGGCTGGTGGTATTCAGGAAAGTGTAGGAATCAGTACATGCATCTGTACACGCAATGCAAACACGAGCCAAGGTCTTGTTTGCTGTGCGGCTGCCCTACCACTTGTTTTTGGCCTTTTTAAAAATTCACTGTCTTGGGTATCACGTTCGTTACTTTGCAAGGGTAAGCTGCACAAAGTGGCCACTGGAATTTTAGTTTGGGATAATTTGTCCTTTCTGTTGTAGAGACCGTATACACAATGGGCTCTTCAGAAGAGAGATCTAAGCAGCGTAGGTGCTTCTTGCAAGGAAGGTGGCCTCATAGCCAGGTTCCCATTTCCAAATACCAAAATCCGATGCTTGTGTCACACAATATGGTAATGCTGTCATTGCCGCCATTCATGCTGCTCGTTGTAAAAATACATAGGCTTTGAATTGAAAACAAATCTAATCCATGTGCGTGAGATACGCGCCCAAAGCAAGAAACCCAACGACAAAGTTCATAGCAGTTTGTTTTATTCGTAAATCGTTACACCTTCTCCGTCCTTTACATTCTCTTTGGCTTTGTGCATCAACGTGGTGGCAGCATGGGCCCAACCACAGTCTCCTAGAGGAGTTAACGCCTCAGCGTACCACCGCATTTACATTCACGGATTTGTCGTTTCAAATCAGCGTTCTCCTGGAGAAGTCTGTAATTGTCCTCCTCGACACGCATCAGTTCGGCCTTGTAGTGTTCCAAGCTCGTGGGAAACACAGCAGATGAAACTGCCTCGCGTGTGGGCAAGATACGAGCATCCGGGCTTGGGCTTGGGACAGATCGGCTTGTTGTCGCCGATCCTGCGGTCAACGGTCTCTTGACAACTGATCCAGCAGACAAACCCGAACTTGAAGTAAGAGGTCTGTTTTCGTCGTTGCGTGAACTGGCTCGGGCCAAGTTGCTGACCTGCTCCGGGTCCTGCTCAGATAGTATACCAGCTAGGCCTGGTCGTGGAGTCTTCTGCCGACGGCTCAAGCTTCTTCCCAAGCTGGGAAATAGACGTGGAACCTCCCGTGTTTTGATACTGCCTGTCAAAGCGGGCGCTTCTCGAACTGTACCATTCGACCGCGTCAGGCCTGACAGCAGTTTTGTTGGGGAAAGTCCCTTCCTGCGCGACTCATGCTCAATGCGGAGAGAGTCTAGAATCGTTGAGGCAGCGGGTTCCATTTCACATATTTCGGCAATGATCTTCCGGGCCTTCTCGAGAGTCTTGATCGCTACCGTAAAGTTGGGAGGCACATGCGGAAGCATGGTGTCGATGTACAGGCCGTATCTGGATATACGTTGTGCTGGCTCCATAAGCAGCGACGGTGCTTGTTGGATCGAGGTCGTGCCTTCCTTCAAAAATTGGTCCAGATTAGAGGCCACTTGAGAATGAAGGTCGAGATACTCTCTGTACGGCATTGGAAATTTGGGAAAGTGGTTAAGGAGAACTTTGGCAAAGCTGTAAATTCCCATCGGATCTTTCGCGGTTTGAAGTAGCTGCGGATGTTGGGCCGCTCGATCAAGGAATGTCAAGGCTGCATCCTCTGAGTTGGAGAGTACCGATTCAATGTCATCCAGGAAAGCTAGATTCAAGTCCTTGATTTGATCCAGTAACGAAGGAAACTGGATCATGGCATTCACAGCTTTCTGGTTTCGGGATCCTTGCAGTTTTGAGCTCAATGACTTTTGAGTGCGGCCTTGGTTGGTAACAAGGTCTATCAAATCTTGCAGCCTAGTGATATATCTGTCTTCAGTGTCGACAAATTCGCACATCTTAAACCGTAGTGACTCCAGCTGGTCCAACGAATGCTTTGGCGCTTGTGAAACGCTTCCTTTCCGGACTCCAGGAGTAGTAGCTGAGGGAGATCGCTTTGCATTGCCACTCGGTAACCTTCTTGAGGGAGTGAACACATTGCCAAGTCTATTGGTGCCATTACTGTTGGCCTCGGAGGGCAAGAATGAAGGCCTCGTCTTTCTGATCGACAGGCCAGGTTTGACCGGAGTTGGCGGCGTTGATGGCCGCTCTTTAGAAAAGGGTCTGAGTGCTTCAATAACTTCATCCGCATTGATGACTCTGCTCATTCTACCAGTAACTTGAGCCGCGTGTGTTTGCCCCCATTTTAAAGCTATTCCATGGTGCAAATTCTCGTCGGCAATGGCATTCTTGACTTCAGTTGGCACTTCGGAAAAGTATCGACAGAGAGCGAACGCAATACCACGAAAGACATCATCCCTCTGCTTGTCTTCTGGAAGCTTGTGTACTGCAGAGTAGTAGCTACTATTCGGAGCGACCGAGAAAGCACCGTAGCTCTTGAAGCCTGCTGCGGAGAGAATCGTGGTGCGTATTCTTGAGGTAGAAGCCAACGAGCCTACAGCCTGTACAGGCCAGTAGAAGACAAGTATGCGAGGGAGGTACGGAGGATCTTCTGCGTAGTAGACGGTCGGTATGTCTGAGGGGTTCAGGACGGCCGAGAGAGCGGCCAGATTCCCCGACTTGGACATGGCTGCTGAAATTCGCGATGGGGTTAAGGTGAGGCAGGAGAAGGTGCACAGACAATCATCGCCAGAGTGCGCAGACAACGAAAAGGATAGGAGCCTGCAGTATAACCATGCCCGCTACAGGATGCGCGAAAAAACGCGTTGTATGATATGCTACCATGCAATGTGGTGTGTGGTGAGCGTGGTTGTAGCACGAATACAATGTTTTTCTGTGTTGATGGTTTTCCTAGTCGGGCGACGGAGATCGGGGCTACTTTGATCCGGCCATGAGTTGAAAACGAAGGCAGATGTCACTCTGCCGGCTACAGGTATCTCAACAGGACAGAAGGAGGGAGAGTCCTCAACTCAGTCCAGGATACCTGATACAGCTAGCACATACTGTCTGTGTTCATTCCCACACCCTTCAATCTGGACTTATGATATCTGTCCCTGCTATCGCTATTCTCTTTGTGTGAAGTGTCCTCCCGTTCGGCGACTTTCGATCTGGTCATTTTGCTCAACTCGATGGGGAACGTGCTTCCGTCGAAACACACCAAAGAGGGCGCCATCCCACACTGCATATCTCGGCTGCACGTCTCCTGTCCGACGCTTACAGCATCAACTGCGAGCTTTTCCCGTTGAGATCGCTCCTGGTGCCTGAATGACCCGAGCCTCAAGCTAGTATGATACGCATGAACCACTCATCACTCGCCTGCCTTCGGAATTTGCCCCCAGAGTATCTAGTCCGTTTTGGAACCAACTCATGGGCATACAAAGTTCCAGCGGCGTTCAACATCAGTGCTGTGAATATGTCAGCTTGGTACCTCCGAACATCCACGGAAGCAGAGAGAAGTCCGCCCCGGCCTAGCTTCACGTCTCTGTCCCCGCCGAGAGCAGCATTCGCAGCTGGAACAAGCCTCCTCCTTACAGTACGTGCAACCGACCAGCCGCGTCTCGGGGCTCATGACCGTTCCACAAGCTGAACCTCATACGAGTTATTAGTGGATGTTTAGTTCTCAATGCCCCTCGTCACTCAACTTGTCGTCGTCATTGTCAGCACTACATTCTCCATTTCTCCCCACACTTTCCTGCGATGGCCTGACTATTCCCTGTCATGAAAACTGCCGTGGCTTTCGACTGGCTTATCATTCGATGGCGGCGTTCCTGATCTTCTTTGGCGATGCCAAAGGGTCTAGTTTTGAAATCTCTGATGCAAAAACATGTTGACAGATCATGCATCCACGAGCCCCTTCCCACGTCCATCTCTGGGTCCTCCCGGACACCGATGCGTGGGATGCTCCACAACGTCCGCCGCTCAGACTAAACTCGATGACAGTTTGTTGGTTTTGTGCTCGGCAACGTTTTTGAGGTGTCTGCGATGGCTTATTATTACCTCAGCCACTTTGCTCCGGAAGTCATTAAAATATCCCAACTTGATTAGCACACATCAATTGCCTTGTTTGGTCAAAGGTAAAGTGGAGTCAGAAGCCTGCACGTACCTCTTCGAAACGAGTGCATGACGGCTTCCCATCATCACCATATATATCACAGACAAGTCTTACCCTGTTCCATTTGGACTGCCTTCCCGTTCCTGAAAAGGACAAAAGCCTTGCTAAAAGAAAATCTGCCAATATGGGGTCCTTCGATCCTGCCGGAGTACCAATTTACGATATTCGCTCAGACAAGTCGGACCAGTCTCTTTTAGAGACACTTAGTCGCTCGTTGAATCCTGTTGATGGAGAGGCTCGCACATTTCCGACTTTGTTACTATATGATGGTATAGAGGTTCTGGCTATGTGAGACAAACACTAAACAATCACAGAAAAAGGATTGAAGCTGTTTGAGGAGATCACCTATGTGGATGAATACTACCTTACCAACGCTGAAATCGAGGCCCTGAGTAGACATGCCAGTGCCATTGCCTCACGGATCCCAGCAAACGCTCGTTTAGTGGAACTTGGAAGCGGGTGCGATCACAATCACAAAGTGATACTTTCGCACCAATACTGATCGGTGACAGAAACCTCCGTAAGATCGATATCTTACTGAGAGCGTTCGAAAAGGCCCAAAAGCCCGTAGAATACTACGCACTAGACCTTTCTTTGTCAGAGCTCAAGCGGACATTTTCCGAACTCGATGTCACCGCATATCGATATGTCACCTTCAATGCCTTGCACGGCACATACGATGACGCTCTGGACTGGCTGAAAAGGGTTCGGAAGGATGATCGAAGCACTTGTATAATGACTATGGGTTCATCGATTGGCAACTTCACGCCCGAGAACGCTGCTCGATTTCTTGCCAACTTCAAAGAAGCGCTTACATCGTCGGACTCTATCCTTGTAGGAATCGACGGTTGTCAGCAACCAGACCGCGTTTACCGAGCCTATAACGACACTCCGCGGGTTACGGAGAAGTTTTACCGCAATGGCCTATCACATGCCAATGCTATCCTCGGCTATGATGCATTCAAGCAGCATGAATGGCAGATCGAAGGCCTTTACGATGAAAAGCTCAACAAGCATCAGGCCTCATATGTTGCTCTGACAGACATCCACACTGGAAATTTCTCTTTCACAAAGGGTGAAAAGATCCATCTGGAAGACGCCTTCAAATATTCCGAAGCGCAAAGCGCTGAAATGTTTCATCAGGCTGGACTGATTCCGCAAATGGCGTACACCAACAATGCTAATGACTATTGTAAGCCGCATTAAGAGGAATATCGTAGCTCTTGCTAATAACTTACAGTCATTCATCTTCTCTCTCCTGCCACGATTAATTTTCCTACAGATGCTGCAGAATTTGCCGCAAGCCCTGTGCCAACCTTGAATGACTGGCAACAGTTGTGGGCTGCGTGGGACATAGTCACCAAATCCATGGTCCCAAGAGAAGAGCTTCTGAACAAGCCCATCAAATTACGAAATGATTTGATTTTTTATCTGGGCCATATTCCCACATTTGCAGGTAAGTACATGGTTCCTGCGACGCTTCCCTCGTCGATGCTGAGATTTCATCATAGACATTCATGTCACCAAGGCTACAGGTGGAAAACCTACCGACCCTGCATTTTATTGGACAATTTTCGAACGAGGAATTGACCCTGGTAGGTTTGCACCGTCATGCGTACATGACTATTCCACTAATGCTTGGCCAGACGTTGATAATCCCGAAGTATGCCACGACCACAGTGAGATTCCGGACTCGTGGCCACCGCTTGACGATATCCTCAACTACCAGAACCGCGTACGAACTCGAATCACCGCGAAGATCAACAATGGTGAAGCTTTCACCGACCGCAAACTCGGGCGAGCCCTCTGGCTAGCCTATGAGCATGAAGCGATGCATCTGGAAACATTCCTTTACATGCTTCTCCAGTCTGAGCGTGTTCTCCCGCCCCCGGGCGAGTGTGTCCCCGATTTCAAGCCTCTAGCAGCAGAAGCTCGAGCACGCCGTGTTCCAAACAAATGGCACAAGATTCCCGCCAGCACAGTCAAGATTGGGCTAGACGATGCTGAGAACGACGACGGCCCGGATAGGTACTTTGGCTGGGACAACGAGCGCCCTTCACGCACCGTTCAAGTCCACGAATTCGAAGCGCAAGCCAGACCGATTAGTAACGGTGAATATGCGCGATTCCTCGAGATCACCAAGCAACAGGTTCTTCCCGCATCATGGACTGCATCCCCGTCATCGTACGCAAACGGTACAAACGGCGGGACCAACGGCAACGAGGATACCACGGATACTGCCAGCCTGTCTTGGGTTCAAGGGAAATCAGTCCGTTCCGTGTACGGCCTCGTCCCACTCCAATACGCCCTTGACTGGCCTGTCATGGCATCGTACAATGAGCTTGCAGCTTATGCCGAATGGTCCAACGGGCGGATTCCGACCGTCGAAGAGGCGCGGAGCCTGTATCAGTATGCGCACGGTCAGCAGGACAGCACCGTGCAGAAGGTTTCGAGTAAATTGATCTCAGCAGTGAACGGGTATGAAACTACTCTTTGATTTTGTCCTCTGAGGAGTTGTCTTCTTTTTCCTGATACGTCGATCTCTGGTGCTAACCCTGGCAATTTCTAGGCATCTCTTGAACGAGGGCGTTGAAGAAACACCACCACACGACCCTTCGCTTCCCACCGGCGCTGCCTCGAACGGCAGAAGTGCGGCAAACCCACGATCCAACCTCGACCCAAACGATCTCTTCATCCCATTGGCCACTCACAACGTCGCGTTCCGCAACTTCCACCCGACCCCTGTCACCGGCCACGACAGGCTTCGCGGCCAGGCCGACGCCGGCGGTCTCTGGGAATGGACGAGCACGACCCTCGCGCCTCACGAAGGCTTCTCCGCCATGAAGCTGTACCCTGGATACACGGCGGATTTCTTCGATGACAAGCACAACATCTGTCTAGGCGGAAGCTGGGCCACCGTCCCGCGCATCGCACTGAGAAAGACGTTTGTGAACTGGTATCAGAGAAACTATCCCTATGTGTGGTGCACAGCCAGACTTGTCAGGGACACGCCTACCGCCTAGTTTATTGAGTGAGGCCCGACGCCTACAAAAGAGAGAGAGAGAGAGAGAGAGAAGGCACAAGAGGCAAAAATTGAGCACGGGGAGGCCTCTGAAGACATGGCATGCAATGCAGATTTGGTGGAATGATGGGCAATCTGTCAAAAGAAGCTCGGAGGTACTCGTTTACATGGACTCTCGACTTTGTGATATGATGCGCACTTAGTATTCTCGTCGCCGGATGCACCGTTCAGTCTGCCTAGGAGATGGATGTCGGAGAGTTGGTACTGTACGAGTAACGAGACCAACTTACGTGGAGAGGAACACATCCACACATCGACCCCCCAGCCCTACGAACATTCCTTTACAAACAAATAACTATACATAGGTAGCAAACTCTATATACACATCCGAATCCGTAATTGAAGCATTCTGGCGTGTCTGTGGCGTTCTCTCGTATGTCGATCCCCAAAGAATTTAGTGGACCTTTGTTTGCCCATTTCTCGATTTTGTATCAATCTGACCCGGGTAGTAGGGATCCACCGGATGGATGGCCTGTACTGGTACTCCGTGTAGAAGTAACCCATCCTGACCAGGATGCGACCAAAGTCCGTCCCTTTACAGATCTCAGTCAAGTTACACACGGCGAGGGAATGACGAGGCAATCAAGTTGGTACGGGCTAGATGGGCTGATATCATCGTACGTGAGAAATGCCGGACATTTTTTCTGATACTGCCGCATGAAAGCCCATATTCGGTACCTGTATTCGATGGCCTTTGTTGGCCGAAGAGCCGTCTTATTCTAGCTGACACCTAATTTCCCAGAAGCACAGGCTGGTTCCTCAATCCTCATCCACGACGGGATTCTGCGTCAGACTGGTTCGCCTGCGGCAGGCTGCAGAAAAAAGGGGACCGGCGAAACCACCACTGCGCCTTTGCGACACTGAGAGTGGTTCTAATCAGGTCGAACATATAGCATCCGAGAACAGCATCCTTTGTCTCGTGCCCGGACCTTATCGACTGTGATCAGTTCCTCCCCGTTAGAGGTCTCTCGACTCATCTCATCGTAAAAGGTGGATCAATATGTCTTCCACTCCTTTGTCAAATGTCTCGAGCAAACATTGCTTCACCCATACACCAGGCCACTTTGTCGGTCAGATTTCTCAGCTCATTGTTCAGCAATGGTCCTCTGTCGAACGATATCAATGGAAGCTGGCCTCTAGCTTAGGGAGCGGTTTGCATTGCTCCCCTCAATACTTATATAGCTCGCAGAGACGGTGGGAGTCGGCATACAAACACTGGAAGGACAAGCAGATATATCGTGTCCGAGGAGTTTCCGAACGCGACCACGACCACGCGTCCTGTAGAAGTTCACTGTCTCCAGGCATCCTTCATCAGAGAGATCGGGCAGCAAAGGAAGTGGTATTCACTCCAATCCAGGTTTCACCAAGCATCACAACAGTCGCATCAACCATCGTCGCGTCTAGCACGTCACAAAGGATCTCTCCAAGACTTTCCCATCGTAGTGACCGCCGGTATCTGTGTTTGACATTCAGCCTATACTCGCCTCGCTGGGGTATCGTTTCGGACACCACCAGGTCATCAAGACGTGACAGAGAGATGGACCCTTCAATTCCAAACAACCCCTTTCGATGGGAGGCCGCCTCTGGTCTTGGTGGGTCCCCCAAAGAATATGAATGGCATAAGCACTATATGACAAGAGTTACTAACCTGGGGCCCAGAACACAGTTGTTGGAGCTGCTCGATGAAAATGAGTAACCCAAATGCACGCCAGACTTGCTATGGTGTCCACTCAATTCCGTGCTACCGATACCACCAAACAATGCATGCAATTGGGACCAGTCATAAGTGTGCAGCTTGTGTTTCAACAGATGAATACCACCACAAAAGGCATAGGACAGTGTGTACCTCCCATCATTGGACATGATCGTAGATTCACTGACCCACTGTGTAACAGATCACAGAGCTTGTGGTTGCCTACCGACAGGCTGTCGGAGAAGATCCAACGGGACTTGCGGCTGAGATCGAACGCCTAAGCCTGGAAAATGCGGCCGAACAGCCTCACTTTCACCGATTTGCCGATATTGCTTGGGAAGATGACGAGGAGGGTGCCAATCAAGAGGACGACGCAAGCACGAATGAAGGAGCTGAAGAAGAAAGGCCCAGCTTGAATGAGCCAGAGCCAGGCAACGCTTCAGAGACTGTCGCAAGTACAAGCACGGCCGGTGACAATGAGGGCTATCCACAAAGGAAGCAGAACAAGGCCGAGGTCCGCGCTGCCAAAAAGGCATTCAAAGCTGAAAGGTCTTGGGCAAAGGCGGCGAAAAACCAAAGGAGGCAGTCCGTCCCAGTGCGCAGTGAGGACATCGAAGCTGTCGAGCGTGTCCTGCATGGTGAACATGCCGCAGAAGCTGCCGCCAGTCATCCTCTCGCAACAGACAAGACTGTTGAAGACGTGATCAACAGAAATCGAAGCTTTGTGGCAAGCATTGAGGCACACAAGAAGCAACTCCTGTTCAGCATTGCTCGAAAGCGCAGGACTGGCCGAGAAAGGCAGAGGTCGAGTGGCAACTGCGTCAAGGGAAAGAGGAGAAAGTCAGAACTGTCTGAGGAGAAGGAAGCCGATATGGACGACCTTGTGACTGCTGTTTTGGCCAATCTCGGCATCGACCCTGCGCATATCGGTCACTGTGGCCCAGGTTCTGGCCCGAAGAAAGGGAACAAGGGTGCCGGCGGCGATACAGGTGCGTCTGCGGCAGCGATCATTGCCAACTTGAAGAAAGAGATCAAAGAGGATCTCAGGACATTTGAGCACGAGCAAAGGGAAGTCTGCATCAGGGCTGGTGGATTTTGGAGGTACGTGGGCAGCAAAGTGTTTGAAAGGATGACAAAAATCGCCCAAGAGGTGGATTGGAAGACAGGAAGAAAGTTGAAAGAGTAGAGGAGCCATTGACGTTTGAATATCTGGACAAGGCGTCCTCTTGAATGGTAAATTGGATATGAACAAGATGAGCGGGCGATCTCGAATGGTTTTGTTCTGACTACTTTCTCGGCTCCGAGTTGTTAACGATGTCTTGCTCGTGCTTGTATCACTTTCGTAATCATGTTGAGATTGAAGTGCCTGCCGTATGCACCATGTTCCTCGCTGCGCTGGACGCTGCAGCCTTTCCGCAATAAAGGAATCAGAGTGCTGGAATAGACTCCCGAAGGCCGCCGTTAAAATTCCAGTCGACACAGTGATACCGTCCCTCCTACACATTTGACAATGTGGTTTGCATCTCGGGTATCTCTCATGCACACCGTTCACCGATGAATAGCTTAGTGCTGGCTGGCTGTAATGCAAACTTCGACTGAACAATTGCAGCGGCGGCTTTGATCTACTTTCGGACAACCTGCAGCAGTTGTACTTACTTTGTCGTATCCTTGTTGAAATGGCTGTCCTGGGTTGGATGGGTGCCCGGTAGTGGCTTTACTTTCAGGGCGGTCCAGGAAAATGGCATTTCTGCCTCCTTGAGTCTCTTCATAGGCCTCTGATAAGTGCGGACTGTGATCGAATCTTGCACCTCATGTGATCAGAGGTAGAATCCGGTATTCTTATACTGTTCAGAAGGGTTTGTCCGCTTCAGCTCTTCTCGTCCATAACTGCAGCAACTTTCTTGTCTTCGAATCCGAGAAATCGTCCCAAGATGCCACTTGGCTTCGGAACAGGGCACTCTCGTGCTTCTCTATCCGCCTTCTCTAGCATTTCTGCCTCTCTTTGTAATTCTCTGAATAATGCGGCTTCTTCCTCTAGGTTCTTAAGGTCCGCGAGACCCTTCCGTGGTGCTCTGGGTTGAGGCTGAGTCGTTGTCCTCTTCAGGTCTGATATCTGTTCTGCTGTCGAGACAGGTTGCCCGTCTCCTCGCTGCCGCCTAACTCTCCGAACTGGTTTCCCATCTTCATCAAACTGTATTTCTGTGTCCGCGTACCCCCGTCGCGGCCGGGGGCATGGAAAGAGATGTGGAATGCCAACAACAACAAAGGAGGCGAGAAGAGTGCCGGCAAAGAGTGTAGACGTAGCCGTTGAGCGAGGGTGTAAGTGGGGAGGCATCTTTGAGCAGTAGTAGTATGGCCGGTTCTCAACGGAGCCAGTGGTGTGAGGAATTTTGAGTTAAGAGCAGAGCATTGAGACTGTATGAAGCTGCACCGGGAGGATTTGAAGAGTACAACCTGATAAGAGGTCGACAATGCCCTGCAAGAGGAATGGGCCTCTTGGGCGAGGCAAAGGACTTAGGACGCGACGGGAGTGAGCGAGCGAAAGCTCTAGCTTAACTCGACTTTTGAGGCCGTTGACCTTGGGAAGCTTCACGAGTCCAGAATTAACGGCATGGAGATTGGTTGGTGGCTGGATGGCTTTGGCGATCGGGATCTAATCTTATCTCATCTGGCTGCGCTCTTCAGTCTCCGCGATTCTGGGCATCGCAGCGCATCTCTACCACCTCGTTGCAACATAGACATATCGATCGGAACTCAAACACACAGACATCTACGAGTACCTCTTTGACGATCTACAGAGTATTCGTAAACTGCCGGGGATAGTTCTGCCAGAGTCACTCCCTAAATCGTCAACCTGCGAACTCTCAGGTCTTGAACGAGCAGGTCTCGCGCAATTTCGCCCGCCACCACCATCACCACAAAGCTCGAATAAGACCGCATCTCCCACACCCATGCGGAGGAATTCAAGGTAGCACGTATTGGCTCTGCGATGAGCGACCTCGACAAGTAAGTTTCGTGGCTGTTTTCACTTATTGACCCCTTCTGACTCTCCCAGGGCCATCGCGCAACTGCGCGCATGCAGACCTATTCCCGAGCCTCAAGTGCGCGAACTGTGTTACAAAGCGCGCGAACTGCTCATAGAAGAAGGCAACGTCGTCACCGTCGATGCTCCGGTCACGATATGTGGCGATATCCATGGACAATTCCATGACCTCATGGAACTCTTTCGTGTGGGAGGTGATGTCCCGGACACAAATTACCTGTTCATGGGCGACTTTGTCGATCGGGGGTTCTACTCTCTTGAATCATTTCTTCTTCTATTGTGTTTGAAAGTCCGCTATCCCGATCGCATTACACTCATTCGCGGCAATCACGAATCCCGGCAGATCACCACGGTATACGGCTTCTACGACGAATGCATTCGCAAATACGGCAGTGCGAATGTGTGGCGGTACTGTTGCGAAGTCTTCGACTACCTTGCGCTCGGCGCACTCATCCTCGGCGCAACCACCGACGTACCACCGTCAACGTCTCAGTCATTCAACGACAATACCCAGTCCACGCTCCCGCCCGACGACGACGATGATGTCGAGTCAGAAGTGTTGAATGCTAACGGCGATCTCATAAGCAAGACTCTCCGCCGGCAATTTGCTGGCTTAAACCTCAACTCCCAATCCTCCGTAAACGCCGGTCGCATATCACCCGCTCCGGACATGGACGTCCCTTCGCCGCTCGATCCAACCTCATCTCTCCCCTCGCAAGGCTCTCCAGGGGCATCGCTATTCAACCCACCCACATCAACAACCGGCGCAGTCTTGTGCGTCCACGGCGGTCTGTCACCTCTAATCGACACAGTGGATAAAATCCGACTAATAGACCGCAAACAAGAAGTGCCGCACGAAGGTGCGATGTGTGACCTCCTTTGGTCCGACCCCGACGAGATTGAAGGCTGGGGCCTGTCCCCTCGCGGCGCAGGTTTCTTGTTCGGTGCGGATATTGTCCGTCACTTCAACCACACGAACGATCTGTCGTTGATCGCGCGAGCCCACCAGCTCGTCATGGAAGGATACAAGGAGATGTTTGACAAGACAATAGTAACAGTCTGGTCGGCGCCCAACTACTGCTACCGATGTGGCAACGTCGCTGCCATTCTCGAACTCGGCGAAGACGGGAGCAACGGCGGCTGCATCACCCGCGCGAACGGCGACCAAGGACGCAGGGAACCGGTCGGAGGAGACGGCAACGGTGGCGGCACCGGGGTACTCTGGAACCTCGCCACGCCAGGACGGCGGTACAGGGTGTTTGAGGCCGCGCCGCAAGGCACAAGAGGCATGCCAGCTAAGAAACCCGTCGGCGAGTATTTCTTGTAACAACACCGCACTACCTTTGGACCAAGGAACCTACCTCCCTACCTCGGTTTAGCCACACGTCCTGCGTCCCTAGCCCCCTTTTTCTTTTATTTCCTTTGCCCGTTTCCTTATTCCTGCTGTTGTTTGGTGGCGGGGAGAATGGGTGGATAGCGTATAGCTTTTTCTTTTTCTTTTCAAAGCTTTCCTTTTTCAGAGAGAAAATCCCTCAGCGAGGTCAGCCTGGAGTTGCTCTCCCAACGCCCCACCCCCTCTCACTGGGTGCTTACTTCCCTGGCGCTGTGCACGGGACCAGAAAGAGAAGACGAATACAAAATAAACAAGGTTTTCATGATGAGAAGCGGTACATACACTTGTGGTCGGTCGTGGTTGTGCCTGTAAATTTTCGAGTCCTAGTCTTGGGGAGGTGATTGATCATGGATGTTTCGGGACCGAAACCAACAGGAAAGGAATTCACGCATCTGTGTGCCTTTTTTCTCCCCGTATTCCCACCAACCGAACGACTTTACATCCCCAGTCAGTGTCAAGTACGGTGCTAGAGGGGCAAGTGGCACCTCTGCCCGTACGACGTCGAGCGTGACGGCGACACGTACTGGTAGGTGTGTGTGGAGGTGTGATCAGCGTGTCGACGATGTTGGAAGGATCGGTGCTGGGTACTTTTAACGACTGACTACAACCTACATGCCCTACCCCAGCTCCAAAGAAGGACCTTTCAGGAGCTAAATCGCGGATAGAGAGAGAGAGAGAGAGAGAGACGGAGAGGGGTAGATGAGTACTTGTTTGAAATCTAACGAGGTCATGCCATGCCGTGTCGTGTCGTGTCTATACTATCAACTAAGAACAAAACATTGTGTCGGGGTATCTGTGGATCTGTTTCCAGTACTAAACAACAAAAAATCCAGGGTCGAGTTCGGTAGGCAAGTAGTAGTAATGTATCGAGGGATCGGCTCCTTCGCATCCTTCTCGGTCCAATTCGCACATCTCAGTAGAGTCCGAATCACAAGCACACACACACACACACACACACACACACACACACACACACACACACACACACACACACACACACACACACACACACACACACACACGTCCGCATAGTCCGAAACCATATTATGGCGAAATAAAAAGGTTTGCAAATCAAATGCATTTAGATCGTCGAGGGAACTCTCATCTCATCTTTTCCCTCTTTTGCCCGTGCTCGGCGTCATGTCTTCCTTGACCTTCTCCAGCATCTCACGGGCCTGGCGTTCTCTCTTGACGAAGGTGCCAGCAAAGGTGGCAGGTAAAGGCCGCGCGCTGTGGGCGTGATCCGCGGCAAACTCCGGTCCATTCCAGCCCTTGGTCTGGCACAACTTGACCGCCTCCTCAAGCAGACCCTGGCCAACCCCTTTGCGGCGGTATCGACGTTTGACGGTCCAGCCTCGTATCACTCCCGTCGTGGGCGCACCCTTGCGTGGCTTCCGTGGACCGCCCCCGGCAGGTGTTTCTCGTTCGCCTCGTACGATGACCGTGCCGATTACCTCATCGCCGAATCGAGTCAAAAGAATCTCGTCAGCGTCTCCGACAGCCAAACCATCATTGGCCTGGCGGCCTTTGTTTAGCCACTTCCATGTGCCTATGTTCTCGGCTTCGTCAATGTACCCGCCCGTGAGCCACCGGATGCTGACAAGGATGGCCATGATGGTTCCGGCACTTGTAGTACCGATTAGCATCCAGTCCGACCGCTGGCCCTTGTACAGGTATTGATAGACCAGGCCGAAACAGAGAACGAACGTGCCGAGCGTCAATGGATGGTACATGATGGCGCTGGACGCGACTTGACGCTGCTGAGCGACCGAGTCGGCCAACAAGTGCAGGGCTTCAACCTGGTCATCCTCGCTGACGGCAGGTCGGGTGGTCAAGTCGGGGATCGAATCCAGCGGATTCTTGGACTCAACCGCCGCGTCTTCAGCATAGGCATAGACCTCGCCGGTCCCAAGGGGAGAAGGTGAGGGAGGGGGAAGACCGCCGCCGGAAGAAGACATGGTGGTCGGCCGTAGGACGTCTGGCGTAGTAGGGAGAGACGGCGGGATGAGATCGGGGTCGAGAACAAGATTGGCTCGTAAAGTGTTGAAAAATGCTGTCCCAGGTACTGGTCAGAACGTCTTTCTCTTTCACTCTCCTCCAGTCTGCGGTCGCGTGCTCACCAGCAGAAGTTTTGAAGCCTGGTATACGGTCCCCAACTGCAAAACCGCCTGGGCGGCCCGTCTCGTGAAGTAAAGCGGTTGAAGGAGAATAATGTACAGCCCTGTTTATGGCGAAGAAGGAAGAAGCAGAAGTCAAGTAGGTTGCCGCCGAGGGTTGAGGAGGAGTCGGAGGAGACAGGTAGAGGTGTTCAGGAAGTCTCAGATGATGGTGCCGGCCCATGATCTGAAAATTGCTGGTCGTCCAGCCACAATTGGCATGGCCGACCAGCGGAGAAGGGAACAGAAATAAATTAGATGGACATGAAAAGTATAGGGACCGTTAGCCCCAGAATAGACGGCGAAAAGGACAAGGGAGGAAGAGAAAGAGCCAGTCTATTTGAGCCTGGAACCGTGAGGAGGAAAAAGACGTGAAGGATAGCCCTTGAAGAGGGGCAGAGGGGGTCTGCCTTAGTAAAGCACGTTGACAATTGCGGGCAGAAGACTGGACAGGGCCAAAATAGTGGAAGAGAAGCACAGGGCGGGTGGAGGAGGGAGCACTTTATCAATATGGGGATTTACGAGGCCTTCAGGAGGCAGAGCGCAGTCTGGGCCGCCCGGTGCAGGCTGGTCGCTGGCATCATACAAACTCACGGTCCTCCGAAGACAACCACAGCCCTCGACGCAGGGTGTTGCCGTCGACCTGGTCGCTTTGATGCTTCTTATCTTTCACTCCCAACGCTACGAAGCCGTCTTCCACCATGCTGGACTCCGTATGGCGTGCTCTTCGGCAGCAATCGTATCATCTACACCCCCGCCAAGCACCTCCCGATAGCGACCGACCTCATCATCGCCCCTACGATTGGACTGCAGCCTCACACCGATGCATCCAGCACGCATGGGGTGGGTTGAGCTTAGCCTGTTCCTGGCCAAATCAGAGCTCCTATCAGTACCCAACGCAGCCTCGACGCTGCACCTTGATAAAGCTAACAAAGCCTCGTTCCGCTGGTCAAACACCCTCTAGTCATACTCAAAACACGGGCTCGATAGGGGTCTTGTGATCACTTCGGATATTGAAAGGGCACTTGCAATTGACTCTGGCAGACTGGCATTCGTCATCTCTTGCATACATCTCGCATTGGTGCTCCAGGCCTCCTGCAAGACGAGGAGCATATCATCGTCATCTCACTCCTAATCTTCAGAATCTTGCTCTCTCTATCGCCGGAACGTCTGTTGCTATCTTGTGCTCCAGTGTCTAGTATGACCGCCCAAACATACACCATGCCTCTGCAAAACTTGAGCATTTGGGGTTCCCGCACTTTGTGACTCCCTTTTCGATTCCCGCTGGCTGGTCGAATGGAATACACAGGCTTTTGGCTCCCATACTAGGAGCACGCTCATCCTGCGGGACGCCACTCTGTTCCTCGGCCTTGCGTGCACTCATTTCCTTGATCTGGTCCTCGCATGACTCGGCCAAACAGAACGGCATCAGAATCACGTTCTTCTCGTTCAGGGTTGGCACGAAATCATCCCAATTCGTCACTTGTTTGATGTGAGACTTGTACTTAGCGTTGGCTCGGTCATACAAGTCCTTTTGAATCGTCTCGAGCAGCTCCGGAACGGCAGTGTTGAGCTCGCTGATGGCAATCTGACCCTTGCTCTCCGCCTTGGGCAAGTCTCGTCGGGACGTGGTCACATAGTGACCCTTGCTCTCACCGGGGCCGAATTCGAGTCGAAGTGGGACGCCCTTCAACTCCCAGTCGTTAAATTTGAATCCTGGAGAGTACCCTTCACGGAGATCCGCCAGAGCCCGAACGTTTGCCGCCTTGAGGACTTCGACCAGGCCATTGATCTCGCCGTAGAGCGCGTCTCGTTCCTCATCCGTGGTTTTCGCAGTAACACCGACTGGAACAATAACCACCTGTGTTTCGACGACGCGAGGAGGCATGACAAGACCCCGGTCGTCACCGTGAATCATAACCATGACGCCAATCACTCGAGTCGATAGACCCCAGGAGTTTTGCCAGACATGCAGTTGGTTCTTCTTCTCTTCCTCCGTCTTCGCATTTGGATCCTGAACTGTGATGCCAAACATCTTGCTGAAGTTCTGACCCAAACAATGAGAAGTACCGCCTTGAATACCCCGCCCTGTTGTTGGAATGTAGCCTTCAACGGTAGTCGTGTAGAGACCTCCAGCAAATCTCTCCTTGTCCGTCTTTCTGCCCTTGATCACTGGAACCGCAAGGAGCTGTTCGTAAATGTCGGCATAGAGATCTAGAATCTCCAGGACTTCCTTCCCGGCCTCTTGCTCCGTCAGATGAGCGGTGTGACCTTCTTGCCAGTGAAACTCTCTTGTTCTTAGGAAGGGCTGAGGGTGCTTGAACTCCCATCGGACCACCGAGTTCCATTGATTCAACTTCAGAGGCAAGTCGCGATAACTCTGAATCCATTTGGCATAGTATGGGTACATGACTGTCTCGGAGGTGGGACGAATGGCAATCTTCTTCTCGAGCTTGGTGCTGCCTCCATGTGTCACCCACGCAACCTCGGCTGCGAAGCCTTCGATATGGTCCTTCTCTCGAGAGAGCACATCCTCAGAGACGAACAGTGGGAAGGAGCAATTCTTCACCCCCATCTTCTTGATTCTCTGGTCGAACCAAGCGCGCACTTCGTCCCAGACAAATTGCGACGCTGGTTTGAGGATGTAGCAACCCGAGATGTCATAGTAGTCCAGCATATCACCCTTGAGGAGGACTTGTTGATACCACTCTGGAAAGTCTACGTCTTTGGATACGTCGATGCCAATCAGGAGGGCTCCCTCTTTCTTCTTCTTTCCACCTTTTGATTGCGGTGCTTTGGCCTCATTCTTGCCAATGGCCTTCTCTGGCGCCGGCTTCTTTTCCATCTTCTTTTCCGCAGCGACTTTGGGCTCTTTCTCACGGGTAGGAAGATCGGTCTTTGAGGGTTCTCGAGAATGTGACATCGTTCTGGAAAGAAAATTGCTGAGTTACAGGACAGGAACGGTGAGTCAGACCAACACAAGCTCCTCCTGGGTGGTATGCTCTGGACGAGTAGAATGTCTGCAACGTATAAGAGGTCTAGTGGTTGGTTGAATTTATGAGTCGTGTGTGTTCCGCCCCTTCAGCGCCGCATTAATTGTCGAACCCCGCAACGTTTTACAATTATCTACCATGGCCGCTAAAAGGGAAACTGCAGCGAAGCCTCAGCGGCAGCAGATACTCGGCGCCGACTGCCTTATATACTCGAACCCTTTTCTTTCACCTCCTGCAGCATTTCATATCTTTAATTCAGCATGGCCTACATACAAGTGGACGACTTTGTTATACTCAGTAGCTCCTCCAACTCAATGACTGTGGGCTCAATTCGCAACAAGATCACCACGCACAAGGATATTATATCTATGATAGCGCCTTCCCCAAGCCGGTGGAATCGAAGGTGTCGGCTAACGAGGACGTGGATGACTTCTACAAAGACCGCTTCGACGTAGAACACATTCGCGCCGAAGACTAGAAGCCTGTTTGACGTCGGCAATATTATTCTCAATATGGAAAGCGCTGTCAAGGTCATTGAGGATTTGGAAGAAATAGCATCAACTCCGACGGGATCCTGGACAGTATGGAAGATTGTTTTCGTGGTGGTCCACAATTAAATCAGTAAAAAAGGAGGCTTCGGATGTTCCCCAATGCTTCCTCTTCCTTTTCACCTACTCACCAAGCAACCCATGACCAATCCCAACCCTGATTGTGTCACCAGACAAACTTACTGTTTAATGCCCAGTCCATAGGGAGTATGGCAACGATCATCTCCCACCATACCACCCCTTGATAGGCGGGCACGCGTCTCCCCCAAACGGTCCGGAGTCAAGAAACATGTACTTATAGTCGCGGCGGGTAAAGTACCACTTCCCATCCACCTTGACGTACTGATCTTCGTAGACGGCGAAGTTGTTGTAATACGCTTCGCTGTTGCTTGCGCCCTTGGCAACCTCGCGCAGGATCCAACGGCCGGTCGCCCTGGTGCTGGTTGCCCCGTGGGTCTCGTCGATCTCGATCACGCCGGAGTGAACGAGCTGCACAAAGAAATCCCACTGTTCCAACAGCCTTCCCATCATGGCGACGATCGATGACACGCCAGTCTCGGACATGGCGAACGGTTCGCTGAGTGTCCAGACGGCCCTCGCGCTCTCGCTCTCGGTATCGGAGTCTGGGACCCAGAGTTTCGCGAACGCAGCCATGTCCGGCGGGCTGCATGCGTTGGCGAAACGGGCGACGAGATCGCGAATGTTGGATTCGTCGGCGAGACGTTGGACTAGGTCGCTCGTGTTGGTGGTTGACATTGTGCCGCTTTGTGGGGTGTTACAATTCTGGCGCGAGGAAAAGTGTGAGATTGGATGCGTTCTGCTTGAGTAGGGTGGACGTGAGGAGGCACACCGAGTCTGTACTATTTGGGGGGCTCAAGAATATCTAGAGCATCACCACCGTATGTAGGTTTCGTTGACCTGAGAGTGAGAGTGAGAGTGAGACTGAAACGTTGACGACAACGTTGAGGATGGGGGGAGGGGTTAGCACTTCAGCCTAATTCGTAGGGCTTGTGGTAGTCATTCCGTATTGGTTTATGGCATCGTATAGACCTTGTCGTCGTAGCACGAGCCGTTTGGAGGTGAGGCCGACGACGCGGGGATGGAAAAGGGGGGAAGGACAGCCACCTACATACCTACCCAACTTGTACTTTGCTTTGTGACTCCGAACGTTATTGACGTGCCAGAAGCGATCACTAAACAAGATGTATGAAGTATCCTAGTCGGGTTCACAGTAAGGTACGTTTTCTATGCCTAGCCAACATCTGGTGATTGGAAGATGGAGTACCTTATGGTGGTCATGACCTGGCTCCAAGAAGACCTCTTCTTCCAGGCTTTCTGATGGTCTGCCCGCAATAGCGGATCCCATGATATACGAACCCGTAGTGATTTTCATGGGTCAGTATTCAGAAGCAGAAATGATGTCTGTGCAGTAAGCGTCAGAGCAGCATCACCTGGTTTCCTGAAAGAGCCGCGGGGGAGACAGTTGTCCCAAAGGCTCGGCGACTAATGTAATGGTCGAATCAGAGAGAAGGAGCGTCCGTCCAATCGTCAAAAGCGGCTACGGACGACGTCGCGAAACGGCATCCTTTGCCTCAGGAAAGGAAAATCTAGGTATTTTTCCTGACCTTAAGGTGTGCTCGGAGTTTCTGTATCTGAGCACCCCCAGATAGGAAGGCCTATTCCCTTTATTGTGTTGTCACTCTGCTTATCCCTCAGGCATTCCTAACACCTTGCTTGACTTGGTGCCTTGTAACAGGTTCATGTACGGCCTGTAGTGAGGCCGACTTGTAACATGCTCTCGAACTCAAGTCAACGGTATCCGTATTGAACTCTTGTGGCTCACGTTTATATATCATTCTTGCCTAGCTGAACCAGTATATGTCTTCCTTCCGCGCACAAACCACCAGAAAATACTGAAAATAACCACAGCCCCAAAGACTACGCATGCGTAGTTCATATTGACGGCTGTCACTGGTTGATATGGTGGGAAGAAGAGAAATATTACGATGAAGATGCTGTAAATAGTCGCGAATATGTTCAAGGGCAAACCGAAAACGCCCAATCTGAACGGACCATAAGTCAGTGGCGGTCCTCTGACTCGGCGGATTGCATGGAGAATGATGGGAATCAGATATGAAGTGTAGAGCGCCACGACTGCCAACGACACGATTGCATTGAATGCAGTGGTTGATCCGATGTTGATCAGCCCCAGCAAGGCTAGGAAGATGACACTGAAGGCGATACTTCGGTTCGGTAGCGACGATCCTTTATCGACCTAGAATTTTGTTATTGAAAGTTCTTTTCTTCAGTGGTAGAGGCCTTACATGAGCAAAGTAGTCCGAAAACGGTATTCCTTTGTCTCGTGCAAAAGCCCACAGCGTCCGCGAGGATGAAGCTAGCAGTCCAAATGTAGACGCGATAGCAATGAGGATCGAAGGCATCATAAGCGCCACAGTTGCAGCAGTAGATCCTGTCGAGTTATAGTATATTTGGATAATAGGGAATCCAGTAGAGGAGCTGAGTATCGAGTCAATGTTCCCGAGGCAGAAGAGAAGGGCGAAAAGGAACCCTAGACCCAGTGTGCCATTGATGAGGACAGTGCCGATCATGATACGCGGAAGTACCACACTGGGATTGTGCATCTCTTCACCTAGTCCTCTGTCAGTGCCGGGATACATGTGTATGGGTACGGAATGTGAAAGTCTTACTCAAATGGCACGAACCATCGTACCCGGCCAAAACGTAGGTCGCGCTGAGCAAGCCCAGACACCATGCGACACCGTCGCTACTCCAGCCAGAATTATTGTCAAAAGAAGTAAAAACAAAGTCGGCATTCTTGTGGGGAGAGAGTACCACGAGCGGAATAAGGACAGCGAGAAAGGTGAGTACGTGGAAGAAAAGGACCCCATTTTCGACCAGTGGCATGAGTTTGATGCCGACAGTGTTGACCAGCCAGGAAACGAGCAGTATCGCCCAGTACATCAAAGTACCCTGCCATCTTTTTGGAGCATAGTCGGGGTAATTGAGAACCACTAGGCCCTGGATTTGTAGTCCTCCCAGGAAGGCTGCACTGCCGGTGAACACCTGCCAGCCAAGGGTTGTGATCCAACCTGTCAACCAGCTGAAGAAGGGGGCATAATCGGGAGGTGCGAGTATAGACGTCCATTCGTTTTGACCACCGCTCGAGGGACACCTGCTCCAGTAAGCCAAAGTCGCTCCAGAGTTGCCATGAAATGAATGCTGCCGGTACTTACAAGGATGCTAGCTCTGCCAGAGAGAGGCACGTCGCGATGGTGCCGATAAAGGCAAGGATATAACCATATAGCAGAGCAACAGGGCCACCTGAGACGAGTCCTCCCACAAACACGGCGCCTATGGCTTCCCATGTAGCCATGAGTGTAACACATACTGCGAGGATGTTCAGAGAGGTGAAGCGTTTCTGGATCATATTATGTTAGACATGTCATTTGCATCCCAGTATCTCCAGTAGCTTCCTACCTTGAGCTCCGATGCATCGCCATGCACGAGAGACACAGTCATTTCGAGGCTATTGTTCTCTCCAGGCCCCGACAATATCTTCTCATTGCCATGGACGGCCTTCAGGTGACTGCTGGTTTCGGCCATGAGTGATCAATTCGTGGTTTGAAACAAATGCGATGGCGGGAGGTGATAGGCATCATCTTGCTGGACGGAATTACGACAGTCTTGTTATATCTGCTCCCACACGCGCTAGTGCTCTCGATCATTCGGATTGCGAAGCTGATCATCAGCTGTTAGGTTTGGTTCGGAGAATTGGGAAATGCGGTGCGATGGGGACGAACCTACTCGGTGCGAGCCGTTCACAGACTATTTCGAGTTAAGCCCTTTCAAGGCATGCGGTGCGAAACCATGGAAGGTCCGTAGGCGTGTCTGCTAATCTCTGGAGTAGATTGAACGACATATTCAAACAATACAAAATCTTGGAGCAAAGTCATAGGAGAGTGTATAAAAAGATTGGTGCCTGAGTCACTCGGTCCATTGTACTTTTTCTCTGGAAAACTTGAACTTCTGTTGCCGCAAGCGTATCGGGACCGTTCAAGAGTGCAGGCTGCGCCAGACGTTCATTTGTATCTTTAGAAGAGGCGTCGTTCTTTGCATATATCTCTCAAGTGTGATAATGGAGATCGCCACAGAGACTCCAGGATGGGTTCCCATTTCCCAATGGCCAACGCTCGAAGATCTGTGCCACGGCTTCGACGAGAATCTGCTGGCACCCTCAGATAAATTGACAAACAAGCAATTCGACCTCGTATTCAGCGGCAATACACACATTGAGCACAAGTTTCATGGCAACAAAGTGGCATGGCGCATCACAAAAGGGGCCGAGGGAGTCGGTATAAGCGGAGAGGCCGAGTATAGAGCCTTCGAGGTACGACCGAAGATCTTCTTCATCGACTTCTACAAACCCGAATACGAAGAAGAGGTCAGTATTGTCATGAACATCGAAAAAGGTCAGACAGTGGTTGCGATATCTGGATTCCGGGAGGTGGACGGAGTCAAACGCACATACACCAAATTCTCCGATGCTCGGCTCGAAGGATATGATGGGTCTCAGCCATACAAGATGACGGATGAACTGATTGGGAAGCATATTCTATACCGTTACACTGGCACTGATGTTTACGAACACGTCTACCTCAACCAGGGTACCTTCACCTGGCATTGCCTCGGCGGCACCGAGAAAGGTCTCGCAGATACAGAGCCATGCAAGATGCTGAAGTTGGATGAACGGCTTTACCTCTTGTTCTGGACAGAGAAGATCATGCCGGTCGAGTCCGTTGTGGTAATTGACTTGGAGAGAATGCGCTCAACAGGGCGCTTCTTCTGCTGGGATCCGAAGCCTGCAAAATATGTTCATACGCTGTTCGGTTCATATGCGACCATCCTTGCAGACACTGGATCAAGATTGAAGGTAGCGAAATAAGCTCAGGGGCTGAAAAGTCCTTTTTGGGCAACAGCGTCTGGACTTGGTCAAGCCGCAGACCGGCTAGAGTGGAAGAAATTGATTTGGTGAATGGAAGCACGTCTATCTCGCTACAATATAGAATACCGGTAGGCGATAAGGCTACCCGGGTCTGATTACTACTTCTCCTGGGATTGGTCTTCATGTGCACAATTAAATGGTTCGGGACCCTTGGCAGCGGAATTGTTTCCTTACTCCGCCCTTGCTTCATGAACTTTAGAATGCCCAAACCGTCATTAGCGGCCCAGAGCCGTGGTGAACGTCGTGTTTTAAGCGTTATCTCGGGCTTGAACCGCCATCAAAACAACTCATTGACTATGCACTATGTGCAGAGAGATTGCAAGTCGTTAGGAGAGGCGCTGCAGGCGCGGGATCGGACAATTTCCAAATGCCTTCTCGACCATATCGGAACCAAACACCATGCAGCGGCTCGATAAGATTCGAAGAACTCGATGTAGGAATCCTCCCTTTCGAGATTTTTGGCCGACACTAATCGACTCATCTCTTAGCTGGATGTGCCTCTTGCAAGAACAGGGCAAGTGGAGCATTATACTGGTGCGGCTGCTCTGGTCAACATGATACTGACTTTGTGTAGCGTGTCAAATGTGACGAGACGACTCCTAGCTGCAAGCAATGCAACAAACGCGGGCTCCAATGTCCTGGATACAACAAACCCCTTAAGTGGTCTGACAAACATGAGAGGGTAACAGACCGACATCGTTCGAAGACTCATGATCCATCTGCCCACTTCGAACAGAGAGAGTCTCCTCAGTCATATTTCAGGGGCGAGGGTGGCGACGTTGATCTGGAGGAACTTGTTAAGTTGGCTGTAGACTCAGACTACATTTCCAGCGGTTGTACCTCATCGGTCGATATTCTTGAAGTCTACCTGGCGCCATACCATGACAAAGGCAACCAGAGTTTCGAGTACACTCTTGACGACACTGCTCCATCCAAATCCGCCATTTCGATCATGCAGCAGAACAACACCAACAATTTCAGCATCCTTTCGCCCTCATTAGTGACCCAAGAAGATCTTCTTTCCGGACACTACTTCTCATCAGTTTGCGTCATCAACTCTGGTTTCGACTCTCCAGCGAATCCTTTTCGGGCCTACGTGGCTGAGCTGATGTGTGAAGATCCTACCATCTATCACTGTATGCTCTCCATGTCAGCGGCACACCTCTATCAGCATGATCAGATCTTCAAGGAGGTTGCGCTGGATTATCGCACCAAGGCAATTTCTTCTCTGCGGACCAATCTTTCAAACATAAGTAATCAAGGAGACGGAATAATCGGCAAGCAGTCCCAACTGACCACCCTGCTTTTTGGGACCTTGCTTTTAGGCATGAGCTCGGTAGGTCTTCATGTGAATTCCTCAATATTCAGGACTGATGATGTTCATAACAGACCTGGCACGAAGTCACCTCGTTGGGACAGACGTTCTTGTATGGCGCGCGTAGTTTGCTCAAGTCTTCAAAAACAATCTCATTGGGCGGCAAAACTTCTCAGGATGGCTCGCAGTTCCGTAACCGGTCCGAGGCAAATTTTCTGGTTGGTGCACTAGCTTTCTGGGAGATGTTGGCGTCTTACCACCTCGACCAAGATCAATCGGCTGTGGACTACTTGGAAGTGTTTTCTGAAGGGATCGAGTCAGAAGACTCAGCCCCTAATCCATGGACGGGCGTCAACACGGGTCTGTTTCTATTGGCGGCAAAGGTTGGGACAGTTACAAGACAAGTGCATACACTCCGCCAGCTTGCAGACGCCCTCCCTGTCATCAAAGGAGAGACCCGCTGGGCCAGAGATCTCCTCGACACGGCGTCTTGTCTCGAGCGAAGGATACGGAGCTATGAGATTCGTCCGGCACAACGGATGAGAGATACTGACGATGAGCAGACGCCAGGCACACATTTCGAAATCATGGCAAGGATATATCAGCTGACTCTGCGGCTAGAGCTGTATCAGGCGTTTCCGCAGCTCCTTGATCAAGACGAACACTCATGCCCTCAACCCCGGACTGTGAAAGGTCATCCTGGAATTCTAAGGGCTCTTGCCATCAATATCCTGGCTCTTTTGTCATCGATCCCGGTGACCAGTGGCACAAAAGCCATTCAGCTGTTTCCGCTTGTGGTCGCTGGGAGTGCGCTACAGTACGATTCGGCGACCAGAGCCACCACAGATGGTGATAGGCTATGCGGAGCTCAAGAAGTGCTCTTTCTCAACAATGACGACGCAATTACTACATATTGGAGGTCCATCGTTCGGAAGTCCCTGTCAACAGTATACAGATATGTCGGACTCGAGTCAGCTCAGTGCGGTACTAAGATAGTCGAACAAGTCTGGACGAGATCAGATGCGAGACACGACACTGGGATCCTCCAGAGTGTTGGGGGGGTTTCCGAGTTTGTTTATTGGGCAGATATTATGAGAGAACAACACCTAGAAACTCTCTTGGGATAATAATTCGCGGACAAGATAATGCGCAAATCTATAATACGCTGGAGTTGTTACATTTCGCTCTCAGAGCACAACTGATCCACAGAAGCCATCCTTATCATGTGACTCAGGAGCCGCGGGGAGACAGTTTTCCCAAAGCTTGGCGGAAATTATTTGTCCGCTGAAGCCTGTAGCCCGCAATACGTACAGACAGGCAAACGGGCATTTTCCTGCGGACCGCGGTTGCTAACCTTTCGTGCTTCGTCAATCCTCGTAGAGCATCCTTACCGTCTCGCCTCGACACCAAGAAATCCAATGGCCGGTATATTCGAGGCTCCGCGTAATGCGGGCACCCTATTCCTTGGTGGCCAGAAGATCAGCGGCTCCGACATTCGAGACCAGAACGTGCTCGCAACACAAGCGATTGCCAATGTCGTCAAATCCTCCTTTGGACCTTCTGGGTTGGACAAGATGATGGTGGATGACATTGGAGACGTCACCGTCACCAATGATGGCGCCACAATTTTAAGTCTGCTCGATGTTGAACACATGGCAGGAAAGATCCTGGTTGATCTGGCACAACAACAAGATAAAGAAGTTGGAGATGGGACAACGTCTGTCGTACTCATTGCCGCAGAACTGCTAAGACGGGCGAATGAGCTGATGAAAAACCGGATACACCCTACTGTCATCATTACAGGCTATCGATTAGCCTTGCGAGAGGCGGTCAAGTACATGCAAGAGAATATCAGCACAAAGGTGGAAACACTTGGAAGAGACAGTCTGGTCAACATTGCTAAGACCTCAATGTCTAGCAAGATCATCGGGGCAGACGCGGATTTCTTCGCCAACATGGTGGTTGATGCAATGCAGTCGGTCAAGTCGGTCAATACCCAGAGAAACGAAGTCAAATATCCCGTCAAAGCTGTCAACATCTTGAAAGCACACGGCAAAAGTGCCACAGAATCAATCCTAGTCAAGGGATATGCACTGAATTGTACAGTTGCATCCCAGGCAATGAAGACACGGATAACGGACGCCAAAATTGCATGTCTTGACATGAACCTACAGAAGGAACGAATGAAACTTGGTGTACAGATCACGGTTGAGGATCCCTCACAACTGGAAAAGATCCGAGAACGGGAGGCAGGAATTGTTCTAGACAGAGTTGACATGATTCTCAAGTCTGGGGCCAACGTTGTGTTGACAACCAAGGGTATCGACGATCTTGTCTTGAAGGCCTTTGTCGAGCGTGGATGTATGGGTGTCCGAAGGTGCAAGAAGGAAGACTTGAGGCGCATAGCAAAAGCCACAGGCGCCACTTTGGTCAGTACCTTGTCCGACTTGAATGGCGATGAGAGGTTCGATAAAGAGTTTCTCGGATACGCCGAAGAAGTGGTCCAGGAGCGCATCTCAGACGATGAGTGTATCCTTGTAAAGGGCACAAAGGCTTTTTCATCAGCTTCAATCATCCTTAGAGGATCAAACGACTATCAACTCGACGAGATGGAACGCTCCGTACACGATTCCCTATCTGCCGTCAAACGAACCCTCGAGTCGGGCAGTATCGTACCCGGAGGTGGCGCAGTGGAGACTGCACTATCCATCTACCTCGAAGAGTTCGCCATGACAGTGTCCTCCCGAGAACAACTAGCAATCGGCGAATTTTCACAGTCTCTACTTGTCGTGCCTAAGACACTGTGTGTCAATGCCGCCAAGGATGCATCTGAGCTTGTGGCTCAACTGAGGGTACGGCACGCACTCAGTCAGAGAGTCCAGGAAGGCGACGTCAACGAGAAAGAGAGGGACATTGCAAAGAAGAGGCAATACAAGAACTATGGATTGGATCTGATGAAAGGCAAAGTCGTGGATGTCGTCAAGATGGGTGTCCTAGAACCTAGCATGAGCAAGGTCAAGCAGCTCAAGAGTGCTGTCGAAGCCTGTATTGCCATCATGCGAATCGACACGCTGATCAAGTTGGATCCGCCTGAGCAGGCTCCAGACGACGGACATGGACACTAAAGATGCTGATCACATTAGCGATCGACGTTTATGCCGCCTTCAGAGTCCTTACTGAGACAATTAAGTCGGCTCCAACAGGACTCGGCTACTACCGACACGTCCAGAAAGATTGCTAGTGGAGTCAATATAAGTGGCTTCTATCTATCTTCGAGCGAAGTGGATCTCGTTCAGTATTGGACAAGATGAGGTCACACTACCGGCAATCTACGTGTCCTTGAACGAGGAGATGCGCGGTCTGTGGATCGCTGTCATGCCTCAGGAATTCAGAAATCCATCCGAGGTGGATTTCTGATGCTGCGAAGTTCAATGCAGCGTATGGGCAGAAAAAGGCCGGATGTACCTGTAGAAAAGAAATAGAATGAACGTTTCGGGAGCAAGACTTTTGTACACCTAGTCACGAATTCAACCCGGACCATGCACGTATGGGTGAAGAATATACAGAGTGTACCCAGAACGTGCTATATGGGATTTTCCCCTCGACTACCTCTCTCTGTACGAGTACTGAATCTGCACTTTGATGGCTACGGGAAGCAGGACCTGTCTGAATTCTCGATCCTGTCTAATCGGTTCATCTGTCTAACAACGGCGACTCTCTCGACCTGGCTGCGACCGACTGAGTTTGCCCAGGCGACGATGACCTAAGTTGTTTTTTGTTTTTTCGACACGGAAGGACGTTTTAGAAACAGGCGCGTGGTTGACTGCTCCTTCCCCGTACCGTCAAGGGTGTTCGACGCGTGTTGCATCTCGAGCGTGCTGGTGGCGGCAAGATGTGACCACCAGGTACCAGGACTTGAAAACAAAGATGGCTAAAAGAAAAAGGTTGAACATTTCTCGAGAGCGAGAGACACCAAGCAACGTGATATTGTAGAGAAGTGCATCTATGATGATGAGGGTTCCGAAACCAAACCCCCCCAACCATGTCTATGTACCTGTGCTTAGAGGAGCGGGCCGAGCGGCTTGAACACCGCCGCAGGGGAGAACTTGCCCTTCATGTCACCGTACAAGTCTTCCCAGTCGCCGTCGGCGAGACCCAAGCGCTGGACGGTTCCGTTTGTGCCCAAGTCGTAGTCGCTCAAGACCATGTAGACGGCGACAGGGCGCACGGCGCTCTCGTAGAAAAACACCATGTCCTTGACGTCATAGTAGACCCTCCAGAGCGTCGGCCACACATCCAGGTTCTTGTTGATGAGGCTGTCTGGCACGAAAGGGACGCTGACGGCTCTGATCATAGCCGCCGTGACGGCCAGAGAAGTCTCCAGATCCGGAGACTGGGGCGATATGGAATTGTAGTAGGACAATCTCACGAAGCGATCTACTCAGGACGTGGTGGGGTTAGCCTTCCCAGGTCCATAAAGTACGACGAACGTACTCGTCAACGAGGATTTTCTTTGCAGGAAAAAAAGAGGAGACAAAGAAAAGGAAAAAAACAAAACAAAAAAAACGTACCTGCGGGTGTCTGAGTACCGGGTAGTGAGTAGTTGGACATTGGCTCCCAGTATTGCCAGATGGCGAGTTGTTGGTCGAACGACGGGTCGTTCGTCATGACCGGATACTGCTCGCCGTGGTGAATGGCCAACTGGCCATCGAGGTATTCGATGATGAGGTTGTCGCCTGACTTGTCGGACAGAGAGATGTGGCCGACGGACGAAACACCCGGAACCAGCGCGGCCGCCACGACTTGCAGGTCGAGCTCGTCGAGATCCGCCACTGCGGCCGCGACCGTGTCGTACATGTCGAGGTAGAATTGCAGCCACAGGCCGATGGCGAGACCGGGCCGGGATTCATTGCGCACCCCATAGTCGCTGGGTCCCAGGTAGAGGACACTGCCGGTCAAGCCTGCAGAGTTGATACCGTCGATGGTGACCTCGTCGTACATGGTGGCCACGATGCTGCCGTACTTTGACGTCCATTGGAGCGGATTGACCGCGACAGAGCCGTTGCGCTCCAGACCTGCCGGAAACACGTAGATGCTCGAGTTTGTCGAGGTGACGAAATCCATTGATCTGCCGACCGTGATACGGTCATCGACGCCGGCATGGTAGGTTACTCGAGAGCAAGCGTCTGCTCCGCTGTGCAGCAGGAGGAGAAGAGCCCCCAGGAAGTGGCCTCTCGTGAAGAACATGATGAAAAGTGCTTTGAAGCTAGAACAACCGGCGAGAAGCAGAGGAGTTGGGGAGAGAGAGAGACAGAGAGAGATGTGGGAAGTACCATGAGAGGGCCATGTGCTGTGCGAACAATGCCTTACCTTATATGGGGTCATTGCATTGCTCGCTCAACGTGCGCTTTTCTGGGGGTATGCAGAGTATGCTCTCACTTCTCACCCAGACTCCGCATCACCCATCCAACACCACTCGTGGGCTGTCGCCAGAAGTAGACTGCATGATGCAGGTTCGGTACTTTCTTGCTACACCTGTCCTTGAGAGTTCCAATTTATTTTTGCTTAAAGTTGATAGTAAGCGTGGATCTAGATTCAACGCTCTTAACAGTTGAGCATCAACCAGTCAGTAGCATCTAGACCTTTTCACTGCGCCAGAAACAGATCCGCATACGCAGTGAGACACGGACCGTGTAAAGGTTAGACTTTTGAGTATTACACGGTTAGACTTTCGAGCAAAGATCACAGTGCGCCAGAGTCAAGCACTACCTTGTGAACAGTGGACCTACACGGCAGAATATTGAATTGTAGGCCTTTATAGGATATGAACCGCGGTTGTAGAGTTTTGCTTACCAGTTGAGGTCTGTCATGGCTATGCGTTGAGATTGAGAGAATTACATCGACGACTGATGAATCTCGCACGAGTCCGACGCAAATAGGACGTTGCGGAGTGCATTGCCTTAAAAGGACTAGTGCAGCGGAATGGGAGGCATAGTCACGTGCCTCTCCTCGTGGCACATAGTGTGTTCATACAGGACATGCCTGGAGAGTCCTCTGAGGTATGTTGCAAGTCAGAGGCTTCAGAAGCGGAGAAATTCTAGCCCTCGCATCTCCAGTACTGTACGAGCAGGCAGTAGAAGACCTTCGTCGAGGCATATCAGCGCTTTTGTAGCTCAGCCTTGCGTCGCTTTTCGCCGGCCCACATGCGTCATTCTCCGCCTGCAGCTGCGGGACATTTTTACAAGATTGTGTTATTGCGCCGTGTACTCTTCCTCGTACTTCTCTTCGCCATCTGATTTCTGGAAGTAGTGTTTGTCTCTGACTCGCATTCTCTCCCGTGTATTTGACTCGCTACCTTTCTAGCAGAGAGCACAATGGTCGCCGAAATCATAACCACCATCTCTCCAACTACCAACAAGCCAATCCTCACCCGCCATGGTCTTGCTCCAGACGAGATCCTCCGGCTGGGCACTACCGCTCAAAAGGCATTTCAATCCTACAAGAAGTCCCATCCCACGCTCGAGTCTCGCCAGAAGATTGTAACAAAGGCACTCTCCATCCTTCTGGAACGACAAGATGCCCTTGCTGCGGAACTCACCGAACAAATGGGCCGGCCCATCTCCTACACCGCGAAGGAAATAGCCACGGCGGTCAAGCGAGCAGAATACATGAACCGGGTTGCGCCCGAAGTCCTGGGCAAGGACACGCCCGGTGACGCAGAAACGGGCTTCACTCGATACATCCGCAAGGAACCTGTCGGGGTGGTCCTGGTCATCTTCGCCTGGAACTATCCCTACCTCATCCTCGTCAATTCCTTGATTCCGGCCCTCCTGGCAGGCAACACGGTCATCCTCAAGCCTTCCCCACAGACGCCCACGATCGTCGAGCACATAGTCGATATCTTCACGGAAGCGGGACTGCCCAGCCATGTGATCCAGTATTTACACTGTGGCAACCCGACGGACTTGAAGCCTTTGATCCTCAGCCCGGACGTCAACCACATCTGCTTCACGGGCAGTGTTGCGGCGGGCATCGCGATACAGCAGATTGCAAGTTCGCGGGTGTCGTGCTCGGTGGGCTTGGAACTCGGCGGGAAGGATCCCGCGTACGTCAGACCCGACGTGGACGTGGCCTGGGCGGCCGAGGAGATAGTGGACGGCGCCATTTTCAACTCGGGACAGTCGTGCTGTGCACTCGAGCGGATTTACGTGCACGAGACGGTCTACGACTCTTTCGTCGCCGAGGTCAAGAAGGTCTTGAGCGGATATAAACTGGGAGATCCAACGGACAAGACCACCCACGTGGGCCCGGTCGTGTCTGCCCGTGCGAAGGACACCATCCTCAAACAGGTGTCTGATGCGATCCAGGCAGGAGCAAAGGACGAGACGCCAGACAACGAGACCTTCAAGAACCCGCCACCGGACGGAAACTTCGTGGCTCCCGTGCTGTTGACGAATGTTGATCACAGCATGAGCGTGATGAAGGATGAAACTTTCGGTCCTGTCATCCCCGTGCAGAAAGTCAGTGGCGACGACGAGGCCGTGGCATTGATGAATGATAGCCAGTTCGGCCTGACGGCGAGCATCTGGACCAAGGACGTGAACAAGGGCCGCGAATTGACGGACCTGGTCGAGGCAGGCACCGTGTTTGTCAATCGCGCCGATTACCCTAGCCCTGACCTGGCTTGGACGGGCTGGAAGGATAGCGGGAAGGGCGTGACTTTGTCCAGGTTTGGATTCGATCAGTTCGTCAAGTTGAAGAGTATCCATTTGAAGGATTACCCCAAATAAACTGGTGCAGGCGATACTCTCGCGTAGCACCACTTTTGCTTTCACTTCAACGCGGAGCGCGTCGCCGCAACACTCGGGCAGCGAATTGAGGGGGGGGCCTCCAGGCTCCAAAGCTTGAACACCACCGGGTAATTCGAGGGTTATATGTTTCGAAGGTTGAATATCGTCCAACAATTCCTCGTGGCTACCCGTGTCACCTGATCCACCGGCGGGCAGATGGCGTAAGGGGATTTCACCAGACATGAGGCAGTTTACTTGGGCTTAGCCATTGAATCCTAGAGGCGACACCCTGACACTGAGGACCCCTGTACAGGGCGAGGTGCTTCCCCAGCGAACATGGCTTCTACGCGTGAATCACCTAGCTGGGGAGTAACCTGACGACTTCTCGAAAAAAAATCCCTGTGTTGGCAGGGGTTTCCCTCGACCTCAACGTCAATCACCCAGCGTGTGATTGGCCTTGTGGTTAGAGTTTTGCTGCTCGAAACAAATGATACTTTTTTTTGGTCATAGGCGAGACTCGAACTGTGCTGCCCGAGGGTGAAGCAACATGATGCAGATCCCTTGGATAGAGCAGTACAAAACAGAGCAGGCAACTCGCTCGAAAGTCTGTAGTTCAAACAGTACAAGGTACTCAACAGATACATTTGAGTCGTGAACATTCTCTCCTCCCCTATGGATCATCCGATGACACCTTTCAACACCTTGCCTAAAGTAATTTTGGGAACTAGAACACATCAGCCAAAGTGAGCCAAGTCCGCCTCCTCTGACCAGGAAAAGCCAGATCCGTCCCACCGCCCGCGACCCGCGCACCCTTTCTCAAAAATCCAAACGTCACGCTCAAGAGCAAGCCCTCTACTCATCCTCATCGTCGTCAATATCAATAGCGTCCGGGTTCGCAGCGACCTGCTTCGGCTCCTCCGTTGCAAGTTCCTCGCCGTTCTTAGACGCTCTGTTCCCTCCTTCGGGACCCGTACTAGCAGCAACGAACCCGACTGGGGCTCTAGCCTGTCTTTCAAGTGCGGCCATGGCATCACCTGCGCTTTCTTGACCGTTGGTGTCTTCTCCCACCTCGCCACCGCCACCAGCCGTTTGTCCGCGCTTGACAGCCTGGCTCGCGATGAACGCGACATCGGTATTGAACTGTGCAGCGACACTTCGCTTGATCCGCAACATCTCCTTGAACGTGTCTTCGTTGCCGTGCGCGACTTCGAATTTCTCCCAAGTATCCCAGAACCCCTTTTCAACTCGTGGATCGGCAAATTGACTCGCGTGGCCGTAGATTGCGCGGGCACGATCAATCTCGCCCAGCCGTCTCTCCATCTCAGCGAACTTCAAACACATCGTCTTGGCATCTTTGTCTGGCAACGCCGCGATTGCGCGCTCGTAGATGGGCCGTGTGGAAGTTAAGCCAAAATTGCTCGCCGATTTCGTGATGTAGAACTCGAACATGGGGAACTTGTCTTCGTCGGCCACGGCGCGAGTCGCGCGCTCGTACACACGCATCGCGGACCGAGCAAGGCCGCGTTCCTCTTCGAGGTTGCCGTACATGAGGAAGATGGGCTTTGCAAACTGTGGAGGGCAATTCTCGACAGCCTGCTCAAATAGATCACGAAGTCGCTCGATAGAGATCTTCCGCTCAACCGCTTTGGTGAGGTACATGTTCCAAAGCTCGAATGCTACGGGGTACGTGAAGACGTCCAGACCGCGCTCGTAGACCTTGAACGACTCTTCAAAGTACCCATTCTCCTCGAGCAGGTTGGCATAGTTGACCACTGTCTGGGGCGTGGCGATACGTAATTCAAAGATGCGGTCGTAGACGGCCCGCGTCTCGTCAAGACTTCCCACGCTTTCGACAAGGTCGACGTAGAAACTCCACACCTTCCAGGACTTGTGGACGCGCTGTTGTGGCGAAAGGGTTTCGTCAAAGTAGTCGATGGTGCTGCGCTTGGGAGCTTTCGTCGCCGTAGCCATGACTTTGAGCGCACCATCAAAGTTCTCGTTACGTAGTTCCATCTCGGCCCACCCTACCCATGTATCTGCCAATTCTGCGACTGACTTGTACGGCACCTTGACGGCTTTGTCAAGGATAACGCGCGCCGTATCAATATCGTTGTTCTCCTCGTAAAACTTCGCATAGTTGAGCCAGAGTTCATGGAATTTGCCGATTGCCTTCTTCGGATGAATTGCTGCAATGGCGTCGGTGTAGGTTTGCACAATTTGCTCGTGGTTGTTGTTCCAAAGTGCGACACGCTTCTCCCATTCGATGACGTTGTTGGGGTTTTGACGCAATAGAACGTCGTTGACCAGGAATGGCCGCCGATCCATCAAATGCTCAAAGCGCATCATGCGCATGTCAAGGTCGAAGTCCTTTTCAGCATCAGTGATACCTTCAGCTGCCCTTGAGGACGCCGCGTCCATGAGAGTCTGCAGGATGGACTCTTCGAACTCGACATATGCGTCGAAGATCATGGTGAAATCTCGGACCGTCATGACCGTAGTAATACCCTCTTCAAACACGTCGCGTGCTCGTTCGAAGTCGCCTCGGGTTATCCAGTATGTTGCTAGCCCAGCCCAGAGCTTCCCTCGCTGATCAGCAAAGCGATCGATACCGCTGCGGATGATCGTGTCAGGGTCAAAGCCCGAGACTGAGTTGTCACCTATCTCCCTGGCTTTGTTGACCATCAATTCGACCATCTCGCTCCATAGCTGGAATTCACTTTTGATGTGCTTGGAGCGGAATTTGGGGTTGTCGAGGATCTGAATATATCGTTTGACAGCCTCGAGATAATGTCCTGTCTCGACCAAGAGGTCGATGTAGTCCTCCATATCCTCTGGATGGATCTGAACATATCGCGCCCATATCCTCACTGCTGTCTCCCCTCCTGCAGAGTTGGCGAATGATTTGTAAAGTTTCCATATGCGGTTGTGCTGGGTCACGGGCAAAGCCCGGAGAGCTCGATCAAATGTTCTTCTCGTCTTGGTCACGTACGGCTGTCGGAGCAAGAAGGTCAGGTACATCTCCCAGATCACCGGCATCTTGTTCAATAGAATGAGCGCTCTTTCAAAGAGTGCATTCACTTTGCTGAATTCTGTCTTGAATTTGACCGGATTCTTCTTTCTGAGGTGTTTTATCCTAAAGTCCAAGTACAACTTCCACAACTTGTACGATCGCGGTAGCTGGATGCATGCCCTTTCCTGTACAAAGGCCTGCTCGTGGATCGTGCCATTGCGCATCTTGTAATCGATGTAAATTAGCCATGGTCGTACGCTGCCGGGATTACGCAGGATGTCTTGCTCGTAAGTCGCGTCTTCGCTCGATATGAGGTAGAAATCGGGCTTGCCGGCCTGTGATACCGCCATGGCACCCTCGGACACAGTGTGCGTTTTCCGTACGATCCCAGGCATCGTAGTTGATTGAGGCCTATACCTGGTTGCCGTAGTTCTCGAAAAATGCGCTTCGCGAAGAGGAAGAAGAGGCCTGGCCCGGGAATGGAAAGTCTAGCGAAGACTCATCGGAACATCATTTTAGCGGCTGCGGAGGGACCGTTGGGATGTCATTAACTTCAGCCTCGCATGTGCGTCGATAAGCGAGCTTGATATAGCTTCGCATTCTCCTCCCGTCTACTGTTCCAGACTCGTTTTCGTTTCCACATCGCACATAAGTGCGTCTTCTACAGGATGTCGCAAGGAGCAGGCGTACGTTATATCTTTTTTGACACAATGTAAGCACTAACATAAGGCGTAGCGCGAGGCCGTCTTTCCAACACGACAGGCCCTAGGTCTGATGAACAACAAGTTGAAGGGTGCTCAGACAGGTCACAGTCTGCTCAAGAGAAAGAGTGAAGCCTTGACAAAGTATGTAATTGATCTACTTCCAGGGATACCGTGCTAACGATTTCCTGCCAGGCGATTCCGAGGTTCGTGCCCTGGCTGGCTGGGGGTGTGCCATGCTCTAACCATACTCTACAGAGATCCTCAAACGTATCGATGAGGCCAAACGGAAAATGGGCCGAGTTATGCAGATTGCAGCTTTCTCTCTGGCCGAAGTATCGTATGCAGTTGGCGGAGACGTTGGCTATCAAATCCAAGAGTCTGTCAAGACGGCCCGATTTCGAATCAAGACAAAACAAGAAAACGTCTCTGGTGTCTATCTGCCACAATTTGAAGGATTTACCAAGGAAGAGATCAACGACTTTGGTTTGACAGGTCTTGGAAAAGGAGGACAACAAGTACAACGGTGCCGGGAGACGTATACCAGGGCCGTTGAGACCCTTGTCGAGCTGGCCAGCCTGCAAACGGCATTCATGATCTTGGACGAGGTCATCAAGGTCGTGAACCGAAGAGTCAATGCCATTGAGCATGTCATCATTCCTCGAACAGAAAACACCATCAAATGTGAGCACTCATTCCGTATCTCCGTGTCCCCTGTGCCATTGACCAATCTCTACAGATATCAACTCCGAACTAGACGAGCTCGATCGAGAAGAATTCTACAGGTTGAAGAAGGTATCAGGCAAGAAGCAGAGAGACCAAGCTGCAGCAGACGCCGAAATGGCAAAACAGAGAGCGGCAGAGGCTGCAAAGGGCAACGGGAACCAGGAGCCCGAAGCCGACGCTGCAACACAGGATGTTCTAGGAGAACATGAAGACGATGATGTTATCTTTTAAAGCGATTTCGTGCGCCGGTTCTTGCTGGCCACCTTAATTAGCAACGCCGCTGCAATGTAGCAAGTACTACTGTATGAGTACCCAAATCAGCCGTCAATGTACCTAGATATTGGGGATATCAAGTCCATGGTGAACACTATTTGTTCTTCTTTTGTTCACCAAAGCTGTTCGTAATGAGAAAAATACCAAGCCACCAACGCCATGTCCCTCGTCCTTCGTGGCTTATGCTCGTTGATACGTGACTCTGATACCCTTTCCCTCGTCACCAAGCTGCATACCCGCCGTGGCCTCTTTGGCACTTATCGCGCCGGCTTCAGCCTCGTACTCGACAAAGGCGATGCCCTTGCGACCGGGCACCATTCTGACCTCCTTGAATCCTTCAAACCTGCTGAATATCCGCGAGAGTCCATCCGCGTCGTAACTGTCAGGTAGATCCCGAATGAACAAGATCTTGTTCGGAGGCAGGTACTCGTCCGGCACGATCGCCGCGGCGTTCGTGCCCGAGGACTTGAGGCCGGCGCCCTTGGCCGTCTTCGCCGGTCGCGCCGAGAGTCCCCCAGCGGCCTCCGGCGCGCCAGCCAACGGCGCCGGTCTCTTGAGTTTCTGCTGCGTCGCCTCGAGCGCCTGTTTCCTCTCCTTCTCGGCTATCCGCGTTCGCTTCCACTTCTCCAGTCCCGACTCGCCCTCCTGCTGCAGCACCGTTGCGTCGGACCGCGTGCGCGCAAAGTCGAGTTGCATGGGCTTGTCGAACAGCTCGAACCCGTTGACTTCCTCGATCGCCTTGGCCGCATCTTCTGCGCTGTCGAAGACGATAAACGCCTGGCCCTTGGCCTTCAGGTTCTTTTTGGCCACGAGGTCAATTATGTTGCCGTACTCCGAGAAGATTTCGGTCAGCGCCTCTTTGAGTTGGTCGACCTTTATCCGCTCTTCGAGGTTCTTCACGTAGACTCTGGCATCTCGGTCAGCAATAGGACTTGTGACGACACGCTTTGGGGTCGAAGCGAGGAGAGCGCGGCGTACGTTGAGCTGGGCGCATTCTGCGTTGCAGTCGCCATGGCTGCGACGGACGTGAGAGATGGATCTTGTGTGGACAAAAGAAAAGAGATGTTCGGGGAAGGCTATGAAGAGACAGTCCTTGCACAGGTCTATTATATCATCGAATCAGTGCTCGAGCATAGAAGTTAACGTTGGGCGGTATGTAGGCAGCCTCTCCAGGTACAGGTACAGGTAGGTAATAGTTGATAGTCTTTGAACGTAGCGGGCAGAACTGGCTGGGCTGGACTGGACGTACCCCAGATTTCTTGGCACAAGCCTTTCTCTCATGCTCAGGCGTCCTCGGATGATACGATAAGGCCACTTTCACCAATGTTCACGAGTGTGTCTTTGGCTTGAAAAGATCTCGCTGCAAGCTTGACGACGTTGCCTTCATGTCTGCGTATCCTGAAACAAGCTGAGGAGGGTATCTCTCTACCTGTGCTTCTACTAAGTTCACGGATGGAAACAAGTTACGTGATGGGAAGGGACCCTTTGGTCCCCGTCTGACTCTACAACCAAATGGGCGTTGGAATCAAATATCGAGTTCATTTCTAGGATGATACCGTACGCAACAGACAACCTGGACGCTCGCCGTGCGTAATATGTGCAAGATAAGGCGTGCCCATCAACCCACAAATGAGCATAACTCATGGTATATTAGTCCTAGGGGCTTTGAATACGCGGCGAGTTGAACATGGTATTGCTGACCCTAAGACAAGAAGCCGGGGCTTTGAAGCAAGATGACCTTTTTTCTAACCCCACACCATTGTGCCTGGCTGGCGAGACTACTCCGCGAGTTTATGCCTTTTCTCTCAGCTTAAGGTATGTCAAAAGACCCCACTGTACAACGAAGAAACTGGAATGGTGATCGAGGGCCTTGTTGGGGTTGACAAGCTGGATTTCGTATCGTCGTAGTAGCTGAGGCAAGACCTTGTTCATTTCCAGCAGAGCGAGATGTCGACCGATGCAGACGTGGGATCCGCCACCAAACTACCCCGACGATTAGCTCCTGAACGAGTCTTCTGCGGCGACGAGAGAAACCTTACCTGGAACATACACCTCTCCATTCTCTTTATACTCTCCTTGTCGCCTTCAATCCATCTTTCTGGCCTGAATACTTCAGCATCTTGCCCGAAAATGCCGGTGTCCCTGTGCAGAACCCAGCCATTGACTGCGACTTCTGTACCACCTGGCAGCTTATGGCACCCGAGCTCCGCACCGCCAGGCGGCACCTTTCGCGTGATGTTCAAGCCGACAGCGGGGTTGATCCTCATGGCTTCCTTCAAGCAGGCCTGGAAATATGGCAGGTTTTGAGCCTCGTTGTACGTGACCATGTCCGAGAGATCGGCAGCCAGAATCTCCTTCATCAGTTTGTCGTACACACGCTTGTTCGACACCACTTGCCACATGAAGCTCTGCATGGTACTCGCCGTGCTATCACTTCCCGCGAAAATGGCACCATGCGCAATGGCGAATACGTCGCCTTTGCCGAGGGCTTCCGGGTGCTGTTTCTGTGCTTCGATCAAACTGTTGAGGAGATCCTTGTACTCGACCTTTTCGCCTTGAGGGTTGGTGCGCTTCTCAAGCTGGCCCATAGCGACACGTGTGACTAGAGCGTTCTTGGTAGCTAGGAAAGGAATGAATTGCCAAAGAGGATTACGTCTGAAGATGTGGTCAAGCCAGGGAACCTGCCCAATCAGGCCGTTGTACCATTGCGAATCGTCAATGGTCTTGATTGCCCGGTCTACGTCGACACCTGCCTCGAGGAAGCCAAACTTCTTCGAAAACGCGACCTCGCCCAAGACCTGTACTCAGATTATCAGTTTCTCCCGCTCTACTGGTTCAACATTCCCCTCGAGTCACACTCACATCAAAAGCAAAGAAATGCAACCAATCTCCTAAGTCGCAAATTTTGCGAGTTTCGGTAAACTTATCCAGCTGTGAAATGAGCAGCTGCTCAGTGCCTTCGATGCGGTCGGTACATTGTTGCATTGCAGCCAGACTGTATGGGGTGGTTGCATATCGCTTCTTCACGCCATGCACAGACTCCCTTGTCTCGGTAAAGATATCTGGATTCTCTGGAGGCGGAAAGACGCCGTAGAAGTCGGTCTTGTGGAATCCCTTGCCAGTCTTGAATAGGTCGAGGGCGGCTTCTGGTGACGAAAGCGAGACTTCATTTGGTCCAGTCCGGACTATTGGCCCATACTTCTTGTGGACTGCGATATAGTGCTCTTCGTTCTTGCCCGTCCAGACGCTCCACATCCGCCATGCTCGGGTGCACGAGGCGAGGAAGGGTCCAGGGAACTGTCGCAAAGGCGACGAATATCGTCTGTAGAGGGGTCGCACGACCAGAAGGACGAAGAGGGTGACGGCAGGAACCAGAAGAGGGTTTGCAGCGACGAAAGCCCACGCGACCAAGATGGCGGACTTGGGGACTGGCGCCTCTTCGGTCATGATTTTAATCGCCATGTTGATGTGCCGCACGCAAGGGAGTGATGTCTCTCGATGTCACTGGTAGGAGAGACTGACAGAGGTCGATATAGCGAAAGATGGGAAGCACATGGACGCAGTCGCCGTATTGTTCCAGACCCCCCCTAATACTACCACCACCACTGCTCCCACTGTGACTTATTGACCACATCTCTCCAGGCCGTATTTCGCCTGCCTCTCCACTAGAATGCCCGTATTCATGGCTTGATGGTACTGAGGTCCTTCCCCATTCTCAGAAACAACAAATGCCCCACTTGAGGGAGCCCCACGGTATGTGGTAAGGATTTTGCGGGCAGCGACACGGAGAGGGATGTCCGAGTAATGGTTCGGGGAGGGTCCAGGTCGTCGATGGAGCAGCAGTGTTTGGGTAGAGCCACATCTGGTGAGATTGTCCCGATAAATCAATTGCCGATGAATCCATTGGTGTATCGCCTCCTGATTTTCGTCTCCAGATGGACGCAGAGCCACCACGGAGCTTGTGCGGTCTGTTTTGTCACCTTGGGAGTTTACCCAGATTGCACAGCCGGCGAATTCATCGCAATCAGACTCCGTGGTGATCTAGGACTGCAATACCAATGTCTCAGCTGATAGAAGGGAGATGCCACCGGGCTTACCCCAATGGCGGGTTTCATCACAGGCGAACATTGCTGCTCGCACTCTCTGTCTGGGGTTCTGTATCTACCCCACATTCTCAGTGACGGCTGTACGGGGAATCTGTCCTCGCAATGATGTTCGGCAATATTTCGAGCGGCTTTATTGTTTATGGATTAGAAAAGTCTTGAATCAGCTTACTGTCAGGCTTATTGGAGAGCACAAGGCACCACCGTTCATATGATCTTTGCTGTGGGACCAGGAGACAGATATCCAAGAATCTCATGTCTTCTATTAATACGAATATTCGTGAAAAGTCCAACGTGGCATGCAGCTAAAAGTACAGCGAGTTCAAAAGGACCAAAAACCTATCACCCCTTCCTCTTCCTAACTCCTTCCGCTTTCGAATCGCCTTCGACAGGAAGACCATTGACGAGAACAACAGGATGAGTTCCGTTGGGTTTGGCATCCTTGTCAACTGGTTCGTCATCATCTTCTTCGTCCTCATCGTCACTGCGTTCATCCGCCACCACACTATTGAACACAAAATTCTTCGCAATCCGGAGGATTAAGAATAACCAAAACAGGTTGACGGCTTGGAGACAAGCCAGCAGGGAGAATGTGATGACCTGACTAATCCAACACTTGTATTGCTGGGTTTCCCAGTTCAATTCATATGGCCCGACAGTCCGGAACTCGGTTAATGTCGCCCACAGAATGCGAAGATTGATATAATGTCGAAGGTAGATCCAGATGACCATGAATAGGAAATAATATGGGCCCACGATGATGGAGTCGAGGTAATTGAGGGTTTTGGAGGTCTGAAGCAAGTCAGTCTCGGTCTCCTGCAATCCACCATCACGACTTACCGCAAGGAAGAAATCACTAATGTCGTGTGTGATGTAGACTGCAATACCCATCTTCGCGAAATGGAAGCGGTAGCTCAACCCAATCAAGGACAATGTTACGATGTGGTGCAGCACCAACTCTCTGAAGTCTTTGCGAGGCTTCTCCTGTTGCAGCACCAGGACAATGGCTTGTTGAGCCCAGTATGCAGCCTGCAGTAGATAGTACGCCTTGAATACTCCTTCGTGCTTGCGGTGAGGAAACCCTTCAAACATGGCCGTGGTATTGAAATACCACAGCGGCCCCTGCTTCATGACATAGAGTCCAAAGGGTCCAAAAATCGCAAAGTACATGGCTGTGTAGACTTGCTCCATGAAACGCGACTGCTTCCCTCTCTTTTTCATTCCACAGTAGACGGCCAGGGGTCGCAGGAGCTTTTGCATTATAAATTCCCTTGTAAATGTCAAGACGATTGTATAGAACCCTACAAAGGCCCAATCGGCATAGCCCTTCCCATACATGTTTGGTCCGCCTGGGTAGTCCGGTCCCAAGGGGTATGATAGGAAGATGGCTTTATGCAATGGATTTTGTTCTCCAGGGTTGGCAAAGTAGGCCCCGAGAATGCCCACCATCAAGATCAGAGGGTTCAGCCAGGTATGGCGGTAGGAGAGATTCTTCCATTTGCGGAATGCCGAGCGAGCTTTCCGTCGCTTCGAGTGAGGCCTTAGTTCTTTCTCGCTGGTCTGCGACATCGTCAGCGCAAGTTGAACGATTCCAGGAGGAATATGCATACAGAAGGCTGAAGCGGCTGCTTTGGTGTCATCGTCGCCCACGCAGGCGCGCTGGTGTCTCCACGGGGGTCGCCCCCAAGGTTGCTCGACGTTCGGCGTGGACGAGCCATGAGGGCGTTTCAAGCAGCCAGGATATCAGGCGAGAGGAAAGGAGATGCCTACGGACTAAAAGACAACGTCGAAGATGAAAAGACAATGGAGGGTGGTCGCAAGTCACCACATGCGGCAGCTTATTAAATAACAATTATGATCTGCTGCATGAAGTGAGGAGAGCCCGCATCATCCTTGGTTGGAAAAAGTCTTTGGCACAGCGAATAGGCGGCCTTGCTGGCTCACTAGGCTAGCCTCGCCGCCGGAGCCGCCTCGGCCGTACTTCGTATTACTTGTCCGGACAACAAACGGAGATACGAAGTGTCTATGGAGCACAATTTCCATATTTCGAGATTGGGAATTGCCCTGATGCATTTCGCATGGTTGCTAGGTATCCACTGGAACGACAGTAAGCTATACACGACGCTTGAAGGATACAACGAGACCAAAAAAACAAGAAGCGCAATATGAGTGCGGCCGACGGAAGATGGCTCGAGGGTTTGGAAATTGCTTTTCTACACACTAGCGATGATGGTGACAATTGTGCAGGCCTATACAAGTACGTCTGCCGGTCCTCTGGAACAGACCTGTAGGAACCTCTGGAGGGTGGGGGAATGTTCGTCCCTATGTTCATTCCTCAGATTCCTTCTCGTCTTTGTCTGATTGTTTCTCTGGAGCGCTTGGCTGGGACTTCTCAGGGTCTTTGTGGCCTCCGATAGGCCTTGATGAGTCGACGGTACCGTGAACTCTCGCGCTTTCCGGAGTGCCTTCGGCCTTCTTGGACTTGTCACCCTCACCCATATATGGGTTGCTAGCAGATGACAAATCGCCTTGTTTCTAGAGTTGTTGTGTCAGAAAGAACCCATACGAGCGGGTCGACGAAAGAACTCACCTGCTGATCACCTGCAGATTCGGTGGTGTCTCGCTCCTCACCAGCTGGTCTACCCTTGGGGGTTCTAAGAATGATGTCAGTGTGAATTGTACCAAAATTGTGGATTGTCCAGCAACGTACGCATCCTCCTCTGCCTTCAATTCTTCCTTTGGCTCCTCCTCTTCCTTTGGCTCTTCTTCTGGAGCTTCTTGTGCCTCCTCCTTAGGTTCAGCGTGGCCGTGCCCATGGTCAGACTTGCTTGGACCTTGTTGGAGGAGCCATCCACCAGCCACGACGGTGAAGACGGTGGATCCAATCAGCCTGAAGCCAACCATTAGAACTCTGCCATGATACTGCGTGTTTTCCCTAGAGAATCACAAACCAAGGAAGGTCGCTGCTCTTTTTTGGGGTGTGTCCCTCGGCATAAGACCTGCGGCCGACATCTCGGAAGCTGGTTCGAGCTTGCGCTGCAGCTCGCTTTAGAGTAGCTGAGCGAATGCTACCCCGAAGGGCAACAGACCGTGCGAAAGCCATTAACGGATATATGAGAGGAGAACGGAGCCGCAACCGGGGGTATGGAAGGTGCAAAATTCAGGATGGGATCAATGCAATCGCAGTTGTGCTCGCAACTTGTACCTGAGAAGCTCCGGGAGAAGCTTTGGACAAATAGTGTGGAGTGATTAAGCCCTGCGTCATGGCTTACCTAAGGCAATTCTTCCCTCCGGAATATTGTCCCTCCCACTCCCACTGCATGTACACGCCGTGCAGCCTGCACTATTTCACCACATTGTCCATCTCAACATCTGTCGTTTCTCGTGAAGCTCGCAGTGTCTCTCTCACCTCCGTCCTGGCCAGCGTTTGAGCGTGTTAGTTTCCTGACATCATAGCCTGAAATTTACGAAGTGTCCTCCGTCTCCCCCGCATCAACGCGACGACATCCAAATGACTGGAGCGACCGCGAAATCATTCCATCTTTGAGATTGTGCCCTTTTACCGCCACTCTGTAAGATGGCAAAGGATCGCAGCATAGCTCAGGCGAGCATCTCAGGGCTGCTGAACAAGATCAGCGACCCTGACCCGGACATTCGTTTCATGCAGCTCAGTGACCTGGCGAATGTGCTCTCCTCGACCTCCACGGAATACCTTCGCAATGACTCGCACACTGCAGCCCGGATAATCGACGGTTTGCTCAAGTCACTAGCTGATCAGAACGGCGAGGTTCAGAATCAGGCTCTGAAGTGGTAGGTCACAATGTGTCGCACGCATGTCCTCTGTTGACGTCCAGACAGTATTGGTCCGCTGGCTGCTCGCACACCAGGTGATATTGTGGCACCTTTAATCGACAAACTCACTGATCTCACCAACCGTGAGATCGACCTTTCAATCCCTAATACCGCTCTCCGAAGTCTCATTTCAGCTTTGCCCCAACCGCAGCCGAATGGAGCGTCTGCGCAGGAGGTGAAAGACGCTTATAGTGCCATCAGTAAGGTCTTGATACCAAGATTGGTCGGCCATGTCGTCTTGCCTACCGGTAAGACTCCCCCTCGACTACCAACCGGTTTGCTGGAAAACCACAAGGATAAAGGTTACAGCGCCGATGCAGTCGATGTCATGATTGAGATTGTGAAATGCTACGGCTCCTTGCTACAAGAGGTGGAACTGGTTGAACTTGCAAAGTCCACCATGCACATAATAGAGAGTCCCCAGGCTGGTGGAGTGGTCAAAAAGAGAGCTCTGGCCGGAATAGGCGCATTGCTGGTCCATTTCAACGAAGGTCAAGTCGGCTCTTTTGTTGCTGCACTGAAAAACAGCTTCGACAATCAACAGCTTAGTATGGAGCATCGGAAATTCCTTATCGCCACAGCCGGAACTCTCGCACGGTCAATTCCCACCAAAGCCGGTCCATACCTTGACAGTGTCGTGCCTTACGTGCTGGGAGTGCTAAGCCAGCCGGAGATCTCGTCTACTGCGTCCATTGATGACGATATGGAGGTGGACACAGAGACGGAGGAGTTGCGAGAAACGGCGCTCATCTCTTTGGAGTCTATGATAGGGTCTTGTCCCACTGAGATGCATCCCCACCTTTCGGACGCCATCGACGCCGCCTTGCGATATCTAAAGTACGACCCGAATGTGGCAGAACTGTCTGATGATGAAATGGGGGGCCTTCAGGACAACAACTCTGACGATGGCTTCACAGAGGATCCTGCTGACGACGATGACGACGATGAATATGCAGAGTTGGATGACGACGATGCGTTTAGCGATGTTGACGATATGAGCTGGAAAGTTCGAAGATGTGCTGCGAAAGTCTTGTATGCCATCATCTCCGGAGCTACAGCGGCAGATCGAGATCTCCTCTTTGGCAGAATCGCTCCTGATCTCATTTCTCGACTTTTCAAAGAGCGCGAAGACAGTGTTAGATTGGAGGTCATCGCAGCAACCACGATGTTGATTCGCAAAACAGGCTCTTCACCATCTCTCGAACTCTCTCGTGTTGACTCTTCTGAGAACCCCGCTGCACCGACTAACACTCGAAAACGAAGACGTCAAGATAGTGAAGCCGACCGACAGGATCCAGATTTAAGAGGCCTCGTTGCTGCGCGCTCCAGTCCCCCAATCATGCCAGCATCACCTCCTACTGGATCCCAAGCAGAACTCGTCGCACTTGTTCCGAGAATTGTTCAGGCTCTCTGCAAACTCTGGAAGAAAGCCAGCATGTCTCTGAAGCAAGCATCTGTCATAATGCTGAAGACTCTTACCCTATCGCGGAATGGCATATTGTCAGATCATCTGCAACAATTGGAAGACCCGATTGCGGATGCCCTGAAGCCCTCTAACGCGGCTGGCTCAGGTGGAACGGGTGCCGGAACATCAGCAACAGTGTCAAGTCTTCAGATTGAGACTCTGACTTTGGTCAGCACTATTGCGGAGACGAATGGCACGACTGTGCTGATTCCATTTGTCATTGCCCTGATACCACCAGTCACGACGATTGCTCGCGACCGAAATTACAAAGTCTCAAGTGAAGCTCTTTCCACAATCGAACAATTCATCAAAGCACTTACACCACCTCGCTTGGCCACGGCGAATCAAGATCATGCTATGCACATTCAGAAGCTGTGGGATGTCGTGGTCAGCCGAGTAACTGATAATAATACCGATCTTGAGATACGCCATCGAGCCATCCAAGTATTTGGCGTACTTATTGCTAGAACTTCTTCCACGCAACTGCTCCCTAGCGATTCTCGTGTCAAGAGTCTAGGCATCCTCGACGATAGACTACGAAACGAAACCACAAGGCTTGCTAGTGCAAGGGCTATTGGCCTAGTCGCTGAGGCAGCGGGAGTTCACGATAATATCGGAACTGCCTGGATCCAAGATGTGTCGCTCGAGATGGCCAATCAACTTCGGAAAGCCGACCGCGCTCTTCGTGTTTCTTGTTTGGAGTCGTTACAGTATCTCGCTCTCAATCCTGTGACGTCCTCACAGTATGAGACGAAAACAATTGTGCAGCTCCAAAGTCACTTGATGCCTCTGATTTCGGCCAATGACCTGCATCTTCTAACCCCAGCACTAGTCATTCTGTCAAAAACAATCCCAACAAACGCCGCAGCTCTGGTCAACGACGACACTGTACGTGCTCTGTGTGCCATTACCCAAGCTCGCCTGGAAGGCCCGCCACTTCGAGCGTACCTCCTTGTGGTCAAGGTCATTGGTGAGCAGGGAGTTGGTGCCCTCCTCATGAAAGGGCTACTAGCTACTGGCACCAGCGGCGAAACAGCGGTGCTTGGGAGGGCGATTGGTACTCTACTTGTCTATGGTGGAGACAACTTGGGAGTCACCATATCCGACTTTCTCCAAGAGCTGGAAGCATCCGACGATGTTCGAGCAGTCTGCCTTGCTTTGACTGTTCTTGGTGAGGTGGGCTTCAGGATGGGATCTCGGGCTCCCATTGACATCCAAACCTTCATCAAATGTCTAAACGCCGATGCCGAAAAAGTTAGACTCACTGCTGCTGTCGCTCTAGGGAGTGCCAGCTCAAACAACGTCTCTGAGTGCCTTCCGGTCATTTTGCAAAGCCTGAACCGGGACCCCGGTCAAGACTATCTATATCTCCACGCGCTGAAGGAGATTCTGGAACACGCTGACAACTCCTCGGGTGAACTGACACCGTTTGCGTCTGAATTGTGGCAGAAGTTGTTCGCAGTTTCCGAAGCAGAAGACAACAGTGCTGTTGGAGCCGAATGTATTGGCAGATTGGCCACGATAGATCCTGATGTCTATGTGCCGGAGCTGGCAAGATCGCTGGAGAATACTAACCCTGCCATTCGAGGGACCGTTATTTCAGCATTCCGATTCACTCTCGGCGAGACGAGCAATTCATACAACAGTCTCCTGGTCAAGATGATGACACCTATGCTTCAGACCATGCTCAATGATTCGGACATTGGAAACCGACGTCTTGCGGTCACGACGCTGAATGCAGCCATTCACAACAAACCCGAACTTATTATTCCAGATATCGGTCAGATTCTGCCCACCATTCTTGAGTCCTCACACATCAATCGTGATCTCATCAAAACTGTCAAGATTGGCCCGTTCACCCATCAAGAAGATGGAGGTCTGGACCTTCGCAAATCCGCGTACGCCACGCTGTATGCGTTGCTCGACTGTCCCGGGGCAATCTCACATTTGCCCATTCCCAAAGTCTTTGATCGTATCCTTGACGGTATCCCTGACGACACGGACATTCGCACTTTGTGCAACCTCATGCTCTCACGTCTCTCGGTTATTGACCCAGATGAGACCCGTCGTCGCCTCTCGGCGCTCTCAGAGAAGTTCAAAATCGTCCTCGGAGCAAAGATTAAAGAGAATGCCGTCAAGCAGGAAATCGAAAAAGTCAACGAAGCCAATGCTGCCGTCATCAGAACCACCATGGAACTTGAGCGGAAATTCCCCTCGGCCAGCGCCGACGTCAGCGGAGACCTGGTGGCCTGGAAGGGCTATGTCGAATTCGTTAAGAAGGAATTTGCACAAGTCGTGCGCAACGTACTTGCAGAGGGAGCTTGAGGCCGCGATTGGGTTTGGGTTTGGGCTTCTCTGAGCTGACATCAGCTCCGGGATGTGAAGAACCCCACAAACACAATGATAGCCACGTTGAAAGCGTCACATGAAGGACGGAGGCTGGGTGACCCATATGCGATGGTGGTACTGGGCCATTAAGCAAAACGAGAGAACTGATTGATCGCCACGGACGAGGTACGATTACCTATGGTTGAAACCTCCCCAATATCACATCCCCACTACTATCGGTGGCTTTCCGTGATCCTTTGCATCTGGAAATCGACCACCTTGCAAATCAATCGGTGTCAAAGAAGCCATTAGAAAAGTTCAGGTGATGGATGTACAGAAGGAAAAAAATGACACCAACCCATCAGAAAATAGACAGTAGCATAAACATGCAAGCATATGCAATCATGCATGAGTTTCCACCACTCTGACTTGATGGTTCATTCTCCTTTTCTTCATTGCTATCATAGAAACGGGTGGATGGTTCAGTTCGTATCTGCTTGGTCTGGGAGAGCGTCCAGGGCGGAGTGCCTAGCGATGAATCGGGCCCAAGGTCATTGAATGACCCCTTTCCATTATTTGTCCCTTCCTCCTGGGTCCAGACAAGTCTCGCTGATCCTGGAGCCTCCTTCCTGCGTTCTCTAATACGGAAACTTTCTCTCCCACCAATGTCTTACTCTCGTCACCTCCTTGTACTCGCCGCTCGACGATCTGGGTGATACTAAAGTTGCAGCGGACAACACTCTCGGGTGACACGTTCGCCTCCAGATAGCAAGTCCCGTCGGCCACCCAGAAAAGACAACCTAATCCGATCAAGGCAAGCTTTGCGAATGGGTGCCATTCTGGTTTCCGCGCTTGGACGCGATGATAGAAGTCGACATGAACACATCTGAAAAGACATAGGAACACAAAAAGTAGTTGTGACATGGTCGGACGGGGTGCTGGAGACCGTAACTGTGAGTGTCGTGTTACAAAGTCAAGAGAAAAAGAGGGTGGATTATCATTACCTCTTGACTCTCACGGTAATATTGGAGTGTATGTGTGGTGTTTTTCGAGCAAAGCCAGCCTAGCTGGGCGATGGTCGTTCGGAGTAAAGAGGTGTATTTGGGAAAAAGGGGTAATAGGCAAATATGTGTCGTCGTGTCTCATTTCGTCCTGCAACATCATGATCATGTAGATGTCGCAATTTTTGTCCTCTCCTTTTGTCGCAAGGCAAAGTTTGCACCGAAAAACTCAACAACGGGCCTTTCGAGGACAGAGGCAGTCGGCTGAGCATTAGGGAGGGTAGGAACAGCCTTAATTAACGGACTGATAGAGTAGGAGAGGTTCGCCGACATTCTCGATCTCCGGGATCGTGCATTTCAAGTCGAAGGCTTTGGATAGTACGATCTTAAAGATTTTCTGCACGTTTATGCTGTGGCTCGTGCTGCTGAAGATCAAACTCGCGCGCATGGCTTTGGCGAACCGTCGTGCCTACAACGCGGGAAGTGTCAGTATGGTTCTTCTCATCCAACTCGGACCCGTGCTTGTGTCTGTAAGCGTTTTTTGGCTAAGAGCCGGAGCATACCTGGTTGCTTATCTCTTCCTGGTCTTCTCTGGGGAAATTGACAAAATGGTCATATTTTGTGCCGATCAAGAACGGTATGGCGGTCTTGTTGAAACCCCTTCCCTGCCTGTACCATTCTTTGATGCTGTTGAGGGTTGATTTGCGGGTGAGGTCGAACATGAACAAAATGGCCACGGCGTCGTTGCAGACGAGTGGTAACATATTGACGAATTCACGTTGGCCACCCAAGTCCCAAATCGAGAATGTGATTTCGGTGTTGCGTATTGAGATTGTCTTTTCCATGAAGTTCACGCCTGTATGTGGTGTTAGCAAGGAATCGGAAGGGGGATCAGGTAACTGCATGGCGCACCTAGAGTTTGGATGTAATCTTCATCCCAACTACCTTCGACGTATTTGACCATGAGACTTGTCTTGCCTATTTGTGCATCTCCCACCATTCCCACCTTGATGACAACACTGCTCTTGTTGGAGGACTGCGATTGTCTATTTTCTTGGTACTGTGTTTGTTGATGGCCTCCCATTCCGGATCCCGGCCTCGAATTCGGCTGGGGGTACAGGCTCGGCGAGTGGTATCTCTGGTTCGTGTCATTATCTAAAGGCGGAGTGGCCGTGGCTTGATGTGAAGGCATAGCTGGGATTGCTGTGGACTCGTCGTGCTGATAATTGTCGTTGACCTGTGCCGAGTCGGCGGGGTATTCGTTGTGAGGCGCAAAATCCATGGCTGGCAAAGGACTCGGGTTGGATAACGAGCGGCGAGGGAAGAGTGGATGGGTGGAATGGGCGTTGACTGCTTCGAAGCTAGGAGGTCAAGTTCCTGCGAGGGATGTCCGGGGCTTTGTTCATACAGCGATCGAGGGCGTTTACGTTCGCTGACGGCCAGCGCTTTCAATTGGCTACCACGACACGTCAAGAGCACAAAGTCAAAAGGGTCGCGTTTGGTGTTTGTCGGTCGGTGGACGGCGGCTTATGTAATGATTCACCATAGCAAACCTCATAGCAACACACAAAGAGGTTGACAACAGCGTCCATATCAAGATCATGACATCGCTAAAAGGATTCTGATAGCCTACCAAGACATTTACTTACTCCCGTATATTTGACGACTTCGTGACCTTCCATTACACCGCGCCGCCTTCTGAATTGCGTGCCCGTGCTTCCTCCACACTTCGCTGCCAGTCTGTGCGACTGAGGTAGATGAACTCGATCAATGCCACCAAGCCCAGTGCAATGGCTACACCAGTCCACAATCCCATCAGATCCCAATGCTTGCCAAAGGCTAATCCAAAACTGAGGGGCAGAGCAAAAACATAGTAGCAAAAGATCTGAACATATCCACCAAACTCTTGACGACCAAGGCCACGAAGAATACCATTACAAGCAGCTGCCAGAGCGTCAAACAGCTGGAATGCAGCACAAAGTGGGAGAATATCCGCCACGATGCGGATGACGTCCGGGTCAGAAGTGAACAACCGAGGAATATAGTCCCTCAGCGCCGATAGGAGCGTCACGTTGAATACACCAACAACGACTGCAGCACAGAAAGTGACTTTGGTGCTCACCTTGGCTGCGTCGGCAAGTGTTGCTCCAATCAGATTCGCAACCCGTGTTGAACCGGCTATGGACAGCGGGAATGGAATCTGGAACGTGATTGAGGTAAGTGTGGCCACGACAGATTGTGCAGCCAGCACAGTCGTGCCAAAATATGAGGCTGCAAAAGTCAGAATCTCGAAGGCTAGCACCTCAGCCTCTATCATGATAACGCCAGGTAAAGCAAGTTTGACCATAGGGCCCCAATTCTGCAGGGCCTTTTTGGTGAAGCCGTTCCAGCATGACATGCCTGACTTTGAGAAATAGCGCACATAAATGAATAGGCCAAGCGGGAGGAGGTTGTCGGTAATGGCAACTGCGAGTGGTGCACCAGCGAACCCAAGCTCGAGTTGCCATACGAAAAGCCAATTCATGAAGGCGTTGAAAGGTGCGCAGAACAAGAGGACGTAGAGAGAGGCAGAGAACAAGCCCTGTGCCTGTACATAACGCTTTCCTGCCTCGAAGGCCGCGTATCCTGGCGCACCAGCCAGCACAATCTTGAGGTATAATCCTGCAAGTTTTGCCACAGCAGGCTCCGGTACGATAACCATCAATATATGGTCTGCGAGAAGCCAAACAACGGCTATAGGTATAGTGATGGTCCAAAGGAAAAACACCATGCGTTGCATCTGTAGGCCCACGAGCTTCTTTCGGCCGGAGCCATAAGCCTGTGCACACAAAGTATCCAGAGAGGTTGCCAGGCCCTGATAGATCGCATAACCGGTGATATTGGCGGACATGGAAGCTAAGCTCACAGCGCCAAGTTCGACGGTTCCAATATGTCCAACGGTGAAGATGCTCGCCACGGTCAATGAGTACTGCAGTAAGAAGGTCACCATCAAGGGTGCCGAATAGCGACCAATGACTTTGGCTTCTCGTTGCCAGGTAGTATGTATCATGCCGGCAGCGACGGCTTCTTCCCATTTGGCTTCGATGTTATCCGCATCGCCTTGACCACCGTACGGGAGCGTCGGGTCTCCAAGTAACGGTGTGGCTTCAGATGCAAGACCGGTTGCTCCGTCCAGGGCTGGGACAGCGTCTTCATCCGTCGAGACCTTGCGATCCCCGCCAGGGATCCGGAATATGCTCTTTTTCCGACCATCTTCTGCTTGTGGATGTTTCGGTGGAATTAGATTATTGTCTCGCAATAGACTTCTTTCCTCTTCCAGTGCACGCGCTCTCTCTTCTCTAGATGGTCTTTCATACTCTGCTGCGAACGGCCGGGGGAGGATGGTGGCTCTATTTCCTGCTGCGGCAACGCTCGGTCGCCGATACGAGCCGACGAAAGAATATCCTCCTGGAGCCGACGTCGAGGGTCGCAAAGTTGAACCTCCAGAGTCTGAGTCCGACTCATCCAGTTCGGACTCGGTGTCTTCCTCGATATCTCGCGCTAGTGATGCTTGCGCTATGGGAGAAGCGTTGGGTAGAGAATTTTGCAAGACTCGGCTTGCACGTCTGGTGAGGCTAGTGACTCTCTCGAGAGTGTTGATAGATTTTGGTTGAGACATGATGAGAGGGAAGTTCCCAAGGCGATATGTTACGGGCTACTCCGCTAATGTTGCAAGTGAAGCGCGGGCATGCTCAGTCAGGTCCTTTTGGGGCCTGGTGAAGTTATCTGCTGTATACCACGACGGTGCTCTGGCAAGAAAGTACGAGAAGGAGAGAGAGAGCGAGGAGAGCAGGAGCGCGGACTCAGAGTTAACCTTTGGCTGTGACTGTGTCGACTGATAAAGCTATGGAGGACCCTGCTTCGCTTCGGCCATATGCGGTGCTTTTTTGGTCGGCTGCAACCTCCACATCGGGCGTCGTTTATCGCAAGCTTAATCAAGAGACGAATAGGTATCTCGTAGCGCAAACGTTCTTGCTGGTGGACAAATTAACTAGATTGGTCTATCCGTACAATGTCTACCCATAATCATGTCACGGAGAAGAGATCCAGACAGAGCGTGTTCTTTCCTTTTTGGCAATAACCGGCCTTTGCCGATGCACAAGCACAAGGGACGACAGTGGGTTTTAGGGATGACTTCACCTGGAACGCCAGGGAACCCGTTGCCCGGACGAGCCTTGCCCCGCCTTTCTCAGACTGTTCCCCGGCCTTATCGTGCCTGTAGTCAAGGCCCAAAGCCTTGCCCTTCTAGGCGTCGTATAGGTGAGACGACTGGGCGTTGATTCTGAGGTCGTAAGCTCGCCACCTGTTGGTCCAATGCGCTGATCACGTCTTGCTCGTCGTCGCTTGCATCAGTTCAATCCTTTCAAGCATCCATACATTTGCCGTTCGCCCTTATCATAGTCTATTATAACCTACAATAACGATTCATCCGTTCCCTGTCCCCTCTGAAAAGTTTGGATCTACCAGAATCCAGTCACTCCATGCCTGCAATGCCCCAAACCTCAACTACACCCGATCATGCCGGGGATGGCTGGCACATCCTCTACAACCCATTTACCACCATTATTAACGTAGACGAGTGAGTCCATCCCTGCCACAGAAGCGATCATCTGGACTGAATTGTCTTCTCTGGTAGAGAGCACCCTTCAGGTCCTCTGCAGCTATTCCTTCTGCGTCCCCTCTGGGCTCCGTTATTATTTTCGAACGTCACTTCCGATGCTCGCGACCACTGTGCGAACGAGCGAACTTTCTTGTCCTGGCTCCGCCTTTCAGTCTACATGGCTGTAGTATCCGTCGCCATCTTTGTCAACTTCCATCTCAAGCACCAGCCAACCAGCCTCGAACAGAGACTCTCACATCCTTTGGGTATCATTTTCTGGGCTCTCTCGCTTGCTTGTCTCGCCAGTGGGATGGCCAATTACATGCGGACCGTGACCAAGTATGCGGGTAGACGCGCTTTGGTACAGTCTGGCATCAAGACCCAAGTAGTCTTTGGAGTCGTAGCGACTTCCATTGTAGCTGCATGCGGCCTGTTTCTGGGAGCGGAAGCTCAAGCCTCAAGAACTCGGAGGAACTGATTAGCAAAATATGCTGTCCTTGACTCGATGTCCCTGATCGTTCATGACATTTCAGTTCATGACTCAACGGTATGCTACCAGGGCCGCGAGGATTGGGTGTTTAGGGATACCAGAGCGCAAGGATGCTTGTGTCGCAGCGATTTGTCTTCACGAAACCCGGAGGCAGAAGGCCGGTATCACACGCCGATTTCGATGATTCAAAGCCTGTGATCGACCTCGTCCTTCTTCAGCGGCACAGTGATGCGCATCCCATCCAACTACGAGATTACCCGATTGTGGTGCAGGTAATGTTCTCATCTGGACCACGACTCAAGCTGAATATTCTGCTGCTGTAAAGCGCCAGATCAGACCAGGCCATGGCAAGGCTCCAATCTCATTGTAATAGCTTGAATTTGTTTCATCGAAACATGGTTCTGCTATACACCGACCCTCAGTGAGAACTGAGAACCTTCATGGTCGATAACTTCCGATGCGACGACGAATGAGACACCTTCGTGCTCTCGATATCCTCCTCCGATCCGGCGTCTTTCCACTTTTCCAACTTCACTCCAGCTCTTCCAGCCGTCGATTGTTGATCTGATCGCATTGGACTTATATACATTCCATCCCGATCATAATTTGACGGGCCACGACGAATCGAAGGCACAGCAGCTCGTCTCGCTGGATCGTGCAACAAGTTAGGAAACAATCTGTCGACTATGGGCTTGATTATTGGCAGGCAAGCACAAATGATCCCCACGTTGATTTCGAGGCACGACCACGCTGCAACATCTGGGTAGAAGTGGCTCAAGTCACTCTCGGCGTGGTTGACACCCAGGTTAAGAGCCCTAATACGCAAGCCCGAACATAGACAGGTACTTGGTTCATCATATTCAGGTTAGCGGGCTGGCCATCTACCTCCTTTCTCCTACCAGAGCTTCGGATAGTCTTGCATGAGATGGCGGTGGAATACTTACAAAATTCCCAACGCAAAGACCACAGTGAGCCAATACTTCTGACGCTTTGGTAGATGCAGCCCCTTGATCAGAGGTATAGGCAGAAGCCAGATAATAATTGCTGTGAGCGTGTTGAAGCCGGCTGATGTGTACCAGAAAAAATAATAATTGATACAACGAGCCGGCGGCGAGAGAGGATCCCAGATGTACCTTGTTGGGACGCACTGAAATGCCAAAGTCAGGGTCGAAGCGATACCAAAAAGCGTGACGATGAAAATCATAGCGGTCGTGATGCGACGAAGCCAGAGGCCGACGAAGAAGTTGCGATACTGGAAGAGGAAGACGTTTTGAGTGAGCATCATAGCTACACTGTAGACTATGGTGCTTCCCCAAAGGGCCTGTCAACACCCGTTCGTGTTAGCGATCCGCTTTGCACTGACGTGCCACCGACATTGACTATCCGGCCACCACGCACCTTGAGGAAGCTGTATATTTCGAGAATGGAAAGCTCACTCATGTGCTGGCCAAGCCCATTGTATGCTTCTGCAAAAGTGTCAGTCCAGAAAGGGGAGTCGTGCGCGGGGCGGGGGACTGAGGTTTACGGAATATAATAAGCGTCGTCAACGCCATCGACGCCAAAATGGAGAATATGAGCAGCAAGTCGTCAATCAAGAACTTCTTGACAATGAAGGCTCTGGTATAGAGGCGCACGCCTCCAAAAAGGACCGAGAGGAAGGTGAAAGTCAGGGAACAGACAAGTGCACCGGTGCCGTCCATTGCGTCTGGGTCTGCGAAGAGAGATGGATGGTGGATGGATCGACGTGACGCTGCCGTGAACTTTGTCAGATCCGCTGGAGTCAGATCCATGCTCTTTCAGCCTGTTATTCCATTTGGGTGATGATCCATGGATGTGACCCGATGATATCCTCAAACGACGACTTCAAACGGCGCCGGTAAAAGAGCATGGGAGCGAATGACGAGGTCACCCGATCAGAGGTTCATTCGTCAAGTGAATACAGTGAGCGACAATGGTGAGAGTTCCTTATTCAGCAGAGCAATGTGAGAGCCGAGAATAGGCGACATTGATATTGGAGATTAGCTGTTGAATTCATTCCTATTGATGTCGATCTTGCCGTGGAAACGCAAACAATGATATGAACGAGCCTACCGCGGATGTCTTCACGAGAAGTGCCCATTCACCCTCCGAGTGCCAATACCATGGACTTATGATATTGCTGTTTATGCATGGTAGGTGCGTTTGTTCGAGACTCTACATGATGAATGCTCTCGGTGTGTTTTCGAGGCTTATCACAATGTGCCTACCTCGCCACATATGGCTCTTCGTCGACCTTGGTACCCTCCTTCCAGCAGTCTTGAATCCACGTCGCTCTGACTATTCGAGGAATTCGTCGACTCGGCCAATGTGAGACATCATGTCTCAGTGCCTTCAAGTCGGAATTCGGGTGAGCAATGATGTGTGTCACGCTGGGTTTGACCTTGTCAGGGATCGCGGTCAGGTCGGTGTAAGGAAGGACGCTCGCTCCACCGAATAATGCGATATTGCGCGTCGTAGTGTCCACATACTCTTGTTCGGTGTTCGTGCTGGGCTTGGAGCCTGTCACACCGTTTTTCTTCGACGTCGACGTCGACGTCGTTCTCGTTGTTGCTGTTGTCATGTTGGATGCTGGAGTGTCAAAGACTATCACGAGTTCTCTAAGCATAAAGCCTTTCATCTCGAGATACTCGGGAAACAGATCCTGAATTCTCCTCTCTTCCCCATTGTGGTCGACATCTTCAATATCGTCCATCTTGTCCATGATATCTCTGAGTTCGTCCACGGTCGTGTCTCGGGCGAAGCTATCGCCGTACTCGTCTACGTTTTCGACCCACTGGTCGGCCAGAGTCTCTGGTGTGAAGAACAGATGGCGCCCTGGTTCAAATGGCACCACTGTTTCCGGATGTCCCGTCGCAAAATCACGGCGCGCTTGATCCAGACTGTCAAAGATCCAGGTTGGCTTGACAATCTCCTTTTCGCCCGTCTTTTGGAGACTCGCGACTTTGACTGTCCTTCTGGACGCCACGCAAATTGTATCTTTGACCACGTTGTGCGTCTGGACGATTTTGCCGCCATTCGCCTTGACCAGGGCCTCGAGTTCCAGTTTTGACTTCTTTGGCGCGGGTGGTGTGGATTCGGTCATGATGTAAAATGTCAGTCCGGCGAAAACATTTCCTTGCGGCCCGACTGGAAGCTTTACGTTGTTCACTTCTTTAGCATTGTAGCCTGCGACAGTGACAACTCTCTTCCGTGAGGTCTCTTTGCGTTTTTTCCTCTTCTGCTCGTCCATAGCTAAAGATTTTTCCTTAAGCGTATCTTCGATCGTCTTCCGGATAGTCTGAAACTCTTCCAATGAAAGTGCAGTAGCCCAGTCTTTGTCTTGACGAAGCTTCTTGAACCGAGGAAATCGCAAGGTCATGCCACAGCCGTAGTCTTCGCTTGGAACAACCTGTGCTGCTTTCACCTCAACCACGAGCGAGTCCTCAGGCTTGATCCACATGTCAGGCTTCTCGCGGTTCCCTTGAGTCCCACCAAGGTCGATGTACTTCGTTGGAGGTCGTTTAGCATCCCATTTATGCCACTTACCGTCAGTATGATGGCGAATTGTGGAGTAGTCATTGGCATTGAAACCACCTCCTACTTTGAAGAATGACACGAACTTCTTCGACGTGCTAGAGCTTGGTGACCGACTCTGCTCCTCGGACTGGCTTTGATGTTGACTCTGGCTTTGGGCCTGTGCAGAGCCAGAAACGCGTAGCCCGCACATGAAGCTGGAAAGGTGACCACCCCTTTTCCCCGACCCATAAAAGCCTCCTATGATGAGACAATCAAGTGATTCTCCGTAATCTTTCATGTACTCAGGTTTGACCTTTTGCCAGTCGCCGGTGCGGTCATCCAACTTGTATGCTCCTCGAGGGTTCTTAAGCACCAACCCTTCAGATCCTTCTGCAATGACTTCACGAAGAGCAGCTTCGACATCTTCTGGCCTGGTTGCGACCTTATATGAGTGTATCTCCAGGCGGCCTGGCTCAGACTGAACGCATTCTTCTAACGCCCGTCGGCGGTCAGAAAGGACGTATGGCATTAGGACTTTGTCGTTAAGCAGCAGAATATCAAAGACGCGGAATAGCGGTCGGGGCCCTTCTGCGAACGGGTTTCGCATTTCGGCTAAAGCTGCTGTTTTCAAGGTGCCGAAAGGCACAGGAGCGCCTTCTTTGGGGTCCCAAGTGATCATTTCACCGTCGAGAATGATATTCTCAACACCCTCTTTAAAACAGCTCTTCAAGAACTGAGTGAGAGCACCCTTGTCATCGTAAAGCCCATTACCGTAGAGGTAGGTATAGTCTTTGCCTTTTCGTGACCAGAATTGGAAGCGCTTCCCTCCAACAACCGTATCGTCAGTTATCATATGCAATTGCATACGTTCCCCATCCAGCTTCTCCTCAATCCAGAAATCTTGTTCATCAGGTGTAGGCTGCAGCTTTTGCACGACCTTCTTCAGAGGAGCTTGAGTAAATTGAGCGAGTTGAGGTTGAAAGCATTGCATAAGGCCGATTCCGCTTTCCTCCTTATCGAGACGTTTGTCCGGATCCCAGAGTTCCCAGCAAACTCTCCGAAGGTTACTCGAAATATTGAAAAGGTTTTCGGCGTCTGGATGCCAGATATGCAAAAATGTCTTCTCGGTAGCACCCACCTTCATCGATTTCAAGATAATGCGAATAAGCCAGGTGAGTTCCTCGGCATTCATCCGTTTATAGAACTCAGTCAAGATAGGTAGTTGATATTCCTCTCTGGGGGCAGCGGACAACTTGTCCAGCAGCTCGTTGACTTCGTCGATGTCCATGTCGCCATAACTCGTTCTCATCTCTCGCTTCGCGAGGACGCCATAGCAGCGTAACGGAAAGTCTCCCGAAGAAGTAGGATTACTGACTGCGGAGGGGCTCTTCCAGTCCAGAAGACTCCGCCCGTCCTCGGAATTCTTGTCGATCTTCAAGATCTTGACCAGGAGTTTGGCAAGGACCTTCTCCTTGAGTCCGTACACACCACGCTCCCGGTCTTTGTCGGGAATGATGAGACGAAAGGCCGGAAAGAAATCAGGGCCGACATCTCTCCTCCAACGTGAGATATAGCGTTCAATCACTGCTCTTCGTATTTCGGAAGGAGAATTGCTCTGTCCATTGGGTCCAAGCTTTCTTCGATTTACGGCCGCAGGTTTATTGGTATTCCTTCTACTGTTGTCTAGGAGTGGTTGGAACAGATCTCTGATCAGAGTATGGAAGGGCAGCGCTCTGTGTTTGTTGTGAGGCCTGTTTGGATACTCTTCATCAAGTTGGCGCTCGATCTCAGCTCGATCAGGCTGGCCTCCACTTTCGTGGTCAACCTCCGTCCCATCGCCTTCAGACATCTGGTCGTGGTTGGAGAGAAGTTCGGTTTAGTGCGGATCTTCAGCTCTTGCAGCCTGGCACGGCACAGACAACGCATCTATTTCAAGCTGGAACATTGCGTGGCACAAAATCACGAGATTCACCGGCGTCAACTGCTTGACTGATAGTGAAGTCACGTCGACCAGGGTGCGGATATGATTCCCGTGACGAAAGCGAAAACGCGAGACCACGTGATCTCAGCGCAGCCTCGGGGAATTGGTATGGACTGCCGCATGCGGACTCAATCTGCTTACGAGGCACATTCCATCTTCATCATTCTCTCAAGTAATCTGCATGCCTCAGGATCCCTCACACTCGTTCACCTTCTTGCTCGATCCAACTTAGGACATGTTTACTGCGCTACCAACACCTGACTAATCACACTCGTTTCTCAACTCGCTTTTGATGCCTGCGCATCCGAATGAAGCCCCGATGTCAATGGATTGATGACTGAGAAACAGGCACGGCGTCCACCTGTGGCGCCAAAGCCCTCATTCATACAGCAGGATGCCTCCGCTCTCAGAGTATCTCCTGTGCCCTCTCCTGCTGTGCGTGGAGCCACTCTAGCCTTTGCTCCGACTTCAGCAAAAGCCTCGAATCCGACCTCACATAATCCAGCTGCAGGCGCTTTGCTGGCAGCGAGCCTTGCTGCCAGCAAAAAACCACAAACACCACAGGCCTCCAAAGAAGCAAAGTCGCCTCGGCCAAATGCTCCCTGGGCGCAAGCACCGCCGTCAAGCCCTCGTGGCCGTATGTTGACGGATTCGAAAGTACCTGTGGCAGCAAGCGAGCTACACTCCGACCATCCGCCGCCTCCTCCAGCCTCCGGGCCTCGGCTCCCTCGCTCTACGTCTGCAGTTGCAGCTGCCGCTGCGTCAGCCACCGCATCCACAAGAACAAGCCCTGTACCCATACCAGGAACAAGGAAGCCTATTGTATATTTGGGACCACCAGAGACTCGTCAAGAGGGCCGACCACGGGCCAGGAGTACAGCCAGCCATAACGACGGCGGTCTTTCAGTCTCACAGAGCTCTGATGCCCTTGCTGGCGCTGCCGCTGCTTCCATGGCGGTAGCTGCTGCGCACATTCAGAGTGGCTTCGATGATAGACCCAGGCACGAGCTGGGGTCGATCCCACGGCTAACACTACCTTCCTCGGAGGTTTCAGTGACTTCTAGTCCTTCGCCGTCCGTCACAGCAGCGGCAGTTTCAGCAAGTAGAAACGCGGAAAGCGTAGAAGGCAGGAGACGGGGCCAATCTACCTCTAGTCGAAGCACACAGCTCGATAACGCCCCATCAGTCTCTACTTGGACGGATCGGAGTTGGCATCGATTCATACCATCTCCTCAAGAATCCGAGTCCGAAAATGATAGTGCGCAGCAGGAGATTCTAACGCCCGACAGGGTCCTACCGGCACCCATTCCATTGCGATCTAGCCGAGCTGCTATGATCGCACAAGAAACTCCCGATTCAAAAGGATCTCCAGCGCTTGATACCCGAACCAAAATGACCGCGAGTTCACTTGCTGACGCCATGGTCGCCTCATCTTTGGCTTCCCAGCTTACAGGATCTCGGAATGCATCTCCAAAACCGAGACCTCCACCTCCAGTTCCTCGGCGAAGATCTAAATCAATCGGCCCAGTGGAAAATGTCCGCCATCATTTGCATTTTCCCCATCTGAGAAGTGAGACGCCTCCACCGCCTCCACCGTTGAAGCCATTACCAGTCCGTCATATGAGACAGACATTGCGCACTCAATCGTCCGACCACGACGAGGTTCACAAGGAAGTCCTGCACAAGCGTGGACGAGGTCACTGGACCAGGCATCCTAACAAACATCATGAAGGTGATCGTAAACGGTGGCGAGATAAAATCACAGAGCGAGAGAGGAAAAGGTATGAAGGTGTTTGGGCCGCAAACAGAGGTGTCCTTATCGAGCTGGATCCCGAACTAGCAGTATCTGGCCATTCCAATGATACCACACCTGTAAGCGATCTGGTCGTCAATGTCGTGGTTCGAGACATCTGGGAACGCAGTCGCTTACCCAAAGACGTACTAGAAGAAGTTTGGGATCTTGTGGCGCGACCTGGAGCGAAAGCATTAAACCGTGAGGAGTTTGTGGTGGGTCTGTGGCTCATTGACCAGAGGTTGAAGGGCAGGAAGCTACCCATAAAGGTCTCACCAAGCGTTTGGTCCAGTGTAAGGCATACTCAGGGTGTAAAGATATCGAACAGGGCTTTGCAGAAATAGATCATCATTCGCGTACAACAAGCCGTGTTGTGCCCCTGAAGAGTCTTATGGTTTTACCAGATAAGTCGAAGTAAAGTTGGATACACACCTGTCCATTGTCAGATATTCAGAAGAATTGTCCCTGTAGGGAGGGCCGTTTGCTCCCCCTCCCACCGTGAATGTTCCTTTCGCATTCACCTTGTTTCTCGGACGGGCACTCAGCAAAATTTGTACGGTATACTATCATTAGCACACAGTATATGACCGGCGCTTGGTGTCTTCGAGAACGTAGTTTCATGTGACGATCGTGCATGGTGTATCACAGGTGCAGGGCCATTCGATCGATAGCCGCTGAGGTCGCGTTAGAGTTCAAGGCACTCGAGCCTCAGAGGCCAAACCGGTCCAGCCGAGAGCACTGTAACACCAGTCTGGGGTTGCTACGTAGCAATCTTCCTTTTGCTCTTTTTAAATCTTATGGATGTTTCAAGTTCAAGACAGGACAATGCTTCCTACTTATGGATGACCGAAGTGAAGGATGTATGAGAGGGATATCTCAATCACGTGCATAGCCTATTTTGCGTGATGTGGAGATTATCTTCGATCTCATGTAACTGACTTTCCGGTTCTTCGCTTCAAGTACTGCGTGTCATAGTCATCATGGTCGACAGGGACCATTGTCGTATCATGATCAATCCAAGCCGTGTGCTGACTACTATGAGCTTTCGTTACAAGCTCTCGTTCAGTGTTTCCTTGTTGAGATCGAGGAGACAACATCGTCGAGTAAGTCCATGTTACTGACCCCATAAAGATAGGAGATCCGTGAGCCATTCGATAGGATACAATGCTATGGCGACATTCAATACTGCCAATGTGATCATGCCAACTCGATAGAGCTGCGCCATGAGATACAGGGAATTCAACTTCCTCTTTAGCTTGCATAACCCACCCAAGCGCACGCTGTAAGCGCCCGTTCCGCTTGGCTGGCGTCTCCGTAACAACCAGGAACAGAAGCCATTCGATCACCAGCACCCTGTCTTCGGGTCCTAAGCCGCGTCAGGATGGTTGCAGGACGGCTCTCCCTCTCTTGCTGGCCTTCATGACTTTCGGCGTTTAGTTGACCAGTGGCTTTGAGCACCTCACGGCTGGATACTTACTCTGATTCGCTCACACAATCTTCAATCCTCAATTGAAGCCTTTGCAGCATGCGACCTCAGAAACGGACATGCTGCGGTTTCGTGTGTCCAGGCGCTATGCCACCTTGGGCGTGGAGTCGAAGTCAGCTGCGTCTACTTCTAGACAAACGTTTGAGATCGGGATATCGCCGAGTGCCACTACCCACGTTAGTGGGATTAGAAGGGACCACTCAAGAACAACGATGAGGATTCCCTAGAAACTACATCTTTCAATTGCAGTCTTCACCAAGGTTCGTGGCCGGATGACATCAATGAGCTGCCAATATCGATTTTGACTCTTGCGGGAAGATATCAAATGGCAGACGCATTAGATCCTGCGACGAGTGTGCACCAAGGGTTCTGGAAAGATTGGTCAAAGGACGGTATACAGGGGCTGACCTGGACACTGTCACCGACGAACGCAATTATCCTGACTAACTCCCTTACCCTTTTCGTCACCATCATAAGTGTACAGTTATGGACGATCATCCGATATACACTGCATCAGACTGGGGCAACGTCACCTCCGGAGATGACACCTCATCTTCGCAGCGAACAGGTCATATTGAGAAACGCTGGCAGCGATCTTGCAACAGCACAGCATATGCTAAGTCTTGCCTGGAAATCTCGACGAATATCCGGGAAGCGCTCCCTGCGGTCATATGGCATTGGATTTCTTGCCCTCATATATGCCGTCATCTTCATGCTCTCTGGCATCTTTTCAAACAGAGCCATCAGCTCCGGGTCAACAAATGGTGGATCAGCGGTCCTTGTGACCAGCAAATATTGCGGCGTCTGGAATGACACATACTTCGCGATTGCAACCGGGGGGTTTTCGAATCAGGAAGAGTTACAGCTCAATACTCAGTGGGTCGCGAAAGTGGCACACGACATCCAACTCAGCCTTCAGTATGCCCAAGAATGCTATTTTTCACAGTCATCGAATATGCTGGTGTCCGCCAGATCCGCAACCTCTAATGCCACCTCATCACGCTGCAATAGTTTGAAATCCCCGAGCCTGGGATGGGACACCCGTAAAGGCAGTTGCCCCTTCAAAGAACAGACCTGCCATCAGGATTCCAAGACCATTGTTTTGGATACGGGTGATATTGATTCCCATATGCACCTGGGTATCAATGCGCCACCTAGCCAAAGATTGACCTACAGGAGAAATACAACTTGTGCTGTTCTTGACGATAAGAATTACATTACCGGTTGGGATGGATCTGTAACAAATACATCTAGCCCTAACCCTGGCCAGAAGACTGCATACGCAAACTACGGTCCTTCGCTGTACAAGTCTACCAATTGGACATATTCATACACAAATTTTGCGTCATTCTACAATAACTTCTCGAGCCAGGTAACGGCACCTTACCTCGTGGATCCTGAGCGAGCATACGCCTTTGCAGAACCGCAATGGTCCACAAGTGATTTTGCACCCGTTGCCGAAGTGGCTCAAACGGATGCAGATCTTACATTGCTCTTTCTCAGCTTCATTGGCATGTATCTAGGGGAAGTCAATGACCCATGGTTCTCTGCCCACGAAGCACAATTGGTCAACACGAGCACCCCTTTCTTGAATCAGCGATATTTGCGTGACGAAGCCATTAGCACAATTGGATGCACCGAGCAGCATCAGTTCTGTACGCACAACGGTACCTGTACGGGTTTCCTTGGATTTGACCAGGTTCAGAATGTGAAAGAATTCAACGATGCGCTTACACCTCACCAGAACGCGACCTTTGATCGGATGCTCCGTGCCGTCGCCTTCTCCCTTATCGCACACGTGGTTGAAAACCTCGGAGTCACAACGACTTCGATGCTGGCTACCAGTGTGACCAAAACTGGGTCTACCGGCGCAGTCATATCAGAGCCACTGCCGGACGATCAGTGGGAGACAGAGCTCCAGTACTGGCATAGCGTTGCTATGGCCCAGCTTCAACGAGGGATGGCTGAATGGGCTACGGGACAGATTGCTCCTTCTCCCCAATACGTCCAGTATCTGCTTCCTCCAACGGCTGAGCAAGACGTCTGGTTCTGTAAAAGCATGATCATACCATCGACATTCTACCAGTCATTCAGTGTGCTCGCGATCATGGTTATCGTTATACTCGGGACGGTTATAATTGTTCTCGGCTTTACCATTGAGAACTTGGCGGCATGTGTGCGCAGCCGTCTTCGGAAGTCTCCTCCACGAGGCGACTGGGAACACGACGACATGCTGCGAAGACCGACCTCAGGAATAGGCCTGAACCTCTCTCGCACAACTCGGCGCGACCGTCATCCTTCTATGGCAACACGAGAAAGCACCTTTGAAAAGGATTTTGATTCCCTAATGGGCCTCCGACCGTCAACTAATCGCAGGATCTCATCTCAGGTTCTGGCACCTACTGATCCTGCTTTCGGCATTGTGAATTATCACACAACGTCCTCCTTCACAGGGAAAAGCAAGGAGATGATGAAGGGATTTTCCTTTCGGCTCGAAGAAAAGGCATCAATGCCCAGCAATCTAGTTGTACCATTCGAGAATCCTCGGAAATCGCCATCGCCACCGTAGGAGTCTTTAGCCCATACAATGAGCCATATCAGATTGGATGGTAGGATTTAAAGATCTGAGCAACAATGCAGAAGTTTATTGGTTGAATTATTGCACGCGAAGGACTCGCATCACTCACTCGTTGACTTGGCCAGCTCTTCTCATTTACCGTCATATGTTCACCGGGCCCTAATGACTTATCCCTCAGGATAGTCTGACATTCGCTACTACTTCAGAAGGGGAGATAGCATAGAATGCTCAACGAGAACTTGATTGAGTCTTGAGTACAGATAGTAACAATAAGTCGAGCCATTTCGTTGCCGACTGCAACCAACACGATCTCATTTCTCCTCCAGTTTCCGGTCGTCTCCTTCTTTCCCCTTTGAAGACTCGCCGGTAGTAAGTCAGTCACTTGTCTGTTGCTTCTTCCTCTCATCACCTCTCCCTTTCTTCGCTGCCCTACCCTGCGCTTCAGTACGACCCCTCGTCGCTTGTCACATCAGCCGCAATTTTGTCGACAGACGGCCTATCCCGGTTGGGATGAATGGCAGCTCTGCGAGAGCTTCAGAGCTGCATATAGTGCGGCTGTATTCTCACCCTCGTTGGCGGCTATTTGCAAGCAGGGGCCCATCAATTCTTGTCTTTTGCGCATGGTCTCGGCGCCCTCCCCAAGCAGTTGGAGCTTCCTTCTCAACCGACCAGAAGAAAGAGAACCGGAATGAAGTCCTCCACGTCGTCTCGAGCGAACAAAGTTTTGTATACTCGGGCCCTCCTCTTCTCGGAAATCGCCGACTCTGAACGCTTGTTTCTGCATCTGCATGGGCCAGTTGCGTATGTCTCTGTCGCTCTTTTTAGTGGCTAAATATTGTCTCGTTGACCTGTGTTCTCGGTCTTTCTATTCGTCCACTTCCCGGCGCCTTCATCATAGACGATATTTTGATCTCTATAAATAGTGATCATCGTCTCCCACATCTTGAGCTCTTCAGCGGTCCCGTATGGCAAGATGTCAGGGAGGGCATTGACATCGGCAGGGAATCTGCTCTGCCAACCCCTTCCGGTCATCGGCATCTAACCGAGCCCGGCTCCCTGAATGGAAGACTCGATTGCGGGCCGCATACTCGTCAATGGCCATTCTTGCGATTTTATTATCGATCGCCTTTGCGGCGACAACCGTTTTCTCAAACACCTGATTCTATCTAGCGTGTTCAGAATGATGGTCTGACGTCTCCCAGAGTCTCAAACCGTCTGCAAACGTTGTCGCCAGCCCTTTCATTCGGGCATCTGTCCGGGCGACATGTTTTAAGAAGTTGAATACGCCTCCGGCGTAGTCTCCGAGCTTTGCCATCGCCTTCATCTCCGCCAGTTCTTTCTTCACGAGAGCTAGTTCTGCTCTCAGGCTGGCTTCGGTCCCATCGTCACTTTCGGCTGGCGGCATCTCGGAGTCTAATGAGGGAGTAGTGAGGTCGGGGAGGGAGGCCCGTAGGTTGTCGACAAAGTTAGAGGAATCCATTGTGTTTGGGGAGGAGTGAGGTAGGACAGGTAAAAACGCAACACTTCAAAGAGTCTGATGTGTATGGAAAGTGTCTAATGGACAAGTATCAAGAAACTGTAATATTGACAATCTTCTCGAGAAGGAGGACTTTAAAGACAATATTCAAACAAGTGCATATCTCAGTCTGAGGGACTTCAAGAACAATGCTTCAAGTGTATCTTCTCAGTCTATAGGACTTCAAGGACAACATTCAAACAAGTGTAGCTTTTCGGTCTGAAGGACTTCGAGGGTAATGCTTAAACAAGTAAAGCTTCTCAGTCTGCAGGACTTCAAGGACAATGTAACAACGCTCTGGTTTCTGTGCACAGAAGTTTCAAGTACAAGTCGCGTGAGATCAAAACACTGTTGTTGGTGCCCACCTGATCATGACTCTGATTTGGATGGATACAAAACATTGCGTCACATAGCAAACGGACGCCTGTGGAGAACGAGGCCTCGCCCAATCGGTGAACTTGAAAACTCCAAGGTGGACTGAGGGTCAGGAACTCAGAACAAGACAGAAAGACGGAAGGAGGAGCGTGTTTTGATGGGGTTGTACTGTGTCTCAGACACAAGGAGAGGTGTTCGAGGTATCACTCTGTAAACAGATAGTTAACAATTGCTCAGTCTACTTGTGGAAGGAGAGCCGAGGCCCCCTTTTGCAGAAGGTGCAGCGAGAGCTTACCATCACAACAGGCATCAGACTTTCATCTGTAGGTAGCTATTACTTTGTGCAAACTTTGAAATCGCGTCGCTGAGGACCTTCAGGTAAGAAAGGTATAGTTATAAATGATGGCGACAGGCACGATTCTCAGAGCTCGTGAAGCTCCTCACTTGAACAACCGAGCCCTACCATCGCCTCCCTTCCTGTCGAACTTCGACGTATTATATATGCCGAGTGCGTGAAAATCCGCGCATTCGGACTGCTCTATGTGAACAAAAAATTTCACAATGAATTTCAACCCTTTCTCAACGAGGAGTTTATCCTTCGCTTTCACATTGACCCTTCCTCGTCCACAGAGGTCACCATCACCAATCCTGACAACTCCCCTTGGGGACGCCGTAGTGTCCTCGATGCAGCATCACCACATCCTGACTACAGTATTCTTGATGCGATGCCCATAGACCGATTCAAGGGCATTCACATCGTGATCGACCCGCCAAGCACAGACGACCCAGGACAAGTTGTTCGAGGTTGGCTACAATCCATTGCACTGGTCACAGCTTTAATCCCTCGATTTGCAAACCCCTATACGATTCCTGAAACCGAGAAAGACTTCTTCATCCCAGATACAAGACTGTCGGCTCGACTGCCACCCGTCACCATACAGGTTCGAAACGGCACGAATCACAAATGGCATACAGAAGGGTCGTGGAATAAAACCCTCCACCATTTTCCCGTCTTGAAAAATAGGCCTTCAACTGTACTGCAAGACGAGAGAGCCTTTTCTGATTTGAAGACCATACTGACACCCTTGGCACGCCTTAGAAATGCCGACGCTATTGAGTTCGAGCTGCCGTCCGCTGCGCCCGTGGAGAGCGACTTTCAAGACTTTCTAGACTCTCTCGTCTTGGTTGCGACTGAGGAGAAACTGTTCGGTTTGAATTTGAACAGCGATTTCTACGATAACGATGACGATATACAGTGTTATGAGGATGCTCTACACGTGTGGTTTGACCTTCTTCTTGACGATATGCGCGGGCCATCAGCTGCGGAGTTACGGCGTGACCGATTCAAGTTCTGGTGTTCAGAGTATGAACACCAGCTAGGTCGCCGCTTTAATGGCCTCTGGCGTGACCTTCCCGGAGGTGGAATGTTGGGCGGTGCTTGCTGGTACTTGGACCATGCTTGTTGCAACCTTGTTGAGAGAAAATTTCATGATAGGTTCATGAGTGCTCGTGAACACGTCCTTGCCGCACACAGAAATATACTGAGAAGTAATCGGGATATACTCTACCTCCCTCTCAAGAAAGAAGAGGAATTTTGGTTCCACCATGATAGAATTCACTGTCTTGGACTTGAGTCGGAACTAGGAGATGATGAGACTTTCTGGGAAGTCTGCTATCCATCTGGGATCAAACCAGAGTCCGAAAACTACAACTGGGAAAGTACGGAACACATCCGTATTCCGTATCGACTGGAAGCCCCGAAAGATGAATCTGACGATACGGCGAGCCAAATCTTCCCACCAGACATTGCAGGGTGTAAGCATTGTGATCAGGATACGTCGGAAAGAAGAAGAATTGTGCAGAAGTATGAGTTTGAGCGAGAGGCTACTTTCGATTTCTCGTCGCGGCATTGGCCTCAGGTATTTGGACCTAGCTCATTCGGTTTTCTCGAAAGCTTCGACGGAGTAAGCGACCTCTGCCAGAAGGTCTATTTCGCCGGATGAGCGTTGAACTGACGCTATACGACATTCCTGGCAACGAGGAGCTCCCTCTTACTGTTGCTCCTGCTCTAGCACAAAATGGGCCAGAAAAGCGTTTCGAGACTTTGCGTCTCGACAGGCATATCTGAAACACGCGTTTACTGTTGAAAGGATGGATGTGAGAAATGCCGCTCCTTGAAGGTACTGCTAGGATAGCAACGGAAAGCTCTTCACGCACTTCTTGAACACTGTTGTGCAGTTCTGGTGAGCTTGAAAGTGTCGGTTGGGCATATCCAAGAACAAGGAAGGGAATTTACAGGCTGTTATGTTGGGAGGCAGATGCTCCAATTCGGTCGGTGGGTTGGAAAGCCAAGTTTGACAATACGGTCTCGGATTCTGCCTGTTGGTGTGTTTTTTCTAGGGGTATCCCTGAGGAATGATTCCAGTCTCGAGATCTTTACCCACTGACTATCTTGCAATACCCCGGGACATTCTTGAGAAATTGAGGAAAAATTCTTCGGCTAGGCTTACTGGTGGTTTACCCTCTAGTTGTCTTGGTTAGCCTTTTACCGTCCGAATACAGGGTACTTGAAACCAGAGATGAGTCAACAAAAAGGCCTTTCTGCATTTTGATTACCTGATCCCCCTTATCCTGTAGCCTCGTCAGCCTTGTCTTGCAACCAACCACAGTTCCACTTGCCCCACAGATCTTTTCAATTTGAGACTCGCTTCTCCTCCTGATTGCGTCGTCGCCTATTTACCACCGTCGTGCGAGTTGTCAAGAATTTTTCTGCCTCTGTTGCAATGTTTTGAGGGTGTGAGTGCTCGGTGTAGGGAGAAAATTAAGTTGTCTGGTTCATGTTTCCTTCTTACGTATGACTCAGCCAGTACTGGACATTTACCGCACCGAAGGCCGGCTGCCGGATCAGCGCGTACATCATGTTGCCCGGTGAGGCAGACCCTTCTTCCTACGAGTAGTATTGTGTGTTTGTTTGCCTCGTCTCCGAATCTCCCACTTGATGCGTCGTCAGGCACCACCAAGAAACCCCCACGGGGGGGAGACGGGGGGCCGTGCAAGGAGTGGTGGCCCAATGCCTAGGCCCCTACATACTATAATACAGTACAGACTACAGTTAGACTCTAGTTAGTACTGTAGGTACTTGGGACTTTTTCTTTTACTTGTAGGTCCACCACCCCCCGCACGTACTCGGTACTTGATACTCGGGTACTTCTAATAAAGACTTGGCACGCAGTCTTCGGTACGAGTAATTGAAGAATAAGTACTCGTAGTCCGTCCAAGTACTGCGCACCGTACGATGACGGAGTGGTGTGGCTGTGTTCTTGTTTCTTGAGTTGATCAAATTCAAATCAATCAATCAATCCTCACTGCTCAGCCACCGGGCCGAGGGAACCAGTCAGTTTGGTGATCTTCAAATCCGGCTTGGCCCGGATCACGGCGTGGGAGGGAATTGTATCTCCCGTGGGATCGAGCGATGAAAAAAGAAAATCGATTGTTGGGGTTGGGGGGGGTTGTGACTCTCTGGATGAACTTGGTTTGTGCAATGTGTACAGTACGAGTACGGTACCTGGATCGCCACCCCCGGAAAAACCGTGCCGAGTCAATTTTTCTTTTTCTTTTTTTGGGTTGGAGAAACCTTCTTGCGCTGGCAACTCGTCACCGTACATAATTCGTTTCTGGTGTACGGTGGAGGGCGGGCTAGGAAGTAAGTATCGGATCAATCAATCGTCCTGAAAATTCCAAGATCTCCAGTACGTCACGAGATCCCAAGTAATAAATGTTACTCGTACAGTTACAGTTATACTGTACCACTTTTGCCCGTCGTACTCTACTCCCGAGGAAAGAGTGGTCACCAGAAAAGACCGGAATAGAATAGACTCGAGTAGACCAGAGATCTTTGGAAGTGATTTTTGATCCAAGTAAACAAAACCTGGCACCGGAGTGGGTGGGAACAGGGAGGAGATTTCACGATGATACCTACTGTTAGTCAACTCTACACAGGTAGGGAATTGTTCGTTGGGACCAGTATCAGGATCAGGATCAGGATCAGGATCAGCACGTAGGGTAATCATTGATCACATTAGTAGGTACCTCATGCATTCGTACATACAAGGTCGTATTTGAGACAATTGTTGTCTTTGATCAGAAACATTCCAACTACTAGGAAACAAACAACTAGAAGTGAGAGCCTGACCGTTGGTAACGTAACAAGTCAAAGTACAGGTAGGTACATAGGTAGATATCTACCTGGGCAACGTGGTTACATCTCAAACCGCTGACTATTCTCCATCCTAGGATCAATCTTCCCACCTGAGACAGCAATCGCCACGCAACTCAATCATACAAGTACGGTAGAGTAGCCTCAGTTAGGCAAAACTGCTACTAAACTTGTGCGACTATCCGGCGTACACTCCCTTGATCCGCGATCCCTTCATGTCGCAGCGCGAAAGCTGAGATCCATATGAAGAGCATCGCGTAACGGGACGACGGATATTGCGCTGGTGACACACACAGAGAGAGTACCTTTCTTTTCCTCTCATCCTGACTACTACCTCTCCAGGCTGGTTGTAATGTAACCACGACTACTGGGGTTGGCAGTGTGAGGACGGCGGGTTTGTTCCTGTCGGAAGGTATTGTTGTCGGAGGGAGGCCAAGGCCAGGTCTACCTGCCTATGGTGGCCTGTCGACATCTCGCTCCGAACGGTCCAGATGGGTTTCATAATCTCGTAAAGAATTCGTGAGATGGCGGGATCAGTCAATCAATCAATCAAGAATGTCAAAAGGTAGACCGCTAGATCGCTCGCTTGCTCGCTCGAAAAATGAGAAAACTAGTTTGAAATTCAATCGTCTTCGTCTTCGTCCACTTCGACGGGCGTCTCTCTGATCATGATGGGACGGCTTTGTCTCCAACTATGATCTCTGGAGTTGTGTTTCGTCGATGGCGGTGGAGGGGGTCTCCTGTTAGGGCTGGCTGGAGCGTTTGATTTGGACGTCTTCTCGACCACGTGCGTGTTGACACCATAGTGTTTCAGGTCCTGTTGTGTTGCGGCGTCGATGATATGTGCATCTTCGTCTTCAATGTCACAGTCAAAGATGGCTACATCTCCGTCCTGGGCGGGATACTCGTTGCTGTCTTCGTAGCAGTCTTCAAATGGATCGGAATCTTCCTCGTCGGAGCTGGATTCGACTAGCACAGTCTCGGATGGTTCGGCAATGTCACGAGACCAGCGTCGCACGCTGTCAACGATGGAAGCATGAGCTACTATTCTGTGAAGGTCGGGGGTTTGACGACGGCATTCTCTGTCTAGTTTGGTTTGACCGAGGTGGTATACTCGGTAGGCGGTGATGGCCGGGTTATTTGTAGAGGTGAGCATGTTGTTGTGAGTCTTGGTCGAAGACCGGTAGATCATTGGCATACAGAGAGAATGAGAGGAAGCGTGTGTGTGATATGTATGTGTGTCTGTGCCTTTCCCAGTGTGGGAGCGTGTGTGATATTGAACGTATTTATTGTGGCCAACTGGTGTGCTATGAGAGATCTGTGTGTGTGCGTGTGTGTGGTCTAGTTCGAAGAGGTCGAAGCGATCAATGACGAGGCAAATCCAAGACTATTATATCTGAGTCGGTCTGGAGTGTCAATAGCCGGAGAAAGGAACCTGGGATAAACTCACGGTGGAACCTCGAGAACGACATCGTTCGCAAGATGCTGCGGGTCCGGCGATGACCTGACGATCAGGCGCCGGAAGGCGCGGCAGAACGAATGATGACTGAGGTAACATTTTCGACAGCGGAACGGCGGACGGAAAGGGCAGTTGGCAGTGTTGAGGTCAGCCTGTCGATCGGGTCAAGGATGTAGCGGAGTCAGAGATGAGTACAGTAGTACATGTGTCTAGATACGAGTAATTGGTGCTGTAGCAGTCAGTGTCTTGGTCGTGTCGCAGGCTAAAGGTAGAGGCACCACGTACTCGTCATAGTCGGAGTCGTTTCGTAGGTACTCTTCCTCTTCCTCTCCCTCGCACTCTACAGGTCCAGTTTGAGTTACCCTTGTAGGTAGGTGCCTAGCTAGGCAAGTGCCCAAGGCCTAAAGGCCACTTTATAGGCTAAAGGCCCCAGGCTGGTGAGGCTCACTTCACTGCCTGTAAGAGGGAAGTTGGGCTACTGGGCTCTCCTACTACTCCTACTCCAGCCCCCGCCTAATGAAACCTTCAGAGAGACCGACTCCTCGCAAACCTTGGCCGTGTGTGACTTGTCGAATACTTGGACGTGCGCGGACAAAAACTGGGCAAACCGTCTTGTCTTGCTTGGACCTTTGTCCTTGATCGAGATATCTGTACGGCATCTACTGATTTTGTTCAGATTTGTTGTTTCTGCCCGATTTCTTCAACTCGATTCTCCTGATTTCTTCGTCCTCGTCACCCACATACCAAAGTTGACACTAACAATCGTTCAGCCACCGTAGCATCGCGTCCTTCCGAACACGAGTCCCCGAAAAAACCTTTTCGCAAGATTTCGCAAGATTTCGCAAAGACTAGTGAGACCATCCTACTTCGAGCACAGTCCAGCATCCAACTCTCTGAGTGAAACTGCCGGAAGAACGTTTTACTCACACCCGCTACGCTGGACTAGTTTACCATCCCGTTGATGACAAAGGTTTTCCCGCTTTGACTCTTTTTGTTCGAACACCGCGCGATGGCTTATTGTTACGCGCCTCGCTTCCGAGGTTGCGCCATCACTCATCAGTCACGAGCGAGTACTGCCAGTGCGTCCCCTCAAATATTGGATTCCCTTGATGATTCATCCAGGGACACGTCTATCGTGTACGTGCCTTTTGCTCAGTCAGGCCCCCGCATGCTGTAGAGAACCACTCCCGTACGTCGACGGTTATTATTGCTGATCTTCATTGTTGTCACTGGCTTGAAACTTGTTCCAGTCGCGTATGAGTATGCGTACGGAGAACACCACCTCCACCACCAACCACCTCTTCGACCACACCGACTTCGAAACCCTTGTACCCTTGGTTGGGCTCTTAGTAAGGAACGTGATCTGGAATAAGCTCTACTACTCATGCAGATGCTGTACGGACGGACGGGCTACAGTACATGGCTCCGTCAGCGATTCCCCTACACCGACAACGGTGCGCTGTCGACCTGGATCTCGATCCATTCAAGAATTCGATAGTACGGCAAAGGGCTCTCGCTTGAAACGTGAAATATGCAAAGTAATCAGCATCCGCGCGTTACTCACCACGTCCAATTTCCCAACAGGCTGACTACGATTTTTCATTCTCAGAAAAAGGTCAGCATCGGGAACCAACGATTCAACACACCGACCGCTTCTCCTTTCCACCGGGCGCGGAAATATGGTACTTGTTGTGTCTTCAACATCCCATGAAACCGGTCGGTTAACGCGGCACAAGACACTCTTCTCCATCTTCCACCAGAAGCTGAAATGTTTATTTCCAACAACAGGTAGTCGCGGGCATGGTCATGGTCATGGTCGTAGTTCGAAGTCGCCGTCACAGTCATCGGGAATGATCATCATTATCATCGTCCCCATCATCACTCCAATGACATATGATGGTATGGAGATCTTGCTCCGTGAGTCAAAATGATGAACCGGATATTTTCTCCCGAGGATACATACACTTGCACTGGCACCGCACCTCCCAAACACCCTTTAAAGAACTTCACAGGTTGCTCAACTGCAGGAGCGATACTATGACGCTTTGATCCGCGTACGATGGCTGAGTGAGTGATTCGATCCTCGTAAGTATCCCACAACTTATCCTTTTTGCTGTACAATCGAGGCCCGGTCGATCACCAAACCCCCCCCCCCCTTCTCACCACCAAGGCATAAATGCTACAAAGTCTACATGAGGTACGAGTACCCACGTACTCACTCACCCACTCACTCACTCACTCACTCACTCACTCACTCACTCACTCATCTTACGAGTTCCAACCTGGGAATTCAACTACCCACAAACAATGAACGTGATCTGGACCTCGCAGGTACTTTTATTTGTTTCATACTCTCAATACTTTACTACCCACCTGCCTACCTACCTGCCAGCCTGTCTAGCGTTATCATCATACCTAGGTAATCCCATGCTGTCGTTAATAGTACATCTCATCATTGAAGCCTGCCATAGCCGATCCTCCATGTCCTTGACCTTGCCCCGAACGTGGAATTCGATTTACATTCCCAACCCCGTTCATGTTTCGAGGCATGTGCATCCCTCCGCCTCCACCACCGGCACTTCCCATTCCCAACATGGTCATCTTCGTTACGCCGTTGCTCCCATTCATGTTGTTCATCGCCATCCCGCCAAACCCACCCACGGGGTCCGGATATCCCGCGGTGCTCGCATTCGTATAGTCATAATCCGAGCGAAACCCAGCCTCATCGCCGCCACCACCACCATTACCGAGTCCAAGCCCGTTCCCAGCGTCATAATACTGACCCCCGTACGCCGGGCTGCCGTCACTTGTTCCGCTATCTATCCCGCTGATGTTCCTGGACCCGGCCCCAGCAGCACCCACGCCATCTGTATCGAAGAAACTCAAATCCAACGTGCCCCAGTCGCCGCCGTTGGGCGCTCCCCAATTGCCAAATCCCATGGCAAGTTGGTTCTGGTCTCGGAAGAACCAATCCTGAGTATCTTCGATCAGACTGTCAACGCCACCAAACAATTGCGCAGCGTTCTGTCCCGGGGACCCGAGGCTGTTACCCGCCGCGGCTTGGGCGCCACTGTTGGCAAGCCTGGCGCGGTGCAGATTCCACGCATCTTGTTGTGCTTTGGTGAGATACGTTGATGCCCTGATACGTTGTTGGTCACGCCCTAGCTCCGCCGCATTTCCTGGAGGCAAGGACAGGTTCCCTGACGATCTTCTAGACTCGATCTGCTCTGCTGGAGAGGGGGCCATAGACGTCGAGAGACCACCTTGCGTCTGTGGGATGGTATTCATACCGTATTGCTGTCGCTGCTGAGCAACGTTTCGCGCCATGAGATCAGACACTGGTTGACTTGTCATCTGCTTAGTGAGGTGACCAATTGTCTGCGGCGAGATTGGCGAGGATTCTTCGCGCAGGCCCCACTTGACTTTGACCCTGCTAAAGACGATATCAACCTCCTCAGGCAGGTCAATGTTCCACCGGTCTGCACACAAGCGGAGGACACGGAGCGTCCGGCGTGCCGCCGTCCAGCACTCGCCCATTTCTTCGAGGTGTTTTATACCGTGTATGATGTCACGCCTTGCGTTCTTATCGGGTAAATTGAGCAAGTGGATCGTGCAGGCTGTGTGCAGAATATAGATTGCTACATTGCATATCTGGCGAAGGCCGTATGTACGCTTGTACACGCGAAATAGCTTGGAGATGGATCCGGCAGCCTGGGTGCAGTATTTTCGAGGTGATACGTGAGCAGGTAGTGGCGACGTTGACCGCGTGTATTTGAGAAAGGGACGATAGAGATGTATGTACAGTAGTTGGAAGAACATGCTGGAGATAGCATTAGTCTGTTGGATGTTCCGTTGTTCAGTGCGAGGACTTACTGCATCAGAAGGACTTGGGGCAGCTGTCCTTCGCGAGGCTCCATTTCTGACGGGAGGTTTTGCTTCCAGGCCTCTAGCCGGGTATGGAGATCGGTGAGTCTTTTCAGCTCGATTTGTTTTGATTGAGGCTTCTGTAGTTGCTCAGGATTGTAGAAAGCTGTCATTAGATCACTGGATATTTCAGCAAGTTTGGACAGCTGCAGAGCAACAGCCCTTGTCCGGGCTGGTTGGGCATGCGCCTGGATGATGCCGGAGTCGGTATAAGGGGACCAAATCTCGCTATCTTCCGAAGGAAAGACATCCGGCTTTTTGACCGTGATGTTACTCAAGAGAAGCAGCGGTTGCCGGCCAAGATAATTGGACCAACACCTGCGGGGGTCAGTCGGGCCTTGAAAGGGGTGAGAATTTAACCTACTTGTCGAACAGATAGCACCCCCAGAATGTGATCCTTCTCGCATCTATTCCTTCGTCCGTTAAGCGAGACAGTTGATTGATCGGTTGTGCATCGACGTTGAGACCCAGGTCACAGGCCATTCGAAAGCTCATGCCACTGTACACCCAGCCCTTACTCTCGTGGCCACAACCAGCTTCTCTGACGGACATCAAGGCGAGAGCTTGGACAGTACACAATTTAGCATTGGCGAATTCATCATCCTCGTAGAGTAATCTCTTGGCTTCCGCGAAGAAATGATCACCCGTCGTCCTTGAATCTTCGGGATCTTTGCGAGCAGCTGGTCGACCAGAGAAGTGGCAGCCTAGGGCAAGCATGACGTTGACCAGAAGAGGAGAGCAATACTGCGACGAAGTTCCTGTCAAGAAATCCCTGTAGAATAGTTCCTTGGCGAGCGTAGTGAAGAATGCATAATGCCAGCAAAAATACATGTTCATGAAATGCAGGATATCATCCTTGTTCTGGGTCACCTTTGTCCACGACAGTACTGCTTCCTCTTTTGGCCGAAGGGCGAACTCTTGAGAAAGTGACGCAGCGGAACCTTGGTGTTCGTAGTCTTCTGGCAGCCAGATCAAGTTGGAGGTGCCCCCAATGAATTTGACCGACCCGTCCAACATCAAGTCGCCCATCTTACCTGACAGCTCGGCCTCGAATTGAGGTACGATGATATCGTCGCTGTTACTTGGCTCGGCGGGTGCCTCAGCGAGACCTCTGTCCCGCGTTTCTAGACTGGCGGCCAGTTCTTCGAGGCTGTCGCAAGTTCGGATCTCCGTAACTAAGTCCATGACATCGTCCTCTTCAGCATTCAGAATAGCCTGGATCAACACTTGAAGCGTGGAATTCTTCGTTTTGGAACTATCGACATCTTTCTTGTATACGCCCTTCCGACGGTGGTCTGTATGTGGTGCGTACTCGCATTCCGTCAGATATACTGATGCGCAGGCAGCGCACTTGGGCAGCATTCCGTCGCATTTCGACTTGCGCTTGCGGCACGCGATACAGGCCGTGCTCACACAACGTCTTTTCGTGGACGCATTGGTCTCTTGATCCTTGCTTTTATTCTTTCCTTTGGACGAGCCCGCGAGGGAAGTTTCTGGGTCCTCGGTCTGGCCCTCCTGAGCAGAAGTCTGGGGAGGGACCTGTTCGGCCGTGATCGCTGTCTCCATTGTGGGGTACGGGCTGTTTCTTTTGCTGCGTTACCTGCCAACTGATAAGTAGAGGCGGATGTGGAATATCATTGCTTCCGTGTCGCGTGCAGAGGCAATTGAAAAACCGCCTTATCTCGAGTACGCTTGATGGGCAGCCATGGTGGACAGTGTAGTTATGCGATTTAATCAGTCACATCGATTTCGTAGGATGGTGGCCACGCTGGGTCAGAGGCAGAAAAGCGTCGTGCGATTGCTTGATGATTAGCGTTGCGGAGGAGGGGTTGGAACTTGGAAGTGTTTTCGATGTTTGGATCTTGATGTTTGATGAGAACGGTAAGATCGCAGACCCGATCGAGAGGCTGCATCGCAAAGCAGCGCAGCCGAAAGATAGTCTTGACCGTGGGGTCAAGTTTTTACATGGGCATCCCCCATGGCGCTGGGCAGCGGCTTATCGCATCCCGCCAACGGACCGGGTCATCCAAGGGTCTCTCACTCTCAGCACCTGTACGGTACGGATGTTATACTTCCGGATAAATTGGTCCGCCAATGCCAGCATCCTCGTTAATCGACACGCCCAATCGTTGGCGTTCAGGCTTCGCTTTTGTATCTGCGAAGATGGGTAACGGCACTGAACACGATGGGCCTGTCTGCTCAAACGAAACGTTGGATGCAATGAATGTCGCTATGGGGCTCGGTAGATGGCAGCTTTCACCGTCGCAAAGAAACGGGTTATTTGATACATTTATAGACAGTTCCACATGTATACATGATCCACGATAAACGCTGTGAATTGATTCTCAACGCAAGCCCATCAGTGCCTTGCTGTTTTCGTAAACAATGTAACTGATGCTAACAGCTGGGGCAACCTTCAAAAGATTTGGCGTTACACCCTTGAATAGGCCCCTTACTCCTTCGCCTTGGAGGGTCTTTCTAGTGACATCCACGATGCCTGTATATGTCGGTGGGTGTAATACCGTCCCTTGAGCTTGAAGTCGTGTCCGTAGCAGGTTGACCGGGTACACCACTGTCGCACTGATAGCGCCGGAGGTGGCTCCAATAACACCTGTAATGATGTTGCTCATATCGACATCTTCTTCGTGACATCGTGCTTGCCGTGCTTTGCGCGCCAGAACAAAGTTCTTGCAATTCTCAAAGATAAACAGATCGATAGCACTATAGGGAAACATGCCAGCAAGGCCCATCCCGAGGCCTCGATAATAAGGCATGAGTTTCCCCTGTCGCCACATCTTTTTGGCTGTTTGTATGATAAGGGCGTTCCCATGAAGACCCCCGGAGACAGTCTCGCACTGCATTCGACTGGTAGCGGAGAGTGGTTAGCAAAAATCGGGCCATTTCGACTTAGATACTCACAATTTGAGGGTGTCGAGCGGATAAACAACGCATTGAGATACCACGCCACCGATACCACCGGCAAGAAATTGGGATGTCGGTTGCAAATGCTTAGGGTCTGAACCGTCGATTTTGGCGAAGGCTCTCTTAGCAGCCTCGTATGCACCAAATTTAATGGCCGACTCAGGCATAACCTTGATCACGTTTAAACCATTCCCGGCGAACAGACTACGCATGCCACCAGCAGCCCAGAGTTCCTTGCATGCATCGACCAAGGGCCTGCCGAAATTTCTGATCACCTGCAATGGGGCACCTTTCTTCGCGGCTTTGATTGTGGCTTCTTTCGGACTTGTCTGTGCGATGAGATAGACTTTCAAGCGGTCAAGTGGAGCAGTCGCTGTACGCGAAACTATCCCTGCAAGCCCACCAGCTATGAAATAGCCTAACGGAGGGAGAAAATCTGTCAGCATCGTCAACAATGGTTAGGACCTATAGTATTAAAAGATGTCTCGTAGACAATGACGGATCGGTCGGGTAGAGGTAGAAACACGTGTCAGAGAGATGGCTTCACATCCCTAATCGGATTTTGAGTTGTAAATGCAGAGGCGACAATTTGAAACAAGGGAAAGCGAGGCCTACCGAAGCCTTGAAGAGTGTCATTGATGGTGACATCTCCTTCTTGATTCACATTTCCCGTAGCCGTGTAGTAGGACAATACCGCGCGAAGATTGGACTGGCCTGCTGGCAAGAAGAGCAGAAAATCCCTGCAAAGTGTGAGAAACTTGCTAGGTATGGAAGAAACCACCGCTCTCACCTCCATTCTTCAAAGCTGATCTCGCCATCATGGTTCACATCCACCTCGTCAAAAAACTGGTCCAATTTCGCAGAACTGATCGTCACTCCTGACCTGCTGAATGCTGCTCGAAGTTCTCCCTTGTCCAAAGCACCACTGTTGTCTTTGTCGATACTGCTGAAGAGCTGCCACAGTTCCCGTTCGGCATGGTCAACAAACACTCTGAATTCATTGTACTGTATTCGTCCATCACCCGAGGTGTCAACGGCTCGGAGAACATCGTAAAGAAGGTCATCGGCGTTTTTGAGAGGGTGATCTATTTTGCGCAGACCCTTCTTAAGAGCCCCTAGGTCAAGTTGACCTTCGTTGCGGGTGTCGAGAGTTTGCCATAGTTCTTGAATCCGCTGTTCGCGGTGTTCGTATGACTCTCCGTTCATGCTACGCCCTAGTGGTGTGAGAGTTGAGGCTATCTGTGAGGGAGCATGGTTGTTTGTCTGTGTTTGGCCGAGCTTGGTGGCGGCGGTTGAGGTGGATGAGGCTCTTTGACGGCGTGGGACAATGAATGATGTTCACCCTTTCCACCAAGAGGAGGCGGCTGTGATTGCCTGGGGTCGTTTTGGATGAGAATACAGTGAAGAACAGATTGGTTGCAGGTGGAGCTGGCACTGGTAAAGGAACAAGTGCGGTTCTTTGTGAGCTTTTTGGGTTGGGTACAAACTGCGACTTCAGCCTGTGACGTCTGTGTGGGGTTAGTGTTGTCTTTGCTGGAGTACAATATGTACACTGATATGCCATTGAACGAAGCAAGATGCTTGCCCGAGGACCGACAGACCTTCTAGCATCGGCCCAAGGCACTCACAGAAACACCACCTTCTCCCTGTGGTCAATAATGCGTAGAACATAGGTAGCTAGCTGGTCTCATCTGTGCCCGTGAATCTCCCCTTCTCAACTTGCCTTCCGCGTTGTAAAAGCGGCAGCTAGAGATCCTCGGCACACCTTCCGGGCCCAAGAGGTCACCTCGCTGAATCAACCCAGCTCTCATCTCTTCTCTCTACATGTGCCAACCCCACGACGATGAGGATCAATAGCCACTCGTCTAAAGTGAATATGAGCATGCTATTGTGAGAGGTATGGCACCCATTGGTCCCCGGGGGAATTTCCTACGCCGCTGGAATCAGGCAGGTGATGAGGGATCCTTCAAGCAATTTGGAGGAGTAACGATTGCACTGGTCGTCCATAATGGCCGCGAATTACTGGACCTCAACCCAGCGGAAATTCTGGACGTTCACTCCGGATAAGCTTGTCGACATCCGTGACGATCTCGAGAAACAGAATGCAAAGATCATCGAGCAATATCCCTACCCAGACCGGAGACACATGATGATCTTCTTACGTGATCGTCTGCTCCAGCTAGCTAAGCGCCTCCAGTTCAGGCAGCAGTGTGTGGCAACGGCTCTGGTCTACTTGCACAGATACTTCCTGTCGACGCCAATGCAGAATGTCAACTTGTACCTCTTGGCAGCAACAGCATTCTATCTAGCGTCCAAGACTGAGGAATCTCCTCATCATATCCGTCTTGTTGCTGCGGAAGCCAGACAGTCATGGCCAGAGTTTATTCCTGGAGATGTCTCAAGATTGGGCGAGATGGAATTCTGCCTCATTTCCGATATGCGGTCGCAATTGATCGTTTGGCATCCATATCGATCTCTCATCGCACTCAAGGAGAACCAAGATCTGAAACTGTCCAACGACGAACTTGGTCTGGCTTGGTCCATTATCAACGACAGTTTCATGACGGACTTGCCATTGACATGCGCTCCGCATCTTACTGCAGTCATTGCAATGTTTCTTGCCGTAGTCTTCCTGCCAACTGCCAAGGCTACAGGAACCTTGCGCCCTTTGTCGCATGAAACTCTTTCCAACCCGGACAACGGGCCATTCTCGTCTCTCGTTGGTCGCCAGAATCTTTCCGGCTCCCTCGGCGGTGTCCTTGGGAACCTCCAGATGTCGAGCCAAGCCGCATTACAAAACAGCTCGAACGGGAATGGCAAAGCTCGAATGCCGCAGAGCGATGCTCAGCCTTTTGACAAAGAAAAGGCAATTGCCACTGCAAAGGAGTCGGAGAAGATGCAAAACACGATGAAATTCCTGGTCGACTCTGGCATTGACATTGAGCGGATGATTGAAGGCACCCAGGAGATGATAGCACTGTACGACGCTTGGGAACAATACAACGAGAAATCCGTCAAGGAGATCGTTTCGCGGTGTTTGAAGTCGCGCGGCCTGGACGGCTAATGATCGTTCTCGGCGCTGACTCGATCCATTGTCCCTTGAGATGCTGAATATCTACTGCTTGGACGTGTCGATTCCGGAAACTCCAAACTGTTTTCTCAAGTCAAGGGCAACAGGCTTTGTCTTGGTTAGAGTTGCATTCCAATCAACTGTGGCCAACATGGTGCTGCCGGTCTCAAAGTATAACAAATCTGCTGCATCATTACGGACCTGCGAATATGCATCAATAATGGTATAAGGACTAGGAGTGGCAAGACATCTACCTTTGGCCAGCGATGAAGCAATTGGCGTGTGAGCTTGTCCATAGCCTGCTTCTGATAGTGGCTGATTGCAAGCATTCTGGCATAGCAATTCATCGCAGCCTCTATCCTCGGGAGACTCGAATTAGGGCTGTGGACATTTTTCATGATGGCCCACATGTCTGTCGAGCTCTCGATCAACAAGTCCTGATCTAGGAGGAAGCACAAGAAATGTAGTAGTGGAACAACTTGTCGATCATCCTGCAATGCATTTTGAGCTAGTTGGTCGAGAATCATAGACGAGACTTTCTCAGTCATCCTTTCGCGAGTCTCGCCATCGAGACGCTGCATATATGCCACGAAGGCGTTGCTTGCAGCGCGGCAGATATCTTCTGTCCCTGCGGTGGCTGATGAGACGAAGCCCCTGAGGAGGTGCTGATGAAAGGTCGAAACCTCAAGTAGCTTCAACAGCTCCAGGAAGTAGGAGATTGTCGATACGTCGGTAGGGTAATCGAAAGTGCTAGCACTGTCAGCTCTGTAAACCGAATAACACAAAGACTTCGAACTAACTGCTCAAGCTCCGGAAGACTAGTGCTTGTCCGCCAATAACCCTCTAGGCACTTCCACGCACGGAAGCGAACACTCAGGAGTTTCTCGGACGCCAGTTTCGCAACATATGGTAACACAGCCTCACCAATGACTTCTGAAGGCTGAGACGAACCCTTGCGATAAGCGTCGAGTGTCTCAATACTTTGAAGTCGAAGCATCGAGCCAATGTCGCCTCTTTGGTCATTTGTGTAATCATCCAAGCCACAGCAGAGAACCTCAGCCATCTTCTCTGCTTCTGTCGGCGAGCTGAGGTCCGAATTCAAAATGATCACTCCAAGTGCCTCCATAGCATCAACTCTTGTCTCAATGTTGTAGCTACCTCGTACAATTCCGATAGCATATGAAGCTATAGATTGCTGGAGTTTCGAATGTAGACCGGATTTGGCCAAGTGAGCATGGATAAGGCTTAATGTCTTGATTCGGCCTTTACTCGTGAAAGCTGCAGGAGCCTGGACCTGGCTATCCAGCCACTTCTCAATTAATTCCACGCCAACGTTGCTCGAAAGCACCTTGAACAGATCGAGGTTGGCCTCGCTGCTTGCCTGGACCACTGCATCTTTCACACCAGCCACCGTGCATTGATTCAGGATTTCCGACGCAGCCGTCAACCATTCCTGCTGGACACTCAAGCCATTGGATCCGAGGATCTTGAAGCTTCGGCACATGGTCCCTGCGAAAGCAGAGATTCCTTCCATGACAAGTTCCAAATCAGCCGTAACTCTAACGTCCATCTTGCCGGTCATTCGTGGGAGCATAAAAATGCCGTGTTCCTGCTTCATGAACCAAGATTTGGTAGTCACTGAGTCACTGTGCGTTGCTGACTCTACTGCCGAGGTCAGAGCCAACAGGAGGCCGTTCCGAGCAGTTGCGGTGCTGCCAATATTGGCCGGTTTCAGGTCAAACAATTGCTGGAGAATGGCATGGATGAGTACAAAGGTGACATCAATCGGTGCCGACTTCGTGAGACGGGAGATGGCATCGGCAGCCCACCGTCTCTGGTTGACATCTGTAGCGCGTGCGCCTCGCCACTCAACAAGTGCCTGTAGAAGCGGTCTGTGATAAACCTGATCGAGGGCTGCTAACTGTGAAGCGACTTCTGTCATGGCTCTGGACAAACGAGCGATAGCATGATAGTCGACGATCTGTACCACTGGAATGCCGTGAACAATAGTATCGGGGTGTCGTCCGATGAGTTCTTGCAGGGCTGCGGAAGATCCACGTCGTATATTACCAGAAGGGTCGAAGCAGGCAGATATAGCCAGCTTGATCGCTATCAGCTGCAGAACACTCTTACACTCGGCATATGATTCCTGTGCCGCTTCAGCAAAGTTCGATATGGAGAGCAGGCCCAGCTCTGTAGTGCTGTACTTCCGAGCCAATGCCCAGAGACCAAAACAAGCAGCATCGCGGACGCCAATCCCGACAGAAGTGCCGACATTTGACCTTTGCTCGAACTCCAGCCCAAGGATCAGGGCACGGATGATTTCCGGAAGCATGTCGGGCGGAGGGGACCGACGGAAGAGAAGATGTCCCAGTGTCAACATCAAACCATGCCATTGTAGAGGGTCGACGGCGCTGATATTTCTCTTCAGGCCAATTGAGTCAGACTTTGCCTGGTCCGTGATCGGCACGAGCTTTTGAGTCGTTGGATCCTCCAGAAACACGCTTTCTTCAAGAGAGCTCAGTATAGCGTCAATGACCTCTCGGGACATACCAGGGCTCAGCTTGAGGACAACAACACTAAGAGCCTTTGCAGCGGCCATTCTTACTGGTGTATCCTTGTCCTTCAGAGCATCCAAAAAATGTTGAATGCTCTCTTCCAACATCGTGGTGAGGAAGTCGTCGGAAACAGTACCGAGTGTTGCATTGAGAGACATTCCATGAGTCAAGACGGATCTTAGGATTTTCAGAATGAGCTTTCTCGAGGGGGCGGAGTCTCGAATGCCAGTATGCGATGTCTGTCGGCTAGTTGCCAGTTCCAGCACGCTTCGGAAGAGCGGTTGAATGAGTGGAGCTCCTTCACTGTCAGAGCTCGCATTCATGATTCCATAAATCAAGGACAGGAGGCCAAGGGCTTTGTAAGGACTGATCTTTAGCAAGTCGTGATCCTGGAGGAGGCGTTCGACCGCATACCCAACCAGAACTGAGGCCACTTTATGAGCCTGCATATCCGTCCGAAGACTCAAGCGTACCAGTAGCACGCTTGCCGCCTCGCGTTCCTTGCCTGAGCTTTCCAGCTGCTGCAGAGCAAGGGAGATTACATTGCCAGGGGCGTTTGGTATGCGTGCAAGGGCAGCTGGTACGTCCACATCTGAGACTGTATTGTCCAGAGACATGGTAGATAGCTCGAAGGGCGCTAGCATCAGATGGGATAGCCAGAGCATAATGATGTACCGCTCTTCCCATGTCATACCAAATGAACCGTTACTCCAGGTTCTGAATTTTGACAACATCGGGGCTAAGTACTTTGGCTCATTATTGAGTAAGCGTACAATGACCTTGTAGCCCCGAACCTTGCACAGCGAGTAAAGGAGACGGCATACTGCTCGCGGTAGAGGGGATATGCCACTAGAGCCTCTTGCGATACTCTTGGAATAGTGGTTGCTCGAGTTAGCGAGATAGTCCACAAAGGCAGTCGCCAGAAGCTGGACAAACTCCGACAAATGTGGGTCTAACAGCTGAGGCCATTCTTGGAAGCGATCTAGCTGTGCAGATGTCAGCGTTGAGCCATCGATGATTCCACCAGGGGTCGTACAAGTGACCTCAATTCTTCACACTTGGAATCAAGAACGAAAAGACGTGGCGTTGGCGGGCTCCGGTTATGGTGATAGATGAGCTGCGGCAGTTTGATTTTGATCTCTTGAAGGAGGTTCCCTGACGCCTTGTAAAGTTTGGCATCAGGGTCGTGCTCGGCAGCATCCATGTAAAGTCTTTGCTTAGGAGTGAGGTACTCCTCAGTGGCCCTCATTGTCCGGCATTCGTGTCATTAACGGCTGCCGCACGTGACACCGCGAACACTTAGCCACGCTAGTGAGGAAGAGCGGGCACCAAATTAAGCTTAAATTGTGACTGACGCGTTAAAGCTGAGGGCACGGGCCGCCAGACAGGAGCCTGAAACAGCAGCGCCGTTCGCAGCGTCACTCCAACATCCTTTCTTGAACAACCTCTGACTAACCTCACATTTCTCTCACCTGCGAACAAAGACAATTGTCTTGCGCGCCGCACGGTTTGTCTGGCCGCCTTTCAACCTTGCCTCAATATGCTTGTTGGGTGCGGGCGGGTGTTTCACCCTGTTCTAGATCGGCTTGTCACTGATCTGCATATTTACACCCCATTCACTTGCTAAGGGCTGAGGCTGTGCCTTGTTCTCACCAATCGGTCATCATACCTAGCAGCTGCTTCAGCGACTGAATCTAGAGTCATTGTTGTGTATCCTGTTGTCTATTGCACGATGGCGGCGTCATTCTTCAGCGCTCCCTTCCGCTTCTTAAGCAAGTTTGCGCCCTTGAGATCCTCGCCCTCGACCTCTCACGACGCCATCCTGGTTCCAGCAGATAACGATAGGTTGGGCCGATCTGATCACGACGCGGCAGACACAATTAAAGACCGGCAGATGCCCACTATTAGTGCCGCGAACAAGAAGCGAAAGGCAGTTGATGATGAAATCGACGAGCCAGTGAGAAAGCGAGTGATGGCTGCCAATGGACACAGCGATGGACAGGGCCACGAGGAGGCAGTCAATCCGCACGTTATGTCATATCAATCAGGGCCTCAAATTAGCAATGACCGAGTGTTGATGCCGCCCCCTCGAGCTCATGCAGGTCACAAGAGCAAGATACCTCAAAATCCGCTGATCACCTCGATCACCCCAGCTATCAGACCTTCTGTACGAGACGACGACGATGGGATCTCCTTAACATCACTTGCAAGAGGAAGGACTGAGGACATAGATGAGAGTGTTATGGAAGAAAGACGCAGATACCTCGCCAGTATTCAACTCCCTCCTGGTTCTGGGGTGTGGTCACAAACTGAGAAAGACCTTTTCTTCCATCTCGCTTACCGCGGCTTCGAACCCCTCCTCCCTCAGAGCTGGATGCTTGATTTCGGAACGCTACCAATCGGCGTGTTTGCCCATGAGAACACCACGGACACTCCGCTGATACATCACGTAAGAGATAATCAATTTCGAGCAGCTCGCGCGCTTCGTCAATTGTTTGAGGCCGGCCATGAGGCAAGAGACAGATCGCTCGTGAGTCCTAGCGCTCAGCGAGAAAAGATGCTTGAACAATCAATCAAGAAGTATTTGTACTGGGCTTTGACTGACATGGGCCTTCGACCGAAATCGGATCCAAATTATATTCCCATCCACACTCTTACGAGAAGACGACGAGGGCGGACAACCCTTCAAACACTTGAGCACGTGGCTCAGAAACTCCAGAGACTTGCTGTTAGGCATCATCGAGCGAGGAATGTCCAGCCAAGCATTGAGCTTCATTCTCTCAGCCTCTCCGACACCAATCACACAAGAGTAATTGAAGACGACGATACTCTACCAACAATGATCGGTCTCGTCATGATCTCTTCTGTCGTTGCGGTCGTCACATTGAGCCCCTTCGCCCAAGCCAATACTCAATCACCTTCGATCCGCCAAACAGTCTCCCCACCATTCTCCGACCAAGACGCTCAAACAGCCCCTCCGCCTTCAACCGGCGAAGTCACCGACCGGATGCGCATAATCGCCGAGTTCGACTTTAGTCTGAAAGATCAAGATGTCTGGAACGCGCTCGGACTCGCCGTCGTGGCCATGCAAATCCGAAAAGAGGCACTAAGAGCAAACTCATCCTTTGTCTACGACGACATGGAAATGTTGGGCTCAGAAGTTGGATCAATAGCAGGGTCGAGGCTTTCTGTCGATCTCGAAAGTCTGTACGAAGGCTCAACCCGATCGGTTCTGGAAGATGACCCGGACCTCTGAACCAAAGTTGCGCGCTGTCTAATGAGACGGCAACGCCTGATTGAGAAGCGTTGGTGTACGCAGTGCTTGGTTGGTTTAGTGATTCTCCAGGGCACATGTGTACCGAGTTCGTTGGAAGGACCAAATTGCCAAAAGAGTGCAGGACACACATTGCAAAACTAAAGCGGTAATGGCAGGCCGGGTGATGACTTGATTGCTTTCCTTTGTTTGAACTCGAGACTGAATATTAAGAACCCAAAGATACCATAAATGATACTGTTCTTCGCAGCTCTTCACTATTTCCTGTCATCAAAGCCTTCGTGTGCCCGTCCTAAGGATGACGCCATTACAAATTGCTCTTGAACCCTCTAACTAAGGTAAAAAGTATACGTGCTTCATGCAACCCACTGCACAGCCATGGCATGAAGTCGAATCAGTTTGAGTTTCGCATGTTCTCAATTCCCAAATGCTGCAAACCACCGCAACGCCCATTCGGAGTGTCTTCCGCCTCGACACGTGCCTCACTCAATTTCCCAACATGTACGGAAATCATTGGAGGTCCACCGGGACTCTAAGGTTCTCACTATTGAGTCCCAGTCGAGACACTACCAGATTGCACCGGCGTCTTCATCGAACCTAGCAAGTTCCTTCCCTGACTCTTCGACCTCTTTGCGTGCTTTCATACGCATGTAGAAGATAGGGCAATCCCTCGACGAGCACAGTACCTCGGAATGCATGCTGCCCTGGCACCGTTGACACTGGGTCCAGAGTCTTGAGAAGCGCACTTCCATCTCACCCACCTTCTTGACGTGCTTCGCGTACAGTTCGCCAATACGGGGCTGACAGTTCGAACACACGGCTCCCTTACTCTCCTCCTTGCCCACGAGGGGCTTCTTGCAACCCATGCATGTCTGCGTCTTCTTGGTGAACTTCATCAGTCCTCCCACGGTGGGTGCAGCGACCGAGATGCTCCGCGTGTGATCGCCAGCAAGAAGGGAATTTGCACGGCGCTCACCCAAGATAGGCTCGAAAATGCGGGTCAAAGGGTTTGCCAGTTGATTGTCGAGGTAGTACTTTGTGTCGATGGGGACGTTGTTTTCCAGCACGAAAATAGGGTCCTCGGCCTTTTCATAGTTCTTGCTGCCAGCAGCGCCTTTGATGATGACGTACGCTACACGATCACCCAGAGCGGGAGCGGAACCAGCGTCACGCTTCTTCATACGTTCAGCAAGCTCGACATGTGCCTGTTTGGCAGTGTAGTCACTCTTGCTGAGCGCCTTGGTGATGACCAGCATGCTCAGGTCAACCTTGTTCTGGAGCAGGTTTGCAATGGTCTCTTTGACGTAGTCTTGAGCCCCTTCGACATCTCGATCCATCAAAATCTTTTTGAGGACGGTCTCAATGACTATCTGGACCAAACGACAGTTATCTCGACGAACTGTCTCGATACCTTTGGTGTCCATCTTGTCAAACTTTTCGGGTTTGGTCCAGTAAAGCCCGGCGTAGCGCTTTTTGTTGATCAAGAGATAAGGAAAGTACACTTTCTCGAACTCCAGCTTAATTGGTTTGATGAACTTTCCAGAGACGTAATCGGCTGCCTCCTGGCCGAGCTCCATGGTTCTGGCCAGATCCTTCTCTCCGAACTTTACCATGACAGAATCAGTATCACCGTAGATGACCTGGGCGTCATGCGAGTATCCGTTGGCAATGGTATATTTTGACTCCACCTCTTTCTTTGTCTTCTCAATCATCTGTCGGCCGTAGGATGTCGTACTGGAAGCGATTGCAAGACATGGCAATTTGCCAACAGTAGCACCGGTCAAACCGTAGACTGAGTTTGCGGAAATTTTCAGGGCCAACTGTCGACCATTGAGCACAGCCTTCTTGAAGGGATCGGTCTCAACAGCAAGTTCCTTTTTCGCTCGCTTACGCGCACCCAGCAATTCTTCCAGGATCTGAGTAAGTAGGCCCTTTCGTACCTTCGCTGTGCAGAACATATCACCATTAGGGGTCTGGATATAGTCCTCATCCTTTTGCAAATTTAGCTTCTCGATGGTATTTTTGTTTAGCAGTGTTGTATAACACAAATTGTGCGCTTGTATAATTGAAGGGTACAGGGAAGCGAAATCGAGAGTTGCAACAGGAACATCGTAGTAGCCTCTGATGGGTTCGATGACTGTGGCACCTTCATACTGCTCGTCTGAGGCCTCATTTCTGAGGTTAGGGATGACTAGTTGCTGCTCCAATGCTTTTCGGAACAGCTGGCTGATAAACTTGACTTGTTGACCACGAGAAAGGAGGAAGTTGAAAGGGACGCCAGTGACTCTGGCCATCTCCGTGTAGTTGACCAAACACATCAATTTGTCCATGAGCCGTTGCGGGAGGTAAGCATCTTTCAGACAGTACACAGCCAGACGTCGTCTTGAATCAGGTGTGCCGTTGTAAAGCTCTGTAATCATGGTGTGGTGCACATCCTCCTTCTGTTCGCCTAGAAAGTGAGCGCAGACAGAGTTAAGAGTGTAACTTCGCAGTTGATGATCTCTTTGCACTAGCTGCAGTAAGTCAAGCTGTATTCTTCCGTTTGTATTTGTGGCTTTCGTATCGCGATTCCCCATTTGCTTGCTCGAGAAATTTGTATCCTTAGCTTGGGAAATGACACTCTTGAGGCGTGACCAGTAGGGGAACTTTGGCAGCTTCAGATGCTTCGCCCTGTCAAGTAGGTACGGAAAGTCGAAGTTTGCAATGTTGTAACCAATGATAACATCGGGGTCGACCTTTTCCAGAAAGTCCCTCCAGGCCATCAACATCTTTGACTCGGAGTCATGCTCATATATTTGGGTATTCACAATCAGACTGCAGGTATCCAAGACGAAAACATTCCGAACGAATGGTTTCGATTCTCCATACCTAGTCACAACGTTGGCGATCTGAATAACGGGGTCTTGGTTGGGCTCGGGGAAAACGCCTTTTCGACCAGCGCATTCGATATCGAATGACAAGATACGCAATGGCGCCATCTTTGCCCATTCTCCATCATTGCCGAGGGAGACCATATCACGATAGTGACAATAAGCTTCGATCTGACAATTTGACTGACGCTCATGCTGTGGCATAACATGATACTTCTGGGTAGGAACCTCGACCCAGGACATGCCGGTAATTCCAGTGTCGATCATGAAACGCAAAACATATTGGATATTGTCGAAAGTCAGGATCTTGCTGTCAACACCCTTCCACATCCCTTTGTAGTTGGCATGGCCATCTTCTATGGCTGATCTTAGGCGGTTGATGAACCTTGGGTCTGTAACAGTGATCTTGAGGTATGGACTTTTTTGATTGCCCTGGAACCCATACAGATTCTCTCGTAACACCATCTGCACCGAATGGATAACAGGCTGGTGCTGTGCCAGTTGTGTCTCAAGGTAGACTTTGTAGCCTTCCACATCTTGTCGTTGAAAGTTGACAGGTGCGGCTACATAGATGTAATGGAGGAAGTCGGTAACATGGAGTAAGATGGAGTGTCCAGTCTAGATTTTGGTCAGAATCTTTGCGATTGAGGTTCCGAGATGGCTTACCTCAGAAACGCCAAACAACTTGAGTGTCACTCTTCCTCCATGGAGCGTGCCTTCCTCTACTTCGATCTGCTGGAATCGTAGACTGTCTCTGTGAGGGTCGAAGTCATCCAGGCTTGGTCTATCCCATTGTTGATCTTTCTCGGCGTTGTTCTCTTTCAAGCCGGTGATGTCCTGGGTCATCTTCTCGAGAACTTCGGTCTCGAAATGGCTCTTAGGCTGGCTAGAGCCAAACTTGGATCTGATACCATTCGGGCCATGCTGAGATGAGTGGAAGGATACACTTGGCCCATTGCCATTGAGCTTTCTCTTCTTTGCGGATGGAGGTGACTTCAAAGTATTATGAGTGTTGGTGGCGTCGGTAAGCACCCTCCTCTTCGGAGTGTCCACTACGCGTCCAGGCATGATCACTGACTCTCTGGACAAAGAATAGAGATGGCCAGAGTGAGAGTGTCGGTGACGGTGAACATGGGCGTGCTGGGTGTTGCAGATGGATCAACTGCGCGAAAAGTCGCGTCGCGTCATTCCATTTAATCATCGTGTAAAAGCGGCACCTGCGGGGCGACACTTACTGGCGGGCGCTAAACATTATTCGACAGGGCATCACGTGGCACATGCCACTCTGACCGCCCCTGACCAGTATCAACAGTGTTTCACATTCAATCCCTTCAATATCACCGCGGGGTTACGGACCAGCTACACAGAAGCCACATAAAGACTTTCCCTGGCTGCGGCGACTGTTACACAGCACACGAATAAAAGAAACTCTATTCTGAGATACAGATCACCATGTCCGACGACATCTCAGCAGAGCACACCCCTGGGTTCAAGGTCGGAGAAAAGAAAACTCTTGATGAGTACCACAAGCTCGGTGAGTGTGAATGAACGGAGGTAAATCTGCGTGTAAATAGCATGTGTCTCGGTCGACGACACACAAGGCAAGCATGAACGGGAGGCACAAGATCCTACGTTGTTCTTCAAGTCCGTTCTAGCTCACGATCTATGTCATGCTCCTCATTCGCTTCTTTGGGCCACAAATGGCTGACTATAGCTGAATCTAGACCAAGAAGATGAAGCAATGAACCGATGGAAGGCCTCTCTTGGCCTAGCTACCGGCGAGTCTATCTCTGATCCCAACGATCCACGGTTATGCATCATCAAGTCGCTTGCTCTGGTAAGGAGGTCCGACCCCTTCCCGTCACTCTCTAATCCGGTATCAGGAGGTTACCGGGCGGCCCGACATTACCATAGATCTTTCTCAACCCGGAGCTCTTGAAAGTCTGAAGAAGAAGCCATTCACCATCAAAGAAGGATGCGAGTACCAGATGAAGGCCACTTTTGTTGTCCAACATCAGGTTCTTTCCGGCCTCAAGTACATTCAACTCACTAAACGCAAGGGCATTCGAGTAAGCAAGGACCAAGAAATGATCGGCAGCTATCCTCCAAACACCACTGGCAAGCCAACATACGAAAAGAAATTTGCCAAGGAAGAAGCTCCATCTGGTATGCTTGCACGTGGGCATTACGACGCTCTATCTCGCTTCGTTGATGACGATGATGTGACGCATCTTGAGTTCGAATGGTCGTTCGAGATTGCGAAGGACTGGAAGTGAGAGGTGTAGGCTAGACTGAAGCGATACCGTCAAGCAATGAGGTACATTGAACGTTTCGATCTTCAAAGCACAGGCCACGTGAGCTCTGCTGAGGTGGAGGGTCGCCTTGATGATCATGATTTGCATTTCTGCCACCGAGGGCGTTGTAAGCGTTTTCGAGCAATGACATGAGCAGCTATCAGAGGAAATACTCGATATGAGAACCTTGACCATCTTTCCCTTGGTTCTGTTGTTGCTGCTGCTGCTGCTGTTCATTCCGGTGCACATCGTTCTCTGGTGCGGCCTCAAATATGTTGAAGTAGCGATCCCCTGTATCGCTGACTTCAAGCACACTGGCTAGATTGCCACATCGGTAACAGTAATTGGGCGCACTCCATACTGTGCTAAGTCGATCGTCGTAAAGTATCTGATAGCCCTCCTGACAAAGCTGGTGAGCTCGGAGAATATGAGACATGCTGTTGACTTGGAGGAACTTTTTGACAACGTCTCCACCAAACGTATATCCCGCACCTCGGGGAGACAGGGAAAATTCGTCGCGTTCTGTGTCTGGATCAGACCAGACCAGATCCGCCATAGGGCCTTCGTGTGGTATTTCTCGATATCTGTCAATAATCTTGATTTGGTCGATCGAATGGATCGACGGAGAAAGGCCGCCATGAACGCAAAAGATCTGGTCATTGATCACCACGCTCAGAGTGAGGAAGTCGAACATATCGGTAAAGTAGTGCCAGACATTGGCATTGCCATATTTTCGAGCGCATTCAGTGTAAAAGCCGTAGGACTGCGTGACGCCACGAGATTCATGATTGCCTCGGATGAGATGAACACGCTGAGGGTATCGTAGTTTCAAGCAAACGAGAAGGGAAATGGTTTCGACGCTGAATAGACCTCGATCGACATAATCGCCTGGGAGAGTCAGAGTCACAGCGAGCAGCAGGAGGTCCTGAACACGCACCAAGAAAGAGATAATTTGTATCTGGACAATAACCTCCAATCCTGAATATTTCCAGCATGTCGAAGAATTGGCCGTGGATGTCACCGACAACTGTCACAGGTGCAGATATGTGGACAACATTGCTCTCTTTCATGAGCATCTCCTTTGCTTTGGCGCATATTGCTTCGATCAATGACTCTGCGAGCAGGTTTTTCTTGTACAATTGGGCGATGCATTCGTCAAGGTCGATACTTGCTACACAAGACTTCAGTCAGAGTCGTCCAGATCATGTCGCGCGATAACACGACATACCAGGTAGGCCAGGCATCCTGGAACTCGAGTCCGTTTGTCAAAACCGCAACGCGACCAGTGCCGTTCTTGATTAGGGAATGATCCTTGGTACGTAGGTGGGCTTAACAAGATTTCTCATTGTGTTTGGCCATTAAGCACCAGAAACCATGGTCAAGAGAAGAACAAGAGAAGCTGATCAGCTTACGAGCAGTATCAGTCGGGGTTCCATGGCGTGGATGGCAAGCAAAGAAGATCAATGCACGCTCGTGATCTTTGGCGCAGGCAACTTCACGCAGATGTGACGACGCCATTCACCAGGCTCGCCGCGCTGACATATGGATCGGTCTCGCCAGACCCGGCCCCAAACATTTTAATTAGAGTCTCAATATTTCTCCATTTCTATCGCTCTACAGGACACCCGGAACAACAGTAACAGGGAGTTGATCTGAGGGTTTGAAATGCCAGAACATTTTTGATTTCAATCTTCTTCATACATGCGTTCCGAAAAAGTCGGACACATCTACCCGCCCCTGAACTGGTGTGCTACTCTAGGTACTGCGTGGCATACGTACAAGTACCAGGCGATCACACATTTTCCCAGGCTGTGTTCGACGTCACAGAATGCTATTGAGACACCTATTCACGTCCTAAATGAAACCGAAGCGTTCGTTGTTCATACCCTCCAGCTACCACTGTTGTATTCTTGAGGATGCCCGTGTGCCTTTGCATGAACTTCTCGCATGACACTAGGTATATCATTCTTCGCCATGTCGGTTCCTTGCGGCCGGTTGATGAACTTCTCTGTTGTCACTTCACTTCCCTGTGAATCTCTCCGAATTCCTCCCCTACGTGCTAAGATGCAGAAGTACCTGGGTCATCACTCTCTCTGCAGTTCCTAACAATAGACGAAATTGTGGCAATGGAAGCCTACACCTACGTAGGGTCCAACTCGAGGTCTTCCCTGCTTCCACCACATCACCAAGACGCAATGAACTATGCATCTGCGCGTCCAGACCAGTCAGATCTCCAAGGGATCGACTCATCGAGGCAGTCATCATATGGATTTGCCGACGCAGGTCGCAGTCGTTACTGGCGCCACCACCCGCATGACTCGTAAGTGAGACTCCTGCAGATACCGTGAATCAGAAATAAAGAGAAGTCAGTGATTGAAACAATGCTGACGGAGAGCAGCTATGGAGGCAGCACCCAAAATGCCGTTGACTACACTTACCGTGACACATACTATCAAGATATGCCTCGCTCACACAAGCACTCAACTCAGGGTTCAAGTTCCGGGACATGCCCGACCACCGTGAAAGGAACTGCAGCCAATGAACACATCCAAGGACCAAACAGACCCAGCAACTACAAGCACTATCATCATGGCGAGAGCTCTAGCCATGGTGTGTGTATACAAGCCGCGGAGCGCTACAATCTGAGCGAGTCTTCCCGTCGTGCTTCAAGTTGGACGTCATCTTCTGCTCGACGCCGGAGTGATCTTGACTGGGACAACGGCACTGCAGTATCAGGTTCTCGCTACCCCTCGGAACAGAAACATCAGGGGAATCCGTGGTCTCAGGAAGCTGCCTATCCTGCCTATTCTACTGGGTCCGATTTCCTTGCTGATGATGATGAGCTCTGGGCGCTTGTTTATCCCACAACCGAAACTCGTCTACCCGTACAACAGAGACTCGAGGCTATGGCGGGTACCATGGCACTGCAGGATATCCAAGAACTCAGACGAACACCAGTTGCATCCCGATTCTTTCGTACTCTTGACGATCAAGAGCTTCTATCCAACGTCACTGCGACTCCGCACTGGAACACAGTCAATGGCGACCCGGCGTTCGCTCTGATCCCCGACAACGGAGAGATCGCCACTTTCGAGGATTTGCATAAACGAAAACAGGCTATGGTCTCGGGAGCTTCGTCTATGTATGACTATCAAGATATGGTGCCAGAAGACAGTTCGCAAAGATCGTCGTTTGGCGAGGGAGAAGACCTTGCTACGGTGGGTGTGTCCAGACCTCCGGGACCTCCCCAGCCACATGTTCCCGTAGATGCGTCTCCGACTCGTCATGGTAATGCCACACGCCAGTCGCCTGTCTTTGCGAACTATGATGACCAACATCAGACCGCGGAGCCATCAAGTGCGCAGCGTCATTTCCGAAAATGTGCCATGCCTCACGACGTAGAACCACCGAGCCATGATGGATGGGGTGCCCGGCGACGGACTTACCAAGGAGAATATGGACATCCACATCAGAATCACAGCCAGCGGCAGCAAAAGGACAAAAAGGATAAAAAGAGCAGAAAGGACAGAAAGGCCCGACGTGAAGCCAATCATCAGCATCAAGGACACGGTGAAGTCGACCCACCTCACCACCGAGGCAATTTTGCCAGGCAAGATGATCGTCGACAAGACAGCCTTCCAGGCCGGCAGGCGACCGGACGGAATCGGCGAGGGAAGAATAGCAACAAGCAAGGTCAGAAGCGTGCCTACGAGCATTCACCACGGGATGCGAGGAACGAAGAACGTGATGCTGTAAAGCGGCGGAAGGTGAATTGAGAGATGCCACCTAAGAGGGAGTTCATAACTTGGTAACTTCGGAGCAGGCAACCGTCTCTCGATTAGTATCTGCACCGGCAGACGACCTCCATCGCTAGAACAGGGGGTGACGACAATCTAGCTGCATGATGTCGATCCATGGAAGCATTAGGTAGCCGTGACTCAAAGGCATAGACGAGATTTAATGATGTAAGAGCACGCCAAAGATTTCTTTCTGTTCTTCTAGTCATCTATGTATTCTAGTATATATATAAATCCTGCAGTAAAGTGAGGATCGAGGAAGGGTTGTCAATCTCCCCCACCCAGCCATAAGGAGAGTCATCAAGGCTGGACGAGAGAAGTACATCTCTGTCATGGCCTTCAGCTATCCGAGATCTAGCTCTGTCAAGTCTGTGCGGGGGGTGTGAAGGGTTTTTATATACGGAGAGAATCATGATTTTCTGTGCATAACCGTCGCCGCAGCCTTGACATACAAAAGAAAAATCAATTTGTTAGCGGGGGTTTCACTGGAACGGATCCAGACATTAAAAAACACATACCTGGTGGTTAGGGAAGATCAAAGTGTCAGCCAACACGACATTTTCTCGTCGGCCGGCGGCAAAAACGACAATCTCTGCAATGTCGTCTGGCGTCAGTGGTTCGACGCCCTTGTAGACTGCGTCGGCCTTGGCCTTGTCCCCGTAGAATCGAACGACGGAAAATTCCTGTACCGACGACAACGACGAAGAAAACAAGCGTTAGCGTAGATACTCGGTTTTTGCGCAATGGCTGGGGGAGGATTGTTAGGTAAGAATACGGCGACAGTCCGGGTATCCCATCCAAAAAAAGGCAAGAAAAGAAAAGACGTTGTGTCAGAGTATGGTGTCGGTAGGTCTGGAGTCTGGAGTCTGGATCCGTGTCCGGGTCTAGGGATAGGTCTGCACGAACTGATTGCAGTTCAACGTACCGTCTCAACCTGGCCGGGATCAATTTCTATAACGCGCACGCGCGAGGCAATCAACTCCCGCCTGAGTGCGTCTGTAAACGTCCTCACGGCCGCCTTGGTGGCACAGTAGATGCTTCCACCGGCGTAGCCTTCCCGGCCTGCGATACTGCCAATGTTGATGATATCGCCGCGTCCTCCGTCCTTGCCGCCGTCCTTGTTCAAGAAGATGGGCAGCACCGCCTGCGTCATGTTGACCAGGCCCGTCACGTTGGTCGCGAACATGATCTCCATGTCCTCCGCCTTGATCTCGGGCGCCTTGTCGACGCCCTTGACCAGGCCGGCGTTGTTGACCAAGATATCAATGTCCTGGAACTCGGCGGGCAGGTTGGGCACAAAGGCCTTGACCTCCTCCGGCTTGGAAATGTCCAGCTGCACAGGGAGCACTTGGACGCCGTCGCCGACTTCCTTTGTGATCTCGGCCGCGACGCTCTTGAGCGTGTCGATTCTGCGTGCCGTGATGATGATCTTGAGCTTCTTGGGGCTGGTGCGCGCAAACTCCTGCGCGATCGACTTGCCGATCCCGGAGCTGGCGCCCGTCACCAGTATCGTCTTGCCTTCGAGCCGCTTGGACATCGCCGAGAGGGACATTTTGGAGTGCAGGGTCTGAGAAAAATGTCGCACGCTGCACGCCGGCTGCAGTGGAAGTAGAACCCGTAGTGGTGGGACGAATCGGTGCGGGGAAGAAGAGGACGCGGCGGCGCTGAATAGGCGGAGGAATCTGCCAGCGGCGCCGACGATGTTGGTAGCAGGTGAAGGAAGGTAGGCAGGCATGTACAGAAAGAAAGGAAAAGGGAAACACAGTGGCAGTGGGGGAGTAATTGGGCACGGGAAAAATGAGATGCTTGTAGCGTTCAGTCACGTCTTCAAAATGCTTTCGAGGGGAGACAATCGATTCTCCATTTTGGGGTTGAATCTCCAAATGTTGCACCCCGGTCGACGGCAACATATCCGTCTCCTCATTAATGATCATTGCGTCCACTATCTATCCGGACTCCGTACACTCCGTAGGGATTCACTTGCACACGCTGTGTGCTCACCTGTACAGTTTGTAGTTGCATGGAATACGATATGGGTACGGAACAAAAGCAGCCATACTCATGTATATGCAGATCACTCGGGGCGGTATTCAGTATCATCCTTCTATTTTGATATCTTGCGCCATCTTAGTGATAGATTCCTCCTTTGCCATTTTACCAGTATAGCAGACTTTGGCGCCGTCGCATAATCCATAGTCATGGCATGAAAAGTCGTAACCTATTACGTGGTCTCATAGCTTTAAGCAAGATTTGACTCCCCCAGGGGTACCATCCGAGGAAGTATCAATCGATCCCGAAACATTCAGCATTGGTCCTGTGCAAACACGAGAGTAACCAGACAATGCCGCCGCCATCCTGAGTTTGTCAACCATATAAACAACACATATATACCGGCCATCGGAGGAAGATGGCACGCCTGGGAGACCAAAGCCCCATACGATGTCTTCACAAGAACCCAGACTCCGACAATAGTCTGGCAATCTTTTCCTCTTCTCGCTCCCGAGGCTCAATCTTTAAGCTTTGCGCATACATCTCTTGGACATCACCAGCATTCCTCATATTCTCCGCGATCCATTCCTGCAAGTCTGGTACAGGGTTGAGATTATATGGAACATTCTGGTATTGTTGGATCAGCCGAATAACTTCAGCCGTCTTGGTTCGCTTTGAGAAGTTAATCAGCTCCGAGTTCTTCGCAAGGGACGGAATCCCGTCTTCAATGAAGATCAAATCCGTCATGTAGACGCCCATGAATGGAATGCAAGGCGGAGTTGCAGCTGCCAGGGTCTCCCGATATTGCGAGAAGTTCTTTGCTGTGGAAATCAACTGTCGCATCGACTCCAGCATTGCCGACGTCTTTGGATTGACTCCTTGCCAGGTTCGTCCGAGGCGTAGGATCGGTGCTGTTCCAAACGCAGAGATAATTGCAGTCACAGCTGAAAAGTTATTCAGCGCCCGGCATTTCTGCGCATAGATTAGTAGAAATCCTTATGGCTCCATAGCAGCACTTACATCGGCGATGGCAACAAAATGCTTCACGACGACGACTCTCTTCTTCACCTCAGGTTGTGCTAAGATCATCTCAGCCGTCCAATTGGTCAACTGATTGGAGTGCAATATGGCCGCTTGCACATTCTGGAACGGAGGCATGTCTGGAGCCTTCTTCTCCCATGTTTTCGCTAAACACTCGGAAGGTTTGATCTTGGCATAGAGCCGGGATTCCATGATGGTCAACTGCCGTGCAAATTCAGTTGGATCAATGTCTAGAAATTTCAATTTCTTCATATTCTTGGGCAAGATCGGGGTGGGGGCAGAGTTCGTTATGGTAAGGACCATCTTCTTCGAGGACGTCTCCTGTCCTTTGAGTCGTTGGTCGATAATAGTAATCAAAACCTTGGCCAAGGGAATTTTGGTACTGTTCAACGCATTCTGCGCAAATGATGTAATGCGTTCAAGTAATTCCCTGCTCTTTTCGTTATCACACTCCATCCAATAAACCTCAAGCCAGGCTTTGAGAATGTTCAGCACTCGAAATCGCGCCGGTTTCTGTTTGTGTTCCTCCCAGATCAGAAACTCATCTCTGTTCAAACCCGGAGGTGGCTGAAGGTTGAAGCGTTTGACCAAAAGTTCAAATAGTTCTGACGCTGTCGTGAAGGATCTATAGGTGAGGAGAAATGTGGTCGTGAAAGTGGTATCAGGCCGGTCATGTCTCGTAAGCTGTTCGACCAAGCCGGTCAATGAGCCGCTCTTGACTTGAGGGGGGTCGGTCTTTGTGTCATATATGACTTCGTCAGCATGATCAAGCTGCAAGTACCATGGCACATCGTCAGAATTGAAGCTGGGCTCGAGGTTGGAAGTTTTGAGTTGTGTCAGATTTGGCGGGATCTGGCCAAAGAATTGTCTTGCTTTGTCTTTGGTAGGAGGACGACGGCCCCTTTCAGCTGCTGGCGGCTCTTGACCCATCGTGTAGGACTTTGACGGGCCAATGTCAGCCAATCCTGGGCGAAGATTAGCGGCATGATTAGAGTCGGCTCTCAGATGGTGACTTTGATAGGTCTCGCCTCCGTCCGTAACCCGATGGTCCCGCTTGTTTGCGACCCCGGAGGCATTGAGGTGTGAAGCAGGCAGTAACAACCGCAGCGAGTGACCCAAGTTGGATACATCTGTCTCCATTTGCTTGCATGCACCACGTACGTTGTTCATACGAGTATCCAGAGACTCTCCCCGAATCTCGGCCCATTCGTCTGGTAGGGGTGCTGTCACGGCCTGGCAGCACACAATGACCTCGCCTACGGAGTCGTATACTCTTTGCTTCTGCGACCCAAATTCTACCGGGGTTGATTTTTGGAAGATGTTTCCCAGGCCAGAAAGGTCAATAGATTCAATGAGATGGATCCATGGCCGGAAGTAGTCAATGACTATGCTTGCTCCATGGCAGACATCGTCGCCAATAGCAGATTGTCGTGTCGGTGTCACAATCTTGTCGGTTAGGACGAGACTCTCTTCTAGACTGCGAATCGCAGCTATCAGGTTGCTCTTGCAATCATCGATTTGTTGTAGCAGAGTGGCATCAAGTGGTAGAGAGGGCCGTAAGCCGAGTTCATCACCAGATTCCATAAAAGAAGTTCCCTCACGATTGACCTGGCTGTCGAGGTTGTTGCCTTTCCAACTTCCTCCAACCTTGCTCCCGATAATAAAGCCTGGGATGAGTCGAGGTATCTCTTCACCGCGTTGTTGTCTGGCCACATCAACATACCCGTATACACCATTCATGACACCTTCAGCTTCTTGCAGACACTTGGTCAAAGCATCCGGTCCTGGCCAGTCGGCGGCGGCAATATGAGAGGATAGGACGAGCTTAGAGAATTTGGACATCATCTCCCTAAAGTGAGGATACAACGCCTTGTTCTGTGAGATGATTGATGGATTTCCAGAATGGTTGTCAGTTGTCCCTGAGCCTGCAGCAAGTAACATTCGCAAGTGATCGGAGATATCTTCAGCTTTTCGAACATACTCAGCTCGTGCCTGGAGCCGAATAGCACGCCGATACGCGTCGATCGCCGTGCGCATGTTCTCGACAAGCGTGTTCCACGTGACAGGTGCTGCGCCTGTATCATCCAGGAAATATTTGGGCGTTGGTGACTTGGAGAGCTTCTGGTGCGGCGGCACAGTGAATGAAGTGGCAGTCGTTCCTAGTGGCGGCAGTGCCATTGAGGTCCCGAATGTGCTTGTGAGAGGATTTGAAACCTGGTTACCGGCCTGCCTCGCGGCACTTACATCGATCGAATCCATCGACGTTGATGTGGAAATACTACCAGAAGTCATGGAGCCCTTCTTGTGCGATGAACGGAAAGATTGTTCACCATCCGCTTCAGAGGCCGACCCATCGTAATCCTCCTCATTCTGCTCATACCTCCCCGCCATCATTTCAGGAGGCGGTCTGGTCTGGTCCGGTACGTGAAAGTTATTGCGGTCCCTTGGCCCAGTCTCATCCGAGCTTGTTGGCGTTTCTAATGGCAATTCCATGGTACTAACCCCGGTCAAGGTATTGAAGTAGAACAGACGCCCATCTGGAGTCGCCTGGGGAACCCAAAAGGCGGCCTCTTCTTGAGGCTGCTCCGTACCACCTTCTATAGGTAGGTCGGAGTCTTCGTCCTGTGTGCGAGCATCCGAAACCTCCTCTTCATCATCGTAATCCTCCTCGGTCCCCGATCCTGCGTCACTCCCGTCCTGGCCCGTCAATTCGACCAGCTCGTTTACGTCTGATATCTCGACCGTATAATTACTGGGGAACCAGCCCCGGACATTATTGATCACCCCATCCCACCACCCACTCTCAAGTTGCGTCAAGACCTGGATAATATCCCCTGCGCGAAAACTCAGGCTGGTTTGATCATCGGCGTCATAATTATACAACGCTCGAACGTACATGGGCGGTGGCGGAGGAGGAAGATCAGGACTGGCGACATAGCCGTTCATGGCAGCCGCCTGGGCAGCCCGACGGCGCGGCGAGAGGCCGCTCATGCCCGACTGATGGACAGCGGATGTCGCTGGACGCGGGGCGGATTGAGCAGCTCTGTTGGGTTCTGTGTAATGGAAAGCTGCCGCAAAAGTCGACCCCGACTTGACTGCCTGTGATGGAGGAGCCGAGTCTTGTGCAACTCTGCGCGACGTTGACATTTCACTAGAGTTCACCGCTTCGAGACGGACAGAACGACTTGATGGTGCCTTTCGGAGCGCAGCAGGGCGGCCAGGATCTGCATATTCGATCGCTTCGGGATCTGGGCTGCGGAATAGGTCGCGTGGAGCAGGTTATCGCAGGATTTTTGAGGATTCGATCATGCGAGGTATCATGCACACAGCACAGAGGCTGAGGACAGAGGCAGGAAGGGAAGTCTTTTTGTCAGTTGTGGTGGCAGGTGTCGAAGGTGGAGTTAGGGCGAAGAGTAGGCGCCCGATTGGAGGTTCGAGAACGAGGAGGCAGAGGTCAGGCGGGATGTCGATGGGCGGCTATGTCCTGCAAGCTACTGACAATGTTACAGCGCAAGAGAACGAGGTGAGAAAGACGAAGAAATCTCTGCATATACGGTGGACTCCCACACACAAGGCAGAGGGGGAGAGGGAGAAACTGTGTGTCGGCGAAAAGATGAGCACGCAGGGAGTAACTAACTCAGAAGCCAAAAGAGGTGTGGAGGATGGATGGGTATGCCAGGAGTCCGAGAGTGCAACCAACAACGTACAGTAGAACTACAGTACTCCGTACGAGTACAAGCTTCCGTACGAGCTTCCCTGACCCTCGTCTATATCCACGCACGACGAACCCACCCGCGACGCAGCTCGACACCCGAAAACAGTGCTGACCCGGGAGCCCATCCATCTTCTTCGACTAGCCACGGTCCAATGGCCACAGAGTGACAAGCTGAGGCATCTCGCTGTCTAGGACAAATGAACCATCATCACACATGCATGACGACCGCCACAAAGTACGATGCACAACAGAGACAACAAGTACGGAGTACCCCCTATCACATCCAGCCCTCGTCACCCTGAGGCCGATACTCGTACGGAGTACAATATCTTCTACTAGTACTCCGTACATTAGGTACCTATGGGTACAATTCTCCTTTCCCTGCGCACTTCTGCGGTACCGCGGTAGCGATCTTTAGGCTCATGATTAGGCTCTCCAGGGCATCGCTACGAGGCTGCGAGATACTCCGTGTGATTGGGAACATCCCCCCCTTCCTCTTCCTTACCCGCAACATGTGTCGTCTACAAGCCCACAGGTGACTTAGGATCGTCGCCGTGAAGCGTGCTAAACATGCCCGTCTCTCGCGGCTTGACTCGGCCGTCCGTTTCAAAATACCCTCAACCATCATCCCGGAGGTGGCTGTGGCCGGGAGTACAGGGCTCAACAGTGTCGCTAGCTAATTAGATACCTAGTACACATGTACTCGCACCCAGACAGCACCGCAACGGCGACGCGCGTGAGATTCTCGTTTCGCCAATGTTTTTGGAATCTTCCCCTTGCGAGCCTGTGTATTCAGCTGTGGGCTTGAACGTGTCTCGCACAGTTGAGCGCCACAGCCAGCCAGGACCGCCGTACTTAGCAAGCCCTGTGAGCACGGCAGAGATCCGTCTTGGTTATGGCTTATGCGCATGTCATTATCAGTGCTAGACGAGGAACGAAATCTCCCTTGCCGGCCTCGTGCCGGGAAGGGGTCAAAGATTACAACGCGTCTCGCTCATACCATCGTCCTCTGCAGGTGGAGTTACCCCAGATCACGAAGATACGGGCAAAGAAATGTTGTCATCCCATGTTTGGGCTGGAGGCCAGCTCGGATGGTCCGGAGTACAACATGTGCTGATCGTCTATGAGATAATGTACCTCGATGCCGTTGCCCGCACAGCGGTCTGGAGGTCGCCTAAAGTATCCCTCCCCTCTTTGCCACCCAACTTACGGGCACCATATCGACGGGAGTTGGGGGTTTATGCCCACGCTGTTTGGAGTGATAAACAGACCGCACGGGATAACATTCTTCTCTCACAATAACCACGACAGATGATAACGGCTATCTAGACACCAACTGTCACTTATCAAAGCACCTGATATCCCACCTTTCGAAAAAGCAAAAACCGTCCAGCCCAAACGTATGGCAACGCACCGGGGGATAGTTCGCCGTCGTAGCCTTATCCTGCCAGGCTAGTGAGGCTTGGCTATTTGCGGCAGTCGGATCCATCACCTTACAGGTGATACCGGAACACTCAGCGGCCGAGTGGTGATGGAACCAGTTCAAGTTCACCTTTGCGTCTGTGGTCCCGTGGCCTAGCGGCAGCAGCAGTTGCATTGAGACGAAGAGGCGTAAAGACGATCCCCAAGGCCGTTGCAGAGTTTGGAGAGATAGGAGCAGTGAGTCTGTGGCCATGGCCAGCGGTCCGTTCCAATGGTGAGTGACAATCGGCCAGAAGAAGCTCCCAAACATTTCGCGATACGTTATACGACGGGGAGTGAGTGAAATCATAATGCGACAATCTGGTTGAACGGACTGAACAGGCACATTGTCACCCTGGTCGACTTCCCAAGGGTCAAACCATTAAAGTGTTATTCCCACACTATATCGCCCGACGGGGCCATTTCCACGCTGGGCTCATCAGAGCCTGCTCGCCGTCAAGGCTTCAACATCATTGTCGATGCTCGTGTGAACATAAGCTTGAGTAACCTTCAGACAAAGCGAACACCACGCCGACCAACGGGAACTCGTACTGTACACCTCGACGTCCTTCTCTCAGCCGATGGCATCAACACCTTCGCCCGTCAACCGCACTTTCCAGATGTTCAACCCGAGTACCGCTCGAGATTGCAGTATACATCGGACGAGGGGGTTAGCAAGCTCTCTGAAACAAAGCTTCCTTTGAGCAACAGCATGGATGTGTTTACCGGGATGTACGCGGCAGAATCCCGCGGTTACCTACCGTACTAATGCATCGAGGCCCGAACGGATATATTCTCACGTATCTCGTCTCGCGCGGCAGGGAACTCGTCGTCGTCACTTACTCCTACAAGGACTACCATATCGGAAAAGATAGAAGAGGTCGACATGGACGGATTCCGGGCCTGCTACGCAGACTACAGCAGGGCCATTCAATCCGTCATCAAACTCGTCGATTACACGCTACGGTGGCCTCTGCTCGTCATGCCACCCATGCGGCACTAGACGAACAAACACAGGAACGACACGTCCTGCTCGACGACGCATGCCATTGCATGCAGAAGCACACGGGCCAGGGCGACGGCTATATCACCGGGAATGGGTTGGCATCACTGGCGGACGCGTGACAGTGATGTAGGCAGCAAGGGCAGTGAGGACAGCGAGAAGGCGGCGACCTCTGCACACGTGTATTTAACCGCGCTCACTGTCATGAAGCCTCACAGACACACTTTCATATCATCAATAGATTCATTCATTCCACATCTGGCTTCACTGTTTCTACTCTATGTAAAGGCCTGGAAGAATATACATCTACTCAGGTAAGGTACTGGGTACCTAGGAACTCGATACAATATTTCCTTGATGAAACAACTTTTCATTTCTCACCTGATGGTCATCCCCCATTCAACTCCACTCTCATTTGGCGACCGATACTGAATATCATGCGCCATTTCCTCCGTACCCACGTACTCTGTACGCATTCTTCGAGCTCCTCCCGCTACTCGTTCTCCCGCAACTACAGTAGCTACCCATACGGGACGGGTTTCTCATGAGATGCCCGCCCCTACGGGTACGGGAGCAGAACTCCACCACTGGCGCTGGCACTGGCGCTCCGGCACATGCTGTACTCGTAAGAAATTTCAACGTCGATCCATTCCCAAAAGGCTAGTGCGGCATGCCCAATGGAGGTGCAGGGCATTTGTACTTTTTGTACTGTAGATCGTCCCCAGCCTCATTCCGAAGTACGCGCCCACATATCCGTACAGTACTGTACATACATGCATGCAAATATCGTACACACTCGCATCGGATATGCAGCACCCCTACGGGAGGGGAGCCGGGGGTCGGCCCGGGGGGACCGTTTGTCGCACTCCCACGCAATCGATCCTACTAGCTACAGTGACGGGACGAGGGGGTTGCAGCCGCGTTGGCGATCTATTCGATCAATAATGAACATGGCTGTCTTGAGTAAACGACGTGAGCAATGCTAACGTCATGAAACACGCGGAGACGAAATGCAGGGCATCTTTGCATATTCTTCGACGTCAGGATTCGGCAATGGACGATCGCTCCCACTCACGAAAGGGAGATAGGAGGTCAGATATAGATCCCATACGTAAAGGGCGGGTTACGATTGCTACTGAAAACGGAACAATAATAACGATCAACGTGCAAACAGCAATCATCGCTTTACCTTCGAAAGGACTCGGACAAACCCTATGATGCCGTTCGTTGGATGTTCCGCAGGATGGAAAGGTCCTCCTGGAGTATATCGACCGGCGATGGTGGCACAGAAGCAATCATGGTGCCGTATACGCGACGGAAGGTAAGAATGAACAAACGTAGGCACTCCTTGGATTCTGGACGGGAGATCAAGCCTCCCAATCATGATGTGGTGACTCCATATTGTCACCAGATCCTGCTGACGCGAATGAGGCACATACTCGAAGTTCGGGAGCAAACCCCAAACGTCCTCACTCTTGGACAGCCTGAGGCCCAATGTCGGAGTAAATCTTATTGGACAGCTGAAGAAGGCGAGCAGCTGTGTGAAGGGTGGCATTGTACCCAAGGACATCGAGCAGGAAACAGAAAACGTTCGGGGGGAGGGCAGCGCTGTGACAAGCCCATAGTTGCGTACGCATGTAAACAACGTCAAACTATCGTGATCTGGTCGATGGTTAATCCAACATGAACTAATATCCACTTACACGTCAGGATCGGAACGTTTGTTTGGCACACTGGGCTCAGACTGAAGCTCATCGGGGCCCGTCAGTCTCCGAGTGCACGATGACCGGCTTGCAAAGAATAACCACGGTGGCCAGTATAGATGCCCTGCTGCGCTCAAAAAGATAGCGTAGCGCGAGTTTGGCAGATGTCGGCCGAACCGTTTGCTGTACGCAGGTATCCGAAGTTGGGGCCGGTCCAGGTTTGACATATCCGAAATATACACTTCTCTAAAGCTTGCTAAGATCCTGAAGCTGACGTTTGGCAAGGCATTGACAGATGATAGCCCCGTCCATTCCAAGCATTGCCAGCTAGGAACAAATCTGGGATAACCCCGAGTCATGAGGGACTATTGTATCGCTCATGCAGTTTGTTGGACTGACGATACCTGAACGGTAATTGTTGCCACCCGTGCTTATCGACTCGGCCCAAAACTCGAGGCTCGTTACGGTGACCGTCCAGACCAGGATCGGTAAGGAAAGTCATCCATCGATACTCCGTATCTGTTGTCTTGTACGGCGGAACCCACCCCATATGACGAGGCTAAGCGGCGTTTGAAGAAGGGCGGTCTAAACATTGAAATGGCGGTGTTGCTGCAGAGAGGCTCTTCATGGATTCTGCAAAAGATACGATGCCGGTGAGTGTGAAATCACCAGGCGCGCCCTGTGTCGGACGTTCGGTTGTGGAAAGCAGACGGCTATCTCTGCCTATTCCTCCTGCGGGATTGTTATTGACAAAATTGCGCGGGTAGCCCCTCCACTGTCGACCCCTCGTCTCAGCCCGAATGAACAAATATCTTCGTATCAGCCGATTAGTGCCGCCTCCTTTGATTCCTTTGAGCTTCTCGAAGCGGCGTATGCACTGGTGCAGGGGAATTTCAAGGCAGCGAATGGCCGTGTAATGCGACGTTGCCGGAGATTGTCAAAATTTCAGATGAGGTGACGGATTCAGACTCCATTACGAGGTGGGTTTTGGGAGTGGAGAGGCAGTAGTGCCGCGGGTTGTGGGATCCCGGCGGAAACGCACTGACTGGCGTCCGCGGTGGCCCTTGTAGGCCCGGTTCGGCCGGCCGGGGGAGCCCTGGCAAGCCATGCTTCAGACCTGACGAAACCCATTTCTCCCAAAACCGCTCTTACGGAACCGCACCAACATCGGCATGTTTCGGTTATACAAGGTCTGGCTGCGATGGTTCATTGCGGGCGTTGGGTTGAGCGGAGGTAGCTGCTGGCATGTTGTAGTTGTTCTGCAGAGGTGTTCACCGCCATATGGATGGGAAGTAGGCACCACTATGCTGGTCAGCAAGAATTATAAGTGAAGCGACCACTAAGGCTGACCATGCGAGACTTTCACGGGAGGACCTGTCGTGAGAATGGAGAGAGGATTGCAGTCTCTTGGTTGACAGCATCGGCCTGGAGCAGCTGCACAGTGTCGGTTCACCTGGCTCAGTACTGGAAATTGGCGGCCAGGTTTGCAATTCTTTAAGCCTACAATCACTCCTCGGTCCCTGCGCGAGTCTCATCGGCGACTGGGAAAGACTTGACTCGGTGCATACTTGTCAGAGTCAAGGAGCCAATACGGAGTAGTTCGTTGCTTTTTGTTCGGTTCTCTACTGCCGGGTCGCCCATTCTCTTCAGACCACAAATGCTACCCACCTCGCCGCGAAGACCATTGAAACGGGTCCTATCCACGGCTTGGACCATCGCGCGGGAGTTTGGATGACGCTTCCTAGCTGAGAATTTGTTGCATCAAGGACTACTCCGTAGTAGTCGCCTGACAGGCACAGTTGACTTGACAGACACAAGCGATCTGAAGAATCCGTTGCTGTACTTCTAAGCTGTCAGACAACCTGGTGTCATTTGGGGTGGGCATTTGGAAGCCCTTAGCGAGGCCCACGTCCCGAATTAGAGCGGGTGACCCTTACTTATTAAGAGATCAAGGAGCTGCACGGCACATGCAGGAACAGGTCCTTGGGCGACATTCCAAGTGCTGACGATCGCTGCTTGACCAACTTTTTTGGAGCCACGACTACTCGTTTGTCTCTGTCGAAAGCTGAAATGGCGGTACCTGGTTTGATCATGTGCCACATATTGCATCGTACAGTCCTTCGATAGGTCGATAATTGGCCCTGGACAACCCAATGGCAAGCAGACCGTGGCTTGTAGCAACGTTATTGTTGGTTGGGCGTCACGCTGCGTAGCCAACCGCGCAAGCGTGGTACGGACCGAAGCATACCTGAAATGTTTGATGGCTGGTGGGATCATTATTTAGAGGTGGCTGGGGCCTTGCATCGTGATAACGAGGAATGTTTCGAGATCGAAAAGACGTCCTGTACTGGCAACAACAGGTCCCACCTTACATCGTGACTTGTGCTTGTCGTCCTCCACTCGCCGACCGTCACGATCCATAGAGTTCAACGTGACGCGCTGTTGAGTAGAGATGCCTGTTATCCAGGGCGCCGTTGTCCATGGACACCACTATCACTGCGTAGTATCGTCTTCACTTGTGTTGCGTGGACTCGGGAGGTGCACATTCATCGGGTCTAAAGACCTGGCGCGAACCCAGAAACGGCACAGGGTGACGGCCGCAGTAGCCCAGCTGGCCGTCGCCGGAAGTGGTGTCTCATGGCGATTTCTCGAAGCCAAAAGGTGGGCTGCGCTGAGCGAGGTGGGAGTGGGAAGACGGGGACGCTAGGTGCAAGGATACCGCGGGTCGCTTTTGGTGCTTGGACGCCCGCTTGGTGTGCCGCTGGACTGGGCTGTCTGGTCTGGTCACCTCCATACGGTAATTTTTCAGGGGCTCACTGACTGAGGAGGGCAACTCGAGAGAGAATGCTTCGAGGGCGAGCAAGGGACAGGAGGAGGGACAATCTGAACTGAGCACCCTCCTCTCTTGCCATCAGCTGCCCCTCCTCGTTTTCTTCGTTTCGCACACTCTCCTCCTCTTTCTGTCTGTACAACACCTCTGCCATTGTCGTCGCAACCATCTGTAATAATATCGTCGCATATCAGCCTTTGTATCGAATATTGTCACGCTGCGTACGGCGCTGCACCACGCTGCATTGACGACTACTACACCGACCACGTGATCCACCTTGCGTTTTTGCCAACCAGACCCAGGCCGATTCCCCTTCAAATCACAGCCAGCAATCATTTCCTCAATCGCTTCGACTTCCAGGCGGCCTAGCAACACGGAATGATCACGGCTCAATCTACGTCCACGTACCAACTCACTTTTGAGCGAAAGGCTTGCGCCGGGTCCGAGGACTTTTAACCCTTCACTTTCTGAACCATGGCCCAGGCTGACGCCGCCACCGCTTCAGAGCCTGCGAACGCCAGCGCAGCGACAGCGACCCCGAAGAAGGCTGCTTCAGCGCCCGAGAAGAAGTACAAATGCCAATATTGTAATCGAGCCTTCAGCAGAAGTGAACACCGCAGTCGACACGAACGATCGCGTAAGTAGAATAATTTTTTTGTTCTTGCGACGTGGGGCTTCACCCAGACCCCGCCATCACCTCTTCCCACTGAATGAGCTCTCAGGCCATCATCAACTGACATCCATCCCTTGCCAGACACGAAGGAACGTCCCTTCAAGTGCCAGAAATGTCGTAGCACCTTCGTCCGTCGCGATCTGCTCTTACGCCACGATAGGACCGTCCATGCAAAGGATGGCGGTGTACCCCTTCAATCTGAAGGCAGAAAGAGAACGGGAACAGGCGCAGGGACGAAGACGACGCCCTCAACGGCCGCTACGTCCAAGCCTTCAATAAGTCTTGAACCGGGGACTTTGGAGCAGATAGAGGCTAGCAGCGATGGTATGCTCGACCTTGAAACTGCCGCCATGTTGATGACAGACTTCCAACACAAGGCGGCAGCAGCAGCATCAGTAAACGGCCACGTTCAGAACGGCGAGAGCGCAATCCCCGACTACTCTCCAGATCGAAGCTCGCTTCTCGAATCGTCAGACTATCTCGCCGGTCCTAACGGTCTCCCACACATGCCTTGGGACACCTTTATGCCTCACGGCCCGTCAGAACCGAAAGCGCATTCCATGTCGAGCATTTCGTCGCAAGATAACCTTTCACAGCCTCCTTTCGTTCACATGGGATCGATACAACCGCATCAGTCTCAGTTGCCGCCCATCATGGAACGACAAACCTCCTTGGGTAGTTCACTGCCGCCAACATTCCACTCTTTGCCCGACACCTTCCCGGTCTCGGGGACGCCGACACCCAATGCACTCTCTCCCTTTCCCTCGATGACAGGGCCTGTATCGCCAGTGAACTATCGCAAGTCTCCTGGGCCAGCCCAACCCCTTTCCTTACCCAAAGCTCCGCAGTTGAACAATGATGACGAGAGAGCTATCATTGCTAACCAGCTAGGTGGAGATATCACCCTGCCTTCCCTACCCTCAATGAACCTATATTTGACCACCTACTTCAATCTCTTTCATCACCACATGCCCTTCCTGCACCCTGTCACCTTTCGTCCTGAAAATTGTCAACCGGCACTTCTACTTGCTATCCTGTCCATCGGCGCTCTGTACAATTTCGAACAGGAACAAGCCTACCTACTGCACCATGGTTCTAAGAAACTTGTCAACCAATTTCTCCAGAATAAGGACAACTTTGATTCTCGAAAGTGCCCTCTCTGGACTATGCAAAGTACTTTACTGAACATGGTCTTCGAAAGCTGGAGTGGTGGCTCACAAGGCCTCGAATGGGCTTGTTCTATCAAGAGCTTGCTCGCCAATGTAAGTTACCCCTGGAGTCAATTTGGCCTTTTGCTCACCGTTTTAGATGGTCGCGGGCAATAAGTACGAATTGAAGTTGCGTATCGATGGTCGCGCTGGCGCACCTCCGACACATGATCAGTGGGTCAATGAAGAGGGTTGTCGGCGCACTTATTATGCCGTCTATATCTTCTTCGGCATGCTGACTCTAACATACAACCACACTCCGGCTATCAGCTTCAACGAGTTCGATACATTGCCACTGCCTTCTTCCGAGTCGTTATGGAATATTGAGCCTGCAGACGAGGACTCCTGGCAAGATATTTTCGCAGCCTCTCCCACCATTACTGTTCGAGAAGCATACGACAGTCTCTTTCAAGGAGATGCCGCCAGATACAGTGCTTTTGCAACTCGAGTGATGATCAATGCATTGTTCCTAGAGGTCTGGAATCTGCGAAGAAGTTTCGAATCGCTGCAGGATGTGGTTCTGGAATGGAAGATTCGCATTGCTTTAGAAACGTGGGAACGATCACTGGATCTGTGCGAGCCTGAAATCATCGTTGTTCCTCTCAGCACACCCCACAAAAGCCACCCTCTGATCTTCAACTCGATGGCTGTGTACCGCAACACCCGTGCCTTCCTCGAAGTCGATCTCAAAGATGTCCAAGAAGCGTTGCGATACCACAACTCGTATGAGATTGCCGGCGCCATGTCGTCGGCGCGCGACAATGTCAAGAGAACCAAAGAAATGATCAAGGTTGTCGAACAATGCTACGAGTGCATGGAAATCGTTGCCATGCAGGGTATCAATTGGGTCACCAAGACATCATCTACCAATTGGAGTATTGAACATCCTCTTTGTGGACTGGATCTCATTACCATATTAAGCCTATGGCTGTATCGCATTGAGCATGATGATCAAGAAGCCACTGATGAAGAGCTTGCCATGTATATGAGAGTACGTGGATTATTCGATGATGACGCCGTGGACGCGAACGGATCACGTCTCAGCTCCACGGTGGCTCGTGTCTGGGGCTCAATGCTGGACGGTGTGGTTGTTTGGGGGTGAGTATCTCTGCTGATGCTGAGGAAGAATCTCGGCTAACATGTTCCAGCATCTCAAAAACCATGGGCGAGTCATTCAAACTACATTCCCAAGCTTTGATTGGTTATGTCGATGAGCTCTCATTAGACCATGTCACGGGAATGCAAGTCGACCAGAACCTTATGGACATGGCAACGACATACTGAACGCAATCATGCGGCATCCTTACCTACCTCCATTTTCGTGTTTATTTGCATGGCGAAATTTGTGGGGCTTTGGCATCGAAAGCGGCGCGCGCATGGTACTATTTGATATATTTTCTTTCTCGACACTATTGTTAATTCCAGATGTCTTGTCTTGGGGCCCACGACAAAGGCCACAAATCAACTCGGATCTCTAATCGAAGTCGGCAAACATACGACACAAGCAGCAGCATTCCTCTCCTTCCTCACGACACACATAAAGCTACCTAATCTTCTCGACTTGATACCTTGTGCGCTTACAGATACAAGACTTTTGGTTTTCCCTTATAACGACTTTCCTGTATTCGAGCGCGAAGGAATGGACCAAGTGGTCCGAGACAGCCAGCAGGAATTTTCTGGCTAATGAACTTTCTATCTTTCCTATTGAAATTGCGACGGCTGTTATTTTGAGTTGACTACTCTCCTCTGTATACTAGTGAATGTGGGATTTCTTCAGCGCGGCAACAAGGATATCTATTGTTTTTACAGATGCACTCCATACACGATAGCAATTGCACAGAGATGGCAATAACTCGGCCTAATGTTCAATTGTCATTTTCACAAAAGTCTCAGAAGTACATTTCTGCTGTTCTAATAAAATATGAAATCCTCATTGAGTATAGATTATGCATGTGACATTCAGTTGGATGTCGTTGTCTTTGATGCGTGTGGACAAGTTTAGTATAATAGTGATTTAGCGTCGTAGAGCGCAACGTCAGCCGTTCTCCCAATGTAGAAGACATCGCAGCCTCGCATTCTATCTACCTGGCATCTTCTACTATTTCCAGCATCACAATTCCAGGCTTATATTCTCTGCACGACTCTTCAAGCACCACTATCAAACCCACAGACTGTCGCACAACATCCACTTGCACCGTTCCTCCGATGACCTCATTCGTCACCTCACAGACTACGGAGTCTCAGTAACCATACAGCATCAACACCTATACCTCCGCCTCCGCAGCGCAGACAGAACAGCAAACATGGCGCCCTCTCCCACAATGCGCCGGCTTCTCAAGGAGACAGCAGAACTCTCCTCTCCCTCTTCCAACCCCAACCCAGCCTTTTACGCCGGTCCGGTATCCGACGAAGACCTTCACGAATGGCATTTCACCCTACTAGGGCCGCCTTCTCCATCTCCGTATGAAGGCGGCATGTACCATGGACGCATCACGTTGCCTCCATCGTACCCGCTCAAGCCGCCCAACTTTCGCTTTCTCACGCCGTCGGGACGCTTCGAGGTCAATCGTGAGATCTGCCTGAGCATCTCCGGGTTTCACGAGGAGACGTGGATGCCGGCGTGGGGCGTGCGGACGGCCCTGACAGCACTGCGGAGTTTCATGGCCGAGAAAGGCACCGCGGGACAAGTTGGAGGTCTGGAAGCCAGCGTCGACGTCAGGAAGAGATTGGCTCGAGAGTCGAGGGCCTGGAAATGTGAGGCGTGCAGGAAGAGTAACGAGGCTATAATGGGGGAGTGGTGGGAGGTGTGTAGGCAAAACGGTGTGAATGTACAAGAGGAGGAAGGCGTGCAGTTGGAAACGCTTCCCGAAGGGATAACCCTGGAACCGCGCAGCCCTGGGCCACAAGATGAGAAGCGCTCGCCCACGAACTCGACCCCAGCCCCGGCGGACGCTACATCGGGACCGGAGCAAGTCATATCGGCAAAAACCGACGACAAGGGAAAGGGCAGAGCAGATGCCGCCTCGCCGCCCGCCTACATCAAGGACGAAAATATCATGTCCGATAATGCGCAGCAACAAAGCCGGGTACCGACATCACATCCAGAGACCGTGTCTAGCACAAGTACGGGGACGAGTACGAGTACACCATCACAGACACAGAACACATCAACAGCCCCAGACAGCAATACAAGCCTACTACAACCACCACAACAACAACAACATCATCACCCTCACCCTTCTCCGCCGCCGCCGCGGATGATTCCTACCCCTTCCGCTGAAGCGGCCCAAGCATCTGCCGAAGCCGTGCTTACACCTTCAGATCTCTCCTCCTCCTCCCCCTCCTCCGGGGCACATCGACCAAGCATATCCCTCATCTCCGGCATCCACGCACCTCCACTCACCGCGGCAAACGCGGCGCTTCAGAACTCCAACTCCGCGGCACCCCTGATCCTCCAGCGCGACCGGGCAAGGGAGAGCGTCACGATCGACCGAGCCATTGCCGGGGTCTTCCTCGCCCTGTGCCTGATGGTGCTCAAGAAGATCTTCTACCCTGCCGGTTCCACGAACGGCGCGGGGTTCGGAGGAGGCGTGGACGACTTTTACCTCCAACGTGAATGAACGAAGAACCAGCCGTAACACAGGCACGGACGATGAGTTTCGGAGGTAGACCGTGGGACGACTTCCACCTCTCCGAAACGCGAATGAGAACACCAGCTGTACAAAAATGAAAACCGAACGATAAAAATCTATCCGAGGCATGTTTGTTGTGGGACGTCATACGGAGTCACCATCTGCTTTTGTTCAGGGAGTTGGTTATATAGCAAGCGAACCCAGTCCCAATCCCACCAAGCGAGATGAGATGAGATGAGATGAAAAGTATCACACAGAAAAGAAGAGAAGACACGACACGACACGACACCTACGGGGTACGGATCGTGCCTAGGCATATCATACAAACGACTACAACGGGACGGTGAACTTCGCGTCGTATAAAGTAGATACCGTGTAGAGAATTCCTATCTTTTACCACCTGCGTCCTGACGGTCCCGAGGTAGCGAGAATAAAGAGACCCCATCGTTCTCCTAGGGCAGGGGAGGGACACAACGTCGAGACGAGTCGACCAACCTTTGCAGAGACCTCAGTGTTTCGCGAATCAAGTTTCGTCGTCAGGTCCAGTGCTCGGAAAACTTTGGACGTGCCCCTGGCTGAGGATACCCAGGGACCTGAGGTAGCAGGTACCGTGTGTACTGTAGTGTGTGGAAGAAACCCAAAATGGATACGGCTACCAAGTAACTCCGTACATTCAGTACATCTACCGGTATCCATATCTCTTCCTCGACCGTCCCGGCCGGCGCTGGGCTCGCATGTTGCCAACGTGGTCGTCATTGTATCCAACATCAACATCCGAATCCGAATCCGAATCCGAATCAGAGTTCGAATCGCCATCATCGTCATCATTGTAGTCATCCTCGCCTTCGCCGTCACTACTGCTGCTAACTTGAAACCTCTCAATTTGTCCATTCTCCCCGCGGTCCACGTCGGTCCTCTGTCTCCCTCGGTGCTGACGTTGATGCTGGTGAGGTAAGGCTTTCATGCTCATGGCGCTCTGCATGCTTCCACCGTAGCCGTGGCCGTGTCCTTCGTGGTATCCATATCCGTTGTTGTTGTTGTTCTCATCTCTCTCGCGGTCACGCTCGTACCCGGCAAAGCCGCCACCGCCGCGCAATCCTACCGCGCCTGTGGCACCTCCAGCTCTTTGGTCGCTGCTCATCATTTCCTCAATCCTCCGTTCTTTCCGTCGCGCCGCCTCCTCCTGCGCGAGTTGCCACTTCTCACTGACTTCCCACCGCCACCCGTCGCCAGTGGTGTTGCACACGGGCAACCACCATAACAAAGGGCTGGGGCCGAAGAGGTGCGTCAAGTTCCGTCGCCACCCGAGGTCGAATGCGTTTGGCATCCCTTCGGCTTCAAAGTCGTCCATATACTCATCGTACCGTTCTCGTTCGCGCTCGGCTTCGATGTTACTATACGTCCTGCGCAAGGCGCGCAGGGCAGGAGTGTCGTTCGCGTTATCGGCGACGGCATGCTGCTGGCCCAAAGCATCCCGGTACGCAGAATTATTCGAATACGGATGTCGAGGGTGGTGGTGGTAGCTGTCGGAATTTGGGTGATGCGAAGTCTGGTTGTAGTAAAGACTCGGCACGGGCGATGTATGCTCTTCGCCCTCTTCGTACCGCGACGCCCCCGGCACAGCATTTGCATGAAACTCGAGGATCTGCTCTCCTGCTCGCTGCAATCGTTCGGCAACCCCTTCTGAACCACCGCGCCTATGTGGGTTCAGTTGATGTTCTTGTCTGTTCCGCTCGACACGGCTCCGGACCCCGCTTAGATACCTCGTCTTCTCAAGTTTCTCGATCGTCGTCTGCCCCTTTGTGCACAGGTATATGTGCCACATTGTGAAACCAGTTATCACCAGGCCTATTATGCCCGACACCACCGCGAGGAGGATTATGTTCACCGGCGCAATCTCTTCAAGGTATCCGCTGTCCTCGAACAATTCCTTCCACATCCACCATGCCGAGTTGGCGAAACATGCCCAACTGAAGAGAGAAATGTATATTAGGAACAAAACGAATGCTTTGTAATTGTGTAGGCCCAGACATGTGGACAGCCAGGGACAGTGATGGTCCATCTTCAGGACGCACCGTTTGCATGTCGAGCAGTGGTGCGTCCTGTCTGGCTTGGGTACGTGGCATTTCTTGCAATACCGCGCCGCCCCCGTCGAAGAGACGGTAATAGTTTGGATCCCTTCGGTGTCCGCTGGTCGCTCGTTGGTGGGGAGGACGGAATATGCCCCCTTCCGCTTTGACGATCCCCGTGGAGGATTTAAAGGTGACCCTGGATCGGTGAAGACTGCGACCGTGTACGAGAGGTTCGCCAGGGAGTACAGTAATATGCCGAGAAAGGAGATGAATTGTACTGCCCACCACACGTACTTAGATCGATGTGAGCCAAACCCTATGGACGAAACTACCCAAACCGCCCATGTCGAGAGACTGTACACAAAAGCGAGCGGGAAGAAGGTAGCCAACGTCCAGCATCCCCTCTCACATTTGTCCGCGCACGATCGTAGCCGGCGCCGTCGAGCGGTTGGAGGCGGTGAAGGAGAAGGACTCGAGTAGCTAGGCATCGGTAGGGTTCGGCAGAGGATATTGTAACTATATCTCTCTCACACAAACACACGGCAGATCAAGGCCAGGCGGGTGAGTTCATCGGCGCCTAGACGGTGTCATCTCAGAAGGCGGCATCGGTTCGACACGCTGCAAAGTCGGCGGGTTCGAAAACGTACGAGAGCTGTACCGGGGACAAAGGACAAAACTTGCTCAGATGAGGGTATGCCAAACGATGCGGTGTGTAAAATAGAGGGCCTTTGTGCAAGATGTTTGGACAGGGATAAAATCAAGGATACGAGTGCTGTTGTTGTAAAGGGCACGAAGTGCGGATTGTGGTCAGCCTGAAACGCGCTGGCTCGTAGGTACGTAGTTAACCTAGGTATTTATTAGTAAGTAAGGCTTACACTAGTTACTATTACGACCCTTAAGCAAAAGGTGACGTCTGGAGGTGCCTAAGCCTCGTTCTTCCGCGCCGCGGGTGCCGCTGACAGCTTCGTCCGGGCGGGCTTAATATGGATACCCTAGGTACCTAGAGTTCACCAACTACCCAGTGGCACCCAGAACCACGACAAGACCACGATACGAGTACTCCCACATTATACTCTCTTCACTTCTATTGCTTCTAACCAGGTCCACAGTACAACGAGAAGCACCATCACGCCAATGTTGAATAACTGATGACATTCTGTGTGTATTAATCGATCGTTACGGTCAACCATCCCTATCACGAAGTCCTCCTGAGAGAGCAGCATGTTGAAAGGGTGTCGAGAGTTTCCGTGATCATTCTGCATTTCCTCCTCCATCACATTCGAAGAATCTCTCCTGTGTGGGAATGTATTCGCTCGTGCCTACTTTGACTTTGAAACCACTGGGTCGCCGTTCTTCTCGTAGGTAGCAGGCTCCCTGACCATGACATCCAGCCGGAGTTCCTTGCCGCATGCTCTGGTCAGGTAGATTTGCTTCCTGAGTTCGAACCCCAGCTTCCCGTAGATGATGATATTGATGTCGTGCGAGCTCTCGAGGTAGCATGGAAGACCACGATCATCAGCCTGGCGAGTCATCAGCATCTCATCGTTGAGTGGTCACGGACCAGAGCCTACCAGCTTCGAAACATACTCGATCACCTTCCTCGCATAGCCTTTGCCTCGAGCTTCAGGCTTCGTTCCCACGTAGTTGAGGTACCAAGACTGGTCATCCCTCTCACCCAGGACCTCCTGCTTAGTATCGTGCAGCAACGGCAAAAACTCATCAAAGAAACGGATCTTGCCTTCCTTGGACAGCTTGTAGCGGAGCCGCCACATTCCGCTACGGACGATGGTCAACCAGTCGTCGATGTTCTTTCCAGGGGGGAGCCAGAGAGCGACGCAGTCATAGTGTTCTCCTGCCGTCAAGACCAAGCCGTTGAGACAGTGGGCATAGGTGACATATTCCATGGTGGTTCTGTGCAACTCGAATCTCTCTTCGTCACTCATGTGCTCGCGGTCAGGAGTGTCGACGGCGTAGCGCACGATATTGTCGAAGCGAAACGCTTCAGCAAGACACGCTGCTGCCTCCTTGTACTCATGTGGAGCGACGATACGGACCCCGTCGTGGTTCCTCGTAGTCGGAATGTCCTGATCGACGATGCTCTCCGGTTTCTCGTGTACCAGGGTGGCGTCGAGCATCGGGATAGTAGCACTGGAAGCAAGAGCCATGTTGAATAGCTGGTGTTATATCTAGCAGCCTCTTGTTCTTTTGGTATTCCCTTTTGAAACGACTTTAGTGGAACGCACAAAAACACTGGTATCACCTACTGTTTGATTCTTTTTTTTTCTGATTCAGCCCCTATCAATGGGTCTCGTGAGATCTCCAGTATGAACTGAAGATAGCTGGGCTCTCGAGACAGTAACGACTCGAGACGGGAAACGCAGACAGGTACGAGATGCACGTAGATCAACCGACATCAGCGTACAGTCCAGTTGAGCGAGATTGGGAAAGATAGAAGCTAAAGGACAGAATGCGAGAGGAGCAGGCCGTATAAGTGCTTTTTTGCCCTTTTGACACGATCTGTGGCACGAAGCCTTCAACACTGTCACAAGTGATGTTGTTCGGTGAGAGATCGATGACTGAGCAAATGAGCGTAAGCAGTCAAGATATTTCAGATTGGAAACGCGGCTGGTGCAACTAGAGTGAGCTGTTCGCAGCCATGTACCTCTGCTAAGCTCGAGCGTCGCAAATCGGTGCAAGGAATGGTCTCGTGGTCAGGAGGGGAAGCCAGGTTTATCAACTGGTCCGCTTGAAAGGAGTCCCAGGAGCCACTTGTCAATATAGATATGGCCAAGTTCAACGTCGGACAACATATGTCGACGAGCAACCGCACAATCAGATTGATCTGTCGAAGCAGCCCCCCACGCTAAAGGCTGCCGGATGCCGGAAAAGTCTCACACAAGGAAGCCGGGCAAGCCTATTGACATTGATGTGCGTCCAGTAGGAAGCGAATGTCGTTATGGGACACGAGTGTGGGGACCGCTACGAGAAGTCGTCTGGGGGAGTCATGCGCGTCCACATTCTAGGCGAGAGTTAGACATGACTAGCTTGATGATGCTGTCCACGATATTGAAGGAAGACAAGAAGATGATGGATTGGTTGATGCTTAGTAGGTACGGATTCTTTCTTTGCGAGACACCACGGAGTTGAATAGAAAGTCCCACTGGTGCTTTCGGCCCCCTTCTCCTTCAGCCTCGTATCGCCAAGCTGTTCCTGGTAAACACATCTTGCCTGAGATCGCATATTGCTACGATGACATCCACGACAGCAACTACCACGGAGATCGGAGACATGAAACAACAGGTCTTGACCTAGGGATCGGCTTTCCCAGCTTTTGTTCGTGCCTGCATCCCTTGGACAGCCAGATATCACCATCACTCTTACAGCTTGCACAGTCCCATGGATCCTACATGACTTTATTTGGCCTCCCCTTCAAGGTGAACGGTTTCGATGTCGCCTTTGGCATGTTGAGCTGCGAAGCCAACGTCCTCAACACCACTGAAATCGGTCACGCCAAAGAGCTCGTCCATTCGTTCCAGGGAAACCTAAAGTCTCTGTCAGAATCCAGGACGAGGGAATCAGGTATAGCCTATCACTTACGCCTTTGGTTTCCGGAACGAGGAAAAACGCACCCACAGCAATGGAAAAACAGAACGAGCCATAGATGAAGTATGTGCCGTAACCGTGGGCGCCGACCGTCTCTAGCATGACAGGGGTCGATCTAGCCACTACTAAATTGAAGATCCATTGCGTCGCTGCGGCGTATGAGACCGTCAACCCTCTGAGACGCTGAGTAGATATCTCCGAACTGTAGATCCAGCAGCATGGTCCTGGTGGTAAACGTCAGCTAATGCCTTCAACTTGAAACACAGTCAAATCCACGACTTACCCCAGCCAAACTGAAACGCCGCCGCAAACAGATATACAAATACGAGCGCCGCGTAACCTGCACTAGAAACTGGGGCATCCTTTGCAGGTGGGTCGAACCGAACATAGAAGCCCAGGTAGAACATGCAGAACCACATAAAGAACCCCGTCCACACGAATGACCATCTTCGTCCCAGGGTGTCGGCGAGGAAGACAATGAAAATGGCGCATGACACCATCTTAACAATACCATAAACGCCTGTCGCGAAGAGGCTGTTCTCATTCTTGTTGATACCCAAGGACTCGAATATCGTCGGTGCATAGTAGTTGATCGCGTTGGTACCCTACTACATCTTCAGCAACGTCCCGCCTCGAGTGGATTTGTGGTAGGAGGTGAGTGGTACGAGAGAACAGCATTGCTGGAAGGAACCACAAGTCGGGACCGGATCAAGCAAAGGGGGCAGCCGAGCCTTGTGGCTCCATGACCGAGACTTACTGTCATCTGCTGAGCTATCATGAGAACAATGACCATGATGCAGCGTCGTCGATTACCAGCGATAGTCCACGCCTCCTTCGTCAATGCCCAGTAGCTATTACCGCCTGCTCGACCTCGTTCCGCATCCAGTTGAGTTTTCATTTCCAGCAGCTCGGCCTGGACGTACGGATGGACGGCTGGAAGCTGACGGACAGTGGACAGGATACCAGATGCTTTATCCCAATTGTCCTTGGAAGCAAGCCATCGTGGGCTTTCCGGACAGAATAAAATCGATACAAACAATAAAACAGGCGGCAGTGATTGCATGGATAAAGGCACAATCCATGTCGAGTGGCCCTTGAGGTGCAACAACGAGCCGTAGTTGATGAAAAAGGCCACCATTGCCCCCATCGTTTCAAAGAGCTGATAGAAACCAACCAGAAGACCACGGATGCCACGAGGAGCGTTTTCAGCTACATATGTGGGAGCCAGCATGGTGGCGCCCCCAAGACCGAGGCCTTCGACAAATCTGCCCTTGTCAGGTCGCAAGGATGCGATGATCGAGGTTATCTCGGAACGTACCTTCCAATATAGAAGCACACCAGGCTGCCGTAAGAGAGGGCCTGGAGTAGACCTCCAACGAAAGCGAACACGGAGATGAAAAGTATGCTCTTCTTCCGACCCATCCAGTCGGCCAAAGGGTTGGCAGCCAGAGCACCCACAATCGCACCAGCTTGCTATCGAAACACCATCAGTGTCTTACCGTGCTTGAGGATCCAGTTCTGCTTCCATAGAGACTCACCATCACGCTGACAAGATTGGCAGACAGATTGGCCGCTGCAGATTTGCTGATATCGCTAAGGCCGAATTCCCTACGGACAAGCTATCAGCGTCGAGGAAAGTCAACAAGCACCGACTCAGCGCTACTTTTTGAAGTCAGGAAGCGTTAAAACGCCTCCTATTATGCCAATATCCATTCCAAAAAGCGTACCACCAAAGCATGCTGCGCTCGCCAATGCAAATACCCGCCAATTATACACCTCCGGAGGGTCGAGCTTGATCGCATCATTGTGAACAAATCTCCTGATGAGACTCATGGTGACGGATGTTCTGAGCAGAGTCGGAAGGAGAAGAGTAAGCTGTCATCGCCAGGATCCCATGCAGAGGACTGGGACAGCGTCAGATATAGCCGGGCCATGGCGAGACTTTACGGTTGGGTCACATGCTGTAAAGCTATTACATTTAGGCGAATGATCCCAGTTCAGTCGAGCTTGGTAGCTGATCTCTAGCCAGATAGACACGCATGCGGTTGATACTGGGGACTCCGCATTATGAGTGGAATGGAATCACCCCGCGTCGAAGTCGGATCGCAATGTGGTGGGAAGCTGTGGGCTGAATTTTGGCATTCGTCGAATGACAACGGCTATGCTGTGTCATCCAAGCCCTAGAGAGTTAAGATGTGCAAAGACTTGACAAGCATTCCTGATCTAGTCCACTCTGTTGCAACGTTCTTCCACGACTCAAGACCAGTGCTTTGCATGAGGTCTGTGGGGATGTGATATTCGATCGTCAGATTGGGCCGGACTTTTCAGGCTGAAAGTCTTTTGGTGAGTGAGGAGAAAGAAGTTATTTCTGCCATCACTATGCAGAGCAAGCTCATGTTCTGCTGATTTGCCGTTCTGCTTCTTGAGTCTGCGAGCCGAAGGACGAAGTCGCATACGGAACGATCATCCTTCCCCTTTAGGTTGTGGATATTTGCCGAGCCTGAAGAGGAGGGAACACGCTGCATTCCCATCGGGCAACCTGCCAAGCAGTATAGCCCACAATTGCACGGTGGAAGGCCACGGCAAATGAACCTCTGGACCGGCTAAATTCCACGCGAAATGGAGGGTGTGGGAGTGAAATGTATACTATTTGTGATAGCCGACATCGTAAGAGCCACCGACTTCGGTGAATCATACACCGAGCATTCTAGAGTCCAAACCCGAGAGCTGGATGCTGTTCTTTGTCCTGCTGCCCAACGAAGACTGTCACAGGCAATCGTCCAGACCTAGCTGGGGGCACCATTGACTGCGTCAGATATCCTGCATTTCTACTCTCTATCCTTCCTCGGTGGACGAGCTAGCGAGGCTTTAAGATGCCCATGTGGAGTCTGTTGTGCATCTGGAGATGCGGCGAGATGCGGCGACATGGGCTGTACAAGCGAAGGATATTCCTGCCAGAGGGTGGCGTGTATTTATTAGGCGATCTGCTCACAGGTCTCTTTGTGCGGAAATGTGGTAGGCAGCGGCACTCATGCCGATGCTTGTCGTATGCCATATCACACTTTCCAAGTTCTAGTGATCCTGTTGAGGTTTCGGTGATGTGACCGTAGTAAATGGCCGATAATGTAACTACTTTGCTAATTCATTCGTTGCCTGAGCCACTCAGGGATCTGAGGTCTCCTGTCCCACTGTGCTTGCCACTTCTGCTGGTATCCCTGTACAGTATTCGGCATGGCAAACACTCCCGTGGCCAGCCAAATGTCCGCGTTGGGCTGGAGCTCCAGGGCCAGGCTAGGCAAGACAGACCTGCTCTCCGTCAAATTGCTGTTTGCATCTTCGTCGAGCACCCGACCGATGCGGCTTTGATGGCGATGCAACTCAATGATTCCCACCACACCGCCTCTGGAGAGGGCCAAGGCTTCCCCTGAAGCCTCTCTCTTGCCCTCGACGTCCCGGTCGCTCATGTAGGCTAGTTCTCGCTCATCCTTCTGCGACACTCCATGCAGGCTAAAAGCACCTTCGCTCGTCTTGAGGACCCTGTTTCCAGTCTTGATATGGTGAACGCGCAAGTGCCAATTTGGTGCCTCCTCGGTCGGAGGAAGCAAGTAGGTCTCTAGCGAAACGTCTTCCCAGGGTTCCCATGAAGAGATCAATACTGGCGACTTGTCCTCCGTGGATATTCTTGCGTTTACCGTCTTTCTCCGGACCTTCCATGTCTCTCCTGCGTCGTCAGACAAAGCTATCATATTGTCTCCTCCAATTGCTTCGACAAAATAGCCTCCAGTTGGCACTGAATACGCAAAAGCCGAGGAATAGGCAAACTTCCCATATTTTGACTCCGAGGCCCGCATCGGATAGTGACACATTTGCCCCGAGGAGAGAAGAAAGGTGTGTCCTCCGCGTCTGACCATGATATGGCGGGGGTGTTCCAGGGGCACAATTTGCGGTATTGAAGAGGAAGGAAATGGCTCCTCCTTGCTAGTCCAGAATGGATGCGTCGCTGGGACAGCCAGGCAAGCAAAACTCAACATAAACCAATAGGTGGACCCGTGAGAATTGTAGTTCTCTGACATGAATTGGTTGGGGTAGGTGTAGCCGATGTTGAAAGTCCCTGCCGTGGTAAGGATGTCTTGCTGTTGAGACCAATATCTGAGGTTGCGAAGTAGAAGCCCTTTGACTACTCCCCAGGTTAGGGGAGGTTCAAGTTCGAGGTCTCCGAACGCCACAGCTGCCCAGAAGCCGGCCATAGCAAAGCGATACGTTAATGACCGGCCAAAAGTAATGGCTCGACCTGCATCAATTAGTGGTGATCGATGTAGAGGACCGGACAAGGAGTATATACCTTGTTCATCGAAGTAATGTATAAAATCTCTCGCATACTGTCTTGCCCGCGCCTTGTATTCTTCCGCGCGCTTCTTGTCTTTGTCTCCATTGATCTTCGCATATAGCAGCTGAAGGTATTGGATGGCGTAAGATCCAGAATAATAGTCCATCTGGAGTGTATCTTCGGGCCCATCATTTGACCAACCATCTCCACGATAGAATGTGTCCAGATGATCAAGATCTGCCTCCAGGCGCTCGCCATCATATGTTGCGCCGTTCTTCATCAATGCAAGATTGGCAAAAACACGGAACCACAGCCAATTGGTATTCGGCATTTCCTTCCTGTTAATATCAAGCCACTGCTGGACGTTCGATCGTTCTTTGTCGGTCAGAGGATCCCAAAACTCTCCGGGGGCCACGCATAACGCAAAACCGAGTGGGCACATTTCCACCATGCGTTGGTCCATGTCTTTTGACCAACCCCAAAACTCTGGATGATCAGGGTTCGTCCCATTCCTCAAGCCTTCCAGCCAGAGTTCAGTTCCCTGAAAGCTGTCTCCTCCGGCGAGCAAAGCGGCTAGCCCCCACATCGGTCTTGTGAAGCCTTCGAGCTGGGCACCGGCTTCATCGTAGCGAGTTGCTGTCGCCCCGAGCCGTAACCTGGTTCGTGAGGGAGAGAAGAAAGGGAGGAGAGCCCTCAACAAGGAGGTACATGCCTCGAGAATTTCAGAGCGCTCGGCTAGGGGACTGTTCAGTGAGGTGAAAAGAATCTGTGGGTGGTTTGAAGACATCTTCAGTTTGTGTCCTGTGGTGAAGAAAGTCTGAACACAAGCATGTCCACATAGAAAGCTCAAACATGTAGAATCATATACCTGAAGCTGGGAATGGACGGGACTACCTCTGTGGGATATGGGTCATCATCATTAGCCGATCCGACGCCCTTTGACCGTACCAACCGTTGTGTCCCACTGATGTGCATGTCACTTCCTGTAGTTCTCAGTTCAAGTCTCTATTGGGCTCGGTGGGAACACGTACGGGGACTCCGCAAGGGAACTTTGGGGGTGGAAACCGAGTTCTCATAGGCAGCGGGGGGAAAGCCGGCGTGAATAAAGGTGAGAGCGGGCATTGACTGTTGATTGCCAGCAAGGGTCCCAGAAAAGAACAGGACAGGACAAACATGCGATAACGATCACAGAGATTACCTTAACTAGGTAGTCGTTCCTGATGGACTTGTTGAGTCAGAATGGGAGAGAAGATTGGTACTTTCGAGTCTACGGGGTACATGTACCACGAATATGGTATATCCGACTGTAAGCAGCTGTTCAGGACGAATGAACGGGTGGCACCGCGAGAGCAGAGATCATATATCCTCTACCAGACGTATCTTCCACCTCTCTCTATCTCCAAGTAGCTCACTGCTACAATATACTCTGACAGACCTCCCTAGATCGATACCCGGGGTATATGGTATTACTATAGGAGATACCTAGCAGCTTGCATAACAGTCTCCAACGTCCTTTGAAAAAGGGTAATATGGTGTCGAGTGTATCCCACAACCCATATTCCCTCTTCTCTTCAATAGGTACACTCTGATACATAGCTAGCGAAATAACTCGCTCATCAAAAATGTACACTTCATAATAATGACGTTGCACCCTGTACGAGTAAGCACCTCCTTCTCAGTCCTGCTTCGCTAGATACCACAACGCTTCATTAAAGAAAGATTAAAACTCGCATTCATCCCAACTCATCTCATCAAGTCTACCATGTCAATCCCATTCAAATCAAATCGATTCGTTTCAAGTGTACCTCATTTCACTTTAATAGCACAATCAACAAGACCAAAATAACAATCAAGACTATAATGGTCGTCATGCCCCAATTCTGTTTCGCGCTCTGACTAACAGTCTTCAACCTCTTCTTGGCCCCGTCAAGTCTACTCTGGTGCCTGTCGACGCCCCTGTCGACCTCGTCAAGAAGCGCAATCTGCCCTTCGAGCTCGTCGCCGACCTGCATCGCCAGATGGCGTTGACGACCTATGCTCTCCCCTAGCCTGTCGAGCTGCTCATCCTGCTCAGCTATCACCTGCTGGTGGTACGCGTGGATCTGAACATTGTCCATCGACGCCGTCGGGTCGGGCGTCGGCGCACGATCGTCGTCATCAGTGTACCGCGCCGGAAAGAGGGCGGCGCGGGCTGCTTCGTCCTCGGCGTCGAGCGACTCCTGGGACGGGTTGTCGTGGAACCGAACGTTCTTGGCCTGCGCGCCGTGCGACGCTGTAGTGGCTGTTGTAGTGCTAGGACTACCATCTTTCTTGCGTAAATTCGAGGACCGCGATCTCGACAGATCGTTGGACTTGTGCGACTGCGCCCGGGCAAAATCGTCTTGGAGAGACGGGTCGTTGGGGGATGAAAGAGTCGTAGGGCCGGTGGTGGTGGAGGGCTCGCCGTGGAATTGTCGCGCGAGATCACTGTACTGCGATCGCAGTTGGGAGAGGGTGGCGGCGGCGGCGCTGTCGCTGTCGCTGTCTGGATTCGAGGAGAGCGAGGCAATGCCTTCGCGGAAGGATTCTAACGAGCGAGCGATGTTGGAGTCTTGGGATGGGTTGGGGTCGAGGTTGAGTGAGATGGCGCGCTGGCGTTCCAATAGCGAGAGTTTGATGTGGTCGGCTAAAAGAAGGAGTTGGGATGGATTTGACATGGTGGGCTATAGAGATGTAGACGGAGAGAGAGGTGTATGTGTTTCAGAGGTAGAGTAGGCTTGACGAGGATGTCTGTCTGTGCCGTAGTTGAGCTGTCTTGCAGGAGCAGTACTGTGGCGAGCGACTGGACTTGTGTGCGTCTCGAGTGTGTCGCGGTGCACCGACGTTGATGACCTGGATGCCAGCGAGGTGTTTCTAAGAGCCGGAACGAATGTCGAGGGTGGTGAGATAGCAATGTACAGGTAGTTTGGAAGTACCGGGTGTAGATGGAGGACGGAGGAAGTGGACTGCGGAGACAGGCTACTTCAGGTAGTCAGGCTACCGCTTTACTTGCCTCGGGTACGTTTGATATTAACTTGCCCTAAATATCATCTACCAGCACGAACAACAAGTGACTGCACTCAGACCATAAGTAGAGATTCGAAGTCATCATGTAGACGAAACTGGATGTTCTATTGCTTTTCTCAAACTAAATTCAACCTCTTTCATAATATCCTCTCCATACTTGTCCACTGTGCTTCAAGCCTGCTTCCATCCCAATCCCTCAGCTCGTTCCCGCCACTTTCCCTTCTCCTCCTCAAGACCGGCAAGTTTCTTTTCCAGCTCCCTAATCTTGTCAAGCTTGTTTTGCCGATGCTTTCTTGAATTCATGGTATTGCGAATCCGCTGTGCACCTTTCTTATCCGCCATATCGACAAAGTGGATCTGACGGCCTTGAACCGCTGGAGGGTTGGACGTCGTCTTTATCACCTTAGTAGTTGAAGAAGACGGCGATGACGACAACAATAACAGCGACGAACCATAGACCGGCGTCGCGCTAGTCCTCGGGGCGTCTGCAGCTAAAGGTCTGTTCTGGCTAGACGTCGGCAATGATGCTGGAGTATTCACTAGCGATCGTGTACAAGTGGTAGCTTCAACTGCCGAAGCGTCCTGAGTAGGGCACGGAGGAGCGGTCTTGGGTATCGCAGACCACGTCATTGAGGGTGTCGTCGCCGTGCTAGAGTCAGTCATTGAGACTTCCGGATAGCACGGAATATCTCCCGGAAAGGAGACGGCGAATGGGTTCATGAAGAATGTGTCTGGGAAATTCGTTGTCGATAGGCTCAAAAGATTCCCAGGAACAAAGTCTGCCTCTTCAGCCCCTGCCTCCGCCCTTGCCGCCGTCTCCGGCGCCACCGCAGACGAAGTGTCAAGTGCTGGCGATGCTGGTGTTTCTGCTCCCATTGTGGCTTGTTCAAAGTTCGCCCACAACGTCTCATCAAAAGGAACATCGTTGAGGCATGCAAGGAGATCGGTGTCGACATTGACATGATCATCTTGGACGACAGTTGGGTCTAGAAACCCACTGTCTATGTATTCGTATTGTGATTGTACATTTCGCTGGTCGCTAAGGACCAGAGGAGAGTGCCGTAGATAATGTGCATTGTAAACCGGGTAGTACTCCCTACCGAATCCATGTTGATGGTTTCTATGGTGGGAAGCATGCTGCGAAGTAGCGAGACGGTACGACTGATGCAGGGACCACCATTGTGAACTATCCAAACTTGACCTTCACCGGAACTGGGGGAAGGTGTAGAGGGCCGCCTTGCCGATGATTGCCTGGTTGCAAGGCGAGGTGAGTGATTTGGATAGGGAGGAGGGAGAAGGAAAGAAAAGAGAAAGTGGAAGAGCGGAAGAAGTGAGGTGATTGAAGAGACTCTGAACACCGTCATCGGTCCAAGCCTCATTCTCGTCCGTGGGGTCGCACCCGGTGTCCTGTGGTCTATGGCGCTACGCCCAACAGAGTAACTGGGATACGGAGGAATGTAACGCCATTCCGCCGTCCGCTTCGGACGAGGGAAAGTCACGGGATCTCGAGACGACGACACTTCACCGGTGCAGAGAAGCATCATATCATATCATATCATGTCGGAGTCATCGGTCGATCAGGGACACCGTGCGAATTACTCTAGTCGATATCGGCGTTAGAGGACTTATCGATAAGTGCTCGCAAGTTGACTTCCCAGCTACTCTCATGTACTCCTGAACGGATCTAGATGGTCGAACGCGGCATACGGACGAGAGTAAGCTGGCTGAACCCAGAGAATGGTCCGAGATTGTCATCGTCAATGTCGACATACCTTATTCTGCAAGGTCTTGGAACGTCCACCTGCCTGAAACAAACCTTTCTTATCTCGCGCTCTACCACGAACACACCAACGTATGGATACTTTGTGGTATCACGATGACCAGCGTCGCCCTTGAGATGAGCTTCAATCAACAAAACTGCATATAAAAGGTGAGTGAAAGGTCGATGATCTCGTTTGGAACTTGCTCTTCACAAGAACAGTCCGGTAGCGATGATGAGAATACTTCAATTGTCTTAGCCGACATCGGTTGATCTTTGTCTGTGATAAAAAAACATTTTGCCGATCTGAGCTGTCCTGTCTCTTGTTTGCTCCCTTCTTCGACTCTTCTTTGTTGTGTTGTGATATGATATCACACTCTTGGTCCTTGGGATGACTCCGAGCGGCCGGAATGAAGGCCAGGCCCCAGTATCAGGTCCGAGCAACAGAGCAAGGAGCCAATCTAGCTTGAGGATCGGGGTGAGGTGAGACGGTGGAGATGGGAGAAGCAGAAGCTGCAACCGCCAAAGCCTTCGATCAAGATTATATATCTGGAGTTAGACATAATCCCTATGTACAAAATTAAATCAGAGTCGATCAGAAATTCCCAAAGGTGGCAACAAATTTCTCCAGTTTGAAACAGTCCACGCTATGCTCATTAAACAAACAAACTCGGAACAAAAGTTTCCGCAAAAAATGACAGCTTCTTTCCTAGTGAAAGGATTAGATAGCTCTGTGAAGGCACTAGATCATGAACCACAAGTCATGTCGATGAGGGGATTGTAGTTGGAGTCGACCACGGCAAAGCTGGGTGATGCCGCGAAATCGTCGAGATCGTAGAAGAAATAGTTCAAACTGCTGAAGCTGGCACAAGACACCTGCCACCAGTAGGTCTGCAGCGATTCAACAGACGGTACTGCATTTCCAACTGTATCCCCCGAGATGGGCTGACCAGTCTCGGTTGTCCAGACGTCCTTTCCTTGTGCGACCGCTCTGACTTGATTGACTGCAGCCCAGTACGCATCGTTCGCTGCACCATTGTCGATACCGACACCTTGCCAGTACGGGTAGGCGTCATTACCGAGCCAATCTACCGCTTCGATGACAGCAGTGTTCGCATCATCGACCCAAGCAGTCCATGTATCGACGTGCCCGACAGATTTGCTGCTAGCTCCAAGACCCCATAGCATGCCACGAACATCGTTTATCTGGGAAGCCAGGGTGTTTGCGTCAGTGTCTCCCCGGTAAAGATCCTCACTGCCAACAGACACCGCTAGAATCCAGTCAGAGCCATATTGTTGAATGGCCTCAAGCAACGCCTGCTTCTCCGCCTCGAAGTGGTTGCTGTCTTCAGTCCAGATGCCAACGAGTAGGGAGGTACCTGTCGTGATGGCCGCAGGAACAGCGTTTGCTAGTGTGTTGCAGTCGCTCGAGGCATATAATCTGGCGGACTTAAAGTTGCCAGGGAAGCTAGCGATCTTCTTGAAAGCGAACTCCCAGTCCGATTGACTTCTGCACGCTCCAGAGGGTAGATTCGCACCGATGTTGAAACCGCTATAAAACGCATCTACTCCAGAGAGTAATGCTGAGGACAAGGCTAAGACGTGGCTAGACTTCATTTTGCGATCTGTAGTTTGTAATTCGATGAATTAATGCCCTGAAGAGGGGATAGGCGGTTTGTATTAAAGGAGAAACGATGAGAAGATGAACGAATGAAGGAACGAACAAACGAAGGGTTTGCAGCACTTGTAAGGACCGACTGTAGGAAAGAGAAGCAAAGATACAAAAAGTGAGTGATGGAAAAGATCAACAACCGCAAAGACAATCCTTTGGACTTTAAGACCAGCAGATTCCTTGCGTTCGCATCCAACGGTCGTCAGAATCTTGCCCGTACCCTTCAATTTGTGGCGTCCGGGATCTGCTGGAAGCACCTGGATAGTGGATGCCCTGGCAGGGGCCGGCAGCCACCCGTCAATCCTGGCTGAGGTCGTTACCCATAATTTTCGTGGCTGTACCTGCACTAGCATGCCCGAGAGATTGGATTGATATCCATTCCAGGTGCCTGCGTAGAGTTCCTTTGTCAAACATGGCCTTTGTGTGGTAGGCAGATGCAAAACACATAGTTTCCTAGTGCCCACGCTGCCTACCGTTTGCAATGGGTGTTATTGACTCCAATCTTGACGCGGAATGAGTGGCCATGATAATCAATCTCAGACGTTTGCGGCCCCCGCTACGCAGCTGGACGTTCCGTACGGCGGCGAAAAACTTGTCCCAGAGTACACACAGTCGACAGAGCTCCCTGTGCCTGCTGAGGCAGTATAATACTGACTCACGCTTTGGGGTCATGGATTTCTTGCGTCCCGCTTATTTGGCACCAACCTTGCATCGTGCGTCCTTATCTCAGACCTAAACAGCACAACGACTCATGGTAGTCCGGACTTCTGTAGGCACTTTTCTCGAAAGACCATACACTCGTTGTCTTCAATGGCGTATTCATGGCCGTATCAGAACCTCAAGGTCCGGACTGAGCCTTGAACCTTGATCGTTTCTTACCCCTCGTCCAGCTTTCAAGACCATAAGAAGGCTTCATGGTCGGAGATACCTGTTCTTGTTATACGCCCAGGCTTACTACTCGCTTGATGTAGTAAAGTGTTGCCGGACTGAGAGAACAGTACAACAAATGTAAAGCGTTGAGAAGAACACTGGGCGGTAATTTTCTCGAAGTTCGAGCGTGAGTGCAAGTGAGAATTTCTCATCAACGAGCCTGACATGATCGGAGTGCCAGGTTCATGACTTGTGTGCCTTTGCATAGAGCCAGCGACCGCTTGTAACAGAGGTGATGTACGAGCCTCAGGGTAGGCGGCGCTCACGACCACATTTACTGGTTGGCCTGATGGCGATGGCGAGGGACATTCTGCTCTCGAGGTCGAGCGGGCCCAAACAGGGTCATTAAGATCTGCGGTCATGTCTGAGCGTTGTTGATACCCGCAGGCATGGGCTCTGACCGGAGGTGGCTGTACCGGCCGTCCATGACGCGAATCGCGATAACATTCTCACCATCAAACTCGATGGTGTGATTCCTGGAGTCGCCATATTTGTATTGTCAATAGAGAGGCAACGAATGTGGCTGGCCGAGTCGCCGCGGCCAGATCAGTGCACGCTCCTCTTTGATATTCCTTAGTAGAGCCTTGACAGTGCAGATTACACGTAATAGGTGGACATAATGGTTACGGTGCACGGGAGCTGGTGAGCCTTGTTGAGCCTTCACCGAATCATCGCCTACGTGATGGCTCAGTGTAGGCGTTTCTCGAGGTTCCGTGTGTGTTCGGTCTTCTATCATCAAAGGTATTGGAAGTGGGTGGAACGATCAAGGAACCAAAAATTAGACTTAGCCTTCGACAAAGACTGCCTTTTGTAAGGGTATTGCATATCAGACTATCTGATGAGTAGCTGAGAATGCCGAATCATTTCCCATAATGCTGCGCTCCATTTATCGGTCCGAGGCACCAGGAGAGACAGTATCGGAAGAAGCGCGACTGCTGGGTTTGACGATGGGCTGGAAGATGACTGCCCGGCAGAAGGAAGAAATAGATCTCGCAGAAGAAATGAATCCTGTATTGGAGTTCTTGATATCTCTTCATAGGGATTTGCAGTCGAGCTTCTGTCGGATAAGATCGCTGGTGGCTTCGACGATATCGAATCAGAAGATCTTACCCAATACCTGCTTAACATCTTCACTGATACCCTTTTCCTTGACCTGATCGCTTCTGTCCCTTCCTTTGACCTCAGCTTGCCTCCACGTCCTTTGGATGCTGGCATCTGCATCTGAATCTATTGTTCCACCCTTTTTCTCTCGTTTTCTCTTCATACCTTCCCTCCGTCGACCTTCTTCCACACCCTCGACGAACATCTTAGTGTCCCGCGCAATGACCCGCCTGTCCTCATCTCGCCGGCCCTCTTCTTCTCTCTTTTCTTCTCGTATGCCTGCCATAAGCTCTTCCCACTGCATACCCCGCAGATACTTCATGTTCCATACATCGTCGTGGTAGAAGCCGCCCTTTTTCCCACCCACTTGCTGCGCATTCAGGCTTTCGGCGCACCGCCTGGCGGTCTTCTTTGAAGCAAACTCGATCCAGCCTTCTGTGTAAAGCTGCCGCGAGTTCTTCTTTGACGAGGATTTGTGTTTTGAAGCAGGTGCCAGAAATAGCCGTTTGATGGGGCTGAAGCCTCGTTGCTCGAGCAGATTGCGCAGAGCAGATGGCTTAAGATATGGGGGTAACGAAGACAGATATATCACGCCTGGTATTACCTCTTTCTTGGGTTTCTTTTTCTGCTTCGAGTCCTTCGTCGACTTTAGACTTTCGGACGTAGCGGCTTTGTGGTGTGTGTTACCGCTGTTCTCGTCTTCGGAATCTTTAGGTAAGTCGCGAGGAGGTGTAGGGGAACTTGAAGGTCGTCGCTGCTCTTCGTCTTCAACGCTAGGGCTGTGATCTATTTTCCGTCGCTTTGAGGATCTGGCGGTCTTGGACAATTCTGCGGCCTCAGAGTCGTAACCTGCATCATTCTCGGACTCGTCGGAAAGACCGCGGTCGAGGTATACATTTCTCTCGTTCCCAGACATGCTTGTCTAGGTCAGCATGCGTGCCGAGTCGAAGAAATTCAAACTGCAAACACAGAAACGGAGTACGTCCCGGAAAAATGCTTGTTCTTCGATGATGCATGCGGTGGTGATGCGGAGAAAATTTTTGGTCGCGGTTGGGGAACGGCCCAACTTACACGCTAGATGGCTGTCGTGGGACTATATCATGTATATGAGTATATGGACTATCTTGCTACTCATACACTGTCGACAACAATGGTGGGAGTGATGGGACCACTATATCCCCATTATACCGATTTTAAGTATACATCTGGCCTCTCGGCGTGGCAAAACCCCTTACCGAAAGCCCCTACATCTATAAACTGGGCATCTGAGGCTTCCAGGATATGCCTTTATCCTCAGGCTTCGTCTTACGTGCAAGGACCTCTTGCACCTTCTCCCTGACGCCGACTTTGTTGTTCCATCTGCTGACAACCGCTTGTATGACCGCCTTCGGCCCGTCATGCCCGTACGCCCTGACAAGCTGCTCAATGTCGGCCTCGCTGGGTAAAGCAAACACTGAATGAGGGTACTCCTTGAAGTGCTGATCAAGAGCGCCTTCTTGTGGCTCTAACAGGGCCAGGGGTTCAAATTCAGGGGGGATGGTAAAGAATTCGTCAACGTCCTCCTTGCTGACCTCGGCAAGGCTTGCAGGCTTCCACACGGGCTGCGTTGGCGGCTTGTTGATCAGACGAGCCGAGACACCTTCGACAAAATCCGGGTGTGCCATGAACTTGGCTGCCATTCTATGCTCGCGGATAAAAGTTTCACTAATGTTCCAATTTTTGCCTTCTCTCAACTGTCGCAGAGTGACTCTCAAGCTAGTTGGGGACCTGAGAGCGATCGTCTTTTGCGTCTGTTTCGCCCAGCTGGAGATGTACTCATCTCCAGACTGAGCCTCTTGACCGAGCGCGCTTAGAATGTCTTCAACAGTGTCATGCTTGAAAGTTCGGTCAATGGCTTCTCGCAGTTTACCGCTCAGATCACCGTGGCTAGAACCTTTGCCCAGGTCGGGAGACGGAAGGCTGCTGGTAAACTCGGCGATCGTCGAGTTGATGAGGTCTAGACGTTCAGACAAGCTAGCGTAGTCTCGAAAGACAAGCTCTGACAGTCGCGTGGTCAACTGAGGAAGCAACGAGCTGTCGAGGTAGTGGGTTGCGATTCCTGCATAGAATGCTTGAACTCCCTGTAGTCTTTCAGAAGTCAAGGCCAGATATGTTCCGATTTCGCCATCAAGTCGAGAGAGGAAGAAACTTCCACCAACGTCAGGGAAGAAGCCAATAGTCGTTTCGGGCATGGCGAAGACTGTTTTCTCTGTCGCAATCCGGAAAGGCGCATGTACCGACAAACCCACGCCACCACCCATGGTTATCCCATCCATGACTGCGATGTATGGCTTACTGTAGGTCGCGATCAGATGATCTAGCTGGTATTCAAGGCCGAAGTAGTCTGTCGACTTTTTCTGGCCTTCCGGCCCTTCCTTGTTCTGCTGCGCAAGCTCGGCAACATCACCGCCAGCGCAGAACGCTTTTGGTCCAGCTCCGGTGATCATGATCACATTGGCCATCTGCGACTTCTCCCATTCCCTCAGACGAGGTAGTATTTTTCGTGCCATTGAGCCATTGAGAGAGTTGAGCTTCTTCGGGCGGTTTAACTCGATCGTCCGTACGCCATAGAGAGAATTGAAAAGGACATCGTCGGGGTCATCGCTAGGAAGCTCCTTTGGCATTGCGCCATATCGAGTGGGAGATGAAGACATCTGGTAGTTGTTAGTCGTTTTCTTGGTTGACTTTATAGTACATGTATCATACCTGTCGTCGGAGGAGTACTTGGGACGCCAAAGGTGCCTTGTGTCGGGACAGGAGACTTGCAGTTCTGGAGGCAGTCTTTGGAGCTACGAGGCATGCAGCATATCTGGCACAGCAGGCCGTCATTGCGAGATGACTATTGTTGCAATACCATGAATGGTGCTGCTATTAGCAGACACGCTTCTCAATATAACGAAGCACCTGGGAAAATGTTCTGGGGACTCCGCCGAGGCATGTATTGTGTATGGTCCCTTTTCGGAGGCGAGAAAACGCCGTAGCCTTGCCAGCTGCGTCACGTGCGAGGCTGTGGAAAAATCCTGCTTGATAATTCTAGACGCCGCTTGCACTGGAAGAGGCGAATTCTGATAAATTGTTATATCACTCACTAATCCTCACGACTTCGATTTCTTCGATCAAGACTTGTAACTTGTACTGATATTTGGTCGCACATTACAATCCGTAATCCTTTCAGACGTTGCATGATTCCGTGATACGGAGGACACGACAACTCAAGATGTCCATGGATCTGGACGCTCCAGTATCACTCCCTTCCGTTCATCAGCCACAGGCGGCAACGATCCTCTGCTGCAACTGTGGTGCACCCATAGATGGAACGGCATCGGCGGGTGCTCTATGTTACGACTGCATCAAACTGACTGTGGATGTCTCGGAAGGCATACAGAGAGAGGGAGTATTACACACATGCCGAGATTGCGAACGGTGGCTGAGCCCGCCGTCACAATGGGTCTCAGCGTCGCTTGAAAGCAGAGAATTACTTGCCTTGTGTCTTCGGAAACTACGAGGCCTCAGCAAGGTCCGGATCATCGACGCAAATTTTCTCTGGACGGAGCCGCATTCCCGACGAATCAAGGTGAAAATCACCGTACAACAAGAAGCCTACGAGGGCACTATACTTCAGCAAACGTTCGAGGTTGAATACGTAGTCGCTTACCAGCAGTGTCCGGACTGTGCCAAGTCCTACACTCCAAACACCTGGCGGGCGTCGGTGCAAGTCAGACAGAAAGTACCACACAAGCGGACCTTTTTGTATCTGGAACAGCTCGTCCTGAAACACGGGGCGCACAAGGAAACCATCAACATCAAGGAAGTTAAAGATGGCTTGGACTTTTATTTTGCGCAACGGAACCACGCCGAGAAGTTCGTCGACTTCCTCACATCTGTGACGCCAGTCAAAGTGAAGAAGTCGCAGGAACTAATCTCGATGGACATCCACACATCCACCAAATCGTACAAATTCACATATTCGTGCGAACTGTTACCGATCTGCAAAGACGACCTGGTCGCGCTGCCGATCAAGATGGCCAAATCCATCGGCAATATAACCCCGCTGGCACTTTGCTACAGGGTGGGCACGTCGGTGAACCTGATCGATCCGACGACCCTCCAGACTGCAGACCTCCCGACCGGGACGTACTGGAGGAATCCATTCAAGAACCTGGCTGACGTTCAAGAGCTCGTCGAATTCGTGGTGCTGGACATTGAGCCGCTGGGGTCGCAGAACGGACGGTTCTTCCTGGCCGAAGCGACGGTCGCTCGGGCCGCCGACCTCGGAGTCAATGACAAGACCTACTACTGCCGCACGCACCTGGGAGGCGTGTTACACGCTGGCGACTCGGTCCTGGGGTACCACTTGACAGGCACCAACTTCAACAACCCCCAGTTCGAAGAGCTGGAGCAGAGCAGCACGTACGCCTCGACCATCCCGGACGTCATGCTCGTCAAGAAGTTTTACGCGCGCAAGAAGAAGCCCAAGTCTAGATCGTGGAAACTCAAGCGCATGGAGAAGGACGAGGGCGACCTCTTGCCCAAGAAGCAGGATCAAGAAAAGATGGATGCGGACTATGAAATGTTCCTGCGTGACGTCGAGGAGGACGCCGAGCTTCGTCAGACCCTCGCCCTGTACAAGGCCAAGCAACAAAAGACTACTACCACAAGGGACGTGGACATGATGAGCATGGCTACCGGAGAGAGCGACGAGGATGAAGTGCCCAAGATCAATATGGATGAGTTACTGGATGACTTTGACGAGTTGCATGTCAATGATGATGAGTGATTGGGGGGACGACGAGGGGTTTCGGTTTCTGTCAGGGTTACGGGTGCCTATCTACCTACCTTACCTAGATAGATGAAGAGTGATCGGGAGGGAGTTCATCACAATGGTACTAACTACATAACTTGGCCTGGAATTGCTTCCCCACATGGCTGGTTTCAAGGAGATGGGCGTGTAGAAAGCATGGGTGTGTTCAGGACATGTTTTGGTTGTGTTCATGGTCAGGTCAAGAGACGACTGGCGTGTCTCGAGCCTGGTTCTTGTTTGATCGACCACCAGGTCAGCCAGCTTCTTGCATATCCTTGCGCCGTTGTGTTACCATGCCGATAGACAGACGTGTGGATGGATGAATCAATGAGTCAATACAAATAAATCCCATTGCCGTCTCTCCTCCACCCCCTTTGAGCGTCTGGAAACACGTACGGAGACGAGGTGCAGAACCCGGTTCCCATCAACAATAGTAACGGCTTTGATGACCTGGTACTCGTCCATGCCGTAGAGGCTTCCCTTGCAGCCGTATCAATCCTCCTTGACGTCTTCAAAGCGCGCTTCTGACGCCGAGATCTTGTCCGTGTTTGCACCGACCATGCCACACCGGAGGTTCGGCGCAACTACGGTTGTCGTGGCGGGAGGATAAATAGCCCTGATTGCGTGCCTGCTCGCGTACTCACATAACTGTCAATTACAACCCACTGAATTCATGACTGCAAGTAGATGCGATCCTGAAAGTAGAATGACTTATGTCCGCAAGGCCAGGGGTGAGCAGAGAAATGAGCGGTCGGGTGCTTGAATGAAGGGTAAGATGCTCCGTAATGCAGGTAGCAAGTAGAACTTCAGCCGCTGCTACGGCGCCTTATGGCGGCGACAACTTCCGTACCAGATCTTGGCATGCAGACGCAGTCTATTGTAAAAGCGGCGCGATCCATGTTGCTGGGAGCCTCACAGAACCACAGTGAAGTCCTGCAGCCTGACCATAGGTTACTAGAGATGGGGAAATCGTTATGGACAATATCTCATGAGTCAGACGCCAACTAGGTCTCCTCAACTTTGAACCCTGTTGATTGTTGACTTCACCTCTGTCTTGCTCGCAACCGCAAAAGGGTGACTTAGTCAGACCACGATTTGAGTCATGAGCCAGATATTGGGAGTGGGCACGTAAAGTGATAGTTCACAGAAGTTCTTGTCATGGGTGGAGGATGAGTTCCGCGTTCTTTCGCAGACCTGGTGATGAGAGCTCCAGCTCTAGTAGTTCGGATGTCGAAAGTGCAGGATCAGAGGAAGTTGGTCATGTGAGTCAACCTCTCGAAAGTGTCGATGGCGAGACAGGCGACCTGGGCACCACAGAATCATTCTCAAGCCATGGGAGCATCTCGTTCGCAGAGTCCTCTGCTGCCGGCAGAGGTGATCGTGGTCGTGGTGCCGCAAACTCCTTTGCGGGCGTTGACCATCATCGGACCAATTTGATCGACGCTCTCCTCGAGGACTTTGCACGGAATCGAGCATGCGAGGTGATGAACAACGCGAAGCCCGGCTCAAACTACACAAGGTCATCTCCTGAAATTGAGACTTTGACGAGGCAATTCCATCGGCAAGCGACTCAGTCACTGGTTCAGACTGGGTTGCTTCCAGCGGCGGTATCTGAGCAACGTCGTGGCAATGAACAAATGCGAGCTGCGTATCTGGCTGGAATTGAAGGCATGACGCTCGGCGGAGTGCACACAGGCAACCTCATATCGTCAAATCTTGCAGCCACGCCGCTGCTTTCTTCCGAAGAGAACCTCGCCATGACTCGGACTGAACAACGACGTTCAAATGCATTCGGACAATTACTTGAACAACCTCTGAGGAACCTCTCGCTCTATGACCGTCAAAGTCCACTCTCATTTCGCAGTCCCGATTTCATGCTGTCCAACCAGTCTATCGAACGTCCTCGTAGTCACTACGAATCAAGTTTTCAACAAATCAGTCTACTTGGAAAAGGGGGTTTCGGTCGGGTATACCGCACATTCAATGTCTTTGACAAGAAAGAATACGCGGTCAAGAAGATACCACTCAGCCCTCGCTTGTCACAACGGTACAAAGAGTCAGGCCATCAAGAACTTGAACATGTGCTACGTGAAGTGCAGGCTTTGGCTCAACTCGAACACAACAACGTCGTTCGATATCATGCTACGTGGATTGAATCACCACGAGCACCAAGAATCATGGACTTGCACGAGGAAAGGCCCGAACTTAGCCTTCATGGCAGACGCCTCATCGCTGACGGAGCACTTCCAATTGCAACTGATCAGCCTCGAAAAGCCTTGCCGCTTCGATTGTCACCCGATGGAAGTGACGGCATTGTTTTTGGTTCAGATAGTGTTTCGCAAATTCGCACGCTGGATCATAAAGATGACCAAGATCAACCTCTATGGTCAATGAAACAAACGCTGTCCGACCCAAGCTCAGCACGCCCATCTGAAATATTTACCGATGGACGTGCAGAGCCAAACAGTCGGGAAGACGCGGTAGTGGATGGCTCAGTCTATGTCCTACACGTGCAAATGTCAGTCTATCCCATGACGCTTGAGCAATATCTTGCGCCAGCTCCTGAAAACGCGCGAAGTGCACCAAGCAATCCTATGCGAAGGCATTGCTTCCATCTGGTGCCTGCATTGCGCATCTTACTTGGTATATTATGCGGGTTGCAATATATTCATTCGAAGGGGTTAGTCCATCGTGATATCAAACCGAGCAACATATTCATATCGAGCCTTGAGATGGCAACCACTGCTGGGGCCGTCTCAGGAGGCTATTACGACGTCGGTGGCTGTGTTGCGTGCTCTTTTCCGGGACATTACTTTGTGAACCCACGCATTGGCGATTTCGGACTTGTCGCGGAACTAGCTAGAGATGGCGAGAGGAAAGATCACCATGTCGACGGCAAAGCCGACAAAGCAGTGGGTACTGAGTACTATCGGCCACCACGCAGGGTGGATGCGAAAGAGAAATGGAAGGCCTCGTCGGCCATCAATGAAAAACTCGACGTGTTCGCCCTTGGAGTGGTGCTGGTGGAAATGCTCTGGCATTGTACTACCAAAGCTGAACGCATGGTAGTCCTGGGAGGCCTCCAGAAAGGGTTGCTCCCGGCAGGCTTAGCAGGAAAGATTGACAACGAAGGACATGAGCCGGGTACTGGGGACCTCGTTTGTCAATGCCTGGCTGGTATGATCGACGGAGACCCACTGCAGCGATGGGGTTGCGGCCTGGTGAAAGAACAGGTCGAGGAGATATTGAAGCAGTGTCGAGTTCCACCAAACGAAGGGAGTAACGGTGAAGGTAGCAGTATTGATGCTGGTTATGGGTTCGAGCTTCGCCAAGTGAGGAGCTTGGACGCAGATGCGACCCCAATGGAGAAGGACTGAGACTGATACTGAGACTTATGCTGATGGAAGACCGTGATGAAGCTGGTTTTAGTAAGTCCAGGGTTGCTCTCCCTGGAACAAAGAAGGCCGGTATACATCATCAGGTGACACAAGAGCACTCGCATAGCAAGTGATACTGAAGCGCTCTGACCAGCGTCAATCATACAAACATCGTGGGGTTTGTAACTCGTTAGTTCAAACGGTGCTGTGCCCTGTGCAGCGACTGATTCAGATTAGAAGGAGAGATCAGCAGGCCGTGCAGCTGTGTTGTAGCAGGCTTACAGATAGCTTGGACCAGTCCTCTGTCAGTGAATCAGCCCCGGGCCATTATAGGGTTCAATAGCGCATATTACAAGAGGTTCTGGGGCATTAGACTTCGACGGGCAGAATGGTTCTCGGTTCTGTCCGTCCTGTGGATGATTTGTACCATATTGTACCTACATATCACCACACAGTATACCGATACATACGGTACGTATGTGCCATGCTCAGCTTCAGTTTCTTACTCATTGATATCGCTCTAGATGAATCTAGCTAGCGCCTATCCACACTTTGTTAACTCTTGTGTCTCTCCCAGAGAACGTACGGAGTACTTGAACGTCGAGATTTGGCTGTGCAAATCTATCCACTCAACCTTTGACAGTGAAGACTACATTAGTGAAAGAGTGCGGTATGAGATATACTCAATCATCACCCTTCATGGTCTGTCTGTTTGTCGAGTCCCAAGATACGAATGTTCGACACATTTCCCTGCAGATAAGATGAGTTTCGAGCCACGTTCTCGCGTGGGCAAAGAACCCCCTTGTTTAGCAGCTTTTCGACCGGTCCTGAAGGAGTAAAGTCAAGTCCCCTTCCACCAGTCAGCTCTTCTCAGCAAAGGTTCTCGAAACATTGTCCGTCCTTCACCAATAATAATCACCACCAAACACGAGTTAATTTCCTCGCTGGGACAGTGGTAACTCGCATGGAGTACGGTCCGTTTACCGAATTCACGACCGGGTGGCAACTCTGGACTATGGCTCTCCAATCTCCGTAGTATTTGGTGGGCGCCGCCACATTAGACTTTAGGGCTCGACTGGCCCGGCGCACGTCAAAAAAGAGGCGCCCTATCCAAATTGCTCCCGGACTTGGGGTTTCTTGCGCCCCTGGTGTTGATTTGGAGGGGGAATTATTAAATGTACGGAGTTGAGACCGTGGCCCATGTCTGTTGTTTTTTCTATGCGATACTGCTGTTTATGACATGCCAGAGACACATTGAAACCTCTGCGGAGGTCGTCATGCCACGTGTCGCTTTATTTGGGCCAGATGGCGCATTCCAGCTGGGAGAACGAAAACGCGGGATCCCAGACGGCGCCAAGGCTCCCTAGTTGAAGTCGAGACCGGAAAGGGGGCTCAAGAAATTGACAACAGGACTTGGCCCCCCAAACATTGCACTTGAGGCGTCGAAGACCGGCATGGGCGTCTATAGCGTTCACTGCTCGTAGGTTAAGGTAAAACTCTCCCCGGTTCCTGTTCTGTTTTCTTCCTTCTGCGTTTCCGTCGTCATTCCTTGTCGCTCGTTTTGCGCTTTCTCTTCCATCATCATCAACTTTCGCAACCTTCCGTCGCCGCGTTCCGCAGAGCACATCAAGACTTCAAAATGGTTGCCATGAAGACGACAGGACTTGCCCTGACGCTGGCTGGCGTGGCCGCGGCACAGTCCTCGGTGGTCAGCATTTTCTTTCCAGCTGCCGACCCACAGACGCTGTTGGGCTCAGTGATCAAATCGGTATGGCTTTGTTGAGGGTGACGTTCGACAAGGACCATTTCCGGCTAATTCGAGACAGGATTCGTCCAAAACGACCATGGCCATTGCATGCCCTACCGATGCCGACGTTAATGACTGCGGACTCGACGGTCCTCTCACTGTGACGGTTGGGCCATCGACATTTCATGTCCAAGAGACGTACGAGAGCACTTCGGTCATCATCGATTGTAAAGTGTCAGGGACAACGGCCGCGAACTGCGCAGAGACGTATGTTGGACCATATGGCTTGATTGCGACGGAGACAGCGACGGGCTCATTCGATTCTTCTATCACCTCGACTGTGACCAGCACGACCCTGGGTCCCACCGATATAACGTTCATGGCCATCACACTCACCGATTCCCTGGGTGATGACAGCGGCTCGTCTACGACAGATTCATCTGGAGCTAGCTCCAGCTCAGCGGCCGCATCTGCTACGGACGCAAGCGGTGCTAGTAGCTCGGCTTCAGCGTCGTCCGCGGAATCGTCTGCGGAATCGTCCGCGGCAACCTCCGCAGCGTCCTCCGCGACATCATCTTCTGCATCCTCTTCGGCGACCAGCGGCTCAAGTGGCACCAGTGGCAGCAGCAGCAGTGGAAGTGCTACTCCTACTGGTAGCAGCAACAATGGCGCTAGCGGAGGAGATTCCCGAATGCTGGCCTTGTCCGCAATGGGTGCCGGCCTTGTTGGTTGCGCTATGCTCCTGCTCTAGTAGGATCATCCACAGTAAGGAATCCATCCGGGGCGGCCTAGGGGATCTGACAAGGGCCAGGGATCGTGGTTATGCTGGGAAGATCGTGCCTTGGATAAGTATTCATCAGGTAGTCTCACTGGTCTATGCCATGCCAAGGGCAGGGATGTCACCCAAGGATATCAGGTCCGGACCCTCGGTGGGCTTCTCAATTCTCAATTTCTCATAGATACTTTGTATAAGATTATTCAGATGGAGTAAGGAGATGAGCTTTTCGCGAAGAGTGGATGGTGGGATTTCGATTTCATGCACAATGACATCGCTATGACATGTGCTGGCCCCAATGATACAAGTGGGTTGCATGAACGGAACCCTCCCTCTGGTTGCCCATACAATTCTATAATATTTTGTTCGTTGACAACGCTGCTGCCGGGCTTTTTTTCCAGTGCAAACTAGCTGATCAATTCGATTCTACCGCTCAATACGTGTATGCTCGTGTCAAATGGAAAGTGTCTGAAGCGTGGGTAAAACGGAGTAAACAAAGGGAGTCGGCCCTCTGGAGGGAGCGACGACCCGTACATGCAACACCCCTTGTACTGTACCTACGAGTAGGGGTCTCGATGTTCGTTTTTGAGAGGCACTCAACTAGAATATATCATTCATTCAAACGCCTGTATACGGAGTGTTCCAGGTGTGACAGTCATCGGATTTGGTATCCATGTAGCATAGCCAGGTACGTGACCGTATCAATGGCCTACCCTTTAACTGTATTGCTCTTTAACTTTCTCTGCCACGGGGTGATGATCAGGGGAGCCGGGATGAGCATGAGTGTATCTGAACACGGAACCACAAAATAAGGTGAAGGTTGACGTCGACGTCGATTGCACAGCGTGGTGGGGTGAGGGGGAGCAGCAGCATGTGAGACGTGGCGTGAAGAGCAACAAGGCTCCAACCCTGCGTCAGAAGAGACAAGCGATGCTCTTCTCGAAAGAACTAGACACAAACAGATCGGCGATGGGAGCAGCAGAATCGATGGGCGTAGGAAGTGATTCGACGGAGCTCCCTTTCCGAGGTGGCTGCCAAGGTGGATGCAGTAACACGACGGCAGGATGGCACTTTTGCAAATCCCATGGCCATAAAACTGGGGGATTTTAGGCGGCATCGGCGATGGACTCCAGGATCGACAGCGATGCCACCGCCGATGCGGGCGTCAATGGTCGATGGCGACAGACAATCAGTTTGGCGCACGGCCAGTCAGTGACATGACGCTACCGCGTCAAATGTACTAGTCAACATGTACCCAGCAATTAATTATTTGGAGGGGCAGCTTCGTTCAGCTGCGGCGAAAACTTCCAGAGGCCTCTGCAGCGATGGGTGGCTCGTTCTGTGCAGGTTCATGGTCGCTTGACGCTGCCCGGATCAAGCCTCCGCTGCAACTTGGCCCATGGCCATCGCCCAGTGACCAGGCTTCACGTACAGGTTTACGGTACAGGCTCTCACAGGCGAGAGTAGAGGCTACTCCGCTCCCTTTGCTCTCGGTGCCCCATGCCCAATGTTTGACCCCCCAGCGCCTGTTGGTGCCCCAATTAATTGTTTCTCCTTCTGCCGCTAAAGTGAATGTCATCGCCTGTTCTGCCTCAGATCTCGCGCTTCCCACTTCTGCATGTTCCTGGGAATCCGGCTGTACAGAATACTGGATACTGTCTTCCACTACCATCGCTCCACACGCCCGTTGTAACTCACCAAGCCGGATCTTGAATCCTCTGCCAGAATCTTCCTTAAACAAGCCAACCCTTGACATCCCCCCCAACCATCTCTCCCTCTGCCACACCCATCTACAAAACAAACAACCTCAACAACTCTCTAGCCACACCTCTCCCTCCTCACCAACTCTGTCACACCAGATATTCACACACAGTTGAAGCTTTCCCACTGCCAGTACGACCTCCGCCTCGTTACCTTTGATCTTGGCTTCTTCTACACCATATAACACACCATCACAATGGCGGCTCTTGGTACCTTGTCGGGGACCGCCTCTGCTGTGGACAGCATCAACGACCTGGATGGATACACCTTCCGAGACTACAGCTTTCCCTCCACCGCCGCCTTCGTTCCTCCACAAGAAGACGACTTTGGTTTCGACCCGGCGCCAGTCAAGTCTACCCCTCTCGCCAACTTACAGCCCTACAGCCCTCCCACAGACCTCTCGCTCTCCGAATGGCCGGATTTCCAGCGCGATGATGATATGAAGCCTTCTATGGTCGAATCTCCCTTTAATTTTGCTCCTTTTGAGGTGGACGGCTTTGTCAAGGCCGGTCTGCCAAGTTCCAGCACCGCCGTCTCACGATATGGACAGATGACCCCTCCTCGATCGAGCTCGGCGGCCAGCTCAGACTCGGTCAAGCTCGAAGAGAAGCTCTCTCCCAAGTCCACAGCTCCTGAGCCACGCCGTAAGCGAGCTTCCAAGGCTCAGCCAAAAGAAGACGAGTCGGCATCTGCTGCGACAACATCTAGCCGGAAGCGCAAGTCTACTAAAAAGTCCGGCGCATCTGCAGACAAGGGACAATCTCCAGAGGAGCAGAAGAGAAAACAGTCGCTGGAAAAGAACCGCCTGGCTGCTGCCAAGTGCCGCATGAACAAGAAGGAAAAGACCGAGCAACTACAGCGAGACTCCCACGAGAAGGCGGTTCAAAATGCTTACCTCAAAGATCAAGTCATGCGCATGAAGGACGAAATTCAACAGATGAACGCACTCTTGCTGGCTCATGCCAACTGCAAAGGATGCAAGGCACCGGACGAGATCCAAGGTCACCTTGCACATCTCGGGAGCGATTTCTTGACGACGCATATGGGCTTTGGCAGCTCCAATTTTCCCGACTTTTCTACCCAGATGGACTTCACTGAACTGCCAGACATGGACGATGGTTACTTTGGTCAGAACCCCAGCCAGATGCAGGCCCATCCGCCGCTTCCCGAATTCAATCGCTCTGCCGACTTCGAGGTACAAACCCCCATGCAGCTGGATTGAGACCGTTTTCAGCTCCCAGCTCAGCTACCCCTCTGCAGCTCTCATCACCGCACATGTCTGAACCGTGCACTCTGCGGGAGACAGCGGAGTCACAGCTGTCGCATTATTTGTCGCACTAAAGCTACCAAAGGAAAGCCGTTTGCCGTGGCGCTTTTTCCCCGCACTTGTGGCGGTGTCACCTCGGGCCAGCGACTCTGTCCTACCAAGCTCTAACTTTTCATGATCCTTGGTCACCTATATCTATTTGCCGTTGTACGAGCCGTTGTTTGGAAAATCCTTGCGAGGACGAGTACGACTACTCTGGGGCAGAAGTGAAACCTGGTCCGCGGAAATCAAGGGAAGAAATGTTGTTCATCTTGGCGGATCGGCGGTTGGAGTTGTCGATCAACCCGATGATCGCCACAGAATTGGGCAGGTCAATCGTCGATGGCCGGGATGGCCGGACGATTGATCCGGTCGATCGGCCACCGTTGCGACGCTACTCAGGCGGCGATCATGATCATGATCAAATGCTTTAGGTTATATGGTGTTGTTGTACGATTAATGGGATTTAACGAGTGGAAAGGACGGATGACTGTCTCAGTCAATGGATTGGTGGACGATCAGTTTCTGCTTTTTTCTTGTTTGTTTAGGAACTCTTGTTGAGGCCGGGAAGGTGGGGGGTTCTTTTACTTGAAAGCAAAAGGGGAGTTTCCAAAAGAGCATCGTACATGATATCCACAGTGTCAGGGCTCAGAGCTCATACGATTGAAATGCTGTTATGAATTCCATCCCAGATCGGGAAGGTTGCTATTCTAGCAGTGCTTGTTTGCATGTCTAGCCTAGGTATTCGGACTACGGCGCTGTTGAGTACCTGTACCTACTGGGTAGGCTTTAGTTGGTTGCAAAGGATCAAAATACAAAGATCATTAATTATCATTATTATGCAGGCGAGACTATATGCGTGGATTTTTGACTCGGTTGTATGTGATACGTACTGATCTATTCGGGCGCCATGCAGATGTTACGTGTATGCAGGCATGCACTCGTACATGGGATGCTCGTATACTCGTGGTCTGTGGCCGTGAGTCGTCGGTGGAAGAAGACTGAATTCCCTCGATCACACACCCATGGAAGGGGAGTGCCACTCGGTATATCAGGTGCCGTTTTCGTACACGAGCATCACGTAAAAAGCCTGGTCTGAGTACCTCACTAGCGACTGATATATTTTACCTGGTGCGGAAGACTTCCTCAGGACCTTTACGGAGTACCTACTAAGGTACGAGAGGACTCAATAATCTCGCCGAGCATGGACTTCTGCTACCTTGGATGTTACAACACGGGTTTTTCGTGGACAGGTTTGGGATGAGCAAAGACCGGTGACGAAACCCGCTCGTTTTTGGAACAAATGGACTACGCGTTGAGTGTTGTTGACATGTCACACCCGCTAAGAGTTTATACTTGCTGCGAGTAGAAATTACATGTGATGACCATATTTTAAGACCACCTGATAACCAGGTAGTGTCTCGAGGACTCGTTACGGGGTCCGGGCAACGCAATGCACTCGTATGAAGATTGGGGGGTTTCTTTTTCATTAAGCTTGTCGGAAGTGTCGGAAGTCTCTGTGAGTAAGGGGGGGTCAGATCAGGGAAAGATGGGGAGGGTGGATAGATGCAGGCTTCACTTTCAACGAAAGTGCATTATGCACGAGTCTCCGAAGACAATAGAGGGGAAAGAAAAGAAAAGAAAACGAGATTGACAGTGACAAGTGACAAGGTGACAGCCAGATAGACAGCCAGATAGACAGCCAGCCAGATGGACGTATGCCTCGGCGACTCCCTTGATACTTTCCATCGAATTCTCGTATTGCTGTGGATGTCTGACAGTCGGCAAACCTTGAAGGGAGGACATTTTCGCAAGTCGTAGCTTGCACTGTAGATAACTCATACTCGCACTCGTACTTTAGGGAGCACCTGAGACATTGTCCAATCTCATTGGTCATCGCGTACTTGTTGCACGATGGGCGTATCCGGGTACATCGTACGCGTTCGCCCACCTCTTTCCATCCTACTGCCACCACAACCTCAGCTTCAGTACGCCTCGAAATCATCGCTATCAAAAATTCACCTCACCTCATCGATCTTGAAACGATTCAGATCCTTATACTGAATAACTGTCAACTGATGATCTGACAAACTTCCTTCGATGTCTATGGTTCATAATCACCCTTCACATTTGGGCCACGGGGCATATAAAAGGTAGGCAAAGCGCATGTAAGTACATCGACCAAACTGCAACTCCCCAATATCCATCTGTAGAGTCACTCTTCAACATGACAAGACAACACACCTTTAACAGCCTCCCCGCTCATGAAACGTTTCCCAACCCAACCTCGACAGTACCCTGCTGGCGAACCGAACTCCATCCACTTGACAACTATCGCTCCACAGAAGAATTACCATCGACCTCGGACATTGTCATCATCGGAGCTGGCATGACAGGTATCTCAATTGCCTATCATCTTCTTCAAGAAACCTCGCCAGAGTCAGCACCTTCAATCACCATCCTCGAAGCACGGCAGGTCTGTTCCGGCGCCACTGGTCGAAACGGAGGGCATCTCAAACTGGCGTCGTGGATCGTCAAGGACAAACTGGAGCAATGGAGCGTCGAGGCCTCAAGAGAACTCATCAGATCTCACCTCGCGCACATCATGGCGCTGAAAAATGTGATTGAGAAGGAAGAGATTGATTGCGATTTTCTCGTGACTCGCTCTTTCGACGTCTTCATGGATTCCGGTGAGGCTCGACAAAGTGAAGGCAACTTACGCATGTACAAGGATATGGCGATGGACGAGCTCGAGCACGTTGATCTCTTGGGACCCAAGTATCTCGAAGCGGTGCGAAGACCTATACTCCCCTTTGAAAGCCTCCCGATCTCTTCTTCTCTTCCGAACCAATCTGAAAACCAACATATTCTTGACACCTGACTGACCATACGTGCCGTGTGTGTTCGATCACAGGTCACTGGAGTCGCAAATTCCAAAGGCGCATTTTCTGTCCCAGCTGCGCAGCTTTGGCCATACAAATTCGTCACGGGCCTTCTGAACACGTTCATCGACCGCGAAAACGTGAACCTTCAGACCACGACACAGGTCACGTCCATCTCCGACCACCAGGACCCCAACGGCTTCTTCCGTATCGAAACGTCCGGTCGAGGCACAATACTCGCGCGTAAAGTCGTCTATGCGACAAACGCATACACTGCAGGCATATTACCCATGTACCACGACACCATAGTTCCCGTGCGCGGGACCGGAGCGCACATTGTGCCGCTCCGTACGAGCAAAGATCCCACGCTGGCGCTGCAACGCCGGGTCAACACTTACACGTATAACATTTTCCACCGGCGCGGACAGGTTGACCATCTCGTCCACAGGCCTGACGGCGGCGTCGTTATAGGTGGCGCAAGGGTTCTTTTCATCGACGATCCTGAACAGTGGAGCGGTGTGGTCGATGATGGGTCTCTGATCCTACAAGAGCAAGTGACACCTTATTTTGAGCGTGTCATGACAGAACATTACCAAGATTGGAGGGAGTCGGGAGCCAAAGTTGACAAGCTGTGGACGGGCAGTAAGTAACCTCGTGCTTCTTACCTTGCTTTGTTCTCATCACCCGTCTCGTGCTCTCTAACATCATTCCAAGTCATGGGATACACGACCGACGGTGCCGCTCACGTAGGAAACGTGCCGGGTCGTAAAGACCAGTATGTATGCGCCGGATTTAATGGTGCTGGAATGGTGTATATCTTCCTCACAGCCAGAGGCATCGCACGCATGATGCTGGGAACGGCTAACTTCGAAGATAGTGGGATTCCGCGAGTATTCAAGGCCACGAGGGAAAGGCTGGAGAAGCAGTAGTAAGATGCGCGCGTAGTATGGACCAGCGATGAGCCTGGTACTGATACTGTCATTCGTACGAAGGAGTCATCCGAGTACAAGGGGAGGATTTTATATTTAGAAGCGCTAGTCCTATTATGGCATCCGCTGGCGGCTACGTCATGTGCACGTGTTTCACGTGACCTGTTTGTCTGGAGGAATGCTTCAGCTACGGCTGAGTCAACCTCGCCGACGGCGAATTGCCCAACCTCCTCGAGCGCCTTCTGGAAGGCAACTGGAGAATTTGACTTCATTATCCAAACTCTACTGTAGAGACTGTCTTACATTCCCCTTCTCTCCCAACCCCCACTGCACTTCTCAACCCCTACTACCACCGCGCAGGCGCTTACTTCTGTCGTCAATCCAATCGACCCAGCAAACACTCTTGGACACTCCTCGTTCGCACGCTCGCAATTCAGCCCAATAACCAAAAATGGTCATCCTAGGCGGTCTCGAACTCGTGGCGGCCGGCTATCTCTTGAAAGAAGTCGCAAAGGACAGTAAAGAGGAAGAAGAACGAGAACAGGAGCGTCGCCGCCGCAGACGGAGACGGCACTCTCGAGATGACCATCACCATAGCCATAGCCATAGCGGAGGCCGCCATGACAACTCCCCTCCGAGTCGTCCTGGCCGTCCCTCTCAGAGCTCGTTATATCCTCCTCCCAACGGCCCGCCACGACCGTACAGTGCACCGCCGGCGCAGACCGGCAACCCTCCCTATTCTGGCCCTCCTCCTCCGCAGCCTCAAGGTATGATGTGGCCGCCACAACAACAGCAGCAGCAGCAACGGCCGTATCCGCACCCTCAAGGCCCTCCTCCGAACCCCGGAACCTGGCCTCTTGCACAACCGCAACAGTACCAGCAGCCTCAATACCCTCCGTGGCCCGCGAAACCACCTCCGCAACAGAACATACCCCAGCCCAACCCGAACAACAATAACTTTGTTCCACCGCCCCTGCAACGTCCGGCGACAGTCATGCTCCCTCCTCCAAACATGCACTACGACATGAAGACTGGCAAATGGCAGAACAACATGCTCCCACCGGAGATGTTCGAAGGTCGAGACCGAGAGACAGACAGGGACTTGGACAGAATCCACAGCCACGAACGCCTGCGACGGGAGAACACGATGCCAGCTTCGACTCCACATATCAACGTCAGCCCGCCGGTTGGGCATCACTCTACTTCTTCGCTCTCACTCCCACAGGGTGTCTCCGAGCTGGATTCCGAGACGCCGGGGCGGTACAGACCCTACAACAGCAGCAACAACAACAACAACCATGGGGGCGAGAAGAACTCGTACTCGTACGGTCCGCAGCGGAGTGAGAGGAGGAGACCGAGAGCACATTCAGGATCGTCGGCGACGACAAGGTATTATGACGAGGACGACGACGACATGAGGGATCCGCCTCCTGCGTATCGAGAATGACTGATTGAATGACCGTTGCAAATTTACGCCAGAGATGAATGACGAGACTAAGATGTCGATTTCTTGCAGTCTTGCGGCGGCAATTTCACGGCACACACACATACTCGCACACGACAGCCCGGCACGATGGCCATACGATCTCGGTGATATTTCATGTATCTCACCGTGGTTCATGTGAGACAAGTTTTATGACACGAAACGATGAGTTTCTGTTGGAGTGTTTTGACGTGTGGCACAAGATGTTACGAAATTGGTTTACAGTAATGCGATGATGATGATGATGATGAATTTCCGCTGGATTTTCTTTTGACGTGTGCATGAGATTTACAAAGTCTTGGGACCATATTCATGGTCATCGGCGAATGCGCGGAATGGTTGTTGCAATTGCAACGGCAGACAGTCTTAAGCTGGCTTATCCTCGTAGCGGTACGTATGCTCATTTGAAGCTGGTCTTCAATGGAAGGAGTTCAAGTCATTAGTTCAGTAAGCCTGCTATCTATTTTTGTTTGTTGTACTCTCCTCTACTGTACAACCTTGTTCTTGCGGAAGATTAAATCATCTCGGTAATGGTAATCGGTATCCTTGATTTCTCTTTCTGTAGTGACCCCAGGTCTTTGTGTTTGTCCATCTCAATCAAACAATTTCTCGTCATCTCGGATATCGTTCTTCTAGTTGTTGCCCTTCTAGCTCTCCTATCTCGCCTGTATTGCTTTGCAGTAATCTGTCTCTTTCAATCTGAGAAATCCCATCCGTGTGCCCATATTGAGCGTATGTGAGCGAGCGACATCCTTGATCAACATTGATCACCGTCACTCTTCCAAAATCCTCACCCCTCTTTCATCATGGTAAAGGGAAACAAGTCGAGACTTATGCTTGACTGATGACGTCGGCAGCGTTGATGTTGTTGTTGGTGCTGCTGCTGTTGATGCTTCCCACTGCTCCTCCGGATTGAGAAGTTTCGATGCGCGGTGTTGTTGGAACTGGAGTGTTCCTCGCCAGCATGAGGGTGACTGATTCTTGGAGGACACTGGTGTCGACCACGCGACCGTGTCTCTGCACAAACGACAACGTGTTACACCGGGACTGACGGCGTCTAAAGATCAAAGAACCAGGGCGATCCGTGGCCATCTCCTGATCAGAAGCGTCGGAAGCGTCGGTGGCGGTTGTGTTGATATTGTTGTTACTGCCCGAGCAAGTGTCTTCGAGTCGAGCTCTAGCTAGAACCTTCCTGACAGTCTCTCGAAATCCGCTGCGTTTGCGGACCGAATGAGCATCTGTTTCGGGTCTGGAGCTCTCTTCGCCATCGGGCTCAGGCTCAGGCTCAGGCTCAGGCTGAGGCTGAGGTTGAACATTGTCGACTTCATCCATTTCTTCCTCTCGCAAGACAGGGAGGCGACTCTGCACAGACTCAGTGGGAGAGCTGGCTGGCTGAGAAGAAGCTCTCTCAGATTGAGCGGATCTGATTCCCATCAGAATTCGCGCGTCGGAGAGACGCCGATTCTCCCACTCCCAGATCGGAGGGCATTGCACAGGGCCGTTGAGAACATCGTCAAGGGCCCAATAGGCACGGTCCCGGTATGTTGGTCGACAAGTTGGACAGACCATGAGGTTACATGTTTGCACGGCTTCTTCGTTGACCGTTTCCCATCCCCCTTCCCTTTCGTTTTCGGCATCCCTGTCTTTCTCATCCTCGCTCTCCTTCTCATTCTCTTCCTCAGATCGCTGTTCTGCGAGGACGGCTGGAGCCGGTCGAGGTGACGAAGGGAGAACGAGTGTTGGTTCTGACATCCAGACTTTTTGCAACTCGTTCCAATCATAAGCCGCTCGTATCTCTTCATCAAGAGAGGTAGAGGAGGTGGTCGAAAAGCTGGCACTCTGAGGCAATGTCGAAAAGGTTCTGTCCGTGACTGATGAGTCGGCGGTGGATGTGTCTGTAGTGGCACTGTACGAGGTTTCAGGTCTATGCTCTTGCTCTAGAAGGAGGCCATTGACTTTGTCTTTCTGTTTGGGCAGCGACACCACCTCTTCATTTGCGAGAATGCCCTGGCCCATTGTTTTGATGATGGTAGTATTGACTGACGCACCGGACACATCCATTGGGTCATCTATTTTTGGACAGGGTGCTGGAGTGCCTGTGAAGTCAGATTCTGGAAGAAAGCCGTGCGAATCCAGAGTGCAACGGTAGAGCCAGCCGATGCTCGGATGTTTGTGGCACATGGAGCACCGGAACGAGCCATAAGGGTCGAAGAGGCGGGTCATTTTGATGTGCGTGCAAGGATTGCGCCTGTCGACGCCGACGACTCTGCGCGACGGCATGCTGATGAGAGTGAGGTAGTGGGCGCTGAGATCGCCGTCGCGGGACAAGAGACTGTTTGTTTAAACAGAAAACAAAGGACAGTGAAGTGTGTCGGTAAGGAGAGGGGGAAAGGGTGAAGATTCGAAAGTGTGTTGAGTAACAAGGGCGCAACGACAACGACAACGGAGCATAGAGAGAGTGACGACCTTATTAGCAACGAAGTGGAAGGAGACGCATGTGTTTCTCAACGAAGCAGATGCTCGTCACGCTCACAGAGAGACGACATGGTGAGTCTTTTCACTTCTTGCTTGCCACATAGTATCATTTCGACTCACTCTCTACCTTCTCTCCATTCTCTTCTTCAGACAACACAGCGTGAATTTTTCTTTCAATGGGGTTTGCCTGGTTTTGCTGTGCCATTTCTTCGCAGAGCCTGAATCTGGTTGTACCAAAATACAGCTCAGCACGTCCCGAACCAACAAAGTCTGCCCTGCCTCGTCCATGACCGCCATTTTGTGGGACCCTTGTCGACATTGAAACCCTTGAAGCCCTTGAAGCGAGCATACGTGGCCATCCTACATTCCACTGGGCTGCTCGAGAAACCTGTGATCTCCTCGTCAGCATTGGCAGGGACAACGACCCCGAAATTCAAGGAGCGACAGAGTACTTTGTGTAGCACTCTGCATTATGCCTGCTTTAAAGCATGCTTAAGATACGGAGGATCGATGCTCGCCGTCGGATTTCCAGACGCGGAGAGGTCATGTTGATGTCTTGGCGCCAGCGACGACGATGAATGGCTCCGACGACCTTTGCGGCGGCGTCGGCGGTCGGAGACTTCCGCCTCCACTAAGAACAGAACCTACAAGCTGGCCCTCGTACCGGATACGAGTATCGACCTGCCAGGCCTTTTACTCCGGGCCTCCAGTCGGTTAGTACAGTAGTTGCTCACCCGGCCAACTCATCATCTCATCTCACTCGCCTCGCCCTCCAATCGACAAACCTCCCGACTCCCTCACCCGTCGCATTTCGGCAGCCTCCTCCAAGGACGCGTCTTGCTTTCCCTCTCTGATCTCACAGACTTCGCCCCCTTTATTGACCACATCCCTTTCCTCCTCAATCGTTGTGACTGGCCTTGCCTCGTTTCCATTCCCACCTGAACCCCCCTGTTTCATCGACTCTTTTCGGCGAATCTCACCGATTAGGTACGTTGTTGTATTTCCCTCCCGGCGCTGCTTTACCGCGGCCGGCCTCGGCACTTGGATTTTGTCAACAATCCGGTCAATGCCCCATCAGCGCGCTGACCACGTCCTCTCCGCTCTTCAACCTTGCTTCCCTCTCCGTCTGTCATTACCCCAGACTAATCACAGTCGACAGAATTAATCGCCTCTACGACATCAACTCACCGATACACCTGCGGTCACTCCTCGCGTACCATTTACGATGTCGGTCAAGTTTGAGCAAGAGAAGATCTCCACGACGAGCGGCGTGCAAGGCGGAAAGCATGAGGGTCTCGGGCACAGAATCGGCGAGCGCTTGACGGGAGGACAACAGACGACCGGTTATCTTGCTGTATGAATGTGGACTTGGAAAGACTTCGCGTTGCGCAATGCTCATACGTGCCCAGGCATACCTCAAACAGCTTCAGTCGAACCCACTGCGGACGAAGATGCTGACATCCGGCACGTTGTCCGCGCTGCAAGAGCTGCTTGCATCGTGGCTCGCCCATGACCGCAGCAGACACGGTCACTACTTCAGCTCCAGAATCCCCAAGATGGCTGCGTACGGCGCCTTCATCAGCGCGCCCATGGGCCATTTCCTGATTGGATTTCTGCAATGGGTCTTTGCTGGCCGAACCAGCTTGAAAGCGAAGATTCTCCAGATCCTCGCGAGCAACTTGGTGGTATGCGATCGCGGACTCTCCCTGTTACAAGTGTGGCCTTCCCCTTTCTCACATCTCCTTAGGTCGCTCCAATCCAGAACACCGTCTATCTGGCCTCGATGGCCGTCATCGCCGGTGCTCGCACCTGGCACCAAGTCCGTGCCACTGTCCGTGCAGGCTTCATGCCCGTCATGAAAGTTAGCTGGATCACCTCTCCACTGGCTTTGGCATTCGCCCAGAAGTTCCTCCCGGAGCACACCTGGGTTCCATTCTTCAACATCGTTGCCTTTTGCATCGGCACCTACATCAACACTCACACCAAGAAGAAGAGGATTGAAGCGTTGAGGAAGAAGGTAAGTTTTTTTTTAAAAGTTCCAACGGAACGAAACTCGCGCAATACGCACCACCAACCTCAAGGACGATGCTAATTGAGTTGTCAGCACTACGGCGATGGACGAAGCTCTACTGGAGAACGATACTAAACTGATGTTTTGATGTTTTGTCTCCTGGTGGTTGGACCCGGGGAATGAATGCACAGGTAGAGGAATGGGGGAAGGACGAGCGAGGTTCGGAATGATCAAGGTGGAAGACAGCAGATTGTGCACCCTCTGGCAAGCATGTTTCGAAAAACGGTTTGCTGTTGTTATCATCTCTTGTCCGCTTTGGGAGGGAAGTGGGGGAAATGGCTTCCGTTTGTCAATATGGGCGAGTTGAGTTACAGGTTCCCTCGTTTTCTACCTTGACCTGCCGTGCGGTACCTGTAGGCCGTAGGTATGTACCAAGGCAAGGCAGTGAGGCAGAATTGCTTGTTTTGTTTACTTACACCTGCGAACGCAAATTTTTCACATGGGATTATACTGTATCTATCAGCCTTGGGTACTATAGCTCCTGAATTGTCAAAAGTCGCTACCGGCACAGTAAGTCCATCGCTTACATCCAAACTACAAACAAGGGCGATGTCAATAGGTTGAATCCCCAAGTTGCACAGCGTAATTGTTAACCGTCCCAGATTTCGCTCCCGTCATCTCCGTATCGATCGCCGTCAATGGGAAAAGGCAGATTTGTCTTTGCTGAGTCTTCAATTCTTTCTGTCTAGCATTTTCATTCAGCCTCTCTGATTGCGTTTTCGCTCGTTGGTCTCAGTCATACCCACCTGGGGTACCTACACAGGTACCCTGTACAATGTGTCACTCATTCCGCTGCGTCTGCATTCTGCTTCTGCTTCTGCTTGTTCGTACACCCTCCTCCGCTAATGTCCAACACCACTCAATGCTATGCAACCGGTTGTGGTATTACGATATCCAGCAAGCTCATGACTGCTTCAGGTACCTACATGCTGCTCGCAGCCGATTGCCCGGTTGCTTTTCCGCGCCTCCATTCCAACATTTCCATGTGAGTCTTACCTGAGGTACTTTAGCACCGCAGGGTTACCTACATAGGCGACCACGTATCTTAAGCGACGTAGGAATATGTATTGCCCTCGTCTCTCTCCATGTAGTCCTTTTCGATCAACCTGTTGGCAAAACCGCGGGTCAGTAAAAATAGACTTTCCCTCATCTCTTTCTTTTTCGCTAGGAACGGGAAAATATACTCACTTTTCAATATTCCTCTTAATGTCCGCCTGGTCCAAGACACCTCTGCTCATGGTGGCCTTGATGACCTCGACGATCAGTTCGTTGTGGCCAATCTTCTTGCGACTCTTCATGATTCGCACAATGGCGGCCTGGGTCTCGTAGTGTCGGTCGGCGGCGACACGCTCGTGGGTCTCCTTGTTCTCCTCTTTGGTCTCCTTGAGTTGGATCTGGTTGATCTTGACGCGCAGCTTGGGGTCGACGAAGGCGGCGTTGAAGGTGAAGGTGTCGGTCTCGTTCACGTCGCGCCCGCGAGGATGTTTCTTGAGAACCTGGTATTTGGCGCACGCGAGGGACTGCAGCGTGCGTTTGAGCTCGGCATCGACGAGGCCCGAACTGGCTCTGATTTCCGTGTAGGTCAGGTGCTTGTCTGCGGGGATGTCGTTGAACAATAGCAGCACGATGGCTTGGAAACCTGACACGACCAGCTCTTTCCTGCCGCGAGGGAAGTTGGCCCGGAGTTGGCAGTGCGCGAGCGAGTGTTTCCACGTGAGCTTGCGGCCCGAGTGTTTGGCCTTGTAGTGCGTTTCAAAATCCGCCATGACCTTGGCCACGTTCGGGGGAATGGTGACGCTGACATCCGGGTACGTGGGCCACGCCGCAGACGAGAGGACATTAACGCTCAAGTCTGGGCCGCCGGATTTGCCTCCCCGGTCGTCGAGCAGTTGGTTGTAGGACATCATCTCTTCGCGCGCGAGATCCATGTCTTTGAACATTGACTCAAGATTGTGCGTGAATGCGGCCCCGCACTCGTTCTTGAGACGTGTGAGCATGTTTCGTTCGGCATCGAAGGACGCGCTGCGGCCCATGAGAAGCCGTCGAGCCAAGTCTTTCTTGTAGAACGCTTCGAACACGGCCTTGCCATGGACGAAGCGGAACAGATCCAGCGCGTTAGAAAGGTGTTGGTTGATTTCTGCGTCTTCATCGGCAGCGCCTTCGTCGAAGTCATGCTCATCTTCCGCATTCGAGGCTTCGGGCTTTTTCGTCTGAAGACCGGGGATCGCCTTGACACCGCCCTTGAGGAGGAGATCGACGTGCTTGGCGATCATTTCACCAGGCTTGTTGTTGTCCGTGTCCCAATTTGATTGAGACTTCTTGGTCTTGTTGATAAACGACTCGAAAGCCTTATGTAGGGAATTCCCAAGAGTCTCGTTGTCTTGGAAGCAATACTTCAAATATCGATCCAATCGCCGTTTGAAGTCGAGTAATCTCACCACCATTTCTATCTCCCGCTTCTCGTCAAACACAATCGCCGAACCTTCCATCTCGACATATTTACTGAACGTCGGTGCTATCATCTCGCCTTGTGACTTCCTTTGTAGAAGCGCGTAGAGTAGTTTCACCTCGGTGAACTTATCCGCTTCCAAAAGATCCAAGATACTATCCTCGTTCGTGAGAATATCAATTTCTTCTGAAACTAATATCTCGTCAAAGAGTTCTGAAATCTGCAGGATTGTACTTCGGTCCAAGGTGAGCAAACCGGATCGACCCATTTCCCGCTCCAGAAGATAGGAACAGTTAGTCACATAAGCTGCAAGATCATCCCTATTTGCGTCCGTTTCTTTCCACGACCTAAAGTAGGATTGTGTCGTTGAGTGGAAAAGAGGTTCAAAGTCGCTTGAGTAGATGCTCAATTCATGTAACGAATCGGCAGCTCGTATTAGTAAGAGTCTGTCTTTTTCGTTCAGTGTACCCCTTCTATCCATAGCAATCAGAGCCACGACGCCATTGAGGGCTTTAGGCTTGATGAAGTCATCTTGAAAAACACATGATCTGAACTTGATGAGCCCCATCTCGGTAATGCTAGGGTTATCGGCCGAACGCAGCAGGAATGTTTGATCCAAGTAGTAGAATATTTGACGGATTGTAAGTAGCTGCTTCTGCCATGTTGCCCAAGCATCGATGAATGACTGCAGAAATTCGACATCGGAGGATCTTCCCTCATCGCGGCGAATATTGTCTCTGACCGTTTCGGACAGATACGTGTCGCACTTGAGACTTAATCGAGCATACAGCTCAGCGGCCTTGCCTTGCCGGCAGACGTTTTCTGCTCCCTTATAGAGCTCTTCCAGCGAGTATGGTTGCTTCTCATTCCTGAAGATCGCGTCCAGTGCCTTGTCCTCCTGCGCCCATGTGCGCTCAAAGTACTGCTGAGGGTCTATCCTCGGGACCGTCCGTAGATTCTTCACCACCAGTTTCTTAGGGCCTTGATGTGGGTTGAAGGGCGTCTTTGTATTCGTGAACGACACCTTTCTCTTCTGAGACTCCAATTCCGGTGAACTCGTCAAGTCCACAACGTTACTCGTGGCGGACTTGGAGGTGAAGGTGTACATGTCCTTGTTGGACAGCTTGAGTGGCGGGGAAGCTTTGGTATCCATCTTGACCGCTCTCTTGTTCCTGTTGCTATCGTCCCAGCCAACTCCGTCACCTTCATTCGATTCGTTGCTCTGCTGGGAGGAGAGCAATTCGGCGATAGAGACCCGAGACTTCTTTGGTTCGGAACTAGGGCGGTCTTCGTCCGGCACCTTTCTCTTAGCCGCAGACTTGGAAGTAGTACCTCGATCCGGCGCCTTGTTCTTGCGTGATGTAGTCATCTATATGATCTCGATCAGCTGAGATTGACACATAATGAGGGAGGCCATGACACTGACGAAGTCGACTTTTGGGTGGAACGGCGGTACGCAGCCTGACGCTTCCATGAACGTATCAATCCACTACACTTTCGGCGATTGGCGGAGTTAGTAAGGCTAGGGTGGAGTGTATGACTTGATTCTACCTCACTTGATCCACCGTAGATACTCTACGCGTCGAACGCGTCCAGACTCTTGCGATGAACCTGCGGCGATGGACGGCCTAAAGACTCGTTCTTGTATACTGTCCATTCCGAACTCTATTCCCAAGACAAGACGAGATAGATATCTGACACAGCAAAGATGAACAACATGTCATCACCGAGAATACTGCCGTCCCACCTTCACGCATTCGCTCCAGGTTCTGCTAACGGCAATACGGTGCGAGTGCTGGGGCAAATCACTACCGTGAGCGGAGAGTCAGCAACTCTGACCTGCGGATCTGATGCTGTAACGATCCTTCTGTCCAGGCAAGCCAGCACGGATTTTCAGCCCATATGTAACGTTGCTAACATTTCACAGGGACTCCCACGTATCCGTTGGATCTATGTTCGAAATTGTCGGCAAAGTAATCAACCTAGACGGCGGACAAGGCCTAGGGTTGCGAGTCTTGAGCGCGACGGAATGGCCGAGAAACGAAAACGGACAGTTACCTGATATCAAGCTATTTGAAGCCGTGGTCGATGTGACTCATCGCTACAAGAGCATCTTCTACGGAGAGAACGAGAATGGCCAGGATGGGGGATATTGAAGTACACGAAACGCAGATAATGAGAAACGAGCTTCAACTATTTGCCACCATATGGGAAGAAAATCTGATGGTCTACAAACATGGTCACTCGACATGTCTTGACCAGAATGTCTTCCACAGGACTATCACGGTGTGAATGCATACTGTTGGCGTGCAACGTCTGTCTGGCTCCGACGGGTCAAATTCCCGCAGAAGTCCGCCGATTCCACCTGCTGAACCACGAGCTTGTTACCCTAGATGATTTATACATCAGAAGATAGGATTTCAGGGGCCGATTCTAAGCAACCCTATCAAGCAGGATGTCGCGAGCTTGGTGGTTGAAAAATTGAAAGTCCAAAGCATGGTTTCAAAGAGATATGCTTTGTTGTTAACGACCTCTAAACTACATAGTCATTGCCAGCAAAATCCTTCGCTTTTGCTTTCATACACGTCATTAACCTTGTGGTACTGTTCATTAAATCCTGTGCCGCACAAAAGAATCAAGCGCAACACCAGCCCCTATGGCCTAAAGCCCACTCCAAATGTTGGAGCCATACACCCTGGAATTTCTCGTTTGCAAAAGCGCTTATTTCACCTTCTGGGTTCGAGGACTCCTCCTCAAACTCTGACCTGGTGTCACCAAGGCGGGCGCGGAAGACTCAGGATAGGACTGTCCTGCATTAGAATCAACCATATTGAACCATATGTCGTCCATGCAATGATCAGCGTTGGGGAAGTCGAATAAACCCGCGGGGGGCGAACTAGGCATCATCCCCGTGGTTGTAAAAGGGTCTACGAAATCGCTGTCCAAACGATCCGTTGTCAACTCTGAGAAGTTAAAGTTGAGTAATTGTTCTGCTGACATCGGGGATGAGTTTTTAAGAGAAGGTAGGTCGGGAAAATCGAAAGAAATAGCCTTCTTTGGGGGAGTTTTCTTAATCTCGGCAACGTCGGATGTCTTCCCTTCGCCAGTCGCGTCCGTGATGAAGGGAGCATCGTTGAGTATAGCATCATGAATTGAACGAGTAAACGGGGTCATCTCAAGTACGCCTTTAGAGATATGGAGCGTGCTTGGGGCAGGATGAGGATGTCTTTGCTTTGACTTCGGCGTGCGGAAGTTTGGTAACAAGTCGGCATTGGGTGACATTTCGGCACCGAACTGTCGTTGTGGGGTTTTGGAAGGTGTCTTGAGAAGGAGTCTTTCTGATCGTCTCTGTGGTGTCACTGGAGGAGGCAACTCCACGTCTAGGGGAGCTTCTTCAAATAAATCTGCGAGGCCATCATCTACGACAGCAGCTGCCGGCTCTGCATTCTCCTTGCCGTCAACAGTAATCGCCACAGAACCAGCTTGCGTTGCGAACACATCTCTGGTCTTGTTCAGTCGAGGGCTGCGGCGAACAAAGGCGGGGAGATGCGTCACATGCTTTGCGGCGGTGGTGTAGTGACTTGGGTCTGACTGCACTCGTGGTTTGTCCGGGGAAGGAAAGAGTTGTCGCCGAATAGGCTTCGGGGTCAAGTCGATCTCAATCGGAAGGCCTTCAGAGCCGTTGCGATGCCCAGGGCTCGATTGTACCTGGCGTCCAGCTGGTCGACGGTTCTGGTGACGAGCTTGCAGACCCCGAGGTCCAGGACCGGCACTACTGGCCCTAAACGTGCGTGGCATTGAGGGCAATTGAGGCTCAGTCTCGTCAAGGGGCAGCTCATTGTTGGACATTTCGTTGTCATTTTCCTCCGCATCAGGTGCTTCAGTGCCGGTATCTGGTGAAGAGTCGTCGCTAGCAGGCGTCTGAGCATCACTTTTAGGGTTTGCATTTGCATTACCCTTCTTCGGATCTTTCGCAACATTGTTCCTCTTTCTCTTGCCCTTGTCCTTCGGATCCTTCTTCTGCCACTTCTCACGTGGTCGTGGGCATCGTTGTTTATGGAACCACAGCCCACAAGCTAGTCAAACGTTAGTGAGGTCGACACATACTGATATATTACTCACGGTTGCAAAGTATGACAGCCGTCCACTTGTCTTCCTCGTCTCCAGCTCTCTTTTCAACCTTGTATCCTCTGAAAGTTTTGACCGAACCATCTTCATTCGTCTCCAAGATTTCCTTGTAACAGCATTCCCCTGTTGCCAAGGATGTCTCGATCTGATCCCAACCATTGTGAAAAATCTTGACATAGGCTCGACGCCATGCTGGGGTCTCGATCGAGCCGCAGTTGTCACAGAATGGTGGCATCTCTCCTTTTGCAATTGCATTTTCGAGCCTGGCCTTCGTCTGTTCCAATCCTACTTTCTTTTTGGTTGCAGCCTTTGCCTTGGATTCATCCATACCAAATGCGTCCGACATGATGGCATCACTGTCAGGAGCCCATGTTTGTGCTCGTTGGATATTCCTTGGGGCAGGATCACTTTTGGGGACCAATGCAGGGGCAATTGGCTTAAGTCGTTGCTGCTCACGTCTTTCTTCCATAATCTGACGTGCTCTGGGGATGGGTGCTGGCGCTAATCTTGGCGAAGACATGCTTGCTCGAGAGGCAGGGGTGTAAGACTGTGCCCTTGCCAAAGACCGTGAAGCCGCCGGCGGTGGTAACGGAGGAGGCACCATTTCAGGTTTTGGAGCTTCGGTAGCTATCTCGCCAAAATCATAATCGTCTTCGAAAACAGTTGGATACTCGGAGCAATCAGCAGGCTGAGCCTGTGCGGCACCTTCGCCAATATCTGTCTCGTCAGGCTTGTCAATAATAAAGTCTTCAAAGTGAAGCAGTTGGTCATCGCCAAATAAGTCGTCAAGGTTGCCACTCATGAAGCCAGAGTCATGGTTGGCTAGAGGGGGAAGAGCAGGGCTCGTAATCGCTGGGTGATCTGGCATGACAGGAGGGGAAGAAGGAATATTCGCGGGCGTGCTCGAAACACTTCGACCTCGTGTTTCCTCGGGTGAGGTTATGGGGATGTTCAGAAGCTCCGCGTGCGAGGCAGAATCAAGGGCTGGAGATGACTCCCGGACCTGGGCACCTTGGGCGAGATTGCTTGGAGCATTCTTCCGTGGTCGTCCGACCCTGCCACGAGGCTTGCCCGACTTGTTAACCGGAATGGGAGTGGGTGGTCTGACAGGATCTTCTGCAGCTGCTGCAGCTTGAGCAACGCCAGGATTTATTGGGACAGGGCGATGCAGCCGGACACTAGAAGCGGTGCTGGCTGCAACACGTAGGGAATCCGGTTGACGTTCGATGTTGAGATTAGACTTGGACGGCCAGTCGACCTTTGTGATTTTCGCTCTCTTTCGGGCTGGGCCTTCCTCCGTATTCTCTTCACCACTGTAGTAACCAGAGTTGAAAGAATCACGTCTTGAATGAGATATCTGCCGCATTCCAGCTCTCGAACTGGGTCTGGATTGGACAGCAGCCTGACGTGATGGGGCATTCAATGCTTGCGTCCCAGTAGGGGTGCCTGGCCGACTAAGCTGTCCTGGAATCGGCAAGTTTTCTCCGTTGAGCATCCGCTGCATATTCTCGAGACCAGTCGTATCAACAGGTGAGCCTGATCGAGCATACTGTCCGCCAAAACCCGTACCCCAGGAGCGAACACCGTCCTGAGAGCTAATGCTGCCTGATCTATTTCTCTGAAAATAGGTGTTGACCGGTCTGAGTCTCAACTTGACTTCGAGAGTCTCTTGGGCGTTCCTGGAAAACAACCCCATAACATTTTTTGTGATTCTCCCAGTCACCATAGCTTCGGCGTCACTTCCTGCGCCCTGGTCGTGATCTGCTAGTGTTTTTGAGAGCATACCTTGACCTACCAGGGGTGTGTCCGGTTCTGAGTAATCGTAGGCGTAGACTGTGTAGTCGCTATCGGGGTTGGCCGTCATTTCCGGGCTTGCTGTAGTGACAGCTTCTAGGCAAGTTCGTAAGTCAATGACACCGATTTGGTTGGCCTCGTCCACAAATGCAGTCTGGACATCCAGGGAATGAGGCCATCTTGCGAGGTGGTTGTCTTTCTGGTCGATGTCGAACGTGTAAAGCACCTTGAGTCTGACTGTCCGAATCGAAACGCCCTCGTTGGGAGAAGTCGCCATTTTCGTCGAGTTGAGAAAGACGCGTGCTGTTCAGACAGCTGACAGCCTGACAACGCACAAGTTATCGGATTGTTATAAGGCAACAGTCATCGCGTGTGAGGGCCGAGGGAGATAGGAGGGTTTGGTCAAGCTCGTGTAGCGTGTCGGACGCTATGTTTTCTTCGGTGGACGTGGTGAGACCAGTTGGAGAGGTAGACAGGAAAGCTAATTTGAGGTCCGAATGCGCTGAAGATGAATAACTCCGGTAGGATGCTGGCGAAGGTGGAATCAAACGACAAACAAGGGCTTTTATGGAGGAGCAGAATAAAGATGAACAAAAGGTAAGAGGCAGGAAGCAGAAGTCACAGCATCCAGCTTAGACCTTCTGCAGATACGCGTTGCAATGCGGAGCGTGTCCCGTTTGGTTTGGTACCTTAAAGGCGCGCCGCGGTCGGTGGGGCAACTATGACGAGGCTCGGGCCAAGCGAGAGGGATTCGAGAATCAATCAGTGGCTCTTTCGTGGCGTTAGTGGCGTTAGGGGGGACTAGCTTGGTTAAAATCTGCGCCGAAGTTTTCAGGGAAACTTATCCGAGTATATGTCTTGGCGAGTTCCGATCTCCAAATTGAAATGAAGAAGAGGGCATTCTGAACATTTCACCGTTTGGTCTGGGAATTCAGTTGCCTTTAAGTATTCCTTCAGCAACCATGGCAGACGCTTCCAAGATCCAGTATGTCCTTCTGGTCCTCCCGGCGCTATGACTCAAGACCCTGGTCCTGCTTATCTCCGCAACTGATCGAGGTCACGCTAGACTTGTCTACAATCTGCTGACATGGTTTTCTCTCAATAGGGATCTGCTCAATAAACCGCGAAATGAGTTGACGTATGTGGATCCCCTGGTCCCTTGTCTTTTTGATGTTTCTTTCCTCCCATACGTCCGCCACCACCACAAATCTTTCCGCCCGACCCTCTGGAAGTGGCTTTGGGTTCCGCTCCGCCCAAACGTCTACTTCACTTCATCAACACACACATCCTCTGACCATGATGCGCACTCATTTCATCACTTAAATATTGCGCATCATCGAGTTGGCCTCCGTCGAGCTGGATGATGTTGTTATTCAACGCGCATTGGCGCTACACAGCGTGGAACCTGTTCGCAATACTAATTTGCCTAGTGAATACGAAGTTTCCCTCCTCGAGGCTCACGAGCTCTCCACCGGCCCTCTGTCAATTCTCATGACGGCGACCCGAACACACACTCAAGTACTTATCTCATGTCGAAACAATCGAAAACTCCTTGCGCGCGTCAAAGCGTTCGACCGACACTGCAATATGGTCTTGGAGAACGTCAAGGAAATGTGGACGGAGAAGGGAAAGGGCGGATCCAAGGGAGTCAACAAGGACAGGTTTATCAGCAAAATGTTCCTTCGGGGTGATAGTGTCATCCTGGTCTTGCTGAGTTGAAAAGTATACATGGCTACGGGGGGGAAACATGCAATTTTTTACATTAGAATCACGGCGCATGCATCGGTGAGGCGATTTCGAACTCGGAAACGGTGAGGGTTTTGCATCAAAAGCATTCCTTTCTTCATACAGGCATGAGCCAGGCCGAGTTGTTTGGAAGCATTTTGCTATGGGGAAACGCCGTAGACCAAATCAAGTGGGCAACAAGAAGACAAGGAATGATACCCAACAAAGGTTGACTGAGTGTACAAAGGCAGACTGTTGCCTAATCTGAGCTGAACATTATGAAGCATCTGCCAATCCCACTAACAACTCCGATAGCCCCCAGGCGCCAGGATCCGGGATTTTGCCCATCCATTCGCTTTCTCCGCCGACGTATACGGCTCGCCCTAAGCTCGCCTTCATCGCCTTGGTCTTCTCGGCGCCTTCTCTTGCTGCCTCGGCCGCCTTCTTGACATCAGCAGTGCTAGCTAACGTGTCGACAAAAGGTACCAAGGCATCCATAATCGTCCTGTCCCCAGGCACGGCAGGTGTGTACTTGCCGAGTGCTGTCAATGCAGACTTGAGCGCCGCTGCCCATGTCTTTGCATCCATTTGTTTTGCTGAGCCCGAATCTTGTTCCCGAAGACCATGGACCAAGGCATTCAGGTAGATGGAGAATAGCGCTCCACTCGTGCCGTCCATATGATGTTCGACCACGGGCACGATCTTATTGACAAATGAGACAGCATCGCTAGGCAATTCCCCGGATGAGAGCGCCTTCAAAACTTCTTCAGATCCTCGCTTAAGACCCGTGCCACAATCACCGTCACCAACGATCTGCAGAGTGTCAGAGTCATGTTATTCAATCCAGGCGGAGTGATGGATTCAGGTTATCTCAGGGAAAGAAATACTCACAGTATCATATCGGGTCACTTCTGGCTCGGCAGCGATCATTTTATCCAGACCTGCTTTCAGAAGGGAAAAGCTGCGCTCAGGATTTATCGACAAGTTGCTGGCTTTGAGATCCCGGGAGCTGTCGGCGTGGTGCTCCATCGTGGAGTCGTTCTTCGCATTCCATGTCTCTGTGTTGATGGGTGCCGACCAGCCAAGCGCCTCGGCCGGTGCGTCAAGCAATTCGAGCATCGATTTGCCGGCCCCAAGTCCAGTGTCTTCCAGCTTGAGGATGGAGGCTGAGAAACCCATACCATTGAGAGAAGTGATGAAGGTACCGGAGATGACTCGAACCGGGGTAATACCCCAATCCTCCTTCAACTGTTTATATACCTCAGCGACAATGCCACCCATCTCTAGGTTGCTGACGCCACCAAGGTTGTTGATTAGCAGGACAACCTTGTCATCCTTAGTGATATGGGCGAAATGCCTGTCTTTGTCGTTGGGATCGAGCATTTGAGCGAGCATAATCTTGACGAGTTCGGGGAGAGTCGCGGTAACACGACGAGAGCCGGGTTCCTGGCCCACATCAGTCAATGCTCAACTGCGCTCTCACCACGGCAACTTACATTATGAATACCCATGCCGACTTCGATTTCGTCGTTTGGAATCATTTCGTCCGAATCCGGGGCGGGGATTTCTCTTCCTGGAACGTGTACATGTTCCATAGAAGAACCAACTGAAACTAAATTGTCGGCCACCTGTTTGGCAAGGTTGTACACTTCCTTTAGGCTGCCTCCAGCTTCTGCAAGCGCACAGATGATCTTCAGCACCAAAATGGAGCCTCCAATACCGCGCCTGCCGACCTTTCCTCCCTTGTCCCGACCTACTCCAACATCATCCCCAATGGCAAAGAATTCGGTGTCGATTCCTGCAGCTTTAGCCTTCTCGGCCGCCAGGCCAAAGTTCAGGACATCCTGTTCGCGTTGAAAGTCAGTCTACCGAACATCTTATCCAGCATCGGCTCACATACTCCTGTGTAGTTGAAAGTGATGACCAGAACACCCTTCCGGGTCTCGACCCTCGACATGATCGCCCTCTGGACTTGAAGAGTGTTGGGCGAGGCGAATATCGTACCGGCCACTCCAGCAGTGACGAACCCCTTGCCACAGAATGCTGCAAACGCCGGTTCATGGCCGCTGCCACCTCCTGTTATGATGGAGACTTTAGGGTTCTCCTCTGATTCCTTTGTGGGTCTTCGATATATCACCTTGTTCAGGGAGTCGAAGGCAAGAGAGGGGTTTGTGAGGGTCAAGCTGGAGAGAGCAGTCTGCACCAAGTGCGTGGGATCATTGATGAAACTGTAGGTTGCCGTGTTAGCATGCAAGTCTTAACCGTATTCTTCTAGAGAGAGCATCGACCCTCCTCGGATTGCGCTAGGATGCCTTACTGTTTGGTCTGCATTTTGTTTACTCTTCGAGTTCTGCCTAGGGTCTTGCGCAGGTGAGAGAGCGGCCAGCTGGAGACGAGGGTGGGTGTCTGCTTGCAGCGGGCCTCCAGGGAATATTATATATAGCCCTCCCATCTCACAGTCGCATCTTGCAAACTACCGCGTGTTCCCCGCAGCACCGACCGGCGAGGGGAAGACGAGGGAGGCTTAGTGCTGCCCCACAGCACGCCTAATAAGCCTAGCCAGAAGCCTCCGAGTTTATTAGCTGGAGCGGCCTGTCTAAAGCATTATCCCACTTAAGACGAGGCCCCTTCTGGATTTGCTGCTGTTCGGTGTTGAGAGACCGAAATCCAGACGATAGACGCTCAGTTGAACAGGAATCACCTGCGCTGCACAATTGTCGCTTTTGTTTTCCTCACGCATCCTTCTCTATAGCTCCAACCGGAAGTTGACTGCAGTAGTTGAAGATTGCTCCCCGTCCCTCGGTTGGCTGTTTCGGGAAGTCCGAGAATGTGGCTGTTACTACTGTGACACAGAGCTCGGCATCAAACGCCGACCCGGGCGTGTGTCTCAACCCAGAAGCTCGTCAGAAGTCGGTGCTCACAAGACAATAGCTCATGGAGCGGTGCCATAATCAGATTGTGAGAAGTCCGTGGGCGCACAACTCGGGTATCATTCGCCCAGCGAGAATAATGTGGAACAACAAACACGCCACGCTGAATTTTGCCGAACGGGTTTCTTTCTGAGGGAGATGATCGGATGTGAACCGGCACAATGCCGAAGGAGTCGCTCTCGCCGGCAGAGACTGGATTTTTCACCACAGTGCACACCTTTGCCAATGTCTCTCTTCACATCTGACCTCGAAAAGCAGCTTCAGTATCTAGAATCCAATGCGAAGACGAAGAATCTATGCTTTGAAGTGCAACGGTTCTTTCTGGTTCGATGCGGCTATGGCACCATGGATAGTTCTATCTGATTTCTCGCTATGCGGGCGCTTGCGTGGGTTTGGTGTGGGACAATGCGTGCTGGACTTCGGCGTAGTGGAAATCGAAGTTGCTCGAGTTCAGAATTCCTCAACGTGAAGTGGGTACCCCCAGGTGCCTGGTTATCATGAGAGCGCAATGGAAATAACACACATGGTACGCGCCTTTGAAGGTCGATTATTACTTTGAAATACCCTCCAGATCGTCATCATTCACTTGTTAACTTTGATCTGTCCGGGAAATTTAATCTCCAGTTCCCCGGCCCGCACGTCGAGCTGCCCCAAAATATAATTACACTGCATTGAAAACCCGTCTCCATCTTTCACCGATTGAAGGCAAATGGAGATTCCTGCTACGTTTCTCGTGACACAGAGCCGAGTTTTGCGTCTTTGCGCACTCGTTTCGAGGACACTAGTCGCAACTTCAAAAACCACCAGGGGTACCAGAAGAGGCACATGTATTCCTTTGAAAGCTGTTAGTCTGCTCACTGGCTAAAATACTTATACTGGCAGCATATGACGAAAGTGTAACCAGCGAACATGTACCCGAGAATTGCCTGCGACCGCAAGAAGCGTTGTTCCTTTTGTGATCGATGGAGAAGCCGCGAACCTCCCTGAGTTAAAACCCTCCCAGGGCCCCAAGGATCAACGGGAGATACGGTAAAGTATGCACAGAGTGCCACAGTAGAGGAGGTCACCGCAGCTGTGGGCAGGTACCAGGATAACTGGTACTTCAGAAACCCACAGGTCACGCACCTGAGGCGAGACATAAGGTCAGTGGTTGGGGAACTAGCAATTTTTTAGCATGTCATTGACGATTTTCTGTTCAACAATGGGCATCGTTTTGCTGATATTAGCAGTGAGCAAGGGTGAGACTGCATTGGGGAAAGGGGTTCGAAGCCTTATCACGTGCGCTACCACTTCCCTCAGGCATCTCAATTCCAAGTCCATCTTTGTAGTGTGTGGAAAGCAGTGAGTGTTTTTGCCTTCTCCGGCTTCATTGGTACCGACGGAGATTGTTGGTTGTAGAGTAGTTGCAAACCACCAATGCGTCTGAATACAAGTTTGGATACGACTGTGAAGGTGAATACGAATACGAGCAAGCAGGGGTATCATGATAGGTCAGCGGCCAGCTCGACCGTCTTGGCAGCCTCATTATTCAGCAATCCAGCCGTACCAGGAGAGTAAACTCGTACATCAAGTTCGAATACTGGGTTATTGAAGCTCAAATCGTACCGTCGAGCGACTCCATAACGGCTGAATTCGACCGTTCTCCCCTATCTATCGACTGATGTGATGGTACGCAGTACGATATTCCGACGCATACATGCTTACACGCTTACATTTTACCCCCAACCCCGTCCTCTTCTCTTCTGGGGATTTGTTATTGTTGTTCGACTCACCATCCCTCGTCGTACGTTGTTACTCAGCACTTGGTCTCTGTGGCTCCTTCGAGCATGATACTGACACCCCCAATCAGCTGTTCCCTCCATACCTGATCTTGGAGGCTCAAGGCTCACCTAGCGACTCTACTTGGAATAGTACGAGGGACAAGTACGAGCACGAGCACGAGGACGAGCGCTGCGTGGTAAGTTGGTATGTTAAATGGCAGAACCGAGACGGACTACAAATACCTCTCTATATCTCTCACACTCAGAGAGGGAGCACGCCCTCCACCAGGTGTTGTCTTGAGGATCGCAACCAAAGTATATACTACCCTGATAGTCAGTCTCTCGAATCACTACTATCACGAACTACTACATCTATTCGGAAGTCAAGAGCCCGAAACATGTCACAAGTCCCAACTCGCCAACTAGGCCGTAACGGCCCACAAGTCACGGCGTTGGGGTTCGGTTGTCTGGGACTGTCGACCTTTTACGGCAAGCCACAACCAGACGAGGAACGGTTCGAGTTTCTCGACCACGCGCACAAGATCGGGGCGCGGAACTGGGACACCGGTGACGTGTATGGGGACAATGAAGACCTCATTGGCGAGTGGTTTAGACGGAGTGGGAAACGAGACGATGTACGTGAGCTGTCCAAGTCTCCCGACACCACACCCCTTCCTTACAGGGACCATGCCTACCTTGTTCTCTCCTCGTCTCTACTTTGTGACATTCTACTCACATCGACAACGACTCGACTCGACTGGGCGCGACGCAAGCAGAAAGCAGGAAGCAGGCGCAAGTGGCAAAAAGCAGAGAGAAACAAGCTAACGATCGTCTTGAAATCACCGTGACCAGATCTTCCTCGCGACGAAATTCGGAACTGTATGGCACCCGGACGGATCAAGAACCTTCAAGAACGACCCTGAATATGTCAAGGAAGCATGCGAGAAAAGTCTCAAGAGACTAGGCATCAGCACGATCGATTTGTACTACTGTCACCGACTCAGCGGGAAGACTCCGATCGAAGACATGGTTGAAGCCATGGCTGATTTGGTCAAGTATGTACCCAGCACCCAAGCACACACACGCGCGCGCACACACACACACTCAGACACACACCGCACATTTTTTCCTTGTTTCATCAGTCCTCCTTCCTGAGCCTTCGTTCACTGCTCGGCACCGACGGCCGTTTTCTTTCCTCTATCCTCTTCGCATTTCGCACATATGTTGCACGTATGGTGTCTACCATATGCACCTGGTGACAAGACAAGCGCAAATGCTGACGACACCACACACAAAAAGACAGGGCAAAGTCAAGTACCTCGGGCTGAGCGAATGCTCGGCCGCCTCCCTCCGGCGCGCGCACAAGATCCACCCCATCTCGGCCGTGCAAGTCGAGTACAGCCCGTTCACGACGGAACTCGAGGACCCCAAAATCGGCCTGCTCGACGCGTGCCGCGAACTGGGCGTCGCCGTCATCGCGTACAGCCCCCTCGGCCGGGGCTTCCTCACGGGCCAGTACCGGTCCCTGGACGACTTTGACGCGGACGACATCCGCCGCACGCTGCCGCGCTTCTCGCCCGAGAACTTCCACAAGAACCTCGACCTCGTCGACGCGATCGCGTCGCTCGCGAACAAGAAGGGGTGCACGGCCGGACAGTTGACGCTGGCGTGGCTCATGGCGCAGGGCGACGACATCATCCCGATCCCCGGCACCAAGAAGATAAAGTACCTGGACGACAACATGGGCGCGCTGGACGTCACGTTGACGCCCGAGGAGAACCTGGAGATCAGAAAGGCAATCGAGAACGCCGAGGTCAGTGGCAGTCGGTATCCGCCGTTCATGCAGGCTTACAACTTTATGGACACCCCTGAGAGGACGTAGGATATGGGCCAGAGGAAACTACCTGTGACCTGAAGTCAGCTTCGTCATGCTTTTCAATGGGTCCGCATGTGACGATCTCAGTCTCATGGAAAGGGGGGAAGGGTGCTCGAGCGAAGCCATGAACTTTTTACATATGAATATTGCCTCCGATAACTACATACGGTTGGATGTCTAGGCAATTGACCCACGTTGTCCCCTCGGTTGAGTTTCCTCCTTCACAAAACCTTGGTGCTATTGGAAAACTGGCAACAGACTTCCCGCCACAGGCAAAGTGTTACATTTATGTATATAGTCTCCTATGGTACCTCAATGCAAGTGCTGGGCGAACCAGTAAACGACGGCATTCTTGGCGCGCTCCAGGCCCTTCTTCTGCACGGCGTTGTTGGGGTCTCCCCTCGTGGCGAATCCGTGCCGCAGGGCAGGAAAGTACTGGTAATCGTACTCGAGGCCCAGAGTCGGGATAACCTGGTTCGAATGGGCCTTGAGCTCCTCGGTGTAGAGCGGGTCGATCTCGGGAGACAGGATCTGGACCGGCACACCGACGGCGTCGATCTCGGACTTTTCGAGCAACGACGGGTGGGCGGTGGAGATGGCATCGACCAAGTTGTTGCCTGTGAAACGAGAACGAAGAGACAGAGTCAAAGGTCAGTCACAAGTGTCGTCGAGCTGGCGCGGAATACGTAAAGAAAAATGAAACAGCCACACAAAACAAAGGGGGAAAGGAAAGGAAATGGGGTGTTTTTTTTTTCTTCACACACCCTTTGCGCCGAGCTGGAAAACGGCCCATCCGCCGTAGCAGAAGCCAATGGCTCCGAGCTTCTTGTAGCCAAGTTCATTCTTGAGTGCCTTTGCTGCAGCAAAGATCTCGGGACCTCTCGCGGCCTTGTTGTGGCGACCGAGGAAGGCTCCGACGTTAAAGTCCTTTGCCTTCTCAGGGTCCTCCATCATGTCTGGCGTTACGAGTTCACCGCCGAAGCTGGATAGTGAGGAAAGGGGGGGAAGAATCAGCCTCATTGTCCTTTTTTTTGGATGCCCTCGGAAGTATGAGAGCGGGGGCGGAGGGAAGAGGTGGATCGGATAATGCACTCACAAGTCGACGAGGTACACGGTGACATCGGCCTCTTTGGCATAGTGGTCGGCCAGAACGCGAGCGTTGGTGAATGTCCAGCCAAAGATGTCGTGGACGATGAGAATGGCAGCGTCCTTGTTCGATCCGGACACGTAGGCGTCGAGACCTGCGACCTTGGTCTCTTTGCCTTCGGGAGTCCCCGTCCAGCGGAATCCGGTCTTGCAGCACTCGCTCATGTTTTTTCTTTGTTCTTTGCGGGTGGTTGTCGAGGGGTAGAGAAGGTTCAGCTATTGACTCTGATGATGTCGAAGGGGAAATGAATCTTCGTCTCAAAAGGGAGGAGGGAACAGGTCAATCAAAATAAGAAGTCATTTTGTTTGCTCAGGTCGAGGCGGGGCACCGTAGGATAAATATCGTACAAACTCAAATACGAGCTGCCAGGAGATAAAGAGGACAGACAACATCCGTACTGTACAACATAGCGGCCCGAGATGCCCCGCTCTTGAGGTTTCCCAGGAGCCTCCGTGATCGGTTTTGGGTCGTGAGAATCTTCCTGGCGGGAGCAATCACAGTCGACAAAAAGCTTTCATGCGGTAGCTGGCTGGCTCCACGTTTCGGAGTTCCGAAAGCCACCCAACGCACCTTTGATCTTCGAAGAAAGTTCGTACGACGCTCCAATCTCAATTATTAAGCTGTTATCGATTTGCAATGCCTCAGATCATACTCGCTGGATCGAACCTGTGTGCTTCGATATCAAAATAGTGAGATGGAGACTCGGACTGAGGAGGATTTCAAAGCTTGTCGTAACCTTTAGCCGACCGATAGCCACAGCATGTTCGGAGATATTGTATCCGTACAAGTAGAATGTGCCCATGGAAGAGGCTAAGCACGTCATCGCTCGCCCCTAGTTTGGGATTACATATCAGCGACTGTAAGGCTTAGGCGTCGAGGGCAGCCTACCTAATAACTCCGATACCTAACTAACTAGTTAGTGACCCCGAGGATTAAGCCTGTTCGTCTAGGTAGATACAATGTTTAGGGGGCGGAACCCCCCGGAGCTTCGGCTACTAGGCAGCTTCGAGGACATTGTCAGGGGCTACACCTGCTTAAGTACCCGCCTAAGTTCATTCCTCAGCCACCACTTGTAGGTATCTCTGCAGAGACATTCCTGGGTATCGAGCGGCTCTCATTGCTAGGTATCAACTACCCAGTGCTCATCGATCATTACCACCCTAACTAATTCACCGCATTCACGTGAGTATTCTTCAAGGATTAAACGAGTGAAGTTTGCGTCAAGAATGTTACCAGATACCTTTGCACCCTACCAGTTATATAAATATGCCGCACCTCACAACTTCGCTTGTCTCTTGTCCCCTATCTCGACGACCAATTTTCCAAACTGAGATCCCTGCTTCATCTCGTCGAAGAGGCCATTGATGCCGTCGATGTCCTCGATGCCACTGACTACTCGACTCACGACGGGCTTGGACCTTGACCGTTTGACAAAATCAACCATGTCCTTGAACTCCTTTCGACTTCCCATGGTTGATCCCTTGACCTCGATGTTCCGCAACACGGCTTGCATCAGGAATGGCATCTTGGGGCTCACCGTCATGCCGTAGATGGAGACTATGCCACCGTCCTGGCCGTTGAAGTTGAGACTGTCAGCAGGACGGACTCAAATCACATAGACATATGTATTTTTTCGTACCTTGAGTAACTTGGCCCCTTTTTCCACAATGTCCGCCCCGGCACCGTCCACAATGGCATCGAATTTTTTGTTATCATTCGGCAGCAGCTTGAGCAGTTTCGAGTGCCAGTCCTTTTCTTTGTAAATCACACCGCCCTTTGCGCCCAGCGCCACGGCCTTGTCGATTTTGGCCTGGTCGCCGCTCGTCACCCAGGCGTTGGCACCCGTGGCCGTAACGAACATGAGCGCCATCAAGGCCACTCCCCCACCAATACCGGTGATCAGGATGTTTCTGCACGAAGGAGAAAAGAAAAACAACCCACGTCAGTATCAAGATCGCTCATGTGAGGAGGCAGCAAAGGGGGCTCGACGGACTTTCCAGGTTGAAGATTGTGAGCACCACACTTGACCATGACGGCCCGCCACGCCGTGAGTCCGGTCAGAGGGATCGCTGCACATTCGACGTCGCTCAAGTGAGCAGGTGCCTCCTCGACCTCGGTCTCGTCCACGGCGCAGTACTCTTGCAATGTGCCAACGTCGGTGGTTTTCGTGCCGCCCAGGATCTGATACCCTCGACGGTCTTCGGGCCCTTCGAGTGAATCCTTCCACCCGGTGCCGGGATTGAGCACGACTCGCTTGCCGACCCATGACGCGTTGGCACCAGCGCCGACTTCAGTCACCGTACCGCACCCATCGGCCAGAAGAGGCACTCCGAAGCCGATGGCCGGGTACAGAGCTTGGCGAATGAACAAGTCTCGATGGTTGAGGGCCGCCCTTTTTTGTAACCGACCGACCGTCAGCAAAAGTGAACGTGGGCGTGCAAGTAAATCAAAGCCCTTTTTTTGAGATCATGTCTCGACGGACGTGGTTACCTACGCGTGGATCTTGATCAAGAGCTGGCCTGGTCCCGGGCTGGGTTTCGGCACCGTGTCGATGCTCAACGGATAGTATACCTTCCCCGGCTTTCCGGGGGTGTGTTTAACTGATATCGCCCGCGGCATCCTTGGTCGACGCTTGGTACGCACAGAGCTTTATCGTAGGTGGCGCAGAGCCTTGAGTTTCTCGAACGAATACTCTTCGTATCACAATGGCCAAGTCAAAAGGTTCATTTACTAGACAGACGAGAATACCGCAGTCATCGCTGACGTTCCCCGAAGTCCTTTAACTCGCTTGCTTGGGTTGCCTCCTCCGCATTTCCCACCTTATAGTTGCAACACGACCCGCGAGCTCGGCACCCCGGGGCATTTATTTTTTTTTTACCTCGGCTCGCAAGTTCGGAGGCGGACGTATAGTTTTCCCATAGTACACCGTTCTTCAAACAAGCAGTACACCAGTACTCCTTGGGAACTCACTCGCTTGAAATTTAGGCCGAGGACATTGGACCCCTGGTCCGATATCGAGCGGGAAGATTAATAGTATGTAAGAAAAGGGTCTGACGATTTTAAGTATAGGCAGCCAACGAAGGGACTGGTACTGTTGGGGACGCCTTACTGAAAATGCATAGAATAATGCTCTCCTCTATCGTTGCATCAATCATAGCCAGGCATATAGAATACACCTTCAGGATCCGTATTCGACTGGCTTTGTAAAGATGTCATCACCTCTGACTTACTTGTCTTGACCGTTCAACTCCACCAGATGCCTCACAAGGTCAAACAAGCCTCCATCATCCTGATTCGACGGACCAGGCGCGTCTATTCTTCTCGTCAGCTCGTCATCGAGCAATAGCCGCAGTCTCGACACCAGGACTCCGATCCTTGCCCATCCTTTCAACTTCAGCCATCCATCCACAACCAACCCTTGGCCGGACGTGTCGATCTCAATGGGCCCGCCGAACAACAACAGCGCATACGCATTCAACGGCGTCAGATCCCTGATGAAGGTCTTGCTCGTCTCCATCTTGGTGAAGTAACTAACAAACGCCGCGGCACCCGAGAAGTTTTGCGCGTCAAAGAGCGCCGAGCTAGGATGCACAAACACCCTCCCGTTCTCCTCGTTGAAGTACTTGATCGCCTTGGCTTCGGCGTCGAGTTCCTTCGCCCCAGACACGGACGCAATGTACTTCTTGTCGGGCATTTGGATGCGCGCCAGCTGCGGGTTCAGCGCTCCTGCGATCAGAGCGCGCAACAGCATGGTGTTTCCCTTGCGCTTGTTGAGCCCCGTGAAATGCCGAGAGTAATCTACCGGAAGCAAACCAGTTTCGACGAGCGAGTCTCGTAGTTGCCGTCTCGTCGAATCGATATCCCGGAGTGTCTGCGGCGACAAGAATCTGCTGCTGCACCAGTCTTGCACGTCCCTGTAGCGCGTTGTCGTGCTCGAATATTCCTTCCACTGGTCATATGCGGCACAGTCGAGAATGAGATCACCGTCGGAAGGAGACGAGAACGATAATCTCGCCTCCCTGGCTTCAGCGCGTTTGTCCCGGGGGCTGACAAAGGGCGATTTCGTCGTGAGGATGGCGGCGATTGTCAGACATGGGTCGAGACACTCGAACAAGACGCCGTAGATAAGCAGTTTCGCGCAGCGCAGGTCGGCGGGGATCATGGCCAGGTATGTGCCGAGACCGGTAAGTCGTTCATTCTCCAACGCGCCCATACGTCTCAGTGTTCTCATCGCCGTCGCCACGGCACGGCTGTCGGGCGGAGAGATTGTGCGGGCCAGGAAGTCCTCTACATTTCTCTCGGATCCCGTCGCTTTGACCGAAAGACAAAGTTGCTCCAGGGGCGTGCGGTGCATCTCGGGTGAAGCGGCTGCAGCCATGTTCTGCTCGACATTGCGTGTGAACAGCTTGTAGCACTTCCCCGCCTGGACTCGTCCAGCACGACCACGACGTTGTTTGCATGCGGCCTGCGACGCCCAGGCTTCTTCGAGGCGGACAATGTTCGAACTCGGATCGTAGTTTGTCTCCTTGACTTTGCCGGTGTCGATGACTGCGACAATATCCTCGATGGTGATGGACGTTTCGGCGACGTTTGTAGCAACTACGACCTTCCGCTTACCAGAGGGTGGCCGCTTAAAAACCAGTCGTTGCTCTGCAGGGGCGAGAGATGCGTGCAATGGTAAGCTATGAATTCCTGGTAGTTCGTTGAGTGCACGTTGGCAACGATCGATTTCCATGGTGCCAGGCACAAACACCAACACTCCGCCTCGATTATTTGCAAGATCTTTGTCAATGTGTTGGACAAGATCAGCTATGAGCTGGTAGTTGATGCCCATACCTAGATTCTGAATTGCTCGGCCAACCTCAAGTGAGAGAGGTCCTTCGGAATCAACAGAGACGGCACGGTTGCGTTCGTGTTGGATAAGGTGGATGACATCGTCGAGATAGAAGTCCTCCACAGGGTATGTTCGGCCCTCAACATGAACCCTACCCACATTTTGACCACCACCGAAGTAATTCGCAAAGGTGTCAGCATTCAATGTGGCGCTCATGAGGACAACTTTCAGATGCGGCAATGCGGGCAAAGCATCACGCAGCAAAGCAAGGAGGAAGTCCGTATCAAGTGATCGTTCGTGAACCTCATCGACGAAGATATGACTGACATTTTCCAATGCTTCCTTGACGTTTTCCGCGGATTGTAAGCGCCGGAGAAGTACACCGGTCGTTTGGAAGATGATTTTTGTGGTCGAAGAGATCTTTGAGTCTCCTCTGATGATGTAGCCTACTTCGTCGCCCTCGATTGTGCATCGTTCTGCACTGACTCGGTCGGAAAGTGACAATGCTGCTACACGTCTCGGTTGGGTACAGATTAGATTTGCCGACGAGCCCTTCATGTTTTGTATGGCATCGTCGAGGACGAATTGAATACTCTGCGTCGACTTGCCAGAACCTGTCTCACCAGTAATTAATGTAACTTGATGACGGCTAATTTCCTCCACAATCGCAGTCTTTTTCGCCCAAGCAGGTAGTTTTTGTCTTGACGCCAGCATCTTCTTTTGCTCCTCCAAGTCCTGCTTGGCCGCCCAGGATTCCAAAATTGAGCTGTTAGATCTAACATCCCGTTGATGCGTTCGCTCGACTCTCTTCTTGCGTTTGTATGTGGCGTCTGAGGGGTTGTCAGAGAGCCGCTGCATTGTGAGTGAGGGTCGAGCAATCTCCAGATCAACGAGCTTCCCCGGGCTCTCCACAACCTTGGGAATCGACTCTTCCAGCCACTGAATTAGGTTGAATATCATTTGATCCCCAAGTAAATTCGCTTGCGCAAACTCCACAGCCCGTTTGATTATGCTCAAGCGAACATAGCTTGGTAATTTGGTATCTTTGAGCACAGTTATGGGCGGGGAGTGTATTGGATATCCATGTTTTGGAAGGCGGAATAGGAGCGTAGCTTGGAGTGAGTTTGATAGTGTTACTTGGACAGAACATTGACTCTCGTCAGAAGCGGTAAATCTCTCTGCGTAAATAGCTTCCAGAGCTGCCATCTCTTCCGTCCACAGATCGGCATCTGATGGGATATTAATAGGCATATCAGACTTGTGAGATGCAAGGCTGAATTGAAGTGCTTCCATGGCCAAGGCCTCGCTCCCATCGTTGTCTCGGAGTGCCTGAAGACATAATTGGCTTGGATAGCCAGCCTCACTGAGCCTCTTGACCTTGGTATCGGTGGAAATATCACTGGTGACGAGGGATACACCAGCATGGTAACCCGGAGGAAAGCTCCAACTTGGCAGTGAATCTTCGGGTAGATGTATGAGTAGCCATTCGAGAACTTCTTCTCGACTACCGCAATAGTCCAAGGCTTCTTGAACGTGACTCGGAAGAAATCCTGATTTTGCTAGATCCGAGGCGATTGACGCCCGTTCCGCTTTTGTTATTATAGTGCCAGCGGTATTCCAGGTGGTTTTGGTCCGAATAATGGATTCTAACCCCATACGAGAGTTCTGACCCAAGTCGATTCGGTGCGCACGATCCCATCCTTTCACGGTGGTACCGGTAGCATTCGAGTTCACCAAAGTCAAAGTTTCAACTTTTGGTGGTGCCGCTTGTTGTTCTTGCTTCCTCTTCTCGAGTTTGGCTTTGATCTCCTGTCGTTTTGCTTCCGCTGCAAAAGGATCGGCGTCATACTTCCAGGCCCTATCCTCCTTCACATCTTCCTGCTTCAGACGTTGAAAATCGCCTCTCCAAAGATCTCGGTAAGTTGGGGGTAAGGCCATGGAAAGATTTTTCATGCTTGACACACGGAAGAGGGCATAGGCGGCGGCAAAGTGTCGAGCCTCCAGAGCTGTGGGCTGATCTGTTAGATGTGCAGAGCCTGCGGGCAGCTGAAACGGGGGCAACCTCGTGACAACGCCAGTCTTGGGGTCTGTCTTCGATAGAACGACCCACGATCGATGCATCTTTTCGCCATTGGTTCCCGAGGTCACCTGTCGACCCTGATACTCGGGTTTATTCCATTTTTGCCGTTGACAATGTTCGGAGAGAAGGTTGACAGGGAGCTTGCCTGTCCATGACTGGCCTCCAATCACCTTACGAGCGTCTGGCCGTGGCGGACCCTCGGGCTGACTTACATCCTTTTTCTTCTTATCCTTTTGTGAATTGGTGAAGACAATATGTTCACTGTCTGGAACTGCTGGGGTCGAGTTCTTCGAGGCGTTGCCCTTGGCCGAGGCAGAACCTTTCTTGGGTGCCATATGTATGGTTGCATTTGCCAGTGTTGCACACGACAGTTAGGTTGAGCAGGGGGTGGCCTCCTCGAACACCTTGAACTACGTTCGACTGACGTGAAAATCTCCAGCTTAAAGCGGCGCTAAGATTGTGATATCTCAATGCGACATCTTGGACGTCGATGGTGAGTAAAGGCTTGCTCTGGCTCGGTCGGTAAGCGGCGAGATGATACCAGTCCTCAGTAAGGGTTCATATTTATACAAAGTGAATAACATACATCACTTGCTGATTTTGCAGAAGTGGAAGAATATCAAACGTGACCTATGGGGCAAAACTGCCCAAGTAGGGGGAATGCGCCTCCGTATCAGGCCGAGAAATACCACGAGGCTAGAGTGCAGCCCAATTTCGCCCCTTTTCAAAAGGTGCGCGTTGACTGGGCACTCGAAGAGCGAAGACGAAACAGGTAAGAGTTTAAGGGCATCTATTTCATTCTCTCCAAGAGTATTAGTTGCATTATTTCCGCTACAGCACAATTTTTTGTTGCTTCGCTGAAAATCGAAATCACGTCAAGAGCTTGCAGGTAACCATTCCCGCTCCTCGCAGGTTGCAGTACATTTACTCCAGCGCCGTTGCCGTCTCCAAGCGTCTCCCTGAGTTTGACAATTCGCCCTGAAAATTATGTCGCTGACAATGGTACCGAAAAGTGAAATGGTCCATCCCCAGTCGCAGCCCAATGGCATTGTTGTTGATTAGTGGGTCATAAATTCGTGTCGATCGTAAGATGAGTTGCGAATGGCAGTTGCCCGAGCAACTGGTCCCATCCCATGCAAATGGTGGTTGAAGATGACTTCATGAGAAGGTGTAATCTATCGCTCGTGCTTTTGAGGCCATGAGTCGTTCGTTATTGGCGTGCCGTGGTCGTCATCGTGCGACTAGAAATGCTTCGAGGCATGTTCTTAGTTGCGATAGTAAGAAATGCTGTCGTAGTATGGGAGTGTGGGTGGCTGGGATAAGAATACCGAGGTGCTGTAATCTGGGAGCTGGAATCCTCTCTGAATCTCCGTTTCCACAAAGGCAGACGCTCGCTTGTAGCGCTTGTCGCAGTATTTATTGAACACCGCACTGTGGTGCTTGCGAGGATTGTCACAGCACTCCAGTAACAGGCTAACAAGAGGCTCAAGCTGTGAATAGGTGTATCCGGAATAGTAAACGTGGTGAGCAGTCTAAAAGGAGTCAGGAGATTGCACGTTGAGAAGCGAATTCAGGACTTACCCAGCTCCCCTTTCGGAGCATAACACGTGCGAGACAGTGAGAGGCTGCCGCTGTGAAACTTGGTGGACTACCAATAAAACGCTCGTCCATGAGTGTAACCTCCAAGAAATACTTGGCCAATGTCCTAGTCTCGAGATCGTAGTCGTCAGCCTTGCTGATCCTTCTCAAAAAGCTCATCGGGCCAGGCCATCCCAGCTCGAACTGAAGCATTGTGAGCATGAAGCGTTCGGCCTTTAGGATCTCATCAACAGTGTAACCACCATCAACCATGTACACAATCTCTTGAACGGACGGGCAGTTGATTTCTTCGTACTTGGCGGCAATGAAGATTGCGGTTGCACCAACGAGTTGCAGCTTGGCGAGGGAAACCACTTTACAGGACAGGAAGCGGTCGATGTAGTTGACCGTTAGGAACAGAGTCTCCGGCAGCAAGTTGAAGCGCAGATGAACTTGCACGAGCCAGTCCATCAGGACAGACCGCATTGACCATTGGATTTCATGTTGGTTGTCCATGTAATGGGCGTTGGGTAGCATCTTCAGTTCCAAAGATTTCATGTAATCGAAGATCTCATCTCCGTATTCGGCGACCATACTGGTGTCGAAGCTCTCGTCCTCGAGTTCTTCGGGAGATCGAGTCGCCTCAACGAGTTGTTTTGCCTGTGCAAGCTCCTTGCGGATGCGCTGGTTCACCTGAGGGAATAAGACAGCTGTGGCGCCACCCGTCGTGTTGTCGCCTCTGGATCGAAATGATCTAGCCGTCACGTAGCCTTCCTCTTCGTAGTTTTCCTCGTCTTCTTCTTCCCAATACTCCTCTTGTTCCGTCGTTCCGATCAGGTAATTATTATGTGAGGGAAGAGGAGGGGCCGCATCGACAGGGTTGACAAGCTTCGCAACAGCGATCTGTTGTGATTCGGATTTGGTCGATGCTTGAGCACTGGTGTTGAGAGAAAGTGGTGGGAGGACAGTGGAAGTTGTGTGAAGTTCGTGCTGGGAATTGACGGGAAGGCCAGCCAGCTCTGAGATAGTAGTGACGGCTTCTCTAACGTAGGAGTCATTGTTTACTGCTCTGGACACCGCAGGCTCCAAGCTGACTTCGTCAATGCCTGGTAAGCTGATCTCTGATCGAGGCTCTGAGACTTCTTTGACGGGCTCAACGACAGTCTGCGACGTAGATGGGAGGGGAAGGGGCAGTGGCTGACGGTCGAGACGTGTGATCTCTACTGCGTCCTTTCCTTGTGCAGCATCATCGGGAGTGTTCGACTGCACACTTATGGATTCCGTTTCTTGCACCGTCACTAGACGGTTATCTTTGAAGATGGTAGTGTGTCGTTTGGTCAACGTTTTCTTGCCACCTGGAGCCTGTGAGTGAAGGCCACTGCCCTCTGCTGGCACAGTAACTGCATTGTCAGAGGCTGCATTGTTGCCGGCAGTAGAGAAGAAGGTCTTCAAACCCGAGACTGATAAGGGTCTCTGAGCTGGTCTTAGCAGACTGGTCGATTTCCTCTCATATAGAGGCTTGATTGTTGGCTGCAAAATGGGTTTGTTCTGCAAAGCCAAGTCGTCTTTGCTAGGTTTTACACCTGTGGCAGTATTGCTCACGTCCCCAAAAACTTTCCGCTTAGCTCCAGCTGCGAGTCCCTGTGTCGGCGGCAACCCGGTCAATGCAGGACTTGATTTGTTTCGCTGATGAATTGTTTTGGTATTATGGCCGACAGGAGGGAGGTTCTCGTCATTGTTAACGCGTATGCGTATAGGCCGATGAGGCTGTTCGTCAAGTCAGCAATGATACGTTCTAGAGGGTTTCCCAGCGTGGACGTTGACAGCGTCTTTCGCGTTTGACAGGGGTTCCAATCTGGGTGCGAGAGAGGCGGAGGAGCTTACCTTGACATCCATATTGACTGTGTTGTCCTCGAAGGCGTGTCGGAGCCTGTGTAGCTGCCGATTGCGCAGTCAAACGATGCTGTTCCAGACTAAGCTGATCAAGGCTCAGCACCCCTATGCTGTTCAACACGCGAAGACAACGGCAGCATGAGTCGAAGTGCTTGGAGATGGGAAGGAAAAGAGGAGAGAAGTCAGTTGCGAAGTAGGGTATGGATGCTAGAAGCTATGGCTGCAGCAAAGTGCACGGATTGTGTACAGCAAAACATCTGGGCTTGGATTATTGAATTGCAGTATTGTGATGGCCCTGCAGGAACGGAGTAAACAAAAACAACTTGCTGCCGCTCTTGAGCGATCTACACGCTAACTCCGCCGGTCACCCAGATCCCACTATTCCATTTTGGGTTGTCGACAACAAGCCATCGGAGAACGCGAGTCTGGCCGATGTCAAGAACAGCATTATTGCAGTCCACCTCCCGCAGCAGCCACGATCAATGCGCAAAAAATCGGTAACACACTCAAGCAGTATATTCGCATTCTCTCCCTTAATCTCGACGATTGTCGATCCTCTAATGCTGAGAAAATAGCAAATCGTCTCCGATGACGTCGACGCGACACGACCTGACACGCGGTCACATGACCATAGCCGGAATTGTCAGCGCTCCGGCTGCTCGATTTGCTGTCGCCGTATCTTGCGAGTGTGCCAGTGGACGATATTGAGGCCGACAACAGATATGCTGGGAGTTGGTATGTATGCAGCTGGTCTCTGTCCCAGGTGGCCTCGTGCAATCCTCCCTGCGATGACTGGCTCGCCCTAGCACCACCCTCCCTCGGCGCTTACTCACTCACCTCAACAATGCCATGATCGCACATCCAATCATCGAGAACCCACCTATGCCAGGAAATTCACAAGTCAGCATGATACGATAGAAAGTTTCAACCGTGCATTTCCTGATGTATTATAGTGGATAAGTTCGAAGGTCGCTGCGGTCTGGAAGGCGTCACATTTCATCACCACATCGACTCGCAACAATCGCAGGCACAGCGCAGATGGAGTTCGTGTCCCTTCGAAACCACAATGTGTCTCACATCTCAAACCATATCGCAGATATCTAGAATCCTCACAATCGGGATTTTTGAGCTGGGCTACACTATACGACTGGGGGACTTTGTGGCAACGGCAAATGCAATTTATATACATGATTTATGCCTTCCGTTCCACCCTTGTCATTATGTGGCGCATTTTCCCAGGCGCAATGAGAGTTGGTTTCTCCGGGTGCCGCATGATGCGCCGACTTTTAGGGTTATCCGCTTCGGCCTCGGCTTCTCTGGTCATCACCCACCACAAAAGGTGTATATGGTGCTGCGCGTGACAAGGCGAACTTGCTTAACGAATTTGTCTGTCTGTAACATCTTGACTGCCTGTTACAAGACGGAAAGATGCGAGGCGTGACGTCCATCTCGCTACACCCTTGGAATGTGGGGGTGTCGTGGTTGGACAGTCAATAGCGGATTCTTGACACAGCTCTATCTGGAACAAGATCTACGACTGGTACAATGTCGAGGTGCCTAAGACTCTACTAATAGCGACAGCAATAGCGCTTGGGGCAGATGCTTTCGTGTGCGATGACCGCACGGTCACCAAACGGTTAACGATACTGTAAGACCAGCGAAATTGCTCCGGGTGCGAGCGTCGCCGCCACTGCGCCAAGCGCCATTTTTGAGCGAAGTGTCTGGATGAGATTCGCGCACGAGAGTGGTCGGGTGCATCATCGCTCTCGTAAGGAATTCCGAATGAGCCAACGAAGCTCGTGGACGACCTTACCGCCCGCCGATTGTCGCATCAACCGTGCCAACTAGCAGAGCTCCATTGCCTGTGTTCAGGAGACTTTGGTCGGTGGGCTGGAGTTGCATGGATTGGCACCTTTTAGCAGTGTAGTTTGTGGCAGCCAGTGCGCCAGCCTACGCCCAAGTTCATCTTGGATTGGCCGAACGGGTTGGACGCATGCTTGCGTGTCTTAACCACGGCCTCTGGACGGAACCCATATCTCCACCTTTACGGCTCACTGCTAATCTTCACCAAACAGACGTCGCAAATGCGCTGCACTACAGCCCAGCATTTCTTCAGCGTCAGTGAGGGGTGCGTCTTTGATCCTTTTAGCACCAGGATCGCCTGGCCTGGCTCAAAAATGGTGTCCTCACTTTCCCGATCCGCTGACTCTTGTTCCTTCGCAGCACCATCTGCTGACCGACATGCGTCGACTTCGTCCCTGCGTGCACCTCGCCTGAGGCCCGGCCATAAGGCTCCTAGCGAGCGCCATACAGGTATCCTTCTACCCCCAACAGGCCGAGCAAGACACTGCTTGGGACGCACGGCGATGTCAAAGGTGGATGTATATCCCATCACAGATAGCGCTAGGAGGCAATACCAGACTTTGTAGTACCTTAGTCCTCGCTGCAGGTTGTAGATAGGAACCCAAGCCATATCATCCAGTCGCACTGCAGTCGACCGGTTGACAGGCTCCTCGGGGTCTTTTTTTCTTGTTTGAGGCCTCACCTAAAGCCGCTGGCTGTTATTTCTGACTCGTCCGGGTTATAAACTTCTGTTTTCTACACCCTTCGAAGCCACGTTCCTGTGGTACGAGGTACGGGCGCATTTGTGTCGAGGGTGGGTCTCTCAGCACAGCCAGTTTCGACGTTGCTTCCTTTGACCTGAACCTGACCTCTTCCTGTCATTCTTCAACTTGTCCATCGATCCCTCAGAGCCTTTCTCTGTCTTGTCTACCAAGTCTGTATATTTATCTGACCGGCAGCGAACCCAGAGGTTCGTTTTCCTCCTCTCCAACCTTCCTCAGGCATCGTCGCACACCCAATGCTCCAACTCTCTACGATGTCTGGGCGGTAGTTCCGGATGCCATTACCATTGCCAGTGCGCAGCCTCTGTTCCAGTTCATCTGTATCGTGGACTTTCTGCAGGGAGTCGCGATCACCGTCACACACGTTTGCTCTGTGTAAGCCAACCGAATTTTTGCCCACTGACTGAAGCGATGCCGCTCCCTACCGCCTCCGGCCCTTACCCAACGCTTCGGGTCATGGGGGAACACAACCATCTCCAGACATGATTGTTTCATTCATTGCAGCTGATACGATTACACAGGACTTCGAACTCTTTACTGTCAAGACAGACCCCAAAACTGCACCCCTATCTGCCGAGCCTACCTATCCCGACTACTTATACATAAAAGGTGGATAACCAAGTGAAAAGAAGACTATATTCTCCTCTTCGAAGCAATGCAAGTATCCAATTTGCTCTCGAATGGAGAGCACAATACTCTCAAAAAGATGGCGCCTGCAAAATCGGTCTCTTTTGAGTTGCTCCTTGATGAAGGCTCAAAGACCAGGGCACGGATCCCGCTCCGAGTGGTACTGAACAATCATGACAGTACAGAGTCCATCATCACCACAGTGAAGAACTTCTATGGCATATACGATGGCCGGGGGGTGAGCTTTGAAGATGCAGTGGGGATCACACTGATTCCTTCGTATGAAAATCTGTCCCCTGAATCCACTGTCTATGTGAGAATTGTGCCAGCACCACAGCAGCCGCTGGGAGCATATCCTCTTCCCAACTATGGCAACGAGAATGGGTATGAGCCTAAGCGGCGACCAAGCCTTGGCGAGCCATTCCAAATGCTTCCGCCTCATATGCGGGAGCAGTCGCATTCTCCTTCAAGGCCTGCATCACGGCTAGCTCGAAAGAGAAGTGTCTCCCCAACACAGTATCGAGGACGCCGTAGTGCCTCACAACAAAAGGGAGGTCCGATCCCCACGGCTAGCCGCGGGTCAAGTGCCAATGGGAGCTTGCATGAAGAAGATGGCTACAGTGATAGCGAGGCAGGGCGCAGCTCAGTCTCTGGCTCCAAGAAAGCGAGAAGCGAGCAATATGTAAGCTCGGAAATCTCTACTGCCAATGTGCTTCAGGATGGAAGACGTGGACAGCCCATTTTCGATAGTTCAGTGAGTATTTCCTCAGTGTTTCATTTCGGCACCTTGCTGACATTTACCAGACTCTACCACTCTTTGTACCTCCCCAAGTCCCTGTCGCCGCTTCACAGTCGTCCATATCACCTCAACGACGATCACTTCCACAAGAAGGCCCCTCGCCCTTCCATCCTCCTGCGCAAAAGCTATACGGCCTGCAACAAGTACCAGTACTGTCCCCACAAAGTTATGGAACAGGTCAAGGCACATACGGCTTTCGCGCGGGTGCCGAGGTCGGCACTCCTGTACCACAACATGGTCACCGCCTGCGAGACAGAACAAATTTGTACCAAGGACATAATGGACGTCCGTCTAATGGAGTGTTGCCAACACCTGATCCAACCGTTGCCAGCTGCATCTCAGATGAAGACGTCGCCCGTACTTTGATTGCGTTGGGTGATGTTTCCAACTATTCTCACGGACGTACCTCGAACTCGACCATAGATGAGACACTCAGTGGTGCTGCCGATGCCGCTTCTTCCACCGGCGCAACAAGCGACAGTGATGAATACAGCGACACAGAAGGAGGGCTACCTAAATACAGGAAATACTTGGACGATGAGGACGAAGATTACGATCAGAGCAGTCCCGCTCGTGAGCAAGACGAGTTCGAGGGTCAGCCCAAAACCAAGAAAATAAAGACAAAAATGCATGATGGGCCGAGCAATGGCTACCGAACTAAACAGAGTTCTTCCTTGAAGAACGGAAAATCCATTAAGATCCGTTCAAACACTTTGCCAAAGATGACGAAACACTCGAGCCAACCGAGTATCAGCAAGATGCCTTCTGCACCTGCTGCTAACCAGGCTCGGAAGCTCTCTACTTCGAGTGTCAGCTTTCAGCACCCGCTAGCTGCAGATGAAGAAGATCTATCTTCCAAGCCTCGTTGCCAGCGATGCCGAAAGAGCAAGAAGGGTTGTGATCGCCAACGCCCTTGCGGTAGATGCAAAGATGCAGGTATTGGGATCGAAGGATGCATCAGTGAAGATGAAGGCAATGGCCGTAAAGGCCGCTATGGGCGCCACATGGGCGTCCCCGTCAAGAAAACATCCGTCGACAATGCGACACTTGATGACCCATCCATGGTTCACCTCGGCGGCCACCACAATGATAATGCTGTTGTCGGTAGCAGCCCCGATAAGAGCAAGAAGAGGAAGAGATAAAGGCACGCTTTCCCATTAAGCATTCCGTACGTGAATTCGGTGGATCGAACAAAAAGAACAGCACGCAGTCAGGTATAGAAGGGGGTTGTCAGGGATTGGATCATTGAGGCCGCAAGGCCCCGTGGGTGGTATCGGGGAAAGACTGAAAACGGTTTGCATTTTATCTGGCTTTACATCTGCGACTGTTTGAGGGTAGAAGGCACGGCTGAGGTGGTTGTTGGCAGGGTAATCGCCGGGGAGAGGTTGCTTACGGTTTCTCTCTTCCAATTTGATATTTTGGTATGATTGCGAGTCGGCGAATTTTGTGGATTTTCTTTTTCCCAAGCAAAGAAAGCTGCCTGGATTCCATAGCGTTCATGAGTGTACGAAGTGAGACAATCATTGATATATTGAAGCTCTTCTGAAACCAGCGACGTGGTGGAGATGACATGCTACGGCTCTGCTCGCTGCTCGCATTATGAGTTGTTCGAGTATAGCCTTGCAGTATTATGTACCTACTCTTCCACTATGTAAGGCTCCGGCTTCTCGGTTTGCGCGGAAGTACATACATCCGAATTAAAGCCGAGAATGAGGGGGAATTTGTCTCCAACAAAAAAAGTTGTGGCAGCGGAAAGGCCTTGTTCTGCTATTGTCAATAGACGCATTTTAGATTCAACGGGGAACGCAGAAGCCTCACATCGTCGCATCTGCCCATTGCGCCGACCATCTTACTCGTATGATCACTTCTTTGCGAGCTCTGCACCTACTCTAGTCTCTGAGACAAGAATCACGCAAAGCGATCCTCTCCGGCACCTCGACCATGTCCTCTACCTCATGACTACCACACTCTTGCCTTTCGCGTTACTAGTCCACATAATCAGACCGCGGCAGTCTTCCCTTTGACCACATCGAAATGTCTGATTCTAAACCTTCAACACCTAAACCTTCCGCGTCCACATCGGGCCCGAAACCCAAACCTCGCGCAGGCATCCAGCGCAAATCGAAAGCCGAACGCGAGGCATTCGCCAGGGAAGAAGCAGAGCGGCAACAGGCGCGCCTCGCTGAAGCGGAGAGGAATGCTGCTGCCGCTGCGCGCGGTGGTCGAGGCGGTCGCGCTGGACGGGGCGGACGCGGAGGCGCAAGTACGCCTGACCGTGGACGAGAACAACCCGTCGGCGGAAACAGCGTCTTTGGCGCAAGCACCGGCATGAGGCCTCAGACTAGCCGTCGTGATGCGCCAGAGGGATATTCGGAAAAATTAGAGGGCCAGAGCACCATCAAACCCGATGAAATCGGCGTCCAGGGGTTGGAAGAAGGAGCCTCGTCACGAGGCGGCGGCGGCGGTGGGGGTGGTGGCTCCGGAGGAGGAAGAGCAGCGAACAGGGACCAGCAATACCAGTACGAGACGATCAGTGACGACGAGGCCGAAGAAGACCGTCAACCCATCGAAACCATCATCTTGTCTAGTGACCAGGATGACTTCGAATACGACGATTCTGAAGATCAGGCCGACACCGACGACGACGGCGACGGCGACGACAAACCCGTCGATTCGAGCCGCAAAGGAAAACAGAAAGAGGAAACCAATCCAGCATTGTCGAAGCTCGAGCTACGACCGATGATGCCACGGACAAATCCAGATCCCGAACGACAGAAAAAAGTCAAGGCGGAGAAGAAATCCCGTGGCGGCGGTGGTGGTGCGCTGAAAAAGCAGGAACCAGATACTCGAGACGTGGATGCGGACGACAGCGCAGGGGATCCAATGGACATTGACGAGCCGGTCGTTGTCAAGGAGCAGCCTTCGAGTCCGGAGATGAGACGGCGTGGGCTCAAGAAACCCGGTGGCAGGGGCAGGGAACCCAAGTTCGCAAACGAGACGATCGAAGAGCGTGCAGAGCGACTCCGGATGATGAGTGACGTGAGGAGGCTGCGGAGGGTTTTCAGGCGGGTCCGAGTCAAGAGTGAAGGCCCAGCAGTCAGTGTTGGCGAGCGCGAAGACAGCAAGCAAACGGACCAGAGTGACGATCCTCCTGAAATTGAGACCAGGCGTGTTCCGAAAGGAGAATTGTTCCTGTTTCAATTACCTCCCCTCACGCCGTTCCTGGTCGACTCGGCCACTGCCGATGATGAGAAACAACCAGAGGTCAAGAAGGAGCCTGGAACGGACGGACAAATGACGGCACCGGCAACGGCGAATCCTACTACTACGGACGGCGACGAGGCCAAGAAAGATGTCACCGACGGCGGCGGCAGTGGAGGTGGTTCGTCAGCTCAGCCGAAGCTACAGATGGACGGAACCCTGACTGCGACGGAACCCACGAGGTTACCGGCCGGATTGGTCGGCAAGTTGCGTCTACACAAGTCGGGCAAAGTCAGTCTCGACTGGGGCGGCGCAGACATGGAGGTGAGATATGGCTCCAGGGTCGATTTTCTGCAGGATGTCGTCATGGTAGAGAGTCGACGCAAGAATCACGACGCAGGCGCTGGCAACGACCAACCTGAAGGCGAGGCCGATGCTGACGCCAGCGGTGACGGTGGTGCCGGTACTTCTCAAGAGAAAGTCAAGCGAGAGGCCGACGACCTCGACGGCACGGCTTACACCCTCGGCCACGTCCGCCAGAAATTGGTCTGTATACCAGACTGGGCCAGATTGTACGATTGAGCATTTGCTAGATCTTACTTTGCTTTGCTTAGATCAGCTCAGCTTAGCTTTTCGAGACAGCGTCCGTCCGTCCATACTTAGGCGTGGCTGCATGGGGGCATTGGGACGAATGTGACCGATAACGAGTATGCAGTTCAGATAAAGAAATAGCCTGCCTGCCTACCTACCTTGACTACCTTTTAGGTCCTTGAGGGTAAATGGGACGGCCATGTCAGTTCTGTAAATAAGAAACCACCATGACAATCCAAATGTCACGAGAGAAAGACACCGGAAAAGAAGAGGGAAGAAAAAATGGACGTCTCAAGTACATATGTAGGTACCTCAATACTAACCTCATCTGAGGACGTTTCGCATTGCATGCTCCCCAGGACTCGCGTACCCACGGCAGGTACTTCAGGTGGCGTAGGTACTCCCTAATGTTCGATCCAGAAGTTACACACCCCCAGATACGGGTAGATACCTATTCTGTGGGCAACTCAGCGACTGTAAAAGAAAAAAGAAATGTTGCATGGCATGTCATGCCAGAATCAGGGGGCTCTGGGTTGAGTTCCAAAAATATCCACCCCGGCTTGCAAGCACCGCCGCCCCTCTCGCGGCTCCAAAAACCTCATGGCCCGGATATGCGTCGGGATTGTACCCCAGCGCGCCAACCACCGTGTCTTCGAGTATAATTCTGAACATCAGGTCTCCCGCGCTCTCACCCATGAGGAAGAGCTTGCTGGGTTTGTTGTTGGGCCAATTGACCGCAATGGCCGTCAACACCCTCTCCCGCACTGCCTGCCAATAGTACCATTCGTCCGGATTGTCGTGCCTCGCGTCGGAGCCCAAACTGAAGTCCATTGAAGTTGGGGATGTCGGATACGGGACGTACCGATATGCGGACGCCAGTTCACAAATTTCGACGCCGAGGACACTGCGGGTGTACAGAACGGTGAGGACGCTGGTGTCCGGCATCTTCAGCAGCTCGTCCAGGCACGAATGTGAATCGAAAGGGTGCCTGCAAATGCCGAACCCGTGGCCGGCGTACACGGCCGCCGGCTCGCGGAAGAGCGGGAGGTGTGGATTGGGATTGTGGAGGAATTTCAATGACAGGTACTCGAAGGCATCCTCGATGTCCTCGCGGTAGAGAGCAGCGAGGTTAGGTGTTGCCGCGAGTGCGGAGGGGACGCCGTGTCCCAGGTGTTCCTCCGCCTCGTGTCGCAGCGAGGAGACCATATCTGCAAGCACCCCGACGTCCGGCGAGGCTGGCAGTCCTTGTGACTTGCGCCGCCGCCGCTCTGCCTGACGAGAAGCGTCTTTGCTTGCGTCCGGAAAGTTGGTGTATGGTGGCCCGCATCAAACGGGTCAATACATACATCTTGAAAGTCTCTGTTGGGACCATGGGATAGTAATATACGTCAGGTGCTTTGATGAATCGAAAGACAGGCGAAGCATCATTTCCAAGTACGCTTCCGAGCCATCGACTTTCGCGATATCTGCGACGGTCCCATTGGCATAAGCCACAGCCACAGTGCTGCCAAGGTCAGAACCACACGTATATACACAGCAATACAAGATGAACCACTTGCCCATAACCGCCTGTGAGGTCCATCCCTATCCCGGTGACATATCCGGAGGCACTGGGGCAGATGGCTGTGGTTGCCGGAGATTCCAGCAGCTGTTGTGCACCGATCACGCTATTGGCTCCCACGAGAGAGGACAGGTCGAGGAGTCCTATGCAGAGTAGTTCCAAGAGCATCGTCGGTGGTTGCGAAAGGTGTGCTATTCAAAACAACTGGACCATGGCTAGGTTGGCGAGGCCGAAGGATGAATGGTTCAATTCTCATAGAAGGAGGGTCAACAGTCTCCTGCAAGTGGGAAAGCTGTCCCTCATCTCAACTGTCGATATGATTAAAAGATATAACCCTGCGGCGAGTCGGCCGGCGCCATGCTGCTTCGTTCTATAGTTTCAGAGAGACGCGCGGATATATATATTCAGCCTCGTCAACGCACCACTACTTCCACCACCACCAAGCCCATCGACACAAATTAACCCCCATCAGAGTTCGATTTCGATTCCCCAAATATCCACAGCAGAGATCCCTCGATTCGGAGCGACATCACCTAACTAGTGTAGTTGCAACAAGATACACAGACAATTCATCTCCGGGTGAAGTTCTAATAAACACCACAGACCACTTCCTCAGCTTTGATTCTAGGTAATCAGGTTGTGACTATAGTGAGCCGGTTCAATCCTATTCACCCATGTAGAACTTAGGATGCCATTCTATTCCTACGAGAAGAATGTCTTTTCGGGCTACTTTATACATTTCAAGGCTACTTATTAATACGATAAACGATCACCTATCGCTTCCAGTGGGTTTCCCCAGTCCGGTTTGACGCCTGACCAAAACTCCTTGTCAGAGATTATACCGTGACAGTCATTTCTAAGAATTCCAGCGGTCAGGAAATCAGCGTGTCCCGTCGCTCCCAACCTCATCCTGGCGCCTGCAGCCGTATAGGTCATGGATTACGACAGATGAAAGCTGGACGCTGCAATCACCACCACCAGTAAGCTGAGTACCCCGAAGTTGAAACCACGTCTAGCAGCGCTGCACTTAACTCCGATATAGGGCTCGTCACCAGACGGAATCTTGAGACTAAGATGACCAGGTGCACAGTTCCTGGCCTTGATGTAGTCATCTTCTGAGATTTTCGGAAAGTCGTCATTGAGCCTGGCCGCTGGAGCTTCGATGTTGTTCTGGACTGCCTGTGCTGTTGCTTCCAGCCCAATAAGCTCATCAGAGAAGCTTGTGTCCCCCCGAACAATAACGTTACGAGTAACTTCTGAAGAACATTTGGTTGCGCTGCACTCGACTTGAGCCTTGGTATTTTCAGGGTCCGATTGATCAATAGCCCATGATATGTAACCGTGTGGACAATTCCAGACATTGGAGAGGGAATTGAAAACCAGCTTGGCGCATCCCTGTTTCATGCCAAGTGTATGCTGTGAATTGCCTGCCTAAGGCCGTGGGGACGGGAGTTCTCTCTTGGATTTAACGACTCCTATAGTGCCTTGAATAGTGCCCAATCCAATCGAGCCAGCAGTGGGTAAAGGCCATTGATCAGGAATACGAGCGAAAGTCTGAGTGTACACACTGTGAACGGTTAGAAAGTATCCTATGATGGGAGTGCCGTAATACTTACACAGGAACTTGGACGGCAGTACCATCCACCATTGAGTTGGCATAGTATGTTGTGACGGGAGAGATTTGGCTGAGGGCCGTGGCTGCCTCTGCCTGTCCCTGACCGGTGACCTGACGCTTGAGATCTGGAATCATATTTGGGTCAAGAACCGGGAGGATTTGTAGCTCTGGTGACGGTGTGACGGTAGCACTTGGTTCCGAATGCGATGCAGACACGGTGACCGGCTCCAGGGTAGTAAGAGCAGACCAGCCATCGGCTTCAAGATTTGAAGGTAGGGCATCGATGGGCATGGGGACAAACCCATGAGCTATGCCTGCGAGAAGAGTGGAAAAGAGGAGCGTTTTGACAAGCGGGACAGACATTTTGGAGGATATCGACAAGAGGTGTGCTTTTTCTCGGTGAGGCTCCTTTCAAACAACAACGTCTTTCAACTTTGTGTGATCTCCTTTGCCTGGGAGGTGTGGTGCAGACCGCGCCGCTGCAGGTAGAAGCTTCTGTAGTAGGTGCAGGAGGCAGTGTGCAATCTTTTGCCAAGGAAATTCAGGCCGACGGCCTTGCTATGAAGGTGGTGAGACGGAGGGCGCTGGCGGCGGCTTTCTCTGATGTGCCTCTCACAGCCTCAACTTGAAGGGGGCTGGTTGACAGGCTTATCGTCGGTGATTTGGGTAAAATGCAGCGTGGGCGATACGGTAATGAGTGAAATGCGATGGAACGAATGGTTGGTCTGGTGTCGGGAAGTTCTCAGTAAATTGCGATGTGGGTAAGAGTATGAAGAGAAGAAGCGATGCAGACGCGTAGAACAGTGAGATAGCAACTTGTTCAAGGCGCATGGGGAAGGAACTGCCCAGACTTTGGATTGGCAGCGGCACAGGCCAATGATTGCGTGGCGGACCCGTTGCATGCAAGAAGTCGAACGTCCGGAGCTGATCGCCAGCTACGGCTGCCATCTGCGTATTTCAGCCGTATCGACCAGTGTCAGGCGGCGGAGAAATGCCGAGAGTGCTGCTAAATCTGCAATGCACCCGCTGTCATGACTTGCTGTACGGGGTACCGTGTACGAGTACCTATAGCGTCGTTTCAGCCAAGCTCCTTTTGTGGAAACATCAGAACCTGTCTAAAAAAAGCTTATGTCACTAGCAGCCTCTGATTAACCTCTTTGGTGCCAACGACAAATTTCCGCCAAACACGAGCGAACTACTGTACCCCGTACAGTATGCACTTGAATCTCCCAGCTGTGGTGCGGTTTGAAGTACTCTGATTTGTGCGGAATGCGAGAACTTTGTCATGGCTTCAACTACAAACAGGAGTTTCAAAGCCAATGGTCCATCCCATACTACCCATTACGATAACCATCAACCCCAGGCCAACGCCAACGCTGGTCAAACCATAAACCCATCCGTGCCTGCGCCGTAGACCGTTGAGCTCAGCAACCCACGTACTAACAGTGGTTAAACACCCACAGAATCCCTCCATGATCCCCTGGAGCACCGCGCAGGCATTCGCACTGGACGCTCCAGCGCCGCTTGCATGCTGCAGATCAAAGGCCATGCCAAGAATGCCTGTCCCAGCGATGTTGACGACGAACGTACCTAGTGGAAATGACGGAACAATGGCGTTCATATGTTTCGATACGTAGTAGCGGAGCAGACAGCCTGGAGGCGCAAAGACCAGAGGAAACACTGCACGGAATCTCCAGTGCACGTGGTCTCCTGGTGGCCAAATCGCCAAAAATACTGCACCGAGCCAGCAACCAAATCCGAGGATGACAACGGCCGGGTCAAGGAGATATCGTGTAAGCCGGACAGGAATAGTAGGCGTCACGGGCTGAAGAAGAAGAGCCAACTGTGCTCCGGTGTTTAATCCTGCCAGAGACAACGCAGGGTGAAGGATCAGAATTGCCGTGAGGGCAAGGAACGAGAAGCCACCATTCCTAGAGTGAATCTTGGTCTCCGAGTGGTAAGCGGACGTAGGTGAAGGTCCCACTAGGTCGTTGGTCAAAGCCAGGAAGCAATCACGGATAAAAGAAGAGAACGAGGTAAAGCTTCCACAAAATCCAGTCGCAAGGCCGATGTAAAGAGGTATTGTCTTCTTGATCTTTCCATGTGCCGCGGCTGAGGCATTGAGATCTGGTGAGCCCCATTCATGTCGAAAAAGGCGTCGATCCTCGGCCAGAAAGCCCATTACAAGTGAGCCCCCAAGGTTTGCCCACAGGACTCGAGAGGTCACTGGTGTATTTGGATATAACGTTATAGCGTTGACCCCTAGTCTTGCCAAGGTGCCTAATAGCGAGAAGAAGACCAAGTACGACAGCGTGACGAATTCGGTGATGAACGGCGACGGCTTGTATGCTTGTGTCTGCAAATCTTTCCCTTGGTCTTCCGGATCTTTTTCTTGCGCTGGTAAGTCGACCGCCGTCTCTTCGTCCGAAGGTCGATCGTCTGCATTGACTGCTCCCACAGTGCTGTCTCGACTCCTTCTTTGCTGATTTTTCGATGAGTTCGTCCTCTGCAGGGCTGCTTCGAGTGAGTCACGTTGTTGCTCAGGTCGAACTGGCGGTGGGATAGTCATCTCTGAAAGCTCCATGTTCTGTCCATCGCCATCTTGTAGTTCGTGTCTTGTTGGTCGATGGATCGTGTCTTCCCATGATGAATGGTGCTGATCTTCTCTGCGAGCTGGCGGTTGTATTATTGTCTCTGTCAGTCCAGGCTCGCCGTCTTCTTCTTCTTCTTCTTCATCCTCCTCGTCTGCTCCAACATGCCTATCGGCCTCAGTCACCTTCGTATAGAAGGAAGGAATATCTGTGTTTGCGGACATTCTCTCGCCCGTCGACCGTTGAGCATGTATGTCATGCTTCCATCAATCTGCCTTGGTAGTTGAGATAAAACAATGGTGGGATTACCGGGAGCAAGATGCTGCTGCATGCCGGGTGCGCACCATCCTCAAGGCGACAATGAGATGCAGGTTGGTTCCCAAACAAAAAGCGGGAAGACAAAGTTTGAGCGCTGCATCGTCCCCGCGGCAGCCGACAGTGACGTTTTATTATTAGGCGAGCGCCCGCGCGCAGGCGACGTGAGAGCCCTTTTAAACTTCGGTGCAGCGACCCACGATTGCAGCGAGTGATGTGCCTGGCCACTGCAGGCATTGGCAGTCAGGCTCACTAGGCTAGCCTCATTATGCCAGCGGCGAGAGCAGTACTCCGTGCGGCCCTACATCGGAACATCGGGGTTTGCCGTGGGTATCGCGCAGGGTGCTGTTATCGCAATTGCAACAAAGGTCAGGTATGCACACAGACACCCCGCCAACAAACCGGTCATAAGTGAGAAAACAGCACGCCTCCAATTTCTACGCTGAGAACCCGTGGATTGTTCTGTTCTCGTATTCCCAGTTCGATATTTTCTGCACCCGGAACAGCAGTCCTTCCATATGGCATCCAATCTACCACCAAACGTCCACATCTCCAAGCACCCTTGCCTACGCGCAAAGTTGTCTCAATTGCGTTCCAAGTCGACCAACGCGCGGGACACCAAGGCACTCGTCCATGAGATAGCCTTACTGCTGGGCACTGAGGCTCTATCGCAGCTCCATCTTGAGCAATCTGGCACGGTGTGTTACAATTGACGGGGTCGCTGCATGATTTTGCCGATCGAGGCGCAGGCTGACCCTGGTATGATATAGGATGAGACACCCATCGGATATGAATATGCTTTCGAAACTATAGATTGCAGCAAGATTACCCTTGTGCCAATTCTTCGGAGTGGTCTAGGCATGGTTGAAGGCGAGTAGCCATCTGTCTGCTTCACCGCGCATGACTGACCTTGGTAGCTGTTCAAACCATTCTTCCTGCACCAGTGTCTGTACACCATCTCGGCCTCTTCCGCGAGAAGTTGACCTTGCAACCTGTCGAGTACTACAACAACCTGCCTCAATCCCAAGCCAAAGTTGCCAAATTGGCCATAATCGTGGATCCAATCATTGCGACCGGTCAGACCTGTGTTGCTGCTATTCAGTCATTGAAAGAATGGGGGGTTGAGAAGATTATTGTGTTGAGTGTGCTAGGCGCAGTTCCTGGTGTGACTACCGCCGCAGAAGAATGGTCGGAAGGGACTGACATTTGGGTGGGAGGCTTGGATGAAGGCTTAACCGACAGAGGCATGATCAAGCCTGGGTTGGGCGACATCGGAGACCGACTCTTCCTGACACTTGGGAAATGATGTTGTCTTCATGGTGGACTCCATGATAGCTGGCATTGCAAAAGCGTTGGAAACGAGAGATTATCACCTCAGACACATGAGCGCTTGATGCCCAAACAACTGCTCAACAGTGCCTTCTTGTTTCAAGAGGTCTCCGAGCCAATGCCTCGCACCATCGAGATCTTTGGCACCGAACTTGACCAGGACGAAACCGCGCACCCTAGCTACCGTCCAAAGAAGTCCTGGTGTTTGCTGTGCTTGGGCGGCATGGGCCACAGGTTCTTGTGTCCAGTTTTTGGCTCCAATCCGAGGCTGGTTTGCGAACTCTTTCACGAGGAACTCTGCAAGACTCTCCAAGCGTGTTCCATATACAATGAGAGTGCCGAATATGGCCATGTTGTCTGCCTTGTCCACCAAGCCCATGCCTCCAAGACCATCCTCATGAAGGATGACGGCGTCTCGAATCAAAAGTCGTCCCCTCGACCGTCCGTCAAACTCTCTCACTTCATTTCTGCCTTTCCAGCTCCACAACGTCCAGCTCTCCCCAAGTGCTCGTCGGCCTTCGCTGACCCAGTCAAGCATAAGTAGGCTGCTGGTCCCATCAGGCTCAACATAGAATGTTTGCTTCTGCTCATAGACACTTTCTGCAAATGGCTGTGTTGGGTCGGGCAAATAGCACAGGGCGGCCTGAGGGCCTATCTTGACATCCAAGGTCTGTTTACTGACCACCGACCTATGTGGAGCTTTGAACAGCTTGGTACTGCCTTGAGTAAGTAGTACAAGACGCGTAGCTTTTTGTAGCTCGACCTTCAGGTTGACCTGATCCCCTCCCACCAACCCTCCTCCGTATGTGAGAAGAAAGGCAATTGTCACGTGCCTATCATCGCCCGAGCTGTGCGGCTCTGGAGCAATAAGCTTCAGAGGATATTGATATTTGAAGACTTGTAGCGCCTGTCTACCAGGGGGCAATAGCGAAAGGACAATCTCGCCAGCTCCAGCGACGGAGGTGGATGGCGCGAATGGTGACTGTGGTAGCGACATGCCTTGCGCTCGATTGTGGGAAGCCGTTGTTAGCAAGGCCGATCCTGCATATTGCGAGTCTTTGCGGAGGCTAGTCGTAACTATAGTCTCTGTTACCGATCTCGAGCCTAGAGGTCGTGTTTGTTGTTAATGACATACACTAGTTACGCAGATAGATACCTGCAGATATCGAGACCTTGTGTCATAAAATCCCATGCGAACTCGCGTGGGTCATTCTCACCCCCACATCTGCCGCTTTAAGCGGGTAGTTCATCCCCCCTTGGGTACCGTTAGATCTACAGTACCACGGTTATGGTCCCATGGTTCCAGAGTGCCGGGGGGTGACTACCTCTTTGCGCGTTGAATCAGTGCTATTGTCAAGGAACCCATGCGTGAAATGTACGTAGACAAAGCAATAGAGGCATCTTGGATACTAAGGCCCCTCCCAGATGTAGATATACCTCTATCTTGCAGGGGCTTGATTTTTGACTCGTCGCGGCGTCCTCGATGGCCCTTCAATGAGACTCGAGGGCAGGGTATACAGCATCAGGTGCGTGGTGATGTGCTCCGGGCACAAATATTTAATCCAAGGTCACTGAGTGTCACTAACTAGCACAGGCAATGAGTGCCCAGGTGGGGTACCTTCCCGGCTCCTCTCTAATTGTGAATTGTTCCCTTAGGTAGTTTTGAAATTCCCACTCCACTCCGTCTGTCCTTCGCGTCGAGCGCGTCCTTTGCTCAAGAGGCGTGTTGACTCTCTTCAAACCCATACAACGGCATTCATTCGACAACAGCAAGTTGCCTGCGCACAAGGACTATTGTCGGCCCCTGATACTTCGTAGTTCCTGCAACAATTCATTCCTACGAATTGAGTCCAACTTCCCACACTAGGGCGACCGCGCCTGCACCTCAATTAACGCAATCCGGCGCGCACAGTCGAAATTCGACTCATCATGGAGATTGACTCCAGCGCCCCGAATGGCGCAGAAGAATCACGCCGCAAATCCGGTCGAGTAACTCGACGACCAGAACTTTTCTCCCAAGAACACCAGCAGAGCAACCCTGTCCTGAACGGATCAAGCAAACGAAAAAGACCTGCCGATAATGAAGGCGCAGACCTGGATGAAGATGATCAGGAAGAAGACTCAGAAGAGTCTGATGCTGATGAAAGTGAAGATGAGCCAGACGAAGAAGAATTGAAAGAGCGGCGACGGGTACAGAGAAGCAAAGTAGCAACGAAGCCCGCGGCCAAGAGGGCGAAGAGAGCAGACAGTTCTGGCACAACACTGGCAATGCGCCCTGCGAAAGGTGCAAGGGCGGCCGGGGGTAAAGCTGCCAAAGCCCAAACGGCGCGCTCTCGACCGAGCCAGGCGCATCTACAAGGGCTGTACGCCGAGGTCTTTGGTAAAGGGCGATCGCCAGAGGACGCCGCTTCTTCATGGTTCCAGTCTGTGCAAAGTGATAGTGTCACTGGCATCCGAGACTTGATCAACTTTGTCCTGCAATGTATTGGTTGTGATTCCAGAATTGAATCCCAAGACGTCGAAGATCTGGATTCTGTCCCAACCAAACTCGGAGATGTGCTGCAAGAATACGAGGCGCAAAAATCGCCCGACTACCCTCTGATCTCCAAGCAGAAACAGTATGCCGGCTTTCAAACGGTTCTGGAAGAATTTTTCAAAGCCATCATCAAAGCACTGCACGCATCCTCTTTATTCTATGAGCAACCCGAAGTCTATGACAACATTCATGTGTGGATTGCAACCATGTCGGGCGCCAACTACAAATCTTTCAGACACACTGCAACGATTATATCTCTATCAATGAGCACTGCACTGTGCGAGGTTGCGAAAGAGCTACAAGAGACCATGGCGTCACTGAAAACGCAAATGGACGCCGAAAAGAAGAAAAGGAGCGTGAACAAGGCTCGTGTCCAGACCATTGAAGCAAGCCAAAAGGAAACAGAGCAGAAATTAGAAGCAATTGACGCCCAACTGCGAGATGCTTTCGACACAGTGTACGTTCACCGCTATCGAGACATCGAGGAGAAGATCCGAGCACCATGTGTCGCAGCATTAGGGAACTGGATTGTACTCTACCGCAAAATGTTTCTCGAGGGCCAGTTCCTGAGGTACCTTGGATGGGTCTTGAACGATACCAGCTCTCCTACTAGATTGGAGGATGTCAAACAGTTGAAAATTCTATTCAAGAACAAGAAGAACATTGCGGCGTTGCGAGCCTTCACAGACAGATTTCGGCCTCGATTAGTAGAGATGGGTGCAAGAGATGCCGACATCAGCGTAAGAGTGGAAGCCATCGAGTTGCTCGATAGGCTACGAGACGCTGAATTGTTAGAGCCGGACAACATCGACACTATAGGCCGCCTCATTTTCGACAGCGAGCCACGTATACGAAGAGCTGTTGCAAAATTCTTTGTCTCCAACATTGAAGACCTATACGGTCTTAGCACGGAGGAGTTCGACGAAGCGCAATACCATGCGGCTTTACCAGATGACGATGATGTGGAGGAGTATACGGTACCAACTCGCTCATGGATCAAGTTCAAGTGTCTAGGATCGATTCTTGCCGGCTATGACAACGACGAAGAGTCTTTAGACGGCAAGGCCGATAGGTCTCTACCTCTCGATCTTGCGGTGGATTCGAGATATACTCTTGCCACTCAAGCTATATATCCGCACATGAAAGAGCTCCATCATTGGGAATCTCTGGCAGGCTATCTTCTTTACGATCACTCTTCCATTTCCGCTTCCGATGAGGGGGAGGATATGAATATTCAAGTCCAGCAGGCGTACCAGCTCAGCCCCGGCGAAGACATAATCCTTCTAGATGTCCTCAACGCTTCAGTCAAGCAGTACCTATCGTCAATTCTTGAGCCTCCGACGAATCGACGTGCGAATGCCACAAAGGATCAAATCCGCGAAAAGCAAGAATCGGCTGCCCAAAGCCTTACGCAAATCCTGCCTCAACTCCTAAGCAAGTTTGGTGCCACTCCGCAAGCCGCGTCCTCGATTCTTCGCATCGAACAACTACTCGACATTGGCCTGATAAATGATCTTCAGTCCGGCGAGGCCACCTACTCGGCGATCCTGGATGACATTACCAAACAATTTACATCTCACTCGGATAAAAAGGTCCTGGCCGCCGCTAGTGTGGCACTTCGTAACGCACGCAGCTTCGAGCAGTCTAAAGAGGTGGTAGACTCTAAAGTCCAAGAGATCTGGGCCGAGTCTGTGACCATGATCACCGACCTTCTGCGTGGAAAAGACGTCGAGAAGCGAGGGACGCTGGACAAGCAGTCACTCGCTGCGATGGTAAACAGCATGACCCGTCTGACAGAGTTAGCTGGCGTCTATGACTGCTCAGCACCCATGGAGACTAAGCTACCAGTGCCGGGTGGACGCAAACAGAAAGGCAAATCGGACCAGAGTATGGACTCGTTGCTCTCTTTATTGTTACGTCTACTTAGACGAGGCGAGCCAGACGAAGATACTACATGGGTCTTCAATGAGCTGGAGGACCAGTTGTGCACCGCGTTGGTCGAACTTTTCTCGCGCTATTTTCGGTGGAAGATGGTGGCTCTGAAGAATGCTATCGCAACTAACAACACGACGTTGCTGTCTACCTCTAATCTGACGGGGCTTGCAATGACACGAACTACATTCGTAGATAACCTCGAAGCGGTGATCAGTCTGCGCACCCCATTGGACAGTGTGAGATGCGCTGCCATCGTCAACATCCTGGAGTTGTTCGCCCTGTTCACCACAATACGAAACATGCACCCTGAGAAAGGGGAACTCGATGAAACGATTGCCCGTAATCTGAGGAGTCTCGTCACGGTCGTGCCCTCGGAGATTGTCAAGGAGGTCATGACTACCCACGAGCGTATGGAGAGAAATTTTGCCAAAAGAACAAAACGCAAGATTGAGACAGGCCGTGAGAAGACGAACAGAGCAGGGGCAAGGGCGGATGAAGATGACGAGGATATTGAGAAACCGCCTGAGGACTCGGACGAAGAAGAGGAACCGGAGAGCGACCTCGACGATGAAGACGAGGAGGATGAAGCTGCCGCAGGCCGAGGAGGCAAGAGAGCAAAGAGGCAAGCTGCCTTGCTTGCGGAGCAGGGACTCTGTGAATTGACGAGCAAGATCATATTTGCCATTGTTGGTGGTGCGATCAAGGATGACAGCGTCAAGAGGAGGGTGCTGTTGAATCGCACGAAGCTGGGCAAGAACTATGCCGCTCTTGTCGCGTACTTGGATGACAAGAAGCAACCCAGGGCGAAGGGAAAGAAGGTTGCTGTTCCTGCTGGTCCAAAGACCGCACAGCAGCAACAGAATCAGAAGAAGGCCGCTGTAAGTGCGGAGATGGTGCTCGATGACGATGATATCGAGGATAGTGTGATGGATGAGGAAGAGGAGCAGCATCGGCGTGATCTTGCGGAGGATGACCTTGATGGCCAGGATGCTCGGGACCACGGCGAAGCTCATGATGATGATGTTGATGACGATGACGGTGTCCCTGGAGGTGAGGTCGAGGAGGACGATGTAATGGGTGACTGATCCGATTCTCTATGCCGCGAGTGCTGGCATTGATTGTGTCGGACGAGATCCTTTATTGTCTGGCCTGGATCGTATGTTGATGATGGGACTTTTTGTTTCACAGTATCAGACCCGGTACTGTAGCACTACGTTTACTTGTTCTTGAGGTCGAGAATCTCATGAAGGTACAACCTCTCAATGCATGTGTGGACTCTTTTTCTGATCCATGCAGAGCATTTTTTATTGAAGCTGTCTTTTGTTTTGTGTTATCTTCTTTTCATCTTGCCTCGCCAAAGAAGCCTTTTTTGTTCTCCAGATTTTCCACTTTTCTGCACTACTACCTGAACGTGCTCGGAGACACAGTTCTGGGGTTGCAGTAAATAACATCATCCAAGATACTCTGAGCTATTGTACAGCATGTACGATATCATGCAGAAGACCACTCCCCCGGTTTTGTTCAAATGCAAGCGCCCGTATGTATGCGTAGCTATCTCGAATGTCCAAATGCTGCGTTCATGGGTTCCACCATATCAACCCCCTGCCTGGCGTAGGCCGAACAGGAAAATTGTGAAAGCCAGGCAGGAGGATCAATGACATTGACGCATTGCGTCATGCTGTGTCTTTTCTTTTACTCTGGCTTTGCACGGCTTTTTGGTCTGCCGCCACTCTTGACACGACGAGCTTCTGGGCGTTGAATGTGGTGGGTAGGAATCCACTCCTCGTTGTATGCCTTTGCACCGGTAGACACTGCTGGGCCTTCGTTGTCAGATTGAACCGAGACAACCTCGGCCTTCTTGACTGTCTTCCTGGTGGCTGGCTTGCGCTTCTGCGGGAAGTATGGGGCGACCCAGATGGTGTAGAAGAAATAGCCAACACCGAGAGTACAGGCGAGTAGGAAAATGTACAGGAACAGACTGGAAAGACATGTTTAGTTCTTGATCGATCCCAAAGTGCGCAAAAAGAAAACCCAACGAAGACTCACATTTGTGGATCGAAAATGCTCGCATCTGGCTCAACCACAGAGACAGTGCCATTGAAGGCCTGCAGAGTGTAGAATGTATTGTGCGAGCTCACGACAGCAGCCAGGTTGAGTCGAAGATCCTGCGGGTGCATGTTGGTCTGGAATTTGTACGGGAGACTCTCCTTCTCGCCAGGGCTGATTTCGACAGCATATTGGGCGGTGGTCAGGTTTCGAACGATGCGAGGGTTTGCGACGTCAGGAGTCCACAGACTGCCACCGACGAATTGAATGGTGACTGGGTCTGGCTCCTCGTTCATGAAGGAAAGGATAGCTTCGCTGGGCTTGCCATTGACCAGCTTGATACCAAAAATCTCGGCATCGGGAAAGCTGGCTTCGACGGTCACAGCGAGGGTCGGGCTGGTTGAAGGGTCCTCGATTTCCTCATCGACCTACAACAGAACGTCAGCTGCATGGTTCTTTTCTTTTGTGTGTATGTGTGCGTGCGCGATGCGCTGGCCGGGACGTGGGCTGGGGTATTGGCTCACGCTGTCGGGGGCCTGGGAGAAAACCCCGGCGGCTTGAAAGCCAAAAAGGAGGAGAGCCAGATCCAAGAAGCGAACCATGATGGAGATGCGTGTCCAGAAAGAGAAGATAAAAGGATTGTACGTGGAGCGTGTGAGGTGGAAAAGGACAGACAGTTTGTAGCTAACTGAACTGAAAATGAGGTAACGATATTGGAGAACTGTTCTTTTCCCCCCAGTCAAGCACGCAGAACACGCAGGTGGTGGTGGGCTGCAGTAACATCGGGACACGGACGTGGCTGGGCTCACGGGTGCACTGTGATTACCTGGGTAGCCTGGTGAGCCAGGGCTAGGGCACTAACAGCTGGTGTGAGGCTGGACCAGGCTAGTTAAGGTAGCTAGTAGGCTACTAGTCAGTTGCAGGGTCGTCAGAGCCTTAAGCGACAGAGATTCACAGCCTACAGGGCTCGCTGATCCACTTGCGTTAAGTGCATGACGCCCGTAGACCACTTCTTTCAGAGGCTGCTTTGCCGCTGATACCGCCCGAAAGCTCCCCCGATAGGCATGCCCAGTCAGCCTGCTTAGCACCGATCTGGCGGCCCAACAGCGAATCGTTTTGCGCCCCGACGCGCTATCTGCAGCCAGAGCGAAACGCTACCAAACCTTACGCGTTCCCCAGAATCCCATCGTCTTTTTCTCACAAAAAAAAGTACTTTGTATCTGCGCCATGCGCCACCTGCAGCACACCCGTATTTCCTGCATTGACCTCACCGCCAACATTATTTTAATCCTTTCATTCTCCTTTTCCAAACAACCTCTTGGTGCTCCCTGACCCCTTCAAACACGCTTCGATATCTTCAATGCCCGACATGGCGCGCTACGATCCGTTTTCACCTACGTTCGACCATCCTCTTCTCAATTCCAGCCCGGACTACGGTTCTCGACATGGTTTTCGACCCAGTCGTGCCATCGGGGAGATAGGCTTAGTAGACCCTCAAATGTCTTTTAGGGAGCGAAATAAACGTCTGAGAAGCCTTGACGATGAAAAGAATCAACTAATAGAGGTATACACGCACTCATTTGTGCTTCTCAAATGTCTTCTGGCTGCCGGATCACTAATTCCGCAACGCAGGATCTGTTGTATCAACTCGAAACCACCCAAAACCAGCTCGATCGCCTACAACTGGACCACAGCCGAGAAGTTGCCTATAACAGAGATAACCAAATTCGAGAATCCTCTTTAAATGAACAAATACTTCAAGTGAAGAAGATTATGGTGGGTTTGATACAAGAGAGTGGTGAAGCGACGATTTTTTTTGACCAGTCCTTTAGGATCGGAATCCCTTCATCACCGTTCTGATCGATGGCGATAATATACTATTCACGAAAGAGTTATTGTACAAGGGTGAAAGAGGCGGGAGGGAGGCCGCAAATCTCATTTTTGACATGGTTCACACGTTCGCGACCAACAATCTCCATCACCTCGACTCACCCAAGATTATCGTACGAATCTATGCCGATGTTAGGTCCATGTCTGAGACACTTGTGAGGTGCAAAATTATTGAACGTCCTCTGATGTTTGAGGAATTTGTTCGTGGCCTCAACAGCGCTCATCCGCTCTTTGACTTCATTGATGCAGGAGCGAGACCTAATGCCACCAAAGAAAAGCTCAGCGGACAATTCCAGACAAGCTTGTATGACTGTCACTGTCATCAGGTTATATTAGGATGCTCCAGTGACGGCCACTATGCGTCTTTGCTCGAAGATACGACCAAAGATAGCACGGTACTGGATCACATCACCCTATTGGAGAGCATTCCATTTGAGAAAACCCTTGCCGCAGTGAAAGATCGATTCAAAACCATCAAGTTTGACAACGTATTCCGCACAACAAAGCTTTGCAACTCACAGGCTTTGCCGAAAGGTCCATTGCAAGCGGTCACTGCAACATTGCCAGCACTTTCACGTGTCGAGTCCAATACCACGAATGGGACGGCGTCAAGCTCAAGCACTCCAGCGATGACCTGGGCCAGTCTTACAGCCCAGCCTGCCCCCGCCGCAGCTGTTCCTGCACCGAAGGCAGGCAGCACCCGGACGTCCACGCCGACCTCGTTGAAAAGCCCAGAACCGATCAGCGCCGCAGCGTCTAGTGGAAAAGTCATCGATCGTAATCGTCTAGGCCAGAGAATCGACAAGGTCGACTCCACCATACCGAACTATGAGATCCAGAGAATCAAAAAACTCAAGCTGTGCAATATTTACTATCTTCAAGGCCCGGAGTATTGCACTTCAAACAACTGCTCACATTCTCATACGTATCCTTTGTCTAAAGGAGAGCGCAATGTGTTACGCGAGGTTGCACGAATGACGCCATGCTATTATAAGATGGAGTGCTCCGACCCAGATTGTATTTATGGACACCGGTGCCCGCAAAACGATCCAAACCGACAAGATTGCTGGTATGGCGATAAATGCAGATTTATCGGATTTGGTCATGGGATAGATACCAGAGTGGTCAAGACCACGAAGGTATAGGTTGAATATGAATTGACCAGGCTTGGTCGTACCAAACTTCGTACAGTTGGAGTCTCGTTCGACCCGATTCGCTGCTGCTGTGAAAGAGATCAACACACAAATTCTCTAGGAGAAGTGCTATTTGGGAGTCAGGAGTGTACATTCGTTGGGGTTTTCATGATATCGCAAAGTGCGAAGAAGCGCGCCGGGAGAAGTAATTTCAGAGATACCCATGGACTGAGAGATTTCTCTTTTTTTCCGACCTATCGCGGGATGGATAGGGAACTTGATTATCGAGCAAACAATGAAGTTCACTGCTTCTACGCCTTCATTCGTATACTGTCAAGGGTGCCAGTGTTTCGTTTCACTGCTGGCCGCTGCGTCAGGTGTTCTGTTATCTCTTCTGTCTGTTCCAATCTCTTGATAGAGCGCCAACTATGGCTGGTATTTCCAAGGTCTCACTCCCGAATTCGCCAGGCCAGCATCACGTCATGTCAACTTGCACGCGACTAAATTCCAAGATGCCGGAGGATGTTGACGTTGACTTGGCCCGCCTCTGTAAGATGAACGACATCGAAATGGGTCGGCCAGCGTGGCTTGATATCATCTACAGTCTTATTAGCGGAAGGACAACATCATCATGGTCTATACATCCTGTGGTGCGTACGAGCTTCGAGACTCTCAATGTCCATTCGGGGCTAGCTCTTGCCCGCATCCATAGGTAAGGTCGTCAGGTCTTCACGTCTGAGGTGTGGTGAGGAGAAGAAGACAGCTGGTCGAGGGTGAAATTCGGATCCGGAGGAATTGATGAGAGGTGGACAGAACTCTGGACTCTGCCGGATGGATTGTGAGAAATAAGACAGGTACAATTTGCGAGTGCTACTTGAGAAGTGCCAATCTAAGCCGACACCGTATTCTTTTGTTCTCGATGTCCCCGGGTTATTTACGAAGAGAAGCGAGGCCGCGGAGACCCCGGGGGTTCTACCCCGGACAGGGCCAATTGCGAGTATCGTCAGACCACTCGCAGTGGATCTCTCCCATTTAATGTTGTAGGGGTGATGTTCATAACCGAGGTAATGTACAGCATACTCAGCCAACCCTCTCCCTGCTCTGACCATGGAGCGACTCTACGGGCGATTTGCGGCCCTAGGGTCATCCTGAGGATGAACTCAAAACACTCTACTCTTGCATGACTCGATTGTTCGATTCAATATCATCCCTGATACATGGATCTTTGCACAATTTCGTGAAGAAGCAAACCATAAAATCCCCTTTCCCTGTCTCTGAGTCTCTCTGCCTCTAGTGCTCCACTTGCCGCATCCATTGAGACTGTGTCTACATCCTACGCTGAGCAATATGCCTTACAGCTCGCCTTATCCGCCGCTGGACATCCCCAAGCAAAACATCTTGTCGTATCTGTTTCCTCCTCACAAGCCTCTATCCACAAAACCATTATGGATAGACTCGAGAGATCCGACCATTTCTCTGTCACAGGCGCAAATGCTGTTATGGATCAGACGATTCGCCGTCGGCCTTGACAAGCTCGGCGTCAAGGAACAACAGGCGGTCATGGTCCTTACCCCCAACACGCTATATGTACCAGCTATATATCTCGCGAGTGCCGGTTCCAAACGCTACTTCACAGGTGCCAACCCAATCTACACGGTCAGCGAGGTGGCGCATCAAATGAAGGCCATTGAGGCCGCCGTGGTCCTCATCCACCCTTCACTGCTGGAGACTGGCGTGGCAGCAGCAAGCCAAGCCAACATTCCCAAAGACCGACTGTTCATTTTCTCTGAAACGGAATCATCTCCACAGCACGGCGTCCAGGACTGGCGGTCGATGCTGGCCTCGGAAGCCGAAGCTGAGTCCTGGCAATGGGACGCTCTGGAAGGTGAAGCGTCGGTGAAAACGATAGCGGCGATCAACTTCTCCAGCGGCACTACCGGACTGCCGAAAGGCGTGTGTATCACGCATCACAACCTCATCTCCAACGCGGCACAGTGCATCTTTACCAGGTTCGAAGGGACTCCCTATTCCGCGGACAACCCAGGCCCTGAGCGCTGGCTCGCCTTCCTCCCACTATACCACGCCTACTCGCAGCTCTGGACGATCAACATCGCCTGCAGACTCCAAGTGCCCGTGTACGTCATGGGCAAGTTTGTGTTCGAAGACTTCCTCGCATGCATCCAACGGTACAAGATCACAACGCTGCAGCTGGTGCCGCCTGTGCTAGTGATGCTGAGCAAACGGCCCGAAACCTCCAAGTACGACATCAGCAGCCTGAGAAACATCATGTGCGGCGCCGCTCCGCTCAAGGCCGAACTGCAGAACGAACTCACGCGACGGTTCGGTGTGGTGATTGTCCAGGGATGGGGCATGACAGAGACGACGTGTGCCGGCATCATGATGCCGGGAATGACACAGGACTCCACGGGGAGTATAGGTCACCTCCTCCCCAACACGGAGGCGAAACTGGCTGACGACGACGGGAATGAGGTTGTCAAGGAGGGCGAGCCGGGCGAGCTGTGGCTCAGGGGTCCCCAGATGCTCCTGGGCTATTGGAGGAACGAGCAGGCGACGAAGGAGAGCAAGACGGAAGACGGATGGTTCAAGACAGGCGACGTCGCAGTGTGCAGAGAAGGAGGGAAGTGGTGGATCGTGGACCGCAAGAAGGAACTCATCAAGGTCAATGGACTCCAGGTCGCCCCGGCCGAATTGGAGGCCGTGCTGTTGGAGCACCCTGACATCGCCGACGCCGCCGCCGTCGGCATCACGGTCCACGACGAGGAACTGCCCAGGGCATACGTCGTTCTTCAGGAACGCGCCAAGGGGAAAGTCACGGAGGACGATATCAAGAAGTTCGTCGCGAACAAAGTGGCCAAACATAAGAGGTTGGAAGGCGGTGTCAAGTTTATTGACGAGGTGCCCAAGCTCGCGAGTGGAAAGATTGTGAGAAAGTTGATGAAGGAATGGGCTAAACGTGATGCGAAGGAGGTAGAAGGTCAAGTTAAAGCTCGGTTGTAGGGGGAGAGAGAGATATATATATAGGTGTATATAGGAATACATAGATACATATAAACCTTACTCTCCGGGAATTTTGTCTGGTTTAGTTTTTTTGATATTGTCTCGTACAAGTTCGCAATGTGTTTTCATCATACATAGAGGACCTACAAATCCCTCGGTCATTCATTTCTTTGGATATGCAGTAAAAAATCATGATACCCTGGATAGATACGCACACTACACGCCGCTGACAGGCTTGGGCTAGTGAGGCATCATATCACACCAACCCCTTTGCCATCCTCCACATGACCCAAGGGCACTCCCGCACCGCCATGGGCTTCCACTCATTGATGGGTTTACTCGTGTCCACGAGCACCAACTTTGCGCCCATGGCCAGCGTCCCCCCACAGCAGTCGAACAGACTGCCCAGCTCGAAGCCCAGCTGCAACTCGATCAAGCCGAGTTTCTTCTGGACGTCGTCCTTGGGCACGTCGCCGTAGAACAGGCTGAGATGGGGCAGGTACTCGTGCTCCGCCCACTTCTGGGCCTCGCCCTCCGACACCGCGAGGGCCTGCCGCCGACACGCGGCCGCCAGCTTGACGAGGTTGCCGTCCTTGCGGGCGCGGATGGTGACCTTTTTGAAAAACGCCTCGCCGGCCTCGAGCTGCTCGAGCTCGATCGTCACCTCGTCGGTTTCGCGCTTGAAGTCCGGGAGCGCGAGGCTGTCCAGCCATTCCTGCGGCGACGAGCCGTACGTCTTGGCCGGGTCGACGTCCGACGTTATCGTCACGTGCGGGACGAAGTTGTTCTTGGGTGCGTGCGGGAAGTCCGAGGGGAGTGTGCTCGAGATGAGATCTTTGAGGGACCTGTTGAAGGCGTGCTCGTCGCTGGGCGCGATGAGCCAGAGAGAGGAGTGCATCTTTTCGACGGACAACACACAGTAGGTATGTACTCGTCTTGTCGTGCGATTTTACACGTTTGCATCACCTGTAATCGAGTCGAGTCCAGTACAACGGAAACTATCGTCGACGTCCTCCGTTGTCTCCCAAGTTACCGCTACGGGACGAAGGCGAAGTCGAAGTGAGGAAGAAGTGATCAAGTGCGAGCGCGGAGCGAGTGAGACTGACGAGACCACATCAACCAGGTCGCCACATTTATTCAACTTATACCCCTCGGACAGGTGATGGAATAATGTACGAGTACCGAAAATTGAAATGCAACGATTAATAAACTTTCCTTGACGATCATGATGAGGAGCAACTCCTCTAATTCGGTGTTTGTTCTATCGGTCCAAGGGAATCCATACGTAATGCCCTTCAGGAAACTTTCTCCCATTCTATGGGGTAAACAACGCTAATGGGTGCTTCGAGTGTACCGTGCAAAGCACAACACCGTGTCCGACAAGGAGTAATCATGGTAAAAGCATGTACGAAGTCCCCTCTATCTTTGTACACCTTGCCCTTCTCACGGTATATGACGACCTGACCTGTTCAGGACCTCAAGGTATTCAACCATGCCCGTTCACCCCATTTACAGGCAATGGATTTCGAGACTCCAGCTCTCGCAACTCGTCCCTGACAGCCCGATAGTCTTCTTGAGCCTCGCGTTCCCTTCGGCTTACCAAAGTCACATCGTCCCTTAGTCTCTCGAGCTGCACCGCGAGTCCTGCATCTTCGCCAATCTGCAAGGCTCTGAAAGCCTCTAGTTGACCTTGTTGCTCCTCAATCCGTAAATATACGTCTGTGATTTTTTGCCTCAATGCCTTTTGCCGAGCTTGGTAACCGCCCAGATGCAGCCCAAGCTTCTTCTCCAGCTTGTTTCCACCTTCAGCCGCAGCAAGCAGATTCTTGGTAGCCACTTTGAAGGCAGCTTGGTACTCTTCAGGTGTGGTGTTTTCTGTGAACCTTAGAGGGAGACTGTCACGCTCACTGCCGCCAGAGTAGAGAGTCTCAACAGCAGATATGTATAGATCCTGCTCGGATTCGTCACAAGCCTCTGCCCACTCTTGTCGGGCTTGCGTAAGCGCATCATCCGAAATCGTTGTCAGTCTGGGAGGCTTGCCAGTCACCTTCGAGCCAGGAAGTGGGTGTTTCAACGCATCTTGCGCCATCAAAAGGGCAGCTTCTTCAGCAATCATCGCTTGGATGGGGTCAGTAATCGACAAGGCTTCTGAAGCAAGGGAGTTGTAGTCAACCACCCTCGGCCGCGGAAGCGATCTCTGATAAACTTGTGTCTCACGTTTGAACTCAGCAGCTGCGGCAGCTTCTCGAGCTTCCCTCTCGCGTCGATCTACCTCGGCTTGATCTTCGCGCTCGGTCTTGGCCTGAGCTGCTGCCTCCTCCTGTTCTGATGGCAATACCTCAAGCTCCCAGTCCGTTTCCTTGGGTTTGGGCAGCGAAGCAAGTTTAACGCGCAGAGAATGCTTTGCGGCATTCTCAGCTAGCCGAAGATCGCGTGGCGTTTGGCTCACTAGTTGTCGTTCTCCTTTCTCATTGATGGTGAAATTGTCTCGGGAAGTGCGTAGGGGTGTGGCGCCAGGTATTTGACCCCCTGGTCCTCCTTGACGAAAAGGGGTTGCCATTGGATTTGGCGTCACAATCTCATGCCTTCGTGGAGCGATGCCATCGAATCCTGTAGATCCAGTTCCTTCAATTAAGGGTGTATTTTCGCCACCTAGTAAAGACGACTGTGTTTCGGTCATCGCCCGGATGTTTCTGATTTCATTCGCGATATGATCTTCTTGTGCCGGTGCTCGGGGAGTTCGAATGGGAGTAGCACCGACCATGTTCGTATAATTGGACACCAGGCTACGATCGTCATCAGCATCCTCTCCAGCGGCCTTTATCGCTCGGTCTCCTGCCATGCCCATTTTGATAATCTCTTCCAACTCGCCCTCGCTGACCTGGGGAGCCGGAAGATTCAGTGCTCTGCGCTTACTTCGCTGCTCGGCCTCGCGAATCCGTTGCATCTGGCCAGCTTTGGCAGCAGCAGCCATGGCTGCCGAGGATGAATTGTCCTTTCCTTGCTTCTGTCGTTTAGGGTCAAGATTTTCTTCAGGATCTCCTTGTCTCTTTCTCGCGAGTTGTTGTTTCCTAGGATCAAACATTTCTCGTTCTCTCTCATTCTTAACTTCTTCTTCCTGGGTGTCATAGAAACCAGGCGCAGCCTGTTTCTCAAACGGTATGTCTGCATTATAGTCCATTTCACCCTTCTTGCGGGTTGTGATCTTAATATTGATTCCTGCATTTTTCAGCTCACGTCGCTTCTGCAGCACAGCCAACCGCCTTGACTCCTCCAATTGTCTTTCCCGAGCCTTTCGTTTTGCCTTCTTTCCCTGTGTGTTCGCTAGACGTGCTCTTGCTTCGCTAAGCATCTCCTTCTCGTCCTCGTCGAGATCGATAGTATCGGGCCGCGCAGGCTTGGATTCAGGGTCTGGATCAAGTTCGCCAGGCCGTAATCTTCTGACCTGATCCCCAGTAGGTGCAGATGTTTCGCCACCCTCTGGACCCCCCAGGCCGAGCTCATCGTTCTCTCGAGCTTCAGCTTCGTCCAAAAGTCTCTGGTAGCGTTCAAGGCATTGAGTGGCAGTTCGGCCAACGATAGGTGCAATCGTCCGCCACTGTGTTGGCATCACCTTTGCCAGGTGTAGCAACTTCTCGTCCTCTTCCTTGGACCACTCGATCTTGCGAATGCCAGGATCTAGCCATTCTGTCCATCTCGCCTTGCATTGCTTCGGTGTCTTCCGTGCTAATAGAGACGATACTCGCGCCCACTGATTCAGGCCATATTTCGACACCGAGGCTTTGAGGATCTCATCCTCTATGTTGGTCCAGACACCTCCCTTGACTACAGGCATGTTGACGGTGCCAAAGGAGTCTGATATGGGTTTAAGAGAATGTGGTTGTAGGAAGTCGCAAGTCCGAAGCACAAGCCGATCATAAAATCTTCGAATATTGAAGAGTTACACGTCAGACACAATGAATGCTTGGATAATAGTCAAGTCAGAGCGCGCAGGACGAGTTTTATTTTTTGGTCTGACAGCTCAGCCTGCGAATTGGAGTCCTGATCACGTGGAAAGAGCGTCAAGACATGCCGCTTTTAATGACTCTCTATATCTGCAGATTACGACTACGATCCCAATGATGCTTGAACGATTCTAGACGAGCGTTGCTTCATACTTTCCCTGTGTAGCACTTTATGGGAATCTGGGAGTGGCAGCATGTAGGGAGACTCCTGGTATCCAGCTCAATGGAACTTTTCCCTGTTTCACCATCAACATATCAAAGGCTAATGAGGGATGAGAGAACATTCATTCCGCCAGCTCTTCCACCACAGCGGCTCTCGAGATGCTGGCCGTAACAACAAGTTACACAGATGGACTGCGGCTGAATTCCTTGACGACTTGTTGGTATATCTGCCTGATCATGGTCTTGTCATCTGTAAGCCATGCGGGTTTGCCGTACAACCGAACGCCCTATCCAGCCACCTTCTTCGGCATCAGATCTACAGAGACAGGCGTCAGAAGATACTTGATCAAGTAGCAGAACTCGTCCTTCTACAGCCAGCTCAAGTGCCGCTTCCAACGGACATTCCGGAGGCTTTCCCTCACCTTCCTGTGGCCTCGGGTTATCGCTGCAACCTTCCAGGTTGCGATCACTTGTGCATATCTGAGAAGCGCATGAGCCAACACCTGCGAGACCATCACAAGTACATTGGTGTCACAAATATTGATAACAGTTCGCAGCTAGTATACTTACAAACTTTCTTTAGGGGGAACAAACTTCGATATTTCCAAGTCAAACTACATATGAACGAGGACATCTCGAACAATTCCTTGTCCGGGCCTCTTCAGCGACAGTCCGTCAACCTATTTTCGGAATCTAACTACCACGTTTCGCCGTCACTACCATTGGCAGAACCTGAAAGTCTGACCACTAACGAAGCTCCTGGATCGTCTCTTCCAATGAGTCATCTGATGTATCTACACCACTATACTACAGTCACTGCACTCTCAATGACGCGAGGAGCAGAGCCGGGCACCTTCTGGACACACGATCTCCCACTATATGCTTCCACGAAGCCGTTTCTAATGCATGGAATCCTGGGAGTGGCGGCCTTCCATCGCGCAGTTATGACAATCGACCCGGACGAACGACGGAGACATCAATCTGCAGGCTTGTCACATCAGGCAGCTGGCCTATCCGAGTTTCGGAGCCTCATTGACCACCCGACACGAGAAAATAGTACGGCACTTACGGCCTTTGCTCGACTGCTAGGGGTTCAGACTTGTGCGCAGACCCTACTCGAAGCTGAGAGAAATCCACCACGGATGGGTGACCTTAACACATCTGAGATTTCTGAGGTCTTTGAGTTTCTCCTACTCATACGTGGTGGCATTGAGATTCTGCTAAATATGCAAGATCTGCTACCTCTAGATTCAGGACTTATCTTGCCCACAGAAGTTTTGAAGTCACTCCAAGGTCTCGAGTTCACAGCCGAATCTCTCACTGGCCCAGCCTATCGCCTCGCCAACCAGCTCTGTGCTCGACTTGTGCAGACCATGGGCTGCCCGCCATTTAAGTTTCGATTACCTTCCTTGAAAGGGGTGCAGCAACTTATGGACCTGTGTGTTTCTGCAACGGACGGTGCACTACCAATGACCGCCCCCAGGGTCTCTAGTATCGCTCCGGAGCTGGTTTCTGCTGTAGATGATGCTCAGCTTATAAGCAAGACGCTTACGGAGCTTCTTCTGCCCGCAGAGTATACTCATCAATCAACAGAGAAGGACTACTGTACAACACCTTGTCCTCCCCTTCCATGCTACCCTCATATCCCCGCAGCCATCTACGCAATGCTTGCAACACTCCCTTCAAGGCTCACGGCCATAATGCCCTATCCTCATCCTCCCGATCTTCGGGCATTTAACCATGCAATGGCAGCTTTGACAACAAGCTTCTCCCGGAGCTATGCTGTTGATGCAACATGGGCTCGTTGGAACGGACTTGAAAGTTGGACACGCATGCTCCCAACCCATTTCTTTACCATGATAAAAGCCAGGAATCCGTTAGCACTGGTGTTGGTCGCTCATTGGTGTGCACTATTATCAGTGCAGGAACAATACTACTGGTTTCTCCGGGAACACCCACGGCGCATGATGCTCATTATCATTACACACCTATCCGAGGATCTGCAGAAACTGTTCGATGTTGACCGTCTACTATGGCTTGTGAACGACTCATCCCATTCAGAGACTATGCCGTGCCGAGGATATGAAACCTCAGAATTGTAAGCAACACATCATACTATGGTACTTATAATTCTCTCATTAGCCCTGGAAACTAATCCAGTGCCCTTAAATGCACTCTTGTGGGGCTCAGCGATTGGCAACTGCGGACTTAGAGGTTCTCCCTGCATGGTGGGCTTCAGAAGTGCTCGATTTCAGTCACTTTCTCTGACAGAAGCAGTTGTGGTGGGGTTAAGACTCTGCATGGCATGTTTATATTGATTTCAGGCTGCGGTTCTCGCGATTGTGCTTGAGATCTGCAGTTCCCACGAGTCTAACGTCGCCCAAGAGGTCCGAGATCGCATGGATGTCCCACCAAAATCAGACATTTAGGTGATAGGATGCCTCCCCTAGCAGGCACATCGACGGCCCATCATCTACACACTTTGGTTGTCTGCCTAGTATCACCTCATACGAGAACCGACCTTGCTCTGCGTCTTGGATGAAAGTTATTGAAAAGATGGACAGGACTCGGACCGTGGTCATTGATGTCCATCATCACTCATTCCCACCAGCCTACGCCGAATTTCTTTCCACCACAACTCGAAGACCAGCGGGGTGGGTCACACACCCCTGGAAGCCACAGTCGACTTGTGACTTTTGTACCCACAAAGGCATTGATGTCGCCATATTGTCATGCATTCCAGGTGGACCCCATATTGACACTGATCTGAGAAGGGCAGAAGCATTTACCAAGAGTTGTAATGACTATAATGCAGAAGTGACGCAGAACTCAAACAATACAATGGGATTTTTGGCCCACATCACCAATCTGTGTGAAATCGACCTAACACTCAAGGAACTTGATTATGCGTTCGATGTCCTGGGAGCAGCCGGAGTCGCATTAGGAACAAGCTACCACAAGTCTGGGACAGTCTACTACCTTGGAGACGCGCTGTTCACCCCAATCTGGGATGCCTTAAGTACGAGAAAAGCCGTCGTTTTGGTGCATCCAGTGCCTTCGCCTGGCATGGGTACTATCAACGAAAACCTTCCCCAACCGGCGTACGACTTTCCCCATGAAACCGGACGAGCAGCGATAGACCTCATCAGCAATAGCAGTAACATGATGCGGGACCACGCCATGGATTGCAAAATTATCCTAAGCCATGCAGGTGGCGATTTGCCCTTCCTAATTGACCGAGTTGCAGGCTTGATGTGTCACGGTCCTCAAGTTCTCAGACTTGGAAAGTCTTCGGATGATATCCTGGCAGAAGCACGTCGGTTTTACTATGATGCTGCTCTGAGCAGCAGTCCGATGCAAATGTCCGCTTTGCTATCTTTGTTAGGTCATGATTACCAAGACCATATCCTGCTCGGCACAGACTATCCTCCTGCAGGGATGGAGGCGATCGAGTATTTCTCAAGACAATTATGTGACAGTCAAGTGGTGGACGTCACTCGTGTCAGACACAATGCTTTGGCGCTGTTACCTCAGTTCGGGAAGAAATAGCATTCGCAAGCCGACTAGACTTCAAGACGGGCCAGCTTGCTCTCAAGACTGCGGTCCGCACCACGTATAGCCCCAGAAGTGGAGTTTCTGGGCACAAAAACCTGAGGTGTGACCTGATGTGTCCATGTTTTGCATAACTTCGCAGCATGCAGTGCAATGAGTTGGTTGATCTCAGGGTCTGGTGAGGCGTCTTCAAGAGCCAATTTACGTAGCCCTACATCCCCGATACCTACAGTATCTAGCAGCGACGGCTTACAACCTGACTAGGCGCCGAAGCGGTATGGCCCCCGGAACGGCATATAGCGTTCTTAACAAACGGGGCCTAGCGTCATGTAGGTATGAAGTGATACTCAACCCAGAACGAGTTCATTCATCTGTCTTGTTACGCCCACAATGGGACGTTGAAAGACAGGGTGACGTCCCACAAATGATCCTGTCGTGGACGTGGGACAGAGCCATATTACAGTCTTGTTCGGTGAAGCTGACTTCGACGCAGATAAACGGGAAGAACCTATGTGACTACCTAGGAAGCGCTAGCTGCACATGGCCCTATAAATTCGGGCCGTAGAGGCCATGATTTGGTATTTGAGTGATACTGATGTATGAGATGTCCACTTGCTTGAATCGTTTGATGCAACCTTGCTCTCATGGGTGACGTGAAAGAATCCCCAGCCGTCGTCGACGGTGTCCACAGGCTACCCAGGAATGGAATCAAAGTTATAGTTATTGGGGCCGGTGTTGGGGGTTTACAGGCAGCGCTCGAGTGCTGGCGTAAAGGCTGCGATGTTGTCGTTCTGGAGAAAGCTGAAAGCCTGTCACCCCTGGGTAAGCAAAATCCAACACGAAATTCGTGGTGTCGACTAATCGACCTCACACTTTCTTCCAGGAGACTACTTTACAATCACTCCGTCAGCTTTGACGACTCTCAAGGACTATCCCAGTATGCATGCTGACTATCACAAATGCGTCTACGACTGCTCAATCCATGTATACACGCCATCTGGATTATCCATTCACTCCGCGATGCCGGAGTGGAAACAACCGGGCGCTGTTCATTCCGCACCGGATGTCGACATTTCATTCCTGAAGAGGCGACCAGTCTACGCCCAGATGCAGCTGGACCAACTGAACAGACTCGACATCCCGGTACATTGGGGCGAAGCTGTGACTGCTGTGCGCGAGGAGGACGATCTTGTGATCGTAGTTACGTCTTTGGGCAACCAATTTGTTGGCGACGTGTGCATTGGGGCCAATGGCATTGGGTCTAAAATCCCCGGATTTGATACTGGACCTGAGACCAAGGTTCAGGACAGCGGCTATGCGGCAGCCCGGGTAGCGTTTCCTCGTTCAACGATCGAAGCCGGCTCCCTGGCATCCACGCTGTTTAAGAACATTGATGTTCAGCCGGAGTTCCGAACATATGTTGGACATGACATCCACCTGATCCTCTTCCTAACTCGAGATTGGGTGGCATTCACATTTACACATCCGGTGAGAACCAGTGTCATATTTGTCTTGATTTGTCGGGGGAACTAACCGTCATACTTGCCAGGACTATGATAGCGCGCAGGAATCGTGGTCGAACCTCAAGCGGCCGTCAGAACTCATACCGTACCTCGAAAAGGCAAGCGACGAATGGGATCCGGCCGTGCTCGATTTTGTACGATCGTCGCCGACTGGGGTTGTTGACTGGAAACTGAGATGGCGCGACGGCACTGAACAGTGGACATCAGATGGTGGACGCCTCGTTCGCCTTGGTGATGCCGCGCACGCCTTCTTTCCCACATCAGGGAACGGTGCAGTCCAGGCATTAGAAGACACCGTATCCTTGGCCGAGTGTCTTCGTATCGCAGGGAAGAAGAACGTTCCATTTGCAACGAAAGTGCATAACAAGTTGAGGTATGTCCACCAGCGGGCTCTTCTCGCTCATATGCGGACATATTCTGACATTAGGAACGCTAGATTCGAACGTGTAAGCATCCTCCAGCAAACAGGATTCTTGAACAGAGAAGAACTTCACAACGCAGATATAGCAGCTATCAAAGCCGACCGTAGAAAAGCGGATATCGGTTTCTTCAGGATTGGCCGCTGGGTTTGGAATCACGACCCGGAGAAGTATGCGCGAGACAATTATGCTGCTTGTCTGGCTCACTTGACCGAGGGCAAGCCTTTCAGAAACACGAACATACCGCTGGGACATGTCTATCAGCCATGGAGTCTAGACTCGGAGAACAAACGTATGCAGGCTGGGATCAAGTCGAACTTGAAAAAGAATGGAGATTGGAGTGCTTGACTATGCTGGAAAGCAGGACGTTGCAGCATCTGTTTGTGGCAAAGTGTAATCCTGTCGTCAATCTTCGAGGGTCGGATAAAAAGGGTCCATTCTCACCGTAGTACCCAAGATGCCTTGCAACAATCCTGTACTTGTAGCTGATGGGAAGGACTTGTAGTGGTCCTGTCTTGAGCACAGTGTAGCTGCAGTTAGAGCGGCACCACATTCACTCTTAAATGGGGCGAGGCCCACTTAGAAGCCCAAGCAGATTTCGGTGTCTCTAGTTCTTGCGGAGAAATCACAGTTATGGGTGCGGCAACTAATTTTTTTTTGAAGATTGGCTGATAAGGTGTAAACTAACCGGGCGAAATTGAAGAGTATTATCAGAACCCAACGATCACAGAATGCCTTCCGAAATAGGTGCACCCCAACAGCACCGGCAGTCCTCAAGAAAGGGCAAGAAAGCCTGGCGCAAAAATGTCGACATCACCGAAGTACAAACAGGCCTCGAGACTCTGCGGGAAGAAATCCTTCAGGGTGGGCCGATTGCAGAAAAGGCATCAGAGGAGCTATTTGCACTGGATACCAAGGGCTCAGAAGATATAAAGAAAAAATACAAACTACAAAAGCCTCTAAAGGTTGATGAGATCTTGTCAAGGCGTTCCGCGGTACCTGCGCTCGACAGTCGCAAGAGACCACACTCAGCGGTTGGAGACGGCGTCATCACCTCAAGCAAGCGTCAGAAGCCGGACTGGGTGAGCAAAAAAGAGATTCAGCGGCTGAGGAATAATCTTGATAAGACTACCTTCTTGGATAACCAGAATATTGAGGCTGAGAATGCCGACTTCGACCCCTGGGCTGTGGAGTCTGTCCCTCTGTCAAGCAAGGACGATTCCGAAGAATACTTACCAAAGCCCAAGCCGAAGGTTGCGCCTGCAACCATTCGAAGAGCGCCAATTGCCATGACGGCTAGCGGCAGACCTGTACGAGCAGTTCAACAACCGGAGGGAGGGGCAAGTTACAATCCAGCCTTCGAAGATTGGGACGAACTTCTGAATAAGGAGGGCGAGCGAGAACTACAAGCCGAGAAGGCACGGCTCCTAGAGGCTCAGATCGCCGCAGAAAAGGAACAGAGAATACAGCAACTTGCCTCGGCTCCTGACCCCAACCCGGCAGATGAGGAGAGTGCATGGGAAGGATTCGAGACGGAGAATGACGATCCAGAACTTCTCAACAAGAAGCGTCCTCAACGGAAGACCCCAGCACAGCGAAACAAGATCAAAAGAAGGAAAGAAGCGGAGAGATTAGCAAGGCACGAAAAGCGTATGGGAGATAAGCAGAAGCAAGCAGAGCAGATCATAAATTCTTTGATCCTGCAGCAAGAACGCGAGAACGACTTGGCCAGCAAAGGAGAACCATCTGAACCCGTGGGAACTGATGACCGGGCTTTGAGACGGAGGAAGTTGGGGACTGCCCCTATTCTCCAAAAGCCACTTGAGGTCGTGTTACCCGACGAGCTTCAAGATTCCTTGCGAAGACTGAAGCCCGAAGGCAATCTTCTGAATGATCGCTTCAGAAATCTCCTCGTCAACGGAAAGCTGGAGAGTCGCAAGCCGATATTGCAACCTAAGAAGGCAAAGAAAAAGATCACCGAAAAGTGGTCGTACAAGGACTTTAGTGTAAAGGTGTGATCCCTCGAAGGGCAGTCATATTGGGCGGGAATGCTATGTGTGAGCTACTCTCACCATGCAAACCCGATACGAAGATACGGAACTCGACCCGTCCGAGGGATCTGGATCGCTTAGGTAATCCATATCTACGTACACGTGACAAATCTCTGAAGTCATTATTGGGTGGCTCGAGCTTGCCAATCCCCGTCTCCAACTTGCGATAGCATTAGCAGGACCGCTGTCATTTAGTTCTTGTGCCTTGCTCCATATCAACGCAGCTCAATGCGCCAGCAGATGGGACTGTGATCAGCGTTCAGTCTATGCTTCGTCTCTATTACGCAGTTCTTCTTGTATAGCGTTCTTTTGATATGTCTCTGTTCGGTTCATCTCCTACGGAAACGGCTCCCCTGAACTCCAAGTCGCTCTTCGGCGACGAGCCCGCGCAGCCGACCCTCGCATCCTCCTTGTTCGCGGATGATGGGGGTGAATCACCATGGTCCATGCCAACTCCTAAAAGGAACGCACGGCAGAACCTTGTGAAAAACCTACTCCCTGCCACCGATGTCCCCGATACCTATGTCGACGCCTACGACCTTGTACTGCACGCAAGCGAAAGGACTGGCGTTGGTATAAGCTTGACTGCGCTTAGAAGTATCGTAGAAAGCAGCAATCTGAGCGAGCAGGAGCAACACAAGATCCTTAATTTTGTTGTCCCAGGTGGGCAGGAAAGCGCAAACGGGGTGGGCAGGAGTGAGTTCAACGTCCTGCTGGCCTTGATCGGATTGGGCCAGGAGGGCGAAGATATCACCCTCGATGGCGTCGATGAGCGGAGGCGAAGTGAGTGATGTTTTGTGACAGGCCTGATACTGGCTAATATCTACCAGAACTGCCAGCGCCCAAGGTGGGCTACATAGAGCAACTTCGAGAGGCTGGTCGTCCGCAGCCCAGTCCTCCCACGGCCTCGAAGCCAACCCCTGTAAGACAGCAGAAGCCACGACAAGAATCCTTCGGCAACGACCCTACCGCAGACCCTTGGGCGAGTCCCTCAAACAAGAGAGTACCGCCTGCTTCTACCGCTGCTCATACCATGGCTTCCAATGGCGTGCCGGACATTGTTAAAAGCGCCTCACCTCCCATTGAAAGGACGACAAGTGCATTCACCACACGGGGGGAACAGGCTGATAGCAATGGCGGCTCTCCGAATGATAGCGCACCCCCCAGTGCCGGCGCAGGCTGGAACAGTTTCAATGGCAGTTCGGCAGGCTTCTCCGTGCAGCCGACTCTGGGTGGAGGTTTTGGAGATGAAGGAGATGACCAGTCCAATGGATCTGGCCATCGGCGCCAGCCTTCTGCGTCTCAGAATGTTACGCTCCCTCCGGGCACGGGAGAGAGCGTCACAATAACCATGCTCCCTGAGAAAGAGGGAATGTTTCTCTTTCAGCATCGCAACTATGAGGTTACCACCAAACGGAGACGAAGTACAGTTGTCAGACGCTACAGCGATTTCGTTTGGCTGCTCGATTGCCTGCAGAAGAGATATCCTTTCCGTCGGCTGCCATTGCTGCCGCCGAAACGAGTTCAAGGTGAGATTTCCCACACGACAACAATTCCCAAGCTGATCCAACTTACAGTGAATGGTACACATCTTTCAGCTGATGCAGCTGTTTTCTTAGAGAAACGCAGAAGAGGCTTGGTTCGATTCACAAATGCGCTTGTCGAACACCCCATCTTGAGCCAGGAGACGCTCGTGGTCATGTTTCTGACCGTCCCTACTGTGAGTCTCTTATGATGGGATGTCCTTTAAATGGACTGACGACTGACACCGGGAGCAGGAACTCGCAGTCTGGAGGAAGCAAGCAACGATATCTGTGCAAGAAGAATTCACGGGCAAGGCTCTTCCTCCGACACTTGAAGACAGCCTGCCGGACACTCTCCCTCAATTATTCGAAGAGGTCCGCACTGGCGTTAAACGCTCGGCGGAAATCTACATCAACATATGTATTTTACTGGAACGGATGGTGAAACGCAACGAAGGGCTTGCTGCTGAGAATGCGAAGTTCAGTACAGCACTTTCGCATCTTCCGGAAGCCACGGCTTCCACTTATACTATCGACACCAACGACGTACCACTTTTGAACGAAGGAATTAGTTCGACTTCAAAACACCTCTCGACACATTCGACGCTACTTGACGATGAGGCGAAAGCGTGGGATACAGGAGTTCTTGAAGACATGAAAGCAATCAGAGACAGTTACGTCTCAATGCGCGACATGTTTGACCGACGAGATAGATATGCCCGAGACAATATCCCGCAACTCGAAAGGCGCATTGAAGCGTCCGAGCACAAATTACAGCAACTGCGACAGAAACCCCCGGGCCAAGTCAAACCTGGCGAGATGGAGAAAGTCGAGAGTAGCATCATGTCGGACAAGGAAAGCATTGTGCAACAACATGCCCGGGGGGTATTCATCAAGGAATGTGTCAGGGATGAAATTGTCACCTTCCAAACCTCGATATATGCCATCAGCCGTCTGCACCAAGACTGGAGTCAGGAGCGGGTCAAGTATGCAGAATTGCAGGCGAGTAACTGGAGGAGTTTGGTTGATCAACTTGAAAGTATGCCCTTACAAGAATGATTTTCATTGTTCGCAAGCGCTTTGTACTTAGTTGGTTGTGGAGGTGAAGTTCCGTATTGCTACTGGAAGATATCACACTAATAAGACCAGCACTTATTGGCGAATGGTGCAAACAATACATAATATGAATTTTTTTCGCCTAGGAAGAACTTTGAGCAGCCCAAGGTTTGGATCGATCTGCTCGCGCTTCACGCCGTTTGGAAAAATTGGTGATGCCACCCTTGCGATCTATTTGTCCGTTGGCTGGATCCCTTAGGTACATATGTATAGGTAAGTTAGATCGGCTCTGCAGGGTAAAAATGCCCGACACCTGCTAGAGTCGCCATGAAGGTCTCTACAGTACGTTATAGACTTTTTGCCAAGAATCTCATTCTCCATCCGTCTGTATTTCTTTTACAGAGAAGAAAGGCCGTGGGCGCGGTACATTCCTTTTCTCGCTCGATGGTCCGGCCGAGTCATCGTTATTTCATGCCGTGTATCTACTTACGCTACCGATCTACGCCTCATCGAGCACGGTGAGACGGCCGTATCCGTCCTCGACGACGTCGGTGTCGACGATGAACACGGCGGTGAAGGTGGCGGGGTTCTCTCGGCTGTTGTTCTCCGCGACCGTGTGGTGGCAGCCGGGCAGCTCCATGAAGCTCTGCCCGACCTCGTAGACGACGGGCGGGTTGCCGTTCATGCCGCTCAGGAACTGGCCGTCCGTCACCGTCGCCACGACGGTCGCGCCGCCGTGTCGGTGGGGAGGCGTGAACCCCCCGGGCGGCAGGTGGACTTGGAGCCCGACGATGGACTTCCCCGGCGCGTTCTCGAGCCGGTAGTCGTACAGCACCTTGACAACTTCTCGGGGCCGGTTCCTGATTCAAAAGAAAACCCCTCCCCCAAAAGAAAGGGGGAAAGGAGAAAGGGGTCAGCGCCGGCTCATGTCTCCCCTCCTTTCAACCATCGTCCCCGGTTTGACCGACTAACTCACTTTGTTTGTTTGGATGACTGTGGAGGGTCCATTGTCGTTTCAGGGTGTGTGTGGGTGGGTGTGTGTGTATACGGAATTGTCGTCGCAGGGTTTGAAAAAGAAAAAAAAGGGGGGGGCGTATAGTCGGATATATGGTCTTTACCGGTCTTCTTTCTGGATAGACGTACCTGAGATACTTGACTGTTGATGGCGCACGCAAAGTCCTCCAAGCACACACCGGAGAGCACAGGAGGTATTTATAATAAATGTTTTTGGTTGGAAGAACAAGCCGAAGTCCCGTAAGACTCCGCCGCCCGACAAAACACATCACAACAACACACGCATTGCCGGGCTAAGAATGCAGAAAAGAATAACGTGAAATGCGAAACAGGTCACCGGTCGGGAATCCAAAAGGGGCGGCTTGGGTCTCGGGGTAGTCGGGTACTCGAGTATATCCCACCCAACGGAAGTGTTGTCCCGAATCGCGAATAGCCTAACGGTGGGTGGGTCTTTGTGTGAGTAGGAGACAGTGTGTGGTCACGGCCCAGAACGAAGTCCCGATTGAATTGCGAGACCAAGCGGTATATAAAGACTGCGAATCACATACAACACGGCATCTCTCACCCCTCAAAGTTCAATGTTTGCACGACTAGTCGTCAGATTTGCGCGAAGTAAAACACACAAGGGTAACCCAAGACACATCATATACTCCAAGATTCACAATTTCAGGAACATGAGAGCCGTTCAGATATTGGGAGACGCTTCGTCCCCTAGAATCACGACAAACAGTTCCGTGGCCACTCCGGTCCCCAAGGGCGCCGAAATTCTGGTTCGAGTTCTCGCCGCTGGAGTCACCGGTGACGAGGTCACATGGTTCGAAGATTACTCGGCGCCTCGAATTCCTGGACATGAGGTCTCGGGCATCATTGAAGCTCTGGGTCCCGAGTACGGCGGTCCTTTTGAGGTTGGCCAGGAAGTTGTCGCCCTCCTCACAGCGGCAAGTCATGGCCAAGGTCAAGCGGATTACACTGTGAGCTTTGCCGAAGAACTCTCCCTCAAGCCTCCCGCGATTACACACGCCGAAGCCGCCGCACTACCCATCCCGCTTCTCACGGCCTGGCAGGCGATTGTGGATCACGGGAAACTTGCGGCTGGCATGACGGTCCTCGTCACAGGAGCGTCCGGCGCGGTCGGGACGTTGGCGGTGCAGCTGGCGCAGAAACTGGGAGTAGTTGGCGGCGCCAACGCCGGCCCCAAGGTGATTGCTCTGGCTTCATCCAGGAATCACGACCGTCTAAAACAACAGTTTGGAGTACACGAGGTGCACGACTACGACACTCCCGGCTGGGAAGGCAACATCAAGGATGTGGACCTGGTTTTTGACACTGTCGGCGGAGACGTCTTGACCAAGACCTGGGAAACCGTCAAGAGCAATGGAACCATCGTCACTGTTGGCGATCCGGCCCCAGAATGGGCCGACGGAAAGGTCAAACCTAAAGAGTCCGTCAGCCATCCAGAAGTGCGTCCTGTATATTTTATCGTAAGGCCAGACTCACACAGGCTGAGCCAGGCTCTGGAAATGGTCGGCGAGGGTGCCATCAAACCATTGGAGGTGGAGTCGTTCCCCTTTGAAAAGGCAGAACTGGCCTGGGAGCGTGCCAGACAGAGAAGACGGAACAAGAAGGTTGTGATTACGTTTGATACTCAATAAAGACGGGGTAAAAAGGACGGGGCAAAGAGGACAAGGGCTTTGAAACTGGTGTGCACAGGTACTAAAAGGCAATGTTTGTTCATATTACACCGCAACCGCGCGGAAGAACTTACCTCAAGAAAGGGCGGTCTCTGTCCACCAAGAAGGGTCTTGAGCGAACTCGCTCGGATTATTATTAAACCACCCACAAAGATCCTCCATAGAACCCAAGGAAGGAAATATATCGATATCGTTGTTGGGCGAAGGATCTTCATCATCGGGTCCCTCATTCGTCGTTTGGCCCTGGTCGTTTGATGAAAGACTTGGAACTTCGCTGGGCCCGCGTACACTGTTGTCTGGCTCGGTCGCCCCAGGGTTCCCCAGCCCAAGAACGTGTCGAGCGATGGTCTGGATCTCCTGTACATTCTTTGCCGTCCTGGGCCACACCTCACCCAGCACCTTGAGACACCCAATAGTCATACGAATCTGGTCCCTGGCGACGGCGAGTTCTTTTCCTTTGAACAGGAACTTGCATCCCGAGAGTAGCGCCAAGGTTCCTTCGCTGACCATGCAGGTGGTAAAAGGACTGTGGTGGAACTGCTCCGTCGTCGGTAACGCCAAAAGGCGGATCTGTGCTTCTATCGACTTCAAGACTCGCACCGTATGCACATTGATGAGTTCTGGCGTGGGTGTTTCGCGGGGTGGAGCTCGGGCACAACTCGAAATCCATTCTATCGGGTTGAACTTGAGATCTGATAATGGTCTGTGGAGGCCGATAGTTGCGCTGAAAAGGGGAAGAGGGATCAGCATGTTTACTTAGCAGCCTACTTGCTGCAAACGGTGCAGGGGTCAAGTTTGGGGAGAGATACTTACACGTGGATCAAGAGGTGTGCTTGAAACATGAGTTCGTCCAACTCCCCAGTTTTGCTCATGACCTGTTTCCGGCCCTTGGGCAATAGAAGAAGCCATCCATTGATGACCGCATCGGCTGCCTGGAGAATTTGTTGTGAGCATTCGCTCGTCGCAACCTTTGGTGCTGTAGATATTGCCAGTGCGGAACATCGTACGGCACCAATGAGATAGGCAAAGGACGAGAACGACGTCGATTCTGGAGCTAGGTCGCGACAATCGAAATCTTGCAGCGTCTTCGGTTCAGGGATTTGCTATACAGACAAAGGACAATTTTAGTCAGTAGTACCGAAACAATGCGACACTGACATTGGCAAAAGAAAGGTGGCGATCGGATCGATAGGGAGCGCTCGGCGGCGGACTACTCACCCCTTCTTCATACTCCCACTCCTCGCTTGGCAAGTCGACAGTGGAGACGATGTCTATAGTAGCGAAATTCATGGTTCCAAGGGTTCCTGCGTAAAAGGCATCGATCATGTACAGCGTCCACCACGTCCGTCTCCAGCACTCGGTCAATACGGCGTCTTGCGAGCCCTGCTTGGCGGCAAAGTCCCGCCGAAACATTTGTAGATCAAGTGCCAGTCGAACAGCGGCGTCCATTTCCTTCTTGGATTCGTCCTTGTAAGTGTTCCAGAATAACGCTATGGAATACAATGTTCGACATTGGACCATGATTGGGTCTGCATGCGAAGCCTCCGCGAAGCGAGCTTCGACATGATCTCTGAGGCTTGTCGACCATTCTCGGGCGCTGTAAATGTGACCAATGAGGCGAAGTACGGCAAGGAGAGGTCTCAAATTCAACTTTATGGTCGGTGTCCGGTGGATTCGTATCAAGTGCTTCTGTGGCAATACGAGTGGGTGGAATTTGTGAAAGTTCTGGTAGTACGAAGCGATCAGAGAATCCCCTTCAATGTCGTCGTCAATGCCTCCTCGGGGCGAGCTTGTTGATGATCCTGCGTCTGTTTCATAGTCGTTGGTGATGTCTGCTCCAACGACGCCAGACAGCGGCAGCGGTGGTTGCAGAGGGGCTTCCCGATCCCTGGGAAGAGCCCAAGAGGATTGCAGTGGCCTCAAGATGTCGGCCGATCCAGATTCAGCCTGAGTCGACCCCGTGGCCTCGAGCCTTTTGCGTCGCTCAGCTAGAGCGGCGCGGTCCAGGCCGCCTCTTCGCGACTGAGCGTATTGGCATTGCTGGGCGGCTACGATACACCGGCTGCAGTATGGCCGAACTCCATCACATTTTAGGTGCCGTGATCGACAGGGCAAGCAAGCTAGGGAAGAGCGTGATTTGCGCCTTCTACTTAGCGGTGCTGCAGATGTAGCAGTAGTATTCATGGGACCATTCTCTTGAGGTGAAGATGCTTTAGCCGTCCGGCCTTGCCGTCTCTGTAGATGTTGAAGTGCGCGATTAACTTTTCCATCGAGGGACGTTATCCTATCCGCAACAACCCTGGGTATGCGGGAACTCGGGTATTCGTTCTCGGGTACTCAATGGTGGGGAGAATACGGTCAAGTGTGCCGAAGATGGCGCAGCTTTCTACTACGGTGGCACAAAAAGTCACTCAAGTGCACTAGGGTCAGGCACCTGTACCGTAGCGTCGAACCAGAGACATTTCATTTTGGGCTCTGTGAGAGTGTCGAGCGCTCGCTTGTACCGCCAAAGGCTCCTCTAAACTTCCTCCCGCCACTTCATCCACCAGAATCACCAGAGGCTTCAGATCGACTTTTTATCATAATTATTCAACCACAAATTCAAAACTCCTTTCGTTCAATAGAAACCGTCGCTTCGCTGACGCCATCATTATGGCGGGCGGTGATCATGGTGGCGAGTCAAATGGTACACCCGAACCGGTCATCAAAGGCTTCGCTACGCTCAATCAATTGCAGTATGTCCTTAGACCTACCTGGATTTCAATATCATGCGCGCCCAGTCATCCCTGATGATACTAATTCTTCACTTTAGGATCGGTGTAAAGGCATTTGTTGAAAAGGTGAGTTTTTCCCGCAGTTCTTCGACACCAGTCACGTGACTGCTATATTGCGATGCGTGCAAGCATGGATGGTGAACAAAGGACTAATAATTGTTACTCCATAGAACGGCGAACCCAGAAAAGCAGAAATATTATCCATAAAGCAGCGAAACGGCTCTTTGAAGTTCTAGTATGTCTAGAATGGGAGCAGCAGAGATGATGATCATCGGAGAGTGAATGGTAACTGACAAATGTATAGCGTGCACTATGTTGAATTCAACAAGCGTCTCGATGGTGAGTACTTCGCTCGACTCGGCTCGTTTAGACTGATGATCTTGTGTGTCTAACGACGAACAGAATGGATCTCGGCCGAGCGAATCGATCTCTCTCAAGAAGTCGAATGGCCCGCTCCCGAAAAGCCCGAGAAGAAGAAAACCACAGTGACGACCAAGACGTCGTCGACGAAGAACACACAAGCGAAATCCATCACCACCACCAACAAGGCAGGACGTCCTCGAACAGACTCACGACCTGGGTCCGCAACGCCTGACTTGCTCACGTCCAAAGCCGGCAATGACCGTAAACGGCCTATTCCTTCCAAGGCGGGCGGGAAGGAGAACCGTGACGACTCTTCTCTGCTTGCAGATGACCCGGCGCTCGCTCAAGCCGGCACTCCACTGCCCAGTCTCAGTCAGGAGGACAGCACGGAGCTACTCCCCACCGGGGTTACGGATGTCGAGATGACGGACGTGACCAAGACGGAGGAGAAGGTCCCCACGATCCTGGAGCCCGAGGAGGAGATTGAGAAGCTCCGCACGGGAGGTTCGATGGTGCAGAACCACGCGCAGATCCATCTCGTGCGGAACCTCGAAAAGATCCAGATGGGCAAACACGTCATCGAGCCGTGGTACTTCAGCCCGTACCCGCAAGAGTTCGCCGACGTCGACATGGTGTACATTGACGAGTTCTGTCTGTCGTACTTTTCGTCGCGAAAGGCGTTTGAGCGGCACCGGTCCAAGTGCGAGCTCCGCCACCCGCCGGGCAACGAGATCTACCGGGACGACTTTGTGTCCTTTTTCGAGGTCGACGGGCGGCGGCAGCGGACCTGGTGTCGCAACATGTGCCTGCTGTCGAAGCTGTTTCTGGACCACAAGACGCTCTACTACGACGTCGACCCCTTCTTGTTCTACTGCATGGTCACGCGGGACGAGCACGGGTGCCACCTCGTCGGGTACTTCTCCAAGGAAAAGGAGTCGGCCGAGGGGTACAACCTGGCGTGCATCCTGACTCTGCCGCAGTACCAGCGCCAGGGCCTGGGTAGGCTGCTGATCGCCTTCAGCTACGAGCTCAGCAAGCGCGAGGGCAAGCTCGGCTCCCCCGAGAAGCCTTTGAGTGATCTGGGCCTGTTGGGCTACAGGCAATATTGGAAGGAGGTGCTGGTCGAGCTGCTGAGCGACCCCGCGAGACTGCCGCCCCCGGGCAGTGCGAGCCACACGCCCAGCAGCGAACACTTGCATCCGCACAGCAGCCTGGCCTTCGGTGCGCCGAGCAGCCAGTTCAGCACGAGCATCGCCGAGATTGCGAGCTTGACGAGCATGACGGAGAAGGACGTCCATGAGCAGCTCGAGGTGCTCAAGCTGCTGAGGTACCACAAGGGCGCCTGGATCATTGTCGTCCGCGATGAGTTGCTCGAATGGCAGGAGAAGAGGCGGGAGAAGGAAAAGGTAAAAGGCACGAAGAGGATCGACGCAAGCAGGTTGAACTGGAAGCCGCCGGTCTTCACCGCTAGTAGTCGTACGTGGAACTGGTAGGGCTCCGGGTGCATGAATGATCACGCTGTGCGGCGGATGGGCTTGGATTGACTATCACTTGTTTATTAAAGAAGCATGGCGTTGGAGGCGACGTTTACTATCTGGCATTTTAAGGTACTGCCTCAAAACGAAAGCCATTAGGATTGGATCTGGCCATGACAATGGGGGGTATAAAAATTTGTATTTTCTGGTAATGAAATTCACCCAGCCAACGCCTTCGCTAATGTGACAACTATATCATGAATCGTGTCCAATGTACATTTCCTAATGGCGTACCAGCGCACCGGCTTTCTGTACCACCGGCGCTGCTGCCGGTTTAGGCCTGCTCCTCCCTCATATGGATATCGTCTTGGTGGAATAAGATGTTCTTCCAGGGTGGTCGTCGTGTGCTCCGAATCAATCATTGTCAAGACGGAATGTTCGTATATCGAGCAAGCTCGGCGTCTCCACCGCCGTTCTCCTCACTGCCGTTTTCAGTCATCTCAGTGTCTCCGTTGTGACCGTTCTGGTCCTCCTTTGCGGCCTTGTCGGGATCGGCATCAAAAGCGAGATCTTCCGGTATATTAAGTCGCTTCTCCCGGGCAAGTCGTTCAGCCCAAGTACGTACTTTCACCAGGTAGCGAATGTTGGCCTCTCTCTTCTGATCTTGAGACTGTAGAATGGCTTCGTTGACATCCTTGGCGACTTTCTGTCTCAAAGAGGGGTCAACTAGCTCGGCGAGAGCACCGAAATCGTTGACCGCCTGCGCAGATCCTGATGCAGTTGCTGCCTTTGCCCATGATTCTTTTGGGACTATTAGCAGGGCCATTGCTCGCTCCAAGTCGGTCTTGAATTGTGGATCGAGTGGTACGTATGGTGACAGGTTGTGCATGGCGAATTCGATAGCATTCCCGACAAGAGTTTGATCAGAAGAGTTGAAACTGAGACGGATGAGCTCTACGAGTTGGAGACGCAGAAGCGAGAAATGAAGTTTCTTGTCCGTGTCCAAGAGCTAATGAAAAATCGTCAGTTCTTGGAAAAGCAGAACATCGTGAATAGAATATGGCATAAGAGATAACAAATCATACTGAGGACTGAAGGTGTTTTGCTCTCATCTCGGCCCGAAGGCTATGAGTGGTGCATGAAAACCAATCTAATCATGAAAACTGGCGATGAGGTGGGACAAGGACAGCACTTACTTCTGGGTTGAGGTCGTTGATCAGCTCAATCGCCTGCTGCAGGTCTCCGCGATGTATGGAATCCCTGATTCGTACTCTTTCCTCGATAGCTGTCAAGTCTGCCTTTTGCTGAATATTGGCCTCGGCAGCGAACTTCTGAGCAGCCGATGGGTACCCCTCGGTGATCAAATAGTCCATGATCAGCTTGTTTATATCACTGCTTACGCGAAATGGTCAGTTATGATTTCCCGGCTAGAGTCTGAAGAGTGCGCATATTTCCGGAATGTTTCAGAAAGCAAAATAATATTTTTCGTCTCTTCAAGAATATTCAGAGAGATTCCCATTTTGTCAAAAGTGCATCCTGCAAAGAGAAGGGGGGAATGAAAGGGTGAACGCATACGCTTTGGTGACATCGGAGCTGCTCATCCAGTGGCCGAAACTGTATTCAGTAGAGGGGTCCTGTGAAAGAATGAGCAAAATTCGACGAGGGCTTGCTGGACTCTTACCATCGCCATCATGTTTGAATGTTGAGGTCAGGTGGCCTCAACCTCCCGAGCTTTGGTTCCTCTGTATATCTACAGAGACCGCCCTCATTGGAGATACTCGGCTGGGCGTTGGATTGGCAATGATGTTTTCAAAGATCGAGAGATGTGAAGGGAAGAGAGGTCTGCGAATTTGCAGCTGGAAGGTGAAAAACGGGAACCACGGCAGACCAACAGAACTACGGAGCAGCATTAGGACGAAACCGTCAATTTTCAAGACCAAACAGTACTCGTAGCACCGCCTGCGAATAGAGCGGTTCCACTTGAATACCTCCGACTTGATCGAGAATAAATCCTTCTCCGCATCAAAGAGATCAATTTCACAGTCAACAAACATTTTGAGGGTTGTGGTTTTACCTTTGGTTTTTCTGAGCTGCAATGGGTTCGGCTGAAGGAGAGCCCTCGCTGCTGCAGCGGCAGAAAATGACCGATGACTATCACAAATTCCTGTACACTGCGTCTTTTGCGACTCTTGTAATTGCACCGGTTCTAATAATCCTCCCTCCTCGGAAACTCGATCTCTACACCTTCTCGTTATCTGGGGCCTTTGTAATTTCGGCGAACTATCAGTTGAAAGAACGCACGGGCTCAGGGCTCCTAGGCCACGTTCCCGCGCCGTTTGCTATGCCAAAACGTGCTAGCGAAATCCAAGCTGCGCAGGCCCAAGACCGCGAGCGCCGGAGGCACCTTCTCGAAGAATCCGGCGGACAACTGTTGCCCAGGAAAGGTTCGATCTTGGAGGAAAAGGCCAAAGAGATATGGATGGGTGGGGAAACCGAGGGCTGGAAAGAACGACGTCTACGAGAAGAGCAAGAAAAGATTGAACAAGGCGAGGGATATGGCTCAATGATCATGGACCAGATCTGGGAGGTCTGGACATGGGGCAAGAAGCAGGGCGAAGAGCTGAAAGAGACAGACCAAAAAGCTTTGGAGGGCAAAAACGATAGTTGATTACGGATCCAACAATCACTTCCATCAAATGCTATGGTATCGGCTTCAGGGGTAGCGTCCCGGGCAGCCTTGACGTCTCTATGTCCGGCTCTCCCCTTCGACTCCATGACAGCTTGCGAACTGGGCAATCAGTGCGTTCTAGCAACATGCTCTGTTGTTTCAGCCGTTGTGCTGCGGCGCTTTCTAGCATCAATTTCGACCTGGAAATCACGGACTTTGATGCCGTGATGCCGGAGTTCGTCGCGAGCCTGTTCGTTCTCCAGGGTCTGCTGTTTGCGTTGCTGTTCGTGGCGACTTCCACGCATCGCTGGGGCCTCGTGCAAACATGGTGTTTTACTTGGACGCCGAGTCCGGTCAGAATTGTGATCACCCAGCATCGTCATTTCCGGCATTGCGAAAAGGGCGGCCAATATCTTCGACTTGAGCTTTCTTTTCATTTCTCGACTGTTTTCAGCTCGTTGCTTTATAGAGGGATATCCAACTCGCTAGCATATCTCTCGGCTCCTGCGTACGGCTGGGTGGCCTTGGTGTCAGCAGATTTTGAGAAGCCTTGTTGTAGAGCACCAGGAAGCTTACCAAGTTTCCGGGGGGAAGTGAACGACACGACTTCGAAATCCGAAGTCATGAGGGTGTGTCATTTTGAAGGGGCAATACCCAGACGAAACTTAAAGGCTGTGTGACAAACCTCACACTCGTACAGGGAAGGGGTCCTTAGGAGGGTGATACACGGCAATTGTTTGCTGTGGTGACATGGTGGAACACGACAGCCATATGCAACAGAAATGCTTGTTACTGATTGTTAAACCCGGTTTTTCTGTGCTCATGAAATGAAGCAGGGGCGAGGTTCTATTCCCAGGCCACAAAGTTCACCTCTTCCGTTTTTTGTGAGTCTTGTTGCCGCGCATACTGCTTTTCGACGATGCTTGTGGCCTCTTGCCATTGTTGTTCTGTCTGGTTTCTAGAGGCTTGTTCCCAGATGGCTTGCCTTCCTGCTTCTGTCTCTTGTTCTGATGGCTTTTCTTTCCCCCGGATGTAGAGCCGTCACTCTGCCTTTTCCGCTTCTTTTCTGTTCTGTCCTTCTTTCGGTTTGCTTTTGCTTGAACTCGAGCCTCAACTCCCCGTACAAAAGAGTCTTCCTCTTCCGAGGATTCTTGCTGAAATTGACCATTCGGTTTTGGCTTCTTGCGCTCATGTTCAAGGTCCGTATCTCCATCGGCCTGCAGTTTGCGCTTGGGAGTTGTGTTACCCTTGAGCAAGTCACTGACAATCGACGGATTCGCATCGAATGAAAACAGCCCGCTAGAGTCGACCATGGGTGTGGCAGTGGGCAAAGGAGCGTGTCGACCACTAGCAGCATCCGTCGACTCGAAGTCGTCTTGATCGGTGATTGATCTCTGTTGCGATCAGTCAACGCGCAAAGGGCACGGGACAGGACAGAAATTGCATACTAATGCTTCTGTAGACGATTTGAACCCTGCAAGTAGGGTTTCTGTGCTGAGTAGTCGTGTCGTGAGTGCTTCCACGGCCTCGCTGCTCCCAGCGTAACGATGTCGTAATTCAACGAGGACGGCGGCATGGCTGTCAAGGAGGGATACAAGAGAGTCATGTTGGACGAAAAACTACTCAGATGTCAGCCAGATATGAGTATAAGGTTACAACACCTTACTTCCTGCCAGACCTCCTTCGATGCGGTATCGGCCATGACAGTGACTCAGACAAAAGCTCTCCGCGAAACCTGCAGGTAACGAGGTTTCCGCATGTCCAGACAGAATCTCAATGATTTTCGCAGCGAGGTTGGAGTCGAGGCTTGCATTTCTCCAATATTTGCAATTTGGCACAAATACTTCACCCATGGGGGCTGCTGCCAGTATACGGTGAACCATTGACTCCCACTGATCGCATGCCTTCACTTCCATCTACTACAACATCTACAACCTCACATCCTTCATCGTAACCCTCGGTCGTCCGCTTGACCACACCTTCTCCCACAAAAGCGAAGTTCTTCCGATATCTATGACTGTCAAGTGGAGCCTGTAATGCACAGTTCTCAAGTTCATGACTGCACGCGCATCGATGCTGGTATTAAGATCAAGCTTGTTGATTGGCAGCTAGAATGAACGTGACTTGTCTCGCTTCCTGGGGCCCAAGACGATGGCACCCAAGGCAGTCTCCTTTTATGGGAGCAGATTATCCAGCACATGGGATCGAGAGACGCAGCAACGTTGAGGTAACATGGCACTTTCCCTATTGTTGGCTTTGCAGGTGTTTCTTCGGAATCTCAATTGGGCTGAGCCCATAGAGATGAATAGGCGTTGCTCTTGCCATTGTTGGCAATACAACAACAACCTTCCGCTATTGTTGGTGCTCCTTCCATTGATGGACTGGCCACCCAGCAAAGATGTCTTCTGTTTCCTTCTCTCCTCTCCTCTCTTCTGCTTTTCTTCTGTACACAGAACACATAGCTACAGCTTTGCTTCAGACACCCCCCTCCGCTGTTAGCCCTCCTCACCATTATCATCCATCCCGACTGCATTTTGGCTGCTCATTGTACCCATCCCATTGCTGCTCTATCATTTCCACCAAATCCTCAGCAAGGAGAAACCCACTGGACGTGGTACGGCTATCCCCTTGGCTGGTGCAACTGTGGGTGAGTGGTATACTTCTCCTTGGACTTCTGTGGTGCTCTAGCACTCGTCGCCAGCTCCTACTGACTTCGAATGGCAGTCATGTCCGAGAAGACCGGAACTCAAGCTGGCCCAGGCACAGCCTACGCCGGCTACCATCCGTCTCGACTTCCCTACACAGGATCAGCCTACCCACAAGCATACACTGGAGGTAAGAGATTGGCGTTGCCGTCATGTGGGAAGAATGTTCACTGTCACCCAGGACTGGGTATGACAGCCAACAACCCACTGGCCAATATGCAGAACCTCAAGGCAAACCTTCCAGCATCCAACCAAATGGACGGCGAAGCCACTGGAGCTGGCCAACGTCAAGGCTACAACAACCCTCTCATGGTTCTTCCATCTGGCCAGACAGTTCCGCTGAGCTCCTTCTATGGTCAGAACCAAGCTTCTTCAGGAGACACGGCTTCCCAGTTGCCATACATGCCTACTGGAATGTTTCCTAACTTCATGGGTAACAACATGCCTGCTGGTCCTCTGTCTGGCTATTGCTGGCCATATGGCATGGCTTCAAACGCCAACAGCTTTGACGCAGCTCGTCGAACATCCTGGTCATCCAATGAAGAAAACACTAACAACAACCAAGCCATCGGCCTTCAGGGTCACTCTGAGTATTACCCTGGCGTCCCCTACCTGACTACGGCGTCAAACACTGCACAGTACATTTCTGGACCCATCCAACCTATGAAGTGTGCTGACAACAAGTCGTATGAAATGGTCAACTTGGACGAACTTGTATCTCGTGATCCGCCAATTCCGCGTGCTGTCCCGGCCCTCTGGACCAATCAGGAAGAGCTCAGTCTTGCCAAATGTCTCCAGAACCCAGAAGGTATCACCAATGTTTACATTCGTGGTTTCATGCCGGATACGACGGACGAAGATCTCGAACGCTGGGCTTCCCGCTTCGGAGAGATCGAATCATGCAAAGCCATCATTGAGCAGGACACTGGCAAGTGTAAAGGGTATGCTCCTAATGTCCCCTTCAACTTCAGCTCGACTGACACAGCCACAGCTTCGGCTTTGTCATGTACTACTCTCCTGCTGCTGCGGAAAATTGCATTCGAGGCTTTTTCCATCTTGGGTTCCAAGCTAGCTATGCCCAGGTATGCCAAAGCGTCTATGTCCAGTCCATAGCTGATCCTCTGCAGAAATCTCGTAATTCTCGCCTCAAGGACCTTGAGGACAAGAGCTCCACCAACATCTACTGTACCGGAGTTCCCATTGATTGGAATGAATCCGTACGTTGATAGCTGCCTGCATGCTTCCCTTGTCACTCACTCTTGTAGGATCTTGCCAAGCACTTCCTCCCTTACCGCGCCGTTTCGACTAAAATCTGTCGAGATGTGCCCTCGGGGGTTAGCAAAGAAGTTGGCTTTGCCAGGTATTTTGCAATGTCCTTGTCCACAAGAGATTAAAACTGACCTTCTCAGATTCGAAAGTCGCGAAGTTGCCGAGCGTGTCATCAGAGAATACCACTCTGTTCTGACCGAACACGATGGCGTTAAGCTCTTTCTTCGATTTGCAGACACCAAGGCCCAGAAGCAATTGAAGCAGCAAAGTCAAGAACGTCGGAACTGGCGCAGTCGAGAGTACAGCTACTCTGTTGAACACACCCCATCTCCAACCTTGACTCGACTTCAAGACATGGGCAATCACATCAGTCCCATAGGAAGCTACCAATCACCTGCGGGAGCTAGCAATAGTTTCACCCCAGCGACGTCAGTCTCTCCGGCGTAAGTTCAGCCTTACTGCGCAATCCCTGTCCTTGCACTGCTGACTTTCCAATTTCAAGTGATATGCCCGGTGTGAACAAGTCAGTCAGTGTGACCCGCAACTCTCAATGGCCTATGCAAGGTGGACTTCAATCGATCACGAATACCACAGCTGTCCGCACCAACATACCTGTCACAGCTGCCGCCAGCAACTATATCGAGGCTTCTCAAAAGGCTGCATCAGCTCTTCCAACCCTCCAAGAAACTGGCGAATCCACCAAGAAGACACCTAGTCCGAAAAAGGTTACGATCAAGATTGAGCCTGCCAGTGGCAAGGAAAACGTCACAAACACTCCACAATCCGCCAAATGAGCCGATTGTTGCGGTGCTCCTGAGAACATGATACTGCTTCCACTATTTTTGGTGTGCATCTTGTTCTTGGTCGGCTGGCACCTCCATTTTGCTCTTTTTGTTCATTCTTCCTTCGAAACATTGCTCGACATGTGCCACAATCGCAGCAGCACGGCCTTTGCAAACATCAGCAGACTCGCCAAAACAGATAGTCAACACTGATCCATCGAGTATGACAGGACATCTATACATGTTGCATGGTTCATCTGGAAGTATCAAGTAGCGATCGTCTACATATGGCAGAAGAGAAGAACAAGATCAACTGGTGTATGTGTTGGGCACTTTCATAAAGTAGCAGGGGCATGTAAATTATGAAGAGGAAGAATATGAATTGTGTCAACACAATGCAATTGATAGTGGCCTTTTGCTGCATAAATCTGACGCTCGCTGAGAACTTTTCACCGAATGATGTGTTGTCACCGTCCAAGCAGAGGACAAACCCGACACTAATGGAAACCATAGTAGAGAACGGTCATGGTGTCACGACCCTTCGAAGCGTTTGTTTGCTGCTTTGGAGCAAGAATGCCCGTCTACTATGGGTATCATCTCGATCACTGGCGTATACAAGAGGCCACTCTTCGCGGAGGCTAAGAACTACTCAGCGTTACACGCCATGATTGAGTTATTTGAAAGTGAAAAAGGGGGGGGGATGGGAAAGGTCCGCCAAGACATATTCTGCATCTGACTGTAGATGAGCGCGTCATACCTCAAGTACCATCTATGCCCAAGAAAACCCGCCCATTTGCATCAGTATGTATGTCTATATGTACAAAATCCCAAGCTATGCCAAAGACCAGCGAGAAGACTCTTCTCACACCCAATCCGCCGCTGGACACGCCGGCCCTGACTGATGCAGGATTATGCTACTCATACGAGATTGCCCGTGGAGAAATAGGCGTGCTTTCCTTTGAGCCATACAAGAGTCTAATTCTGCCGTACTGGGCCTTTCGCACGGTACCAATCGCGCAGAAATCGGCACAAGTTCTGTGGACAATCTTCCAGTCGTACGTCGAACGTGACGATCTCGTGGGTGCCGACATGACGAGGAAATTCATCCAGATGGGCATGACGCGTGCCCGGAGGTACGCGAACCATAAAGGCGGCCGAAAGTACGACAAGGACGGCAGGCAATTGGACAAGTGGAGTGGTGACGATGCCGGGGGTAAGAGGAAGGAGAAGGAGGAGGCCAGCGAGATCTTCAAGGCGTATTGGCGGAGGTGTGTCGAGTGCGAAAAGTATGCTCGGTTGAAGAAGGATTGGGCTCAAGCCAAGAAGGAATATCTCGAGACTCGGCGGTCAGAGTCCTGATTTGCGCTGTAGGGGGTCCAGGTGCAGGACCATCTTTGGTTGGAGCAACAGTCCTCAGTAGCGGTGCTGCGTTGAGAGTGATGTAACTCGGTTTCGGCCCATTTGACGAATGCGAACATCATGGCCACGAAGGGCCTTGTGGTGTCTCGGGTGTTCCGGGGGCGTGAACAAGCAGGTCTTGGTTCAGAGCGACATGGGTTCTGTACCTAGGTACGTCCGGGAGGTGTTGGTGTTCTGGTATCGATATTGCTGTATTGGGTTCGTGTGCGTCTCAGGATGCGGACTCGGTGCCTGCTTGTTGCGGCTTGTCCGTGTCTGCAGCCCTGGGTTTCCCGTGTATAGCTTCGGCGAACGAAATCCATTCTTCAAGACCCTTGACAAACGCGTCGTCCTGGCTCGGAACCTGGTCGTGTCCCCACACTATAACGTCGTCGAAAGTGGTTACCTCTTCGAGAACCTTGACTGGCTCCGGCGGCTCTTCTTCTTCGTCTTCGATCTCGATGTCCTCGTCCACCGCTGTGTATGTGGGACGGGGTTTGGGAGGCTGCGGGAGGTACCGATCGGTGGATCTCGCGACGACGCCTGTATGCGTGTATTGGTGGTCAGCATCGGAAGAATCATGGCGGTGTACAAGAGACTTCGTAGCCGGAAGACGCACCGTGATAGCCCTGTGGGATGGCTATGACTCTTCCCCGTAATCGGCGGCCGCGAAAGTAGGCGGTCTTAGTCTGGTCTGTCACATCGTTCAATTCAGCTCAGTTTCGATTCTGCCCCATGCAGGGCCGAGATACCCTGGATTACCTTTCTCATCGCGCGGACTCCAGTATCTCTTGGTGACTTTGGTCGGACCGTCATGGTGGATGCGACATGGTAGGATGTTGGCAGTGCATGAGCCTGCAGGACTCGACTTGCGCTGTAGTGCGAGCATAGTGGGCTCTTTCGAGTACTTGCGGTAGGGTCAACGGTGGACGAATGAATAGATGAGCGTAATCTGTAATCTATACATCAAGTTGCTCGGTACGGAGTACTACGAGGAGAGAATTACGGGTAGCTTTAATGTGAGGCACACGCGTCAGTACAAAGTACAGGAACGCGTCGGAAAAACACTTTATTCCGGACACTAGGACAGAAAAGGCGTATCTAATCGGGGAACGAGGATACAATACTCGTACTTGTAGAACAAGCGAAGCACTCGGAGTACAAGGCTCCCCTACGGCTCAAGTCAAAACAAGGGGCAGTCTGATCGGAATTACAAACACATCGCTGGGAAGAACGAGACCCTGTTTTGAGACTGCTTTGTATCTACAAGTCCTCCATGACTGCCAACCGGTATCCGAGGATACCGAATCCCTCCCAGTAGTGACTCCGACAGTGGCCCGTCTGGGCTTTAGACTCGTTCTAGTTCCCGCCATGCGAAACGATCGTCAGGCACGGAAACATACACCATGTCAAAAACAACATGTGTAGACGTCATACACCTCTGCACAGTTACACACCCCGAGAGTCCTTCGCACCCTGATGCTCCGTGGTTCACGGTCAGACGCTCGCAGCTGTTGCGAGATGTTCCCGTCCATGTGCCAAATTTCAATTGTCAGTGTTGCCGATCCTCTCAAGCGATCCGTCTCGAAGAGAGACGGATGATACATACAGCGTAGCGCATCTGCGAAAAAGGTTTCGGCAACCAAAAATATGTCTAGCGAAGGGACATTCAATGGCCTGGAAGGTTTAGTCTCGATGCACGCTGCGTTGCCCCGCTGTCTCGCTGTCTATCCAGATCGAATGGGCGTCGCAAGCATGGTCAATTGCAGCTGCACCTGCGAGTAAGGAGAGAAGCACTTGCCTTCTCATGCCGACCCAGGTGGCGCCCTACAAAATGAGCCCGATGGAAGTTTCTCTCCATTTTACACCATCCACCTACTTCTTCAAGTTGCAGCACATCCACTAAGGAAAGGTTTGCTCGCGCTCCATGCTTATCGTCGTATCATAGCCGGTGTGTTGAATTTTTGTCAGGATTATGGCGTCCTCCATATCATCCTTAGTAGACCAAGCACGGACCTACGTTGGTTCAGTGGCATGGGACCCAACGATCAAGGCATGCCGAAGGTCAATACTGTCGCTGTTGTCAGAGGTCAAAATCGGTCGTCTTATCGTGGTCGAAGATGACGGCAAAGAAACAATCTGTGGTCAGGCCGGGGAGCAAGTTGAGCCTCTGGCGCGGCTCCAAGTCTTGCGTGATGCATTCTGGCTGCGCTTAGCTTTGTTCGCCGACATGGTCAGCTTGTCACCTCCCCTAGAATCGCAGACCGTTGACCTAGGAAGTAGGGTTTCGCGGAGTCCTTCATGCTTGGTGAGGTCAAATGCTCGAACCTCACGGCATTCTTTCAGGTAACACGAATCCAAACAAAGCCATAGATAAGGCTGACCGAAACACAAGTTGTTCATTCTCAATCGCAACGAATTGTCAAACGCGACCACGATAACTTCATACCTTTCCTCCACAATTAGTGGATTGTTGCGCCGCACGAATACGCTGCACAACGCTCAGTTGAATGTTAGCGCACATTATGATATCAGTAATGAGATGTTCGAAGCATTTCTGTCTAGAGACATGACATACTCCTGTCCCATATGGTCGCCGCTGTCGAAAGAGCACGGGTCGAAAAATGAGGAATCCTTGGAAGACGCGCAGATGCGAAAACTGGATCGCTTCATTGACAATGCAAGGATAAAACAGACGGACCACGTTTTAGAGATTGGAACAGGCTGGGGGAGTTTTGCCATCAGAGCAGTCCAAAGAACAGGGTGTCGTGTGACTTCTTTAACCCTGAGCCGGGAACAAAAAGACCTGGCGGACCAGAGGGTCGCAGATGCAGGGTTGACTGACAATATCGAAGTGCTGCTTTGCGACTACAGAGCACTGCCAATGCCTCGCGAGGGTCCGTACGACAAGCTTGTCAGCATCGAGATGCTTGAAGCAGTAGGGCGAGAGTTCCTTATAACGTACTTCGACTGTGTTCATAAACTTCTCAAGCCGGACGGTGGCATAGCGGTCTTCCAGTGTATCACCATGCCCGAGTCGAGATACGAAGCATACGCCAAAGGCGAAGACTTCATTCGGAAATATATCTTCCCTGGCGGTCATCTACCCACGGTCTCACAACTGGTTGATTCCATTAACAAAGGCAGCCAGGGATTACTGGTGGTCGACTCAATCGAGAACATAGGCCCACATTATGCGAAGACCCTTCGTATATGGAAGGAGAACTTTGAGCGGAACTTCCAGAAATGCATAAAACCAGCGCTGTTGGCCGAACACGAGGGAATGACCGAGAGCGACGTTCAATTGTTTCGGAAGAAATGGGAGGCGAGTTTGTCCTTTCCTGTTGTGGAGTCGCAGTGAACTAACAGCCTGCCAGTATTATTTCACTTATTGTGAAGCTGGATTCAATACCAAGACACTGGGCGATGTGATCATCACAGTCTCAAGAGAAGGGGCGATGGAAATGATGGAGGGTGTACCAATGTAACTGTTCCGCGGTACCATGGACCTCTCAACTCGGCCTGATAGCTTCACGGCGACTTCATCGTTTCGATTTCTTCTTTTTCTTTTTCTTCTTGGCCTTCGGCGCTTGTGCTTGGGTTTCTGTGTCATCGAGCGGCTTGGGAGGGGGTGGAGGTCTCGTAGGCCATCTTTTAGCGTGATCTCGTTCAAAGGCAGCCTTATCTCTCCTGAAAAGGAGCATACAAGCCCGGGCATCTTCTATGCTGGAGTGTTCACCCTCTTGTATCTCGAATCCGAGCAATTCCGAGGCCAACATCTTCAAGCGGGGGTACCCGTTGCCTCCGTGTATTCTTTTATATGGCGCATGCCGTGCGGTATCACGAATATCTCGCTGTGGGTGGCTGAGCTTCAGGGCATTCAAGTCGTGGCTGATGTGGTGACCAATGAGTACTCTGCCATGCATGATTTTGGCAACGTCGGCCTGCGCTTCTTGAAAAGATCGAGCATATTTCATATGTTTGGGTTCCACCCCACTGACGAAAGTCCTCCAGTCTGTCACCGTCTCCTGGGGCAATACGTAGGAATCGTAAACTTGGTCTCCATTGTAGTTGACGATACTGACTCGAGCCAGAGCAGATTCCCTATCTGGGTGAGGGCCGACTCCTACCATTTCGCAGTCAATGGCAATATACTTGCCAATCTCGACCCTGTATTTTTGTTAGCATACGTTAAGGTCCTGTGCCTGGGTCCACTGACGACTTCGAGAGTCCGGCATTTACTTTGTCTGAAAATGTCCTATCTGAAGGTCTTGGACGCACACCATTATCCGACTTTTCCAGGTCCTGGATAGGAACAGTCGCCTTTGCTCCCATTCCGCTCTGAGCCATGGTCCTGGTCGTACGCAACTTCTTTCTGGGTAGCAAAGAAGGCTTGGTGGTAGCAGCCTTCGATTGCTCGCGCTTGCGCTTCAGGTCATTTTGATTTGCGGGTTTGGACGATGGTTCGGCATTTTCTGATTTCTTGAGAGTGGCCTGTAGCTTCTTCCAGTTCGATGACAGACCAGCCAGGTCCATACCTCATCTCAAGTCCACAGCATGAGCAGTGCGCTGGTTATAATGCTGTACGGAGCAGACTGTCAGGGTAGTTGGGTGCGCGAGGCGACGGAGAGAATAAATATTTGGTCGATGTGATGCGCCGAAGTTTTGCCAGACTCTGGTCCATCGTTATTTAGGTCCCTTGTCACTGACGATAGCAAAGACAAAGTGTCAATTGCTCTATCCTCGATATCTGAGTAAAGAAGCTCGTTTTTGGCAAAGCACAACACCAACGCGGCTGAACCCTTTGTTCTGTCCTCAATTACTCGGCATTACAAGTCTTGAGGACAGGCTTTTCGCATTGCTCACATGGGAAGCATACCGGTGCTACATGGCAATGCATCTTAGTCGAAGATACATCACCACTTTATACTTGAAGTCTTGAGGGACCGCATTCTAATTTGTTGACGAGCCTTTCAAGCCCAGTCATCATGTCGGAAGTAGTGGATCTGCTAAAGCTTTCAACCGTAACATCGGCACAAAAGGCGACGGAGGCATCCCTCCAAACTGCACACTACTCTCCACCATGGGCTGATGTGAGTATTATTGGAGTGGCAGGATCGTCAGGGTCAGGTAAAACCAGCCTGGCCATAGAGATCATCAAGTCACTCAACCTGCCTTGGGTCATCCTCCTGTCCATCGATTCATTCTATAAATCTCTGACACCTGAGCAAAATGCACTGGCGCATCTCAACGAATACGACCTAGACTCCCCAGGATCTATCGATTTTGACCTCTTGGTGGAGAAGCTTCACGACTTGAAGCAGGGGAAGAGGACCGACATCCCTATCTATTCATTCGAACAGCACCAGCGTTTAGACAAGACCGTGTCGATATACTCCCCGCACGTCATCATCCTGGAGGGAATTCTTGCTCTGAACGACCCCAGAGTACTGGATCTGTTGGACATGAAGATTTACGTGGAAGCGGATCCGGATGTCTGCCTTTCACGCCGAATTGTCCGGGATGTGAGGGAACGAGGTCGGACCATCGAGGGCACCATCAAACAGTGGTTCGGTTTCGTCAAACCCGTCTTTCAACGCTATGTGGAACCACAACGAAATGTTGCGGATTTGATAGTTCCACGAGGAATGAAGAACACGATGGCCATCCAGATGATTGTCAATCAAGTCCGGCAGCTCTTGAAAGAAAAGTCATTGAAGCACAACGCCGAATTGGAGAGATTGGGAGAGCAACTTGAAGACTTTGCTCTCTCGGAGAATGCTATAATCCTCGAGGGTAAACCGCAGATTACCGGCGTTTCAACCATATTGCGCAACCCCATCACCTCCCACCTCGACTTTGTTTTTTACTTTGACAGGCTCACAGCCCTCTTGATTGAGAAAGCCCTGGATTGCCACAACTACATTTCCACCGATGTCACAACACCGCAAGGATACACCTACAGCGGACTGAAGCCAAAGGGCAAAGTTTCTGCTGTTGTTGTGCTGCGAGGTGGAAGCTGCATGGAGACTGGATTGAAGCGGACTATTCCTGACTGCTTGACCGGGCGACTTCTCATCCAGTCAAATTATCGGACTGGTGAGCCACAGTTACACTACCTGAAGCTATTTCCGGATATTCAGGAGCATGAAACAGTAATGTTGCTGGATCCTCAGATGTCGAGCGGAGGAGCCGCTCTTATGGCCGTTAAGGTCCTGGTTGATCATGGTGTCTGCGAGGCAAGGATCGTCTTTGTCACTTTCATGGCGGGAAGGAGAGGACTGAAAAGACTGCTATCGGTGTTTCCCAAGATAAAGGTGGTCGCTGCAAATGTCGTCGAAGACGGTGAGAAGAGGTGGTTAGAGGAAAGATATTTTGGATGTTAAGACGCTGAACACATTCCCACATTTGCTCGTCGACTGGAGGAAACGGTATTCGACTCGAGTGCAGACTCATCCTAAGACATTGTTGCTAAACAACACTTGCCAGAAACACAGTCTCGCTTCTACCATTCCTGGGTGTCAATGTTCAGTCATGTCGACTGCGAGACAATCACGCGCTCTTGACATGATATGTGGAGTTGCGACGATGCCAACTGATTAGATACGCCCCTGCAGACCGTCATACTGTTAAGTCGAGACCAGGGAGATGTGTTTTGGCTTGGGATGTATCGAGTTAATGCCCACCTAGCCATACCTAGGCATCAGCTGAGTGTTAGGGATTTCCGACCTGAAGCAGCATAGCCGTTCTACCGTGTTAGGAGCGATAGCCAGGGAAGAGGCTTAATGTTCTCGTGGGCAGGAAGGCATTAGTATATAATTTATTATTGGTAAGTATAGATGAAGAGCACAACTACACCATACAATTACAAGCCCGGCAGGTCAACCAAAGGTAGACCCGACTACTTCACTGTTGCACGTCCTCGTTTTTGTAAGATAGACGAACCCAGTACGAGTATCTGACATTTAGGTATCTTTTTGGTCCGCCGTACTGTCTGGCTCTATACGGTGGATCATTGAACCCTTAATTGCCGACTTCACTCCGCCAGCAAGTTTGGAGTACGCGACATCCATCTTGTGCCTGGGCAACTTGACTTTCGCATACCTCAAATTCCCAAGACGTCGTTCATTGCTTCTCACTTGTCCTTCCATTTATCTACTCTCTACCCACCCTCTCCCAGTGGACTACGGATTCTCATCATTGTCTCTTGCATCGTTGCGCATACCACACGCAACCACCGTCCCGTTCTCGCTCGACTCGATTGACCTCATTGACTGACCTACTGACTTCCAACCAATCCATCTGTATCACGCACTCATCATGGTATGGACAAACTAATCCCATACAAATTTCTTTCTCCGCCTTTCCACACAACACATTACAGTACTCTAGTCCTGACATTTGATGTGTCTCAGTCTCTCCGTATCGCTCCCTCGTCCGCCCTCCCCACGAGCACCACCAACACCAGCTCATCCAAACTCTCCTCCTCCACCAACCCTCACAAGACCAAAGACCTCGACCGCGGTGCTCCCTCGGCGCCCGGTCTGCCCGACACACTCCGCTCGTCTCTTTCGCCCTCGACGTCGACGACGTCGTCCTCACACCCTCTCGAATCGCGGCTGGCAAACTGGACCGCCACGCAAGAGTCGACGCGCATGACTCTGCTGCGCAGAAACTTTGGCATCGCCGAGCCACTACGACGGGGGATGGAACTCAAGATGGTTCGTGACGCCGACGCTTTCCGGCCCACGGTTCTCGGGGCGCCGAGCAGGTTGCACGAAGACGTTCTCACGGGCAAGGACGACCAGATCAGCTGGGAGGACATTTACAGCGGGCAAGACGGGATGAAGCTCGGCCTGGACGCCAGTGGAGATGGTTCGGCTGTCGGATGGACCGAGGAAATGGAGCGCAAGGTTGGGATGTGGAAGTGGTAGGAGGAGCGCAATTTGGTACAGTGTGGTGTTTACCAGTGGGGATCGAGGTTGAATTACATGGTGGTGTAGTTGACTTGTCCCGCTGCCGTGTCAGTTCTTTTCAATACCAAAAACGAAGAGGGCTAGAAGAGGGAGGGAGGGACAATACCAACGACGAATCAGGCGCAAAGTGTGTAATTCTACCAGTGCTCTCGTGTGGCGTCAGGCCCGAACACAGACGAAGTCGAAGTTGAAGCCGAAAGCACGTCGGTCTACCTTGGGTGGTCTAGTACAGCAAGAACACCAGACAGCTGAACAAAGATCGAAGGGACCAAAATGCCAGTTCCTAGCCTCATGCATTTAATCCCCCCCGTTTCTCAGCATCTCTCGTCTCTAGACGAGCGCTTACAGAGCACATCATTCGGTCTAAAATACCGGAGAGTTGTCACTCGAATTGCAAGGTTCAGAGGGCCACAGAGAGAGTATGTGTGTATCGGCAGACAAGGCGGCTGATTTGTTCTTCGAGCGTGCCTGTGTCTGTGTCTGTGCCTTGAGAGAATACTAATGTACATTATGGAAATCATCGACACATTCTTGTTGATACTCGTACAAACAAATAATCACACCTATCGAAGACATGGTCAACAAAGCTGCTGAGCAGGGCAGCTCTAAGTGACGAGGACCAATCTCTACGAGTGGGAGATCCCAATTTCATTCTTGGGAAGCCACAGAAGCCGTACGAAAACAGACCCGATGGACTCGCGGGTTTTTGGCTTATTAATTGGAACTCCCTTCTATCAGAATTTCCCAGGCCGTCACAATCATTTACCTATGTGATTCTGGCAGGGCACTTGACATTGCACTCTAGGTAAGGAAATCTATAGTCCGCTCCGATAGCATTGGTAGAGATAGACCTAGTCGCTTGAATCTGCCGCCCTTGTGCCATTTTTTTGTCAGCAGCAATATGCGTGAAACGCGCTCCCTCAGAAAGCCCATCCGAAATCCTTACAAAAACTTCGCCGGTACTTGTGAGTTCGGAGTAAGACCCAGCGGCCAAAAAATATCACTCGGGGGGTTTCCTTCTCCAGGTTACTTCTGGACGAGAATTTCTCCGTGCATCATGGCCATAGTCGCATCTTCGATCTCCGCCCACGCCTCCCAAGCCTTGGCCATATCTTCGAAGTTATCCTCGGTAGCTAAGCCGGACTGGAGAGCTTTGTCGCGCAAAGAACCTTTCCGAAGAGGATCGCACATGCCTTGGGCTAGAGAGATAGAGAGAGAGAGAGCAAACAGCCACGTTAGCGCCAGGGATCACAGCCATGAGAAAGCAAGAGTGTGTTTTGAACAGTATTTTGAACGGTGGGAAAAAGAAACTCACCCCAGATTCTCCTGTCGCTTGGCGTGGCGTACAGCCATGTACTGGAGCTGACCGTGATCCGGCTCCGCTCTATACCGGCCCTGAGTGCCCAGGACAACAGCTGTCGGCCTGCAGTTGAAGTGCCACCGCCGGCACGCATGAGGGCAGCAATGAGGCTGTGGGTCTTGGACAGCTCGGGAACGTCGGGCCAGACGCACTCCGTCTCGTAGTCGCCCTCGCGGGCGGCGACGACGCCGCCTCGCTTCGTGACCCGGAGCATTTCACGCAGCGCGTCCCACGGGTTGCCAACGTGGGTCAGCACCTGATGGCAATAGGTGACGTCGAACGTCTCGTCCGCAAACGGGAGCTTGTGGACACTGCCCTCTTGAAACTCGATGTTTGTAACGCCGGCAATCTCGGCGACGGCTCGAGCCCGCGGCAAGACCCTGGGGTTGACGTCGATGCCGGTAACGTGGCCGTCCGGGAGGAGCTTCGCAAAACCCACCGAGATGGTCCCCGGCCCGGCACCGACGTCCAGGAGCCTCAATCCGGGTTTGGACTCCTTCATGGACTGCAGCTTGGGCAGCAGGTGAGCGGCGCTGTTTTCGGCGGTCCGCGTTTCAAGGAGGGCCGACTGAACAGGCGGATGGCCAGGCTTCTGGCTGGGAATCTGGTCTTGCTCCATTCCTATTTGATCACTTGGGCGGGATCGAAAGAAGGATTTGACAAGCTAAACGCGCTCAGGAAACACGGCACCTCAAGGCTTGGAGATGCCAACTCCGAGAAATGGAAGCCATAGAGCCGTATTTCTATCTTTTCTTAATTGGCCTGGATCCGGTAAGAATCGGTGGCGCGGTGGGTGGCCTCATAAATCCAGGTACGACTTTTACTGCTTGACTGAACGAGCTTCAGGCTGATACGCTATCGACCAAACAGGCAAAGGAGCGCTCCATCTCTACCATATGGAGTTTAGGGTCAGATGCTTATCTCGTTTACTTACCGTAGCCATCAACTGCCTCGCACATTAGGGGTATTTGTATGTACCGTGCAGGCACTGCTAGTCCTTCAATGGTAGGACACCGCTATCTATGAACAATACTTTCCTGCAAAGAAAAAAGGGGGGAAGGCCACTTCGAAAGTGTGATTGGCTGTTGGAGAGTACACATATCTGCGGGAGGGGCCCGCACAAGGCTGCGTCGAAGGGAGTAAAGGCCCGTGAGGATCGAGGATTGGGAGGGCGATGGGAGGCAGTAGAGCGTTACGCACGACGGACGCATTGCGGCGACGGGCGACCGAGGTGAGAAAGAAGATAAGTTGATGGATAGAGACTTGGGAACGAGCGTTGATTGTGCCCCAAAAAAAGTCGAAGGTCGACTTTTTTGACTTCTTTATATATAATCTTCGAAACGGATTGAGGGTTATCGGATGTTGATCTAATGATTATGTTAGTGAGATCTCTCTCAAAGGAGCTGGAAGAATTAATTACCTTGCGAATAATCTTTTCGAACGGTCGGGGATTCGAACCCGCGGCCCTTTTCTTCCTTACTCGCCCGCGGCCCTCGATTTTCCTTGCTCGCCGCAGTGAATGGATGTCCGCCACATAGCCATGTGGTTTTAACCTGAGCCATCACTGCGGGGTCTTGGTGGTTGAGGGAAAATTTCACGGGTTTGATTGATATCATTTGAATATTCGGTGGTGAGTGAATAGTTCTTGAGTGGGCCCCGGGATTAACTTACCTGTAGAGATCAGAAGAAGCGGCGCGCCCAGCCCGCGACCATGCCCGAAGGGACAGGATCGCGTCCTCTTGCCTGTAGGTACAAATCTAAACCGAAGGCGGATGTCCTGACAACAACTTTACTATAACCATACGGAGAAGTAGAAAGAGTGCGAAGGGGGCTTCCTCGAGTAAGTCTTGAACCAGGGTACAAAGCTTATTATGTCAAGCCACGATAACATTCTTGTTTTATTTTAGCTCTGAAGGGTCCTCAATCTGCCCAAGACACGGCCCTGGCGATTTACACCTACACGCTAGCCTTTTAAGATAGTCATAGGTACGTCTATTAAGCGCGGGCTGTTTTCTCTACTCTAGTTTACACTTCAATGGGCGTGAAGCCTAATCGATACCTCCGATCTTCGGCACGGTCTAAGTGGATATTCTAGAGTCCCATCCTTTTCATGTCGATAGGATCTCCTTCCTGGCTAGTTATTCTTGGAACTCGCCTGCTAAGGGCAAAACGGGAAGGATGTCTGAATCATTTTTCCTTCTCCCCTTCCGTGACTGAAGTGACTCAATTGATGTATACTGGGTGTCGCCAAAAATGACAAAGCCCGTAGCTGTTATTGTCGGCGCAGGCATCGCCGGTTTGGCGGCTGCATGGTGGCTCGACACCGCCGGATGGGAGTCGATGGTGGTTGAGAAATCCAATACTTTTCGCGATGGTGGCTACATTGTATCAGTAGCGGGCGCAGGCTATGAAACAATAAAGCACATGGGGATTCTTGACGACATCAAGGCAGTGGCCCAGGATCTTGAAGGGAACCACCTCATAGACAACCGGGGGAAGAAAATACGTAGCGTGCGCTACGCCGACTACCGCACCCAATGGAACTCGGTGTCAGTGAGAAGGGACGACCTGGCAACGGTCCTCGCGAAATCACTACCGAAAACAAGCTCTATCCGATTTGGTACGACGGTCGACGCTTTTACAGATGAGGGTGACAAGGTCAGCGTAGTCCTTGCGGACGGCCATATCATCCAGGCAGACTTGTTGATCGGGGCCGACGGCTTCCATTCCCGAATGAGGTCGGAACTTTTCAAAGAAGATGCAGATTGCCTGGACCGCATGGGCTACTACTATGCTGCATACACTTATGATGATCATGTCGGAGAAAAGGGCTGGTGTCATTCGTACACCCACGCTGGCCAAATGGATATGATGTTCCCATTACGGGACCAGGGCATGACCGCCATGCACCTATGGCACGAAGACAGGGACTTGGACCTCAGCACGTCGGAAAACAGGGTCCAAATTCTCAAAGATATAACTAGCAAATGTCCACCAGCTGTGCGGGCGGCGGTGGACCAAGCAGCGAAGTCGGATGTCAAGATCAACATGGACGCACTTGCGTTGGTAAAGCTTCCTCGGTGGTCCAAAGGCAGAGTCCTTCTCATGGGCGACGCCGCACATTGCCTCACCCTTATCTCCGGCCAAGGGGCCGGCACGGCTCTCACTTCGGCCGGGATCCTCAGCAGAGCACTCCAGAGCACCAGTAATGTGCTAGACGCCCTGCGAATTCACGAAGCCAAGTTGCGCCCTAGCATTGAAAGGCTCCAGCAGCGCTCCAAGGACATGGCTGGCTGGTATATCCCCAAAAACACGCTGGCGTACTGGATCCGGAACTGGATGTTCAAATTGATACCTTACTCCTGGCTGGTGTCCTATCATGTCAAGAGCCTCAAAACCGAGGTCGATCTGATAGAACTTTCGCAAGAGCCAGACTAAGCGCTTAATTACAGTGGGCACATCAGAGCGTGTACGAGCGGAAGGGGAACATCCTGGGCATCATGCATCTCGAATGGACCCGGGCAGTCGTCCGAACAAAGCTAAAGGAAGAATGGAGGTTGAGCAAAGCGGCCACAAGGGGCTAGCCGTCACAAGAAGGGAGAACGATTGCACGTCTTTGACCGCCGCCTTTTACAAGCCAAAGTAATTGGCATCATCTATTCAATTTTGCACACAATGAAGCTCGCAGCTCCGAATATTTCTCTTCGATTGTTCCCCTTGCTATAAAATGAGGCTAACAAGCTTTGGTGCTCCACAGAAGCTAGTTTAAATCTTGGGAAGTGCTTGAGAACTGTTCTCTTTGCAGAGAAAACATCTCGCTTTCGGCATTTATTGTCGATGATCCGCCCAGTGAAAGTTATATCAGAAGGAAACCGGGCATGTCGAGATGTTGTTCGTAAGGGCGAAGTCTGCAGCGTATCTTTAGGCCTCTACGGTCACAGTATTGACTGTATGAACTATACATACAGAGAGGGAGATATTTGAACCCTAATTAAGGAAGCGAGACAGTGATAATACCCTAAGCCCCGAAGAACCGAGGCAAAGAAGATGTTAATCTCGAGGTAGTACCCATCTCGACGCCGTTCAATAATGTTGTGAAAGACAGGTCGGGACAGTCTAAGTGCAGGACTAAAGCAAGTGACCCACATTTCCCGAAACGCTCATTACCCCATTTGTCGCACAGTGCGAATGCGATCGTCGGAGACTCTCGGGCCTTGATTCTAGCGTAGGGAGGAACAGATATAGAATACTCCTTTCCAAGTCCGGTAGTGGGTCAAATGGATTCGCGTCCACTCCAGGCTAGTCAGGCAGGTCAGTCATCTCGGGATGCTACACTCCCTCCATTGTCTAACTTGGTGGCATCAAGCAGCACCATCTACTGTTTCCCCTCTCCAGGCCATTTCCCGTTCTTCCGTCCATCCCCCTGTAAAGAAGCGACTTACATTCCGGTCCGAAGCTTTTCGATAAACCACAAGTCCACCTTCCCCGACCCGTCAGTTAAGCCCTGGGTTTCGTCAAGTGAACTTCTTCAACCTCTCCTGGCTCCGGCTCCCTTCGCCTCCACGGACATACTCCTCGCCTCGAATGCAAGCTTCAACACAATATCGCCCTCTTCGAAGTTCTTGGTAGATGCTGTACAGCCTTTACAGTCCCAAAGTTATTGGACTAGAAAGAGGATAGGATGGCCGCCAGCGTATGGTCGGCAACCGAGTTCCAGGTCACTGTTCCTACGAAGGCGGCTGCCAATAGTGTGGCCAGGGCGCTTGCGGAGCGAGGTCATAGACTCGCTGTGGCCAGGGAGGTTGATCACTACACCCGAGTCCCTTTGAGTTTCTGGTACAATAAGCCGCCATTACGGCCTGATTTAGCAGGCCACTGGGATATGATTTCCCTGCTCATCGATTCGCCGCCAGACGGCGATGTACACTGGTGGATCTTTCAAGAGCAGCGCAAGGTGGAGGAGCTGGCACAAAGCCATGGTGGTCGGGGGAGAATTTTGTCTTATCTCCCTTCAGCGGAGGAGGCCTTGAAGAACTTCAATCGCGAAGGATTGTTGTTTGAATTGGACGAGCATCTGGCGTCCAGGCGTCGCAGGGCAGCATTACGTGCATTTCCTGCGAGGATGCCGATACAAGTCGACGCAGATGCAGAGGTCGTTGAGAGCGAAAACTTACCATCCGGTCCAGGTGAACCGATCGCACTGCACGGTCTCCAAGATGTAGACTGGCCATCCTTGGAACACGCCTACGGGCCGGCCACCGATGTTCCCAAGATGTTGCTAGGAATTTCATTTAATGACAATCACTGGGAAATTATACTTGACAAATTCGTCGGCGCTGTGTTACATCAAGGCGACATATACAGTGCCACCGCCCCTTCAATGCGATTTGTGGCCACCATCGCTGGCGCCCCTGAGCTCTCTGTTGGGAGGCGCCAAAGGATGCTTTATGTCCTATTTATGGCTGGGGCAGAGGTTGACGTTCGCGAGGCATGGGGCTCCAAAATGGGGAATATAGAGCTGGAGGTACGTGACAGCGTGACTTCTCGAGTACCGCAACTGCTCAAATTGTGGCCTTCTGTTTCTCGATCAGAGCAACGCTTCCTATTGTTCCTCGCAGCTCTTGCCGGTCTCTCGGTTCCAGAGAAGATGAATTTACGGGATTCAGCAGGCCGGATTGCACAGACTATGATCGAAGACCTCAATACCGCTGAAGAGCTCCTCAAAAATCTAGCAAGAAGTAATGAAGAGCTTATTGAATTAGCCGCTCATGACGGTCCTTTGAAGCCGCGTCTGATTGCATCGATTCTCTTACTTCTGGATTCTCGCTCTGCCTAGGATCTTTCATCCTAGTGAGTTAAGAAGAGGAATTTGTGTAAACGGCTGTGCGCTCACCGCCAACATCTGAAACAAAGGGAGGCGAAGTTGATTGCCATTTGGGTGTTCTCACTTCTGTGCAATGGTAACCACAGCCTACAGGTCATCATTTGCAGCACCGTAGACCTTGGGAATAGGCTCTAGCATCTCTTTGAAAAAAAGTAAGAGTAAAACAATGATAATAATACTCTCTGGCCCGATGCTGTGATGGATAGTAGTCATGGTCTAGCTCTGGAGCTGTGTCCGTTGTGGAGCATATCGCTGCTGTGTTTTAAGAGAAGCACTTCAAGCTGGCTAGAGCAGCCCTACAACCAGACGCGCAGAAATTGTTATTGAGTAACTGGTGTCAGGTTGAAAGGAGACTGATGGTCTTTGTGATGGGAAACTCGCGGCCTCAAGATCTTCCGACAAGGTGTCTTCAAACTTGACCAATGCCTCCTGACTGCGCCAGGAAACAGAGAGTGCCTTTTGCCATCGAGAAACGCAACTGTTAAACTTGAACACACTGATGAGAGTACAGAGCCATGACCACCGCGAGATAGATTCCTATCAATCAAAGAGGAACATTAATGACAGGAGAAGAGAACTTCGCTTAAGTTCATAGCGCGAGGGAGAAGAACAGAATGGAGGAGAACTCACCAGATGGGATGTCAGCTGATACTCTGCAGGTGACACAAACCTTGCCGAGAGAGGCGTTCGGTACTTTGTTGTCAATTCAGCCAAAACCCATTCATTCCCCTTATATGGGAAGTACATAAAGGTGACGAACGAATCGGCTCAACGAAGCTAGCAAAATCTAGGGCGTCCTTTTAAGGTTTGTACTCGCTGTTTACGTAAGATGCGTTTCCTCTCCAGGAGTGGATCTGCAGCTTCGGGCGTTTGACGTACAATACATTCTACAGGGCTACGAGAGCCGACAGCATACAGTACTGCTGTTCTCCACATGCCACCACCCCGGATATGTCGGGAAACGCTGGACGTCAAAGCCCTATACTGTTAGGCATTTGTCAGAGCAGTCTACCGACAGTAACTGGATGTGCTGTACTCTGGAAACTTGGCTACACGGGAGTCGCGAATGTACGCCAAATTGAGAATACATTATTCCCTACCACAGTAGCAAAAGCTTCTCAGTCAAAAATCAGATCTAACCAGCGCACTGCTTATGGCATCGGCTTCGAGTTCTTAGGTATGGCGCGGTTCATCTATCGTGAGGGATCATTTCTGGCTGCAGATAATTCATGTTGAACAGGCTGAGTTGTGACGGTGTCATTACAACCCCCATACTCGCGCCGAACGCCTCCGAGGAACTCCGCCGCCTAGAACGCTCCTTATTGCGCATTTCGCAACACTCTTTTCACAACTATCGAGTCACTCATTGAACTATATCATGTTGACAGCAATATATAGGCCGGTCTATTGCCAATTATTACCAATTATCGGAGCGCTTGTTGCAACCATTAAGGTTCACAAGGAAAGGGCGACTTGCGGCCTGTGATGAGGCAACGAAAGAGGCCTCGACCGGACAGAGAATAGTCGCTCCTTTTGCCTATATATATCATAGTCCTTGACCTCATAGTTATTGAGGTCAGACTCGTCAATACATCCCATTTAACTCCCATTGTGTGAGCGTTGCACGATAGTTATGAGCCCGCTTCCCGATTTCGCTTGAGACACCTGTCAGTTAGTGGTTTGATAAAGCCTCGTCATTGTAAGGCTAGCCAATCAAACACGTCAGACACGTCAAGTTCTCTACGCGCCACGCGCTTCAGGTATCCACTAGTAAAACCACGCATTTTACTATACTTCCTTTTCAGCAACCTCAATATATCGGAGTTAAATCCAGAGTCTCAACGAACGAAACCAATCACTATTACACTTTCCAAGTCTTCCGACTGGGATAACTGGTTCCTTGCCATCAAAGTATACGCTAAACAGCAAGGGATATGGGAATATGTCGATCCCGAGGTACTAGACCCTCCTGTCCTGAAGTATCCATCTATCCCGGATATCTACGATGCTAACTCAGGAGCTGTACCATCCGGAACACTTGATGAACGACAAAAACTCAGCATCCGCTTTGTCGAAAGACAATGGGAGCATGATTGCAAGAAATATGAAGAGAAAACTAAGGCGATTAAGGCCCTAGGAAGTCAAATTATTGGAAGTCTCTCAATCGACCTTATGCAATTTCTGGAAGGAGATCACTCTCCGCACGCAATACTTCTTCGCCTCAAGCGAAGATTCGCTCCTATTAAGAGATCGAGAGAACTAGACATCCTGACTAGATGGAAGAATATCTCCAAGACTCCGAAGACCTATCAACAAATCGATGACTAGCTAGACAAGTGGCTAAAGGTCTATGATGACGCTCGACGTCTAGATATGTCTATCGCCGCAGGACGTTCTCCAATTTATGAATTCTTACAAGCTGTCAAGTCACTTAACTCGACCTTCTCTACCACCGAAAATATAAAGGTGTTAAGCGGAGAATTTATCCCAGACTTTCATGAGTTGGTTGAGTCTTTCCGACGACTTAACAGCCTTGAGAAGGACTCCAAGAAAGGCTCTGTTCACTCGTATAACTCGTTTATATCCCTCGGAGATCAGAGAGCCGACAGCGACCCTCCAAAGTGCAGGATTTGCGACCTCTTCCACTGATATACTCAATGTCCTTATATCGTTGAGTTAGCAAGGCCTCAAGGTTAGAAACCTGATCCTGCAAGGCAAGCCATTTACGAGGAAATAAAGAAGAACCCTGTTCATGCAAAGCGGTTCAAGCGGGCTATAGAAAGGGCCTCTAACTCCACTTCCTTATCTTCCTCCTCCTCCGCAAAGGAACAGAAAAAGGAGACGGCGTTCACAGCAACCATGGCTTATTCTGCCTCCGCTTATTCAGGGTCAACCAATAGGAGCCTGTACAACGAGTGGATTCTAGACTCAGGATCCGACGTTCATGTATACCGACCTAATACACTAGACTACGTTGCGCAACGTTCTCCGCGCCCTAATGAGTCGCTAACTTGCGGCGTTGACAAGTATCCAATCGAGTCAATTGGGACAATCACCATTAACATAATGTCTCCTACAGGACCTACTCACATCGTTCTCACAGACGTTCTCTATGTTCGAGGCTTCATGACTAAAGTGGTCTCATTATCAAGGATAGTAGCTAAGGGTATCCACTTCACAACCTAGGCGCCTCCCGGAATAGGAGAAATGTTCATCCGAGACGGAACCCCAGTGGGTTATATATACAACTATTACAACCACTTAACATTCACACCATACGAACACACAGCATTCGCAACCACAACCACGCAACAACACAAGGAACTCAGTTATCCGGCCTTTACCTGGCATAAGATCTTAGGGCACCCTAGCCTAGACAGTGTCAAACATCTTCCGGATGCCGCCGAGAGAATACAAGTCACAAGAAATAACGCTCCCAGCATAGCGGAATGCGAGACCTGTGTACTTGCAAAATCCAAACAACAGATCTCAAGAATCCTCCACAACAGCGAGGAACGAAGAGACGAACCACTAGGCCGAATAGCCTTTGACATTGTTCATTTCGCAAAGGGATGGGCCACGGATCAATACATGAGCCACTTATGGGACTTTTATACCCATATGAACTATGTTTTCACACATAACAGTCGTTCCCAGGCAGGAGAACTTATCCTAGACTGGTTGGCGATGATCCGAACGCAATTCAACAAGACGCCCGCATTCCTGCGTCTAGACAATGAAACAGCACTAAGCGATAATTTCTATAGCCAACTCCGCAGGCTAAGAATCACCGTCGAACACACAGCCCCTCACACTCCAGCCCAGAACGGGGCTGCGAAGCGTTCCGGGGGCATCATCACGCAAGTGACTAGGGCACTCAAGGTTCAAGGCCATCTCCCTCACTTTTTATGGCCAGAACTAGTCAAAACGGCTGGCTATCTCATCAACAGGACCCCAACAAGGTCGCTGGGATGGAAAACACCCTATGAGGTATCACATGGACGAAAACCTAGCCTCTCGCACCTTCACCCAATAGGTTGCAAAGCATTCATCCACAACAAGCAAGTTCCTAGGCTTAAAAAGCTGAAGGACAGGGCTATAGTCGGCTGGTTAGTCGGCTATAATGCAAGAAATATCTAGCGTGTTTAGATACCTGCAAAACAAAGGATCCTTCGCTCCAGGGATGTGGTGTTTCATGATGATGCATTTTATGATCCCACTAAGGTGCAGACCGCGGAGCAACTCCGTGCCCTTCCCCAGAAACTTATTGAGGTTCTTGACATTGAAGCCCTCGTTCTCGGCGACGACGTTATGGAATCCTCCCCTGACTGGGATCCCCTTGCAGATCCTGATGATCCAAACACTATCATCATCTCCCGCGGTTCATTATCTCAATTGCAAGTTGAGAAAGAAAGAACTCAAGCTGAGGGGGTGAAAATCGCCTTACCCACGCCACGCACAACGCCCGAGGCTAGCACAGCGCCTAGCGCGTCTAGCATTCAACAACCTAGAGTTGCAAACAGCCCTCAGCCTAGCACTCCTTCACAATCCCCTGCAATATCGAATACCCACGAGGCGTCGTCAGACCTCGCCAATCAGGTTGCGCCATTTTCGGTAACTACTCCGGATTCGGCAACTACTACCCGATTAGGCAACTCACGCGACGATGCTCCCACCACATCTCCACGTTCTAGTGAAATATCAGCCAACTTGGATAAGAACAACATCCTTCCATCTCACGAGCGACGTCGACGACAGCCGTCTAGGCGTCACCAGAATTATGCTATACAACTAGCAAGTGATCCTCACAATCTTCACGCATTTCACGCGGCATTTAGCGAGGCATTGAATGAACCGCAAAGGGTTCATAGAGACGACCTTCCTGCCGCGCCGCAGACCTATCGTCAAATGCTGGCACACCCGCACAGGCGCCAATTCGAGGCGGCCATGGACGTTGAATGGAGCCAAGTCTTTCAAAGCAACACAGTCAAACAAGTGGAACGTTCATGCGCCCAAGAAACGCAAGTCATTCCTCTTATATGGGTGTTCACGTATAAATTCGATAACAACGGCTTCCTTGCTAAACACAAAGCGCGCATTTGCGCCCGCGGCGACTTGCAACGTTCTCAGGACGACACATATGCGGTAACCCTTGCACTCAAGACCTTTCGCGCACTCATGGCCATTGCCGCGTTCTTTGACCTCGAAATCTGGCAGGCCGACGCCGTCAACGCCTTCCTTAACTCACCCATGGAAAAGGAGGTCTACATTGAGTATCCTCAAGGTTATTCTAGGCCAGGAAAGATCTTGCGCCTCCTGAAAGCGCTCTATGGTTTGAAGGAATCTCCATTGTTGTGGTACAACACCTTCACTGCGGCGCTCAAGGAACTAGGACTTGCGGAGGTGCCCAATGTCAACTGTCTCTTCCAAGGCGAACAGATTCTAGTCTTCTTTTATGTTGACGATATCATGATTCTTTATCACAAGAGCAAGACGAACGCATTTCACTCCCTAACACGCCGACTAGGAGAACGATTCAAGTTTCGCGTTCTCAACGACACCAATTGGTTCTGCGGCATTCGCATCCTGCGAGACCGCAACAACAGGACTATTCACCTATCGCTCGATTCATATATCGATAAAATTGCAGCCAAGTTTCATGTGCGACAACTTGACCATTTGCCTGATACTCCATTATCAACTAGTGAGTTGCAACCTCATGAAGGACAGGCCTCACCACAAGAGATCCACGTATATCAACAACGTGTTAGATCCATCTCATTTGCCTCATGCGCAACTAGGCCAGACGTCGCCTATGCTCACTCCAAACTAGCCCAATTCCTAGTCAACCCGTCGAGTGCGCACGCCAAGGCCGCGGATAGAGTGATTGCATATCTCTACCGCACGAAACACTTCTCCCTCACGTACAACAGTCAATCTGACCAACACTTCCTCTGCGCGTCGGACGCCTCCTTCGCCGACGACCCTAAGACTAGGAGAAGCTCCGATGGCTACATCCTGACGCTATTCGGAGGGCCCATTGACTGGAGGTCGGGGAAGCAAAAGACGATCACAACGTCCTCCACCGAGGCTGAACTCCTTGCCCTCTCCAATGCGGCGAGCGAAATGATATGGTGGAAGAGAATGTTCGCTGACATCAATCTAGACCTCAAGGAGACCTCGCCCTTGCTCTCCGACAACTTGCAGACTATTCGACTGCTAACCAAGAACGAAAAGCTATCTACAAGACTTCGTCATGTTGATATTCATCGGCATTGGCTTCGACAGGAGGTGCAACAAGGAAAGATCCACCTTGATTGGGCACCAACAAACGACATGATTGCCGACGGCCTCACGAAGGCCTTGCCTAGGCAAAAACACGAGGCTTTCATCAAGCAACTCAACCTCACTGACATCCAGGAAATGCTATCCTGATGTTTCCTCACCAACGACGACGGCATCATTTCCTGAGGGGGTGTGTTGAACAGGCTGAGTTGTGACGGTGTCATTACAACCCCCATACTCGCGCCGAACGCCTCCGAGGAACTCCGCCGCCTAGAACGCTCCTTATTGCGCATTTCGCAACACTCTTTTCACAACTATCGAGTCACTCATTGAACTATATCATGTTGACAGCAATATATAGGCCGGTCTATTGCCAATTATTACCAATTATCGAAGCGCTTGTTGCAACCATTAAGGTTCACAAGGAAAGGGCGACTTGCGGCCTGTGATGAGGCAACGAAAGAGGCCTCGACCGGACAGAGAATAGTCGCTCCTTTTGCCTATATATATCATAGTCCTTGACCTCATAGTTATTGAGGTCAGACTCGTCAATACATCCCATTTAACTCCCATTGTGTGAGCGTTGCACGATAATTCAAAACCATCCGCATCGGGGCTGCCTGAGAAACCTTTCGCGATTCCTTCAACACAAAGACTACGAGTTTTTCCTTTGGCCATTGAGAGCGTCAGTGAGATAGGCGAAAGAGCTAGCCATAGAACACCCTTGTCCTATCATAGCAACTGGCCATAAGAGATATTACTACTCCGTACCTCGCGGTTAATTTAGTTTCTGCCAGACCAAGTCTTTCAGCCTCCCACAAGCTGGTAGAAACAGCCAAAAACAGCCAGAAACAGAGCCTCCGGGATTCTGGGCCTTTTCCTTGGCTTTATTGTTCCTAAAGCCGCGGAGATCCTTTATTCATTCCCTCCGAAATCGCAGTCTCAGTCTCTTAGGTCTTCCTAGATCATCTGCGCTTCGCGATCGCGAGTGATTTATGTCGAAAGAGCCTCTTCCGCAGCTCGGCAGCTAAATGGTCACTGCTTTATCTAATCTCGATAAAATTATCTAATCTAATCGGCAACTTCTAGTCCATCGAAACTACCGCAAAGGGTAAACTTGCTCAAGCTGTCGCGCCTAGTGGATAGGCCAAGATGTAGTATCGCATTCAGCGCTTTGGACTATCTTCTTTAGCTTCAACCCACGGTATGAATGCCTTATAATATCCCCCGTCTAGTTTGAATACCTTAACATGAAGAAAATTAATTAGCCAGTCCGAAGTATGTGGGTGCTTGGTCACTATATGTATATATATAAGGCACATGATTGAGTGTATGTATGCAAGAGAGGTCCTGCTAACCCTTCCGTGAAACTTTTATTGACAGTTGTCTGGAGGCTTAGAGCTCATATATTTCTAACTCTGTAGAGGAGACTCAACATAGAGTTTAGTCAAGGGCCAAGGCAAACAAAGCCTCAAGAATTTTGCATTGGATTCCCACTCGGTCCTGGCTTTGTAAATTGTCTGGCTACAAAGACTAGTTTCCAGAAGGAGTACAGCTAAGGGAAAGTGTAAAATGGTGTCACAAACAGGCAGAGTTGGATCTAAGGCTCGCGCGACATCGGAGAGAGGTCAGCGCTGAATTTTTGAGAACAGTTCCATGATGAGGTTTGATATTGCTTCGTTCGATTCCTTGGCTGGGAGTCTCTATCGATGCGTTGCTATACGAATAAGATATAAAACCTCGGCCTCTTGTTGACCTTCTCAAGATTCTAGTCGTTTGTTCACAAGAGTTACGGGTCTTACTTGCAGCTATTTCTAGTTCATTCCCCAATCCGCTAGGAACGACTATTTAGGAGCATTACCACCGACAAACAACAAACATAGCGCGGACCTTCTTATGTTCTTTGCATCCTGGCTGGCACTGTGGCACAGCATTATGCCTCACTCAGATCCTTTGCCCGTCAATCCAGACCTTGATGTGAATCAAGGTCCAGGAGGCGAACACAGTCCCGTTAAGGACAATCACAATTCCCAAACGGTCTCAGTCGGGGAGGAGCGACCTTCTGCGAAGTCTATGCTCCCTGGCGTTGTCCGTGTCGAGGCTGTCGCGTCTCAACTCACCACTACGAATCGATGGATTCTATTCACCTACGTGTTCCTGTTCGGCTTCTCCTATGGCTTAGACGCTCTTGTTCGCACTACCTATGTAACTTATGCGACTGTGTCCTTTGGGAGTCACTCTCTTCTGGCAACTGTCAACGTTATCAAAGGAGTCGTCGGGGCGGCGATTCAACCCTCGGTTGCCAAACTCGCCGACGCCTTCGGGCGTTTCGAGATCTTCACTCTTGGAGTCACTCTGTACACACTCGGAGCGATAGTGGAGGCAGCCGCTACCAGTATTACTAGTCTTGCTGCTGGGACAATCTTGAGCCAGCTAGGGTACAGCATCTTTGTGCTGACCATCGACATTATTACCGCCGACTTCACCTCAATGAAAACAAGACTGTTCTTCGCCTATATACCTAATTTGCCTTTCATTGTGAATACCTGGATCAGTGGGAACGTCACCTCATCTGTTATGAAAGTGACTACCTGGAAATGGGGCATCGGAATGTTTGCAATCATTATACCTGCTTGCGCCTCACCGTTAATATTACTATTGTTTCTCCTCGGACGAAAAGCCAAAACCTCTTCTGCTGTCGACCAAAGTCAATATCCATCATTTCGAACCATTGGGAGGCTAGCTTGGGAGCTAGACTGGATTGGGATACTGCTGTTAACCAGCTCTCTAGCCCTCATACTGATACCATTGACGCTTGCAGGAGGCGAGAGTCGCAAATGGACTCATGCGGGTATCATAGCTCCCATTGTCCTTGGAGTCCTTATCATGCCTTGCTTCATTCTCTGGGAGCGGAAGGTCTCCTCTCCACTTCTTCCGAGCTACCTTGTCTCTGATCCACTGGTTTGGGGATGTATTTTGATTAACATATTCTATTCCTTTGGATTTATGTGCCATGCAAGCTACCTATTCACGCTGTTGATGGTGTCATACAACTTCACACTTGAAGGCGCTACAAGAGTCTCATCAGTTTCAACTTTCTCCAATGTTTTGACAGCATTCATTGTCTCAATGGTGGTTGTTAAGGCTAGACGTCTAAAGGGATTTATCGTTGGAGGTATCGCTCTCTCCTTCGTTGGATTCGGCTTAACGTATCATTATCGCGGCGGCACGAGTTCTCAATCTGGGTTGATTGGCGCTGAAGTTGTCCTTGGGATTGGTGCGGGACTCTTCGCTTGGTCAGCTCTTGTACTAGGACAGACTGCAGCCAGACATCAACATATCGGAGTGCTAATTGCCATTCTGTTCACCTGCAATAGTATTGGAACGGCGCTTGGCAATTGTATTTCCGGTGCTATCTGGACACAAACTCTCTACGAAGAACTGGCTCACAACCTCGCTCCCTTTGGTAATGCGACATTGGCACCACTGATATACGCTGCTCCTCTGTACGTGGTGCCAGAATATCCTGTGGGCACACCGATTCGAGGCGCAATCATCGAGTCCTATCGACACATTCAACGCCTCCTAACCATCACCTGCCTCTGCATCTACACTCCCATGCTTATTGTGGCACTTTTCCTCCGAGATCCGCGTCTATCTGATCAACAGACTCAACCAGAAGCCGAGTTTGAAGCCAGAGAGAAAACCAGCAGGGAGAGTGATCGACCGCGAAGAACGACGTGGTTATCGTGGCGGCGACATTAGCACAGCTCGGCGGAAATTACGTCGGAGCCTGGCTAGAGAAAATCGCTGGACAGCCGAGTTACGAAGCACTTGTCAAGGAGGCCCTTAAAGCTCCTATTCTGCAGCCCCTTCCGCCTGGGTTCACCTCTTGCTTCTAAGCCCTAACGTACTGACGCAACCCTTGCTATTACTGGTTTACCTGCTTCAGTCACTCTTTTCTCCTCTTCAGGAATCACTCTTTTTGCAACAGAACAGTGTCTCTGTGAGAACGCTCATTGGGATAACTGACTCACCGCGCCAACCTAGGCAGATATTTCTCAATCAAGCCATGGCCGCTTGACGGAAAAGGAGGTGAGGACAGGAAAAGCTTCAATCGGAAGGAAAAATGTCCGTCTGTTTAACAGAAAAGGAGGTGACGACGCGGCACCACGGCTTTGATCTTTTTCTCTTCCCGCTCTGCTATGCTAATATGTTCATGATACACAATGCACTTGCTTCCCTTGCTCTGAGACATACGCGTTAGACGAGCTAGGTCTAACCAATGATGGAGTGCAGGAGATCCGCAACAACATCAAAAACGAGCGGGCGCGAAACCAGTAAAACTCGGGACACTGTACGCCACCGTGGACTCTCGAGGCGCCACGAGATCTACATCCCCCAATTTTCGGACTTGCTTGCCCGGATAGTGCGCAGTACGTACAGAGTCCGAGGTCCGAGCTAGTTTCGTGGAATTCATGGCCGCTGGTTCTTTCTTACGAGAACAGAAGACTACCACGGTGAGATTGAAAATTAAGATAGAAGACGAAGTCATCTTACGTGAAAGCGAACACTATTGTAAATACCTTAGTGAAGATGACTTCGGCGAGAACAGAGAGTCTCGAGACTAGAAAAAACTAGTTAACTGCGGTTGTGGTCACGGTCCGAGGAAGCGTCCTCGTAGTAGGATGGTCGTCCGCTAGTTTCAGAGCGTTCAACCGATGTCCGAGGACGTCACAGCCTCGAGCCGAGACTCAGTCTGCTCTCCTGTATGAGCAGCTGCATAAGATGAACAGGTGGCGAAGGTTAGGCATTGGAGAAGTGTAGGGTGACCAGGTGGAGGTACTGTAGTACTCTCAGAAGACGGCTTCATGGATAGCCGAAATACCTCAACGCCCTCCCACAGGAAGAATTGCAACCCTGATCCACTTGTCTGATTATCATTACTCTAGCCATCTAATCTGTGATAAGATTAGCCAGTTCTGCCGGTGATGCGGACTCGGTCCAGCAGGACTCCGGCTTCAAGGGGTGTCACGTATTTATGTCCGTCGTCGCCCAACCTCCCTGGAGATCTTTTTCAACCCCTCCACCCTCTCTTAGTAGTACGTTCTACCAGTCGAGTACCATGGTCATGGAAGATGAGGTTGTACAGGCCTCGGAACCGCAGGCTGATTCCATGGTAGCTTTTGACAAATCTCGTGGACTTCAGAAAAATGATGCTAGTATATCCGGACCACCGAGCAATTTAGCGGAAACACCGACATGGCAGAAGATCGTGTTATGGATCGGGTGTGTCTCTATCACCTATTGTTTCCAGATTCGGTCTGTAATTGCTGATATTCATGCGTGGACAGCATCAGTCTCACATCCTACGCCAATGGGCTTGATAACTTCACCATGTCCGTGTACCTAAATACAGCGGCCTCAGAATTCAAGGGCATCGTCCAGTACTCTACATTGACCGTGGTGCAAAGCATGATCCTGGCGGCAGGCAAACCGATTTTTGCCAAAGTTGCCGATGTTATTGGTCGAGCGGCGACGCTGGCATTCTCGGTGACCATCTTCACGGTCGGTACCATCACCATCTCGTCGTCGCAGAACATCAGCGGTCTGGCAGTGGGAATGGTTTTCTTTTCCCTAGGCAACACCGGGGTCACTTTCGTCCTGCAGCTCGTGGTGGCGGATCTAACGTCCCCTCGCTGGCGGTGCACCATCTCTAACGTGCTGTCCATTCACTTTATCATTAATTTTGGCGTCGCGTCCAAGATCACCAACGCGCTGGTGCCGCAGAATTGGCGGTGGGGGGGTAGGTATGTTCACCATCATCAACCCCTGCGTGACAGGACCTATCGTTGCCGTCCTGGGATGGCAGCAGTACCAGTCGGTCCGTCGAGGCGCCATCCGCAAGTACCCTTACGAGGGGTTGGGATTCTGGAGCTCCGCTTGGTCGTTTGTCGTCGACATTGACCTTCTCGGATTGATGTGCTTTGCCGGCGGTTTCCTCCTTCTCCTCATCCCCTTGACCATCGCCGACAAGGCACCCGATGGCTACAAGAGCGGCTATATCATCGCCATGTTTGTCCTGGGCGGGGTCTTGCTCCTGATATGGCCGCTTATCGAACTCCGGATGCCGCGCCCATTGGTGCGACTGCGTACCTTCTTCACCAATTTGGATATTATTGTCCCTGCAGCCATCCTCTTCGTCGACCAGTTTTCCGTGTCGATGACCATGACGCCAGCATTCCAGTGGATCGAAATCACCCACGGTTGGAGCACAGGCGATGCGACCTACTTCCTCTACACCCAGTCGGTGTGCCTAGTCGTCTTCAGTGTCCTGGCCGGCTCACTTGCCACGTACACCGGGCACTATAAGCGGGTATGTAACGCCGGCGCCTGCATTCGCATAATGGGCCTGGGTCTGATGTTGAAATACCGCACATCCCACGCTACCACATTCCAAGTGGTGATACCCCAGGTTCTCATGGGCCTCGGCGGCGGGCTCATGACTGCCAACATGGCTGTAGTCGCTCAGGCTGCAGTACCCCACGATGAGCTCTCCATCGTGACTGGATTCGTGCTGCTGATTCTCGAGCTTGGCTCTGCTATCGGCAGCGCAGTTGTCGGGGCCGTGCAACAGACGCTCCGCGCCAGCCTGCACCACTATCTAGATCCTGTCACCGGTGGCAACGCCACCGTGGTCAATCTCATCTACGCCGAGGGTAGTCGCGCCGTCGCCGATTTCCCGTTGGGCGACCCAATCCGTGACGCGACTGTCGACGCGTGGGCCGATAATATGCACAAGATGATCATCGGCGCAATTACCCTGGCCGCGGTGAACCTCGTCACCTGTCTGATTCTACCCGACCATGTATTGAAGGACAAACAACAGAATAACGTGGAAAGCCGAAGTGTCGGAATTCTGCCTCCACGAGCGGTTCTACATGAGTCAAACCGACGCACATACAGCGAAGGTTGACTTCGTGTGGGAGGTAGGGTTTGTTCTACCGTGAGTGGCCGAAGAATATGCGAGGATTTCTGAGTCTACATCCAGCTACTGTTAGATTGCTGTGACACCGGTGCAGTTCGAGGGCCAGGCCTCTCTTTCCCACTTCCCAGGTGGGCAAAGTCAGGCTTTCCATTGTGTAGAACTAGGCAAGCGAGACCGAGGAAACCTTCAACTTGCTAGGCTGAACCAGCTAATCTGCTTCACACTGGGAGGCACAGTACAGTATTGTGTCTAAATGTTCTATCTTTATCTTCTACATAAGATATGAAATCTTCGCTTAACCCAGATTGTTGATTGGCGGTTGTTGATTAGAGTGGGGGGTAGGTTGCGCTCTACTAAGCTCTGTGGATGTCGCAGGATGACCATCGTCGTCGTGCGTTGGCTTGAGCACGAGCATTCTTCGGTTTTTTTTTTGTCAAAATTAGCCAACAAAGATGTCTCACCTCTAACTTCAACCGTCCAAGTGCAGGCATCACTGTTGACAACGTTGGCTGGCTGGCCGATATCGCAGATGTCTCTTAAGCCGAATCGAAGTAGATATATATCTATATACTGGCAGATACACACCGAGTTAGAATCACTACAGCAACTACAGAGCAGCCACGACCACAAGCTTTAGCAATGGCGTCTACTAGGACCGACTCGACCCCTCCCACGGCCAATCCGCTTCAAGGCGTTCCCTCTCATGTCGTCGACCTGCTCACTCGGCTTCACGACGAGTCTCTACGGCAGGAGAATGCCCTGACGCGCGACGATTTTAAAAAAGCCACTATGGAAGAGGTCATGCGCGATAAATTCATCGCACTGGACCGGGATAAGGCCGAATTCGTCTACCAGCTATGCCGTGCCACCGGAGCCGAGACCATCGTCGAAGCCGGCACCTCGTTCGGGGTCAGCACCATCTACCTTGCCCTCGCGGCGTCAGCCAATGCCTCGCGAACAGGCCGCCGTGCACGCGTCATAGCCACCGAGTACGAGCCCACGAAGGCTGCCCGGGCGAGAGAATACTGGGCCGAGTGCGGCAGGACTGTTACAGACGCAATCGACCTGCGGGAGGGCGACTTACGCGAGACGCTGAAGACGGATCTGGAGAATGTCGACCTATTGCTTCTCGACAGTAAGTATTTTTATTTCTCGTAACCGTGTCTCGGTGCTTTTCCCTTGCACTCGCTCTTTTCAACCAAGGGTTCTTGTTATGCAACGCTCAGTTCTAGGCAATGTCGGGGGGCTAAATGGGATGTATTGACGAGTCTGACCTCCCTCTCTCGAAGGGAGATCTCTATCTATTATATAGACAAAAGGAGCGTTGCAAGGGAGGGCTTTCTCGCCGTCGCACAGCACGCCGCGTGGAGCCATCGGCCGTCCTCGGGCGACGTTCTATCGGGCGACGTTCTAGACGGGGAGAAAGCCTCCTTGTGAAGTCCGAGAATATAGTCATATATGACTAAAAACAGTGAATTGATGGTGTTGCAAAAGTTGCAAGGAACGTGAGGGCGTCGGCGTTCCGCCGAAGGCGCTAAGGCGCTAGGCGAGAGTATTTGGCTTGTAAAGACGGTCACTGACAGCGCCCGCAACTCAGCCTAGTCCAACAGTTCTTTCTCCCTTCCTACGTTTAATTAGAGTATCCAAGACAAGGCTAAGCTCTATATCTCTAGTCTGGACTCCTGTGGCCCTTCCAACGTTGAAAATCGTGGAACCTAAGATGCGGTACGGGGCCGTAGTCATCACGGACAACACAATTGGTGCTGCGCGGGGTTATAAGGACATGCTGGAGTATCTGCGAAACCCGGAGAGTTGCTACATCAACATGACCCTTCCCTTCAGCAAGGGCTTGGAGATGAGCGTATATTTGCCTTGAAACTGAGACATGGTACGATGGCTCCGAAGCTCTGCGGCTATCCATCGGAGTCAACGACCTTCGTGATATATAGTGTTGAACAGGTTGACTTGCGGATATTCCGCCAACCACCTCTTTAGGGCCCCTATATTTGGCACGGCTTGCAACTCCGGCTGACGCAGTCGCCCCGATGCTCCTTGTTGCTTCCGTAACTTTTACTAACCCCCTCTTCAACTCACTTAGATTCACTATATTTGGCTACAACATGGACTTCACTATGATGGATCAGCTCTCGTCGACGCCTAGATAACTTCTCTTCGACCCCTATGTGGCGGAGAGGAATCCTGCAATAGGGAGTAAAATTTGCGCTCTTTAGCCGTATAAATTCTAGCGGACCCGAAATCATACAGTATGTGATTCAGGCAAGAATGGTTGAGCTTGTCAGAAATTGTAAGGAATACTGTTGCTTCCAAACTCAATTGAAAGTGATGAAGTGAGTACTTGATATGTCTCTAGGCACCTTGTCGTGAGCAGACCCGTCACGATTGGATGCCACCACAGGGTTCGCTTCCCCCATTGTCGGCCTCGGTCGTGGTGAATCGGTCATCACATAGAGTCCTGATTCTGGTATTCCACTACTTGTGTCTGTCCGCGAGAACGTTTAGCATTCACCCATATTGCGAGGCAAGCTCCACAGTTTGGACAGAAGTGCCGGACGTCCTTTGTTCCATTCGTGAGATATGGGAGTGGAGTGAGTAATATCGTTGAGATGAACAAGAGTCGAGCTGACCGTCTGGGCAGGGAGATCAGGTCGTGATGTATTTCAGCTTGGAGGACCGGTTGCCACTTACCTGGTCCGACGACCGGGGATATGTTCGATTCTTGTCGTTCCTTGGAATCCACAGCAGAGACACCGCACGGGTGCAGGAACATCTCGCAGCTGGTCCAGGGGTACGAGTCGGAGTGGCATTGACGCGCCTTGCGGGACATATGGTTGCGTGAACCTTTGGGTTGGCTCGGCACCATATTCAGGTGGCGGATACTCAACTTGCCGACCTAGAAACATAACATGTTAGGGCGTGCTCTAACAGGACCAAGGGAGTCGAAAAACTAGCCGTCCAAAACACCAGATCCGCTCTCTCCTGCGCTCGTCGCTGAGCGTTCAGTCTCGTATTTTTGGATCATTTGCAATTAGTCGAAGATGGGGAACAAAGGTTTTACGCTGTAGCGAAGTGCGTGAAATCGATGAGAGTTTGCAGAGGAACCCATTGAAACATATAGCAAGCCCTTTTGGACGACCCGAGGTCTTGAGAGAAAGAGGCTGTGCAAGTCAATCAGCACAGGCAAGGCATATGTGGCAGGGGGAGCGAGGGTAGGTGACACAAACTCACTTTGCGTATCTTTCTGGTTTGGCCACCTCGCGAAATGACCCGAATCCGGTAACTTCGTGGGTCTTGGTCGTAGTCGGGGCGGCACCCTCATTGGATAATGCGCACAGACCTTGCTCGGACCACGACTTCAGGGAAGACATGAAGTTACTTATGCGTGAGGAGACAGTCCCACGACATATCTCTTGTTGACCACGTCTGCGGAAAAGGTTTCTCTTAGCTAACAGTCTTCTTCGGCCTTTATGGAGACACAAGAGCACCTCCCAAGAGCCTCCAGTCTGACGGGCCTACATATATAGATAGTGTTTGAGTGAAACCGCTTTTGAGGTGCTGGAAAACATGTACGAGTCAGTATTACTCTCTCATCAACTCCTCATGATGCACTCTAGCTCCATCGTCGCTGTAGCGAAACTAGTGGTGTATATACCATTGATTGTCCCTTCTTTTTCGTTTGTTCTCGCCACTGGTTCAGTCGGGCCTCAGTGTTAGGAATGCCTCAAGAAACAGACAGAGTGATAACACAATAGAGGGTGGAAGTAATCCTATCTAGAGGGTGCGCCCCAAAACAAGACTCTAAGCATAAGGAAGAGAAGTTACTCGTGCGGGTAGCTTGCGTGAAAAGTGCGAAGCTCAGGGGTTCGCTAAGCTATATCGGTGTGAGGGTCTTCTTGGCCTGCATTCTCAGTGAGTGTTACTCCCTGAGCGTCTTCTAGAACATCTATCCTGAGTTGCGCTTATGAAATAAAGCGTTATGTATAATGGAGGCGTTGCGGCGACGGGCGACGGAGGTGAGAAAGATAACAGGTTGATGGGTAGAGACTTTGGGGGCGAGGGTTGTTATACAAAAATAGGTAGACATCAAAAGCAGCGGTGCGCCCAGCCCGTGACCATGCCCGAAGGGCCAGGACCGTCTACTCTAGCCTGTAGGTATGTAAACCGAAGGCGGATGTCCTGGCAACAACTTTACTGTATGTAGAAGTAGAAAGAGTGTGAAGGGGCTTTCCTGGAATGAATCCTCAACCAGGTTATACAGCTCCGTTACTGTAGATACAGTATTGTAACGAGAAGCGAACACCCGGGGTGCCGCGGCCCTTCATTGGGCCCTCCTGAGGCCTCCTTTACCCGGGCGGGCCCGCGGCTGACGTTCCACCCGGCCGGGAGCGTGGGGTGGTCCGACTCCCGCTTTGCCCCAGATACGGCTTCGAACTACTGTAGACTCAGGGCGGTGAACTCGAACGGACCTCTCTCTCCGCGCGTTCCCCCAACGTCTCCGTTTCGCTCACAACCTCGCGAGCTCCTCTATTCATTTCTTCAATCCATGTGTAGAACGGAGCGACAGTCAGGAAACCCAGATGCAGCTGCGCCAAACCGGCCGGGGCCCACTATTATTTACCTCCAATACCTTTGGTCTTGTCGACGGACGTTGTGTTCCCTGCCCCAGATCTCCCGACGATGGCCTCGCACTGCTGCTCCTCCGTGTCACTGGTACCCCAGTAGTCCACGTAGTCAAATGTTTGACTCAACGGTGCTTGTACTTGTACATGACAAAGTAGATCATGGTATTGATTCTTAATGAATGCTATCGAGGCTCTGTTGATAGACTCCTGCTCCGCTTGAACTGATGCGAAATCGGATAATGCCCTGAGCTTCCATCAGAGAACTGGTGACCCCGATCCTCCCTCTGATGTCTGGTCCGTGGTTGATCACGAGTTGTTCAAAGAGTGTGCCATCATAGGTGGCAGCCGATAGTACCTCTTTCCGTACAAAACCCAATAGGCCCCGGCGTACAAGAACATCACAACCAAGACAGGCGACAGGTAGTTCATTCCCGAGGCCGTGACCGGCAGATAATAAGGGAAGCAGTAAAACACCGTTGAAACGGTCGACCATGCTACCACGACAACGTTGGAAAAGAGCCCGAGGCGTGGGAACCAGAAAGATCCGTGTGCGAATTTCGACCGACCGTGATACAGGAGTAAGATGACTGAGGTGGAGTAGGTGATATTTTGTAGGACGATTCCACCGCTGACGAACGAATTAAACGCCAGAGGAGATCCCATGTAAAGGCAGCCGAGGATCGACGTCCAGATGCAAGACCATAGATGGGCCCACAGCGGAGTTCTGAACGGAGGTTTCGCGACACTTCCGAGATGGCGTGAAAAGGGGAAACCGTGGTCACGGCTGAAGGCCCAGGCCAGGCGGGATTGCCAGGTATGGATGCCAGCAACACCCACAACGTTGCAACAGACCAGTAAAGACTCAATGCCAAGAGCACCGTTGGTGTTGCCGTTCAGGGCCTGGTAGAAGACCTGGAGACTCGGGGGAACAAATGTGGCTACCAGACCGTCCACGTCGTTGACCGCGTACCAGATGGCGATTGCGAACGGGAAGCCCGTCAACAGGCCAAGGCCGACGGTCCAAAGGAGCACCTTTGGAATGTTCTTCGCTGGATTGGGGATCTCGTCGGCCATGTGCGTGCACGAGTCCAGACAGGAAAAGCACCAGTGAATGGCACTGATGCCGATCATCCAAGCGATCCCGTCGTTCCAGCCGGATTCGTTCCTGATTTCCGTAAACACAAACGCCGCGGACTGCTTCCTGGATACGGCGAGGATGGAGATGAACATGATGATGAACGTCGTGACCGGAAGAACGAGGCAGACCTTCCCGAGGTACGGCAGCAGGCGTTCAAACAAGTTGAGGCAGAATATCCCCCACGTGGTGATTTGGTAGCCGACGAAACCCATCCACGTCTTGTACTCAAAGTCTGGATTCTTGAGGCTGGTCATGCCCAAAATCATCAGTGGGATCGTGAGGCTGCCTGAGGCTCCCGTGAAGACAGCACCACCCCACGAAAGTATGCCCGTCAAATACGACAGAGGACGTCGAATCCTGGGCGGCGCAAGCTGGGCGACCCAGAAGTACTGGCCACCAGAGTGTGGCATGGCGGATGCGAGTTCTCCGAGACTTATGGCAACACAAAATCCCACAAAGCCCATCAACAGTGTTCCCCATACGTAGAGAGGAGCGCCGCCCGAATAGGCGCCGCTGGCTAGGCCGATGATGAGCGAAATAGCGGTGTTGGTGATGCTGTAGGCAATGCCGAGAAGTGAAAACAACGAGAATGGCTGCTCTATAATTGGTATCGACTGGCTTTCCTCAGCGGCGAAGGCGTCGGTCGACGAGGTCGCATTTTTCTCGCCTGCTCCAGCGGTGAATGTCTCTTGGTTTGGAGTCTTGTCTGACATGGTGGTGGTAGAAGTATGAAGGTGAGCTGACTAGCCTGTCTCGCACTTTTTTGCCTCGCACTTAGAACAAGCAAACAAAGTTAAAGCTAGATGCCATAATAGAGTGTATGCTTTTGCAAATCCATTTGGGTCTGGGGTAGACACCGAACGGATAACACAGTACAGTAAGTTTGTCCTCCGAGTTGAGGGTGGATGAGTCTGGTGGGGTGGGCGGGGACGTGCTCCGCCGGGCCGACAGATAAGCACCACCACTATTGAGCTTCTCTGGCTGATGCAGTAGTTGGTTGGTTACAATAGCTTCCCCGCAGAGCCGAAGCGTCCTTCGGCTTATCAAGTTATCACTCGCTCAGCTCAGTCATGCCACATGCAGGTTAGATGATTGGTAAATCACTGTTAGGTACGCCGACAAATCAGTCCGCATCTTCGCCTAATTCAGCATGAGTGTGAGCGCCCCGCCTTCGAGTCTTGCGAGTTCCAGAACAGCTGGCTAGGTGTACATAGATCAACCTCGTATCCGAGGATCCCAAAATGTACGGGAATTACTGTATTATTCAGATAGTGTCGAACGTTTTCTCAATCCAAGACGCCGAGCTATTGACAAAATGTCGAATACAAGTGTGATCACCCTGGACTCAACCGTGCCAGCCGCCGAATCGTCGTCCGTCACCATCAAAACCGAGGGGGAAAATAAACCGGCCCTGTCTGAATACAATGCTTCTTCAACATCGTCCTCGGAACTCGTCGCGGCCATTTGTCGTGACGGAGGCGTCATCGTCCGGAACTTTGCTTCCAACTCGACCCTTGGCGCCCTCGAGCAGGAGCTTCGACCTCACCTCGAAGCCGACGAAGGCTATGAGGGCGAATTCTTTTCCAAGGAAACCCGGAAAGCCCAAGGCCTTGCGGGCAGGTCACCAACCTTCTGCAAGGACATTCTTGCCAACGATCTGTGGCGCGGGGTCTACGAAACATTTCTCACCACCACGACCAAATCATGGACTGGTGATACGCTCCACGAATGCGTTTCTCGCCCTCAGCTCAGTTCTTGTGCGGTGATTGCTATCCGTCCAGGCGGCAAAGCACAACCCCTCCACCGGGATGATATGGTGCATCATGTGGACAATCCAGCCATCACAGCTGACCAATATCAAATTGGAAGAGACACAAGCGTTGGTCTCTTCCTGGCGGGAACCAAGACTACAAGGAAAAACGGAGCCACGCGATTCCAACCGGGAAGTCATCTGCAGGCGACAATAAATCCGCCCAACGAGCAAGACTCGGTCTACGCAGAATTGGAGGCGGGCGATGCTTTCATGATGCTGGCGTCCTGCTACCATGGCGGATCTGCGAACAAGACTGCGGACGAGGAAAGAGTAGTTTATATTCACTTCATGATCAAGGGATATCTACGTCAGGTAAGTGTGCGCTGCTGTTTCCAGCCTCTGACACTCCTGTTTACCTCTTCTGTTGAAAGTGATATCTTTTCTTAAGACGTCTTAACTCGCCCCTAGGAGGAGAATCAATACCTGGCGGTTCCGCGAGAGCAATTGCTCCAATACCCCGAATTCGTCCAACGGAAAATTGGCTACGAAATCAGCGAGCCTTATCTTGGCTGGGTGAATTTGGCCGACCCGCTAAAGTTCGTAAAAGGGGAGGAGACGCAAATGAGTGATTTATACTGATTGCTGGGACGGCGCAAACCCGACCGGGGAGCCATGCTTTGCATTTTGAAGAAAAGATGGTAAAGATATGCCAGTTCGGCTTTCCTGTTATGACGACAAGGGTCAAGGAAGGAATGGAGCTCTTGCTCCACCGTCCTGACTCTGATCGATATGTGGAGAAACATCGACCTGATGATTCTTCCCGGGCAGAGTCAGTTGGAAACCTTGGCTTCATAATGCCCTTTTCGATTCAGTGATGTTCCAGAAGCGTGACAGTGTACCAAGCACACCGCCTGGTAGTGAAATGGATCGCATTGCATCTTCATCTGTGGGAAGAGGATACGTGACTCACTTTGGACTCGCAGCTGTATCGATGACTCCGATGGTCGGAACATTGTATGTCCCACATTAGTTCAGGCAGACTTGATTTTCAATGGGGTTTAAGCAGACCACCAGGTCGGGATCATAAGTTTACGAGACATGGGTTTTTGCCGCGAGAGGCATTTTCTTGAGCGCGACGGAAACGGTTCAACTCTTTCAGGTTGTAGAAGTAAGCTCGCCAGACGTGTGGAGGGCCGTTGTTGTGCTTGATATTGACTTCGACAAAGGTGTACGAGCAGCTGCATGAGCATACATGGCCACATTCAGGGAGCTGATGGATTCTTGCTGTGAGTTGATCAGTTCTTCGAGGAAGCGGGTAGCAGGCGTTCGAGCGTGATCGATGGTGTCAAGAGTGCTGGATGGATCATCTTCGTGCCCAGGTACCTGGATCAGTCGTTCCCTTGGAGTCTCTCTCTGACGGTCGGTATATGGGATTGTCGTCAGAGATGCTGATCGCATAATCTCGAATACCTGTCCGCGACGACTTCTCCAACACCGCCCTCCCTGAGAGCAATTACACCTGGCGGCGCGGTCAGAATCTTCATGTCACTCTCTCTTGAGCCTGGCCTGCTGCGCCTTCGATCGCCCGGTCGAGAAAAAGCTGAAGTTTGCCCTGCTCGAGGGCGTCAGCCTCTTCGGGCACAGGGAGAATGGCATCCGTCAGGCAGACCGACCCGGAGAGGCGTCCGGACACGACTGGGTTCTCCACCGTGGCCATAGAGCATGTCCACGGGTTCGCTGAGGGTCGTGGGTACCCCGAAGAGATTGTCCACAACAAGGCGCTGTTCCCAAAAGCTTTACTCGAACGTCACGAGAGGTGCGGATTAAACAGTACGTTTAGTCATCATCCATTTGTCGAGAGACGATTGGTTGCATTTTCCACGACACCTTCTTCACACAGCCGGCGTCTTTCCGGTCGTTGAACGTGGCAGGGAAGATGATACAGTAGGAATTCGCGATAATGGGTCGTTGAATGTACAATCGTCACTCACCTACAATTCCTTCCATGGTACTCGGTGGAACATCGGTATTTATCATTGTACTCGTACTCGTTGAAGCCCCCAAAAAATGGGATGTTCAAAAGAACGGACGCCATCATGACTACTACGAGGGCACCTAGAGTTCAGGTAGGTACTAGATAGAGGTAGGCAGTAGATATAGGCGCCGAACAGTACAACTCAATTAGGTACAGTTGAACGAATGATGTGGGTGTACATCATATTTCCACCATCTCCTCGTTTCCACCTCCAGACGACAATAACAAGAGACTTTGGATACTCCGCCTCCGTCCTCTCCGCACTAGGCAGGTATGTACCTACATATGTACCTTGTATATACTCCCGTAAACGCCCCACGGAACCCTCACACGCAAGGGGAAGCCTTGCTCGCAGTCAATGAAGCTACAATGGAGGGTGCTGAACGACATAGTTTGTGTTGTCCTTTGAAGCAAAAAAGGTATCCGTACATCGCTCCATGGATCTCAAACTTGATGACGATGATGAGTAAAAGACCGCACCGGTACGACAACTTCCCTCCCCATATTGCCATGGGTCCAACTCATGCTTTTCTTCCACAATGGCATATCTCGACCCTTCCCAGGGCCGGCCTTATATACAGTCTTGTCGAGACCATCCACGCACCTCCTCTCAACACTCTGTCCTCCACTTGTCGTCGCGCGCCGCCCATTCTATCTCGTGCCATCCCCCACCTTCACAGCCAGAAAGGAGTTTTGATCTAAAAACCAGAAAACGTAAAATGGGGGCACCGACAGCCACGCGGGTGCCAGATCAAACCAGGGCAGGAAATGGAAGGAGGAGAAGGAGAAAGAGGTGCCTCTCCTCGTGCACATATGAAAAATAAAACTCCAGAAGAACGGAAAGAATGTCGCCTCCGTGCGCCCAACGCCACGCCCCGGGTTCCACAACAAAGCAAGGCCTGTACTGACACTCCCAGAGACATAGTCGGCTCCGAAGTTCAACTGTCCACTGAATATTGTGGGAATGTCTCAGACCGATTTGCGAAGTTTCGAGTAAACTCGTACTCTGGTCGATACATGCTATCACATGATAATGCATCGACACCCCGGGCTTCTGGTCTCGGTTTCACGGTTCCCCGCCATTGAAGACTTGCCGCCTTTCGCATCCTCATCCTCGATATAATCCTGGGGTTTGATGGTCATATGCAACACATTTGGCGATTCCGTACCAAACTTGTAATCTGCAAGAAAAGGCTGTTAGCAAGAAAAGACGTGCCGAGCAAGCGGAAAATTATTATACCTTTCAAGGACGCCTTATCATCCAACATTTTGCCCATGCTAATCAGTCGGATGTAGTTTGGACTGCTGGGTTTCGCTTCCCACTCTTCCCTCCATTCGCGGAGGATCAACTCTTTTAATTTGTATACACTGAGATTGAACGGGTCGTTCTCAGCCACCTCGACGTTCCTTTTGATCAGATACTTGTTGTCTAGTCGGAACGGGTGCCGCGCTCCCGAAGTGAGCAGTAATGTCACCACCAGAACTGGGCCCGTGACCTCGATATCCTTTGCCGGAACCACTGGTGAATCTGAAGACGGGCCAATTGCCGTTGTATGCGTCCGCGTGAGAGCTGGCGAATCGACGACCGCTGACGGAGGAAGCGGGGGAGGAGGGTGCAGGGACTGTGAGATGGCGGTGTGTGTGTCTGTTCTCACGGGGCCGGTCATGAAGGGTTCCGACGAGGCCGTGTCTTGTTGTGATGAGGAGGAGGGCTCTGCTTCGGTGGTTGGGGGGTTGGTCTTTGGTAGACTAGACATCTCGACGGGAGTAGATGTGGTCGTCTCTTTTTGCGTGCGTGGCTGTTGAGGAATGTCTTGAGCAGAAGTTCGAGACTCTCCTTGCTGGAACTGTTCAGCAGCAGTGTTGGCAGAACTCATGGCCAGAAATCGCGTTCGACAGTAGGAATCAGGAGGGAATTCGGAGGTGCTATATCTCGACCGATGACTGGACACGCGGCTGTGGGAGCATGAAGCGAGCGACGGTACGGAGCAGATGCGGCAATTCTGCAGTGTTTGATCAAAGGTGTCGCAAGATCCAGCTTGAACGGGGAAATGAAGCAGGGTGCGGAGGTGTGACAGATGATCGGATGCGACCTAGTCCGCTGGAGGATAAGCGAGCAACAGAGACAAAGTAGTCGTCGACGTAGGGCTTGCAGACGGTCAATGCATGGTTGAGATGCTCTGCTAACGATGGAATTGCTGTTCACGTGGGAAGATGGATGACGGACAGATAAACAGATGACGGTTGATTCGACTCGATCAAGTTCGTAGCGAATGGATGATGAGATGGAAGAGATGGAAGTGGACTGGTGAGACTGCGAGTAGCGTCAAAGTTGGATGGATGGATGGATTGATCATCAATCAAGGTGGGTGAGGATGCGATGGATTGAACTGGGGGAGCCGAGACTGGCCCAGGATTCTGACTTCAAAAACGGGAAGGAGTCAAGAAAGCAGGGAATCGACAGCCCAAAGCCAGCGGGAGCCTTTTAACTTTGGCCTCTTTTGCATGCCTACGACTCTGTCTCCGGCCCACCGGCGAGGGTGCGGCTCATTATCAGGCGTGGGTGAGCCTGAGCAAAGCCACTAAACCGCCGTGTGGGTAGTTTCGATGGGCATGACAGCTTTTGCTTTTAGGGGCGGCAGAGCACATGTGCCAGGTGGGCTAGTAAGGCATGGGGTACGAGTACAGGCTGCGGTCAGCACGTTTACAGGGGCTCCATAGGGGCCTGGACACCCAATACCTCCTCTTTAGTACAGGTACTTTAGGTGGCGATGTGGCCTGTGCGAGTATAAGCTGAACCTGACTAACTCAGAGTACCCACCTAACCTAGGTAGGTACAATGCAAGGCCCCTTAGGCTGGCGAGGCCCGAGGTGGACACACCCTGGGGCTCCGTCTCAGCCTCAAAGGCTTGTGTCTTACCACATGTCCCTTGCCCGGATCTGTCAGCCTTTGCTCAAGTAGGATGTGTGCACATTCTGTATCACGAGTCCATAACTGCCCGTCCGTCGTTCTAGACTCAATCATGACTAATAATAAGAGATCCAACCGGCAACTCCCGGAGAGTGCAATGAGGCGCTACGTTCAATGAAATCGGCATACTCCCTAGAAATCGCGGAAATGTATTGCAGTATATATCTTCGCACACAGCGAACGTCAGAAGACCTGCTACCCCTCTCCAGGGACGGTGAGGTAAGGCGGTAAGAAGTCGAGAGAAGTCAACTCACACCCATTCGGCATACTGACCAACATCTTCCCGCCGCATTCCCTCGTTCGCCTGCTTGACCCCGAGCAGCCTGACATGACCTATCGTCGCACCTGAATCATCCCTGCCCTTCCAGCCTTCCAGCTTTTCACGCAGCTGACGAACAACCTCGACATCATTCCTGATCAGAAGCGCGACGGCATCATACCCGCCAGCGCCAGGGGCGACGCCTCCCACGACGCCGGGCAACGAGGTGCAGTAGTCGAGCAGTTCTGTGATGACAGGGGGCTCAACGGGCACCTCGGACTTTGCCGACATCTCTCGCACGAGGCTGCGAACAGTCAAAAGGATATCACTGAGACCCTTGAGCCCATCCATTCCTTGAAGTCCCTCGGCTTCGTCTGCAAGCCGCCGCAGTTCCCGACATAGGTCCTCGCTCCCCCGCTGAATGGCATTCCACAGCAAATCTGCCTCGTCTGGCTTTTCTTTCCGCCATTGCAGAACCTTCCGCACCATCCCAGGCGTTTCCGAGCCACAGTCGACGTCGCACATGACCAATATGAGACTGTCGGGGATCTTGACAGCGTGAGCAGCGACCTCGACATCCCATCTGGGGTTCAGCTCGAGATCATCAACACATAAACGCAATCGGTCCCTGAACCCAGGACTGGACGGCTCCCCGACAGTCTCCAGGATCGCTGGCGTGAATCTTCTGTAAAGACACGACCCATACACGGCCGCCGCGACGTCGAACCCCGACCCGACTTTCCCCTGTGCCGCACAGTGCGCGGCCTGAGCTAGATTGTGAATGACCTTTTGCGGCAGCAACGCAGCGCCGTCGCAGCTGTCTTTGAGGTAAAACGCCAATAGAGCAGCCACCAAAGACGTGACCAGGGCCGCAGACGAGCCCAGCCCGGTCTTGTGCGCATCCTTCAACTTGACGCCGAAGCTCGAAAAAGACGCCGCCGAAGCCTTGGACGCCGCAGTCGATTGTGAATAGTAGTCGTCGTCAGCGAGAATAGTAATCTTGGTGCTCGTCGTGATATCCTCGTCCTCGCCTCGACACGAAACGTAGCTCAAGACATAGCGGAGAGTCGTCTCGACAAATTTGTTCGTGTTGGTGGTGGTCGACGTCTCGCCGTCCTGGTCCAGTACAATTTGCTCAACACCGACAGCGACACCTTCTTGGAGAGTTTTTGAGCCGTCGACTTTGTAAAGCCATTTTGCCTCGATGAACTGGGGTGACTGGACGAGAACATGCGTCCCCGTCAACGAGCTTGGTTTGTCAGTCCAGGCTTCGACACGGGCGTGGATCCGAGCGTTGAGGCCGAATACGACTCCGGTGTGTTTTCTGTCGAGAACCAAGAACCCGCCTGCGAACAAGACCTTGCCCGGTGCCGACACGGCGACCGCTGACGGTGACATCGAAGTCGTCGAGGATCAGGAAAACAAGGAAAAAGGGGGTCGGTCCATAGCGACAACCTTGAGAACCCGTTTCACGAAAGGAAACGAACGGTGTGTCCGCGCCGCTTTTACCCGCCCACCCAATTTGGAGCGACCATCTGCGCTTGGCGGGATTGGTTGTCCCCGTTCAAATGTCGACCAAGGTATCTCATGTACATACATACATACATCCCTATGTACAAATTGATTAGTCTCGTCGCCAAAGTACAGTACGTAACGGCAGTCGCTCCCGTCGGCCTCGGTGCAACACAAAGAATCTCAGCATCATGCCACAACGCTGGATTCCAGTACGGTGGCCGTGCGAAGCAAGAAGACCAAGAACCGTGCATTGAGTTTGTGCAAGAAATTTGTCAGCGCTCACCCCTTCGGCATACCTGATGCAGTACGATGCGGAGAAAACGACTGGAACATTCCGAAACTCATGCTCTGCTGCAATCTCATACTACGAGTGCTCTTTCGAGCTCGGCGTCCTAGGATCCCCGCCGTTGCAGAGGGGGTGCCATTTCTTGAAGCTACGCCAGCCAAGTCGGGGATTCCAAGCTCCAGACATCAACGCAGGTGACTTTTCTTGCTTCCAAGGTCTTCTGGGACCGACCGACGGACACGGCATGATTATTTGACCGCATCTGTTGGTTGGCCATCGATGAGACTCTTTCGATGGGCAAGCAAAAGATGACGAAGAACGTATAAATCCAGGGTAGGCCAAGAGGACAATGATCCCAAGACTTGGAAATCAAGTCGGATGTAAACGGGATCGCAGGAATAGGCAACCCGACCTAATTGTTCCTCTAAGTGTCCAAGACAAGACATCGATCCTGAGCCAAACCTTTGACAAAAAGGCAGGAAGAAGCCTCTCCAGCAAAACCACCCCGAAAAGATGAAGGTCGCCGTCGCAGGAACCGGCGACGTAGCAAGTTACCTCATTGAGGAACTGGGCAACTACGGCCACGAAGTCGTCGTCCTGACACGGTCCTCGAGAGCCGAGCGGAGCTTCGAACAGCGCGAGACCGACTACACGGTCTCGTCTCTCGTGTCGGTCCTCCACGACTGCGAGGCGCTGGTCTCGACGGTGGCCGACTACAGCAACCTCGCCGTCGGCGTGGAGGCCCATCTGAACATGCTCGAGGCGTGCCTCGAGTCCGCCAAGTGCAAGACCTTCGTCCCCTCTGAATGGACGTGCGACACGCAGACGTACCCGGACGAGCCCAGCTTCCTGCGCGAGTCGAACGAGCTCCTGCACGGCAAGCTGGCGGCGGCGAGCGCGGCGAAGGACATCCGGACCACGATCGTGTGCACCTCGTGGTTCGCCGACTACGTCCTCCCGGCGTCGAACCGCCACCTGCGAGACATCGGCGCCCTCTGGCCCATGGACCACGGGAAGAAAGTCTTCACCGTCTACGGGCCCGGCACGCAGGTCGTCGACCTGGTCCCGGCGCGCGACGTCGCCCGCGCGCTGGCCGTGCTCCTGGACAGCGAGGAGCCGTGGGACCTGTACACGTACTTCTCCGGGCACCAGCTGACCTGGAACGAGCTGTTCGCCATCGTCAAGCGACGCGACCCCGCCTGGACCTCCGTCAGGCAGTCCCTCGCCGCCACGCTGGCGCTCATGCGCGCCCCGGAGCACTCGGAAGATTTCATGCGCTCGCAGTTCGAGATCTTGTCCTACACCGGCGCCTCGAGGCTGCCGGGGGACAAGGTCCAGGAGCAGCGCACCAAGTTCTTCCCGCTTGCGCATTTCAGAACCGTCGAGGAGCTCTTGGACAATGCCGTCGCGAAGCCAGACGGCATTTTGTAAGTCCCTCAACTTGTGCGGCCCAGTATATGTTGTATACGTATATATAACAACTGAATCCGTGCACTATACTCGGGACAAGGATATAAGACTGTATCGAGTGAATAGCTCGGTGAACAATGTCTAAACGTGCAACTTTCTTGTCGCGAAAAAACAAAAAACAAAAAACAAAAATAAGATGGCTTATATTACACGCGGCTTGTGTTGCGATCGAAGAATCTATTGGAGCAACTCCCTATGAGGTGAGAGTGACTAGGTCGTCCAGCAAAAGACGAGCACCGTGTCCTCGTTGAGTTGGGATCAGAGTAGTTAGTGCCCAGTCTACCTAAGTACAGTATTGCTCGAGCCTCCAGGATGATCGATGTGAGAATGAACAAAGTACCTTCCTACATAAACCATACCTCACACCTGCTCCGTAGCGTCGTTCACCATATTGGTATGTTCAACACGAGGGCTCAACAGGCCCGGCATGCCCATGGCATACAAGTGATCACACCTCGTCTTTCCCTCTGCTTAGACGGCCCATCGGAGCCAAACCACACGAATCCCTCCTCTCCATTCCAACTCCTTGAAACTGCTGTGATATGCTCATTATACGTGAGAAAAAGATGCGCGACCATTCCGTCCCCATGTGTGGTTGGACTACCTTGTAGGTCGAAAACGCCAGAATTTGCGCCCGAGACCATAACAAAGACACGCATGCTCTGTGCTCGGAGAAAATCACCGGCAATGGATCGGAAAGCCTGTTAGAAGAGTCCTTTGATCGCGGTGCTTTCCACAACGAAACCGCACTTAGGACTGGGGAAACTTCTCTCCGGATAATGAATGGTCTGGACGATGGTGGTAAACTGAGCAAGGCCGAGTGGCCTCCCCGGGTCTACTTAGTTGCCAGAACTGGTTCCCCCTTGTCCGTCTCGATTTGGATCTTGACTCTCCTCTCACAACTTCTGTGCTGGGACCTGCGGCGTCTTCGCATCTTCCTTGCCCTGTGCGAAGTCGAGTCCCGCACCGGGCAGGGGCGGACCTGTTCCTGCTCGTCTTCTCCTCTCGCGTTCAGCGAGCCCAGCACCAGACTGAGTCTCAATCTTATTGAGCATGGTGCCGAACTCGGTGCTGTTTCTGAACTTCATCCCCTGCATCCAGCTATCGTCCTCGTCACTGCCCAACCAGTAACTTCGGCCAATGCTGACCATGGCTCGTCCCAGTTTCCCTCTCCATCCTTGCCCTTGTGGCTTCGTCTCTTCGAACGGGTTCTCCACCATCCCGGTTTCCGCATTCGCAGCGGCAGCCTTGCCACCGTTAGTGGATGATGCGATGTGCTGTCTGAGGACCATGCGCGCCCAGGCCAGGATGATCAGGCAGAAGTACGCCCGGATGGTCCAAAGCATTACGATGACACCGATGCTGTTCATGCTCTCGGTCCCTAATACGCCGTCTCCAATGCCGCTACCCGCGGGGCCGTCGGCAGGCACGACGCCTGCAGCAACAACGTTATCCTGGCGGTCGGCGGCCGGGTTCGCCACGACTTCGACACGGCTCACATTCATTTCGGGACTGGTGAAGCCTGAGGTATCGTCCATCATCCCGTGTCCGGGGCCCTTGGCGCCCCCGCCGCTCTTGCCGCTGTCGTGCTGAACAAGCACGAGGAACCACGTTACCGCAAACGCAGCCGTGTACGCCGCGTTGATGACGCTGTCCAGCACGTAGAACCAGGCCAGCGCAAGACACTGCAGCGGTGTTTGTTTCCGGATAAACGGCGCCAGGTACGCCGTCAGGACCAGTCCCAGCACACTGTACACGTACATGCTGAGCTGGAACCCCGACAGATGGTAGCCCGTGAACAGGGCGAGGATGCCGTAGAAGCCCGCGAGCTTGTTGATGAGGAGGGAGAGCGTGATGAGAGAAGCGCCGGTCGAGAGGTTCATGGTATAAAGGAAGCGCTATACCACCAGGGTGATCAAATTGTCAGTACAAGATTTCCCCAATTCCCGGTCCTCTGCATGGCACGGGGAGCAGCGGGAGTCGCAAAAAGAAATCGATCAGTCAATCATACCTTGGGCCTTCCCAGCCGATGAAGATGCACCGAGATGCCCATCTTTTGTTCGCGAATCGATACGGAGGAGGACCCCCAAAGAACCAAAACTTGTAAGTCGCCAATATAGAACTCAGTATTTCAGGATTCAAGTGTCGTCGTGAAGAACAAAGAAGGATTTAGGTCAAAGATGAAGAATGGGGAAATTGAAGGAGCAACGGAGGTCGTTCTTATGGGACTAAACTATAGACTGTGCAAGCCTCTTTTGGGGGCCCAATTATTTAACTATTGCACCCGAAGCCTCCGGATTAACTTAATAAGTGTCAGCCTCATTTCGCTATGATTTCATCAGCGTCATTGGGCTCCAAGCCGACACCGATTCCCACACAGTTGCCCTCTACCAATATCCTTTGTGCATTGCCACCCACACAAAAACAATCCGAAACGCATTGCAGACAACTGGAAGATGACTAGGAAATACTCTGATCAACCATTCTATTTTATTCACTTCATTCTCTAGTTAGAATACAACAAAGTTGGTGGCCCATCTGCAAGAAAAATGCTAGAGCCTTTGCCTCGCCACCTGGGTAGAGATCTCGAGTATAGTGACTCGCAACGCCAACCTTCTTGCATTTCCATGTTCATGCAGATACTTCGCCCCAGTTATCAATTACCCCATATTGCACTCGTGCCTTAATCGTACAAGCTATCGTCGTTGCCGGCTTCCCCGAAACCATTGCCGTTGGCAGCTGCAGCAGTCTCTTCAGCAGATGGGAATTTGAAGAAAGCACTGCCATCACTCTGCTTCATGGCTTGGGCAAAGGCTTCGTATCGGCGGATCTCAACGTCACTGACGGATCGTCGAGCAGCTTGCATGGCCTCTTCGAAATGAGTCTTGGTGAGTTCTGGGACTGGGTCATCCAAGTCCTCGTCCATGGTGTCTTCGCCAGCGGCTTCACGCTCCTTTTGACGCTCGATATCGGCAGCAATGGACTGCTTGATGGCGAGCTTGACAGCACGCTGGGTGACAAAGTCCAAGTCGGCACCCGAGAAACCGTGGGTCTTGCTAGCAATGTAGTCAATGTCGACATCTGGAGCGACAGGGGTCTTGCGAAGCTGAGCTCGCAGAATGGAAGCACGCGAGGCTTCATCTGGAAGAGGTACGTAGACCTATGTATCGAGACGGCCCGGACAGCAAAGGGCATTATCGAGCTGTTCCGGTCTGTTGGTGGCGCCAATGACGAACACATTCTTCTTTGAGGTCATGCCGTCCATTTCGGTCAAAAGCTGATTGACGACACGGTCAGATGCACCCCCGGCACCGCCAACGGAACCACCCCGCGACCTGGCAATGGAATCTAGTTCATCAAGGAAGACAACGCAAGGTGCTGCTGCTCGAGCCTTGTCGAAGATGTCTCGGATGTTGCTTTCGGATTCACCGAACCACATACTCAACAGCTCAGGGCCCTTGACGGAGATAAAGTTTGCAGCGCATTCGTTGGCAACAGCCTTGGCAAGCATAGTCTTACCAGTACCTGGTGGACCATAGAACAGGACACCACGAGATGGTGAAAGCCCAAACTTGAGGAATTTCTCTGGATGGTCGACAGGGTACTGGACGGACTCGATGAGTTCGCGCTTGACACCCTCGAGGCCACCAATGTCGTCCCAGCGGACATTGGGGACTTCGACAACGGCAACTTCGCGGAGGGCGGATGGGTTGGAAACGCCCAGAGCGAATCGGAAGTTCTCCATGGTGACGCCGAGGGAGTCAAAAACCTCAGCATCAATGGTATCTTCATCAAGATCGATGAGATCCATCTTCTCACGAATCTGTTGCATGGCGGCTTCCGAGCAGAGAGAGGCAATATCCGAACCGACGTAACCACGAGTTTCTGCGGCAATTGATTCCCGCTCAATATCGTCGGCCAGCGTCATGTTCTTGGTGTGGATCTGAAGAGTTTCAAGACGACCGGTGGGATTAGGAATATCAATGTCGACCTCGCGATCGAAACGGCCGAAACGTCTCAGGGCAGGATCAATCGAGTTTGGTCGGTTGGTAGCAGCCATGACGACAACATTGGACCGAGCCTTCATACCGTCCGCTTGAGTGAGCAACTGTGAGACAACACGTCGTTCGACTTTCGCCGTTGGTTTTCTCTCGCTTGGGAGCAATCGAGTCGATTTCATCGATGGAGATAATGGCCGGCGAGTTCTTCTCCGCTTCTTCGAAGGCCTTTCTCAGGTTGGACTCTGATTTACCGGCCATCTTTGACATGATTTCGGGACCGTTGATCAGGAAGAAGCAGGCACCGGTTCCGTTGGCAACCGCTCGGGCCATTAAAGTCTTACCGGTACCGGGTGGACCATACATGAGGATACCTCGGGGAGGCCTGATACCGATAGACTTGAAGAGCTGAGGATGTCTGAGCGGTAGCTCGACAAGTTCCCGGATTTGTGCCATTTGTTTTCTGCAACCACCGATGTCATCGTAGCCGACCTCGTTCAGGTTTCCTTCCTCGTCCTCTCGCTGGATGGGCTCGCCTTCGCAATGGATGACAGTGTCTTGGGCAACGATGCCATACTCCGGAGGGTCCACCTCTACTACCTTGAACTCCACCTGTCGCATGCTCGCTCGAACAGTGAAAAGATCTCCCTGTCGGACAGGACGGTAGGCTTCGCGGAAGTAGGGCGCAAGGAAGACATCAAAGAGAGATCCGGTTAGACCCTCGATTGTGTCGGCAATAGGAAGTACGGCAATTCGCTTCGCCTGGGACTTTGTTAATACTGCGACTTTTTGGTGGAGAGAGAGAGTGATATACTCACATATTTGATATCGGGGCAGGGATGAACGGTAATGATATCGCCGTGCTTGACTCTCAGGTTGTGACGGACCACACGGTTGATTCGTGCGCTCCCATCATCGAGATCGTCATCGGCAAGGACGATAAGGACAGTGTCTTTTCGCTTCTTGCCCTTGACCAGCACTGTGTCTCCTCTGAAGAGCTGTAACGTCTCCATCGTATTGTTGGAAAGAGCAATGATCGAGTTGTCATCGTTGGTGGCGTCCGTAACGCTGCGGTCATTCGTCGGCCTCGTGTTTCTTCACTTTGTGTTTCCCGTGTTTTCCAACCTACATTGACGAGTTTGACTCGTTCGGCTCCTTCTTCTTCTTGAGGATGGCAGTAGAGGTATCGAGCTCCTAAGAAAGCTGTCAGTCCGGACTTCGCCACGTCTGTCGTTGATATTGCTTTACCTCTTTCTTCTCTGCGCCCGAGGCGTCACTATTTCGGTTAGCTGACGATCTTGAGGTGGGTTCCGAAGAGGACCTACTTCAGGTTCACCTTGTGAGGTTTGTGTTGAGTATGATCTGGTTGATCAGACATGATGGTTGTTGTGAGAGATGGATCTAGAGGCCGGATAGATGGTACTGATTGCTCCGCAGATCAGTGCTTGGATGCGAAGGAACTGCTAGACCTTGAAGCCGGAGGATTAAACGAAGGATGGATGTAGACGCAGGAAATGTAGAAGCTGGACGAAGCCTTTGATACAGGCAGTGATGAGAAGAGGGTTTGATGTGGTTCTTGGGAAGGTGAAGAGCAAGCTGCGAGAAAGACGGGAAACAGTGATGTAGCCGCAGGGGAAGATGAGATGGCTTGAGGCTTGGCGCTCTCTGGTCGGTTAACGCTGTCAGCGCCCCAAACACGTCGCCCAGTTGCCGCCTAAAGTTGAGAAGCGCATGGAATCTTCTCACAACGCCCATTCGCCGGCCTTGCCACGGTTTACTTTACAGGTATCTATTGTCACCTATTAGACAAGGCTGACAATTGATTGCTACCAGTATTGTTTGCACCATTGAACACTATCTATAGTGCCTAAGGTAGGTAATTGTCCAAGGCAGCGGTTACTCGTACTCGGACGTGGAAAGGTCCTTGCTGCATAGAGCTGTACATTAGTACACCCGGTACGTACAGACTACAGTGTCGTGTGGCGTTTCCCATCCAACAAGCCGGTGACACCATCGCCTCATTCATTAGTGTGAACCTCAGCCCTTGGAAAATTTCAGACACGGCGTTCCTCTTTGCCCTCGAATCAAGATGAATAATCAATATCGCGACCTTATTTGCCCTACATCATCATCATAGACTCCTGCATGGCCACTGTGAAGTCCCGACAAATCAACCCTGAAGCAATGCCGGACACTACCTCGTACGCGCATCCGTCTCGATAACTTCCCGGAGATTTCTTATCATTAATTCCGACCATCCGTATCAGTATCCGTAGCAGTATGCGGGTTTCCGCTCCGCCCATACGGTTCCTTAGTCCTTTCCGCCCTCATGCGGAGAAACGAATTCCTTTTTTCGTATTGTCTCTGTACCTGAACTTGCATTCACGGATGACCGTCTCTGATACACTGTATGAGGCACCGTGCAAGCCAAAGAACAAACTTATTCTGGGATTTGGATATCTCACTGTGTCCTACCGATTTGGAACAATACTTTCTTGAATCATTTCCTTACAACTACTCTCCATTTCGGAGTGCTGCTGGCCAGCAATCATAGATAACGGAGACCTTGTCCGCCTGAGAGCCCTCCACGGTCTGTCTTTCGAGACGACTCTCGCGTCTACTTCTGCTGCTGGTCTACTAAGAAGCATCGTATCAACGAACCTCTCCACGAGCGAAAGCGATTTCAGTACACCATCTGAACAATACCTGTCCGGATCAGAAGCCGTCGAGCGAGCCAGAAAGCCCACCTCACCCAGAGCGGACACAGGGACACACGCCTTTGCCTTTGCGACCCAATCCCCACGCCTTTCCTTACCACTCGCCCTCTCACTGCTCCCCCTACACCATGTCTGATACGCCACAAATTCAAATCCCAACTCCCACATCCCTAACCTCCACATCGAGCTCGCTCCCGCCGGAGACGTCACAGGCGCTAATCGCCCACCTGCGCGCGACAGGCCAAATCTCCGACCTCTCGGCCGTCCTCGCCGACTCGCTGGCACGGACGGGTTGGACAGACCGGGTGCGCGCCCTCTCCCTCGAGCTCCTCCGCAACGGCACCTGCGACACGTTCCCCGAACTGCTGACCGAAGTCCTACGGCGAGCCAAAATCCCCAACTCGAATACCTCCGCGTCCTCAAATTCCACAAGTAAAGTGAACGGGACGTCGACACCGACGAATGGTGCCACGGGAGGCATCACAGGGAACAACGCAATAGCGCTGAGTAAGGAGTGGTCGGGCGGACCCGATGGCTTACCTGATGTGCGCATCCCCGAGACTACCGTCGAGCTGGGCGTCGAGTTCCTGAAGGACAAGATCAAAGATGTTGTGGAGCCGGTGGAAGACGATAGTGACTGAATGAAAACACCAATCTGTAAACGAGTGTAATAAGATGGACGAATTGGAAAGATATGGCATCGGGGTGTCTTGGATATGCAAGAGCACATCTTTGATTTGAGACTTGAAATGCTCAAGTGCACCCTACCTAGGAAAAGGCGGCGACCTCAAAACGAAAGACCAGTTGCAAATCAATGACCAAATTACGAGGCAGAGTATTGGGGAAATTTGCAGCAACCTTTGAATTCGCAAAATGCCTCCTCCTAGGGACCATTTCCTTTGCACTGTACTCGCTAATGGGACATCTCTAACCAAAATGATTTTTCACTGTCGTCCAACCTCAAATCTGTATCATACCTATTGGGATCTCGTGTGCTCTTAGACATGATCCAACGCCTAACACACATAGAAATCTTTACGACTGTACTTCCTGCCCCCGATCTGTCGCACCCACTGCACAAGGTAGAGAATGCTAAAGAACGCCACCGGGCAGATTCTGTGGCATTGCACTCCGCACACTCGCCGCACTCGAAAGCTGCCCAGCGCTTCCTAAGGGCTTCACACCCCCAGCGGCAGCACTGCCTGGATCATTGATTGGATTCGCCAGCTTTCTTAGCATAAACATTGGCTTCTTGCCTTCTTTGTCCAAGTCTTTGAAGAGAGCGAGCGGCTTCTCCTCGAGGCCGACGCATCGCTCTTGGTCGCCGTAGACAATGTACAAAGCATACTGCCGCCAATCTGCCTGGATATTGTACTTGCGCAATGCAGCCGGCAAGACCTTGTAGCAAGGATCTTCCAGTCCCACGCGGAAAGACTTGAAGATCTCTACACTGGGAGCCTCTGCGCCGCTGCCAGGTGTATGCCCACCAGCCGCACTCGATGGTAACTGTGGCGGTACGCTTGCTGACTGTTCTCTCGAAGGTATTAGTGTGCTTGCATTTGATATTGTCGAATTCGTCGGGTTGATCTTCGCACTGGCACTCTTTGCCGACGTCGGTGGCTCTCGTTCACTGGCTACTTGAGTCGTCCGAAAATCTTCTGAGCCATCGTATCTCGATATGTTGTTTCCGTCGCGCTGATAACTCCGTGGTGCTAGTGGCTGATGCTGGTAAGGTAACGGAGACGTAGGTGAGGGAATGCCCGGGCTTGGGTGAGGCATTGCTCCGCCTGACATTTGAGCCGTTAATGAATTGCTAGCCAGACTTGCCGCAGCACTGGGGTCAAGCGACGAGTTATCTGCATATGCCCTACCCTCGTGAATCGTGCCTGGGATGTGGGTGGGTGAATTGTTCTTTGGTGTCGAGCTCAGGCCCAATTTCTTAGAGAAAGTCCTAGTAAGACTTGTCTTCTCAGGGGCGGCTTGTGTCGCTAGGAGAGGAGGCAGGGGAGATGGCTGGTCTTGCTGATACATTTCCGGGCTGAGGGCTGAAGACTGGTAGGGTGCATAGGGCAGAGGTTCGGAGCGTTCTTTGGCCATCTTGAAGACAGGGAGGAGCTCCTGTCGCAGCTTGCGGTAGTCGTCGGCCAGCCGAGTCAGCTGCGCTTCAGCTTGGGCTATTCGCTCCTCCCGCAGGCGTATGAGAGACTGGGCGAGACGATTGATATCTTCTTTCGTGGCCATTTCATGGCGAGGGTTGACTTCGGCGGCTGATCAAAACATGTTAGCCGACTGTGTAAGGCCGCGTCTCCCTGTACTTACTCGGTGGAATATAGTCGTCAGGTTCGACTTGGATGTCCTGTCTCACTTTCAAATCGTACACATTCTTCAGTATGGTCAGCCGGTGTCCGACACTGGCTATGCCCATCTCTTTGAGCTCTTCATGTTTGAGGGCCACAAGCGCCTCTCCCTCGATGCCATGTTCTGTCCTGTCTGTTAATCCAGTCCTTCCCAGAGGTGAGTTCCCATACCTATAAAAGCCTGGCAATACTGCCGCAGGTTGAGACTGGCGACGAATTGTGCGCACTCCTCTGGGGTCCATTCTGTTATTATTGTTCTCGGTAAACTCGATTCCTCTCCAGCTGGGTCAAAGGTGGTGGGAGTATGTTCGTTCGAGGCAGGTTCGGAGGATGTCTCGGAGTCTGTGTGTAGTTGGGTCGGTGAAGTCATGACGCTTCTCTCATACTCGTCGTCGGCATCAGAGTCTGCATGATATGTAGTTCCACTGGGAAAAGCCATGATGTGTTCTCTCTAGGGCACAGGCATGTAGTGCCTGGGGGATGGCTGTAGATCCTTGCTCTCCAGCCGCAGGGAGGGTCGGTCACCCGTCAACTGCGGATCTACTCGAGAAAGCCAAAACTAGGTCTCGAGCTTATTCAATGGTACGATACGGCGCCGAATTTCCTGGATAGGAGTCGATCGATATGCAGTTCGTCTGTCGCGGAGGTGTGTGCTTTCGTCTAGACGTCGTATCGGGCGCCACGCTATGGCGTTGGGCTAGTGAACGATGCGATTCGCAATCGAGCTTCCCCCTTTGTTCTGCCTCACAGTCTCTTGAGTTTGAAGAGAAGGCTTTGCGAGTCTCTGATTCCTTTCAGTTACAAGCAAACTGTCCCAGAGCTCGTCTCCCGCGTAATCTTGATCCAGACTGATGTGTGGAGTGGCAGAATGAAGCGAGGATCTACAGGACGCCTGCGACTCTAGCGGCCTCCGACAAGGCTAGTTCAACTTTCTACCGCATTTCTACAATTGGTCTACTTGAGACCGGGGCCACGGAGGACCGTTCGCATCTTTTTGGTTCTCTCATGGCAACAAGGTGAACATTTTCTAGAATGCTCCTGAGGCGTGCTAGCCCTCACTAAAGCGACTACTTGGTTGCATCCAGCCATTGCAAGAGGCGAAAGGGGAGATGTTCAATCTAACACGGCCGCTATTGTTCTTAGCGAACAATAGTTCTCAGTGAAAAATCATTTTGTTTCACTTCTTTCTATCCCTTCTCGGTTCATTCTGCGGACGGAAATCACCAGCAGCCCATGCAGGCGGCGTGGGAGCCATAAGACGAGGGGAAGATATCTTTATTTGGAGCATTTAAATGCTCACTCCGCTAACCTACAGAACTAAACGCTCAAACGAATACTGCCCCTTACTCATGCTCTTCAGCATGCTCATTTCTCGAGCGCTTCGTTTCAAAACCTGCCCACCTCCTTTTCTGACCTTATATGGGCTGATGACATTTTCGGCTCGAAGAGCCAGGGGGAGTCCGCCGCGCAGCTGGAAGCCATCGTCCTCTTTGGTGTTTTCCGAGTATAACGTGACTATCTTTCCGGGCTGTTGGGTAAGTCTCGCAGCAGGGCCACCCACTTGGAGACGACCACCGGCGCTTTCATGCTTTCGTATTGATTCTTCGTACCTTAACGTCTCTCGTAGTATACCTCGCAACTCGGTGGCATCTACAAGACTCTCAGTGGCATGAGTGATTTCCGTCACAAGATCTGGAATTATATTGCCGACAAAATCTTCGTTTTCTAGCGCGCCGATGATGCCCAGAGGTCCGATAGCATCCACACAACTTGATAGGATGTTGATGATCGCACTGAGCGGCATGCCCGAGACCTTACTGCGCGCCTCGATGGGAGGCAAGCTTTGAAACGATCGAGTGTGACCACCCTGGAAGAGCTGTTGGCGTAGAAACTGGACCAGAGCCAATGTCTCGCGTTGGCTGAACAGAGACCTCAAGCTTTGTGTGATTGTTTTGGTCGAACCGGCACCCAACTTGTTTAGCGACAAAACCAATGCTGTCTGGAGCTGAGGTGGCAACCACGTAGGATCAGAAGTGGATGTTTCCAGCGTTTGTATTTGCATTTCCTGCTTGCCACCGTCTTCGTGACTTGTTGCATCCGATTTTGAAGCCGGAGCTGCATCAGCTACTACTGTTAATGCCCGCGACAGAAGCGCCTGGGCAACCGCAGCTTGCTCCTCGGCGTAAGGACTGAATCCCGCCTCAAGGCATTCGGTTAGCAACTTCAGGCTTGGATCGACCTCTAGAAGTGCCTCTGCCACAGAATCGAGTTTCACAAGCTCCGCTGCTCCAGGGCTATGTGATGATACAGCTCGCTTCACTCCGATATGGGAAAGTAACCCCAGCCTCGAAAGCCAGACGATCAACTTGAATGACGGAAGCTGGATCTTTAGCCGTGCATCGGGAGGAGCATCTTGGGGGGTGCCTTCGGTCGACTCAATATGGAAGATCTTGGTGAGGATGTAATTGGTTTTGGCATCTGGAATTGCAAGGCGAGTCGCAGGCAGGTCATCGATCATGGGTGGCGGCAAGGACGATTGCAACAGACCGGACCTGAGATCCGCGGCAAATACCTCTTCAAACCCTGTTGCATCACCTGCTTGGGCCAACTCATCAAGCCTCTTCCTTACAGAGGACCAGCTCTTACTTGACACGCTGTTATCACCAGATGAGCCGATGGCGAGTCTTGGAATGTTTCCACCTAAACGATGTGCTTCGTCGTGGAGCTTGACGCCGAGTCCGATATTCTGGATCAGCTGGCTTCCGGCATGCAGCTCCTTTGACCCAGCTGAAAGCGAGATATCGATCGCGACAAGATGATGGCGACGCTTTCCAATGACACGAGCTGAGTGGCTCAGATATGTGATGAATTCCACCGGGCCAATTTGACCTTCGGCAGTCATTCTGTGTCGTTTTCGTTTAAGGTTGGTCCTGGTGGTGTCCTGCTGCAGTCGGATCGATTGATATTTGAGATCATAGAGCCGCAGAGATTCCTGGAAAGAGCAAATGGCGAATGCTGGAGTGATAGCCATGATCTCAAAGCTCCCATTGATGGCGGTATCCAAAGTAGAAATTGTAGCAGGTATCATCTTCGAGAGATCATATGTGGAAAATGTTGCTCCACATTTAACATAAAGATGTGAAGCATGTTGGCCGAAAGTGCAGCGCCTCTCCTTTGCGTTGCCATGCCGTGGAATTTCATGTTCAAATAGGGGTGTAACGGATGTCATTTGTGGCAGGTTGCCTCCTTCGGTGGTGTTGACTGGCCAGAGACCGTAAAAGATCCTTTGATCATTATCATCAGGTTGGGCCTTGCTATATGCGAGGGTGATGTAGGAAGTATTATCCTTGGCTTCCCTAAGCAAATCTGTTCGCTGTTTCAAAACCGACTTCTCTGCCTCCGCCGAGGTGAGGTGCTGTATCGCCAAAACTTGAAGGTAAGGATGCTCTTTAGTATTCAATGATATCCTGGCAATTCGTCTTTCCAGATCGGCTGAGAATATTGTCAAATTGCCGTTAGCCTGGGCAATCAGAATTTGGTTTCCAGCATGCGGCAAGACGTCGACGAGCATGACAGGCTCCTGTCCGTTGAGTGGGGGACTCCTAACAGACTTGACATGCTGCTGTTCTCCGTCAAGGCTTTCGAACAACTGTATTTGCAGAGACTGTAGTTTTAGGGCGCAATAGGATCTTCGATGTAGCTTGTCGTCCACCGCAACGCGGACTGAGCATGGCGGACCCGAGAAGGAAGAATTCGGTGGCACAGGAAATGAGGTCAATATGTTTCCATCTTGTGCCTGAGGGAGTTAACGACGACGAAGTGTGGCCGGAGCTTTGACAATCATACCTCATAAATATTCAAAGAATTTCCATCAACCGCAGCACAAATTTCTTTCCTTCTTCTTTTCACCCCGTCACGCACCGTGAAAACAGGGCCAATGTGAGTGGCAGCATCGGGCCGTGCAACGCGAGGGAGTCTCACGAGAGGATGGGGAGCTGAGATTTCCATTGTCATGGCGTCGACATGTTCCTTGTCTTGCTACAACGACAGGCCTGGACGATGTTTCGCTAGAGCCTCAAAAATTCGCACCCGATGGAAGAATCTGCCGTAGTTTTGCCGCCGCCCGCCATGGCTGGTTAAAGTGACTAGCGGCGATCTCCCGCCTGAATTACAGTGCACTACGAGATCTTAGATGCGCGTTAAGGGCCCCTAGAAATCAGTAATCGCGTCACTTACGCGCTTGATCTCGGTCACTTCTGGTTCTTCGAGACAAACGCGCACTATCCTCTTGCTGTACAGATTACTTGCCAACAACGAGAGTCCCTTCTCCGTGCTGCATGGTGCGCCTTGATCAGGGGCATTCTGGCTGCTAGATCCGCAACCACGCTCCGGTAACACTGCAATATCTATGTTTCCACCTACGCGGGATCAAAGAGCCAGGAAGTGAATGGCTGCATTGTTCGATTGCGGCAATGGGTCAGCACTCTCGGCCCAGATGCATCCTTTCTTCCAGAGAAGTAAGACAGTACAGCGAGTTAATGGTTTCAGAGACTGACTTTGGTAGCCATAGGAGCACCTTATGGCCATGCTCACTCCGACCCTCGATTCGATACCCCGAGACGGCTCGATGGCAATACTCATCCAGATGGTAACACGGCCAACAGCACACCTTCGGACATGCCACCGCCGCCGTATTCATATAATACACCCGAAGTCGTCTCGGTGTTTCAGTGCCACCCAATGACTTCCACATACCTTCAGTCTGAGGGAGCGCCTCAGGGTATCTCCGACGAGAGCCATATGGATGATGAGCACAGGAGGGCCAAACGCAGGAAGATGTGTCCAGAGGCCGATGCGCCACAATTCGAATCTAGCAGCACCAAGCAATCATGGCAAACCCAACTTGAAGACGCCGCGATGCAGGCTCCGGGATCGGGTCAGAGCCAGATAGAAGGTCATGATAACATGGACACACTGCCAGAATATCCTCAAGCCCATGTGAACAATACATGGTCTGGCCCTGGACCATTGAACATGGACCCGTATCTGGCGTCACTGGCACAGGCACCATACCCAACGGTTGAATTCTCGGACGCTCCCAGGCACGATATCGTAGTTGAGAACAGCATACCAACGGAGGACGCGAAGACGGCGAGGTCTGATGATCCGCCAACGGTCACTAGTACTCTCAAGACCTCGGTAAGACGCTCTCCAAGGACGAAAAGAACCGACGTAGATCGATTGGATATGCCGAGGAGAGTTGCACGCCAGGGCAAGAAGGTCGAGATGAAAAATGGAAAATTTGTGTCCACTCTCCGAGTCGTTCTGACCTATGGCGACAAGGAAGCAGGTCAGAGGATTGATGAAATACTCTCAGCAAAGCCAGCAAAAGCCTCTATCACGACAGTGCCGCAAGACACAGCCAAAATTGTGACTGAGAAGAAAGCTACACACCCTTTCTTTCTCGGCAAAACTACCGCCAACACCGATAAATTGCCATCGGTTAAGAGCGAAATGTCTTCTCTTGCGCCAGCATCAGAAGACGAAACGGCAACTACAAAGGCGCCCAAACCGTGGAAAGACATTGTGTTTACGACTAAAAAGACCTCCCCAGACAAATCAATCAACCTCTTGCCCAGCCTTTGGCCACCAACTTCGCTACAGCGGATACAGCCTGAATGCCCTTTGCTGTACGTCCCGACTACACCGAGCAGCGTTGTAGCCGTGCCCAAATCCAAACAACGTGATTTCATTATACCAGTGGATGAGGACGCTCTGCGCATTTGTGCAGAGCGACTTAAGGAAGCCACAGATCTTTCAACCTCGGTCGATGTGCCGACCCGGAGGATCATGAGTGGGAAAGAGCTCTCCCTGACTCTCGACTGTCACGCCACTACAGCATATGGCAGTATCGCTCGTCTAGAAACATTGAGGCAACCTCTTATCAAACGGATTCAAACCAGACCCAGTCCTTTCGAACTAGGTAAAGCTGCCGGTCCGCACTTATGGCCTCAAGAATATGGCCCTACTTGTTGGCAGGAAGTTCTTCAGGAACAGAGCCAAGTACTATATGACTGGCTTAGCAATTTGCAGGTGCACCATGTTCAGACAGGTGCGCAGATGCTAAAGACGAAGCCAACCGCCAAGAAGAGACGGAAGAGGAAAACGGATGAGCTGGATGACTTTATTGCCCATTCTGATGACGATGAAGATCAGAGCTTAGCTTCACATGGGAAGAATGCCATTCTAATAGTGGGGCCTTGTGGTTGTGGAAAGACTGCATCCGTCTACGCCATTGCCCAACAACTCGGCTTTGAGGTCTTTGAAATGCATCCAGGTATGAGGCGTAGTGCCAGAGACATTCAGGAGAAGGTCGGCGACATGACACAAAATCACCTTGTTCAACAAGCTGATACACAAAGTCGAAGATCAAGTGTGTCCTCGGCAGCTCCAGAAACCTCTCTTCTGCCAGAAGCGTCATCGACAAACCAAACATCCATAGCGAGTCTCTGGGGAATGTCAAAACCATCAAAGCAGAAAGGAACGACAGACAACAATAAGCAGGAGAACAAAGTGCGATCACAAAAACAGTCACTAATCCTATTTGAAGAGGTCGACATCCTTTTCGAAGAAGACAAAGGATTTTGGTCTGGTGTGCAGTCTCTTATCAGCAGCTCGAAAAGACCAGTCATCATGACTTGTAATAGCCTTGAGTCTGTTCCACTTGACGACCTCGATATTTTTACGGTCCTAGCTTTCGACAGACCTGAACCAGTCCTTGCTGTTGACCAGCTGCAATGCATTGCAGCCGCTGAAGGCCACCTACTGAGCAGAGAATCAATTGAGAAACTATACGCCAGCAAAGGGCATGATCTCCGTGCATCTATAACTGAGCTCAATCTCTGGTGTCAGATGACGGTAGGGTCAAGGCAAGGTGGTCTCGATTGGATGCTCCCACACAATACGAAGTCGGGATCGAGTCAGGACGACTCTGTCCTTCGTATCATAAGTCAGGATACCTATACTCCCGGACTTGACCTGTTGCCCACTGAATATGGTGACATAGAAGACACGATCCGTCTCGCGCAAGACGGTCTAGGAGTTCCGGCAGTCGATTGGATCCGAGGTGGAATTCCTGTCGAGGACCCCAATGGTCGTCGCCTCAATACACTTGACGCCATGCTCTCCATTTCTGAAGCAAGGAGTGCTATGGACCTGCTTAGCGCCTATACGTCCCCTACAGTGGCCGCTATCATAGAGATCGCGTCAGGTGGTGGAAAGAGGGTAAACCCCAGGGAGAAAGCTTTTGAATTGGTCGTCGAGCGCCTGACGAAGAAACACATTTCCAGACTGGACGTGACTGACGCCTTTGAGATGTTGATGGAAGACTACAGGATCGCATTACCAATGGCACCAGGTCGGAAGGCACCTTCACTGGACAACGCCGCTCAGTCCGTAGTGACCGATGTAGCGCCATACGTGCGAAACATCGTTTCACACGATCAGAGGCTAGAACAGATCCGTAACGAACTCAGCGGTGGGCCACAAGTCAAACGACAACGCAAAACCCGAGCGGCGAGAGCTGCGTTGGAAGGTGGAAATAAGGGCACTACTCGACGTGATAGGTGGTTTCCGGATGGTCTCGATTTCTCGGCGGTTCTTGCGACGGGAAATGCATGGCCTCAGTTGGGATCAGAGGAGTCATATTCTGGGCCGGATACACCGTCCTCATCCATGGCCACTGACCTGGATGGCGATGTTGTGGGCCAAGGTCCGGGTTAAGCAATGAGTTCCTGGTCATCCTGGAAGCCCTGCTGCGTGCTAGTATCTCAGAAATGAACCTTTAGTAGCAATGAAAACGAAAGCGAAGATTCATGCCAGACTAGGGCGAAGGTAGTCATTTATACAGTGATGCAACTGGCGTGACATGCAGACCAGAGATGATAGACTTATCACCAATATTTCGATGCCTTTTATTGTTATATTCTGACTTACTTCTCGTAGAATCTGGAGCTTTGGAAGGGAAAAAAAAGATCGAAAGTCGAATCTTTTGTATATTCCAGGTACTTAATGTGTGAGAAATTCGGAGGGAAGAGAGATCGAAGTAGATCAAATGATGCTTGTCAGAAGTCAGTTAAGCCAGGTGTTGAACTCACAGAGCGCGACTATAAGCTTTTTCGGTGCTCCACGGCACTGAAGCTCTTGATCGGTGATGATCTTCAGAGGGACAGAGTGTTGTCGGGTTTGGATCTGTAGTCGTGTCAGTGAAATCTCTCTCTCAAAGGAGCCGAGAAGGATGAATTAATTACCTCTGCGAAATATCTTTTCGAACGGTCGGGGATTCGAACCCGCGGCCCTCGTTCTTCCCTGCTCGCCTCAGTGAATGGACGTCCACCGCATAGCCATGTGGTTTTAACCTGAGCCACCACTGAGGGGTCTTGGTGATTGAGGAAGAAAATTCACGGGTTTAATTGACAACGTTTGAATTCATTCGTTAAGTGGCATATGTGAGTGAATGAGTGAATAAACCTTGGCGGGTCCCGAGATGTAGGTAGGTATTTTCATACTTACCATCAAATCAGCTCTACGGCGAGTATTAGGATTTTTTAGTATATACCCATGTATATATAGCCCCATAGAAAAGCCGAGCGCCTCCATTGTACCGTAGAGATCAAGCCAGACTCCTCCCCGGCATGACCAGGTAGTCGTAATCATCACTGTCGTTATCCGTCGGTGTCGTCATCGTCGTCGTCGTCGAGATGAGTAGTACCAACCATCAAAGTACGTCTCAACATCTCGGCAAATTTCTGCCGCCGTTGCGCGTCATTTTATCGACCAGTCTCTTCCAAGAATCGAGGTCGGTTCCGTCGGCGTACCTGAGCGTCGTGTCCCAGACGCCCGAGGTGAATGTGCGTTTGACGGGGTCGATGGTGGTGTACAGAAACACCATCGACCTGTGGAGGTGTCTCCGGCACGCGGCGTCCGAGAACCGGGTGTACTCGTCGCACTGGGAGTCGACGGCGGCGGCGTCGATGAGGCTCTCGCAGACCCAAGACATGTTCAAGGAATCCTTGCGGAACACGCACAGTTCCGGGTTGTGACGGTGGCGTTTGTCGAAGTAGCACGGCATCCGCTCGGAGATGAGGGAAATGTCGTACGTCACTTTGACCGAGGTGAGTTTGCGCGTCGTCGCCTTGGCCAGCCTCCTGAACAGGTCGGACCACGTAGGCGCGTCGGGGAAATCGAGCGTTTCGGCCTCGGACTCGACGTTTGTGATGGTGTGGCAAAAGCAGTTGTGCAGTGTGACGGATTCGAGGATCGACGCGTGGAATGAAAAGGTGAGGTAGTCGACGAGCTTGGAGTCTATAAACATGTTCTCCAGAGCTAGATGGCGGAGCTGGGTAAAGTGTGTGGGAAGCGGGCTCAGGGCTACGAATGTCAGTGTTTGCGCGTAAGGGAATGTACAAGTACCATCGAAGAACGGCCATCGCTTAGACCTGCAGCCTCGCAGGGTTGATCGCCGGTACGGGAGTGACAAAAGTAGTACAGGCATGGTTCCCCACCAGTACAAAACATAAAACGCACCGAACATCAACAAGAATCCACAGTGGATGAGAATTTGTAAGTACAATAGGACACAACGTAAGAAGACAATACGTACTCGAATAGCATGGTACGCCGTTAAACCTCATGGCGACCTGCCATGCTGCATTTGCAACTAGTTTCAACTCGGTGACTGAGCGGAGGACATCGTAGAACCATCCAGTAATCATGTATCGGAACCAACCGATCTTGGGAAGTCTGACGCGGTCTCCAGCAACGGATTGGAACTTGCACAGGGACATGGTGAAGGACGTGACTCTCTTCAAGAAAGCGCGGAGGCATGGCTGGTGGTAGACGCCAGAAGGGTGTGGAGCCATATTGTGAATCGTCAGCGAAAAGCCATTGTCCTTTGGGCCCATCAGGTGGTTCTTGGCCACAGAGTCGAAGATGGTCCACAAGAGTCTACGGTGCAAGTTGATGCGTTCGTGGTGTGTCAAGGGCGACTGCTCCGGCTCAAAGGAGAAGCACGGCCAGTAGACTTGGTTGACGGTCAGCCAATCGTCAGGGAAGTATAGAGTCAGGGACTCCAGGCTTGGTGGAAGCTGGCTCAGAATGGTCTCGATATACGAGCAATTTATCCACGTGTGATTGTTCTTCTGCCCGCTGCCGTAAGTGCTGAGGTCTGCGCACATGCGTGAGCGGCGGAGTTCCAATCTATCCGTGGCACAAGAGACTGTCAGTGACCTGACATGCTGATTGTTGTGGAGCGTCTGCACGCATGGGAGCGTGTTGATGTGGATGCCAATGGTGACCGAGTTGAAGACAAGCGGTGCAAAAAGAGATCTGTAGAATCGACATGTTGAACTCCATTGAAGCAGGGTCAGAGGGTCGGAAGCAGAGAGATGAGACCCGATCAAATCAATGACTTCTTGGGGAAGTTCATCGAGCGGGAAGATCTGAGGATCAACATGGCTTGCGGCCTTGACGAGAGCCGTTGTGGCCATGATGAAGACACATTGCACTTGTAAAGAGAAACAGAAGGGTGGAAGCGAGATAAGGCTGAGGTCTTCTAGGAGGAGGACGCGGTGTATTGGGCAGAGAGCGGATGACGTAAGGAACTCCGGATCAATATTTACTCCTGTTCCGTGCTCCTGACAACGCATTGTACACTTTTGCTTGAAGCTGGCTCGCCTCAAACATTGGTGATCCTGTCCTAGTTGCACGGCGTCTCAAAAACGTCTCTATATCACATGCGGACCACTGGTGAATGCTCTGATTCCCAGCGCTGCCCCCATTGAGACTAATGGGGTGCTCGTTCACCCTCCAACTGCGCACCTGTCCGAGGTACCTTACCTCAGTGTGGCCCGCATGTGGTCCTCCATCAACTTGTCCTAAATGTGCTGTCAGCGACATGTGTCCAAGAGTTCAGGATTTCGCCATCAGAGCTCGCCAGTCACTTACAATAATCCACTGAGGTAATAGCCGCAGAAGATACTGGGCAGGCCCTGCTCCAGATCCTACCCAGAGCTTTCCGCTGGTCCCTTTCTCTACCTCACGAACCACCTTCTGGGCGTAATACTTCGAGTCCACGGCATTGGCTTGCATTCTGCCGTCGGATAGGCGGTGGATGATCTCTCTCTCATTCTCATAGAGTGATCCGTCAGGAAGTCTCGCTGGTGGGTTATTCTCGAAGAAATTGGTTTTGACGCCGCCAGTTATCAACGTGATGGTTCTTACGTCGAATCGGGAGAGCTCGAGACGTAAGGTCTCGCTCGCAACAATCATGGCTGCCTTTGAAGCGCCATACACGCCTACAGGGTCAATCAGCTAGCTCTCTCGTGGCCGACGTGAGGACTTACTGCTCCAGAGCATGGGTATTGCTCCAAGTATGGACGTATTGTTTACAAGGCATCCCTTAGCATCAATCAGGAGGGGAGCAAATGCCTGTATCATGGCGAAAGGGGCCCAAAAGTTGAGGTCGAACAGCTTCTTCCCTTCCTCGATGGACGTGTCCAACGCGGGCAGCATCAGACCCCCTCCGCTGTTGTTCACCAAGACATCCAGCTTGCCCCCAGTCTGCGATTTAACATTCTCAACGGCTTCTTTGATAGAATCAGATGACAAGACGTCCAGTTTGAGTACCGTCACATTGGGAGCCGTTGCAAGCGATTTGGCGACCTTCGACGGTGTCCGAGCAGTTGCAAAGACATGGTAGCCACGCTCATGAAATGCCTCGGCCAAAGCGCTACCTATGCCACCAGCTGAACATCCGGTGATGAGCACTGACTTGCGATTTGCTGACATGTCGTGTGATGTTAGTAGTGTGACCTTGCCGCAACCTCGAGGTAAAGTGGCCGATGTTGGAATGAGAAACGACCAGGAGTCTATGACAATGGGTGCACTCACCTCGCTCTTTATAGAAGCACTCTTGAGACAGTCCCACTCCATTCTTCACACGACACTAACCTTCCGTCCTTTACTTGAGGAAGAGATGTGCCTCCATCGTCTCCATCGCTCCCACTTTCCTTCCCCTATGTCCGCCTCTATTCCCAAAATGGCAAATAATATCAGATCTTGGCGCGCTAGGCGACGTTATTCAGTGTCGACGCTCAAGCCTCCACGAAAAGAACAAGTTTGATGCATGCGCAGCGCAGTGCTGCCTTCGTACGGTGGTAGAGCACAACTTTTCGGTATTATACGCCTCGAGTCTCGATTCTAGCCGGACTAGAGAGGTGTCTTATCGCCGGTTACAAGTAGTACCGTCCCGGTGATAGCCTCGACTTCTCACTAACCAAGATGCTTTTTATCCTCTCTACCAACTCTCAAAAACCCAATGAAGACAAGCAGAAGATAATCAGACGCCATGTCATGCTTGGCAAGAACAAGGGAAAGGCTCGACCCAGCAAGCGCCAGACCCCAATTGTGTCTTGCATCTCCGAGAGCGTCGGGCCCCATGGCAACCCGGTCGTGGCACTGAGCCTGGTGGCCGACATGTATCGCTCCTTTATACCCGCTAGAGTTGGCTCGGACTGCTCCTGCAGCGAACTTGTTGCAGACGTGGAGCCCGGCACCTTCGGAGATATCATGAAATGTATTCCTCCGTCCTTGGTGCGCAGACTCGCAATCTGTCGGCTAACCGTTGGATTAGTTGCCGCCGTTGCGCCCAAGATACTATTCCCACTGGCGGTCTTGATAGGTTTCGAACCTCAGGATCGCGACTGGTGCGAAGGATTGACTTACGATGCCGCTTATCTGCATGCAACCATATTCTCAGTCGAAGTATTGGTTGATAATATTATGGTGCGAAGACATCAAGATGTCAACAAGAATGCGACCCGTCACTTGTTGAAGAGCGTTCAACTTCTTCGAGAGAAATTGCTCGAAAACGAGGATGTATTTGCTTCCGACTCCACAATGAGAGTGATCTTGGTTCTGGCAATCACTGCATATTACTTGTGGGACCATGCGACTGCAAAGAAGCATATGAAGGCACTCCGCCAAATTGTTGACCTGAGAGGTGGCCTGGCCACATTCAAGGCTAAGAAAATCTTGCTGACGCTTCTCAAGTAAGTGGTCGAAGGTACAGATCATTCATCGCTGACAATCTTAACTCAGATGTGACCTTTGTATCTCGCTGCACACTGGAGTCAAACCAATCTTCTTCAACGATCCTTTTCTTGAACCCTATATGCCTTATCCGGAGAAGGAAGTCCTGGCAATTGGACAGAGCCCTGAATTCCTCCGGCATTTGCAGATGCAAGACGGCTTTCTCCGTGATGTACACCATGACTTGGCCGCTTCATGGCTGGTTCTGCAGAGATTTTGTTCACTCTCCAATCTCGCAGCACAGAGCAATGGGGTACTCCCTACACAACTGCACGTGCAAACTATGGCTTCGGTGATGTACAGGCTGCTGGATTTGAACCATTTTCAAGCCAGATCGGTGGACGAAATGATTCGACTTGGAATTTTGGCCTTGACTCACCACATCTTTCTTCAATATCAACATCTGAAGCTGCCATACAGCCATTTCCAGTCCAGACTTGAAAGGAGCCTGGTCAACCTACAACTTTTTGAGAACGCAAACCCTGAATTGACGCTGTGGACATTGATGGTGGCGGCCATATCGGTTCCTAACATGGCCGAGGACGCCTGGTTACTTGAATCTCTGCGCACACTCGTTCAAATTTGTAAGATTACGTCGTGGAGGGATCTGCGGGGGTTGATGAAGGCAATGATTTGGATTGATGTTGTACACGACAAACCGGCGAAAGACATGTATGCGAGGGTCGTGTCGGACTACACGCCCATCAAGGCGAACAGTCGGCTCGCGAACGACGTTGGCTCTGCTCTGACTGAGTGACGGAATTTGTTCATTTCGCTTGGCTGCTTAGTCATCTGATATACATAAAACCAGTCTTTACATTTGCGTCAAAACTTATTAGTCTAATGAAACCTTGAATAATCTTGGAGCGGTTCGCCCACGTACACACCGAGTCAAGAAGCTCAAACATCCAGTCCACGACTGCATCAGACGGTAGAAAGCCGCAGAACCAAAGTAAGGGCTTTGGGATCCGAGATTGCGAAGACATTCGCCAGGCTTTGAGGCCCGTGCATCCACGACGCATCAACGACGAAACACGATTTGATTCCTTGTACCTTTTCGACATCCCCGACATATTGTCCGCGGGATCGCAGTACACTCGACAGAGATCTGGGTGGCATTTTTTGTTTTCGCGTTGAGTCATGGCGGCAAATCCTCCAGAGACCAAATCTGAAGCCGAGTCACTTGTTCCACAGTTCCAGCTCGAGAGAGTGCTCAATCAAGGTAACTAGTCAATTCTTGAACTCATTGAATGCGTCTCGGGGAGGAAAACCCCCCACTATCTCCAGCAGCGCCTCCTCCTTCTCGTCGCAACGGAACAGCACATTAACTAACGCCGACCGCTTCGACCGGGACAGATCAAAATGGCCGGCGAATATCCCTGCTGGGCACGATCGCGTCGCAACCGGCACTCATCACGCTCGAGCGGGCGGCATTCCCGACGGACTCGGGTCTGGTCACGCAACTGCTGTCGTCGCTCACGAACACGACCAACCTCGGCGCCAACGACATTTACCGGTGGTACATGGCGAACCGCACGGTGACCCCCGGCGTCAATGCTTCGTCCGCTGGTTCTTCTTCTGCTACTTCTTCTTCTTCTTCTTCATTGGACCCTCAGGTTTCATCGTCACAGCTCCCGGACCTCAAACTGAACCTCATCTACCCCTGCACGCCGAAACACGTGCAGAAGTACTCGGCGCAGCGGGTGCGCATGGTCACCGAGACGCCGGCCATCTACCACGGCCACATCCGGCCGTACATGTCCCGGCAGCGGGCGGCGGGCAGGCTCGACTGGGTGTTCAACATCCTCGAGGGCCGGACGGAGCAGGAAGACGTCATCGCCCGGTGCGACTGGGACGACGACGACGACGACCCGCAGTCGGGGGGTTTCCTGATGCTCCCGGACCTCAACTGGGACCGCAAGAGCGCGCAGGGGATGCACCTGCTCGCCCTCGTGCGGCGCCGCGACCTCTGGTCCCTGAGGGACCTGAAGAAGAAGCACGTCCCCTGGCTCAGGCGCGTGCGCGACCAGGTCGTCGAGGCCGCGACCACGAGGGTCGAGTTTTCCGGCGGCGAGGTCGTCGCCCCGGACGAGGTCAAGTGCTACGTCCACTACCAGCCCACCTACTACCACTTCCACGTCCACGTCGTGCACGTCATGCTCGAGGCCGGCACCACCCAGAGCGTCGGCAAGGCCTTCGGCCTCGCCAACCTCATCTCCCAGCTCGAGCGCATGGCCGGGGACGACGAGACGGGCATGGACACTGTCGATCTGACGTACTTCGTCGGGGAGGAGAATGAGTTGTGGAAAACCTGTTTTGGCCGCTTGAAGAATGGCGAAGAGGTGGATTTGAATTAAGAACCGCTGATGCCCCCCCCGCACTTCGTCACGCACTCGCACGCACTCACGATACACCCCGGTACGTGGCTAGATATCAGCTGTCGGCGGTTTGGGCGGCTCGGGCCATAGCGGATATAGAGTCGTGTACGGTGTTAAATACCCTGACCCTAGAGCCATCTCCATCATGTCCGCTTGAGCTTTATGCAAAACCGTACACGTGATGAGACTTGGTGTAGAAGTTATCAATAGTGGGCCCAAAATGAAAAGAAAGAAGACAGAACAGGACAGGACAGGACAGGACAAGACAAAAGTCAAGAAATGATGTGACAAGCTCCAAGACGTGCCATGATCATTGATCAGTATCCACGAATACCATAGACGTAAATATATATGCATGAGAACAGAAACCCACGAAAACCCTAGACCTGTCTAGCAGGGTATCTATAAAGTAAAGGTACAGGTACCTAGATGAAACAGAACCACAAAACAAAACAACACATCTTCGCACCTCCTTTCTTGGAAGGTCTAGTCCACTAGATAGCAGACAAACTTCGTAGTCTGGCCTATACGACCGGTAATGGTGCTCGTGAATGACACGGCACTGGTTCCAGGAGCAACTGGGCTCGTGGAATCAGGGGCGGGAGTGACTGCGGCGGCGACATTAGATGTGACGGTAGGCACGGACGAGAAGGAGACCGACGCGGTCTCGGAGGGGCATTCCTCTTCGGCTTCGGTATGTGTAGGCTCGACGGCGACGGCGGAAGTAGATGAGACGACCGCAATGGGCTTTGACGGGACGCTGGTGATGTTTGACCAGGCTCCCCATGAATGGGGGGTTGCTGTTAACAATGCAGATGCTGATGTAGAGGCGGACGCAGACGCAGAGGTAGACACAGCAGCAGAAATAGAGGTAGACGCGGACGCCGCGGAATTCTGCGAGGATCCACCACTAGACGAAGCACCGTCGAACAGAGGGGGTCCAGGGATGTCATAGGATTCGAGCGCCGGGTAGTAGATGTTGAGCAAGATACCTGGATCTTGGGCGGTGTAGAGTTCTGTGCCCAGGGTGCCGCCAGTGAGAGAGGTCGAGCCAGACCCGGTGATTTCGAGGTTGATGCACTGAGGGTAGTTCTGGGCGCCACCGGCGTTGAAGGCTGAGTGTAGGGCAATGGTCTCGTGGCGTAGGACGTACTTGCCCGGTGCGATGCTTGACGGGATGGTGACGACCCACGAGTTGTTGTTGGCGATCATGTCGTCCGACGCCCATTTGCCGGGAGCCGGGGAGCCGTTGACGAGACCGGCCTCGTCGATCTTGTTGAACTTGAGCTGGCTCTTGTCGACCGTCGTGCAGTCGTCGCCGCACGAAGCGAGGTAGTCGATCATGGGCCCGTGGTGGGACTCGGGCCACACGGTCCACTGGAGCTCCAGGGACTCACCGGCGGCTACACTCACGTAAGCGCCTCCCGGCGTGGCGCCCTTGTGGCAGATGATGTCGGGAGATGTGTAGTCGCTGACGAACCCATAGTCTCCATCGTCGGGAATGGACCAACCGGCGACAACTGGGGGATTGTTGGAATACTTGAAGCTCGGGTTGTAGCCGGAGTACCACTGGCCACCGGCGACAATACCGCTCACAATGCCGTGAGCCGAAACTTTGGAGACAAGGGCGAGGGCCCCGACCAGGGTGGTAGATCTGATGAGAGACATCTTGGCGATATATGTCTGTAGAAAAAAGAGATGGTGCGCACGTTGACTGACTGTGGTCTGCTCAGAGAGGGAAAAGGGTGGTCTTCAATCAATGAAGTCCTTCTAGACGATGGAAAAGTGAACGTGGGTGGATTAAGTAAAGAACGAAACGGGTCAATTGACCTTGCAAACGAAAGACCTGCTTGAAGCTTTTGAGGGAGAACTGTGCTCTGGAGGAAGAGAATATTCGGACCAGCAGCGAAAGTTGTGTCTATATACCATCACCTGCCACGACTTCCGAGGTGTCGACCTTGAGGACGTAATTTGACGCCGGCCATGGTGAGTTTCACGTTGGAGGGGTACATAGTACACCGATGGAGTAGCATGGCCTTTCTGCAGGAGACGCATGAGAGGAAATGGAGCACAAGGTGAGTACAAGGCGAATTTGTGGCCGGGGGTAGCTGGTACGGTGCCCAGAAGACATAGGGGGTGATAGCACCACGACCCAGATCGAAAACACTGGATCTGCTGGGTTTGGTGATGACGGGGGGCCAGATCTGCCAAAATGCCAAGAGCCTTGCCAGAAGACTCGGCGAGGTATATCTGTTTCAGCATAACGTGGCGAGCGAGGGTGTTTTTGCTCGGCACTGGTGAAAGGGACAGTTGATCGGTCAGTACTCGTACGCCTGTAGGTCAGGGTGGAAAATGGACTTCCGACTCGGCCTGGTGTCGCATGGCTGATTTTCACAAGTCGAATCCACAACACAAAGTCGTCTCCGACTATGATGCATGGTGTACCGCTTTGCAGAGAGAAAATATCCGGCCGAGGATGTTCCTATCGAGGCTGCAAGGATGTGAGGATGTGGGGGACTCGGATGGGAGACTGTCCTGCCAAGAGATGCAAATGTTTCACCCCCTGAATCCGCCCCGCTCCGCCGTTGTGGCGCTCGGTACGACTCGCCTATTGAACCCGTCGCTGACAAGCATCACAGGGCGAGTAATGCTCGTCATGCATAAATCGGGGGAACCCAGGCCGACATAGTACCTTCAGTCTGTTTCAGACCGTACATGGATCTGATGCCTTGGGCTTAGGAGACTTCCTGCCGACCAGTACACCCGTGGTTGTCGAGATTGACAATGCAATTATGATCTTTTCGTCGGTTGCCTAATGACTTGGGCCAGCACACCCATGGTTGTCGAGATTGACATTGCAATCATGACCATTTCGCCGGTCGCCTGATCAATTGGACCAGTACATCACGACCAGCCGCAGAAGATGCACCGTAGAGGCTCCTTGCATCTCGGTTGGTCTTTCAAAATCACACCATGATTCTACGCAGGCCACTCGTGCCACCCAATACCCGCCGGCCAGTGACTGCGCATCGACCTTTTCCACTTTCCCAGCTACCTTCTCTGCTTCTGTGTGCGTTCTCCGAAGCCTCTCCATCGTTCTCGTTAGGCGCCTCGTCTTCGCCCTCGTCTTCCCATTCGCTCATCTTTTCTCCCTTCATGAAGGCTTCTTGTCTCTCGTGCGTCCCCTCAATCCATTGGAATATGCACTTGTAGTCAAAAACATAGCCAGTCTGGCATGCAGCAGCGGTCGAGATGGGATGGAGGCAGATCGGGCACAGGTCACTCGATGGCGGCGGAGGTACCGTGAGGATCGGCAGATATGTGATGCTCGACACTGGTGGACTACGCTTTACAGCCGTATTTGCCGTGCTGGCGGTCTGTACAGTGGCGACTCTTTGTGCCAGGTTCATCCCAGACACAATCGGTGGAGGCAGCTCTAGCCCCTCTGCGGCTTTCCGGCTCAACTGTCTTGAGAAATCGCTGGCATGCCACCATTCCAGGAACTTCAAAGCGAATATGCTTGTTGGAAGGAGAATTCTCAGACTCGATAATATGCGAGGATAAAGGGTGCGTGGGCTAAGCAACCCGCTGAGGCCCTGCCCTGGCACTCCCCCGACCTTGGTAGCCCTCGATGCGGCTTCGCTCGCGGCGTCAATGGCGCGGTAGTCGGCGGCTCCCATCCTGCGCATCCGTGTCCTTATCATCCACAAGAACGGGCTTGAATATTTTGTGCTGTCAAAGAGGTAGCCCAAGCTGAATGCCAGTATGCTGAAGTGGTATGCCGCATTTATGCTGGGGTACACATTCCGGAGGAACCACTTGTAATACCACATCAACCGCTGTCGGATGGTGGGATGTGGTGGGAGCTCGTCCCTGTTGAGGTACCTTGGGCCTCCTGCCATGAGCAGACTGGCAGTCGGCGCGATGTGTATATCATAGCTCTCGTCGAGCTTTCTCTTCAAATATGGGATGCCGACGAGAACGACGAGATTCTTCCATATGTCGGTGCCGCTCAACTTCAGTCTCTGTCGAACCTCGTCTGGAACCGCCAATTGTGTCCTCTTAATCTCACCACCATTGACGCTCAGGACCTTTTCTCTTTTCAATCCGTAGAAGTTCTCGGTGAAACTGCCACCGAATGTCTTGAGATAATATCGCTCCACCACAAGACTCAACAGTCCATAAACTTCATCGTAGTTGTTCAGAATGCGCAATAGGTACCGGGGGTATCTGTGCGTCGCGACGGCGAGGAGGTATCGTAGTGTAGGCGGAAGAAGCGCGGCAAGTTGCTGCTCTGAGAGAAGTTCGAAGAGTGATGGTTTGAGATCGTCAACGGGTGACTGAAGCGCGTTGAGATATTCCATGACGATAAGGTTGTGTTATTGACGCATTGAAGAGTTTGCCAAGTTCTGCAACATCGGTTTTACGCAGCTGACTGCGCTTCGATTGATGCGGCTGCCAAAGACTTGTGTGTGCTCGAGGCGGGTGTATCTGTAGAGATACCTTTTCGCGGATGCAGTGACGACCCAAAAGATGCCGAGGTTGGAGTCTCGACTCGATTTTAGGTGTAACCTATGCCCACTCGAGCCTAGTACGCCTTTCAAGATTCCGACAACTATATACTTTTCTGCCCAAAATTCGGGGTAGTCTCGACAATCTGGCCGAGTGGTTAAGGCGACAGACTCGAATACGCCTATTTCCGCCCAGAATTAGGCGTTCGCTATCTGTTGGGTTCGCCCGCACAGGTTCAAATCCTGTGGTTGTCGTTTTTGTTTTTTTATTTTTTATTTTTTGAATATTCATTGCTCAGATCTTGGAGCATCAGGGAAGATATTCAGAAAAAGCACAGGTGAAAATCCCGTGGTTGTCGTTTTTTGGGGATTTTTTTGAATATTCATTACTCGGGTCTTGGAGCATTAGGGAAGTGGTTCAGAAGAAAGAGTGTTCTGATTGTTGATTGTTTCTTCTGTCGTAAGTGGAAAATACTGCTTATCTACTCAGGTATGGATAGAGCCATTTGGGCATTGACCGCCGTAAACTACGAAGACGAATTGCTCAAGTCTTCCGAGTCTTCAGTCCATCTGCCTCGACAGTCTTGTGCTTGGGAAGAGCGACCACTATGCCTTCTCCCTTCAGATCTGTGTACAACTCCTCGAAGAACTCGCCCCATTGCTTTGACTTGTCTGCAAGAAGTAGTAGTGTAGCAAGCTGATGATTATTAGTGAATGGTTTTCGACTTTGATATAAAAAATACTTACTATAGCGAAGCCCTTCCACAACAATCTGATCTCAATATCTCTTTTCTGCGTTTCCATTGTAGCAATTGCAGCCTTCACGTGATGAGTCATGCCTCGAACTTCGCCTTTTGTGCCTTTGATTTCGCCGATGAGTGTGTCAACATTTTTGTCGAGAGTGGTGACCTTATTGTACAGAGTCTCCAAAGTGACTGGAAGATGAATTGGGTGACTGTTAATCTTGGGAAAGTCGGGTTCAGGGTCAACCGTTTTCGCAGAGTCGATCTTTGTAGAATCAGATTCAGGTTCAGAGGAATCTAGATTCAGATTGTTAACATGATATACAAAAGAATACGACATTCCGTATACTCACATTCCGCTTTGAGTAGGGCCTTGAAAGGTGGCTTGGTCAGACCATGATTAGTGAGAGTCCGACTAGCAAAAGGCCGAATTGCAAGCGTACGACGCCACATTGTGGCTATCGTAGGATGCGGAGTTTGGTTGGTGAGGTGAATAACACAGAAGTGGGAGAAGAATAAGAGACAAGTGAGAGTGGGGTGAAGAGGCAGCCAGGCAGCAGGCAGCAGGCAGCAGCAGCAGGCGAGGTTGGAGGAAAGAGCGTAGAGGACCGTATGATTCTCCGTGATTCAGTTCACCAGTCTTCAATCCTTGGCGCGACGTACTTGACAGTACCATCGCCTAAGAAGCCACTGGTTCCCAGAACACCACCGGTGATTTCTCGCAGCACATTGTTGAAGTCGGCACTCTTGCGAATGTCGCACTTCTTACTTGCACTCTCACAATGAGCAACCCACGCCGTCGTGCTCGCAAACTTCTTCAGGCAGCTCGGACAGGTCACTTGCCCACCCACATGTGCCGAAGAGAGCAAGTGGTTCTTGAAATCTAACTGATCCTTGAAAGCCCGAAGACATCTGTCACCTGGACACATATACTCCTGGCGCAGCGAGTCCCAATACTTCTCAAGGTCGATCCCGCTGGTGTTGGTGATGATGCTGTGAGCAGGCATTGTAATAACCTGTCTTCCACCGGGCACTGCAAATGGCCCGCCCCGCTGACTGGGAGGGACATGATTTTCAGACACCGCTGACTCTGCTGCCTTACGGTCGTAAATCGAAGCGACCTCGCTGTGATTATCGGATGGCGGGTTTGTTCTACTATTGACTGAACCGAGCCAGTCCCGGATGCTGGCTGTGTTCTCCCTCGGGGCTGGCGCAGGTTCAGCATGAGGGTCCCATGGTCGAGCTTGCGGACGCGATTGTGATATTCTGAGTCGTGCCATGTCATTAGCTCGTTCGTCAAAGTTGATCAGGTTGCTCGTTGTGACTTGAGATTTGGAACTTGCTCGACTTTTCGGGGGATTCGTACCCAGCGGTGGAAAATGCTGTTCTGATGATGCCGAGGTATGAACACCGGGTTGATACAGAGAGACTCCGCCACCAGCATTTTCAGCCTCATTATCCATCAAGCTTCTGCTCCTGGCAGAGCCTGCGGTTCGGCTTTCCATTGGACTAGAGAGGTTGTAGGGATCGGTTTCTTTGGCCCATGTCTCCTTCAGCAATTGTTTCTCGGCTCGTTGCATCTGGAAATCTCTTGAGCCGATGATCTCGCATTCGCCATTCTCGATATGCTGCATCAGTGATGCGGCAGACTGGAATCGGGTGTTGCAGCCGGCGCAGCTGAGATTCTGCCCGGTACGGTGGCTCTAAGATTCGTCAGCTTTGAAGTAAGATGGGCCGAATCGTTTCTTACCTGTTCAACATGTCGATCTCTGCCTGCAATGCTTTTGAACTATTTTCTAGTTAGAAACGCGTTGTCTCACTGCTGGAAGAAGCATTACCTCTAAAGCACAGACAGGGCAGCAGACTAGATTCAGAGTTAGCATGAAGGTCAGCCAGATACGACGGGTTCTTACTGTGAGCGGGAGTTCCAAGTTGATGGATGAAAAGGTGCATGTCATCTTGGAAGTCAAGATCGCAGACTTTGCAATAGCTATGTTTGATGTCCTTGACCTTGTGGGTGATCATTGCCGCATGAGAGTCGAAATGCCTGAAGCAATCTTCGTAGGTACACTTGATCTTCATCTTGACGATGGGAAAGAAGCCGTCTGCCAACAGAAGTCGAGGGTGAAGCAGGTTTTTTGTAAAGACGTAGTAATGGAAAGGGAGGGATATGTTCATGAAATAGACAAGGAGTAGACAGAGGGGAATGAAGCAAGTGCTAGGATCTCAGTCGGGACCCGAAGGAATGAGAATAAAGTTGATGGCATTGAATCACTTCTCACCATTTAACTGAGCCGCATTTATCGTCTCAGATCCGCGACAATGAGCTGTGAGGAGAGGACATGACGAATGAAGGCACAGTGAAGTTGAATGGAAGTGTGCAATGGATATCTAGTAAACCTAATGCATTCAAGCTGGATAGAGGCATACAATGATCGACCGTAGCAAACTACGTTGGCGCATACAGCATGAGATATCGGGCCCCTTTTGGCTCTGAACGGGCGAGTGAGGCTGGTGTGATACCCAGCAACATAGCAGACTTCTATCACTCAACGATCTCACCTTGCTGAACTAGGGACACGTACCGCTCGGACAAAAGCATAGAACCAAGGACAGCCTATAACAGCTACCATCATTGTGTGGGAGGCTGTTTGAGTAGTGCACAGCGTCCTGTTTCCAAGCATGCAACTAACTACTGAGGGGAGGAATAATGCCATTTGATTTTTCTACTTGTTTTCGAAATCATAAATCATTCAGCCATGGTGCGCTCTCACATGCGTGCCGATATCGAACGCTTCCTCTCATTGTGCTTGACTATTCAGGTGTAAAGCTGCTCGGTCAAGGCATTGAGACTAAGGCCTTCTTTGGCGATATCCTCATCTGCGATTCATTAGTACATCCCCGCGATGTTAGGTATGCTGACTTACTTTGCAAGAAGCACAATGGCATCTCTACCAATGTACCCTTGACCTGGCTCAACAACTCTTTTAGTTCTCCAACTCCGCCTGGGAAGTCTCCTCGAACGACATGTCCATATTGAACGCGTGGTGGCACTCGACTAGCCTTGTTGCCGTCTTTTTGATCGGCAGCATGGTAGTAGTACCCGTAGAACTCCTTGTATTCTGCCCAAGAAGTAACATAATCATCCGGGACTGCTCGGAAGGCTTTACGAAACACTTCGGTATTCGTACGGGCGCGAGTGTTCCACAGACTTTGGAAGGTGTCGCTCAGAGGATCAGAGACAACGTTGTCCTCTGGGCTATCCCAGTCGTACATGTTTGGTACTCCAACCGGATCAAAGTTTGGATCAGGTCTCTGGAAATCTTGTGGGCGGACAAGACCAAGGTGCTTGCGGAATAAGTGCCGTCTCAAGGAAGCAGCAAAGCGACTGGCTGTGTATGGTCGGCCCGCCATGTAGGTCTGGACTGGAGTAGGATCATTGATCAGCAATGCAATCTCGCTATCGTGGGAGCCGAGCTGACTGCGGTCGTTCAAGTTTGCTGAACCACAAATTACGATGCGATCATCTGCGATGAGACACTGTGGACAAGTCAGAGTAGTTCACAAAGCGTGAATCGACCGTACCTTTGAATGAATATACAGCTCTTCACTAACGAAGGCATCAAGTTCCTCTTCGGGTGGCCCATCCCACGGAACGGTGCGGATGTCTTGACCTCCAAGCATGTAGCACTGAGAAACTGTGTCCCAACGGCCGTCCACAGACTGAATTCCCTGTGCTGCTGTTTGGTATTGTTGATATTGTGGCGCTTGAGAAGGCTGGGTTGCGCCAGTGCCATAGCCCTGTGGTCCATATCCAGCTCCAACAACATCGCCGTGTTGCTTCCGTGCTTCTTCGTAACTGACTCCGCTTGCTTGCTCGGCCAGACGCATCGAATTGTTACAATTGATCCGATCGTAGTTTCGCAAGTTGTAAAAGCGGATATAATCCATCGGGTTGAAACCTGCCTGTGCAATCTTTTCCATGATCGACTCACCACCCCGGTTGATGCTGTTGTACTGGAATTCCATTATCGCACGAGTCCCTAATGAGGCATCGTCCTGTAGATCGCCGGCAAATGCTGGCACTGCTGGAATTACCACAATCACCTTGTACTTTTCGCCATTCTGAGCGGCGCGCAATATGCGCTCAACAAGAGCTTGTCCGATCAAATTCTTGACAGGGTGCTGTTTGTCTCCCGTCGCCGTTATAAAGAATTGATTCTCGATGTAGACAAAATGCCGGCTGTTTCGAATGACATCGATGTAAGCATTCTGAATCGAGTGTTCCAACGGTGTTCCGTTACTCCATGTGGTACAGCTCCGGAGCACCTGGCATGTCATGGGACCGCGAGGTGCATTGTAGGGACGTCCACCTTGCTCAAAGCCGCCCATGTATTTGCCGAAGCGTCCGCCGAACTCAGTGGACACTTTGTTGCCAACAGACGACAATTCCTGTTCAAATCTTCTACCCTGGTCTTTGTATTGGTGGATTCGGTCACGCAAACCTCGCTCTCCTGAGTAGCCATGTTCATTCTCATTGCCATAGCCAAACCCACCATAGCCTCGATTCTGCTCTTGTTCGTAGTCATCAAAGCCGCGGCTTTGCTCGGACCCAGCCTGTTGGTATGTTTGATGCTGATACGGCTGACCTGAACCTGGCTGAGAAGATAACTCGGTAACACCCTGATTGTATGGCGCATACCCTTGCTGTGTGTCAGGACTTGCGGACGGCTGATATCCTGAGTAGGTTGCTGTCATTCCTGCGATCGATTGTGGCGGGGGGCCTGGCGGCGGAGGAGGGAAGCTCTGCTGTGAGTAGGGATTTGGCGGTTGGCTGTAATTGCCAGAAGCGGGAGGCGGTGAGGTCTGGTACTGAGCTTGAGCAACCGCCGTTACAGGTTGGGCATAATTCGAAGGTGTGCCTGAAGAATACGCCGTCGCCGACTGCATCGATGGGCTAACCCCCGGGCTGGTACTCGGCTGAGGCTGGTATACATCTCCGACAGGTGTATGCGGTCTACTAGTGCTATGCCACGCAGGTGGACTGTAGGGTTGACTTCCCGGAGGGGGAGGGAACGGACCCCCTGGAGCCGGTGGTTGAAGATAGCTTGAAGTTTGTTGCTGCGGCTGCATCTGTCCATGCTGTGATTGTTGCTGCGACTTGGACTGCGGTCTTTGCCCCGGGCCGGACGTCGTATGGGAATAATCGTCCGCTATCCGGTAGTAACGCTGGTCTTGCCGAACATTATATTTCTCGTCATAGATAAAATTCCAGCGGTCAATAAAATGGTGGCAAAGATCAGCGACGGAGGGTCCTTGCAGGCAGATTGCAATGTCAGACCTGCCATGGTCAGTCGTCAGACAAGCCGATTTCGGGTCATACTCACCAGCCCATTCTCGAGCTGGTCGTGCGATCAAGCTTGTTCTGAAATGGGTTTGCGACATCGCTGAAGTCCATCACCCTATGACGAGTTAGCTTTGTCGATAGACATGTCGTACTAGATGCCAAACGATGCTCACCGGGCATTGTTGTAGTCCTGGCCAGGAAAGACTGTGTCGTTCACGTTCAAAGGGTGGACGTCGGCAATGGCATGTTGATTTGTATCCCACCTCCCAAAGCAAAGATCGAGGCCGCCCATGAAGGCAACGTCACGATCAATAAGACAGAGTTTCTCGTGGTGCGCCCAATAAAGGATGACGTCGTCCGTAATTCCATAGATTCCTTTCAGAGCATCTGCACCAAGCTTGGAAACGCCCGCAGCATCGAGCTTAAGACCTTGAAACGAAGAGATCAAGGACGACTGAGTAGTTTGAGCGTCGGGGAGGTGGTCAGGGTGGCGGAAAACAGAGATGTTGGGTGACAGCTTTTCCAACTCATGCTTGGTGTGAGCTGATGACAGCGCTGATTCAATGGTCAGGATCCACATCACCAACCTCAGATATTGTGGTGATATACTTACTCAACGCCTGTGTAACTTCCTTGTAAACAATGATACGGACCTTGACACCGCGTTGCGCAGCTCGCTGGAGAGTTCGGTCGAGTCGCCACTGCTCGTTCTGGGATGGCGGTCGGCGGAGATATAGTTCAGGAGACAGCCACCAGTCCAGGATCCAGATAGAATGCTTCGCCGCTTCCAGAGCTTGACTGACAGCCCAGAAGTATCCGCACCCATCCACATACCACTTCACATCGTTGCCGGGCTTCTCGGAAGCAAACGCATCGTATCGATTCCTGACGGCGGGCTGGTCGGGACCTGAGGGTACACTGGCATAGGTAGAGCCGGCTTGTCCAGGAGGCTGGTTACCATATTGCGTAGGCGGTTTGTGACTGGGGTCAATCAAATGTTGAACATCAGAGCCTATGTTCTGAACTGTATTCTGCAGAACACCAAACAACTTTGTCGCAATGTCCGGTTTTCCTTGAGGCTGTTGAGTGGGAGGTCCACCTGGGTAGGCCGGCTGCCCAGCAGATGATCCTGGTGGGCTGTAGTACGACTGTTGTGAGTTTTGATTCTGGCCCTGCTGCCCGTAGTATGATGGCTGCCCGGACCCAGAGGTGGCATTTTGACCTTGTTGGCCGTAGTAAGCTTGGTTGGAACCCGGAGACGAATATCCATAGTTTGAGCCCGACGAGGAGGTTTTGTACTTGTCATAACCAGACTTGAGCTTCTTGAAGGTGTCCCCGATCACTGATCGATCTGTGCCGCTCTGACCACTTCCGCGGGACTGAGAGTAGTCGTCTCCATAAGCTAGCCCCTCGTCCTCGGGTGGTGGTTGGTACGACATGGCGCTGGACTCACCAACGATTATTTATCGTGCTTGGCTTCAAAATGTAGAGAGCAAGACCGCAACACACAATAGCATGTCGAGGTTGTTGCCTACGCGCTCTGCTTCAACCGTTTTGAATAACTTTGGATGTGTTTCAGCTGGATAACAGCGAACGAAGCCTCACTAAGCCGCCAAGCCGACTCAGCCCCTTAGAAGCTCGAAGCTCGAAGCTTGATGCTGCTTTTAACCGGGCGAGACTCTGAGCACGAGTGATTCGACTGTTCATAATTCATAATAAATATCACCCCGCCTCGTGCTGAGGGCGAGTACATACTGTAAGGTTTAAGGTCGCTACTTACGCGTCCTCGCACTGCCGGGGTGGGAAGCTGGCCCACCTATACCAGCGTGGTGCGGACCCTCATCAGGAGAGTAGAACCGCTGTTCATTAATCATGGTACCTCTCCCATGATACATCCCCATGTAAGTTGATGGTCTGAGTATGGCCCAGATAGACTCCCTCAGGGTTCTCACTACCCGCATCTACGACCTTGGCCCAGCAGATCCCTCTTATCTTGGGCATCTCATTAGACGCCTTGATGACGGATGACAATAACAGCTCCCCAATGCCGAAGCCCTCGATGCGATCATGCGGGGCCAGACAGTTCCTTTTCTCCTCCACCACAGAGCAGCTTGGTGCGCCAGACATACATTGATCGGTGTTTCTCCACGGTCCTGACCGGAGCTGGCTATATTTATTGCCGTCATCATCTATAAGACATGGCTGCCCACCTGCGTCCTCTACAGCGTCTCACTACCACAAGTCTTTGCTCAAGACCGCAGATTGCTGCACTTGGATATACCTGCCTCGCTCCCCTCCAAAACACCCGAAAGAAGTCCAGCATGTCACTCGCCACCCTCGATGTGAGTGCTCCGCCGGTTCAAGCAGAAAGCCGACTGACGTGCTCAGGTGCGGCAACACCCCAACCTTCGGTCGTCGTCCGAAACCCTCTTCGAGGCCAAGGCAAAGAAGAAGGTGACCTTTGAGGCCATCGCGAAAGAGCTGGGTCGTGATGAGGTCGCAGTGGCGGCGTTGTTCTACGGACAGGCCAAGGCCTCTCCAGAAGATGTAAAGAAGCTGTCAGAATACTTGGAGCTTGACCATGCGACCCTGGAGGCGCAAATGACTGGCTTCCCCGACCGAGGGAAGAGCGTTGAGATGCCCCCACGAGAGCCTCTGATCTATCGTCTGTACGAGATTGTGCAAAACTATGGCTATGCATACAAAGCCGTGCTGAACGAGAAGTTTGGCGATGGTATCATGAGTGCCATCTCGTTCTCGACCCATGTTGAAAAGGAGGTTGATAAGGACGGTAACACATGGGTACGGCGCACCTCTACCATGACTTTTTCAACGCTGGCTAACCCATCCAGGTCAACATCCACCTCCGAGGCAAGTGGCTGCCCTTTACTCGCTTCTAGATATGGAGAGGCCAAGGTCTCGCCCATCAACATGGCCATTTCCCGGGAGCATTCCACTGTTGTCTATCCCGTACTACACGATTGGTGGGAAAGTCTTTGAGCTTGAAATAGTCCCTGCAAGGGAAAGCATTCGGTGTGTCTTCCAGCCTTCGTGCCGTGTGTGCTGTGTCTTGGGCGTATGCTTTGTGTTGGGAAGAACAATATTAAGCAAGAACAATATTAAGCTCTCACCCTTCCATTCAGCCTCGCCGCGATCCACCCCTTCCTTTGTCTTGCAACCCGCGGTCGCCCTCCATGCCTTTGGGTCGTTGGGAGTGGCCCATTGAGTCCACTGGTATATAAACTCTCTCATGCTCCCCCGAGAGACTTTCCTGGAGAAAGCCACATTCGTCTCAAGTCCAACTCTACCACACTCATTCCAAAGCACTATCAAAGTTCTTTCATTCATTTCACGTCATCACCATGCCTCCCTCCACCAAGCAAACTCGAGGTGCTGCCAAAGATGCGCAGTTCGGCCACGGCCACTTCTGCACCATCCAAAAGGGCATCCGGAGCAAGGATTCTATGCCTTATCTATGCACCGTCATGCGTCGATAGACTGCCTGTCCACATGACTCGTCGCATGCCGTCGACAGCTTGAGCCTCATCAGCGAGAAGTCTCGAGCAATCAACCTCCACTGAGTGCGGGACGCCCTCGGCTCAACAGAATTTAAATTGATCAAAGACCCATGCGACGAGGAGACCCGATCTGATATCCATATACTGTTTCATGTTTCGCTCCCCCTATATAGCACAGCACAGCACAGCACAGCACAGCACAGCACAGGATCCCTTTCATTTCACACCACACCTGATCAGGAGCACGCATTGGCAGAAGTTCCTGCCTGGGTGTGTCGTCCCTTTACACAATCTGGACATATAAGAGCAGACCGTCCCGGATGAGACATCTAACCTATTGCGGTCTCGGGTATTGAGATCTGTCAAGTCTTCTCTGGCTGGTCGGCGTCAGCGGATTTTTATAGAACTACGACTACGTTCGTTTTCCTCGGTGCAGACTTACGCACAGAATATCTCGTATCATCCACAATCATTTTCTGATTTCTGACTGCTTTCCTCAAAGCGTGATGATTTGCGTCCGGTGAGTTTGTGTTCATTTGTGCGCCACGTACACACACACACCCCCCTATCCCGATCTCTTTTCGTGTGCATGCGCGTGTGTGCGTCAAAGTTTACTCACGAACCCATCCCGATCAACCCTGCACAGGTACTCCCTCGTTATATCCTTGACGGCGGTGACGCCAGCGAGGCCCATGCACAGCCTGAACTCGTCCATCAGGAGGCGGAGACACAGCTCGACGCCCTCCTGGCCCTTGTACGCCAGACCCCAGAGCACGGGGCGGCCGATCCAGCAGAAGTCCGCGCCGAGCGCGAGGGCCTTGAAGACGTCGGTGCCGTGGCGGATGCCGCCGTCGACGTGCACGGGGACTTTGCCGTTGACGGCGGCCGCGACCTCGGGGAGGGCGTCGAGCGTCGCGAGGGCGCCGTTGAGCTGGCGGCCGCCGTGGTTGGAGACGACGATGCCGTCGACGCCGTGGTGGACGGCCAGGATGGCGTCCTCGGCCGTCGCGACCCCCTTGACCCACACTTGCATCGGTCCCACGCGGGACTTGAGCCACGGGATCGCCTCTTCCCAGGACAGCGTCGGGTTGGCCGCGTGCGTGTGGAACGTTATGGGCCCCGTTGGCGGACGGCGTCTGTGGCCGTCGTGGTAGCCTGCTACGCTCTGTCTTGGTTTGGGTGCCGGTTTTGGTTTTGGTGTTGACGATGCCGACTTTGATTTCGCATCTCGTTTAGAGGATGTGTTGGCGTGCTGATTGGGTTGATTCGGACGAGTCGATGATGATCGTGTGCTGCGTGAAGAATGATCATTGGTGATGGTCTTGTTGTTCGGTGCGTTGGTATTGTCCGTCGAGAGAGACGACGAAGCCGAACTCGCGTCTGTGGTTGTCGGTGCTGACGACGTCGATCCGGATGCAGCGTCGTCCTCGTCGCTGTCCTGTTCGGCGAAGTTGGCAATGGACAGGTGTGCGGGTAGCTTGAATTGGTTGCGGATTTCGAGGTTGCGCCGACCGAGCATGGGCGTGTCGACGGTGAGCAGGACGGCCTTGTAGCCTGCCTTCTTTGCGCGGTCGATGAGCCTGATCGAGTGGGCGCGCTCTTCGAAGAGGTAGAGCTGGAGCACGTTTGGGTTGTCCTCGCTCGCTTCGGCCACGTCTTCGAGCGTACTCGTGCTGAACGACGACAGACCCATGACGATCCCTTTGGATTTGCAGGCGCGGGCCGTGGCGAGCTCGCCGTCCGAGTGTGCGAGTCGTTGCATGGCCGTCGGGGCCACTCCGAAGGGAGCGCTGTTGGTATGGCCAAAGACATCGACGGTCGTGTCTATTTGGGATATGTCGCGGAGAACTCGTGGCCGGATCCGGTATTTCGAGTAGGCGGATATGTTCTCGCTGAGGGTAGTGCCGGCATCGGCCCCTTCGTTGTAGTAGTCTCGTGTTTGCTTGTCCATGCGTTCGTGGGCGAGAGCCTCGAGTTCAGCGATTGTGAGACAATTCAGGTCGTGGGGGGTCCGTTGATTGGCATGCGAGGAGCTCGACAACCCCTCGGATTTGTCTTTCGGAGACATTGTGATGGACAGTACGGGAGAGTGACCCCGTTGTACACTTCCCTGCGTGGGCGACGCGTCTGTAGCTATATCAACATAGGGGTGTCTTCGAGCTTCCTAGAATGATCAGTGAAGAGGGCGCTTCGACGAGCACGAGCCAGCAAGAGAACGCGAGCAATGCTTGATACAAAAGAAGAATAGGAAGAGGAATCTCGCCTTGGAATGTGTGGACGTTGCATATGCTACGTTCGCACCAGAGGAAAGCTTATGAGTAGATCTCCTCACATCCATGACGCCGCGAAGCCTGAGAGGCACAGGTATCGCCTACCTACCCAGAACCTGTCGGAGAGCTGGTGCGCCGAGGGCCATTGGCGAGGACAATGACGTCGCAAACAACGATGGAGATGTTTGATGGTGGATAGAACGGGCCGGAGAAGGCTTTGGTGGCTTGGATCGGAGATGGGATGGGGACCGTGCAGATCGGCAAGGTCTTCATGTTGACAGTGGAATAGAGTCGATTATATCTGTGCCATATTGTCTCTCTCTTTCCCCCCTGAAACCTGCGCAATGGATACGACCATCTCAACCCTGCGGGACCTTCTCACGAACGCGAAACACACGAGATGGATCGCACCGTTGATGTTACTCGGAGAAACAGCGTTATGCGGACTGATCATCTGGAGGATTCCTTGTGCGTTTGTCACAGACATGGTGTGGGCACTCTCTAACAATGTCCTTCTAGACACCGAAATCGACTACACGACCTACATGGCCCAGGTCCGCATGTTCTTGGACGGTGAACGAAACTACAGCAAAATCACCGGACCTACAGGCCCCCTCGTCTACCCGGCCCTCCATGTATACATCTATACCGCCCTCTATCACCTCACGGATGGTGGGACGAACATCCTCCGAGCACAGATCATCTTCGCCGGCCTGTACTTGGCCACTCTGGCCGTTGTAATGGCGTGCTACAGACGCGTCGGAGCGCCTCCGTGGTTACTGGCGCCACTGGTGCTGAGCAAGAGAATGCATTCTATATTCCTACTGAGGCTGTTCAATGACTGCTGGGCAACGCTCGCATTCTGGACAGCCATCTACCTGCTACAAGGGAGAAGGTGGTCAGCAGGAGCCATAGTATGGGCCCTGGGTTTGGGTATCAAGATGACTCTTTTATTGGCAGCACCCTCTATAGGAGTCATTCTGCTACAGGCTGAAGGTACAAAGAGGGCAATCATGAATGGCTTCCTTGTCTTGATGATACATCTGAATCTGGCCATCCCGTTCCTCACAGCGGGCAATGGTCTTCAGTATCTGGGGCAAGCCTTCGACTTTGGCCGGCAATTTCTCTTCAAGTGGACTGTCAACTGGAGGTTTGTGGGCGAGGAAACTTTCTTGTCCCGACAGTTCGCCATCAGTCTCCTGCTCGTTCACTTGTCCCTACTCTTACTGTTCTTCCAAACCAAATGGGTCAAGCCAAGTTCTCCTGGCTTGGTCGGCTTCGTCAGGAGATACACTTTGTTCAAGGGAGAGCATGAGCAGACCCAGGTGTCGACAAAGATGACTCCGACTTTTGCCATGGACGCCGTCCTCGGAAGCATTGCAATCGGTCTCTTGTGTGCTCGGAGCCTACACTATCAATTCTTCGCATACCTCGGATGGGCGACGCCGTATCTTGTGTGGAGGGCCGGAGGAGGACCCATGTGGGTTTTGGCCAACTGGGCGATTCAAGAGTATTCGTGGCTCGTCTATCCCAGTACCGACCTGAGCTCGGTAGCTGTTGTTTGTATGCTGGCAGTCCAGGTGATGAGTGCTCTTATTGCTCCTCCAGTCGATCACACTTCTCCAGTGGGAGCGTTCAGTAGGATGGGCAGGTAGGAGGAAAGAATATAGACCCAATGTGCATCATTCGTCATCCTCTTCACTGTCTGATGGGGGCATCTTCCCAACCAGCGATTCCTCTTCGTCGCTGTCTACGCGGCGAGGCTTTGGGGCAAACTGCGCAGGCCAGTAGGGCTGTTTCCGCCATGTCTTCTCATCGCCCACGATATTCACAATCTCGCCTTGAATTTTGTTGTCGCGGTCGGTTGCAGAAGTATCGATCAGCACATATCCGCCTCTTTTGACAAATATTGTGCCGCGGAATTTGGCCTCGAGTTCGACCAGGAGTTCGGTGGCATCGGGTGTCTTGACAGAATAGAGATCTTTTCCTTGAGCCTTGATGACCCGTGCGATAGTCTGACCGGGAGACAGAGAGTCAGGCGGTGTCAAAGTCTCTTCGGCGGTGTTGCGGATCTTTCGGCGAGACATGGTGCGTTAATGAGATTCCCTGCGAGGATTTTTGGGCTCTGCATTTCATCGCTACGACATCCCCGGGTTTGCGGCAGTAAGTTAAAGGAGCCCAAAGATGGAAGGCTGGCCGAGTGCTCAATGGGGAAGCCGAGCCGAGTACTGCGATATTGTGTACAGTACGTATTCAGTGACTAGTAGTAGATCATGCACATTTTGGCTTTACCATCGCCACACCAAGACCTCGACCATCCCCACCGCCGTATCTGTCACTGACCAGCCTTTCTACGCCCTGGCTTATCTCATGCCACCATGTGCTTTTTTTCGCGTATGAAGGGCATGGGCACAATACTTGGCCCCAGTGCCCTGTCCAACCAGGTGAAAGTTTTATCCTGTGCAGATGCAAGTTAAGCTGTCCGCAATCCACTTAATCCACACCATGACTGAGTGCTTCCCTTTGATTACGCTCCCTCTGTCTGCTGTTGTCTCCGGAATTTCTTTCTCCTGCTCGACCTTGGGTTGGGAAAATATATGCTCATGACGACACGCCACTCGCAGCTCTGTCAGTCAGTATTCGCATCCTGTTCTTCTGTCATTTCCACAAGTCCTTTGCTTTCAACATGGCCGCAACGGCAATTCCCTTTGGCGCTTTCATCAGCCTTGAGAGTGATTCTTCCGCTTCTATTCGAGGACCTGATGCCGTGGTCCATCGAGACTATATCACATATTGCTCACCTACAGAACATGAACTCTCTAAGCTACAATGGGGACAGCGTCTCAACGGGCCAGAAAAGATCAGACCTGGCAATGTCTCTCCCAATGAACAATCGATCCCACCAACACCAGGAGAATTGGAAGAAAGCCAGCCTGCGACACCAGCAGGAGCTCCAGCAATCGGTGCCATAATTCAATCATTCTCTAACCCTCCCAGAAATCGCTGGAGAGTAGCCTCGGCCTCTGTCTTCTTTTTGTTGATGGGGATGAATGATGCAGCGACCGGTGCTCTGATTCCCTATCTTGAAGCCGAATACAACATCGGATACGCCATTGTCTCCCTAATTTTTGTTACGAATGCAATTGGATGGCTCGTGATGGCTCCGATATCCCAAATGATAGAAGCCCGGGCAGGTCGGTCTCGTTCCTACATTATAGCCACAACCCTCATGAGCATGGGCTACACGACCCTTGTGTGTGCACCGCCCTTCCCGGTCGTCGTCCTGAGTTTCTTTCTTCTCGGCCTCGGTATGGCACTGTTTTTGGGAATGACCAACGCTTTCATCGTGAATCTGGTAAATGGTACCGTTCTTCTCGGCCTGTGCCATGGCATATATGGGGTGAGTATACCTCTTTGATGCAAAAGATGACACTGACGGTCCCCAGCTTGGTGGTGTTGTCTCCCCCATTATCGCAACTGCAATTGTCTCTAAAGGCGTCAGCTGGTCGTACTACTACTTCATCACCCTCGGCATATCCATCTTTTCGATAATCTTCATGGCGTGGTCTTTTAAGGGGTTCGAAAACGATGCTTCTCAACAACTACTCACGAATCTCGAACTCACTGCTTCACGACAAGCATCAGCAGCAGGAGAGCCGACAAAGTTCCAGCTCCTTAAGCGAGCATTGAAGAATCGAACCACCCTGCTCGGTGCTGCGTTCATCTTGTGAGCCCTCTGCTTCCACGTCTTCCACAGCGTACTAATGGCTGTGTAGCTTCTACCAGGGTGCAGAGGTTGCGATTTCCGGCTGGGTCATCTCCTTCCTAATCCATTATCGAAAAGGAGACCCATCTCACGTTGGCAATGTCACGTCTGGTTTCTGGGCCGGTGTCACCGTGGGAAGATTTGTCCTGACCCATTTTTGCCACAAGATGGGAGAGAAGCTGGCAGTTACTATACTCATCATCGGAGCTGGCGCTTTCCAACTTCTCGTTTGGCTCGTCCCAAATATCATTGGTAGTGCGGTTGCGGAGGCCTTGGTTGGTCTACTACTAGGACCCATATATCCCTGTGCGACCGGAGTCTTCTCAAAACTCTTACCTCGGAGCATGCAGATTGTCAGCCTAAGTGTGACCACTTCGATGGGATCCTCGGGAGGTGCGTTTGTGCCTCTCATCACCGGCCTCATGGCACAAAGCCTGAGTACTGTCGTGCTGCACCCAATTGTTCTCATTTCATTTGCTGCAATGATTGGCACCTGGGTCTCACTTCCGCGGATCGGAAAGAGAATGGAGTAATTAGGACAATCGTCGGCTTGCAGATCACGGCGATGGATGTGGTATATGATGTGCATCAGTGCCAAGTCATGTAACATTTCCTTGCGTCGAGAGCATGTGCTGTGGTGAATCAACCGAGGCTTGTTTGGAGTATGAGGAGGACTTTTACAACAACCTCCAACTGACGGATAGCAACGGATCTTCCTTCGACAGTACAACGCCGCTTGTCTTCACTGCAACCTCGAATCCAATTTTTGTCGCTTTTGCCCTGTCAGTCAAAACGAGAGTGAGACAATCTATCATTCCCTGTGCAACCTTCGAATCTCATGAAACGCCTCCTTCACAACCCAGCACAATGGATGCCCGTGGTGAGGAAGCACGACATGATCGTGGCATGCGAGATCGCGTGTTCCGGTGGGCAGGGCGCAAAGTAAACCAATTCTTGGAAAGTGACAGTACACCGACTCCGTTATCGACACCTGGTCACCACAATGAATCAAGCCAACAGGGCTCAAGTCATGGTCAAGATCCAATTCAACCTCAGCAGTCCGACCCTCGGCGTCTACTTTTCAAGGTGCGTCACCGCTCGCTCGGTCTCCTGCGTTCGCTTTGAAGAGGAACACTGCGCGACTCTGACGACCGTGTCTCTGCGTCACCTTCAAGCACAACGCTTGTGATCAATAGCCTATTGTCGTGATTCGTGGCAATCAATTTCAATCACCACCTCAATTATTGATTGTCATATTCGCATGCAGAAGTCATGGACATGCCTTTTCCTCTCACACATTCCCTCTTCATGTGCACAGCTCATCAGATTCATTTTCAAATGGCTTTCATATTCTGGTGTTTACCATATCAATATGCATCCCATCTACCGTGTACCATTTGTTACTGTCTTCGTTGTTTCCCATCTAATTCGTCTGCTTCAGGCTTCACCTCTACCAGTGCTGGGCACAACTACAAACGCCTCTCGTGCCGCTTACAGTCCCAGGAAGCCTTACCCACCCAATATCACTGTCTCTTGTGTCGACTTCCTAGGCGAAGTACACAGCGCTACCACCTACGTCAAACGCGACCTCGGCTTTCAAGGCCAGATTGGCTCGTTTGTTCTTCTGTCGTACGGCGACACAATGTACTCCGACGCAAATTACTCGGACAAGTGGCGCGGCATGACAAGCGATTCAGTCGCCTTGGCCACTCATGACCCTCTTGTCGTCGTCGATCCCGTGCTCAACCAGCACGGCTACCCTCCACAATTCTGCCCCATCATCGATTCATTCGGCGAAGATGCCTCGGAGTGCGCTTTAGGCATAACCAACGTCGTCCAGACCACATCGGCCGACGACGGCGTCCTGTTCTTTCTCCTGAATCATCGGCCCGATGGGAAAAACAATCTCGTCGGCGCAGGTGTGGCAAGCGTCCACCTCGACACATCCAGATACCCGCCCGCCCCTCACATCCGGCGCCTAGCGAGGTTCTGGTGGGACGCATCACAGGAGCCATGGTACGGTGACATATGCGCACTTCGGCATGACGGGTACGTCTACGCGTATGGCCACGGCGGACACGCCGACCAGAATCCCTGGGTCTATGTCGCGCGCGCAAGGCTCGAAGAGGCAACCAACCTGGACTGTTACGAGTATTGGAACGGAGAGAGCTGGCAGCGGGAGCGACTCAAGACGAAGGATCTCAGCGAGAAGGAGAGCGTCTTTTGGCAGATCAACCAGGGCCAAGTCGTTTGGAACGAGTACCTAGGTTGTTTTATCTTTGTGTACTGCGACAACTGGATGAACTCGAAGGTGTTGATGAAGACCGCCCAAAACCCCGAGGGACCCTGGAGCGAGGCTGTCGAACTCTACCAGGCGACGCCGGTGAGTGACGGTGGTGCCATATACGCGGCTATTCCGCACGATTACTACGATCGAGATGGGCCAACGTTGGTGGTTACATTTACGAATCACCCAAACACGATACAGGCGGTGAAGGTCACGTTTGGATGAATAGGGGAGTGACAGGAGGTGTCCATGGGTCTCATGACACAACAGAACAGGTAGTTGGTCCTGGTAACATAGCTAGGATTTTTCGGTATGAATTTGAAGGGTATTTCGACAGACACTCCCTGGCGTAGCCTCGACTCTCGTATGTGACCAGGAGAAGCTACAGTACATTACATACACAACCTGTGCACGCCACTTTGAGTTGGTTGGTCGAGTCATGTCGTAGAGTTGGTTGGTAGTAGTCTAAAAAAAAAATAAACCCCCGTCTCTTGACTTCTTCCGTACAACATTGCCAGACGCAGACGCACGCGCACACGCGCACACACGCACACACGCACACACGCACACACACACACACACACACACATTGACGACCCATGTCGATGTCTCCACTACTACCTAACAAAGTGAACCTTTTCAGGCCCAACTTGAATATCACGATCAACCTTCCCACAGAAATTCCTGAGTTGCGGTGGGCGGAATCAGGGGACGCAAGGCCATTCCGTAGTCACCACCGTTCGGGGTCCTCAGCAGGGTGTGGATGTGGAACTTGGCGGGGTGCTCGTTGTCCAGAAACACGCCGGAATGGTGGTCAAACTCGACCAGCACCACGGGGCTCTGGATCCGGAAGTAGAACGGGTCGGCGTCGTCGAAGCCGCCGATCCAGCAGAAGTAGGTCTCGTCGAAATGCTCGGCGATCTGGGAGAGCCTGATGTCCCGGGCGCGCCGGGGCAGGTAGAGGAGGTACTGGTTGAGGATGCCGCGGACGAGGTCCTGCTGGGCGGGGGTCATGTCGCCGACCGGGACGCCCTCGTAGGGCACGACGCGGTTGTCGCGGAAGGCGCCGCACAGGTGGCGCTGGTCGTCGTGGTTCCAGCGGCCCTTGGGCATGGCGGGGTCCTTCATCTCCTTGTACACCTGGGCCGCGGCCTGCTGGCGGGCGGGGAGGGACTGCATCAACCTCAGGCCGAGGGTTTCCTCCTCGTGGAGGATGCGCGTGCCCTCGTGGGGCCCGGCGTCGATCAGGTTGGGCTCGGCGCCGGTGAACCACGGCGACGCGACGACCTGGGTCTTGTACAGGAACAGGTTGAGGCAGAGGTGGTGGCCGTAGAAGCTGAACCCCCAGGGCGCCGCGGCCGAGGGGGTCCCGAAGAGCACGAAGTTGTACGAGAACTCGTTCATGACCGCGGGGGACCCGACCAGCTCGCCGAGGAACCCGTTGACGCGCATCGCCCCGACGGCCTTGGCGTACCCCTCGGGCGACAGCGCCGCCTCCAGCACCGCCATGACGCCGTCGCGCACCGCCGCCGTGACCTCGTCCAGCCGGATCCCCTTGTGGCTGAGCAGGAACTCCGGGTTGGACCACGTCCGCCACTGCGGCGAGTCGACGTGGTACGACACCGCCGCCGCCTGCTCGGGCGTGAGCTGCGAGAGCACCTGCTGCGTCTTGGCCACGATGTCGTCGATGGGGACGCCTTCGTCCTGCAGCTTGAACAGGCCCGGCCGCACGGCGCCGTCGTTCGTCACGCCGTGGAACGGCTCCGAAAGCAGTTTCTGCCAGTGCAGCCACAGCCCGTGGATCCAGGGGGGCTGCCCGCCCTCTTTGAACCGTCGCGCGTACTCGTGTGCATTTTCCGTCTTCATGGTCGTGAACCGTGGAGTGCTCAGGTCCGGCAGGTATTGGCGGTAGGGGCTTTCTTTGGAGTCAGCCATGATGGAGATGTTGTGGTCGCCGCCTTTGTTTTTTTGATTACCAGTACTTGAGTAGGCTGGGATTGATGTCGAAGACGAGAGATGCCAGTGATTCGAACTGTAGACACACAATAATATCTCTGGTCGGGGGTTAGAAGTGAGTAGATGGTCTGTCTACTTGGAGGCTGAGCTTCTCCGTCAAAGTCGGCCATCCCCACAATGTGTATTTCCCGGGATCGTGGGGCGCCGAGGACGCGTGCTCGGATGTTCTCTACTCTACGCACCCTAGAGTACAAAATGGAAAAAGAGACAGGACAACAAGCTCGCACCAGGTGGATCTTGCGGGAAAAGCGGCCGTGAGCTTTTATGACAGTCTCTTCTCCGTGCTCGTAGACTCCAGTTTCACTACACGCGCTGTTTGTTGTATACAGTACGAGCTACAGTGAGGCCTTCTCCACACAACGTTCACGATCCCGGCCCCCGGTCTCGGTGTCGGTCTACAGCCCAACGCAGGATACAGAGAAATTTCGCGGCCAGTGCCCTTGCTCTTAGAGGGCGTCTTCCCTCCATGCCATGATCGCTCCCCTGGTCAGTTTCTACGTCAGGCCACACCCTTCTCGGTCGACCTTCACTCAGTCGTCTCGGGTATCAAACCCACCTTCTCATGCAAGCTTGCCGCCAAACTTAGCTCATCTCTCCATGGGTGGTGCTTCGGCGAGAAGGGAGATTCCAAGACCGGTCCCTGTTCTACCTGAGTATGGCACCACTGGTGAAGGAGGGTGTTTCAGGACTCACTGATCGCGGCCTCATAGATCCCGGAAGGCCTTCATCCCCTGGTGCGGGGTGAGGGCGGCGACGGCCGAGTTTGAAGATGTCGGGCTTACTCACTCAGCATTTTGCACACGTTTCCCGGCGATGTTTGTATGTCCTTGGGGCCCAGTGCGCCGGAGAGGAGGCGGAGATGCACAAGGTCGAAGCAGTCAGACAGGTCCTCCGGCACCGAGGACAATACGTCGTACATTCATTCTTATTCGACGGGGAAACTGTTCTTCCGAGATGTCCAGACCACGGATCCGTGCTTCAGGATAACCGACGTGCAAGTCAAAGAGCTCAGATGCTGCGTCACTCAGCTGCAGTTCCTCCTCGATGTTGCCAACCCACTTACCCATTACCGGCCCCGACGTCAGCAATTTGCTTGTGCGGTCGGTCGTCCAAGTAATTCTTGACCGTGGGGTGAAGGAACCATCCATTCCTCCCAACCAGGAAGGTGTGCTGTCCCGTAAGTCTACAAGCTTTGGTAAGTGGAAAGCCAAGAGAGTCTCGACAGACCTGGCAGAGGACATGTACATGTAGTTCCGCTGCAGAACATATCGGTCTACTTCAGATTCCTCCCTCTTCGCCGCCATGGCGCCAGTCATCGTTTTGCGAAGTGCCCAAATGTCAAAATTGTGAAGTGGGGAACAACAACGGCCTGATAGCTTTTTTCTGCGGTTGTTTGTCCTTTGTCGTCAAACCGCTCTCTCTACGTCGTTTTCTCTGAGAGACTTTATGGCTCGGAGCCATCTGGCTGCCCGCGAGGGGTTTTGTCTGGGGAGCCCTTGGAGGCCTTATCGGGATCAAGTTCACATGCTGCAGTGCTCCACATTCGGCCCTGCGTCCAAATGCCGTTTCAAATACATTGTGACGGTTTTTCATCTCGCTGAAGGCGCAAGTCTCGAACACTCAGCTCTGCGCACGTTGGCTGTCGGGGAGTGAGAGACCGGAAATCTGACCTGCGGCTAGCACCGTGATCTGTGGGGCCATTCGCGATTCGCGGGCAGATCTGGAGCAGCCTTCGACGTCAGGGATCTGGCAACCTTGAAGCCCTGAAGCCCTGAAACTCTGTGGCCACGAAGCCAATGACGATGACGTAGCTCCATAAACCAAGTTTTTGCGTCCGCGTGGTCAGGATGAAAGACCGTCTGATCTGCGTGAGCAACGCACGGGCATGGACAATATAAACCTCGCGGCATAGTAATCTTCAATCAGACTCGCCGGCCGAGATGCCATCCAAGAAGCTGCCGCCCCGGCCAGCGCAGCAGAAGCCGCAATCGCCCACGCCACAGCAGAAACCGCAAACACCACAAAGTGCACCTAAACCCCAACCCAACAATTTATCTCCCACTCCCACCTGTCAACCCGTCATCCCAGACTACGAAGTGAAGCAGAGCTCGTCCGTGAGCGCCCAGCTCGCCCTCCAGGCAGCCAAGAAAGCCTACGAACTCCGGCAGGCCGCGTACGGTGCCGCCGACCCAAACGCCCGCGAAGAGATCCTGGCCAAGGCTATCAACAAGGAAATCGAGGCCGAATCGTTCGGCAAAGCCGCCAAATATACCCGCTCGGGCGCCTTTCAGGGCCTTGCCGCCGGTGCAGGCCTCGGCGTCCAACCGGGCGTCACCCTGGGCAAACTGACCGGCGCGCTGGTCGGCGGCGTGGTGGCGTCGGCGGGCGCTGTGGTGGGCGGGGGAATTGGATCCGCATACGGCGCCATCAGTGGTCCGTTCTGGGATCTGGGCCAGATGGCCAGCCATGGCGTACGGAGCATTATCGGCGACTTTCCGAACTGGGAGGCCACGTCGAGCCAGAAGAAGGCGCTGGAGAAGATGGTCATGGGGGCCCAACAGACCAAGGTGCCGACCCAGGAAGAATTGGAGGAGATGCGAGACGACGACGGCGGCGTTCGGGATCAGGAGGACCTCCAGCATTGGGTCAGCGATTTGACAAGCTACATCCCCAGCATGCCATCGATGCCGAAAATGCCGAAAATGCCGTCAATGCCCTCGATGCCAGGGCTGTGGGGACAATCGAAAGGGAACAATAACCCTCCGCCAGCGGGGAGCCAGTCGAAGCCAACAACAGCATCGAATCAGAGTCCGCGGCCAAAAGCAGCTGCAAACCCTTCAGCGCTGCCAAAGCCTCAACACGCTCCTATCAAAGCGCCCAGTCCGACGTCCAAATCGCAATCCCCACTGAAGGCAGACGAGAATGCCCCAAGAAGGAAGCCGCCCAAGCTGGAACCCAGATCGACAGGAACCACTTCACCGTCGAGCCAATCGGCCACTCGTAGAAAGCCGCCCAAATTGGAGACGCGATCAAAACCGGCCACGGCGAACGCATGAAGTGACAGCATGGTCAGCGGCGACTGGGGCCAGCTCGTGCTGGCGGTCGTTGCTTGCCCGAATTTGGCTCTGTGGAAGAATGATTTTCTCACCTTTAGCTTCCCGCTCGGGGAACGTGGTCTCTGCTGGAAGTACCGCTTGCCTGCTCTCCATCACTCGGAGCTCTAGGTTGCCGAATAGGCTGGCCCTTGCTGTTCAAGACATCCATGCTCCCATCCACAGCCAGGTAACAAAGGTGTTGATGATGTTGGGGACGAGTAAGATTGTATGGATAATGAGAGCATTGTACCATCCTTGCCGCCACATAACGTGCCAGGTGACACGATCGACTTTGCGATGGAGGGGCTCCAATGGGAAGTGGTGCCAACCATGCGATGGCTATTCTGGAATATCTGGCTGACTTGTGGCGTCTTTGGAATTACCCTCTTGACGGTTGCTCGGCGGAATCAATGTTTCGCACATTTCTTTTTTGCAGACTGCGTTTCCCCCGGCGTTCATATTAGGGACTTCGTCTTCTGGAATCTCATATCCGAACCATCCGCACCAGTAACAACTGAACGCATGTAGGGCGCCGAACGTGCCGTCCTGTTCCGCTTTGCAACGCTCCCACAAGTTGCCTATCACCTGGTCTCTGTATACGGTGTCGGCAATCGGGTCTTGGGCAGCGGCGTTGTACTGTGGCGGCCGTGGCAAGGATGGTTGCTTGGCCGCTTTAAGAGAGTCCTCATCGGTTTCGTCACACCCAAAGATTTGATACACATCGCTGACGGCATCTTCGTATCCTCTTTTACCACATCGCATCCCCACTGCGTTGGTGCCCTGCGTAATCCTTGATATTTCACCTCTCCATTTAAACTTGAAATTGGTGTTTTTTATTTTCGCATTCAGGAGGCACCGCTTATCGTAAAGCAGGAACTCCAGCTGCCACAAGGCGAAGAGCAGATTCTTGCCAATGAGATGCGCTTTGGGCTTCGTTCGACTCCACTTGCCATAATTCAGGTCAGATGGTGGGAGGGTCAAGTCTAGACAGGTCCAAATTCACCTCTGCGTATAATGACACTCGAAATCATCGTATCATTCCTGCCCGGAGCCTTATGCTGTGTCCGATGGGGTTGATCGATGACCTCCTTGTTCTAATCGGCAACCTCAAATGACGGAGGGCGTTGTCCAAGGTTGCCGTTACACGGAGGGTAAATGGTACTCCAGGGCTCGGGGGCGGTAAGCGGGATCGACTCGAACGGGGTGGTTGGGACGAAGCGGTAACGACATTTTGGTGGCTGCTCGAGGGTCGTTTTGAGCGTGGGCAAGAAGCAGCTTCGAGGGTTTTTTGTTCTTTTGGAGGCACGCGAGACCGAGGGCTCTCCGGGGGGGCGGATCTCGTCTCAGGAACGGCGCGAAGAGAGGCATCAAGAGGCATCAAGCGACACCATCAAAGCGTGAATCGGGCACTGCCTGCAGTAACCCACCAGCCAATTCAGCCGACGGTGGCAGCCACAAACTGCGTCGCTTGGCTCTGAGTGAGGCTGCGCAAAGAGGCTGCCATACTAGGCCGGGATCGGGGGGCGCCGAGGACACGTGCTTAAATGTTCTCTATATACCCTATAGGTACAAAAGGGAAAAAGAGACAGGACGACCAGCTCACACTCAATAGATCTTGCGGAAAAGCGTCATGAGCTTTTGTGACGGTGTCTTCTCCGTGCTCGTAGACTCCAGTTTCACGATACGCGCTGTTTATTGTATACGAGCTCCAGTGAGGCCTTCTCCACACAAAGTCCACCTTCCCGGTCCCCGGTCCCGGTCTCGGTCTCTGTAACATAGTAGTTAGTTGCGTCTCCACGCCCCCGTGTAGCCACAGCCTTTCCACAGCATCCATCTCCACACGCCGTCTTCTCGTCTTTCCATATATCACGAGCATGGCCAAAGGGTCAGGCCACAGACACAAACAATGCTAAAGCTGAGAAACATGGCGTCGGCCTCGATCCCGTTCAAACGTATGTCTGGTCCCGTCCTGGCCCCTCCCCCTGGTCTTTTTCACGCCTGTTACAGTGTGAAATAGCAACCTCTCACGAAGAAAATGTCTCCACTCTGCAGGGCTGGTGCGCTTCATACCGAGATCAGACTCGTCCAAGATCTTCATTGGACAGCCTCACGACGACACTCTCGACGTCGGTCTAGCGCTGCGAAATGGCCAGGACGTGAAAGTCGACGTCTTCTCCGGCACGTCAGTCCTATCGCCAGGTCAGGCGACGGGCACGAGTGCAGTCATCGATCGAGTCCTGTCACCATTGCACATTTCTGAAGTCGGCACGATTCGATGTGTCGGTTTGAATGTATGTACCTTCGCACGCACGCCCGCCATCTGTTTTGTTGTTTTGTCCTTTTTTGACGCCGACAAACTGGCAAAGACGCGTTTTCGCTGACACGAATCACGAGATGGACACAGTACAAGCAGCACGCAGCTGAAGTCAACATGGCCTTGCCTACCGTACCGACGGTGTTTTTGTAAGCGGACCGCCGTACCCCAATCCAACCAAACACGCGGTCCAAAAGGGCCACAGTAGCAACCGCTACAGCGAGAGCCACCACGGCAACCGCCCACACCTACCGGGCGGATTGACGGTTCAAGATAGACTTGCCTTCTGTTGTGTTTTTTTTTTTTGGCTGTCTGTCTGCTGCTACCCCTGTCTTGTCCCCAGCGCAGCTGACGTTGAAGCGAAACCCTCCAGGAAACCAGCCACGGCGCTAGGCGACCCGTGGCCCGCGCCGACGGTGTTGCCCAAACTCACCCAACTCGATGACTGCGGCGACTACGAGTCGGAACTCGCGGTGGTGCTGGGCCGGACGGCCAAGAACGTGCCCGAGTCCGAAGCGCTGGACTACGTCCTGGGGTACACGGCGTGCAACGACGTCTCGAGCCGGACGAGCCAGTTCGCGCAGAGCCAGTGGAGTTTCTCCAAGGGCTTCGACACGTCGTGCCCGCTGGGGCCGACGCTCGTGTCGCCCGCGCTGATTCCGGACCCGTCGAAGCTGCGTGTCCGCGGCGTCAAGAACGGCGACCAGCTCCTCCAGGACTGCGGGACCGACGACCTGATCTTCTCCGTCGCCCAGCTGGTGAGCTTCATCTCGCAGGGCACCACGCTCCCCGCGGGGACCGTGATCATCACGGGCACCCCTGCCGGGGTGGGCGTCGGGAAGAAGCCCAAAGTCACCATCAAGGCGGGCGATGAGTTTCACGTCGAGATCCTGCCGCACATCGGGACGCTGGTGAATGTGTTTGAGAATGAGGAATGAGCAGTGACTTGACCTTTGTGACCGGTGGCATTCATCGAAGGATACCTCCATAGGTATCTAAAACGGTGACATGCCATCAAGATTAGTAAAAATGGTGATTGCTCTCTGAGAAAGTAAATGCCGCCTCTTCGTCGTCCTCATCCTCATCCTCGTGCTCGTCATCCTCCTCCTCCTCCTCCTCCTCCTCGTCATCATCATCTTGCAACAACCTCTCTCACTCTGTTCAATTTCAATACTCCCTTCTTCCCCCACCCGGACTGGCCACTCTGCACACTCGGTCGAAATTCCTCATACATGTGGAACGCCTTGGAATTCAACTCGTCGTCGTTTCGTTTTCCGCCTTGTCCTCCGCCACCGGTCGTCGCCGTCGTCGTCCATGTGGCAATCGCATCGTCCATGGCCTTCTTCGCTCGCTCGTAATTCCCGGGGCCGAACTTTCTCTTGAGCAGGTCCTCGTTCCCGCGCCTCGGCTTGCCTTGCACCAAGACGTCTTCGCCCTTGACGTACAGTCGGAAGCCCATGACTTGGATTTCGCGGTCGGCGCCCGCTTCGGCCGCGCGCCGCTCGGCACTCTGCTCGGCTTCCTCGTCGTGTGTCTTCTCGCGCGGTTCGATCGTGCCGATGGACTTGCCCTTGGCGATGGCGCAGAGTGTCGAGATTGCCGCTCCGATTGCCAGATCCGTCGTCCACGGGAACTGCGGGTAGAGGTGGTGGGCGACGCATGCCGACCAGAGTTGAAGAACAGGCGACCGGTTGATTGGGATAGTGTCCTCTTCCTTGTCTTTGTCGTTTCCCGTATCCTCGTCCTTGGCCGTATTATTGTTCTTGTTCCTAGCGGTGTCTGGACTCGAACCGGATGACTTGTCACCGCGTTGCCCTTGTCGTGATTTTTTGGACGATGGTGGTGATGATGAAGAAGCGGCAGACGTGGTGCTGCTGCTGCTGGACTTTCGTTTCTTAGATCTTGACTTGGACTCTGACGGCGAGGGGGAAGATGTCCTTTTCTTGGAGTCTGGTGCTTTGGACCTAGAGGTTTTGGATTGTGGCAACTGTTGTTTGTCCTTTGCGTTTTTGCTTTTGGGCTCTTTTACTCCAAGGTCCTCTAGATGCGATTGCTTGCTTTTGCTTCTCGTGGTTGCCGGCATGGTGCACTCGCTGGTGACGGGACTTGACTTGACAGCGACCGATCAAGGTTTCAGAGTGGGAGTTGTTGTCAATCAATCTCCCCTTAAGTGGCAGTAGTAGATATGTCTTACTTCCTGACTGTGCTGCATTCAAAAGAGGAACAGTCTCGCATTTGGTGAATCCTCACGGTCGTGGTCGTGGTGTCGTTTACTTCGGACAGTGTTTATTTGAGGTGACGTCAATTCCCCATGTCCCCCCGGATTCTTCATCTCATCCAACCCCCGGACATGAAATCTGTGGTCAAAGAAGACGACGAGGCTCTTTGCACATTTCAACGATCGTGGAGAAGGCGAACAGCCAACCTACGATAACAGTGTCTGACTTGGTAGATATTCATCTTCTCTGCCTATGGTCACACGCAGATCTCGAGACAGTGCCCACAGTCCCGACGCTCACTATCTCTCTGCTCCAGCCTCCACACTGTCATGACACCAATATCTCTCCCAGACAGCTATCTCAGACCGCTTGAGATCTTAGCATTGATATGATATCACATTTCCGTCAGCGTAGATCTGGCATTCGCCATTCACTATGCTCTTATCGCCCAGCTTCGCGGTGGCTTCGGAGAAATCAGGAGCATTCCCATTCTTACTAAACGATGCCCGGTTAGATGACCCAAGATCACAGGGACACTCTGATGTTGCTTCGACTTACCAGCCAGGATCGCCAGGACATTGTCGGCACTTGAACGACTTGGGTGGGATGTTGCCATACAAGGCCGCAAAGTTCGACGTGCCGGGAAGGGTGAGCTTGCCATCCGATCTTTTCGTCCCGCTACACTGGTCGCCCCAGTAGAACTTGCATTGCCATTGGGCGGGGACCTAGGTGAAGCGCTGTGAGCATCTTGAGCAGGGTGCGGCAATCGGGTGGGAGACTTACTCCGAAGGATATGTCAGTATTCCAGGAGAATGTGTTACAGGACATTTCGCGGACTTGTAGAAATTTGCATATGCCTTTCCAGCCCGCCGAGTCACAGACGTAGACACCAGCGGGAGGCGATCGTTTGAGGATTTCCTCGCCGGTAGCGAAGTCGATGGAGTCGGGATGATCTGGTGGTAAGTGTGGAGTTTCAAGGAAAGAATTGTCTTGCTGTGCCGTGACAACGCTAGACACGGTGGCTAGAAGCAGCGATATGAAGGAAGAACGCATGGCGCTGGCTGGTGATAGGAATCAATTCGCGTAGACCGAGGACAGCGGTGTTGTAGGGGGACTTTCCCATGATCGGCTTGGATATTTATGCATCTTCTGATGATGTTCGTGGCGGAACAAAGAACATGTCTTAATTCAATCCCCGAAGCGGGTGATAAATCTTCGTCCTGGACGTCGAAGAGTGAGAATCCCTTGTCAACACGTTTGCAAAACACAAAGGGAGCAAAGACGAGGTCTGGCCTGCGGTTGTTCTGCTGAGTATGAAGTCGTATTCGTTGCGACCACTGCCCACCTTGGCCCAAATCTGAAGGGCTTCATCATGATCTCAGGCCTGGAATCAGGTGGTGTCGGTTCGGTACCATGGATATCTGTCTACTCTTAGCCAAAATAAGGGTTCCAAAAGCTGGGAGACTTGACAACGGCCAAAGCTCATCATGGACCGTTGACGTGAAGAGATTGAAGACCAAAGAAATCTGGTCGTCCTCATCGAGTTGAGTTGCGATTTACGGGGCTTCCTCTAGGGGCGGATTGCGCCGAAAGAGGCCGACTGGGGAGGCCGGCTTTGCCTAAAGCGCCTGGAAGTGCATCGGTTTCGGCGCCTGTGGCTAGTGCTCATAGTGGCGTTTTCCGACTATTTCGACCTTGAGACTGTTGCAAGTCGCCCGCCTTAAGTCAGCGTTCCTATCCGCAACCCCCAGTAGAGCCTCTGTGGTTTCCAACTAGAGTGTCCCTATGAGTTTTAATCGGTATCGTCTCCTAACGCCTCCATCGGTACATCGACATCTTCAGTTAGACGCCTCCTTCGGCGCCCTCCCCTTCCTCTCTCCATTTGACAATCATACGCACTGAGGACCAAGGGCTCTCTGAATCGGATCCTGCGCAAGACTGGTCACAAGGAAAGAATATCCATTGACCAAGATCAGAAACCCGTATAGGTCAAGATGCAGCAAAGAAAACACCCGGAACTAGATTCGTTGTCTCCAGCAAAAACTACAGGCAAGGTAGTGGCCGCGTGGGGAGTTGTCCCTCGTCAGGCGCTCCGTGATCTGATGGCAATACTACGAAGCTGACATCTAGCTCTTCCATCCCGCCCTCGAGGAACTCATCGTGGCTCACTCTCGCGCTCGTCAAGACAAACACAAATTGCAGCGATCAAGACGAGGTCGACACCAGGTGCAACCGTGACAAAATACTGTATGAGGAACAAACCAGATCAGCAACCGAAGCACACTGAAAGCAAAGACCCAGTCCTCGATGAAGCTTACCGTTTGTTGGCCACCAAAGATCTGGCGCGCATTCATGAAGCTTCGAGAAATGTGCGCAACCGGGCGTCCAGCGAGGGTGATGGTGGCAGATCTATTCAACCAATTACCCTTGAGGTCCAGTTCAATCTGACTACCGTCCGCCTGGTTCTGAAAGTGAATCGTGGACTTTGAAGACAGAACTGGATCAGACTCGCTGTATCAGCAAAAAGAGTGTTCGGTTCCGTAACAACAAGGGCTAAGATCACCTGAGAAATGACCCTTGACCTTGAAGACTTCTTCCCCGTTTGGACCCACGGCATAGAAGCTCTTGTGTAGCGCAATGTGTTTATTCTTCAGGGTAAAGATTTCGTTGCCTTGCATATCAATGAAACCTTTGCAGGTTCGCAAGTCAGCGACGATGCTATCACGCGGGAGGATCAGATTTCCATACGTTTGGCGCCGCTAATTGAGAACACTTTGCCGTTGCATCGGCAGAGATGAAGCCCAGAGACAGTGGTGACTTCAAAATCATCCCCGGACAGAGAGAGGATCTTTTCTTTCATCTGCAAGGTCTCCTCGTGGGGTCTACAGAAGGCTTGATTGATACCCAGCGGCGGGTGAAAAGGGGCGAGTGATTCCATCCTTGGTGGAACTTGCAAGGTGCTGGCTCGTGTGCTTCAAGGAGTCTTGACGGAAGATACTGCGAGGAAGGATAATTCTCGCGACTAATAAGTGTACACGGTGCGGCTAGGCACTATGGTAGATGCATTCCTGGGGGTTGCGGAGCTCCGTGATGCGCACCACGATTCCTTGTTTCAGCCTCACTAACGTAGTTAACTTAGTTACAGTACCTCAGCCTGGTGCGCCTAGTGGCCTTGCCTCAGGTGGGCCAGTAGACCAGTTACATACCTAGGGCACTAACCAATCCAACTAGTTAACTAGTTAGTATAGCTCAGTCCCTAACTCTCCACAGTAGGCTGACCTGGTCAATAGACATGTTGAGATGGCAGAGCGCTGTAGACTAGGTACCGACGTCGTGGGTAAGAGAAATTGTGGCCGACAATTCCTGGCTCTTTATGATCGACAAGCTGCCCAGCTACTGATTGTTAATGGTCCTGAGCAAGTCGATCGCCTCGGCCTTACATCTAGACCGAGAGGCGAAGGTATTCCTCCCTTTACTCGCTCCGTGCGGTCTGTTGTACGAGGGCATCCGAATCATCGATTAAGACATCGGATGCTGAACGAATCGACCCGACTGTGTGGAACAAGCAAGGTTAATGGATGATACAGCTGGCCCACCGCATCGTGTCAAATTCCTGTCCGAGGCTTTCAACGGCATATGAATACGAAGTGGCTCAGCCGCACTTTGTACAATGACGGAGAAGCTGAGCTTAGTGTTCGGTCAACTTGATGATTCGGAGTTGGCACTCGACCATAACACCGTCAAGGGAGTTCTTACTTTGCCCTCTTCCAGGAAAACACTTATCCAAGACTACGTAAAGGCTTCGCTTTGTCTTGCGATCCGGTGACATGCATACCAAAATCCTCAAAAACGGAACGGTGCTCGCCTTTGACGATGCTTCAGCGACCATCAAGGTCCTTCCACAGGCAGACGTCATCATTCAAGGCGACCGCATCGCTGCCATTCTCGAGCCGCACCAGGAGGCAGATGCTGGCGTGTTATCCAATGCCGATGTCGTTGATGTGAGCGGCCACATCATCTCTCCGGGCTTCGTCAACACTCATGCTCATACTTGGCAAACAGCATATCGCACTCTCGGCCCTGATACCACTTTGGCAGAGTATTTTGGATGGGTGTCGCAAATGTCGCCCAAGATTGGGGAATGGACCGCTGAAGACATCTACGTCAGTACTCTAGAAGGGTACCTTGAAGGCATCAACGCCGGAGTGACTAGCTACGTCGAGCATGCACACTGTAACTGGGGAGAGTCGGCGATGAAAGCTGCCTTTAAAGGTGCTGTGGACAGTGGAGTTAGAGTCTGGTGGTGCTATCATCCCCTGCCACGAGAGGACTTTGACGTTATCAAGCAAATCGACATTCTCCGCGAACTCAAGGCACAATCATCACAGACGAATGATCTGATTCGTATGGGACTCGCTGTCGACGGATTGGATCATATGTCAGATGGCCAGATTCAGCAGACGAGGCAAGTTGTGGTTGACCTGGAGGCGGAGGTATTGACTTCTCATTATCTCGGGAAACCGTGGCCGTGTGAGCCTTTGTGCCCCTTGAGCCAGCGTCGTTCTTTGTACTAACTCGACACAGTTGCAATTGGCTTACCTGAAATCGCGGCAAAGCACGAATTCCACAAGCTCCGTGCCCCATTCATCTATTCGCATGCAGGGTTCCTGACGGAGAAAGACCAGGAGTTACTCCGTTTGCACGACCAATACGTGTCGATCACGCCCGAGTCAGAAATGCATTATGGTCATGGCCAGGACACAAGTCGCCTGATTCACGATCAAGCATCGATCGGCATCGACACGAACTGGACTTTTTCCAATGATATACTTCTCCAGGCTCGACTGTGGTTGCAAAACATGCGAGGCCATATCTCAACCGACATCTTGAAGCGAGGCAACATCCCAAAGCAGAATCCCATGTCTGTCGTGGAGGGATTCTTGCTCGCCACCCGGAACGGCGGCCGCTCATTGCGCCGTGACGACGTCGGAGTCTTGCGGGTAGGAGCCAAAGCGGACATTGTCTGTTTTGATGGGAATTCTGTAAACATGCTGGGATGGACAGATCCTGTTGCGGCTGTCCTGCTTCACTCCAACATTGGGGACATCAAGCATGTTATGATCGGTGGGCAATTTCGGAAGAAAGACGGACAGATGATCTTGAAGATTGGGGATTGGGACGACATCTCGGAGCGGTTCAAGCAGACATCCCAGCGGATTCAGGAGGTCTTTCGTGAACCACCACCTCTCCCTTCGCAGATCTGGGACAAATACACCTTCGAGGACGTGAAGGTGGGTACCGCTAAGTTGACCAGATGATTTGGTGAGGAGCTATCTGGTTCTCCCCTAACTACAACTCCTGTTTATGCACCACCAGGGATGCATAGCTAGCTCTTGAACCGATCCTGATTAGGGTGAGTGGAAAGATCTTACGTTTATCATGCTATCGTCCCATCCAGGAGGGGTAGATAACAAGTCGTGACCGTGTATGTGGTAATCATGACTTTGAATTTCGTTTCATGCAAATGTTGACACGAGACGACCGGAACAGGGCGGAAATTGTACTCGTGCTTGAATAGGAATGTTTTGACACTGACGCGGTGAATTCGAGCTTGAGAAGCGAACATTGATCTGCCACTGGTGTCTTTCTGTTTGTGTGGTAATCAAGGATGCCTTGAGCTGTCGAACATACGAGTACTCGTTGTGTCAGTGATAGCATCCTTCGTAATCATGTCGTTGTAGACATGTTGATCCACAATTTACCCCTCCAACCCCTCCATCCTCCTTTCTCATCCGGCCCAGTACGAAGCCACAAGGTATATAAGAAGTTCCGGCGACACTTGAGTTCCTTTTAGTCTTTCTCGCTTTTTCAATTGTGCTTTTATCTCTCACACACACACAAATCTCGACCTTTTAGAAACAATCTCGACACCCGCCACCAAACAAGTAACTCCTGCAACCATTCCCATGAGTACATCCGAGCTGACTCGTTCCAGGTCTTTTTGACACCCGGCCTCTCTCTTCAAGTAAAGCTCACTCCGAAAGGATGAAGGGCGCCATGTCATCCTCTCGCTTGGTAGAGAGACCTCATGGTCAAGGTATTACTTGTATTTGATCTAGAAAGAAGAAAGAAAATCATTTTTCAGACCATCGCACAAAAAAAAAAACGATGTCTGAGCATGAACCGGTGTTCGCAAGTTTCCCACCAGTGCAAAAGACACAGGATATGCTCCCCCCCATCCACCCAGGTTCGCTGCTCTCTCTGTATTTGGCGGAGTCGGCGGAGGACTTTTGGAGATGTGGGGGTCAATCTGTGTCTCTGGAATGTGGAAGTGCGTTCTGAGATCATACGGTTGAACTTGACTCTGGATAATACCAGCGAAAGAATCATGCCTTTCCTTCCCTTTTCCCTCCTCCCCTTCCACACCCCTTCTAACCGATGGGGGGTGGGGCAAACAAAGGGCAGTTTTCGCCTAACTTGAGAGCGCAGGATGTCTCCACCGATTGCCACGTTCAACGAATTCGACGACGGCTACAAGGCGGCCGGCGAGGTGAACAAGAAGAGCCTCGACGGGAGCGTCAAGAAGCTCGCCGTCCTCAACGGAGCTGCCGACGTGCAGGGCACCACCAAGCTCCTCGACGACTTTGGCGGAAAATGGGACGGCTTCAGGTTCGCCCCGATCCGCGAGTCCCAGGTGTCGCGCGCCATGACCCGACGCTACTTCGCCGACCTCGACCGCTACGCCGAGTCGGACGTCGTCATCGTCGGCGCGGGCTCGTGCGGCCTGTCGACGGCCTACACCCTCGCAAAGGCCCGTCCGGACCTGAAGATCGCCATCATTGAGGCCTCGGTCTCCCCCGGCGGCGGCTGCTGGCTGGGCGGCCAGCTCTTCAGCGCCATGGTCCTGCGCAAGCCCGCCGACGCGTTCCTCGACGACATCGGCGTCCCGTTCGAAGACGAGGGGAACTACGTCGTCGTCAAGCACGCCGCGCTCTTCATGAGCACCCTGATGAGCAAGGTCCTGGCCATGCCGAACGTCAAGCTCTTCAACGCGACCTGCGTCGAGGACCTCGTCACCCGCACCTCCGCCGACGGCGGTATCCGTGTCGTCGGTGTCGTCACCAACTGGACCCTCGTCACCCTTCACCACGACAACCATTCCTGCATGGATCCCAAGTAAGTTTTGAGCTTGATGGATTGGTCACACTTTGGCTTTGCCCACCGTTGATTTGTCCCCCCCGGCATTTGTCTGAAAATTGAAAATTGCAAAATTAACTACACCCTTGTGCATTACTACTACCATTGGAGGGGGGGAACGAAGAAAGAGAAAAGAAAACCGAACGATGTAACTGACTTTGCTATTTCTCAAACAGCACCATCAACGCACCTCTCGTCATCAGCACCACAGGCCACGACGGCCCGTTCGGAGCCTTCTGCGCCAAGCGTCTCGTCAGCATGAAGGCCGTCGAGAAGCTGGGTGGAATGCGAGCCCTTGACATGAACAGCGCCGAGGACGCCATCGTCAAAGGCACCCGCGAGGTCTCCCCTGGCTTGATCATGGGCGGCATGGAACTCAGCGAGCTCGATGGCGCCAACCGTATGGGTCCCACCTTTGGGGCCATGGTCCTGAGCGGTGTCAAGGCCGCCGAGGAAGCTTTGAAGGTCTTTGAGACCAGAAGGGCCGAATGTGCCGCCGAGTAAAAGAAAGGCCAAACGTCGGACAGGACGGGATAGAGGCCAGGACAGAATATCCCTGGGTTACAGCTGTCCTCAGTCGGTCCTGAGAATGCTCTTCTTCGGGGACTCTCTTACTCCCCCAAAGAAGGCACCCGTACGTTATTATTATCAGACTTCACGAAATCGAAACCGAAACCCCAAACCCAGGGCTTTTGTCTGTCTGTCTGTCTATACCTGTGTATTTGGATGGGGCTTTTTGTCGACAAGATGAAAATTCCCATACCGCCACTCCTTTTAATGCTGTACCTGTGTAGCTGAATACAAGACCGGTGCTACTGTCTTCCCTGTCTGAGATACTGGTGACTGAAGTGTTGTCGATATCCACACGTGACAACAGTCCTCGCGTCCGTATCGTGGTTTGCCAAACACATTTATTTATCCCCAGCCGCGTGTCACCTGGACAGCACTTTACTTACTTTCGTGAAGCAGACCTACTAGAGTACGTGGTCTCTATATCGACTTGTTTTGACTACGTTTCCATTCGGATTGCCACCCTCGAAAAGTACGCCGAGGTTGCGAAATCACGGAGAAATGCCCCCCCTGACAAGCACCCTCTCCGCCACCGGTTTCTTCTCCAGTTCCTTCTTGATCCGGACATTATTCGCGGGCACCCCAAAGACCAACTGCGCCTTGAGTATCCAGTCGGGACTCAGGTCCCACGTGTCCCGGACCATCGCGTCTATGTGGGGGTTGTAATGCTGGAGGTTGGCGCCCATGCCCTCGGCCTCCAGCGCACACCACAGCGCATACTGGTGCATGCCGTTGCCGTGCTCGCTCCACTGGTGGAATTTCTCGCGGGGGGATGACGCCGTCGTACTGCGTGGCCAGCGCGTCGACGACACCCCGATCCTCGAAGCACAGCACGGTCCCGTGGCCGCCGCGGTACTTTGTGATCATGGGCGCAAAGTACGTTGTGAAGACGGCCTCGGGGAGCACCTGGGCCATGACCTCGCGCGCCCGGTCCCACAGGCGCCGGTGCTCGGAGTGGAGGAGGACGAGGAACCGCGCGGACTGGCTGTTGAACGACGACGGGACGTGGAGCGTGATGTGTCGTACTATCTCGATGATGCGGGAGTCGGGGATGGGCGACGTGGCTGAGAGGTCGTAGATCGTGCGTCGGCGCGTGATGGCGTCGAGGAGTGAGGTGGTGGAAGCCATGATATACAATCGTACAAATGCTATCGACGATACCGATGCCAAGTTCGAGATTCAAGGAGTGAAGGGACGTGTTTGTGGATCGATTCTCCAGGGGCCTCAGACACCACTTTATATCTGTACTCTACCCAGATACGATGCCCTCGCTGTACCCACCTACCTGCAAGTACACTGTATCCGCACTGTAGAAAGGACTAGGTAAGTGCATAGCGCCGGCAGCAAAGTCTACTGTCATGTTAGGGAATGCCATTGGAAGCGTGAGTCATTCAGACCAGGCAGCAACTCGACCTGCTGAGGCTTTGAAACTCTCTTTTTGAAAGCGTCGCCAATCCATCGGTAGAAAAGTCTCGCAAAGAAACGCCGCCAGAGAAACGAAATACGAGAGCAGCTTGATTGGAAGTGACGGCGCCAGACAAGAAGACCGAGTAAAACTTCGCATTAGCTTGCGGTTTTAGATCCTTCCTGTCGTCGCACTGACATTCAGTCTGTCAATTAGCCGGAGCTGTACCTCAGGGGTGGACACTTGGAGAAGACTGTTGATGAGGGTTCGTGCCACGGAGCAGGGCTCAGTGCAGACTGTCGACGCCTATTATGACTAGGTCCCGTCAAGGACTTCCACACCAGTCATTAAACTCGCGTGGTCGTCGGTTGTTTGACGTACATGTCCTCCGTACTCTGTACGGTATCAATGGAAAAGCGAAACCGTGATTGTTTCTCGGTCGGGGGTTGCAAAGTGCAAATACGCCTCCAGCATCATGGCATGAGACCTCTGAGGGACAGAGAGAATGTCATGGATCCTGCATCAATAGTGACTGATCGCACGACAAGCACCGTCGCAAGGGCGTTATTGTTATAGTGGTCGCTCCTCGGTGGTTGAGCAAGTTTACAAATGCCGACGGTCCCGCCAGACTTGCCCGTTACGTCTTGCATTGCGCGGAACACCGAGGATGCTTTCGTCAGCAAAGCCAATGCATAACTCCGTGCATGGTCAACACCCTCTATCACTCGCTGCAAGCCGTCACTATTTCCACGAAAGAACATACCTTGACCTATATCTGTATTTACCATGACATCTTTATCACAGTCGTATACTCCAGGTAAGAGATAGGTCAGGAAGAAGAGAACCGCAGAGATTCCCACTTGAGCCGGCGGAAGAATGTCATCCAACCACGACCCAGAAAGACGACCTCTTTTGTCCAGCTCAAATGGCAACGCTACAAGTCCAGGTTCAGGTTCAGGGCGAGGATCAGATCCACGTCCGATTAATGGCGTAGATTCGGGTGTCGCCAAAGAAAAAAGCAACCTCTCCAGAACCCGAGGCGCACTCATCTGCCTGTCCGTCTGGATCCTCATCTTCATCCTCACCAACAATGTCTCTCTGATCACCACGATCCAATCACCTATCGCCATCGCCCTGAAAGCATCGACTGAAGTGAGCTGGTTCACGTCCGCGTACCTGATCGCCGTGACCAGCATCACTCCCGTCGCAGGCCGACTATGTGCCATCTTCACGCCGCGCGTGTACCTTTTGGCCTCGATTGTCGTGCAGGCGTGCGGTCTCTTGATCACCTCGCAGGCCCGCACCCTGGGCTCATTCCTGGTCGGTCGCGCCATCACGGGCATCGGAAGTGCGGCCGTGACGCCAGTCGCGTTCATCTTGGTCACTGAACTCACGAGCCCCAGACGGCGTGGGCTGTTCTTTGGTTGCATCAACACGGGCTACACTTCCGGTGTTGCGTGCGGAGCGATCATTGCCGGTGCACTCGAACCGCTGGTCGGCTGGCGTGCTGTATTCTGGCTTCAGATCCCCTTTGCGTTGTGTGCCGCCCTGGTGGCATTTTGGTCTATTCCGGCCACTCCTCATTCTCCTCCAACGTCGACCTCACCGGGACAAGAATCATCAAATACATCGAGACCCCAGTCGGAATATGAGAAGGATGACTCTCTCGGCAAGAAACTCTCGCAGATCGACTACTTTGGCGTCATCACCATCATCGCCGCTGTCGTTTTGCTGTTGTACAGTCTCTCATCGCCCAGCATCCAAATCACACCTATCGTCTTATCACTCGCATCCCTGGTCTTGTTCGTCCTAGTCGAAGCCAACTGGGCGAAACAACCCATCGTCCCCGTGTCGGTACTCAAATCGCGCGGCAACATCCTCACCGGCGTCGCTACCATCGGCGTCATGACCGCCCGATGGGGAGTGCTGTTCTTCACGCCCACGTACGTCCTCACGCTGCGAGGCTGGTCTCAAGCAAGTGCCGGCCTGACTCTCATCCCCACCAATCTTGGTTTCGGCTCCGGCGGGTTGCTGGCAGGGTGGCTTCACATCCGCCGCACAGGAAGCTTCTACATGTCGGTTCTCGTGTCCTTTGTGCTCTTTGCGCTCTCCATGTTTGCCGTGTCGTGGATCTCGACACCCAGCTCCAACATCTACTTGTACATTGTGGTGTTGTTCTTCAATGGGTTTTTGGTTGGGACGCTGCTGAACTACTCGCTTGCGCATGTCTTGCATCTGACGGTCCCCGCGACGCATATCATTGTCATTCCGCTGAACGCCATGTTCCGCAGCCTTTCGGGGTCTTTCGGGTCGTCTATTTCGGGAGGGTTGTTCCTGAGGACGTTGGTCACCACGTTGAGGGATGAGTTTGCCCGGCGAGGTGTCACGGGTAAAGAAGGGCTGATCAAGCAGTTGGCCGGGACGCCGATTCTCGTGCAGAGGTTGACGGGCGTGGAGAGAGAGGTCGCGCTGGTCGGATACGAGACGGGTTTGAAGACCGTGTATCTTGCTGGTGGATGTTTGGCGGTTGTCATGTTGGTGGTGCAGGCTTGTGTGGGATGGACTGCACCGGACATCGACAAGGAGGATGATGGAGGGAACGGTAGAGAAGGGAGGATGGGCGGAGATGTACTTACACCTGTCGTTTCTAGAGAGACGTGAGGGTATGTACCTACCTACTTATATGTGAATATTTAGCATGTACCTTGCTCGGTGGCCGGGTTCCTGGGACCGGGAATCGAGAATAGTAAAACGGGTGTACTTTTGCAAACCCACCAAACAGGAACATTGTGTATAGAATACCAGATAGAAAAGCATTGTACGGTATCACAGACCATTAGAAGCAGTGTAGGATGGTCACGTACGAAATGGCTTCGAAGAGTCGATTTCATTTTGGTATATCTATACAAGATCGGTATATGCCATTTAATGCGAGGTCTTCTTCTTCCTGATCCTCAAACGACATACACGTTGGGTGTTTGGGGGCGTCAACTGTTCATCAGACGCATATGGTGGATCCAAATGTCAAATATACAAAGCCCATCCAGGGTAACTTTTGTTTTTTCTCCGAGATTCGTGATTTCTACGCGTTCAAGCCCTTCTTCTGTCCTAGCGACTTTGGTTCGTGGCCTCCTTTTCCAGATCCCTCTTGATGGCCTTTCCAGCCTCTGCTGCCTCCACCACTGTGGACTTCGTCGTGGACTTCTTCGCTTAGACCCTCGGGCAAGGGGGCGGTCTTGTGGGCACCAGCGACGTCGGCTTCGGACGTAGGCTGTCGTGTTGCAAACGAGGAAAGCATGTCAGTTCGTCTTGGAAAAGATATCTCGGCAGTTGTGAAGCAGCGCCGGGGGGTACAAATACCATACCTTTCCATCTCCCCCGTGGATAATGTCATGATCAAGGCTAATGGCGTTGTCCGATTGCGGGATGCCGTTGTCGTAATCTGCTCCACGAGGCATTTTGGGTGGTTGATTTTTATCTGATCGTGATGTGACTTGGTGTTTCTTGGATTGGGAATTTGTGAGGGAAAGGATGCGTGCAGTAGATACAAACAGAAAATGATCAAGATCTTACGAGTAACGTCTGGGGTACTGGAAGGTGTAAAATAGTCCTGAGGTGATTCAAGACGTCATAACCTCTACTGTGCGCAGGAGTCTCGGATGCAGTCTCTGGAAGGATCCGTGGACCGTGTCATGGTGGGAGGCATCACGAGTACCAATGGTCGCATCTGTATCCCGAATGATGGGGTAGGGAAACCTCCATTAGGCCCTCCTATACTCGTATACTCGTACCTGTTCTCTAGCAAAAAGTGGATGAGTTGACAGCCTCACGTCAGGATGAGGTCACTGGTATCTGCAGGAACGAGGGAACGTGGATGCAGATCCAAGGGGGGATTGACTGCCAGGCCTTGAACAAGCACGAGCTCGAGTATCTTGGAGTGTCACATCCTCACTGTCCAGGGCAGGTTTGTCTTGTGGATGGACATGGTCGTAGAGAGTCAGTCCATCTCAAAAGTTAAAAAAAGAAATAGATAAGACAGCAGTATCTCGATTTGAGAGGGAGCGGGAAATATTCGGCTCAAACATGCCACCCTTTTGCATCCTCCATCACAAATTCACAATCCGCGCCCTCTCTCTCTCTGTCTGTCGGTCTGTCCATCTCGTTCAAATGGGACAGTAAGTTCTTGTCGAATTCGAATTCGGTCTCGCACTGGCAAGACAGGACAATCCAACCGTGCCACGTGTCGAGATAATGAAACACGCTTCTTCTTCTCTGGGTGATACAGTACAACGTTTCCATCTCGCCTCCTCTTCCTCTTCCTCGAGACCTCTAGAGTGTGCAACACCCCGTGGACAAGGCACTCATCCGTGACACGTCGGTTGATCGATCGGTCAAACACAAAGAGGAAGAAGAATGGCACCCGAACAGTCCGTACAAGCATAGATAAACTACAATCTAAACCAGAACCACCCGCACGTTGTCTACCATCTATCCACCCGCCCACACTCCCTCACTCACTCACTCACTCACCACATTCCTTGAACACCAAAACACCCGACCTGGTGATCGGTTCGCTGTCGCTATCGCCATCGCTACTGTTACTATCCGCACTACCCAACTGACGCCACAGATATACAACAGAGAAAACAAATGGCCACCCGCATCGTCAGCGTCACAGTTCAAGGTGCGCTCCTCGCCGCAGCCTCCAATGCCATAGCCCAGGGTTTCACCATCTACCGCGAGCGATCCCTCTCTGCCTTCGATCCTTCCCCATTTTTCCAATTTGTGGTATTCTCGATCCTGAACACTCCTCCGAACTACATGTGGCAGTTGTGGCTGGAAGAGAACTTCCCGGGAACGGCGAAGAAGGAGGAGAAACCCGCTTCTGCTTTGGACGAGAAGAAGAAGGCGAAGAGCGACGGCGCAAAACTAGACGAGAAAGACACAGAGTCTCTGTCGATAACGAATACGATCATCAAATTTGTGCTGGACCAGTCCGTAGGCGCAGTCTACAATACTGCGGCTTTCATCGTCATCATCGGTCTGCTGAGGGGCGCCACGTACACGCAGACTGTGGATGCGTTGAAAAGAGTGAGTTTCCGGAACCAAGAGAGAATATGCCTACCTACCTACCTACCTACCTACCTATCCTCCCTGCCTACCTGGCAAGCGGTGCCTAGACTAATACCGAACTGCCGTAGGACTTTTGGCCCATGATGATCGCGGGATACAAGTTCTGGCCTTTGGTTTCACTCCTCAACCTGGCCGTGGTCCCTGTTGAACAGAGAATGCTTGTGGGTGGGTTGGCCGGGTTGGCTTGGGGTGTTTATGTGAGTCTCATGGCAATATGATCAACGGCGTTTGTGTGAGCAACACTCGAGTTGTCTCATGCTGCGCTTGAGTAAAGAAGAGATAAAGAAGAGACGGAATAGGGACAATCAGCTTGGCTTTGCGAGAGACCTGGAACTTTGGATACGAGCACTGGATGAGTTCTAGTTCTGAGTGGTCAACGGGAAAGGTACGATAGAGATTACGACGATGATGCATTGGGGAATGAACACGGCATACAGGAGAAAGATGGATAAGGTTCTCCGGCTTTCCAGAGATAGATTATTGCATTTACACACACACAGTAGAACTCGTCGACCGCAAGAACCATGAATATGTTGACTTGTTTCTGTCTAGAAGCAGACACTCGTATTCCTCCTGATAAGAACGGCAGATTGACAGTCGTATTTGGAGGCGAATTAGCTAATTGGGTCCGATAAGCTCGATAAATGTCTTGGTCACGGCCGTGAGAGTCAAAAGATAAGGCTCGTCTCGCTCTATCGACGCGGTTGGAAATTTTTTGGTCACCTTGTATGTAGTTTTTCGCTTCTCGAGAATCTTTTACATCACTCTACTGTGTCTTCACATCGCTCCGTTGTCGACAGTGCCGGGTTGAGTACGAGTACCTCTACAGACTTTGGCAAGCTTAGGCAGTAAAAGACCAAGATTGTTTCATGTCGGAGGGGCAGACCATGCACCCCACCGAGCTTTCCGACCGGGCGTCGCTTGATCCTGACGTTTTCAGGCGTGAGTCCCGTATGTCGAAGGAAGAACTGTGGTTGTCGTCGAGGGCTCTGACTTATTTCTTCGCAGGTATAGATAACGAAGGTGGGCATGACTGCGTCGACGCTGCTGAAGATTCATCGCTGCAAATCTCGTCCACGACGTCTTCCAAGGACAAACGTGGCAAGCAAGTTGTAAGTCTTCGGGTCTGCTCTCCCCTCGCCGAAAGATCCTATACTCACGCCGTCGGCCAGGCAAGTGCTGTTTTAGAAGACAGAAGACAACGAAATCGTCAGGCCCAAGCAACATTTCGTCTCCGGCGCAATGAACACCTCAAACAGCTCGAGGCCACCATCCAGCAACACCAGCAGACGATTCGTGATCTCCAGGAAAGTGTCCGCGTCGCGTCCGACGATTGTTTGATGTTGCGCTACAAGAATTCCATCCTGGAACGTGTGCTCCTCGAGAAGGGTAAGAGGCCTCCCAACTGAACCTTCAGATACACGAAGGACTATTTGAGTTGACAGTCGTGTCCTTTAGGCATCGACGTCCGGGAAGAAGTCTATGCGAAGCCACTGCTGCCGACAAAGCGTCGCGTGTCCGGAGCAAGTAGTCGCAACTCCTCCTCGGTGCAATGTGGGCGCAACAAGCGGGCGAGAGACACGCTTTATCCGGGCTCGGCCCCGGCTGTCCAGGCTCCTGTACAGACCAAAACCACATCGTCGTCGTTTCATGTCGGTCGTCTAGTTCCAGAAGTCTTTGCTTCTGCCCCTGCTACCTCGTCCGTGGCTCCCTCTGTCTCGGAGCAATCCCAATCTTCGACTTCAAGGTCACCTCGTTTGTCCCAGTGGCAACCAAGGACGACCGTATCGGCCGAGACAGGGATGAGGACTGTGCGGGCAACAAAGCAAGCCCAAGACTTTCAGCAGGCGGCACGCGCACGAAAACATGACCTCGAGCATCCTCATCATAATCGGTCCGCGTTGCAAATGCCACGACCCACTTCTACTACAACGAGTCAATCCGCGTCGAGGCCCCGTGATCCATCGCGCGGACACTCTGTTGTGCCGTATTCGACCATGGCCACCGCCACCTCGGAGGAGGCAGGCCATGGTCACGAAGTTTCTTTTGAGAAGACGACCAAGAAACCTCACCATGCACTCGGCAAGCTACCCCCGTCCCTGTTTTGTCCTTTTTTGCTCGGGAGCTGTGTTCGTCCTAGGCTAAGAATCAGTGATTGCATCGCAGGACCACGTACACGTACGCGAACACGAACACGAACACGAACACGACCCCGATTGCGAACTGTTGTTGACGACCGAACCATCCCACCACGACGTGCACGCTCACCACTTCGACTTCGACCTTGGCATCGACATCGACATGGACATGCTCGAAAACACCTTGCCCGAACTGGTCCCTTCGCAGAGTACCCCTACCACCGTAACCTACGAAGAACTCCAAGACTTGTCACCCTTCAACGCCTACGGCGGCGGGTTGGACTGGACTCGTTCGTCTAATCTTGTTTTTGAAAAGCCTGTAAAATGAAGTGGTTGACCACGACGAAGTTCTCCGGCAACGGGCGCTCTTTTCGTTCTCTCTCTCTCTTTTATTTTTTTTGATTCCTGAACGTTAGGGGACTTTTTTTCGTGGCCTTTTCATGTTCGTCGTTACTACCCTCGTTTTTTCTGTTCGTGGACAATGTTTTTTTTAATATAGGATGACGTTGTGGGGGGCGTTGATGTGAAAAAATATTATATATCTATATCTATGTTAGAGACTCGCGAGCCAAACGAAAAGATCTACGACGACCGAATTGGTGAAGAAAATATGATGTATACCATCCGATTATTTTGGTTTCTTGTTCGAGTTCAATGCTGCATTGCCATGACTCACCACGCAGTTGGTTCGCAGTTTCAATCACCGGTGGTGGTCTTTCTTTTTACCAAGCCTGAAACCATCTACCCCTATATTAACGATACCTTGGGGTAGTCTTCGCAAGTGTTAGCTTCCGAAAAAGGGGAACCTCGATCTGGGTGAGCAGTTTCAGTGAGTCTTGTTTCAATTTTTGTTTAAATACAAAGAAACACCGCCGAACAATCTTGACGAGAATTGAAAGCAAATGAATGTTCTTCCTTGGTCCCTTTTGACGCGAGACCTCCCCCCTCCCCTTTGTAGGTAGTTACTAGGTAGGCGCTAGGTACTGGGTAATAGCTACTAGGTACCCTCGTCGCTTGTCACTTTGTCACTTTGGTCACTTTGGTCACTTTGGTCAAGTTTGTTTCTGTGTTCATTTGTTCAGTACCTACTTCACCTCTCACGGCCCGACGATATCCTGTAAGTCGTCGACCCTCCTCTCTTCGATCCACCTGACGGCCTCTTCTCGGTTCCTGCACACGTGGGGCTGTCCCCTCTCCTTGTCCTGCGGCGTGGACATGGACCCTTCGAGGGTCATGTCCAGGTTGCACAGGATGCTGTTGCGCAGGTACTCGAAGCAGTGGCTCGCGTGGTAGGGGTTGTCGTCGTCGCTGCCCCCGTTGACGATGAGCTGGTGGTAACTGTCGACCGAGTAGTAGAGCTATAAATATTCAGGTGACGGTGGTAAGCCAGGCGATTCCTCCCTGAGGTGCAGATGGCTAGCTGGCTAGCTGGTTGACGGTGATGGTGATGGTAATGTTGCTGACAACATGACAAACGGAGTAAAAGGTAACATCGGTACACACAACAGAAACACCAGTTGGAAAGAAACGCGAGGGACATTGGCGCGTGCGACATGAAGTAAATTATGACAAAACAGCAAAACAGTAAAAACAAGGTACCTGTACTTACACAGTGTAGTGCGTGAGTCCACGACGCTTCATATAGCGGACCCGAACGGATTGGGTCGTCGGTGATGGGATCGCCTAGGAGCGGATGCTCCTTGTACTCGGGGATCGCGACACTTCCGCTGCCGACTGATCGTTTTGACTTGTTAGAATGGTCTAATGGCATTAAAGAGGTCACGGTGGATTGTATGTCGCAATACGGCGAGAAGTCGTGGGTAGGTAGGTAGGTAGGTAGGTAGGTTGGCAGGAAGTCAGAACTTACGCGGCATCAACATGTCCCAGTTCCTCCGGATCTCCAATCGGTTGTCGTTCGAGGTCATATTGGGGATGAAACGATCCTCGTCTGGCTTTAGGTACGTGTACGAATGCGACACTGGGGGCGGCGGGCACGTGTCAGTTTTCGAGAGGAAGTCTCTTTTTTTCTGCTTCTTGGATGCGGATGAGGTCCTCACATGTTTTATAAATCCCGTTAATGTCGTCTCCCGTCTCGACGACCTTCCCCTTGAGAACGGCGTCTTTCTCTGCCGTCGCGGCGGCGTGACGATGGGCATGGTTCTCGCACGCGGCGGTGGCAACGTTCTGCCCCCACAACAGGAGGATAATGGTCGCCTGTAGTAGCACGACGACTCCCCAGCGGAACCAAACGAAGATCAAATCCGTCGTCATCCACTGGCGGCGTCTCCGTGTCCCCGTCCCCGTCAGCGTCGACGAACGATACGAGTCTGACCAACTCGACAGATTTGAGGGACTCCTTTCTCGCACGTGTGCTGCCACTGCTGCCGCTTTGCCGTACATGGCTGCGTAGCCCACCCTGGTTATGTCGGATGCGTTGTCGTCGAGGGGGATATCCTCTTCGTCGCGGTTCTGTTGCTGTAACATGGGCATTGCGCTTTCGTCCGAGGAGGCGTGAAGGACCATCGTGGGCGGGCGGGAGTGGTGGCAAGCTGAACAAGGTCCAGTAATCACGTTCAACCCCCAAATGAGAGAGAGAGAGAGTAAAAGACTGAAAATCGACAGAGATGGGTGGGTTGGCTGGATAGCTAGCTCTTCAGTCTGCTAAGGAACGGGTAAATGTGTCTGGTGAGTGAGAGGATGAATGCGTCTGTTCAGAGAGAGATGGTGAATGGTTAGAACCGTGACAATGGGAAAAAGGTCGATTGGATTGAACGCAAAGAGACTTGAGAGGGAGTGCCGCTGGGGCTATCAGACGGTCGGTCAGTCATTGTTTGCCCTTGGGGACATGAGCCATGCATGAGCCAGGAGCCATTTCACGAGCCGATGTCCAAGTTCACCACCGCAATCGTGAGGCGGTTGCTTCAAGTCAAGTTTCGCTGATTGAAACACTCGCTCTTTAAGTGTTTCAACAAGGTCAATCATCAGTACGGATCTTCTAGAGATCAACGAGACCTACGGTTGGGACTTCATCGATCCAACAGGAGCAAGCACACACAGCACTCCCTACGGATACTCATACTTGTGTCATGGCCCTAGTGTGAGGCAGCGTCAAGATCCACAAGATGTTTCGTCGAGCGTGTGGAGGTGAGTGAATAACTTGTAACTCGGTAGTTGAGAAAAGCAACGTCACGTGGGGAAGTTTTAACGAGGGCGGTTACAGGGCCAGCAGGTTAAAGATGCCTCAAAGAGCGGAAGATACGTATGACCATATGGGCCGTGGTATAAGCAGGGTAAGTCGTCGCGGTTCCCCACAGGAAATCTGAACCGATGGGATCCTGGTTTCAGATTTAATCGTCTCAGTCGGTTTCGCGAACTTCGCTTCGAAACGTAACCACAGGCACGGAGCACTTACTGTGAACGTCCCTCCCGAGTCGTCGATCCATTGGAGTCGAAATGGGGACTCTGGTAGCGGGCTTGCTGGAATGCCTCCACAAACTTATCGAAACCGACCTAGCCGCCGTTGAACGCCGTCGTGTTTAGTTTGCCAACAGTGCCTGGCCTTGACGCACCAAAGAACCCACCGTCCGCGTCCGCGGTCAGAGGTCTGAGATGCTGCTGCGTCGCCTAGGGAAAACAATGAACGAGGTTGGGTTGACACTTGCAAGATGCCGCCGACGTTTCAAGGTACAAGCTCAGGTCAAGCTTTCGTGGCGGGCAGAACCGAATAGCCGCATCTCTATGCGATGCGCGTATCAGATCCCCAACGTTTAACGCGCAGGGGGAAAATCACGCAATACCTCAACGCGACTATCAAAGAGTCCCGGGTAAAGTATCGCCCCGTGAGCGGAAAAATGGGAGACACCGAAGTAGACTGTGGTAGAGTTGGACAGGGGTTCTGCTCCCCCCTTTCTCATTGTACGGTGTAGTTATCGACTCAAGGTACGCATGGAAGAGTCATGGTCATGTTGACCTTGTACGCGGGTCTATCCGTGTTTACTGGGGTGTGGCACCGCTGAAGAGGCTCGTCAGTGCCATCATTTTAGAACCTCCATGTTTCCCACAGAGTGGTCCAATGCCCACTGGCGCACGCTATCGAAATTCCTGCAGACATGCTTCGAGTTGAGCTCGGGCCATGCGAGAGGGTCGCCTTCGACCAGATAGAGCGTGAAGATGCCAATGTCTGCGTTGCACTGCAGGTTCAGGCGGAGGACCTCGATGCAGTGCTCTGTGATCATCCAAGTGTCAGCAACAAGGCACAGTTCTTATTGATCAATCATGGCAATCATCGTCAGACATGTGGGAGTGGGCGGTACAGTACCTGTGTGCCGTTGCAAGGCCTCTGCTCCCTTTCCGAACTCGCCTCCAAGCGGTTCATAGTATTCCTTGTAAGTTACCTTCCGCAGAAGGTTGAGGCAGTGAAGTTGGTGGAACACTTCCATCCCCACTCGATACCCTTCTTCTCCCGTTTGTGGGTGGTTGACCTTCAGCGACGTCTCCGGCATGCCGAGTCTGGAGATGTCGGACTTGGACATCCATTGATCTCCCACTGTTGGCCCAACGTTGTCAGTCCAGTCACATGACGGTCTCGAGTCGGCAGAGCTCACTATCGTAAGAAATTTCTCTCCACGCTTTATCGACCTCGGGTCCGGCTCCCACGAATCTGTTTCCCACGGTCGTGATGTTGTACATTAGCGAATCGTATCGTACTGCAGTCTCTGCAGGTGCTGTGCGCATCTTTTGTCAGCTTGGGCTCCTGGAACCGCTGTCTCGCGAAGCCACTTACACCAGGCAGAGAATTGGCGTACATGCTCCAAGGTTGATGATCGCATGGAGACGGCAAGCGCCAGTATCGTGCATGAGGTCATGAGGACGACCCCATGGATCAGCCATAACCACTTCGAAGCGGCGATGCTGTTGGAATTGTTCAAATTCGGGCAACAGAGGACATTTGGTGTGCTAACAATCGAATTGTCTAGGTCCTCCAAGCCCTCCAAAGTTGAAGCGGACTCGAAGGACTCTGCACGGCGCTTTTCGGGTATTGGACTCAGAGACTGATATTTGTAATCCATTGCTGGAGAATTCGATGAAATCAATCCTGCAGTGTAGATTGGTTGGTAAAGGCTCGTCGATGGTATGCTTGGTTGTGTACCTGCGTAGAAGTGTGAGTTGGTAAAGGCTGCTCAATGTTTTGCTTGTATTCTCGTCCCTAAGGTCATGGCGGTAGAATGCAGGTAGTAAGGAGGCGGCTCGTGTAAACTCGCCAGGATCGACAATCCTTGTCCACTCATTGTCGTATAGGATACTCGTATCGGTAGCATTGCTGAATGCGGCTCTGAGTTGTGTCATGTTCTCAGGTTTCAGAACATCGTGGCTCACAGGGATGAAGGGCTCGAAACGCACGAGTCATGTTTCGTGTGGGGTATATGGATAACTAACCCAAGAAGGCAGGCGCTAATACAGGTCAAGCTCTTCGTTAAGGGGTCTTCGGAAAGCTGCTCCGCTTTGCCAGTCTGTGGAGCTATGGCACAGTCCTTGAAAGCCAGTGGGCGTCATGAATATTGTAGGAATTCAAAACTGGCGGTGACAGTCCCCATAGATCAAACCAAAGGCCGTCGTGTCGGGCGCTAGTGCTACCACACTAGTGGAAATCTAGTGGGAAACGAGGTGTTGTACTCTAGCGCAGTGCTCCGGTAGGAACGCATCTGAATGATGAGCTGCTAGAAGTCGTCTTCGAGTACATGATGGCACTTCGAGAGGGTGAAAATTGATTCAAACAGAGCCGTTTCGAAACTGGTGTTAAGGTGGAGTCCCAGGTACTGTAACCGAAGAGGGTGAGCACAGGACACTGTTTGCAGTAGCCAGTCGTCACAGAAGCCCAGACAAGAAGCCGCCGTCTAGAAACAATGGCTATCCTGCTATTGGCCCCCCTCAATGTTGTAGCCGTTTTCTCTGAAGTGGATATTTGTGGCGAGGGGAATATCCACCGACAGCGCTTATGATCAACGATCCCTCCAGATCATATCCAGAATCTCAGTCTCGATGGCAGTTGGAGTTTCAAGGTGCTTCCGGTGGATCTCAGTCCTTGAGGTATTTCTGCTGCCCGTGTGATAAGCGTGCCGAGAGAGCATGCATACGATCAGAGTTTGGCAAGCTTGTTTCGCACCAGTCGATCTTCCGTTACAAGATGGAATGAAGGAATGCCTCCGATGTTTTCGGCCTCCATGATAGAGAAGGGTGAGCACCTAGCCTAAGTTATGATGGTGAGCTGCCCAATATAAAGAGCTCATCTGTCCCTGCCAAAGTGAGAAGGCTCATCATCAAGCACTCATTCATTTCATACTCCGGTCTGTGACCAAAGTTCCTTCTTTCTTCTATTTGCCGTGTTCTCGTTTATCTTCCAACTGCTGGTCAGTCGTTCAAGTAACTCAAGTCACTCTCAACATGCATTCCACATCAATCCTTAAGACATTGGTTCTCGGCCTTATGGCCACGGCGCCACTCGCCGCCGGATATACTGCCGAAGCTGGCGTTCACGATGTCGAAAGACGTTATGTTGTACGTTCATATCCAAGTTGACGCCAGTTCCTGCTATCGCTAACAGCTGTTAGGGGTCACTTGCCTCTATAGCCTCGAAAGTGGCCAGGGCAGTCATCCCAGAAATTGAACGTCGCCACCATACCGAGAGTCAGATCGCGGCAAAGGAAGCTGCTGCTAAGAAGAAGCACAATGCCCGATCCGCTCAAGCTCCTGACGAGTTTGGCCCGTGGGACAGCACCGAGGACGAGTTTGGCTCCTGGGTCGATAAACGCTCGCCTCACCACACCGAAAGTCAGATCGCGGCAAAGGAAGCTGCTGCTAAGAAGAAGCACAATGCCCGATCCGCGCAAGCTCCTGATGAGTTTGGCCCGTGGGACAGCACCGAAGATGAATTTGGTTCCTGGGTCGATAAACGCTCGCCCCATCACACTGAGAGTCAGATCGCGGCGAAAGAAGCTGCTGCTAAGAAGAAGCACCAAGCCAGACACCACACTGAGAGTCAGATCGCAGCGAAAGAAGCCGCCGCGGCCAAGAAACACAATGCCCGATCCGCGCAAGCTCCTGATGAGTTTGGCCCGTGGGACAGCACCGAAGATGAATTTGGTTCCTGGGTCGATAAACGCTCTCCTCACCACACTGAGAGTCAGATTGCCGCGAAAGAAGCTGCTGCTAAGAAGAAGCACCAAGCCAGACACCATACTGAGAGCCAGATTGCGGCAAAGGAGGCCGCCGCGGCCAAGAAACACCAAGCTCGAGCGCCACACCATACTGAGAGTCAGATCGCGGCCAAAGAAGCGGCAGCAGCGAAAAAGGGACACAACTAAGCGTGTCAGAAGGTGGTCAGGGTTTGATGGCACCAGGTAGCGCCCAACACGGTAGAATACTTGGTCGCTAAGGAAAGCTTCTGGCTGGGAGACGACTCCGCCAATGACTTGGAGAGGACAAAAGGACAGGTGCGCACGCAACAATAACCCTCAACATCCGACATAGTTTGGCGCCTGGTGAGAGGTCTCAGGACCTTCAGATTGGGCGAACCTAGGTACATAGGTAGATAAGCCAAAGTGTTGAAGACTGCCAAAGCATGGACACAGGCCGGAGGCCATAAGTTGTGATATCTCGTCAGACCATGATCACCTTTTGTGATTAGGACCTGCGACTCTCGCAAGGTGATAGTTGTCAAATACCTCTCTCAGATGGAGGGTTCTTGTCATCTTGGGACCGAAGTGCTGTGATTTGATTGTGGAATAGCTGGTGGTATGTGAGATGTCTTCCGTGGGACGTGTACGAGTGATGTATCTCTTGTTGCGTCTGACTAATCTAGTCTTGGCGTGGGATGAACCGAGGTTCCTTGATATACCCCGGGTTGTGTCTCGGTACAGACTCATGGAGAAGCCAACGCAGTGATCATCTTCGCGCACATCGGTAGGCCTCGTCCACATCCCTCTTCTGTCTCACTCGAATACACGGACTACGCTGTATAGACCTTCCAAGGAACCCCAGCCTGATCCTTCTCTACCGCGGAACCTTGACGGCTTCGAGGAAAGTGAGAACAACCCCGGCTTTCAACACTTGTACCAGCGACCAGCAACTGTTCATCCTGTCGACAATCAAAAATCGATCATCATGTCGTCAACATCGACAACACTTCCTCCCCCACCGCCAGACCCATCCGTGAGTCTGTCATACCCAGCGCCACACGTGTTGCTCGTCACCATCACGCGCGAACGACAGATGAACAGCATCCCCTACGCAGTCCACTGGTACCTGCACAGGGTGTTTGAGTGGTTCGACCGTGAACCGACACTCCGCGCCGCCGTCATCACCGGGTCGGGCCCCAAGGCGTTCTGCGCCGGCCAGGACTTGATCGAACTCGGCACCCGAGATCCCAAGGAGATCGAAGAAAAGCCGTACCTGTCGATGCACCCTCCCAGTGGATTCGCCGGTGTCTCGAGGCGCGTGGGAAAGAAACCCATCATCGCAGCCGTCAATGGATTTGCGTTGGGTGGAGGATTTGAGATTGTTTTGAATTGGTATGTACACAGAGTACCTGTACCTACTAACCCTCTCCCCGACGGTCCTCGTATCTTTGACCAACCCCATCCCTTCTCCTCACTACCGATACTGATATTGACTGGTGTTAACGTGCTTGTGGTTCACAGCGACATGACAGTAGCCTCACCAACCGCAACATTCGGCCTCCCCGAAGCCCTCCGCGGCATCTACGCCGGAGCTGGTGGCTTACCCCGACTCGTGCGCAACGTCGGACTGCCTCTGGCCAGCGAAATCAGCATGACAGGCCGCTTCCTCACGGCCAAGGAAGCGCTGCAATTCAACTTGATCAACCACGTTTCCTCGTCACAATCCACCGTCGTCGACGAAGCCGTCAAGCTGGCCGAGAAGGTCGCCAACATCTCCCCGGACGCCATCATCGTCACTCGCGCCGCCCTGCGTGAGACCTGGGAGACCGCCAGTGTCGAACGGGCGTATCAGCTCGTTCAGGACAAGATGGCTCGAGGCCTGCATGAGGGCGAGAATTCGAAGGAAGGCCTTGCGGCGTTCAGGGAGAAGAGGAAGCCAGTGTGGAAGGCCAGCAAGTTGTGAACGAACGTCATTTTGTCAAGTACAACTTCCCACGAGTACTCTTCTCTTTATCCTCTCTAAGTTGTACGTCGTACTCCCCCAGTCGGTACTTGCCCATTAGTACATGGGATCCCTCTTTGAATGTTCCGTATACGTAACATGTACAAGCCTTCATTATGTGTCGACACATGTCCAAGTACATACATATGCAGTGAATTGAAAAGTTTGATCACGAGAGACGCAGGGAGGCGTGACGCGGGATTAAAAACAAGTCATGAAGATACATGCCATGCAATGAACGCATCCGTATGCCAAACCACAACTTTTTCATCGTTCCAATTAACATAAAGTGAGAAAAAAGCCGCATGTTCAACTCCACCAAAATCATTCGTTAGAATGATGTGACTTCGTGGACCAAACGGATGTGTCATAGCAGATGCTCTCGTACGAGTACACTGACGAGATCAGATCGCCTTGCCTGTGCATTGCCTGCCGGAGCAAAGCAAAGCAAATCAAATCAAATCAGATTAAACCTCATAGCCAAACGGTATGCTCTCCATGGCTCCGCTGCGCTGTACACACTTTGCAGCGGCGTCGTTCGCACGCAGCGCGGCACCGTGGACATCAAACCCTTCTAGAGTGCCGTGGTCGGAACCAGAGACATGTCGAGCCACGGCGGTGGAAAAGTACCCGACAAACGTGTCGCCTGCGCCCGTCGTGTCAACCACCTTGGCCACCTTGGCCGCGGGGATGAGTCCGCGTGACCGAGACTGCGTCCGTGTTTGCGCCGCAGAGTAATACAGCCCTCTTGACCCGAGGGTGACGATGACGATGGAAATGGCCGCGAGCTCGTGGAGGTGCGCCGTGAGTCTGTCGAGGTGCGGCGCGAGGCTCCCGTCGTCTCCGCTGCTCGGCGTCTCGATGTCCCTGAGCTCCTGCACGGCCTTGAACAGCAACAGACACTCGGTCTCGTTGACCACGAGCACCGCGAGGTTCCGGAGAGCCGCGAGGGGGATGCCGTCGAACATGGGCGCCGGGTTGAAGACCACGCACGTCTTCTTCTTCTTCTTCTTCTCCTTCTGGCGGTGCCCGTCGTCCTCCTCCTCGGGGCCGTTGAACGTCGACAGCAGTCCCAGGACCGTCGACTTGGGGATCTCGCCCTGCATGACGACCACGTCGGGGACGCCGTCTTGCGTCGCGGTGGCGACGACCTTGGCGACGTCCGTGACGTGGTGGTTCGCGCCGGGCACGAAGAGGATGCGGTTCTCGCCGTTGGACCCTTCGTCGACGATGATGGTCGCCGTGCCCGTCTGCACGCCCTCGACCTCCTCGACGTAGCGCGTGCCCACGCCGCTCTTGGCCAGCGTCGGTTTCAGCAGCGACGCGTAGTACGGGTCGCCGGCGCCCACGGCCCCGAGCATCTCGACTTGGACGTCTTGTTCCGTGGCCGACGTATACGCCGCCTTGCCGCACGCCACCGCCTGGTTGCTGCCTTTGCCGCCCGCGTGCACCGTCATGGACTTTGCTTCCAACGTCTCGCCGGGCCCGGGCACTCGCGGCGTCAACGTGACAAAGTCGATGTTTAGAGACCCGATGATCCGGACGATGGGTTTCCGTGCCATCTTGGCGGCTGAGAGGACGGGATTTCTTTGTTTGAAAGGTGATGTGGTGGACGGCGGGGGAAAAAAATTTCTTCGTCTCTAACCGGGTGCTGTACAACACAATCTCTGTCTGGGTACGGGCGTCGTCCAGATTCTGTACACGTAGTAAAGACACTATCGATCCGGATGTACGAGTAGACGAGTATATCTCAAGATCATGCCACTCGGGCAGCAATGAAGTAGAGTTCCAGGTACGAGTCCGGGGTACCCAAGTCAGTGCGTCTGTGCTGTGCTGGACCAATGAGCCCTTTCGTCTCCAAGAAATTTCTGATTGACGATCACCACACGATTTTCCTCGCTCAAATGGTCCGACTTGCACACAGTCATCTCGATACAAGCGTCCATATGATTGTGTCCTTCGTTAATGTTTAGATAACATGGCACTCGAGAAGACGCGGACAACGATGTCTCAGGGAGCGAGACCCGACATCTGTGTTTCAACATCAGGTGCCTGTACACGGCTCATATGGCAAGTTTCGTCAATGTGGCTCACGGTGGGCAACACCGACTTCGAGACGAATAATTGTGACAAGGAGACGTGTTTGGTCGAGTGGCCAAAGCGAGCCCTCCCTATTGTGATCTGTCGGATTGCTCTGCGTTGAATAAAGTCCTATCTAGGTCGATAGGATGAAGCTACCTATACACCACGGACGCTCTTCTGTCTTAGCACGATGTCCAAACAGGTCGGTCAATGATCGTGGAATTATCGAATTGACCTGTAACGACGGTTGATATGCAGGCTATCTACGACACGGATGATGGATCTTTTGCCTCACCGATTTCCTAAGAACTAAAGTGGAAAATATGAATGTCACCGAAACAGCTCAGCCGAGTTGTCATCTTTCCTCAAGCCAGCAGTGGGACCGAACACCTGCGTTCAGCTGCCTTGTGACTAGCAACCACCAGGATAGACAGGCCAGTAAAGGGTAGTTCCAGGTCAAATATGTCCAGCCATGTCATCGACAGTATCGATTGGTTTTGGTTCAGAATCCGACCGTGCAGGGGACGCTGAATCAAAAACAGATGCAGCTACTTTCCCAGGACCCCGCCAAGTGTTGATGTCTGTCCAAGATCACAGTACATGCAGCTAGCGTGTCAGACTGAGTCCACGTGGGCAAGATCACCAAACAGAAGAGTCCTTTTGCTGCAGCATGGCAGCTTCAGATATGTCGCAGCACGGGCGCCAGTTGAGCAGTTTCGTGAACAAAGAAAATCAGTCCTGGTTATCCAAGACATACCTTACTGATGGCAGTTGAGGGCCTAGTACGATTCCCGGGAGTTCAGTCGCACAGGAGAAGTCCCTCTGCCGCGCTGTAGCCTGTACTGGGGAACGATGTCCCCAACTGATGGAACGAGATAAAATATGCGAAAGTGGACTGGGGCGGCATCCCTGATTTGGTTATCGATTTGTTTCGAGTGCTGGTTACGTCCATATCTCTCTGAGCAAAAGCGTCTTTGTCCAACTGCAATGGCCGCGGAACCTGGTCCAGAAAGAAAAGAGCGCAACTGGTCCACAACCTGTTGACACTCAGTGGATGCTCTGAATGTGAGCTACCGTCCTTTTACACGTAGAATAGAACTACATTCTGAGGAACGGAGATACAGTGGTGAGGAATGCACAAACCTGGTGTCGTCAATTGGCAAGCTTTCCGCAGAACATGCGTAAATGCGGAGAATGAGCACGGAGTCATCGCACCGAATTCCACTTGAAGCAGCAACGATCCATTGAATCCACTGAAGGATTGCTGAACAAGCTTTGTGCAAGCTTTTGTGGAGAGTTTCGACACCGACGGTGGCAGGGGTGCAAAAGCCACTTGAAATCGTCAAACTCCCTTTTTCGGATTCCTAGTAGATGCTAGGGGTAGGCGAATGGCCTTGGGAATGCAAGCTGTCAAATCCCAGACTCTGGCAAAAAGAGTACTTACGTAGGTAATCCCTAGGTGACATTTTTCAGCTTGAGAAACAGCAAGACTCTGACAATCTCCGACCAGGAGAAGGGCGGATCCCCAAGCTGGGGGCAGACGTTGTACAGGTGGGATGCGATTGCGGGTTTGGGGAGGCTAGAAAGACAAGCATTTCCCGGCCACCAAACCCTATGACTTGCATCATCTAGCACGGGGGTCCTGGTTGGTGTCAGCTGTTCTGCTAATCTAGGTATCCATCTCTGTAGATTTTGACCAAAAGACTCGAAGCAGGCTTGGTGGTCTGAGCTCTGATCTTGCGAAATGGTGACGCGGGGCGTACTGTGGGAGCCACGACGAGCCCCGTTGTAGCTTGGCTCGGAGGCTGGTTGATATCGAGATGCCAGTCCACCTGGTGCCCTGAGTGTCCAACATGCTTCACCTGCAGCGGTCCACGAAGCAGAGCCCACAATGACATTGCCGCCCTCTGCACGGAGTCGTTTTGGTGATCGTCTGCGTGATCGAGATTCGGCAATCGAGACGGAGTACGGCAGAGTTTGAGAATGAAGAGGCACGGGCTGGTCAAGGACACTGGGCTGGTCGAGCATACCATGTCAGCATGGATACTCGGAAGTCGGTAGCAAAATCTGCAAGGAGGAGACAAGCAGATGCAATGCAGCGTGACAAAGTGAAACACTAGCCAGGGCGAAGATGGGAATGATTGAAGGTAGAAGCGGGTGCAGCTTTTGGCGGGAACTGCACGTTGGTTGCAAAATAGCTGCGCATTAGTTAGCGCATGTAATTTTCCGCATCTCGTGGCTTTACTTCGATGTTACTCGAGATGCATCCATGGTTGTCAGTGTCATCTGGGCGTTTCACCTGAAGCTACTCGTACACACGAGCCCATGAGCAAGATCGCAGACAGACGCACCACCTCCATCCATGCACCATCTCCAGACATCTCACTGGCCTCGTCTACGCATCCATCCTTCTCAGTGAGACCTACAACCACCACGGCCAGCTGCCATGTAAACGGAAAGCAGAGCAGATTTCTGACGGCAGCCTCAGGCCAGGAAGACCTTGGATGAACGGAGAACTGGTTGCCGGCCAGATCATCGACCATCTACAGCATCAGTCCAGTCCGTCCAAACCGCAACTTTTCCATCAGTCTCGGAGTCCCCCTGTGGTGCTGTGTAGAGGTTGATTTCTTTCTCTTCTCGTGCCTTTAATTAGCCCAAGTGGTCTCTCGTCCTGGTGTTCAACCAACCTCCTTAATTCTCTGCCCTGTGTTTTTGTCCTCATTTATTCGTTATCTCGCTCTCTCTCTGTTTGAGACCATTGGCCACGATCCTCCTTTCCAGGTCATTAGCCGTTTCAGTGCAGATTGCACACCAGTTCGTTGTTCGTCATCGTTGAACAAATCTCCAGCTCCCCGCAGACCGAACCGGCTTTGGTTTAGCTTCAGGTACCGGGCGAATCGTTGGTTAAGAGATTGGGCCAGTTTCCAGCCTCGTCAACTGGGGAGTTCTTTGTGGCCACTGTCCAGGGACCCAAGCACCGAAAGACCAGCTAAAAGATTTGGGCTCGCTCGGCCCGCCCATGAGGCTCCACCGACATCACGATCCCTGCCACTGACCCAGTCGATTGCAGACCCTTCGAATCTCGAGTACCTGGCCAGACAACGACCAGCAGAGAAGCGCGCTGGCTAGCACGAATATTGTAGCTCCGAAAGAGAGAAAGGATCCTCTGCGTGGAGAGGGAGCGAAAGAAAACGGGCCGGGGTCTGGTGGTGGACTCTGACTACTACAAGATATCAACCACTCACTCCCTGCGCCGAATACTTCACTCCCTCACTCTCTCTTGCTTCACCTTCCGAGTCCAGGCACTTCATTTGATCCCATCTTGCTGCAACTCACCACTCCTTTGAGCTGCTCAAGATCAGTCGTTCTTTACCTTTGCCTTGGCCAGCAACGCACAGTCAGTGACCGTGCTTCTTCGGGTCGACCCAAGCCAGCCCGTGCCTCAACACTCTTTGACCAGAGTCCAGTCCTCCGCCTCACCTGGAGTGAAAAGCATAAACAACACTAGGGCCATCACTCGGACACTGCTCACTTGCCCATTGCTTACCCAGCCAGCTGTCACCAACCCACGAATTCTGTCTTCTGCGCTGCCCGGTGCACTGCCGTTTCCTGCCACAATCAGGTATCAAATAGCTCTCGCAAGACCTCTGAATCCAGTCGAGGAACACTCAGACTATTGCAACCAACTCTCCGACTACGACTTACTAGTTCCGACTCTTCGACCGCAAACATGAAGTTATCGATTGCCGCCCTCGCCGCCACCTGCGCCACATTGACCGCCGCCAGTCCGCTAGACAAACGTGCACTGACCACCACTGTTGTATGGGAAACCGTCACTGTCACTGTTACCGGCTTTCCTCCCGCCGAGACCGAGACGTCCACCGTTACTCCTGCCGCCGCTGCCGCCACCACCACCGATGCCAGCGCATGGTCTGCATGGTCTTCCAACGACGACTGGAGTACAGACTCAGGTGATGGATGGAAAGGCGGATGGGGAGGTGGATGGGGTAGTGGATGGGGAGGTGAAAGTACCAGCAGTGCTGCTTCTGCCGTGGTGACTTTCACTGAGTCTGAACCCCCGTCCTCTCCCACTCCGCCCCCGTCCTCTGCCCCTGCACCTACCTCGAGTGAGGCCCCTCCAAGCTCGTCCATCTCTTCCTCCAGCCCGCCAATTTCGACCAGCGTCTCTTCCGACTACCAACAAGGTATCCTCGACTCTCACAACATCCATCGCCGAAACTCATCTGTCCCCGATCTCACCTGGAGCGACAACATGGCATCCATTGCAGCTCAAATCGCAGCCAGTTGTGTCTATGCCCATGACACGAGCACCGGTGGAGGTGGCTATGGCCAAAACATTGGCGCCGGTGCCGCTCCCTCCGATGTACCAGGAATGATCACCAACGAGATGTACAACAACGAGATCAACTGGTATCCCCTGCCATATGGTGTCGAGCCGGACATGACCAACTTCGAGAAGTGGGGTCACTACTCCCAGATTGTGTGGAAGTCCACCACCTCTGTTGGATGTGCCACACAGTACTGCCCCAATGGTCTGGCCAACACTGGCGGCGGTGTCAGCCCCTACTTCACCGTCTGCAATTACAGCCCACCTGGTAAGTTGTTGCTCGGGATTCTGTGCTGTCGATCTGTACTGACCATGACTGACTAGGAAATTTTGGCGGCGAGTATGCAGCAAACGTCCTGCAGCCCCTCGGCGAACCCACAGTGACGCTGTAACTTTCGACTTGATGGTGTTTCTTCATGATTGATGATTCATTGCATTGCACCTTGAGAATCTACAGCGGGCGCATTCTTCTTCGAGACTGGCATGGCCACACATTTTTGGAACCAAGAGTTCGCTGTGATCTGGAACCTGCGACCGGCGTCGCCAACACTGGATATTGTTGGATTTGTTCCTTTCTCTAGCGGGTCACTTTGACATCTCGTTGTTCCTCTAGAGGGCTCCGAGGCCGCACAGATTTTCGCTTCATTCGATCTCCTGGGGTTTGGGATTTTTTTTTCTTCATTTCGTTCTCCAGTCTCTGGAATGGAAGGCAGATAGAGAGACGTGGATTGACTCGAGGTTAAGTCTGTACATTTTTAGACTATGCCTGCGAACCAAAAATGTACAACAGCATTCCAAACATTTAGGTCCTCTGGCCAATCCCATGGTTCACATTGTCCCAGGGTATTTGATGATGATATCATTCTCAGCCCGCCCGCGGTACTCCGAGTAGTCCCCGGCGTCCAATACATTGTATCCGCCCATAGCCCACTAGCCTACCTATAGTTAGGTACCTATGCTGATGTTGTGCACCTGGAGTTCGCCACTGACGAGGCTCAGAACAGCCTCGCTAGTTAGCCTTAGGCTTCTTCGGTAGGTAGCGTAACGAGGCTCCAGGCGTCGTTTTATAGGGCACAGCCCAGAGATTTAGGCCCGTAAGCCCCCCCCGGGTGCTATTGTACTGTACTTGACTGTACTGTACTAACTATTGCACAACTCTCTTCCCGTTCGCCCACGCTTGTGTCGCTTCCCCGGCTGAGGCTGCGGAGAAATGGAAGTTGTTCCCTCCAGACAGCGCTACGTCCATCTTCTCTCCAATGATCATTCGCCATATCGAAGCTGACCTTTGCATCCTCCTTCCGATCGTCCACCCTTCCATTATCGAGCTGGAAAGAATGGCGTCCATCCAAGGTGGAAAGGGACGAGAACGCCGTAATTTGCCATCGTCAGGAGACACCCACAGTCTTTGACACGATGCAGCAATAAAAACAGAGGAATACTTAGTCCTGCGACTTGGCCACGGTAGGTGTGTTGCCGATTGTTTTCTACGTCACGAGCAGTCTTTGCGAAAGAGGAGAATCCGTCTCGATCCAGGTGTCTCCTAACTAGTAGAGGTCCTGTCGGATGACCACGAAATCTGCAAAGACTCTCCTGCTTCTTTTCAAGATCATTCCACACTGTCCTAGCGAAACCTTTCAGAAACCCATTATCCGAGTCTCTGGATTCTGCGGCAGCTGCTGACGTGCTGGCGGCAGGGACACAGCTGTTCCGGCACCTCGGTCATCTGCGGCAGCGCTGCTGATTAGCCCACCACCAACGGCCGGCCCTGCGCTCTGCGCCTTTTCTGTACGTCCGCTTCTTTCCTTTCCTCCGAGACGCTACCATCATCATTCGAACTCGCATCCATCCGTGATCATTCGAGCATTGATGGTCCTACCCCCCGAGCCATCTCCTTGCCGTCCACTGTCATCGTGGAACTCATGCCTTTGTGCACCACGAACCCGCGGGGACAGGCGAGCGTTGGCCGCATTTCTCCATGTTCCGCCGGATTCTTCACATGTTCTGCGGGTGGCCAGTCTCATCCATGGTCATGCTCTTCTGTGACCCCTCCTGATCATTGAACATCTTAAGATCAGATTGTCCAGTCTGTTGTTTCACTAATCAATTTCCTCTCCTTGTGTTGTCGTACTCGGCGAAAGACTCTTTTGGCAGACCCATCCCCATGCCATCCTATTGCCTGCACGACTGCCACTACTTCTATCGCACTGCTCTTCGGTTGCTGAGCGTTGCTACCTTGGTGGCTGCATTGTACTCATGATCAACGTATTAACCATGCCTGTCTCTATCGCAGGAACCAGATATTTCTCCCAACCAACCTCAATTGGTGACACATTGAGCAAAACCTCGCTGAAAGCTGCCGCCAACGACATGGGTGCCGAACATGTGGAACGGGCCCTCGAGGCCGCAAAAGAAGTCAAGGACTCATACACCAAACAAGAGAAGGAGCCGATTTCGGCACCGACACTCCCAAAGGACCACCTCAAACAAGGCATCACCTTCGCGGCACAAGACAAGCTTCCGAAGCTGCCAATCCCTGACCTTGACGCGACAATGAAGAAGTATCTCGAGGCTTTGGCGCCCCTCCAAACGTCGCAAGAGCATAACGAAACGAGGGCAGCCGTCCGTGATTTCCTCGAGAACGAAGGGAGGGATCTGCAGGACCGACTGAAAAAGTATGCCACCGGCAAGACAAGTTATATTGAGCAGTTCTGGTACGATTCGTATCTGAATTATGATAACCCCGTCGTCCTCAATCTGAACCCCTTTTTCCTTCTGGAGGATGATCCAACGCCGGCGCGTAACAATCAAGTCACCCGAGCTGCCTCTCTCGTCATCTCTGCCCTTTGCTTCGTAAGGGCAGTACGTAAGGAGGAGCTGCCTCCCGATACCCTGAGAGGTACACCTTTGGATATGTACCAGTACTCTCGCCTTTTTGGTACTGCACGGGTCCCCACGGACAGCGGTTGCATCATTGGACAGGATTCAGAGTCTAAACATGTCGTGGTCATGTGTCGAGGGCAATTCTACTGGTTCGACGTGTTGGACGACAATCACGACATCATAATGACTGAGAAGGACCTCGCGATCAATCTGCAGGTCATTGTCAATGACGCCGAAGAGATTCCTATCCAAGAAGCTGCCCGCGGAGCGCTTGGGGTGCTAAGTACCGAGAACAGAAAGGTTTGGTCAGGGCTGAGAGACCTCCTGACGAGAGACGAAGGGTCGAACAACGCAGACTGTCTTTCCATTGTCGACTCTGCCTTGTTCGTGATCTGCCTTGATTACACTGAACCTGCTGATGTGTCACAATTGTGTGGAAACATGCTCTGCGGCACCAACGAAGTCGTCCGGGGTGTTCAAGTCGGCACGTGTACCAATCGATGGTATGACAAACTCCAAATCATTGTCTGCAAGAACGGGAGCGCAGGTATCAATTTTGAGCACACGGGCGTGGACGGCCACACTGTCCTCCGCTTCGCTAGCGATGTCTACACTGACACGATTCTTCGATATGCAAAGTCTATCAATGGACAAGCACCCACCTTGTGGACTTCGCAAAGCCCTGACCCCTCGAAGCGTGACCCGGAGAGCTTTGGTGATGTCAAAACCACTCCCCACAAATTGGAATGGGACATGACTCCGGAGCTGTCAATTGCCCTTAGGTTTGCAGAAACACGGTTGGCTGATCTTATCAACCAAAATGAATTTCAGACCCTAGATTTCTCGGGCTACGGCAAGAACTTCATCACTTCCATGGGCTTCTCGCCGGATGCTTTTGTGCAGATGGCCTTCCAAGCAGCATATTATGGTCTTTATGGACGAGTGGAGAACACCTACGAGCCCGCCATGACCAAAATGTATTTCCATGGTCGAACAGAGGCGATTCGCTCCGTCACCCCTGAGAGCGTTGAATTCGTCAAGACCTTCTGGGCGGATAATACGCCGCAGAAGAAGATCGACGCCCTCAAAAGTGCATGCCAAAAGCACACGGCAATCACAAAGGAATCGAGCAAAGCCCAAGGTCAAGATCGCCATCTATATGCTCTGTATTGTGTCTGGCAGCGCAAGATGAACGATGAGGGAGCAGAGGTTGCAAGCAACGCCGGCTTCAGTTCGAACGGCTATTCGAGCCCGACAGACCTGAGCGACGCGGGAAGCCCTAAACGACTAGAAGACCCGCCAATAAGCCCGACTCGCTCCCAGGCTGGTACCGAGTCTAGTCGCTCTCCCGCCCCTGCTCTGCACCAGATGCCTGCGCTCTTCAGTGATGCTGGATGGGAGAAGATTAATAATACAATCCTCAGCACGTCGAACTGCGGAAATCCCTCCCTGCGCCACTTTGGGTTTGGCCCCGTCTCGGGTGATGGTTTTGGCATAGGTTATATCATCAAGGAAGACTCTATATCGGTATGTGCAAGCAGCAAGCATCGCCAAACACGACGATTTGTAGACAGCCTCGAATCCTACCTAAACGAGATTCGACGTTTGTTGAAGGCGACGCGACCGAGAGCCATCTCTGCCGGTAAATTGACAAGAGCCAGAGAAGCAGAGGAAGTCGGTAAGGACGGTCGCCTGAAGTCTCGAGGCCGTGCCATCAAAGCCGAAGCCACGAGGGTGGATGGAACCCAGACGCCTGCTAGCATGGAAACTGCCGAGGTGGAGGATGACGGTTTGGGTGGATGTAAGTCTTTTGCTCTCCGCATTCTGCAAGGTTTGCCGATGTGACTAACTTTTGAATCTAGACGGCTTCTTCGACGCCGGTATGTTGTTGCAAGCGCTCAAAAAGGAACCCCCGAAACCTGCAGAGCAGCTGGCCCAAAAGAAGAGGACGGTGGGAAAGAAGCTAGCCTTGACGGAATATTGATAATTGCACACTTGTTGTTATACTGTGCAGCGGTGTCGAGGCAATATAGGCGATGACCAAGATCGGCCATGTGCAACAGCATGATTCTCCCCAGGCAGGGTTCGGGGTGTGACATGGGGGAATATGACATAGCCATATTTTTTTTGAGGTCTCGCAGCATCTGTATGTACGATGATTTGCATAGAAGCTTCAGACCAACCGGCCGCCGTCCGTGCCTGGATCGCCTACCGAGCCAATGGTCAGGGGGCCACTGCATGACACAAGGGAGGAGATCCCATGTAGGCTGCGGAGTACGATATTCAATGATGCATTAAGTCAGCGGTAGCGAGGAGCATTCAGGACCTCAGCATAGTCAATCAATGCATCCTGCGCGTAGCCTGATAGATACAGAATTAAAGGGGCTCCTCATGGCACAGAACTGGCCTCCATTAAGCACTCTCATGATGCCCGTTTCTTACCAGGTATTGTGATTCAGGTGTGCTCACGCCACATCAGGAGCGCCAAGACGCCTGCCCCAAAACGGCTTAGCCTCACCTGTCCGAGTCTAAGGAACTCAACCCCCATCGGCGACACCTGTTGCAGTCACTGCGCGAATCCTGTTCCTTGACAACAACTCGAATCTCTGCAGCTGTACACGATCGCTCATCATTCTCTGGTCAGAGGTCGTGGCTAGAGATTGCACCATTCTGGTTGCAATTCTCTCCATGCTGGCCAGTCCGTGATCCGACAGATCACTCGCCCCGTCACCTCTCCCGATTTCAGCCTATCGAATACCTCCGATCATGGCCGCTACCACCATGTCATCACTTCCTCCCCACGAAGGGCTGGGCGACACTGCGCCGGACAAGCGCGACTCTATCGCTGACCCTGTCCTTCCTCCTCAAGTCCATACTCCCCCTACCACCGACGAGGCGAGCCACAAGGACGATGACGCAGCCTCGAGTTCTTCCCTCTCCGATCTCGGCGACGACATGGAGGATGAGGAAAACAGAATCCGGTTTGAAGAAGCTGCGAGGGCAGGCGCTGAAGCAGAACAGTTTTCAGAGGTCAAACCTGACCGATACGAAAATGGTGTCCCTATCTTTACTCCGGTACGCTGGTTGCCACATCTCCGTTCCTCGTTATTCGTGCGAAGCAGCAGAGACACTGACATGGTGACCCATAGACGATGGAACAGTTCAAGGATTTCCAAAGATACGTCAAAGGAGTGGACCCCTATGGAATGCAGTCCGGCATTGTGTTGATCGATCCTCCAGAAGAATGGTACGTCCAGGGACTCTCGCATGGCCCATCCTGTTTTGGGCTGTTTAGGCTCCCGATACCTGGACTTCGAGTCTAACAAAATCTGCAGGAAACGTGCTCGGAAAGCCCTGGACGATATGGTCAAGACCATCAAGATCAAGAACCCCATAATGCAAGAGTTTCACGGTGCGCAAGGTATTTATACACAGCGGAACATTGAAAAGATGCGATCGTACAATCTTCCACAGTGGAAATCTACCTGCGAGCAGACAGAAAACCAGCCGCCAGCGAGACGTGGAGAGAAGCGCCTGAATGCGGATAAGTTGTTAGGTCGAGGGAACACTCGATCTCGGAAGGCAGAGTCCGCAGCACCGCCGGAAAGTGGTAAAAGAAGAGGAAGACCGCCGAAACAGATCAAGCAAGAGCCCGTCGAACACGATTCCACACTTCACGCTCCTCCCACGCCCACCAGCCCAGACGTCAAGCCCGCCGTGACGATGAGCGAGGAGCCTGAGGAAGGGCGTGAGGACACAGCAGAGCCTACTCCGACCAAGGGCAAGTCCACTAAGAAGCCTGGCAGGCCCAGGGGTAGACCGCCAAAGAGTAGTGCACCCAAGAAAGAAAGCGCTGGCAGCAAAGGCGCTGAAACTACCGTTGCAGCACGAAGACTGAGAAATGCGCGTGAAGCCAACGATGACATTGACGAGGAGGCTTTCAAAGACTTTGACTATCGAGTTTACGACAACGACCAATGGACAGCTGAAAGATGCGATGAGTTAGAGGACAAGTACTGGAAAAGCCTCAACTTCAGTAATCCTATGTACGCTGCGGATATGCCCGGGTCTCTGTTCGATGAGGATACCAAGGAATGGAATGTTGCCAAGTTACCGAATTTACTTGACCTTCTGGGACAGCCTATTCCTGGAGTCAACACTGCATACCTGTATCTCGGAATGTGGCGTGCGACCTTTGCGTGGCATCTGGAAGATGTTGATCTTTACAGTATCAATTATATTCATTTTGGAGCACCGAAGCAATGGTACAGCATCTCACAAAAGGATGCCCCGAAATTCGAAGCGGCCATGAAATCTCTATGGGGTTCGGATGCCAAAAACTGCGACCAATTCTTGCGACACAAGACCTACCTAGTCTCTCCGTCTATCCTCAAGTCCAAGTTTGGAGTGACTGTGAACAAGGTTGTCCACAGGGAGGGACAATTTGTCATCACCTTTCCCATCGGCTATCACTCTGGCTACAACCTAGGTTACAATTGTGCCGAGTCGGTGAATTTCGCCATTGAGAATTGGTTGCAGTATGGAAAGACCGCGCGCAAGTGCCAGTGCGAGGCAGACAGTGTTTTCATCGACGTTGACTGGTTCATCCGCCGACTCAACGGCGAACCTTCTCCCGAGTTTGAGGAGGTGGAGGTGACTGACGATGAGGATGAACTCGATGATACAGCAGACCTCCCGACTCCACCGGCCAGCGACAGAGGTAAAATGAAGCTGCCCCAAAAGAGAAAACGAGGACCGAAGGATCTCGGCCCCAACAAGAAGGCCAAGAAACTCATAAAGATCCGAAAGGTCAGCAAGAATCAACCCTGCTGTTTGTGTCCAAACGACTTTGTCTGGGAAGAACTCCTGCCCACGTCCCATGGCCAGAAAGCTCATCGAACCTGTGCAATGTATACCCCTGAGACATATATTGCGAAGAAGGGCGGCAAAGAGATTGTGTACAATGTCGAAAACATCAGCAAAGCTCGTCTCGAGCTCAAGTGTTATGAATGTCGACAGAAGAAGGGTTCGTGCTTCCAGTGCTCTTCGGCCAAGTGTACAAAGTCATATCATGCCACTTGTGCTATGCAGGCTGGCGTGCAAGTAGACAAAGGCGAGATTGCGGTGTGGCATGAGGGCGTTGAATATCGTGACATTGGCTTTGATTGGCGATGTCGGCTTCATCGCACGGTCAAACGAACGAGGATCACGAGCGAGCTCTCTGCTTGCAACCATGCCAACAGCTGCAGGCAGAACCCCGAGTTCCGCGAATTCCTGTCTAAGCTCAATGAGGGAGAACTGATTCAGTTCCAAGCCACCAATTCTGACGACATCGAGGCCGGTCTTGTGATTGCTGGGTACGACTCTGGGCAAGATTCGCTTTTGGTCAAAGTCCTACCAGATTTGAAAACAGTCAAAGAAGTCGATCCCTCAGCCATCCTGTTTGTTGACAGCGCGACTTCCTGTTTGCAGAGGCCTTCTTCTAACGCTTTGGATTTGCCGGAGACTCTTCAGGGCAAGGCTGCGTCTTTTCCAGAATCTACTGAGAAGAAACCTAGTGCTGGCGATGTCTTTACCGAAGAACCCAGAACTGAATGGGCAGAATTTGTCTCTGCAGAGCCTCCCGTTAATATGGACCAGAAGCTTGTCGACATCTCCAAAGAAAAGCAATTGTGGCTGTACCTTGGAGACATTTCTTCTGATGCGAAACCTCATTACACGGCAGATCCTGACAGACATGTGCATGATCCGGCATCTAATTTTCTTGACCTTGTCACGCCTCGCAAGTCGGCGATGGCACCACCTCCTCAGCCCAAACGTCAGTCTCTAAGTGCGTCTCACCCTATGGTGAATGTGGCTGCACGGAACGCTGCCATGGCAAGCATGCGGCAAAGTGCCGCCAATTCGCGCGCTGCATCACCAGCGATTCCGGGTACTTTCAGCGGTACCACGCAGAACCTGACCATGAATCGTGGCCCGGAAACCTCCAACGTACCAAGGACTGGACAGGTCAAACATTCTCAGTCCCGGGACATGATGACTGGTCACGAAGCTCGGTTGAACGAACAAGCGCGCATACTCCAGCGGCAGCAGGCCAAGGCATTACAGCTGGATGCAGCTGAGAAAGCAAACACGATCGGCCACGCTAGTATCGGAATTGACCACGAGGCCGTACAAAGACAGAGGCAATTTCAGCAGCAAGCATCTCAACATGCCAAACATATGAAGGAGTGGTCCAACGATCCTTCCCTGCCTCCCCTGAAGCAGTACGAGCAGTTTCCCAGTTTTACTAGCTTTGACAATTCAGGGAATTATGAAAGTCCATCCATGATGAGCGCCGGCTTTCGACCGCAACAGTTCCAATACAGTAACGACTGGATGAATGCTGATTCACCGAGTGGAAGGTCAAATTACCACGGTTCTCAAAGTATGAATCTGAGCTCTATGCTGTCGCCGCAACCTCATCAGTACCAGTCGTCATCATCTTCCGCGGCGCCGTTCCCAGCATATGTGCAACAATCTCACCTGGACTTTCCATATTCAAGCCAGACTAGAAGCAGCAATACTACACCTGGGCCTTATCAATCAACGAGCCTAGAAACTATTCGAGCAGCGGCAAGTCAACCCCCACCGCCTCCTCCATCGGCCGAGGTGGAACGTCGAAGGCGTATCTCCAACCCCGCCTATCCCTTCAAGAGTCCAGATCAGATTAAGGCGCAGAAGGAGGCGGAGAAGAGGTCGCCCCCTGGCAGCAGACCTACCAGTTCATACATGCTCCCTAGCCCTCGAATTCAGCATGACACCTATATGCATTCAGCATCACCTACCGGTCCTATGCAGCCTCTCGATCCTCACAACCCGCCTCAATTCGTCAATCCCAATGCCACACAGATCAGTCCTCCTGCGTCGAGTGCTGGCCATCGTTCGGCTAGGGGAAGTTTTTCAGGGTTTGGGACTCAACCGATTATTGGACCCTCATTGCCCGCTGGTGTCAGAAGGTCCTTTTCGATGGACATGACACTGCCTGACATGGCTCCCTTTCCTGCCGCCTCGTTACCGTTCAGTGGATATGTCCCCAGAAGGTCCATCTATGATCCTCTAAGCCAAGTAAATGCGTTCCAACAAGTCAAGCCTAAGCCTTCTGAACCACCGATGGCTCCAATGTCCAGCAAATTGACTGAGACGCTGGAAAAACGCGCCATGGGTGCCAATGGACTGCCACTGAATGATCGAGCAGTGCCCAAACAGTTGCTAGATTGGCGCGACCGAGGTGGCTTTTGGAGTCGTGTGTCCAGTTATTATATCTCGAAGCACCAAGCCACCGCCACTATATACAGGTCACCTTTCATGGCCATGACTCAACAGACCGATAATGTGTCGCTTTCGGATCGATATTATCAGAGCTTGGAAGGCGATCAGCAATCCAAAATTGACGCTTTTCGACAAGGCAAGCAGAGGCAAGCATAGCATAAGGCGTGAGTGATGGAGATTTTTTGCTCTCATAAGTGATAGGCCTAAGTTTGGCATGCAAACAGGAATAGCAATAGGGATACCATGGGCGAGGGCATTGTTTGTTCATGACATATTCTATCTACATGACCTCGGATGGATGACTGGAATGATGGGAAGATGAAAAAACGGAAACGGGAACACGAAATGATGATGGTAACATACAGTATTCACTCCCATTAGAAGTCTGACGAACAGCTTCGTCAAAGACTGGTTTGGTGACCTGGTGTGTTGTCGGGATCCTCGCTACAACATTCTTTTACTTTGCCACCAGCCATATATGGTATATATGTGGTGTGGTGGTATGCGCAGACAGAGGTAAAGCTTTCCTCAGGTACCTTACCCCCTGCCTTTTCCAAGGGCGATACAATGGAACATGAATACTCACGAAATGGCCCCTCGTTTGCTCTTGCAAACAAAATCAGCCCGTGACTATCACTCGGTCCGTCCACACACCTGCCTGCTGCCCGCCCATTCAGTGCCCCATGTATGATGGATGCACTTGCCTACTTACTACCTACCGCCTCCCCTATCTACCTGCAGACACATAGCTGGGTGTGGTCCTGGGTCTTGATCCCTTGGATATACAACTCAACACTGACGTAGGGGGGTGCCTCGTAGGTAGGGACGGCCCTGCGTGGAGCAATCGGCCCTTGACCATTTCCCATTGACGGATCATGCATGCCCTTCACGGCAACGTCTGTTTTGTTTGATTTGATTTTCTGTTTCTGTTTCTGTTGATGCTACTCCTGCTACTGGTACATACCTACACCAGGCTGACTGGTTCGGCCTCTGCGTCGCTGCTCTGCTCAACTAAGGTAGCTACTACCCACTAGGTGGGTGGGTAGCCTAGGTATGCAGTGGCACAATGTGAGCCCCCGGAGGGGGGGGGGGGGGGGGGGAAATCGACCTGGGGCTCGACCCAGACTTGGACCTAGATCTCCCAAGAAGAAGAACAGAGCAGATATCCCAGCCCGGCCCAGCTCAGCCTGTGATGATAAATCACTTTTATTCTTTGTACAACACAACCGGGGTCACAGTGTTGCCTGATGTTCAATTCGTGCTCTGTGCCCGCCGCCCACGCATTTGGAGAAAACCGCTCACACGCACACACGTATCTTTGGTGGGCTTCGAAGAGCTCTCTCTCTCTCTCTCTCTCTCAAAAACGAAGGAGGAAAAACGCCGGAATGCCGCTCAAGTGTACTCGACCAATTAAAGTCTATCCCGAACCACAGTTTCCCCATCCGTTCGATCCATTTCCTTTCCTAAAACATTGAACAATCATGAAACCTCTCCATTCCTTTTGGAGACAATTGCCGTTCCAAACAGCAAGAGGAAATTTTGGTCTTCTCAATCATGATAGTCTTTCTTCTGGCCAGGCTTTGGTACATTGGCAGCCGGTCGTTGAGCTTCACCTTCGCCACCACCTTTGGCCTTGTCACCGGTCTTCTCCTTGTCATCCTTAAAGGTGTTAATCTTCTGAACACTCTCTGTCTTGGGTTCGCTCTTTGGTGTACCTTTCAACGTATCCTTCTCGGTGTTTGGTTTGCCATTGGCGTCTTTCTTCACCTCTGGCTTGCCTGCTTCGTCGGCCTCGGCTATCGCTTGTTTGTCCTTCTCCCATTGAGAATCGACTTTTTGGAAATTTTCCTGTGCCTTTTTGAGCTTTTTGGCTTCTTCGGCCTCTTTCTCCTCGCGCTGGCGCTTCTCGACTTCCATCTCTTCCATATGTCTGAGATCATCGATTGATGGTTCGTAAAGATGCCACACCGTGTAATGTGGGAGGCCAACCACTGAGAATTGCATTCGCTTGGCCATCTTGCCGAATCCTTCCGTCTCAGCATGTCGTTCAAAGGAGAAGGCTGGGAAGTGGACACCAGCTCGGAAAACCCTAGCTTTGGCTAGGATAGAGACACCGCCAACACCGTCCAGCTCCATCTCCACGTCTGGATCTCCGTACGGATCGCGAAGATACGCCAAATGCGGCCGCCACGTGGCGTACTCGGCATACCCTTCCACAATGACAGCATCTTCATCCAATGTCTCGGCTAGTGCAATAGCGGTCTCGGATTCTTGCCACGAGTTCAAGTCATAAGGCTGCTCTCCACCTAGCCAGTCGGGTAACGGTCGCCAAATGTCTTTGGTGCAAAGGTTAGCCAACGATCAAAAGAAGATTTTGGGGCTGCCTTACTAGGAACAATGACATCCTTGTCATGTCTCATCAAATCCTCGATGATGGTAAAAGGGCAGGTCTCCACATCAGCATCACGCCAATATACCCAGCTATGATAGGGTCTCAAGGCACCACTGAGCAACCAATTCCGTGCCTGTGCCATCAATTTACGCCGACTGGCTTGCGCAGCGAACCCATGCCGGCTTTCGAAATCTTGACTGATAGACTGTCCGAAATCCTTGTGTATGACTGAAATTTCTCCATAAGGCTGAGAGGGATCGGGGTCGTTTTGCAACTCTTCGAGCATAGTCGCGAGCAGTTCTTTTGTATTATCTTTTGAATCGGACACAAGGAAGGCCAGATCGACCAGGTGGTGAGGATACGTGAAGTTTCGTAGGTGGGAGAAGAACATTTCGAGGTGTGTCGCTGCATCTCTCAAAGGTGTACAAAGCAAAACTCGCTCTTCTCTTTCCCATCCGACGGAAGTGCCTTGGACGTCTTCCAAGTCGTAGTACCGTAGTGTTTCAATGTCTGACTGGTCTTGCATCGACCTTGTAGTGTTTGACCACGATGAAACGCGGGATGCCGAGGGAATAAACAGCCAGAGCAGGAATACGAAGATTCCAAGGGCAAGACCACCTAGACGCATGAGACGAGCGCGGTTGTGAAAAGCTCTCTTTCTGGGTTCGAATTTCTTGTGAAAGGAAGCATCGTGCTTCTCATCCTCGACAAGATCAGGCATGCCCCATATGTACTTGTTCTCGAGATCTGATTTATCCGAGTATTTGTTATAACCTTCATCGTCTCTTTTCTTGTGGGCGGCATAGCCGTTGGAAAAGGCGTGATGCCTGTTCATCCCGTCACCTCATCACCCGGCTCCCCTCTTGCAGCGCTGTGCGACTATTGACCAGCAAGGTAGCCACCGAACACACTGCAATGTGTAGGACAATTGAGGAAGGCCGGATTCTGCGGTTTTGAGGTGTTCGGACCGGAAGATGTGAAGAAGGCGACGTTGCAAAGAGAAAATAATATGCTAAATCCGCAGTCCTCTATTTGAGATCTGGGCTGACCGGGGGGGAAGAGGCCAGATGTGAAAGAGTACCTGCTTTGTGTGACAGAGAACGTCGCACGGTAATGCGTCCTAGTCTGCCTGCAGGAGACAAATTGAGAATTGAAAGATTGTTAAAAGAACCGACGGAGAGAAAGAAACCTGCCAGAGACTCCAAGTGTCAAGAGACTGTCATGGGAAGATGCCAACGTTCGCTCTCGGTGCTTTACCTGTCAAAGACCTTGTAAGGAGCATTTGGGGCTTCGCTGACACTGACGAATGCCTTCTGACGAATGAGGCTAGCGCCGGTTAGCGTGAGTTCCATATTTGGCAAGCATGGCGAAGGCATATAAAGCGGCCAGAGCAGGTCGGTGCATGTGGCTTTGTGGCAGCCGAAAGCCGTTCCATCTCTTCTTCTACTGGTGTGATCCCAACCACCGACAACAATACAGACTTTACTTGGAACAATGAACACGCACACACTTTGACGCACCACCTGGAGTCGGAATTGAGGAATGAACTCACTCAAAAGCTGAAAACCTCTTGATGCGAGCTCCATTTGAGTTCCTCATGGCGTAAACCCGCCACGGTAGGCTGTGCAAGCAAGTGGATCAACATGACCCCCGAAGAGTCCGTGTCGCCATCTCCTCAGAATCAGGGACGCGTCAGATCGAGAAAGGGTGCTGTGTGCACTACCTGTCGACAAGCAAAGCAACAATGTGATGCTTCTGAATTGGCACCAGCGCCTTGTACACGTTGCGCAAAATTTGGTCGATATTGTGCTATCGACCCGACTTTCCGCAGAGTAAAGAAACGAAGCCGCGTAAACGGATCAGAGACAGAGCCTCAGCGTGTGGGAAACCAACGGGGCAATTTCCCTGAGGATTCCTCGCAGCCAAGCGGACAGGCAGGATTATCCCCGTCGATAGCGCTCCCATTGTATTGTGCTCATGTTCGAGCCCAAACACTGGAAAATGTCCACGTCAGTTCGGTTGATGTGGTCAACCTTATTAACCAGTAAGTCTAGAAAGACTTTCCGTCTTCAGTCAGCAAAGGTCACATAGCAAACTGGAGGTATCGCCTTGATTGCGCTGTTGGGCGATCTGTGATGTCTCGGGACTGAGCCTTGGCCTAAACCCCAGGTCTTCCCCGTGGGAAATGCCAATCTCCTGTGCTTGTGCTGTGATTAGGCTCCTTCTTCTACCTAAAATCGGTGCTACTTGAATATTCAGCTCATCTATGACAGATTTTACTCCATCTATCACCCGCAATTTCCTATCCTACCAGACATCATGACCTTCGTTCCACACTACGATTCCAACAGGTTGCTACTTTGGTCGATGCTCGCTGTTGCAGCTGGCCACTCTTCAGTGACTTCGGTGCTGTACAATTCACTTGTGAATCCAGTCCGACGTCTTGCTGGTGATATTTATAGCCATCAAAGCCGAGGCCTTGAAGCTGTTCAAGCATTACTCATTCTCTGCGCATGGCCCTTCCCCTATCAGCAGACGGTTAATGATCCCTCGCCAATGTATTGCTCTTTGGCCACCACTATTGCTCTCCAGACAGGGCTCCATCGCCCTCCAGCACTGAGTGACGACTTTGCCTTCCAAATGGATGATTCCGGATCCAGCAGGGTAAACATTGGTGACCGGGAACGAGCTTGGCTTGGATGTTTTATCATGAACTATACGTTAGTCGGGAACGAGTGATTGATGGAGCGTGGCTAATCTAGTACAGAGTGTCAGAAAGACAGGGGATTCCATCCCCTATTTCACCATATCGATCCATAAGTCGCGCGATGGGGAAGGGATCATCTCCACACCTAGCAGACACGCTCATCGGCCTCGGGCAGATTGCTTTTCTAGGCCATAAAACAACAACAGCTCTGGGCGATGATTCCTCTGCTCCTTCAGGTTTGGTAGATGATCCTATGCGACTGATCCACTTCTTCGACATTGATTTTCAAACAGCCAGCGAGTCGTTACACGGAAAAGTATCGTCGCAGTGTGATATCTTTCTGCTATACTCGCGTTTGAGCCTATATTCTTACGCATTCAATGATAGCAGCATCCCTAATCACAATCAGAATCACTCTTACGATGTTGAGAAGTCAGCAATATCTGGGAAGGCTCTTTCTACAGCAATGAAACTCCTGCAATTAGCATGTGAGAACTTCAATGCAAGTCTTCGATGGCCAGCGTTTGTCAAGAACTGTGTCATATATGCGACTTGCCTTGCTGCTTTTATTCTGTCTAAGGTAAAGCAATCTGAAACCGAGGTCAAGTCGATAATAGACACATGTGAAGCTGCAAATACCCTGATCAGACTGTGGTCCTTGTTCCCAAAGGATAGCTACTCCCGCATCTCGACACATCTCGCTCGTTTCATCGATTCGATCAACCCGAAAACGTCCCTTGGCATGGCAACTCCCGGAGACACTAGACGTGGCCTTGCACATCAACAAACTGTCACGTCACGCATGTCGGCAAATATCATGTTCAATGTCATATGGCCGGCAAAGAAGGCCGGCATGAACGGAAATGCAACTACTCTTAACGATGACGGACCGACGTCCGTGCATCTATTGGCAAACAATGGAATGGAAGAGCAAAATATGCATGTTACTGGTCTACCTTCTCAAGCGACCTTCGACCAGGTGGACACTGTCGACTTTGGCTATTTTGACGATATCTTTGCTGACTGGTCTGATCTTCTTGGAAACACGACCTGAAGGGACTCCATGATCATTCAGATAGCAGTCGAAACCTACGATCTAACTTATCTACCTCAGGTCTCTACTGTCTACCTGTATCAATGCTCGGACCTCCCGTTGCCAATCTTTGGCTTGGGAACTTCCAGGTACATGAGCCTGACGTGTTGACAACTACCGTGCGTATCTGTTTCACCAAAGCCTCCAGATACGAGGGGTCTTTTCAGTGTGGCTTTGAAAGCAAGGGCAGGCTCCCACCAAACCGCTGCTAGAACCTCCGACTCATCAATACCATACATACACGCAACGCTCGAGCTGGAAAGGACACAAGTTTCTTTTACCCAAGCGTAGTTCTCTGGCTTATCAAACATTATATCAAACGTCACCTCATACGGGCCAGCATTCTTGGACCGCACGACCGAGGCGAGTTCGGCCAAATACTGATAACCATCTCGCGGGGGTGGGGACAAATTTCGGTTGTTGTTCTCGACCTTTGTTTGAGTCGCCTTCGGAACCGTCTTTTCGGTGAGACCTGCAAGTACCTTGACCGGTGTAGAACTCGCTGCTGTTCCTGGACCATGCAACCGTACCATCTTCCTAGGAAAGTGAGCAACAGGATCATCTACCGTCATCAGATGGTAGATGCAGAATTCACAAACTCTTCCCATCGGGACGTCAAACGACCCACAAGACATTGCGAGGTTCCCTGATGTGGACATCTGACCAGGATATGAAGCATGCATACAAGCCACCCTAGTGGCATTAATGACACGAGTGGCTTGCTCTTGGGTAGCTGCTTTGGCTTCACCTGCAATTGCTGCTGACGCGGGAATTTGCTCAGAGGCATGCTTTACTCCTTTGAACATGCTGATATGGTCGCCGATGCCATAAGCAGTCAGCTTGAGCTCATGCTCAAACTTGCAAACCGATGCAACGTGAGCCCTAACATTCTCAATGAAGACGTCAAGCTGGGCAATCAAGACCGGGTCACTGAAACCTCCGAAGAATGCGCTGCGATAGCCCGCGATGCGAGCACCCTCGAGCTTGATTGTGTACTCCCCCGGCGAAGTAAGAGTGAATATTGCTCCTCGGACACGGACTGTTCTGCCGTCTAGAAGCTGTTCGTAGGTTGTGGCTCTGAGATCCAAAGTGCCGCCCGGGCCCACGAGAATGTCTGGTCGAGTCTTTTCGTACAGGGTGTGAGCAGCGACCGAAACCGGAGTGCACACGGCAGTTGGATTATTGGGTACAATGTCAAAATGATCCCTTCTGACGATTGCCATTGCTTCCCTGCTCTTTGGCTTTGCACAGAGCCCTCCACATTCCAATATTTTGCCCATATGATATGCTATCCCCAAGTCGTCAAAGCCTTTGTGGATACAGAATGCAGCGTACGGTGATGGATCATAGGTGCGACCACCAATTATGATATCGAAATCTGGGAACTCTTCCATGGCCTTTCTGTACGGTTCCAGGCCCATCTGCGCGACGACGACAGAAGCATCCCTAACATCGTTCTCTTGCAGAGGCGGTACGGCGGAACCACATGGTACTATTAGGTTGGCCGACAGTTTCTCTTGGACAACTTCTTTGTTGATTTCTGAATATATCTTGACCAATTTCATTGGACGATAACCGTTTTTCTTGACAATATCTTGAATGATATCAGCAAAAGTGTCGACATGATCATTGGAGCCGTCCCCTCCCGCGCTGCCGATGATGACTGGGACTTTGTGTGAATGCGCTGCCGCAATGAATGGCTCGAGATCGTGCTGATATGCTTCTCGAGGGCAAGACATTGTCCCCAGCGCAAGCTTGGATGGCCCGCTGTCCGTTGAGCCGGAGTCGGCGATGATGGCATCCACGCCTTGCTCGATGGTCGACCAAAATACATCATGGCTATAGCCATATCCTAACATACCAACAGGGGTAAAGAGGCGTAGCTCGTCGTTCCGAGAAGAAGGCATCTCGACCCAGGTTTTCAAGACCCGAATTAATAGAACCAGCTGACAGGAATGGTGGATTAGGAGAGTGGTGAGAGGGCAGGCAATCCGAGAAGAGAAGCATCGGACTATATAGCCTCTCTTCAGTGTCCTCAGCACGGCGCTTTCGCTTGTTGATGGCGCTTTTCTTTCCTCAGCGTAAGCGCACCAAGCGGCTATCGCCTCAATGGGGCCTCAGCGCTTATGTAATTCGGCTTCAACTGACGACTTGAAAGCCGCACCTGACTGGATTGCGCGTTCAGATGGCGCATCGCTTATCGTAATGGGAAAAGGGCTCAAGCTAATGCGGCTTTCCCCACAAACTGTTCACCCCAGCTGGGATCCTTCTTCAGCTCATTGCGAACTTGTTGAAACCTGCCGTGGACAAGACAAATGGTGGTGTCGAATTTCTTCAATCGACGATACCAAAACTGGCGAAGGACTGAGGGGGTACACTGTTCACGGGTGGAGAGCATGTGCACAGCTTTTGTACTCGTCTGAGTACCTGTCGAAGACGACTTTCGGTATTGCGCATGTCCTTTTCGTATACCTATCCTCTCACCGAAACTATTCATGGAAGCTGCATGAAACACTCACGTGTGAGCTTGTGCTGAGCAAGAAGTTTAAACTGAATCTCCAATTGTGCATTTTGGTTTTTCTTAGGATTAAGATAGAAAAAGGCCTCATTGTCACGCAGTACTCAGATTTAAAGAATATTATAGTGAAAGGGCTAGACGTAGCCTTTCAGAATTGCACTCTCCGCGTTCAAAATGGATGACCCGGCCGCCCCGAGAACCGTGTTGTGACTCAGGGCCACGAACTGGATGTCGAAGATGCCACTTGGGTCCTCCCTGAGTCTCCCGACGCTGCAGGCGTATCCTCTCTCCGAGTCTATATCCAGGCGAGGCTGCGGTCGATCGGCCTCGTCTAAAACGATGATGGCGCGTTGTGGAGCCGAAGGACACCCTAGACGTTGCACCTCCGAGGTGTACTCTCTCATGGCGTCACGGACCTGGCTCACGCTCGGCGGAGGTCGGTTTGCGAATCGTAACGACACACACACCGTGTGGCCGTCAAGCACCGGGACGCGGTTGCAGGCGACGGAGACACGGAGAGGTTGATCGACGAATCCAGTCAGGTCCGCATTCAAGCTGCCTAAGATCTTGCGAGCTTCAGCGGGAACCTTGACCTCCTCTCCTGGAATATAGGGAACGATGTTGTTGAGGATGTCCATACCTGCACCCCCGAGTTAGCTGTGTGGTGGGCAGAATAGACTGGCGGGCTCCCCCCCTCGCTCCCCCCCCCCCCCCCCCCCCCCCGGGGGGCGCTTTTTATGTATGGGCAGAAGACTCCGGGGCCACTACTTACTACTGACGCCAGGATAGCCTGCTCCTGACACCGCCTGCATGGTCACCATGCTCACTTGGTCGATAGGCCCGAACTTTTGGATAAGCGGTGCGGCCGGGATGACGAGGCCGATGACGGCACAGTTGGAATTGCACACAAGGAAACCTTTGTCCAGCTGGTAGTGCCGACGCTGTGTCGGGATCGACTCGATGTGTCCCGCGTTGACCACCGGGACAATCAGCGGCACCTGGGGCGCCAATCGGTAGTTTTTGGCGTTTGAGAAGACGGCAAAGTTCGCCTTCAGGAAGGCCATTTCGACATCGCCGGCCACATCAGCATTGAGGCCCGAGAAGATGATGTCGCAATCTGGGAACTCGCTTGGTGCGCAGCGTCGGATGACCAGGTCCGCGACTTGTGCTGGGATTGGCGCCGACTGCTTCCAGCGCACCACGTCCGAGTATCTCTTATCGGCCGACTTGTCGGAAGCTCCTACAGCCACGAGTTCCAGCAGCGGGTGTTGAGCAAGAAGGAGAACGAATCGTGTCCCCACCGCCCCAGTCGCTCCCAAAACACCTAGGAAACGTCAGTTGTCCATCCGTGTCATAATAACCGGTGGTCATCGCTTCTTACCGCATCGCTTTTTTGAAGACATTGCTGTATCTCTCTCTCTATTATGTCTAGAAGATCGCTTCAGAGAAATTTTACTTCGAGAAATGTGCCATGAGTCAATGACTTTCTGAGCGAAAAAGGCATCTCTAGCGAAGAAAAGCAACCGAAGGAGGACTAGCGTCGATGCGGCTTTATCGCTCCGCTCCACCGTATCACTTCATCGAAGCTTTAGAGGTCACGTGGTAGCCAGGCTCACTGAACGTCACGAGTTTACGCCCATCAGGGATGACAACTATGAACGGGTTGCTCAGGTCGTGACCATGAAGGACATTTGTTCTTCTGGCAATAAAGCAATCGCGCGTATCGGAATTCTACCCAGAATCATAGGCCCGTCAAAAGATATCGCTAGACTTAGAGCCATAACCGTGTAATATAGAAAGCTTATACAGAGCTGCTCTCTACCTAAAGAGGAAGGACGAAAAAGTTCATGTATGTACTTACGTTAAATTTAAGGTGGCGAGCTTGGACTAAGCTTTGAGCATATTGTGAGCATAACTATACAACTCCTCAACTATGGCACTCGCCTCCCTCCTGATCCGAGACTCAGGTAGTCCTAGCCTCAAAGATAGAAATACAACTCGTGTTGAGATTCCGATGTCGAACTGCCTGTTTCCCCAAGAGTATCCAGTACCTCAGGGCCTATGCGTGGTTTCCTCATTTCATCGTCAAAAAAAGCGTCACATCTTTCGTACTCGTAACAGTATGCGGACTCATAGTAAAGAAAAAATGGAGGGCGGCATCAGATCTTCTTCATGAATGACATGTGACGTCTCAGCCGTCCTGCGGTCATGCCCAAGTCGGTCGAAAGACCGGGGGTACATTTCATGCCTGCTGCCATCTCCATCGTGACACTCCATTGACCGCTGCTGCATCGCTGGAATGAACTGCCATCCGCAGAACAACTCCATTGGCCTTCGACCGAGCAAGGGCCGGATTGAGTTCCTGGCTCAGACCCGGATGTTTCAGGCGCTGGTTGTTGAGTGGGGGTGGTGGGAGCGGCCTCTGGGGCTTGCTGGCTGGCTGATCCGGCAGCTGCAGCGCTAGTCACGGGCACGAAGATGCCTGGAGATGCTGGTCTCGAAGTTGCCGTGGCGAACGTCGTCGGTACCGGGTAACTGCCTGCTGGTGGTGCCGATTGAGGAGGCACGGGCTGGCTAGAAGCGATCGGTAAACCTGAAGGCGAACTTGGCTGCGCGCTTGGTTGGGAAGTTTCTTCTGGTGACGATGAGGGTACTTGCGAAGGAGCTGGATTATTGCCCGAGCCGCCTGAACCAGGGAGCAGGGTGTAGGGTCCCGCACCGGCCTTCTGAACGTATGCGCCCGGGTTTGGATACTCGTAGTCAAATCCTTCAGGGGTAACGCAATCGTTGATAGAAGCGAGATTACAAATATACAAGTCGGGGAAACTGTTCTGGCGCTTTGACATCTGTGGAGTCTTTGCCGGTTCTGCTGCTTCCTCCCGCTTCGCCTTCTTCGACGCGGTAACGGTGAACGGTGCGCAGTTCATGTAATACTCTCTGTTTCCAACCTTGTTGAGCCATGACCAAGCCAGCGTGTAGTCACCGGGAGCAATGCCGTCTGGAACAGTAAATTGGAAGGTAGAAGCGCCGTCTCCGTTGGGGTCTGCAGGAAGGTTTCCAGGCACGTTTGCAGGGCATCCACCTTCAATAGACTTGATGACCATCCATTTGGAGTCTTTGGTAGGCTGTAGATCTGTCGTCAGACTGACTTGACAAGAGCCACCGCCGTGAACAGCGGATCCAGTAAAGCTCAAGGTCTGAGGTTCGCCAATGGCTGCGATGTTCTGAGCACCTTCGGCATCATAGACTCCAGCGCGTTGTTTGCAAGGAAAGTCAGAGCCGTCAGCAAGAAGCGGTGAGTTGTTGAGGGAGCTCTTGCCATAAGGGACAGGAGACTTCATGATCATGTGAGCGTTGGTAGCCGAGGCGAGAAGGAGGAGGATGGAGGCCGTAGCCAGGTTCTTGATCGAAGATGACATGGTTGTGGGAGATGTTGATCGAAGATATCGGTCTAGATGTATGCTTTTGCTTGAGAGAGTGTCGGGCAGGGCAATAGCCAGATTGCACTTAACCTATGTGTCAGTTGAACTGGGTTTTTGTGGTATCATGTAAGAAAAGAAGGGTAGATGGCAGGAATGGTCAGAGCGTTAATAAGGATATCTCTAGGCAGACAATGCCGTTTGATGATCACGTCCTGCTTCTGCTCAGACAAAGGCATACCCAGTGACATGGGCGAGGGCAACCGACAGAGCAGTATGGAGGCAGCAAAGTAAGGGCTAGCAAAAATTGCAGCATACCTTGAAAGATCCAACAAAGGGAGCGGCTGTTGACTTGGATTGTGTCTTGCGTGTCAAAGGAATGTATTGTGGATTGTTCGCGCCAGGCAAAACAATGCAGAAGCCAACACAATGAGAGTGGGTGAAGGAGTGAATGGATGGATGAATGAATGAATGGAGCGGCTAGCCTGCCAGTGCTGATGTTCAAGGAGTGACGGTACAAAGTGAGAGAAAAGCTTGAGGCGCTGTCCAAGTGCAGTCAGTTGAAGAACTATATAGACCACACTCGAGAGCGCCCCACAGACCAGGCGTTGGGCGAACAAAGCCAGCCCAACGTCATTCGGGTAATGCTTGTCAAAATGCACTGGGCAAGGGGTAGCTGAAACATGGCATCCTATTGGCAAACACGGGACCTCCTTCACAAGGACAGCTCGAGAGCCTGAGAAAGTCGCGCTTCCAGACTTGCCACTAGCAGAGCTGGCCTAGGCTGTTCATGAGCTTTGTCCATCGTGATTGAAAGACGGGGCGGTGGGATGAAGAAGCATCTCGGGCAGTGAGCTTGTAGAGCGTGGTGATTCGAGCATGGACGCAGGCAAGTACCTGCACGGCTGAAGGGGTCAACGAGGCAGTGAGGCTCTTCAGCAAGCGATTGGCCTGGCGAGGTCGTGCCATCAGCACATACGAGCCGGAATGGCGGATATGGCGTTGAAGATCGCCCATGCTGAAGAGCCCCTGGGACCTCCACAGACCGAGCCAGCGGACAAAGGTCTAGGGGTGGCTCGGTGAGGCAGGGTGACAAGAATGGCGAAGCTGGAAGGGAGAACGGAGAGGGAGGCAGGAAATCCAGGGGCAAAAAAGGACGCGGTAGGCGGCAGCCAATCATTAAACGCGCTGTGCTAGCTCACTAATATGCTTTGGGACTAGCTTCGGTACTGGAGAAACACGGGTTCCGAAGAATTTCCTGCGCTTGTTTGTTCTACTGGCCAAGATGCCTTTCATCATGAAACGTCCGCTTCGGCACCCTGCTGGAAATTGCCTGCACCCATCTGTTGCCACTCCGAGCGTCCTTTTCGAGACGTCGACGAGGCTACACAGCGGTCGGAGCTGAACAAAGACAATGAAGCTCGTCAGGCAACGACAGGGTTTCGATCCATCGCAGTCAGGGTGGCTGGGAAGGTCTGTGCCCTTCGACCCTACGGAGTATGCCCTGAGCTCTTATCGCCTCCTAGCCTGCGATTCTCGTGAGTTGATGCTTGTCGAAGCATTCCTGACAGCAACGAGCGCAGACCTCCGCGTTGTACTTCTCTATGCGAGACGCGTTGAGAATTTCTCAGCTGCGACTGGCCCTTCGCACGGAGTGGCTGTACACCAGGATACCATGTCTTCAATATCAGGACACCCGGGCTCCGCTATAGTGTTTGAGGATCCTACTAATGACTAAATGGCGGACGTCAGATCGTGTCCAGGCTCGCTCAACAGCAAATCTGAAGACTGCATCTCGTGTAAGTTGGGGACGATATTGTGGGGGTCCAGCAAGGGTCACTGCTCTCGTTACATTGTCTCGCAGCTTTTTCGATGCTTCGATTGATCGGGCTATACTCCCATGAATCCACGTCGCATACTGAGTACCGATGGATCTTTGGAGGGGGAAGACATCACTGAGATTACAGTAAGAGGACATCCACTTCCCAACGGCAGAGCCTGGGCAGTAAGTACATCGGTAACCACCCAATTTTATTTACCGACATCCTCCGTACCTCAGAATGTGCAATCGAGTCGAGTTCTCAGCCAAGACAGTGTTGGAGAATATCGTATGTTAATCTTGCAAGAGCATGTTACAAATGAAGGCGCAGTGGGAATTGGTCTTCAAAGTCAACCTCGAGTTCCTTTCCGATTGTTGGGGGCCACACTTGATTCTTGCAACGACACATCGACCGTGTTTCGATGAACAACCTGACAATAGAGGCCTTCTTTGGAGAAGATGCATGGATGCTTCCGATCTTTCAGATTCGAGCCTCTCTCATGAGACTCCTTTGTCCGCACAGAGTGCAGCTTCGATTTATTGTTCTTCGGAGCCTTGGAGCAATAAACACCAGCTACTTCTTCTTTGTTAGCATTATGTTTTTTCGACCAGCGGCCACGGCAACGGCAACCCAGGAACAAAATGCATTATCATGCTACTTTCTCCTCTGGGTAGACTGTCTTGTCGACAATGCGACAATGACTGGCGCAACCAGCGATGCATATTTCAGCGCTGGGAAGGCATCTGAGATAGATTCTTCCACTTTAGCATCGAAATCTAAGTGCAACCAGGGTATATTTATCATTCACCACAGCAGCAGCATCAGCAGCATCGACCATACGCACCATGTCGACATCCACACGACACCGTGGCCACTCACGTTCATCGAGCGCGAGACAGCACACATCGTCCCAGGCCTTCTTGCGAGGACCGTTTGACCTAACGATAGGAAACCCGCGCCATGAGATTGAAGAAGGTGAGATCCCCCAGAGCGGCTTCCGCGTCAATGTCCAGTGGTACATCAACGAGCTCCCTCCCGCAGACGAGATTGCGACGATCGAGAGGATCGCCGTCGTCGAGGCAAAGCGCCAAGGGTGCAAGGTAGTCTGCATCAGAAGCAACATCCACGACACCACTCGCATGCGCGTCCCACACTCTCGTCCGGCTCGCTACGTCCACGTCTCCGACCCCGTAGGATGGCATTACACGGCCGAAATGCGCTTGCCAAACGGCGACTGGCTCCCTGCCCACTTCTACACCGAGACCCAAGTCATCAACGGCACCAAGATCACCCGCGGACTGGACCGACGACTAGGCAAGAACAACCCGATCGTCTGGACCACGGATTACTTCCCTCATGTCAAAGGTGAGTTTCGACGAGAGGTATACTACACCGTGTTTGTCTGAGTACGTGCGCCTCAGTTCGCGTATAATTGTAAGTATCACAAAGTACGGAGTACGGAGTACCAGAACCGAGCATCAACCGCCCAGTTCATCAGTGACCCAGTGTACAATATCCCCAAGAGGTACATAGGTAGGTATAGCAAGTAGTAGGACCACGCGTGAAGCGAATAGATTGATTGTACCAGATCTAAGATCAGATGTCAAGAACCCTCAAAGTACAAGCACGCACGCTTGATGTATCCGTGCGACGCAGTGCTGTCTTTGAGCTCGCCCTCCCCTTCTCACCTCTGTAGCGTCAGATGACTCGGATCCTGCAACCGGCGATGAAACAGATATTGTGAGGTATGTAGGAGGTACTTTGGCACCCATATTATGGTGTAGATATCTACCTACCTACCTACCGCGGGCACTGACGCCACCCCTGATCCCTACCTACCTAAACTTGGGTTCCAGGTAGGCATGTATGTTATACCCTAAGGTATCTACATACCTATGAACCTATGTACACTCCCTGTTCTTCCTTGCGCCACTTCGACCGACATTTAACAAGGCTCTAAGCGCCGACTTCACGAGACCAAGTGAAAATGACGTTTCACAACCACCACCACTTCCTCCTCCACCACGGCCGTCACGCCGGCGCGTATCGCCAGCCTTGAAAACAAAAACGAAAAGTGTTTCCATCACCCGCTCACAAACCAACCAACCGCACATGCAGGCCCAGGTGACGACTACTCGGTTACATTGGCTGGCCGCGTGAATGGCCGGCCTAGAACCAGAATAGAAACAAGATAGAAGAAAGGAAGGGGGCATGGATATATCTTTGGACATGTTTTCCCCGTACCGGCGGACACCCTGCGCTCTCTCTCTCGTCGTGGATGATGTGCATAATCGATGAAAGCCCACACATTCAGTCTGAGAGACTCTGATTCTGACCCTGGCATGGCACGTATTGCATAACCTTAAACTATCCAAGTGTGACGGAGATGGGATCAGTATATCCTACAACCACAGGCACGGCCCTCCTGTCGCCGCGAAGGTCACCTGTACCTCCAGCAGCACCAAATACCCCTTCTGAAAAACGAGGAGAAGCAACAATATCGTCGCCCCCGTCACTCCCACGCCGCTCCTCTTCCCTGCATAAACAGCTCATCACGAAGCTCCGTCCGCTTCCCCTCCAGTACCACTGGGCAGTATGGCATTCCAAACCAGACCCGCAGCATCAATACATCCTCACTCCACTCGTCGACGACGTGTCCGATATTGGCAGGTTCTATCGCATCTTCAACAACATGCCGTGGCTGCAGATCCGACAGAACGACAGCATCCATATATTCCGCGCAGGCGTCAAACCACTCTGGGAAGATGCGGAAAACCAGCAGGGCGGACGTTGGTTGATTCGAGTCCGACCAGACAACAACCGAGCCATCAGGGTTTGGGAGGAAATATGCCTACTGTGCTGCGGAGGAGAGCTGCAGGCTGCAATAGCTCAAGGTAAGCACAAACCGCCCTCTGCCCTCGTTTTGGCGACCGGCTGATATTCCAGCCATAGAACGCGATCACATACTGGGTATGTCGTTCTCGCCCAGACTATACCACGTCCACATATCGATATGGACCAAACAAGGCGACAATTTGCGTAGCATTCTTCTGATGGAAAGAGCAATCGTGGAGGGCTTGTCGCCAGACCTGCGACCGCGTTCCAGCAGTGAAATCAATTTCAGAAAGCATGCCGAAAAATTATGGTTGAATGCGGCGGACCAGGCTTCCTTGCTACAGCCGTCAAGGATACAAAATCGGCCATCGTTGGCAAGAGCAGCGACTTTGAGCTGATTGTTTCGTCTCTCTATATAGCAACCGCATCGGATAGGAGCCGGCGATAACTATCGCCCGGGTACATATCGATCAATCTGAACGGGATCACGGTCTCGTCGAACCGGGCTTCTGTCTCTGTCCCGTCGACTGTCTCTGCGGTCGTCTCGTCGATCATCATCTCTTCGTCGAGGACTTCGGTCCCGTCTGTCGCGATCTCTGTCACGGTCCCTCTCGCGTTCCCTGCTCCGGTCTCGGTCACGATCTCTCTCGCGATACTTATCTCGATCGCGGTCTCGTTCTCTGCTTCTGTCCCTTCGTGTGTCCCTACTTCTCTCCCTGTCCCGGTCTCGGTCTCGGTCGCGATCTCGTTCTCTGCTTCTTTCCCTACGTGTATCCCTGCTCCTGTCTCGATCTCTGTCTCGATCTCTGTCTCGGTCCTTGCCTCGATCTCGTTCGCGGTCGCCACGATCACGGTCGGCTTCGCGACTTTTGTCCCGACGATCACGTCGATCTTGACCACCGTCTCGATCGCGATCACGGTCACGGTCACGGTCACGGTCACGGTCGCGATCGCGATCGCGATCTCTGTCTCTATCCCTGTCACCTTCTCGGTCACCACGATGACTGTCGGTGGTCCTTCTAGGCTCGCGATCTCTGTCAGTGTCTCGGGGCCTCCGCCTCTCCTTGAGACGCTCGCGTTCTTCCTCGGTACGGTGAACGCCTCCACCAGGCACATAGCGATCAATACCCACTGGGGATGCAGATCGCATTCTCCTGGTCTTTGGTCTTTCTTTCTCACGAGTTGGCGAAGGGGAGTCTTGTTGGCTTCGTGCTTCACCTTCTTCTCGGTCCTTGCTCGGCGTCCGCGTTTTTTCCTTCTGTATTGAAACTCGTCTATCACGAGATCTGCTCCTTCGCTCTCTGTCTCGCCTATAGCTGTCGCGAGATCGTTCTCGTCTACTAGAGTACCGATCAGTGCCACCAGGTCTTCGAGACGAATCGTGTACTTCTGACTTGCGGAAATCGTATTCAGGTCTTTGCTTTGACTTTTCGGCCAGTTGTTTACCTTCGCTTAAGAGTAACTCAAGGGCAGTCGCTTCGAGATCCTTTTCGTCAGTGGGGAGATCCTTTGCAATCGTCGATTCGGTGCGCGAAGCTCGCCGTTCGGGGCTTCTTCTGCGCTCGTGGTCTCTGTCACGAACACGGTCCCTATCCCTCTCTCGATCACGGTCTCGGTCCCGGTCCCGATCGCGATCTCGATCTCTGTCACGGTCGCGGTCCCGTTCCCGCTCACGACGCTCACGATCTCTCTCTCGCTCACGCTCTCTTTCTTTCTCGTAACGAGCTTCTCTTTCTTTTCTCTCTTCTTCACGCTTTCTGTGTCTTTCATCCCTGGCCTTGATTCTCTCGGCTTCCCGTTTCTCCTCCTCTTCCCGTCTCTTCTGCCGGGCGATCCTTCGCTCTTCTTCTTCGGCTTCACGCTTCTTCTTTTCTTCCTCCTCGCGTTTCGCTTCCTCTTTCTTCCTCTTTCTTTCTTCTTCCTGCTTGATCTTTGCCTTCAGCTCGGCAGTCTCGCGAAGCAGTTGCTCCATGCGATTTCTGTTTCGCTCTCTTTCAGCGGCACGATTCTCAGTCTCTGCTTTGTACTGTTCGTCTGTCTTACTACCACGCCGCTCCTCCTCTTCTGCGATCTGAAGGCCGACATCTGCTGTTCTGATTTCACGCACAGCATCAAGTACATTGTTCAGGTGCTTCGCAATCTCCGTGTCAATGCGAGACTCCACATCTTGATAAATGCCGCTCCGGTCGACAGCACCCTGTATCAAAGTTGCAGCCTTGCCACGCTCTCGGCTGAGTAGGTTCGGGTCCTTCTCAATCTCGGCTTCCGCAATGGCGTGTATTTGGTCTGCCAAAGCGGTTTTTGCGTCAGAAGTGTTGTATGATGCCCATACTTGTTTTCTGAGGCTATCGTAGCCACCTTGCTTCTTGAACTTCAGCAGAAGTGCATCTATCGTTGATCTTTGTTCTTTGACGAGAGGAAGATCTGAGATCTTGAAGCGTGGACGGAGGGAAAACGGGGTGGAGGGATCGGTTGCAGGCGGATCTTCCATGATTATATCAGCCATGACTAGCAACGAACATGAGGGAGTTTTGCGATGACATGGATTGGGACGTCCTCAGTCCTCGGTCCGTCAAAGTTGTGTGAATGCTTTGCGAGTCCGCAGAAACGCGGCTCCAAAAGTCGCCAGTCGCGTTGAAGGGGACAGAATGGGGAAAGGAGCGTCTTGGCTAATGACTAAGCACAAGGCTGAAGATCTCACTTGAACCTCCTTTTCGGAGCGAGGCTGCAGAGGCTTCCGGCACGTTTGATTCTTCGTCACCATTTCTTCGGTTTTCCTTAGACCATAACCCGTATGAGTGTCTCATCAGGCAGAGGGTACAAATATCCGATAAATATGACCACACTCTTGACTTCTTGACATCATAACGGTAATCGAAACGGATCGATCAGCTGCTTAGCTGACCCAGTGTGACTGTACGGCACGCTACCCATCCCGGGTTTGATTCTCTACGGGGATGGAACTCCCTATTGTTCTTCGGGCTTTCCAACAAGAGGGAAGTTATATTCCCATCCAGAGTGCCGAAGGCATCAAGTCGGTCGAGGACGCCGTCGGTATCGGCGACTACGCGATGAAGAACGAGACCGAGCGCCAGCTGCTTGTTGGGGGCCAGAAAACTGGTCGGATTCGCACAGCTGTTGACTATCGAGGATCCAGACGGCACCATGATCGAGGTTGTGCAGCAGAACCCCCCGCCCGGCGTCGCCTGAGGTCACGTAAGTGTAGTCCTCCTATGAAAAGGGGCCACAGGCCACGGTCTTCATCCGACGACCTGAGCCGGCGGGATTGTGCAAGGAATGGTGACTGAGAACAGAACGCTAGGGGATGTTGGCCCTAGAGATCGCCTTGGTTGCGCATTTTTATTGATGCACTGTGATGCTGTAGTCTTGGAGAAAGATGGTTCCAAGAAGGAAGAGATAAGATCTGATTTTTCGAACTGTGCCGGAATGGTTTGTACATACCAAGGTACCTATATACATACCCCCTTCCTCGATGACAAGGCAGGTGTTGGGGATTGTGTACGAAGCGAATTCGGCCTTGAAGGGTACAATCATACATCTCACAAATCACGGGTTTCCACACTCCCCAGTCATCAACGCTGCAGACCATTGCTCACATTTCCTAGTCCATAACAATCTCCTAAAATACCCTCGGCCGCGTTGTTCCTCCGTCCCACTTCAGAGTCTCAATGATGTTGGCATAGTAACCGTATCAGGTCTTGAAGGCACAAATCGGCTTCGTACCCAACTTTCATTCTGCACCTCGGGCGGAAGGATATGTTTCTGGATCAGCCGTTCGTTGTGTCTCGTCATAGGAGAGTCACCGAGTCTCATGATCGTGGTTCGTCGTCATCGAGGACTGAACATGGACAAGTTCTCCATTTTCAACGTCCACACAAGTCCTTGTCGACGTTTTCCCAGGAGCGATTTTTTCTCGAACAGCTCTGATGTGGTTTCCGAGGTACCCACGCGGAAAGTTAACGGGACTCTCGGGGCCGACAAAGATGAAAAGGTCATAAATACAGGCGCCTATCACACCGCCGGCAATGGTGCTGCACCACGGACCCCAGGCCCACCAATAAGTGTTCACGGTCCAGACGTTGCTGTCGCTAACACCCGCGGCCCATACAAGCAGCCGTGGCCCAAAGTCGCGTGCCGGGTTGAGGCAGGTGCCCGTGTTGTAGGAAAATGCCAGACATAGACCAGTAACCACGAGAGCCATAACGACAGCATGCATGCCGGTGCGACGTGGGATGTTTCGCGGGTCGTTCAGCGCGAGCACGACCATACAGAGGATCCCGGTGCCCACACATTCAGTCAGCAGTGCAGTCACCAGGCTCAAACCCGGCCGTGGGGATGTATAGAATGCTATCCCAGCCTTTGTTCCCTTCGTGCTGTCGTCGTACTGATCAATGGCGTCGTGATAGAGGCCCAGCACGATGGCTGAGGCAGTGAAGGAGCCGAGTAGCTGTGCAACAATATACTGAACTCCAGTCACAACAGGAAAGTTGCGGAACACCGTGAACATGATCGTTACTATGGGGTTGAGGTGCGCGCCTGAAGAACCCCCGACAACGTACACACCTATCATGACTCCGAGCCCCCATCCAAGATACTCGCCCAACCTATCGGTGGTGGATTCGTGCGACGTCAAGTGCACCAAGCTACCAGACAGTCCGATGATCATGAAAAGTGTCGAACCCAGCCATTCGGCCAGCGGCCGATGCACGCGTCGCCGGAAACGGCACCAGGCATTGAGAAGATCGTATTCGTGCGGCAGACCATCCTGCCCCTCGCTAGAATGAGCTTGGTCGAATGATCCGAACGATCTAAACAATCGGGGGCCTTGTTGTGGTAGGGCGGTTGCCTGTGGTTGCTGTACCTTAACCTGTTCTCCTGTCGTATCCACATCGACATTGTACGTATCCTGAGGCGAAGGGAGAAGTGTGATATCGCTCACCGGCGACGGGATAAAGTTAGGGCTCAGTGGGCTCCCGACCTGACCATTGTGCTGGCTCTGAGGGCGACTGTAATTGGTAACGTATGGAACAGCGCCGATCCTCGTTGGCTCTGGACGACTGATTTGTAGGTGTGGCCTAGTAAACTCGTTCATGAGGTCTCCTGAGGTAAAATGTAATGTACAGGGGACGTCAATTGCATGAGTGTCACCAGGCATGTGATACATAGGCTTCTGGCCGCATTGTCGGGCATGCAGGCAGTATTAAAGGGCCCATCCCGTCTGAAATTGTATTTCTTTATTAAGAGCGAAATCTGGAGAAGGTGCCACGCCACCCGGCTATGAGAGGCTGGTCAATTACCATTTCGAGTATGCGCGAGAAGAGTCAAACTTCCTTGGAACATGACATCGCAACCCGCTTCTGACACTACCGCATGTGCCAGGTGTCCGTTCTCCAAGGGGTTTTTCTTCGAAGTCGAGGCAAGAGATTGTCCGATTTGCTCGATGGCGCCGCATGTGTGCGATGGACATATGAAGGAGGTTGGACAGGGGGCGCACCTGCTGTGGCCATTGTCTGACAGACTGAGTGCCGGCCATTGAATCCAAATCACCCCTGTGGTCAGAGTGTCCCTCGGCGGACGTCTCAAATACTCCCTAAGCTTAGACAAGTTAAGTTGCAAGTATCTCAATTTTGGCTGCGATGTTGACGTTTTCCTCAGATCCCAAACTCTACAGACCGTTATTGCTTACCCACTTCTGAGTCTGGACTATAGCTGCCCTGTTCCTTCTTAGTTTTCCCTCTCTTCGAGGCCCGAAATGGCTTACCGACTTTTCCCCACAGTTCAAGCCGATCTCAACAACGCGTGGAAAATAATCTGTGTGTCTTGGAAGAGGGAAATGTTGCCATATCAGCCAAACCTGACGCTCCGTCATGACCAAAGCACTGACCTGTTTGAGAAGGTGGAAAGGGGGAAGATCGCTGATGTGAGTAACACGGGTACTTTGGGTAAAGAAGACCCGTGCGGTTGAGGTTCAGACTACCTTTGAGGCGGATGATCAGCAGTCATTATACCCAAGTGTTCGGGAGATTTGTCCGGATCTTGTTGCACCAGCCAGAGGGAGGAACGGGCTTCAACATTTGTGCTAGAAATGCAGGAGTCCCAGCCTTGCCGGATTGCGTTCTCCACATGAAATTCACGTCATGCGTAAACCGTGATGACTTCAGCGCGAGACGGAGTGTAGGCAGTAAAGTAAAATTGGCCATGATATGCTTAGAAGCTATCCAGGCATCAGTATGAGAGTCCGAGTGTTTAAAGTTGACGGGAAGTACATGGAAGAGGTCCTTGATACTTCGCTGATTTTGGGGGCTTCTGGCCCAGCAACACAATCTTCTGATCTTAACGCGTTTCGGATTAGCTTTTCTGTACTGTTTTCGATGGTACTCTCCTGCATATTAAGCCTCGATCTAAGCAGCAAAGTCTCGTACACACTTTACGAGGACTCGTAATTGGACTCTATCGAGACAGGTTGACAGCAGCTTTGATGGAAGATCATGGGGCATATCAGGCTAAGCTGGTTTCCGGGGGTTCGGATACTGGCTGTCAGGTGTCAAGACACTCAGAAAACACATCGCGTTGAGTGATTTCGCCCCAATGGCTAGCCAAAGGGGATGTTGTCATGATCACCTCTCAAGTTCTCTCAACAAAACCTTCCAATCATCGCTTCGGGCCTCACGTCAAATACAAACAGCCCCGACTAGACGTTGAATCCGGCAGTATAACTCATACACCGCCACAGTAACTCCGCGTCTCTGGGAACGTGCGTGGCCCACGCCATCTGTGCAACTAGAAGATTCAATGAAATTTCGACGATGTTCGGAGTGCCGGACGGATGCAGAGTCCAAATCCAAAGCGACAGAAGTTTGGTAGTTAAGGTGGGGAAGGTTATCCAAAGATTCGCGCTTTGTTGAATACGTGGGTGACAGCCAGCGTCCAGGGTGGAAAGTCTCGAGCTCTGCGTAAAGTTCAGGATCCCGGTGAATACCCCCGTGAAGAATGATATACCAGCCGCGTACATAGTGACCGTGTGCACAAGCTTTCGACCTCGTCCCCCTGGCTCTCATTCTAGTCAGTAAGAGAAATTGGCAGAATGCACACTGCGGCTGCTGCGCTCCGTCATTCACACGCTTTATTACAAATCAAAGGACCCGATGGCCTGAATGCCCTTTGCTGTGGAACCCACAAGGATCTTGAAAGGAGAGAAAAATCTGAAGAGGTTGTAGCAGCGTTTTCGGATCCAATATATTCTCATTCTGGCTCAACCAAGGAGAAGGCGAAACCACCATCAGTGGCGAATTTGTCATGACAGGAAACACCACATGCTTCTCAAGACCGTTCTCACATGCTGACCAATGTTGCGTCAAAGCCATGAGTGGCCTGCCTGTCCGTCGAATCCCATCCCCCTGCTTGACGGCTCCTGCGAGACATAGGGTATGTTATCAATGTTCCAATCCACCATGTCATCCTCTGTGTTCACAGCCTGACTGACAGTGTTACCAAATTCGTTCACCAGATTCGCATGGTGAGCGGCATTAGCTACCGTTAGTCCTGGACTTTGAGACAGAGTATCGGTAGAGGCTTGGTAGGCTCGAGGTATTGTGGCAACACTCGTGCCACCCGCATATGAAGGTGAAGGATTTGCTCCCGGTACGCCCTCATAACCTTGCTGGTTGTCATTGTCATAATGTTGTCTTGGACGTTTGTTCTCAGCTTTGGCTCTGAGAATCTCAAGACGTCGCCAGCGTTGCTCATCACTCGGCGAAGCTTTCTGCCAATCACGGAAGAAAACTTCGATAGCTGGCCAAACCTTTTCAGCGAGCGCCGCCATTGGATCCGCAGCCAGGCGGTGCAGCAAAAAGGCGATCGCATCCCACTCGATATATTGCTGAAACAGCCAAACCCACTTCGAATACCTGTCAGATACTCTCAGAGTATGTGCATATTCAATGATTTCGAGAGCAGTGTGAACGAGATCAGCCCACTGTTCTTCCGAAAGCGCCGAGGTTCCGCTGTGGGCTGGATGGTGTATCGTCAATTTCATCTTGGAGAGAACCATCCTGGTAGACGTTGCGGCGAGGAAACAGATAGACACCTTCATATCGCAGTCCTTCAACCACACATCCTCGATTTGTTTCTGCACCATCTCAATCATTCGACTTTTATCCGCAGGTGATAGATGCGGGTACCCGTTATCTGCGGCAAACTTCGGGGAGAAAACAATTTTCCGCGCTTCGTAGCTAATCTTCAATCGAATTAATGTAAACAGCATCTCGGTTCGTGAGTCACATTCAGTCAACGGGTGGGTCATGTTAACATCCAAGTCCGAGTCGTTGACATTGGAAGGAAACTCAGTGTCAAATCCATGTTCATAAATCATCGGATCCATGTCATTGTCCTCAGCTGTACGGACATCGAGTATGCAGATCTGCCACCAGAGGCGCCTTCTCATCTCGGCCAGAAAAGGTGGCAGTCCAAGCAAAGATGGATCTCGGTGGAGGCCGAGTTTGGTCGCTAGGCGAACTACGAGGCTCGTCATTGTCCAGACATATGTCTTGTTGGTATTCTGGCGGGCACATATTAGGTACAAAGTCAAGGCTTGCAGGGTAGGAATGTCCGGAGATGTCAAAAAATCGGCCTGGGCCAGAGCCTGCTCGATTCCAAATCGATAGCGATCCAGCAGCGTTTGCCGTTCTTCTCGAAGCAATGTTTCACAGGATACCGAGCACTGGATGCTCGTCACGGCCGAGTAATAGATAGCAAACATCAAAGCGGCAAACGCCGGCGGGACTTGGTCGAGATTTTGAGAGGCTCGCAGTATCTGCCGTTGGGTCAGAGGCCGATGGACGATCTTCAGTAGCGGGTCAACGCTCTCCAGGAAGACCTGCCAGAGGACGAAAACGCGACTTTCCGGCGGATGAAGTTGCCGCAAATCAGCGGCGGCCGAGCTGAAGCCAAAAATAAAGGGGTGGTGCTGGTTGAAACGCTTGCTCGTGTTGGGACCGATAGAGTCTGGAATTTCTGCATCGTGCGATTTCGATGCCTCGTCGCCATCGTCTTCCAGGTCGGCCCAAAAGCTACCGGTCACATATCGCGCACCGCCCTCTTTGAGGATAAGCTTGCCTGTGTCAGAGTCTTTCGTGGTGTCGTTTGTCGACGGGGTGTTTCCTGGGCGGCGTATCTCAGCCCTCATTTGGAACGGGTGCAGAGCTATGGGAGAAGTGCCGCTCTCTGCTGAAGACGTTTCTCGAGATTCCAGCTTTCGTAACGTGCCTTCGATTCGCCTCAACCTTGCGAGCATCTCGCTCTCCGGTGGAGGCCTCTTCTCAGGTTCAGAACCCGGGTAGACGCACTGGAGACGCATTTTGCTGCAGTAGCCGCATGGCTGTCCTCGATCGCAGCGAATCTTCCTTCGTCGACAGCACACGCAGGACCGACCAGGCCCTGCCCTGGAGGGAGGAGATGTCTCTGACATACTGACCTAGCCATGCCAAAGGAGTACGTCGTGGCGCATGAGTTCTACAGGCTAGGAGCCAACAAAGCGCGGCTGAGAAATGAGGTTGTATGTGATGATGGTCAGTATTTGGCAGGACGATGATACCAGGTTTGGTGGGTGTCACAACTAATTAACCTTACCTAAGGACCACTAAGCTAAGGCCTTTACCTGGCCCGCGAGCCTTGCACTTAGCCTAGTGAGGCGAAGACACGGGGGCTTCCTGCCTTTTGGAAGTAACCGGCACCGCCTAAACTGCTCGCTCGGTGCCTATATTGAGCCTCGGAAGCCATACAACCTTCAACTGAGAATAGTGTTGTGCAATTGAGCAAACTCCTTACTTGGGAGTTGTTTTACTTTACCTGCATATCCAGTAGTCGCACAGTCCTCAGCGGCCGACCAAATTTACAAGATATCATAACCCTATCCAGCCACTAGACAGTTTGCCGGCTGTGAAGGAGACATTCTTCTGATCAGTCCATTGGTTCAGCCTCGCAGCCTCTACAACTGACTGATCAGGGCAACGCAAGGCTGGCATTCTCGGTCTACTTGCCTTTCTCCAGCTCCCAGTCTTCGACCTTCAGCCAATGTGCAGTCGAGCATTAGAGAGGCGCATCTTCTCCATAACAGAGAGCTTGAACCCTTGGCATCTGCGGATTGAAAGTTCAATTGCTCCCGTAGCACCATCCAGGGCAAGCTTGCCAGTGACGACGCCAATTCCTATTCACCGTCGGAACAAAGATCACCACTTGCGGCCTTTTACAGTCAAGACGACGGGGGCTCGCTCGCATATCCGTCCTTCTCAATTTCGCAGCAGCTCGCTTGCCGTCCGCGTCGCCCGGCAAATCAATTCCTTCGACCGCGCTGCGGAGGGCGCCCTCAAAAGATACAGCGCGCTACAGACTTGTTTTAAATTAGAGAAAAGATGGTTCACAAAATCCTGTTCTGGGCCGGTTTCGGTATGTATACCTTCTGCAACTTCGGGCAATCTTACCACCCAGACAAAACTACAGTCTTTGTCTGTTTGACAATGATAGGGTACCGTTCACTGACCTTTCGTCTCGCGTCCAGGCATCGCTACACGCTTCGTCCAACTGGGCATTGAGATGAGGCCATTCTTCCAGCGCGGCGGACTATGGGTGTATCCTCTATTCGCCGGCATTGGAGGGTCGTTCGGATATTGGCTCAAGGGCGTCGAGGACAGACAAGTCAAGCTTTTACAACAACGGAAAGAAATGATAATAGAGAAGCGGCGACGGAGGGCGGAAAGAGAAGCTGCCGAGGTTTCACAGTCAGAAACTGCTGGTGTGCTTGCTTCCACGAGTTGAGGGGCCGACTTTCCACCTCTCTGAAGAGGAGAGGAGAAGCAGAGAGAGAAAGAGAACGATTACAAGCATACAGAAACCTTGCAGGACACAGCGAGAACCAACACGGAATTGTCTACCCTGGCAATATCTGTTTACCCACAAGCCCTACCAACCAACTTACCTACCTTATTGTACAAAGTCATCGATCACAAAACGAATGTACGAAATGCAATACAAGCTTGGCCCATGTGGCATTTCTTGAGCTCTTGTTCGACTCATTATATGCTTTGTATCGTGTGCAATCGTGCAATTCATGCATTACGACGAAAGCTCTCGTCGGCCCCAATTCATGTACTCATTTTGGGCGATTAGCCTCCTACAGACAGATTCTCATTGCCCTCTGGCACCGCTCAGCAACGCTCCAGGGGCCGGCCACTGGACACACACTTTGATCAAGAGCCACACTCCCTTCTATCTCCTTGAACCCCCGTACTCGCGGACCCCGCGTCCATCCTTCTCTCCCCCTTCGATCCAACTCATCCAACCTACACATGGACCCCATCATAGAGTCCCGTCCGTCCCGCTCGTGCGAGAAAACCCTGAGTTCTCTCAATTTGCCTTTCCACTTTTTTCATGGTGCCGCGTCAGACTTCGGCTCCGGCTCCGGCGCGTCCTCGGGCCAACTCTCCGCGCCCTCGGGAATAGGCATCAACGCCCGCTTGGTCCATATATGCGTAGCACTCGCAAGACAGTCCCCGTCCACGTCGTCCAGACAGCCGCCCTTGACAGCGACATTCGCTCCTCCGTGGCCATGATGCATGAACCTCGTGCCGCAGCGTTTGCAGAAGTAGCATGTCTTGGTGTTCCCCGACGCGGTGTTGCTGTGCGTGAAGACGCCGATCTCGTCGCCGCCCTTGGTCGCCGCGGCGCGGATGTCAAACGCAGGGAAGATGGCCGAGATTCCAAACGCCGACGAGCTCTGGCGTCGACACTCCAGACAGTGGCAGACGAACCATTTGAAGGGGTTTGGGACAGGGGTCGTGAAGCGTACTGCGTCACATTGGCAGCGTCCTTGCATGTTTTTTTCTTGGTACGTATATCGTTGTTGTATCTCTGTACCAAAAGTTTGCCTGACGTGGGATCGGGTACTCTGCAAGGAGATACGGGGTGCGAGGACGAGTACCAGCACCAGTGTATCACTACCAGTTTTTTTCCTTTCGATATTGGACAACGGCCCCCATTTAAAGTGCTCAGACTGTCAATAATCAGCAGCAGCAGGTACTTACGCCCTTCGAAGTTGTCGTTATCAATCGACCAATCTCAATTGGGAGGATTTGAAAAAGGTTATTCGTGATGTCTGCCTGGGTGGGGTTGAAAACGTACTTAGCTGGGGATCCGGGAACGAAGGGCTTGGAACTTTGGAGTAAGAAGAGAACCCAGAACTGATTAAAATGAAAATGTCTACGAGTGTGGAGGAGGAGGTGGTGGTGGTGGCCTGTAAACTGTACTCCGTGGACGGTAGTATTACGAGTACCTTGATGTCTACTGGAAGCCCCACGATCTTTCTTAAACTGCCGAAACCCGACAATGGGGAAAAAGCCATGGAGCAGGAAAAGACGGAGGCATTCCGGGCCTCGAGTGAGCACTGAGCTATCGTATGAGGATCGACAGGGTAACACTTCAGTATTTACCTGAGGTACATGACCGACCAATAGGTACGTCCGGCCATGAGGACCGGCAAAGATATAATACACTCAACTCACTTACTCCCTGGCCCTCCACACCCACAAGGAGAAGACCACAAAAGCAGAACGTCTTTCAGCTCCATGATCATTGTTTTGAGAAAGTTGAGAGTTCTTTTCATACCAACGTACATCTCTATATATGTATACACCGAGGTAAGTAGTACTCATATAAACACACTGGGGTAAGTAATAAGTACTAAAAAGGGTAAACGACTATGTGAAGGCTTTTATGCGCCAGTCCGAATCCCTCTCAGGGTTGACAAGTCGAAAAGAGACAACGATAATGTCCTTCTTGAATTGTTTAGACCTGACTCTTTCGTCGTCGCAGGCGAGGAGAAAACCTTTTGCAAAGTACACATATAGTACACAAGACCCCATCCTCTCACCTCGCGTACCCAATCCACAAACTGGGCTTTTTTTGGTATCGTGGTGCCCTGCCCTGTTCACTCGTGTAAGTAAACGTGCTTTGAGTGTTCTGGTCTGACACAAATTAAACATCTCACCAGAGGACCGCGAATCGTCCTCTACTTGATGATTCTCGTGACCAGTCCCGTGGCAACAGTTCGTCCACCTTCACGCAAGTTGAATCGTTCACCGATTTCCATCACACAAGGATGATTAGTCTTGAGTACCACTTCGACGTTGTCACCTGGCATAATCATCCTGCTGGTATCTTCGGTTCCTTCGGGCCACGCCAGCTCGGCCGCTTCATCGGCGGTGCGAACGTAGAGCTGAGGTCGGTATGCCGAGGAGAAGCCGGTCTTTCGTCCACCTTCCTCTTCGGTCAAGACGTACATGGACACGAGAACCTCCTGGACGGCCTTGACGGTGCCCGGGACAGCCACAACCATACCACGTCGGATGTCTTCACGCTTCACACCACGGAGAAGCAGACCCGAGTTGTCACCTGCTCTTGACTCTTCGCAGGACTTCTTGAAGGTCTCAATGTCGGTAACCTTGGTCTTGATGACCTGATCGCCACCTCCGATGATTTCGACTTCGGAATCTCTTTTCAAAACACCACGCATGACACGGCCGGAAGCAACAGTACCGCGACCAGAGATGGAGAAAACTTCTTCAACCGACATCATGAAAGGCTTCTCGGTGTCTCGGACAGGAGTAGGGATCCAGGTATCGACAGCATTCAGCAGCTCATCAATCTTCTGAACACCGAGTTCGGGCTTGGTGCCTTCCAATGCGCAGAGAGCCGAACCGAAGATGATAGGAGTCTCCTCACCCTCGAAATCGTACTTGGCCAAAAGTTCTCGCATTTCCATCTCGACGAGTTCCAACATTTCGGGGTCTTCCACAGTGTCGCACTTGTTGACGAAGACAACAATCTTCTGGACACCGACTTGACGAGCGAGCAGCAAGTGTTCTCGAGTTTGAGGCCTGACAAGGCATCAATCAGTATTCATCCGGCCAACTCTTGTCTTTGGATCTTGCTTACATCTGTCCATCACCAGCAGCAACGACCATGACAGCGCCATCCATCAAAGCAGCACCAGTAATCATGTTCTTGATATAATCCGCGTGACCGGGACAGTCGACATGTGAGTAATGGCGAGCATCGGTCTGGTACTCGATGTGGGCCGTCGCGATTGTGATACCACGCTTTCGTTCTTCGGGAGCCTTGTCAATGGCACCGTATTCTAAAAAGTTGGCGAGACCCTTGTCTGCCTGTCTCTTCGTGATGGCTGCGGTCAGGGTAGTCTGTATGAAGTGTGAGCGCAAGCGACCTCACGGACTCGGACGGAGGATTTACCTTGCCGTGATCGACGTGGCCAATCGTGCCTGTGAACAATCGTTAAACCCAAATCCATCGCCCGCCCGGTGCGGGCATTGAGACTTACCGATATTGACGTGCGGCTTGTTTCTCTCGAAAACGGCAGCATACGTCCTCGCCCCGAATCTGTCGTGGCCCCAGACTCTGTTCACCGGGTTGACTCCTCGGGCGGGAGTGACAACGTGCCGCGAGGTGCGGAGGAAAGATGTGACTGAGCGAGAGAAAGCCATTGTGACGCCCTAAGAAGACAATGAATGAAGAAGAACGACGAAGCCGAAAAGGATGGGATGAGTGATACTCCTACGACCTGGAAAATTGATTTGGGTCTTTCGCCAGCAGCAGCGCAGGAGCTTGAAAGATTTTTCCAATGCGGTTTAGCTTGGTATTTGGTCCGCGGTGGAACCATCGAGTCCGGCGCGCCTTGGCACTGCTCTTAAGCTTAATGCATACATATAATGCAAATGTTGTCCTTAGATCCTGGGTCTGTAAGATGGGCAGAACATTGTGTGCAAGAGACCGCATCCCCGAGGTCACTCTTCCATATGTTGGTGGCGTGGTGGGAGTGAGAGAGTGAGTTGAAACGACAATTATTCTAATCTGGTCAATAACTTCTGTTGATCCGATGTAGGTCGCTTTAATGTGCTGGCATGTAGCGATCGAATCCTTGCTCAGGACCTGTAGGCATGTGTCTACTTAGGTAAGATATCATTGATTTTACAATGACGGTAAGAGTATCTCCTGTTCTCAGTGCCGGCCCACGACACTTCCCCATCTGGCCAACGTTCTTGATCCCTTGCTAGTCTCAACTTGCTCGCTTTTGACAGACGATGCCATCAAAGGAACGTCTTTATGTGGCGCTCTATGCACGAGGCGGGTCTGCAACCATGCCCGGAGGAGAAGACAAGTGATTGGTAATCTACCAAAGCTTAAAGGGACGCCAATGTTGACACTTATCAATAGATACCATTGGGCTACCTTCATTGGCCCCAAAAAAGAAGGAGCTGGCGCTCAAGGCAAGCGATTTCATGCGACGGAGTCGATGGCCGTTGTCAATGGCCAGGTCCGGCCAGTCTGGCAATTTGAAGAACGGGATATCAGGATGGAGCCAACCAATATGATTCTAGTCCGAGTTGTCGTGGGCAAGATCAAGAAAAGGGCGCAAGTCAAGGCCATCCTGAGAAGCATCCCCGTAAGAGGACAAACTCCAGGGTGGAACTGCGTGCACTGGGCAAAGGACGCATCGGAGTCACTGCTGCAACACCAGGAATCGGGTCGGCGCATACTCGAGAACCATAGGCTCGATTGGGACACGGTTCGCTACTGGGCATTATGGTATGTTCAGTATAAGGAAGCTGAACACCGTTTCGACGGCCAAGCCACACCGGGTACATTCGACATGGGCAAGGTTCCTACGTACAACTTACTCAAAGAATCTGAACAGACCCCTTAGTAGCTTAGTCCTTGCTTGTGCACAAGACATATATACGGTATTTAGAAATCACCGAAATACTTTCCTCTGATCGTTTCCATCTCTGCCTCAAAAAGCAATGGTGTGAGAAATCTGTCAACCTCCTTTTGCCAAAATTGATTTTGAGGGTTGACATTCCAGGCGCAAGTGTATTCCCAGTAAGATGGCATCCATGCAGCTGTTTCCCAGTCGAGGATACCAACAACATCGTCACCACGGGCCAAGATGTTCATACTGCTTAGGTCGCCGTGAGTGAAAACTGGTCGTCCCCATTCCTTTTCATGGAAAGATATGAGACTTCGAAGGTCTTCTGGGGCACCGTCATGTGAGATGTCTTCGGGTTTAATGCCGTTGCGTAGTGCTTGGTGAAATTCGCCAATTGTTCGGAATGTGCCCCATATTGACTTTGTGGGAAGCCGTTGGTCATAGATGGGTCCACCAACAATATTTGAAACATCCATGCTGTTCTTTGGTTGTTGGAGGCTTCGGAGTTCTGCAAGCATCGATCGAAGCTGATCTAGTATCCGGGTTCGTGACTCTGGTGGACGCTGACCCCATCCATTCCATAGGCTCTGGCCTTGTATTCTCTCCATAAGAATGTAGACTCGACCGTTGTGCTCAAAGGCACAGTATACTCGAGGAACTGGGATGGTTGTAACCTCGGATACGAATTGCATCGCTTGCGCCTCGGCGAGAGTGGTGCTGTCTGTTGATTTGATACAGAATTTCGAAAAGAAAATAACATGGCTAGCATTGTTGCACAAGCGTTTGATGTATTGATTTGACAGGATTTTATAAATGAGCAAAGCGAGCCAGGGAGTGAGTCCCCTGCGGGCCAAGCGCTTATCCTGCATCCCCAGGCATTTCTGGGTGACCATAATTTAGTTTGAGGAAAAGGTTTCAGGTGTAGTATATTAGGTGTTTACCTTTATCCCCTTCCGACCAGCCCGGCTGTGTCGCTGCCGGGAAATCTTTGTTCCGTTCCCGTAAGTCGTCGAACACGCTTTACACTCCGCACTTCTTCCATCCAGCGTTCCCATCTCGTATGACGATGCCGGGAACTCACCCGGGCACGAGTAGTACAAACCGAGCGCACCATCTCATTCCGACGCCGTACAAGACCCAGGCTCCGAGATCTTTGTCGCCATGAGGAGATACTCCGTCGTGCCCTTCGGCAGAGCCTTGATGGCGTCCGCGAGCTCGGGCATCTGGCCCGCAGCTTTGTACGCGGCCACGGACTCCCATACGGCAACCATCACAAACACGTTACTCTGTCCCTCCTTGTCCGGATACGCGCGGTACATTTGGGCTGACGGGAACCCTGGCTGGTTCCTCATTTTCCCCGCGATGGATTCCCATAATTTCAAGAACGCCTCGGCGTCCTCGGTGCTGGGGAGGACGACGTTGTTGACCAACGTGTACGGCGTGTTGGCCGGCCACGCTGCCATTTGATCTTTCCACGAGGACACGAGGCCAGGGAAGCTTGTGACGGTGAAGTCTTGTGGTAACATTTTTCTTTTGATTCTGATTTCGTTTCGTTTTTGTTTCTGCGCCTTGTGTGTCCCGTATTGTATTATGTTCGTTGGGTGTTGGATCCCGTGATTGCCGTGAAAAGGCAGCCTAGGTATGTAGGTACCTTGAGGTAGGAAAGGGACGTACAGAACTTTTACGGCACGGACGAGAGCACCATGTACTTGTATACACTTGGGGACCTACCTCCGCTGACACTGGACGCTGAAGGACACGGCAGGCCTTATATACCACCCACCTCAGGTAGTAGGTAGGTGCCTCTAGGTACCTGTTACCACGCGCTATATCACCAATCAATGTCTTCTGAAGGCCTTATAGTACAGCTACGGTCTCACCAGGCTCCAAAAGACATAGAGTTCCTCCGCCGTTCGGTTGATGCAGAATAATGCCACTATCCACACCCTCGAGAGAAGTGAGCAAATGGATAGAGGAGAGTGGAATCCCCCTTATGGATTGGCCGCGGTTCTCATCGGATCTAAACCCTATCAAGCCCCGTGCACGTCTGGGCGATGCTAAAACACCAGCTTTTGGCGCAATGAAAGGAAATGTCAATGACTTGACTGTACGGAGTACACAGTAACGTAGTTGGTCCTGGAAAGGGGGAGTGCTGAATAATCTGCCAAAATAGGAAAATCAGAGTCTGGAGACATGTGCATGCAGGGGCCTGTTGCAACGTACCTAAGTAAGGTAGATGCTCGAGTGAAATCGTAATCTTCTGAGATTTGATGTCTTAGAAGTATTCAAGCGTCATTATCATCATCTCATCATCATTATTCGTCGTATTCTTCATCTACAGGCACATGTATCCGGTGTAATTTCCATCGCGCAGCAGACGTGATCTATCATCTCGTGGATGCACATGGGACAGAATCAACAATCGCTCCCATATGAATGACAGTGCGTGTTGCGTAGTGTGGAACCCTGCGTTGCACCAAATTTCCAGCATGTATGTTCTTCGGTGTATTCTTGTATGTTTCGGCCGTTATCAATCAAAGCGGCGCAGAAAATCTCCATGGTGCCTCTGAAGCAAGAAATTCTTGCTGCATCTCTTTTTGCCTCGCGTCAAACTCTTTTCTTCGAACCGAGTCTCGCCGCGCGGAAAGCTCAAGGGCGGTCTCCTCGCTAGACTTGCTGCAGCCCGTGCGCGAAGCTGACGACCTGGAGAAGAGACCACTTGCAGTGGCGGCCTTAGTAAGTCGTCGACCGCCTTGGTACACCAGTGGCAGGTTGCAAACAACAACGGCGACGAAGGTTTCGCGAACTGCCCAGCTTCCTGCGGCTTGAGCTCCGCCGACGGGGTCCTGGCACAAACGGTGTTAGCGCGCGCTTGTGCAGGTCTGACTTACTGCGTCTAAACTTACAGCAATGATCAAGGCGACACGCAGGATACCAGCGGCCATGACGAATACGGCTCCGGAGAAGATGAAGATCAAAGAAAGCTTCTTAGCCATAGGCACGTCGGCTTTCCACAGCAGCTGGGTATGTACATCAGCAGCCGACTATAGGGCCAACAGCACAGAATGTTGGTACTTACAGGAATTGGTATGGACAGCAGATATGCGTCGGAAAGCACGTTCAGAACCACAGTAACGTACAGATCAATTTTTGAGATGGCGGGTTGACAGTGGTCTGCGATGACATGAGCGATGCAGGCTTTGGTCTGGAACGTAGAGCACTCACTGCCAGGATTTGGGAAGATTTGCCAGTTCTTGTGGAACGGATGGCATCCAAGCAAGATGGACAACTCAGTAACAAGGTACGTCACAATGACAACGCCATAGCCGATGCGTATCCGGATCTTCATGTACTCGAGAGCTTCTCTGCATAGACTGTGAGCATGGCAATCTTGAGTCCAGAGAGCAGAGCGACGGTAGACTCACGTTAGGCGATGATAAAATATGATCATACAAAGCTTAAGAGTCCACAAGAGTAACGTGTAAAGACTCCATCCGATAAGCTGCGTCTTTGATCCATTAATCCGATAACGGTATTCTTGAGAGTTGGGATCCAATGTTCGTCGCTGCTCATCAGTCATCCCATTGTTTGCGAGGCCTAGCCACCAAGCGCCGACGATATACGCAGCACCCGTCTCGAGGCCGTAGATGACCTGAGAATGTCAGCAATGTTACCGAAAGGCGTTTAGGCGACTGGCCATACAGTTGCAAATAGCATAAGATAATCACTACCAGTGACATTAGCAAGGCCAGGCTCTCTATCATGCTGGTACCACTCACTCAAGCCATAATGCCTTAAGGCCAACGACGGACAACCTTGAGGCTGTCCGTATGGCAACGATTAGAACGCCGATAGCGAGCAGCGTAAAAGCTTCGGTATTGAATTCGTTTGCCATGATGAAAAGAGCACACTCAAGGCTCTCGAGAATCAAGTTGGGAGGATGAACAAGAGCAGCAGAATCGGCGGAGGCATGCGTTGATATCAGGTCCAACAACAAACTTCGGCGGTCATCACCCTCGCCAGCATACACGGACAAAATCAACTGGGATTCGCCACTCTGGGAAAAGTCACGGCAAAAGCTTCGGAGAACTCGTCTTGTGCCAGGATAAGAGAATCGTTGCCAACCGGACTTACTGATGAGCAAGAGATATGATCGACCCAAAACAAAGAGCGTACCAATTGCTACATTCTTTCCGGCCTCTACCAGGTCAGTCCTGGAGGGATCATCATCTAGTAGGCTCGCAAAGTCTCCGCCTGCCCACTGAGCAGGGCATCAGACTAGCTTGAAGTAACTCTGAAGAAACTCTGGTCCTTCCTGCAGTGGGGTTGACAGCTGAGAACTGACATGGACATGTGGCTAGGACTTGACAGGCGAACGCTTCAGGCGCAAGCACGCACAGTTCGAGTTGGACTCCAGCTCCCCATATGACGTTTGACACCGCAGCAATTGTAAGTAAGCGAAATTGCTGCAGTTGCGCCATTCCACGGAGCATAATCAACCTCTCGAGATACAACTTCGGATCGTTGAGCTTGGGAGTTTGGATTTGGCGCTCCGGATCGCGCTGCGACACACTAGTAGAAAGCCGGTTGAAAAAAGGATGAGCAAGCGCACCGGGCCGGGAGGGGAACCAGAAAGCTATCCCCTGCTGGGGGTGTGTCGTTGTGAAAAGCAAATGCTCCGATGCTGCGTGTGATGGAGGAAGAAAAAGTCTTGCAGGATTCGATCGCGGGAGCTGCGTGGACCACGGGAACAGCTGCGTCCCCGCTTGACAGCGGACAGCGGACAGCGGACCGTAGACCATGCGGAGGGCTAGTGATCCCTACGAGTACTGGACGGCAAGGATGATCTCTGATACAAGGATTCTTGCTGGGGTAGACAGGCGTACTCGCATCCGCGGTGGCAGCAGTATCGCATATGGTTGGACATGTTGTCAGCTTGACGTCTGCAAGCACTTTTGGTGGTGAAATGACGGGAAGCCCTTGGATTGGTGTGGCACGGGTGGTACCTCGCGCGGCGCAACTCCAGTTTCGATTGATATGCTAAGCCTCTAAGGCTAGCGAGGAGGCTAGTGTTGGCTTCGTCTGTGAAGCCGACAAGCGAGACCGGCCTATCAAGTGGCAACTTGAGGGATTTCAAGAAGGGCGGATACGCATCGGATAGTTTACACCAGCTTGTTACCCGTGCAGTAGAACGGTCATTCAAGACTCCAGACATCTGTCTTCAGCTTGGCAGCTTCTTTTCGGATCGTTCTCGTAGCATCCGCACTCCGTAGAACTTTGATGTAAAAGTGGTCAGCGTAGTGAGCCCGAAAGATGGACCAGCTTAGTAAATGCTCTGGTGGGCCTCAGCCGCGATAGACGTTCTAGTATGGTTGGCCCCCGGACGCCACAGCTTCGCCAGGGACCCCAGAGCGCAACGAGCCTCGTGTTTCTCTAGACACAAGGAACTGCCTCCGACGGGTAAAGAGTCGTTGGGAGCTTTCACATCGGCCATGGCAAACGAAAGCCTGGGGAAGTGGGAATGACAGACAGTCCGCCCTGTGAAGCCTCAGCCATGGCCACTCCATCGGAGCTTCCTTTCAGCTAGCTGTCCCTGGACGAACCTGCCGTGTGAACCTTGCCTTCGAGGTGGTTCCCACTTGTTTTACCGGAAACTTTGAGGTTACTATGGATTGCAAGCATCACCCTGGCTCGTCTCAGCTCATCCTCGCTGACTGGGCCGTTGACGTCCTGGGCTAAGGGCAACGATCCACCGCCATATGTCGCTTTTACCCGACAAAGTGACTGTCTTGCACCTCTTCCAGTTTTTGTTCTGTTCGGAGACAGGCGTGACCACTTGAGACTATTTCTAGCTGCCTCTGGCTTGATATCTCTCAAGGGTAAGCAATTTGCCCAGATTTTCCTTTTCGACCGTACCCCGGACATAGGCTTGCATCATGGACGAGGTATTTGACCTGATCGTTGTGGGCACTGGTACGTGCACCTTTCACTGAACGGGTGTTACCTTGCAAGGTCCCAATACTGACACAGATATGTGATGTTGTCAAGGCTGGTATGGTTTGGCGGCCGCCAAAACTTACACTGAGCTGCATCCTTGCGAGAATGTGGCTGTCCTCGAGACCAATTCTTCCGTGGGAGGCGTTTGGGCAGAAGACCGCCTGTATCCTGGATTGAAATCGAATAACATGTTGGGTACTTATGAGTATCCCGACTTCCCACTGGACGGGGCCACCTATGGTGTGAAACCTGGCCAGCATATTCCAGGTACCGTGCTGCACCAGTATCTCACAGACTATGCAAAGAAGTTCGGGGTGTTTCAGCGCATTCGGTTCAACACGAGGGTCACCTCTGCAGAACCGTCGGAAGGGAGTGGCTGGCTCCTACGAACCGCCTCGGCCGAGGGTAAGGTCTTCCAGACAAAGAAGCTGGTAATCGCTACCGGTTTAACATCTGAGCCTTACGTGCCGAAGCTGCCCGGCATGGAGGAATTCAGAGGTCAGATGTTCCATTTGAGAGACTTTGCAGGCAAGGCCGATACTTTAAAGGACGCACAAAACGTCGTCGTGGTCGGAGGCGCAAAGTCCGCTTGGGATGCGGCATATGCCTACGCACAGGCTGGGGCCCAAGTAGACATGGTAATCCGGAAATCGGGACACGGGCCAGTATGGATGGCTCCGCCTTACGTTACGCCTCTGAAGAAGTGGCTAGAAAAACTTGTGCATACTCGCTTCTTGACCTGGCTAAGTCCCTGCGTCTGGGGTGATGAAGATGGTTATTCCAGCATTCGGCACTTCCTGCACGGAACTCTCATCGGGCGAGGGATCGTGAGTACTTTTTGGAAGATCCTTGGTAGCGATGTGATTTCTCTCAACAAGTATGACTCGCACCCAGAGCTGAAGAAGCTGAAACCGTGGGATCCGGCCTTTTACATTGGCAGCTCCTTGAGCATTCACAACTACCCGAACAGTTTCTTCGACCTTGTCAGGGAGGGTAAGATAAGGGTCAATATTGATGAGATTGCCGGCGTCAGCTCAGAATCTATCAATCTGGCCTCGGGGCAAAAGCTCAAGGCTGACGTCGCAGTTCTGGCCACCGGCTGGAGGAAAGAACCATCTGTGGAATTCGTCAATGGCAGTGAGGCTGAAGTGGGACAACGTCATTCACCTGCAGACTTGGAGGCCTTGACAAAGCAAGCTGACCACGAAATTCTGGAACGATTCCCGAGTCTGAAGACCCAGCCAGAAAGGACGAGTCAGCTCCAGGAGAAGTTGGCTGAGAGGATGGGCCAGCCACTTCGCCTGTACAGATTCACGGTCCCCCCAGCGATGGTGGCCAAGCGTAACCTTGCCTTTGTCGGAATGTCCTCATCAATTACCACTCCGATCGTCGCTACAGTACAGGCACTCTGGATCTCAGCCTTTTTCGACAACAAGCTTGACAGGCTGCCCGAGTCAGAAGATGATATCAAATGGGAGACAGTCCTCCATAGTCGGTTCTGTCGATGGAGATATCCGATCGGTTATGGTCCTAACTTTCCCGACTTCGTCTTCGATGCTGTCCCATACGTCGATATGCTGCTGCGAGATGTCAACCTAGAGTCGCATCGAAAACCCGGTAAGATGGCCGACATGTTCGATCCTTATGGACCTGAGGATTATGTCGGGCTTGTGGATGAATGGAAGAAAGGACATGCATAAGCGGAGTCGTGCCTACTTCAAACGTCGGATGTGAATCAATAAAATATATGAGTAGCGCGCTCCCAGTACCGAGATCCATTGATTATAGCCGAGACAAGAAACATCTTTAGCTTATGAGTCCCGTGAATGGGTCCATGAATAGCGTGCGGTCATGACTTTCGTATCACAGTTAGGTTAAGGAAAAGCAATGTGTTTGATAAAGTGTTGGTAGATTACGGCTGTCAACCTAGGTACAAAGGTGGCTTGAAGTCGGTACGCATGGATCCACCAGCCTCTTTTCGAAGACTTCTTATCACCACGTCCTCGGATTTTCGATCAAATGGAATTGCAACGAGTAACAAATAACGTTTAATCCCAACCATGTTAAGATCGTCAAGTACATGTCGTTGAAGACAGTTGTGTCAGGCGGAGGTGAAACCCCAGTTCCCCCCTGTGTGAAGGGCGCCACGACCATCCATATCTGACTGACATCTCAAACTTTTAGACGACAAACATTCTGCATAAGAAGGCTGAAGCCATATCTCTAAACAACCCAGCAACGAGAGATCTGGCTACTACTAAAGCGGCCGCCGCCATACCATGAACGACATCCTATTATCCCCGGCTCTGGAGGACCAGGTGACGTCCAAATTTGATGAATTGGTAGCAAAGGGTGAGATCATCTACGAGCCTTCTACCGCTGATATAAAGGAGGACGAGGGGTTTAAAGTATGTTGCAGACACTACATGTCCGGATTACCCTCCCGCCGTCAGATTCTAACCTGGTACCCTGGAGCACAGTTTCAATTTCGGCTGGTTCCTCATTTAGTCCGGAAGCCTATCACTGCGCACGATGCTCCAGAGCGAAAAACCGGCAGAGGGAACAATCCTTTCCTCAACCCTGATCCCAATTTTACCCTGTCAGAGGTCGGTTCTTTTCACCTCCTCCTGCTCAACAAGTATTGCGTATATCGACCCAGCTTACTTCTCATAACGCGCCACTTTGCACCACAGTCTGACAGTCTCGATGCTCACGACTTGTCCGCCGCATGGTCATTACTGAACCGCTTCGAGAAGAAGTACATGATGATCTTCAATTGTGGCTATGAGGCAGGCTCTAGTCAAGGCCACAAGCACATGCAACTGTGGCACTATCCCGATGAGCGTGAGATGGGGTTCCCCCTGTTTCCCAGCAAAGCTGTCTCGACGACAGAGATCACCAGTGACATCGAGGATGTCCCACATCAGCATTTTGTTCTACGACTTCCGTCGAAAGTCGACGAAACAGTACTCGTAAAGGCTTATGGAAGGCTGCACAAGGCTGTCGAGGACTGTCATGCCAGGTATGGTGGTGGGCCAGCTTACAATGTCATTCTTGTGAGGGAGTGGATGTGTTTGATACCCCGACGACACTGTGGGCTCGAAAGAGGAGCAGGTGCCAATGCTGCTGCCATCGTTGGCACGGTTTGGGTTATCAGTGAGACGGAAAAGGAGATATGGAATGCGGAGTATTTCAGGTATTTGGGCTATCCTAGAGAAGCACGACCCGTGGGATTAGTGCATCAATCAACAACATAGAGGGACATAGAATATAGACACAATGCTGAAACGTGTAAAACGAAGGACGGAACGCATGATGAGTGCGTCTTACCCGCGACTATTCGGCGATCAGCCACCCTCACCAGCCCCATCATAGACACCGCTACGGAAGAAAGTAATGCCGAAGTTCAGCCGGCCTCTTTCGCATTTTCGAGGCCCGTAACGAGGAACAAGATATCGCAAGCCAAACACCAAGCCCAGACGGCGAGGAAAGAAACATGGGCAAAGGTCAGGTCGCCTCTTATTGTCGTGTCCAGTATGCTGACTGGCTTCATTAGGAACCGATAAACTCTACGTAACTGCACCGCCCGTTCTCGTTGGTCCTGCCACTGACAATCACAGATCACCCACTCTGAATGGGCCTCCTCTGATGCATACTCGGCTTCAGCTGGTGCAGGCGTGCGCGCTGACACCAGCGGCCATGCGGTCTTCAAAAGACTACCTTTCAACTTCTGCGCCTTGAGCCTCCAACCTTTCGCAACCCCAGTGTGTACGGCGAACGGCATCATATTCGACCATGAGAATATAATACGGTGGTTACTGAAACACGACACGAATCCTACAGACGGCAAACCTCTGAAGCAGCAGGACCTCATCAAACTCGAATTTGCAAAGAACGACAGCAACGAGTTTGTTGACCCCGTCACCTACAAGGTATTTACGGACAACACACATATTGTCGCAATCAAGCATGGCGACTCGGCCAATGTCTTTGCATACGATACGGTGGAAAGACTCAACATCAAACCAAAAATGTGGAAGGATCTAGTCTCCGACCAAGACTTCTCCCGCGCAGACATCATCACCCTTCAAGATCCCCAGAATATCGAGTCCCGTAATCTCAGCTCGTTTAAATATCTAAAAGAAGGTGAAGACTCTGGCATTCCGAAGGAGGAAGCCACTATCAACACAGCGTCGCTGGGCAGTGCTGCGGATCTGAAGATTATGAAAGCAAAGGAGGCCGTTGCCAAAGCCCGAGCAGAACGCGCCAGTGCTCAATCAGCCACGGCCAAGGACAGATCTCAGCTCTCCAGCAGTACGAAGAAGTCAACAGCAGCATCGACTTATAAACCGACACCATACAATGCTACAGGACACACCACGGGTCTTGCCGCTGCGTCACTAACGTCCACGGGCATGACTCCCCATACATCGGCTGCACTGGCCTTGATGTCCGACGAGGAATATCTCCTGAAGCGTGGCCGAGTCAAAGAGAAGGGCTATGTCCGATTGTCAACTTCAGCAGGTGATCTGAGTCTCGAATTGTACCCAGAGTATGCGCCTAAGGCAGTTTGGAATTTCATTCGACTCGCTCAAAAGGGATATTACAATGGCATCATTTTTCATCGCAACATCCGAAACTTCATGATTCAATGCGGCGACCCGACCGGTACAGGCCGTGGCGGAACTAGCATTTGGGGCAAAAATTTCGAAGACGAGTTCGAAGGTCCATTGAAGCACAATGCACGCGGTGTGCTGTCCATGGCGAATAAGGGAAAGAACACGAATAGTAGTCAATTCTTCATCACATACAGACCGACAAGCCATCTGGATAGAAAGCACACGATATTTGGTCGCGTTGTGGGGGACGACGGGACGAGCTTGGATGTGTTGAAGCGACTGGAGGAAACCCCGGTCGACGCAAATGATCGACCAAAGGAGGAGATCAAGATCATTGAGGCGGTAGTTTTGATTGATCCGTTTGAGGAATTTTGGAAGAACAAGGCCGAGAAAGAGCAGAGTGAAAAGGAGAAGGAAGAAAGAAAGATGGAAGACCGCACAACCTGGACAGGGAAGAGGATTAGGGACGACGGGACGATTGAGAATGCCTCTGGAGGAGGAGTTGGTAAGTACCTGAAGGCAGCGATGAAGAATGGACCGCATGAAGTGGAAGAAGACGAGATTGTTGAATTTATTGACGAGCCAGAGGAACCGGTCCGAAAGAAGAATAAAGGTGGTAAGGGTGGTTTTGGCAACTTTGATGGATGGTGATCTTGATCGCTTGTTACCCCTTATGAATGCACTGGGAGGCTACAGCAAGATTCACATACGAACAGTCCAGGGACAAACATTCGAGAGGGACTTGACGAAGGGTCGTTTCGGCCAGCAACTCGATACCTGTGAAGCTCATGCAGCAGTTTGCTGCCAGCAGCAAGTCTATCGCTTCGCCATGGCTCGGCGACTGCTAACTCCAATCCTATCCGGATTTGCGTTAAGGAGCCTTGCATCGAGAATCATCGCCGCAATGCCAAGATAGGACTGCAAATGTCCCCAGCCTCGCAATGCTTAATCCCGGCCAGAATGCTGGAACTTTGGGGCGAGCACCTCTTTTGCTCTTCCATCTGGGGCAATCGAACCCTCGAGAACAGCAGGATCAGGTCAAAGTCGGACAGCCTCGATTGCTCAATGACTCCCCTTCTGACTCTCAGGCCTCTTCAAGGACGCGGGCCTACCGGTACTTACAAGGCTCCTCTAGCAAACACAGCTGGGCAGAACCAGTCTCGCCCTTCACGTCTTTATACCTTCTGAGGGTTGAGCATCAGATCGATGGAGTCTCTTGACGACTGAGGACCTGCAACAGAAGTAGGTCGGCGAGAACAGGACAGATATTAAGTTGTGTCAAGTATAGATCTTGGTCCGAAAGAATGCATACTCCTACCCAGAAGGGCGATATGCACTCGAGATGAGTCTGTCTCTCGTATATCAAACAAATAACATAGCTTTCAAACCTCGTTTCATGAGATGAGATGTTCCCACGTGAATGTGTTTGTCCAACGCTTTACGGCAGAACGTCGGAACTTTTAGTGTCTGCTGGCGACAACATTTTCCGCGACGGAACATCCAGCATCTCCGTACGGGATTGCAACCACCACCACCATTACATGTACCTATGTACTTCCACCGCAGAGCTCGCGGCTCTTGTCCAGCACCATTGGCAGCAACAATGTCGACACCTCAACTAAAGGACTGACCCTTTCACTACCGTACTCTTCCCTTCGTACGCTCGGCGCCGGAACGAAGGATACCAATAAGCAATGTCTCGCCTCTTCGCCGCTTTCCGCTCCGCCAGCCGCACGACATCATTGCGCCGCCCACGCACACCCGTAGAGAAACTCCTCAACACCTGCCTAGCAGGCATAGCGTCTTACTCTACTTTTGCGCTGACATCCCATTACCTGGTAGCCATCGGAGTAAGTGTGTTGTCGTTGTTGTCCAGCGCATCATTCTTTTTGCATCGTCTCTTTTCTCTCTCCCCGGTATTTTCGCGGTCTACACACTGCGCATGCCGACATGGGACATGCGACGTGCGAGTTGTATCATAAGCCCCACACACACACACACACACACACACACACACGCACGCACGCAAGGTTCCTAGGGGCTTTGCCGGCGTCGGTTGCGCACTTCTTCCGCGAGACGTGCTAACACGACAACAGAACAGCAACGGCCCATCCATGTTCCCAACGCTACCGACCGACACGAGCTACACCCTCTACTCGCGCCGACACCGGCACGGACGCGACATCAAGGCCGGCGACATCGTCATCTTCGAGAACCCCGTGTTCCTGCGCGGTCTGGCCATCAAGCGCGTGATAGGCATGCCGGGGGACTACGTCGTGCACGACCCCTCTCAGAGCCCGACAGTCGGAGGAGCACCCGTTGACGACGGGACCGCGACGCGGGCCTCCGAGGCGAGTGCGAGTGCGAGTGCGAGTACGGCTGCGGGTTCGACCCCTCCCCCGGCAGAACCTACAATGGTCCAAGTCCCCGAGGGCCATGTGTGGGTGGCCGGCGACAACCTGGCGTATAGTAGGGACTCGAGGTTTTACGGACCCCTGCCCATGGCGCTCATACAGGGAAAGTGCTTGTACAACGGGGATGGCTGGTTCAGTTGGAGGGATATAAGGGACACGGGCCTGCAGCCTGTCCCGGGGGGAGAAGAGTCGGACTGACCACAAGAGACAAGACCAGACAACATGAACAGCAAAAGTAATTGAGATCGTACAGAGTACAGTTAAAGGTACAGTTACAGCTACAGTTACAGTTTCGGGGATACAGGTGATCGCCGACCGCTTGCTTGCTTCAGGTAAAGGCCGAGCAAGGGGTTTGTCGTTTTTCTTGAATGTGACCAAGAAGAGCCAGGTCTCCCGAATCTTGTTCATCGACAAATATACATAACCAATTCTACCTGAAGCTAGGAGGATTACGCCTCTTATAAGGCAAAGGCTCAACCTTTTTCCTCTTGAGCTCGACGTCAGCACCCTCAAGTCCAGCTCTTTGCATGACACCAGCCATGGTTTCATCCCATTGTGTCCGGAACAAGGATGCGCCGATCGGGGTCAACAAGTGTCGACTCATGAAGCCGCGAGCGGAAAAGTCCTCTCGTTGGATCTTGCTCTTGGCAACTTCCAGGTCGATGGGGATGTTGTCCTTTTGTTGCCAGATGACTATAGATAGCCGGTGGTATGGGCTACCTTTCTGGGCATGAGGTGGTAGCCAAGGTAGGAGGACTTGGTTGTCAGCAGAGAGTTTGCCGAGGTCGACCAGAGGTTCAGTCACAGAAATGGGAACGTTGGAAGCCAGGAAGTGGCATCTCGAGTCGAAGCTGTCGTTTTCCAGGTTGGGTACATCCGCGTCAACCACGGCAATGCTGACCAGCTTCTCTCCTCGTTCAAAGGTTTGTAGCGTCAATTGGCATGGGTTCTCGCTGATGTCTGATCGCACGAATTCGCCCGGTGGAACGGCTTTTCGGCCAAAGGCAATCTTGACGTCCAAGATCGGGTCGCATTGTGGAATCACATCTGGTACCACATTCATCTGGGTGATGCGTTGGACCAAGATTTTCCGAGGGTATTCTCGCCATTTTCGCTCAGCCAGATATCTGTAGATGGGTTTATTCATGTCCCCTGATTTTAGACCGTTAGCCAGTTCGTCAAAGGAAACATTTTGGCTTTTCTCACCTTTGCCATCTTCGAATCTCCGTTTGACGTTAGGATCATTGATGTCAGCCAAGATCTTGAGCTCTTCGAGTTCTGCGCGCATGCTCTTGAGCCTCTTTTGTTTGTAAGCTTCGCCGCCCCGGAATGTCGCTGGGTCGGCCGCTTCTAGTCGAGCAATACGAGCTCTTTCCGTCTCAATCTTCTTCAGTTTCTCTGCTCTGTCCTCAATCAAGATCTTGCGAGCTTCCTGGAAACACTGATATGGCAGTTGGTCAAAGGGAATACCGGGCGATTGTGCCAACGCCGCGCGACGTCTCCGTGAGCCGATCGGTGGGTGGCCGGCTTTCATCAGCTTGCGCTCCAGCCGGGGTACGAAGACGGTGGCCGGATCGGGATTCTGGTAGAAGGACGTTCGTTGGACTTCGGCGTCCTGACGTGCAGGACTCGTGGTTGAAAGGGTGCGGACAGCGGTGCCGCATGCTGAGTTTTCCACGGCCAGAGATCGCAGAGACTGCAGGAGAAGGGCACTTGGAGCCCGTGAAGGGGCCATGATGTAAAGAATGAGAATCAGAATAGGTGACTCCGGGAAGTAAGGCACTATCCCGATCTTTTCGGCCTGGGGACACCACGACCTCTCACCTGTTGTGTTGCTTGGACAAAAAGTTTCCAAGCTCGCGCTCGCAGCCATCGAGGCCGATCTTGGCGTCGACCAAGGGAAGCGCTAATGTCGACTCGCCGATGCTCCGATGCGTCCACCAATTTCAAGACACTAGTCCGAAATCGGAACGAGCTTTGTCAGCGGAACCACCGGCCATCACAGTAACCAAAAACACCCCGGAATCCCCCTTCATTCGTCGCTGTGATGCGCCTCGTCCCAAGAGGGAAAAAGGCTGGCGCAGGTCTGTGTCAACGGTGCAATTTGTGCTTGATTGTGCTCGGTCTTCCGGTATCACTGCGCAAGATTGGACGGGCACGTCCCGGCCTCCACGGGATCTTAAAACGTCCCCCAAAGGGCTTGCTTCTCATGATATTGTTCCTTCAGTGTTTTATGCCAGCGCTCACATATTCACGTGTCCAGCAGAATGGAGCGTTCTTCTGAGGCCACGGTGGGGGAGGAAGTCGGAGCCGAAGATGAGCAGCAACGACAACAACGACAACAACAGCATGACGGCCTCGATCCAGATGATACCGCGTCACAACATGCCTCTGGTAGACCTGGCCTTTTCAAGCGACTATGGACAAAAGCCGGGCTTGACCTTCCGACATTGATGATGATGCTAAAGTGAGAATCTTCCAACGACCAGCGGACATTACTGATTGATTCGACAGAGGAGCCATTGCGCCGACCATCGCACTAGCAGCGTAAGTTTGTTTGGTGGTTGTTAATTGTGGGCAGTTCTCACGCGGACCCTAGATACGAGAGTGATGCCTGGGCTCGAGAATATTCAACTCTTGGATATCTTTCCGCGATTATGACCACCCTCACGCTGCCAATTCTCCCTCGAGGAAAGTTCTTGCAGAACCTCTTGACTGCAACCTTTGCCGTCTGCCTAGGGGCTGCTATGACACTGCTGACGATCCGATGCACCGTAGCTGCGCGAGAGTCGAGATCTCGAGCGTCGCAAGAGGGCACCTCGGGCAGCCAAGAGGCACGGAGCTATAGTACGGCAGCAAATGCGACCGCTGTGGCCTGGCTATTCTTCAACTTATGGTTCGCCAATACCCTGAGAGCCGCCCGGCCTCAGCTGATGATAGTGAGTATTCTATACACCATTTTTATGGTTGTCGCTTTGACATATGCACCGAAATTTACAACCATGGCTGTTGGGATGGCGTTTGTAAAGAGACTACTAAAGACCTTTCTGACCGGATTTGCATTGTCTACTGGGGTGTCACTCTTCATATTACCTGTCTCATCTCGAATGGTCTGTCAGAAGCAGATGGCTGGTGTCTTGAACCTGTTGAAGACCTGCATAAGCATCCATAACTCATATCTTCAGCAAATTTCGGCTTATCAGCAGGAAGCGGCCTTGGCCGATGGGAAGAACGGCGCATCGAGGGGACCTGCAGACTCTGCGGCGTCTGCTCAGCAAGCTCAAGCATTGTCCGCCAAACTCAAGACAACTCTTCACGAGACCTCAAATCTATTTGGAATGTTAAAGATTGAGATTGGCTTTGCAAAAAAAGAAATTGGCTTTGGAAAACTACGTCCTGAAGACTTTTCTATGATATGGGTGCGCATACAGCAGATTTTCCTTCCAATTGCCGGCCTGTCCACGTTCGCGGATATCTTGGAAACCGTCAGACGACACAAGGTGGAAGGGGAAGATCTGCTCCAAGACGCCGGTCTCGTGGACGCCATCCATAAACTGGAAGCGGATGAATGGCATGAAGTTGTGGCCATGTCCCGAGAGCCTTTCACCAGGGTCAAGGCGAGCCTGGCTGATGGTATTGCCCATGCGCAGTATGTCCTCGAGCTCGTGCCCCGACCCAAAACTTCCAAAATCAAGGATCTGGAAAAGAATGCCGATGCAGCACCGGCTCCAGGCGACCCCAAGTTTGCCGAGCACCTGAAAGCCGAGATAAAACTATTTGAAGAACATCGCGAGGGCACGATGCGAAGATGGTGCGAGAAGAAAGGCATCGATGTCCCTGCTAAATTCTGGGAGGATCCGTCGGCGCAATACAATTTCGAAGGAGCCGCTTCTCTTGACGAAACCATACGCAATAAACACAACCACCAGCAACTCTATTTGATACTTTACCTTGAATATCTTCTCTACTCAATCTGCCTGTCCATTCTAGATTTGGTCGTTTTCGCAGATTCTAAGGTCCAGGATGGGACCATGAGCAAAATGCGCCTCATCTTTCCGGGATGGCGACGGATCAAGAACTTATTCAAGCACATGTTCACGCAGGAGGACTCCGAACCAGCTTTACCTGACGGAGATGCTACCGGAGTCGTCATCTGGCCCGGTGAATCGGTTTTCGGAAATAGAGACCCAGAACACTTGCCCCCGACGAACTTGTACCAACGCATGACCGACTATCTACGAGCGATCCCTCGCGTCCTAGGCTCTGATGCCTCGTCGTTTGGCTTCCGCGCTGCTGTCGCCAGTGTCTCCATAGCTATTCTTGGATATCTCAGGCCGACACACACGTTCTACAACGAACAGCGGGGAGTCTGGGCTGTCATCATGGTCGCCATCTCCATGGGCCCGACTGCCGGCGCAGGCGTACAGGGATTTCTGTTCCGCATCGGCGGTACAGTAATTGCCATGGTCGTATCGATTGCGATATGGTACATGGGGGACCAGAAACCAGCTGCCATCATACCTCTGCTGTACATTGCGATAGTGTGCGGATTCTATGTCGTCCTCAAAAAGCAAAAGTACCTAATCTCGGGCGTCATTTCGATCGTGACGCTCGTCTTGATCGTGGGCTATGAACTTCAGGATTTGAAGATCGGCACAAAATTACTGACCAGCAACGGTCAAAAATACTACCACATCTACGTCCTTGCGCCCTACCGACTGGCCACCGTCGTGATCGGGTTGACAGTAGCATTCATATGGACCTACCTGCCCTACCCGGTGACTACGCGGTCCACGTTGCGAAAGGACCTCGGCTCCGCACTGTACCTGCTAGGTAACTACTACGCCTGTACACACAGCAACGTGGAAATGAAACTCCGGCTCGGCGCACACGCCGACGACGCCGACAAGAACAGCCCGATGCGCAAGCTCGACAAGGCACGCATCCAGTGCTTCACCAAGATGCTGACGATGCTCAACAAGCTAAGACAGCATTCGGACTTCATCGTCTACGAGCCGACGTTTGGCGGGAAGTTTCCCAAGCAGACCTACGACGGACTCATTGTCCATCTGCAGAGCCTGTTCAACTACATGGCCCTCATCAACTACTCGTCTCAAGCGTTTGTCACGCGGCCCGACCGATCGGGCGATCTCGACGACTACGACGACAAGGTTCCCGACCGGGGACATCCGATGGGCCACTTACCCACCCGGTACGTCGAGAGCGAGTGGCTGTCGGATTTCCGGCGACTGACCGCCGAAGCGGCCGTCACGAACCACGAACTCACGAGCATCATCTGCCTCGTCGCCGCCAGCATATCAAACTCGCAGCCTCTGCCGCCGTACGTGCGCGTACCCCCGCCGATTCACCTCGCGGACCAGCTGTCCAGGATCGACCCCGGGATCCTGAGCGTCCAGCATATCAATGAGCCCTGCTACGCCGCGTTTGCCGTCCTGGAGATCGCGAGCGTGCTGATCATGCAGGAAACGACGGCCGTGCTGGCCAAGGTGAAGGAGCTTGTCGGCGAGGTGGATTTCAGTCTGCACATGTCCTCGTCCACGGACACGAGTAGCAGTTCTCTTCCGAATGGAAAGGGCAAGGCGGATTGAGGTCACCAGGGAGGCTTGACTGGTTCACGAGGGAGGCTGGTTACCTGGTTGGTTGCTGCGTCGGCGTTATCTTTTGGGGGGTTCTCGGTGCGTATGAATGAACACGGGAAAATGGGGTTTACTCTCCCACTCGCGAGAGATCTATCTGTAGGGATACTTGTACTACTGGGGCACGCTGTCAAAAGGATGAAGTATGTGACAGGTCTTACTTCCTTCTGGTACCAACTTCGTTATTGGTTTAGCTTGATACCTAATATGAAACCTTGCACTGCGAACCTACAGGTAGATACCTGGGCAATCACAGACATGTCGTTCTTGTTGCACGGCACAAAGGGGCGGGGAGGGAAGTGTAAAGATACAGAGATTCTGTCCACTTCGACTGCTGCTGTCTTCAGACCAGAAGTTCGCGTGTATATAGCGTCCTATGCTATATAAAAAAAAAGACATGTTCAGGGTATCTTCGGAAAGAAAAACCAAAAATAACAACCAGAAGGGGGAAAAAAATATAGAATCCAACATGTATCGCATCTTACCGCACATGGTATGGATGCCTCAACCCCAGAACCACATACGCCTGCGCTTCAACCTTCATATCGCGGTGCAGGAAAAATGACAAAAGTCCCCTTTTATATCCCCTTTTTTCCGCGCTTCCTCCCAGAGTCCTGAAAATTCACCAGATGCATTCGTAAGTGTGAAATCAGGATGTTTGTAATGGACAAACTAGCACCTCATGCGCACCGACATGAGTAACCCCGTAACCCCCACCCCCCCGGCCAGGCGGAGGCATTCGCTCAGGCATGCCCTAGCATTTGCAAGTACTGGGAAGCCAACGAATAGGTAGCATCAGGCGAACATGCTGTCGAAATCGAGGTCCATGTTTTCCATACTCTCCATGTTGTCCATACTGTCCATATTGTCCATGTTCATCATACCAGTGCTGTCGAAATTGACAGCGTCATCAAAATTCATGTCGCTTGAGTTGAGGAGCTCGTCGAACTCGTTAGGCCCAAGGGCCGGAAGGCTGAAATCATTCGGATTCAGCGGTGCCGGCTGAGAAGCGTCGGCCGGTGCGTTGCCTGAGGAGGAGACGTTGTTGTCCGTTGGCGGCATGTTGAAGGTATCATCACCCGCCTGATTGGCATATGACTCCAAGCCTGGGAGCAGGGAGTTCAAGGAAGTGTCTTGGCTCACGGAGGCGTCAAACCCGTCCCCGAGATTGTTCATGTCAAAGTTCATGTCGTTGCCAGAGCCAGTCATCATGTCCGTCGACGGCTCACCGAACATGGATGTAAAGTTGAAATCTTCATTGCCGCCCGCAGACATGTCTTGTGGAGTGGCTTTAGCGAAGTCGTCGAAATTGAGAGGTGTCGGCTTCGGCTCAGACACTGGCGGAGGCGGGTTCTCGAATGGTTTCTCTGGCATCTTGGCCGGCGCCTTGACCGCTGGTATTGAGGGAGACTGGGACTTCTTGTTGTCGGGTTTCGTTGGAGCGACTTGTTTCTCGGCCGGCTTGGCTGGAGCAGTCTTTTTGGCGATCTTGGGGGAGGTCTGTGGTTTTGCAGGGGCTTTCGAGGGTTTTGGCGGAGAGTCTTTTGGCTTGGGAGGAGGTGGTGGTTGCGGTTGTGTCTGCACAGAGGTGTCTGGTTCGGCTGTTTTGACGCGCTTGGACGCAGTTTCTTGCTCAGCCTCCTGTGTCTTTTCCTGCGCACCCTCGACCTCGTCACGTTTTCTCTTCGCAGTGGCTGCGCTGTCTTCTTTTGCTTTTGCTTCTCGACGCGCTCGGTTTTGCGCCAGCTTGTTTTCCAAGTACCACTTGGCGTCGAGGATTTGTACCTCGCAGTCGTCGAGCGCATCTTGGAATTTCTTCGCGGTCTCGACCAGGACTGCGCGTGTGGACTGCGCATAGTTCACAGGGTCTTTCATCGCATACGCGATGCGTGTGACTGACCCGTTGAACATGCCTTCGACGATGCGCAACGGGTCGTACGCAGGTTTGGTCACAGCCATGGTGACGATGGCATGGGCGAAAAAGTTCAGGGAAGCGGCCGGGAAAGGAGTTGGAGGGATGACTGTGCGGCGCGGAAACAAGTTGCGGATCACAGAAGGGGGGACAACATGCTTTCAGCTGCAGTTTGATTAAGCTCTTTGGCTTTGGCCACGATGGACAACCAGGAAAAAGTGTCCAGTGTCAAGCTCGTGATGATGGACGGGGATGGTGGGTCGAATCATCAGGCCCGAGGTGGGAGACGAAACACGGAGAATGAATGTAGGTAGGCTCACGAGGCCACTAGCTAACGGTAATGTTCAGGCAGAGACTTTTAGGTGCCACATAGGGGTCCGGGTAGGCTTACCAGGCGCGAGATGCATCAGACAGGGGGCGAGGCTGGTGAGGCTTGTCCACCCAGGACTCGTGGTGGGCGGCAGCTACGGTGGAGGTTCCCTCTGGGAGCACCAAGCTCTCTACGGTAGTCAGGCTCACTAGGCTCGCCAGGTTCGCCAGGCTTGGGGGGCCACCTGGTCCCAAGCCAAAGCCTAAAACAAGCACGCGAGTCCCGAACAAGCTTAACGGCGACAGCTGCGGCGCCTGCACCCGCTCTGACAAGTCACATCACACCTTATCTGCTCCGACTTCCACCATCTTTCCATCTAGTTGTCTGCTTTTCTCGCTCCTCTTCTTCAAAACACCTTTCGCATCCTATCTTTCCCCCAAGCTCGCTTGTTGTATTCTTCCTTTCTTCCTCTCATCTTTGTCCAGCCGCTTGGAATTCGTGCATTGCAAGTTTGGGCGTTGGGACAAGATTCTGAGCGATTTCTTATCTCTCTTCACCTTTCCTACAGTCATCATCTCCTCGACCTTGAAATCTGCTCTGATTTGCTTTGCTGCGCACTTTTCTCGAGTTTCAGCCGCCGTCGCCGTGCTGCCTGCCTGCCTGCCTACCGCGTGCTGCCATTGTCTCATCTCGGCGCGACCGCTTTCACGACCTGCCATCAGCGTACCACGACACATCCAATACGCACGTACATCTGCTCCTCTTTTCCCCAGGCTTCTGCTGCGTTGTCCAAGCATCTCCTACCTGTCCACCGTTTTTGGCGCTCATCTCTGGGCTGGCTCTTCATCTGATAGCGACTTGTCTTCGACGTTCTTCAGCGACAAATTTCTTTCGTTGCGACTCCACCTCCCCGCAATACGAGTGCCTCGACAAGTGAACTGTACTCGACCTTCACTGCTCGCATATAATCTTCTCATTCAACAACTTTTCCCGCGAGTCTTGTCTATTGTATTTTCGGCTGTCTGAAGAATCATAATCTCCCAATATGTCGGAAAACACCTCTTCGGTCTTGCCAACCCCTCCATCAACCGCCGGTGCTCCTGGTTACGACGGTCCTCCTGGCAGCAATGGTCATGCCGGCGCTCAAATGGGACCGCCTGCACTTCCCCCGGTCGTCATTCCTCAGAACAACAACCCTATCCCAACCCCTGCAACCCCCGGTGGTGCCTTGTCGCCTTCGTCTGGGGGAATGGTTCGAAGAGCTGCGCCTGAACCGAACAAGAGAGCTCTCTATGTGGGTGGATTGGATCCGCGTGTGACGGAAGATGTCTTGAAGCAGATCTTTGAAACAACAGGACATGTTGTCAGCGTCAAGATCATTCCAGACAAAAATGTGAGTATACTGCTTTCCAGCTCCGTACTACTGACTGACTCTAGAACAGCAGTTCAACACGAAAGGCCTCAACTACGGCTTTATTGAATACGACGACCCAGGCGCTGCTGAACGAGCCATGAGTACATTGAATGGTCGCCGAGTCCACCAAGGCGAAATCCGCGTCAACTGGGCGTACCAGTCTAACACGTCCAACAAGGAGGATACCTCGAACCATTTCCATATTTTCGTGGGTGACCTGAGTAACGAAGTCAATGATGAAGTTCTTTTGCAAGCTTTCTCTGCGTTTGGTTCTGTTTCCGAAGCACGGGTCATGTGGGACATGAAGACCGGACGTACTCGGGGCTATGGCTTCGTTGCTTTTCGGGAGAGGCAAGATGCTGAGAAGGCCCTTGCGTCGATGGATGGTGAATGGCTGGGTAGTAGAGCTATTCGGTGCAACTGGGCAAACCAGAAAGGGCAACCATCCATCTCTCAGCAACAGGCCATGGCAGCCATGGGTATGACTCCAACCACCCCTTTCGGGCATCACCATTTTCCCACTCAAGGTGTTCAGTCATACGAGATGGTAGTTAGCCAAACTCCCAGCTGGCAGACGACCTGCTATGTCGGCAACCTTACACCGTATACCACGCAAGCAGACCTCATTCCATTGTTTCAGAACTTTGGTTACGTGGTTGAGACCAGATTTCAGTCCGACCGAGGCTTCGCTTTTATCAAGATGGATACGCATGAGAATGCCGCCATGGCCATTTGCCAGCTCTCGGGTTACAATGTCAATGGACGACCTTTGAAATGCTCTGTAAGTACAAGCACCATGACCTTTCCTCGGCCAATCTAACGTGTACAGTGGGGTAAAGATCGTCCTCCGACTGGTCAATTCGACACCTATTCACCACAAACATCCATTGGTTCTGCAACAACCCCTGGTGGCTATAATCCGGCCTCGCCATATTTCCCACAGTATGGTGGACCAGGTCCCATGACCCCTCAAGGTACTGATGCGATTCTAATGCTTCCAAGGGAGAACAGCGCTGACATATCCGTAGGCCCCAGCCCAGGAGGACGGGCCCAGTGGGATTCGAACAACCATCCTAGCCCTTACACCCAATCTCCTCAATCAGCCTTCGGACAAGCACAAGCTCCACCTTCAGCTGGAGGATACGGTCGTGGCCAAGGTGCACCTGCAGGCATGTTTCAGCAACCTCCTCCGTCCTTTGGTAACAACTTTCAAGGATATCAGGCATAATTTGCAAGAGCGTAGGAACTTCGTTATGGTTCTTTACCAGATTGATCTTTGCTATGAGCGTTCTGTTCAAATTACGACATCTCTCATCAACTTTCACGAGGCATTAGATGAGTTTGAATCAAGCGAGCAGGAGTGTTGGTGGTGTTGTCGTGAGTGTGCCACGGTGCTTAGCAGGATACCCAAATCAAAAGCGACATACTTGTTTCCCAATGCACCAGCTAGACTGCCTCGCCCATGTACGAATAGAGGATTGACTTAGCTACCGTAGCTTATCGCTTCAACTTCCCTTTATTATGGTTTCCTGGGGTTGCCCGAAAGTGCAGGGGGTTTACCACGGGTACGGGGTGCCAGTTTAGGTTGCAGCCTTGTACAGCCTTGTGCAGCCTTGCATAGGCCAAGACACTGGTCGTTTTCACTGAAGCGCCACCTCGCGACGCGCTCTAAGAAACCACTTACGCGTTGATGCCCCAATTTGCGGTACTGGTTTGCTCCCCATGTACCTGCTCCGTCTGCTTGGTCCCATCTTCTCGACGCTGTTCGTTCTTCCCTCAGAGGCTTGTTCCTTTCATGCACCTTTCTCCAGCCACCTCTCTCCTACGCTTTCCGAATGGTGCGCTAAGATCGCCAAAGAGATTCATTCGTGCCATCATGTTCAGTCGGGCTGTTAACCAGTATGATTCCAGTACAGAGTCAGACAAGAGAAAGTCGCCTCTCCGGGTGAACAATACTGTCGCGAATACTACACGAGACCCTGGCACAGCCCAGTTGAAACGGAAATTTGACCGAAGCCTGAGCACTGCGAGCAGACTGGATTCGTTATCTCAGCAAACCTCTTTTGCTGACGAGAATACTCCTCCGGAGACCGCCTTGGTAGACCTGACGAGTCCCCGGAAGCCCTCTAATATCTCCTATCCTTCACTGGACAACGTGGAATGCGAGTCATATCCTATCCTCCCTACTTTACCGACCGACTCGGCCGGTCAACCAACCAGTAGCGCCCCTGTGCCATGGTCTTCATCTCCCCCATCGCACTACAGCAAACCAGATGCGGTCATCACAGCCAAAGAACCTCCTTCTCCGGCCAGGCCGACGAAAAGACGTGTCCTGCCGGCCTCCTTTACTTCCGCCGATTCGAAAAGCGATGCATCTTTCCGGGCAGACACGAAGGCCAGTAGTCATGGAGGCGATTCGAGGGACCGATTAAGCATGGCCGAAAGACAAGAGCTTGACTTCCATTCGAACAGATTAGGTGCCACGCACCACGAGAAGGTTCGAAATGCATCACACAATATGACCTCAGCCATGTCGGCAATGCTCCAGCAAGCACCGGCGGCTCGCCAACGATCTAGCACGCCTGTCTCAAGACCAACGACGTCCTCTGATAAGACACTTCAGACTTTTATCAAACCTACAGATGGTCAAAAGCTTCCTCTTGAACGCCTTCCAGAGCCGTTCCTTTCCGATGAACAAAAGGCTGTGATGAAAGCCGTGATGGAGGAAGGGAAAAGTGTGTTTTTCACTGGCTCTGCCGGTACGGGAAAGTCTGTTCTTATGAGGGCAATCATTTCCCAATTGAAGCACAAATACCGCAAAGAGCCCGACCGGTACGCCATTACCGCTTCTACAGGTCTTGCTTCGTGTATTCTAGAGGGGCAAACACTCCACAGTTGGTCAGGTATTGGACTAGGAAAAGAGCCCGCACCTGAACTGGTCAAGAAGATCAAACGGAACCAGAAGTCACGTCAAAAGTGGCTGAGAACAAAGATCCTCATCATCGATGAAATTTCCATGGTCGATGGTCAACTGTTCGACAAGTTAGAGCAAGTAGCCCGGACGATTCGCAACAATGGTCGACCTTTCGGCGGTATACAGTTGGTTGTAACTGGAGATTTCTTCCAACTCCCCCCTGTTCCAGACAAGAATTCCACAGCCAAGTTTGTGTTTGACGCCGTGACGTGGAACACCTGCATCCAGCATACGATCCTTCTCACCCATGTGTTCCGACAGAAAGATGAGAACTTTGCAAGGATGCTGAATGAGATGCGACTTGGGAAGATGAGTGCTGCCACGATTCGCGAGTTCAAATCATTGTCGAGGCCACTTAACTTTCGGGACGAACTCGAGGCGACTGAATTGTAAGTAGAGATTTCTGCCTTGTTTGACTTTGACTTACAGATTTAGGTACCCTCGTCGTGAAGAGGTCGAAAATGCTAATCAGAATCGAATGCGAAAGCTTTCTGGTCAAATCATGACTTTTAATGCTGTTGATTCGGGCGTACAAGATCTCAATGTGCGGAAGAATCTCCTCGCAAACTTTATTGCTCCAGAAGTTCTTGAGCTGAAGAAGGGTGCTCAAGTTATGCTCATCAAGAACATTGACTCTCAGTTGGTCAACGGCTCTCTAGGCATCGTTCAATCTTTTATGGATGAAGGCACCTTTTTCGCCTACAAAGAAGACGAGCCGACGTTTCTCCTGGCACAGGAACCCGACGACGGAGAGAATGCTGGGGACAGAGCGGCTGCGCGTGAGAAGATTCAGGCTGCTCGCATGAAAACCCAAGGTAGCGCTGTGGGCTCTGGACGACTCTGGCCAATGGTTCGGTTCAACCTACCAGATGGCACATCGCGCAGCATGCTCTGCGCCCCAGATGAATGGAAGACGGAATCACAACAAGGGGAAATCCTCGCCAAGCGAGTGCAAGTTCCTCTGATTCTCGCATGGGCTTTGTCAATTCATAAGGCTCAAGGACAGACTCTGAGTCGGGTCAAGGTCGATCTAGGAAAAGTGTTTGAGAAAGGCCAGGCTTATGTCGCTCTCAGTCGCGCAAGAAGTAAAGAAGGCTTACAAGTGCTTCGATTTGACGAACGGAAGGTCATGGTGCACGCAAAAGTGCTGCAGTTCTATTCCAAACTGTCTGGCCATTTGACATTGAAGGCGACTGTTGAGGAACCTGCCACCATTGTGAAGAAAGATGCCGTCAAAACTACTGCGAAGGAGCTCGTGGAAGAGGACGAGTTTGGCGATGATTTCTCGTACGAAGAGATGCTGGAATTAGAATCTCAGATGATGAGCGCCAGCAATAGGGGCCGGTGAAGCACCGTAGCGAGATGCGGTACCTCGATCTCTGTGCAGCGAGTAACATGATATAGCTAGCATTCCGTATTTGAGGCATATGCCAGAGATAGGCAATTCACACAACGCGATACTGCCCAGGTCTGTACTGTTGATCTTTATGGATCTCTATTACGTTTAAAAGAACTACCTAGTGTCGCAGCTCGAGGCTGCGGATGACGAATGAGGGAGACGAAAGTTTCCGGGTTTCTACAACATCGACCCTCGCGCACTCTCAACCCGAACCCGGCACGATACCTCTTAATTGCTCACGGTACCTTTAAGTGGCCTTGTCCCCTAGCAATGACTCGATAGCGGCTGTATTTCATTTCACTATGGCTTCCGAGTTCATCGGCTACACCATTTTGGTCACGCTCCAAAGTTGGTGCAGTCCTCCTAATGCGCAGATACAAGGAGTTGTCGCGGACGTGAGAAACCAGAAATTGTTTCTCCAAAATGGTGCGCAAGGTCTTTGCTGGTCAAGAGGCGTGCTAATTTTGCCCTAGTCCTCTGTCTCTGGAATGGACAACATCTCCCTACACACGTAATCGATTCGTCCACGATCGCAGATCTCGAGGTCGCACCCACACAGCAATCCATTGCGGAAGAGAAGGGCCAGCATGCACCTGTCCCCCAATCTCAGCCTACTCAGAATGCCTCATCCTCCAACGCATCCCAGAGTCAGCAACATGCTGCAGCCTTTACGGATCCAGCCATCATCAGTTACGCGAAAGCACCGACGAAAGAAGCCAGACGTCCTTCAATCCAGCAAGGCCCTGTGTCCCCTATCATGATCGCCGATGGCGTTATCAGCAATCATCCCGCTCGGCTGCAGACTGGGGTGGCCCAGCGCGGTAGCTCAGTGTCTAGCATTGCTACCGCTGTGCCCAAAAAGGGCGCAGACAAGAACACGCCAGCAAGCGCAACACTTACGGAGCCCTTTGATGCTTTGAGGTTGGGCAACAATGTAGGCGCGAGCAAGGCGGCGAACACTGTGAACACCGTCCCACAGACAACATCGCAGACTGGCCCTGGAATTATCGACATGAAGGACGTCAACAATGGACCTTTGAAGAAGCAGAAGAAAGCCGCAAAGGGCAAAGGCTGGCGCCAGACGCCGTTGATTGAGGAGATCCCACGGCAGAACAAAAAGAAGGCGCAAAGGGGCCGTAGGCAGGCGGAAGACGTCAATGGCTGGGCTACAGAAGATGCGACCGACATTCAAGACATGCCGGATTTTGACTTTGAAGAGAACCTGTCCAAATTCGACAAGCGTCGAGTGTTTGACGACATCAGACAAGCCGACACCACGGCCGAAGCAGATCGATTGGTGAGCTTCAACCGCAAAGCACGCCCTGGTACAAACGGAGGCCGAAACCTCCATTGGACCGAAAATGTTCTCGAGACACCCAATGTCAAGGCCAGTGACCGGTGGCAGAGCGAAGCTGGGGAGACGGAAAACGAATTTGTGGAAGACCACTACAGTAGCGGGAAAGGGTCCAAGAGAGCCGGGTCGCGACGTCCTCTGCAGTCGAGAAAAGGCAGCGTCTTGCCGGCACACATGGACCGCACCGAGTCACCACGGCCACTGGCTCGAATCCAGACATCTTCTCCCATGAATGGATCTGTATCTGGGATTCGAGCGTCGTTCAAGCTGCCCAACAACAAGCCATGCCACTGCCTTTCGCCGCTGCAGATGCTGGAAATCGAGCAACTGTGCACGTCGGAGTTGGGACTAACGGAAGACATGGTTTCGGAAAATGCTGGCCGGAGCATTGCCATGGCGATCTTGAAGCTTCCCGAGGCGAAAAATGTCGCGTTCCTTGTGGGCAATCACAAGTCCGGTGCTAGAGCCATCGCTGCTGCCAGGCATTTACGTAATCGGAGACTTCGAGTGACCATTGTTATTCTTGGGGGCGAGCGTGAAGAGCTCCTACTCGAAGTGATGCGCAAGCAACTTGGCATCTACAAGAAAGGCCAGGGCTACGTGGAACGTTGGGACGAGTATCAAGCCAAAGTGTCGCAAGGCGGGATGGTTCCTGACATTGTCGTTGACGTGTTGCTCGGTGTGCACGCTACATTTGAGGAGCTCCGTACGGACGATCAGGCGACGGTGCTGGAAATGATCCGGTGGGCCAACCGGACTTCAAAGATCCTCTCAGTCGACGTGCCCAGTGGACTATCTGCGACGACTGGCTTGTTGACAGAAGTTGACGGGCAGCCGTTGGTCATGGCAAGTAAGCACATTGTCAGTCTGGGAGCGCCCAAGACTGGATTACTCCATGCCATGGCGATGGAAGCCATTGAAGTCACCTGGCAGGTGTGGGTGGCAGATATTGGGATATCTGCTGCAGCATGGCAAAAGCATGGATCCAGACGGAAACATGGAGTCGACTTTGGCACGGAATGGGTGATTCCAGTCAAGTTTGCTCTTGGAGGGTAGAGGGCGGCTGTGATCTTGTTCATTGTTATTCTTTGCTGCGTTCAAGCGATACAAAAGAAAAAGGAATCATGTACAAGTGTGGAAAGGGGGGGGGAATGGCATATAGGATGTGGGCATCCTCGAAGACCTAGTGAGGGTCATGGTTTCGATTGCCCTCCTAAACAAACAAGGTCAGCTATCAAAACCTTGCATTAGTGGTTGAACCCTGTTGACTGTACAGTACAAATCAAAAATTATCAAGACTCGAGTCCTGGATCGGTGTCCGTGGTTGTACTTTTTATCCGACAATCTTCATTTCTTGTGGGAAATTGACACTCGACCGATACAGCGTAGCCATCGCCCATGAACTCCGTGTTACCTACCTACATGGGGATGTTTTTGACGCCACTGGCATCAGTTGGCCTTTGGGGGTACCAGGGCCTGGCCTCGTGCTGAGATCACCGAGTGAGAGTGAGTGCCTAAGGCTCGCTACGAGGTTGCTTGTCGTATCAGTCTAATACGTCGTGGCTGCTGCGGCTGATGGCGGTCCCTCGGGTTTAGAGTCTAAAAAAAGGTTTGCAAGAGTAAGCACTTTATATCGTCGACCTTAGTGCACTCGTACTCGATACTCTTTTTGTCGAGCTTTGGCCCCGAACCGGGGGGGCTTGCGGCTGAGGAGAGGGGGAGCGAGAGAGAGAGAGAGAGAGAGAGAGACACAATAAATAGGCCAAGTGTGAAACGATCAGCACCAATTTTATTATTATAATCATATAAATTATATGAACAAGTGAGCCATCCATCCATCTATCTGTTGAGGCCTTGATCAGGCCTTCATTCAGACACATCATATATTATTTGGACAATCCTCTTCAGACATCACACCTCACACCTCACCCATCCCCCCTCACTCACTCACTCACTCACCTTGACAAGTTATCCCTCTTTACTCGTCGACGACCCACGACATCCATCCATCCATCCACTACCTTTGGGGATCGTGTTTCCTGTATCCACTTGACAAGTTTGATGATTCCTGCACTACAAAGTCTACGCGACCGACTCTCGAGCCATCTGTTCTACACTACAGTCCACTTCGTAACTCGTTGCAACTTACAGGTGCAATTGGGGGGAGGGTACTAGTAAAGACCAGGACCAGGCCGATACCAATTCACCTACCAAGTACATTCATCAAGGCGTCACCGAGACCACGATCTCAACAGCGTCCTGTCCGTTTCTTTTTCTCGTACCACCGTAACAAAATAACCTTTGTCCGGCCCTCCCAAAAAAACGAAGCAACAGAGAGCGGTGGTTCCGGTTTAGTGTTCTTCTGTGGTTTCGGAGTCTAGGTGTATCTTTTTTTTTATTTCACCCAAAAATGCAGACCACATTCCAACAAGGGTACATCACAGACCTGGTCTGCCCTCCTCCGCCGCGGGGCAAGACGGCCGAAGACGTCCTCGCGATGGGGTTCTCCCTGGCGCTCGACATGGTCCACTCGGCGAGGACCATGTGCACGCTCAACCCGTTCGTGCAGGCGGTGGAACCCATGTCGGACTCGCACCCGAAACTCGTCGACACGCGCGCCCTGGCCAAGACGTTCCAGGTCAGCCACGACGACGCCGAATACGCCACGGGCCCGTTCGTCCAGTACGAGATCAGGGACAAGTTGCCCGTGGTCGGCGGGTGGAGTACGACGCTTGTATACCATAGCGCGCTGCGCGAGACGAGGGACGGCCTTGAGAGTTTGACGAACCCGGGAAACGGCGTGACGATCCACGGGAGATGGGTGTTGAGTGTCGATGGTGGTGGAGGAGGAGGAGGAGGAGGAGGAGACGCGAAAGGTGATGCACGCACCGCCACTTCTACTAACGGTGGTGGTGGTGGTACTGCCGCTGCCGCCGCCGCCGCCCAAAGAGACGAAATGACCAGACCTGCACCGCCCCAGGAGACCGACGATGGGAAATTCAGTCTGGGAAACGCGAGCGGCGTGATTCATTTGCTCGAGACCCAAAACACGAGGTGCAACGTCTTGTTGAGCTGGTACATCAAGCAGAGTCTGGACAAGAGCCACCGCACTACGCATCAGAGGTTCAAGGAGATGTGGAGGGAGAGGATGAAGATGGTCTTGTACCCTGAGAATACTTGAACCTTGGACTCTTTGGACTTTTTTTTTCTTCCTTCCTTCGGCTTCGGCCGCCGCCTCACTTACTACTTGACTACTTGCCAGGCATGACGTGACACGCTCGACTTGAATTCGACGGCACTCTTGAACCAGTGAAGAAAAGTGGAGGGAGGAATAACGGAGGAAAGTGTGTGTGTGGACGAGTCTCAATCGGAGCAGAATGTGTGAGCGAGTATATCAATTGAGGAGCGGAACGGGTATGAGAGCGAGAGATCAAACGACAAGAAAAGGACAACACCCATGCTACAGGTGACTCTGTTTTTTTGTCTGTCAAAGTGTATTCTGAGTGATCTGTCTGGTGGATTGAAATGGTGTCGAAGCAAACGGTGGATGGGCGGATTGACTGACCACCACGTGCGGTCGGTATATCTATCTATAACTAACTAGTACTCGCACCCAGCTGGGTACGCTGCTTTGGAGCTATGGGAAGTTTCTTGTTGTACGCATCACAGAGGGTGCGCAGACATTACGACCGGGTGAACGAATGAATGATTGGCAATTCAAATTTGAAGCAAAGGTTTCTTGACCTCGTCGATGATAAGGTCGTGGTGGCAGTGCTGAGAGTGGAAAAGGACTATGTATAGGGGTTATGGGTATCTCATGTGGTCTTATCTATACTTTGACTACCCATACGACATGTCTCATTATACTGTGTACGGTAGTATAAGGTACTGAGGTAAGGAAAGTACCAGGCATCTCATGTACGTATCTCATACGGTAGCACGGAGTATGTCGAGGTACCTTTCTTCCATCTCTCGTCTCGTCTCGTCTCGTACGACTTTGGTAAAGTCGAGTTCAGGTCAAGTCAGGTCTACCCAGGCCAACTCAAACTCGGGTCAAGTCATGATAACCCCCGACACAGTCCCAATCTTCTCGGCACGGACACTGCGCTCACCCTTGTCCTTGAAGATGTTCTTGACGCTCTTCAGGACCGGCGGCGCGAGGACCACGTCCTGCAGATTCTTCTGTCGCAGTTCCCCCTCCTCGCGCCGTTTCCTCTCGAGCTGCTTCCAGGGGTCGACGTCGTCGGGGTCGTGTTTCTTTTTGTCCTTGTTTTTCTTCTTCCCGCCGCCACCCAAACCCGACCTCCGCAGACGGTCCTTGTCGACGCCCGCGCCCAGCCACAGCAGGTCGTCCTCCTCGCGTCGGTCCGCCAGCTCCTCGTCCTCCTCTTCCTGCGCCGCGCGCCGCTTGGCCTCGGCGTTGCGCCACTCGCTCTGCAGTCGCGCGAGGCGCTTGTTGTGTTTCGTCAGCGGCGTCTTGATCTTCTCCAGCCCGGGGATCTTGTTGATGCGCGTCTGGTGTCGCGGGACAGACGTCAGCGGGAGGGACTGGTCGACGCGGGCCGCGAACTCGGACAGTCGTTCGCCGGGGAGGATTTGGAGGGGTTCGGTGGCGTTGACGTTGGTATTGCTGTTGTTGTTGCTGTCGTCGTCGTCCTCCTCGTCGTTGACGTTGGTGTTGCTGCTGTCCCTGCCGTTCTTCTTCGTCTTCTTTTTCCCGGTCTTGATCGTAGTGCCGTCGTCCAGCCCGGACGGTAGACGTTGGCCGTGTTGGTGGAAGGCCATGAGCCGCGCAAAGGATTTGGGTGTGTCATCCTTCAGACCGGACTTCTTGGCCGCCTTTTTGGCTTCGCGTTTGGATTTTTTGTCTTTGGACGACTCGAATATCGTTTCTGATTTCTGATGCACCGACAGAGTGCGTGCGCGGGAAGATGGAGGCAGGTCGAAGCTGAATGGTTGTAAACAGTGGTTGAAAAGTCAGTAAACAAAGAATAATGATAATGATGACTACCGAATGGGAAATGCCTCGGTAGAATTCAAAAGACACATACTTGGATTCCTCCTGGTCTTCACGTTTCCTTTTGTGTTTGTGAGGCATGTTGTGTTGTGTTGTCTAGTGGTTGTAGTGCGAAGATTGTACCGTACTCGTGAATGGGACAGACTTGTCGAAGAAAACATTGGGCATTATTTGCATAATGTTTTTTTAACTTTGGGGAAAAAAAGTTGACGAGGCTGAATGCGGGGAAGGAAGAGTATTGATCCGCACTGGGAATATCTCCCACACCTATTCATCGGAGAAGGGAAAACCGTAATTCAAGTCGCGCGACCAGAGTGAGTGGGCGACCCCATATACTCCGTCTTCTACGAGAGTATCGAGTGATTTTTATCATCATTGATCCGAGTGTACCTATCGTAATGGTTCTAGAGAGACGTATCCGGAGACGTGTCGATGTAATTACCGTTTGTACCATGTGTTTGTTGTCCACCCTCGTACCGCACTCAAGCGTGACGCTGATTCTCGTCATGGCCAATGTCAGCTAAAATCAGGTGTTAGCCACTACACCACCAGAAACAATCGGACGCCCTCCGGTACCCAGGAGAACCGGGACTGGCTGATCATCACTGGGCGGCACACTATCACGCCGTTCGCCCGTTATAACACTGCTGCGTCTTCGCTTCTCAGGAGTAACGGACTCTTCTGGAGTAAAGCCCTCCTCAACTGTGTCCGGCGCCTTTCTGTTTTGGCGACGGCGGCGGATCACGTCGTCTATATATCGGCCTATGGCCAGAGCTAGACCAAACGCAAGCACTGCGCAATTGACGCTGAACGCGCGACGATAGCGCGGGCGGTCGTCAGATCGGAAGATCTGGGCGCCGTAGATACCGGCAATGTTGGCACCCATGATAACCCTGAGTAGTTGATGTTAGTTTCATCGTGGGTTGATGCGGTCGAAAGTAAAAACTTACATGGCCATGGCGAGAGCCCTCTCCTCAGAGTCTTCGCACGTAAGGGACATCCAGGTGATGTTGAGCGGGTGCGAAAAAGTGCCAAAGGTCTGAGTCCACACGACTCCAAAGTATCGCAATCCACGACTGCTGATTTCGGTAAAGATGCGATTGAAGATGTAGCCGAGAAGATGCATGCTGAGGCCTGCCATCACTGTCTCTCCTCGACGCGAGCTGCAGACGTATTAGCTTGTGGATATGGGTCGTGATGGATCCTAAGCGGCTTACAAACGATCAGATACCCAGCTGAAACTGAACGAGACTGGGATCTGCAGGAAGAGACCGACCGACGCCAGCGCATTGGCAGATAACGCAGGGAAACCGAAGCTGCGGACAATGGTCGGGGCGTAGGTATCAAAGGCACGCTGCGGGCCGTTGTTGGCCAGGGTGATCAGCACATGCACCCATAACCGCCAGCTAGAGAACTAAAAACCACGTCAGCAGGTAAGGGACAATAAGTGATATGGAAGATGGACCCGGACATACGGCTTTCTTGAAGGCCACTCGGCCGATGCGCTTCTTCTTCTTTCCCTTGGCAGGATCGTCGAGCAAGACGCGGGAATTGAGGATATGAATCTCTCGATCACTGAAGATCTTCAAACCGGGGAGGAAAGTACTGCGAGGATGCTTGAAGGAATCAGGAAGGAAAAACCCCAGGATGAAGCCACCAAGAATGGTGAAGGCGCCCATGAGCACGAAGAGCCAGAACCAGCCTGGCTTACCACCGACACCACGCATGTGGAGGATGCCGTACGCAAGTAGCTTCGCGGATGCCTGGCCGAATTGATTGCCGAAATAGAATATCATGACACGTTTTGCCGTCTCCTTCCTTGTGTACCAAGTCGACAGGGTCCACAGGCCACCGGGGATGAAGCCAGACTCGGTGATGCCGAGGAGGAGGCGAGTCGAGATGAAGGAGCCGTAGTTGGTCTGGAAGGCCTGGAACGTGCTCACGATGCCGAAAAGGAACAGTTGGAGCGTGAGCCACTTGCCAGGGCCGACCCGGTACAGGATCATGTTGGAGGGAATCTCAAACAGCACAATGCCCAGCGACAACATCTGCTGGCCGACGTTGAATTGGTCTTGTGTGATGCCAATGTCTTCCATGAAATTATCCGTGATGGCGTTGGCCATGTTGCCGCGGTCGAGTTCTATCTCAAGCAAGGGCAACGCATTAGCTCCTCAAGAAACTTTGGCCCAGTGGGAGTAACAACGGTTGAACCGTTCACGCACGTAGACAGAAGAAGCCCATGGTGAGCAGAGGCATGATGAGCAGATCCAACTTTCTCTTCGCCTTCTTTTCTTCCTCAGGCGTCCAGTCACGCTCGACGGTGAGAGAACGTCTATCGTCGGGGGGTGGAGGATACTCCTGCACCACGTCGACGGTCTTGGGATCGAAGTCTGACATGGCGGGCTGAAGAATGTGGATCAGACGTGTAACTGTTATTGATAAACGCTCACAAAAGCGCCCTGCTTCGTTTGACAATGTAAAAAAGCCCGTCGTGGTAGATGCAACTTGAAACCTTCGACGCAGCCATCGCTCTTCATAAGTATCTTCTGTACCCCTTCTTTTTCATCCTGGATCACGCAATAAAAACGCCCAGGAGTAGAGTCGACGAAAATCTCTGCCTTCTCGTGTACCAAGTCCAGCCAAGCTACTCAAGTCTTGGTTGTGTTGAAATGTGACGATTCTCCGACGCATAAGCACACAACGTCAAGCGATGCCCAGAACGCCGTCGTCAAGAACAAGAAAATCCATCACGGAGGAAAGTGGAGCGCTGGTCATCGATAACTGCATCGTTAAAGAGCACAAGCTTGGAACCCTTGAGCGTCATTACGCTTGTATATTCATCATGTTTCGACGACGACTCTGTTGTTCAACGGGGATTCACTTCTGCAAACCCAGGAGAGCGAACACTCTCAGTCTTCAAAGACAATGGGCCTGATGAACTGCAATGGGGCGCCGGCTGTGTCACCCCGGAGCCTTCAAAAACTCACCTGATTAGGGAGTGGCTGGAATGTGCTCAGACTGTGGCTCCGGAATGTCGACACGATATGTCGAAATGCGTGATAATTCCAAGAAATTGCGCCATTACTTGGCTCAATGACGAATCTCAATGTAGGTCCAATTAGGGTTTTGGGATGTCGATGGCAGTGCTGGTTGGAAACGCGTTGGGAGCGAGGAGCCGATATGCAACATACGAATCTGACGTGAACCCCTTAATCACTGTGCTGAGAGAAGGAAAAAGAAAGTTACCAGTCGATGTCGAATTTCGTACGCCAACAAGGGTGGGTTTATGGATTGTGCAGAGTCCGAGGTATTCGGAACCATGGTTTTTCCGATACTCCGTCACGTAGCACAGCCTTTGCTCGGACACTATCCTGGATCACGGGCAACAGTGGCCTCGATGTCTCGCCTCTTCCTTGAAAGAGAAGAAAGCGGCTCTAGATGGTAATGATGTTTAAGTGTTGGTGTTCGCTTTTCAAGCTCAGGTTAGAGGGAAAGAATGCTCCATTTGCCATGGGTACAGTAAATAGTCCAGTCCAGCACAAGTATAATACAATCCCACCCATCAACCATCTCAAAATAATATATAGTTCCTATCCTGTTTCGCTAGTCACAACCCGGGGCTATCCATACTCAAGTCTCTTACACTCTCACAACTTTCCATTGACCTTGCCATCATCCATAGATATCCACTACCATTTATACATCCACACATCTCATATCAATGAAACACCCGACCGCTTTCCAAGAGTCCAAAAAATAACATTCACATTACCAATAATGGTTCACCACCTGCGATCCGTTTGTCAAAGCTCATAATGGCACTCAAAACCTGTGCAAAGCAAAGACAAAGACAAAGCTAAAGCTTGTCTTTCCGAGGCTTGAACAACATCTGGAGGATTGCCCATAGTCTTACACGACTTCGAACCCATATCCTGACCGAAACTCGAGTTGGAACGAGAACTGGATTGGAGTCAGAATTTAGAACCATGAGGCCGTTATTGATGTAGGTACGCCGGAGTCGAAGCAACACGTCGTTGACCATGTCCACTGGCAGTCAGACTCTCGCGATTGTTCTTCTTGGACTTGACAAGTGCACTGTCACTCTTCGTTGCTGTCGGGTCATTCGCCCCCGATAGACCCGGTCTCTTCTTAGTTCGGGGTGGAAAACTAGGGCTGGGAGACTCGATAACGTCTGTGCTAAGTCGTGAGTTCTTACCACGCTCATTCGACCATGACTGGCTCTTGCCTTTGCCTTTACCATGGACAGGGGACATCGTTTCATTCTCGTCATCGTCACTGCTGATGACGATAGGCTCAGCCTCAGAGTTGAAAGCGTTTGGCGTTGTGCTGGCGCTTCTTGGCTTTGCTGATCTGCTTGTCTTTCTGCTCTTCGATGACGCAGGAGTATCTCCCTCTTTGAAACCAATTGTCTGATGGCTTGGAGTTGTATTACAGGAAGAAGGAGATGCTCCGGTCCTAGCTCGCGTTCTATAACGAGGCTCATCTCGTTCATTGAGCGTGAGATATTGACGATTGCCGTCGTTCTCCTCATGCTCGTCTTGGTCGACTTCATGAGCTGGCCTTCGACTCGCTTTTCTCCCAGATTCGGGTTCGATCGTTTTCGCTTTACCTTTGTTGGCTTGCGCTGATGGTGTTCCGACAGTTGGAGACCCTATAGCGCTGGGCCTTGTGGATCCTGACCTTCCTCCAGAACCCGACGATATGGATGACGGGACATCAACGGGGCTGGCGCTGTCGTCGTCGCTATCATCATGCAACGCACTCCCTGAATTATCTTCCGAACCGTCTTAATCTTCGAGGATGCCGTTGATATCATCACTGGGTGGTGACCGTGAGAGGGTCAATGAAGACATGGCGGACCCCATTCTCGAAGGCGTCGTTGACGAAGCCCCATCCTGACAATGACTTCGTGATGCGGCTTTAGACAGTTGAGACGAGCTCTTTCTCGCACCTTCCAATCCACCTGGCCTACGAGCAGGCTTTGATGGCGTATCATCATCACCAGTACTCGAAGATTTCTTGCCTCTACTCGAAGAGCCTGGCCCGCTTGGTCTCTTGTTTCGTGAAGAAGATGGCGTCACGCGTGTGTCATGCGCTTCGTCATCGTCATCTTTGGAGCTATCAAGAGGCTCCTGATATTGAGTGTTATCAGCAGAACTTTGCCCATATCGTACAAACAGACGGCTAGCATGACTTGACAGAGTTCCGTTCACCCCGGCTTCTTGCTGTCGGGGAGCTTTCTTCTTTCCAGACCCAAGTTGCCCGACCATATTCTCGGGCTGCATAGGTGAAGCAGATCCCTCCATTTCCCAGTCATCAACATGATATGTCAGAATGCGTCTAGGCAACCATGTTTTCCCAACCCAACACTTCAACAAAGGGTCACCCTCCATGTCCCGAGAGACCAACGTGCGCACAAACGCTAGTGTAAGCGTGTGCGGGGGTTTCTTTTCGTAAGGCTTCAGCTTTTTCATCCATGTGATCCAATGAATGATCGCACGTCGAGCATCTTGTTCTTCGAGTTTGAAGAATTCATTATGTCTTATCTTGCCCTTGCCCGGACAAGTTGCCTCCTCACGCTCCTTCTCAAACTGAATTTGAAGGATCTTTTCAACTCTCATGGGGTGACGGACCTTCGGCGAGCGCCATAGAACCTTGTATTCGAGATCGCAACATTCTTTCCATTCTGCCAGTCGCACATCAAGGCGTTTGGAGTAACCAATCTTCAAATGCTCACGAGCACCAGGTAAACCAAGCACATAGATGGAACCCTTTTTTGCATCTTTCTTTGAGGGAGGTTGAATCATCAGATCCCATATGTTTTCGTCCCTCCTGTACGGTGTGAATCGAGGTGGGGTCGCACTGGATCCTCCCCGCCAACGAGAAATGTGCGGGGATTCAGCAGCATCAACGTCCTCCTCGCCGCTCTCTGTGGTGGAATCATTAGAGTCATCATGGACATCATCCTCTCCATCTGAATCAAGTTGTTCTTCAACAGCGTTCGCAAAAGGTTCAAGGTTTTCAACATCTTCTCGGGCACTGTCGACAGCGGCAGCTTCCATCGTATGATCCGCTACAAGAGCATCTTTTTTCTGCTGGTAGTAGACGATCAATTCGTCTTCCCACTGGGGCATGTATTGCTGAATAGCCTCGAGAATAGTGTTGTGCTTAATGTGGCAGGTGCAAGAGATGATATACGCTTCTAAAGCTCGGCGAAACAATGAGCTTGTAGTGTCTGTTGACAGGAGTATTTTGCGCAAGTTGCAGCGCCAATCCCGGTTGTCCTGTTTCACATTACGCTGACATCTGGTACCAGCAGCGTTTGGCGCAATACATCGGTCCCCAAGATCGTGGCCGAAGAATTTGAGAGCTAGTTGATTCGAGGCCTCAGCTTGTTCGTTCGGAACATCCTCCTGTCCATTTGAGTCTTCATCTGGTTTATTTGAGGCGTCATTTTGTTTATCCCAATTATCAATTTGGCGCTTCAACCAATTCTGAAGAGCCTCACAGCCCCAGAGTATCGCTGATTGTAAGATGAGAAGCAGCAAGCGAAGGATACGAGTATGTCTTTCAGATTCAGTGCCTGGCATTCTGGCTGGACACAGGACAAAGGCAAATGGTACTCTTGCGGATGATGATAAGGACATGCCGCATTAAGTACTTGTCTCAAGTACCAAAACCGCTCACGCGGTTGCCAGATCCGGGGGTACTGGGCTCAGAGGCTGTACTTGCAGGTGGCCCACTCCCGTTAAGTAGTATGTCACTAGGGATTACCTGCATTAATGCGACCACCTGGTCGCTCAGCGGGTCGACCTAGGCCGTGGTGTTCGAGTCCGGCGTATCGAGAAACGTATAACGTGGGAATCTCGTTTCAGAGCTCGAGCGAGAAATGTCAAAGCATGAACTTCGCGGAACGAAATCAAGACCCTGATTTGTGAATCTTCTTGAAGACGGAGGGAGAGTACATGCGTCCGTGATGCTCGCAGATCTCCCACGCTAGTATTCGACATAGCAGACCATACTAGATATAGTAAGGCGTAAGGCTGGGAATACAGGGGTTGGAGGTCCCTTTCCAGTCTCCTGCATGGTGGCTTGTCGCACCTCGTCTACCCTGCATTGTGGCTGGATTCCTGAATGCTTGCCAATACAGTGTCTTGAGGTCTCGTCGGTCTCCAAAATATGGACAGGGTGATTTGGGAAGACGGGCCGAGGATGCCGGTGCTTCCGAAGGCCAATAAATTGGTAGCAATAGTGCTTCATGTAGCGCAAACGAGTCAGTCTTTGTAGGCCCATCGGCAACGCCACAATGTTGCATTGAACTGCCCTCAGGGGATTGACTTAGCACGCTCGGTTGCTTGATGTTGACTCGTCGCTTCCGTAGACATGACCTGACTCGCAGCATCGCGACTGCATAGACAAATGTGCGGTCGAACCGAGAGAGACAACCAGTACGGAAGCTGGATTCATCTTGGCGGAGGGCTAAAGCTCATTCCAGTCGGCGCGACATAGCCAGCTTGATTGTCTGGAGCTCCTGCAGGCTTCCTAGCCTGCTCTTCTCGAAACCTGACCTCTTTCTCGTCCTGAGCAACGACACAACAACAGCAACAAAGGCCCTTGAGGCAATCTCCGGGCACATTGCCAGCCTCGGTATTCATGTTATATGTTTTGCGTACACGCGTATGCTGTATGGCTGACAGACACCCATTTATGCCGCAGAGAATTGCAAAAGCCAGGCAAGACCCATTAACAACAGTATACCCAAGCATATTGGTCGGGTCTTTCCTCTCCCCTCGTAGAGACAATCGATACTGTGTCCTACCGTATACGATACAGGGGCAGAATAATCCCGTAAAACAGATAGAGGGTTCAGCACATGAACAAAGACCGTGCTGCCATGCGCCACCTTTGATCGCCTGTGGGCTTGGCGTATATACGCCGATAGAGAAATGTGCCGAACTGGCAGAAGGAGGAACGATCGCCATGTTCGTGTTGGCTCTCTGTAGTCCCCTAGGAGCGGTAGGTACTAGCGGATTGGCGTCGGGGCCAATGGGTACGGATGGCTTACTGTCCGATGAGGGCTGCTTCACAGGATCAGGAGGCTGAGGGATTGATTGTTGTTCTTGAGGAGGTGATGGTGTGGGCACACTTGGTACTTGTACAGGTATTTGCGGCGTGGTGTAGGCGCTTGGGTACCGTGGATCCTGGACATACTGATGCTGCTGTTGTTGTTGTTGTGCCACCGCCGGATTCTGAATCTGATGTGGGTGCTGCACCAGCAATGTTCCTTGCGGCGCTTCCATGTTCTGCAGCTGCAGCGCCGGTGGTGCTGGGGTACTTGGTTTCCTTTCTCTTCCCGAATTATGATCCCAGGCCCGATTCTCTTCGTCCGCCGGTGTTTCCATCCACGAGAAACGTGCAGGAGCAGTGTTTTGGGGGGGCTGCAGAGAGGTCGGGGGTCGGACCCGAGGATATTCGTAGTTCTTCATCGTCGCGGTCGCAGTTTCAATTGGCAGCCCGCTGCCGTGTGACGTTACCGTCGTATTGGTGTTTGCCAGCAGATAAGCGGACGGAAGAAAGCACTACGAAAACAGGGTATTGCGACCTTCACGTAGAGGAGTCGACGTTTTCACTCGACGATGACAACGGCAGCGCACAGATCGAACGCGGGATAGAAAAAGAGGACAACAGGATTGACGATGTGCTTACCTTTGTGAGCTCCGCATCGCCTCACATCGGCGGCGTCGGTGAGGACATTATCCAGGAGGAATATCACGGCACGCATGGTCCCAAAGATCCATCCATCACTGGTGCTTGGAGCCGTCACTGCCGACGATTGGACTGCAGCGGTTGAAGGGAACGACTCGGCAAACTCGGGGCGCTTACAGAGGGACGAGGACAGGGAAACAAAAATAACAGGGGGGTTGTCGTCAGCTGCGACTCGGCAGGATTACTGTGCGAGACAAGCGAGCCTTGTGTTTCCTGTCACCAGCCCGGACTGGAGCAGAAGCGCTGGGGCGAAGAGTATGTGAGGTTGTGTTGGTTGGGTGATGATGAGCAGCGTGAGCTGATGTACTCCGTACGGGGATCTACTGTACGATCGTCACCCATTGCGAAGCGCCCGCCGGCAACAAACCTTCTTCCGGGGCTGGAGCATCCACCAACCCACTACCCAAACTATTGTAGAGTGCCAACGTACAGTACAGCAGAGGCGGCAATGCGCTCAGACACCGTCACCCTGTTCTTCCAACTTCGGCGACAGAAGCTGATACGAGTTTCAGATAGATGGCTTTTTTGAGGCTATTTTCATGTTCCTACATACAAACATCTCATACCACCTACATCTCCATTTTGTAGCCTTCCCGCCCCAGCGTCTGCTGCTGCTGCTGCTGCTCCTCCTCCTCCTCCTCCCTCTCCCTCTCAGGCCGCCAGAGATCGTGGCTCCCAGGCCTCAAATCCACAGTTGGCAATTCGGCCATGTGCAGTTTGGCGCTGCCATACGGTCTCAACTCTACCGGAAACGCTCTGCCGGTACAATTGCGTTGTCCTCGAGGTGGCGGATTGGGCGCGTACCCGTCCTTCAACTCCCAGTCGATCTCACATGCCAGGGCAGATACACTCACAGGCGGTCGTTCCTCGTGCCATATCGGATGTGGCAACGACTCGGCGTAACGATTCGGGTACTCATAGAACTTCAATGTCGAGATATCGATTGCCAGATTCCATGGGTCTCGAGGTAGGATAGTCCAGTCTCTAGCCCGTGGAGGAGCTGAATCTCCCGGGTACCGGGATGGTCGAGTGTAGGAATAGTCCCCGGCAATAGGCAGTGCATAGAGCAGTGCGCCGTGATATATCGATACAGTATCATTCGCCCGCTGCTCAACGCGTAAATGTGCACCAAACATGACTTCAATCCGTGTTCGGCCGGCTGGGATGACCATGGTGTGCAAGCCCGTAGCGCTGTCTGGGTCGAGACGGTGAGCCTTGCCCGAGTCGACCCAAAGATTGCTCTCATTCAAGACAGCCCACCCGGGCACTCGGAACGAAAACTTGAAAGCGGACCTGGCCTTGATCTCGTAGTTGAGGTAATTGGCAAAGGGATAATTCGTATCACACTTGATCCGGATCTTGTTTCGGTTGTTCAGCGTCGTACTGACATGTGCTGGGCCGAGCAAAGCATGCGCGAGTCCATCGTCTCCCACCTTCACAAACGAAGCCGGCACCCATTTCGAATACCCCTGCATGTTGACAGTACAACAGGGGAAGTTCGGCTCTGTGCCAAAAGTTTGACCCCATGGACCAACGTTCCAGAAAGGAGAAGCGTCGAGTCGATGACTTATCGGCTGGTTCGTCTGGGCAATATACTGGTGCGCCCACCAATGTAGCATGAACATGACAGGAAGAGCATTGTAGGCCGCCAGCTCGGACTTGTCGGCAAAGTCGCGGTCTCCCACGGCCTGGTAGAGATAGTTCAGGGAGAACATTGTCTCAACGACACTGCAGAGCTCCGTACCACGAACAGGACTCAGCCCGGCCTCGCGCTCGTCGCCGATGACCGCGCCAGACGGCGTCCCATGGTACTGGAAGGTCCAATTGACTCCGTTCCTGGTCGTATTGAGCAACGCGTCGTCCTGCACCAGTCTCCTCATAACAGCAGCCCATTTCAGCCCTTGGCCCGCATTGACCCCATGCACGTAGGGAAACAAGCTATCGGTCAACGCGACCGGGTACGTATCCAGGTCGTTCTTCAGATAGTTGTCCTCGTTGAACCAATACGCCCAATCGTAGGCCATCTCGTACATGTGGACGATGCAGCGATGGATCTCCTTCTCGTTGTCCATGGGGTACCTTTCGTACAGCCACTGCAGGGCCATGACCATATCCGCCGCCCTCGACCGACCCCATTGTTCGTCGAACTGGTCGCCCGGCTTCCAGACATAGCCCTGGTGGTTGTCCGAGAGCATCCGATCCATGAGCCTCACGAAGCGGTGCATCGCGGGCAAGATCATCGTCTCGCCCAACTCCGGCTCGGCCTCGACCAGCTGCATAAATCCAAGGAACAAAGGATACCTTCCCCAGAAATTGCGCCGGGACAGCTCCGTCTCGGGCCCCAGCCAGCCGTCGGCATGTTGGTGGGAAATGACCCAGTCGGTGACGCGAAGAATGTGGTGCTTCAGCCGAGCGTCATCCGTCAGCCACGCCAGCGGCACCAGGGCGTTGTAGGAGTACGGCCACGCTTCGTTGAGCCCTGCAACCATAGATTCGGCCTGTCAGTTTTGCTTTGTCCTCTCTATGGCAATTACGAGAAAAGGTCAATTGGACTCAGCAATCGGACGACGTACACGAATATTCCTGGTCGCCTCCGAGCCAAGGCGCATCTTTCACCAGCCGATAAAATTCGTGCAAATGGCCCGGCAAGCCATCAGCCATCAGATCCAACTGCTGCTTGAGCCATCCCAGCGGTTTGACTTGACCAAGCGGCAAAGGTTCGAATTTCAAGGGAAGGACTTTTTCAAAAGCCAGCTACATTAGCCTCCTGTTGAGACAATAACGAGTAAAGTCCCGCAGTACTTACGCGTCGTGTTGTAGGATCCTGGCTCCCTGATGGGTTGCTGCGGATCGTCCTTGGGTGATCGTACGTTCCACTTCTTCCACGAGAGCTCTGGATCCGTCATCCATTTCGAAGACGAAGACCTGTGGCAGCATCCTCGGCCTTGGCCTTGGCCTGAGAGAGACGGAACTCAGCATGTGTAGAAACACAGACGGACTCGATGATATCCAAGAGATAAGGGAGGGGAATACGGTACCTGCATGCGCCCTGCGTTGGACGGGCTCACTAACAGGCTCGGCTACTGGCTGAACTCCCGAAACATCATGACCCCGGCCGAGGTGGCCCTGGACACGAACCACCAGATTGAAACCCAATAACAGTACCAGGAGTTTACAAACCGGCGGCCATGAAAGTAACATGGTCACGTTAAGGAATACCAAAAAGAGAGAGAAAGAGAGTCCGCGCCGGCGCGAGACGGGATGCAAGATACAAATAAGATATGAACGTACAGTACCGATGCTGTGCGAAATGAACCGACCAAGTGTAAGAAAGAATCAAGTTGTGCGTATGACCAGCAAGTTTCGTCTGATGATGAAATCTCCAACCAGTACAAGGAGTATCTGAGTAATGAATGGGGCTTCGGAACTTCTTCTTCTTCGTCCATCTCGTCGGGGGGCGTCACATTGCCTGGTCACGCGGGGCGGCATCTGACGGTTTAGGCACTTAACTACTTAACTAAACCACTTAACTGGGTTGACTAAGTGTTTAACCACCTTTAGGCGTGGTTAGCTGCGGTACAACTTAGTTAGTTGGGCACTTAGAGCGCCATGGCGTTAGTTTACCCCAGATTCAAGTAGTTACAGGAGAAGTTGAGAAGCCAAGGAACCCAGCACCCAGCGCCCAGCACCCACAAGACATGGCTTCTCTAACGTAGGATCTTTTAATGAAGCCGAAGACACCAAACAACGAAACAATCTCCCCCAAAGGACTGTGGGGGCCTCAGAAGCCATCACACTTGAATAAATGAAGAAACTTTTTTTATTACTTCAGCTGGGTATTTTAAGTCTCCTCGAACAGTTCGAGAGCCTCTGTCACTAACTAGTAGGTCCCCAAGAGGATGTGCTGTAATTTAATCCTGCTTGTGCGTGCGCTCGACAACATCGCACCCTGTTACGTCGTCGATCTCGCGCGCTTTAACCCGTAGGCGACTCGCAACGCCACGCCGTCAAGTTGGTCGAACCATTGTATGCGTCCACCATCGTTTTGAAACCAGCATACAAGCCCAGGACGCAAGTGACACAGGACCCGAGATAGAAAATGACGTCGAAGGAATTCACCAGGAGTTCCTTCTTGAAGCCGCGCCACCAGCGCTTGAAGCCGCTGTCGACGTGCTGGACCTGTCCAGTCGCAGGGTCAAACGTCTCCTGTGGCAGTATGGCATCCCGTTGGATCTTGAACCCGAGCATCATGAATGGGGGGAATGTGTAGCTGAACTGCAAGATACACCCGGCGCCGACAACCGAGATCCACGAGCTGATCTGAGGGACGGATTGGGCAATGATCCAGGCCAGGACCCAGTAAATGGGAACGATGATGGCAAATATCCATTTACCACCCTTGCTCTCGAGGATCGGGAAGCTCAACAGGTCTCTCCCCAGGTTGTTGTACAAAACCTTGATGCCGATGTTGCCGTACAGCACCGCCGCAATGATACCGGTGATCAGTTCAAGGCTGTTGCCGACCGTCTGCCATGAATAGGGAGAAATGCCTTGGTATGAGGGGTTGTACACGTATTGTCCTTGCCTATTTTGACAGGCTTATGTTAGGATGCGGCCGGCAAACATGACACATTCAAAGAGCGGCGGGTGGATGGATACTCACATGCAGTAAGTGTAGACACCGTAAACCATGTAGCAGAGGTAGATGAGGACATCGGCCGCGAGCAGTCCCTTCCAAAAGTCAAAGGGTCGACGCATCTCCGCCATCAGCTCGACAAAAAGAGTCGCTCCTCCAAAAGAAAAGACGGCATTCATGAGACCGTTCACATTGTCGGCGATGCTGAGTCCTGGTGGTGTCGAACCCGAAACTTTGATGGGATCGGGATTATTGATGTCGAATGTTGGATGCGAAGCGGCGTATACCTTGTAGTTTGGATCCGAATGAGCCATGACACCCATCCTGAACAAGAACATTAGCCAGGCTGCCAGCCGGCCAAGAGACCCAGAAACGGGCAGAGCTACTCACGTTGCAAAAATGACAAACAGATTGAGATATACGGCCCAGGACGCGAGCCAGCCAAAGCGCTGGAGAGTTCGGATCTGTCCAACGACACAGCCAGCGATGGTACAGATCACCATGCACACAATGAAGCAGAGATTACTCTTGGACAACTCGCTGATGGACTGACCGTTGCTCAAAATAAGCAGGGTGACGTTCAGGAAGAATTGAAAAGATTGTACGAAGTTGACGGTGTGACGGAACCAAGGTCCGTAGACCCGGAAGGCGATGTCGCCGTATCCTTTCAGCGGGTAACGGTCGCTATCAAGCTGGAGATACATCCTCCATAGCTGCCAACCGGTGTATCCACCGAGGGCACCGAACACCGTGAACAGAGCGACACCAGGACCAAGTCCCATCTGACTGAAGGCGTATCCCGTACTGAAGGGACCGAGGATATCGGTGGTGATCAAGTAGAAGACGGCAGCCCTAACGGAATGTTAGTTGGTGGGAGGCCTAGTATATAGCTTCATGGAAGTCGCCCTACCAAGTGGCAGTTCTAGCAGCCCGTGAAGCCTGTATCCACTCCTCATCACTGATGACCATTGGCTGGAACTTCTTCTTCTCATGGCCTGTCTTCTCATTGCCGGAATCGTTTCCAGATTCAACCGGTCGTTGAATCTGGGCTTCGCCTTGAGCGCTGACCGAGAGACGCGGTACGGCGATCGAGGTACGTCGTGTGGCACGTTTGCGGAGGATCTTCTCCTTGATGAACGCGGCCGTGGGGCCGTCCGTGGCCTGAAAGTCACTGCCAGGGCCATAGAGGCGTTCTTCCTCATCTCGAGTGATTTTGGCGTAGTGCATGTACTCCTCGAGGGTAACGCTAGGGTCGTGCAGCTTTTGCAGCACTCCTCGAGGGAGTGAGGTCGGGTCAGGAGCCTCCCCAGAAACCGAGAGACGAGGATCGGTGACAGCACCAATGGCTGCGAGGGATCCTACTCCGGAAGCCATGGTCGCAAGTAGCAGGCAGAAAGATTCTCAGGGAGAGCAAGATCTTTGTCCTCGTAGACGAGACGTGGAGACAACGGAGACATGGAGACATGCAACGGCGCAACTTGCTGGGTTATATAGATCTCCGAGGTCCGCGCATACAATACTGCAAATAAGCTCATCTCTTCCCTCTCTCCATCTCTCGCTTCAGCCCTCGTCCATCTCCACCGGTTGCAAGGGCAGATGCCAGAGAGTGCCGATTAGAGGGTTACAGTCTCAGGTGGACATCTTTGTGACGGAAGCGAAGCTGTGGTCATTGCCTCCCTCCATGGGTCTCATCAGAGATCCCACTACTGATAGGTCAATGTTGTATAATTGGCTTTCTCCTCCTGGTATCCCCGGCTAGCCTCGAAGCGTAAAGGGAGAGACGGTCGCCGAACCTTGAGATTACGACGTCAACCCGCGCTCGAAGCTGGCAGTTGCCAGTTGGTGGCCATGGAGCCGGGTACCGTGGTCCAGTGGCCACGGGCCTGCTCCATGTTTGACTTGAGACCCGAACGAGGGACGGGAGAACCTCCAGAACGGCGGATGATTGGGTAGGATCCGAAATGGGGTGCAATTATGCAACGCTCCATCACTCCAGAATAGGAAGAGATTAACGCAATAAGGCAGGTCGATATTGATAGTGATTGAAATGGTCAACAGGTTTGATCCTTCCAGGAGCCATGGTCCCACGGCACGGGGATGATCAGTCCTCTATGGAGAGGGAAAAGTCGCCTCCCTCTGTGTGGACTTGTGGAAAATTCGGCTCTCCCGATTAACCACGTAGATTGGACGAAGATTGCCCTCAGAGTCGGCACGCAACGCCCAGGCATGATGGTGGGATGCAAACCAGGATAATTACGAGCTGTCAAAGCGTGAGTTTCGTCAACGGATCGACCGGCGGTGGCCCCTTTTCGATGCGCCACCGTCGCTGGAGGTTGGTGGTCGCGGTATCTAGCGCTTCTCGCTCCCGGCGGAATGTAACTTGGGGGTGTGCGAAGCAATGCTAAGCTTTGCCTTAAAGCTTATTACTATCAAGACACTCGCTGACTTCAGTGGCGCCGCCGCACATGATCATCCCCTCCACGATTATGTTGCTTCTTCCCCCCAAGCTGAAACTCTGCACGCAGGTGTAAAAAAAAGTTGAGACTCGGCTCTGTATCGCGACTTGGCTCTGTGACAGACGCACAATAAGGGCGCCCTGGTTCGAACCGTCGGGTCCCTGAACGTGCTTGTGCTGTCTCGTGCCGCGTGCGTAATTCCTGCTTCAGTACAAGTCGCTCGTAATTGAATAATTGTCTCGGGCCGCTGGTGGAGGACAAGGAGACAATTTGAAAGTGCTGGTGCTGGGATCCTCAATGTCACTCCGGGGCACACTAACTGAGATAGTTAGGTACAGTACGTCGTGATTGTGTGATCGCCGAGGAATCGCTTCCTCGGTACGATATTGTATGAAGATGCCCCAATCATACTACTCCCGCGACTAATGCTCGTTGAGTGCAGGCAAGAGAGAAGGTGGCTATCGACGCATGGCGGCGGCATTGTCTGGTGTCTGTGTCGCCGGATCAATTGTACTGGGATTCGTGAGCGACAGCAAACTTCGCAAGTCTGTGCTCTAGAAGCCTTCCATGCAGCCGGCACGGACAAGGTTGCACTGCAGATGGAGCCCTCCCCGGGTAAAAAATGAAGTAATGGCTGACATGTGGGCACCTAACTAGCGTTTTGACTTTGGAGACGGTGGCCCCAGGAACCACTCCCTCTAGTTTTCTTTACCAACAGATATTTATTAGAACCGAGGTGTTGGTCCGGGGAGTGCTGGTGTCAACGGAGTCGATTCCACTTGTCAGGAGAGTGATTCTACGGTACTAAAGTATAATTTGTACATAGCGACCTGAAATGCCGCTTCTACTTGTTAGAAGAGCCTCATGTAGCCGGAACATCCGTCAACAGATTGATCTAATGCAAAATCCACGTACCGAACAACCACCATCTCTCTTACCAGTCGTGATGGGGCATTAGCGGATGAAGTGAATGGGACAAAGGTTCTCGATGCAACCGAAAGAGCCGGTTCAGCCGCAGTAGCCAGGACTGACTTGTTGGAGTCTCGAGACTCACGGTTGCTTGACAACACGGAATTTTGAGAAGTTATGTCGTGATAGCTGTTTAGCATAACTGAGCATCGCTTTTCGTAGGCCTTTGTTCCGTCGAGCCCGGCTGCATGAGTGCCTCATTCTAATAGACCTAAGCGGGTGGTATCTTCCAACTAAGACGAGCTCTGCAGAGCCTGCAAACCATCCAAGATGTCGGCAAGATCATTGAGACTCTCTACACTTGTCAATTTAACCTTAGCCACTTAACCCCAAGTACCTCCTCCTCCTCCTCTCCCTTGTCTCTTTTGCGCGCTCAATCTCCAGTCGTCGTCGCCTGCGTACTTGTTATGCAAAGGCTGAATCCGTTCGGCCTTCTTCCGCTTGCTCAGACGATCCGTCGGCGCAACCTTGAAGAACGTCGGCGCTGCCTCAACCAACCATTTGGGCTCAATGACCGTTGTGCAATGCATGTATTCTTTCGTCGTCAGCACAAGGGTATGGAAGATGACATGCTCGGCAGGCTTGCCGAACAGCGAGCTGCTAGGATGCATGTAGACTGGGGTGCCTTCGATCAGTGTCTTGTAGCCTTCTTGTGGATCTTTGCGTGCCGAATTACGGAAGAACCCAGAACACAAAGCTTGACGGACTTTCAACGTGTTACGCCCGCAGGATACGATGTGGTGCTTGTATCGCTCCATGATGGACACGAGTTGCTGCCGGACATCTCGAGCACGTGCTATTTGACGCTTTTGAATAAAGTTTTCGAAACACCAGGGATCGCTGTATCGGGATTGTTTCCACGCGTTGTAGACATTGAGCAAGGTGAGATGATCTCCGTGGGGATCGTGAAACTTGGCCTTTTTCTGATCAGCTTGTTGCTGCTTTTCCTTTGGCCGGTAGAAGACTGTCTGTACAGAGAGCATAGCCACTATAGTAAGCATCTCTTCAGAACAACCCATATCTTCCGACGCGATAAGTGCTTTGGATAGAGACGGTTCCATTGGGAAGTCTGCCATCTTACGACCAAGCCGGGTCAGCAGGCCTTCATCGTCAAGAGCCGACAAGGCGTACAACTCCTCTAATGCCGTCAGCATGGTGTTGGTGGGAGGAGGGTCCATGAAGTCAAAATGCAAGAGATCATTGATTCCCATGGCTTTCAGCATGAGGATGGTGTTTGACAGATTCTGACGCTGAATCTCAGGAATACTGGTCGGCAACATTTCCGACTGGTATGCCGCTTCAGTATATAGGCGGAAGCATTTTCCCGGCCCCGTGCGACCAGCACGTCCAGCTCGCTGCTTCGCTTGAGCCTGTGAAATCGGTGTGACAACGAGCGAGTCCATTCCAAGCTTGGGATCGTATGCATTCTGCTTGACAAAGCCAGGGTCAATCACATAGTAGATATGATCGATTGTGATTGATGTTTCAGCAATGTTGGTTGCAATGACTACCTTTCGGCTCCCAGGTGGCGCTGGGTCAAAGATCCTGCTCTGCATCTCACTCGGGAGAGCTGAGTAGACCGGGAGGATGATCAGTTCGGGAACGCTCGGGCCCAGTGCCTTCATCCTCTCATATAACACTTCACAGCTGGTGTCGATCTCCTCTTGACCAGTCAAGAATAGCAGGATGTCTCCAGGTGGCTCAGTCAGGTGGATTTGCATGACTGTCGTCAGAGCCGCGTCCAGGTAATCTTCCTCAGGCTCTCTCGAGTACATGATCTCGACTGGGAAGGTTCGCCCGGGAATGGTGAAGATAGGACATTTGTTGAAGAATTCCGAGAACTTTTCTGCGTCCAGTGTTGCAGACGTGACAATGAGCTTCATATCGGGACGTCTCTTCAATGTCTTCTTCAGCAGCCCAAACAGAACATCCGTTGCAATGGTTCTCTCGTGAGCTTCGTCCAACATGATGACGGAATAACGCTTGAGATCGGGATCAAGGAGAATTTCTCGCTGCAGCATACCATCCGTCATGTACTTGATCCGGGTTTCGGGCGACGTTCTGTCTTCGAAACGTATCGTGTACCCGACTTCGCGACCAAGTTCACACCCAACTTCTTCAGAGACACGCTTCGCGACGGACATAGCTGCAACACGACGTGGTTGGGTACAGCCAATTATGCCATTGTTGGCGTAGCCTGCTTCGGCAAGGTATTGGGTCACTTGGGTGGTCTTTCCCGAACCAGTATCTCCAACAACGATAAGAAGCTGGTTTTGTGCAATCGCATCAAGTAGCTGTTTCCGGAACTTGTAGACAGGTAAGGACTCTCTTTGTTGTTTGATAGTCATATCCGTTCTTCGTCCTAGGGATTGGTTCTTGCCCTGGGTCACTCGCCTCCATTCCGGTACCGCATCTGTGGCTTTGGATGTTTGTTGCTGAGCCTGTCTCAACTCCGAAGCAAATTTGCGTTGCTCCGGGTTGATCATGGGATCTTGCCATTGGGCATTGAGATCCACCTTTGAGGCTTCTTCAGCTGCTTTATCGGCAGCTTCCTGTTGTTTCAATTCTCTCCTTTCCTTGGCCAGCGTTGTTCCCGCTTGAGCGGCTCTGTTCAAAGAGCCTTCAGGGGCTTTGACGACCCGGATAGGCGAAAGTTCTAGTGACTGCTTGGTTTGACCAGCTAGGAAAGGCGGTTCTTCCTCTCTGACCTCAATGTCAATGTCTTCTTCCTCCTCGTCAACCGGGCCCTGGCCATTCAAAGTTGCATTGTAGTCCTCGTCGATATCAGGATAATCCTGCGCAGATATCGCGCCGGAGGCGATAAGCTGTTTGATTTCCCACCGCTCAGGCGAGGTCAGCCTCTTTCTATTCTTCCGTGAATTTGAGTTGTAGTCGTCTTCAATTACAGGGACTGTACTGCCGAGACCACCATAGCGATCCTCAGAAGGCATCCCGTCCAGCCGCTCCATATTAGCTCCAGAAGCAATTCGACGTGAGGGAACCAGATCTTGACCAGTCACCTGGTCGACCTCTTTCATGGACAAACTGACTTTGTTGTTCTCCATCTTGATGACCTTGACTTTGACGGGCTGTCCTCTCGACAAGAGATCCGAAGGATGGTTGACCCGTGCACCCTCTTGTATGGCCGACACATGGATCAACCCACTAACACGACCTTTGACACCTTGCAGGTCTGCAAAAGCCCCGAAATCTTTAATCCCATTGATGGTGGCGTCGTAGATTTTGTAAAGGACGGGATATTCGTCAATCTCTTTTCGAGGAGGCTTTTTGAAATCGTCGTCGTCCTCGTAGTCCCTTCGTCGGCTCTTCCGATGACCATTCCGTCTCTCGTCGTATCGGTCTCTACGGTCGTCGTAATCTCTATCTCGGTCGCGACGGTGGCGAGATCTTCTCTCTTCTTGTGGGCTCGGGCTTCTTGACATGTATTTCTGCCTGGGTTTCCTGTCCCTTGCATACTCGTCTCGGTCCGGGCTCCGACTCCGTTTCCTACTTCTCGTGGAATTCCCATTCGTGCCATTTCCGGCTTTGCCGGCAAGGCCTTCGAGAAGCGCAAATGTGTCGTCGTCGTCAGCTGGAGTACCAGGGTCCGGAGGCCGACTCTCGTCGATCGTTTTCTGTCCAACCATGTCATCCTCGTAGTCGTCCCATGCTTGTTCTCGGTCGGGCACGGCCAAACCCTTGAACACCCGTGCCTTACGCCCAATCGCGTCCAATTCATCCATGTCTGACCTTCCATTCTCTTGAGTCTTTTTCTGGGTTTTATGTTTCGGGTGCATTGTCAAGATCAATCTGTCCACACTTTCCACCAGACTGTTGGGAAACTCTGCTCCCATTGCAGCCAGGGCGGCCTTGAACTCGGGAAGATTGCCGCCACATTTTTCATGCTGGTCAATGACAAACTCGGCGAGGGTCTTGTCGTTGATTCCCAGGTGGTTTTGCAGTTCGGAGGTGACTTTGGAAACGAGCGACAGGAGTTCAAGGGAAGTGAAGTCATCCATGGCCGATGCTGGCCGGGTCTAAAGGCGGTGGAAGATTACTCTGAGAGTTGCGCGCAGAATATGCTGCGTAGCAAAAAAGGCGTCGACAAACTGCGCCGCCGAGGTGGCTGATGGCGGCAAGTCGAGTGGACGGAAAAGGCTGCAGAAACAAATTGCTGTTGAACCGCTACTTCGTACTCCGCAGGCTGTGGCAAGTGAGTTTGGACCGTGTGGCTTGTCTGCGTCTGCGGCTGTGGGTGTGTGGCTGGTGAGGTTCCCGGCTATCGAGATCTCGACCCTTCACGGTAGGTACTTACGCATCTTTCAAAATGCATACTCGTACGGAGTACATTTCTATGTCACTCCGTGCCATGTCTCGCCTAATCTGGCCCGATCTGAAAATGCACCAGTGAGTATTGAGCCTCATTCTGGAACCACGGCGCTTGGCTTCACGGGCTGGTGAGGGCCGTGAGGGCCATGAGGGTCTCTTGAGGGTCTCTAGAGGGTCGAGTTCAGTCCCAGGGTCTCGGTCTCGATGCCAACTTGTTCTTGGTTCATCCCTGCCCTACGAGTCCCTCTCACAGTCTTGTCCCAAGGTAATCACCCCTCCATGAACTGACGTCGACTCTCTTCCCACCCCCGCCCGACTTTGCACGAGTACTTGTACCTGTACCCAGGGGCTTCCTTACTTTCTTTTCTTCTTCCTCTCCAGCCGTTCCTTCAAACCTCTGCAAAGGTGTATACCTGTCGTTCGACATCCAGAACTCGCCTCCAGACTCAATCCACTTCGAACCCAAGCAACAACCTCAAAAATGGACGCCATCAGAGCAAAGCTGAAGCGTAGAATGAGCCACAAGGACAAAGAAAGTATGTGCGTCCTCTTGTTATCGTGCCTGTTCATTCGCCACCTCGTCCCCCTCTTTGTCTCTCGCATCCAGGCTGACGTCGTTCTGTCCAGTCAACTTCGACGATCATGACTCAGCCGACGAAGAAACCATAGACTATGTTGGAAAGGAGGCTGAAGATGCAGAGAAAGAGGGTTACGACGCCGGCAGGCCAGGGAGCTTCCTCAACAGGCTGATCTCGCACGGTAACAAGAAGACAGAGGAGCAGCTTGCTCGTGAAGCTGCAGCAGCCAATCCTGAGGCCGGGGGCGCCGACCGTGTTGTTACACAGCGATAGACGTCGCCGGTCAACGAACCCAGGCAAGCTGGCGGTTGGAGAATATGTCGAAACTGCTGGGTAGGGTATTGGGGAAGCGGTTGTCGACTGCAGTCTTCTTGTGTTCTACAAAGACCATGGTTTGAAGGACAACAAGGACCTCAACATCGACTGTATGGGACATGTCAAGGCAGAAAACGAGCTCGGCAATCATTACCACGAGTGTGCGTCAGTATTGATTGTGTCTAGATTGATAGTAGAAAACAAAACATCGTTAATTGTCCCATTGCACAACTCTCCGAGCCATCGTTATTTGAATTGGTGCTACTGCTCGTTGTGTTATACATGTACGTAAGTATACATAGCTCCGCTGCCACAGGATATGTCTCATCGCTTCTCAAAATGTAGATTAGATCGTCATACAGGCACGCGTAGTGTCGAGGGACCGCTGAGACCATCACTGAAACAGCGCTCACACAGCCGTGGCTGCGATAGTAGATGCTCCCTTCGGGTCATCTCCGAAGTCTGTCTGCGATGGCCCTAACACCCATCTTGACGGCTGCTCATCCTCTGGCTCACCCACGTCCAGCTGCGACGTGCTTGCTGGCATCGCCGTCCCGTCCGTAGGCGTGCTTGGCACCTTCATGCGCTTCTTGTACGCGAGCACACGTTTTCTGAGCTCCGGGTTCGCCGAGAACTCGACCAGGCACGTGTTGATCTTGTCTTCAACCATGCTCTTTGCATAAAAGGCAACGTCACGATCCTTCAAGTTGGCAATGAATCTATAACTCAGCCACAAGAACAGCACGAGACCCTTGTGCAGATCTTCCAGAGCTTCAAGGTACGCTCTGTCGCCAGATATAGGCTCCTCAAGTACCTCCAGGTTGATCTCAGGGATGTCCATGATGTCTACCTCGCGTTTCTCTGCGATGACCCGAGCCAAGGCGTGGGCGACGGCCTCCAGACGGCTTGAGCCCCGGGAGCACGGAGCCGCGCTGAAGACGATCCTGTCCGTGATGCTCAGCCCCCGGACTTGCTCGATGTGGCGGGCAATATAGCTTTGGTCGCGGATGCTACACATCTTGAAGCGTTTGTGCATCGCAGCCGATCCAGTGACACGGCGAAGGATGTACTCGAATGGCGTGCCCTTGGGAAGGCGGGAGGCTAGATCTTCCATGAAGTCCCCGGGAGGCAGCAAGCCTGCAAACTTGAGGGGCACCTCCTGCGTGTTCATGGCTTGTCGGACGAGGGGTAGATCTTCGTCGTTGAGAGTAGTGACTAGTCCTACATTCGCTTCCGGCCCGGCCTTGGACTTCGTGTTGTGCACATCCTGGTGGGCGCTTCGGTATCGGCCAGCTCGGCCGCCTATCTGTTTGATCTGCGAGACCGAAAGCTGTTCGTGGTGGGTCCCATTCCATCTCGACACACCGTGAAATATGATGCGTTTAACGCTCCTGTTCAACAGTCAGTAAGTGACAAAAGGCACGAAAAGAGGAGAGCGCACAAATTAAGGCCCATGCCGATGGCATCACTCGCCACCAGATAGTCGTAGTCATTGTCCGGATCATTGAACAGTGCGGCCTGGGCTGCTCTCGTCTCGGGAGGTAGACTGCCATATACGATCGCGCAATGCCGACCTGTGTCAAGCTCAATTTGCCTCTTCAAGGCGTGAATGTTCATCACGGAGAAGGTGACTATACAGTCGCCCTTCCTCAGATTCTTGAGGTCGCCACCCAAACTTTTCGTCATGACCTTCAGCGGATTAAGCCTTTTGTATTCATGCACCTCCAGTGTATCGCCGGTTGCTGCGCATAGCTCACGGATCAGAGGAAGAGCTCTAGCCTCTCCGCACAAATGGACTTCTTTCGCGTTGGCGCCCAAAAACGCCCGTGTCCACGCCCAACCACGATCCGGAGATGCAATCATTTGGATCTCGTCAATGACGGCGACATCGACCTTCTTCGAAACGTCTACCATCTCTACTGTCGAGGCGTATAGTGCGACGTCCGAATCCTCTTCTCGCCTAATATCGTCACCAGTGACAAGATCACACTTTGCACCTTTTGCTTTGAAACGCGAATAGACTTCGTGTGCCAGTAACCTCAAGGGACCTGCATAGAAACCATTTCTCTGTTCGTCAAGTCTTTTGAGAGCATTGTATGTCTTGCCGGAATTAGTTGGCCCGATATGCAGATGGACGTTGCGTTGAATTTGTCTCGCCGCCGTGTACCATTCCGTCGGATATCGCAGATCGGTCAAAACGTGGTTACTCATGGTTCCATTTTTGACGTTCTCTGTCAGGACGAAGTCGATGAATCCGAAATGTAGATTTGTCTGGAGGTTCTTCTGTGATGTGGATTGGGCCTTTCCAATATCCGTAAAGAGCCTCTCTTCCTGCTCCGTGAGCGCTTGGCCTGGGGATTGTAGTATCTCGACAAGCCTCTTGGTATAACTTTCCCAGTGTATCCCTCCAGGGTCGAGGGCCTCCATTTGCGACAAGTTAGACTCTGGAGAAGCCTCCGTTGATGTCAAATCCTCCTTTAGTTCAACGAGGGCCTTACGGACTCGCTTTTCGAGCCACTGGTGAGACCCAAGATCCTCTGCATTGCCGTCTCGCAACTGAAAACGTCCTGACGCATACCCTGAATTGAATGATGGCCTGAATTTCGTGCCTGGTCTCGAAGGTCTCGAAGGTCTTGAGGGTTTGGCAGGCTTGGAAGGTTTGGAGCCATTCCTACACTGGGCATTGGAAGTCCTAAAGCCTCTATGTATATTGTACGCCGGTTTTGGTACATCGGGCACAAGGGCTCGGAAGGAACAAAATACACATTGGCTCGGTCTGGTTGAGCGAGTGAGCATGGCGTCCGCTAACGCCGGTGCAGGAGAGTTAGCAGCGAGGATTAGGAGTGTCTTCGAGGATATTCACGAAACAGGTCGGCACAGCTCTCTGCATGGAGGTGCAAGCAGACGGAAGAGGCTGTCGAGTATTCGAAGTGTGAGTCTAAGTTAGCTACAGATGTCATGATGGCTGTTCGCAATTGTCCCATGCGCAGTTCATGGCAAAATGTTCGGCACCGTCTCTTTTCTCCGCAAACTGGCTCATATTATTGGCTCGGAGAACTGGCGATTCCAGCTTAGGTAAGCGGCTCGTTGTCGTATGAGTAGGAAGAGTCATGGAGGACACAAGTTACCCCCGTATCTCCCTGAATTCCCATGGTTATACGTGTAGTGTTTGCTCATGTAGGCACAGGCATGTCGGCAAGTGTTTCAGAAAACTCTAGCAGCGTCATCTAATACTATATATTTAAAACGTCCAAGCCAATTGAATCCGGCACGGTTCTTCAAAAGTTCTCTTTGCCCCAGACAAAACTATAGCCCTTGTCTCCTGCTTCCGTATACATATTGCACTTGATATGAAGCTGAGCACCAAGTCCCTTGGGTCCACAGAAGAAGACACCGCATTCTCCAGGCCAGTGGATCTTGCGGACAGCGCGGAACACCATGTCCCAGTTGGGCCGGCCAAAATTCGTCGGCGTTCTCAGTCCTGTGATGGCATCTGTGTCTCCGGAGTTCAGGGCAATATTGGATGCCTGGGCCGGCGTGATCTTGGCTGTCAAGTACTATTTTCCATATATTAGCTGCGACCTCTCCCCCGATGAGTCTTGAACCTACCGCATGAATCTCAATGGCATGGCTTTTGTCTTCGCTCTCGATGGCCGAGAGTAAGGACTTGAACCACTCCAGTGATCCAAAATCTCTACACACCCAGAAGAAGTATACCTTCCGCAACCTAGTCTTTCCAGCACTAGGATTCTTCATGCGGTACCAGATAGACTTGAGAATTGATGCAAACGGGGTCACACCGATACCAGCTCCGACAAGCATCACAGTCTCAAACTTGAAGACATCTTCTGAGGCAGAGCCAAATGGCCCGTCGATATACAATCGAGGAAGAAGGGTATTGAGTTGAGAGCCGCCCTTTCCGGAGAATTCGGACGAACTGATGAGTTTCGTCTTACGGTTTGCCTTCTTGTCTTCCTTATCCAAGCCTTCGCATCCCAAGACTTTACCTAGTTGCCTAGTAAAATTGCCTACCATGCGGACATGGACGGAAATAAAGTCTTCTTCGGGTGCAGAAGTCAAGGTGAAAGGATGATACTGCCAGAGTGATACCTCTGGGCAGCAGAGGAAAATATACCTGTGAGCTGGTCAGATGTCGCTCAGCAAGGACGCTTGCGCAGAGAACTTACTGTCCGGCACGTGTCTTTGTATGCTCCTTCTTAATCTGAATCTCGACCACATTGGAGGGGTGTTGAATGACCTTGTGGATGTGCGTCTTATGAGAGCCTCTGATTTCGCGCATGACACGCTCTCCTAGATACGCGAAGCCTCCAACAAACCACCATTGGTAGAAAGAGCCATTGCCAAAACAGGTGGGTATCGTGTCCAGTGGGATCATGCAGTAAATTCCGTGAATGGACCAGGCGATGAAGAAGACTATGAAGAGATGGTGAGTGTTCCAGAACCGCTCATAATTCGCCCGGCGGGGTTTTTCGATCGCTGTGAAGAACATGGCCATGATGGAGATAGTCAGGACGTACCCTGTCCAGCCAGGACCTGTCAGGAAGTTGAGCTTGATGAAACCCAGAAAGCCTCCGTGACCCTTTGCTGAGAGTTGCGCAACATTGTGTAAATGAGCGATGGTATGAACCCAGGTGAAGAAGACCAGGGAATATCCCACGAGTTTATGAAACGTAATGTTCTTGTCGAATGGAATGATTCCGTTCAGCGGCGTCTGTCGAGCAAGGGAAATAAGAGTGCGGCAGACCGGGAGGAGAATACAAGCGACATCAAAGTGAAGAACAAGAGCCGCAGATCGAGCAATAGGATATCCATATCCATAAGTTTTCCGTGCACCTGTCATATTGTCCTTCATGGTGTAGTTCATGAACCCAAAGGCGTACAGCATGATATGAACGAGGACAAATGTGAAGACGAAAAGCCGCCGTGATCCTTCGTTGACCATCCATCTGTTGAACCTCTCGCGAGGCGTCAACTGTCTCGGGGCCTCTCCGCTGACTTCCCCCGAAAGCAGAATCCTCATCAGTTCTGTAGAACGTGTTCTTTCCACCATGGTGGTCGTGGTCGACACCCCCGCGTAACCCATCTTGGGATCAAACTAATGGTCAAAAAGATATTATAGCGCGGGGTCGAGGGGCAGTTGAGACGTGGAAATAGAAGAAGCTAGATGTCGGCTTATGAGAGTAGGCACGAGAGTCCGAACCAGCGGAAATTTATAAAAGAGATAAGTCGAGTGAGTGATTGACAAGAACAAAAGTACGAAGAACAAAGGTCCGAGAGGCAAAAATGACCGTGCCAGCGGCGGAAGTTGATGGTTCGGCAATCCTCTTGATGATCCGTCAAGACCTTGTATAAGAAGAACCATCTCTATGCGTCCCTCAATAGGCGTGAGTTGGAAACAAGGGGCGGTGGTGTGATATCTGTGGCATGATAGGGGTGAGCGAGACTAGCTAAAGAAGTTGTCTTGATACAAACCATTCCCCAAGCTTGAGACGACAATCCGCGACGGTTCGTCAAGTGGACTGAGGGTCTAGAGCGGTCGTAAAGAAGCAGGCAATTAACTCCAGACATGGCTATGACAGCGAGATGGATCGACAGGATGATACGGGTCGAGGCTGAGCGTGGCATGATGGCTCAGAGTGCCGCAAGGGGCTTGTGACGAGCCTGCTGAAGCGTGTTTCAGATAGTCGAGCCGACGTGATTGGCTCTTCTGGGTTTCACTATGGAAGTCTGATACCACAACAGATGGAGCTCGGTGGTCTTCATGGACACGCATCTGTTTGGCGATATCTTGAAGTGACATGAAGTTTGTACAGTAGTAGCTGTGACTCGAATAATAGCCGCGCCCAGCCTTGCATCTGCAGTGGGCACATTCGCACACACCCAAGCAGCTAGCGAATCAAAACCATGGGAAGAGACTTGAGGGCTTCTTAAGAGGATATCTTTACACTTGTCGTTGATGAGACCGACAGGTTGGAAAGAATCGTTAGATTCGGCTCCTCGAGTCACTACGTTCACAAGGTCGATGAAAGCTCCGTGAAACTGCCAAGAGATTTCGGAAGCGCCGTATTGGGACCGAGCCGAGCCGCTTACTTAAGCGGCTCCCGGTGTCGAGCAGACCTTAACCTGATGTATTTATGTATTTATATATTTGTCCTACCACAGGCGTGTGGGTAAGGGGACCTTGCACAAACATTCTCGTACATGAATTAGTTACACTCTCCAATGGCCTTCTAAGACGGAAAACGTCAGAGAAATACTGGCTATTTTTCCAGTGCAATCAGGCTCACAATAACACTACTCCGTAAAGTAAGCCAAAACTCAGAGCATCAACCTTGAAGTCACTCGTGATCTGTATGAAGACTTCGGTTGTATAGTGTATCGAGGTTCGGGCTGCGATGCGAACAAAACTCTCCAGTGACATCGCTGCTTAAGTGTTCAGTGACGGCAAGATTGAGGTGAGCTGGGTCTTTGCCAGCCACGCCCTCTAGCACCCAAACAGTGAGGCTGGCAAAAGGCAATCGACGTCCAAGAAAAGCTAGGGAGGCTTTCGCGGCGTCCGCTTCACTAGGAGCGGTGTAGCAGCCACAAAGCCTAGCGCGTCGTCAATCTATAAGTACAGTTCGGACGTTGCCTCCATCTTATTAGTACCGCATCGTTGCTGAACGTGGAATGAACCGGATGTGGGATCTCGCCGCCTATCAAGTCGCTCTACCTTCGCATTCTCTCCGTCGGCGGAGGCAGGAGAGGATACTTGGAGGTCTGTTCATCGCCTGGTCAGTACCAAAGACCTGCCGAGTATTTCGCCGTCGTTTTCGGAATCAAAAGTCCAGCTTCATGCCCAAACCGCCAGGTCCAGGCTTTGTCAACCCTGAATTCCACCGAAGAGGCGAGCTTGACTTGCGCAGTTGCCAATGCGATCCCCATTGCCTCGGATGTATTCAGGTTGAATACCAGAGCTTGGTAAGATCGAGTTGAAGGATTCGCAGAGCTTGCGGCGTTTCTAGATGCGCGCTGGAAAACAGTGGAGAGCATTGTCAATGTCAGGGATGAAGCCGCAAAGAGTCTAAAGACCAAGCGAGCTCTACTATAGGCTTTAATGTCCGTGGACATTTAACATCGACGGAGCCACGTTGCCTGCAGAGCAGCATAGACCCAAGACTGCGGATGCAGGCAGCGGCAAGGCTCAAATGTTGCATGTTGGATCATCAGTTTGTGTATGTCTTCCGCCTCTGGGGTCAATATTACATAGGTGTAGGTCGGCGTGCTACGCTGAGCTGGAGAGAGTGAAGCCATCGAGATATCTGAGTCTACTGGACAAGGGACGAATTTCACAGAAGTCATACTCCAGACGAAGCAGTTGTTGTGATAATCACGGCACGGGAAAATAGTTACTCCATATTCCACGGCGTGTCAGGAAAACATCTTCGATTCATTGGCCCTTGGCTGCCCCTCGAATCCACTCGAAGTGTGTCGCCTCATACGGGAGTACTGTAGTTACATCTGCTACCCAGTCTGCGTACGAAAGAAGCATTTGGCCCTCGACTTTTGGACCTCCATGTATTACTTCTAGACCAGAGCTCTTCGAATACGATTCACGCAATCTTCGCTCTTGCTTTCTTAGCATGTGAAACTCATCCCCCACCGAAACTGCTTCGGGCTGCCATGGCAACCTCCATCATCGATATTCAACGAAATGTTATCCTAGACACCATCCGGGCCACGAGCGGCCGCGATTGGAAGGTGCTCGTTTTGGACGACCAGAGCAGTCGATTGGTCTACAATGTCACAAAAGAGGATGATATCCTCAATGCCAACATCACGAACATCGAGCGCATCGAAGATCGCAGGCAGACACTTACGGATACAGACGCCATATACCTCCTTTCCCCTCTCCCCCATATCGTCGAATGCCTAAAGGCAGATCTCAGTCGAAAGAGATATCGTCGAGCACATCTGATCTGGACATCGCAGCTGCCGCGACATCTCAGCGAGGAGATCTTCCGCTCTGAAACACGAGCTCGATCGATTATCGAAAACCGCAGTCTTAATATCGACTTCTTCCCCCGAGAAGCCAATCTCATCACATTCAGAGAACCATGGAGCTTTCATGTCCTCTACCACCCGGCTTGCGACGCGCTGGTTAAGAACCACTTGGATGCATTGACCCAAAAGATCGTGTCGATATGTGTCTCGTTGGGCGAATACCCGATGATCAGGTTCTACAAGCCCAGGGACAGCGAGCGCCACCCTGCCGATGTGCTATGCTATCATCTAGCAAGTTTTGTGCAGGCAGCGCTCGACAATTATGCCCGCGATGAACGGAACGAATTCCCCCCTCAGACGCAATCGACTCGTCCTCGAGCAGTGCTCTTGATCACGGCCAGATCGATGGATCTCGTGTCCCCATTCGTTCACGAACTCACCTACCAGGCAATGGCTATGGACCTGCTGCCAATTAGAGACGATGAGGACAAGATCACGTATAGGAATGTCATCAGACGCGGCCAGCCGGACCAAGAAGAAAAGGATGTGGAGATTACAGACAAGGATAATCTCTGGGTTTCGCATCGACACATGCATATGAAGGATCTGTTGATAGAACTCAGCGACGCCTTTCGAAAGTTCCAAGCGAACAATCCCCAATTCGCAGACACCGACGGGCAGCCCGCTAGCATCAACACCATAAAAGACATGTTGGCTGGTCTCCCTGAATTTCAAGAAGGCAAAGAGGCCTTCTCGCTACATATTGACATGGCGGAGAGATGCGCAAAGATATTTGCAGACCACAAGTTGTTGGATGTGGTCTCGGTCGAGCAATCCCTTTCCACCGGTTTGGACGAAGATCAGAAGAAACCTAAGAATCTGGCCGACCAACTTGTGAAGCTCTTGGACGATGACAGCATCATTCACGAAGACCGGGTGCGCCTTTTGATATTGTATATTCTGTACAGACACGGCATATTGCGAGGAGATATCGAGAAACTACGTTGTCATGGTCAATTGTCACCGGTGGACGGCGAAATAATCTACAACCTCATCACTCTCGGTGCGAGGGTCGAGAAGCAGCTCAAAGACACAACAGGCCCCCCAGCACCATTGTTTCCACCTCGACTGAAAGAAGCAAGTATCAGTCCTGAAGAAGTCAGCCTGTCGCGATTCGAGCCGGCGTTGCGCTATATGCTAGAAGATCAATGCCAGGGCACACTTGACCAAACCGTTTTTCCACCTGTCAAACCACACCTCAATGACCCGAACAGTCAAGGCATGGGAGCACAAACGTCACTCCGCAACGCGGGAAAACCCACCTGGGCACAGACACGCTCTCAGTCGAACAAACCGCGTCAACGAATCATTGTCTTCGTTGCAGGCGGAGCTACATACTCAGAAGCGCGTGCCTGCTATGAGGTCTCCCGTATGGCTGGTAAAGAGGTCTTTCTCGCGACAACACACATGATTACGCCCAAAAACTTTCTGAGACAAGTGAGTCTGCTCAGCTCTGGTCGGAAACAGCTTGACCTACCACTTGATCGCACCCAGCCGAAGTTACCGGCATGGATGTCAGAGCCTCCACCACAGGCTCAGCAGCCAAGACCTCCAGGCGCCGGTGTGAATGGAAGCGGCATGAGGTCGACGACCGATGCGATGGCCAGGTTGAATGTTAGTGGAGGACCCAGGCCAGAGAAGCCTAGGCCTGACAATGGGATCCGCCCCGGCGTCGGGACAAGTCCATCCAGACCACAGCAGCCTGGTTCCGCGCCCGCCCCATACCAGAATCCTCTGGCGCCAGGCAGAGATAGTGCAAGTCATGGAAAGCTGAAGAAGGACAAAAAGCACCTGGGATTATTCAAGAAGCACTAGCGCCTGCTTCAGGGACAATGAAGCAGATTTGGAGGGTTCTCTGAATGCTTGCCTTTGCGCCTTGCCTTTTGCTGCATTGAAATGACATGACTCGAGTTTAGCGTGGCGTCGGTGTTGAAGTCGCGGTGTTGGTTGTTGGAGCGTGACTGAAGCCAACCATTTTTTCCCATACTGGATACTGGAACGGCGACAGGGCCACATGCATAGGAAATGTCTATTCGTACCGTGTCGATATCAGCCCAAGGTTGCGTGTGGTATGACTGATGCGGATTTGAATAGTCAACTCAACTATTCGGCCCGAGATACTGTTCGAGATCAGGGCCGTAGAAGGACTTTCTCAGTCTCTCGGCTCTCTTTTTCGCCTCTTCGGCCTGTAAACGGACTTTTTTGGCGTCTAGTCTGACGACCTTGTCCTCCTTCTTGCCCGCGGTCCGTTTCTTAAGTATTGTTGCCTCGTCCTCTTCCTGCCGTTCACGCAAGCCTTCTGTATCGTGCTTTTCCTTGGGCTTGATGGGAATGCGGATGCCCTCGTTGCGGGCGCCGATTCCCAGACGGGAGTCTGGATCCCAACCGTAGGACTCTAGGTACTTGACGCCGAGGTGGGTACGGTCAAGGTGGGACGGAGGATTGACGTGGGCAAGGCAGAGTTGGTGGGCCAGCGTGGATTCGTGCTGGTCAAGCGACGTTATCGGATTGTTGCAGACCTTACACCGAGCAGGGCCCAGCCCAGGAGGGGCGGAGGAGGAGCGATCTGGCAGAGACTGTGAGTCCTTTGGTAGGACGATGGAGAGGTAGCGAGAGGCAATGTCGACTGGCTGCGGTTGCGGGTTTGAGAAGGTGGGCAGAGAGGATTCGGATGCAGACGACGCTGGTACGAAGGCGATTCTCTTGCGTTTGATGCCGGCTCCGAAGACTCGCTGGTCCTGAAGTGGGATGTGGTAGTCTTCGCCGTCGTCTGACATAGTGTGTGATATGGTGATGGGCTCTTGAATTCGGGTGTAGATAATGCGAAAGTTATGTACTCGTATGATGGATAAAGTACATGAATTCAACTGCGGGATGTGGCGTCATGCTTACCTTTTGAGGAACGGGTCCAGGCTCATTAGGCTCACCAGGCACCGCTGCGCTGCTATAGGCGCGTTGGGCGGCCACTAGCAAGCTTATTCTGGGCCTAAGAACGCCTACAAGTTGGCCTGCAGTCTCCGAAACAGAAAAAATTAACGTATTCCAACATTTCAAACTCAGGGACAAGTCAACATGCCTATCCCTCTGCTGGCGGAGGGCTTCGGGCAAGGATGGTCCAGCATCCCGCATCTCGGGACCGCTTTACAGGCCGCAGCAATTATCGGGGTGGTGACGCTGTTGAAGTTGTACTTTGGAGGAGCAAAATGTCGGTCGGAAAGGGTCATGCATGGGAAAGTTGTCATGGTCACTGTCAGTATAAGTGCATCTGCCTCCAGCTGGAACTGTTTTGCTGACCGGTTGTCAGGGGGGCACATCAGGCGTCGGTGCTGCAGTCGTGCAAGAACTGGCCTCTCGAGGAGCCCAGATCATCCTCCTCACACACCACGCTCCCTCCGACCCGTTCCTGGTTGACTACATCGAGGATCTGCGGACCGTGACGAACAATGAGTTGATATACGCTGAACAAGTCGACCTCTCTTCCCTGCACTCGATACGAGTCTTTGCGACAAAGTGGGTGGACAATGCACCGCCGAGGCGGCTGGACATGATCATCCTCTGTGCGAGTGTCGAGACACCATATTTTGGCACGGGGCAGAAGACCATGGACGGGCTCGAGGCTGAGTGGATGATCAACTATCTCAGCACTTTCCACCTGTTGAGTATCCTCTCGCCAGCTATAAGGGCACAGCCCCCGGATCGCGATGTCAGGATACTGTTCAGCACTTGTAGCAGCTACATTGGTGGGAAGTTGAACTTGAAAGGGACAGAATCCGCCACAAATTCAGGGGCTACTTCCTACGCACGGAGCAAACTTGCGACAATGACGTTTGCTTATGCATTCCAGAAGCACCTCGATTCTTACAAGAGGCCCGACAATGCGAATAACAACGCTAGGGCCTTCATCGTTGACCCTGGATTCTGCCGGACCCCGGGTATGAGAAGATGGCTTTCCGGGGGGCTCATATGGGGTCTCTTGCTATACCTCGTGACTTACCCATTGTGGTGGCTGGTTCTCAAGTCGCCTCATCAGGGCGCGCAGAGCTATCTCCTCGCTGCGATGGAAGCCGAATATGGACGAGGGGTGGGTGGCAAGATGATCAAAGAATGCCGCGAACTCGAACCTTTCAGGCCAGATGTCAAAAAGGAAGATGTTGCCAAGAAGCTCTGGGAGTTCAGCGAGAAACAGATTGAGCAGCTGGAGAAAGAAGGTGCCGTTAAACGAGCTCTAGCAAAGAAGGAAGCAGAGCAGCAGCAGAAGAAGGACAGTAAAGCTTCTGCTGATGCTGGCACAAAAGCTCCTGGCCCAGCTGGAAACAAGGAGGCCACTCCTGGATCAAGGAGAAGCCGCAAGGCGAAATAAAGGCATCCAGTGCGAAGAGATGTCGATGATACATCGATGGTTTGGGAAAAATGAATCGATCTTTCCTCGCAGATTTTTGCCAGGGCCTCGACTCAGGGCATGGTACTCCTGAATCTTGTGATACATGGACTCTCCCCTGGTATTATCCCAAGTCAGCAACAAGCAGATCGCACCGACAAGTCTCACTCCTAGACAGTCATGTCCGTCAATGTCTTCAATTCTTCGAAATGCTGTATGGCCAAGATTTGAATTCCTTTGGCCCCGCTCGAGCGTCTGGCGGAAAGCAATTGCTCTTCTAGTGTATAAAAGCATCCTTCGGCAGAGCTCAATCTCACAACAAGTCAAGCGGTGTCACTCCGCAGACACACGGAAGAGGAAGTGCATCCAATCATGAGCACGGCAAATCCACCTTTTCGCTGTTGATGGAGACAATGAACATCGTAGTCGCGGTGCTGATTCCGCACTCGCTCTACATTCAGATGGCGGAATGTTTGGCGTTTCCCCATGTTTCCCCGCCGATGCATACAGTACAATTCCGTGGAGTCAAATGTCTACCAGACTCCCAGGCCTGCGTTGTATCTGCCGTCCCGGACATGTCCCATATATCTAGGCCAAAGATATCTGGAACATAGTTTCATCCTCCGCTGTTCCTCAATCCTCTCGTTTGACTCACGGTACGCCACCATGATCATCGACAAAACCCTCTCATTGATCTTGGCTAAAGCCCAGGACACGCCTGTAACATTCGTCGCATACTTCACGGCTGCTTCCGCACTGTTATATCTCCTCCTTACCGAGATCCAGAGAGCTTCGGTGCGAATTTCTGGTTTTAACGGGCCCTCGGGGCTTCCGATGATAGGCAACATCCACCAAATCCGTGTGAACGCAGCAGAACAGTACCGACAATGGGCCAAAAAGTACGGCCCCGTCTACCAAATCATGCTCGGCAACGTACCTGTCATTGTGGTCAACTCGGCAAAGTCAGCACGAGAGATCTTTGGCGCAAACTCGCAGGCCCTGGCTTCGAGACCCGAGTTCTACACATTCCACAAGGTCGTCAGCTCCACGTCCGGCACGACCATTGGCACAAGCCCATTCACTGAGAGTTTGAAACGTCGCAGAAAGGGCGCTGCCAGTGCTCTCAACAAACCCAGCGTGGCCACATACATTCCACACATCGATGTCGAGACACGAGACTTCCTCAACGAGTTCTTGACCTATGGCGACGGAGGCCGCAAGCCCGTGGACCCGATGCCCATGATCCAGCGCTTGTCTCTGTCCCTCGCACTGACTCTGAACTGGGGCACGCGCATGGCGAGCCAGAACGACGAGCTATTCGGGGAGATCACGCACGTCGAGGAGGAAGTGTCCAAGTTCCGCTCGACGACGGGCAATCTGCAAGACTACATTCCCCTCCTGCGTCTGAATCCGTTCAACTTTGGCAGCGCCAAGGCACGCGAGATGCGCCGCCGGCGCGACGTCTACCTCAAGAAACTCAACGACGACCTCGACGACCGCATGGCCAAGGGCACGCACCAGCCGTGCATCCAAGCGAACGTGATCCAGGACAAAGAAACGAAACTCAGCCACGAGGAGCTCGTGTCAATCAGTCTCACCATGCTCTCTGGTGGCCTGGACACTCTCACGACGCTGGTGGCATGGAGCATGGCGTTGTTGGCGCAGCGGCCCGAGATCCAAGACAAGGCGCTCAAGGAGATCCGTGCCGTCTACAACGAAGAGCAGATCCTGTGCGACGCCAACGACGACCAGAGCATCCCATACATCGTAGCGCTCGTGCGCGAGCTGCTGCGCTACTACACCGTCCTACGACTTGCGCTCCCCCGCGCCACGGTCAAGGACGTCGTGTACAACGGCCACACCATCCCGAGCGGCAGCGTGGTGTTTTTGAACGCGTGGGCCTGCAACATGGACAGCGAGGTATGGGAGGATCCCGAAGTGTTCAGGCCCGAACGATGGCTCGAACAGCCCGACGCCCCCATGTTCACCTATGGCCTGGGCTACCGCATGTGCGCGGGCAGTTTGCTGGCCAACCGCGAAATGTACACCATCTACCTGCGCCTGTTGAGCGCGTTTGAAATCAGGGACCTCAAGGCCGTGGATGGCGGAGAGATAAACACGCATCCCGTCGACGGCGTCATTGATCCCACGCAGCTCGTCAGCGTGCCGAAGCGGTACACGGTGAGGGTGGTACCGAGGGACGAAGCTGGGTTGAGAAAGGCCCTGGATGAGTACGAGGACTAGCGTTGTTGATAGGTCACCGTCAAAGTGATTATGTTCAATGTTTTAAGAAGTTGGCGTGGTGAAAAACGCCTGCACGGCTAATTAGGAGAGCGGCTGAAGCGACGGCGTGTGCGTAGATAGATGGAGGTTACGATGCTCTCAAGTGTTGCATGAGCAGGCTGATGCTCCTGCCAGCGAGAGTGTATATAATGCACCGGAACATATCGATCTATCCCGACGCATCTCGTACTGTGTCTTCACACATTGAAACTTCTCCTCTATTTTAGCGTGCACAGCGATGCTGTTCGATCCATCGGACGCATCTACTGCAAGGTGACGAGAAATCCGTTTGCCCTCTTAGAATGGCATTGTACCAAAAAGAAAAGTGGCCCACGAGATCTCTTTGCAGTCATCAGAAGTCTATTCGGTTGGACCGCGAGATGCACTATCTAAATGGCCCCATCCCCCTCCCCCTCCCCCTTTATTCTGGTTCTAATTCTAGTTCTAATCTATACCGAAGAAAAGAATCATAAAAAGCCGGAGATCAAAAAGGCCACGCCATGCGACACAGGTGCCCGCCCACGATGGATCAAGCACGAGCCGTTCCGTGTCTCGGACGATTCGCACGCAAGCAGAAGGGTGTCGGAAACGTCTACTCTAGTGGGTGGTGGGTCTCATTTGCTCGCCGTGCTCGATCGAGTAGGTGCGGTGCTTCTTGAGGCCCTCGGCGGCGATCTTCTTGACGGTCTTCCTGCCGTGGTAGATGTCCTGGGTCTCCTGGAGGATGGTCTTCCAGGACTCGAACTCGGTGAAGGGGATGCCCTCGCGCTCGCAGTAGGTGATGAGGTCCTGGCCGGCGCGGGCGAACAGCAGGTCCGTCTCGCGGGCGGCGCTGAGGTCGCTGACGCCGTCGCCGGCGTACAGCAGCGTCGGCCGCTCGTCGGGGGCCATCTTGGCGATGGCGTCCGCGTAGGGGCGGATGGTCAGCGACTTGTCGTGGCCGAAGCCCGAGTCGTCGTGGAACTTGATGGTCCAGCCGTCGGCGACGTCGAGCGAGTTGCCCGGCGCGCGGAGCTGCGTCTCGTTGGCGACGATCTCGATGTCCCGCATCAGCTCCTCGCCGAGCAGGTGGCGGAGCAGCGTCTCGATGACGGGGATCATGCCCGAGCTGAGCACCACCACGGGCACGTCGTGCGCCCGCGCCCACACCATAAAGTCCCGGAAGTGCGGGTCGAGGCTGATGTTGTCGCGCAGGATCGACAGCACCTGCGGGAACGGCATCTTCCACGAGTCGAGCATCTTCTGGAACGTGTTGCGGAACGTGTCGGTGTTGTCAATCACCGCGTGGAAGAGCTGCCGCCGCTCCGCCTTGCCCATGCCATAGTTGTCGGTGATGAAGTCGTTGGTGTCTTGGAGCGTGATCGTGCCGTCAAAGTCGGTGAAGAAGATTACGCGAGGCTTCGCGTTGAGTGTCTCTGGGAAAGGCATGGTGGAAATGAGGTCTGGCAACGCCTTGGACGGGTTGATGGGGTTGGTCTATGTCGTATATGTAGTATATACCTGATATGTTATAACTGGCAATGGCGTGCAGGAGCCAACTCCTGGACGATGGCGACGGAAAGATTGACTCCGGGTGTGGGTTGTGCGTGTTGGAAACAGAGAGCTCTAGTCTATCGCTGGGAGAGAAACAGAACAAGCGCCCCGTAGAGGACAGAGATTCGAATGCACTCCGACAACACCCACTTCTTGGGAGACCCAGTTCTTTCAGATATTTTTCTGCTGGGGATGCGGCCAAGTCAGATACGAGTACATACGGTACTGGCAAGACTCGGTGCGGGACTCCGTACCTGGAGGGAAATCCCGCCATGACGTCGGCCGGCGCTCGGCGTCGCTCCGTGTTCCTTTCGGTCGCCCGACTTGCCCTTTGCGTCCACGGGCTTCCACTACGAGCACCGTCAACAGCTGCGTTTTCTGCCGAGGCGAGCAGCAGCAACAGTTCTGTGGATTGGGCTTGGTGAGGGTATTCCCCGGTGCTGCTCGAGATGCAGCAAGCTCCCTTGCGCCTGTCACAGACGCTATGGTCTGCCTTTCGAGCTGCAAAGCCCGCTCACAGACCACTCCCGCAGCAATTTTCCTGTGCTGTTCGACACTCCCCGCAACGATGGAGCTGCCGCAGCTCAGGTATAGCTGTTCACGCCCGGTTTTATAGCGACTCGAGACCAGAAATCGAGCGGAAAGTGGAAGAAGCCAAGTCACGGATCGAAGACAGTCTCGACGCCCGGGCAGACCATGCTGTCGAAGGTGAAAAGACTCTCAAGGACGTTCGAGATGAGACCATCGTCCACACAATACCCGAGTCCTCCTCGATTGTCTACGCCAAGGCACCCGAGGAGCGGACCACTTCGAAGTCTACAGATTCGCCTTCCTCAACGGACAAGAGCCTGCCCTCCGACTTTTCCTCTCGCTACTCCTCCATCAGGAGACGATTTACCGATTTCATGGACAATTTCCAGACACACGTCTTTGTCGCTTCCAGGAGGCTGAACGATCTGACAGGATACTCGGGCATAGAGGAATTGAAGCACGAGATTGAACACCAAGAGTTGGTGGTACAAGAGTCTCGCAGGGCAGTCAAGGAAGCACGTGCCAAGTACAGCGAAGCCATAGCCACTCGGAGCCAGACGCAACGAGAAGTCAATGACCTACTGCATCGAAAGCATACATGGTCAGCTGCAGATCTCGAACGCTTTACGAGTCTTTATCGATCTGACCATGCCAATGAGCAGACCGAAGCCGCAGCGCAGAATGACGTTCATGACGCTGAGGCAAGGTACGAAGAAGCTTCCACAAAACTTGCCCGGGCCATCCTGGCGCGGTATCACGAAGAGCAGATATGGAGCGACAAGATCAGACAGATGTCCACGTGGGGGACTTGGGGTCTGATGGGTCTCAACGTACTGCTGTTCGTCGTGTTCCAGATAGCAGTCGAGCCGTGGAGACGGAAGAGACTGGTCAAAGGATTTGAAGAGAAGGTCGAGCTCGCGCTGAAAGAGAGAGACGGAGGGAAGATCACTCCCACAGCCGCAACCACAACCCCAGCCCTGGAACCCAATGGTACAGGCGCGGCATCAGCAATGTCCACAGCTGAGAAAGTCGAAGCCGTCGCGGACAACATTGCCGAGCAGATAGTCGACGCAGTGTCTGGCACTACTGCAGAGCGACCCGAGGAGCCTGTCGCTTCACAAGCGGCCATAGAAGAAGCTGCTGAACAGGTAGCTACTCAAGAATTAGCAGAGGAGGAAGTCGCTCAAGGCGCACCGGAGACAATTATCCCCGAAGAGCCAGTGCTCGAACCCTCTCCCGTTCAGAGAGTGCCAGTGGAATCACGCTGGGTTTCCCCTGACTCGCCGTTGGCCTGGTACGAAGACGCCGTCCGCACGCGGTGGAACGACGAGCAGAAAGTCACGCTCAGCCAACGCGAGTTGACCACTGTTGCCATGGAAGGCGTGGCGGGTGGTATGGCTCTCATGGGCCTTTTATTCGTGCTTTTGAGACCGAGATAAGAGGCAGACGGTTCTGGCGGAGCTTTCCACAGAAGGGAGAGGGCTCTACCGCGCCTCTCACTTTTACTTCACTGTATATACTTGTAAAATAAAAATAAGATGGTACAGAAGCTTCCTTGCAGTATACCTGGTGTCGGCGTGTTGGTGCTGCTGTAACAAAAGAGTTCGACTGCATGAGTAAGAATCAAGTTCGTACATCTTCCTTTTCATCAGGAAGAAAAACCACGATGATCAGGTGAGTTCGACAGCTTTTTGTTGCGCATACGTGACTCGATTTCAGCTGGTATTTGATTTGATAGTGTTTTCTGGTCTCTACCACACAACTACCTCCACGAGTGTTGGCCACCAGTATAATACTCCTTCTCTAATATGTACAGAAGCTAGCTTTCTGTGATCTTGCGGGAACGCAATGACCCCAAGACAAAGCAAATCTCACCAGAGCCACAAAAATTGTCAGATCTCTCGTTTTCCAGTTTAACCAATGACAAGCTTGTCGTCTTCTGGGAAATCGTACTCGGGGATCTCCAAGTTCAGAGGCGCCGGTCCTTTCCTCACACGTCCAGAGATATCGTAGTGCGAACCATGGCACGGGCAGAACCAACCCCCAAAGTCACCGGCTTCACCAATGGGCACACAACCCAAGTGAGTGCAGACACCCAACATGATCAGCCATTCGGGCTTCTTGACACGGTCTTCGTCTTTCTGAGGATCACGGAGGATGGAGAGGCTACAGGAGAGAAAAAAGAGTAACACGTTAGTGGATTTCTTGTGCAGGACTCCCCAGACTCAGGCTGCTTGCTGCCCAGAAGAAAAGAACCAAGATAAAGTAAACGTACTTGACAGATTCGGCCTCCTTAATCTCGTCTTCTGTTCGGTGACGGATGAAGACGGGCTTGCCTCGCCACTTGATAATCACGTTCTTGCCCTCTGGGATGGAGGCAAGGTCGACTTCAACCTTGGCCATGGCCAGGACATCGGCGGATGCGGACATGCTGAGTAGGAAGTCTGTTCGATCCCAAAAGAAAAAAGACTCGGTTAGCTTTGTCTGTTATTTCTACCTTTGGGGTGATGGTCATCGCCCGTTTCCAAGAACTGAGCATGCGTACCTTGTACGGTGTTCTTCGCGCCAGCTGCAGCGAGCAGTCCCATCGATCCGGCCATGAAATAGCTGAAGACTCGGTTCGTGACTTCAGAGTTCCCAGAGGTGTAGGCCTTGAAGCTTGGAATCTTGGTGGTGTCTTTCTTCCCGGCCGCTTTGAAGGGGCTCTGGAAGCTCGATGATGCCGTCGCACTGCTTTCGCTCGACTGCAGCCGTCGCTGGGAACTTGGGGAGGAAGCTGTGGTGGCGGAGGCCGAGGCCAGACGGGAGGATGGGGATGTCGACGTTGGGAGGGAGTGTCGGGTCCAGCTGCGCAAGGCAGAGCCTGCGGAAGCTGGGACTGGACGCATTATGGCGGATAGTGAGTAGACAGGGATTGTGGTTGACGAGGTCGAAGCTCGAGATTGAAGGTTTGTTCAATTAATGCTGTGATCGAAGTCGCAGAAGCAGCACCTCCATTTTCGGCTTAGCGTCGAATGATTTTATGCGTCGGCTGTGATTGGTCGTGCCGTTCAGCACCAACCATGTCCCCAAGACGCACTCTTCCCTCGCAATGTCTTTTCAGCTGACACCAGGGCCGTCACGGTATGTCAAGGACTTGATCGGAGGCACGTTTGCGGGGATAGCACAGTGACTACGTATGGAATCGATTTGACAACGATGGCAGCCAAGCCCAGTCTATCAGCACAGCTGACTGATCCTTTCAAATCTTCCAGCAACAGAGGTGACGCGCTATAGAACTGCTCATGTTATGAAATACCGGTGGTACCAAAAATGCTCCGTATTCATGCTGCCTCTGAATTTGTTACGATTGTACAATGTATTCATACTTCATGTTTCCGTGGAGCGCCGTGGAGCGGAATATGCTGACAGCCCCTGTAAGCCAACCGGGAAAGCAATCGTATCCAACAGTTACCCATTCATTCAGTCATCTCGATATCTCGAATAGGGTCATGGTGACTGTGATTTCTCGAATGTGCTGATCTGTGAGCAATTGGACTACCAGTGATATTGTGCGCCGAACCATTGACACCGTTCGTGCCATTTAAACTCTGGTTCTTCATCATGGTATCTATCGACAGCGTACTACTGTCTCCGTTGGCGGCATTAGATGTAGCTCCGGCAGCCGAAGCAGCTTTTGCTGCCGCCTCTTGGGCTTTTTCTTCTCGAAACTGGCGATAAGTTTTGGTCTTTGGGACCGTGTCTGACAAAAACTCAAGATTGTCGATTCTCGAGATCGCGGTCGCTTGGGGAGCGTCAGATCAGACCTGACAGCAATCGTTCCAGACAACGACTTACCAATGTCTTTATATGCTAGAGTTTTCCGTGGTTTCCGTTCTGACTTGACCACGTTGTATGACTGCTCAGCTAGATATCGTATGAAGTTCTCCTATAGAATGGTCAACTCTGTTAGATGGATCTCGATGGAAGGGGACAGACTGTCGCCACTGAGATTGCAAAGGCTGCTGTAGTCGAACATTGCGCGATATCATCGTCCATCGCTATGATTTTCTTCACTCTCGCAACTAGAAAATGTCAGTGCCAGGGTATACTAGAAACCTCAATCTATAACTAACGAGGCAGCACAGATGTGCCGGTGATCTCCTCTGGTGGTTCGATTGGCGCATTGTTGTAAGGCATGTTCGACCAGAGAACTGCTGTGATCTCAACCGGATATAGAGTGTTCTTTGAAAACCTCTCAGTTCTTGACGGCAGCCACGCAAGTAGGGAGGCGCCCTGGTGTGGTGAACGGGTGAAAAGGGTCTGGACGCGTCAATTATGATTCTCTGTATATTGCGAATTCATCTCCAAGACAGTTTTGCGGCTTGAAGAGTAGAAGGACGCGAGAAGATGGTCGCGTCGAGACAGTCCTATGTCAATGTTCTCGGCGGACGGCGTATTTAGTCCCAAAACGGAAAAAGCGATCGTTGGGAGGCCAGTTCGTTCGATATTGCGCAGCCTACGCTATACCCGTACAACTCTCCTCGACCGGCTTCTCGCAGTGCATATGTTGCATACCTTCTATGTCGGTCATGATAGATGATCCAATGTTATGACCACCTCCGCTGCACACGCCATCTCAGCGCGTCGTCTTTCCAGGCGCCGATCCACGGCGTCCAGTCTTGAACACGGAGTGCCTCTTCCACAGATCACGCCTACCGACCATGATATCACAGAAGAGATTGCGGAGATCAAACGATACGAAGACTTTACTACAATAGATTGGGTCCAGGATGCGGCCCAAGAACAGTTGCGGAGGCGGGCTAGGCGGAAAGAATCCAAGTTCTTCGAAAGAGACGGAGTATTGGGCTGGCGTCGGAGAGTATGGGATTCCTACGATGCAGCACAATCATGGATTGTTATAACACTGGTCGGCGTGGTTATCGGCTTCAACGCCGCCGCTCTCAGCATTGTGACGGAATGGCTCTCGGACATCAAAGTAGGTTATTGCACGACGGCATGGTACCTCAATGAAGGCTTCTGCTGTTCTGGTTCCGACGAAGGCTGCGACCAGTGGAGGCGATGGAGCTCATTCGGCATCGTCAATTATTTCATTTACGCCATCTTCGCCGTCCTACTGTGTACCGTATCGGCGTTCCTGGTCAAGAACTATGCCCCGTATGCTGCAGGATCGGGCATTTCAGAGATCAAGTGCATCATTGCGGGATTTATCATGAAGGGGTTTTTGGGTTTCTGGACGTTTCTGATCAAGTCAATCTGTCTGCCACTTGCCATCGCATCTGGTCTATCAGTCGGCAAAGAGGGTCCAAGTGTCCACTACGCAGTTTGCGTCGGGAATGTGATATCACGGTTCTTCGACAAGTACAGACGAAGTGCCTCGAAGACCAGAGAGATATTGACCGCAACAGCAGGAGCGGGAGTGGCCGTGGCCTTTGGAAGTCCTATTGGGGGAGTCCTGTTCTCCCTAGAGGAGATGGCGACACACTTTCCGCTCAAGACACTCTGGAGGTAAGTTTTTGTTTTTGCCTAGTGGATTTATCTGATTCTAACATCACTCTAGGAGCTATTTCTGCGCACTTGTTGCGACGGCAGTTTTAAGTGCCATGAACCCCTTCAGAACGGGGCAACTTGTCATGTTCTCTGTCAAATACGATAGGGATTGGCATTTTTTCGAGGTCATCTTTTACATCATTCTCGGCATATTTGGCGGACTATATGGTGCATTTGCTATCAAGTTCAACCTCAAAGTCCAGACTTTTCGAAAGAGGTACCTGGCGAAACACGGTATCCCGGAAGCCGCCATACTTGCCGGCGTCACGGCTCTTCTCTGCTATCCGAACATGTTCTTGCGCATTGAGATGACAGAGATGATGGAGATGTTGTTCCGAGAATGCGAAGGGGGCTATGATTATCACGGCCTTTGCGAAAAGAAAAACAGATGGTGGCTCGTCGTGTCACTGGCAGTTGCAACAATCATGAGAATGCTTCTGTTCGTCGTCTCATATGGATGCAAAGTCCCTGCTGGCGCATTTGTGCCATCGATGGCTATCGGAGCTTCGTTCGGAAGAATGCTAGGGATCATCGTCCAATGGCTGCACGAATCCTTTCCAGATTCGCAGTTTTTCTCGACGTGTCAGCCTGACGTGCCTTGCATCACCCCCGGGACCTACGCTTTTCTAGGCGCCGCAGCAGCTCTCAGTGGCATTATGCACCTGACAATTTCGGTTACCGTCATCATGTTTGAGCTCACCGGGGCGTTGACATACATCCTTCCCACGATGATTGTGGTCGGCGTTACCAAAGCCGTCGGAGATCGATTCAGCAAAGCCGGCATAGCTGATCAGATGATCTGGTTCAATGGCTTTCCATTCCTCGACAACAAAGAAGAGCACACTTTTGGTGTAGCCGTATCAAAAGTCATGACCAGAACCATGAGCGTGCTGTGTTCGACAGGAATGGAAGTCAAAGCTGTTCAGAAACTGCTGAATGACACGACCTATTCTGGATTTCCGATTGTCGAGGACGAGGATGCGAGGATCCTTATCGGCTATATCGGCAGGACTGAACTTCAATTTGCCATCGACCGGGCCAGAAAACAAGGCGTGATCGCGCCAGACACCAAGTGTGCATTCACCGCCGATCGAGAGGAGGACAATGCGGAAACGGCGGCACCAGTAAGCCCAGCCACCACCTTTGATTCTCTGCCTCTATACACAGCCGACTTTAGCGCATTCGTCGACCGGACGCCCATCACAGTTCATCCACGTCTTCCCCTCGAGACGGTCATGGAGTTGTTCAAGAAGATGGGTCCACGTGTCATTCTCGTCGATCATCATGGCCGTCTCGAGGGCCTTGTCACAGTTAAAGACTGCTTGAAGTACCAATTCAAGGTTGAAGCGCAGGAACACGCCAGTGCGATGAGAGACGACCAGCAAAACGGACCCAACGAGCGTTTCGCCGACGTGCTTGCGACTGTTTACGACTATGTCGTTGACAGGATCAACAACCTGTCCCGGGGCAAGTTGAGACTGAGTCCTCTGACCGAAACCGGTTGGACCAGAGTCTCTGGCCGTGATGAGAGACATGATTATGTAAATGACTATCGTAACGAGCAGGCCATTTTGGATGGGACAGAAGACGACGATCCAGAAAATGCTGATGACAGAGATGGTGTTGAGATGCATTCTAGATGAGGCAAGTAATATTATTGTACGTGCCGTACAGTGCCTCCTTTGTATATCATGGATTTTTAATACTGATGGCGATCTCACTTACGTTTCAAGATGTTTTCTTTGTTGCTTTTTCTCCAGTTGATGGTTTTCTGTGTCAGATCCGTGAAACCTACGATAATCGATCTGCCAGGCTCTTCCCCTTTCTTTCCACGACCTCAGTACTCTTGGACCTTTGGAGCTGACCATGTCGCTTTGGCGGGTTCTTTGATGTCACCACCGCCATCGCCATCTCCGTTCCTCACTTTTCTCTTTTTTTAGCCATCTGATCTCTGCCTATCACAGCCTCCTTCGCGACCATGTCTCCTCCACTGGGCAAGATCCCCATCCATCACGGCGGCATGGATCTCGACGACGCCATCCACGACACCGGTGCTGAGCATGACGTCGAGGAGATTTCCACGCCGCAGGAGCAGGCCAACGATGATATTGATGAAGATGAACGCCGATCTGCCAACCTCATCATCACCCTGGCCTCCTCCTCTTCAACTCCACCACCACCTCTTTCTCTTCTCTGTCCTTCTCCCCCTCTTCCACGAGGCCAGCGTCGCAGAACTCTCCACGACGAACTTTTGGCCATCGACGACCATCTCGAACTAGATGACGAGTCTACTCTTCTCAACGACGAGGACGACGAGGGCGACGAGCGGATCCCTTTCGACCGTGACGAGCAGAGATCAAGTACCCGTGCACACGTCGATCTGAACACGTGTCCACGAGTCTCCAGAGATGTACGATTTACGAAAACTGAGGGTGGGGGTGGGGGCGAGGAAGAGGATGAGAGTGAAGACGAGGACGAGATTCAGAGAGGACCCGAGATGGAGGGTGGGTTCGCGACGGAGACGGATGCGAAGAGTGACAGTCAGGAGACCGGGACCGGGACCGAGACCGAGGACGACAACTCTTCAGGACCAGAGCCAGAACCATTCGAGACCTTCCTCTCCCACAACGCCGCCGACCTCTCGTCATGGCACTCTGCGCACCGACGACTCTCGTCCCTCCCGCCGGACGCCGACACACACATGGCCCTCTCGCGCCACGCCGAGACTCTGTACACGTGGCTCAATGTCTCTGCGCTCCCGTACATCGATGCGCTGGAGCGATACGCGCACGAGAAGGCGGCCCTCGTCAACGGCGACGCTCTTCTGGACCACGACGATGACGCCGACGGTGAAGGCATTGAAGAACAGAAATCAGTCGTAGATGTGCTGTGCAGGGTGATGGAGGCTCTCGTCACCGAGTCCCGGCATGGCTAAAATTGTGACGGCACAACACATCGATCAAAGGGTCAACGACGACGTCAGTTGCCATATCGCCTAACAGAAACCCAAGCCGTCTTCTACCTCTCATCGTATATAGCATTCAATAACAATCGAGCTACTTCGTCATTTGTGTGTGTGTGTGTGTGTGTGTGTGTGTGTGTGTGTGTGTGTGTGTGTTTGTTTGTTTTTGTTTTTGTTCTGCCACAATCTCTGATTTCTCTCATTCTCTAAATCCCTGATTCCCATCAACATCGTCACCTCCCTAATCTGACCTCAACGACCACCATAATATCCTTGACTCTCACCTCCACCACCACCACCACCCCCATACTGATGTGGTTGCTGATAGTTGCTCTGGTATTGTTGATAACCTTGTTGCTCTTGACCGTATCCATATCCATATTCAGTTTCTCCCTGACCGCCGTATTGCTCGTAACCCGCAGGAACTTGGGGCATGGGACTAGGTGTATGCACGTTGTCTCCTCCATATCGTGTGGCATTGGCGGCCGCCTCGTACAGATCTGAAGCACCACCAGCTTCGCTTCTGAATGCTCGGTATTGGTCTGCACCGGCGTCATCATCATCACCGTCTGGATCGATTTCTCTCTTGCCCCCTCCTCCTCCTCCTCCAAATGAACCGAGGAGTTTGCCGTATTTCTGAACATTCGAAGCTCCGGGAACATGCATCTTCGAAGCCAGAGAGAGCACTCCGTCTAATCCTCCGCCACTGGATCCACTGTGTCTTCCCTGCTGGTGTTGTCCTCCTTGGCCAGTGAAACTCCCCAGGACATTTCCCACCATACCCAAAGGATTGCTACTACCGCCACCCCCATGTTGCTGGTTATTGCCTGGCAAGAAACTGCTGGCGAATCCCCCCAACCCGCCTCCATGACTGTGTTGTTGTTGCTGCGGTTGTTGGTGTTGGGGTGTGTAGGAACTTTGCAAATGTGGATTCACGCCAGCCTTGTGATTCTTGCCTGCCCGGACCGCTTCTGCATTCAACACACCTTCAAGGCTTCGTCCTCTATCAGGCATTCCATCTACCCAGTTTTTGACCGCGGCAAACATGTTCCGATGGATTTCGTTATGCTGGTTGCGGATTGCGGGATGGTGGAAGATTGATTCCACATCCCGCATGACCTGTTCGATGGGAACATTGGGATTTTCCCAAGCATACAAGACTCTGGGTGCGATGAACTTGACGATCTCGGCAGCCACATTACCGGCAGGTTCGTTGAGGAGGTTACTAAAATGGTCCTTTGATAGCATACTGTGGGTCGGATCGGAGGAGTGAGGGTTGGTCCAGACCTCGTATTGGTGTTTACCTGAAGAACTGATGACTCCTTCACTGCCAGTCTGGAGAGACTTTGAGATAGCGTTGATGACTGGTCGAACAAATGGAGCAAGCAGGGAAAGAATGAAGACGGTCAGTGTTTCAGTGATTCGCTCGACAAGAGCCTCGAGCCCAGGAATCTTTTCAATGATGGCACTGATAGAGCGGACAACCTTGTCACGGAATGCGAGGATAGGATAAATCTGAGCAATCGTCTTGGCTGGATCAAAGTTGGGCATCCCGGGGAGACCGGCCGGGGCGGATGACTGTTGGTGAGAAGCTTGAGAAGGAGTAGCATGCTGGCCAGGCTGTGCCTGAGGTTGGTTCCATTGTTGATCTTGTACATGTTGAGGTTGTTGATGCTGGCCCCAAGATGGTTGCGGAGCTTGCTGAGACTGTTGCCAGTTGTGTTGTCCGCCGGGATACTGACCGTGCGGATTGAATTCTTGCTGCGACGGATCTGTCCACTGCTGATGCTGGGTCTGACCCCAGTTCTGCGGAGGCTGCGTGTAACCTTGCTGTGACGCATTCCAATTGTTTTCATACCCTTGTTGACCGGGAAATCCAGCATGAGAAGCGCGGCTTGTTTCCCAATCGTCAAATCCACGTGTCGAACCGCCAAAATTGTCAACACTTCTGTAACCAGACTGCGCTCCACCAAAGCCTTGTTCATTGGCACGAGCTTGGGCTTGAGAGCTTGCTTGGAGTTGTTCAGCTTCATCACACAGTTCTTTTGTTCCTGGAACCTTAGACAAGAGCTTGACCAGAGTAAAGAGAGGATTTGAAGAATTTGCAGCTTGCTGCGCAGTCCCGAGAGCATTGTCCATCTCATTGACCTCGCTCTGTGTGAAATGATCAGTCCTGGAAGCTGTCAGTCAATTGAAGCTATTTCAGCGTGTGAGGCAGGGGAGCCCGGCATCAAGAGCGGGCTTAGACCAGGTAGTACTCACGCTTCGCCCAAAACCGAATGGTAGAAATCGACCATGCCAAATGTTCCTGTGACAAGTGGGAAGACATGCTTGCCGTGCAGAGTTATCCCAGTCGAAGTACCAACATGGGGGAAGACGTTGTGAAAGCCCATCTCTCTCAGTACGAGCTCGACATAGTTTGTATGGGCGCCAAAATCCTCCAGAGTATGCAGACCCTGACCAAAGTATCTCAATGCCTCGGCTAGTTCTTCATCCTTGCCTTTGAAGATGCCATGGCCGTTTACATATTGTCGGCCATGATGAATACTTTGCTCGAAACTGTACTTGACAAACGCAGCGCTCGTAGCCCAATCTCCTTTGCCATTGGCAATGTAATTCTTCATCCCAGTCTCCATGTCGATCTGTAGCTCCACATCACGAACAGGACCTCGAAGGCGCTTGTCAAATTGGCGAGCATCCTCGTTGTCGTTGTAGTCCTTGGGGTTGTCAATGTGTTCCTCGGGTCGATAAACACCAAGTCGCTCGGAGGTAACTTCAAACTCAGCCGTGGCGTAACCAAAGCCAAGGAAAGACAATAGCCAAACTAGAATACGGATCGTCTCTGGTTGGGCTTTTTTGAGCGCGCCAGTGTCCATGGCTTGACTATAATCTGCAAAAGATGAGTCACGCTGCCAGCAAAGGACCAAATAGGGGAGGGCAGGCTTCTTACCTCTCAACCAGTTTCCGAAGTATACACCTATGGGCCATTCAGGACTCTTGGGGACAATCAACATTTGAACAGGACTCACGTTTGATCATCATAGAGTTCCACTTATGATGTTTGATGCATGCCACTGTCTTCAGCACATCTTCAATATCTCCATGGCGCCAATTTTTGCCTTCCACGGCAGAGATTGAAGCAATATCTGTTCTCGATATGAGCTTTCAGGATATTCCCCTTGGGTTTGTTCTGCAAAGCGAGATCGCGGGGTAAACGTACTTCCAGCACCAAAGGCATGTGCACGGCACGTGAATAGCACGAGGCCAACGAGAAGAATCAAGAGAAGACTCCTGCTGAACGCCATGGCGGGTTTTGGTGGATTCTGTCAGTGACTCTAGCCACAGATGTTTAGAGCGAGCGAGAAATGATAGCAGAGAAGAAGGAAAGGAAATGGTGGACGCCGAGTGTCATCTGCCTGACCGAAGCCAAGAATATAAAGCCGCAGATCGAGTGGCCTTAGGTTGTGGACATTTTCAAATCAGGAATCAACCATTGTACTGGACTTGCTCTGGGGAGAAGTGTTTCACCCATCAGACGGCAAGAAGTCACTTCTCATGCCAGGCAGTACCGTGCACGCTGTGAAGCTTCGATGCTATGCCAGCCAGAGTGCGGCTGGAATGCCAGATGTTGTTGCGGTTTATCCCGAATGGGTAACGCCTTTTAGCTCAGCCCTCCAAAGGCGAAAGCAGGCACAATAGTTTGTCCTTGTTGGCGGGGTTGGCTTCTCAGCACTGCCACGTAGCAGCCTCTTTGCGACGATGCTGTGGCTTTGCAGTGTACCTTGCAGACCTGAAGCGAAAGCCATTTGTCTACACGACCAAAACACTCAACAACCGAGGCAACCGAGGCAGATAATCTCGGATAGGAGACTAGTACAGACGAATGGGAGCGAGAGCACATGATGGCGCATTGAACAAGAAGAGAAATCAGATTTTCAGCATCTATGACTAGAAATACACCTCATCAGAGGGTGGCATATCAAACATCCAATACTCGCTGGATAAGAAAGATTTCTCATGAAATCTCGACATCATTTTGAGGACCAACCATCAGCCATGAGAGGTGCATTTGTTTCATGCTTCAGCGTCACCATAAACCGCCCAGAGCCCAATCAAAACCGTCTGGTATCTTTGTATTCTCTTTCGTCCCCCATAGCCAACCAATAAACCAAATGTGCACGTAAACCAAAACCAAAAGCCCCAGAAACCAAAACCATGTTGTAGGCAAACACCGCCAATGATGCAGATGATAGTCGTCGTCGTCTATCGTGATCTCTTAATTTGACCTGAATATGCTCGATGAACTCCATGCTAAAACACACGTGGGTTTTTGACATCGCTGTGCCACCATACTCCCCCTGTCCCTATTCCTGTAGCTCAACAACAAAACGGCTGGTAGGATGTTAAATGTCGTCAAAGTCGCCAACCTTTCTTTCGCTCGATGAAAGGATAGATTTTCAGGTCGTCAGATACATATGTACAAAATAAAGAGGGAGAAATCATGAGTAGGGTTGTCGTTAAAAACACCGGTAAAAGCAAAGGCAGACGACCACGTCACAGACCAGCACAGGGACGATTACAGCAACACAAGCGACCCGCACGGAGAGAGCACATCAATGTCTCTTACCACCGACGGGTAGCATTGGTCTGCTGCATCATCACTGGGGAGATCGATGAAGGTGGGCTTGCAATGCGGTTGCCGGTGGAAGGGTTTACAATTGGAATGGCGTTGTTGCGAGAACGAATCGCCGATGGTTGGTGGATTTTCAGGTGATTATTGCTGTTGCTATAGGATGGTGGTGAAACATAGGCCGAGGTTGCGGTAGAGGAGAGGGAGAGCGAAGGAGTAATTTGCTGTGGTTGAATCTGAGACTGCAGGGGGGATGAATCCGGTGAGCCGCTTGACAATGAAGACCGATCAGATCCTGAAGTCACCGACTGACGCTTCTCATAGTCAGCAAAAGACGTCGGTAGGAAGAGTGTTTCAGAACCAACCTCATCGTAGCTCAGCAGGTTCGGGCAGAATTCCAGATCGTCATCCAGGTCGAAAGATCGCCCGGCCTCAAATCGTTGTCGGTAGGCCGCAAGCGTAGGGGCTTCATTGATGACCACCTCTTTCACAGCCTTGGGAGCTCGATACTGTCTCTGGTTGTTCTGAGCGGAAGAGATGCGAGGTGCTCGGCGGGAGCGGCCATGGTGGTTATGGGATTGCGGCATCGAGTGAGCGTTCTGGGCTTGGTGCTGCTGGTGACCGCCGTAGTAGAAAGTCGACATGATTGCACTTCGATCCGATTCGTAGAACCTTTTCTGAGTAGGAGACGAGAAGAATGTAGGGCGCCGTTGAGAGTCGCGGGAGGTTCGAACAGCTAATCAAAGGTGGCAAAACAATGACAAGGCGTCAGCTGATCACGGTAGGTCGGCCACAGCTGGTCTATGCTGTGCAAAGCTGCTTGATGGGAATGTCGAGGCCCGAGACAAATACAAGGATAATAAAAAGAGCAGTTGTATGGTGGCAGGTAGACTAGAGAGAGAATCGAGTTATAATCGAAGAGGCGGTGATAGCGGAAGAAGCGGTGGGATGGACGGTGGTTGACGAGTAAAGCGAGATGCGGGAAGAGAGAGGGCGGGAAATAGAAGAATGAGAGGGACGGCTGACTCTGAGGGAAGTCGGAACGGCGACTAGCAGGGCCTAGTGGGTGCGAGGGCCCCCAGCCGGACCAGTAGCCTCCATCCAGGAGCACCAGTAGCACCCAGGCACTAGCAGTAGCGCAAAAGTCACGAGTAGCGCAGGCAGGTCCGTGAGTCTGTGGCCCTTCGCGTGCTGCGCTAGTTGCCTGTCGTCGCCGGGAACAGGGACGAAAGAGCCCTCAAAGTCCCTCGTCGATCGCTCGCCACTGCCCAGCGTACTCCTCATCCCGCCCGCAAGAGACCTGCGCATCTCCCAGCACGGGAGCGGGCGCCACGGCAATATTAGCCCAGTCCACTCGACCCTTGGCTAATCTTGTTCTGGCACTAGAGCGAGCGCTTTGTGATCGAATGGAAAAACTGGCTCAGACTGCGCCCTCCTCCCCAGTCCCATCGCAGTTCCTCGCCCGCCCTCACTCTCCGAGTTCGCCTACCATCCTGGACCTGGCACCACCCTCACGTCCCATTCTCACCACTGGTCGAATCAGCGTCACCAGATGCCCTGCTTGACGTCGTCTCTGAGTTCCTAATACTGTAGGTCTCGAGTGTCAAATGAACAAACAAGAAGCTGATCCATGGTTCTGGCCCTGCAGATCAAACCACGCAACTCTCCCACCCAGCCTACGGACGTTACGAGCATTCACAGCCGCGATTGTTGGTGCTAATCGTTCCTCTGCTGCATGCTGATGTCTGCCATTCGCCTCGGACTGCTTTCGATCAACCGGTCCAGACCATCATGTTGCTGATGGTTACTCTCAACAGAAGACTAAGATCATCATCACACTCCATAGCATGCCCAATGCTTACTGTCAATCAGTGCTGCAAATGTATAAAATTGCACAGTAACCGTCTAGTCGTCCAGTGAGACCAGCAGTGTCTCAGCGGCCTGCCACCCCACAATTCGGCGGTGCTCAATGCACGACTCCTGAAAGTCACCATAATAAGCAGTGCTTCATCTCCTCCTGTCTCGGACAATCTCATCACTGTCAACAATAGCCGACGCTGGTTCTCCCGATGCACTCGTGGTAAGAATACACATCGGCGCAGAAAGACTGATTGATATTCGTGGTCTCACCACAATGACGGGCCACGAGAACAGGGCTCGTATTGCATTTGGGGAAGAAACCGGAGAAGATCACAAGCGCGGTCTCTTGTTGCCATTCACGTTCCACTGCATCTCGAGCCGAAACCATTGACGCTATGACGCACGATCCCTCTAACATTCCAATTGGCCCCTGGTCTGCCCAAAATATCCATCCAACGATCAATCTGGTCGGCCGCCATGTGTTCTCTCGCTCTTCCATTCCGCAAATAACTCGCTCGGATCATTGTTTTCCCTGCCGTGACATTCTGGAACACCCTCCATTATGTGAAGCTACACAAGTGACTAAGCCGTCCGTGGTACGATTGAGTCGTAGCTAGACACGGCTGACAGTGGAAGCTTGGTAGACATTGTGATGAACGTTCCGTAAACGTGGTGCAATAGATGTTTACCCCAACCAAGTTGAGGTATTCAAAGCTGGCATCTGAAGGATGGCAGCAAGCCACCTGCCGCCACCGCTTGATTTTCTGGAAATGAATCCGGATATGCTAACGCGATTCTGCGATCCTTCCCTCGGAGTCGACATATCTCCTGACTAGGAGCAGCATTGCTTGATAGATTCACAGGCACGGAACGCCTGTTCTCTTCATGAGACTGACGGGAACAGGTGGAAAGATGCAGACCGGATAGACACCTTGCGGAGCCCTGTCCGATCGAGGCAACTAGTGAACACTCTTTTCCTCTGTATTCCCAATACGAAGAGAATGTGGTACCGCGATGAAGAGCCCGAGGACCGAATCTGCCCAATAAACGGGTCACCAACAAGTCATTTGCTGATGACAACGAATCGCTGCTCTTCCTACACAGGCTGTTAGGCTTAAACTTGTTAGGACTAGCGAGGGGCGCTCAAAGACTCACCACTGTCAGCCTTGATAGAGGTTACGGCTGCAACATTTATACCAGAAGGTAAATTTCAGTCAGCGAGCCTTCATCATATCGCTTGGGTTGGATCTGGCTGAGATGATTGACGTCCTCCACATGCGTCGTTCGTGTGACAAAATTTTGCTCGTTCCTTATAGCAAAAGCGTTATGAGTGGTGACACTATCCACTAGCGACCATATGGCTTTGAGTCGCTTTGTGGCCAATGGAGCCTTATCTTCAGAATCGATACGAGCGAACAGAGTGCAATGGAGCGAGCTGGCTGCACGATATTCTCCGGCTGGTAATCCTCACTTTAACCTGCAAGCTTGCCTCGCCTGCAGAGACTTGGTGCCTACAGGAGTCTCGAAAATGGGTCACTACTTGGACCTTGACATCACCCTTGCGGAGATGCGACACACCGCGATGGATGGTTGCCAACGATGTCAAATTCTTTTAGAAGGCCTGAGCCATTTCGATCTTGCTGGGAGTGCTCTGATCAGGAGGATTACGACCCTCCGGCCGAGGAGGAGATTGAAATTGCTATTACACCCTACGCTGATGCCCCATTGGAGATGAGGATTGCATGGCCCAATCAAAGTCAAGATGGCCAGGGTAGATGGAAGTTCGTCGATCTCGAATTCTACTGTCATGCAGGTAAGTCAAGACACTGAGTGGTTAGTCTGAATGCATGCGTTCTTACTCTGGGCCGAGGCGACGATGCACCCTTTGAAGCTTTTCATCAGGCCCCGGAGATCCCTCAGAATTCTGACAGTGATGCCTCATTCTCCCTAATCCAGGGATGGATTGAGACTTGCTCGTCCGAGCATGATCTGTGTAATGAGGACGACGCGTGCATCGACATGCCGACCAGACTGCTCGCCATCGGAGACACAATGGAACCGAATACCGTACGACTGACGTCCGACCCTCGGCGGCCTTCAAAGTACGCAGCCCTGAGCCATTCGTGGGGCGAATCAAAGCAGCGGCTCAAACAAGTCCCGAAGACGAAGAGAGACAACATTAGGTCTCGAGAAAGAGATATCCCCTGGTCCGAACTGACCAAGACTTTTCAAGATGCCATCCTCATCGCGCGCAGACTGGGACTGGAGTATCTCTGGATTGACGCTCTCTGCATCATCCAAGATTTTGATGACGACTGGGCAATGGAAGCTTCAAGAATGGCCGCGATTTACGGAAATGCACATGTCGTGATCTCAGCCACCCGGTCCGAGACTGGAGACGGTGGATGTTTCGCCGACAGGCCTTCTAGTTTTCGGGTGCCCAGCACCTCGTGCGTCTACGTGAGAGCGACCTCCCCCCACAGAGATCTGGACAACGGTAAAGGATCGTCCTTTGGGCGATCGCCTCTACTCGACCGTGCCTGGGTCTATCAAGAGCGTCTGCTCGCGAAAAGAGTCGTGCATTACAGGGAGCATGAGATCATGTGGGAATGCAGAAAATGCGTGTGGTGCGAGTGTGGAGGCCACATTGATCGCAACTTCAAGTTTAATCTGGCGAGCCTGTTACATGACAAAGACAACATCCCGCAAAGGTATCTCGACTGGTCGCTGATTGTCAATCGGTACACAGGACGCTTTCTCTTCGCAGACGCCGACCGCCTGCCGGCGTTGTCTGGCATCGCAGGTCGCTTTCACCTCCCGGGAATGGGAAGGTACCTGGCAGGTCTCTGGGGGAACTCTATGCCGGAGTCCCTGACCTGGGGAGCATCCCGTGGCGCCGTCGGGGGTCGTCAAATGCGAAGACCGGAAGAGTATCGCGCTCCAACTTGGAGCTGGGCGTCTGTCGAAGCTGCGTTCGGCATGTACATACCCGACGACGACGACAACCCTCCAGGGTACAAATGCAGGGTCATTGCGGCAGAATGCATACTCAAAAGTCCCGATCCGTACGGTCGACTCGTAGGCGGACACGTCCTCCTCTCTGGACTCTGTTTCACGGTGATTCTGGAGCGCAGCTACGAGGACTTGAGGCCGAACCAGATTCCACCAAAGTATGTCTTACGCGTCGAGGACAGAGTGTTCGATCTCAACGAGGACGTTCCGTTGGACGATCCCAGCGCATCAGACCACGTGTCTGACGGCACGTCCCTGCTCGTGCTCGTTTTGGTTGGGAACGACGTCGTCAGGACCGTCAGCGACGAGGATTCGCGCGACGGCTACTTCAAGGGGATTGCATTGCGACGCTCAGTTCGTGACCAAGGCGCCTACGAGAGGGTTGGGAGGGTCATTGGGCCGATGGATGCAATTCTGGCAGCCACATTGGAGGAAGTTGAGGTCAAAATTGTGTGAACTTTGTACAAAGAGGTCTGACCACGACGACGAAGATAGACAATTCAGACAGTAAATCACGTAGCTACCGAATCACCCAGGTACACGAGGTGTTCCCTTGTCGCTCCGGAGTCTGTACTTGTTACATTATCATAACATCTCCGTACGCTCCTCCATCGAGAACTCACATTTGTTGTATCATGCCTACCGGAGGTGTATAATGCATTCCATTCCTTATCAGGTCAGGTATCTTGTAGGTACCCCGTATATAGCATGACATATGATAATCCTTTGTACTAAATCGGATCATCGACCTCGACTCCCCTTTTCAGTGTATTTCTGGTCTCTTCTTCACTGCTCCTTCTTCTCCTGCCGCCGCCGAGCTCATCGTCTAGCTCGACGGCGTCTCTGCCCAGCAGCCTAGCGGCCTCCTCCTCCTCCTCACCATCATCTTCACTTTGACGGATCGCTTCGTCCCGGGTCTCATCCAAGCCGATCGTGCCGCCCGGTTTCTTCCCTTCCTCTCTCCGGCCAATCACCACGTTGCCGACGGCCAGCAGCGCGGCGCCCAGGAACCACAGGCCGCTCAGCTTCTCCCCGAACACCATCCAGCCCAGCACGGCGGTGATGACGAAATTCGCACTGACGTTGACGATGCTCACGCGCGTCGTGCTGTCTCCGCGGGTCAGCGCCGCCGTGAAAAGCGCCCACATGGCCGCGTTGAACGCGAGGTTCAGGAGGAAAAAGGTCCCGCGCACGAGGAACTCGACGACCTTGTTGGACGGCGACAGCGAGAAGAAGGTCGCAATGTGAGAGGACAAAGTGGACGTGAGGGCAGTGGTCGTACTAAAGAAAAGATGCGGTACATGCAAGAGTTAGCAATTTCCATTGGTCTGGTGTGGCCTGGTTTGGTTTGGGTGCGTTTTGTCCTGTCCTGTCCTGTCTGTCCCATTCCGTTCCATTCCATTCCATAATATCCCCATCGATCATGATGAAGAGGGCAAATAAAAGGGACAAAAGCGGAAGCGGAAGCAAAAAAACAACACCACTTTTTAAAGATGGGGGTGGTCGTGTCGTTCCTAGAAACGCACACCCTCCAAAAAGTACAGACACAGGTACAGCCACAGGTATAGATCCAGGGAAAGAGGTACGAGTACCCTAAGGTAATACATTGTTGGGTAAAACGTACAGTTTAGCAAAAACACCATTAATCGCGGCGCATGCCCCCGACGACACGGCCAGCACGATCCATACCGGTTGTCGCCTGAGCGCGGAAAAGAGTCGCGAGTCTGAATCCATCGCAGCCGGAACACTGGATCGAGACGCAGGCGACAGCGACGGCACCTGTAGCGAGGGCGATGGTGGTTGGGACTGTGTCTGTGACTGTGATGCGGTCTTGGGCGCTCGACGTCGTCGTTGGGTCATCTTGTAAGAAACATGATGGGATGGATAGATTTATTGTGCTCCGTACCGACTACGCAGTTGCAGCGAGGTGTACTGGTACTCAGAGTGTAGGCACCGCGGGAATCGGGGAAATTTATTATGTACAAAATTGCGGACACTAAAAAACAGGGGGCGTCATTGCGCACTCAGGTGCTCACGAGGCTGAAGTGGAGCCCGGAAGCCTTGCGATCAATGATGACGGACGGTCCTTGGTACGGCGTAGCCAGGTAGGAAGGTAGATAGGGTCGACACCTAAGATAGGGAGACACACCACAAGTCTTGTTTTGACTTCTCCGAATTCATATTTCACGAGGTTGAATCTTTCTTTGGATTCATATACGTCGCAGGGAATACGAGTACATCATGCATCTTCGCTCATTAAAATCAGCATACCGCCGTAGGGGGGGCCTAAGGTAGGCACCTCAGGAATGTAACTCGCATAGCCCATCTCACCATCACAGTATGGGTCGTGGATAAAGAAAATAATGAGAGACAACTATTTCGCCTTGCCATTTGCAACCGTGGCATTCTGCCCTTTGGTGGCGGTGGTGGGGGGAGTAGATTGAGACCCTTTCTCGTCAGCTTTTTCCCTTTCCCTTCTCCACCACCTTCTCCCTACCCTCGTCGCCGTTTGAAGACACCTGCTTACTGAGAGATCCCGCCTCGTAGCCGACTGACTTCACGATCCCGAGCCCTTTAGTCCTACCCTCTCGGAACAATATACGTTGACCAACCGTGATGAACTCCGGTCGCTGAATGAATCGAAACGCAACCGTAGCTCGGTCTCCGGTCCGGATGTACTCGCGGTCGATATCGATGATGGCGCACGTCTGGCTCACGGGTCCAACATGGAGCATGGCCTGGTACTTCGGTCGGATGGTCGTAGCGTGAGACAAGATGAGCACCTCCGCCACGAACTCTCGATACACTTTCGGCGGACTGTCGGACTTTGGCAGCACGACCATGCCCTTACGCACGTCTCTCTTCCGGACACGCTTCAGTGCCAAAGAAGCCGACTTGCCGGCACCGCACGCAGGGACTGAGATCCTCTTCCGCTCGATGGATCGGACACTGCTTGTCTCGAACTGGCCCAGTGAGTTGGGACCTACGAGCACCGTGTCTCCCACGTGAACAACACCAGACTCGACCACACCAGACACGACCGTGCCGACGAACGGGACAGAGAAGGTGTCGTTGATGTGAAACTCCAACGGAGCGTCGTCGTCATAGTGGCCGTAGTGAGGGAGAATATTCAGAAAAGTCCGCACAAGGTCCAACGATTCACCCGTGACATTGGACACCTGGAATATGGGACATATCCGCTGCGAGACAAACTGAGTAGCTGTCACCACGGTCTCTTCGTGGGTCTTTATGAAGATGGGGATCTTCCGTGCTCCGGGTGACTTGAGGATCTTGGTCAGCTGAGAAATGGTTTGCTCGAGAATCTGCGGCGGGCATATGTCGATCTTCGTGATGACCACCATGACTGGCACGTTCAAAGCGAGAGCAATGCCCAAATGTTCCTTTGACATGCCGATGAGGCCGTTGTTGGCCGCGACCATGAGGAGACAATAGTTGGGCGCGGACGACAGCAGTCCAAAGACGGTGGTGCGCAGGTACTTTTCATGGCCGGCGAGGTCAGTAAAAGTTATCACCTTCGCGGAACGTGTCCCGATCTCGCCCCACGTCAACTTGCGGCCGGGCACATTGGATGAAACGACGTCGCCGTGGGTATCGAAGCCCATGATCTCCATGCCGACAGATGACGTCCGACCGGATTCGACCTCGTGCTTGTGACGGAACAGATTCACTCGGGCCTTGCCACGGCCATCGTCGAGGTTGCCTTTCACCAAGACACCCAACATGGTCGACTTGCCTGCATCGACATTCCCCACGACTGCGATACGGGTCTCGATCACGTCCTCCGCCGTGGCGGGAGTCTGTCGAATGAGAAGTTTGCCGTGGCTAGATTTGTCCTTGTCGTTGGTATTCTTCGACTGAGCTTCCTCTGGACCACCAACGTTGAAAGTTAAGAGTACTTTCACAGCAGCCTTGATAGTGCTTGCTGCTTCTATTATCCGTGCCAGTGCGAGATCCCACTGCTCTTTTGTGAAGCACATGGACTCGCCGCTATCCAGTAAGCCGAGATCAAACAGAGTCTCCCCATGGTCTTCATCAATGCGGGACCGGAGCAAGCCAGCTATCTGCTGGAGAGTCTCAGGTGCATTCTGGGACGAATCAAGCAGCCACTCTTTCAGGTTGACCTGCGTCGGAGCATCGGAAAGACCTAGTTGGTCGAGGATGTCCAGCTCGGCATGGTCTTCTGAGATGATACTAGGAGCGGTAGAGGGGACGGTGTGGCTGTTGGACGTAGGTAATGGCTGCTTTGCTCGATTTTTGGCTTGCTGCCTTTCGACATAGTCTGCGAAGTCGGAGAGCGCCTGAGATGATCATGTCAGATACTTGAATACTGAGGGCCTATGTCTTTTTTCTCACAAGCTCTCCCTTCCGCCGATCCTGCAGGGTCTGTTTAATACGAGTGCCCATTGCGAGATGTAATCAGAATGTCGACGAGATGGATTCCGGGTTCAGTTCATTCGAGATGAATCGTTGATGTCGCCCCCGCGCTCTCTATGGTATTCGGGTTATCATCTTCAACTTGAGGGGAGAGTATGGACAAGAGCAGGATGGACTATAACTGGGCCATGGTGGATTGGTTTGAAGACACTCTAGCTAAGATGACAATCAAGGCTTCGAGGCGAGAGTCGTTTATCTAGAAACCAGTCTGTAAACGCCACTGATCATTGTACACGTTGGAGTCATGGACCACCCTGCATTAGGTGTCCAGGCGGGGATGCTGATCGAGTCATTCCCCTCACTGCGTCTTGCGCCCCCTAATACCGCCTAACCCCGCCTAAGTTAGTCTCAGCCTCGCTATGTCACAAGCCCACAGCATGCGCCTGGTATGCCCGTCGTCTGGGCCTCGAATGATTCATAAGTCTCTGTGCCGTATACGCCGAAGGCTGGGACAACCGATTGCTATGTCGCTTTGACAGACACGCCCCTGGTCGAATGATTGACTCATCAGTCGCCAAACCAAGTGTGCCGGTTTCGGTCCAGGTCTCGAGCCTCTTCCTGGCGGTTGCTTGTTGTTCTGCCGCTCTGGGTGACTTGACTCGACCGAGATGATGCGTCATGTATCTATCACATGGCGTCGTGCCAAACAAGGACCCGTTGCTCAGTCGAAGAGAAGGGCAAGGAGGGCTATGACCCAGGCTGGGGTGAGATGAGTACAACAGAATCCCCTTGTCCATGTCAATTATAGATCCATGATCTCAAGTATAGACACTGACCTCGTACGAACAGCATATCTGATTGCTTTTTTGTGGTCTGTCTGTAATCAGTCTTTGCTTGTTGCGCGCCGAAAGCGATTAATTCCGACCTTTACTGCATCTTCTCCATCCTCGTCTTCATCGATCGAGAATATCGTTTCCTCAACTTCTCCAAGAACTAGGTTGCAATGACTGTCGTAGGCCTATCCAGTCTCTTAGTATTCTTAATCGCCACAATCTGACAAGGGCGCACACATGTAGCCTGCCTTTGAGCTCACGATCTCCCCGTAGTCGAACAAATACGATTTCGTCGAGTGATAATCGGACTAGATCGAGAGGTTCCGACACAGATGTCGCTGTTTCATCTGCCGTGTCTGCCATTTCCCGCTTCGGCAAAGGAGCGCTCCAGGATGTGAGAGTGTAGAATCAGGTGAAATAGTTGACCACAGCAGTACCTGTAGGTAATGGCGCAACGAGAAGCCTGTGAGAGCCTTGCCTGCGCCGAATTAGAGCTTGGCACTACTGGTTATACGAAACTCACGTGACTATTACGAATACGAATACGACGTTCCGGCACTGCGTGACATCGCATCCTAACTCCCCGCAGGCGTCTTGAGGAGAGCCTGGCGACTCCTAACTAGGTAGACGGTAACGTCGCTCGTTGAGCACAACGAGGACTTGTCTCTATTGATTTGTTGGTATACACCAATCAATCATATCTGTCGAGCTATAGGGGCCGAGTAAACCAATCTAGGTCAGTATCCAACGTGAACTCGCTGAGGTCATTCTCCATGGGGAACTCCTTTTGTCCAATGGCCTGATGTGAGGATCGTAACGAGAGCAGGTCCGGGTGACTGCTGCTCGAGGTGAACAGATCGTAGCTACTTGCACTTGGAAGAATAGTAGTAGCGTCGACATTACTCGATGCTTGGTGTGAATGCAGATCAGCATTTCCTTTCTGTCCAAGGTCATCAGAATTCATGGGATGATTCACGGTTACTCACACAAACTAAGAACAGCCAGCGCCAGCTGTGATAAATAGTCGACAACGCGCTGGACCACTCGATTCCCGCGGTCAAGCTTCTGCAAAGCCTCGATGGCCATGTCGAGATAGATTGCCGCACTTTCAAGGAACTTCCACTGAGACGGCGCAACGTCGCCATCAGTAGCTGTGCCTTTGGGGGATACAAGCAAGCCCGCAATTATAACCAGGGCAGCATTGAATGCTATCGATCGTGAGTAAACAAGCCCGGACGCATTGCCAAAGTCTCAAACCACTCACTATAAAACAAGGAGTAGTTCCAGGCTCCAAGGAGATCACGGCGCCACCCACTGGCAAGTACTACTGTATGAACAATTGAAATAATGATCATGGCAGAATCCACACAGTTTTCGACGCTGTTGATACAAACCTGATGCATCATTGTCGTCTCAGCGTCATTGCCAGGTCCTCCGTGGGTGTCGAGCAGTTTCTCGAGGATGGGTCGATGTAGTAGAATATGAAGGTTGTGAAATCGAAGAGAAAGCACTAAGTTGAATCTTTCCGTAATCTTATCGTTTGCATCAAACTTGTCCAGATCTTTAGAGCACAGCGGAGTGTTACATATCCGTAAACTCAAAGAAGGGAGAGTTTGGTTTTTCCACTCGATGAGCTGTGTTTCCGCTCTAAGCGTCAGAGAAACAATTTCTGCCATTGGAAGAAAGTCTTCGAGGCCAAGGTTTTGTCCATAACACGTATCAATAATCTGGTACATAATACCGTAAAGGGTTCTATTAGATTCTTGTTAACCTATCAGCCCCGAATGTATAATTTGGTTGCTTACATCGTTGCTCGAAAGTACTTTGCGTCCATCCGACGTCTTGCATCCACGCCGGGGGTTTGCCCCATAATTTGTATGTCTGCGGTTGGAAGCTCAAGCTTGATGTATTTTTCAGGAATCATGCAGGCCCTGCCGTAAGTCATACTCAAAGTGCTTGAAAGGGGTCTTAGCAGAAGTAGAAGCAGATTACGAGAGCATGTAACTGCTTACCGATCTAGGAGAATGCAGCCAAACCAGACACGCTTTCGAATCTCGCTTTCCAGTGGTGGAAAGTCCTGATTTGTTCTGGGCGAATGGAGGCCTAGCTGAAACGCAGTCGTGATGGCCAGACCGTGGACAGTCCAAGCGCGGACAGACTTCTGCGTACCCTGGAGATACTGGCCCACAATGAGCAGATATTGTACTAAACAGTGTCAATAGTATCCCTTACATGCCAATATGGGCACCTTAAAGCTGAAAATATGCATCGTACCTAGTTCAAGACTGTTATTTGTTCTTGATTCTCTTTCACATAGACCATTGGCTCTCTGATAGTACACATCCGATTCAGCAATTCGGTCTTCTGACGAAGGGTAGCCATCAACAGTCAGGGTGGTAGCCATGGCCAGTATCATGTTTAGTAAACCGAGCCAAGTCCTGCGAGCCAGAGTGAAGTTATTCCGCTTCAACTGAAAGTAGGTTTCGCAAAACGATTCCTCATGAATGAATGGCAACAGTTGGCCAGTCTTCTGGAAGTACTCCTTAATGAGCCTCCAAGTGTAGTCCTCGGGGGGCAAGGCATAGACATTTACACTCCGTCGCGAGCGAGTCGATGTGCACTCATTGGTCTCTCCATGCACATAACGTGGGCGAGCGACTCGCGTCCACTCATTGGCGGCGGGTATAGAACCCGCCCTGGCCAGTATCTTTTGACTTTGTCCGCTTGCTTTAGCCAGCGCCAATGAGATATGACCTACAAAGGCGACATTGGACGATGGGCCTTTGCCATATACGTTAATAAGAGGCAATATTGATAGGAGGTTGTAAACAAGGAGCAATTCCATACCGAAATAACCACAATCTTCTTCGTCTGTAAACTTAATTGCTCCCATACCATCGATTGCATCTTCACTAGTGTCAATTTCACCCATTTCCGTGCTTGTGGAATACTGGGCTGGTGGTTCTGGAAGGACCACAGACTCCGGTACAGAACGCTGTGAGACATCTGTAAGCTGACTGGCGCCTGTTATATCAACCTGCGTCGCGCTCGACTGGGTTCGCTGCAGTGCTTTCAGGGTACTTTCGACCTCTTCCAGCCTTTCTTCCAGTCGTGACAGGTAACTAGAGTGAAGTAGGGCAATCAGCCATGTTTTCCACTGGCTAGGGGTTTACCCAAGCATACTTCCTTCCAACAGTCAGACTTGTCAGTGATCCAGCTTGCTCATAAGAGCACTCGCATCCCATCTCGTTGCAGAGGGAACATTTTGGCCGACCTCCATCACACTACATGATGTCAACCCAAAAAGAAACCACTTCGCTGTGAGAACCTACGCGTGACTTTCTGTGCCTGCAATTACCACATGCCAAAGCAATCCTGCGACGTTTTCTTGGACGGCTTGAGGGAGGAGGCAGGTGCTGCTGAGCAGGTGATGATTTCTCCCCAGATGGCACGCTCCAGTCCCCTTCGGTCTCGTTTGCTGGGCTGAGCATGGCTCGGTATCATTTGACCGGGTTTTCGGATGTGATGTCCAGTCGAACTCACCATCAGACGAGAAATTTCGTTCGACGGAACCATCGCGGAGGTACCGGGTATTTAATCTGTAGATCTCATTTCCATCCCTGCGGAGAAAGGTCGGCGCTGACTCTGGGGATCCTCTTCCATTCCCTGTCGTTCCCCACATCCCGAGGGACAGAAAGATGTCATTTTTGTCATCACTCTAGGGTTTCTTCCCAGTCGTTTAACATATTAGGCTCTGGTTAGGCATGGAGCAGAAAGTACAGGCAAAGTGTCGTAAACACGTACATTGATGTGAACACATACATTGATAGGGGAAGCTTTGAGTAAAGAAATGTTCCGTCGTGATATATTGTAAGCGACGACCTGCCAAAAGAGGCCTAGCGGCAAGGCTGCGCGGAAAGGAGGCCACCTCCTTTAAACGGCGCCAGCATCACTCATGCTTACAACTTTCTTTCCCGCCGGGCCACCGGATTGAAACGACCATGCGGAGCTGTGAGTGAGCACTCCATCAGTCACGTCATTTATCACAAGAGCATCTGGTACTAATAGCTCTACCATTTCACAGTGAGGCCTTCAGATCCTTTCCCCATTTGTTGATGAACCCCAGCAGTTCGCGAGCGACTTCTTTTCTGTGAGTCCAACTCAAGAAATGGACCCCGCCTGGAAATTTAATCAGTCTGGCCTCAGCTGCATTTGTGAACCGCGCAATGCCTTCCTCGGCGTTCGCTGCACTGAAAACAATGTCGTCGGTGCCCTGGGATTAATCAGCCTAAGCCACATCGGCATCCAGGAATGATCACGTACATGCAGCCACAGGACAGGGCAGTGGATGTACGGGAGTCGTTCGAGTAATCCGTCCCGAGTAGCAAGAGTGACTGCTGCCTGACAGATTCTTCGTTTTCCTGGCCCTCCACAGTAATTGTGTCTGATAGCTTTGGACCAAAATTCCTTGGTCTCCTGGTCAACAGTCTTTCCAAAACCAATGTCCATCAGAAAGTCACAGTAATCGCTCCCCGGTTCAAAGTCATCGGCAGGGGCAGTATTGCCAGCCAATGTTACCAGACCCGAAGTCGCTCCTGGGCCATCCCAGCAACCAAGCTCGCGACTCCGTGGAGACTCGAAATCCATCGATGATCCGATCGCGACGATACCTGTAATCTGTATGTGGATATCAGTTCGCGTTGCTCTTGAGCCAGTGAGAGGAATCGTCAGGTTGCATACCCTCGTTGGCGCGACAAGCGCCATTCGTACAGCGATCCAGCCGCCCTGTGAAGTCCCTGCGACAAATACTCGCTCAACCCCGAGCTTGTCCAGGGCTTCGAGTGCCATGATGGCACTATCCCAATAAGTGAAGTTTTCTACCTTCTGCGGAAATGTATCGCCGTGGCCCAAAGGCTCAAGCGCGACAAGATTGGCCGCCTGAAGGAGAGATTCATTCTCAAATTCAGGGATGTAATAGTCGGCGGTTACAGTGAACGGATTGAACAAGACCAAAGTGGGTTTCGAATGGTCCAAGATCTCTTCCGACGCGCGATAGCCCACTTGTATCCCTCCAAGGTGGGAGACATGAAGAGTCTTTCTTTCCGGAACCATGGTAACTGAAGTCGGTAAATCCTTTGGCGTAGGATGGTGAAATGCTTTACAGGGGATGCCGCGAATTGCGTATAATATGCTCTTGCCGGAAATTCTCTGCGGAGGATACGGCCGATATTAAAAACCTGGTATCAAGTCGAAATATGGGGACCCCGGAGAATCTCCGTGGTCAGATGGACAATGTTGTGGAGGCAAAAGCGAATATCATTTTCCTATCTCCCCGATACCCGACCGTGGACCGAAGCGATTATGCTGAGGTCTATGCTTGGAAGACTATTAATTCGTCAACGAGGCCACTTCTCAACGAGCAGTACAGAAATACATTCGACTCGTGAGAACATTTGAGAACAAATTATTGCCAGCGCGTCAAGTCTCGTAGAGGAGTCACAAACTTCGCGCTCCTCTCTGTTTCTCACTGCAGACACACTGCAATGGCAAGTCGCCACTGCATTGTGGTCAAGTGGAAATGCTAATGGCAACAGGCTCCTCACCGAGATATTCATGTTGGTATCGTAGGAGCAGGAATCGGTGGCCTTGCAGCAGCCATTGCCCTGCGGCGAGCGGGGGCCAAGGTCACTGTGCTGGAAGCAGCAAGGGAACTGGGCGAGGTATATCTCTTCCATGAAACTTTGGCTCAAAGCTCGACTAAAACTGTTGGCAAATAGATCGGTGCTGGAATCCAGATGACGCCTAATGTATCAGTACTCTTGCAGAGATGGGGAGTCGATACTGTGATTGGAAAGAATCTGGTACAGTTTGAGGAATTGAACATGCGCCGAAAAGATGGAACGCTTGTTGGCCATACCAGCATCCCAACTTTGGAACATACCCTCCATCGTCCATGGTGGGTTGTCCACCGTGCCCACCTTCATGAGGGTCTGGTTACCGTTGCACGTAGTGCGGGTGCCGAGATCATAATCGACGCTCAAGTCACAAGCATCGACTACCAGACTTCGGACACGGTGACGGTGCAGACATGTAAGCATCAGGCCCACACTTTCGACCTTCTTGTCGGTGCAGATGGTATCAACAGTATTACAAGGAAGACCTTGTTCCCAATGGCTCACCCGGAGCCTCCGACTACAAACTGTGCATATCGAGCCATCGTGCCTTACGACAAAATTCGAGAAGATCCAGTCGCCAGAGAACTGGTCCAAAAGAAGACGATGGAAGTGTGGATGGCTGAGAACGCCTATATCATCACCTATCCGATCAGTGATGCTAAGGACTTCAATCTTGTTTTGTCGCATCATCGCCCGGAAAAATTGCGTGCCACACAAAACGATGTCCCAATTGAGGAACTCTGGAATGAGTATAAGGACTTTGACCCTCGCATAAAACGTATTGTCAACATGATCGACAAGACGGTAATGCCAGACTCAGACCTTCAGGAAAGAACCAATGGTACTGACCTTTTCTAGTCTCGATGGCCACTTATGGTCACTGGTCCCCTGAGCTCGTGGTCTTCTCCTCGGCGAAATGTCGTTCTCATGGGAGATGCAGCGCACTCTATGGTTAACCATATGGCCCAAGGTGCGGCTACATCTATGGAGGATGGAGCTTTCCTGGGAAGATGCATCGCAAAAGTCGTCGAAGGCAAAATGGGAATTGACCGAGCTGTTAGCATTTATGAGGAAGAGCGACAACCCAAGGCTTATCAAAAGCAGCAAATCTCCTTCCTGAACGGCGCCATCTGGCACTTGCCGGATGGGCCTGAGCAACAAGCTCGAGACTCTGCCATGGCGGCTGAGCTCGAAGGAAAATATTTTGTCCGCAGCAGTAATCTCTACGGCGATCCGCAGACTGTCCTCGAGGTATATGGCTATGATGCCGAGAGTCATGCCGAAACTGCGCTAAACAAGTACTTCAACAATGGCAGGGAGCTCGCAGATCCCCAGACTGGCGTGACTGAGACACTGCGAGGCAAATACATGGATTGGTTCGCGGGCGCGAGGAAGTCCGCGTTACAACCGTTGCAGCTTCAGTCGAGGTTGTGATCCTGTTCGGCTTCAGATATTTCATACGCGGCGAATTAATAGATAGTTGAAGCCTCTGGGCGCCGATGCCAGCTTACATCCGTATAGCGGCAAGAAGCTGTCTATCGATAAGCCCAAAAGCATAAGGCGGCATTGCGCTATCACCAGTGCAGATTTTATCACTTGGCAGCAATTTCGAGGCTGCTCTCCATGTCCCTTACTCGGAGTAAAGTCACTGCTTCTTCCTGCGCCAGCATTTCGCAGACTTCACGTTTCTTCTCTGCTTCCTCTTCGTCTTGCTTCCTTCGTTTACTTAGCAGTCGGCGTTCAGGTACATTTATGCAAGCACCGATCCCTCTTCCGAGGCTCCTCAATGGTGCACTACAACCTTCAGCTAGTCGGATCCCTCACTTGAGTCTTCACATCTTCCGGCGGCAGCCTCGACACCATGTCCACCAGCAGCCGCCATGGCATTCTCAGAATCCCCCTACCCAGCGTCGATATCAATCCAGCGCTATACTCGGAACCACAATCTTCCCGCTCGATACATCTGTGAGCCAGGACGATTACAACGACACGGCAGCGAATACATTTAGATATGTAACGCCCAAGGTCTCGGTCCCAGATGTTGGGTCTACGTCACAGTCCACCGTCAGACAAGAGGTGTCCATGGAGGAGCTGTTGGAAGAGAACAATCCAGAAAGAATTTTGCTGGGCCTGGTTACACCTTCCATCGGCGAGAGCTTCGTTCTGGACGCGGACGATGCGGCATTCACTAAAGCCATATGCGCTCTCGATCCAGACTACTTTATTGTGCCGTTCAGAGATATTCACCGCTATATCAAACCCACTCTAGAAGTCGGACCTCGTTTTCGCCGTGTTAAATCTTACGAAGAGCGCATTAGCACCTTTTATCATCTGTTGGATACCCTAGTGACAATGCGAAAAGAGCGAGGCCATAAGCTTTCTCTCGATGTCTATCGGCACTTGCTACGTTGTGCAGCCCTTGGGGGTAATGGGACTATGGCGAGGAACATTCTTCGAAAAGTTATGCCAGAAAGTAATATCACACCTGATGTTACTTGCTACAACTATTTTATGGAGGCATTGAACTGGAATTTGGCCTACGGTCGGCATGAGCGCTACCATCTCAGAGTTGTCCCTAATCACACGGATCTCCGGGCTCGACCATCCAGGCCTAAAGGCTTCCAAGGCCATTCGGTGGCCTCACCAACGAACCGGAGTGATGATCAGTCCCTACGTTTAGAGGTGCTGAGGACTTTCAATGAGCTCGTAAGACAAGGATTGAAGGGTGATGAAGCTACATTTTGCAATTTGATAACTGCAATGGGCCGCGAGGGTGATATATCCAGTGTGATGAGTGTGCTCAAGTCGGTTTGGAATATCGATCTCGAAGCATTGGGAAGATACGACGAGGAAGAAGTCGAAAGCCCAACATTTTACGAAGCCGATTCTCCCCTACGCCCTACTGAGCGCTTGCTTCATACAGTGGTCCATACCTTCTCTTCCAACAACCAAGTTAATGTGGCCAGCCGGTTGATCGATTATATATCCCGAAACTATAACATGTCGATACCGAGCTCTATTTGGACGCAACTGCTCGAGTGGACCACTGTTTTGGCAGTGCAGCTGGGAGGAAGAAGAACACGAGATGGTCATGCTGTCGGCCGGGTGTCGCAAGATGGAGTCCAGGCGTTATGGAATGCGTACCATGATGAACCCTATAATGTCCCCGTCACCATTGTTGACCAAATACTCAAGCTCAAGTGCTCTATGCGAGGCAAGCATCTTGACCTTTCTTTACAAGAGCTTCGAGTCTGCAGGCGACTTCTTGAGGATGATCGGACGACTGTCTCACACTTATACGACCAGATGCGTGAGAAATTGACAAGTGATCACGAGAATATTTTTGCAGATGGCGTGGCATCGACTGATTTCCTCAAATTGAAACGGGAATTCCTGTTCGCCTCGTTGAAGATGGACTGTCATATCCAATTGATAGCCGTTGCCCTCCGAACCATGCTCAAAGAGAAGCATTGGAACTTCACCTCTCACCTCGCCTCTTTCAGGAAGGTCACATGGCCACTACAGTTAGTGCCAGACCTGGTTCGAGAGTGGTCAGATTTTTTACCAAACGTTATTCCCTACTTCACACCAACAGGTCATGTCATGATTCTTGGCCAGCAGCATCGCCATAATGCTCTTGTATCAGCCAATTCGACCCAAACCACCCATGTTGGCCTTATGCGTACAGCTTTCGATACATACAGCCCCGCTGGCTTGCGGCGTGCGGTTGACCATTTACAGCATAGTCTTGGTCACAAAGGCATGCTCGACACAGAGACGAGTGATACAGAGTATGGCGACCAGAAATACATGGATTGGGTTCTTCAAGAGGAGAGAGAGTCACGTGCCGAGCGATTGAACAACCGATCCTGGGGAACATTGAACAATCCAGGGCCCGATTGGCGCGTTGATGAATGGTCACCGTGGCCGTCGAAGCCGACAACAGATGGGAAGGCGTAGGCGACATCTGATGACTCAAGCAGGGAAAATGGTCAGGACAAAAATTGTGTATATCATGTGTAGCACATTGTACAATATGTATTCTGGGGACTGCACTATCGTGTCAGATCAATACGCCAGTGACTCAGAGACTCAAATTCTCCAGCCAGCGATAACACCGTGCCGCTCACCTAGTCATAAACCGCAAACACCTAGGCTTGCAGAGTAAGGAAATACACCCAGTTGGTGTTTGCAAACCCTTAAATCGGTTTGCTTTCCCAAGCTAGTTCCCGTCCCAGCATGAATCAGATATCGTGAACCCCCATCGCCATCGCACCGCAGACCGACCACTGCCATCCCATTACACTTGTTCTAGTTACGTTCCTACAATCTTTTCCGCCTTCAGATCGTTCACGACCATATAGCGTCCCAGCCCAATCCATCCCCACCGGAACCACACCATCTGGCTTGCGTGGCCTTGAGTCATGGCAGCGCGAGCCCGCCAATAGCGGGGGATGTCATTCACAAAGACCAACAGGCCTGGGTTGTCTCTGTGCGCCGCGCCACTTCCACGAGAGGCCGTTCCGAGCGCACTCCCGCGGCCGGACGTCGATCGAGAGACCATGCCAGAGATGTTGGAGAAAACGGCGCCGTAAATACCGGAGAGCATGGTGGGCACGGCGTCGAGGATAAAGCTGTACTTGCGCACGATGTTGACGGTCGGCAGGGTATACAGAGAAACAGGGCATGCGTAGCCGCTGTGACCGTGCATGATGCGCTCCAGGAAAAGCTTCGCACCGTGGAAGAGCGCGATGTGGTTCGGGTGATTGGATATGCCATGGTCATCGAACGTGATGAGGACGTCTATGCTGGCCAGCGGTCCGGCGGGCGCGCTAGGGTTGGAGGTGGACACGGAGGACGTGGAAGATGGCTGCTTTGTCGTCTTGGATGATGGAGCCTTCGATTTCCGTTTGTCCTTGTCCTTGTCCTTGTCCTTGGACGGTGTAGACGTAGATGTAGATGACGCCACTGCTGCCGGTGATTGTGAACTGGGGGTGGTGTTCAGATGAGGCGCAAAGGCACTGGCGAGAACGCGCACTATGTCCTCGGGTTTCCAGACCTGGTCCATGCCGTCCTGGAAGCGCTCGTCGTCAAGGACGTAGACATCCTCTCGGCGTCGGAGGCCGAGCTGAACCGCGGCCTTTTCGAGCTCAAGGCGCCGCTTGTCGCCAATGCCGTCGGCGTTGCCCGTGGACATGCAGAGAATCTTCAGGTGGTTTTGTAACGAGGGGTGTGTGAGCGCTTGGAGCGTCGGGTTGAAGAACATGGACTCATCGTCGGGGTGGGCTATGAGGAGGATGATTCGCTTGTTGCGCATCGACTGCGGGATTGGGGGGACGCTGGCCGCCGTGATATGCCAGAGGGCGAAGAAGAGGACTGGGACCAGGGAGAGGGTCAGGATGGTTGTTCCGTTCATGGTGCGCGCAGCCTCCGGTGCAAAGGTGGTGGTGGGACTGGTCGCCTCGCCGGTGCGTTGTGTCTTCTTACGTTCCTCGACCTGCGCGCGACGACCGTGCGGGTCAATTGCTAAAGTTGAACTTCCCAGACCAGGAACGGAGCAGAGTCTGCAAGCTTTCTGGTATCTCTATCTTGGTCGCCCTCAGTGGTGCGGACGCAGGCGATCACGCGTGGGCAGCGGAGCAGGAATCGCGGGTGGTTTCGTTCCAAGCGAGTCGCTTTCTGAACGCAGACAGGGTGTTCATGGCGCTGGCGCAGAGGAGACGTTCATCAGAGATCCCATGATCCGGCGACAGGATGCATGAACCTGTGGAGCAGAAACAAAAAAGCGGTCTACGTGGCCGGATTAGTTTGCAGTTTGCGGTTGCAGTCGATTCGATCAGGTCATGCGGTTCTGGTAACATTTCTGGGTCTCGTTCGTTTCGCTTTTGCTTGTTCATCTCCGAATGGCCAGCGTCGCTTCGCTCCGTAATTCTCCACCCGACAAGGGGAAATACTCCATCCGTACAGTGTGGGAGTCTGTGAAGGTGGCATTTTTGAGTCTCAGTGTCCACACAAGTGCAACTACGAGGTACATCGTACATGCCATCGGCTGTAGACAGAGGTCTAGATAACCGAAGCATCCTAGAGGTTTGAAACCAGAGAGAGGGGTGGATGCATGGTCCATATATTGATGGAAATAGTCTATCTCGGCAAAATCACGCTATAGTGGCACTTGGGAACTCAGCGAAACTGGCATGACATGAGCACTCACGTCTAGATGTACGGCAAGAGGAGCTACGAGGGGTTCATGGCAAGCATAGCCGGATATTTCAAGTTGCTTGCCATGCTTGACAACTCACAACGAAAGCCGTAGGCCTGGAGGGCAATGTCCGAGACACTAGTGGCCAGGATGGTTGTCCAGGGCCGTACTTCACACACGATATGCAGAATTCGATAGCCATAGCGCAAGTGACATCGAAGGTGCACATAATCAGAAGGTGACACTGTCACTTGGTGGACAGTTGCACCAAACCTGGAATGAGAAGATGAGGATCTTGAGATTCAAGTGTTTTGGTCAGCAAATTATCACTTGGTAGCTAGTAGTCGAGTAAGACCAACCATACAGTCCCCGTTTCCGTCCGTAACGCCATAAGTCTGCACCATAACAATTCCTCAAACGCCGGCCACGGTGATAAGTGCCCATTCGATATTTTCGCCGACCGTGTCTGCATGAACAGTCGATGCTTGGTGTCGTTTAATAAGTCTAGGCCTTGGCCCCATCGTTCTCGCCGACAAAGTGGCCAAAGTCCAGGTTTTCGACGAGGGCTAGTATCTGTACCTTGTCGAGTAGTCTTTCGGTGAGACAACTAAACCCCTGCCCTTCTTTGCACCCTTGTAGATTGTTTCCAAGATATCGATCAACTCTTGTTTATCTTCGAGAACCCAATTGAGCTTATTGTTGTTACCGGTGCCAAAATCGCACATCATATGCTTGTTGCGGAAGAAGAACATGAGCGTCACTGGGTCGTATAGTTCGTACATCTGGTTGAAGTCTGGGACCTGGTCGATATCGCAGACATAGATAACAGCGAAGTTTTTCACACGCTCCGCTATTTTGAACAGAGTTTCATCTTGACGCATGCAGTCGGGATCCCAGTCGCGGCCAAATCGTATGACCACCAATCTTTCGTCTTCGGAGAGGATAGCCTGGTCGACATGCCAGGCGGAGGGAAGATGAGGAATAACGACGGAACCCATGGTGCGACTGCGAGAGGGTACAAGTCAATATGGACCGAGAGGACTTGGAAAATCTTGACCCGAGTCGATTGGATATTGATGAGAGATGGCCGAAGTCGAGGTCCAACATATTCGCAGGCATGGAAGAGGATAGAAAATGGCCAACTACCAGGGCTTGGCAAGGCTGAAGCCACGGTTACTGCAAGGCTGCGGAAAACTGCTGGAATCGCCGCTACCGGGCGATCATGGTTCTATCGAACAACGTTTTTACCCCGCTGAAAATTGGAGGATTTTTTTGCCAGGGTTCTCATCGTGCCTGCGTTGGTCACTGGCTTTCCAGATTCATTGAGCATAACAGACATCAAAGATGGATCAAGCCTCGAGCAACACAGCGTCTTCCAACGTGGAATCTACGATTTCCGCCCTTCGGAAAGACCTGACCTCCGAAGACGTCCCTCTGGCCCGTCGTTTCCGTGCCCTTTTCTCCCTCAAACACGTCGCTTCTCAGTCCCCGGGTCCTCAGGCTACGGATGCAATTGAGGCTATTGCTGCCGCGTTTGCATCGCCCTCAGCGCTACTTAAACATGAATTGGCATATTGCCTGGGCCAGACTAGAAATCTCTACTCGGTGCCTTTCCTAAGGGCGGTGCTCGAGAATAAGTCAGAAGACGCCATGTGCAGACATGAAGCGGCCGAGGCGTTGGGCGCTCTGGGAGACTTGTCAAGCCTGGAAATCATGAAGCAAATGAAGGATGATGCGAATGAGCCCGTGGTGGTTAGGGAGACGTGCGATATCGCAATTGATCGAATTCAGTGGGCGCATTCGCAGGGCAGACAAGACGAAACATTGAAACCCAGTGATTTTTCATCCATCGATCCAGCGCCACCCATGCCACTATCAACCCAAACTCCATCAATACCCGAGTTACAAAAGACACTCCTCGACTCCTCTCTTCCTCTCTTCAAGCGCTACAGAGCCATGTTTGCTCTCCGGGACCTTGCTTCCCCACCAGACCTTCCTACCGCAGAAGCCGCAGTCCACGCACTCGCTTCTGGCTTTGTCGATTCATCAGCCCTTTTCAGGCACGAGGTAGCCTTTGTATTTGGCCAATTGTCACATCCGGCATCAATTCCCGCTCTGGTGTCTGTTTTGGAGAATCGAAAGGAGGAGAGTATGGTCCGCCATGAGGCTGCCGAAGCCTTGGGTAGTCTAGGAGAAGAGCCTGGAGTGGAGGATATTTTGAGAAATTTCCTCGATGACCCAGAACAGGTTGTTCGCGAGAGCGTCATTGTGGCCCTCGACATGGCCGAGTATGAGAAAAATGGAGAGATGGAATACGCCATCGTTCCGGAGCCCGTGGCTGCTTAAACCCAATAGGGTCATTTATAGCGTGCATTGTAGGCGTTGGTGGTAATACTTAGAATTTGAGCGCCCTCAGTTGTTTTGGACATCCTTGTAACCACATTCGCACCTGTAAAAGACTGTGGTACCTTCATCTGCACTTCTTAGTTGCTTGGTATGATAGAACATCTCGGGTCGATGGCATTCGGGACACTCCCGTTGTATGACTGCCTCAACCTGCAGATCCTCTGCATTGATATTTTGGACTTCGGAGTGTTTTGATCGTAGCGCTGAAGGGAATGCGCTAGGTTTGGATCTCGAAATGATCACTTTGGATGAGGTATCTTTTGTGTACTGAAAACAGTCATCACACTTGACCATGTCATTTTGATTTTTCCCAGGCACTGTACGCGGGAGCAATGAGCCGCAAACGTTGCAAAAGAGAAGGCTTCCTATTGCGACCATCTTGAAAGTACGGAGTTGGGATTCGGCTTCACTTGCAAATTATCATGGATACGAGACAGCCGGGAATATTTTTTTAATTCGATAGATCTCCTCGCCTACTAGGACGAGGCTGAAGGGATGGACCCTTCACTAGGCCCAAAAAGACTAGCGCAGCCTCGTTCTCCAAAACCGCAATTGCGATCTTCCGCTCCCCAGACATTGCATCTGAGTGCATCGCATTCTCTGGTTCAGTCACGGCTTGCACGTTCTTTCTTATCCGTAGATGCGCATCTACAAATATGGTCTCAGCGTCTACCGGACCGCTAGTTCTCATGTCGCCCCGACCCTTTCCTGTCTAAGATACTCTCTCAGCCTCCCCGGCGCAGTCTTCACGGATTGCGGGACAAATAAAGACAATGGTGATAAACGATACTATTGAGGTTATCATACCTCGGAAAACGGCAAATGGGGCCGGTTCAAGGCAGGTCACTGTGGACGAGGCAATACAGTATACCCCGATGACAACCTCGATCCTGCCTGTGCACGGTGAGTGTGTCCACCCATGTCTATCACACTGCTAAGAACCAAGATCGCATACCCATACCACAGCTGCGTAGTATACAGGATGCAAGGCTCTCGAACTCTGCCGAACGGGCGTCCGCATACCGCAGTGGCATATACAGTTCTAAGGCAAAGGAACGCCTGGCTGTCCTATTGGATCCTTCCAGACTCTCAGAGGTGTAAGCCTGCCTGTTACTTCTTGTTGTTGCTATTCTAATGATGGCAGGAAATTCAAACGTCCTCCAGTCAAAAACGAAACTTCACACGAGACTCACTTGAATCCTGTTCAGAAGATGGTCCTCGATTTGACCAAGATGGACTATACCTATCCAACTGCTACCGACCCTGCTAGACCACCTCCTAAGAAATCATCTCCTAAAAGAACTCCATCGAGTTCGATGCCTTCTGGTGTTGTCGTCGAGATTCCGCAACCGCCTCCAAGTTTCCAACGACAAGAATATGCGGACATGCCTGCATCACCAAAGAGACGCAAATTGAGTGATAATCAGATGAATGGGACAGTCTCCCTGGCAGCGAAATCCAAGAAAGAGAAAGAGGATTTGCTTTTAAACAACTTCGAAAATTTTCTGTCTGAAATCTTTGAGGCCCAGGATCGACTGGCTCCGGATACCTCTGCGCTTCCGGCAGCCAGAAGCGCAATATTTGAGGAGTTTGACGAGGATGACGATGACACTGAGCCTCGGCTTTCCCGGAAGACTCAAGACCAACTGCAAACTATGCTGAATCAGCTAGTCATTGCGGGCAGACTGACTGATGTACCTCTGGAGTATCTGCAGCGACTCCAACGAATCTGTGAATCTGCTATTGAAGCAGCGCAGATAACCAATCTAAGCTTGCCTCAAGATCCCTCAGAGGACGATGTTTCGTCGTGGTTGTCCAAAATTCGTCAGGAGGAGGTCGGTGCGATGTCTGCATGCACCTTGATCTATACCGTTTTAGGTGCTTCCCAGAATCAAGATCTCGTGAACTTGGAGGCTCTTCAATGGTTGCCAAATGTGCTTGTCAATCTTTTTGAAAATTGTTTGATTCCCATCGTGGAGGCTCGGCCAGATGGGCAGGACAGCAGGCTGTTCAGGCTTGCCTCAGACAATAGCGAGATTTTGAGGAGGCTACTTGACCTCGGTAGAAAGCTTCTTGATCTCGTGGCAAAGGTATGTATTCAGGTCAAAGGGGCTGGATGTATTGTCAATTCGACAGAATTCCTGGCAGCAAAACTCCTCTTTGTACAGAACGCATACAACGATAAGCTTTCAGCTCTCGGTTCCCAAGCATATGAACGATCAAGAAAGCAAGCGATGGCAGTCCTCGCCAAGCTCTACGCCGCCTTTCCGACAGAAAGGGGACCAATCCTTGATGAAGTCCTGACGTCTTTAGACAAGCTCCCATCGAATAGCCGAAGTGCAAGACAGTACAAAGTGGGAAGTGGCAAAAACATTCAGCTCATCTCTGCGTTGTTTATGCTACTAGTCCAAACACCAGCAACGCAATCACGAACGGCAGCATCCCATAGGCAGCGTCGTCCACGGCGTAATTTGTCACGAAACCCAGAGAGTTCGGACGAGGAAGACGAAGAAGGCGACATGGAAGTCAACTCTACTACCGTTTCCGACCACTCGGACCAAGATCCACTCTCCAGACTCGGGCGGATTGCCGACAATTTATTCGAAGACGCATTGAAAAGTGCACAGCAAATCGTTGGCTGGATGGTAGACAAGGCTTCAAAAGTCACCAAGTCTGGAGATTCGCCATATCGGAATATCCTTGATCTGTTCGTTGAAGATTTGACCATAGTACTCCCATCAACGGATTGGCCGGCATCCGAATTGCTGCTTACCGTCTTGGCCATGCGCATGATTTCTCTCGCCAAAAAGGACAAGGCTGCTTCTATCAAAAATATGGCGCTCGAGTGTCTTGGAGTTATGGGCTCCTCAATTTCTGTTACAAGAGCGTCGGCACGAAGTCTTCTCTCTGCCATCTTTCGCGATGGGGACACGGGAGCAGTCACAGGACAGCATCTCGCAAACCTGGTCAAGGATAGGGCACATTTTGGCATTGATCTCGAGGGGCTCATCTCCCCCGACGGTCCATTTGCGATCGTATACTCTTATATGAGCTCTCAGAAAGGTGAAGGTCTCAGGACAAAGTCTGCGAAGGCGTACTTTCTGGTACAATATGCCACTTTCATATCGAGAACGTTGCGAGGGCCAAAAGGCACCGAGTATGATCCCGACTTGGAGTCGAAACTGGAAAATATGATATCTGTCGTCACACACCAGCTTTCAGCGCCCGATGAGTTTCATGAAACATCGGATGGCTATCTCGATGTCAAACATCAGGAAGCACAGTTGGCTTACCTCCTTACGATCTTGAATATGCGCTTTTGTCGGCAATTTGCTAGTATCGCCAAAACCTTGGCCTCTTCTCTTTCCAGTGATCAGGCTCAAGTGCGAAGCCGCAGTTTGAAGAGCGTGGTGACAATTTTGGAGACGGATTCAAGCTTGTTGGACTGGGACCCCACGATCGCTGACGACGTCTTCAAGTGCGCCTCTGATGATTCCTCACTGGTGCGAGATTCCGCACTGGCTCTCATTGCGAAGTTTATCATGCCTCGACCGGCGCTAGAAGAGAAGGCATTTAAACGACTCCTGAGATGTGCTGGAGACGCCAATGTTGGCGTGCAGAAACGTGCGATAGGCCATTTGAAAGATGTCTTCCTACGGGAAACAAGAGAGAGTATGAAGGTCACAATTGCCATTGAGTTTCTTCGACGCACTGCAGACCAGGAAGCTTCAGTAGCCGACCTTGCGCGGAGAACCTTATCGGAAATATGGGTCCAACCCAACCTGATTCTCCTAACCAAAGCTGCTGAGTCTGCCCACGTCGAAGTCGCACTGGAAAGGCTCAAAGCACATATTGTCGCTTGCGTCAACAATGATATTGAGAGCATGGCTGCGTTGTTGAAGAATTTTCTGGTGTGGCGCCTCAAAGATTCCAAAGACACGGAGCAAGTCCACAACCTGTATGCCTATCTCGTCAAGAAGCTGCTAGACTCAGCGAATGGAAGCGATGCGGGTCCGGCGGAGTTGACAACACTGGTATCTTTCGCAGAGGCACGCCCACAAACAGTGGTCCCTGGCGACTTGACAAGCTTGAAAAGCTATCTGAAGGACCTTTCCAGCGAGGACATTCCAAAATTCAAATCTGTTGTTGCCATCTTCCGCAGTGTTTTACCAAATCTGTCGAAAACTCAGGAAGCCTTGCTGGTGGAGGTGCAGCTGTATCTTCTGAAATCGACTCAGAAGCTGACTCGTCGGCAAGAGCTGGAAGAGATCATGTCTTGTCTCCGGAGTATCGATGGGGTCTTGCTAAATACTTCTAAAATCGTCACCTTCACCAAATCGATCATGCGAAATGTCTTCAAACCTAACATTGCCGATCAATTGAAAGAGAGACTCCTCAAGGAGAACAAGTTACAAGAGCTCGAAAGCAGACGACGCAATGTAAGAGCAAGTTCGTTACGACTTGCAGGTGTGGTTGCAAAGTATTTTGATTTTGAGCGCTACCGCAGTTCTTTCCAAAAGGATTTCCCGTCGGGTCAGCAGGATGTCCCGGCATTTACTCCAGGATCATCGGTTGTGGGGTTCATCGCCGATAGTGTCGTAGCATACACCCTGCAGAAGGAACCGATCGAGATCCGGCTGAGGGCATTGGAAAGCTTGGGCTTGATATGCCAAGCATGGCCAGGACAATTCAACAAGAAGCACGTTCGAGAGACCTTCTTCCAGGTTCTCGAAGGAACGTCTTTCTCCTCGGTGAACGAGACCGATATCCTCAAGATGCAGGTCATGGTTCTCAGCGCGTTCGAGGAATTGTATGCCAAACGAGCGAGTGAGAAAGAGGAGACTGCCAAAGGCGAAATCAACAGTGAAGTGCAGGCACTGAAGAGCATTGGTGGCAGCAGTAAAGCTCGTGAAGACGACTCGGCTATTTCCATCATCACAAATCCACTTGCCGACCACCTACTTCGCATCGTCATGTCTGAGACAGGCGAGAAGGCACTGCTCGCGGCTAAGACACTGGCAAGTATCGACCACCAGGGCATGACCCATCCGAAACAGACCACGGCAGCTTTTGTCGCTTTGGAGACGAGTCTTGACTCGAGGGTTTCTATTGTCGCCAGGGCCGCCCACGAACATCTTCACCAACAGCATGAGTCAGTGTGTGAACGGGAGTACATCAATGCCGTGTTTGAAGCCTTCCGATATCAGAACGAGGTGTTCAAGGATCCACATGGTGGCATCGTCCCTGGCTATAAGGCGAAGCTCGCCCAGGCTTTCTCCATTATCAGCAGCAGCGGGTCCAAGTATGTCAAAAAATTCTTGAGCAGCCTGATATCGAAACTCAACATCGAATATTCCAAGCTCAGTATCGATCAAGACGCGGTGCCTGAGCATGTCCTCTTTGTCCTCTTTGTGACCCAGAACCTTGCCTTCTTGGAGTACAAAAAGATGGACGAATTGTTACATACAGTCTTGCAACTGGAATTGGCATTTGGCAAGAACGGCGGTGAACTTGCACAAGCCATCGAGACCAATCTTCCACCTGTCCCGGTCCCTCGAGCAGTCGATGGAGAGTTGAACGACTCCGCTCAGCCGGAGCAAGAGGCTTCCCTACCGCATATCGATCCCGTCGTCCTGAAGAGACTGGCCACGGCTGCCTGCGCGGTAACGCTGATATCCGAAGCTAGGAATTACCTTAAGAGACAATACGGTGTCTCGCGAGATGTGAAGATGGCCATGCTGCAGAACAAGCAGACCAAAGAATCTACAAGGGAACCAGTCAAGGTACATGGAATCACCGGGGAGAGATATTGGACGACTACTACATCGGTGTTGAATTCTCTCGACAGCACAGAAGCCATGGTACAACGCTGCCGAGATTTTGTGACGCTTGTGGCAGTCGATGATGAAGTAAAGATCGCCGAAGAGGAGGAGGAGCTCTCCATGATGGCTACGGTTTCTGAGCAATCCATGGCAGCGCCTCGAGGGCGGAAGCGAAAGAGTGTTAATGGTTCGATAGGCGGCACGCCCAAGAAACCACGAGGGCGACCACCAAAAGGGACCACTCCACGACGGTCATCGAGTGTGTCGTCGCTGGATGAGGACCCCGACGCCGATTTTGCGGCTTGAGATGTTGACATGGGGCTTTAGGACATGGCGTTTGGGCAGTGAAAACTCAGGTACATTCTGGGATCGCCCAGGAAGATTTAACGACGGCATGAAAGGGGAAACAATAAACACAGGGAACGCTTTGGGGAAGTAGAAATCTCGGTCTAGATACCACCAGGTCAAAAGGTTTAAGCACTCGAAGGCCGTGGTTTTGATACAATGATACCCAACATAGTTATTGAGTGGCGCTTAAGGCCCATATTCATGGAAGAATAAAATGTAGTAATTGACGAGAGATTTCAAACGATTGAATATCTGAGCTCGTGTTCGCATTGTGGTCCCGGCCCAAAGGGGAAAGGGGGAGGGCAACGGGAATGCGCCCGACTAGCGAGTGAGTCAGCGGATGAGTTGGACACACTGCACGAGAGGAGAATGAGGAGTGGTAGGAGTACTCACTCATATTCGCTCGTGAGTCTTTGGGTGGGAATGTTTGAGCGGAGCTGAAGACTGACTGGTTCTTATCGTCCTGCGCCACGGGACGATATTCGTACGCCCTTAATTACAATTTACGCTACAGAGATAGAGAGATAGAGAGAGGCCAAACCTGTGGTGACGTTGTTGTTATGTGGTCCCAGCAGCAAAAGCAACACAAGGACAAAGCTCCAAATTAATGCCAGCCCTTGTACCCGCGAGCTCCGACTGAGAGCAAGAGACTGGAGCAATTAGCCACATCTGATCTTCATCGCATGCCGTCATCCAGTACTTATCGCCCTGGCCAACTGCCCAAACACCGTCGCGACATATCCGAGATATCCATCCTTCACCAGTTTTTATTCCCTCGCTGCGCCAACCTCGAAGCTCTCTGTTGATGAGTTTCCTGCCTCCATACTATCTATCGTTCAGTATGAGGTGATCCTCTCGTTCACTTCGCTTCAGTCATGGAAACATTCTCCCAGCGGCTGGCCTTCACTGGCCTGCGCCCTCTCCGTTCGACCAACCTATCCTCCTACCGCTCCTGCAAGACCTTGAGTGCCTCTCTGAAGAGCACGAGACCTCTGTCTACCGTCAGGTTGACTCACCGTTCTCCCAGAGGCATCCGATGCCTGGCGACCCCGGCGTCGTGGCGTCAAGTTCGAGCTCCTGCGGGCACGATACGCTTCGTATCAACCAAGCAACTCCCCAACAACCAGGGCCCTCTCGTTCGTTTCATGTACAGGCTTTTTGCCTGGACTGGAATTTTCATTGTCGTTTCCGGCAGTTTGGTCCTGGCATTCTTCATCTACGATGCTTCGACCTACTCGGAGGAGCCGGAGAGGATGGGCGACATCGCGGTGAACGAGAAAGCTTTGTTCCCTAGAAGAGGCGGTCCCAAGAATCTGCCCATCGCAGAGATATTAATCGATGACGAAGATTGCGATGAAATGAAAGCACAGAAGGAGAAGCCCAAATTGGTCATCCTAGGAACAGGCTGGGGCAGCGTTGCCATGTTGAAAGAGCTAAATCCAGGAGATTACCACGTCACGGTGGTTTCGCCGACCAACTACTTCCTCTTCACGCCAATGCTTCCCTCTGCCACCGTTGGAACGCTGGAATTCCGTTCCCTTACTGAGCCAGTCCGCAGAATTGTCAATCGTGTGAGAGGACATTTTCTACGGGCCCAGGCTGTCGACGTGGAGTTTTCGGAAAAGCTGGTCGAGGTCAAGGCCATCGATGATCGAGGGAGAGAACAGAGCTTCTACCTGCCATACGACAAGTTGATCGTCGGTGTAGGCGCGACCACAAATCCACACGGCGTCAAGGGTTTGGAGAATGTCAATTTTCTCAAGTCCATCGAGGATGCCCGCCTCATCAAGCAGAAAGTGTTGCGGAATCTGGAATTGGCATGTCTTCCCACTACCACTGACGAAGAGAGGAGACGACTACTTTCGTTTGTCGTCAGTGGTGGTGGCCCGACCGGAGTCGAGTTCGCAGCCGAACTGTATGACATGTTGAACGAAGACCTGCTGCGCTCTTTCCCCAGAATCCTGCGAAATGAGATCTCGGTGCACATCATCCAGTCTCGGGGACACATTCTCAACACCTACGACGAAGCCTTGTCTGTGTATGCTGAGAAAAGGTTCGAACACGACCAGGTCGAGGTTTTGACCAATGCGCGGGTCAAGGAGGTCGAGCCGGACAAGATCATCTTCACTCAAATGGAAGACGGAAAACCCGTGACCAAGGAGCTACCCATGGGTTTTTGCTTGTGGTCCACTGGCGTTGCGCAAACCGATCTTAGCAAGAAGATTGCCGCGAAACTAGGAAGTTTCCAAACCAACAAACACGCACTAGAAACCGACACCCACCTGAGACTACTCGGTGCGCCGCTTGGCGACGTCTATGCCATTGGAGACTGCGCCACGGTGCAGAACAACCTCGCCGACCACATTACGACCTTTTTGAGAGGTGTAGCCTTTGAGAAGGGCAAGGATCCGGACAAAGTACACCTGACCTTCCAGGAGTGGCGCGAGGTGGCTCAAAAGATCCGCAAACGGTTCCCCCAGGCTGCTGCGCATTTGAAACGCGTCGATAGACTGTTTGAAGAATACGACAAGGACAAGTCCGGCACGCTCGACTTTGGAGAGTTGCACGAGCTCTTGGTGCAGATTGACAATAAACTAACCTCGTTGCCCGCGACGGCGCAAAGGGCAAATCAACAGGGTCAATACCTCGGCCGAAAATTCAACAAGATCGCCGCTGCCATTCCTGGATTCAAGGCGAACGAAGTCGACTTTGGCGATCTCGACGAGGCCGTGTACAAGGCCTTTGAGTATCACCACCTCGGTAGTCTGGCGTACATTGGGAACGCGGCGATTTTCGACTTCAATGGACTCAACTTTAGCGGCGGCCTGATGGCCGTGTACCTCTGGAGAAGCATTTACTTTGCCGAGAGTGTGAGCATCAGGACGAGATTACTCCTTGCTATGGATTGGACAAAGCGTGCCCTTTTCGGAAGAGGTGAGTCATCCATCTATCCTTTCTTTGCACACGCCGTATCTCGTTTTGCTTTTGTTTTTACTTGGCATGGCCGTAGTCTTTTAGTGATAAAGTTTCCCTCTTACTGACTTGATGTGACGTCTGGACAGATTTGATGAGTACATGACATGAGTACAAATTATATGAAGTCTAGAAGCCGAAGCGGAGCTAGCAAGCGATTTATCGAGTAGACCTAGGGAGCGGGAAAAAAAAAGGAAGAATTCGCCTCGTCAGAGATGATGCAGTATGGCTACTATACCCGATTTCGTGAGAGCTTGCATAGAATCAAGACCGAGGGAGGAAGGAATCGAGCAAAGGTTTATTTATTGCCATCGCCATCGCCATCGATAACGAGCACCCTTTTGCCTACTTGCTTGCTTACTTAGCTATTTGCCTTCTCCGCCTCTGACTACCTGCAGTAACTGACTATGCGTTGGGTCGATCCGCCGGCAACGAGAGACAGATGTTTCTTTCTCTCCCTATGAGAGGTACACGAAATGACCGACTGACGAAGGTATCTGACCACGCCACAGCCTGCTGCTTGTTACTTTGCCTCTCTCTCTCTCTCTCTCTCTCCACATTGCACTCTGCGTTCGAAGCAACCAACACGAATGTCAGCCGGGTCCATGTGGATGGATACTGTCAAGGTTAAGAACGACACGGCGATTTGATAGTGGACTGCCGGGTACTTTTCATAACAGTTCGAAGAGAATACATACATATACAGACAAGACACACTTTATACAATGATCTCGAGACGGCTCGCGGATTTTGTGAGTGAGAAAGACCGTTCTTGTTCTTGTTTCTTCTACAGATGGTCCCTGCCAACCTACGGGGAGCCCCGTCGTCAGCCATGGTGGCGTCAGACGAGCTTTTTTACTTTCCGCCCTCCTTTTCCTTCTCTCTCTCGACCCTGAAAAGAGGCCTATCAGCCTCCCAACGCTCAATGACATCCCTGTTACACGTCTCCTCAATCTCCCCGGCGATTGCCCCCACTAAACTTCTGATATCCAAATCGACCTTGCCAGCCGTGCTGCCGTGTCCGCCGTGATCCCTCACCTCGGCGGCGATCGCCAACCACTCTCTGGCCCCGGTGCGTGTAATCAACGTGTCGCTTCCACCGCTGATACAGGCGGCACGGTGGAGGACGTGGAGGATCTTTGTCCTCGCGCTCTTCGAACACGTCGACGAGAGGAAGTGGCTCATCAATCGCGTAAACACATGTTCGCGCCGGAACAGGTCCAAATCGACCTCGGTCCTCAGCGACGCAACGAGCAAGTCGAGCAAGTGCTCAATCTCCAATGCCTGGGCGTTCTGGTTCCCCACGTCCGTGTCGTCGGCCTCGGGCTCGGCCAGGAAAGTCGCCGAGAGCCAGTACGGCAACAACCGTGTAGTGGTCCAGCTTGGCGCGAGGAGCAAGAATCGATTCGTCTTGCGGTAGTACGGAGAGGTCGGGTCGGCAATGACGGGGAGTAGGTGTGCTGCTAGTTCGGCTACTATGGAGGGCGGCGCGGTGTTTGTTGGGCCGAACCCGCACGCGCGCATGGTCTCACTGACCTCGCCTAGAAGGAGGTAGAGCTGCGTCTTTTCGGGGTATGCGGATTGTTCCACGGCGTGCATGACCGTCTGGATGGTGTGGAAGGCTTGTAGACGAATCTCGGCCTCGGGGTTAACAAGGCATCGGAGCAGATCAGCCAGCCGGCCGGATTGAATCTCGGTTTCGAAGTCGGGCTTGGTCCAGCGGTCGAGGCCTGAAATCGAGGTTGGGATACGTGGAAGTGGTGGACAACTTTCGAGGAGATCCACGGTGTGCACCTCCTGGGAAGGAGCAGGGGTGCGGTTGTCAGCGACGAGCTCGGACGTTCCCACCTGTACATCTTCTGACAGGGTTTCAGGTAGTGTAGCTGGTTTCTTTCGTTGTTTCTCAAAGGCCGCTTCGAGGTATTCGCGGGCTTTGGTATTGTCTCGTGCGCTTTCCAGCATTGCCTGTTTCAGCACGGCCATGATGCGATAATTCTCGCCAGCAGCATCGAGGGCACTGAACAAACGAGCAATCCACTCTGCAATGTTCTTGGTTTCCTTCTTGTCACCTCTCTTGACCACAAATGGCCACTGTTCGGATATGCAGCAAGCGACGAGGCTGACCTCCTTTGAGTCTGACGCCATCCTTTGTTCTTGTTCAACCTGGTCAAGATATTTGACAGGCCGTTGCATTGTTCTTGTCATACAATTATCCAAGAATTGATAGGTGGTCGGTCCGCATTGCCATTTCTTAGTGGAAGCTAGACTTGCAAGCAGAGCTTCTAGGGATTGGGTATTTCGGCTGAGAACACCTTTGATGCGGAGTAGGGGTTTGATGATGGGTATCGCTCTCTTTGTGAAGGTGTTGTCCGGTTTAGATACACAGTATTTGAGAACCCGCGCCATCAAGGATAGTGTTTCCGCGTTCGGTTTGTGAAACCATTTCGTCGCAGGAGAGATTTCGGCAATCTGTAAAAGACGAGGCAACTGTTCCTCCAGAAATTCTTCGGTGTCCGCATCCAAGTCGTCAGTTTCCAACCTTTGCAAGTCCTGAATAAATATCGGGCCAATGTCAAACTTTATACCGGCAGCCAGAAATGGTATGACACGGTGATAGGTAGCAATGCATTCAAGTACAAGCGCTCGAATCTGCTCCTTTTCTTTTGCAAGTCGCTGCAACCCCGTGATCGCATCTTGCAGTTGAGGGACTCTTTCGATGAACAGACTGATCAGCTTGCTGGAAGCCTGCGTCCACAAACGGAATCCTGGATGTACTTGTTCGAACAACGTCAACACAGAATCGAGTTTTTCAAGTGAAACCGTCAGCAAACGAGCAGCTGACAAAACAAGGACATCCTCGTCCGAGTGAAGACATTTCGTCACCGTCGCTCGATCGAAGGGGCGAGGCAGAATGCTCTCAATGACGACAGAAAGGGGCGGAGGTGATGCCGGTGGGTTTTCGTGCCAGCCACAGTTTCTGGGTACTGGAAGCTGGATGACAGAAAAGAGGAAAGCGAACTGACCACGCCATAAAGGATCGTCTGCAGGAGGTACCAGAAACCTCCGCTTCTTGGTGAAATAGTCGGCAATCAGTTCGGGCCCAGCAGCAAAAATTGAAACAATCAATTGGGCCTGCAGGATATCTTTTTCAGGACGAAGTGTCTGAATGAAGGTTGCGAGTGAGTTGTTCTTGACTGGCACTTTGTCCGCATAATCATCGGAGTAGTAGGGCGAATCCAGGCCCAGATCAATCGTGTCACTATCCACCCGGAGAGCGTCCGGGTTAAGTCCCAAAGGATACCATCCTGTGTGAGGAAGCATCACGCCTTTAGGTGTTGCGCAGACTTGTAGCAGTAGATGCTGGAGGGCTTCGCGGACAGCAAGCGATCTGTCGGTGCTTTCCTCGGATTCGAAATGGTCGAAATCATACAACTTCGACAATGCCGAGAGGTTACCCGAATTGAAGCATCGTATCTTCAACTGTTTAGACAGGCTTGCGTCGCCGAGGACCGACTTCTCCAGCGTGTGCAGTGTTTTGATGATGATGTCAGGGCTCTGATCAGGTAAAGTTCTGAAAGCGGCATGCAACGTTTTTCCTTGTGTGATGAGCTCGCCTTTAGATGTTGCGTCCAGAAATTTCAGGTTCGCCAGCAGAAACTCGACTGCCGCTGCGTGGGCTTTGAGGCGTTGTTCTCCAAGTTTAGGCTGGTTCAGAATACCATCAAGGCATCTGTAGAGAAGATCCCTCCTTCCGAAGACGTTGCTTGCAAGGGCACCTGCATCGAAGCTGATGACTTCAGTGAGTAACTGTAGGCAGTGACTTATGATGTGATCTTTGCTCCGAGGTGAAGAGAGCCCTCTGTCGAACAGGCGAAGCTGGTCACGCTTTAGCAGGCTATGGCACAGTGACAGCCCAAATTCACGAAAGTCCACATTGCCCGAGACTGCCTGAAAGAATTGTGTCAAGGCTACCAGTACCGCAGAGAAGGCTGCGTCATCATTTGACTGGCTCGCATTCGACCAAATAGCGAGAAGGTCCGGAAAATCGACCTGGTCATGAGAGGAAGAGGATTGATCGTCGCAGTAAGTCTTGAGTATTTTCAGTTGTCGCTCTCCATCGCCAGACTTCTTATCTCCAGAGACGCTGGATAGAAACTGCGTAAAACTCTCAACGGCTAAGGCATATTAGGCAAGCTCTTTGGGAAATTGGGATTTCATTACCTTTGTTAATATCGCTTGAAGATTCTTTGGAAAAACTGAAGAGGCTTTTGAGTTGGGACGCAGAGGTAATGAGAGTAGTGTTTGCAGGGATAGAATCATCGAGCCTCCTCCTCTTCCTTGCTCCTCCGTCGAGCGAAGTCATTGCTCACAAGGATCGAATAAAATGGATTTCTCCATGCCTTTTTTTATGTCTGGGTAGAAAGCAATGTGAGAGGGATTGAATGTGTCCAAACACAGTTAGCGCCGCATCAATTTCTTAGAACCGAGAATAGTTTAAGGAAAAAATCATATCACGTGACACGAAGTTTAGATAAAGCTACATCATCCATCATTCCTCAAGAGTTCTGTCTGGGATAGTAGCAAGGGCGTTTTCAGATCACGGAAGAGCTGCATGGAATATTGAAATGGATTTCATCAATACATCTCTCAATGGTTTCATGCTTTGCTAGCCTCGAGCGTGGTCTAGACAACCACAATGAGAACCTGCAAAGCTCGCAACGGACCCTGAGAGCTGCCTTCCAAAACGAGGACGATCTAACATGGAGTCAGCAGAATGCCTTTTATCCAAGTAAGCCCCTCTGGAATGGGCAACCGGCATGGACAGCCATGGGTGATGGATTATCAAAGCAAGAAGAAGGTTGCCGGGAAGCCAGGCTCAGACGTAACGATTTTCAGCCATTATCAAACAGAGTCCGCCGGAAATCATGTCTCATGGCTTATTTAACGATATCACTGGCAAGGATGTTGACTCTGGTATGCACTTTCCGGTCTCTGACATGCTACCATAACTGCATCGCAAACACCGTGACCTGGGCAGAAGACTATCGACTGACAACCATCCATGCACCGAATGACGAGGCTGCATACCAGCCTTACAGCACCCAAGTAAAGCCCACGAAAACAATTCAGTTGTGATCAATTGAATTAGTGAATTTTCCTTTAACAATCACCAAGACCCCTGGAGGATGGCTCAGGTTAAACCACACGGCTGTGTCGGGGACGGCCATTCACTAGGCGAGCATGGAAAAAGGTTCCGCGTTCGAACCACTCCGACGATCAAGAATTGAATTCCAAAAATATCATAACCAGAGTCAAGGTTGGATCAAACCAGATAGGCTTGTCTGGAAGGCGTCTTGACTGTGGGTGGTGGAAAATTCAGGCAATCGCAAAATCTCGAACCCCCGAAATCTCGAGTCCGAAGCTAATTCACTCTTCTCTTCTTTTATTTCCCCCTGCGTATGTCGTGGGAATAATTCTCTCAACACTTGTGTATGCAAGGCTATCTATTGCGAGGTACTAATGGCACAATCACATGATGAGTAATTTGCGAACATTAGTACCAATCACTAATCGTCGGAAAAGTCACTATATACAGGTAGTCAGTGCAAGATCAAAACCCTTGACTATGGTAGAGACAACACATGGTAGCTGACCTCTTGTCGGCAAAAGAAAGATCATGATATCCGTACAGCATGCACACGAGACGACGCTGACGAAGAACTACGAGTACAGGGTTCCGAACCCCGTACTCGTTTCAATATTGCGTCGTTTACATTGTACCCATCACCGTCCCGTGCCGAACAAAGTCCCACAGGGATCCATGGTGATTCTACCGTGCCCCAAGTCGACCCCCCTACAATACACTGTATGTTTTCAAGCACGGCGGATGTGAAACTGTCCGATATACCATATACGGTAGCTCCCCCGAGAGCGAACGTTCACGTCCACCGACATCATCACCCTTCGGCGACTGGGTAATGATTCGACGACCGGAATGTGCTTCGTATCCTACCCGAATCGGATGATGAGCCGTTTTACGGGCTTTGTGAACTCGCGGGGCCCGTGGATTCATGCCACGGAGTTTGTCCAAGAGAAGTTTCTTGTGTTTTGATCCACACGGGCCATGATAGATAATTGTTCGTGTTCGTTTATCGCAAAGGCCCCCTCGTTGATGACAATCATCGGTGGTGGACCAGTTTGTGTGTATCGCCGGTCAGGATCATCAGAAACCTTCTACGGTACAGGAGGATCTACCGATACGGGCGGCGTGGCGGATTGACCCGTATCAATACCCCTGTCTCTCGATCCATCCCGTCCGCCCTGCGGGCCTGGCCCCGAACAAAAAACTCGACCGAACGGACCACGGCACTTGTACACTAAAGTTAGCAAGGTACTTAGCTACTCCCGTAACGTACAAGCACATACATTAGTTCAAGCTTGAATTCATCTCGCTTGTACGGAGTACTGTACAAGTATCAGACAGGGACGGAGGACGGATGACAAGGGCGGCTTATGGAGACCTTTTCCGTATTTGCCCAACTACCTGAACCGGTACACTACTGTTTTGAACCGTGCAAACGCCGGGACACCTGAGAGTGATATCACGGATGATTGTACTGTACGGTGCTGTGGACTCACTCCTATGGGCGTATTGACATTTGTCCCGTACAATATGAACACCGGGCGGAAGCGGCCATTGAGCCTTCAATATGAGTTATAGTCCTGGTCAGTACGGAGCCATTATATACGTATAGCGATACGGGAGTGACTGATTCATATACCGTATCCAACACGGCCAGTTTTGATTCTACTGGTATATGTGCTGCTACAGCGGGTGGGCAGTGCAGTTCAGTGCGGCACGGAGTACAATAGGTACTGTATGTCCACTTGTACAAACCCGGTGACGATTCACGCAGCACCTTACATCTTCCAAAATCGCAAGGCGACCCATCATGACCACCGTATGAAAACAGATCCCCCTTCTTCGTCGCGCTGAGACCGACGCACTCCACACACACCACACACACACCCAGACACCCAGACACCCAGACACCCAGACACCCAGACACCCAGACACCCAGACACCCAGACACCCAGACACCCGGTGCATTCCTACCGGCCACGGGCTACCACTAGCCCGCGATGTTTCTACAGACTACATGGACACACTTCAGTCCTGCGAGTAGTGTAGCGTACTACTCCGTGCAGCGTAGGCACAGTAGGGTGAGCACCTGAGGGATTGCCTGATCGACTCGACTAGATAGGAGTCTGATAGGACGGACTAAACCCGTTCTTGTGCTTGCTGTGGTAGCGGTTGACTCCGAAGGTGAGACCAGGCACTCACCCTTACTGTGTACCTTGCTAGGTACCACTGACAAACGTGTACCGCTAGGTACGTAGTAGTAGTAGTCGAGGTGTGCAGGGTGTTGCAGCGCAAAAGGACACACTTTTTTGTTTTACCTATAGCTTTCGTTCTTTTGTTTCCACTGACGGAGTACTTCATCACGTCAGACACCGAAAAGCAGAACTCGGCCGAACGCCCGGACAGATCAGATCAGATCAGATCAGTCTGATATTACTGTTCTTTCGACGTCCCGAGTCTCACTCTCTCTCCTGACTCCTGCTGACTTCCCTGACCCTCGGAGCTAGCGTTGGTACTTGCACTAACTAACCTAGTACAAAGTAGTGGGAGTTGTACAGTTATGTAACCTCACTTCTCAGTAATCACTCCGACTACATACGTTAACACATGCACCACTTACCTAGGTAGGGACATAGATGTACACAGTACGGAGACAAGCAAAGACGAAAACGAACAAGACACTTGGGTATCCCGTACTTCATTTCACGCACGGGACCAAATTTAAACTTGTACTCGTACTCGTACTCCCAAGCATTCAAGAGGGAAGCATTTAATGTTCATTGATCTCGTAGCTCCCACAACGGGTAAGCTGGAATTTTGCAATCTTGTCAACGATGTTTCCTCGACAGGACAAGTAAAGAAAGATATTTTGTTCCTGTACCCGTTTGCCACAAAATTTTGCCCTCTTGCTATAACACACTTCTGGTTCTTTTGTTTGTTCGGGTATCATCTTAGTTCTCTTCTCACCAACCGCTCTTTCCCTCTTACCCCTTTCCCCCACAAAGCCTCTCAACCCACGCACTGTGTAGCGCAGAGGTGCTCTTTGATACAAAGGTACAAGATGCACTGTAGACTCATCAAGTAACTCAAAGATCAGGTCACATGGTCTCTGTAACCCAAAAACAAAACCCACAATGCAACGATAAACGCCTGCTGATGAGTATTATAACGAGAACGCTCAGATCGAAAAGATCAAGTCGTGATAGAGTAGAGTCGTCATTGCATCGTTTCAAATGCTCGGAAGGAATCAAATTGAGACGGCGGAAAATGTGAATGGACAAGTCGTGATCGACTGTATGTTAGCTGACGCCAGTAGATCGGCTGGTCGGAGGGATTTGTTCGTCTGTTCTGCGCAGGACTTGATCGGCCGAGACTGTCGTCTCTTGAATGCAACGATCGCATATTTGGTGTTGGCAGTTTGGGCATACTTGAGTGCCAAGTTCGAAGCCAGTCTGGCATTCATGGCAAGCACCCTCGATGCTGTTCCGCCGGACATGGCTGGCCGAGTCTTGTTGCTGCTGCTGCTGAGTCGTCGACTCTCTGGCAGCTCTAGAGCGGTCCTTTCTCGGTGGATAGCGCGAACATTGAGTACAGCGACGGTGTTGACACGCCATACAAATCTTCTCATAGCCAAACGTGGTGGAACAGTTATGGCAGGTATATCTGACCCTTTGTCTTATGGGTTTCGACACTCTTTCATATTGGAACTTTGGTCGCACCACCCAGTCAGCCTCGTTCAACTCGATGTTGTACCGTGCAAAGATCGCTTTGGCCTTAAGGAAACGGAGTTCTTGCTCATTGGAATACTCGGATAGCGATTCACGAACTGGAACAGCCAACGGCTCGTCGGGTAAAGAAGTACTCTCCTGCATTTCGTCGACTTCAATTAGTGCTGGGTTGTCGATGTTCGGCTGCCGCGATTCAAGTGTCGGGTCTTCAAGGGTAGGTGCAGCCTTGGAATCCGACCCGGGTCGTGCTGTGGTGGATTTTGTCGCAGGAGCCGGCGCGGCTGGCTCTGCTGCAAGACTTTGAGGCTTATGTCGAAAAATATGTTTGATTCTTTTCCAGATCCTTCGTAGTCCCTTCTTTTCCTTCTCTGAAGATTGTGGGCCTCCTCCGTCCATTGGCTGGTCAGGACGGAGCGGAAATAGAAAAGACGGTCATAGAAATTAGAAGGCAGTCAACGGGAGGGTGAGGAAACGACTGAGGGAGGGCGCGGGAGGGAGATATAGCGTCGTTATTGGTTGTCGGCCGACCCAAGTCGCTGGGTATGGTGAAGAGATGTCAGCTGTCAATTGGTGGTGGAATTCCGACCGAGTGGACTGCAATGTTACTTGTCAGATAAGGAGAACCCTCGCCCCAGGGCGCGGGCCATCGACGGTTGGGGGAGGCAGTGTCCTCGAGAACACTGAGGTGGTCAAATGTGACGACCCAACAGCAAGGTAAATGGTGTGAGAGGGCGGCAAGTCGCAGCTTGGGGTCAGAGAGTCGAGGCCTCTGCTTCCGTAAGGTGTATTTAGGTAGGTTGGTTCAGAGGCCGTTTAGCCGAGTGGCCGCCGCCGCAGCTCTGGATTATACACTGAAGATCGGGGAGATCAGTAATGCAGGGAGGAAACCTTCTTGGACGGAAATTGCCGTGGAAGTGTGCGTTTGTATTTCCGGGCGTTGAGGGATCTACAAGGGTGGAATGTCGAAAGTGAAATGTCGCTGGGACGAGCAGAAGAGAACAACGGTAGGACAACAGGAGAGGAGAGATGTTCTCTGATGAGCGACAGCAGCAGCAGATAGATGGAGATAAGAGGACAACAGCACAGCAGGATGAGGATGGAGTGCCGAATGGATATGAAAGAGTGGACTGACCTTCCGTGCTACCAGTTGAAGTATTCGTCCCGATTATCCGTATAGCAGGGGCAGTTTTGGCAGAGGGAGGGGTCTCCAGAGTAGCGTCTCGTAGGCTGTACAAGTAGGCTGTAAGCGCCCCTGTTGATGCCTTTTGTGGACGGGCCGTTGAGTCTGTGTAGGCACCCAACAGCTGGGAACCTCCAGCGCTGTGGCGTGTCGGTTGGAAACTTTTGCCTCGAAGTGGCTCCCTGTTGAACCCAAAACGGCCAAATCCCAAGCACATGGACCCGGCACTCTCTGCTACTGCCAGTGGGACGTTTGCATGGCGCGTGGACTACTGGGAACCGGGGTTGATGCACCAAGGGAGAGTCCGTGCAGTGGATAGGTACTGTATGTACTGTAGGTAGTCGTGTAATACACAGCTGCGCTGGATAGGGAGCGAAATAACCAACTAGTCAGTTAGTACTTCTGAGGGTGCCCGGACGGCAATAAACTGGATTATCGACGGTCCGTCTTTGATCTTTCGCATGATGCAGTCCGTTGTCAGAGCGAGTACTTTGCTTGTCCTTCGTACGTAGGAGCACTCGTGGTCTGTTGGATGCGAACAGCGGATGCTACGGGCTCCTTGCGCTTCTGATGCATCAAGTCACCGTGCACCGACTATCATTCTCAATACAGCGTGCTACATACATTGTGCGTCTTCAGCGAGCCATTCAGCTCATCCCTTGGATGGACAGTCTGTCGGTACCTAAGGGAAGGGATCCTATTCGAGCCTTTGCACTGGAAAGACTCCGACTTTGACAGGCGTCAAGCATCCGGAAGCATGGCACTGACGCAGTCTAGTGAGCCCAATAGCCAGACGTTGGAAGCAAAACCTCTAAGCGATGCCTCCCTAATACAATATTATTGTAGCGTCCCTAACCGCATTCCTCACTGGGCCTTTTGTTTGACTTCAAGAACGGGGCCCTGTTCACTGTTCAGCTTTAAATTTCTAAGCCCACAGGCCATGCTAATCAGTGCGCCAACTAGCGCCTGCACGAGTCATGGTTGCGGGCACGGAGTACCCAACGCTCCCATCTGAGGCATGCGTGCACTTGGGTACATCTGTACATACGCCTGGGTAATAATAGACTGATAGTCTGATACTCCGTTCCATCACACGAGACACAGTGCGTCGGCTTGAATCTTCTCTCATCTCCTATTCCTTCACTTACAGTACAAGTTCCCTATCTAGGCTCTAGACCCTAGGACGCTCTCTGCAGTCTAAATTTGTCGAGTAACATTATACTGCCGCCATTGACTGCCCTTGCAAAGCCATGCGTTTGCCACGACCTCTGCGGCGCAATCAATCAATCCTCATCTCCACCTGCGCCAACGTGTCTCGAGTAAAAAGGTGGACATTCCTTGTTCCCCGGGATATTGCTCCCGGCCGTTCTCGACATGTTGCTTGATATTGTAAGTCTTTGAAGATCATTCGGAGGGCACAAGGTGATGACAGTGATCCTCAGAACTAAGCTCCCTCTCAGTCACGATGACTGGTTCCGTTGACGCCATGATCCAGAGGGACCCCGGGCACTGCTTTGACACCACATACCCCTGAGAGAAAGATCCTCCACGAGGGAATCTTGGTTTTTCCTCTAATCTAAGAGACACGTGCAGCCTGAAAACCTCGCCTGGTGCTCCTATTGTTGAATATCCCTAGTCGTGCTATCGTCGCTGGCCAACCTTCGCCGGAGATGCTGGGACTACGATACGATACTTGAACACTGCCCAATGTTGGTTAGCCATGTGTGCCTCGTGTCAAATGGCCATCAGGTGCTTAGTGCGAGCCGCTCGTGCCTCCTTGTTGTATCGGCGATGATATTGGCATATCATATGTCGCGTCAAACACACCCTCTCAAACGGGTTGCGTCACGTGGTTCATTCTTCCATTCTGTTGTTACTGATCTCATCGACGATCCCTGTCGAAACCTCCCTGTCGTAGAATCCTCCATTATTGCACTGTTGGGAGACCCTAAAAGATTTCGGGCATTGGAGACGGAAACTTTCTTATCTGTTGGTCGAGTCGACTCTCGAATCTCCAGTCTCTGGGCGCTTCTCGAGTTGTCTCATTGAGGGTAAACCAGCTCTCGAACTTGGGTCAGCGCTCTATGGATTACAGTAGCTCGGCCGCCGTCTCATCCTGGTTCTGGGAGAAGTTTCCAAGGAGAACAGTGTCAGTACCCAGCTCATTGGTTTCCCCTCCGGCGGACTGCACAAGTCGGAGACCCGTGTAGGGATGACCGTTGTACAGTATCGTCTTTTGAAATCCTCCTTGCTTGGGCGCTCAGTTACTCCTGAGTCGAGTGCGAGTGCTGCTGACACGAATGTTTGGCTCCGCCCCTAATCCCTCCAATAGATCATTGAATTGCCGGCCATGTTAGTCCAGGAAATGACATGCGAAACACGAAATAATTTTCACGGGCTCAGTGCTCAGAACCCAGGGCTGTCTGGCTAGGACCCGTTTATCGAGCCGCGCACAGGCCCCTGCCCCGGATTGCGGCTTCATTTGGGTCGTCCGCCGAAAGTCTAACCACTACTGTATTGTAGGTCCCTCCAGCTACAAACCTTAAGAAAGAGGGTTAGTTAGCTTCCTAGTCGTAGGTACATGGGTAAATTGTAATAGAACTACCTGGGTCTAATTCCGCTGCCCCCACGGGCCCTTGAATCCTTGATAAGAAAGCCAACTGGCAACTGGCCACAATCATAACGATCACTTATTTCTTGGGGGCCCTCGTGAGAAAAGCCATACTCTGTACGGAGTAGGATCATCGTACTATACTCACTGTTTCTTGGGACCTGCTATCCAGCCAATGCGATGGCCTTCGTTGCAGGAGTTCCATCACCTCAATAAAAACAATATGCCGAGAGACGAGCTCGAACTATTGTATTCCGGATCCTTGCTTCCCTGTGCTCAACCGTCGATACCCGATATCCGTGCGAGGATACGGAGTGCAAGGCCAGGACGCACTGAATCTAGCCCATCGTCCTCCGTACCGTGTCTGAGAAACTCGCAAGATACCCTGGAATACATCACGAGGCAGGGGTATCGAACTGCCCTCCAATCTTACCAACGTTTCCCCTGAGCTGAGGAAGACCGGTCTGTCTCAGCGTGTTTCTTCCACTTCGAGTGACCTTGTGAGGGAGAAAAGCAACGGAGAGCGGTCTATACACAGTTCCCACGGACCAGCTCGAGACTGGAGGGTCACAGCTGGCCTCACATTTAGCTTCAGTCGTTGACCTCGACCCTGGAACTCCAGACAACTTGTGTAGTCGTTTTCAGCAATGCCAGACTGGACGTGATGTAGCCCCACGCTGTAACAAATGTCGATGTTGGGCTTGGGTACCCAAATCCGGGCGACCGGCTTTCAGATGATGTTCTTTCCACCACTGCTTGGTCCAGGAACTCCACCATCTGCAGACAAGTCACAAAGAGATCCCTTGCTCCATCAATTACCTCTGAACTCTCAACTTCGGTCAGGAGGGCTGATGCATCTGCAAATGCTGTTTTGAATCGCACTTTCAAAGTCTCTTGTTGCACGTCTCCTCCGTCATCGACCCCGAAGTCCCAGAAAGACAACGGCAGTTCACCTGTTCCCCAAAAATCAGGCCCTGCTGATACAAGTTGTCGGCGGATCCACTGTCCACCATTGAAGAGAGCGAGATACATTGCCCAGGTATACGCTAGCAGAGCGTACGGCTGTGATGACAAATAGGACGTGATTCGAGATGCAAAGACCTGGGCTTGCTCAGAAAGTCTGCTGAGATCTACGGCGACTCTATGATCCAGTCGTGATCGCAACAGCTCAATGTCGTCTCGTAACCGACTGGATCTGGTGAGTTCGCGAAAGTGCATTCGTTGGTAAATCCCTCGTAGTCGTACATCAAATAAGGCTGAAGTTAGCGACTTTTCCAGGAAGCCTTCAAAAGCGAAATATATCTGGCCAAACACGATCATGCCTTGAGTGTAGAGAAGCGGACTGTTGACACAAGGTGGCAGACATAACGGCAAGCGTCCTAGGATTGCTGTGTTGAGGGCGTGGTGCTGTTCTCTTGTTGCAGCATGAAGCTCGACTGGAAGGGCAGGCCGTGAGGCCGCGATAGGCGATATATCCATTCTGATCAATTCTGACCGCCTGTTGCCTCCACAGCTGGCCTCTATTCTTGACCGCGACAGCGGTGCATGAGAAGAACGAGTGAATATTGAAACGGTGAGTTGTTGTTATAGGAGAATATTTGTTACACTGGTCTGCTGGTGGTGAATACCTAAGCAGGAAATGTGGTACAGGAGGCCGGGATGAGGCGTGGATCAGGGCGACGAATAGAAGGAAATGAAGTCCGAAGGAGACACGAAGGAAGGGAATACAGGGCTATGAGTAACAATACGCAGGAACTGTTGATCGTGAAGGTGAAGACGCGTCCAGGTGTTGATGGGAAGAAAATTGCCTGTTGCCAGCCGTTGGCAAGGGGAATCCTGGCCTTCGCTTGTCATTTCCCATTTTCTCGGGGATGGCGAAGTTTGAAATGTCGATTTGGTTTCGCGCCATAATTCGTAGCGATCGTGACGTGATGGTCGGTTCAGATTGAATTTGCACCTCTTGCACTTCTGGCCCGCGGTAGCCAACTGTAACTGTGCTGCTCGAGTCATCCTTGTACTGCAGTGGATTACGGCTAAATACCACCTTGATGAACCCCTCGTCGCACAGGTACTGAAACATCAGGGTTAATATAGTAGCCTCTGCTATCCTGACAAGAGAACTGCTCGCCAAACGATTTTCTTCTGTGACCAACATGACTATCGGAGTCGCCATCTTGGGTGGAGGTAGGGTCTTCATAGCTTTATCGACGTGGTTCTAACACTTCCAGGAATCTTCGCCAGGGAGGAGCATAAGGTTGGCACACCTCAGCTTATATCGGTTGATTCTAGCTAATGCCCACTGGTTCCTAGCCTGCAGTTGAGGCTGCCAAGGACCTTACTTTAAAGGCAGTTTACTCTCGATCTGCCAAGTCAGCAAAGACTCTGGAGGTCGATGAGTCCAAGGTCGACATCTACTCTGACGATTCGGGCGCTGGAAAGTCATTAGACGACTTACTATCACGTTCAGATATTGGGGCTCTCATCATTGCGCTGCCTATCAAAAACCAGCCAGAATACATTCGGAAAGCGCTACTTGCCGGGAAACACGTCCTGTCCGAGAAGCCTGTCGCTGAAAATGTTCAGGATGCCGTTGAGTTAATCAAGTGGTATCGCTCCGAGATAGCCCCCAAAGGAGTTACTTGGGGAGTTGCGGAAAATGTCAGATACACAAATTCATTCCTGCACGCTGCGGAGGCGGTCAAGCCTAAGGGTCGGCAATTGACGTTTAGATGTCGCATGCAGACCATGGTCCAGGGGGGGAAATATTTTGAAACTTCGTGAGTACACAAGACATCCTCCGAAAGAGATCCGAAAGAGGGACTGACAGTGGACAGATGGCGTAAGGTTCCTACTCACCAGGGTGGTTTCTTACTGGACGGAGGGGTTCACTTCACCGCAGCACTTCGATTGATGCTAGGGAAGGATAACCCCTTGGTCTCGATCTCGGCCCATTCTGCTCTTCTTCAAGAGCATCTCCCGCCCGTTGATACAGTTGAAGCTATTGCAAAGAGTAAGAAGGGCGCGGTCGGAACGATCTCGATCTCATTCGGCACCACCGCAAAGGGAAGTGAGTGGACCGTCGCTGCCGAGAATGGCTTTGTCAGTATCTCTAGGAACAAGGTCACGATTGATGACAAAGTTGACGAGATTGAGGACGAAAGGACTGGCGTGCCACCCGAGGTCCGCGCTTGGGGCGAAGCGCTTGCAGCTGGAAAGGCTAATGAACAGCAATCCCCAGAAGAGGCTCTGGCTGATCTTGAGCTCGTTGAAGCCATGTTAAGAAGTGGAGAGCAAGGCGGCGCTCCAGTTAAGCTGCAGTATCAAGAGTTGTAATTGCATCAGACACCATGCGCGTCAATGAAAAGGTTGAATCAAGCATGCACTATTGATGAGAATTACGCCCAGTACTATGTAATTCATTAATTGTAGCGTTTGATCCCAATACTTGCCAATGGCTCTCAGTGAACGGATACGGAGTGTCTTGAGAATTGAAACTATACCTAAAATGGTTTAGTGTTATTGGCGACTTCCACACAATGTAAGTCTTGGCGCAGAAATTGTGGAAGGAGCAACTGCGCACTGAGGAAACCCAGTGATTTCAACCTCAACCTTTCCGACTTTGCTTCAGACGTTCATACCACAACACCGGCAAGGTAAATCATCTAGGCTTTGTCGATTCATAGAGGCTGACTGTCGCGAAGATGGTGTCCGCAAAGAAGCACGTTCCTATCGTCAAGAAGCACCCCAAGTCCTGGTTCCGACACCAGTCCGACAGATTCAAGTGCGTGCCCTCAGCATGGAGAAAACCAAAGGGTATCGACAACCGAGTCCGAAGACGATTTAAGGGCCAGATGGTGATGCCATCGGTACGTAGCACTCTCGAAATGCTGGACGGAGATTCAAGATGCGATTCTTGACCACAAAATGAATCTCATGGGAAAACTTCAAAACAGCGGGGTGGGTGGCTAACATGACATTCTACAGATCGGTTTTGGCTCCAACAAGAAGACCCGACACATGATGCCCTCAGGCCACCGAGCATTCCTCGTTCACAACGCCCGCGATGTCGAAATCCTCCTCATGCACAACCGAACATATGCCGCCGAGATCGCATCCGCTGTTTCTTCCAGGAAGCGAGTCGAAATTGTCGCCAAGGCAAAGGCTTTGGGTGTCAAGGTTACCAACCCCAAGGCTAAGCTCACCACTGAGTCATAAGCTGGAGAATACCGAGCGATGTGTTGATATGACTTTCTGGGTGGATGAAAAGATGGTAAACGAGGTCAATCAAAGCGTGATCTCGATGGATCTAGCATGTCTAGGATGATGGAGTTTGTCAATCTTACGGCTGCTGCTCACCCTCAGACTCGATTCAAAGCAATGATCGTTTGAGGAAAACAAAAGAAAATGATACCATTTCAGCCAATTTTCCTTCAGATCGCAAAATGCTGCAACATCATGACTATTGAGATGCCCAGTCTTTCCATCGCCTTTTAACTAACCAATCGACATGGTTCAGCAATTATTCCCTCCTAGTCGATGGCTGTCGCGTCACCGCAAAGACACTTCAGTGCTATGGCGAGGCGTTATTGACCCTTTGACCTGGACTTGATCTCATTTGCATTCCCACATCTTCCATTCGTATCGTCCGAGCAACATGCGTGGTCTCTTGCACGTAATGCCTGGGTTGATTTTGCACTCGCTCCTCGGCGTACTTTTGTCTTGATATTGTGTGATCCCGCGCAAGCAATCTGGAGGCGTCTTCTCTGACTACTCTCGCGTTCACCAACACGGCCTAAAGCATAGGAAGGCTCTGACGAGTAGTAAACAAGTAAATGAATCATTCTGAAGGAATTAGAGAATCCGTGGGTGTGGAGCACTGCTCATGGGCTGTTTCTTCGGCGAGGCAGAAATTCTGCCTGCAAAAAATAGCAGTCTGCCAACAGCAAACAGTTTCGGTTTGACCTTTCACGGACAAGACCCTACAAACGCAGGTCCATTCGCTGGCTCCTTCAGCACGTATAATTGCCTATCTGGCAAACAAGGGACGGGTTCCCAAATCTGCCTCGTGTCCAGGTATGGCCTTGATCACCAGCGAGTTGCGGGCGACCTCGTTCGAAGACAACAGAGCGCCATTACCACCTCCTCCAGACGTTGCGATAACCCCTGCTGGTACACTGCCAAAACCGTACTTCATTGAGAACGGCCTCCGGCGAGTTGCGCCTTACCATTTCACGTACAACACATACTGCAAACAACGATGGCGAGGCCGAGAGATCCTAGACATTTTCGCGGCAGAATTTCGTGACCGCACAAGGGAGTATTACAAGGAAGCGATAGAGGCCGGGCAAATCATAATCAATGGCAAGCCATGTAAAGATGTCCATACCATTGTTCAGAATGGAGATGTCATTTCACACACGCTTCACAGACATGAGCCGCCGGTGACCGCGCAGCCTGTCAGAGTCATTCACGAAACGGATGATATGATTGTGATTGACAAGCCAGCCGGGGTTCCTGTCCACCCTGCGGGTCGCTACAACTACAACTCGGTCGTTGAGATCATGAAAGCAGAACGACAACTTGGTTTCAAACCGCTACCATGCAATAGACTCGATCGACTGACCAGCGGGGTCATGTTCATTGGCAAGACCAGCAAAGAAGCTGAGGTCATCAGTGAGAAACTACGCGGGCGCACAGTACGCAAGGAATATGTTGCGAGGGTCAAGGGCCGATTCCCAGACGGCGAGGGTTGGGATGGCAATCCTATGAGAGGTGGTGTCGTCAAGTGTGAGGAGAGTATCCTCCAAATCAGTCCCATCGTGGGTCTGAATAGAGCCAGAGCAAGCGGAAAGTCTGCAAAGACTTTGTTCAGAAGGTTAGCATACTATCCTGCAAACAAGCCGCATGCCTCGAGCGGTACCGACCCATCAAGTGTCTCAAACGTCGCCACAGTGGCCCAACCTGCGCCGGCGATATCTGGAACAGAGAATGATGGGTATAGTATCGTTCATTGCCTGCCATTGACAGGGCGCACGCATCAAATTCGGGTTCATTTGCAATTTCTTGGACACCCAATTACCAATGATCCCATCTACAGTAATAGGGCAGTCTTCGGACCGTCTCTTGCGAAAAACGAGTCTACTGGGGAGAACGACGAGGAGATCATAGCCAAGTTGAAGAAGATTGGGAAGACGGAAGTTTCGGACTCGATCTCATACGAACAGCAACGGCTGGCAGCGAGGGTCGAGCAGACACAGCAAACGACGGTTTCAGAAGCATCAAGATTGAAAGAAGCACAGGACAAATCGAACTTTAAGCCGTTGCCCGAAGGTACTCTGCATGCAGGTTCGCTGGCTGGCTTGGGCGAGGACCCGATGCACGACGACCCTCAATACGGAGCATTTGTCAAGGCACACGACGAAATGGTTGCAGACTACAACAAGCGGAAAGGTGAGAAGATGACCGGAGAGAAATGCGCAATCTGCGATACACCGCTCTACTCGGATCCAGGACCACATGAGCTGGGTATCTATCTCCATGCGTTGTCCTACGCTGACCTGACGCCGGGGAGCTGGAGCTATCGTAGTCCTGTACCTCAATGGGCTTTACCGCCTGGAGGTCATGACGGCCCACGAGACATTGGCGAATGGGAATATCGAGGAGATGAGGTTCTGGAGATAGGTGACGAGAGAGCGGATGAGAAGAGCAGGAACCTCCTGGGCGCGAAGAAGAATAAAGGAGAAGAGGTGTGAGGCGAATACACTCGACAACACCATGTCCAAACCAGTGAACTACCGGTGCCTATCCTACAGAACTCTCTGCAGTGTGGATAGCGTTCGTGGCCGCGCATAGCACGGTGTCCAGAGTGAGGCTATCAAGCAATGAACCTGTGGGTGGTGGACATGTGGTCACTGGTTAGAGAAAGCCCCCAGCCTCCCCCTTAGCCAACCCTACCTACCTCTATCGTAGGCTCTACGGAGGTGCTCGCACCTAGGAAGGCCCTCGTAGGAACAGCAACATTGTAGCTAGGGGTCCTTGCGCGAACTACCTAAGCTTAGAATTGAGCCCATGCCCAACTCAGCAACCCTAGTAGCCCCAAGTCAGCAGCTTCCGACCAACCAAGACCCCTGAATGTCAATCATCTAATCTAGAGTCCCTCCCGGTGCATTGGTCCCCAAGTCCTCATCGAAAGTCCTCCTTGTGCCCTTCTCCCTGCCACCCGCCGAAAAGTGACGAAAGCTGCGTGCCACCACTTCATCGCCCTCGTCATCTTCCTACCCGTTCCTCTTCTCCAATAATCGCGCGCTTCGTCTTTACCTTCCGTCTCCCTTTGGTCGCGTTGCGTGAGGCTTCATGAGTCGCATAAAGACAACTCACCGCTCGACTTCTTCCTCCAATCGCTGCGGTCGTGCCGTTATACCCTTTCACATCCTCCGAGTCGCGCCAGCGATCACGACCTTCTCTCTTCTCTTATTTTGTGCATCAACGCCGCCGCGGTGTGTATTCGACTTTTGAACTCCTCGCAGTCCTGGGTATTCTCTCTAGTCGACATGCGATCCCTTCCCGACAAGCGCAACCCTCTTATTGCGCAGGGCGCAGCCCCTTCATGTGAGCGCGCGGCTTGCGAAGATTTACCTTCTGCGCCAGCACTAACGGATCGCAGATGACGAATTACTCGGTCGCCGAAGGCTGGGGAAGACGAAGCTCACTGTTAAGCCCGGCCAAATAGGCACCTCGAATGCGACCAAGGCGGAAAACCTTGGACCGTTCGAATATGCTCATCTACGAGCTCCTCTGCCGGATGACCTTAGTGGTTCCGAGATATTCGCGCCTCAGAATGGCCAGGCTGCGCCCGAGACATACTTTCTCATGGTAGGATGGACAACAGCTGCATAACCCAAGATCCTGACAGGTCGCAGAGGAGAAGTAAGGATGGCTTTGTGAGCGCAACCGGCATGTTCAAGATCGCATTTCCCTGGGCTACCCACGCGGAAGAGAAGACCGAGCGTGACTATCTGAAGGCGCTTGACTCCACGAGCCAGGACGAAATCGCTGGTAATGTCTGGGTTGCGCCTCAATTTGGTACGGCATAGTAAATCACCCGAGCTTGGAGCGAGGAACTGATGAGGAGATACAGCACTAGGCTTGGCCTCTGAGTACGGCCTTACAGACTGGATTCGAGCATTGCTCGATCCCGCCGAGATTACGCAGACCCCATCAAGCTCCAAAAAGCCGATTGCCGCACCGCCGAAATTTGATCTGCCTAGCGACAAGACAAAGCTGCCGGCTCCGACAAAAACACCTCGGTCGAGGTCGACGAGGTCATCGTCACCAGCGAAAGCCGCACCAGCAGCCACTCCCTCAAAGAAGACCAACGCTTCGCCTAAAAAACGTCAGACAAAGGCTCAGAAGGAAGCCGCCATCGCGCAGGCCAATGCTGCCAGTGCTTCACTGCAGTCGGCTTTGGATGATGCTGCGTCTGTTGCAGAGACGGAACCCAAGGCCGACTCACCTAAGGCGCCAGAGTCGTCATCGATACCTGCCGAGGAGACAGTAAAGGTCGAAGTCGATCAGTCGGTCGAGGTTGATGGAACGACCGAGACAACCCACACCAATGTGACAATAGAGATGCCCGCAGGGTCGCCAGAACTTCCCCTCCCCGAGGACACCGAGAAGATGCTGGAGACGGCCCGGAAGATGGTAGAAGAGGCCAAGACCCTAGAGGGCTCCCCTAAGATTGCACGGAAGCGAAAAGCTCAAGATCCAGAGCCATCAGACATTGACGCAGAACTTCCCGCGCAACCTGCGAAGAAAGCACGAGTACTCGAAGAGAAGCTCAAGAGGGAAAAAGTGAGAACGAGAGCCGTCCTGGGAGTGACAGCGACTTTGGCTATTGCGTAAGTTGATGAAGTTGTTGTAAGGTGTCAACAGATGCTAACATTGTGCCCAGGGCCGCCATTCCTTATTTCTTTTAAAAGGGTGGTGTTTCTTTCAAAAGGGTTGTGTGTGAGCGTCTGTGTTGAGGAAAATGGAGTTGATGCTATCTATTGTTGTTGGATTTCTTATGTTGAAAGAGATACCTGCTGTTGAGTTTTGACGAAGGAGCCCACTGAGAATCGATATCAGTGTGTTGGAGAAGGGAAAGGAAAGAAGGAGTTGGCTTTCACGTCGAAGAAGCCGCGAAGTTGTTCTTACTATCCAGATCATTTTTCCAAAAATCGTCGATGGCAATTCGTCTACAGAGACGAGCTGTCGTAGAGAGAGAGTTTTGTTCCAACCCAGAACCCGGGAACGCGTTGTTTTGAGGGTTGTACCAGTACAGATGATATTCAACATCCATTTTCTTCCTTCGAAAAGCCCAAGACACCTACAGTACGGGCAGCCGAGATTGACACGCAGTGGCTCTGGTGTTTGCCGCCAATAGTGATACCTAGGCATGCAATGGTGGCCACGGTCAATGGGAGCTGGAGGTCACGAGCAATGCGCTACACGACTCTGAGATCTTCATGAGCCAATAGTACTACCTACCATTACCATCCAAAGGCAGAGATGCAGAGATTGGATTGACGATCAATGAAAATGGATAACCTCCAGCTGATCTGTGCCTGAAGCATACGAGGACTGTTCTGGCATTCTGCGGATCAGATCGGGGCTCTTTTACGAAGTACACTGGAGCACCATGAGTGGGAACAGTGGAAAGCTGTTTTGTTGCGTTTGTTCGCTACGTCCCAGGCGTCTCAGGATCGAGTAATGATCTCCGGCTTCTTTTGCCGTAGTCACTCTCGTTTGACAGCCGCCGAAACACCCACTGTGACATGATCTAACATTTCAAGCGGCGGCTGCCCAAGATTTGTGTGCCGGGGTGACACAGGCTACACCTGATTCTCCACGCGAGTTTTCCCTGCTTTGTTTGGATCGACGCAGAGAGTGTGTAGTGTGTGTGTTGGCGTTGGGAATTCCTCAGGCGCCTCCTCTTCTCACGATCCGCGGCGCTGTATTTGCATACTGTAGTTACTAGCGAACGCTCCAGCCTCCAACTTCGCCTTTCCCCGGGACCTGGACGAATTTCCTTCCACACGCAACCCACGCTCTCAGCGAAGTTGCGCAACTTTTCGATTCTTATGGAGAGCCAGTCTTGAAGTCATCGCAGCCGCGAAGTCCTCCCTCGCCATATACTTCCACTAGTCTCGGCGCCTTCCGAGGTTGGTTGAGAGAAAGTGAGATCCAGGGTGTGGGTGTGACATGGCCACCTCTACTGTCCTGTTACAAAGCGCAATCATGAGTCCGCCGCCGCCGCCGGAAGCGTACGCATCTGAAGCGGTGCTCGAGGCCTCCTCGTGTCCGTCGTGCGGCTACCATCTCCCTCGTCCGGCCGGTCTGTCGAACGACCCCGCCGAAGCTCATCGTCGCATCCTCGATCTCGAAGCGCAGGTCAGATTACTCAACGCAAAGGCCGCAGCGGCCGTGGACAAACTTGCAGACTATGAAGATGAGATACGATATCTCCGCGATGCCTATGGTCAGTCACAGCAGCAGCAGCAGCAGGGACAAGTTGGCAGTCCTCCTGCGGAAGGACCAGGGCCAGCGCTGAGCGGTCAACAAAAGCAACAACAGCAGCAGCAGCCGCCGCCGCAGCAATTGTCTCGTCTCGCGAGTCTGAGCGCCTTGTTTCCAGGCCGCAGGAAAGAGTCAAACTCAGGACAGCCACTGACACCTAACACGGCCACGTTCCCTCAGAACAACGTCACATACACCAATAGTGCCCTCTCCCCACCGAAGACGCCTCACTTATTACAAACAGCACAGTCGGATTCACAAGTCTTGACACTCTCGTCGCTGCAGTCATCGCTGGACGAAGAACGGTCGCTACGGCAACGCGCCGAGACGAATCTGTCAAACGCACAGAGCGAACTCGAAGAGCTGACGGCACAGCTGTTCGGGCAGGCAAACGAGATGGTTGCGACGGAGCGGAAAGCGCGCGCAAAGCTGGAGGAACGGGTAAAAGTGCTCGAGCAGAGAGATGTCGATAAGAGAAAGAGGCTGGAAAGGCTAGAGAAGGCAGTCACTCGGATCGAGCGGGTAAGAGCCATGGTTGGACCTTGAGGAATTCCTACGAGGGCAGTAGGTATGAACCTTTCGTGGGCAGCCAACCGAAATGGCGCCTCGAGGTTCTCGAAGATGTTCTGAGCAATTTCTGGCGATGGTGATTATGACTCAACTGACGATGTCCATATCACCACTTGCAAAGAAGGCGGTTGCTGGTTGCCTCGGTCGTTTCTCCGGCTAAGGCTCCTGTTGCAGACGGGCTGGCAAAGATTCCTGACAGGAGCAGCACCGACTTCAGACATTGGTAATCCTGTTGAACGGTGGCTTTCAATGCACACTCTACATGACGATCAGTGTGCGCAAAGAAGGAACTGGTCGATGCCTGCCATTTGCCTACCAAACCACAGCCTCTTGCATAAGGAGAAACAAATCTTGGACATTGCCGTGATCGCGAACATGGGTGGATGCCTTGAACAGCGTCAATAGTATACCGTGGTTACAGAAGCAGAGGCCAGGTATTTGGAGGGAGAACGTTGGATTCCAGGTGCTGGTTGGACAATACCAGCCATGGACGGCGCGCTGTACATAGACACAGCACGCGACGAACAGATCTACGACGGTGCAACTAGCTACTTGGCTTAGGACGATGTTATGTCTTGTCTGCATATTCAGATATATATACCTCTTTGATTGAAATGTACCCATTGAAACCGAGAGAATTTTGGGGGGAATGTCTTTTGAGAGATTCGGATCAATTCTATACAAAAACACATTTAAACATTTCGTGACCCTTGACCGGGCAGCGGATATCGCTGAAATAACACGGCGGACATATCTCGTAGGTTCCTTGGTCGTGACATTCGTCCTGCCGGCAACCTGGGTGTGTGGGCACGGACATCGTCAGCGTTTTCTGTGTCTCATCTGACTGAGGTTTCCAAAGGGCATTGGGAGTATTTGGGGGGGAGGGGGGGGAGGCATCAGTGGCGGCGTCACCGGTCAGCCAGCCCCTCGAGAGAGCAAAGGCGAGCAGAGCAAAATGATCACGACTTACTGAAGAAGAATTCATTCTTCCTATCTGGTCTTACACAGCGCTCGTTCGCGCACCTCCAAAGCGCCTTGCGTGTCTTGTCGACGTGGCGGATGTATTTCCACGCGTAGAACTTGACGAGCACGTGGCCATTGTCGAGGCAGTGTTCGCCCAGTTCGAAGCATTCGTCGCACAGGTCGAATGTGCCGCCTTTGCATTTCGAACAATCTGGGAAACACCCGGCGTACAGCGGTCAGCGGTCAGTGGTCGACGGTCAGCTGTGGGTGGGAAGTGGGCAGTGGAAAACGGACAGTTGGGCAGATAGATATATGATGCCAGCGACGCCGGACCATGTACAATCGACGAATGTTGTGTGCGTGTGTGCGTGTGGCATGAACTCACGGTAAAATGCGCCCTTGTCAATCCTGGCGTGGCAATCAGAGCACGTCGCCTGTCCGGTCGGCGCTTGACCCCTGGGCTGGTGCTTCTGGTACGGCGTGTCCTGGCTGTACGAGGCGAACTTGGCGCGAGGAAAGGCGTAGAAATTGTGCGTGTCGTCCCCGGGACAGGTACGCCCCGACTCGTAGCAGCGGATGCAGAGGGTGGTGGGAGTGGTCGTGCACGCCTGATTGTCCTTGGGCTTGCGGCATTCAAGACAGTCTGTTTGTAGTCAATGTGTGAATCAGCAACCGCCGGCCGCACAAACTACCCGTCGTCGGCTTGCCTTGTGAAGGCTATTAAAAGAATCTTTCGCATAAACAGGAGACGACGACGACGATAATGATGATAAAGAAGAACAGTGATGATGATACGTACCGTAATGCCAGCCTCGTGTGATTCTGGTGGAACAGGAAGAACAGCTCAGTTTCGATGGCCCGGCGATGTCTTTCATCAACTTTGTCATCCCGGACGGGAGGAGGTATCGGCCTGGTAATGCCGTCTGACGAGGTTGCAGAGTATGGCTTGGATCTCTGCACGCGGGAGCGCGTTCGTAGCATTCCAGGCACAGGTTGTACTCGTCGTCGGCCTGGGCGTCACTTCCCGGGCAATCGCAGCAGTCTAATAATATACACACAGAGAGACGAAGGTTAAAACGATGGCTATGAAGAGGCATTATACCTATCCGGGCGCATTGCCGTTGAGATGGGAGAGACCGGGGGGAAGAAAATAGAAATTACTTACGATAGAACTTCCCCTTGGAAACATTCGTCTCACATCGCGAACAGATTATGTCGGTCGCCCACGGTAGACTGTTGCACTTTATGTTGTGGTTGTATCTGGGCAGGATGCTTTCGTAGTCTAGACGCTCGCACACTTGCTGCACGACCTGCATGCTGAGTAAAGCCATGATCTGCTTCTCAACCAGCTGAGCCGACTCCGCGCCAGCTATCCATGCGGCGGCTCCTTCGTATGTCTGATCTGGAGTGAACCCAGACGATATGGCATGATGTGTCGATCCGAACAACGATTCAATCTGGTCTCGGAATCCTGAACCCCAGTTCTGTGCCGCGGATTGGATCTTCTCGTGCAGACTCTGGTGCCATTCGAGTGCACCGGCAGGCTCAGCTCCATGTTGTAGATGGAGTGCGGACTGGATGTGGCTGCCTGTACCAGTCTGTAGGGCGGGATCGGCGGCGTGCGCCACAGTCACATTGCCAGCATGTTGCAGACCTTGGGTGGCTGTCCCTGAATCTGGCTGGATCTGTCCTCCGCCGCTGAGCGTGTGCTCCGCATGTCCAAGGGGGACTGCCCCTGCAAGACCAAAGTCGACCCCCATGCCGACTGCAAGACACGTTATAGCCACGGAAGCAGGAATGATCCAGTCTCGATGGAGGAACGGTCTGAGTTCGATCCCACGATTGACGAGTTCGGCTTTGATGAATTTCAGCTTCTTCGCCGCGACGTACCACCTGCGAGCCGCCCATACGCAAATGCCCGCCGAGGCGCCGTGTGACGGTACGGCAAAGGCTGTGCCGCTGATTATCGAACACATGGACGAGTAGCAGATCCTCGTCTTCACGGCTTCTTGTTTCTTGAGCTGAGTGTCAGGATACTTGGCCAGACGTTGATCATAGTCGTTTGGGAAGTAGCAGAAATCGAGAAAGTAGTTCTTTGCCATTTGCCTCTTGGAGAGACCGGAACTGGACGTGGATGGACCAGAGTCATCGCGTCTGGAGGCGGCCGGGTTTGTGAGAGAAAGATCGGGTATCGAGTCAAATTTGATGTCCAGAGACGAAAGATCTCTTTCTAACCCATCGGAGGGGTTTTCCTTGCTGTCCTTGGCATGGCATATCTCCTCGTCGTCAGATACATATGGAGGAGGTGGCGTCAAGGGTCGCTCATCGGAATTGTCGATGTCGCCGGTAGTGAAGCGCCTGGATAGAGCTCTGATGGAGGGCATGGTAGACGTGAGGGAAGTTGAAGATCGGGTTGTTTCACCGTGCTAACCTGGCACCTGTGCAATTCTGTCTTTGGCCATGAGCACAAGCGAGAGATAGTCTCCCATTGTGTGTGTTCTGCTGATGAACCCAGGAGAGGCTCAATATAATTTCGCTTCTTGTGGTTTTTGGGCGTGAAGCACCTGACATGGGTTACTCATGCACGATGCAATTGGGAGATACGGAGCACCGCCCCAGGGTCTGGCCGAAGCACAAACCACATCCGTGTCGACGTGAGATGACGTTGCTCTGCATGGGACGATGGTCGAGATAGCCAAAGTCCAATAAAAGTGAGATACAACGGAGGCCGCTTGGCCCCAAACAGACAAGGCTGTGGGTGTGGAGGGGCAGCCAGCGCTGCTCAGGGTTCAGGATCGGCAAAGCCTGGTCTGCCCAGATAGATAATCTGATGCATCATCTCTCATCATCAGCACCGTCGCGAAGGACCTCAGCAGAACCGATTCCTGCCTCGCCATGAATACTCTGTGTTCTGCTGACCCTCTCTGACTGCGGAACGCGGGCCGAGGATTGCCAAATGAATGTTGTACGACACCACCGTAACTCATCCCCAGACCACGGATGTAAAATGTTGACAATCCTTGTCCGCATGCCTGATGAATAATAACATTTCTACGAGTACGAGTAGATCGAGCGAGGCTTCGGCGGGTATCAGGAGTCAGCCCGAATCACCACCTCGATCACGCTTTGTCGAGGTTGGTCTATACACGGAACCTGCCATGGCGCCGCCAGATAATCAACCGGCAAGCCACCAATGGCAGCCTGATCTTGTTTGTGGTATCGACTTTGGCATGACATGCACAGGCAAGTTGGTGCGCACAGTTCACAGCCCTGGTGGTGTCTAATGGTTACCCAAGGTGTCGCGTGGGCTCTCTTCAACGAGATGACGAGTGACTGGTCTCAGCTGAGGCAGATCCGACGATGGCCGGGCCAGAACAGCAGTCTCGAAAAAGTGCCTACCGAGCTCATCTACAACGGCAATACTGTCCAGCTATGGGGCGCCGAGTGCAAGACCCTGGCCACGCAGGACGAAAGGATCCGGACGAAAAGACTGTTCAAGAACGCCATGTCCGCTCGCGATGTCGGCGCTGCTTCCCATGGCCACGAAGTTGAGAATGCTCGACGATACTTCAAGGATTTTCTCACCCACGTGCATGCTCATATCGAGGCCTCGCTTGCCAAGCAGATCAATGACTTCAAAAGACTCCGAATCGAGTATGTCTTTAGCGTGCCAACAACGTGGAATCGTGACGCCGATACGTTGAACGAGGTCAAGCAAACCATCCGGGGAGTGGTTGGGAAAACACAGTACCGGAGAGGTATCATTGGCATGAGTGAAGCTGCGGCGTCTGCAGTAGAGACAGGACAGGACAGATTCAAGGTACCTTTGGGATGCTGTTTTTGAGTACATGGCTAATGATCGTGTCGTGAAGAAAGGGGACGTTGTACTGGTCTGCGATACTGGCGGAGGTACCGCTGTAAGCGTCACCCGGTATCATGTACTTGGACAAGACGAGGCAGCTGATGCTTTTTAGGATGTCAACATCTTCAAATTCGTGTCCTCGGAAAAAGAGGCTGCACGCATAAAGCCCCTAACGTATGACGAAGGTATGCACTGCATTGAACCTTGTTTCCTGAGGTTTATCCCCTGACATTCTCAATAGGTGCCCCTGCTGGAGCAGCAAGTATCGACCAGGCCGCTCTTGACTATATCATATCGAAGATGAGAAGTATCGAGAAGCTAGACAAGGACAGTGCCATCTGGGCCCTGGAGGCGGTCCAAGCAGGCTTTTCCAACATCAAGCATGACTACGGCAGGTCGAAACGAGAGGGATACTACCTCTTGCCTGTACCGGGTATGAGTGGCTCTCAGCCTCCCTCAGAGGACTTTGAGCTCGGAGGGAAAGGCTCGCAGGAGATTTGTTTCAAAATACACCCGTGAGTCTACACCACCTGCAGAGATAACCACGCCGGAATCCGATACTGATGATTCGACAGAAAACTGCTCGAAGAGTGGTTCAACTCTGCTGTCAACGACATTCTAGCTATAATCGACAGTCAACTAGAGGCATTGGCTCGGGAACACAAGGGGGAGAAAATCGTTTAAGTGCTTTGGGTGTCCTACAACTTGCAGCCCATATACTAACCTTCCCTGGCGCATTAGGACCGTGTCGTGTTGTCCGGAGGATTCGCGTGGAACGTCTACTATCAAGACCGGATGAAGGCATATTTCGGCAACAAGAAACGAGAAAAGCACAGGTCGATATCGCTTGACCTGGACATCCTCACGGCTCCTGAACCGTAAGCACTTTGACTTATTCCCCCCTTCCTTCTCGAGCATCCTTATTTTTCAGAATGAGTGTATGCTCCACCTGCGCGACGTTTTCTGACCCAAATGGACGCAAACAATAGTGAATTATCCGTCGTCCAAGGACTAGTACACAATAGGGTCCGAGAACTCAAGGGTCTGGGCCCTATATTCGAATCGGTCTGTTGCCCAGTGAGCTACGGCGTCGTCTTCGCGGAACGGTACAATGCCCTCAAACATTCGCGACAGGGAGACGTGCCCGAGATATCTGCACTGGATGGCAAGAAGTATATCCACGGACAGATTGACTGGATTATAAAAAAGGTATGTAGTGTATCATCATTATTATTATCAACATCATCGTCTTCGGCACCACCATCACCACCACCACCATCACCACCACCACCATCACCACCACCACCATCACCACCACCACCATCACCACCACCACCACCACCATCACCACCACTACTACTACCGCCAATCACTCCCATCAATCACTGGGTGTTCCAACTTAGCATAATGAACAACGACGCACTTTGAGCCACTGACTGACACTGTATCTACCCATATCTTCATTTATAGGGCGTCCCGATCCCCAGCAAAGGCATCAAACGCGAGTACGACATCGTTCTCAACGACAACGCCTCGAAGATGCTTCCCCGGTCCTTCCAGATCGTCACGACATCGCACCCGCGCGACCGCCTCCCTCCGAACATCAGCCACAGTGCCGTGAAGCCCGTGTGCGACATCACAATCGACCTAACCAAACTGAAGATAACAACCAAACAACAACACTCTACCAGCGGTTTCGGTGCGCGGGCCCTGTCGAATAGATTGAAACGATTACGGACCAATTCCAATTCCGCCCCTCCTGCTGCTGCTGCTGCTGGCGGTGGTGGTGCTGGCGCTGTTCCTCCCCCTCCTTCCTCTCCTCCCCCTCCTCCTCCTCCTCCTGCAATAGCGTCATCTTCATCATCTTCATCAAAAGAGACAAGTTTCGATTTATTTCTACTCATTGGCGCCTCAGACCTGCGCTTCGAGATCAAACCGAGAGGCGAACCGGATATCCTCGCCAGCTCGGAACATGACCAGATCGATGTCGTCTGGGCTCAAGACGACAACACCATTACCAGAACGTCTACGGCTGCGTCGACGAGAACGGATGATATGCTTTTGAAAAGGTCATGACTAGAACACTGACGCTATACTCTGTCCACTCCTCCCACTCCTCCTCAACTCCCCGGTGTCTTCCCGTCTATACCAGGATAAGACAATACCCACCACCTGGGCAATTTGGTGGTGAACATCTTCACGTCTTTGCGGCATCAAGGAGTCACGCCCAACGCCACGCTACAATACTATATAGTACAATGAATGGACAAGTCTTGGGTCATGCTTCATGCTTCATGCTTCATTCCTCATCATTCATCTTACAGTATATACATTAACGTGAGGTCGTAAGGACATAACATACCAAGTCAATAGTAGGTATGTAGGTGCGTAGACTTTCGTCTGACTAATATATCTAGCTTTCAGGGTTTCTTTCTCCATGGGCGTAGCAGCACCCAGACATGCCATTCCATTCTCTCATTCTCCGACCCACGCCACTAAATAGCCACATTCAACGAGCGCATCAGCAGTCTTTGTGTCGCCACGTCTTTATTCATAGGCTCGTCTCAGCACGCCGCCCAACTCGACACGCTTTACAACTGAATGAGGTCGACCTCGCTGAAATCAGGTGGTGCTCCGCTGTACACGCACCGGCCCTTAGAATCAAGTCCCTGTCTCACATTGCTGACCCAGATGTGAGAACTGAAGCGTCCCATGCGATGTACTTCGTCGTCACTAACACCGAGTTCATCGCGTGGGATCCAGATCACAGGCCGTCTCGCACGAAGTGCACTGTGTTGGAAAGCTCTCTGAACCAGGCGATCACGCTCCTCCGGGGTCAAATCTTCCAGTTCGTCACTCACGCCCGCAAACAGTGCATTGGCGAGTTCATTCCGTGCAGCTTGCTGCGCTTCGATGTCCTTTTCGTTTCCAGTGATTGGGTTGAAATTGTTCAACTTGTTCAAAACGTCTCGAGGAGGCGACACGCGGCGTTTGTGGGGTTTATGATCGTACGGTCCTTCTGATGGGGCTCGGCTCCGACTCTGCGAACGAGAATCCAACTCGCCACCAAAGTTCGATGCTCGTCGATTCGAAGCATTGTTTCGATCAGCCCATGATTTGCGCTTTTCCTTGGTTGACAGATTCCGTGACACCAGATACTTGGTGGTATTGGTCGCCTTGTGAGTTACAGCTTTGGCCATGCGAACGCCTCTACTCTCCTGGTCCAGGCTCAAAACAATTTCGGGATTCTGGTAGTCGCTGGGTTTGAGTTCCAATTGTTGTGTGCTTTGCCTCGTAAGCCGTGCTTCTCTGTCCGCCTTGATACGTTGAAGCTCGTACTCTTGCTCATGTCGATCTTCTTCCCGTTCCTGGCGCTCCTTACGCTCCAGCTGCTCTTCAAGAGTCTCGGCCTGGTTTTCATCTTCAATCAGTCCTTGCTTGTTTCGCATGATTCTGGCAAATTCCTGGTCCCTTCGAACTGCATCGTCTTCGAGTGTGATAGGAAGATACCGAAACAATGGGCTGAAGGCTTCGTTGAGAAGGATCTGGTACCCTGCTGTCAAGATAAGGATCACAATCATCCCGATTGCTTGTCCTCCGCAGGCGAGATTACCGGCCGCATCTCTGACCAAGAAAAACATGCCAATCAAAGCGATCTCCATCACGTACAAACCCACAAACGTGGTATTGATCGCATTCGGATACAGAAGACCACCGGTGTCGCGAGTAAATCTCGTCACGTACAGGGTGTTATAGCGGTATACGAACCAGAAAAGAGAGAAGGTGATGATGTTGAAAACCAGGATAAGTGGCGCAATTACTGAATAAATCAAGCCGATGCAGGCCAAGTTCGTGTACACCGGGAAAAAAGTACCCCACTGGACATCAGACAATTGTGTTTGCCGCTTGAACTTGGCCCGAGCTGTGCTGTCAAAGAGAGGAGCTAGGATAAACCACCCAATAAGTGATCCAACTTGCACCAGAGCTCCCGCACTCACCGACAGTGCCTGCAGGAGCATGTAGGAGAAGAAGTAGTTGCTTGCTTTGGGAATGTTAGTGCCTAGTAGCGTCGGGATATTCGTGAATCCATCGAAGCTGGTGAAGAGCGCGAAGAACTGTGTCAAGGCAGAGGCGATCGACACGACCAAGAACAATTGGACGAAAAGAAATGCAAAGTAGTAGCGCTGCACGGAGAGTTCGACCAACATCCCCGACTGAATTCCTTGTACCCTGCAAAGAAATCGAAGGATCAGAGGCAGCAGGAAGGTCAGCAGACCCAAAAGAGCGGGAGGAAGAACACCCTGAATCACACTCCTGAACCATGTAGGGATCTTGAGCACCCAGTGGAGCCAAGACCAAGACTTCGCTGCGACGTCGAGCTGCGAGAGCGCGGATGTAAAGGCGACTGGGATAGCCCAAAGAATGATCATCCCAGTGACGATGGTGATAATACCGCTAGTCCGAACATAGCGCTGCCACCATGGAATAGACATGTTGTCCCAAATGACATCGTTGGGATCAATTTCAACCATACGAGGTGCCATGTGCTTTGGAATGTGATGGCTGACAGTTTGACAAGCCATGTGGGCCGCTACCTGGTGGTTGAATTGAATGAACGCAGAATTCATCAGCGGAAATCGTTCTGGATGCGCCTGGTCATCTTCAATCTCGACGTTGAGCCTCGCTACTTCTTTGCGACAGTAGCGGATGGTGTCGACCTTTTCCCCCACCAGGGGTAGCGAAGGCATCCACTGCCAACCGAAAATTGGTAACCTCATGGTGTCGCGATCTTTTTCTTCCAGATATCGTCGCCAAACTGCGTCATCGGGATCGTGTTCGAAGTCCCGTTCGAAAGCAGATGGATAATCAACTGGTTCCTTTTCATCTGACCCTAGACCCACGGCCTTGAGTAGCTTCTCGAACTTGCCGATCGGCTTGTGAGGCTTGGTCCTCTCATCCCCCATTGTACTAGACTGGGAGATCGGACTGGACGGTAACTCGCCTTTGCCGACTCTTTCCACTGTTCGTCCGCGATTATCAGGTGGAAGCTGCCCTGACACTGATGCGTCATGAGCACCATGCGATTTTTGCTGATGCAAATCGTTCCGCGCATAGTCACCGAAGTTGGGTTTCTTTGGCTCCTCGGACGACTTTTCGCCAGAGGATCGGCCCGGGTCTGTCCCTGAAGCCACGAATCCATTCGTAGTGTTGATGGTGTCATTGACTCCTTTGTTCACGCCCCGAATGCCACCCATAATTCTATTTCCAATGGTATCTAAGCCATGCGTAACCGCCGTGATGCTTTCGCCCAACACAGGTATTGGTAGGGCGGGTTTCTTGCGGTTCAACTCCTCGTCTTCGGTTTCTTCTTCGTCGCTGGACGATAAGGACCGCTCATCGTTACCATCGAGGGCATCACGGAGATTGTGGCTAACTTGGTGAGGATTACCGGAGCTGACACCGTGACCGTGGGCAGCCTGATCACCAGCTTCATCCCTGATGGTGGTTCGAAGATTCTTTTCTCGTTTGGAAAGCTTTTTACCAGATTCCTTCTCGGCTTTCTTGACGTTTTCTTCGTTCTTCTTGAAACATTTTTTGATCAGATCCGTCTCAGCAGCTTCCAGTGTAGCAGCAAGCTGGTCTCTTTGTTTGATCTTGGCGCTCAATTCATCAAAATTCCTGTTGATCCAGATGTTTCTGAGACCGCCCGGGAACACGTCGTACAGTCCGTCAAGTGCTTCAACGGAGCACCATTTCTGGGGAATCGAGCTCACCAGAACGGTGGTAGCAGACGCCCGCAGTCGATGTTGAGGTGATGTCAGGTATGCTTGTCGCATCCGAATGTAGCACCGTAGTTCGTCATACGCAACGTAACAGACCCAGACTATGAGGGCCAAGGCAAGGAGCCAATGCGCCCAGTAACGTCCGGTGTGGTCGGGAGCCACATTTCCCCAAGCAAGCTGATCCAAACCAGTGACATTGGAGGAATTCTCGTGCCGTCCTGTCGCGAACCGTGCACCCCTCCCATCAACTACATTCAGAGGAACTAGGATAGGTAGTATGACCAGTGCCGCAGGTACGAAGATCTTGAGCAGTGTGCGAAGGTAACGGAGGAAGAAGTACGCGTCCAAACCGCATTTTTGCACGAATTCGGAATTCGAGGTGACGAAGACGGGTTTGATCCACTTCCACCAGCCTGGTGGTGTTGGTTTTGTCCGCTCTCTTTCTGGCACTAGGTATGTTCTCGGCTGGTATATGCGAGCAAATCGATCCTTAATGAGGAGGAAGAGGGCCACTTGAATGGCGAAGATGGCTATGGAGGTTATTAAGGAGGCAGCGAACTGGCTCGCAGTCTGTCCAGTCCTGGACTCGCTGGCGGTGGAGTTGCCACCCAAGTCGGACAAGGTTGAGTTGAGGGATGACATGGCGTATCAGTGAACAGGAGATACCATGATTATAGTTGATCGTGGATCTTGAAATAGGGTTCGACGCGTGGGAGGCTCGAGGGAATATCAGGCTGCGTCACTGGCTAAACGCTCAAACGAAGACAGGCAAAGCAGGCGACGAAAGGACGATTGTACTCATAGGAGAGTTGACGATGAGGATGGAAGAGGAGATAAGGACAACAAAGAATGCAAAGACAAGTTGGACAAGAGACTCCTTTGGCATGGTGGAGCGGTAGCAATCAAGATTTACCTCCCGATCGTCGACGTTCGACAATCTCAGGACAGGGAAGAAGAGTGACATGCAAAATGACGTGTGAGGCTCACACAGCCCCGATTTGCCTGCACAGTGCGCACCCCAGGTGTTCTATCGTCGAATCATCTGCGCCCACCGACGCTCCTCTCTGGCATTGTGGTCACCGATCCGTGGCCTAAACCGCCCATAGTTTAGGGAGCCTGTTTAGGTGCCTCTAGCGGGCTCCAGGGAGTTTTGCCGCGCGGTTGACAGGTTGTGTCTGGTCTTGTCTGGCAGGGCGGTCAAGATCCAGTCCCTGCTGGCCGCTGCCAACTTCTGAAGCACTTGGGGTCCTCGTACTCGTATCAGTACGATTGCCGCCAGACAAGGCGTCAACTTGAATTACAGTTTATGGGTAGACGGATTCGACACTCAAACATCCACCCAGACGCTTGTCCCTCCTCATCTACAATTCCTCCTACTGCATACGGCCTTCCCCATGTACGCCTAATCTCTCTTGATGTGCTCCACCGTTCGAGGGCGGCATCTGTAAACAGAGGCAAAGTTCAATTGTATCAGGAATCAGGACACCGTCTTTCTTCATTTGGGATACATTTTGACATCCACACTCTTTAGTCCCTTTGGCTCTATCTTTATTTCCATCCTCGACGAAACTACAGTAGGTTTCAGACTTCTGACTAGTTCTGGAACACAATCAACCAAGGGACTATCCTCATATCTCGGAAAGAATCTCTATGGCGTAGCTGCTTGCTAAGCTCCGAACCGATTCCCTGGCTTTTCAAGAGGATCGCAATCTGTTTGTAGGCAGAAGACTGATAGGATGCATGCGACCATGATAATGATCAAGGCGCCGCTGTCATGGCACCAGAATATCGCAGCCTCACATCAGCCAGTAACTGATACCCAAAGTTGGCACAAGCGCAAACCTTTGAGTGCAAATGAGCTACACTGAGTGCACAGCTTACAAGCCGTGAGATCTAGTCGGCCTCGGTGTGGGTGACCAGGCTGTGCAGTGTGCACTCTATGTTTCGTCGGGATTTATACATACCAAGCCGCTGGGTGTCCCCGCAGGAAGCTCTCAGGCTCAAATCCAAAGTGGGGACGGTCGGCGGCCTCCAGCAGCATAAAAACGCCGTGGTCATGAAACCGCTCCGAACTTGCAGGCCCAGTAAGGAGAATAACTCATAAGTTTCAAGGAAGCGAACTTCCTCGGTATGGGGTTTCTCAGACTGTCCCATCTGCGGCATGGGTCGCGACTTGGATACAATAAGTCGGAACACTCGTATGACGATTTGGGGGTGTAATGAACAACTCGCCAGCATCCTCCTATCCTCCCAATTTCAAAACCTAGCGGAAGTTTTGGTCCTCGGACGTATCCTCATTCGTCAGACCGTGATTATGTTGTCTGCGACATGGCACCTTCAAAGCGTATAGACAGGAATATTAATAATTTACAATGGCCAGATGACAGCTATACGCTCGTCGCTTATGCAAGGTACGGGGCGCCCGGGGCGGCAGCGGGGCCCCGGTCCAAGGACCTGAATGCCGGGTTTCGGTTTCTGCAAGGCCATCCTCAAGCTATAAGAGATGATGGCAGAAAGTCCGAATGAGGCTTGATCCCCCATTGGAGTCGACAAGAAGACACACACTCGTCTGGCAACATGGATCTTCTTGACAAAAAAAGCCTGAAAACGACCCGTGGTCTCAGCTACGCATACTACGTTCTGAAGGACCATCCGACCTCCTCTGCTCTTCCCACGATCCTCTTCCTTCGTGGCTTTCCGGACTCATCCTCTCTCTGGTTCGGCATTATCGAGCGAATCGCTCATCTACAGTACCCAATCATGGCTATCGAATATTAGGTATGGGCGACAGTGACAAACCCACCGATCCTCAACTATACAACTTCAAAGACCACTCAGCCGACCTGCAGGAAATCCTCGACAGGGAATCCGTCGGTAGAGTCGTCGTTGTAGGCCACGACGCCGGAGCCGTCGCTGCACAGCGGTTCTATCTTTTCCAGCCCAAGAATGTCGTCGGCATGATCTTGCTGAACGTCGCGTACAAGCATCCCAGCTATCAACCGTTCGACCTGCCCAAGCTGATACAGCTGATGAGACAGCTTTTTGGATACGACGCCTGGGCGTACTGGGACTACACATCCTCCGACCGAGCGGCTGGAATCATCAATAAGAACCCTGTGCTGATGTACGAGGCCTTGCATGGCGATCGCCCAGATTGGATGAAGACCGTCCTGGGCAATTTTGGTGCGCTGGAAGCCTACACAAAGGGTGAAATGGAGAGGGTCCCTGTCAAAGCGTATGCCAAACCCGGCCAGGAGGAGTGGGTGGAGCACGTCAAGCGACACGGGATTGATTCACAGCTATGTTGATACCGTGCGACCGTTCAGAATGTTCAGTCAAAGGTCGAGAACGAGATACCTCCGGAACGACTGAAGATGAATTTCCCCGTCATGTTCATCGCGTGCACCGATGACGCCGCCTGCAGGGCCGAGATGATGAAACCTGCCGTCGCGGCCGGTCTTTTGCCGGATTTGGAGACGAATTGGCTGAACTGTGGACACTGGAGTCCTTTAGAGAGGCCGGGGGAGATTTCTGGGATGATAATATCATACATGTCACGACACTTTAGTGCTGCATGATATTATGGATACCCGGGGGTAATGAGGGATCACATAGACTGGATATTCTGCTATGTATTTGCCGAGGTATCTATCATTTTAGGCCGCCTGAGCATCGCGGGGCCCCGGAAAGTGAAAAGAGGGATAATCAAGCAAACTTGAACTTCCTAACACCTTACAGTACCTACTCACATCCTCTCTTCGCAGTATCCATTCATCTATCCCGTGATCACTGATCGCTGACCCATGTGCCGTTGACTTTTCTTACCGTCGAATCAATCATGACCCAACCCCCATCGACACCCCCTGTGGTGGTCTCGACCACTCCGACGGGTATCACGACCATAATTATTTCCCGGCCTCATCGTCGCAATGCTGTGAACCCGTCAACTGCCCAAGACCTGTATTCGGCCTTTATCGATTTTGAGAATGATTCTTCGCAAAAAGTCGCCATTCTCACGGGCTCCGACGGCTATTTCTGTGCCGGGGCCGACCTCGTCGATCTGACTCTTGAGCAGAAGCGGAAGCAGGAACAGAAACAGAAACAGAATGCGATGGCCAGTCTGACCACCACCACCACCACTTCTTCTTCTTCCTCCAGAGATTCCTGGAACAACATGCCGGTAGAGAATCGTAACCGTGGACCGATGGGACCTTCACGGCTGCAGGTCAAGAAACCCGTCATTGCGGCGGTCGCTGGTCACGCCGTTGCTGGTGGACTGGAGCTCAGTCTCCTGGCTGACATGCGCGTCGTCGAAGAGGACGCCATATTCGGAGTGTACTGCCGGCGGTGGGGCGTGCCTTTGATCGATGGCGGAACCGTTCGTCTCCAGGCGGTCGTCGGCCTGGGTCGTGCTCTCGACATGATCCTGACCGGGCGGCCCGTCACGGCTCAAGAGGCCCTGGCCATGGGTCTTGCCAACAGGGTGGTCCCGCGCGGCAAGGCTTTGGAAGAGGCCACCAAGTTAGCGCAGGAGCTTTTGAGGTTCCCGAACGGGTGCATGAACGCGGACAGGAACTCGTGCTACTACGCCGCCTACGACGCGTCGAGTTTTGAGGATGCCCTGAAGAACGAGTTCGACAACGGTACGAGGGTGCTGGAGACTGAGAGTTTCAAAGGCGCCGCCAGATTCGCGGGAGGTCTGGGAAGACACGGGGGCTTTTCCAAGTTATGACTTTTGGATAGATCAACATCCATCATATGTATGTGAATTAATGCGTGCCAAAAGATATTTTCGCATCGACACCGTGTGCCATCACAACTTAGCATTGGAATACACTAGGTAGTTAGTAGTCGTGGTCCTCTCAAAGTGCGGTCTCTTTGTTGGCCAAAAGAGGGTGTTATGACAAAACAAGGTGGTCAAGCTGGTCCAGACGAGCACGGACCGGTCGCGATGGAGTGAAAGGGAAATGATAGACAGTTACTTTAGTCTGTCTGCTCACCGCTCTCATGTCAGGCTGTAGTTACGAGCCACCACGTTGTCAACCATGTATGAGCCGCCATGCTCAGAGAGGAAATTGCCGGTGGTTGCCTCGCCATATGCGACCCAGTTCGCACAGGCAAACTTCTTGCAAATAACACTAATTCGAGGTTGGTTCATGGCTCCAGTCGAAGCCTATTTTGACAACACCTGCTGTCTCCGACACGGAGTCGCAGCACAAAGCAGTGTTGCCTCCATGAGGTTTGGATCAAGAGCGCGGAGAAGAAGAAGACGACAACAACAACAATAATAAAGCGCCAGCAACCAAGCCCCCAAACGAAATGAGTCGGGCACCGCTTGACGTCATAAACTCCAAGTTGATGCGTAGTCAAGAACAACAGGATCACCAGGTGAGGCGCTCTTCGGAAGATCATATACGTACAACTCTGATTACGGAGCAAGTTTCTTTTTCTCTGGACGCTCAAGGGAAAGATAAGTTGGGCAATTGTACGTACGTTGGTTGTCCTATAACATTGCCGTGCCACCCTCCTGAAGAAGTCGGGGCTTGGTTGGCTTGTCAGCCTCGACGCCTTACTCGATCGAAGAAGCAATCATATTGTACAGTCTTAAACGAACGAACGGCGCCCTCTACCCGCCCACCCCCAATGCCACACATGGCGCCTCGAACAGTCTTGCTCGTGGTTGACATGCAGGTGTTCTTTGCGCCCATGGCCACAGACGCCCTGCCCAACATTGTGAAACTCTGCACTTACTTTACAAAGGCATCAGCGCCCATCATCTTCACTCAGCATGGCCACAGTGAGTACGAACTCACGACGAAGCCGTCCCCTAGCCAGCTTGTTCGTAGATGGGGGCCACAAAACTCGATAGCCACGGGCTCTCCTGACTGGGAGATCATCCATGAGCTGCGGCAGTTCGTCTCCAAGTTCCCTCCACCCGAAGCTGTGGTGGATGTGGGCGAGTCTTACCCTCCATCCCAGGACGAGCAGTTCCCAAAGTTGATGCCGAAGAACACCTACGACGCCTTCATCAACACCAACCTGTCGACGATCCTCGAGGCTGCGAAGATCGAGCGAGTGGTCGTCTGCGGGGTCATGAGCGACGTTTGCTGCGGCACAACGGCTCGATCAGCGTTCAACAGAGGGTACGAGACCTGGCTAGTGAGTGATGCAACGGGTAGTGCGACTCAGAGTCAGCATCTGGCAGGCCTAAAGTCCTATGGTTTTGCATATGGGGAGGTGTTGAAGACGAGGGAGGTATTGGCCCGCTTGAAGGAATGACGGGGACTGATCGTTAAGAGAAGAAGCAAAAAGTAGCATGCTAAAATGACTCCAGGGATCCCCCCAGGTGTGTCTGGACGACGGAGGCGTGACGGTAACTAGAGGTAAGACGTCCGCGTAATGTAGTGTCGCTTGGCTTGGGGTCGGTCTTGTCCATTACTCGACCACAGAGTGGGTTCCAAGGTCGCCGTGAAAATGCCGCATGCAAATCTAGATTCTCAGGACTCATCGTGCCCTTCTGCTGATAGAGTTCTGTGAAGAACGGTTGTCGATGTCCAATCTTCTTCACCATGTCAGTGTCGCTGATACCTTGAATACGCAGAGCAATTGTGCAAGATCAAAACTCACAAAAAGAGACGCCAAAAAGCAAGATGTCTCCAGGGCCGAGTCTCTTCTGATGATACATGCAAGTAGCTAGGCTCCTCCGCAACAAGATTCTGAGATCTCGGGAACATTGTTGTTCTGTGCGTCTCCAGAGAATTCATGCTACTTCATGATATGCATCTAGAAATATTGACAAGAACTGTTGGATTGATGTCTATCTAAGGATCGACTTTCCTCTAACCAAGGCTCCGATTACATTCAAAGCTTGTCCGCGCGAGGTGTCCCTTTCTCATTTAGCAAACACAACTTGCATTGGGACTGACAAATACGATGAGCACAGCGCTGAACGTAGCAGTGGCTATGAACGAATCGATCCTTCGAGGCATTCCCACCACTGCAACTGCGCTGCTGAAGAGGAAGCTCAGGAGTACAATGATACAGAGCCTCAGGAGCTCGTCGTTGATGAAATACAGACAAAATGCCCCGACGGTGGGAAGGATAGGCGCCAGTATTGTGGCCACCACTGTCACAAGCCTGGCGATGTGTTCGTCTCTGTAGCGAGACAGCTTGATCGGACGCAATGGTCTCCAGTTCTTTGGGAACCTGTCTGAGATGACTTCTTTCTTTCCAAAGAGTTTATGGTATGGTTCCGTGATAATCCAGGTCAGCCATCTCGTGAGGATGTCGGTGCCACCTTCTGTGTCCAGAAGGGACGTCATGTCATACTCCATGTCTTCCTGGGTCCAAGGGAAAGCCTCGACAGCATTCTTGAAGAAAAGGTTCTTGTCGGGTGTGTCTCGAAGGACTTCGTCCTCAAGAACCCTGAGGTTTGTTTTGCGCACAGGAGGTAGGTTGGCTATTAGTCGAGCTCGGAGAAGACCTTCGTCTACATGTTATGTTCGAAAACAGTCAGCGACCGGGAGCATTTTCAGGTTCCGAGAGCGGCTATTATACGTACCGTACTCCTTTTGAAGTTCGCGAAACTCCTTCATGAGCTCTCGTTGTCTGGATCCTAGAGGGGAGCTATCATTCAACAGGGCGTCAAAGTTCACAGCAAAGGACTTCCTCTTGGGATCATCGGACTCTCGATCGTCCTGAATAAAAGTCAATAGTTGTTCTTCTTTTTGCAGCAGCTCTGCCTCTAGCAACATCAGATTGCGGTGTCTATGGATGGAAAATCTGCGATAAATAGCAAATTCGGGATAACAGCTGAATGCTGCGCTCAGTGTATCGTAGCCTTCCATACCGAAGCGATGACTTGGGACTTTGAGTAGTTACAGGATATCCAGCAAGAGACTGCGGGTCGGACTGTATTTAGCCAGCCTGAGACTGGGATGCGAAGAGCATTCTTCTCAGCCTCGATTGAGTTGGCATGCTGTCTGATTGCCCGAGATGTGTTGGATGCCAGGCAGAAAACATGTGTCTGCGATCTGGAGCCCACCTCAATCAAGGCGAACTCGCAGATGAGAACAGTGCCCACCTGGCTTGAGAGAGAGAGATCGGACAAGGCGGTAGTGCCACGGCCACCGACCCCTGTAGCCCATGATCTAAAATAACCGAAGGGCAGCATGAACTGATGATGTGCTGGCGAGGAACCACTGTTCGTTTGCACCAATGGTACAAAAGGGTCAGTTCAACCCGCAGTCGTCAGTGTGATTAACGAAGCATGAGACCAAATGTGCTCACCCGAAGTAGGCCCACTTGCAAGCAAAGCGTATAACAGGGCCATCTCCAAGCGGCCGGCACAGAGTCTCATCTGCGCTCCTCTCACTGTTTCTATGGCCACTCTCTTCTTCATGGCAAACGTGGAGCCGACTCACCTTTGGAGACGCAACCTCTCATCTTGTCGACAATTTGCAATCTACCAAGGTAAGTAATCACCAACGATCGGATCGACCCAGAGGACACTCACTAGTCCGAGCAAAGGCCGGCTGTGCTCATCGGCAGAGACGTGGCATGCAGTTTTGCCGGCGGAAAGCCAACGCGGCTGGCACATTTCGATTGATACTCTGGACAAGATAAGACCTCGCTCCTTCCTGGCCCCTCATGAAAGAGTTCTTCTCCCTCTCCCTTCCTGACAGCATTGAGTGGGTTTTTGAAAGTGTTGAGCCCTGGACAGGATGGATCACGTGATGCCCCGACAAGACGCGTCCCGGATGGCACGAGGCGAACTCACCGAGGCACGTGTGATTGTACGAATGGAGGCGAGATCTATTCCCTGGGTAGAAATCCAAGCATAGGACGACACATGCAAGCTCGTCGAAACAGCGGTTGAATCTGATTGCTATCACAATTGCACAACTCGCCTTCGGGGATTGTGGAGGCTGGAAACTTCAGAAACTTCAGAAGCGTTGGCGACTCCCAGGCTCACTAGGCTCCTGTTTCTGGGGCTAAATATACGCGACCCTCAGGACCCGCAGCATGTTCATGTGCTCTCTCGGGCCGCGCCAGAACTGACAGCGGCTCATGCACTCGCAGTTCGACTTGCTTCTACTGAGACGAACCGATCATCACAATGTCCTCCGCATACGAATCCTCCCTCGGTCGGCGGCCGCTTAAGACCACAGTATATGGCCGTCTTAGGAGAAAGACGCCCTATGCGGTGTTGTTGTCCTGCCTGCGGAACGAACGCGCTTTGTTATGGTGAGAGTTCCCTCATGGTCAGGTCATGTCTATGAGCTACGGATGGCGCTTCGGCCCCAGGAACAAAGCCGGGCAGTGACCGTTTATTGAGTTGAGACTGACAAACATAACGAGCACAGCGCCGAATGTAGCAGTGGCCCTGGCCATCCCAAGCAGGATTCTCCGTACCTCTTCCCCGGTGACAACGGATGATTAGCTCCTTTTCGGCCCTTGGGGCCCTCCCCTACTCTTGACCTCTCGGTTGTCATAGCATGCCAAAATTGCCGGCTAATTGGCTTCGAATCTGGAAATGCGAAATGTGGGATATTCGGGGCCTCGCTTTCGCTTATCGTTTTGCCCAGCCTCGTTCTGCGCACATTCTGCTCCATACACACATTAGACTGTTTGCATTATACGCCGTGCGATTGTTGCTTTCTTGACCCTCCCAGTTGACCTGCACTGCTCCGTTTTCGAAGCCTCGAAGCCTCGAAGCCTCCTTTGCGTGTCCTATCCAATTTGCCCGAATCGTTTAGCCTTTGTTGCACGCTCTCCCGAAAAAAGCGAACAGGAAGTGGTCACCATGTCCAACTATGTCGTGGTGCCATTACCGGGCGGATTTGAGGCTCGCGACTTCTCATTTTCCCCAGGTGGGAATGGGCGAGGAGCCAGCATGACCATACAACTCAATGAGATCCCTGGCAAAACCTCAAAAATGGACCTGAATGAGGGTGATTCGACAACCTTGGGTCAAAAAGCAGGAGATATCTGTGGAACTGTGGCTGAAGCTGGCCAGGAAGATGAAGACACGGAAAATCAAGAAGTTGGGCCACATACCATGGACAAAAGCGAAACACACGTCCTGTGGCAAGCTACCATAGATCAGAGGGGAAGCTGTGGTCAGGTTCCAGAATCCCAAGTGCACGGTATATCAGAATCTCAGCATGGAGATACCAATACCAAGCCCCAAAGTGAAAAGTTCGCAGGTGAAGATACCAGAATGGGGCATCAGGGGGATTACATACCAGCGTTAATGCAAAAAGCACACATCCACACCGAATGCTGCCAGGAACTGTCACATTCTCTTTTGGGTGACAAAGTGGAAAGCGCTTTACATGCTGAACCACGGGTCGGCCAAAAACTGCATCTTGAGCTCCCCTTTCAACAGCAACGTGAGCAGACCGACAGAACGGCGCAAGTTGAGGAGGATCTCGCCCAGAATAGGGCTGTTGCTGAGCGTCTGCAGGTGAATTGCAGGTTACTTGACTGCTCCGCCGGCAAAGAGGAACGATTCGTCAGCAAGTTTGACACAGGATCGACTCACTCGATTATCCTGAAGGACATTGTGCCGGACGATCAGTACCGATCTCTTTCGGAACCTATCGAGCTCAGTACGGCTTCTGGCCAGATATTGACCATAGGAGGATGTGCCGAGCTTTATTGGCGTTTGGCATGCTGTCCGCAAGGCGTATACATAAGGAGTACCTTCCTGGTAGTGGACGGCCCCGTAACAACCCTAGGAGGTTACAATGCCCTAATTGGTGCGTGGGACTCAGTGAGAACAGGTCATATTACTATCCTACAGTGTGAAGAATGCCCTATTCGCTTACCGGTTGCGTCGAAGGGCCGTTCGAAGATGTCGTAAACTGATCCCTGCCGGCAGCTGGCCATGCCCATGAATTAGGCAGAGCCGCATGCCCCTTGTCTTTTGGTCCACACCCTCATAGATGGATCGGCTCCAATGATGGCCGATTCCTGCCTTACGTCTTCGGAGGGAGTGGAGCAGTGGCCGAACGAGAGACCTGGGACAGAGCGCACAGCTCCCAATGGCTGTTTTATGCTGACCGCCTCGAACAACTCATAGGTCTACGAGTCCATGGATGAGCGAACGCGAGCATGAGCCAGAGGCGTCTTGATGTTGTGTCGTAGGCGCTACGGGTGTTGCCCTGTTGTTGTAGTGGAGGGAGAGGACGACTCTGCAAGGAGAAGGGTGCTTGGGACCTCTGCATAGACGGCGGTTAGCAGGAAGTTGAGAGGAGATAACATATAAAAGCAACTGCATTCGCCTGATCGTGTCTGCTTCGACCATTATCCCTACCGCTTCTGAAATCTCAGTAGTGTCCAGCTTACAACTGCATAGCCGCATCACGCCCTACCTCTCGCTATGGCCAGCTTGCTCAAGACCAACGCAACCTTTGGCATTGAACCAGACCTCGACCAGCAGCCGTTGATTTTTGGGGGAGGTAAAATCGACGACCAGCTACCTGTCACAGTATCTGTCGATGATGAGGCTCAGTGCTGCACGATCACCAATACTTCACTCGTCAAGCTCTATGGCAACAACCCTCTTCCTCTTCATGACGATGGCCATGTATGCAGACATAGAAACCATGTTTGCCGAGTTCGACTTGACGTTAGCGGAAGATGCCCAGGGCTGACGTGGGTCAACTTCTGTGTGCTTGAAGCAACTGAGCAGATTGTGGTGATGACTGGTCGAGAGCCATGTTGGGCAGAGATCCCAGAAGCAAGCTGTTGTGTCTTTGTTGAGACGAAACGCAAGCCTAGTTGGTAATTGTGACCCTCATCAGCAGACAACTACTGACCATATTGCAGAAGACGCCGCGGAGCTCAAGCAACGCAAGGAGGAAGAGAGGAAACGATTGGAGAATCAGATATTGGCCGAAAGAGCAGCAAGGCGTAGGGCAGCTTCTGAAGCAGCAAGGGCACAGAATTCAGCTCCAGGCCAGGGTAGCACGGCCCAGCGGGTTGTGAACCAAGGGGGTGCTTAGCAGGGCAAACCGATCCAGAAGAAGAAGGGTGGCCAGTAGCTAGACCGTCCACTTCAGCCAGCGTTGTATGGACGTTAGGCTTGGGTTGTCGTCGCTACAACTTGAACCAATAGTATCAGATAGGGAGGCAGTACCGCACGCGCAGGCGGGAGGACAGCGCCGGGAAATTGTTCTTGACATTCACGAGGTAGAGTTGGACAGGGGCTTCAAACTTGCAGTATTATTACCTTTCAAATGTGACGTCTCTTCTGCTCGGACAAGGACGCAATTTATTTTGGTGCGTGGGCACCATAACAGCTCCAGGGGACCTGATGTCGGGTTCATAGGCCTGGTAGTTCGTCTGGGAACGACTCCAAACCTCCAAATTCAGCGTGCTGAGATGTTCGTAAATGGAGAGACCGACTGAGGCACACGGCTTATCTCCAACAGCCCGGCCTGCCACAGCTTTGCGCGTTTGGGCACCTTGGACCGGACAGCACACTTCGTTAAGTGTGGCTACGCTGCTGCGCTCAGAGCACTCCGTGCATATGATGGTCTCGACGACCGCAACAGGGTGGTCGATAGTACCTCCGCTGGCAATGGAGTTACTTACCTGCAAGGATGGACGATGCTCGATGATGCGCAAGCTGTCGATGTATGAGATGAAGTGTGAAGTGTCGTCGTAGCTCTCCAATGGTGCGTTTAGAGAAATTTCGATAAAGGCGGTGAGAGACAAGATGAGGCTGAGCACACACACACACACTCTCTCCCCATCTCAATTTGCTTAATGTTAACTGGTGCTTGACCATGGCAACACTACGAAGGGCTGCCACGACAGCTCGGGTAGGAGCCTTCAAGAAATCGACAATGAAGGGGTCGGCGAAGAAGTTTCGAGTATCCTAGGCTTTTGCGTGTTTCGAATACTGCCGCGATGGAACATTTACATACATTGAGGAACGGACGTTGCTTCGAAAAGGGGTCCTCAGCCTTACTGCCCTGCCCTCTCTTTTGACCCACAAATGGCTAGCTCGCGGCCAACCACGGGTATGGAGGACACTCGACCTTTTTTTTTATTGTTCCCTCGCTGCATTGGAGACAAATGTAATTAACACCAGCACCGATCCGGGTTCTGCGTCTGCTTCCATCTGCAGAATGAGACTGTCTCTCAGGGGGTGTGAACTACGGCGGACACCGAACGGCCGCGCCGCCACTTCGTCAGTACTCCGTAGACATACGCTTGCTAGATAGAAAGACCTTACAACGCACCAGGCACGAATACGGACCAAGAAAATTGGACAGAGCAACAGAATAACCCTGATTTATAGTCAAATTCGAACTTCGGTATATAATTTTCTCTTTAGACCAACCAACGCCGTCGCTAACATCAGACATCGGACTCTTATAGTCACCATACACGCATACTGAAAACGTGCGCCACAGGCAACAAACTCAGTACTTGACCCTTCCTAGCGTTGGCTTCCAGTCCAGTGGGTGAGTCTCAGGGGTAGCTTCTGGATCCGGTCTCCAGATCTTGATGGTCTTATCCGCCTCGCCCATGATGAGACGCAGCCCGGTCTGATCGAAAGTACTACTCATGATGCCAGCCTCGGCATCCAGAGAACCAGGCTGCGCCAACGACTCCGTGCTCTGGAACCTGTGGCCGGTCTTCCAATCCCAGAACGAGATACTCCCGTTGTCGCCACCGCTGAACAGAACATTGTCCTCGTTGACAGCCAAGGTGTTGATGATGGCGTTGTGGCCCTCAAAGTTCTGCATGAACGCGCCTTCGGGACACTTCCACTGCTTGATCGAGCCCGCAGACCCGGAGGCGAAGGTGAATTCTTTGGGATGCAGGGCCAATGCCCTTACACCCTTCTTGTGATGTGTCAATACACCCATTGTCTTTCCTGCCGCCAGATCCCAAAGCCGGACCGTGCTGTCGAGACTTGACGTTATGACCTGAGGATCTGCCTCCTGGCACTTGACATCCGAAACGGTGCCCTTGTGGCCGCTGAGAACGTGAATGTTTGATCGTGTCCGCATATCCCAGACGCGTGCAACACCATCTCGTCCGCCAGTCACCAACACGTCAAGTGTCGGATGCAGCGAAAGCGTGTAGACCCCCGACAAATGGCCGTGGTAGTGTCGGATAACCTTGTTCGTTTCCAAGTCCCAGCACTTGACCATTTTGTCCTCGCCACACGAGAAAAGGTAAGGGTGTCGCGGAGAGACGGCCAGTCCGCGAACTGTAGAAATGTGGCCGGTCAATGTCAACCGGAGCTGTCCCGTCGCAAGATCCCAAATTTTAATCGTTCGGTCACCCGCACCTGACGCGAACCATTCGTTACCAGGTTCCACGGCGAGCGCTCGTACCCAGCCAAGGTGTCCTGATATGACTCGCATCAGCTTCCACGGCGCGTGCCACTCCGGCCGAGGCTGTTGCATGTTTGGTCTTCGGATCAGACTGTTTCCCGTCCCGTTCGTCTGCGTCGATTGACTTTGTGGTCCTGCATTTCCCTCGCTCTTCACCAATGCCATCTGATTAGATCCTGCCTGAACCCTCGGCCGCTTTGGACCTCGCGCAGCAGCAGACTTGGCCTGCTTCTCTGCCAGTGCCTTGGGCAATTCGCGAACGCTTTCATACTCGACTTTTCGCTTGTACGTGGTCGCTATCGAAGAATAGCTAGGGTCGGGCGTCTCGTCGAAGTCATTGCCGAAAATCACCCTCGTGCGCTCCGTGAGGGCTTGTACTGCTGCTGCCGCCGATGCCATTGTGCTAGATGTATTGGAGATGGCGAGAAATGCAAACTTGTCGAGAATGGAACAGGCGCAACAACCCATGATGATTTTCAAAAATGCGCCGGCAAACTTGCCCCGTCCGTCTCGAGTTGGCGGGAGCTTTCCAAACTTGTCCATGCGGGGAAATAAAATGCTTCAGGGACGCGACATGCGTTTCTCCGCCTAGAACCGTCCGAAACGTTCTCGACATGGCAGAAACCAAGGAAAACAAGTACGCCATACACGAGGCGGCTCGAGATGGCAGATGTAAGGTCTCACATTTCTTGTGTCGATGGACAACAACTGATCATTTGAACAGTACAAGTGGTGGAGTCTCTATTGAGCGTGAGTCTTGCCTCTCTTACCCTACTGCCACGGGATCATCGTTGACTTGGTCAGGTAAATCCAAAACTGGCGAATCTGGTAGATCAGGATGAAAGACTGCCTCTCCACTGGGCATGCGCATTCAACCACCTTGATATCGTCAAAGTTCTAGCCTCGACCCGCACCTTCGATCCCGACGTCGTGGATGGCTCAGGATGGACGCCACTTGCCATCGCATCGAGTTTAAAGGACAACAGTGGTGAGGCAATCGTCGAAATCCTCCTGACCAAGGAAGCCGATCCAAAAATTCCTACAAACACTGGAGCTACTGCTCTTCATTTCGCGACATCCAAAGGAAATCTTGAAATATGCAAGACACTATTGAAGAATGGTGCCTCCGCAAGAGCCAAGGATAAACGAGGACAGCTACCCTTACACAGAGCCGCAGCGATAGGCAGTGTGCCCATTGTGAAGCTTCTACTCGAGAACAAGAGTCCTGTAAATGCTACGGACATGGACGGACTGACCGCGCTACATCACGCTATCAGTGAAGGCAACGGCGACGTTGCGGTGGAGCTACTTAAGGCTGGCGCCGAGACTGATAAGAAGGATGTTGATGGACGACTGGCGATCGAATGTGCACCGGATTCCAAAGTACGATCCTACATCATCCAAGCTGCCGAACGAGAAGGTATTGAAATTGAGTGAGATATGACGAAGTTGCCAGAAACCCATCAACATGTCATGATTTGCCCATGGTATCAGCCAGCTGCCGGTACATCTGCTTCACATCGACAATATCTGCCTTGAGCTCTTCCACCTGCTCACTCTTCTCACCGAGAAGTTCGAGAGTCGTCTGATGCCGCTTGCTTAGGCTCTCGTACTCTCCTTCAAGTGTCTTTATACGATTCTCAATCGTTCGTTTCTCCTCAACCTCGCGCATCAAGCTGACAACCTCCTGTCTGGCCTCGTCGCGCTGTGTTGTCAGTCTTGCTAGCTCGTCCTTGGTGGCGGCTTTCTCACTCTCGAGCCGACGGACGTTTGCGGACATCCGTTCCACAAGCTGCACAGAAGGCCCGGCTCCAACAGTGGACGTCGAGATAAGTTCATTGACGCCACGATGGCTGGTGGAAAGTGGCGTAGGTGGCACATTGGCAAAAAAGTCGTCTGGATCATTGGAGGTCACTATCGATGGCGTCTCAGCAATGGAACCGTTTGTCATGTTGCGGAAAGAAGAGGCCGAGTTCTGCCGCGATGGGCTGCTCCACTCAAAGGATTGCATCATGAAGGACTTTCTGCTGGTTGGCCTTTCGAATTGATTGATATCGAGGCCTAGACCAGCACCCTTGCGGATAGAAGTGCCGGGAGAATCTGTCCGTTGAAGTGGTAAGGTTGCGGTCCGTTTAGCCTTTTCTTCCAAGAGCTTGCGCTGCAGTTCCTTCTCTGATGCCACTTTGTATTCCTCGAATTCCCTTGTGGCATCGGCAAGGTCAGCTTCGAGCTGGGCGACTCTTCGGCTCAAACGTTGGGATTCCTCTTCGACATCCACCAGTGATTTGTCTTTTTCGGCCAGCATATTTTGAACCTCGTTCAACTGGGATTCTTTACTCTTTGCCTTGAGCGTAGTTTCGCGCAGCTTTTTGCGGAGGTCTGCTTCCCGAGCCGCGATCTCGTCACGTTCTTTTTCGAGATTGGTGATCCTCCCTAGAAGAGTACTCTCAATCCCTTGCCAATTTTGACTTGCTGTTGCATATTGACTCTGCAATGTCTCAATTTGCCGGAGCAATTTTGCTTGCACATGACCCAGGTCGGTCGAAGAAGCTTCCTCGGCTCTGACGCGAAACGACTCAAGCTTGCTTTCAAGTGCTGCTTGTTCATTAAGCATTTCACTTTCGAGCGCCTTGGTCTGCTCCCTTTCTCTGCTCAATGTGGCTTGAAGGTCCTTGATTTCCCGTCGCAACTTCTCCTCCGAAATTTCTCTCTCTACCTTTGCACTCATCAGATCGTCTTGTAACTCTGTGATACGTTTCTGCTCTCTTGCCACTTGATCTGCTTTTGCCTGGCTTTCGGCTGCTTCAGCTCTTGCATTGGCCTTTGAGATTTGTGATTTCATCTCAGCCAGAGTTGACTGCAGGGCATCTCGCTCTTTGCGGACCGCATCGAGCTCACCGGCCTCCGAAGCTTTTACCGCAAGACTCTGTTCTGCACGTCTGCTTGCGGCCTCGGCTTTTCTAGCTCGATCTTCCATGTCTTTGAGCGAACGCTCAGCCTTATCTGCGCGAAGCTTGGCAGCTTCTTGCTCCCTGTTGGTGGTAATGAGCTGAGCGCGCATCTTCTTGATAGTAGTAACGTGCTTCATCTCGGTCTTGGATAAATTGTTGCCTTCTTCAATCAACAAGGCAATCTTGCCCTCCTGTTCTAAAAGCTTCTTCTCCAGACTTCCAGGTTGGACAGAGGCGGCTGCTTGTTTCAAGGATTGGGCAGCTTCACTGCTTAGATACTTGAGCTTTGCCTGGAGTGCATCGATCTTTTCAATATACATGCTTACATCCTCCTGTACTCCTGGTGTGCCAACTGCTGGCACGTCTTCTTCACTTATCCGCGAGGATTCTGGGGTCACCCGACCCGGCAGCACCTCGTTCACACTTGTGATCTCGGTGGACGCTCTCGTAGGTCCTTCCTCATCCTGCATACTAATATCGATTTTCGGGATCTGTGACTGTGAATAGGGCGATTCATCCGGCGGATGGGACACTTCTGCATCCACTTTATTCCCAGCAGGCAATCCGACAACATCTCCTTTCTCGGAACCCAAATCTGTTTTCGCAGAGCTCGTGTCTGCTCGGAGGCCTTGATCTGTTTGATTTCCTGCAGAGTTTGGAGATTCTTGTGGCGATTGTTCAGCTAGAGCCGTGGCTGAAGCGACTGGTGATTCGCTTCGACCAGTGTTCTTTTTGGCCATCGCCCTGGCAAGGCGTTCCTGCAATCGATCATTGGAAGTGGAGGCATTGCTATTGGATCTCGAGAGTTCTGAAGAGACTACGACAGGTCAATCAAGTGAAGCGTTGAAGGGCATTCAGCACATACTTCGGTTTGGAGGTGCTAAGTCTCGACCTGGTTGCGCAGGCGAGACACTTCGCTTTGGGGGTTCACCACCCTCGGCCAGGATATCATCTAGTCGTGATTCGACGGACGCCACAGCCTGTTGCAGGAAATTCCATCTTGAAGTGGATGTGGGTTTGGTCGCCATCTTGATGCGACAGAAGATGGTGCAGTCGGCACGATCAAAAGGTGCAACCTGTGGTGTCCATTATCTCAGAAATCTTCTTGATAACCACAGGGCTATTCTAGTCTCAAGAAATGACATTGTGCAATGTGGAATGTTTGCAGTCAGTAACGGTCCGCTGGGAGTGGACGCGTTTCCTAATGAACAAGTTGTCAAAGCGGAGTTGACACTTGGTTAACTTAGTGCCCAGCATCGTACATACCTAAGGTAGCTTAGGTAGGTGCTTCCGTGATCTGCACGGCTACATGCGCTCGCTTAACAGCTCAAGCAACAGTCGAACTGCCCTTTGCCATCTTGGAAGAAAAGGATTGTTCATTATGCCAATTCATGCTTCCCATAATTTATATCCTTGAGGAACGTGGGTTGACCCTTACTTGTTACAGTATTGTGTTGTTGCTGCACGCGACAGAGAAATACGCAGAAACGCTTCTCGGTTTCGCTCACAATCTCTCCTGGTACACCAGACCCTCTCTTTACACGGCACATTACGATAAGCGTGAACCGCAATTGTCACATTGGTTGTTGTATTTGATACAATCTACTATACGAGTTGGTGTATGAATTGGCTAGGTATAGCTGTCTAGGATCTCGTAGCAATGCTGATCGGATGTTCAGGCCAGTTCACAATCACCCTATATCCCACCAGTCCTTGACGTCTGAGGTCTGAAAGCAGGATCTAACCCCCTCATCGTGAACAAGTCGTTGGTAAATCTTTATTTCGTCCTCAAGTGTTTCGCGGTTGTCCTCATTTACATAATCTATATAGTCAGAGTCTGGTGTTCAGATATAAGGGTCCAGTGGAGCATACTATTGCAACCTCGAGAACACATTCATTGTTAAGCTGGAGGATGTAGCTTGTCATTCCAGGCCCATTTATTGGTAGGTCTTCATAGGGATTCTGGTCATAGATTAAGTGCGATAATGGTTGTAATGCTGTTGTAGTGATAGTCATTCTAGCAGTGAGAATAACAGTGTGCAGTGCGGTTAAAAAGGTTGTCGAATGAGAGGAGTCTGGCGGTCTTTATAGATTCACATCGCAGATACAGGACTTTGAATAAGTGGACATCGGATTTGTTAAAGCACGCAGCGCAGACCGGGCTGAGATCGAGACGCTCGCGGAGGTTAACATTCCGTGAAGAGTGTGAATATAAACAGCACCTGATCCTGGAGAACTAAATACTAGATCGGTCTGCTCGTCCTCGTACTAAACCATGACAACAGGATGTCAGGAAGGTCTACCGAGTCAGCCTCAGGAGGCGAGGCTGAGACGCCTGATCTACGAAAACAGCAATGTCGATTGCTGTGCCATCGGTCCAGCATCAATGCTTCTTACTGTACTGCCTTGTGGCCACTGTTTTCACACTTCTCGCGTCGAACCGTTGTTATTAGGGGAGCCTAGTCCTTGTCCGCTCTGCAGGAAGCCGATCAAGTCTACCACAAGTCTCGCAGAGAACGCAAGAATTGAGGACTTCCAGAATCTAGCCATTGACAATGGCCACGATGAAGAGGGAGTTGCGAAAGAGACGCTTCGCGACAATGAAGCGAATTGATAAAACGTACCATCATCACGAATCGCACAGAGAGGCTGTCCAGAAGGCTGGAAGGCAACCTGGACTGAAACAGGGGATGAAGCGACTATTACGCATGCAGCAGATACAGAAGGAATGAGACAAGTTGAAGGCCGCGACAAGTCAGACAGAAGAGAGTGATTTTGGAAGCGACTTTTCGGCCACGAGGAACAGGACCCAAACTGCCGATTGTCATAGTACTTGTAGTCAATTGATATGTTGATGTCACTGGGTACGATTACCATGAACTGAAAGTTGCAACCACACGTTCCAAAGTATAATGGGCTTGGGGTTCAGGACTAGGGTGACAAGGAAATTCGCTATCGAGCTGGCCGCGTCTCAAGGGTCGTGTGTCGTAAGCAGAATGAAACGCTCAAAAGAGGGACTGCGGACAAGGACACAGTTCCGCAAAGACAATAATACATTGACACTGTGTTCGCTATCGTCTAGAGCACATTTTGGGAATATACCGCTGCCCTTTTCTTCAGCAGATACTCGCCTGCATTTATCGGACCCCATCGCTTCGGCATCTCAACACTGCAGCAGGACGGAAGAGGCTCAACAATTGTAGCCGCATCAGGAAAGCCGAAAAAGGCGATACTGTATCTCTCTGGGGTCATTTCATCGAAGTCCGCTCTCTCTTGAGAGCCCCAGTCGCCGATAAAATGCGAAGGTTCCACCTCTTGGTGAACAGCGTTTTTCCACCGCCCATTTGTCAATCGCATCAGCAGGTAACCAGCATTGACCACAATTGTCCCAGGTTTCGGGTCGATGGGTATGAAAATCGCATCTTTTTCGACCGCAGATGTCGTTATCTTGTCCGTCGAGCTCATATCGGCAATCTCGAGACCACCAACGTTGTGTTGGAAAAGTAGTGTCAAGGTACCGAAGTCGGAGTGCGCTGCATTTCGGACAATTTCACCAACCCGTAGACACTGTGTAGACACAGCAGGGTAGTGGATTAGACTTGATGTATGCATAGACCCGGAGTGATATCGGTTGAGAGCATCTTTGTTGTCCAGATCAAGCGCGATCGATAGGCATTCCAGTAATTTATCCATAAGCACGGTACAGAGCTAGCTCAACGTCAGAGAAGATGGGAAACACTTTCAGCGACATGTATAGACCTGATGGAACTCTGCAGCAAAATCCTGAAATCCGGGTAAATCCTCTTTATCTGGCCACAATCCCACCATGTCGTCCTCGGGATTGCGAATATCAAAGCTCTCTTTCATACCCTTCTTACCACGAATCTTCTCATTGCCGATTCCACAATAACCCTGCGCGAACGAGTGTGGTGCTGCAGAGAGAGCTTCCTTCGTAGAGTGCGGGAGAGAAAAGACTCGTTTACTCTACAACCCGCATGATCAGATCAAACCGAGTCCCCGTTTGAACGAGCAGCTTACCATCTCAAAACATGTATCAATCTTATCCTGGTCGATGCCATGGCCAATAAGGTAGAAGAAGCCAACAGATTTTAGCGCAGCATCCACTGCAGAGGCAGTGTGCCAACGATCATGTGCAGATCCTGTAAGGAACCGACTGAAATCAATCGTTGGGATTTTTGAGCCCATTTATGTAGAGATTGTTCTGTAACTGCAGAACAGTCAGTATGCGGAGTGAGAGTGGCAGGTTAAGATGAACAGTAGGTAATGCCTCATCAGAAGAAATGCGGCATGTTTAGTCTTTGGATTATGACGCCGCGTAGTAATTGTCAGCAAAAAGATCTAGGCCAGCATGCAACGTAAAATAGAACTAACTATACTGTGGTGTTTTGAAACAAAGAAGGCGCTCCAATGATGAGCAAAAGAATACGTGATGCGTTGGCGCCTGACTCCAGAAATATGAAAGAACCAGAGATCTCAACCGCGCCGTCAGGAACTTCGATTTCAGGAGAGTGGTTAATTTTCGGCCGCAAGTTGATGTCTCCTACCGGCGGAAGTCAGTGGGTATATATATGTCTGCAGACACACCCTTCTTCACGGTGAACATGGTGGGTAGGGTAATCTGTTGACTAGAGACAGTCATTGAAGCGTTTGAAGACTATTCTTGAGGATCTTAGCGTGCCCGTCACTACCTAATCATGATAAATTCAAAGCCAAATTACGGAAACACGCGCTGAGTCCTTTTGAGTAGTTCAATAAAGATAGTATTCCTGCAGTACATCCTTTGACTCGTTATCCTTCCGCGTCGATATGCCACGCCGCTTTCGCGGCTCTATGCCATGATTGGACAGCGAGGGGCCGGGAGCGTAAGGGCGGCATCACGCTTTTTTCCCTGTTGGGGTTGAGGTGCCTGCGGTTAAACCATACCTGGAGCTATCGGTACGAGTACAACGATAAGGAATAACTTTGGGGTAGCTACCTTGCAATGACATCGCTTCCTAATTTCGCCATCTGACCTCTTGTTACCTAACCCTACAATTCATGGCGATCGTTGTTTGATCAACTGTTACATTCCCGCCGTGCCAGGCTGCCAGTGAAAGAGTTTCCCAAGATGTCTTTGAGCCCACCTGCCTACCTCACCTCGCTCCAGAACAACATCAGAGCACGTCCGGTAAGTGCAATGCTGCCGTTATGATTCCTGGATCAACTGACGCCTCTGCTAGATACCTTGGGATGGTGCAGTCAGGGCTGGCAACCTCACAGACGACCAACTTAAGAAGATCAGGTCTGTCGACAAGGTCAGAAAAGAGCAGAGAAAGCAAACAATTGAAAAGGACGTCAAGAGCTACAGTAATTTGTTAGTGGGCGATAAAGATGGCGGTGGTGTTCTCGAGAAAGCATCAAAGCGGAGCGACATTATCCAATACATCCTGGTTCTTGCGACAGATCTGATCAATGGTACGTTTAGGATATGGTAATGGAGTCGCAATTGTTGACGTTCGGTAGATGCTCCTGCGCTTGCGAATGCAATCCTCGAACATTCTGAGCCATACAGGCCATTCATTTCCTTCCTCACGCAATCTGGCAATCCAGAAGACCCGATTCCTCTGTTTGCAGCCACTTTCCTTGTCAACCTTATTGCCATTTCACTCACATCATCCTCAAAACCGACTCCACGAGACGACCAAGCTCTCTCTCAGGTCTACGCATATCTGGCAAAGCTGGTCAAGAACCAAGATAGCGGGCTTCAAGACATCGGAGTTCAACATTTCTCGCAATTGTTGCGGACTTCGCGGTCGAAAGAGTTGTTCTGGAAACAGAAATCAGACACAGTTGATCCTTTGTTTGATATCTTGCGGAAAGCTGCAGGTGCCGCAAAAGATAACGATTCCACCCTATGGAGCGGGGCTACAAGTATAAGGAGCAGCGACACGAGGTTCGGTGGCGGGGTTGGGTTGCAATTGATGTACCATGTCTTACTGGTCATCTGGCAACTCAGTTTCGAAGGAGAGATGGTTGGCGAAGAGCTTGAAAAGTATGGTAGGAAGAATGCATAGGCGAGCTCTAGCTAATCTTTTATTAGGGACGAGGAAATTGTGCCCTTGTACACACAACTCCTTCGGATGTCACCAAAAGAGAAGACGACTCGTCTCTTGCTTGCAACGTTGAACAACCTACTTTCCTCGAACAAGGACACTTTGATTGCCACAGCGACTACTGCCAGACTGCCCTCGCTTCTCAGTAACCTCTCTGGGCGCCATCTCACAGACCAAGACCTTCTTGAAGATCTCGAGAACCTCAAGACAATGCTAGAAGAATACACCAAGAATCAGACAACGTTCGATGAGTACGCCGATGAAGTCAACTCTGGTCATCTACGATGGTCACCGCCACACCGAAATCCTACCTTCTGGAGGGAGAATGCTCGCAAGATCCTTGAAGACAAGAAAGGCGAGCTACCGAAGAAGCTGGCTGAGATCCTTTCGAGAGGATGGGAGTCAGACAAGAAGGTGCTCGCGATTGGGTGCAACGATGTTGGGAATCTGGTCAAAGAAGTCCCAGAACACCGATCAACTCTGGAGAGACTCGGGCTCAAAGCTCGATTATTAGAGCTTATGGGTGATTCCGACGAGAGCGTGCGCTGGGAGAGTCTGAAGGCTGTTGGAGAATGGATGCGATACACGTTTGACAAATAGAGGGTCTGCCTGACGCTCACCTGGTTTCATGACGCTTCGAATTTTCAGCATTAGAGACTACGAGGCCTCATGCAGTCTCACCACTCGTCCTTATCTCCCGGCTGGAGAGTGGAGAATAGATGCAATCAGCGATGGCGCAAATCGCTTGTGGTTGTTGTCGTGCAGGGGCGTCGCGAATAGATTAAGCACTGTTGATGAGTTTCTTTGGCGCTGTCAGTCACCCGGATCCTTCCCCTGCCTGTCTGTATGAGGTATAGGGCAGCCTTTGGCACTTAAAAGGCTCATGACAGCGCGCACAGGCGGCACAGCATGGAGATAATAATAGTGTACCTATTCCTTGATGGGCGAGTTGTAATACGAATTTGAGAGATCGCTGTCCGTATGGAGCATGGAATCTCCCTTTAGTCTAGTGATGTTGAGCAGAGATAGTATGGTACGAAGTCTAGAGGAGCTAGAAGGGACGGCAAGAACATCAACAAGTCTCCATGCGCCGGCCAGTCTCAATCAGGGTCATCGGCCGGTGCTCTTTTGGCATGGATGATGGATCTCCCCTACCAGGGTCATTTCCCTAAGCTCGAGGCCGTAAACGCCCAGAACAAAGGATGGATCGACACACTTTCATTGTATTGCTGGATGCTCCGGAAATGTCAACCACATTGTTTTTGCTGTCAGAGGCGCGTTGGCGTCCAAGCGGTTTCAACGCCTCTTCGAGAGGTGTATTCATGTCAAAATTAAGCCACATCCTCAACCACTCTACGCCATTGGATTGCTTCTGTTTGGTAACTTGGCTGAAGATCCCTTGGGTTCCTGCATTAGTACCTAGGTACAATGATACTTCCGGAGTCGGTGCGGGTGACGAGCACCTGCGGCTTTCCACCCCGCAAGATTGCATTTCAGTGTAACGAGCACAGTGCACTACAATAATCTCGCTTAGTATCTCATCTTATCAGTGCGAGAGGTCTTCTCTGCCCCAATACGTTCCCTTTTAGTCTCTCTCTAATGAGTACCGTCGCTCGTGCTGGTTGCAATTAGCAAGCGCCATAGGTCGGCTAGCGCGCAATCTGCCAGGGATCCAATGAGAATGACCCTGTCGGCGCCCCTAAACCGCATCCGACTGCAAACAACTTAGCGACTCTTTTCCTACTCTCGATTAATTCCTACAGCTCACGAGCAATACCACAGAACTCTAACTCTTTCTCTTTGGCTCTCCACTGCCAGTCTGTCCGTCTCTAGGACTATTCGCATGTGGCTGATCTACGTGCCGTACGCCAATTCGAAACATGTCGCTATTCTAGACGCCCGTCAAAGCGTCAAGCCACTGCGACAATCGACTGCCCCAACCCCCTGATCGCTTTCACCATGGCCGACAATGCTTCCTCAGGAAGCCTTGCTTCTGTACCCCCTCCTCCGTTACCGAAAGACTATCCTCTTCTTCAACAACGTCCTTCTTTCCCTGCGGCAGCTGTAAAACAGATCTCCCAAAGCCCTCCCGTCCGCCGAAAGCCTCTCCCTTCCAGCGCCTCGCCCGTCATACAGTCACCTCCGTCCCCCGAGTCTGTGCACCGACGACAGAACGCGGGCGTTTCACCGGAGCAAGACAAGATCAACGGCGTCTCACGCGCACTTGACTTTAGAGAAAGAAGGTCAGTGGACTCCTCCGGGTCATGTTTGTACCGCGTAGCTGACCTCAGTAGGACTCCGAATTCTTCGACGCAGTCGCCGGTGCAAAGACACTTACGAGAAACCACTTCTCAACGCACAACGACAGGCTCCGTCCCTCAAGTGTATACCGAGGACTATACCAGCTCCCCCAAGAGCAGCCACAGAGGAAAACCATCAAATGATTTCACGGTAGAACCCGTGGGAGCGCACGATATGGGTCTGAAACCCGGGTCGAGGCCGCCACCTCTGCGGACGGACTCGAATTCGTCAACAAAATCGTTGACGGTGATCGATACAAAGAAGCCTCAGACGCCAGGATCCAAATTTACTTCTTTCTTCAGCCGCAGACCTGCCGCATCCCCAAGCACAGAATCTTCGATCACTGACATATCCGACCGAAAATCTCCTCTTCCATCTCCTCATATGGGATCACCCAGCGCCTCTGTACGTTCATCCTCCGGCTTTCCATATGGATCCTCTACCTCGCGACCCCCTCAGTCACAACTCTCCCAAGATTCGATCGAGTTTGACGGCAGCTCATACGTCCACTCGCTTTCCAATGACGACGCGGCAAGTAAATGCCTTCAACTGGAGGCTGAACTACGCGAGATCAGCACGGAACTAGCCAACTCTATCAAACGCGAGATGGACCTGGAAGATCTCGTTGATAGGCTGCAGAACGAAGGACCAACCATGGGCAGAGAGATCGATCGTACAAGTGACTACTTCTCCGACTCGGGGACAAGTTCCGTGCGACCCGGCACCAGTGAAGGCAATCCAAAGGATGAAATCCAGCGGATAAAACGAGAGTCAGAACAACAAAGAGCACAGCTGAAGGTCGAACTGTCTCAGAAGTGGCAGGATGAGCGCTCAAGTCGGCAAGCCCTCGAGTCTCATGTCCAGATCTTGGAACAGAAACTTTCACTGACACGTCGGGATCACAATCAATCAGCAGACGTGACAGCGAGGGCCAAGGAACTCGAGATGTCACTGGAGGATGCAAGACGCAGACTCAATGAAGAAAGGCAGATTAAGGAAAACTTTGAAGATCTGCTCACCGCGCTACGAGTCGAGCTCGAACAGCATCGTAATGAAAGAGACAATCTTCGTGATGAAGTTGTGCCTCAATTGCGATCTCGCGTTGAAGGCCTCGAGGCAAGTCTATCTGAGTCGCAGAAGTCACCCTACGATGTATCAAGAATGCAACAAGAACTTCAGAGTCTCCGTGACGAAAATGCAGCACTGCAAAGTGCAAGAGCAATGAATATGCATTTCCAGTCGATTGCTGAAGAAGGAGAAAGAGTCGAATCACCAACTAAATCATCCTTTTTTGGTGGACGAGGAACAGGCTTGCAGCGTTCGAACACTATTCACATCAACAGGTCGAACTCGAGAGCAGGCAATCGGTCCAATTCTTTGTCCCGATCCAACTCAATTAGCAATCGTCCTGCTGCAGAAAACCAGCAGCCTCTTACAGACCAGTTGAAGGATGTAACGGAACAAAGAAATGCGCTGCACACCACCGTCAAGTACTTGTTAAGGAGACAAGAGGCTGAGCGGCGGCTGTTCGATAAGCGTTTGAAACTGGTTGAGGCCGAGCGAGACCGTGCACAGTCCTTGCACCATCAAAGAAAGGGGGGTTACGAACGCGAAGTTCGCACGTTGCGCTCTGAAATCAACTTGTTGCGCAAAAGAACCGACGATGCCTTGGAACAAAAATGGCAATGCGAAAAGGGACTGGCGGGTCTCAAAATGGACTTGGACCGTAGCAAACAAGAAACGGCTAGTTTGCAAACATTGCTCCAGGTCCGGGACGACAGCGCCCCAGAAATCCTTTCCTCCACATTAGAGGATGCTTTGCGTCGGTTGCAACAGCAACGAGAGCAAGCACAACAGCAGGAATCCCTGGGTCAACTTAAGCAAGAGCAGGAAGTGGCTGCGCAGTTGGAACTATCCGCGCAAAGGTCTGAGGAGCTGGCCGCCCAAGTCAGGAAACAAATGCAAGCGAACGCTGATCTGAGAAACCGACTCATGGAGGCTGTTCAGAACGGCGAGAAGAACCAGCACGCTTCAGCAGAGCGAATCAACGATCTTCAATCAAAACTTCGCAAACTGGAGGATAGCATTACTGTTGCCCAAATGCAATCCGAGACCGCCGTCATGAAGCACGAAGAAGAAGTTCGAGTCCTTCGAGCCAGTCACAACATCCAATTGATGCGTACACGGTCGGGCAGGAAGACGCCTGGGTTTTTGACGCCAACGCCTAAGTCGCCACTGTCACCGATGTTTGCCAACTCGAAGAAGAGCCCGAGGTTGGATCTGACCACTAGTGGGCCAGGCATGGCACTTCAGGAAGCCCTGAAAACAGAGTTCCTTGAAAAGAAGGTGGCAGATCTGGAGAAGGCTCTTGCGGAGGCAGAGAAGGAAATGGGAGACGTTGTGGGACGAATGAACACAGCTCAGATTGGTGTAGCTGAGCTGGAGTCAGAGAGGTGAGACTCTATCCAACATCATGTCTGCATATGTAAGCTAACATGGCTTAACAGGGACGAAGCTCTTCGTCAAACTCGACGACTTGAAGCCGCCATCGCCGCTGAACGTGAGAAGGTCCAAACTCTTCTCGATTCCTCGTACGACTACTCTTACCCGGACGACTATTAGCCTCCAAAACCGGTACAGGCAAAAATCCCTATACATTCTTTTTTTTAATATCAACATCATCTAGCCATGGCAGGTGTATTTAGCGTGGAGTTAAGGGCCTACGAAGCTTGCATGCTTCATCCTTTGGAGATACCAAACGGGCTTTTGAGCTTCCAGCGGGTTATCGTCGCATTTCTGACACCCTTTCCAGAGGGCGTGGTTGTGTCCTTGTTCAATTCTAGCAGAGCGCGCGTGCATGCGGGATATCTCGCAGGGCATCGATACATGATATACCCAGTTAATAGTATTTAGACAGATGAGACGAAGAGAGGGTTATGACAACAGGAGCTTACCTATACTAGGTACTTGTGGATTTGGATCTCGTGCAACATGGCGGGAGGCTGGCCTTGGGTGTTGCAACACAATCAAGGATACGGATATTGGCACTCTAGTTGTCAGGTAAATAAATAATACACTTGATCCTCGTCAGCGTGAACATGGTCAAGGTCCATCCCTCAGATGCAATTTCAACTCTCGGTTGGGAGGTTCGTGAGTGATCTTACAGTAGGAGCCCCAAACAAACGGGGTCGAGTGTCCTGCCTCTGTTTTGATTCCCCGCGCTGTGTCCGTATCAAGTTCACATGCACGGTTTTAAAAGGTTGGCCTCAATCTGACCTCGTATGGTGCGGCCCCTCCCTATCTGATGCATCCCATCTCGATACATTGGATTGCGGTGAAAATCTTTCATCGTCCTCGTCACTGAAGAGGGTGGCGCAGGTCACAAAGGGCACGATCCATACCCTGACTTCGCTCTGGGCGTGTTGTGATAACATCTGGCCGGACTGACGACATCCGCCTGAGACAACCCCATTCATTCATTCATTCAAGCAGGAACCAATTATTCCTCATCCGCTCTACCTAGGTATATACAGCACCTCCGTACACTCTGTGCCTCTTTCTCCTTTACAACCTGTCCGTGCTGTGCGCTACCACACCACCACGCAGCTGGGAAGTCGCGAAAGTCACGCTGCGTACTACACAAACACACACACACACACACACACACACACACACACACACACACACACACACACACACACACACACACACACACACACAC